ACACACACACACACACACACACACACACACACACACACACACACACACACACACACACACACACACACACACACACACCCCTCAAAATACGGAGGCGGCAGGTACACAGTATCGACGTTTCCCTTCTCTGTTGTGTTGCCCAATGAATGAATGGATGAATGCACTTCTGCTTCGCGAAAAGCCCGCCGTCCCGTTGGACGGAGAAAGAAGTTCCTCGACAAACACACGACGTCGAAAGAGGGTGTAGATGCTGCATTCAAAGTCCATACTCGTCTGCCAAGTCGACCCAGGCGTCGACGATCCTGTCCACGTCGCTTCTCTTGATGGGGATCCGGTGAGGTCCGTCCCACTCGACGAGCGTCGCCGTGCCCGGGGCACAGTAGTCCTCGACGAGTCGCCTGTGGAGGTGCAACCCTTCGTCCTTCAGGCCGTGGACGTGCAGCGTCGGGATCTTGAGCTTGAGGTCCGGCCACTGGTGGATGCTGTCGAGATCAGCAGCTTCCGCGAGACCGCCGGCGCTCTGCATCCAGGGGAATCGTTCGGCCTCGTCGCTCAGACCGACCATCGGCGCGCGGCCCGCGAGGATGACGGCGAACCTCCACGGTCCGTCTCTCCCCTGGAGTTGCTGTTCGTAAAGCAGGCTCGCGGCCAGCTTTGCCCCCTGGCTGAACCCCAGGACGCCCACCCACTCCCCGGTCCCGGGGTCGCTGTCCATGCACCGCTCCAGGGTGTACTCGAGCTCGTAGGCACACGCGCCCGGGTCGATCTCAGGGTGCGTGTCGAGCCACCGGAACCACCGCCGGAAGGGGCCCCAGTCGGAATACACGGGCCGCACGCCCACGCCCTCGTCGCAGAAGAAGGGCGCGTCGGCGAACACGAACCGGAACCGGTTCTTGAGCTTCTCGTGGTTCAGGAACGCTCTGAACTGCGCTCTGAATATCGCTCCGTTTACACCTCCGCCGTGGAGACACAGAATCCGCGGTAAGCTGAGCGTGGCGTCTGCCATCATGTTGGGAGCTCAACTCATGTGGACATGTGTGTGCGGCGCGAAAGCAAATCTTTTGATTAGAACTTGGCCCGATGGTTGAACTTGACGGGGGCTTCACCATACGTCGCTCGTGAGTAGTAGTTCGATACAGATTGTGTCCAAGTAGGCAAGTAACAGGATGACAGCGATGGCTAGGTAAGGTAGAGAGATAAGCTGAGTTCTTTATGGGATTCAAGTCCAAGGCGAGCCTCACTTAGCCCTCATACCCACCCAGCTCTAAAAATAGGTGAGGCTGAAGAATCCATCTACAAAGATACTGTACTTATGACAATAGCCATGACGGTCAAAGGACACTCGCTGACGATACTGAGAATATTCCTCGGCACGTTCTTCCCGTACATATAGGAGTTAGGCATCGTTAGACTGTACATTCTCTATCCGGCGGCCTTCGTGACTCTGCAGAAATGTGGCTGTAGGCTCATCGTACGTGCCAGCAGTGACCAAAGCATTGGTTGAACAACGGCCTACGCCCCAAGGACAGGGTACCATCTCGGCTGGTAAGATCTTTTTTTTTTGAATCCTCTACCTGTCCATAATGTGAGAAGCCTCCAAATCATATCTCAAGAGTGGTGCGACATTTCCACTCTCGTGCCTGGTGGACCGCCAGAAAAACGGTACGGTTTGCAATAATCCTCCTCGCCCATGATTTGATCATTTCCTTCCCGGATCCAGAACAAACATTCCATGCATCTCGAGAAGTTGTATGTATCATATCGACTTCTCGCAGAGAGTGTGCAGAGCTCCTGGAGGACGTAGTAGAGCCCTGCTTGGCGAAGGCGTGTCCAGCGTGTGGCCAAACAACCAGCTAAATTTTTTGGTAATCTCGTGCCCGTTGTGTATTCGTATGGGCAAGCTCATCGGTGGTGCCTGGGTACCATGCAGACTTTTACTCGCCCAGTACGATTCCCCTGGCAATGCTTCTGCACGGCAGGGACCTCACGCTCAATCCTTCGAGGTAGCATCGTCTCTCGACTTACGGTGCAATCATCCTGGAGGCAGTTGTACCATGTATTCCCTCGTGGAGTGACCAAACTTGATGACGTCCTTGTCCCTAAGCTCCATGTAGCGTCCCTCCGGCACCGGATCTTCGTTCAGCGTGGTGCCGTTGCCGCTCTCCAAGTCGATGATGTATGGCCTGACCTTGCCGATCTTGTCGCCGAATTCGTTTCTCTTTTCGATGTATCGGAACTGGATAACGGCATGTTGCTTCGAGCAGCTCGGGTGTTCCAGAGCGTAGTCGCACACCGAAACTTCTCTGCCGAAGAGCCAACACGACTGCGTGTACAAGTCGAGAGTATCGACAATCTCTTCCCCCTTGAAAACGTACAGCCTCCAACGCTGCGACGAAGGGGGCTTTCGCGCCTCGGGTGGCTCGTGGTATTTCAGGATAATATTCCCAGAGGACGTGGTGACGGTGTTTGAGGCCGCGGCGAGCAAACCGGACGGACGGAAGTTGGGCTTCTGCTTCTCCGGCCCAGGCGAAGGTGAACCTTTGTCTCCCTTGAACGCCTCGACTTGTGACGGGAGAGGCCCTCTGCGCTGCAACGGTCCCGGTGTCTCGGGCGATCGTCTGCGCCGCGGCGAACGGGATCGTTTTCTGTCTCGATCTGACCTGTGCCTGTCTTGTGCAGACCCTGGTTCCTTGTAGTCCCTGTGTCTTGCGTGTCTGTCATCAGGGCTTTTGTATCTTCCCCTGTCCCGATCCCTTCGAACTCTCCCCTCTGTACTCTCCTCTCTCGCCCGCCGGTCTCCGTCTCGACTTCTTGACCTCCGCCGCCGACGTCTGTGTCTTGTGTCGTCCCGGTGAGAGTCATAGCGTGAATCCCTCTCGCGCCGTGGAGGAGACTGCGAGTCCGAGGAGGCCATTGTTGCACTCGAGCGGGCCAGGAGAGCGGATGGGGGAACCAAAAAGGTGCTCAATCGTGCTCAACAAGATCCAAGAGTTCGATCGGCGAAAGATTCCCACCGGGAGCCCGAAGAGAAGCCGACCAAATGAATGACATGCTCGATTTCCAACTCCCCGCCGCGAGCGAGTCTCCCTCTTCTATCTTCCCGTGGACAATGCTTGTGGCGTGTCGAGATGCCCTCCTCATTGCTCAAAAAGACGACCCTCCCTACCCTGTACCACTCATTACCCTGCTGCTGTAGCAGAACTTCTCCGTCCCCACGAAAACGAGTCAAATCGGATCAGGGCGCGGCACCGCGGGTCACGCAACGGAGATGCTACGCCGATGTGAAGCGGGGCTACGAATTCCGCGACAACACGAACTGGCCGTGTCGACACGTCAAAAGCTCGCCGTCGTGGACACCTTCGCCGTATGAGATCTTTGACTTGGCCAAGGATGGGACGTATACCAAGCACAAATTCTACGAACTGGTCAAGATATACCATCCGGACAGACACAGTCACATGTCCTTGGAGGGAATCACGCACCATGAGAGGCTGGAGCGATACCGTCTCGTGGTCCAGGCTCATGAGATCCTCTCTGATCCGGACAAACGACGGGCGTACGATGCCGCTGGCGTAGGCTGGGGGAGTAGTCGAGTTGCCACCAGGTACTCTCGAGGCTTTTCCAACGGCCACGGCAAGACATACGGCTACGGTCCCAATGACGACTCGTCGATATTCCAGAATGCGACATGGGAGGACTGGGAGCGGTGGTATCGGCGGCACGACAACCCCAACAAGCAGGAATACTCGGGCACGTTTGTCCATCCGAACGCCTTTGCGTCCTTTGTCATCCTCCTCGCCGTCATTTCTGGAGTCTTCCAAGCCACTCGAGCAGGCCAATATTCCGGGCAGCTGGAAGAAAAGGTCCGAGAACACACGGCGGAGACGAGGAATTTCCTGGACGCCAGGGAGAACCACTACCAACAACATCAACTCGGCGTCGACGGGCGAATCAAACACTTCCTGGAGAAACGTGATCCGTCAAAGTATGGGTTGAAAGACGAAGAGGAAGAAGTATACCGCAGTCACTTTTCGAATTCGGGGGTTATGGCACCCAAACCTCGTTTGAAAACCCCCGATGCTGCGTAAGAAGGTGGAATGGTGCCCGTAGAACTTGGGAGGGGGGGGGCCACATGTTGCTATTTCTAACTGTACATATTGATGCTCTTGCTGATGTTGACGACCATGACGGTGATGATGATACGATGATTATTGTTACAGAGAAGTCCGCCGCAAGCGTTCCACAGTCCCCATTCTCGAGCGAGCAATTGCTGTTGACTCGACCTCCACAGGGCCACCAAAGCACGATCACACCTTTCTCTTGACTTCTTCTGCCTTGCCTTTGGCTTCTCCTTTGAGTTCGTAGGCCTTTCCCTTGGCTTCACCGGCTACTTCGGAGGCTTTGCCTTTAGCCTTGTCGGTCTCGACCCCGGCGACCGACTTTGCCTTTTCTTTGAGCTCGACTGAGGGGGAGGGGGTCACGTCAGCACCTGTCCAAGGAGCAATGTAAAAAGCTGGGGGGGCGGAGGGGGTGGTATACGTACCTGTTTTGTCAATGCCGGCGACGGCGACGTCCGACACGGCCCTGTCGACTTGTTTGAGACCGTCTTTGGCGGCTTCGACGGGTCCTTTCTGTTGGACCGAGGTTGTGGAAAACAGACGGGGTGATTGAGTGAGGACAGAGCGTCGGACTGATGCGCGGAGGGCGGGCGTTGCCGACGATAGGAAAGACATGTTGTTGAAAAGGTGAGTTGAGTTGACCTCAGGGGTACTCGTAGGTTGGTCAGGCTGGTAGACGAGTGTGTTTGCGAGGGATGTGATGGTATGTATGGTAGAAGGACGGACGCACTCTGTATGGGCGAGTAGATGGTAAATAAAGGATTGAGAGGTAGCTTTGCATGACAGGAATTCCTTTTTTGAGTTGTTCTTCTCCTCCTTGAGTCTGTTGACGACGTCACTATTGCAGGGTGCGATGGGGTGTGTGTGTGTGTCTGTCTTGTTGGTCGCTACAGCATCACCACCCAGCGCAAATCTCCCCACCGAACGCCACTTACACCCAATGACCACTGCTGTACTAACTACTTGTACTTGCTGCGGCCCTCTTTTCCGGGGTATCAAACATCAGCCTGATGTCACTGTGCAGAGAGTGAGTGAGTGGTTCATCCAGGTACTCGTACTCATACCAAAGACAGTTGGTACGGTACTCTTTCGTGCCCACGCTCTATTATCTTCCAATGTTCATACATCGTGGCATTGGGTATACGACCTAGATAACACATTGTAAGTACGGAGTAGTAACTGTGTGAAAAACCAAAACAGTACGGAGTAAATCATGTCGCTAATCTCAATCCCAGAGTACTCGTACTCGTACTCGTACTGTAGGTATGCGCCCTCGTCTTGCGATATCATCGTCATCATCGTTATCATCATCATTATCATCATCATTATCATCATCATGCATGTCCCCATCCGCAGCCCGCATGATACCAACGTTGTCCCTAGTGTAGACTTCTACCCTCCACCCCACAAGGGAACGAGTACAATACCTTTGAAAAGGTTCAATTCAGACCTCATGCTCATAGGGAGTTTGCTGGTGGACACACATCACCCACTTCCCGGCCTCGGGGTCCTTGTGCCACGTACTCGAGATCAACGCGCGGAACTCGTCCTGCCGCTCGTCGTCGTCGTCGGGCGTGATGTGCTGCCTCGTGGCCTTGACGCGGTACGTGATGATGGCCGCCTCGGGACCCAGAGGTCGGACCTCGACCTCGCTCAGCCGGTACCTCCTCCACGGCACAAAGGCCTCGGACTTGAGCACGTCTTCCAAGCGAGGCTCGGTCGTCGCCGACACCTTCAAGCCCATGGGGAACAACATGACACAGTCGGCGCTGAGGAACGGGAGGAGGTCGACGCCCCGGTGCATCAGCGCCCGCCACGTCTGGTCTTCCAGGTCGAGAACCATCTCGGTCAACATGGCCGGGTCCATTCTGGGAAAAGGGTGGGTGTGTATGCGTGTGCGCGTATGTGCGTGGGCGTGGGTGTGTGGGCGTGTCTTTGGGGGACCGGGTCGACAGTGGAGATTCTGTATAGTGCTTGGATGAATGAATGCTGGCGGGCGTCTCTCTCGATTGTTGTGATCTTGGTGATTGCTCGTTCTTTTTAACTCTCTGTTTCGGTATTCAACCTCGGGAAAAAACAGGGTCTTATATGAATGAGGTGGTCGGTCTCGCGGTAACCACAATGGCCTGATCTGCACGGCCGAAGCCAAGAAGAGTAAAAGCTGCAGACATCAAAATCCCGTGACTGCCATGCTCTACTGTAGAGGATCCTACGCATTATCATCTCCCTGGGCGAAGTTGATCCGAGAGAAGGGCAAGCCTTCTTTTGGTGCATGCTCGTCGTCCAAAAAACAACTCGGAATCAACCCCTTCTTCACACCTGTCGGTAGGAATTCATGACCGGAAATTTACGAAATTTACAACAGTAGACAGCAAGCGGCCGTTTCAACTCGAGATGGTCCAACTCGACTCCGCCCCAGCGCTGGTGGTGGTCGACATGCAAAACGGCTTCTGCCACAAGCAAGGTAGCTTCGCAAAGATGGGAATGCAGTCCGACCCGACAGCCATCGTTCCGCACATCAACCGGCTGCGCGCCGCCTTCCACGCCGCCGACGTCCCGGTCTTCTTCGTGAGGACAGCTTACAACGCCGACTACTCTGACAGACGGCCGCACGACTGCGGGGATCGGGTCGAGCGATTGGGAGGGTTGCTACGGGGGTCTTGGGACGCCGAAATGATAGACGAACTCACGCCCGGACCCGGCGAGGAAGTCGTCGACAAGACCAGGAATTCTGCCTTCCTTGGGACGTGTTCGCTGGACAAGATCTTGAAGGAGCGCGGCGTCAACCATCTGGTTCTGACCGGGGTGGGAACGGATGTGTGTGTGGAGTCGACGGCGAGAGATGCGTACCAGATGGACTACCGCGTCACCACCGTGAGTGATGCGACCGGGACGTGCACCGAGACAGACCATCTGGCCGCTCTGCACGCCCTACGGATTTTCGGCGGCACCGCGTCGACGGCTGAAGTGATTGAGGCTCTGCAGGAGTTGGAAGAAAAGTAAGGCTCGTGTGTGGAATGAAACTTGTCAGTGGCACGACGAACGACGAAGCATCATCATTCTCCCATAGGCGTCAAGTTAACTAAGCTAGGTGAGTGAGTAACTGCAGTCTTAAAACCTACCTAGACTCAGGGACTGGAGTGCCGGTGCACGGCAGCTACAATAGTAAAACCTCAAGTACCAGGTATTTATTATGTTTCATACAATAGAAGCCTGGCACTCACTCACTCACTGGCCTACGAGCCCGAGGTGCTCCATGTTCATGGGCCAGCCACAGCCCCAGACCCCGGCTTCTTCCTGAACTCAAAAGTACTCTATGTGGAGGTCAAGTTTAAGGGCCGGCAACAAGGAGCCTCCACTTAACTACTGTAACTAGTCAGTGTATAATGAGATACGAGGTGCAGTTACTCCGTCTCGTAGTTCATTTTCTGCCTCTCTCTCTCTCTCTCTCTCTCTCTCTCTCTGTGCGTGTGTTTTCCTTCTCTTCAAATTTTGGCAGCACAGGAGTAGACAAGACAGGTGGTAGCAAGAAGAACAACCAATCGAAATCTGGATATCAAAGCTCATCATCATTCAAAACAAAATGTGGTATCTAAAAACCAAACCGTGGCTTCAGAGACAGCTCCGGCCTCCACCAGGATTAGAGAGAAAGAAACTTGAACAATAAAAAGAAAAGTGAAGGGTCGGTTGCAAAGGTCGTAAAAAACATGGTTCCATCCTATATTGTATTCCATCGCTTTGACCCCAACCCAACAAAGGGCTCAATATGACCACCATCCAACCATCCATGAAGTCCGCCCGCGTAAATCATGTTGTCTGGGCCGCCCTCGCGCGTGTCCCTGTTGCTGTCGTAGTCATTGCCCTCCTTATCTAAAAGGTCGATCATATGTGCCGTCGTCATTGCCAACGGCACTGTGTGGTGCACTTCGAAAATGACTGAGATCTCCGCTTCCCGTCTTCCGCAAGGCTTGTCTCATAGTCTCGACGTTGATTTCACTACCCATGGCCAAAGGCGAGCTCTGTCCTGGCAACGGACTTCCTGTGCCACGCGGGGCACGGTGTGGAGAGGTCTCGAATCCTTTGACCGAGGCCGTAACACTGGTTGGCGGAGAGGTCCCGAATGCCGCAGAAGACGTGGGCGACCTGACCGGAGAAGGGGACCTGGGAGGTATGAGAGATGGGTGGCCAGACAAATGAGCCGAATCTCGTCGCACATCACCCGCCTCCTGCTCTCCGTGGACGACGTCAGCAAACGAGATGAAGCTTAGTCGGCGCACGTCGGTCGAGTCCAAAGAACCATAGGTCGACGTGTTGTCCGGGTCTTGACGATGGGCTGACGGCGGCGGCGGAGGGAATTCGTCCTGCATGGACGAAGCCAGGGAGTGCTCGTTACCCAAACCTGTAATGGTCACCGCTGCAGGTTGATGTGTGGCGTGCGTCACAATCTCCACCGTGTCTGGATCCAGTTTCTCGTTGGTAATGGCCTCGGCCGACGCATCCAACGCAGGGGCAATGTGGTTTTCCATGATAACGTGAGAAGGCAGATGTGGAGAGGTCTCCGGCGGAACTACCTCGTCCTGTACATTTCTCTCGAAGATCATGGACGACGCCGGCGACTGAGGCCGTGGAGAGGCACTTTGTCTGCCCAGCCCAGGCGAGGTCATGGACGTCCTGTGCGGTGAAATGGAGCCGGCGAGGATCTCTGGGGACCGCACAGGCGAGACCGGAGTCAGTCCTGCTAGGGGTTTGATCGACACAGGTGCCGATGTAGCAGGTGCCTTGCCCTTGGATTTATCGTCATCATTCTTCTTACCCAACTTCCAAAAGTCTCTTTTTCGTGGCTTTGTGGATGTGTCTCCAGCTCCCCCCTCGGGGACTTGTCTCTCGTCCCGCTCGACGGAGGCGTCTTTCAGCAACGGGGAGGCTGATTCTTTGGATTCAGTGCTGGGGGCAGCGCTTTTGTCGTGGATGGAGGATGCTTTGGCTGACATTTCGCCGACGTTGGGACGGTGGTCTCGACGGTGTGAGGTTTGTTGTGCGGAACGCAATTTGAGGGCAGGTCAGTCGCTGTGACGGTGGCAGCGGGGCTTCCGGAGAGAGACGCTGCTCAGAGACAATGTTGAATGCATAACATATCGTCAGTGAGATGGCAGTTGTAGAATGTGAAAGACGAGGATTGTATTGGTTGGTTTGCGTTCACCAGGCAGGTAGTGAGAGTCGTGCGGAACGGACTTTGGGAGGCCTTCGCTGTGTCGTAGAGGTTAGGAGAGATGTGCAAGAGGTCGTCAGATCATCAATCGGAGTCGCAGCGTTGGTCTAGGGTCGGTCCCAGAATCTGAAGCTGATGGTACTCTGTATGGGTGGTCGTGCTGAGGAAGAGAGAGGACGGGCTCGTAAGGGAGAGGGGCCAGGGAATGGTAGATCACGCAAGGTGCAAGCCGACGAAGACAAGGGATCGACCTTTTGGGCCGCAGTCACAGGTCACAAGTGTCACTGTTGCAGCGAACCAGATCTGAGACTTCGCTACGGAGTCGATCAATACGAGGAGGGAGTGAAACTGCGAATGAAAAGCCCTCGATGGCTCGCGGGAGGGCGGAAGTGTCTGGGGGCGAGAATGAGATTGGCCCAACAACGACAGAGGAGCAAACACTCCTGATCCTGTATCTTAAAGTCAAGACTTGACTGTACAACTGCATCACTAGCCTGCGAGCCTCTGCTTCCGTACAAACTCCTGCTGTTGTCTGTAGCGCACAACCTCACCGTCTTGCCCTACTCTCCCACCGAGCAAATGGAGCTGCCACCGCCGTCGCACAGCAGCCGGCTATTACCAGCGTAAAAGGGGCCTGGACGCCGTCCATACCCTCTCAACACACCTGGTGGTTCCTCTCCTTCGTATACATTTGCAATCTGAAAAGCTCCCAGACTCGGGACTTGGGCCAGAACGGCGTTCGGGCCTCGAAGCGGCAACCTTTGGAGCAATTTGTTGCCATATCCAGCTTCACCCGCCCACAGCCAGATGGCAGATTCAATAGTCTGACTCCACATGATGATGGCTCTGACTGTCGAAATATCGGCCGAATCTACGATGCTCTGTGCTGCCTTCTATCACGGGCGGGAGCACGAGTCCAACACCTGTCCTGAAAAGCAGTTCAAAGCCAGCGAATTGTCGATGGAACAGACCCGAGTCAGAATCACAGGCAAATCACTCATTAGTTACTCCGCAAGCGATCGCAAAGAATGACGATGAAGCCATGCTAAACAAAGTCCAAGATACAATAATCGAATCCAGAGGGTAGTACATATCATGACGAAGGTCGAAAGCAGAAATTATTGTCATCCGAGAAAGCTACTTCACGATATCGTTGGAGGTCATCACCGGTTTACTGTCCGTTCCGCGGTTGGGGACTGGATAGAATGATGGATGCTGATGACCCTGTCCCATTCAGCCCAGCGATCCTTCTCGACAGCAATTTGTGGTACTGCGCGGAGATCCGAGGCGCCCTGGTTGTCATTCTGCGCAGATTCACAGACTCTTTCCGATAGCTTCATCGACGAGGGTCCAGGTGCGATTCGCTACCTTGGTCATTTGCTCCTCGCCGAAGACTGTCTTGTTTCCTATTGACCGCCCCTTATCATCGATATTGCTCCAAAATCATACCATCATTCTCTTCCGAGGCTGCACATCGAGCAACTCCACTCAGCAGCCTTTCCGCGCACACTTCACGGGGCGACAGCCATAATCTTGGGAGCCCAATTTGATCAAGGGTTGCAGATACCAGGGGAGACCTTTGAAAAGGCCGGTGTCGACAATGCAAGGGTAGGCATATATCGGATTTCTCCAACTCGAACCAACGCTGGCTTACCTATGGGTTCTTTTTAGATGTCCAGATCAGAAATGCTCAGCTCCACCTCACCCAGAAATCAGCGACAAATATCCTGCATTATCGTACGGTCGATACAACAACGCTATACAAGCATTCGTAATGCATTGGGCGGGGGCAAAATAAGACCGGCGACGTGGGCGATGGAGCCTCTCCGAATACCGAGGCGAAATAGAAAATCTAGAATTAATGGTCAAGACAGGGTTCAGTGTAGATCTGTTCATGTGTACAGAGCTCGACCCTGCCGCTCACGATACTATGAAGTATTCCCCATCGGCAGACCGGCTAGAAAGATCCGAACTAAGGTGCAGTTTATTCAATCCTCCTCAACAGCGACGATAGATGTGCTCCGACAAGCGATTGTTGTGGGATGATGATCTCTGCCTTGAGACCCTGTCGTAAGCCTGACACCGTGCGTTTGATACAGGACCCAAGGCCTGCTGGGAATCTTGCCTGGAATCTAGCAGATAAGCCAGATTGTAGACGCTCGATCAACGTGTCAGGGTGATCTGACCCCAGCTCCTTCTCCCTTCCCGGCCAGCGCTCGTCGACGCATCGCCTCCATGCCTCCTCTGTACTTCCAGTTTAATCTATGAAATCGAACCACCCAGGTCTGTTCTCCCATGGGCCCCAAAGCGAAGTGGCAGAGTGAGAATAATCGCATTGCAAGCAACGACGGCCGCTCCGGTTTCTCACTCCCAATTAAAGTTCAAGTGGTTCTAGACAAGTCGAGTTCTTGCAGAGTCGTAATCATCGTGAGTCAAACTTTGATATGCCCATTTTGAGCATCCTCCCCCCCGACCCCCCATTCTCAGCCTTGTAGAAGCGGTGGTGGTTGGTCCATGTATTCAGGATGACCTCTGAAAGCGGTGATTTGCTCCATGGTTAATTCATCTCCTGAGGGGTTGGGGAAGTAGCTCTTGAACGTCGTCTCCCCGTTTAGCAGGGCAAGGAGGTTCTGCCGGACGGAGAACATGACATTCTCAGACTCGGGCTTCCAGCGGATAGTGGTCGAGTTCGAGTTTTGGGTCTGAATGTCGCTGGCTCGGTCGACAGGTCCTGGTGGCGTCGACTTTCCAATGAGACGCGGGAAGGGAGCGATACATCTGAAGTCCTTTAGACTGGTGTCTTTGCAAAGGTTGCCCATCCCTCCATCGACGGAGGCGCTGAACGGGACCATGCCGAGCTTGTAGAGCATCATCTGGGCGGCGCGACGAGTGACCGCGTAGCCGGAAGTGCAGAAGGCAAACTCCTGCACGTAGACGACGCGGGTTTGGGGATCAGGGTTGGGTCCGTCAGCCCAGCGAGACATGTTGTGTCCTGCAAAGTGCCAGCGAGAACCTCGTGGTGGCACGGTAGGGTCGTGTGGAATGACCCATCGTCTTGGGTCGGTCTTGTTGGCTTCGGAGGAACAATGTCCTACCCACAAGAGACTCCAGCCGTCGCCGTAAGGGGATTCGGGAGTTGCAGACCCGGTGTCGAGCAGGAATCGAGAACCTCGGGCGAGTTCGACGAATTGGGCTTGGATGGAAACGTCCCAGTCCGCGTCGTCCTCGAGGACCAGCGCCGTTTCGATGTTCTCCTCAACCATCCTAAAGATCAGGTTAGTTTCATTCGACTCTTTCAACTTGTACGCGACGACCGAGCGAGTCAAGTGCTACCGACTTTCTCCAGATATTCATGTGAGCTCTCCAACATCCGATGGTGCCCGCGTCGTGCTCGAAGGTCTGATGAATAATGCGTCAGTTGTTGTCCCCGGCCACGAAACAAAACCTGCACTTACCAAGGGCAGAGCCTTCGGACTGACTGTCGCTCCCAAAACGCCGTCAACGAATTCCAACGTAAAATTGGTGAGTTCGGCTTGAAGAAGCATGGTGTCCGCCTTGTCGGACCGTTCGGGCAGATTCATAACGAAGACTTTCTGGAACTGTTGAATGACAGGGTCAGCAGCCGCCTCCAAACGACATCGGCAGTGGAAATTACTCACTCCAAGCGTGCGGTTGTAAATATCGCCCAGGTTGTCTCTCTGAGTAGAAAATCGACCCAGCTTCGGGGGCGAGGGCATCGAGGGCATCGATAGTTTAAAGTCTTCAGAGCCACGTTTAACATGCGAGACGGTGAGATGCAGGGTGAACGCGACCACCAACAAGAGGCCAAACAGCATGTATTTCCTGGTGGCTTTGGTGCTCGACCATGACTGAGTCGTCTGCAGTAAGGACCCCATGATGGTGTGAGGAGACTGTACTGAAAAACTGACAACGAAGGCTCAATAGTCGCGGTCGAAGTTTCTGATGTCGTTCAATCTCGAGCGTTGCTTCAGGGGTGAGAAGTAACTTGGGGAGAAAGGTCAAGGTCAAGGTCAAGGCCAGAGGAGTTCGAGAAGGCTTATCGTCGCATGCAACGAGAGATTGATCGGAGCAGCACTCGAGTGAGGCGACCTGGTTGGGTCGTTGGAACAAGGAGCCAAGCGACGTGGTTGAACCCCGAGTACAGCACTTGGCGGACTAAATAACTTGTGACTGAGTCGACGATAAGGGCCCTCCGGCGAGATCGGGTCTGCATACATATTGTACATACGTCGCGGGCTCGCGACCCTTATCGATACATCTCAAGAATTCGAAAGCGTCTGCCCTATGGACCCGCCAGCTCAGCCCGGAGAGAGCTCAAGTTTCGCGTTCAAGCAAGCCTTGATCCAGGCAAGAGTTGCATGTATTGACAAGTATTGGTCTGTATTAGTTGTGTCAGGAGCGTTACTGGCCACCGGTGCAGGGGCCGGTATCAATACCAGTACCCGGTCCACAAAAGTATAAACAGGGCCCGAATGGATTGAGGCGGACTTATGGGCCAGCCCGATGCGGCCCAAACAGCGCCACAGCCGCTTTCATCGATACTGTACCTTGAAAATTTGTACTGTACAGAGGTTTCGTGGCTCATCCTGCTGTCACTAAGCTGCCACCCCGGCAGCCCCGTTCTCCAGATCCTGGACTATTGTATCGGTACCCAACGCCCAATATCCACTGCGGAAGCTTGCTTTAGCCTGGTGAGCCGAAATCAGGCACGCTGGAACGAATCCCTCTTTTCGCTGGGTACCGTGGTACGGAGCGCCGTCTAGGATCCGGTCCTTCCAATCTTCCGTGCATGAGATGCAGCCACAACGACATTATTCAACGCACTAGGAGATTGCAAAGCTGACTCCGGGTCACCAAAGGGCACACATAGCCTTCTTGGCGCTGCTGGATGTGCTCGACTGAATCGCCGAATAGGGAACGTTACAGCCTTCCTGTCTCTACGATTGTAGTCTGGACCACGTCCATCCCGGTGGTTTGGATGTGGACGAATCTCCCAACGGATTACGGATTACGGCCATCGATGGCTCGCTCCTACAACACCCAACATCCCTGTAAAGCCACTGCTCTCTCGTTAATGTGGGAACCGTCGAGATTGTGCCGCCAGCGATACGATACATTCGAACTTTCGACATCGTGAAGCGTAAAAGTCAATCAATTGCATGGATCGCAGTGGAGATGGGATTCGCCCCGTGCAGTCGAGAGGAATACAGGTATCCGTACTTGAGGGAGCATGCAGACTCCGTACTTACTCGTTCCCATTGAAATTGTTGTCGTTCCGCTCAGTCCTAAGCAAGAACAATCTTGACCATGGGAAAGGGGAAAAAAGGAAAGAAAAGGTAAACTCGAACCCGACTCTTCTGTCTGACAATCAATACCTTGTCGAAGTTTCGCCGATAAAGATAAAGGGGGTGTACAGCCGGCGCTTGGCATGGTCTACGGTCTACCGAGTGCTGAAGGTTTGCTGATATGCAGAAGCTCCGGCTTTGGGGGGGTTTGGGGGGGGCCAGGATGCTCCACTCAGCCGTCAGGGGAGAACCTCTCAGTTCTCAAGCACCCCTGGACGCCTGGGTAGCCTGCTCTCCTGGTAGACAGACTCCTGAACACAAGCCGCCTAGGCCTCATTTCAGCGCCGAAATAGGCCTACTCCGGACGTGCATTAGAGGCCATGCGCCAAAAGTCTCGACGACTTCCACGCCAAAAATCCTATTCCGGCGGCGTACGGGCCCCAGGGGCGAGTTGAGTGCGAATGAGGACGAGACGATGTGCTGGAGGAAGAACTTCCCTCCTGTACTACTAATAACCAGCTCGAGCAGCAGTTGAGCCGCAATTCAGCCACCTCCACCCCATCAGATTAGCGACTCGCCCTGTCTCCAGCCAAATACCTTTTAATAAAGTTTGCTCTCCGCGCGCTGTCCAGAGAGTTGTTTGCTTTGCGATCTTCTTTGCGCGCAGGGGCTCGTCGAAGTCCAGTCTTCCAGGCTCAAGTTTTTCTGTCAAAAAGGCTCAGTTATTCCCTGTATTCGTTTATTGTTTCGGAGTGGTTGCTGAGATGTATTCCTGTTTTCCACGGCACTGGGTCCTCAGTGTGATCGTCGTCTTTTTCTTCACGTTGTTCTTCCTGTCCGACCACAGGACGTCAACTTGGCAGGATGTGAAGAGCACTCTCACCGCGGGAGGCAGCTCCAAGTGCGCATCCACGTTGGCTTCGCAGGTGGAAATCCTGACGACCGAGTACAAGAAGCTCTTGCCAGGAGTGACTCATGTGGCCGTGATCGGTTACCCAAACTATCCGTGGGTCAAAACGCACGGTGTCTTTCAGAGTGGGTTGATGTGCTGACGAAGAACCTCAGCAACAAAGGCGACGCCGCCATCTGGGCTGGCGAGCAGGAGCTGCTGCGCGCCCTGGGAATTCAAATGGTGTATACCTGTGCCGACGAGAACGACTACGACAAGACGAAACTGAGGACGGAGCTCGAAGCCCACGGAGGGCCGTCCAAAACCGTCATCATGTTCCAAGGAGGAGGCAACTTTGGCGATATCTGGCCTCGGCTGCAAACCAACCGTGAACAGGTTGCCAGAGACTTCCCGGACTATCGCATCCGGTCGTTCCCCCAGACATACAAGTTCTACCACGAGAAGAACTTGAAGGTGGCGCAGGAAGCCTACGGTCAACACCCGGATCTCCAACTGACGGCACGCGACACCCGGTCGTACATGGCCATGCAGGCGGACTTCGGCAAGCGACACACGGTTTTGTTGCTGCCGGACGCCGCGACAATGCTGATAAACCGTGTGCCTCCCCCTCCGGCCTCTCGCGAGGGCATTCTTTTCCTCGCCAGGACCGACGGCGAAGGTGAGCAGGACCACGTCAAGGAGCAGGCCGAGGTGGAAAAACTCCGCGAACTTGTCGACGACCACGGCAAGGAAATGAATGTCACCACCGCGGATTGGGTCACCGAAGATCCCAAAGAGGCGTGGACCGCCGCCAATTTGGACGAACAGTCGTGGGTGAGGGTCAACTGGGCACACGACTTCCTCGCATCCTATGAGATGATATTGAGCGATCGACTACACGTGCACATTCTGAGCACCGTTTGGGGTCTTGACCACGTCGTCGTCGAGCAGGGATCCTACGCGAAACTGAGAACGTACCACGACACCTGGTTAACTGGCTGTGGCGATCGGGTGGCCATGACCCAGAGTGTCCAGGAAGGAGTTGATGCCGTCAAGGCATGGTATGCGCGAGGCAAACATTTCTGATCCGTGATAACATCGTGTACAACTTTCATACATAGACTTCCAAGGGAGACATGAACATTCTAAGCATATTCTACGGTAATATAGATGGCGAGCAGCCTTGCCCAATTGTCCAGGGCTCAAACACAGATTTTATTGGAAAACGCCTCTGTTGTCCAGATAAGGCCGTGCGGCGCCCGTGATTTCACACTTTGCCCTCCCCCCCACAAGTCCAGAAAGGAGCTCAAAAAAGAGTAAAAGTAAAGCACTGGTCCGACATTTTCGATCGAGAGTTGTGGTAGTTAGGGCACGCCACTGCCCATGCATTTCTTCTCAAGGTATGGTCGTTAGAACTTCAGCCACTACCTGGAACAAGCTCAAAGGCAGAGAGGCTCGTTCTTTGCGAAAGGTCTTCCCCCGTGGGGATTGAGATTGCCATATATCTATCTCCTGACCAAATATCTGCTCCAGTTGGCACTAGATGATGTGGGCGTGCCTCGTGTGGCGTCGATCGCATGTGTATCATCGTCGAGTGGTAGTCCTCTCTATCCCAAATGAAAGACTATTCCCCATGTCCAATTGCGCTGCCGATATCCTTGAGAGACATGAATTGGCCGGTGACATCAGGATACCGACTCTCAAACGTGTCCTGCTTCGTGATGAGCCGTTCGATGTTTTGGCGTGTAGAGAAAACGACTCTCTCGGATTCAGACGTCGGTCGAATCCCTTGCTCGGTATGCGTGTTCGATTCATCGTCTCTAATGTCGCTACCACGTTCGAGGCTTCCTGCAGGTTTGCTCACGCCGATGATCGTGGGGAATGGTGCGATGCAGCTGATGTTCAGCGTCTTTCTGAAGCACATGTCGCTGACTCCCATGTCGATCGCGTCGTTAAAAGGGCTCATGCTGAGTTGGTAGAGAATCTTTTCCGCACCTGCGAGTGAGATGGCCCACGCTGCACTGCAAGATCCCAGCCCGACTTCGAACAGGAGGCGAGTTTGAGTGTCCGGGTCTGCCCCTGATTCCCAAGTCGTCATGTCAGGCTTGAACCAGTAGCCTCGATCGCTAGGAGGGACAACAGTCGGGTCTCGCGGAATCACCCATCGCCGTGAGCCTGACGGCTCTGAAGAGCAGTGGCCTATCCAAAGCACATCCCAGCCGTCTCCGTAGGGTGAGTATGGTATCGCATCTTTCGGGTTTCCCAAAAGCCAGCGACTCCCGCGGGCAACCTGGAGCATTTGCGCTTTGAGGGCGACGTCCCAATCCGCATCGTCCTCGAAGATCAAGGCAGACCGGATTTTTTGCCGCACCATTTCCTGCATTGCATTGAGATGCGACCGCCAACACCCGATCTCAGGACCCGTGCGGTTCATCGTGTACGGTAAGGCTTTCTCAAGGACCTTCGCGCCAGCAACTCCGTCCACAAAGTCGAAAGACATTCCAGTCAGTCGTGCTTGGACACTGATGGTGTCCCGTTTGTCGCTCCGCTCGGGCATGGACACCACGTAGATCTTTCCAAATCCGAGTGTCTCGTTGAATACATCGTGCAGATTATCCTTTACAGGGTCGCTCGCGTTCGCCATCATCGCTGTGGCGTGGGACAACGTGGGCCCCTCATATTTCTCCGGCCAAGAGCAGTGCTTCAAGAGGTGCCATATTGTGCCAAAAGCAAGAATGCTGACAATGAGGAACGTATACTTCATAGTTGGTGAATGTCGAGACATGGGGCTGAAGCTGTATTCGTGCGCAAGCTACACCTCAATGTCGCGAATATCCAGGTTCCAGGTCAAAGTTGGCGTGGATGGAGTCCTTCTGAATGATGTGGCCTAGTAGGAGGGAAACAGTGAGCGGGGCACGAAGTAGCCTCTTCGAACCTCCGCGTCGGGCTCCTAAGGACTCCTTGGAAACCTTATCGAAGCGTATTTCTCGGACGTCGACAGGAAACCAGAGATCAGGCCGAAGGTGGTAGGCGGCAGATACAGATTGCACTACCTTGCACAGTACTCGTGAGGCCGGGATTCTCTAACCTCGTAACAGTATGCTTGATAACAGACAGCTATGTGCTATATGCTGTGTGCTGTGTGCTGTGCCTAGTCCATGAGAAGATGAAATGAAGATGCAGGGGGTCATCATCCAGGGTTTGTGCATGCGAGATTTGGGTCGGTGGACGGCGTGGCCATTATCAACCGGTCTCCTGGAGGCCGGGCGAGGGGGGTCCAGTATCCGCCGCACCGGTAAAGAAGGCAGTCTGACAGGCAGAAATTCACGGTACGGCCCAAGCCTCGCCTCTCCAGGGTTTTCTGGCGGCCGACTAGCTTCCCTCAACGGAAACATTGGCACAGTGGCAATGAGGCCGTTCACTGACACTGGACGGATACGTAGCAGAATAACCCGGCCCTGTCGGAAATAGCGTGGCCGGACGTGCATACATGGTATCGAACTGGCGATAGAATCGCCCTCTCCTACAATATACGTGGAGCCGCGCCGCAATTCGCTTCGACTGTAATAGAGCAAGATGTATGGTTAGAATCCGATGAATAGTTCGACTGCATGTCTCACCGTGAACTGTGCGCCACCACTTTTCGTGACGAAAAAGGACAATGTGATCACAATCCCATGCCAAAACTCTGCTGCAAAAAATGCAGCTGCTGTACCACAACCAAACTCAAAGGCAGGTAGCGAGTCGGTGGAGATTCGACGGCCGCGTAATGGGGGCCGAAAACCGCAGAACCGTAACGACGATACAGAAAACTCTGGGTGACGGTGCAAGATTTCAGGTGGGCCGAGTGGGCTCCTTTACCTAATGTAAGTTTTCCCACCAGTGTCTTCAGAAGTTCAGACATATGTACAAGTACAGTACGAAGCACCCCTGCAGTACTGCCTCGTGTCCTTCACAATCTGCGCCTTGCAAGCCCGCAATCTGGCCCATTGATTGTCTCGCGAGCCTAATGAACCCCAATCTAACCCGGGGGATTTGGCCCCGGGAGATGGCGTTATCATAGGGACTAGAACTCGTGGCCCAGGGGGAAAGTCTTCGCAAATGACAACGTCGAACCAACTACTGTCTTTTGGTGTTGTAAACTCGTCGTCCCCTTCGTGGACATCACTGTCACTCGCGCCCCTATCTGGTGTCTGAGCGTTTGGTTCTTTTGTTGTCGTCGACAATCCCCATCATCCCACTTCTCACGTCGACTTCTCGCGCTCTCCAGTGGTCGACTTGTGAGTGGGTGTAGTCGTCATATGCTCCGAGGGTTCCGAGGAAATTTCCTAACATTGCGTTTCGCCTGCGCCATGAAATCGATGGTCGAACGAGACGACCATATGTGGGAAATGGCGTTACTTGGAACCTGTCAACCAATCCACAGCCTTCCGCATATTCTCAAAGAGGTCAGATAAGGCCAGTGATAAGCTCTTCTCGAAATGGTGGCCGAGTCCCGAACGGCCGAAAAGAGCTCTTCACCGGACGGCACATCTAGAGGGGCGTGAGAGGATTCGCAGCTCTCCTGGTCTACGTCCTCCATCACCAGGTATGGGGTCTTCATGCCATGAAACAGTATGGGAATCCTGGAGAATGCCTATGGCTGGAAGGACTAGTTGTGTTTCGCATGCCTGCCCGTCATCCGCATCCCCTTCCCTCTCTGGTGGCCACTTGGCTCTGGCCGTTTTCTTTTGTCATCTCAGGCTATGTACTATCGACGAAGGCTCTGACGCTGATCCAGCATGGCCACACGACACAGCGGGCTGACCTGACGAGCCCGGCCCTTTTTCCGTAGGTGGATTCGGCTGTATATGCCCGTCATCGTTACGACTTTCCTCTGGATGACTCCCGGCACCTGTTTGGACTAACGATCATTTGCCCCTGGACCCCAGGGGACCTGGAGCCGGGAAAAGACCCATCTCGACGAGTTCCGGAGATGATGGTACGCCGACTTCAAGAACCATAGTTTCGTGTTCGGGGGCTCCTACAGTGCCTCAACAGCTATTACGGTCGCCTGTGGTCGATATTGCACTGGGATTTCAAAGGGTCACGATATTGGTGGATACCTGTCTTCTCGCATTTTCGAAATGCACCAGGAACAGACGGATATACTGCCAGATCGCCCTTGGCGGGCTACTTTATCTGGGATGTCGACGGCTGGTACTGTGTGGCCTGTTCGTGATGGGAATGCTTTTCTGTGACTTGGACCTTCTCGCAAGGGATAGTAGTCTACCCGGTACATTCACGACTCTCGAGCTCTACAAAACCCCGATCTTCTGTGTCCTATTTCTCTGCGGCATGTACCTCGGGGGGAGTTCCGTCGGTGCCCGCAGAGATTGAGCACATCCGCACGTCGCCCGGCTGGTACTATCTGTCGTTTCTGAAGCCTCCGGCGTCCTGGGATCCGCGATTCTTTCTTTCGATTCCGAGGCGCAGTTATCATCCCCAACCCATTCCTCGCATCCCAACCCTCAAATAATTCTTTGAAACAAGCTTTCACCAGCACCTGGGCAGAATCTCGTTTGGACTGTGTCTGGTCCACGGACCTATCCTCTGGTGTTTCGGCGACCGGGTGTACGCAGCTACGGGACGAGCTCGCGATGAACACAAAGGATCTCCTGCCAAGCTGGAGCAATTTGTGTTCCTCCCCCAGCTGGGGTCCGTTTGCCTTGGAAATCAACTTCCTCCTGTCTCACGTGGTGCTATTTCCTGTCCCCCCGTGGACAGCGGAGGTCGTCACCAAACTGGTAGACAGGCCCAGTGTGAAATTGGCTGCGAGACTGTCCCGCAGCGTGCAGGGCGCGGGCGATAAGCAAGGGGAGATACGGGCGGCCACCCAAAAATCAGGGGGAGATGTCTAGGTAGACCATGTGAGATGCCATTTGCAAACCCCGTAAAGCACTACTAAATCATGGTCGAGATCGGAAGTGACAGTTGGGGTTTATTATAATTTCATTGTCAATCTTTACACCAGGGAAATAATAGTGTCCAGTCTGGGCCGCAGGCTGGGTCGAAAGTACCATTACGCTCACCCACAGCTCAGTAGTCGAAATCAACGCGGTACATGTAGAACTTGTCATTAGGTCCGATGGAGAAATACCACGAACGGTCGCCTCCGTCTGCCAAGGGCGAGTACTCGGGATGCATCATGGTGCCATAGCTGCCGGTGAGGTTGCCACCACTCGCGATCGTGTAGGCGGGACCCCAAGGACCCCATGGCGTGTCGGCCAGATGCATATTGGTGGACACCATGTACTCGCCGCACAGCATGATGTATTTGGCCAAGTAGTTATTGTAGACAACCGATCCCCAGGCCCCGCCACAGGCAAACTTACCACCCGGATTGCTGGTCGTAGCACCGGTCTCCATGCTGCCCAACATGGGAACTCCTGGAATCCATGTATTCTCCGTGTCGGCCTTGAGGGATTCGTACTTGGTGATGTCAAACACGTCGTCACTGGCAGGGACTCGACTAATCCTGATATTCGAGGGCCCTCCACCGGAGTAGTGGTAGATGTAGTCTCCGTCCCGCATGATGGCCAGCATGCCCAGGTACGCTGCTTCAGTGCCTGTCAGCAACGGACCTACCCTGGTCGCAATAGGTCTGTCCTCGCCGAGAGTGACGGACGAAACAGCATTGCCAACGTCCTTATCGCCACCGGGACCATTTCGCCAATACTCTCGTGTATAAACCACACCGTGAGTCGAGTTGATCGGGGCGATATTGGAAGAGTACTCGCCCCAGATGTACTGTTCCGGTGGCTGTGGATCTCCCGCCCAAGGTTTGATAAAGTCTTGAAGGCTTTTCTTGCCTGCGGTATCGACATGCATCATACTGTCCGTGCCATAATAGCCCGGCGCCATAGTAAACCCACACGTCAGAACATCATCACCACACATCATGTCGCCGCAGTTCCAGATCACTTTATCTCCAATTTTCGCAGTACGACAGTTGTCGCCCCGTACACCGAGTTCGCCAAGTGGGTTCGCGAACGAGAGATTCCCAATATATTGAAGATTCCATCTAGTACCTTTGTCTGCTTTGAATTGAGACGGGGATGGTAATTGGCCGGTGGATACGGTGCTAGAGCTCACGGATGTTGATGCCTGCGACAGAGACGATGCGGCCACTGACCCAGTTGAAGCCGTGGTCTGGGAGGAGGCAGATGTTGGTGGCCCGGTCGCGGTTGAAGGCCAAGTGGCAGAAACTTCAGTGTCTGGACTCTCACCCACAGTCGATGTGGTCTGTCCATCTATGGGCGAGACTTCCGAGGTTGGTGTGTCAGATATTGGCAGGCCCGCACTGGACGTGGATGAAGACACATATGCAGAATTGGGCCCTTGGGTTGTCGACTGGGGCGGGGCCCACGTATCCTGGGCTTCGGACGTAGGGGCAGGCGATGATGCAGGCTCTGGTGTTGTCGAGACCACCATCCCAGGCGTGCTGGAACCTTCGAGCTCGCCGGACGTCCACTGCGTCGGCACCGCCGAGGTTGGAGGGAGCGAACCAGAGATCGTAGCAGATGCCGACGCAGAGGGAAAATGCATTGGCTGAGGTGCCGAGAACGTCAACCACGTACCATCGTCCAACTCGCACTCAATTGGCCGACCGCAGACTTGATGACAACCGGCAGGGAGATGAGTCTCATTGAAACCGAAGTAATTCGCATCTTTGTCAACTCGCTGGCTATGATGGGGTCCGTACCGGTGGCCGTGGCCATGCCCATGCTCATGCCATCCGAGGGGCGAGGTCCGGACCTCTGCAGTGCTGATCAACAGCAGAATGAATACCGAAAGAGCATGCATGATGCTACAACGTCAAAGGAATGGACGTCGAGAAAACTTACAGCACTCGACAGCACCCGGGAAACGAAAAGAGCGGAATGGGTGATCAACATTCCAGTGCCACGTTCCCTCATGGCCTACTTAATGTCTCGTGGCCAAGAGGATGAGTGGTAGGGCTGCCTTGTGTGGCCCCCTGGACAAGAGAGTCCATTTTGACATTTTGACATCGTGTAAACATCAAGATTGGCGTGTCTAGGTCCTGAAACATACCCATGTCAGGTGTGCTCCCGCAGTCCGTCCATGACAGCCTAAAGGCGATGAAGATTAATTTGTCGAGGGCCAACGTAGGTCCAGATAACGATGGTGGCGCTGGAGCATCACCACTCTCCTGTGAGACTGGTCAGCCTCAGAATGGTTTAATCCATGTCCAGCCCTCTGGTCGAACAATCATCAACCTTCAAGGGAGTGAAATACAAGTATGACGACGTGATCAGCTCGAGTATAAACGACCCACGAGGATGCCAGGAACCGACGCTGCTTTGTGACGTTATTCCTTAGCCGGCAGGGCACTTCAACGCCCCCAATCAGCACAGCAGATTGGAGGCAGGCACAGTCCCTCGACCGGCCCGGTCAAGTGTCGCACCATCGAAGCCACGGGGCCCCTAGCGTCCCGCCAGAAATTCGCCTCCAAGGATGATCTGATCACTCGCCCTGGTCGCGCGAGCCGGGGGTCAGCAAGGGCGGCATCACCCATTTTCCTAATCATGCGGGAGCCGCGCGCACTTCGACCACACTTTGGCAACGTCTTGCATGACAGGGAGGAGTTCGCGTATCGGCAACTGTTTTCCGTAGTAATGCAACGACATCTTTCGATCGATCCCTTCCTCTCTGTCCTCCCTGCAGTCGTCAAGATACCCTGCGCCATGATCAGGAAGTCAAGTTTCGTCCCGCTGCCGACTTGAACGTGTCCGTGTATTGTTTGCTCTGGCGGATCGAGGAAGCGTCCAGTGGTCGGAATTCCATATTGCTGTGCGGCATGCTGGTAGTAGGCTTGGTGCGACCACTGATGATGACTGACGATGAGGAGGCGCCTCGGCAGCGAGGCGACAGGCCATGCCATAGCCAATGCCACTCGTTCCTCCCACCACCAAAGCTCTCAGACCCATGTCGTCGATCTGAGGGGTGTTGCTATCTGCAGGACCTGGTATGTGATGGATGTCGCAGCCGACGGGAAGCAGGAGATGTCCCTCCAGGTAGAAGTGACAGATACAATAATGGATGGGAGGCTTCTAGTATGTGTAGAATATCCTCTACGAAAGTGAGGTCGAAAGAGACTATGAGACGAGGTGGACGCCTGTATATGCTTCCGCTGTGCCGGCAAGAATATTTGTTGCCTGGGCCCGTGCTGGACATCTGTTTCGACTGGACACTTACCGCGGTGGCCTCGATGCCTCAATGTCTGGCACGAGCTTGTTCCAGTCGTCTAAGTATACAAACCACCAGGACCACTGTCTCTGGATACCAGAACGCTGTCCTCCCTTGATCCTGCACCTCTCTTTCGTCCTAGTTTGATTTCATTTCGTCTCCTGTTGGTCCTTCTCCTCCCTCCTCAAAAACTCCCTGATAACATTCCCCGTCACTTTGGCCACATTGTTCTGATAATCATCCCAACCTAAACTGCAGAACCAGTTGATACTGCCTACCGAGAAGATGGCCCCTCCAGCCTGAGTGTCATAATACACCATGTCCGACCTGATTTCGTCGGTCTGCGTTCCCAGGGTATTGATGATAGGGAACCCTGTGCACTCGGGCGCGATGCCAAAATCGTCAGGGTGTCCCGTGCTGGTAGCGACGACGACGGCGTTGGTGGGACTCCCACACGCCAAATCGAAGCTGTCAACCTCGTCACCACTGGCACCGCCGCCGAGTCCATACTCTCCTATCAATTCTCCGTCTGGGACGCCTTCAAACATCCACTTTAGAGCCGCGGCTTCACCTCCCTCGGTCCTCTTATACGGAACCCCGGGTCCCGTGCCCTCTCCATTGAACGCAATCCCAAATAGACCGTGGGACGATCGTCCTCGCGTCCGCCACAGTCCGCCCTGCGTGCCGTTGGTACTCATGAACCGCTCGCCGCCAGGAAGTGTATAACTCCTCACTCCCTGGTCACCGCGCCTAACCTCAAGACGCCATGGTCTCTTCGGATCGACCGCCGACACCCAGTAAAACCCATTGCCGCCCAGGTACATCAGGTTCCCCCCGCGTCGGGCATAGTGCTCGTAAGCATTATAAGACTGGATGGTAGGGTACTCCGGGTGACAGCCCGTCATGACGGTGTTGTAGGGCGCCAGAGCCGCGGCACCGTTCAAGTGCAGGTCGTGGTCCGTGAGGACGTCGTACGGGATCTTCTCACGCTCCAAGTATCCTATCATCATCGACTCTGCGCTGAGCTCACGCGGGCGGCTGAACGCCCACATGATGTAGCCGGGCCGCAGGTTCAGAATCGGCCTCTTCGCCGACGAAAACACGACACCCGAGTCGTCGTTGTGCACGTCGTAATTCGAGTGGCCGCAGTCCAGGCGTCGGTGGATACGGTAGAAGTCTTCGGTCCGAATGGTCTGGTTGATGTCGAACCCCGGACCGACCTCGACGGAGGACGAACGGTTCTGGTCCGCCAGTTTCTCGTTCGCATAAGCCAGGTACGTGAAGGTCGAGAGGACGAGGGCGACTTTCGCACCGACTTGGGCCGTCGTTTCTTTCGTCGGCCGGACCATGAAGGTGATCATGTCTGAGGTCTTGCCGTTTGTCGACGTCGCCTCGACCGCGTAGATCCCCGACCGAGCGTTGGGGGGAAGCGTGATGGTGAAATCTGTCTCCCATGCCGCATCGTCCAGGTCATCTTCGTGGAAGTGGATCGCCCCGTAGCCGTACTTGGCCTTGGTCCAGTCTACTTCGCTGCCGTCCCAGTCGAATCCCGGTATGGCTCTCGTAGGAGCGTTGACGAGGACCCCGTCGTGTCCGTTGCCGGATGCGTCGATGATGGTGTCTTCGGAAACGTTTCGTGCGAAGTCATATTTGACCAGAACCTCGCCTTTGGGACCCAGAGACTCGATCATCGGGCTGTCGATACGGCCGTTGAAGAAGTTGGTGACGCGCGGGGAAGCAGACGTCGGGCTTTCTGCAAAGCTGCCCGCGAGGAGAAGGATGTTGTCAGGAGACAGTTTGACCGCAGCCACCGAGAGCTGCTTTTCAACATGTACCGCTGCGCCTGCCTTTTCGGCCAAGTACGGAATCGGCAGCAATGAGAGCGAGACATGGGCGTCTTTCAAGGTTACCTTCATGCTCACCCATCGTTTAATGGCCGGTTTGAAGTCTGTGTGGATGACCTTGACGTCCGTCCCGGTCCCGAGCCAGAGCTCAATTGCCCCCTCGGTGGTCAGGACGACGGCAAATCCGCTCTTTGAACTCACATCAAGCGTGGATATGACTGTCTGGACGTGACCTGCTCGAGTGAGGTGCGGTTGAAAGTGCAGTGACACTTTGATCCCATAGGGGCCCGACAGCGATGCCCCCCATGCGTCTGTTCTGGCGTAAGAGCCGATCCGGGCGACTTGATACCGACCCTTTGCGGTCCCACGAGGTATCGAGGTGATTTCCTCAAGCTCCTTCTTGGGAGAGTGTTCGACGTCGACGCCTTGAATCACCCTGACGGCCTTGTAGGTATATTCTGGCTCGGTACATGATACCTGCGGAGAAGACGTGAGTACCGTGTTCGAATAGGTCAAGTATGCTGTGACGAGTATCCTGATCATGGACGGTGCAACAACCATGCACTCTACTTACCTTGATCGATACCGTCTCACCTGGCGACGCTATCCACGGGTCAGCGTAGCCTATGATTTCAGGCGGATAATCCGCAGGAGGTGTGTCAATGGTTGTCGCCATGTTTGCGTTCGCTGCTGAAGAGGGATGGATATCCTTGGTATTTAATTGAGGCTTTGACGACGAGGATCACAGCTTTCGGTCGAGTGTGTATACTGTTTTGGACATTTAAGACCTCCCGTCCTGGCGTTCTTTCGTATCCCGCCTATATTGTCTGTCTGTTCATTGGATTCACGAAGGCGCGGGTGGCCCTCTTGAAGTTGAAACTATGAATATACTTTACTAAGACCCCTGTGGTATCAACCCACACAGATCAATGTCTACCTTCCTCTGCTTTCCCTTACCCTGGTATCACGGTGTCGGATATGCGCGCAGCATCTAGGTAGATAACTCGCATCCTCCGCATCATCATTGCGCTAATTATCGGTATTGGAGGACGAGAACCAACCGTCATTTGCATGGGTTGGTTCTTCTCGACTGCCCGATTGGGGATATGTCACAAAGAGGATCGGCATGATTGGAAACTCTACTGAATTGTACTGCACAGTTGTCGTACAACTCTTCCAGCCCGTCTCCGTTGCCTACTTGGGTATACGGAATCTGTTTACCTGGGTACCCTTATCCTAGATAACCTCTTGTCATGATACAGTGCCCAAGCATCTGCCCGTGGGAGCCTGTGGGGTCTTTGATTAATCAAACTTGGCGATTCTTGGGAAGCGGGATCGGGCAGACCCAGACCCCCTTTTTTCCTATACCATAGGTACAGTAGTTACTAGATAAAGGGCTTGAGGAGAGAGGTCATGGTATTAGTGACAGTAGTTACACCTCCTCGAACCTCAATTGCCTGCTTAACTAACTCAGTAGGTAACCTGTAGATATTTGACAGCCGGCCGCCGACAAACGACCATTGCGGTTATCTGCAGACTTGTATCAAGCTGAGGTACTGTACGTAGGGGGGGTACTGCTCCGTGATATTACTGCCTTGGTACTAGTGCGCGCTCCTCCATACAGATCTCTCATGCCTCTTTCGGCCACTGCCCGCGCGTCCGCCGGTCGCGATAGACGGACAATAAGAAGGTCAGGATTATTAAAGAGCGTATCGACAGGCCGACAGACCGGTCGAACGACCCACAGACAGGCGCTGACCCATTTTGCACCTTCTCGATAACATGCCAGGTGATAGTGATAGTGATAGGTACACTAAGTGGCCTACCTCTTATGTCCAATAACTTTACTCCGTACAGTCTACATTTAGGTACTTTCTACATTGCGTGTAGCCATATGAAGTATTCTATACAGAGGATTGAACGGTACGAGTCCGGGTGTCCAACTCCGAGTACAAATACTGGGGCCCTGTACTCTGCAGGGATAGAATGAAGTGATTCGTCCCAAGCTGCAAGTCTCATTGGCCCTTCACCAGCCGGCCAGCAGAGCTATCCAGCCAGCCCAGTGAGCCGTCTGATCGTCGGCTGCAATGGACATGGACATGGCCGCACGGGGAAACCGCAATTTGATACCCTGGAATATACACTACCTGTTGTATTGTACCAACCGCCTCGCCTAGTGAGCGCGACGATCTTCACGCTTATCAAAGGCCCAGAACGATAGCAAAGGGTCTCCTCGGTGGGAAGTAACTCGTAAAGGCAAGAGAGGCACGAAACGCTCTGACGCAAAGTGCTCACATGTCCCATTCACATCATATCAAGACGCTAGTTTACCTTAACAGGCATCAGAGGTACGACTATCTCGGTCCCGACCTTGTACATGATATTGAATTGATATCAAGTTATTGTTATAAAGCATATAAGAAATGGGACGGGATTCCCTGCTCGTACTTTTGTCGCTGACCCGTAGTAGTTTTGGGGCTTCCATTGATACCCTCAAAAACCGACACCACACCTGTTTCTTTTCTCCAAACCAGAGTGAGAAAAAAATCCGGGAGAGAAGCCCTGTGATACATACGTCCGGGTCTCACCATGGCGGCACACAACAGTCGCGATGTCGTCCCTGGGACCATCCATCTCGTCGATACGGATGCGGCAGACCATTCGCACAGACATGATATCGTGCTGAACCCGCGTCCCAGCTCGGACCCAGAAGATCCTCTGAACTGGTCCAAGACACGCAAAGCCATCGCCATTACCATGGCGTACATATACATCCTGGGGATAGGCATGTCGACCACCGTGCAGTATTCGATCTTGACCAATATCGGCGAAGAGACCAATATTAGCATAGGAGATATCAATACTGGCACAGGATTGGTGAGTTTGCTTTCCATCCTGCCCTTGCTTCTGTAACAGGTAGAGATGCAGCCATACTAATCGAGTAACAGATGTTCTTGTTCGCTGGGTATGCTCCCCTTTGCCATTCCTCTAACGTCGAGGAGGGCTTGAAGCGGCCACAAAATTCCCCCAGTCTCCATGCAATCATTTTTCTGACGTGTTTTTGTAATAGTTGGGGTTGTCTGATCTGGCAGCCTATCGCACTCACATATGGTCGTCGTGGGGTCTACATCCTCAGCAGTCTGATCGCCCTTGGACCCATGGTCTGGACCGTGTACACTTCCTCGCGAAGTATTTGGTGGGCACATCGCAGTCTTTTGGGTCTGATCGTTGCACCGGTCGAGTCGCTCGGTGAGATCTCCGTTTCGGACTTGTTCTTTGCCCACGAGCGTGGAAATTACGTGAGTCTCTCCGTAAAGTGTAGCCAAAGTCGAATCTCGGAGTCTGACCATTGCGATACAGATGGGAATCTACACCCTGCTCGTGTTCGGATCCAACGCTTTCGCACCATTCTTGGCGGGTTTCATCACCGACGCCATGGGATGGGAAGCGGCCATTTGGTTTGGTACAATCGTCCTCGGTGTCTGTCTTGTCATCATCTTCTTTGGCCTCGAAGAGACCATGTACTTCCGCCACACAATCGAAGGTGTTGACGAAGGAGCTGCTGTCGAGGTCATCAAGGGCACTGAAAACTTGGACGAAAAGTCTGCTGCCCTGTCCACAAATGCGCCGATTCCTCAGACAGCGTCACCACCAGCTGAAGTGAGCTACTCTCAAAAGCGCACCTACTTGCAAAAACTTCAACTATTCCGACTCGACACGGGCCGGCCATCCGTCAAACAGATGTTCATCATGATGATCCGACCACTGTTTATGTTCTTTTACTTCCCCAACGTCGTGTGGGCGGGCTTTCTGTACGGTGCATCGTTGTGTTGGTATAACGTGCAAAACGCAACCATGGCATTGATCCTCAATGCACCCCCATACAACTTTTCCGCGCAGTCAGTCGGCATTTCCTACCTCTCATTGCTCATCGGATGCATTGTTGCATGGTGGTGGGCTGGCTGGGCTGGCGACGAGATCGCCATCAGACTGGCCAGACGGAACCGTGGTATTCGTGAGCCCGAACACCGGCTGTGGCTCTTGTTGTTCTCTGGTACACTTGCCACCGCAGGATTAATCCTGTGGGGCGTTGGTGCTGCACACCAGACTCATTTCATGGGTCTTATCATCGGTCTTGGAATGACGAGCTTCGGAATCGTATCTGGAGGGAGTACTGCGCTTGCGTACGACGTCGATTGCTTCAAGGAGATCGCCGGCGAATCTGTGGTTCTTGTCATTGTCATTCGCAACACTATGGGCTTTGCCATGAGTTATGGTATCACCCCATGGTTGGTGAATACTGGGACACAGAACTGCTTCATTGCGGTTGCTTTCCTCTGCCTCTTCTGCAATTTTAGCTTTTTGTTCATGACAGTCTGGGGCAAGAGGCTGCGTCGACTTTCCGCAAAGAAGTACTGGGAGTATGTCGACACTCTGATTGTTGCAGCGCACTGAGGCAGCGACCTGGAAGGAGTTGATTGGAGCGTTGGTAATGGGTGGTGACCTGCGAATTTCAAGCGACGGCAGATGGTAAAGATCAGCGAGGGGGAACGATCATGGAAAACCGAATGAATGTTTAGTAGTCGCAGCCAACTCTACTAGAGTCATAGCATCACTCGAACTACTGTCACTTCTGTAGGCATTCACTTCAAACTCCAACACCGAGTGGCAGAGGCCAATGTTGCCAACTGTGCCTCCCAGAACGCGATAGGTCCGTTGATATGCAAATAGATTTTAGGTACTCACCTGAAGTAACGTACCTGGCAGGTTATCGCTCGAGAACCTCTTGCTCAACGGTCGTAGTAGCTACATTCCAGTCTTCTAAGTTGCGTCCGTACCGCAGTGACAGTCACGCGGCCTAGAGAGGGAAGCCTTTCGGATGGTAACAATCGTACGCTGCATCCAAGTGGTAGTGTTGTCGTTCAATGGGCGAGCTCGAAGCCTGGAGCATCTGGGGATGGACGTGGACTGGGCGCACTAGGCTTTAAGGGACAACTTGATCCACGGCGTCCCACAGTCCTCGTAAGAGAAGCTATCTCGGAACGGGCAATGCTGTGTCACGCTCCACGATCCCGAGAACCTCGAATGCTCTGAAATTCACCCTCGGTTCGTCCTCGAAGATAGAGTCGCCGGTGTCTGACTCAGGCTTGCCGAGGGTGGGATTGCACTCGGAGTCAATGGCGCGCCACTGAGCTAGGGCAGGTCTGGGGTAGAAATTCAAGGATTCCGCTCGTCGAAGTATAGCTGCGCCTAGACAACGGTCTTGGTATGGCAACAGGAGCCAATCATTTTCCCGACATCTCCACCATAAAACATGGCGGTATTCTTGGTATATCTTGGGCCAAGTTTCTCCACGGTTTCTTATGACAGAACATCCGCAAACGAGAATGCTTCGATCCACTATGCAGCACTTCCTCAGGTTCTGCTAAAGTTACGAAAGCCGACAGAGGGCGGGGAAAGGCCAGATGGATTGCAAAAATCCCGAGGCAAAATCATGAGATACACAGGAATGCAGTTGATATGGCCACTCCCTCCACGGGTACTTAAGAGTATGATGGTCGTCCACAGATTTCTTCACCTGTTGCATGTACCGAGAAAAAGTGAAATAGTTGCCAAGAGCTGCTTTGTGTTATCGCCACTCGAATCATGTCTGATAGCCCAAAGGATCCTTCGACTGAAAAGCCCATCGAAACCATTCATTTGGAGAAAGGCGACGATGCTTCCTTGACGTCGTCGAAGGCCGAAGGGCTTGAACCTCAGGGAGAAGAGCCAGATTGGTCTCCAGAGGAGGAGAGCGCACTGGTGTGAGTCTCTAGACATCGTCTGGCGTGTTGAGTTGACCGAACGGAATGCAGTAAGAAGCTAGACTTCCGTGTCTTCCCCATGCTGTGTACAGTTTTTGGTCTCAGCTTGCTCGACCGGACCAATATTAGTACTGCTTATATTGCCGGCCTGGCTGAAGACCTCGACCTCCACATAGGATCTCGTTACTCTATCGCCTTGCTGGTGTTTTTTGTGGGGTACGCGATCTTTGAGCTGCCTAGCAACTGGATAATACGCAGACTTGGGTAAGTGGAATGCTGTATCCGTCCCCTTTCCGACGAATGCTGATATATGTCTATGTCTAAGAGCTCAACTCTGGCTCAGTTTTCTGATCATTTCTTGGGGTCTTGTCGTTCTCTGTACTGGATTCGTTCAATCTTGGAAGACTTTGACGGTCTGCAGAGCGTTGCTGGGGATATTCGAAGCTGGGTGTGCGTAGAGAAGGACCTTTCCCCCTGGACCCAACCGCGCTAATGAGTTCCAAACAGTGTTCCCGGGAGCAGTGTACATCATCGGTTCCTGGTATCGTCAATACGAGACTGCAAGGCGCGTGTCCCTGTTCTACATGGCATCCTTGTTGGCATCTGGCTTTGGTCCAATTCTCGCGTACGCACTGTCTCTAATCAGGGTCGGCAATGGTGATTTCCGCCGAGGCTGGCGATGGATCTTCATCATTGAAGGCATCTTCACTGTTGTGGCTGGTCTTGTCGCGCCCCTCTTTCTTGTCGAATTTCCTGAGAGAGCTAAGTGGCTTACACCTCGACAAAAGCATATAGCCTCTGCCAGGCTGGTGACCGACAAGAAGTCCAAGGAGTATGTCCATCCCACGCTTAAAGAGAGTATGAAGATGCTGCTGGATTGGAAGCTCCTCATCTACTCTCTGCAATATTTTGTCTGTGCATCCTCGGTCTATTCGCTGGCGTACTTCAAGCCCATCATTCTGAGACAGGGAATGGGCTTTAGTTATGCGATGTCGCAGGTTTTGGCATCGCCACCATATGTCTTTGCCATTATCATGTCACTGATCATGGCTTGGGTGTCTGACAAATACCGAACGCGCTGGACCGTGCTATGTGCGCAGTCTTTCACAGCCGTTGTGGGCCTCTTGATCGTGCTGTACGCAGAGGCACCCGGTGTTCGGTACTTCGGACTTTACCTTGCTATCTTTGGCACGCAAGCCAATGTCCCCGGAACGCTATCGTACGGCCAGAGCAACACTGCTGAGATAAGGAAGAAGGGTGTTGTGGCTGCCGCCATGATCAGCGTAGGTGCAGCGGGAGGAATATGCGGGAGTACGATTTTCAAATCGAGTGATGCACCGAGATATATACCGGGTATGTGGGCCACCATTGCTATGCAATTGGCGTACTCGGTTTCCACGTTCGGGCTCAGCATGTATTTGAAGCGACAAAACAGACTTGCCGACGAGGGGAAACGACCAGCATTGGAGAATGTCGAAGGTTTTCGATACGCGCCCTGAGTTGCCCGGTAGTCTGCTCAATAGATTCGCTCTGATGGTTTTGCTGGCAAGAGAATGGAAAGTCCGATACTTACAGACGAGACACCACTGACCATTATTTGCGGCGGCGATCTGGGTATCGTGTACAGACCTGAAAGGTGCTGCATATCTACAAGCAGATAGTAGCGTTCCTCTCCCTGGAGTTGGTCTCCTCGAATGGGGACGATATACCGTCTGCGTCTCTCACCGTTTGAGTTCATGTGCTGGTTCGAAGCCCCCATTTTCTATACACCTTTACCATTTAAGTAAAACAGCCACTGCTTACACTGGAGGAGTAGGAACTGCGACCTGGGATTTCGAGCTATTGATGGAGTATTCCGGTCGCTGCTTGCTGACGATGGTCCTTGGGGTGGTATGTAGTAGAGTGAAGATGAAAACAAGGGCGTCTATCCTGGTGCTCAAGGACCTTCCGATCGTACCCCTTATTTTACGAACCTTGTTAAAGCGGCGGATACAAAGCACCGGTTTTGTCGCCAAGCAAATTGTCAACTGGCGCTGCATCTCAAAGAGCAACTTTAATACCAGCATCGGCTTCTACTCAATTTGTTCGTTGTTACTCTTTCTTCCTTCCTTTTCTTCCTTCTTGTGGCTGTAGAGGCCCGCATACTTGGTATTACCAGCTTTTCTTTCTCTCAACGTGGAGATTATGCGACTTGAAGCTCGGTAGTCTATTGTTCTTGGGAAAACGCTGCGGTATAGGTACACTTCAGACAAAGTTGAGCTGGGTATTCCCTTGAGTCGCACTGGCAACCGGCTGGAGATCGCGTCCACCACGGTCGCACTTTATTCCATCGCCATGCAGTCTACAGCCGTATTCTCGTCGCCGTCAACGGCATCAGGCCGTTTCTACAAGCTCTGCGCCCAAATACTACAACCTTCGACTCGGCGACACCAATCGTCCTATCGTCGGGCAAGATCGAAGCTCAACGTGAAACCAGATGCTTCGTTCTTGCCTTCCAAGACCGAGCAACACGACCACATCCTCTTCAATCCTCCTCCGAGCATGCCCAATGTCTACCACACGCCCAATATTTTTCTCCCCGACAACGACCGAAGGAAAATCATACCGGACCGCGAGACTCGCGAGGCACAGTTGTTGCTCAGCGAGCGCATACCTGCTATTAAAGGACAGCAAGAGAAGAGATACCACCTGACAGCGAAGGATGTGGAAGAGATGAGGGCCCTGCGAAAAGCAGCTCCGTTAGAATGGAGCGTCAACAAACTATCCAAAAAATTCGACTGTTCTCCAATATTTGCCATGTATGCCACGGAAGGGCTCGCACCAGAAAAACAAGAGATGCAGAAGACAGTAACCAAGATTGTCAAGTCGAGATGGGGAAAGAAGAGACGAGAGGCACGCGAGGATCGAGAACTACGTAAAGAGAAGTGGTACAGGGACGAATAAGACCCATCTATTGTACAATATGAGCGATTGCCGGCTTTCAAAAATGTAAAGATAGTGTTGATTGTCTGGAGCAGCCTTTAGAGTAAAGTTCTGCTGGTCAAATGCATAGTCGTGTGGGCAATTCGTAGCCTCGCCTGGCCATGTTACATTTCTGCCGAATCTACGTCTTCCACTACAAAGACTCACCCAGGGCCGATCTACCCGTAGGTAACCTTGCTGGCAAAACACATGTTACTTCAATCTCGTCCTTCTCCATTCTCCTTCAAGAGTCTGCGCACCTTGTCAAGTACCTTTCCTCGATCCCACCTCCAGAACAGGTCCAGCCTTACTTCCCTGCGCCCATTGACTTTTGCACCAGTCCGAACGTACTACGGCTACATCACAGACCACAAGATGGCGCCTCAGTTGGAACCCTACTTCAAGAAGTGCGATAAGGACCCCCATGTACATGAACAGGCACTGATGTTCCCAGGGTCGATGAACTGGCCGACTCGTTCATCGAGCGTAAGCAAAGATGCCCGCCGTGACACTACCGGCCGCGGGGTAGCGACTGACACGTTGAACAGGCCTGCGCAAAGCGGTCGCCATTCCCTCTGTGTCTGCAGACGAGGAGAAGAGAAAGGAAGTCGTACGGGTACGCTCATTTGTATCTCCCACAGGCCCAATCGGACATGACTGAAAAGAACCATAAATAGATGGGCCAGTTCTTAGCCACTGAGCTTGAGTCACTCGGTGCCGAAGTACAGCAGCGACCCCTAGGCAAGCAACCAGGCAAAGAGCACCTCGATCTCCCTCCTGTCATCATAGCACGCTACGGCAACGACAAGTCGAAACGCACCATCCTCGTCTACGGACACTACGACGTCCAACCTGCGCTCCTCGAAGATGGATGGGCGACGGAGCCTTTCAAGCTGACTATCGACGATAAAGGCCGCATGTACGGACGAGGAAGCACTGACGACAAGGGTCCTGTGCTAGGCTGGATCAATGCCATCGAAGCACACCAAAAAGCCGGCGTGGATTTCCCAGTCAACCTGCTCTGCTGCTTCGAGGGCATGGAAGAATACGGCTCCGAAGGTCTCGATGACTTCATCAAGGCCGAGGCCAAACAGTTCTTCAAAGACGCCGACGCCGTGTGCATAAGCGACAACTACTGGCTCGGGACAGAGAAGCCTTGCCTCACGTACGGCCTCAGGGGGTGCAACTACTACTCGGTCGAGATCGCCGGGCCGGGTCAGGACTTGCACTCTGGCGTGTTCGGCGGCACAGCACACGAGCCCATGACCGATCTCATGGCCATCTTGGGCAAACTAGTAGACGCCAAAGGGAAGATCCTCATCCCCGGTATCAACGAGATGGTCGCGCCCGTCACCGAGGAGGAGAAGGCCCTCTATGGCCCCATTGCGTATACGATGGATAATCTGTACGAGAGTCTTGGCAGCACGACGGGCATCTTTGACGACAAGGAGCGTACGTTGATGGCAAGATGGAGATTCCCTTCGTTGTCGGTCCACGGTGTCGAGGGTGGTTTCTCAGCCCCTGGTGCGAAGACCGTCATCCCGGCAAAGGTCATCGGCAAGTTCTCCATCCGCACCGTACCAGACATGGAGTCGCCAAAGGTGAACGAGGCAGTGTACAAGTACGTCAAGGACGAGTTTGCCAAGCTCGGATCGAAGAACAAGCTGAACGTCTACTGCCAGCACGATGGGAAATGGTGGGTTGCGAGTCCTAAGCACTGGAACTTCTCGGCTGCAAGCAAGGCCGTCAAGGAGGTCTATGGTGTCGAGCCAGACATGACCCGCGAGGGTGGTAGTATCCCGGTCACTCTCACGTTCGAGGAGGCAACTGGCAAGAATGTGCTTTTGTTGCCCATGGGAAGCAGCACGGACGCGGCGCACAGCATCAACGAGAAACTCGACCGGAGGAATTACATCGAAGGTACGAAGTTGCTGGGTGCGTACCTCCATTATGTTGCAGAGGAGCCAATGGTGGCTGCATAGATGTCTCGGTAGTTACTCGTGTATAATGTCCTGCACACCGACGAGAGCGGAGGTGGACTCGACTGTACATCTGGATGTCCTTGTTTGTCACAAAAGAAACTTCAGGTGCTCTAGAATGAGAAATGACAGACCGGAGGTTTAGACGCTCAAATAGTTCAAGATTCATGGACGGTATGGCAGAATTAATTGAAAACTATCGCTTGCATTTATGCTCTTCTCACCCTTGGGAAAGTATCGTTCTCGTATCGTACAGTTGCCGTCTCCTCATCAACCATTACGGCGCCGGTTACACACTCTCTCTTGCGAGTCCCTCTACCTCCGGGTCCTGACAAGACAAACCATATGCATAAACCAGGATGGACAGGCATAGTTGACTTTTGGGCATTCAAAGCCTCTCTTGAACAACCAAAGAATTCCCGTTTCGTTGGCCTGCCTTGGCCCGCTTCGTCGTTCCGTTGTCATTAGGGCGCATCCGTCAAAGGCACGTAGCGGACTCCCATATCCCTCTTTTTTGTGACCTTCCCGTCTTTGTCTTTGTCCACCACCCAGATCCACTGGCTGCCCCAGCCGTCCTTGTCTTCGACGGGGATGAACATCCTCCCGGGGGCTTTCAGCTGGTCGACCAGGCTCTGGTGCAGCTCGGCCGCCGCGGCGCCGACGTGGATCGCGTCGTAGGGACCGCCCTCGGGGTAGCCTTTCCTCCCGTCCCCGACCACGAGTTCGACCCTGCCCGTGTCCAGGAGCCGCCGGCCTTCCTCGGACCGCCGCATGTTCTCCCGGCTCATGTCGACCAGGCCCTGGATGTGGTCTACGCCGACGACGTGGCCGTCGCCCTTGCCGTCCGCGCCGCAGACGAGGTTCGCCAGCACGTGCGTGAGGTAGCCGCTCCCGGACCCGATGTCGAGGACGTTCGCGCCGGCGTCCTCGGGCATGAAGGGCAGCAACGACTCGGCGGCCGACGCGTGCATGTGCGGCGCGCTTATCGTGGCCCGGAAGCCTATGGGCTGCGGAGAGTCTTCGTACGCCGCGAGCGGGCTGGAGGGGCAGTAGTGCGCTCGGTCGACCGAGGACATGGACTCGCGGACGCGCGGCGACGTGATGAGCCCCGCGTTGAAGAGGTTGGTTATCAGTTCGGCGTTGGTGCGGCCGGAACTACGCCACGCCATGGTCTCGTTGGGGGGGCGGCTTCAGGAGGGAGAGGAGGAAATGGCTTGACCGAAGGCCGAGGTATGGTGGAAACGCTCCTCGAGACTCGAATGGGAAATGGGGTTGTACAGAGATGGGGAGGACGGTTGATCGATATCGGGAGGTTCGTGGTCAGGCAGAGAGTTCTGGGTTTGGGGAACCCATAGAATGGCTTTTCTTGGGAGTCAACCAGCGGAAACGTGGGATGTTCAGGGATGGATTTCAAGAAGGTTGGATGGATGAACCAGTTTTGTTGAGACAAGGACGAGACGTGGCTATGTGGTGTGAGACTTGAAAAGATGTGCACAAGAATACAGTTTCGCGGGGGTGTCACCAGGTCCAGTGCGTACAGTATACAAATATATGCATTGCACCTCATTGTCATATGTCATGGTCAAGTCGGATAAACTTCTCCGGCGCGGGGTTTGACGGCTTCAGCCTTGGCCGAGCCTCCTCGACTTCTCCGTACAGCCTTGCCCACCAGATGCCAACTGCTTCTGCTTGTACCACTTTCTTCTTGTAGGTGCAATACCTACCTTTGATTGCTATTTGTAATGCCTCCGGAGGCCGTCCGCAGATCAATGAGTTGAACATTGACGTGATGGCCCCGTTTTACACCTGTACGGTCTTGGTGTTCATTCCGCCTTCGCATTCTCCGCAGCCTTCAACGCTCTTTCAAATCGCGCAAGCAAACCGTTGGTGTCCTCCAATCCAACACTCAATCGGACCAGGTCCGCTTCTACGCCTGATTCTGCGGCCCAAGCCAATTCAGTGTAATGCGCAAGAATGGTGAACGGGCACGCGAGCGTGAAGTTTGTCCCCAGGCTGGGCCCCTTTTGACATTCAAGCGCGTCAAAGAATGCAACCGCCTGCTCGTATCTCTGGAACGTGACAGAGAGCAGTCCGCCATACCCGCCGTTCGGCGCGCGGCACGCGTCGTAGTTTGCTCGAGTCGGGCTGAATTTCGGGTAGTAGACCTGCTTGACGAACGGACACGATCGAAGCAGATCGACCAGGGCCTCCGTGTTGATGTTGATTCTCTCGGACCGGTAGATGAAGTTTCTGGAGTTCCGCTCCATGAAGACGGCATCCTCGGCCCAGTAGTTGTCCTCGTACTCGGTGTCGAGCGTCTGTTTGAGCTCGCCGTACAGTTGACTCTGCGGGTTGAGCACGGCGCTGCCGCCCATGACGTTGCTGTCGCCGCTAAACACCTTCGTCAAGCTGCTGACCACGATGTCCGCGTGGCGAAGGACCTCGATGTTGGTAAAGTTGCCGACCGTCTCGTCGATGACGACAGCAAAGTCGTATTTGTCGGCCAGTTTGCGAATGCGAAGGAGGTCGGGCGAGTTGAGCAGCGGGTTGCTGGGGAACTCGGAGAACAGCCCCAAGAACCGCTCGCCGGATTCCAGCCGGCGCTCGAGGTCGTCGAGACATGCTGAACTCCCTAGGCCGTAAAACTGGCAGCCCGGCCCCCACTTTTGTAGGATCTTGAGCGTGTCGACGTAGGGAAAGCCAAAACAGATGCTCTTGCGCGGCTCACGGCCGTGGGCGGCCGCGTTCGCCATGAGAATTCGGTGGGCGTTGAAGATCGACGACATCCCGGTCGGATACAGGTACACGTCGTCCTCTGATAGTCCCTGCTGTCGCTTGTTGCAGTCGCTGGGCGACGCCGCGAGGGCTTGTTCCAGCTCGGAATTCTCCGTCAAGCATCCACTTATCCTGCGTCGAATCGCGAGTTTGGCCTGTGAGGCCAGCTTGATGTTGAGGTTCCGGCCAAACCGCTCCTCCACGAACTGAGAGAAATCTTTTTCTGAGACGTCAACCGACCCATTTGGTGGTTGCGGGGTTTCGGTGGGAGAAGTGACACCGTGAATTATACCGTTCTGCGAAGCTTTCTGGTATCTTCGGGGTCCTTTCGAGTACACGTCATCTGTCTTTGCTTTCGACTGAGTGGTGACCGGCTGCAGGATTCCATCCTTCAGGGCTTTCAGGCAGAATTCTCCCCGCCGGCTGGAGATACCGTCCCCGGTATGCTGCCACACCTGTTTCGCCACGCCGAAGTAGTCCTTGGGGAAGAGTACGCAGAATAACGAGGAAAACGTGGTCTCATGGTTTTTGCCTTGGTTGACCGGCTCTAGTTGCAGTATATGCACCAGGCCAGCTCCGAGACCTTCGACTTTGTCGTAGAAGAACTTTTGACACCTCTTTGCGGTGGCAAGGGAAGGAAACAGCATGGCTCTCTCGCCGTGTCTGCCATGAAGCTTCAGAACTTCCTGTTCCAGTTCTTGTATGATCAGGTTGATGAAGAATCTGGGGTAGCCCGATTGCATCTTCGACACAATCCAATCTTCGCCTTCTTCGTAGCCAATGTTTGCTTTCCACGTCGGCAAGGATACACTCACTGCGTGCGCTGTATTTGGCACTGGTTGCCCAGGGGCCGCCATCATTGTGAATTGAGTTGAGATGTTGAGATGTTGAGATGTTGAGAAATCTAGGCGGAGCCGTGATGTGTTTGACCAGTGTAATGGTGACTGTTATGCGGGTGGGTAGTCAATCGCCTGGCACTAGAGTCATCAATGAAGATTTTTCCGATATCGCCGATAGACTTTCGTGCCTCATACAAAAATGTCCAGCTTTCTTTCTTCAAGGTATTGGGGGTATTGACGTACCCGACAAGAGTGTTTGCTTAAACAATCATATGTCTAATTATCTTGCAGAAGATGCTGTGACCTCAATACTACTGCAACATTTCCAGTCAAAGTTCCTCTTCTTCTGAATAACGGACAACTTGATGCTAAGAAGGTCTATTAATGACGAATCAGGTAGCGTGGTTTACGACTAAAATGGTCTATAAATTTTCTACTCTTGGCGACTCAAAAGTTTCAACATCCATCGCCAGCAACGTCCAAACATCATCCCAACAGCCTTTCCGTTTTGCGCGCATTGTTGTGTTTTGTCCACAGTTAGCGGTTGATTAAGAGTCTACATTTGCCCCCTGGACCCCGAAAATTGACGTGCAGGATTTGCCGTGAAGGCGTTGCTTGGCTATGTCTTTTGGAGCGCCTCACTCGAGGCACTCGCCAAAGAGGAGAAAATTAAGTCATAGCTCAAACGGATCTGCTGACGGAGAGCGCGACGATGGCAGTACAGCAAAAGGCCATACAGTGTTAAAGAAGCCCAAGAACAAAGCCATCAGCATACCGGCTAATGGAACAAACAAATCATCCATCCTGGCTTTGCAAGTCGCAGACTTGATTGCAGAAGCCACACCAAACTATGATCGATCGAATGCCAAATGGACGGGAGTCTCCAACAGGCTGCAAAGTATCATCAAGCGTATCAAGCCACGCTCCCCAGTGTCTGCGCTTGACGCTGTAAAGTCTCTCCGCAAGGAGAGCATCAGGATACCGTTTTCCGAACCACGACCTTCAAAGGACACCAAGTACAAGTTCGAGTTCACGGCCCCAGAAGAAATTGTGGTCGGCGGGGCATTGTCGCTGAAGTTGAGCGTCAATGGCGACAATGTGGTTCAGCTTACAACTATAATGCCACCCGAATTACTCCAGGAGAAGGACTATCTCAACAACCGTGCACCTCAAAAAGCTGCTTATTATCTGGCTTGCATTGCTGCCGGTGTCAAAGAAGCTGCAGGCTCAGAATTCGAGATGTCCTTCGCTTATCTCCACGGGGTAGATTATCTCCCTGTTCTGAGTCTGGCGCCCAAAGACAAATCCTTGTCAAAAGTCAAGCTCCACGTGGCAGCGGGCTTTCCAAATGACTCAATACCGATAGCAAAGACACTACCATCAAAGAACAATCTCAGACACGACACAAGTGATTCGTTGGAGACCCCGACGCCGTTCTACAACAGCAGCATACGGTACGCAGCGTCAACAAGTACTTTCAGCGAGATGATCAGGGCCGCAAAGAGCGCTTCATTCGATGACGCGTGCCGACTAGGGCAAGTCTGGCTACAGAGACTGGGCTTTGGCAGCTCGATTGAATCCGGTGGCTTCGGATTCCTCGAGTGGAGTGTGACCTGTGCCTTGTTTCTTCGGACGGGGGGTCATCGAGGTCTCCCCTTATTTTCAAAACAGTACAGCAGTCTGCAATTCTTCAAGGCGATGCTTCAGATTCTTGCGACTCGAGACTTTCGCGACCCAATGATTCTTAACGACGCATCTATCAGTATACCAAAATCAGAGGCACCGGTTCTTTTCGATGCCAACACAGGTGTCAATATCCTGTACAAGATGACCCCATGGTCCTACCAAACTCTCCAACATCATGCTCGGGTTTCTTTGGCCGCAGTCAATGCGCGGAACCAGGACAACTTTGATGAGACATTTGTTCTCAACACGGTTATCCCTGTCGTTCAGTACGACGAGATTTTCCGCGTCACGATCCCTGCAAAGAACATCGCCACGACTACAGAACTGCGCCAGCATCTGTCGAAGATGCACAGCATTCTAGTGCGCGGTCTGGGGGACCGCGTGAGCCTCGCCAATTTCAGCTTCCTGGTGGCTACGGACTGGCCGTTGAACCACGATCCTGCCTCTACAAATGGTGATCTAGATATAGAAGTCCAACTCCTCACCAATCCTGATGCTGTGGCACGCCTTGTCGACCATGGGCCTTCTGCCGATGAACAAGATCTGGCCGCAGAATACCGAGCGTTCTGGGGGGAAAAGGCCGAACTCCGTCGATTCAAAGACGGCTCAATATCCGAAGCACTCGTCTGGAAGCCATCGATACCCGTCACGCATCAAATTATTTCCCATCTCCTCGGTTTACATTTCAAGCTTCCGCCGAGCTCCATCTCTTCTCTCACACCGAGTCTCGATGCGGTGTTCCTCCCTGATGAATCCAACCTTGGGCCAAAGGACGCATTTCGCGTTATCAGCAACGCTTTCCAGACACTCAGCTCAACGCTTCACCACCTCCAAGACTTACCGTTGCCAATTCGCTCTATTTCTCCGACTGATACTGCGCTACGATCCGCTAGTGTAGGCAACCCTCTTCTCCCGTCCACAGCCAAGCCAATCGACTTTCTCATACAATTCGACAGTTCGACGCGCTGGCCGGATTCCCTGCCTGCCATACAGCACACAAAGATTGCTTTCCTGCTTAAACTAGGCGAACTTCTCATTGCCCAGGACTCCAGCCTGACGACGCGTGTGGGTCTCGAGAACACACCCTCGGCCACCACAGGCTACCTCAATACCTCTTTCTTGGACATCATATATCCCTCTCAAGCACCTGGTCTGAGCGGGATCTGCTTCCGTGCGAGGATCTTACATGATCGCGAGCTGCATCTTCTTCAGACCGCATTGGCTGATAAGAGTCTTCATGGTAGCGCAAGGGACGAGCTCGCCTCGGCGTTGATTGTGTACAAGCGAGAGTTTCTCGCGAAAAGTGCGCACACGAGCGCGGTACGGGCTCTTTGTGCCCGCTTTGCTGCTCTCTCGGGTACGATGAGACTCCTGAAGCGTTGGGTCGCGAAGCATTTGTTGCTCGGCGACGGCCACGTGCCGGAGGAAGTGCTCGAGGTCATCGCGGCGAGCGTGTTCGTGACACCGGCACCCTGGAGTGTGCCAGGAAATGCGACGACGGGGTTTCTGAGGGCTTTAAGCCGGATTTCATGGTGGGACTGGAGTTCGCGACCGCTACTTGTGGATTTGGGACTCGCGCAGGACTGGACAAAGGAGAGCATCGACGCCGTCAAAACCAGGTACGAGGCATGGAGGAAGCTGGACCCCGCTTTGAACAGCGTGGTCTGGTTCGTGGGGACCAACGTGGACGAGACAGGCGTCGTGTGGACACAGGGCGGGAGACCGACGAAGGTGGTGGGCAGTCGCCTGACCGCCCTGGCGAGAGCAGCCGTGGGGGTGCTTGAAAGCAAAGGCACAGGCATGGGCGGGGACGATTGGACGGGACTGTTCGAGAGTCCGCTCGGAGACTTTGATTTCGTCATTCACGTCAAGCCTGGAGTGGTGAAGGGGGTTCCCGAGAAGACGACGGCCAAGGGCAAAGGCAAGAAGGCACTTCTGAACGGAGCGGGAGGCGACTTCAAGAATTTGCAGATCGCAGACGCCTTGGACTCTGAGAGCCTGGGATACGACCCCGTTGATCTGTTCGTGCAAGACCTCAACTTCGCCTTCGGTGCGAGCGCCGTGTTCTTCCACGACCGATACGGGTCCAAGGTCATCGCGGGCCTGTGGAAGCCGAGTGTCTTGGGACGAAGGGAATGGCGGGTGAGACTGGGGTGGTCGAGCGTACCTGTGCCTGGTGCTGATGATGACGGGGACGACGAAGGACGGAAGAGCATGTGCGTCCTCAATAAAGATGGTATTCTTGGCGAGATTGCCATGCTAGGAGAAGGAGTTGTCAAGGATATTACTACCAAAGAGTAAATAGCCTCTTCAGAGGATCCATCATTCACTGGTTGGCATACAGAGACTTTTACATCTTAGCATCCACAACGATGCGATTGCTGGCGGCTACTTGATGGCCAGATATTGCCAGTCTTACGATACCCCGGAAGATAGTCAATGCTCTCTCAAGACATCTTCAAACCCGGGACAAGTGCCGACTACATTTTACGAACACGTTTTATATATTGTGGCTAGGTATGAGTATACTCTGACGCCACGGGTCGCTTCTCGCGCATGAATACCGAGCCACTTTAGATGTACTTTCTGTCTGGGTCCAAGGAGTCCAGAAGCTCCATTGTCTTTTCGTACCTGGTAAATGTCAGTGTCAATTTGTTCTCATAAGTCCACAGCACCCACATGGTAAAAACAATACCACCGCTCAGGGTCAAGCGACCAAGTCGTGGTAGCGCGCCCGACCAGAAGGTGAGAATCCCTTCGTTCTTGAAAATCGACGTGGCACAATTAAAGCTGTTTCGGTATAGCTGCTTCGCTTCCAGACTCTGCATTCGAGTCTTGATGGTGTCGAGAGGCATGGTCGCATAGACCGTGACAACCCCTGCAAGACCTCCAAGCGCGAACGTCGTCACCGAGCCGAGCTTCTCACCAGGTGCCACATACCCCTCGGCAAACTGCTTGAGACTGGTATACGTGCTGAATCTGACGGCACTGTTTGCCGCCTGTCGAGCTGTCGTGGGCACAAAGCCTTGGAAAAAGCCAGCAAGGCCCTTTTCTTTGAAGATAACCGATGAGCCATGAAGGAAACCTCGCATTCGCGGTTGTGCCCGTTTGCGATCATCTATCAACTGTGTTTTTATGGACTCTGAGGGCGTCACCGCCAACAGAGACTCTGTGATGCCGGCACCGAACCCAGCGGCCACCGTCCGAGGCCCGGATATTTGCCCATCCTCGTCGGACAAGAGATGCTTGTATTGATCGAAAGCGACAAAGCGCACACCTGCCTTGAAGGCATTACCTATGATGGCTGTGGTGCATCCTGTATACCATTCTTTCGAGGGAAAAGGAGGCAACGGGAGCTTTTTCTCGGTTGGCAGGTGGCGGTTCAGTTGGGATCGTGTCTTGAGGAAATCAAACGGATAGGTAATTGCTGCGCAAGTAGTCGTGAGCCATGCACGTTCAAACCATCTTATAAGTCGACAAGAGCCTGCCACACCGAGACAATCAGGAAGCGGGACCACTCACCAATTTCAACTGCGCCTGCGGTCGAGCCAGCTATGATCGAGCGCAGTGCACTGGGCTGTGGAATCGTTAGCATACAGTCACACCGAGATGGTCCTCGTGGCATACCTTTGCCTTGGTCTTGTCTCCATCGGCCGCAGAGGTGGCCATGGTTTACAGGAACAATCCCCCAGGAGTAGGGACGTCCTTCGCAAGACCGGTGTTAGATCTAGAAGACGTGGTCGAGCCGGCGTAGAAGTGCAAACGGTGCGAATCTTTTCTGGCATTGGCGCAGGTTGGAGTTGGAGAAGCACCTCCCTCACTGAAGTCATAAGTGACTAACTTGAAGCGGCAATGCAATGTTTTAGTGGCTTACTTAAGTTGATTAATTAAGTCAGGAAGGCACGCGTCCCAATCAATGGCAACGCGCCTTCGCCTGCGCTGCGCCCGCCCGCATTGTTATCATAGTCCAGGCTGCAACCCTCCTCCAGACTACTTTGCTGCAATCACTCTATGCGCATCCATTGACGCACATAGTCCAAACCAGCGCTATCATGGCGCCGGTAAAACGCGCAGCGCCCTACGACAGCGACGACGAGAGCGACGCCGACCAGGACCGCGCCAGACACTCATCCACACCCTACGGTTCAGAAGTATAACTTCAAGTGCGATCCTCAGAGTGACCCTTGCTAACTTCTACACAGCCAAAGCGACGGAGAACTAGTGACAAGTCTTCCACCGCGCAGGATCCCGATGCCTCCAGCAGTGTTAATGAAGCAAGCACTCCGCCCTCAGATTTTGGCTCCGACAATGATGAAGAGGATGGTGAGGCTGAGTTGGCTGCGACCCAGGCCATCGAAGACAGAAAGACCTCGAGAGGAGACCAGAATAACGAGCCTGCGCTCCATGGCATCTTGGAGGAAGTCAAAGTGACCAATTTCATGTGCCACGAAGAGTACGAGTTCCACCTGGGACCGTTGATCAATTTCATCACTGGAAAGAACGGCAGTGGCAAGAGTGCGATATTGACTGCAATTGTCCTCTGTCTTGGAGGTAAAGCCTCCGCTACAAATCGTGGTGCCCGACTCGCGAACTTCATCAAGGAGGGGAAAGATCATGCGACCATCATATGCAAGATCAAGAACCAGGGTGACTCAGCTTATATGCCTGATGTGTATGGAAAGTCAATACAAGTCGAGCGGCACATCTCACGAACCGGTGCTAGTAGCTTTAAATTGAAGTCGGAAAAAGGGCGTACCATTTCAACCAGGAAAGCTGACCTAGAGGAGATCTGCGATCACATGATTTTGCAGATGGAAAATCCTATGACTGTTCTGTCCCAAGACCAGGCACGACAATTCATCTCGTCATCCAGCGCGGGGGAAAAGTACAAGCTCTTCATGAAAGGTGTGCACCTTGAACAACTTGACCAAGATTACCGGATCATCGAGGAGCAACAAGAAAATATACATGCAAAGATCGAGGCGATCCGCCCGGATCTGAAAGATTTGCAAAAAAGACATGAAAGTGCAAAGAACAAGCAGGAACTGTCACGCAAGTATGACAGTATGCTCGATAAATTGCGTGACTATCGTCGACAGCTTGCCTGGGCTCAAGTGGCAGCCAAAGAATCTCTGAGAGAAGACTATCTCCAGCAAATCCGAGAAGCCGACACCAAGATTCAGGAAGCGGAGGCCAAAGTCGGTCAGCTCGATCAGTTGTTCCAGCGATCCGATCAAGCTGCGTCCGCTGCAGTTGGAGCCTATAACGATGCTGTAGCCGTCGTTGATCGGCTGCAAGACGAAAAGGCCGAGGCAAAAGCACAGCAGGATGAGATAAAGAAGGATACCCATGATGCTCACGCCGAGCAACGGAGTATTCGCTCGGAGCTGCAAACGGCCGACGAAACGATACGCGCCAAGACACAAGCAATCGAACAGGAGGAGCAAAGACTTGCTGAACTCAATGGCGGTGGTGCCGCAAGGCGCATTGCAGAGCTTCACAGAGCCCGCGAAGCCCTCAAGGAAGCAAAACAAGCGGAACTGGATCATGAAAGAGAACGAAGGGAGCGAGAGGCAGAAATTGAGCGCTTGGAGACTCTCGAGACAACCGCACAAGAAGCAATCGCAAGCCATCAGGAGCGAATCAGGCAACAGAAGAACAACCTCCAGCAAATGAACCACAATCGTGCTAATGCTGACGTCGCGTTTCACCCTAACATGCCAACGCTGCTCAAGGCTCTGGCGACAGATACAGGTTTTCAAGAGCGGCCCATTGGGCCTCTTGGTAAGCACGTTAAGCTTCTCAAACCCGAGTGGTCGTCGATTATTGAAAAGTCTTTTGGCAATACTCTTAATGCCTTCATTGTGACCAACAAGCGTGACGAAAAGCGGCTCAGCGAGCTTATGCGACGCGCTAAGGTGCAGACTCCGATATTCATGATCAACAATCAGCACCCGATGAACATTGCTGCCCACGAGCCTGATCCGCGCTTTGATACAGTGTTGAGAGTTTTAGAGATTGACAACGAACTTGTGAAGAGACAACTAGTCATTGCTCATCACATTGAACAGAGTATTTTGATTGCGGACATGTCTGAGGCCTCTGAGGCATTGTTTGGAGGACGACCGCTCGAGAAAGTAAAGCGGTGCTACTGCTTCAGCGCAGGCAGTCGCCTTCGCGGCGCATGTCTATTTTATCGTGGCTCACAAGCAGCGCAAGACCCGGTGCACGAATATCTCGGTACTCCTCGGACGAAGACCGACATCGAAGAATCTATCCGAAGGCAACAAGAGCTCATTGCAGAAATGAGTGAGCAGCTGCGCCGACTGGAAGAAGAATACCGAGCTGCCCGTGATCGCCATTTAAGAGCACGGCAAGCGCTTCAGCACCACAACAGGGCATCAAGAGATCTAAAGATTGCTGCGCAGAAAGCTGATGATGAGGTCGATCGACTGAATGAGGAGATCAAGCAGGACAATGCCGAAGGGGGCAGCTTGGAAGTTCTGCGCGAAACATTGCGAGAGGCCGAGGAACAGAAAACGGTCCATGAAAGCTCTTTCCAGGACTCAGTAAACAATCTTGATAGCTTAAAGGCTAAGCTCCGGAATGCCACTCGACAGTTGGCTGTTTTAGACGGTCGTATTGCAGAGGCTCAAGAAGCTGCAGACGAATTGCAGCGTCGGGCGCAAGAGGCCGATAAGAAACGTGCATTTGATCAGCGTGAGAAACAGCAGGCCGAGTCTCGAGTCCAGGATGGCATAGGAGATCGCGAAAAGTTGATGAGCAACCTGGCAGACTTGGACGAAACAATTGCCGCCTTCACGGAACAGGCCCGGCTGGTTTCGGAGAGAGTCAACATTCCTGAAGGCGAAACCTTCGAGAGTCTTGACAAACGCTACAAGCGATTACACGAAGACTATCGCAAATATCACGATCGGATTGGAGATCGAGAGCAAATCGCTGCCGAGGCTACCAGATGCAAAAAAGCATTTGACACTGCGCAAAGGGAATTGCAGAGTCTCGAGAATCTGCGAGACAAGCTTCAAGAAACAATGCAACAGCGTAAAGAGCGCTGGAAGTTGTTCCGAAGCTACATCTCAGCCCATGCGAAGGCCCAATTCGGTTTCATGCTGAGCGAAAGAGGCTTCCGGGGCAGACTGATCATGGACCATCATCAGAAGCTGATGGATTTGAAGGTTGAACCCGACATCACAAGGCGTGATGGTTCAGGAAGAAGCGCCCGGACCTTGTCGGGAGGCGAAAAGTCCTTTTCACAGATCTGCTTACTGCTTGCGATATGGGAGGCAATGGGGGCACCAATCCGGTGTTTGGATGAGTTCGATGTTTTCATGGATGCAGTAAATCGAAGCATCAGTGTGAACTTACTCATCGAAGGTGCGCGGCAGAGTATTGGACGACAATTTATCTTGATCAGCCCTGGATCGAAATCAGACATTCCGAGAGCTCCAGATGTCAAAGTCAATGAGTAAGTCCTCAAATCTTGTGCTGAAAAGCCTCATACTGACGTTCACCAGGGTCGCTGCACCAGAGAGAGGACAAACAAGACTAGTACTAGCACCAGCTTAGGACTGTTTTTGTATGGCTACGCTGCCAGATGACGAGAAACTGAGGTCGTGTGCCTTGTTGCGTTGGAAGAAGGGAAGCCTGACGTCTCTCGCGTGCCCAGTACTGGAACACCATGCTCATTTCATCGGTTGTCTTCGTAAAGGGCCACGGGCTCTAGGCAGATGCCCAGGAAGCAGTGTATGCCCGGGCGAGTGATACCTAGGTACGGGTAGGAAAGGGGTCAGCTTCTCAGCAACCCCTACAAGCACCGTGTTCACCGAAGCCACTCGGACCATACGGAGTAATTAATCGTATTGTCACTAGACAGATGGTTTGCCTGAGACATCGCTGTGTGTGTCTAGAACCGTGTGGAAGCACATGGGAAGCAGCCTTGCACCGAGTCCAGACGGTTCGGCACTAGTCCAAGGCTGGGGTTTGGCCGCAAAGGGAATAGTCGGGCTTGGGTCTTGGCGGCGCAAGGTTCCAATGGGCCAAAGTCACTAACAAGTAACAACCCTGCATCACTGCAATCGCATTGAAAACCACAATTCAGCTTTCCCACCGAGAACCTCTCTCTTGAGAAACAGCCTCAGCCTCAGCCTCACTTGACTTACGAGTTCACCAAGAATCATTTCTGACCATCTCATCCTACCATCCAGAGATCTATCCCTCTGAAGACTCACTAAATACAGCCACAGCGCGAGGCAAACTCAGATCACTCTCCGACACAAAAGGCTAACAAACAAAGCGAGGATCTCAACCTCGCTCTCCCCAACGTCCAAGCAACCTCTTCCTCCACGGACACTTGATCCTGACCTCGAGATCGAAAGTCCTGACCTGAAGAACATCTCTATTTCAGCGGCGCACACGAGTTGCCCCTCCCCTCACAACATCCCTCACATCAAGCAACCTCGAATTATTCACAATGACGGACGCTTTAGCCTCACAGCTAAATAAAACCTCGTTAAACGACGGTGCGGACGAGAGCAATTGGAAAGACTCACTCAAAATTCCCAACAAGGATACAAGACAACAGACGGAAGATGTCACGGCCACCAAGGGTCTCGATTTCGAAGACTTCTATATCAAGCGCGAACTAATGATGGGCATCTTCGAAGCCGGATTCGAAAAGCCCTCTCCTATTCAAGAAGAAACAATCCCAGTTGCCCTGACCGGTCGAGACATCTTAGCACGAGCGAAGAACGGCACCGGGAAAACCGCAGCCTTTGTCATTCCTACCCTCGAGAGAATCAACCCTAAAAACCCTAAGACGCAGGCGCTCCTGCTTGTCCCAACTCGAGAACTGGCCCTGCAGACGTCCCAAGTTTGCAAACTACTCGGCAAGCATCTGGGGATCAACGTCATGGTCACCACTGGTGGTACTGGTCTGAAAGATGATATTATCCGGCTGGGAGAGACGGTGCACATCATCGTCGGCACGCCTGGCAGAATCCTCGATCTTGCCAGCAAAGGTGTTGCAGACCTATCAGAATGTCCCATCTTTGTCATGGACGAGGCTGACAAGCTCTTGTCGCCCGAGTTCACCGTTGTTATCGAACAACTGCTCGCTTTCCTTCCCAAAGATCGACAGGTTATGCTTTTCAGCGCAACATTCCCCATGATGGTCAAGACGTTCAAAGACAAACATATGCGCAATCCCTACGAGATCAACCTCATGGATGAATTGACGCTTCGCGGTATCACCCAGTACTACGCTTTCGTCGAAGAGAAACAGAAGGTGCACTGCCTGAACACCCTGTTCTCCAAGTTACAGATCAACCAGTCGATCATCTTCTGTAATTCCACCAATCGTGTCGAACTTCTCGCCAAGAAGATCACCGAACTGGGATATTCATGCTTCTACTCCCATGCCAAGATGTTGCAACAGAACCGAAACAAGGTCTTCCACGATTTCCGTGCTGGCGTCTGCCGAAATTTGGTCTGTTCAGATCTTCTCACTCGTGGTATCGATATTCAGGCTGTCAACGTGGTGATCAACTTCGACTTCCCCAAGAATGCCGAGACGTATCTCCACCGAATTGGTCGTTCCGGTCGTTTTGGACATCTTGGTCTGGCCATCAACCTGATCAATTGGGATGACCGCTTCAACTTGTACAAGATCGAACAAGAGCTAGGTACAGAGATTCAACCAATTCCGCCATCTATCGACAAGAGTCTGTACGTATATGACAGCCCGGAGAACATTCCTCGACCGATGCCCCCTCCGGCTCCTGCATCCAAGGCCAATAATGCTCCTATGGTGTCAGCAAATGCTTCTGTCGGGCCTAATTCGAATGGTCAAGGTCAAGGTCGACGACAGTACAATCAATCCAATGGATACGGACAACAGTACAACAATCAAGGACGGGGTGGGTATAGGGGCCGCGGCCGCGGTCAGGGCGGCCGTGGCCGTGGTGGCTATGCTCAACAGGCAGCAGCCCCTGTCGGTCAAACTGCACAATAGTTCCTGAGAACTGTGGAGGCGTTGTTTTGATCTAGCGACTGTGTTTTTTGTTCTTTCTCTACGGCGTTGAACCTACCACCATGATCACGAGGGTCTATGATATGCGAAATGCGCAAGCTTGGAGTTCGATTGATCATGGTTAATACAGGTTTCTATCTTCTACCGGATCTGTACAACGGTGTCCGTATGCCTTTTTTTGCTTTACTCGGGTTGGGCGGAGCTTTCTGGATGATGAAGATCGGGTATAAAGGCTTTTTTGTCCCGTCTGCGCACGGGCTTCGTAAGCATCGATGACCGGATTGACCATGACATTGCACTGTCATGGAATTGGCCATTTTATTTTCTTGGAGTGGCTGATGAGCGTTGTTATCCTCAAAAGAAAGGGTCGAGCAGGTCTCAGCATAGGCACGGCAGATCTGCATGGCGTTTGTATGGGCTTTTCTTCTCCCTTTGAAGCTGGTGGCATATCGATCGCTCAGTTACACGACGACACTTTTCATCCTCCCTACAACATGAAACATTTCTTTTCTCCTCAAGATCATCACGATATCGAGCTTGACGCACCAAGGCACTACATCTTACTACGACATACCACAAGGCTCACACACCCTATTCCGCATCAATCTGACTGAAGGTTTTTCCAACCTTCCTCTCCTTTCTCGCGACCGAACCAACAGTGTTCATGCCATCATCAAAGGGGCACACACGAAATGATAATGTTCTTTCACTTCACCACCACGACTTTTTCTCTCTCGACCCTTTTCCCTTCTCACATCTACTCAACCTTCCATCTCCTGACCATACGAGATACGCCGTGGAGACGCTACACTTTTGGCCCGTGTATCTCTGAACAGCATACATCCACCGACAATCAAGTCTGCCATACGTCCTGCCAATTGTCTTGTTTGGCGCGTCAACTATTGATTAATGCCCAAACACTTCTTCTTCTCTTGTGTATGCAAGCAGACCAACCAATATTCTCACACAGGTGCAGCACTACACCTATCTACAAATCCCATATCATACCAACCGGAAAATCAGAGAATCAGAAAATCAGAAAAAAAAAAGAATAGGAGGGAAGCCGAAAAGTCTGAAAGCCGGGTTCGTGGGCGAGGTCGAGGTTGTTTGCGAAGTCGATCCGCGAGTACACTGCAGGCAAGTGCAGAATTAGGATTTTCAGAGAAGGTTCACGGATCTTTCTCTGTTTGAAATCCCCCTCGCACTCCGTTATGTGTAACTCGCCGCAAAATAACGCTCGCTCACACACCCTTCCTCTCTTGTGTACGTACCAAGAAGAAACCATGCTGACGACCGGACAAAAAGAAGATTATGATGATCTTGGTCTTGGAAGGAAATGTGGACGAGGACACTACTGATTACTTTGTACCTCCGTGTACCTACCCAGTTCCTTGGTCTAGTCAAGGTAGACTACCTCCCTACTTACCTCCCTACCTGTAGATAGGGATGGTAGGTAGGCCAGGTAGATAGATATATCTGGGGCCTCGCCAAGTTTTTGGTCAACTAGCTCTCCCAAAATGAACCAAGAGCATTCTTCCCTCTGTTTCTGTTGACGTCTGTGTTTATCTATTCGTATTGGATTGGAATTTCTGTTTCTTTTGGCGTTTCTCGAACTCTCGCTTTTTGTGGGGGGGGGGGAGGAGATTGGATTTTTTTTTATTCTCTTGCGTTCTGTGATACTCGCTCCTTGGCTTTTTTACCTTGCATCTTCCACCTCGAGTTGCCCCAGAACCAGCCACCCGTCCCTCTCGGCTCTCGACAACCATGTACCTAGGCAAGGATCACTGCACCAAATTCTCAAGGACCCAAGATTGGGTATTTGACTTTTGGCTCCACGAGAAGTCTGTCTTGGGTATATCGTTCCCTTGGGGGGGAACCGATCTCTGGGACAATCCAATCCAATTACAGCATCGCCAGTAAACTACCGGTCCTCAGAATCGACATCGACACCGACGCCACACCCTGTAATGCAGGTGTCTGGAGGTACCGTGGTACGCTAAATTTACAACCACAATAACACCGACGACAAACGTCCGCCCACGGTCGATATCCATCATGACAATTGAATTTGAACCTGAACCTGAGACTAGATCGAAGAAATGGAGAAATTTGGGATTACGGCTCGAGGTCTGCGATAAACAAAATGGTCGATACTTGACACCGTGTATGAGACAACCGGTATCGCACTCGGTTTTGGAGAGAAACCTCACTTGAATGTCAACAACCTCTTCTGTCCACTAGATCCACCGGCCGAATTCTTGTGACTCGGTTTCGTGTAAGAGCAATATCGATCCTTGATACTGACGACCTCGTAGACACCCTCGTCACTGGCGCGAATCACCTTCGTAAAGGCATCAGAGCTATCGTGTCTTGTCTCCAACACCTTTGGAGCAGAGCGACTGCTTCTCTTGACGTTTTCGGATCGGATGTACCTGGTGCAGAAACAAGAAATGTTAGTACTTCTGTTTAGTCAATCAAGGACAACTTTAGAGAAACAAGACAACATCAAGGGCAAGGGAAGCGCGCAGAGGGAAACATACGTAAACTCAAAGGGTGGCGATCCAGTAAATGAAAAGCTGATGTCGACTTCTCCACCCTCATGAATATCGCTGACTAGAGTCCTGCCGCGGCCCATCTCGACCGTCGGATAAGGATGAATGACCTTCTTGATTTCTTTTCTAGCTCGACATTTTCCGTTGCCCATTGCGTTGTCGCTGACGCCAGTAATCACAAATTCACCAGGTGACTCGGCGAGACGTCTGAACTCGTTCCCTGTGACATGAGCCTTACGCTCGCGACCCTGGAAAGTATAGTAGACGTCAAAGGGCGGTTTGCCACTGAGAGAGAATGACACGTGCTCCCCAACACAGAAGTCGTCGTGCGACTCGAGTGCGAGGATCGTCGGTGGGGACGACACAAATATGCGAACGGATGAAGGGTCTGATTCGATGATGCTTTCGCAGCCACGGCTATCTTTCACTGAGCGGATCGATACGCTGTGGGTTCCTAGATCTAGCGTAGATCGTGACAAGGGCCATGCGTATGTAGTGGACTGGATATCTTTTTGACGAATGATTTCCGGTCGCGAAGACACGCCGTGGTGGACAATGGCAATTTCGATGCTGAACGGCGGGACACCGTTAAATGTGATGGGGATGTTTTCGGTTTCTGCTTCGACGCTGGACGTGAAGCTTGGGTCGTCTTTGCAATACCCGTACGTCTTGCCGGGTTCGCTGAACTTTGCGCTTGGCGGAGCATATACTTGTTGCTTGACAATGAGAGGGGTGAAATGTTTCTTGTCGTGCGGGTACCGAGAGTCGCTGAGCTCGTTCAGCGAATATGTATATTCTCCGGCTCTGCTCGTGTCGAGGTTGATCACTGCACTCGTCCCAGCAAAGCTGCCCTCCTTGTTGCTGACGGCTGCCGGACCTTTGATTGGCTCGAATCTCTGATGATATTTGATGTGATAAGGCGCGCTTCCACTAAAGCCAAGGAAAAGGGAGGATTCGTCGTTTTGGCACACTGGAGGCTTTCGTACAGACCTGGGGCTGTCTCCCTGGACATCGGAATCTTTGATGGCCAATGTCGGTCGAGGTATCCAGGAAACTTCAAACGTATTGGCCTTGGCATCGACAACACCTGGGCAGCTGTCGTGAACTGAAATGATCTCATACGTTCCAGGTTCGTTGACTGAAAACACCGAATTTGCATTCTTCAAGAACTCCACGAACGGCTCGTCGGGATCTTCAAGGCGTCGAATGCGGACGGCCCACGGGGAGTTGCCTTTCAACCTGAGTGGCAGTTGAACTGTCTTTCCATCCATAGCCAGTGTTGATCGTTTACCGTCAATCTCACCGAAGCCTGCCCGAGGTTGCTCAGGTCTGATCTCGATTTGTCGCTGATCTTTCAACGGAGTACGGCAGCCTGATTTGTCCTGAACCCCAGTTAAAACAATAGCATATGTCCCTCCTTCCTTGAAGCCAGGAAGGGATATCGCATGCATGTCTACATCCGAGTGGACACTATACTTCTTCCTCTTGCCGCCGTGCACAAGCTCATAATCAAGTTTCCAGGGACCTTGGCCGGCCAATGCAACTTCCACCAAAACAGGCTCGTCGAGACACGCCTTAATGACCTGCGCATTAGGATAAAAAGTTGCAGATGCTGGCGGCATGATGTCTTGCTGGAAGACATAGCTTTTGTCCTTCAGGGATCTAGGGCCATAAACGCTATCTTCAATCTCAAGAACATTGTAGATATAAGAGCCGGCCGCATTCTCGAGTAGCTCAATTTGACCACGCATCCCACTGAACGATTGTTGCTTAACACGAGCCTGACCTTTATGGGTGATGGTGTACCTGACTTTGAAAGGCGGAGTACCAGTAAAATCCAAGTTGAGCGTCATTCCAATAGGACTTCCAGCACACTGGTCAAAAATGTCTTGTTTCTCGAGGGCGAGATCTGGGTCTGGAGGATTGAACAAAAGACACGAAGACGGCTCCGCGATCTCTCCATGACAGAATTTGCTGTCGACCGACTCAATATTGTACCGTCCAGGCTTTTGCACCTGAGGCTTTGACCGATCATTGACGACATCGAAACTGAATTCATCCGCGCGGATGGTCTCATCTTCGATATCCGCATGGTAGGTGTATTTGATTTTCAATGGCCAGTCAGACGGAGGAAATTGGCTTGCTGAATGAATACTGATTGGGAGACTGGTGGAATCTCCTCTTCGTACTGGAATCAATCCGCTTTGCTTCGAGTTGGGTAACGTCAGGCTAATACGAGGTCTGTTATGAACAGTCAAGCTCTGAACCCGAGGAGCACGGGGGTCCTTTGAAGTGCTCGAATAGTAGGTCACCTTATTTCCGAGACCATCTTCCACCTCCTCTACCATATACGAATAGCTTCCGTTCTGATGGAGTGACTCATTGATCTCGAAGGTCTCAGTGGTCGATCTGGTCCAGCCCATCTGAGGTCGATTCGGATCTATCACTGCCTCTGCGGCCTCCTCTTCCGACATATAGCCCGAGTCAGGGCGCGGTTGAACGTTCTGCACGATTGAACTTAGCTGCTTCTGATTTACAGTCTTGCTGTACTTCACTTTGAAAGGAGGCACACCAGACAGCTTCAACGCCACGTTGCTGAGATCGCCTGTGCACCGGTCTTCAGAAAGAGTTGAAATGGAAGCCTTAGGGCACGGCACAACTGCAACATCGAAACTCCGCTTCCGCACCTCCAGTTTCGTTGTGTCTATGACACGGTGGAGCTGATACAGCCCTTTCTTGGACACAGGATATCGTAAAGTCCGAGGACTGTTAGTCTCCGACCTGGGGATTCCTGCATCAGCATGCTTTTTCAGTTGCTTGGCTTGCTTGCTGCCGATCAGGATTGTTTCCACCTCATTTGTGTCAAGATCAAATCTGTGTAATTCGATCGAGATGGGAGTTGTCTGGTTGATTTGGATGGGCAGTTCGACGGATGGGTGGGAAGCATCCAGACAGAATGATGTCTTCTCGGGATTGAGGATCGCAGAGCCCTCTGGAAGAATATGAATAATCTGTTTCCCCAAAATGATTGAGGAATTCCGAAGAATGTCTGCTGGCTTGACCCGTGTCTCTGAGATGGCGAGTTCCCGATCATATGCAACCTTGACCAGAGCTCCTAACCAGGACAGGAGCGGAAGCGGGATTTTGTACATGAGAAAGGCATTCGCAATCGCATGCAAAAGCCATATTGTGAACGTGGTCGCAAATGAAAATTCCAGCCATGGAATTCTGAAGGCAGGAAGAGCCACGAAGAAGGCAGCATCAATGCCAATCCATTTCAAGAACAGCCATGTCGAGTCGAGGTCGTTTTCCACGCCGAACGAGTTGTACAGTCTCCATGCAGTCAGAGCAATGTAGAACGCGAAGACGTAGAATCTTTGCGATGGAGCATCGACTACCTCTGTGGGGATGAATGGATCACCTGTAGACTTGGAATCTACAGGTACCTTCGTCGGCTGCTTCGTGGAGGGCGCGGTTCTTCGAGAAAATGGCGAGCCTGGGGAGTCAAAGCTCGAACAATCTTTGGGATTTGAGTTGCGAAAACGAGGCTGTGTTTGGGGAGTAGTAGGGAAGGCCGACCGCAGTCGCGGCGTTTCGTTCATTGCACCATGCGGCTGTGGAAAGTCCTCCTCTTTTGCCTGAAGTGTGTGTTGTTCTCCTGGTCGCAGCCAACTCGAGGATGTTGCAGGTTTCGGGAAGTAACACTGTACTCGACAAGGTGCTGGTGCGTCTTCTTTGAACAGACACAAGATATGGCTAAACCAGCCTTTCTACAGGGAGAACACAGCCCCGGCAGAGCAATCAATCGGTTGTGAAGGTGGACAAAGAAAAGATTCAATGGCAGAGACCGGGCACGATTTCCTGCAGGCAGAGTCGCGTTTTCTCCCAGCGCGCGTCATAGTGTAGAGTCGCCCAGCCTTGTCAGCCTCGCGCAGCCTCGTCAGGCTTGGCATTGGCCGGCAAGGCTGAGATCTCCCTGGGGATTCGATGCTTGCAAAACTACAGGAAAGGTCATGTAGCCAGCTGGCAGAGTCCCTCAAGCTTCTACCAAACTTGTGTTGCATACCCGTCATCATTAACACTCGGTTAAGGACCTATACACTGTGTCATTTCCGTCACAGCAACATCAGTCCACTCTCCCTTGGATTCCCTGCCTCAACCTGAATGCATATCCGCCATGTTTGCTCTGTTCAATCCCCACTCTGCCTGTACTCACACCTTCGTACTCGCCAAACATTTCACGCTTTTTGCCAACTGCCTGCTCCGCTCTCTCGCCTTCAAAATGAGCCGCCACCAACCCGGAAGTACTCAATCGCTCCCGTATTCCATTTGAGTCTTTTGGGTGTGAACGCAGTGCTATGATGGCTAGCAATACGCCTACGGCAGCATACAGTGAATTCAACCCCACGAGAGCGTACAGAGGTGCCTTGGGAACTCTCGCAACCAACTTTGTGCTTCGCTGTTGCTCTTCCAGGTCAGCTCTGCCACTCATAATGCCAGAACTCAGGGCCAAAGCGGCTCTCGAGTAAGCCTGTGCCCACGAATCTGCCATCTGTTCTGTGTCGTTGTACTGTGACGCCGAATATGCAGCCGTTTCTAGCGCAACCTTGCCGAAGCCATAGTAGTTTCCCGCGTTGAGGATTGTCCCCACAGAGCCATTCGCCATTTCCGCGGTTGCATGTTGTACGCTTCCATTGAGGAAGTCGTAACTGATCTGATACGCAGTGGCAGTGCAATTCAGAAGCCAGCTAGTGCCACCCTGGCTTGGGACAACAACATTGCCGTCTGCAGTCTGGTCACCGGTGGCGGGCAGTTCGACGTGAGCCCAAACTCCAATGTGGTGAGGATTGCTCGGTCGCATGAGGTAAGTTTCGTTCCCAGACTCTGATGAAGCGTTTGCTAGATCCGTCAGTGCCGCATTGCGGAAGAATACAATGCCAGCACTCCGAAAAGGAAGTCCAGTCACAACATCGTTCTCTTCGCCGTTGATACTGGGCACAGCCAGATTCCCATAGAAGGCGTCTGTGCATGTGAAAGGCTCCAACTCTCCGGTCTCAGCATGGAGGCCGCATTGGCGACCGATTTGGGTGCAGGTGGTGTGCATGGCAAGGGATTCTGCCCTGTAATCGAGTCCATCAGGGTTATCAGCCGGCCCCAAATAGGCCATGCGCATGTTGTTGATGAGGACATCATAGACTGCGTTGGTGCTCGATGTATTGGACATGACTCGAGCGGCTTCGTTTGCTCCGACAAGGAACACTTTCCCTTGATCGCTGATGATGCAGTCGCCCGCATTAAAACTAGCTGATGATTGCGTCGAACAAGGACCATCCGGCAGACCGCGTCCAAGAGCCATGATGGGGGATTGTGGCTCGACTATTTCGATATTGATTGCTTCGATCACCAAGTGCAGCCATGTATCGACGGCTGCGATGGTGTATCCTAGAACTGTAAACAGAGTCAAAAGGATCAGCGCATTACGCACGCTGGAAGCCATCTTCTCCTTGTTCGGCCAACTCCGATATGCCACCAAGTTCAACAAAGGGGTGATACCGCCTGTCATGGATTCCAAGAGCATGCCGAATTGGTACGGCGTCGGTAAGTCTCGGTCTGCTATTTGCGAGTGCTCCTTCAGTTGTTTGGCGATGGGAAAAGACACGAGTGTCATGGCGCAAACGGTGAGTAGAGGTGCTACAGTGCTGGACCATGAAGCAATCGTCACAAGAGTTGTCGGATTGAAGTTGACATAGTAAGCATCGCTGTCGAGTTTCGTTCCTCGATTTGCCAGGGCATTGTTCGCCGTCGCTGAGGGCTCTTTCACCTCGTGGGCGAGCACCAAGCCCAGTGCCAAACTTGCCAGTCCCAACATGAGAACCACGATGAGGGCCACTGTCCCAAATATGATCTTCTTGCCTCCGCTGGGTGGACTCGTCAGGAAGTGAGAATCTTTCGGCGGATATGAAGGCAAGTCCGAGTCGCGCCGACCGTGTCCTGACGAGGGGAATTCGTCGCGACCCATTTCGTCAAGAGGGATGTCATTATTGAACCGGAAGCCATCTTGCGGCTCAACGAGAGCGTTATACTGTGGTTTAGAAGACAAGGAACGCTCCATAAGCTGCGCCAGGGGGTCATATGCAGTAAGGGTTGTTGCATAAAGAGCAAATGCGAAATGATATTGCGGTCAGGACGAGAGTCTAGAATGTGTCGCAGAAGTTCCATAGATAGATGGCCTAATCGGCCCTCTGAACCCCAACATCATTCTCGTTTATTACCTTTTGTTGGCTTGATTGGGATCAGCAGCGCTTCCAAGCATTGTTCTCGGTGGTACCGTCTCCGCTGTTACTCGAAATTGAAAGGCTTCTGTGTGCAATGATTGGGTCCCACAGACCTATGCGACGAGGCTGGAGGCTCTCGGCGTAAGCAGCCTAAGCAGGGTGCTTTAAGGGGCTCGCTCATCTTATCAGGCTCCCCAACTAGGCGGATCGGCTTAGAGAAGGGGCCAATTTCTGTAAAAAAAGTCCCAAGTCACCGCTTGTCAAGCTGCAAGCTCTGAATCCTTGTACCCTGTCCATCATTTCAAAAATGGGTCGGAGACGTTAGGTTTCATCCTTTTGGATTTACTTCGAGCGGTCTGGTGCTATTTTCCAGGTACTGCGAGCGCTTCCACTCGTTTCACGGACCTACAATATCAAAGTCATCCAGTTTCTGCTGCTAGCAGAATTGAAGACCCCTGGCCTATGGCTCTTTCGCGCTGAACGCGAAGGACGACATTCACACTGGCTGGTCCTTCCGGAGCTTCACGTCTTCGCCTGCCCACACGCCACCTTCCTGTCTGGCTTTGATCCTGAGTCTTCGCACCCGCCGGACGTCGTTCTCGTTCTTATGAGTAAGGTACCATGTCCAGACATTTGCAAGCCAACTCGCTCCGATGGCTCCTGCGCAGATGCCAAAGGACACCTTGTATCCATTGTGTGCGTATTTCTGTCTGAAAAGCTGTGGTCCAACAACTCCGCCAACCTGGCCAATACAGGATTGGAATGCAAGTGTGAAGGCTGTGCCGGTAGAGCCTTCTAGAGTTGCAGAGCGCCCTGGTACGACATTAGCACTGGGTGAGACAAGGGATCGGCGTCCAACTTACAAGCCCAGAACGGTATGAAATACACCGAGTAGAACATGGTTCCAAAAATACAAGCAATGTACGTTGCAGTCCGGCTGACGTCGGTGACAAGGACGAGGAAAAATGCCAGTGCCCCAGCACAAATGATCATGATGAATGCTGGTCGCGTCATAAACGCACGACTGAGAAACCAACCGGCAAAGATGATTGACAAGACGCTTGCTGCCGCTGGTGGTATGTTGAGCAACTGGTTTCGAGGGAGACCTGCAAATCCAAGGCCGGTGGTGACTGTTGGCAATTGCCATTGGAGACCGTATCCACCGAGGTTCATAAGGATCTGAGACAGGCAAAACGCATATGTGCGAGGATTCTTCAGCGAAGCTAGTACTTCTTTCTTGCTAAAAGCAGGGTCATCCGTGCGCGGAGCATTCTCGGTAAGTCGCATCTCGATGTATTCTTGCTCTCGTGGCGTCAACCATTTCGCAGACCGCTTAGATTTGGGATAATCAGGGAGGACGACGAAAACGACACCGGCGAAGAGGACAGTGAAAATCCCTTCCAGAAGGTAGACCCTGAACAGCGGATTTCAGCATCAGACCTTGGCTACGGCATCGATCCTATGACCTCTCGAGTATCGACTTACCATTGCCAACCACTCAATCCACCCAGACCATTCATATAACTCACGCCATAAGCCACGATTGAACCAACTATTCCGGCGCAATTCTGAAAGCCAAACATCCACATTATTGGCTTGCCCATCTCGTCACTGCGGTACCAAGAACAGAGCTATAAACAAACATGTGAGAAACAAGTGTTGAAAAGCCATGTCGCTACTGACCTGAGCAGCGAGACCGGGGAACAATCCCGCCTCCATCATTCCGAGGAAGAAACGAGCCGTATACAAGCCGTGCTTGTTCGTCACTGCAGCATGAGCGGCAAGCACCTAGCGGATTGTCAGCTTCCATTCCAAGTTTGAAACGAGGCAGAGAACGCACAACTCCCCAAGTCCCAATGATCCGAGACTGCCAGTGTCGAGGTGTTATCCTTTTCAAAAGGAGGTTGGATGGAGTCTCAAACACAATATAGGATATCTCATATGAAGTCAGATACCCTTTCAACCTTTATGGCGAATGGACTCACGAAATAAATGGACTGCACCCAATTGTACTCGTCGGGCGTCATTTTCAATTCCGTCAATATATTCCGAGGCTCGCCGACCTGCAGAACCTTGACAGTGGCCGCATTCGTGTAGTCCACATTTTTAAGCATATACATCAGTCCAATGAGTAACAGGAACCTTTTGTCGACCTTGCGCATTATTCTGCGGTCTTCTTCGGCCGTGAACGTCGACAGGAAGGCGGCCCGCTGGTCGGATAGCGAAGATGAGGATGACCTCGTCAGAGTCTCCTCTGTACGCAGGACAGCTTCTCCAGCCTTGGAGGCCTCGTATTCTGCCCCCGCCATGGTGATAGAGTTGGTAAATAGGCTTCAAGCCCGGATGAGGCTCTGCGAGGCTTTTTCGGGACTTTTGTTATTCGTTGATGGGAGCCCCGTGCACAATGGTCCTCTTTGTTGGTACTTTTGTTACTTTGTTGACGGGAACCTCGTGCACAAAATTGTACTCAACATGTGGCAGTCACTTGCATAGGGACAAGGTCTTATGAGGCTGAACCGCCATCTCGGGTGGCGCTCTTGGATCGCACAGTTCCGGAAGCATCTGCCTGATAGCCCCATTCTCGACGACATAGATAGCGGACTTGTCCATATTGCTGAGATTCCTCATTGAAACTAAAATTGCGTGCAAAGTGTTTGAGTGCCGGCTATACGTCGATGGGAGAGGTCCAGCATCCGTTCTTGCACAATATCGACATGGATGGCGACATTTGTGGGGCGCATATTGCGGACATCACAGTGGGCCGATAACCACCAGTACAAGGGGTATCTGGAGTACTATTTAACTAGTTATTTTTTTTTACAGAATGGAGCATATCAAGAAATGTGCACATGCGGCAGATTCTGTCGGAGCGTGCCTCAGGGCCATGATTCGCTTTCCCACGAGAATCGTAACTTGGATTCTCCAGAACGTGGTCCTTTAGATTTACCCCTGCACATCAGGGCTCGTCCGATGACCTTGGGGTAATCGTTCTACCACATTCGACCTTGGAAGTGGGAGTGGAGGTAGGCCAGGAAGAGACATTTGGCTCGTATCGTACGTGCGTATTTTCACCTATGCCCAAATAAAGTTCTTGTCTATATCTGTATGTGTAAGTCTAACGATTTTGAACCAAATGCTTGATCATATATGCAATGCACTTTTCGTAAACTAGGAGACTCTCACGACGAGTCTCCCACCGCTCACCTCACCTCTTCTCATGCAGTCTAGGGCGTGATTGATTGAACCGAAACCTTCTTGGACCCCCAGCACGGTGGGAGGCACCAGAAGGCCCTGGCTGAGCAGCCGTTCCAGCCACAGCATCAAAGACTCTCCAACTTCGGGGACTTCGTGGAACAGTTTGATCGGTACATTGTGGAAGGCGACGTTGGACGGCGGTGAGGCCTTGGGAAGTCCCGAAAGGCCGATCAGATGAGACGAAAGCACGTCTCCCTGTGCTGTGGTGGAGAGTGGTTCGTCGTCGAGTGCATTTTGTTGTTGTAAACAATCCAAAAGATGTCCCGCGGTGTCCTTGCCTACTGTGTCGGCGGCAAACCGGAGCTTCTTCTCGGTGGCCGATCTGATGATCTCGATTGCTCGTTGGGGGTCGTGACTGTCGACCACAATGTCTGGTTGGGCGGCAGGGTTAGAGGCAATCTTGAGAGCGTGCTTTCGATGATCGATGGCGATAATGGTTTTCAGACCAACAAGTCGGGCAAGTTGGTTCAGCATGAAAGCGCTCGTCGAAGAACCGCCCCAGACGGCGATCCAGTCACCCTTCCTGGCTCTCGACACTTCGTCTATGCCCTCGAGGCATTCTTTCCGGATATCTGCAGGTAGACGCGTGGCCTGTAGCTTTTTGACCATCGATAAGAGATCCGGTCCGTTGGCAACACTCGTAAAGTCGACTCCGGCACATATCCCCAGACACAGTACGGCCGCTACGAAGGCAACACCCAGGGCTGAGCCAGCCTCGGGAGTGATGTTTGGAGGTAGCCGTGCCGTGTTGAAGTCCGTAGCAACAACATACTGCTGATATGCGGCCTTTCGTAGATCTCTGTAGTCGGTAGAAATAACAATCACCTTGTCGCGAGGTTTGAAGCGGGATTTTCGTCTTGGAGAGACGGCTACCTCTCCCACCAACTCCCTCCCTGAGATGTAAGGTAACTCGGGGATGCCAAAATTGAAATCTCTGTGATTTGTCAGCCGTCCCAGTCAACAACTTGCAGAGGGTTGACGGTGTCTTACGGTGCTTTCCAGTCTATAGGGTTGAGGCCGATCGCAATGTTTCGCACGAGCAACTCTCGATTACTGGATATCGACGGCGTAGGGTGGTCCGTTACCTCTACATACCGTTGCCTTGGGCCATGGAGCAAAAGCACTCGTTGTTGCGGGCCAACGCTGCCGGATGGGTTTGGCAGCTTCTCGGACTCAGAGAGGAATATTGGCGATGGGAGGCTCTTCGATGGACTCGACGATCCGACGAAGCTGAAGAATTGCAGCAAACCCATGGTCAAGAAGGTACAAGTCGTTGAAGTTGACTGTACCAAGGTACCAAGGTATAATTAGAGGTGGTGTTTCAATACCCTGGCACTGAGGAAACGAGAATTGGCGAGAGAAAAGCAGCCCAGGCACGAATCATCGCTGTTCACCTTGCAAAATGCCCGACAAGCACGTTTTCGGTGACTTGTGCCTCGCAATCAGACACGGAACGAGCACGTTCCAATTGTCAATCGTCAGTTCTGGGGGATTTCGCACATCAACCCGGCGTATCAAAGGACCCGTCTAATCAAAGTCGTTAGGCTTCTTATCGATGGTGTGCTTGAACCGCACTATGGCACAATTAGTCTTACCAATCCCCGAACTGGCCCGCCATATAAAAGAAACGGTGCGCAATCGCTGTGGATATGCGCAGGGCCCCAGGAGAGCTAGAATTCAGCAAAGCACTTTACTCCATGTGAAGCTCGCCATCTGTGGGCAAATCCGAATGGGCTCCAGATTTATCAAACCGCGATTCCATGTCTCTGGTCAATGGGTACACCATACCAATGGCCGCGCGGGGCATGAGATGAACGCTGCTGCATACACCAGGCTGTAGTTCATGGCGTGCTCGGCGTTGCGATTGCGTGATGGAGGTTGTGGTTGAACAGCGGTTTCGGAGATCGGCAGCCATACGGCCTCGCACCGAGCGATGATTGCCCTGTCAGCTAGACAGCCGGCTGGTCTGAATTGCACTTCATATTTCTCTTTCGTTGTAGATATTGCACTTGGCCAGAGTAGAAAAGCCCAGGAGAAAGTACCAAGTGTTTGCAGTTGGTGCTGAGAAGAATCTGCCGAAAATGGGAGACGCCAAGACTAACGGCTCCGCGCCGAAGAAGCAGCTCATCCTCAATGCCTTTGCCATGGTAAGTCCAGATTTCTCACTCGAGTTTAAGGGATTAGAAGAAGCAAAGTGACACAGTCAATCTCGGGGAGACTTGGATCTTCTGCGCTTGTTTGTGGCATGGCTGACTAGACTCTCACCGCAGAACACACCAGGACATCTGGCCCCTGGTCTTTGGCGACATCCGCGAAACCAAACCAACAACTACAAGAAGCTGAGCTTCTGGACCGATCTCGCTCAACTGCTTGACAGGGCTGGATTTCATGCTCTATTTCTTGCTGATGTCCTTGGATGCTATGATGGTAGGTCTACCTGGACTGACCCCGACCGTCGCTTCTCATGTCCCATCAACTGGCCAACACCAGCAACATGATACGGGAACTGCATTCTAACCATCCATTCCAGTCTACAAGGGTCCGGCAAATACCACGCCTGCCCTAGGCGCGGGAGCACAGTTTCCGGTCAACGATCCACTGTATCTAGTGCCGGCAATGGCGGCGGTAACGAAGAATCTCGTCTTTGGCATAACAGCCAGTACGACCTATGAACAGCCTTACTCCTTGGCTCGGCGGTTTTCGACAGTTGACCATCTCAGTAACGGCCGTGTTGCATGGAACATTGTAACATCCTACCTTGACAGTGCAGCCCGCAACTTTGGCTTGTCGCAGCAAGTTGAGCACGACACACGGTATGAAATCGCCGAGGAGTATATGGATGTACTGTATAAGCTCTGGGAAGGCAGTTGGCGCGACGACGCTGTGGTGGAGGACCGCGTAACGGGGACTTATGCCGTCGGCGCGCGAGTCCGCGAGATCAACCACCACGGGAAACACTTCAACGTGCCGGGGCCTCATATCTGCGAGCCGTCGCCTCAGCGGACGCCGTTCCTGTTCCAGGCTGGCACATCTAAGACTGGTCGCGCATTTGGTGCCAAACACGCTGAAGTAATCTTCGCTGGTGCTCAACTTCCGGAGAAACTACGTCCGTCCGTGGATGCTATACGTCAACTTGCCAAAGAGGCAGGCCGAGATCCACAGCATGTGAAGGTGATCGCAAGCATATGCGTAATAGTGGCTGCAACAGACGAAGAAGCTGAGAGAAAGCATCAAGAATATCTGTCTTACGGAGACAAGGAGGGTGCTCTTGCGCTCTTCGGCGGCTGGACAGGTATTGATCTGTCTACGTATTCCGACGATGAAGATTTCCGCTTTGTCAAGAAGCCTATGATTCAGTCAATCGTGAATGGCTGGGCGGATACGGTGCCAGGGAGTAAAGATCTCAAGTGGAACAAATCCCGTATCGCTGAATATTTGCTTGTGGGAGGACTGAATGGGAAAGCCATAGGGTCACCAACAACTGTTGCGGATGAGCTTGAGCGTTGGGTCGAAGTGGCAGATATCGACGGTTTCAATCTCAATCATGTGACCAATCCGGGGTCCTTTGAGGATATCATTGAATATTTGCTGCCTGAACTCAGGAAGCGAGGTATTTTCCGCAATGGTGTGGAACAGGAAGGGCTGACGGCTCGCGAACAATTCTTCGGCTCGGCATCTCTCCTGAGTGATCATCCTGGGAGTAAATACAAATGGTCGAAGGAGCATGAAATTCCTCCCTACCAGCAAAAGGGAGGTAGTTGAATAGCAGGAGGTGAAAGAGATAGACCCAGGACCAGCTTGAACTTCTGAGGCCATTACCATCACCAACGATCAATGATCGATCAATTACCTCCAGCTCTGCAAACAAGGAAAGTTTGTTCTTTGGGCTGTCTTAGTAGTCTGAGAAACCGAAAGAAGGGTTTCCAGCAAACGTGTAATTTGAGAATACATCAATGAAGCAATGTGCTCTTCTGTTGGAACACATGAGACAAGGTGTATGGATAAATCTAGATACCTGGCAATGAGCAGATTCTCGATCAGCCTCAGCCTTGCCGCTGACTAACAGTGACAGCCTCGTGCCAAGACTGGTGAGGCTGACCCGAATTCGGCCACCTGCGGCATTTGCTGTCTCTGCTTTCCCTTCCCTCGGACTCTCTCAATTCTTACCGGCACTTTAGACGCGATGGGTGTGCATGGAAGATCCAGTCACGCGACTCATCCTGTTCGTTAGTGAATGCGCTTCATGCTGCACGTGCAAGCACAGTGACAACAGTCGGAAAAGTCCCGATGGAGCTGTGTTGTCCTTCTTCAACCCCTTGTTCCCGGAAGGACCTCTTCGCCCCGCGGCAAAGGAATCTGCTCAAGAAGCTACAATCTCCTGAAAGGGATTGTTGTAGAAGTGAAGATGCTGTGCGCGGACGACAGCACTTCTACCACGCTTGCCCTCCAGTCAGCAAGTGACGACACGGTAAGAACTGGCAATTCGACGGTAACCTCTTCAACAGCGGACGATGTAACCGACGGCAAAGACGATACGCCATCCTCTGATACTATCGCTCGTCCCTGGGCTGGATGGGCTGAACTAGAGAATGACCCGGTACAGTCACACGTATCTCACCTCGCGCACCTGAGATCAGCTAACACATAGCGCAGACTATCTTTACGACACTGTTGCGGGAATGGGGAGTCCCGAGCATCCAAGTGAATGAAGTGGTGCCTCTTGATAGCATCTTTGACCACGATCCGTGTGTAATGGATGGACTCGATCAAGACCGGATGATACTGACGACCGCAGGGACGAAGTTTTTGGGCTGATCTTCCTCTCGCGATGGGTGCCCGAAGAATCAGAAAACGAGATTACAGAGGCACCGAAGGATGTATGGTTTGCAAACCAGGTACTTTTTATTACTCCTGTGACTTGTGATGACGCCTAATGTCGATCAGACTTCGGCTTTCTCATGTGCGACTGTCTCACTGATGAATATTGTCAACAATCATCCCAACGTTGATCTGGGCGATTCATTGAATGAGTTCCGTTCAAAGACCATGAACATGACTCCTAAAGAGCGCGGCCTTGCTCTGGATACTTTCGACCATGTCCGAGAAGTTCACAATTCCTTTGCAACGGACATTGACAAAATGAACGTCGATCTGCGATTAAAGCAAGACTTTCTTACAGCAGAGAAGAAAAAGAAGGCCGAACAGTCCAAACATCCTCGCAAGAAGCGGAAGCAAATCGAAGAGTTTGACGATGAGGAGAACGGTTTCCATTTTGTGGCCTACGTGCCTGCTGAAGGGTTTGTCTGGAAGATGGACGGTATGGAAGTATACCCCCGCCAGGTCGGAGCTCTTGCCACAGGCGATAGCTGGGTTGCTATGGTGCTGCCCGAACTCCAAGCCCAATGGGAATCGGCCAGCACAAATGACCTGGAATTCTCCTTGCTATCGTTGACAAAGATGAAGGACCCGTCATTTTTGGAGGAGGACCAAAAAAAGATGGACCGAGTGAGAGAGGACTGGGAGCCTTTCTTTGCCCAACTCATCAAGACACATGCAGAGAAGGGCACTTTGAAAGACTTGCTGGGTTGAAGGACGCGAAACGTTGCGGAGCATGCTCTTCCTCACTCATAATTTATTGTGAATTGGTGACAGACGCCTGTGTGGTGAGAATACATGGTCTGGAATGAATGATCATAACCTTGTCCACTTATACAATACGCGATCTTGCATCTTGCCATGTCCTTTAGGCTAGTATCTGTCGTGAATTCAGCTCTTAATAGTATTGTGGTGCGGTTCATCCCGGCATTGTCACGTGTTCGTTGCCGTGACGTTTGGATTTCTTCATCTTCATCTTGGAACGATGAACCAAAGACGAGCATCGCATTCCCTTTTCCGCCACATCTTCAATTCCCTCTTTTACAGCATGCCCACTACATAGTCCGGATGTCCATGCCACATCATCATGTCTGGCGATCTTGCTGATGACGATGCGGTGGCGCGCTTTCCAGAGAGCCATGGACCATCTCACCTCACAACTCTCCCCGATGAAGTTCTTCAACAGATATTGTCGTATCTGCCTCCATTGACCACAGTCGCGCTACAGCACACATGTCGGCGCTTTGCACATACGGCCAATGAACCACTCTTGTGGAAACGATATTGCCAACAATGCCGTCGGTGGAGCAGACGACACAACATTCAGTCCAAGTTACGGGACACTTCTTTCACCGATTGGAAGTCACTCTATGCCAGTCGTTACTTGGCCTCCCAAACGACACGGAACGCCATCGGCAAAATGGTGGCTGAGGAAGTTGGAAGACTCGATTCGGTCAAGGAGATTCTTGACCTCGGAATCGACGCCAAAGAAGAGCTTTTGCACCTGTATCGGAATGCTGCGTCGTCACCAAACCACCTCGCACAGAAGTAAGTGGTGTGGGCCAATCTGGTCTCGGACCGTGGGCTAATCCAAACCTCAATTCAAAGATACTGGAGTCATGGCGCACTTGGCTGTCTCAATCGTTTCCTGGCCGCCGATGAATGGACGAGCATCGTAACCGACCTTGACACAGAAGAAGTCAATGCTTTCGAACGGCCGATTGCTGCTCTTGACCTCTTTGTTCTTGAAGACAGAGAGCAGGGAGACATTGACGATGTATGTTTCAGTTACAGTGGGCTTCCATGAGTACCTTACTGACCCGCTAGATCTTCGAGAGGCTAGACTCTTATGTATCATCAGTCCGCGATGCTCATCCCGATATCGACACCAAGTCACCAAGAGCCAAAGCCAGCATCATTGCCGGACACCTGCTACAGAATAACTGGGTTGGCATCCAGGGCAATCGCAACTATCACAGCATAGACCATATGTTTCTCGGCGTCGCACTGTTCAGCGAAAACCGAAACTCAGTCCCTCTGATCTCGGCCGTCATCTACTGCTACGTCGCCCGCCATTTCGGGCTTCAGGCAGCGCCGTGTAGCTACCCTTACCATGTTCACGCACTCGTCCAACCACCAAGTGGCATGGATCTGAACGGGAACCCTCTACCCGAATCGTTCGATGGCCATGACGGTAACGCCCGCGAACTGACCCATCTTTACATGGACCCCTTCAACACCGCGGAACCCATCTCATATTCGATGCTGGTCGCACGGGCGCGCTTCGTCGCCCCGTCCTCGTCGGCATCGCAGATAGAATCATACCTCTCGCCATCGTCGGCTCAGGATCTCGTCACCCGCACGTGCTACAACATCCTCTCGTCCCCGTCTCACTTCCGAGGCGACCCGGTGTTCCCCGTCGACGGCCGTCTCGCGTCCTACGCGGCGCTGTTCGCCCTCACCGTCCTCCCGCCGCGCGCAGCACACGACCACGACCAGTTCGGCCAGCACCTCAGGATCCTGACGCGCCACTTCTTCGAATACTTCGACCTCGACGTCCACCTGTTCGAGGCCTTTGTCCTGCCGCTGACCCGCGCGTTCGAGGACGCCAGGGCCTACCGCAACCTCATCTTCCAGATCAAGGAAGCCGACCACGAGCTTCCGCCGCCCAAGTACCGCTCCGACCCACGGAACGAAGGCGTCAAATACCGCGTCGGCCAGGTCTTCCGGCACCGCATCCGCGGCTACCACGCCGTCATCTACGGCTGGGACGCCTACTGCAAGATGCAAGAGCAGTGGATCACGCACAACCAGGTCGACCGGCTGTCCAACGGTCGACACCAGCCCTTTTACAATGTCCTCGTCGACGACAAGTCGACGCGCTACGTGGCCGAGGAGAACGTGGTGTTGTTGTCGCCCGACCAGATCACGGACGAGGTGCTGAATTCGTTCAGCATCGAGATCGGCAAGTGGTTCAAGCGCTATGATGCCCCCACGGGCACTTTTGTGAGTAATGTGCGCCATCGGTATCCTGATGATTGATTTCTTGACGGCATTGGAATGGACGTCAACCTGTCTTCATGCCTGCGTGGATGTATGTACCTCACGGTCCGTCATGATACGTGCAATGTATACGTGTGTGTGTGTGGATGTATGCACCCCGTGCGCGTACGTATCTATGTATATACCTAGGTAGGGAGAAAGTGACGACATGACTACGGAGCTAAAGTAGGTTGGTAATCTGGTTCGTTGGAAAGGATTAGCTTAGCTATCCAGGATTTGGTAGAGTGGTGGAGAGGAACAACTTGGGGTTCGTATATCAGTCGACGCCTTCTAGTCTCCAGATTACCTGGGTAGTTGGATCGTGACTCGGAAGAGACCATGAGAAGCGCCGGATAGTGGACACGACACAACATGATGAGATTTACAACATGAATGAAACACATGAGCTTCGTTCTACTTCGGCGCGACCGCAAAGTAAGGTCCAAGACTCCTTGAGAGATTCTATTCTATTTTTTGGCGGTGCGACGTCGCCTTGCGTTTGCCTAGAGATAGGATTGCTAAGGTGAGTAGATTGTACACACGTTGAATTATTATTGTTTGAAGGTGATTGTAATAGGAGATGAAGACATAAGGAGAAGGAGAAGGGGGAGAAGAAGAGCCAGCTCGACAGAGCCATGATTCTCGGGCATTTCAGAGGAGGGTTGGGCTTTTGAGGGCCGTACATCAAGCTCAGACCATGTTGGTCAAGGCTGAGCAGAGATACTATATACATATATTCCGCATATGCGTGGAACATGATGGAGTTGAGAATTCATTCACAGTGGACACCAATCAAGTGTGATGTCTTTTGACTCTTTGGTTCCGTAACTTCTAAGATGCGCGCGTCTATAGATATCATCGATCGAGAGCTTGCTCTTGACACTGCAGTGGTGATTTAAGAATTAGCCTTGCCATTCTTGTTTTTCAACTCGACTCCCAAAATTCAATTTTGGGCGCTACTCGGTGGATGAAAACACGAAAGACCCAAGGAACGACAAAACACGAGGCTTTTCAAAACAGGCGGGTACTGTATGGGTAAGGGGTTGTGGAGCTCAATGCTTACCATCTGCCAATACGCCCCCCTCCTCCGCAACAAATCATGATGCGTACCGTGTTCCAGAATTCTCGACCCCGTTCCAACTTCGCTCTCGCCAAACACAAAAATCAGATCTGCCTTCTGGATTGTAGCGAGACGATGCGCGACCGCAATCACAGTCATGCTTCTTTGGCCTGCCAGGTTCTCGATCGCGGCCTGCACGAGCTTTTCGGACTGCGAGTCGAGACTGGACGTCGCCTCGTCGAGCAAGAGGAGCATGGGTTCCCGGAGCAGCGCACGGGCAAGGCACAAGCGCTGTTTCTGTCCTCCGCTGAGCGATGTTTGCGTGTTGATGCCCAAGGGTGTCGCATACCCGTCTGGTAGGGAGGTGATGAAGTCATGGATCTCTGCCGCTTGGCAGGCGCGGACAATTTTGGCGTCGTCAAGGGCAGCCTCACCGTCCGACAGACCCAGGACGAGATTCTCGCGGATCGTGCCGTCAAAGAGTTTGGGTTCTTGGGCCACCAGGGACAGGGCCCGACGGTAGGATGATAATTCTAAGTCGCGAATATCTGTGTCGTTGAAGAGAATCGTGCCTTCGCTGGGCTCGTAGAAGCGCTCCAGGAGCGATATGACTGTTGTTTTACCGCAGCCGGATGGACCGACGAAGGCTACGAAATGTCCTGCGGGTATGGAGATATTGAGTCGCCGGTAAATGGGAGTGTTGCGGGTCGGGTATTGGAACGTCACATTGTGGAAGTCGATTTTGGCACCGGTTCGGGAGGGGGTGAGTGTGGAGTGTGGGCGCGTGGAGGTCTTGCGTTTATTTTCGGCGACTTCGTGTCGGATGTCGAGAATACGGTTGGCGGCCGCGGTGGCGTTGGCCAAGTCAGGTGCGAAACTGAGGAATTGGCCAGCGCCTTGGGCACCCATGATGAGGGCGATGTAGATGACGAAGAACTGAGTAGTGGTATATTCGTGAGATGCAAGGAGCTGGCCACCGTACCTGTGAGCAGAACGTTAGCAGGCGTTAGTCAAAACGTCAGGAGAAGGTTGTGGTAGAGAGTGCAGCGGGACGGCAAACCAGAATGTCAGTGCGATTGAGCAGAGTTCGAGACTATCGGATAGAGCAAAGACAAGAGCAGCATAGGTCGCTTTTCGTGTTGATTTGCGGATCTGATCGCGCAGCAGCGTCTGATATTTGGTGATGATGGTGTCTTCCATGGTCAGTGAGGTGACTGTGCGGAAGGCACCGATGGCCTCGTTGGCGAACTGCGAGCTTTGCGAAAAGACCTGGTTGTTCCACTCCTCGAAGGTCAGGTCGAATCGGATGCGGACCATGAATGCTACCAAAATGACGGGCATCGCAGAGAACAAGACGACCACGGTCAATTTCCACCCGTACGTGAAGGAGATGGCGATGCATCCAATGACATTAAAGACAGCAATGGCAGGGAAAATGCCGTTGAAGCCCAGTAGGTCCTGAAGCACTTTGGGGTCTGTGGAGAGACGACCCATTAGAGAGCCGGATGAATTGCCCTCTCGGTCGTAGAATGGGATCGGGTTACGAAGTATGTTTTGAAAGTATTCAAGTCGATATGTGGTTCCCACGAGCTGTTCTTTTGTGTTAGAGTTTTGAGTTGCTGGCCACAACAGGGGGACAGGCGTACCACTGATATGTAATTGGAGACGTAGCCCAGCGTGAAATAACAAAGACCAACACCGAGGGCGAGGATGAAGAAGATCAACGACCAAAAGTCACCGCGGGACTTGAGTTTGTTTCCGGTATAAGTGAACACTTCAATAAGGTTGGCGAAGATGTAACTCTGCAATGGGTACCCAGCTGTGCGGCGACACACTTCCGTTAGCAAGTCGATTACTACGAGAGATATCGTAGCATGAAACACTGACCTGCCGCTCCCAAAACACCTGCAACAAGCACAACATATATCTTCCAATGACGCCGCTGCTCGTAGAAAAAGAGCCCTACCGAGCCTATTAAGCCTTTGCGTTTGTAGGCAGTGGCTGACACTTCCGCAGTCTGTTTGGTGGAAGCTATTGTGTCGATTCGTTCCACGGCATCGATAGATCCTTCATCGGCGTCTGTCATTGGAGGCGCCGTCTCTGCCTCTAGCTGCTGTGCATGTACGAGACCGGCGTAAACGCCATCCGGAATGGACAGAAGTGTGTCGTGGGTGCCTTCTTCAACTTTGCGCCCTTGACGCATGACGACGATTTTATCGGCTTTTCGGATTGTGGAAAGCCGATGTGCAATGACTATGGTCGTGCGATTTCGGGAGACTCGATCCAGAGCTTGTTGCACTATCTTCTCACCACGGACGTCGATTGAACTTGTTGCTTCATCGAGGATTAGAATGACAGGCTCGCGGATGATGCTGCGGGCGATGGCCAGACGTTGACGCTGACCACCGCTCAACTTGATGCCGCTTTCGCCGACTTTGGTCAGATATCCCTACCACAGTTAGTGATTATCAGTTAAGGTGTATGGGGTTGCACATACGTCTGGAAGCTGACGTATAAACTCATCTGCAAAAGCTTCCTTGCAGGCATTTTCCACACGCTGTCTTTTCAGCTCGTCGCTCTCATTCTCCCATTTGGTACCAAGTAAGCCAAAGGAGACATTGTTAAGGATTGTATCGTTGAAGATAAATGGTTCCTGCTGAACAAGTCCAATTTGCAATCGCCACCACTTCAATTTCGTATCGGAGATATTATGACCACCCACAAAGATTGCGCCGTGGTTCATGGCTGGCGCGTTCTTCTCTTGTGCGTTACTTTCGGTCTCAGCCATTGCCGCGGAAGCTGATTTGCCACCCCGAGACTTATGTGCCTCCTCTTCGCCATCCTTGTCCGGTCTGAGTTCGTACCAGCGCTCCAATAATGCGACGATTGTGCTCTTGCCACTGCCCGAAGGACCTACCAGAGCAGTCGTTTTGCCATTCGGAAAAGAGGCATCGAAACCTTGCAGAACGGGAACATGTTGTCGCGAGGGATAGGCAAAGGAGACGTCTCTGAATTCGATATCTTGGTGGGAGCTCACGTCCGATTCGTCCAAGCCTTCATAAGACAAGCTGGGGGAATCGATCATTGCAAAGAATTCGGTCGAAGCACCAATGGCTTTCTGCATTAGAATGAGAGGTGCGACCAGGGTGCCCAAAACGCCGACGACTATGAGAATGGAGAAGAAGACACTGAGGAAGTTGTCAGCGAGAATGTCATGGGTGGATGATGGAGAACTCAGACGTTATGACGGTGCTGATGTTGTCGATGTGGCCTTCACGTAAGAGTTTCAAGCCAAACCAGAAGGACAGGGCGAAGCTGCAATATATGGAAAAGTATATCGGCCATAGTTGAATGCCCATCTGCATAGACATGCTGAGGCCATGCTTTTTGGCATCTCCCACTGCTGAGAAATACTTCCTGGTCAAGGCTGGTTCTGCGCCTAACGAGAAGACTGCTCGAACTGAGCTGAAAATCTCTCCAGCTATCGAAGCTGCTCTTTCATTCGCTTTTTCCAGTTGCTGCATCTGCTTGAGGACTATGGGCGTGCTAATGGAATACACCACCAGCACAAAGAGTAATGTTGAGCTCGTCACCAGTGTCATGGCCCACGAATATCGAAATGCAACGGCATAGGCTGAAATTATCAGGGCGAGGGACATGAACAGGGAATGAAGCTTGTCCGATATACTCATTTGAATCGTGTTGGCAGAAGTGGTGATCGTGTTTGTCACCGTGCCCGATGAAACCTCGTCCAACCTCTTGATCGGTTGTGAAAAAAGCGACTTCATATAGGCCAGTCTCAAGTTGGCAGATATTCGAAGTCCCGTCGTCCGGAAGCAGAACTTTATCATATTAGTCCACAACATAAGAGCGGAATGGCACTAGCAGGGACCACAAACCATTGAGACATAGGTCAAGCCGAACTTGGCTATAAACAAGGCGAAGATGTATAGGCTATGAACGGTCAGGGCACGAGACAGAGCTTCATAGTTTTCTCGCAACATACGCATTCTTGTTGACCGAGCTTTTGAATTCTGACTCAGTCACACCGCTGTCTGGGACGAAGTAGCCATTGAAGTCGCCAACCAAATTGCCAAAGACAATATTCATCAGTGGGAGTGCCTGTGGAAGGGAATCAGCTTGATCGCTCAAATTGGGCTTGTTGCTGCCCGACATACTGTGCCCGAGGCGACGGCGCAAAGAATCCCAATGAGAAGGCCTGCACTGTCGGTTGACGTTCTATGTGAAAGGACTCTCTGCTATGTATCAGTGTACTGGACGGGTGCTGAGGGACAACATCGAACCCAATAGTTGCCCACTTTGGGCTTTTCCTCCCGCTGCTCATCATCCTTGACGGCGATGGTAGTTTCCTCTGCAGCATCGTCGGTAGGTGCTTCGGATTCAGCAGAGGTCGACGGGTCTTTTGCCTTCGCCATCTTGACAGATCGGGACTGAGCGCAACAAGTTGAGAGGGATCATTGCTCCATCGCATTGCTTTGTGCGACTCTACCGCATGCTCATTTTGATGTCGCAAAAGGAAGAAAAACATATCAGGATGGCGGGAGCACGATGTTCGATACCTTTCTATTGCATTAGCGAGATTTACGGTACCGAGTACGTGGAGAGCGGATACGGATACGGATACGAATACGGATACGATACGCTGGTCTTCCTCCACTTCGCGATATGGGTGATTCTGCCGGTTAGGCCCCCAGGGAGATTCGATACTGGTGATTTTCGATTCGTATCAATGGTTTGCCGGCCTTTGACATCTGCCACAGCATCAGCATTGACTAAGCTGGACCTGATGTTGACCACAGAGCGCACCATATTACTCTGTAGGGTTGACCGAAATAGCCGACCAACGGTTTTGTGCCGTACGGATCATGGACTACCTATGCAGTCTCCTGCCGCTATCTCGATCTCGAAATCAGCCTGGGAAGTACAAAGGAGATTGAATTATCCATACCAAGACCATTTGGGCACAAATAGTGTATGATAATCTGATAAATCGAGTCTGCCTCGGTCGGCGTCTTCCGTGACAGCGGCGGCCGAGGCACCGAAATGGGTGGTGCAGTCTGCCTTGCCCTTGTTCTGAGTTGAGAACCGCTAATGGCAAGGAGACATGTTCATTTCAGTAGACCTTTTAGCCTTTTAGCCAAAGAACAGATGCCTCTCATGAAACAAGGTTCTTGCAAGGTGCTTGCCCTTTGGTATGGTCTACCGCACCTCTGGGTATGTCCACATCACGTGACGCTATTATCCTGCCTGCGCCCCAGCGACGACGCTGTACTCAACTCAGTCGACAACGACCGAACATATTGCTAGAAGAAGACGTTGAGTGACAACATATCAATGTGGAACAGTCTTCACATAGTACGATACGACCCTGAAGTCTGTTAATCGGAAAGGCAAGCTACCTTTGGTGAATATTTCCTCGCGTTGAGCCGGCGCAAAGAGATGTCCTCCAGTTCCTCGACCGAAACCTGATGAGATCACCTCCAAAAGCAAAGCTCCGAGAGAGGACAAGTCACGAAAGAGGTTGTATAAACCCAACATGCAATGACTGGGAAGTTGGGCAAAGTTATTGGATCGAAGAAGGGGCACCACTGGCTGCTTCCAACCAGGCTCTTCAGGGTCTGATAAGATACGCGTGTCCTTGTCAATCTTCCACACTCTCTGGTGATATGGCTTCGCTATATGACTTCGGACCTTTTGAGACCGCGCAGTTCCCAATGCCGCGGGCTATTCAGGCGACTTCTCCAACCCGTTGTCTTGCTGGCAGCGTTGTACGGTAGCAAAGGCCGCAGCAAACTCGCTCTCTCCAGCGCCAACCTTTGAAACAAAGACCATTCGTCCACCCTGGCAGTTCCATACTAGAAATCTCTCATAAACAGCTGGCGTGATAGTGTTCAGATTGGAAACTTGGTAAGTGATCGAGTATCGATGAGTCTTGACTTGACTGGATCCGTGGAATCGTTTGCCGCCTGTTCAGTATAGGCGGTGACCCCTGAGACGTTTCTTGCAAATCCTCCCGCAAGCCTTCAAGAGTTGAATTCGTCAGAGGGTCTTAACGGATTGAGTCAGACGAAAAAGGGACCCTTTTTCTGGGACCTTTGGGCTGATAGTGGTTGGAGCCGCTTTGCGCCTATAACCAATCACTTACATAAGCGTGATCAAATGCCTCTTTGTTGAGTCAATACACTGGACATCTTGTCCCGAGGAAAGCATGACGGATCCCAACACGCGCTCCCGCAAACTTCTCCAACGTCAGGAGTCGTCAGCATTGTGGCACATTTTGGGTATGTATCAGTGTCACAGGATCACTTTGGACTGATCGAGAAGAGTGCGTGTCGATACAGCTGCTATGGCTATGGTCCAGATTTTGAAGTCTGCCCGACGATATAAGAACGTCACTTCTGCCTGGAATTTCTCTTTCGTGTCTCGTGGTTAAGGCTAAAATCACCTGATGGGCATGAAGAGGAATAACTTCGGCATATTTGAGCCTTCATTACCATTGTCCGGGGTGCGAGTTCAGATATGAATCGAGTTCAAAGCCGAGGAGAGTATAGACGGGCGATACAGTCATGCAGCTTCGAGAGAAGGACGACCCTAGGCATCTCTCCTCGGTCAACAGAGTGATACACCGGTCTTTTGGTTCCAACGGTCACGCCTGAACATAGCTTGCGTGGGAATATTCCACCTTCGTCGTGCAATCATGCTCTTGGTGGCACCAGAGACACGTGCGGTTTCTAACCACTCGGCAGACCATCAATCCCCTCGTCTGATAGTTGCTGAGATGAACACTATGCAACAGAATTTCACGCCGTGCAGCTTCAGATGCTGCTAGGTAGCGTGCTCCTGGATTCCTTGCAGGTCTGCAGGGAGAAGAAGACCGTTTATCAAACCACGACAACTTATTGCCAACATGTCGTTGGCTGAAATCCCGCGAAACCCCTTCGTCCGGCTTAGAAGGACAGCGTCACCTTATCTCTGCTTGCTGATGGATGCATGGGTTGGAACTCTCCTCCAGGCATGCCCCGCGACGAGAGCGCGTCCAACACACCGACTCCGCGACCCATGGGCGCCTCGACCCAGGGGGCTCTTTGCCGCCAAGAATTGGGAGTACTGTCCGCAAGTGGCAGTTTTGCGTAGATGTTGGCAGAGCAAGTGCGATGCTACATGACCTTACTGTCCGGACAGTCTACGCACAACCATCCATTCTGTATCTCGCTGTCACTGGTGTCTTCCTGCATACAAGGCCAAGTCTGGACTATCTTGGCGCCGAGGACGGGGCGCTCTCCGCCAAGCTCTTTATGGTATCATCGAGGATCTCTCCCCTGCTTGTCTGACTTCTTCGTCGCCTTTGTTTCTCGTTCTCGAAGGTTTCAAGACGCGCAAATTCTCCAGATCTGGTGTGATTCCCGCTGTTGGCTGGGCAGATTGCATGAAGCCAAGCTCGAGATCGCTTCCCCCAATCTGCCAATATTCCGCCTGCCCGGCGACCGTCTCGGGACTTACAGCCAGTCAGTACATGTGAGTATGTTTGCGCTAGTCACTGTTTCACCCCCATACACTTCACACCGTGTCGTGAACCGTTGAGGCTGTCTATCTGCACAGCCGTCAGCAACTGCCGTGCTTGTCATCCAGGGCAGAGAACACGCGCCATGAAAGCTAAACATGAGCTCACCTGTGCCAAGTTCAGCCACAATCCTGGGCGCACCCTATTTCATCATCGAGCAGCTCTCGTGTTGCTATCAAAATGGATCACCATACTACCTTGACGTTGGCCCAGGCATCTCGGACTCCATGCCACGCTTGGACAACAATGAAGACAAGTCGACTTTGCACCACCAAATGAGACTGGTCTCCTTTTCTCCGAAGCCACACGGCATTTTGTTGGGAAGCAACAGTTGGCAGGGACATGGCCAGCACAGCCTCTCTTGATAGGTGGGTCTGGGGAACATGGACTGGAGAGTTGTAGTGCTGGCTCCTGTTCCACGGGGAAAGTGGGCTTTTGTGCACCCCAGATGTTCTGTGTATCCTCAGAAGATGTGAGTATCACCGCCCTGACTGCAGGGTCTATATATTGCCTCATTGCGCCTGCATTCTACCCACACAGTCCACCTTCTCCGGCTTGTCTTCATACCTCTGAGTCTCGTGAGCTATACCTGCGCGCGTCTACTTGGGAGCATACTACTACCTTCTCCGCACTCGCAGTCCCAATTTAGCTGCAGTCTACTTTCCCACGATGGCCATCTCAGGAGTCGATGTCCCAGTCGAGCCTCTGCGGTCCAAGGAAGATGTCGAGACTGTTGAGACAGCTTCGAACAGCTCGCAGGAAGCAGGGGGCTTTGACGCGAAGGCCACAAGACGACTCATCAGGAAGATGGATTGGGCTCTTCTTCCCTTCCTAGCACTTTTGTATCTTCTCTCCTTCCTTGATCGAACAAACATTGGAAATGCTCGTCTTGCTGGTCTTGAGGAGGACCTCGGCATGTCAGGATTGGACTATAATGTCGGTTTTCTTTTTGGACTTTCCGTTATGCGGTTTCTGACTTCATTCCAGGCTGCTCTTGCCATCTTCTTCCCTTTCTACGTGATCGTCGAGCCGTTCTCAAATTTGATGATGAAGCGAACCCGACCATCAATCTGGATCCCGACCATCATGGTCGCGTGGGGTGTATGCTGTACGCTCATGGGACTTGTACACAACTATGCGGGCCTTCTTGCCGCTCGTGCTGCCTTGGGTATCGCTGAAGGTGGCTTGTTCCCTGGTGTAACATTCTATATCACACTGTAAGCGTCGGAGTTCTCGCGGCCTTTCACTGCTAACTCATAACGTACAGATGGTATCGACGACACGAATGTGGTCTCAGGATGGTTAGTGCCTGCCGCTAATGTGTCCGGTGAGGCAAACCTATTCACTAACACCTTGTTGTAGGCAATCTTTTTCTCGGCTGCCACCGCTGCCGGGGCATTCGGTGGTCTTTTGGCTCGAGGAATTATCGAGATGGACGGGGTTGGTGGCTTGAATGGTTGGGCATGGATTTTCATTATTGAAGGCCTCATCACTCTTGTTGTCGGTATGTTTTGATCAGGAGTCCTACTTGATTGTGCAATATGCTGATAATCCCTAGCTGGCATCGCCTTTGTTGTTATGAACGACTACCCAGCTACCGCCAAGTTCCTCACTCCGGCCGAAAGAGAGGAAGTCACTCGTCGTCTCGAGCATGACAGAAGCTCTCTTGCAGATGAATATGACATGAAGTATTTCTGGCACGCCGTTAAGGACTGGAAGATTTGGGTCCATATGTTTATCACAATTGGGTACGATTCACCTCCACCATCCTCTTCGATATTGCCTTCACTAACAAGAACCCCAACAGGGTTTATACCCCTCTATACTCGATTTCACTGTTTCTGCCAACCATTGTCAAGACTCTAGGGTACACCAACGAAAAGGCTCAGCTCATGACTGTTCCACCTTACATCGTGGCTTGCTTTTGCTGTATTACCGGAGGTTTTGCCGCAGACAAACTCAAGACTCGCGGTTTGTTCATGATCGGGTTCAACGTTACGGCACTGATCGGCCTGATTATGCTTATCTCTTCCCAAAACCCTCACGTCAAATACACAGGATGTTTCTTCTTCGCCGCCGGCATCTACCCCAACGTTCCCCAGGGTGTGGCATGGAATGGCAACAACATCGGCGGTTCGGTCAAGCGTGGGGTTGGTATCGCTATGCACGTTGGATTTGGTGAGTTGTCTCCCCTCCTCCTTCGTCCTGTCATTGTTGCTAACATGTTGGGCGAATATAGGTAATCTCGGCGGCGCAATTTCGGGATTCATCTACCTTTCTAAGGACTCTCCCAAGTTCACCACTGGTCATGCCATCTTGATTGGTATGATCTCTATGAGTACGTGTCTCTCCATCTTTATGACATTGTATCTCCGACGAGAGAATGCTCGGCGCGATCGCGAGTACAAAAACCCGGCAGACTATAGTGCGCAGGACAGGCACGCCGAGAGGGAGAAGGGCGATAATGCCACATTCTTTCGCTATACGACTTGAGGTGCACTCGTTGTTGGGTTCCTTCCTGACGGGAAAAGTCAGTAGGTAACGAGTAGTTTTCGGCTGCCGTTGTTGGTCTGCTAGATTGAGCTAGAGGACATGCATGACCAGCCCTTTGGGTTGGATGGTATCATGATAGATTGATTAGATATGCTGAACAAGCCCAGTTTAACCAGACATACGTATCATTTCTTCTGGATCATGCCATTCTCTTTCCTGGTCGCATTGTACCACTCTCACCACTCATCACTCATTCTATCAATTTTCCGGGTCCATGTTATGAAAGCTCGTCGACGTACGATAGTCTGTACCCGTGTCACGAAAGCCGTCGTGTCCGCCTATGCAGGTTAAAAACGTAATGCATTATATATTTCGTAAAGTGCTGTGTCAATCCGAGACGGGTGACCTACGTGGACTTTGACTCCGTGCCAGCCTTAAACCGCCATCCGGCGGTGGCTGTAATGCTGCATCTGGGACCACATATATGTTAACGTCTGGTTTACTGCTGCTGCTGCTGCTGCTGCTGGTGTTGTTGTTGTTGCTGTAATGAGATCTATTCGGTTTCATCTTTCGTCGTCGTTTCCAAATCGTCCATTTCCAGCGCTGCCTCTTCATCACTTGGTCGTCGTCGTCCTCCTCCACGGCCCCGCCCAGCCATGGGAATTCTTGGCGACGACTGGTGTCCGCGTCCACCACCGGCACCAGCAGGATGGTGATGACGACCCTTGACTGAGCCCGAGCGAGAAGTGGAGGTGGAAGTGGAAGCGGAGGGAGTGCGGTCGTCCTCCTCGTGCTGGTGCAACCTCATATTGACGAACATGGCGTACAGGCCGAAATCGTAGGCCAGGCGACACACGCCCGCGACGACGAAGGCGATCCAGAAGCGCTTGTCGGCCGCCAGGGCCCCGGTGACGGTCGGGCCGGCCATGGCGGCCAGGGTGCGGAGCATGGCGGTGATGCCCATGACGGCGGTGCGCTCGTCGGGCCTGACGGCGGCGGCGATGAAGGCCGACCGCGGCGCCTGGTCCATGTTGTTCAGGCCGGCGCGCACGAGCAGGAGCGCCGCGGCGAGCGCGAACCACGGCGGGAAGGGGAACAGGAGCACGGCGGCCGACGACGGCACGTGCGTGAAGACCATGGTGTTGATCAGGCCGATCCGGCGCGCGAGCGGGCCCGCGAACACGGCGCCCACGGCGCCCAGGAAGTACGCCAGGGACGTCACGTCGCCGAGCGCCGACTTGGACGGCCGGAACCGCAGGTCCAGGAAGTAGTTGGTCAGCGAGTACGGCACCATCCCGTCCGCGAGAGAGTCGACCGCGAGCAGGAACCAGAGTTTGTACATTATTGCCCGCGTCGGGGCGGAGATTTGCGTGAACCGCCGTGCGAAGAAGTTTGATATACGAGCTTGAAATCGAGACCGAGGTCCGCCGGAACGATGGTCGTGGCCTTCGTCTTCTGCTGGTGTCGATGATTCTCGTCCTCTTCCAGTGAGCGGTTGAGAGGTTGGATTTCGGTGAGCGCGCGGTGTGTTGTCGCCATGGTCGTCGTCGTCGTCGTCGTCGTCGTCGTCGTCGTCCGTGTCTTCATCCTGGGCTAACTCCACGTAATTCTCATCTTGGGATATTGATCCGGTCGCCTCCAATTCGCATTCCTCCGTCAAGGGTACGACGAGGAGTGCATTCACGATCCCCATGGCCGTGTAGACCCAGAACAGAGCGTGATAGGAATCCACGGGGTTCCAACCTCGTCGGTCCTGGAGGAAATGAATCACCCTCCCGGATACTTCGGACCCGATGCTCGATCCTAGTGTTGATGTGGTGACGTACCACGCTAGAACGTCCGCTCGGGAAGATGGTGTCGTCAATTGTGATAGCATTGATCTGTGTAGCGCACATGGAAGAAACATCAGATTAGCTTTGAAGTTATCGTGCTCAACATTTTGCTTTTGCTTTGCGTCACTGTAGTGCAACCATCACACGAAATCAAAGGTGGACGGATAGATCGATAGATGGGGTCCCCCCCCGAACAGGGTATAGGTAACTTTTGCCGGGTGACACGACATGATAATAAATCAATACGTACTCTTCAATACTCCTAAACGGACCAAAGTCACCCCCGGTGACACTCACGACGCCCAGAATCGCCGCGACCAAGAGGATCCAGAAGTTCTCGAACAGGGCAAACACTACGCCCGTCAAGACCATGAGCATCGACCCTCCCATGAGAACTCTTCGGCGGCCCACGCGGTCGGCGACCAGTGTGAGGAACGTGCCGAGAAAGACATCGCCGAGAAGGGTGAGGGTCATGAACACGCCGATCTGGTGGTCTGTGTAATTCAACGCCGAGAAGAAGATGGCTATTATAGTGCGTTGTACAAGTTAGAGGTCATGGTTCTTTATAAGAGTTGGAGGAAATCATAGCGTATCGGAGTTAGATGCAAATGGGTACAAAGTAGGTGGGTATCGGTGGTGTGTAGGGCTCACGGAAGTGAGGCAAAGGGGAATACTTCACACCTAGAATTAAAGAATTGGTTCCGTATGCGAACATGCGACACGTCCTCGCCAGGATGATAAGGTACGCGTTGCGCCCGGTGTGTTGGATCGACACAATCCCGAATTCATGGTAGAACCATCTAAATGGACGAGAGATGGTGGTCCATGTCGACATTGCACCGTTTGCAGTGCGACGTGCGACGTGCGATGTGGCCCCGACCCGAGGATTTGTGACTCTGGCCAAAGTCAACGGCGGCAAGTCAAGACTCTAGTACTTTGCTGAGTCATTAACTTGGTTAGGACCAGGGGGACAAGGCAACGATGGAACCGACGGTAAAGGGTTGAACAAAAAGGCAGATTGCCGGAAATCAAAACCCTTGTCGAGAGGCTCAAAGAAATACAAAAGAACCAAACGGAAAAACCATAGATAATTGTACGAATGGTCACGCAATCGCACGAGTAAAATCCACACACCGCCTTGGATTCAGTCACTCGTTAGCAAGGTAGTTCGTTGGTTTGTGCCTTTCGAGGTTGGCAGTGAAAAAGAAAGAATAGCTTGGAGCAGGCAAAACGAATTGTGGAGACCGCGATCGGGAGTGAATGAGCATCATTGGGCTCGAGCATCCCGCCTTTAGATGAGGAGAGCAGCAAGAGGGCAACCATCTCGGACATTCGCCGGGCATGATATCGGCTGATGTTCCGGGCGGCACAGACGCTGCTTAGGCCCGCCTACAGGCTACAAGTAGATGTACAGTACTGAGCTCTCGATATACCTGGGCGGTGCGCGAGGGTCATACGTTCAGGTTGATGGTAAGATTCATATCATGCATGAGGTTTATTATTCAGCTGGCTAGAGTATTTCATTCAGTCTCGACCAGCAAAAGATGTCTCGTAGTTGGGAGGCAAATGGCTGAACCATCCACTCCATCCAGCGCGCAGACAGACAGCAGCAGGTCCCTCCTAGTAAATATAGGTAAATTCATCATTCTTTCGATCCGTCAAGTCCAAAAACGCCTTGTCACCCAGTCTCTGTCCACCCTCTGTCTCTTCCACGGCTACATACGTATCCTCCATGGAATGATCCTTGATCACGGCGGGTTTGCCATTCTTGACTCTCGTCCTGGACTGCAACTTGTTCAAAAACATCAAATTGACCAATTGCATGATCACGACTGCGAACAGCGTGACGAAAATGGCCAGAGTACTTCGCAGACCAGGGTGGTATGCCGGGGCCTCTTTCTTGTTAAATAGCAATGGACCGATGATGTTCCCTGATGATGAGCCAGCATTGTAGAGGGACATGATGACGGATTTCTTGGTGCTGCCACCTGTGTTGCCGACGATCCAAGACACAATCAATGGATTGCCGCCAAACAGGAACGCGAGGAGATAATACGCGACCAACAGCCCGGCGGTGGCACCGTGGTCTCGAGGCAGACAGTACAAGACGGCAAGACCCGCGACGACGGGCAGCATCAGCGCGTCGAGCACGACCGACTTGAGTTTTGCTTTTTGCGCCGCGTACGAAGCCAACAGGATGACCAGGAATTGCATCGCGCCAAAGGGAATGTTGAGCAGCGTGGTCTTGTACTTGTCGAACCCGACACCAGACAGAATGAGCGGGCCAAAGGTGTTGGTGACGCTGGCACCGACGTTGAGCAGTAGAGCCATCCCAATCCACAAGTAGGTTTTTGGCTCGATGGCAAGTTCGAGGATATGAGACCATTTGTACTCTCGGCTGCCTGTGCCGGTGTTGTTGGCACGAAGGCGTTCAATGGCCTGCGCCTTTTCGTGCTCGGTCAAGAATCGCGCCGAGGGGATGTCGTCGTCGAGATACCACCAGACGACGGGCGCGGAGACGATGGTGACCAAGCCGACGAAGAGGAAGATAATCTGCCACTCCTTCAGGACGTCGGACTTGATCTTCCCAAGGCCGTACGAGAGCGCCGAGGCGGCGATCGTTGCGAGTCCGTTGGTCCCGTACCATGCCGCGACACGGAGCGGCTGCTCTGCACGTCGGTACCATTGGCTGGTGATGACGCTGAACAAGGGTAGACAGCCGCCTTCGAAGAGACCGAGGAAAAAGCGCGCAGCCATCAGGGAACTGAAATCATGGCACGCCGCCATCGAGGCTTGAGCGATGCCCCAGCCGAGACAGAGTGTGGGCATGAGGATGCGGTGAGGAACCTTGACGATGAGTACCGACGAGAATGGTTGCCACGCCAGTTGAGCGATGGGCGCAATGGATCCCACCAAGGAGTATTGGTTGCCTGTGAGGTTGCAGTCCTTCTGCAGGCCGAAGAGGGCGCCGTAGCCAAGGACTGACTTGTCCAGGATCTGCAGGAAATACACCCAGACGAGGATCGTCAGGATTCTTTTGTCGGTCTTTCTTCTAATCCGTTTGTTCTAGACGATGAAGGTCAGCAACCAGCAGCGGGACTGCAGAAGGTGTCAATTACATCTTCTTCGGTGAGCTCGACTCGATCGGTTCCGACTATCTCGAGGGCTCGATCGCCGTGTTTCTGTTCGGCGAGGACCAAAGCAGGTTGGCCGGTCTCGATGTCCTCATCGTGAGCCATATGGTTTCGCTTGTCGTCCGTGGGGACCATCATGACCGATAAGAGCGTTGTGGTGGGATTGCAAGTGTCTGATGTTCGTGAGTGGTTCGCACCGGCAAGTCTCCTTTGCGCCTTGGAAGCGAGGCGACGAAGGCCTGGAGGATACGCGAATTTATAGCAAGCAGAGAGGCATGGGGGAGAGCATTCTCATCATTGATGGCAAGAAGGAACCAAGGCGGTCGAAGCAGCAAAATTGAGCCGGGGATCAGAGGTGTGGGGTCTGGGCATTACGGTCTCAGACCTCCTTTCGCCCTTGTGAACTGTCAGGTCTCGCCAGCCGAGTGGCCATGAGATCATGGGAGACAGCCACCGACTGATGCTATCACGCCAGTCGTTACTCGTACCACACAGATCAACCCCGCCAGAAGGCTATTGAGGTAGCTCGTGACTGGCACGCTCCATACTCCCACCCAAGGTGACCGTCAACCCAGCCGCCGGGGTTGTCTGGGGAAGAGCATCGGTGCCAATTCCGTCTTGAGGGTCTTGACGGCCGTGGGGGTCGTCGAGGGTGGTGCTTGGGGGTGGTTGGGGGCACAATGGGGGTCCCACCGCCACGCCTGAGCTCTTCCCTCGCTTCAGGCGCTTCCGAAGTCCGGGGAATGGAGTTGATTCTCGCGAAACACCCGTGTCAAGTGGCTCAATCTTCAATTGCCGATGGCAGGTGTTCACTACACCTCACGAGCTAGCGGCAATTGATCGATGGTGTTTGCCGTTGAGATACTCTGCCATGGTGTCCAGTCCAGGCCTTGAACATGCCCCGTGGGGGTATCGCCACTACGAGTTTATACTTGCTGCACTGAGAGGTGCCAAAGCATGGCGCTCTATGGCGTGACGGTTTACTGTCAGCCTCGGATATGTGGAACGGCTATGACTCGGAGAGTGTGTGAGATATTGTCGAGGTAATCAAATGTAAATGATCATCATGGAATAAATGATAGTCTGCTCTGCGGGAGCAAAGTCAGGTCTGAGTCTACTGGCCAACAACAGCGAAAGGACGCCGCTTCCCAAGACCAGCTCTTTCTTTCAACCCGTTCGGTGAATCCTCTGACTTCTACTTAACACCCCTTTGCAGCTCGAAAGGCACTCGTATAATGGTCGAGGCCGTTGAAAATGTTGAAACGTTACCGCTTTCGAGGATCCTCCCTTACGACGGCGAATCCATGGGAAATCTAGGCAAGGTAGGTCTAGTATGTGTCGGCCTTGTCGGCTTCCTCGGCACGTTCGATGATTCCAGGCGGTTTGGGGATCCTCCGTCGGAAGATGTGTCTCTTGATGAAGTAAGGAAGCCATACTTTCGTTTCATAACTGATGTAGTTCTTGGTCGGTACCGAGAAGACCTCTGTGAACAGACAGTCAGTACCAGAGAAGAAAGGAAAGGTAGGACAAATGCAATATCACATACGGTCAATTTCTTCCAGGGTGAGTTGCTTGGTCTCTCTCACGAAGCAGAAGATCATGAACCAGGCAATCAGGTTAAGTCCGGCATAGAAACCGACTACAAGCTGAATTAGCATATGCTCGTCAGGGTATCTTCGTGAAGATGCACTTACAAGCCCCAGTGGGAGTCATGACAGTCCTCATTCGAGGGAAAGTCAAGCTAAGAACGCCAGCTACAAAACCCATCGTCAGCAGGGTGCCCATGTCAAGATATGAAAAGATTGCTCACCAAAAGTGTTGTTGATGCAAACTGCCCAGGCCATTCCTTGCTCACGTTGAATGGTAGGGAACACTTCTGCAGAGTACTGGAATGCGATGGGCCCTTCTCCCAAGGAGTAGCAGATGGTGAAGAGGTAGACGAATCTAGTCGCAAACAATGGTTAGTGCAATGCGCGTCGCTCGGGCAATCATATCGACTTACAATACAACAGGACCGATTTGGGATCCACGACTTCCATCGGTTTTGAGCAGAGATAGACCCGCCGCCAGCAAGAAGATACACATTCCAGGGAAGGTCGCCAAAGTCAAGGTTCTTCGGCCCTTTGTATCGATCAGGAACAGAGTAGGAATTGTCGCCACTACCTGGATCGCACCATATCCTAGAGACGCATACAGAGCCTGGGTTGCGGTATAGCCGACGTCTTCGAAGATGGTCGAGCTGTAGAAGGAGATGACTGGATTGAGTGTTAAAACGCTGCCCGCGCACACCGGTGAGATGGTCGACTTACTGTTGATGCCACACATTTGCTGAGCAAGCATCACTGTCGAGGCACCATAGTTCGCACGCCTGATTCTAGGCACAGCAAAGCAATCCCACAAACGGGAGAAATAGCCACTGCCACGAGCCTCACGAAGCTCCTCCTCGTAGAGGACTTGCGAGTAGTAGAAGTCTCTAGCGGCAATGATGGGATGAGCTCGCAGACGTTGCATCGATCGAAATCCTTGGGCGTGCTTCCCATGCTTCATGAGCCTGAAGATGGTCAGTCAGCAGACGAGACGAGAAGTAATCACAGGGGTGAGCACTCACCAACGAGGGCTTTCGGGACAGAAGAAAATTCCGACCATGAGAATGAAGGAAGGAATAAAGGCTGAACCGAGCTGGAGACGCCAGGAGATGTCGCCAGTGTCCTTGACGATAACGTTGGCAGCGAAGCCCAAGAAGATACCTGCGCGACGATAGAAGATCAGCCATCGGAGATTTGAACTAGTGAGACCCAATTAAGCCTACCAGCAACGACCCAGAGTTGCCAGAACATGACAAGAGCACCTCGAACGCGAGCCGGGGCCATTTCCGCAGAGTAGATGGGTACCGTAGCGTTCTTTGCGCCGATTCCAATGCCCATGACGAATCGAGCAGCGAAGAGCCCTTGCCAGGATTTTGCAAAAGCAGAACCGATGGGTGTGGCAGTTAGACAGCAAGCGGTGATGAAGATCTCGCCTCTTCGGCCAAAATAGTGGTTGAGGGGATCGACAATGAATGCACCACTGCCCATATCTGGTCAGTCTCCCTTCACCACGACACCAAAAGCGACTGGCAGTTTCTCATGGAGAGGGGGGCATCAACTCACATGAGACCAGCTGTCAAGAATATGATGGCGTTGATAATACCGACGATCCATTCGTCTTTGCCTTTACCGTTGATCCCGAATTCTTCAGGGAAGGACAAGTTGGCACCATTTGAACCAGTTTGATCCCACCCCTGGGTGGCGGCTCCGATGGCGCATAAGCCGATTGAGTACCAGAGCATTTTGGGGCCATGCCACTTGTGGTCTTTCTCGTATTGGAGAGCATTGCGCTCGTGGTCCTCGAGCTCTGTGACGCTTTGGAAGTTGTCTGGGTCACGAGCAACGAGAGCGGCGCGACCAAAGAGGTTTGCATGCTCTGACATGCCATGCGATTCGGCGAAAGACACGGCATTCAGGACAGTTTGTTCCGGTGAAGTGCGCTATGGCCGGCCACAGGTGTCAGCGGTTTGTTGTTTGTTGTTGTGTTGACGACCATATTGATCCCCTTTGGCACATCCCATAGGAGGAGAACGAAGAGCGAGGCTTACCTTCAACGGATTCTCGACCAGGTTGAGAGCGACGGACCGGCGCCGACCGCCTGTCTCTTCATGCCCTGTTGTGGGCACGTCGAAGGCGGCCTTCTCATTGCGAGAGACATCGGCAGTGTCTACTGAGGGTTTGTCCGCCATGGTTGCTGCGTATGGGAGCGTTGTTTGGGGAGCACTTGAGACGCGGGAAACAGGATCTGCAAAAAAGAGAGACGATTTTATGCTCTGGCCCGGACCGAGAACATATACTTGTATTTCGACCCCCCTACACTACAGACGGCGAATACCTACCTAGCCGCTGGAGATCAAAAGGCGGCCGAGTATCCACAATCCATACCTGGGCAACTCTGCGCATCGGCCATCTGTCTCCGCGTTGGAGGGGGCCCGGCTGCGGAGGGGGAATATTACAGAACGAGTTACGGAGTAAGGCTATCCGGTCCTCGCACAACGGTGTACTTGTGTGGAGGGAGGGAGGGAGGGAGGAGAGGGAGGAGAGAGAGGAGAGGCGGCGAGATACCCCGGCGCCCGTATCCATAACCATAGACCATGGAGGAGGGAATCCTTGGCGGGGCTCGAGTACCACGTCAACAAGACTAGAAGTGATAGCTGTAGACATGCTCCACGTGCAATGCAACCACGGAGACGCTCTATTGACGAATAACAAAGTACGTGAACGAGTCAGTGCCGCCCTGGTCGCCTGGGTTCTGATTGTGATCGTCGCCATCATCGCCCAACACCGCAATGATGCAACAGTCATGCTTGCATGTGAGCACCTGCTGAGGGCCACAGTGTGGACCGGAGACGATGCGTGTGCTTGACCGCAAAGAAGCAAAGATAGTCGGTATTCCGTGCTGTCCGTGGGTCCAGATCACACTGCGGGATATTCATTTTTTGATATCGACAGGGCGGATTAACTGGTGCTAGGTACTTGTATCGTATCAGGCCTCGCCAAAAGTCCCCGAGGCTCCTTGACACCCCCAGCTTTTCTCCATAAGCAACTTCCTAGATACGACAATGACGTTGTACTCGTATGTACTGGCGTCTGTAGATTCCCACGGGGATCTAGCGTGTGCTACCAGTATTTGCATGAGAGATGTTACTGCCTACTAGCACCGGTATGGTCGACGGACTTCGTTTGCGAGTACAGTATCTAGACCGGGATGTGATGACGATCATGCCAGTCTAGCGCCCGTGGTGACGCTCTAGCACGGGCCAAAGGCTACAAAGTACAGTTGTCACCATGCACCTCATATGTAAGCCCAGACAAAAATGGAGCTTCCAAAGGCCAAAACACAATCGAGGCCAGCGAAAAAACATCACAACCACTTTTGCACCTTGGGTCAATAATGACAGGTCAACAGCATGCTCTCTCAGGGCGTGTCCTTGTCTCCCTGAGAGACGGGGCGCATTTCCTCAGGGCTTGTACCTGTCGCTGGCTGGCCGACACGAACATGGCATATTCGATGGATGCCATGTTCGACGAGTAGGAGGCGATCAAAGGGTCGCAATCTCGACATCTTGCCACGCCTTCGCTAAGACATGCTTTGCTTGCTGAAGACATTGCCACAAGCCTCTTCAGGTTTCTGCTTGAGGAAGGCTTGGTGAAAGCATTGCGGGGCCGGTGAGAAGGACACGGCTGGAGAGGCCTCCACCATCACCCATGGGCGGCCTCGTAACCACCCCAAAGGAGCGGAGATTGCCCAGCGCTGTACGGAGAACGGTACGCATTAACTAGTTAGAAGAGTAATACCTGGTACTCACTCGTGCATGAACGATTATTTGCCAGATAAATAAATGTCTCCATCCGTCAGCCAGTCTCGGCTGAAAATTTAAGGAACATGGAACAAGGAATAACACTCAGTGACGGACACTCGCCATCAACCTCGTGTGGGCTCGTCTACGTACTGTAGGCTCACTAACTAGTTAGGCTGGTGCAGCCAATGCCTGGTGCGCCGCTCTCGGTCGGTGATAAGCGGTCAACATACCGAAGGAAACACCAGGTCATCTGGTGAATGATGACTCGAGCGTAAAAGCCTTGGTGAACGCTACCAAGTTTCAACCTTGTACGGAGTACCTATGCAACAATACCAGATGTACGCTTGGACACATTCAGTAGTTACCTCCTACCTATCTATCTTCTTGTAGTAGCCTATGGCCGACCCTGCGATATGCCGTCATGTACTGTATTCCGTTAGGCGAGTCCTCGAGTCGCCAAACTGATCTACAGCAGATACCCCGTAGGTCCCTTGTATCCTGACAATGTTATTGACCGTTTCGACATTCCTCCGTACAGTCTATCCAGCACATGGTCTTATCCACCTGAGAAGAATCGCGTGATGCTTGCCCGGTGAGTCCACCTGTTTCACCAGATGTAGTCTTATGCGGCGCCGGGCGCACCAGGCAGGGATTCCCAAGTATCCCACGACTGGTACACACAATATCGTTCAGGCGAAGAGGCGAACATGTGATCGAACTAATCATGTACGAGGACAGTACAAACATCAAGAGACCAGAACAGCCAGCGGATACCTTATCCTCGCTAATTTGCATACGGCTGTCATGTGTAAGTAAAACTGTTCAAGACCCTGAATTGCTCATGGCTACTCCCACAGAGGACTTTCTTGTTCTGGAAAGACAACAGATGACAACCCACCTGGGTCTTGGGCTTGGTGTTGGGCTCGGGCTTCCCACCTATAACTTGTACTCGTACTTATAAGTGTGCACTGACTTTTCGAGATGTGAGTTGATCGTCGGCCACTCCATGTTCTGGACATTGACGCGCCTGAGGCCTCCGTGGGCACTTGAAACGGAGAATGGATGCCCAAATCAAGTATCCCGTAGAGTGCGTCAGCGGCTGCATTCAGGCGACGCCGGGGCTCCTCGATCTTCTTCGCGCGCTCCGTCTGGGCAGACAGGTGGATCGTGGGGGTTTCATTGGAGCCCTGTGTGTTCACAGCCTAGGCCCAATAATCCTGGATCGTTGTTCCGCCCGACCATGATCGTGCACAGGATCACTTGCGCATTAACGCTGCTCACAATACAGTACCTGGATGACAATTCTGTAGAGAGAGAGATGCAGGTATGTCTTGACTCTTCCAGGATACAAAACAAAAATAATGAATGTTATTGATTGCGACAAGGCTGTGTGGAACGATGCGGACACCTGGACCCACTGATTGCGATACGAGTAGTTACAGTAAGTAGCACAATACCACTAGCCTTGGGCCGACAGATTTTGCCACTGTCAAAGTTCCCTCCCTACAGCATGTGTCTCTGTCGAGTTTTTCGCCTTACCAGCACCCCTGGCAAGCGGCCCACCACGCATACACAGAGGCTGAAAAGAGGCCGCCGTTGAGGCCCAATGGCCATGACATGGTTCCGATCAGCTCATCTTGTGGCCCTTCACTTTCTGCCGATGTTTGAGCGTGAATTTCCACTCGTTCGCAACGGTGCCAGTCCAAAGGAGAACCAGGAAAGACCCGACCACGACTGTTATGAGCAGTGTTACGATGCTGAACCAGTAGAATATCCTCCACACGTGCTCGCTCAGGAACTCTTGGCCTGAATCAGCCGCTAACGCTACCTGCATGGTATTGAGGCAAGTCGATATCGCCGCAAAGACGAACAAGATCGGCCCATATAGGCGGGTGAAGTACTCGCCATACTGCATGGGAATATACTCATAGATGTATCGACGAAACAAGAGGGGGGCATAGAGGTTGAGTCTGGACAGCCTGATCTCCCCATAGTGGTACCTGGCCGACACATGCTCGTCTTCGATATGCTCCAGATCGGCCAGAAAGATCGAGACCTCTGACCACCTGAGGTGGCTCTGCACCAGTCGCAGATCATCCCGTTGTGCAATCACAAGATCAGACTCGTGTTGAATGAGCAAGCGATACGTTCGCAGAAATCCGATAGCGGCACGACGAATGTGTGAGCTTTTCTCGGCGAGGGGTGACAACGGCTGAGCTGCTAATGCCGTCGTCCAGAAAGAGTAGGATGTCAGGTAACTCGGTAGGGGTTTGATGAAGATCCGATTGTTGATCCACAGCAGATGAAGCCGTGGATCTTCCGTGACAACAATCTCTCGTCCCAGGACCTTCTGTTTATTCAGAGAATGAACACTTCTTCCAGAAGGCGTGGTCAAGATCCAAAGTCTCCCCGCCGCTGCTTCCAGATCAGCTGCCCACAGTTCATTGCACAGAAATGTTGAAAGAGAATCCGTGTTTGGTAAGACGATACTGGGATGGCCCGGTACTCTCGAGGTTGTTTCCACGGGGCTGGAGTCCGCCAGTTCAGAACAAAGCTGGTGCTCTTTGGAAAAAGGCGGCGCCGGCGCGATTTGGGAATTCTTGATCATGGACACGTATATGGAGTGAGTATCCTCCGTACTCCCTTCTGCAAACATTACTCGTGTACTATCTGATATGTGTTTTGCATATGGCGATCAGGATATTTCAGCTGAGGTTGCTGAGGCTCATCGTGAGCATCTTTAAACTGAATGTCGCGTCCAGAACATGCTTGTACCATTCCATTTTCGGTTACAAAGACGCCTCGTTTCCAGGGATCGCGCATTCGAATGGCTGGATAAGGTATTTCAGCCTGACCGACCGCAATGGCGGGGTAAGTTACTGGGCGCAGCCTTTGTACCATTTCTAGCTTCATAACGTATCGACGACTCCCGAGCAGAAAGTGAAAAGACGTTGATTTCAATGGCACCTTGAGGAGCTCTCAGAATCTGATCGCCATGGTGCGGAATGCTCTTGTAATCACCTTCGCAACTTCACACACTGATCGTGGTTGTAGGTGAGACAAGTGACGGAAACCGATACAGGACTGAAGGCTCTCTGGCCACCCTCCAGCGCGCAGACCGAGAATGGGGACAACATCGTGGAGTAGGAATATCCAGGAAAGACACGTTTCTGATAAGCTGAGCGTATTCAGTATCGTGGCCATGCACGGCCTTGGAGCGCATCCGGACCATACCTGAAAGATCCGCATCGACGAAGCCACTGGAAATCACGATGAGGGTCGCTGGGTAAACTGGTTACAAGAGGAAGACATGCTACCCACGGCAGTTCCAAAATCAAGGATCATGAGGTACGGGTACAAGTCAAACTGGTTTGGGGAGGATGCGATCAGAACGTCGATCCGAGGTATTGCAGAAATGCTTTTGTTTGATCTGGTGTTAGAGCGAGAGGTAAGGCAGAGCCTACTACAGCGAAGACGATTTTACTGAAGATGAGTGGAATTGCCGCACTCGTCCCCTGATCTTCATTGCTCATAGCTTCGGAGGTTTGGTAATCCTCAAGGCAAGTACATCATTCATCCACCACTAATCCGTACCCGGGGGAATTGCTAAAAAGCGATCTGTAGGCCATTCACGTTGCCTCACAGGTTGAGAAGTGGAGGGATGTCTTCGAAGCGGTGCGAGGACTCGTTTTCCTCGGTACCCCATTCCGTGGATCAGACGGGATGAGCCAGCACATAATGGTGGAGGCGGCACGGAGGGTTTGCGCGGAAGACGAGATCGAGGCCGAGTCCCTTTATGTTTTGAATCCTGGAAACGACTTGTTGCAAGACCTCGTTGATGATTTTCAAGGGCACGTATGGTCGAGGATGGGACATGCACGAATCGCATGTTTCTATGAACTCGAACGAAGTGACATCGGTGCGGTCGTGGGGAATCAAACCAGAAAGGTAGGATCATGGATGAATAGTTGTATAGCAGGCTGACTCTCCGGTCACGCAGGCCTTGGTGGTCAACAAGCAATCAGGATGTCTGGACGTGTCGGACCGAATTGCCAAGTATCCTCTCCAGCGCACGCATTTCACGATGAACAAGTTCGCCCAGGCTACGGAGAGGGACTATAAGCTGATATCAAAAGTCATACAAGATATGGCACAAGACGACCAGGTAGGACTTGAGGCCCAGGCACAACAGATAACAACTGTGAGTCCTTAAGGAGAACTTCTATGTAATCTTCACAGTCCTGAATCTCATTTCCGTTTAAGAATAGCTCGATTCCCGTCATCACAACATATGAGCGGGCTCAACGTCGATGTGTCAACTATTTTCAAGGGCGTAAAGACCAGCTAAAGCAGATACGAGACTTCTTCGCCAAAGCACCGCGCGACCAGAAACGCGTACTTATTTTGCAGGGCATGGGAGGCCAAGGCAAGACGCAGACTGCGTTGAAGTATTGCAAAGAATCAGGATCAATCTATTCCAACGTCTTTTGGATCAATGCGAACTCGATTGATATGGCAGTCCAGTCTATGGAAAGAGTCGCTGAAGAGATCGGACTGGAAATCTCAACAGGAGATAAGTCTCTGGGGACTATTTCGATCGTCGTGAAAGAACTAGAAGGGCGAAGAGATCGTTGGTTGATGGTTTTGGACAACTACGACGACCCTACCGGATTCAGGGAGATTGAAGAATTCATGCCACACGGTCAGTTACATTCCTTTATCCAATACAAAGGCAGCTGATACCGGTGTGTGCCAGGTGGTCAGGGCGACATTCTCGTAACAAGCCGATACAAAGGACTGCAAGAGCTCGGTAAAACTGTCAGCCTACCTTCCATGCCAGATGATGATTCAATAGAACTCTTGTTGAGAAAATCATTTGAGGAAGAAATCAGTCCTGACCAAGATCAACCTCGGAAAGTTGCTGGTAAGATTGTGCAACGACTCGGGGGATTACCCCTGGCCATCGACCAGGCAGCGGCTTTTATTTTGTACAAGCAAATTCCTTTGGATCACCTGAGTAAGTTCTTGGAATTGTATGAGGGTCGCCGAAAAGAAGTTTTGCGCTCTGTTCCCGAACATTTCTGGAAATATCGCAAAATAGGGATTGAAGGACAAGAAAGGGATCACCAAATCAGTGCATTCACAACCTGGGAAAATGCCCTTCCAGCAACTGGAAGGCATCGACGTGCCTAGGGAGGACATCGAGCATTTCTTGACTGTATCAGCCTTCCTTCAGCCCAATCATATTGGCGAGTCGCTTTTTCGACACTGCCTGGAAGGAAAAGATAAACCACCAAATTGGATCAGAATCTTTGCGACAATCGAGAATGATCATTCCGAGCCAGACGCTGACTCGGAAAGCTCAAATGTGCCAGCCCAAGCCAAACCCTCTTGGCAACAAGAGCGTTTCTGGAAAATCATCAAGAAGATGCATAGCCTGTCGTTGTTGGATAGCATCGGCGAGGGTGTCTGGGGGGAAATGTATTTGTCCTTCCATCCTGTGATTTGCGATTGGTTGCAGTTACGGATCAGTAGCGAGTCAGCAAGAAGGTTTGTCCTTGAGGCGGCTAACATTGTGGCCGTGAGCATATTCTCCATCCGGCCTGAGTCAGAAGCTTTTTCGCAATCACGGTCCATCCTTCTCGGTCATGTTGAAAAGTGTTTGGCGAACGATCGAAATTTCTCTTCGCACGGCGGAAACATTGGTCAAACGATCGAAGGGGCCAATGCAGCAAGCTACTTTGCGCTCTTTTGCCACAGATATGGCCGTTACAGCGTGTCAGAAGAACTATGTCGAAGAATAGTTACTTTGATGGCAACAGATGGGACTTTCGACCTTCTTGACAGACTGCAATGGATGAAACTCTTAGGAACGAGCGTGGCAGATCAAGGCAGGCATGACGAGGCGGAAGAAATATACAGAGAGATAGTATCGAAGACCGAGAAGATATTAGGGCCAGAACGTCCAGAAACACTCTCAAGCTTGAATGATCTAGCAGTTTCATTGACCAGTCTAGGCAATTATGAGGAAGCAGAGGCGATAGTTCACAAAATATTATCGGTGAAAAAGACGGGTGGAGGACGGCAACACCAGGATACTCTCATTGTTGAATTCAATGTGGCACAGCTAGTAGCACAACAAGGCAGGTATGCTGAGGCAGAGAAGCTATATCGAGAGCTACTTGCGTCACCAGTGAAGTTGCAAAGGAGCGATCATGAACCGGGTGCTATGACGGAGCTGGCTGTTATACTACATCATCAGGGCAAATATACAGAGGCGGAGGAGCTATTACGAGAGGCATGGCCTTTGAGAGCGAAAGTGCTAGGAAAAGATCACCCATCGACGGTACAAACCATGAACAATCTGGCAGCCTCCCTATTTGAACAGGGAAAGTATGGAGAAGCAGAGAAGCTAATTCGAGAGGTACTGACATTGAGAGGGAAAGTGCTAGGAGAAGGACATAGAGATACGATAAAATCTATGAACGATCTGGGATGCGTACTAGCGAGGAGCTCTCGGTTTGAGGAAGCAACAGTCCTCTTTGAAAGAGCAGTGTCCGGAGCAGAGCTAGTATTAGGATCTGATCATCCGCATACGATTTCTTACAGGTCTAGTTTTGCTCTCATGCAGCAAGGGACTTGAAAGCAATCATCGGCGTCAAGTGAGCAGATTGGGAACGAGAGGATGGAGGTAGGTGAGAACGAAGAGGGAAATGGACATGAGAACGAAGAGCGCAATGATAACAACAACCTGACCTAGGACGTTAAGAAGATTAAGAACCGCGAGAACTAGGAGACAGATAAGGCCAGGAGGATTAGAAAGAAGGAGAAAAATGCGAAAGAGAAGAATAAGGATGTAAAGAGCAGTCATCGATCATTTGGTCTCTCCCTTCTTGGTCGCCGTCCGTAGCCAGGCTTCCCAGTCAAACACTCCTGGACCCTCCATCCACACGCCGGGCTCCCTCTCCTCGACAATCACGCCTTCCTTGTCTCTGAAGAAGATCAACCCTCCACCGACATTCTTCAACGGGTTCCCATCTCCCTCGCCTCCTCTACCGACAGGGCCAACGTTGAACCCGCAGGTCTGATAGAAGCGTTCTTTGCCATCAGCAGCAATGACACTACACGCGACGCCTTCCTTGCGGGCCTGTTCAAGACCCCACGCAACCAGTGCACGACCTTGTCCCTTGCCTTGGAAGTCGGGATGCACAGCCAGGCAATTCAAGTACCACGACTCAGCACGGTGGCCTTGCCAGATGTGGTCCAGAAAGTACTCCGATTGCGCCAAGATGTCTTCATGTTCAGGGGCAGCGGCGCGGTTGGGCGAAACAAATTTCAACACCTTAACCACGAAGCCAAAGATGGGTTTGAGAAGCCGTCCTGCAGAAACACGAATATGGTCAGCAAAGATAATCGTCATGCCAATCGAGTAGCAAACCAGGACTTACTTGGATCCCACCACGCCAATTCCCATCCGGCGGCTCGATTGTCTTTGCTCGACGGGGCTATTCGGCTCCAATGAGCCAGTCCGGTGACTATCTCCTGCTGTTGCCGCTCATCCTTCTCGGTCGTAACCAGAAATACGTGACTCCAGTCCCACCAGTCGACGATGAATTGTCGGTACCAGTACTTGTCAAAGTCAAAGGGGTATTCATGGCGCTTTGGGTGTATCAGACGTCCGAAGAGGACTTCATCCCAAAAGGCGCGGGTGGCTGTACGTGCGGCACCTGCGAGGTCGCTGAACCGTGCTCGCCGTAACGTGAAGCTTGGATGTGGGTTGAGACCTATCGTGGTGGTCGTGGAAGGACCTCTGAGGAGAGGCGATGTCGCGGATGCTTGAGGGTCAGACATGTCCAGCGATGAACTCAAGATTAGGCGAAGACAAGATTGCCCTGTGCTTTACCTAAGCATAAGCAGGAACAGGACAAGATCTGTGGAAACGGTGGATATGGTGCGTGAGACGCAACGTAGCCGTATCGAATGTCGGAGACAGTGGGCCGATTGATGGGGCAATGATAGCATTAGCAAGAGCAACGACTGACTTCGTGATGAGTGTCTCGGGAATCGTGATATCGTAGGTGCTGATGTTGGTGGAGTTGACCTGCGAGATGGCCCGGTTCCCACTGATCGAAAGACCTCGCTCACTGTTCTGTCTCGTGGGTTTCTCCAGGTGGCAGATTTCAGGAGCTCGTCTGATCTGCAGATAAGCAATAAGTCCCAAAACCTGCACGGAGTAACTCCGTACGTACCTGGCAATCCTACTGAGATGCGCAGCAGTAAAAGACGACGCAATAAATAGGCTAGTGAGCGAGCCTCCCGCTCTCACGCAGGAAGTAGGTTTGATAGCCTTTGGGCCCCTGTCGAAACCCGTTGGTTTCCTGACTTTTACCCCTGGACCTCTGTGCTAGACTCCGGCGAAGGCGTAGAGCCGCTGACCCAGGTGAAGTCAATGGTTGCGAAAAAGAACAAGCTTATCACTGGTCAGACAAGTTCTGATATCGAGGAGAATTGAGAGCGAGAGTAAGAGGAAGTCGGATGGAGAACTCGCGCCAAGACAGGGCTACGGAAGTACCGAGTACCGAGTACTAAGTTAGTTAGTTAACTAACTACCTGTAACTACCCGTAACTGGGTACCTATGTAGGTACTTCGGCGGCGTTACGGATACGCAGAACTAGGGCACATCCGACAAGTGGTCTACAGGCTACAGTATGTGCCTAGGCGTGTATCTGTACCGATCACATTCTGGGAGAAATAATGAATAGCTTTCGTTAGGCTCGTGTTTGGCCACCACACGGCGACTGCGACCTCTGGGAGTTGAGCCATGCAAAAAACAAGGATGAATTCGCCCCCAGTAGCTTACAACTCTCGAGATCAAAGTTGGAGGACGGGGTACGGAGTACGGAGTAAGATGCAAGGATACAACACGACCCGACACAATCGTAACAAGGCTACCAGGAACAAAGTCAGTTGAGTTATTAGGGATTACTGTGGCTCCGGGTGCCTCCCCGACCATGTGCCTGGGGCTGGGGCGTTATCATGATTCCACAGCCAAAGAAAAAGGAACTAATAAGAGTAAGCAGCCATCTACTGTACTACTGTAGTCCTCAAAAAAAGAAAAGGAAAAAGGAGTACAGATGTCCCGGTCCGCAGTCATATTGGACGGAGGTACGGCGGTCCTCCGTACACCAAACCACTTTATCACTCTAGCTAACTAGTTACCTACAATAGTCTTAACAGTTCATACGTTAGTGGTGTCTCAGGATCTTCGCGGATCACAGGGGGTAAAAGCATGGCGTGAAAAGCCGTAAAAGCCTTTTTTTTACAATCCATGGCGCCTCATGCATGATACCACATGTACTGTACAAACTAAAGATGCGAAGGAGGCTAAAAAATCACTCCCGACTCCCTCAGGAACGACGGTCGACACTAACGACTACTTGTAAATCTTAATATGTTAACTATGCTCCAAGAGGGATACAATATCGTGCGACTTTCCCCACGCTAACGTTGAGCCCACCAAATCCACCTCGACCGATGTGGTCCATGTGCCCCCCATGGCCCGTGCCGTGCGGATGAGATATAGGGGCGTCGTTAAGGTGACTGGGACATCGGGTGATCACTCACCTCCTTGGAGGAAGCAGAAGAAAAGACAAATCAATCTGAAAAGACACTACCCCATCGAGACTCGAGGGGTTTGAGAGGGCACTTACTCCATGCCTGTAAGAGAAGAAATACTGTGCACAGAGCAAGTTACTCACCACCTGGCCCCTTATCCTGCTACGGAACTAATTGCCATCACTTAAACCAACCGGGGAGAGAGTGCAAGCCCCTGAAAGACAGAAACAGTAAGGGCAAAGACAAAACAAAGCCCTCGAATGATAGGAAGGCAGAGAGACCTGGCCTTGGTGAGCCTGCAGACTCTACTAGTCTGCTACGTACTGCGCGACAAGTCACACACTTGCAGAGCTCCGTATCCTGACACTCACCCAGGGTCGAGCTTCCCGTTGGAGTCTTGAATCAGAAGATGCTTTTCACACAGAAAGAGGTCTGAGGACAGGAGATTCCAGCCATGACGACGCAATGAGAGCGTTGGTTGACAAAAGTGCTCAGTCCCCCATAGTCGTCTCTAGATGATAACCAATTGTAAAAGCATCGAACCTGTTATAACTCCGTTTCAAGATTCAGTCATTCGTTCACAGCACCAAAGGTATATCATCATACCTATCGAGAACGCGAAATGCCAGTCCCGTTGACCTCGACTTTTCACTTGAACCTTGTTCCCACAACAGGTTCCAATCTTAACCTCGAGCTCCAAAATCCCTCCCGCAAAATCTGCCCTCTATCCGTCTACTATCTATCCCTAAACCGCCTCCCGCTATTTCAAAGACATACTCCAATTCATGACCATCATATCGTAACGAATGCCTCCAATAAACATATGAACATAGGTGCTCTTGAGAAGACTCCACAACACCAGTTAATCCAGAAACCGTGGAGGGGGGCAGGGGGCCTGCATCCCGGAAACCAATTGAAGCCATTCAATTCCCTTTCGTATCCGTCTCGTAACGAATGGTCCACTGAACGTCCTTCCGGATTATGTGATCTTGACTACCTGTACTGTCGACCGACTCTTGATCCCCTGCCTTGCTATCGTTGCGCATATCTTGTGGAGACGTGCCTGGTTCCTCGGTGTCGTTTGCAGAACGATCGGCCGAACGGTTCTTCGAATTGCCTTTGCCAAACGACCCAAGTTCGTACCCGGAATGTCGACGAGAGCGACCACCCGAGCCGTAGGCTTGCGAAATCGAAGGGTCCAGCTGGATGCCGAATCCGCTGCTGAAACTCTTGACGAACGACTTGAGGTTTGGTATAGTGGCCGATATCAGGGACCAGCAGAGTTGGACTTGCTGCAGGACGAGCGCAGTCACAAAGGCAACCCCTGGATTGCGGGACGTGGTGTACTCAGAGATGAACTTGAGGTGTAGGACGGACAGGGCGACCAGGCTGACAAGAAAATCTTCAGTATTTTGACCATCTTTGTCAAGGATGGCTAAAACTTACGGCAGACGAAAGGAGAAGGCGAGAACCACCTGGCATTTCAGTGCAAGAGAAATGTGTACAGGCAGGACTATCACAATGGCAAGCAGGATCATGAGGCATTCAATTGCCACATCGAAGGCTGTTATTAGTTGCCACCGCAAGAACTGCACTTTGTCAGAACGCGCCCATCAGCATCTTCAAGTCGACACATACCTGGCGCGAACACTGAGAAGCGTTGCCTCGGATAAAATCGGCTGTGGAGCAGTCGACAGAGATCGCTACCACTGAAAGAATCCCCCAGAGTCCCGCGGCTGTGAGAAATGCGAGAGCAAACCAGTAGAATATTCTTGAGCGTCCTTCAAAGGTTGCTTTCGAACCACTCAAATTAAAGAGCCTCATCATTAGATACAAGGTCGAGGCTTTGGCAGCGGAAAGGGCCAGGAGGAACAGAATCTCGCTAGCGAAAGCAGCCTGGGAACCAAGTCAGCTGAGAAAAATTCTCTACATGCCCGGGTGGTTCTCACACGGCTGGCCTGTGTTAGTTCACTTTGACGAAGCAATTCTTGCGTTTTGCCCAGTCCGTGGTGAAGGCCCACCATAACGGCAGCGACCTCTCCAAGTTGAAGCACCTAGATTGGTACATCAGTGACTGAGCGCGTGCCGTACAGGCCAAAAAGTATCAGACATACTGTTGCAACGAACGCCAGGTAATCATCTGTCCCATGCGTTTTTCGTCGTATGTGTGCTCTCAACCCAAAAGTAACGACCGAATAGATAAGACATAAGGATGCAGATATCCAGACGGAGCCAGCATGGTCGTCCGGTGTGATGGGAGAAAACCGAGTCGCATCATCAGAGCTTGCCATCATGGGCAGATAACGACGATGCCTTTGAAACCCGTAAGAGAAGGCCAGAATTGATGTGGTCGGAAAGCAGTAGTGATATATCAATGGATAGTCAAGGTGTCGATCCCCCAATTACTAGCTGGTCTCTCTCCGTGGAGGTGTCGACAGCATTAACGGTGAGCTTTATCACGTTCCTGCAGGAATAGGGTCAGTGGTCCCCATGTCTTCCTATCAAGGTGCACTGTCTTTTGATACACCTCGCTTCAGGAAACACTATTATTCTGGACACGATACGCGGGCGACTGGGGTCCTGCGCAAGCTTCTGCCGGTACCGCATCAATTACCTTTCAAGCTTCATGGTTGTTCGTCTGGCACTGCCGTGGCCAAGTCTTATCCAAGTTCGGAACAGCCTACGACCTCAAACCGGACCAGGGAAGTGGTTGGGCGCGGCTGGTTACCGGTGTCAGGGACGACGCACACCTAGGATCCGACGATTGAAGCAAAAGACCACGGATCCAGCTAGTCGTAGATCCCTGCCACATTGATACGGCCAGGCATGCCAGGAAAATGTTTCCTTGGAGCTTCAAGGAGATTGGGCTGCAGGGCTTGAATGATACTTTTTGGTGCCGTCAGGAGGATTGCCTTCGATCACACAACAAGGCGTTGTGGCGTCTCACCACCGAACTCTAGCAGGCTTGGAGGACCGTCGCGTTATGTGGATGCCAGGCCGGCAGACCAGCGCTTATTCGCCGCCAGGTGCTGATCTCGAGTTCAGTAGAGTGGGGGCACTCCTAGCTCGTCGGCTATCTTTTCTTTCCAGGTGATCAACGCACAGTACCTGTGATACCGCAGTGTGAATGTCAGACGAGACGTCACCCAACGATGACTTGCAGTTTGACAGAGACTTTCTCTGCTCAGAATGTTTGGAGACGTTCTGCTGATGCTCGGTATGGGAGGAGAAGGACCAAGGCTGCATCTGCCCAGCCTATTTGTCTCAGTGGTGCGGTGTTAAACACCTGGATCTCTGAGTATAACCATCTCGACGGATGCCATCCCCAACCCCAATAAAGAGTCGGTTGACCTCATAACTGCTATGAAGGGTTTAAATGGCGTCCTGCAATTGTAATCGATTGCATTGAATGCAAGCACTTTAGCTCGCAGTCTCGGTGCCCTGTGCTTGATTCATAGACAGGAACATAATCTAGCCGAGGGCCACTCTAAGTTTCGTCTTCATTACAGGCTCGCAGCAACTCAACACTGACCCTTTCGAGAGCCGGGTGAGCATCCTCTCACTGGAATTTCAATCGGGTGTGCCAGTATTGGAGCTTTGGATCAAAGACTACTCGACGCCGGGGTGTGGCAAGTCCCGAGGGGAGTCGTCGACATGCCAAGTTCCACCTGGGATCTGCATCCCGACCACGGTAGACTTCGCTTGGGCGGAATCAGTTGCCAGCAGGCATCAATTGTGGTCCCACCCAAGAGTCCTCCCATCGCGGGTTCTCACTCATCATGTTGAGCTGTGTTTGCCATTCGGCTATTCTTACATTAGCGTGAGTCCGTCGAAGTCTGTCAGCCGAGATTTGCGTCCAGGCTTCGAGGGAATAGCATGCGATGTCAACCACAAATATCGGTAAGGAACAATGATCATCAACACTTCGGCTGAGAAACCACAAGACATTCCGCTACTTGTATTTAAGACTATCGAGCTTCCGTGAAATAATTAGGAGGCGTAACGACCGTGGCGGGAGACGAGCTGTCGTCTGTCAGTAATGACATCTGCTAGTCGCTATGATGTTGGCGCTTCGGTTGCGGACCGTAGTAGGGTCTGTCGGTCGCGCCCCACCCTCCATCGTCTTTTTGTCTTTTGTTTATGGGAGCAGAGATCGCATGGCCCTGGGACGTTTGCTGTAAGCTGCTTCTTGGGGCACCACGAGGATGATCTCCGACATTTTTGCTTCGAGGCCCTGGTCAGGGGATTTCTGTAACAGAAACAATAGTTGAAAGCTTTCTCAGAAAGGGTGAGATGCTTATTCGCTGGTCCACAATGTTCCTGGTCGTCAAATGCACTAGGTTCGGCTTGAACTGGTACACGAAAGGTGCCCATCACATGCAGCCACCCTGTCAGAGATGTTGAGCTAGTGAAAAGCATCTTGAACTACATATTGCCTTGGATTGGTCGAACAGCTCACCATCCGTTGACGGAATCACACAGTAGTGTTGGTGGCTTTCCCTGGGCATAATTTGGCTTCGCTGTGTCGGGTCACTTCGACCGCGACAGTAACAACGTACGCATTTTTAGTCTGCAGGGAAAGTGCACTCCGTAGTGCGTCCATCCTGCGACGCGCGAAGCAAGGGTGTACCGTACTTGTGCTCTGGGACACGATAAGCCGAGCTCGCTTTTGTGCATTTTTATCGCGTAAAGAGTCTTGGATGCTTGTAGAAACCGTCTAGCTTGCACACTCCTCGCTTCCTGAAGCTCAACAAGGTCAAGATCTGCGCCCGTGGAAGCCACATGGCGAGGTTATTTCTCGTCTTCTCCCCTGACCAAAGTTTTTGTTCTTTCATCTCCTGTATTCAAGAAAAGTGTAGACCGACTTAGCCTCACTTTGCGGATCGTCAGCGGGCACAACGTGCTTCATACCGACAGCCTCATCCTTCCATTTTACTGTGCGGCCAACCTTCAGCTTCTTCCCTGATACTCAACTTGCACCAGAAAAATGCCGGAACCAAAAGTAGATGGCGTCCTCACATCTCAGGTCGACTTGGAGGTCTCCAACCAAAACTTGTCCGCAGAAAAAAAGGGCACTCACGATGATCAACGAGACATGTATCGTATGGGGAAGGTTCAGGAATTGAGAGTGAGAGACCACATGCATTGCCGAAAGAAGCATGAAATTGCTGACTGCTGAAGCGAAACTTTCGGTTTCTTTCGATTTTTGGCTTTTCCATGATTCTGATGGCAAGTTGGGAAACCATGCTAGGGTCTGGACTTTCTTGGGCTTCACTAAACGACATATATTGACCCTGAAACAGAACAGCGATCATCGGTCTAATCAATGGCGGAACAGCTGGACTGATATGGATGTATCTTGTTGCCTGGATCGGCTTTTTGGCGGTGAACACTTCAATGGCTGAAATGGCTTCCATGTAAGTGCTCTGAAACTTCCACAACAACGGCAGTTTCTTACAAGTCCAAGGGCTCCAACCTCAGGGGGGCAGTATCATTGGGTGTCTGAATTTGCACCTAGAAAATATCAAAAGTTTCTGAGCTTCATCGTCGGTTAGTTTAATTGGTATCCACCAGCCTCGCAAGACTGATGACTCTGTAGGTTGGCTTTGTGTGCTGGGTTGGCAGACTGGGGCTGCCAATACGGGTAAGAATGAGCCCGTCCTCGGAAGAGAAAGAATCTGCTGATGATTGCTCAGCATTTCTGGCCGGTACCCAGATTCAAGGATTGGCGATTCTGAACTATCCTGACTACGTGCCCGAGAGGTGGCACGGAACCTTACTGACATTTGCTGTGGCTTCATTCTCGGTGATTTTCAATACTTTTCTGGTCAAGAAACTACCCTTGGTGGAAGGTATTGTCTTGATTGTTCATATTTTCGGCTTCTTCGCAGTTCTCATTACACTCTGGGTTCTTGGACCGCGAGGCAATGCTCATGACGTCTTTACCCAGTTCAACAACTATGGTGGCTGGAGCAGCGATGGTCTTTCCGCCATTGTGGGTATACTCGCTGTCATGATTCCACTACTTGGTGCAGATGGTGCTGTCCATATGTCCGAGGAGCTCCGTGATGCGTCAAGAGTTTTGCCTCAAAGCATGCTTGCTACAACAATCTTCAACGGCTCGATGGGATGGATCATCTTGATCACTTTCTGTTTCGTGCTGGGCAATCTGGACGATGCCATCAGCTCCCCAACCGGACAACCGTACATTGCCGTCTTTTACACCGCAACCGAGTCATATGCTGGCGCTTCCGTGCTGTCAGCCTTGGTGATATTCATGGCCATATTTTGCAACTTGTCAATTACGGCCACGGCGTCTCGTCAGCTGTGGTCTTTTGCCCGCGACCAGGGAGTACCAATGTCTTGGTGGTTTGCACACGTAGGTCCAGACAATCGGCTCGGTCCTCTCGCTGGAATGAAGCTAACTCCAACATTATGTAGGTCCGACCCGGCTGGGATGTCCCGATGAATTCTATCGTCGTATCCTGGGTTGTGTCGTGTTTGTTGTCGATCATTAATGTTGGCTCGACAATTGCCCTTAACAACATAACGTCACTGTCACTTGTGGCGATCCTGTCCTCGTACATTGTTTCGACTGGGCTGGTGTTTTGGCGACGACTTTATAAATTACCTCTTCTTCCCGCCAAATTCACATTCACTCGGCCCGTTGGCCTCCTCCTTAATGGCTTCAGCATGTTGTTCTTGGTGTTCGCATTTATCTTCGCCTTTTTTCCTGGAAACCCGGATCCAACGGCAGCCCAAATGAATTGGTCTTCCCTCATCTATGGAGCGGTGATAGTATTTGCCATTGCCGACTACTACCTTCGGGCTCGCCACGTGTATGATGGCCCCGTAGAGTATGTACGGAAACTGGATTGATTGGAACAAGCTCTGTCTTGCCTGGGTGGATCGACATCGCGATTATTGTCAGATACTGAAGCGATTTTGGAGGATAAGTTAGACAAGAGCACCACCATACTGTCTCCTAGATGTGACGGTTGGAAGTACGAAGCAAGCAGATGCCTTCTTTGTGGCTTGTTGCAAGACAGTTGTACAGGGTGGGGTGACCTAAAGCCGTTCAAAGGAGACTTGGCTTAAAATGATACAATTTAAGTAGGACCTCAATTAGGTCTGACGCAACGATATCGAGCAGGAGAATGAGCATCTTTCGAGTCCATAGAAGTGCACTTTGTACGCCTCCACAAAGTTATTTTCGTGTCCCGGACAAAAGATTCGCCAGTTGCCGACGATGCGGGGAATCCGGAATTATAGTTTGACCGAAAAAACCGGCACCCGTGTGTGACCCTCGTCCCTGCTTTTGATTATTCTTACGGCTTGTCTTTCTGGAGAACAACCTCGACCTTGGAATGATCTTGAGGACGCTTGCGGCTTGTTATTTTTAGGCTGAGATGAATACCCCTTTCGTCTCGCCATTTGCAGGAGATCCTTCTGCATCCGTCACAGCGCGCACACAAGTCCATCAACGTTCGCATCCCGGTGGCCCGACGATGCTCTCGGCTTCTCGACCTCAGTAATATCGACATGTCCGAGCCCAAGCGCCCGCGCCTGGACTCATCGCCCAATTCACTCTACACTGTCACCTTGAATCCCGAAGAAACCTCTTGGCCATTGCCAGAAGAACGATCACAGCCTCGACGCCGCAGCCGCGTAGAATCTAGACGCCGCTTTGAATGCACTCACCCTGGTTGCGGACGAGACTATTCTCGCGCGGAGCACCTGTACCGCCATCAACTAAACCGTAGCCTTTTCAATTCCCACATAAGTGGCGTCTTATATGCTGACTACTGCCCAGATAACCCAAAGGAGATTTATCAATGTGATTACCCTGGCTGTACACGCTCCTTTGTGCGTCAAGACCTCTGTACTCGTCACAGAGACCGACATGACCACAGAGATAAGGCGCTGTCGCAACAGCGAGATGGTGCCAGACGGTCTCCGTCTCCTACATCTTCATTGAGCGACGAGGGGCCATCTCCGCCCTCGCGAGGCCCCGTGACTACACACATAGCTAGTCTCTCCCCTGTTCCTGGTCGAACGTCTTTCTCTTGTGACACTCCGCAAATGGCTCAGCAACCACTTTCCGACAAGGCCAACGAAAACACAGTTATGGAGCCCCAAAGTGGTGCTGACCTACCTCCTGTGAGTAGCTTAGGTAGGAACGGTACAGACACAGCTTCAAGTCAAATAGCCAGCGTTGGTCGTCACAACACATCCAAGGGCACTTCGTTCTCAATCCCAAGATCATACAGCTTTGGCGATCATGCATTTGACAATGTTGATCCTGATATGCTACGTGAGAGAGAGGCCCGGCTTAATCGAATAGCCTCAGGCACAAACCATCCAGATGTTCAAGATGCTCCTAGTGGAACCTACACGATGCCAAGCTTGGGAGATCAACCCTTCAATGATTCTCCAGTCTCTATCAGGGATGAATTCACGGCTTGGCTATTTGAGGATGCTGTTGGGCTTCCTTCGGCGCCATTCTCTTTGACCAGCCAGGTTGGAATGGGGTTCGCCAATACGTCTGATATCTTTGCCACGACAAACTACTCGAATTTCTTCGCCGAAAGCCCTTTCGAGACAACGTTTCCGGCCATGGTCCAGCAAGGCACAAGCTCGTCACCTTCGAATGTCTCCGATATGCCGCTGAACAATAAGCTGTTATCACCTGCAAAACGCCAACTGCTCATCGCGCTTATTCAGACCCGCTTCAACGAGGGAGACAATGCTTTATTAGGGCAGTTGCGAGAAGAAATTTTCTGTGGAAACATGGATTCCGATGATCACGTCCTGAGCCTGTGCTCTATGCAACAATACATTGCTTCTTACTGGTACCATTTCAACGCTCAAATGCCTATCATGCATCTGCCGACGTTTTCGGCAGACGGAAGCAACGAATATCTGCTTCTGGCGATGATGGTTGTTGGAGCCACCTATCTCACCAAGGCTCATGGAAGATCACTAACTGACAGCGCGGCCAGATTTGCTACATTCATAGCCTGGCACCTTCGGTGGCAAATATTCATGCATAACGACTTTCAACCACCAACGAAGTTGTGGGTCCTACAGACTCTTCTCCTTCTAGAGGTGTATGAAAAGATGAATTCGACGAGGTTATTACATGAGAGAGCACATATCCACCATGCCACCACGATCAATTTGATGCGACGTGGAACTACGTTGATTGAGACCCAGAAGGACTCCAGGCGTGAAGCCCTTACAAGAGAGGAATGGTGGAATTGTTGGATCACAGCCGAAGCTACTCGGCGAGTGGTATTTGCGGCATTCTACCTTGATGCCGTCAACGCCATCATGTTTGGTCATACAGCCATGATGGTGGTTCATGAGGTCCGTCTGCCACTGCCGTGTGACGAAGCTTTGTGGTCAGCCACTTCTGCGGCTGAGGTTGGCAGGGTGGAAGCTAGCTTGCATGCCAATTCGATCAAGCCGATATCGTTCCTAGATGGGCTCAAGAAGACTCTGACGGGACGAAAAGTCCGCACTAATACCTTTGGTCGGATGATCTTGATGGCAGGCCTCCTTTCAGTCTCTTGGCATATGCATCAACGAGACCTTCAAGTGTCCAGCTTAGGGGTGTCATCAACTCTAGGTGTGCCGGACGGCTGGCGAAACCCCTTGTCAAAGGCTTTTGATTTCTGGAAGAAAGACTTTGACGAAAATATGGATCATATGCGCCGGGCAGCTCTACCATGGCAAAAGAACGATTCAGGGTCGATGGATGAGGTCATGGCCAACACTGCGACGGTGATGTATCATTTGAGCCATATAGCAACAAACATTGACCTCTGGGACTGTCAGATATTCGCCGGCATCAAACGGTTATTCGGCAGGAAAATCGCGAAACCCGACTACGAGCGTGTCAAAGCCAAGGTATTTGATTGGTCAAAAAGTCCAGGTGCCACGATTGCTGTCTATCATGCTATACAGCTCCTGAAATCGGTTTTGTTATCACGTCGAGACCAGAATAAGCCTTACAATGCCAGGGATGACTACTTGTTGATGAGACCTTGGGTCACATACTATGCCGCACTTGTAGTCTGGTCTTACGGATTCGCATTGGATGGAGTTCTTCGGCCGTTCCCAGATATCCTTCAGCCAATCTCCTCGCCAGGGGGGTTATCTATGCGAAGTCACAGCTCTAGTCAGTCCCACCTCCACCCATCATACGACAGCTCAGAATCCTCTCTTGAAGCGGCAACCAGAGACGCGCAGGGCTTTCTGCAAACCGTCGGTGCGGTCAAGTCCCCACAACAACTTGAAACGATCCGGGACGGCAGGAACAATGTTGCCGGGCTCTTGACTGCCGTCGAGATTTCATTTCGAGATTGCAGGTGGGATCTTTTGCACGAGGCGGCCGACCTGCTACGAAACGCTGTCATGCTCTTGAGGGGAGCCAGTCGTGGGTGAGCGGGATGTGCAACAGGCATGTTCGGGAAACGGAGCCGAACATGAGGCTGAATAGATTTGAGGCCTTGAGGGTTTAGTGTTGTTGGTATGCTGCGACGGCACTGAGGAATGTCAAGAAGTATTTTGAGTCGCACCAACCTTAGATTGCTAACGATTGTCCGTCGAGGCGGATCTACTGGTACAGTGGTAGGCTCGCTGTGCTCAACCTGACGAATTTTCATTGTGGGTACTCAGGTGCTCGGTTACCCCCACGCCACAAACAATTACCCCCTTGGAGCTTTTCGACTTTGTGGGGAACGTTGGCCTAGCGAGCCTTCGTCACCGTACACTTTTACGTATGCCCGGAAACATCGCCGGGGGCAATGCACCTTTATCTTGTTTGATGTTCCGGGTCATCATACAAACGTTCCCGTGTCTAGGCCTTGAACTTTCTAAGCAAACGGTGTGCGTGAAACGTGAACAGCCATGGCAACGGATCAACTCAAGACCCTCGCTGGTAAACCGAGTGGTTCTCAACCATCGATTCCTGGGGCGCCCTCCGCTAAAATAAAAAGCATCGAGTACTTTCGCGTCAAGCCCAGATGGCTTTTTGTCAAGATTTGCGACGACCAAGGAAACCATGGCTGGGGTGAAGCTACCTTGGAAGGCCATACAAAGTCTACTGAAGGAGCTCTTGATGAAATTATCGACCGGATCATCGGATATGAAGCAGAGTAGGTCTTCTTCGTGTTTTACTCTTCAACAGCCCTTGGAACGGGGGCTAATGCGAGTGCTTTCTAGTGATATTGAACATATATGGCAGACCATCTGGAGGTTGGGATTCTACCGAGGAGGGCCAGTCTTTATGTCTGCACTATCTGGTATCGACATTGCCCTGTGGGACCTCAAAGGTATTTTCGTGATGATGTGGTGCCGATTCAACATTGTCTGATTTTTTTCCCTCACAGGCCGAAAACTCAACGTACCCATCTATCAGTTGCTGGGAGGCAAAGTCCGCAACAAGGTCCAAGTCTACGCATGGATTGGTGGAGATCGGCCCAGTGACATTGAGACAGCGGCAAAAGCAAGGATTGCCCAGGGCCTGAAATGCATCAAGATGAATGCCACCGAAGATGTCAATTGGCTCGACTCGCCGTCTGTTCTTGACTCGACCATTGAGCGACTGAAGACTGTCAAGGCCTTGGGCCTTGATGCCGGTCTCGATTTTCACGGCCGACTTCACAAGCCTATGGCGAAGCAGTTGGCCAAAGCTCTCGAACCGTATCGACCGCTATTTATCGAGGAGCCACTGCTGGTCGAACACCCAGAGGCCTTCAAGCAGTTGTCTCAGCTCACCACCGTGCCTATTGCAACGGGTGAACGCCTCTACACCCGTTGGGACGCCAAACGGCTCCTAGAGGACGCGAGTATCGATATTCTCCAGCCTGACATCGCTCATGCAGGAGGTATTTCCGAAACGAGGCGCATGGCCACCATGGCTGAGACGTACGATGTGGCCATTGCACCGCACTGCCCGCTCGGACCCATCGCCCTGGCGGCGTGCATCCAGGTTGATCTGTGTACGCCCAACTTTGTGATCCAGGAGATGTCGCTCGGTATGCATTACAACGTGGAAGCGGGTGAAGAGGATCTGAACACGTATCTGGTTGACCAGTCTGTATTCAAGATCGAAGATGGATACATCAAAGCCATGACAGGTGCCGGACTTGGAATTGAGATTGACGAGGATGTTGTGAGGAAGATCTCAAAGACGACGAAGCCATGGCAATGTAAGGAGTTTTATGGTCCTGATGGATCAATCAGGGAGTGGTAGAGAAGAAGACATCGACTGCCGCAAGCACAATTATGCGTCCCTGGCGTGTTTGGATAGCCCAACAACCCTTACGAACCGTGTTTACAGTCCTCGCGAGGCCCTTGGGCTCCCTCAGGCGGTGGAGTCGGCAATTGCACCGACGACTCCGAGTCTCGGTGGGGACATCAACCTTGTCTCCAGTTTCCTCCGACACCTCATACGAAATCAACGAATGGACGGTTCAGTGTAGTCAACCTTGTCCGATATTCGGTCTGAGTCTATTTGCGGCATTCCAGAAGCACAGAAGAGGTTGCTTGGGAGAAGAAAAAAGAAACACCCTCGGCGGGGGTGCTGAGTAACACGACTTTGCGGGTACTTCCTACAAAGCTTAAACCCACACGGCGCGTGCGCAGCGGCGAAGTTTCGTATCCAAATGTAATCACAAAATGCCATGAGTAAGCAAGACAATTACAGCATCCACGCTGCCGCACCAGGAGCGTTCCGGAGCTGGGGTATTGGGAGCCTTTTTTGATGTCCTGGTAGAGTTTACCAGATGCCTCAACAGGTAGTAGCCAATGTTCACTCCCAGGTACGACAAAATCCTGGCCTGGTAAGCACCATGTACCCACCGATCAGTGTCTGTCGATTCTTGCCTTTTCTATCTGATTGTCTCTGCTTCCAGGGGAAGGATAGTCATCCAGATCCGATATTATCTGCCTTTTGTCAGCATCTTCAATATAAGTTGAGATGATTCATCAAGGATGGAGGCGAGTGGGTGCCGCAGTAAACTTTCGTGGCGGGAAGGAAGACGAGTTTTTGAGGTGCCTGGCAAACGTGAACCAGATGAGACCCCAACGGCCCATGCCCTGATGGCAACACAGCATATATAAAGGGGAGCGAGAGCCTGTGCTGGAACAATGCTGCAGAAACCAGGATTTTTTCGAAGGTAGAAAGCCATCGAGGATGATGAAGTCGATCTTTGGCTGGGGGCTCCTGGCCTCGACATCTGGCATTGGCTTTTCCGAGTTTGTGACCCAAAAGAATGGTCTTCAAGTCGATGTCTACCACCAACCGCCAGCTGTGGTGGCCTACCAGAACTCAACTGATCTCTCTTTCTCTCCCACTGCCTTCACCTTGATCCACGGCGAACACGACGCGGTTCTTGTCGATTCCCCGGCAACAATGGCTCAGGGCAAGGCTCTGGCTGAGTGGATACATGAGACCATCCCCGGCAAGCAACTGAAAACAGTGTACATCACACATGGACACGGCGATCACTTCTTCACTGGACCCATCATACAACAGAATTTCCCTGGGGCCCAGGTGGTGGCGAAGAAAGACGTATATGACCATATGTTGCAACAATACGAGCCCACCTTCTTCAACTCCTTTTGGGCATCACTGTTTCCCGGGGGCCAAATCACGGACAGTCCATTTTCGGCCAAGGTGTTGCCGGAAAACGGAACGTTCTACCTCGAAGGACATGTACTGCAAGCCGTCGAGGTTGGTCAAAGTGACACTTATAACACAACTGTTTTGCATGTTCCAGACCTGGACCTGGTAGTTGGAGGAGATGTGGTATACGGCCATTGCCATCAATTGTTCGCAGAAGACTCAACCCACGAATTGAGACAAGAGTGGTTGAACAGTCTGGACAAAGCAGCTGCGCTGAACCCGGAGTTTGTTATCCCTTCTCATATGCAACCTCACGATGGATATCAACCAAGCCACATCAACGAGACGAAACGGTACATCCACGTTTGGGAGCAACTTCTAGCCTGTTCGAGCAGCTGGGAAGAGCTAGAGGCCAAGGTCAAGAAGGCGTTTCCGCTGCGCACTGGCAATTTCATCCTTCGCTGGACCTGCCAAGCACCCTTCAACGCGGCCTTTTAATGCATGGAAGGAACAAGTCGGATAGGATGTGTGGGAAAAGAGCGAACGGTCGGAGTGAAATGGAGGCTTTTCGACTCGGATCTGACTCCTACCAAGGATAAAATGGTGCTGATCAAGAAAAGGACGGTGCAGTAGGTGCAAATGGTCGGCTAATAATCAGGTAATGAGACGAGAGTGATTTACGAAGCTCATATGAGGCCGGGGATTGTAAGACTGTATTCTGCAATGACAGGCTCAATGGAGGCGTTCGTGGTTCCAATCAATGTCTTGTAGTCAGCGTGTGCCACGTCAGCCTGTTCTTCTCCGTCACTTGCTAGGTACCTTAGGTAGATACAGTGTCCCGAAGGTTGTTGCCCAAGATGTCCCACAGAGGAGGATTTGCATTGCAAACTCTCCTTCTGCGACATCTGAGCAGACACACTCCTTACTAATCAGTGACCACGCGGACAGACAGAGTCAACTCATTCGGTCTAGGAGATCAATTCATCTTCTACGCTAAGGTCTATGATACGGTCATGGTGTACCTCGTGCTGTCTCAATATGCTTGGAATGGCCCAGAAACACAAAGCTACGAAGACACTTCTAGTAAACCTTGGGACACTGCGACGCCTCCGTCATGCCGCAGCATTCGCTTTCAGGCGGCCGTCAATGGCCTGGAGCAGAGTGTACAGCACTTCCAGGGTGGGAACGGGCACTCCTAGCTCTTTGGCCTTGCGCACGGGGGTTCCGAGAATCACGTCAATCTCCATTGGTCTGCCCATCTTGCAGTCTGTCTGCATGCTGCTCCCAATGGGCGGCATGGCCAGGATTCTGTCAATCAGCGTGTCGACCAGGTCGTACTGAAGCGGCACTCCGCATTTCCTGGCCACGTCGATGACCTCTCGCATCAGCGTCCGTGTCATGGGCGTCGAATCAGCCGACGAGGCGAGCCAAGAGTGTGTGTCGAGCATGGTGAGCGTGGTCAGGGAGTTCCAGGCGCAATTCCAAACGACCTTCTCCCACCGTTGGACCTGTATGTTGTCTTCGATATCGAACGGGGTCCCGCCGTCTCGGAGCAACGAGGCAAATTCTTGGAGCCGGCTCTGTTCTGTCGCGGCTTCGAGTTTGTCGCTAGGGAAGATCCCAATCTTGGTGTTTTCGGTCGCCATGTGTGTCACAAAGCCAGGCTGGTCCTGCTTTGCGCCCACCCAGGTCTGTTGTTGGATAGGTGTGTCAGCGAGAAAGATGCTGTCCCCTTGTCGGCTCAAGAGAACTTACCACACAGCTCAGGATTGGAGACGACGGGAAGGCTTCACGGAACGGGTCTTCATTTCCCACCCCATTCTGGACGATGACAATGCACGTCTTCTTTTCGTCAATGGCAGGCTCCAATTGCTTGGGCACCGACGACTGGTCGATGGCTTTATGGACGCAGACCACATAGTCAAATGTCTCCCCGGCCTCGGCAGGGGTTCTCAACACTTGCGCCTGCACTTAGCGCCTCATTCTCGCACAGAGCGGGACTCGAGCTGCTTCTCAACTCACCCTTTGCTGGTCGGAAGAGGTGATTGCCATGATTCATGCTGCTGATATGAAGTCCCTAGCGAAACACCCCTCAGCACGTAGACACGACTGAGCGACAATCCCTTTGGAGACTGACATTGTTCTTGACCGCCTCGTAGTTGGAGCGAGCTACGACCGTAAGGCGCACCCGTTTGCTCTGGTTCAAGATGAATGCGTAGAATGATCCGATACTGGGCTTGGAGTGTCAGAGATATTGTCGCCGAAGGATCTGATTGCGTGGAATACTTACGCGCCCAAGCCGTACAGCATCACATTGACCTGCTTCGCCATGTTGTCTGGAGGGATTTCTTCCTACCGAATGTGAAGGTGACTCTGTGATCTCCGTCGTCCAGGCGTGAACTCGATACTGGGGCGCATTGATATGGAACCCTACTCCCAGACCAGTGTGTTTGCGCTGTCGTATCAACAATCGATACTCGCACGACGTGCTAGTTAGACGAGCGTGGCTTGCTGGACGCCCTTCAATGACATGGTGGCTGCATATATTTTTGGGGTGTCCTTAACTGCCTGCGCCCGCAGCGTGGGGGGTTGCGGGGGCGCACGTCAATGCCAGCGAACAGAGCGAAATAGGGAGGAACGCGATACTGCGTATAGGTTCCAGGCTTCACCAAACTCCCCCGTGGTGAATGAGGTTAGGCCCTCTAAGCTTGATCCTTGGGGGAGGAATGAATTATGTCAGCTTTTCACTGACTCGCGGCTACATACCGCCTGGTCTCATGGTCGAGTCATATAAACATGGCATCGTAAACCTCTGTCACACTCCTCCTACCTGTTACTGTACCTAGCACAATCCTCTTAGGATTGACTGTTGGAACTATCCCGGCAGACGGACACTGCCACGACTCACGGATACTCTCCCCGATATCACTCCGACCCGTTTCCGGTCTCAAGCCAGACGCAGCCCGACATTCTGAAAGACGACAGTATTGCGCCGTGATTCAAGAGCCATCTATTGGAGGGAAGAACCAGCACACTCAATATGTGTTGCAACCCTCCCTGCAGAAAGTTTGAATCTTGATTTTATCCCTTTTTGTCAACCACAAACCGTCTTGATGTAACGACCTTCCCTCAGACCGCTCGTCCTCGTCGATCTGGCGTTCCGTTCCGCAAAGTGAGAATCCTCGAAACAGCCATTTCCGGCAATGTGCATCATTTGGCGCCAGAGTTGAAAGTCTCCCGATCTGTCTGTCCATGGGATCGGCATACTTTTTCGACCCTGAGGCCAACGGTGGTGTCTCGAAGAGGGGGGGTTAGGCTACCTTAGTCGTGGAAGGGCTGGACTAAGTACTCTGCCTAAGACAAACATGTCGAGCTGAGTGCCTACTACGGAGTATGCTTGGTATCGGAGGCTTTAACTGGTAAGCATACAGTAAGCGAAGGCAAGAGAAAGAAGCGAAAGGCATTACAATACTAGCCCTCTAAAACTTTGCCTAGATTGATGATACCCTGCGCCCCGGGAGCGGCGTTCTAGGCGTTCCGCTAAGCAAGGCATGAGCCTATCTCGGTTTCTGCTTAGGCGGCTTAGGCACCTCAGGTGGTTAGACAGGTGGTTAGCCAGGTGGTTAGCGGCCTGGGATGAGCATCTCATACGAGCTTCTAAGCCTACCTGGGTAGTGAGCCTAGTGAGCTGAGTGGCCCAAGGAGGCAGCGACATTTGCCGCAGGCCCGCGGCCTCCTCCCTGCAACACCTCACTAACTACTCCGTACTAACCACCCAACTAACCCTCCCGTCCTCCTCTCCCCCTTCACGGTTCACCCCCCTCCGTCTCCGTCTCATTTTCCGTGGTTGCTTCCGTTGCCCCGCCTCTTCGTCTACTCTTCCGCTCCTCGATCGATTCCGTCGTACCCGACTCCTCACCACGGCTCCTCTTGCTTGACGCTGCGACCCAAGAGCAAGGGTGCCTTGGGACGACGCTGCGAGACACTGCGACTCGAAGGCGCCTCCGTCACACAAACTAAACCACATCGACACCAAAGACCAGACCACCGGGCGTCCTCTCGCAGCCCCAAGACGCACGCCTGATTGATGATTGGATGCCGCGATACGAGGCTACTGGACTTGCCTACTGCGGCCTCCAGTTTCTGGGGAAGCCAGAAAGAGTCGGTCTGTGGCCAGGTTCACTTGGCTAAGAAAACTGCCTAGCGACCCCAGCATTGAAGATCTGGGCTCGACCGCGGTTTTGGAACTTCAACTCGTCATCCAACGATCCTCTTCACTCTGCAACAATCCAACAGCGATGCACACGACTCGATGTGTCTGTGTCCAGTCCCATACAATCCACGATCATCTTGATTCCAAAGCTGCCCGATCTCGACTCTATCAACGTCAAATTTAGCGATTGAGCCCCAAAACTCAAAAAGGACTTACCTGGCGGTCCACTTGTTGACTCAAAGGACTACGAATGGGCTACACCCTCAATTTTCCACCATATCACGAAGGAATGGATCAGGCACCGCCTTGGAACGATAGATTCCAATGTCCATCATGCTCGAAATCATTCGTGAGAAAGGCGCATATGTTGCGCCACCAACAGCAACGTCAGCAATTTTTCCCTGTGATTAGTGGCAAAGAGCTCTTCTGACTCCCAAGCACAGACATCGCTCAAAGGCCTTTTTCTTGTAATTTTTGCTCCAAGTGCTTTAAACGAAGGTAATTGAATCTGTGAGTTGCTATGCGCCACAGCCATGCCTAACCATCAATAGTGACGTTTTGCGCGCTCATCAATTCCGATGCAAAGAACGAGGGGAAGCCCCCGTCCCCGAAGGCCAAAGCAAAGGTCGCAAAAGGTCTTCGTGTTTGTCTTGTGTCAAATTGCGCACGCGATGTGATCAAGAAACTCCTTGTGGCCGATGTCAAGAACTGGGAAAGGAGTGCGTCAGAGGTTGGCCACATTCACCGAGTCATCATGTTGGGCGGCAGGACTAATTTGACTTGTCAGTGCCGAGTCCTCCAAAGCCGTCATCACAGGTGAGACCGAAGAGCCGAGATGCCATCCCCATCCAGCACCTACTCAATACCTCGGATGCCGACGACTTTGCTGGCCGCTTCCCTATCCGCAGTAACGAATCTGCTCAGACAGAAGATGAAGACGACACCGCATCAGGCGATCTCGAGATAGGTTCCGAAACTTCACACTGGAGCGAAGACTACGATGTGAATGATGTTTTCGTTGGGGCAGATGTTGCGGATTTCGAAACCCTTAACTTCGACACTTTCTTCGGCGGCTTCGACACTCTGACGTTCAGTTCCTATCCGCTGCATCAAGACATGTCGCAAGTCACTAGCGTGGGAGGCCTCACTTCGCCAATGGCCATGGCACTAGAGCCTCGAGCCTTTGAAATTCGCCAATTACTACTAGACACAGCAACGACACTCTCAAACGAATCTCCTCAATCCCTCAATCTACTCCAGCTGGCGTCCAGTATCAACCTACTCACCAATACCGAGCTTGAGCATTGCATCAATCTGTACTTCGCAAACTATCACAGGCATTGTCCTATTGTACACAGACCATCCTTCCAACCAACTGTAGCTCCCGTACCTCTGATATTAGGTATGGTGGCCTTGGGGGCAATGTACTCCCAGGAGCGCGCAAAGGTTCTCTGGATGAAGAACCTTCTGGACGTGATGGAAGCATGCATTTTCTCGTGGCCGGGTTTGAAGGACGACTATGGTGGTCTCTTTACGCTGGCGGAAGCCCCCGACGAGGATACTCTTGATTTTCAATTCCAGATATTCCAAGGCGCTTACTTGATGGTGGTCGTGCAATTTTTCTCCGGAAATCTATCTGGTCGGAGACGAGCTCGGAGGCAACGGTTTACAACCGTCATAAGTGTATGTATTTTGCTCCTTTGTTTGACCCCGCTAAGCTCTTTCAGATTGCAAGGTCCTTCCGCCTCCCAGTCGCACAGCACGACGGGACAACCGTCATCCCAGACGAGGTTGCGTTCCGGCACTGGATCCGGCAAGAAATTCGCGTACGGTAAGTAATCATCTTCATCCTCGCACATACTACACTCACTGACGTGCAACACATCTAGAACAATGAACATACTGTTATCTCTCGATTCTGCCATGGGCATATTCAACAATGTTCCCGCTCGCGTTAATTATATCGAACTCGATCTCCAACTACCTTGTCATCCCGAGTATTTTGAATTGTCGAGTCACGCGGAGATGCTGGCTCGATCGTCCTTTCCTCAAACACGAATGAAACTCATCGATGCTTTCCAAAGACTCTTTACTCCTGCCCGGGAGTTGAAAGCAGCATTCCATAACGAAAGATTGTGTTGCTGGGACATGCTGTACCTGATCCATGGTATGCTTAGGTCCTTATTAAGACAGACTTGCCGCATCACAATACTAACACTCTCTTGATAGTCCTCTTCACCCATGCCACGCAACACTTGTTCGGTAATCCCATGAATCGAGCTTCACCGTCGACACTCTCAACTGGGTCGTCTTTCATAATCGAATCGATCAAGACGGCACTAAACAACTGGAAGACTCTCTGGGACGGGGCCAAGAAGAGGATGCCTCGACCCTTTCCTAGCGAGATGGGGTTCGAGACATCTGCCGATAGTTACTGGACCTTACTCAGGATGATCGTGCAAAAGTTTGAGGTCGGTGAGGTCAACGGTGCCATGAACATCAGCTACGGCGACGATCAGCCCCAAACCGGACTCAATTCAAACGGCACAGGTCAGAGTGGACTGCCACTTGTCCTGGATTTTATGCCACTCGAGGCAGATTCTGACAACCAAGGCGCTCATTTGAGAAAGATTTTGGGACGATGAAGCCTCTTGCGAGATTGGATTTGGTCGGCTTCGACTGACGTTTAAGCGAAGTAACGCAACTAATGAGATCTCAGAGATCGATCAGATTGATATACCCAGATTCAAAATGGACATTTTCCTGCTCGACATGACTAAGGTTTCGGACCTAGTGTCTCAGGGTATATGGTTCAAGCATGCGTGTCATGGCCAAGAGCAGTACTCTAAGCTAGTTGATCTAGTGAAGGGGATCTGTCGAATTTTCCGCAACTTACAAATGCATCCAAGCACACTTTGCTAAATTCCGCACTTCAAATGGGGATCTAGACGGTTCCCAGCGGTATCTAGCCAGCATCGCAATCTCGACCGGATGCGTGTTTCCTGTGCATTCTTTTCAATTGGCTCACGATCTGGGAACAACCACGAAACCAGGCCGGACACCTTCAGCTGGCTCGCAGGGGGAAAATACCCATCCTCCTCCACTTTTGTGGCGCACAAGCGGCACAACGCGGGCCCTGGACCTGGAGTTCTGCGGGTTGGGGCATGCGGAGACGGCTGTCGAACGACTAGTTCAATACGCGACACCACGGCAAATAACACAACTTTTATTACTGTCCTAACCCGCCTGCAAAGGGGGAACCATGCTCGCTTCGTGGGGCAAAGAGATTACCATTTCCAGTTTAGCGACGAAAGACAAAAGGCTCTTTTCCGCACCAGCTCTTGAACATCGGATATGTACCAGGCCTTGTGCGAGAGCACATTTAACTTGCTGAGGTGTACATCCTCGGAGATTCTGCAGAACTACCACAATCCAGTTCGAGTTATCGAAGCTCATCATTCATCCATTATTTGCCCTTGAAACAATATGTCCAGTTCAACTTACGGCGGGAAGGGCCCTGTTCCAGATCTGGCCGACAGATATAGCGGTGTACCTTCACGGCTATCACAAGAAGCCATCGAGGCCAAGTCAAAGCTTTTCTCTCAGAAAACACTTCCTGACAGTGTAGCACGACGACGAAGTGCCCTACCCCCCGGGGTGTCGAAAGAGACTTTCCAAAAGGCGGTGGCTGAATTGCAGAGCACCATCGGCAAGGAGAATGTTGAGCTCAACGACAAGCCACTCGTGGATGGGTGGTACATGGAACATCCGTAAGTCGTGATTCTGTTTTGGTCTTGTAATACTCGATCTGACATTGCTCCTAGTAACACGCATGATGCTTATCACATTGTCGAACAAGAAGAGCTCATAGCAAGTGCTATAGTGTACCCTTGTGGCACCGAGGAGGTGCAAAAGGTTGTGCGATGGGCAAATCAATACAAAATCCCCGTCTATCCAATCTCGATGGGCCGCAACATCGGCTATGGGGGTGCTGGTCCACGAATTCCGGGTGCCGTGGTTATCGATCTGGGCCGACGTATGAACAAGATCCTCAATATCGATGCGGACAATGCGTCCTGTATCGTCGAGCCAGGCGTATCATACTTTGCCCTTTACGAAGAGATCCAACGACGGAAACTGCCTCTCTGGATCGATTGTCCCGACCTTGGGGGTGGCAGCGTTCTTGGTAATGCTATTGATCGTGGAGTTGGGTGAGCTCAATTTTTATCGTGAGATTGAGTCTAGATCTTTCTAATGCTTCTTAGGTACACACCATATGGTGATCACTTTGCAAATCACTGCGGCATGGAACTCGTTCTACCAACCGGCGAGGTCCTCCGCACCGGCATGGGAGCTATGCCAGGCAAAGACGGAGCCGACAATCCAACATGGCAATCTTTCCAGGCGGCATATGGCCCCTATATCGATGGCATCTTCTCCCAATCCAACTATGGAATCATTACGAAAATGGGTTTTTGGCTCATGCCCGAGACAGGCCACCAGAGCTACATGATTACCTTCCCACGCGAAGAAGACTTTGAGCAGATTGTCGAGATCATTCGACCACTGGCCCAAAAACGTATTCTCGGCAACATTCCTCAACTACGACACGTCATCCAAGAGCTTGCCGTTACGGGCAAGCCTCGTTCGCACTGGTACACAGGTCCTGGCCAGATGCCACGTGAAGTGATTCGGGAGAAAGCATCAAAGCTACCTTGCGGGGACGTGTCGTGGGTCTTTTACGGCACACAGTATGGCGACGAAGCGTCGATTGCGTCACAACTCAAGCTCATCAAGTCAGAATTCGGTCGCATCAAGGGTTCCAAGTTCCTCCTTCCCTCCGACGTTCCTTCCGACCACTACTTGCATTCCCGGGTGGCCGTGTGCAGCGGCGTCCCCGTGCTCAAAGAACTCGACTGGCTGAACTGGCAGCCCAATGCAGCCCATTTGTTCTTCAGCCCCATCTCGCCCACCAAGGGCCGCGACGCCAGCATCATCCACAAGAGCATCTGCCGCCTTCATACCAAGTATGGCTTCGACGTATTCCCTACAATGTGTGTGGCTGGCCGCGAGATGCATTACATCTCAAACATTGTGTATGACCGCGCAGACCCGGACGCCAAGCAACGTGCCACGAGCCTCATGCGCGAAATGATCCGCGAGGCCGCCAGGGAAGGGTACGGCGAATATAGAACGCACTTGCTCTTTGCTGATCAGGTTGCCGAGACGTACAGTTGGGGCGGAGGCGCGCTGAGGAAGTTCAATGAGAAGGTGAAGGACGCTTTGGATCCTAACTCCATCCTCGCACCTGGCAGGAATGGAATCTGGGGGAAGAGGTTCAGAGGGAAGGGATGGGAGATCTTGGATGGAGATGGGAGAAATATTCTGAAGGAAGGCGTTAGTCCCAAACTGTGATTTTAATTATTTTCACTGTAGCTGGCAAGCAAGGACAGGATTAGTTCCCGTGGTCCGACCAGCATCGGATGAATGTGGAGCACAAGCGGAAGAGAAGAAGGCTGACGTTTCGTTGGGAGGACTACTGTGCGAGATGGGGGCTTGGAACGTAGGTACTTGGGTATATCATACAGTATAAAGATTGAACAGTTAGTATTGTGTAGCTGAGTTGCGCGTGAAAAACCACTGCCATAAGGTGACTAGTCAAGACTCGAACGGTCATATGTTGTCAGAGTATATGCGATTTACTCACAAGGCTACCTGAATCTGGAAAGAACAACTGTAGGCTCTACACAATCTCTTTGGGTATGTTATGTGCCTGTATGCCAAACTGGTCAAAGATCGTCTCGTCCTCTCCCCGCCGGCCTAGATGAATGGCGTAGCAAAGTATGTAAATAGACGACTGTCCCTGCACACTGTATTGGGTACCGGTACTCGATACTTCGGCACTCCACACACTGCGAACTAACAGCATACTGCATGCACTGAACACTGTACATCCGATACGGTATGCTAAACACCCTCCTCGGCCTCTACTCTCAATCACACTTTTTGGAGGAGGACCCCCCGTTTCCGTCGTCAACTCAGCAGAGAGCTGTGATGTTCCCGGTCCTCAATTCCTCGGCGACGATTCTCGACATTTCAGGCCACTGTTTCCTCGTATCTGCTTCGGCGTCGTACTCGTACAAAACTGCATTCTAAAGGTCGAATCAAAGAGAGAGAAGGAGATGTCAGCAAAATGTTCTGGGGGCGCAAACTCGAGGCGAGAAGGAGTGTCACAGTGCTCAAATGCCAACAAAAAGAAAATGCTCACCTTGATCTTGACACTGTCTGGATCAATCTCCTCTCCGTCGGCCACGCGATCCAGAGCGTTGTGCCATCTATCCCTGACATCTTCGCCGTTCGTCTGGGCCCTTCGAACACGTGGGAAGCGAATCTTTTCGTAGACTCTTGTCTGTAACGGTTCGAGCAGATTCGTCAGCCGTCAATCGGTCAATCACGTCACTCCAAAAAAAGAAACCAACGCGACGTGACGCTGCCCATTCGGACCATATTTTTTGGAAACACACACAAAAACAACAACAACAACGCAACAACACAAAAAATGAGAGAAAAGAACTGGAAAAAGGGGAAAAAAGAAAGCAAAAAAAAAAAGAGAGACTGATATCGAAAGACTTACGGCCAACGGAACGTTGTCTTTCCCAGCAAGTAACAAGCACTGGGCCAGCACGGCGGCACTCTCGGTGGCCTGGCTGGCACCCTGGGCGCTCGTGGGCAGGTGGGGGTGACAGCAGTCCCCGATCAGGGCGACCTTGTGGTTCTTGCTCACCCACGTCGGGATCGGGTCGCGGTAGCAGATCTTCCAGTCGAGACAGGACTCGGTCTTGCGCACGATGGCGGCGACGCGCGGGTCGCAGTCCTGCACCAGCTCGCGCACCGCGTCCATGTCGCCCGGCTGGAACCAGGACTCCTTGATGTCCTCGGTGTCCTTGTGCGTGATGATCCAGTTGAACTCTTCGCCGTTGCGGAGCGTGTTTTGGACCAGGTGCTTGTCCTTGCCGATCCAGATGTTGACGCATTCTTGTTCGACGAACTCGGCCGTCAGCGGGTCGCCGCGGAGGTGGTCGCCCTTGAAGAAGGCCCGGAAACAAGCGTACCCAGACGACTTGGGCTTGTCGGAGAATCCCAACACGAGCTCGCGCGCTCGCGATTTTATACCTGCAAACGTCGGGCCGCCCATGGTCAGCACAAAGCCAAGACAATCCTCGCAAACACCCCGAGGCGAATAAGGAACCATGACGGTAGCGCTGTGGGTTAAGGTGGGAAGAAAACGCGTGTATGATGGGTGTGGGTTGTGCTAGAAGAAAGAGTACTCGAAAACTAACCATCAACAGCGATCACGATGTCGGCGTAATGCTTCTCGCCGTTCTTGAGAGTTACTGAAGGCGCTGCGTCGTCGTAATCTATCACCTACATCACCCACACAATGTTAGTCATGAATGATACTGAATCTCGTCAAAGCATACATGTCGTACGCGTGCGCAAAGGGGGGTTCCTCATGCACGGCTTTTTGGAGAAACTCACCTCGGTAGCCATATGAACAGGAATGCCCTTTTCGGCCACGGCGTCCAAAAATCCTTTATGGTAATCTCCTCGATGACCAATGTACCCGGCCATGTCCATCAGAGGCTGCTGAGCTAGAATCTTGCCGTCGTGCCATCGTCGGATTTGCATGTTGGGAGACTTGTTGCCGATCTCGATCAGTTTGTCCCGCAACATCGGGGACCATCGATCCAGCAGCTTGAATGCATTTTCACCAAGCCCCAGCGAGTCCCCCAGCCGCAGGAACTCGCGGACCTTTTCAAACACGACCACTTCAAACCCTGCATTGTGCATTGCCAAAGCGGTCGCGCATCCTCCCAAGCCTGCTCCGACGATAATGACTGCAAACGTCGAAACGTCAGGTTAGGGTTATGCTCTTTTCTTGTTCCCTGCCGACGAGAATCAGACTCACCTTTCATTGGACTTTCCGGTGCTATTGAACCCATGTTGACTAAAATCTGAGGACTTATTACGTGTCAACCCCTGGTGTGGGAGAGTGATGTCCGCTTTTCGATCTCTGGGTTGTGATTCTGTCCCTCTCTCGCCCACACAGTTGGTGCTGTCTTCCAGACTACGTCTTTGCTGTTACCTGTGTTGAAGTCCAAGTCAAGTCAAAGGTATATCAAAAATAAACAGATGAGGGAATAACCCCCACTACGGTAGTTAGGTCGAGACAAAACGGAAATAGATCAGGCAAGTCAGAGGTAGTCCTTGCTCGGATAAGTCGACTCGGATGAACCAGCACTTGACAAGTCTGCCCACATGCTGGGGTAGGGTGACCAGGGAGGTTCTCCGAAGCCATGCTGAGCGAAGGTGTGTTGGATTTGTGCGGGTGAGGACTCAAGGACTCGGCAGGGATCTCTGTCGAACTAACTACGTTAGGTGGTCCTTAGAATATTGCGGAGGGGAGCCCCGTTTTCACTCTGGTTTCTCATCTGTGACAGGCCCGGGATAAACCCATCAACATGCTGATTGGGGTACTTTCGTTATCCCCGTCGCCTGGCACCAAGGATCTGGGGGACCTGGAGTTCACCCATCCAGAGTGCCACTTTGGGATAATCCCCGTCGGACGGTAACTTGCTGCTGTGAGCGGTTCCTTTAGGTGCAGAGCACAACCCTGCACAGCACGGACAGAGCCCTAAAGGGGACTGTACCTGCTAGAATTACACACCTGCCGATGTCCCGAATCATGCTCGATTGCTGGTGAGACCGTGCGTCGTTCAACATATGCCGTGAGTTAGCTGATAGAGAGGGGCGACGCCCTGATCGTGATTTGTAGGTACAGGCTATAGCTTGTCTCTCCCCCTCATTTTCACCTCAAGCGAAAGCGTGGAGGACGGAACTTGGCGTGGAGAAACCGCAGGATGGTACCGTCTGAGGATGGCATTTCGACTAGTAGGTATCCAGTGAATACGGCTGTTGCTCCTGGGCGGAATTGAGAGCGCGCGTCTTTTGGGGTAAAATGGCAAAAGCAAGCTATAAGCATTTGACGAATACCAAACACTCACCAGCCAAGAGAAATACTACTCGTAATCGGAGAGCAAGCGTTTTGTATTCAGCATTTTGCCATTGGCTTAACACTTCGAAAAAGTGCTGTTGGAAAATGTCTGTAAAGACAGTAGGATATATTGGCCTCGGCAAGGCGGGTGCCTCAATGGCATCAAACCTTCCTCGATCCGGCTTTAACCTGGTTGTGAGGGATGCCGATCCAGCACGAGAAAAAGAGTTCGCTTCGAAATATCAGAATGTTACTATTGCCGAAGCTGGCCCAAATGCGTTCAAGGACTGCGACGTCTTGATCACCATGTTGCCGCAAGGAAAGGTCGTGAGGGAAGTAGTCCTGGGCGAAAATGGAATCGCCAAGGGTTTGAAGAAGGGTAAGTTTTATCATTTGTACAATGACGAAGATGAAGAAGTACGTATATATTGATATAACTTGTGTCAGGATGTATTATCGTTGACACATCGTCGTCTTCACCATACGATACCCAAAGTCTCGGCAAAGACCTAGCAGATCTGGACTTCGTCCTCGTCGACGCTCCAGTAACTCAGCGACGTCTGCATGATACTGACATTGGTGAGGCCACGCTCATGGTGGGATCCGACACTCAGGAGGCATTCGACAGAGTTCTGCCCGTTCTCCAGGCCATGGCAAGATGGGTCTTCCATATGGGCAAACTGGGGGCTGGCCATGCCATGAAAACACTAAACAATTATACCAGTGCTGGAGCAATTGTCGCGCTCTCAGATGCACTGGTGGCAGGACAGAAATTCGGCCTCGATCCAGTCCAAATGATTGATGTTCTCAACGTCGGTACAGGGCGAAACTTTTCCACGTCAGACAGCTATGCAACCGATGCACTCCCCAAGAGATATGCAACCGGCTACCAACTTGCCTTGCTGGTGAAGGATATTGGTATCTCCAAGGAACTATTTGAGATGGTCAACTTTGAAACCGATATGCCTGACTTAATCCTCAAGTATTTCAAGGAGGCGCAAGAGGGAGTTGAGCCGACAGCTGACCACACTGAACTCTTAAAGAGCTGGGAAAAACGAGCGGGGTTGACGCTCAAAGTCGGCACTCCAGATGGCTCGACAGTAACCGCCTTGAAGGAATAATGAGCGATTTGGATGAGAGCAAAGACAAGTGCGTGTGGCTCCGCATAACAATGGTCAACGTTTTCTGATGACCTCGTGAATTCATGGCTAGCCCAAGTAGACTGCCTCATGTCTGGCGAAATCCTCTAAGGCCAACTGTTCGCAGTGGACCATGTGACACGGGCAGCCACGAGGAATTGTTGAGTAATAATTACTTATTCAAGCCTGGATGCCTGGAGCCAACAGGCAGCACGAGCCTTTGGGGCCAGTAATATCAATTGTCATAGAACAAGAGCACTTGAATGATTGACAATTCCATTCGATCTCGGGATGACCTCAGGGGTGCAAGGCACGGCACAGATGTATTGACATGAACACGAGGCGCTACCAGCCTTGGCGCAGCTGTTGCCTGACATGAGCAGGGTTTATGTCGTCGTCGGAGACTGGGGCATGAAAGCTACCTGACATATAATATGGCATTAGAATTGGCCCTTCTGGGCAATAGCAAAGTCTCAAGTCTCAAGTACTCACCATGTCTGCACCTTCTAAAGACAGCAAAATCGTCAACTGCCTCTTCTTCGCCAGTCAAGCCGAAGAAGCCGCCAAGTTCTACACTTCCATCTTTCCGAATTCCTCCATTGATGAAATCGTTCATTTCCCAGAGGCAAGCACGAAGATGCACGGACAGCCAGCTGGTTCGGTCATGCTCGTTGTGTTCAGCCTCAACGGCCAATGCTTCACGGCCTTGAACTCCAGACCCGCCGAAGTCAACTTTACCGAGGCAGTCAGCTTCCAAGTCACGTGTGACGATCAGGAGGAGGTTGATCATTACTGGGACAAGTTGAGCGAGGGTGGCGATGAAACTGTTCAGATGTGTGGATGGTTGAAGGACAAGTATGGTGTGTCATGGCAAGTTGTTCCCAAGGATCTCATGAAGCTTATGCTCGGAGCTACGCCCGAGAATCGTTGGAAAGCAATGCAGGCATTCGGGAAAATGCGCAAAATCGTTCTTCGAGATGTTCTTGATGCTGTCGAAGGCAAAAATGAGAAAGCAGCAGAAACCTGATCCTGCAAGGTGGAGGTTTGGGACCTTGTTCTCCAAAAGCATGTTGATTGACTAGTGGAAGTTGATGTTCTGACCAGGTAGCTCCAATGAATCGCTGATTATCCGTACGCTTGACAAGAATAATTACATGACGCTGCACTTCTGGGAATTTTCGTACTGTTCTCCCCACCGGTCGATGCCAGCTTGGATCTCGTTGTCCCTTTGTTTGGCCTTGACTTCTGACTTGAAATTTGTCTTCATGAATTTGGTCAACTCTCGGTCCACATTAGCTGAGAGTATGTTAGCATTAGTACCCCTACCCATCATGAGACAGTCCACTCACCACTCGTTGCCTCGAGAACCACCGCTTGTCTACAAAGAGGACACTGGTCCTTTTCCTCTCTCTGCATGACCACCATACACCTTATGCAGAAGATATGACCACACCTGAGCCGGATCGGCTTGTAAGAAATACTGAAGCATACCGGACACAGATAGTCGTTTAATTGCGGGATGATGCTTAGTAATTCTTGAGAAATTGTGAAACAGGTCGCTTTGGCCAGATTTTGTGCCATGAAAGGCGACTTAATCAACGCATCCGACACGGTTGATCTTGCGTGCAACGCCGTGCGCTTGTCGAATTTCTTCATGATCTTGTTGAGTGCAGTTTTGTTGATCTCCTGAAATTTAATAAGTCGGATGAGGTTGGCGTTAATTCCTAGAAAGCGTTCGAACGCGGCGTTGGCGTCCTTTCCGAGCTTGCGCACTTCCTTCTGTTGTTTCTGAAGACCCTGGTTGAAGTTGGAATACTGCAGTTGTGCATGCTCAGCATCTCGGGCACCGGCATCGGCCTCGTGGGAAGACATAAAAATCTCGGCTTCGGCGTAGAGTTCGAAAATCTTTCTCCAAATCTCGATTTCCTGCTTTGAGCGCTTGGTCTTTTCTGATTTCAAGTCGCGTAATTGGGCGCCAAGCTTGAGGATTTCCGTCTGTATCTGGATCTGCTCCGAGTCTTGCAACCGGTCAAGATCAGCCAATTCGCGCTTTAGTATTTGAAAGAACTCAGAGTCTGAAGTCAAAGGTATTTCAATTGTTTGAGGTTTCAGTTCATCATTTTCAGACATCACGTCCGCATCGGAATTTTGAGCTGTACCATCATGTGATCCTTCCGCCAATCTTGGCTGTGCTGGTGACGAGTCATCTCGCCGGGTTGGCCCAGATGAGCCTCTGGAATTTCGGGCGAGGCGTTGCAAAACTCGACGAGTGTCCGGCGCCAGCCAAGCATCGATGGGAGAGCCATCGCGGGGGTCGACAACAATGGTCAATCTAGGCGTAAAGCTGACTTTCTCACTGCCATTGACCGAGTACTGCATGAGTCGTTCGCCCAGAGAACCACCAACCTCGGTGTCACCGGAACTGACATGTTGCCACAAGGCATCAAGAGTCTCTTTGTCAAGACCAAGAGAGAGGAGTTCTTGCTGGACTCGTTTGATACACTTCTTCAATTTCTTGTAAGATATGGCAGAGTCAACCCACTCTTGCGGAAATTCCTCCCGCGAGAGCGCTGCCTCAAAATCCTGTCCAAATTTCATCACGACCACGTATAAGAGTAGTGTTGAGATGACTGAGAAATGATGATGATGATTTCTGGCAGCGAGGGATTTGTAGTCATGGTCGCAAGTTTTGCTGTCGACACTATATTCTCAAGGGTTGATAATAGCAGGAGGAAAATGTCGAAATAAAAGTGGCGGATGTGATATCCCGTTCCAATATGGATCTTGTTCCCCAGACCATGTTTTCGTCGCCACACGGAACGATCGACTCGGGAAGATTGAGGTCGAGGCTTGGAGCAAATAGAAACGCTACGCGGCGGCATGCGCTGTCATCTGACACATGCTATGGCCGGAGACGACGGTACAAATTTTCATCACTGACGACGAGGATGATGCGGCAAGTTGACTGGCACGTGATTGAGGCAATTTGTTAGGCCCAGGCTAGTGAGGCCCTAACGGCATAACCGTTTAACTAACCTGTTAGTGAATGCTTGGTTAAAGACCCCAATTTCTAGCAGGCATCTAAGGCGAGACTCGAGCCTAAAACTATTTTGTCCGCTCGCGCATTACAGAGTGTCACTGCGTATCTGCCCTTCAGACTCCTAGAACATTCTTCTCAAGGCGGATGGGAGGGTTTCGGTGGGTTGGAGTGCTCGACCACATGTGAATATACGTTCCCCCTGTCGCGCGCGGGGAATTTTAGCTATGGGTCAGAGACAGTCTACGGATAATGCAACGCAGGAAGAGCAGCCTCCAGCAAAAGCCGATTACTATGATCTTCTTGGGGTCGAGCGTACAGCCACAGACGACGAGATCAAGAAGGCCTACCGGCGTAAAGCCCTCGAACTCCACCCCGATCGCAATTACGGTAACGTCGAAGCTGCGACCGCGTTGTTCGCAGAGATTCAATCCGCCTATGAAGTCCTCTCCGATCCTCAGGAACGAGCCTGGTATGACTCCCATAGAGACATTCTCCTCCGCGGCGATGCTGCCGCTGGTGCAGACGCCACTGACTTTTCGTACAATATTCGCATGACCTCGGCGGAGGAAGTGCTAAAGTTGATGATGAAGTTCAATGGTCGTCTCGATTTCACAGACGCCCCGAGTGGCTTTTACGGAGGATTGAATGACTTCTTCAAGCAGCTCGCAAAGGAGGAGGACATTGCTTGTCAGTGGGAGGGTCAAGATTATATGGACTATCCCGAGTTCGGTCTGAAAGATGACGATTACGAGGATACAGTCCGCCCTTTTTACGCCTCATGGAATGGCTTTGCCACTAGAAAAAGCTATTCGTGGAAGGACCAGTACAGACTCTCGGATGCGCCCGATCGAAGGATCAGGAGGATGATGGAGAAAGAAAACAGAAAGTTGCGCGAGGAGGCGATTCAAGAATACAACGAGGCGGTGCGGTCTCTTGTTGCGTTCGTGCGGAAGCGAGACCCTCGAGTCCAAAATAACCAAAAGTCCGAAGCCGAGCGGCAAAAAGCACTTCGAGAAGCGACTGCGGCGCAGGCGGCACGATCCAAGGCGGCGAGGTTGGCCAAAATGGAAGAGATGGATACCGCTGCAATACCAGAGTGGGCAAGATCAAGACCTTCTCATGATGAATTGGAGGGTGGTTTTTCTAGCGAATCTGAAGTGGAAGAGCATGCATATGATTGTGTGGTTTGTGACAAGACGTTCAAGAGTGAGGCGCAATACATGTCACATGAGAAGAGCAAAAAGCATATCAAAATGCTAAAACAACTACAGAAAGAGATGCGCGCTGAAGGTAGGGCGCTAGATTTGGAGGTCGAGAATTCGGCCCCGGAAGTTGAGGTTGAGGTTCCTGGGGAGGGAGAAGCGCGTCCTCTGGATGCCACCGATGAGCCCGTTGACTTGAATGTGGACGGCGAAGATTTTTCAGATGGCGTCGCGGAACAATCAGATGTCGACGCGGCGACGCAGGTCAAAGGTACTTCGGGCGGATCTGAGGAGACCGAGGATGATTCTGACGACGATTATGCGGCTCGATCTGACATTGAGCAACGGATAGCAGGAGGCTCCGTGAGTGGGACATCGTCTAAAATCGCGGGTATCAGTTTGGAAGATACGCCGCCCGAGACATCGGAGATGGAAACAGCAACGCAACGGCAGCCGAAGATGGGGAAGGCCAAACAGAAGAAGGCCAGGAAAGCAGCACAGAAAGCGGCAGATCCAACGGATAAGGTCGGATCTATGTTGCAATGTGCTGTGTGCCAGGCTGAATTTCCTTCAAAGAACAAACTATTCGACCATATCAACAAGGAAAAGCATGTGGCGTATAAGACGGAGCTGAATCAAGCCAAGGGGTCGAAGAGCACTAGAGGGAAGAAGAGGTGATGGTCTAGCGACGGGTGTATTGTACGAATAGTGAGGCTGACTACTTGCAAGCGCTGGCAAGGGTTTCATCGTCCATTATGGTGTTTGTGATAAGCATAGCGCTGGCGTTAGTCAGGGGTGTTTCCTCCGTAGTTTCGGAAAGATAGATGGCCACAAGAGCCTCGAGCCTATCATGATAGCCGTCGTGTACAAGACATGAATGCATGGATCTGTCTCAAGGTGCCCGTAGGTATATCTTGTCTCTGGCTGGTGTAATTGGAGGAGTCGAGCGAGTGCCGGTGTGTTTCAGGTATGAGCGGTGTTGCGTGATTTGCTGTGCGTTGGCATCGTCGTCAATCACATTATGGAGCCGATGAGGGAGAAACAAACTCGTCAATCACCTCCGCGAATAGTGACCATTTCATACTGCATATTCACCTGATGACTGGGGCGATGAAGTATCCAAGGGATCCCGACGTTACTGTGTACGCTTAACACGGGAGCTTATTACTGTATTTCCTGATGTGGCCCCGACGTCTTCTCTCCATCGCCGACAACATGACCTCGTCGCCTCTGTGACCAGCGTCCAGAAAGACCGATGTACTTCTCGACCACACGACCGGGACTTAGCAGCCCCTCTATGGACAGGACATAAATCAGTCAAACAGAAGACCCCGGTCACAATGGCAGACACTCGCTGCGCAGACGCAGACCTCCAACTCGACGTGGATGTTATGATCCTCGAATACACCTTGTACCACGCCATCAAGGCGCAATTCGATTTTCTTTCAAGCGGGCGTCAAGATGCGACTCGAGCGAGTGAATCAACGCGGCTATTGACGATTTTCGACTGCTTCGTTCATCATTTCAACCAGCACCATCCCACCCACCCAAAGTCGAGTGACTTCTACAGTAACCTGGACGTGCTCGAATTCCTCGTCCTCCTTTCAAACCGGTCGGGTGATACGTCAACCGCCGCATTCAGCGACGACACTCCGGAGAAGCTGCGTTCCATCTCGGCGGAGAACCTTGCATCTCGTCGTCGCTGGCTTGCGGCCCGGGAGCGGTATGCGCGGGAGCGACTCCGCGGACAACCTGCTGCTACCTCCAGTGACAAATTGGCCCTTCAAGACTTAGAGGACCAGATCTACAAAAGCTGGAATCAACATTACGCTTTTGGTGCGCACCAACAGCGACGGACGATATCGCCCTCCCTCTTTGACCTTCTTCCTCGCTTCATAGAAATATCCGCCGAGATGTCCGCCACGCTAAATCTCCCTCCCAACGAGACTTGGATGCATATAGCATGCGAGTTCATGCTCCAAGCTAGTCTGGAAGCACTGCGAATGCGTTCGTTGCAGTCGCAGTCGCTCTCACAGTCCTTCTCACAGGCTGCCGTCAACGACATGACACCCCGCCTCGACGACTGTTTCGCGTGGGGTTACGCCGACCCTCGATATCTCGTTCCCGACGGCGCCTCACCTGACAAGAAAATGCAACTTGTAAATGACCTCTTTATTGATCCCGACTGCGTGACTGAGGAGGAGGAGGACGACGACGACGCTGACAGTGGGGATCCGGATCTCCTCGGTGATCACGATTTGGACGAGGATCCAGAATGGACCCAGACACGCTCCCAATGGTTATGTGAATTCTCGATGGCGGTCGACGCGTCGGCACAATCCCAGTCGTGTCGTTTGGACAGGTTGAGCGTCAAGTTCCCCCTCGGGGCCTTTCAGGACAAACTCATCAGTTTCATGCAGAGTGTATGGGACCTGCTGTGCGGAGATCTCAACAGGAAGCCTGTGCTCGCGCAGATCGAGGAAGGTCACATCAAGTCTCTGGGGGTGGTAGAGGGACCGGAGTTTGACGAGTTTCTCGATCGTGTCGGTCTCAAAAGGGACTCTCGGGGGATATTGACGTTTGATGTTCCTGAGTTGACGAGGCCGTCTGACCGCCTGGATCTGGCGCCACTAGATCCTCCTGATGGACTGCATATACGTGGGAACGCATGGTCAAGGGATAAAACCGACAAGGTGAATTCCAAGAAGAGAACGAGGACTTGATGATGATCATCGGAGAGGGAGCGGAGGAGAGTAAGTATGTGAGATTGTTGAAGCGTTGCTGTTGCAGTAAATGCCCGCATGAAGATGAGGCCATGTACAAAGTCCTTGCAAGGGTAAGACGGGACCTTTTTGTCACTTTTTTCTTTTTTTTGACTCCACACTATATCCTGAATATGCGCAACAGAATATATACCATTAATACCTCCTCGCCTCATGTTTCTCGGCGGACGCTCACACTCAAGGTCTCTCTGGCTCGTCGTCTGTGAGACTCGGAATAGATGGGATGGGATGGGATGGGATGGGATGGGATGAGTTGAGTTGAGTTGGAAACGGGGAAGAGAGAAAAGAGAAACGTAAAGGAAAACAAGAATATCATCATTTCGTCGTCTTTGTCTTCTCCCACACCTCCCGCTCAAAGCCATCAACAAGTTTTACATATTCCTCACCGCCAGCCACCCAACCTTTGATCCCGCCTTCGAGGATGGCACTCTGCATCTGCACCTGCTGCACCTGCGGGGCCGTTTCGCCGTCGGTGCTGTCCTGCGTCCGGGTCCGCGCCTGGTCGTCGATGTAATCGGCAAACCACCCTGCTGCACGCGGTCCTCTACCGTTGCACGACCCACAGTAGAATACCACCAGCGGTACCGACGCCGCCGTGGCAAGTGCATACAGCGTCGGTATGCCGTGGTAGAGTGATTGAGCTGGCAGATTGAGAGAAGAGCGGATAGTGCCGCCCTGTGATGCGCGCAGCACGTAGGGGGGCGCGTAAAGTAAGTAAAGTGATGACGCTCTCTGAAAAAGAAGAACAGAAGAAGGAAGAAGGAAGAATTGAAGGAAGGGTTGAAGGACAGAGGAAAAAGCGAGAGGAGGGCATTTCGTGCGTCCTTTCAACCGTGGACGGGAATCAAGACGTGGTAAGTGGGTAAATGTAGGTAGGGGATGTAACGATCCCAAAGTGCGTGGGTTTATTAGACAAGGTAGGTACATACTTCATGGTCATTTCTTCGTACGTCGACTAACAAGAAATCCCTTCCTGGTCGATCAGTGGTCCCAGACTTGAGCATGGCGAGCACGTCTTCTCTCTTGACGACTTTGGGGTGCGTGGTTCGCGGGGCGGGGAAGAATGCGTGCCATGGTTGTTCTTTTGCATCCTTTTCTGTCGAGGTTTGTGTGGTGGTGGTGGTAGGAGGGGTGGTCATGATGTGGTCTCTTTACCAAGACACAGGTAGTAAAAGTCAGTAGGTAGGTGAGTAAGGATAGCAACTACAGCTGAGAGCTCTGAAGACTGATAATCTTTGATGACGAGACCACTCTAGAGGTAACCCGGACAAGGTGGGTGCTAATGAACAAAATCGAACTTATTTGTGCTGCACTTTTTTACATTTACGCACTTTTGCAGGGATCGTCAAAGGGACCAACTACAGAGGGGGAGTGACCTACCAGTTTATTTACTGTACTTCCTCGGGCCCCTTGGTTACTAAGGTATCACTAACTAACTAGTGAGGTGGCCACAAGTAGCCGAGGCGCACCAGCTGTTCGTTGTACCTCATGCTGTACAACGCCCAGTTAGTGAAACTTCAATCTCAGCCTCAAGTCACACCGAGTCACACAACGTGAATGAGTGAGTAGTCGATGACTGACCTCGTAGGTCACTCGCTACCCAGCAGCATCCCACAGACGCGCTCACGAGACTAATATAAGTAAACGTATTACCTTCCAAGGTCCTTGCTTGGTACCCCAGATATGCACACCGGAGATACCTGAGATACCTAGGTAGGTAGGGAGGTAGGGAGGTAGGGAGGTAGGGAAGTGCGTAGGTAGCATCTATTCATGATGAGTACCCAACTCACTTTATGCCGTAATCTGTGATCCGTAATCTGCATCTATCCCGCAAAGCTATACAGAGTATCCGTACTCTCTCAGTCATCTCAGTAATACCATACTTAGGTAGGTACTTCAGGTCCGTAGAGAGTACCAGTACCGGCACCATAGCCTGCACCACTGCACCCATGCACAGCATGTCATCCACTCATCGTGTGTTCATGGTGGTGACTTGTATACATACTCCGTGATTCACTGAGCGTCAAGTACAGTATCCGAGATACCTGTTTAAGATACTTAAAATACGCCTGGGGTAGTCCCATACTGCAGTTTTCGTCAAGATCACGCTTCCAGACTCAGTCACCTAGATATTGGTAGGTACGGAATATCACCTCTAGTTAGTACTTACCTCCCTATCTATTAGTACACAGGTACGGATGGAGTACGAAATATGAATGTCGGCGTGTGAAAATACCTACTTCAGGTACTTCAGGTACCTACGGCGCACGTACCCCTCCCCCCTCAAAGGGACGATGTTATCGGCAGTAACCAAGTTAGTCCGTACTATCTACTGGCTAACCTCGTACTCGTTCCTCCCCGTGATTATAGGTTCCGGCACTCGTCGTTGAAGATATCCGTATAGCTAGCTCAATTGCAGGACGTGTGCAATCACTTCAAACCTGAACGCTACCTTCCTACCTGTACCTACCTCGCTAAAACCATTGGTTTTCTTCACTTCTGAAAGAGAAAAGCCAAAGTACGGGGACGCACAAACCACTCGTTCGAGGTCTTCTCGAAGTCTTGCGGTAATATAAGGTAGGTAGGTACGTGGCTAGGCAAGTATCTACCGAGTTCGGAGTAGTAACGCCGACAACTACTCCGGACTGTATCCGTACCAAAGCGAAAGATATTTCTCCCATCCCTAGCGGCCCCCTCAGCGCCCCCCCTTCGAGCTCGAAAGGCAAAAGAAAACGGAAAACGGAAAAAAAAAGCCACACACAACATCCAGTGTCGTCGAGATGGGACTTTCGCTCGTACGGCAACGTTGAGCCGATCCCGCGGGCCCAGCGCGCACCAACCACCATCTCTTTGGGAGACGGGACGCTTTCTCCTCTCGGCCGTGGGGCGTTTCTGGAAAACAGCCAACAAAAAGTCAAACGGGTCGTCGTCCAGCACAATAAATCGGCAAAAGATTGCTTCGTTTTTGGGCCCCTTGCTCGGGGCTAGCAGGCTACGGTAGAAACGTGTGGGAACAAAAAGGGGGGGGGGGGCGGGGGGGGGCGGCTTTCCGCCTCGCGATAAACCCAAGAGAAAACCTAACCACAGTAACCTCCTCGTACCTGTTGACGGCCCTCCGCCTTGGTATCAAATCAACATGCATGTTGCATCATGCACGCATGCATCACCAAGAAAGTGACAGGTTTTCTCTTCTCGCGCGGACTAGGCCCATCCAAAAGGCTTGTGCGCCATCAAGGCCAGGCCAAAAGCGCATAGCGTCCTACGGTCCAGAGTACGAATTAACGATCCAATGGGTCTGTTTCACACAACTCTTAGCGAGATCGGGTGAACTTTAGTTCTCGCGCCCAAAGGGCGGGTTGAAACTCCGTTTGACAATTATTATGGTACAGTAGGGCCCTAATAAATTGTGAACTAGTTTGATCGCCCACAAAAAACTGACAGCGCTTCTGTCCTCCGCCACGTGCGGAAGGCCTGTTCCAATACAAACTGCCCTCGGTGGCACTTTTTTTAAAGTTGTTGGCGGCATGGGACGATGCGCACCACCCAATTTCACCTCTCCCTCGTCATTCGTGTGCAAAACTACTCGTTGGCTCGTGTTCGTTACTCGTGTCACGATTTTCGGAAGGAGTGCCGCGAGTCAAGAAGCGTCGCGGCGCTCGCCTGAACTTGCCCACCGCCGTGGCAATCCCGAAACCGAAGGTTCGTAGAGTAAAAGTAAGTAGCTCGAGCGAGCACTACGGGGAGCATGCTACCATTGATTGTCCGGGCCATCGACAATAGCTACCGGCTACCGCAAGACCAGAGGTATCGTACAAGATTCCAGTGCTCTGCCCGGGGAGGGGGGGGGGGCTTGTTCGGCAGTGGATACTCGCGATAAGGCTGAGGAGTTAGCTACCAGCATTGTTTCCACAGCTTCGCCGGCGCGCAGCATTGCGACTTTGAGTGCCCCAGTAGCCCAGACCCCCTCGGTCTCTCCGAAAACTTCCATGCGCCCTGGGTAGGCGGGGTGCCGCAGAGATGCCCCAGTCTCTGGCCTAACCAGATGTGCAGAAAGGAAAAATCGTCCCAGACAACTCCTGACAGCGGAAGCGCGCAAATTATTACTCGTCTGCATTGTTTAGTAAGGAAGAGGAAGGAGGATTGAGCAGTGAGGACCATGTTTGTGCTGGGTTGATCAAGTATACTTTTCTATCACCGTCAATGATTTCGTTCGGGGTCCGTGTGCTATGGAGCTCATTCACACCTGAACCGGTCAGGAATTCCGGTCATGTGTGGTATGCAGGCGCCCTCGACATCATCTTTTGTCCTCCTTCGTCCGAGAATTACTACGTCGGGGGTATCCAATTCGCTTTCATGTCATCATGTTGCTAGACGTTTCCATTTCCCCATACTGGTTCTTCCTGCCTGCAGGATTGAAATTTCTCTGCCCGCAGAGATTAGAAGTAAAGTTTGCTCGTTCGGTTGTGACGTAAAAACGGTCGGCGTCAAGCCAGGCCGTCCGGCCACACCAGTCTCATATTCCCAAGCCACTGGTCGAATGAATTTTGGCCAGGAGTACGATCAGAGGGCGGTCACATGGTGCACAATCGCGACATCTTGATTGCGCGTCGGTGCCGGTGCGAGATGCTTTACGAGCTTCACCGCTGCAGTCGAATCCATGCCAGCATGCGTTCCAAGGAAGGATCCTCGTCAATCCAATACCCCTTCCGACGATCAGCTCGGCGCAAATCGCTGACAACGTGCTCGTCGGTGATGTCGTTGAGTTCCTGGATAACGTCTGGGTTAGCGTGGATACTCCTTTTCCCATGTGGTGCTGATCACTTCCGCCTTGGTATGGGTAGGGAACAGATCGTAGATTAGCGACCCGGACATCATCTGGAGACACCTCCCTCGAGGCCGTGGACACCGCAAGCAACTTACCTGCCGTAGTCTTTGATCAATCGCTTGTAGACTGGTCATATGCCGTGGACCGGGCTTTTCGCCCGTCAACAGTTGAATACGCATTTGAACCCATCTCATTGCAGCGGATGCACGGAGATAGATCTTGTGCGCCTGAAGCCTTCTGGTGCAGGCGTCTAGAATGATTCTGGCCGGCCATTAGACCCCGACTCCCAGACACAACGTAATGGGCATACCTTTGCATGGCTGCCTTTGTCACTTCGGACGTGTCCACCTGTCCAGCTTGCAGACCGATGTTTCCCGGGTTGAAATGCGTGGCCAGGATGGCCTGTGACTCGGCCGCACACTGTCTGAGCACCACATAACCGTCGAGATAGTATGATTGCTGGTCTGGAGGGTTTGCCTCGCTGCGTGTGATGAGTGATGAGATGTGAATCTGCAGTGTCCGGAAATCATTCATCACTTCGAGAATCCGCATGGCGCGGGCTTCGTTCCCTGCCACCCGTAGTCAGTATATCGTCAACCATGACACTGCTGTCTCACGCAGTTTACACCGGTCACCGGGGTGGTGGTTACATACGTCCGTCAGCCATGTCCTCTCTATAGGGAAGACCCCGTGGCTCACTGAGACAACCTAGGGCCAGTGTCTCCGTGTGTGGACTGCGAGGAGATGGGTAACCCCGATGGACCTGCGCCCTGATCTCAGTCTCAGTTGGATGCTTGTGGTAGTCCTGGAGATGAGAAATCTCTCGAGGCGGCGGTCGAAGCATGCTTAAGAAGAGTCACCATTCATAAATATCTCCCAGACGACAATGGTGCCAGGTGGAAAAGAGCGAAGAAGGTGCATGGAGCAGAGACACAAGCAGAGACAGAGTCAAGGTCGTGGCTTTGTTTCCAACCGACCAGTCATTGCCTCGAAGATGGTTCTGAAGAGTTGGGCCCGGGCCGTAGCGTCAGAAAGACAGGGAGAAGGCTGTCCAGCTGTATGAAAGCGCGACGAGAAAGCCGCACAATGGTGAAGCTGGAGGCAAGTCTAGCAGGCTGGATTAGGCGAGGACAGTATCGTGAGACAGAAATGGTCAAGGCTAGCAACACCAGACCCGACACGGCTTGGATGGTTGCAGCATGGCCATTGGGCATCGCCTCGACGAGAGACGTGACGACAATAATAATTGATGCAGCCATGGCAGTGGATCAAATTTCGAGGCTCTGCTGCGCTGCTGGATAGGACGTTGGCCGCTGAGCGGATCAGCAAGCCACCACCAGCGCCATCACCGCATTGACTGCCTTGGAGATATGGGCGTGTCTTGAGGCCAGAGGTCGCCGTGGAAGCCCGGTCCCCGTTGGACGCGGAATCACCTCACGCAGCACGCAGCCTGGGCGCCGGCATGGATCGAGAGGTCTCTACACCGAGAGTGCATAGTGGGAATGAAAACGCATCCGGAAAGCGTTGGAGCGTCGGCCCTGCGTCTGGCCAATGGCTCCGCCTCTCCATCTGCATTAGTCTATACTCAAAAAAACGGACGAGCTTCGCGCTTGTCCACAAGCAGAAAGCTGAACAGGCAAGGCGAAGCGTGGACGGGGTGAGGGCGTTTTAGCTGACCATCATGGCGTGCCAACACTCTATTTCCATCCACTTCGCTTCTGCGTGGACTCCGAATGTGGTGTGGAAAGGTCTATTCGCTTGTCTTCTATGGCATGGGAGATCGGTGGCTTGAATCTGCTTGGCTTACACCACCGTCCAGCTCCGAGAACCTCTGTTTGTCCGTTTACGCTTTCTCCTCGCAGCCTCAGAAAACAGCCACTGCAATCTGACGGGGACTTCTGGCCTTGCGGTACGAGCAACCATGACATGAGCCACGCGGGTTCGGGAGCTGCAAGACCATGTTTCCCCTGCAGTAACGTGCGCGCCTCACACGGTGCAAAAGCGTCTCCCCTTCCCTGGCTCTGACGTGCACTCGACCTCCCCACAGACATCATCCCGATCAGCTGCACTAGTGTGCTGAGTCTGCTCGCACCAATCGACTCCGCAACGCCCAACTATACACCAGGCCCCATATCAATAGCTGAGTTGCAAACAGACCCCTGTCCAGCGTGGTCGTCGAGAAGCATGATCCAGTGTGAATTGGGGGCCGGCCTGTTGGTACGAACGCCCCCTTATCGTTCAGCAACCGTAATTCAATCCCGCTCTGCAATCGCTTGAAGACGTTCCTCGATCTCATCTTCGCTTAGCGTCCTAAACTCTCGATCGGTGCCTTCACTTCCATCAGCCTTGGGTCCACCGACGATGCCAATCTCCAATTCGCCCTTCTTGAAATCAACGCTCAAGACAGTGCTGAGGGTGCTAATTCCCAGCTCAACCACCTCTTCCCAGCCACCAGGGGCATGATCCTTGTTCTTCAGCTTCTTCTCCAGATGATTGAGTGCCTCTTGCTGTTTAGGCCCGGATGCTGTGGCCTTGTAACCCACGTAGTAGCCGGCAGGATCGCATTTGTAGAGTTGGGGCCCGAATTCATCATCGACGGAAACGAGTGTGATCGCAATTCCTAGCGGTCTCATGTACGCCTGTGTGCCATTAGCTTTCTTGTCCGGAAGTCGCTTTCTGAAAGGCCGGCTTACTCTTTGTGTATAGACTTGGTTGATGTTGGCCAGCCGCTTTGCGAGGACGTCGCAGGGCATTTCATAGCCATTCTTGTATTTGAACTCTGCAGCTTCTCCTCTTGCTCGATCAGCAGCTGCACGAGCGTCTGCTATCGAGCCAGTCATGACACAGCCGACGGACGGAGAGATTTTAAACACATGGGACACGGAGGCTGGATCGATTAGTTTGTCCTATGACCAATGTTCGTCAGCATAGTTGCGAACGTACGTGTAGGTAGTCGTTGGATCTTACAGGGACTTTCTTCTGTGAAATGACCACAGCGCAGTTCTTGCCCCGCACACCCACGGAAGTGATATTCGCTGCGGTGATTGCCTTGAAGGCATACTCTGTCCATCATTGTAAGCAACCTTCTGTTGATGGACAATTGTAGGGGCAGAGGATGATCAAAAGCGCTGGGGCTTTCCGGGGTGGATCGATGAGGTAGATCGATGAAGGTCAACACCAGATTTGAGAACTAGCAGGACATACCGACTTGATATAATCGGCCCTGATCCGAGAAGATGGTAATGTGTCGATCATAACCTGCGCTGCCTGAAGATACGAAGTGGTCAGCTCGGGGTGTCCGACACAGCTAATTGACACTGAGACGAACCAGACATCCTGAACCTCTTTCAACCGAGGCAAATCGTACCAATTATGTAGCTAAAGCTCGTCAAAGAAAGCCTTGAAGGATGAAGCTTGACTCAAAGACGACAGAGGGTAGACAATCAGTTCGCGGGATATGCACGTAGACGGTGATGCAGGTATTTTTGGGAGAGTGTTCATCAACGCGCAAACTGCGCGGCCTTGCACCTGCCTAGGCTCACCAATGATAAACGTCAGCATTCATCGCGCGCCGCCTGAGCCACCTGAGCCACTTGAGCCACTTGAGCCACCTGAGCCACCTGAGCCACCTGAGCCACCTGAGCCACAGCACTTTTTTCTCCGACATAACATCCCGACTTTTCATGCAGTGAGGCTGGACTTCTGACCCTCTACACTTCTGAAATTTTAGGGTCTCTTACAATTTTCAGGCGTCCGAGGACAGGGGTGCAACGACCTCGTGTCCATCCAGCATAATTGGTCTCATGAAAATGCAACAGCCCATGGTCCCGGCTTGGAAGAAACTGGGCTTGAAGCTTAAGCATGCACGAGAGATCCCTGAGCATTCCATCCAGCTGAATGGCCATGGCGACAGCTCTATCGAAAATGCTCAAGGAAAATCATTTGAGCAACCTCATAAAAGAAGAAAGATTTCGCCCGTCAGCGGAGAATCTCCACAGAAGGGATCGACAAACGGAGCCATTCAGTCAAGCTTGAAGGGCCCAAAGACACAGAACAAGAAATTGAAAAAGAAAGTGTCCTTCTCTTTTGATGCACCACCCGATCTTGTATCAACCGTATCTCCGCCTAGCCAAAAGACCGCCGACGTGGAGAAATCGCCAACGACAAAGCGAAAGAAGGAAAAGAAGCCGCGGAAGCAGTTCGCTCGCACTGAGCAAGCCTCGGCTCCAAGCATCAATCCAGCTTTGGAATATCTAAGACAGTATCATACATCTCGATCGACCTGGAAATTCAACAAAACCAAAGAAATCTGGATCTTGAAACACGCATTATTGGTGGATGACATCCCCAGAGACTATGATGTGGCCCTAGCAAGGTATCTACATGGGTTGAAAGGGGTCGGCGCGAGGGAAAGGCTCGAAAATGCCTGTCTTGACATGCTACGGGCTAGACAAGGCGGCGAGGGTGTAAGCAGTCAAGACGCATCGGATCGTGATGTACAGAAGAGGTTTAGAGCCATGCTTCAGGCATCAGAAGATGGCAAATTCGACGACGAGGACGACAATCTTCGGCTTTGGATTCAGCAGCGACCACGTCCTCAGCTCTTGCTTGATAGCCTGGGGTCCGACGCAAGAGTCGATGAACCAAAGCCAAAACAAAAGAAGAGGAAGAATAGAACGGTGGTAGTGGACTATGATAGCTCGAGTTCTAGCTCGAGTAGCGATAGCGAGAGTGAGAGCGACGGTGACAGTGACAGCCAAAGCCAAAGCGAAACTGGCAAAGATTTGGGCACAGTTGAGGATCCAACGTCGAGTAGCGGCAGTGACGAATCTAGCGGTGGCTCAGATAGTGAATAGGTGGAACGAATCAGGTGGGATATTTCTGGTTCAGTCAGAATGTTCCGGAACCAATACATGAGCGTCGAGAATCCGATAGTCCATCAATATTGGCATGGCCGCTCGCACATAACGGTGGTTGTGTTGGATAATCCATGTGGCTGGTGTTATGAACGAGGTGGTTGGGGGTTGCGTTGAGACGAGCAGCAATCTTGTAGCACGAACTTCGAGGGGTTTCGTCTTCCCTCTGTCTTTCCTCTCTAAAATGGTCATCAATCACTGTGAGAATAGAGAGTACATCCGAGAATATTGCGAAGACAAGAGATAAGTGCTTATCCAAACATTCAATTCAATGTCAGGGCTCCGAGATGCATGAAGTCATTGACAGGAATAATATATCTCCGACCCCGGTCCAAATAGACACTAGCGAGGCTCACTAGCGCGGAGCTCAGTGTCGCATAACTTACTCCCATACTACTTGTATCGCATCCTGTTCCGCAGCAACAGAAGACTAACGCTGTTAGTACTAGCGGGTTGGACAATCGCTCGAAGCAGTCATCATTCGTCACCTGCTCGGTGACTGCTTGCTCCTGCAGGCTGCCGCCCAACTCCTCAATCCATCGACTCTTCCTCTTCATCCATCGCATCAACAAACAATCCCATCGTTCTACTCTTTCTTCATTTTTCCACTGGTTGGCATCATGAAGTCCGGTCTTGTTGTTGCAGCTACCCTGCTGGGTGCCGCCAATGCTGGCATGCACCGCATGAAGCTCCAAAAGGTGCCATTGGAAGACCAGCTTAGCGCTGCCAACATTGGTGACCACATGCGAGCTCTCCGACACAAGTACTCTCAGAAGACCATGGGAGGCTCGTCTGAAGACATCTTCGGAGATGCTTCGATCCATCCAACTGGCCCTCACGATGTCCCGGTGGAAAACTTCTTGAATGCTCAATGTATGTATGATATCTAGGTCTGCCCGTGCAACGTTAACCATCAGCAGATTTCAGCACCATTGCCTTGGGGACGCCAGCTCAAGAGTTCAAGGTTGTCCTCGATACCGGATCTTCCAATCTCTGGGTCCCTAGCCAATCTTGTGGCTCGATTGCCTGCTACCTCCACCAGAAATATGATTCATCATCGTCCTCTACATACAAGAAGAATGGATCGGAGTTTGGCATCCGATATGGTTCTGGAGAAGTCGCCGGCTTCATCTCCACTGATGTCCTCCGCATCGGTGACTTGACGATTAAAGACCAACTTTTTGGTGAGGCGACGAGCGAGCCCGGCTTGGCCTTCGCCTTTGGCAGATTCGATGGCATCTTGGGTCTCGGATACGATACCATCTCTGTCAATCACATCCCACCCCCATTTTATAACATGATCAACCAGAAGTTGCTGGACGAGCCTGTCTTTGCTTTCTATCTGGGCAACACTGATGATGGCACCGAGTCCGAGGCAACCTTTGGCGGCGTTGACACGAGTCACTACACCGGCAAGATGGTCAAGATCCCGCTCCGCCGCAAGGCTTACTGGGAAGTCAACCTTGACTCCATCAGCTTTGGCGAGGAAACTGCTGATCTCGACAACACCGGCGTCATCCTCGACACTGGTACTTCTTTGATTGCCCTTCCTACCACCCTCGCGGAGCTCCTCAACCGTGAGCTTGGTGCCAAGAAAGGATTCAATGGACAATACACTGTGGAATGTGACAAGCGTGACTCTCTTCCAGACATCAGCTTCACTCTCAGCGGTTATAACTTTTCCATTACGGCTTATGATTATATCCTCGAAGTCCAAGGTTCCTGCATCAGCAGCTTCATGGGCATGGACTTCCCAGCTCCTACCGGGCCATTGGCTATCCTTGGTGACAGGTATGTCTTTCTCTTTCCCTCTTCTGGACCGGGTCTTGATACTGATGTCCTGTAGCTTTTTGCGTAAGTGGTACAGTGTCTATGATCTGGGTAACGACGCTGTTGGTTTGGCCCAGGCCAAGTAGAGCAGGGACATTTCTGCTGGTTATCACGGGCTTGCAGTTCTTCCAGCCTGCAAGCTTAGGTGGTGAATATATCGGCGTTAGCTGCAGTCCATTAATAATCCCTCTATTATCCATCTTGTCCACTGCGTTTCCTGGGAAGTATATAGGAAAGAGTCGCGTTGACGGCAAAAGGCCGCTTCGAAGGCTACGGGTAGACCTGGAAGGTCGGCCACAATACAATTTGTTGTTCTGCTGACTCCTCGTGCTCTCCTCCTCAAGACTCCCTATTCACGCATGGTAGAGTGATCATGGATAGTCTTGTCGTGGCGTGGTCCGAGGGCGCGTCTCGTGACTGTCGACGGCCTCTTGGTGCGGCGAGCTAGTGATTTGGTCCTCGACTGAGAGTGACGGAGCATGCATAGACTATTCCTACGGCGGCCTCTGGGGCGCTGCTTGACTGACCTAGCAGACTTATCCCTACGTAGTTCTCAGGGCCCTTTGAGCCTGGACTGGCCCTTGTGAGACGCATAAAGAAGGCCGTCCATCCCGCATGGGTTTGTTGGAGCAAGCACCGCATACCAAAGCAAAAGCCTCATTAGCCACTAGCCAGTGGGCAAACTGCACCTACGATACCGAGACCTATCTCTGCTTCTCCTGCAATCTCGTTGTACTATTGCTGCGGGTACATACTCAATCCTCAATCCTCGTACTGATACAAATAAACATTGCCTCACATTCTCGGACTCTCTAGCCTCCAACTTCCTGTCCAGATCCAAGATCCAAGTGTGGCGCTTGAGCCTCGATCGCCCTACCATCGCTCAATCACCTACTCTGCCAACAGTCTCTCCATTCCACCATCAACCCTCCTCGCCTTTGGTCGTCCACAGAGCGCGCTCCCTTACTTGAGCTCTCCTCCATCGTCCGATCCCTTCGCTTCCCCTCACGAACAAACAATCCCCCCCGCGCGTTGCCCTCACCCAGCTGGCCGCGCTGCCATACCGTTTGCTCCCGTCGGTTCTCAAGACCTTGACTGCGCTTCTGGCTACATGCTTTGGTCAATGTACCCAGCACTAATATCTCGTCCGGCATGCTCTTACGACTCCCTAAAAACCTCCACTACCCACTCACCATCACAAAAGTCGAGAAACGGGTAGGAGAGTACCTTGCTCGCAACGACGATCTTTTCCTCTACTCCTACACGGCCAAAGTCACAGAAGGCACTCGCTATGGCGACGAAGAGCAAGAAGTGGAGAGGAAGTTTGTTACACATTTCCCAAGCACCCTTGAAGGCACAATCAAGGGATGGAGAGTGTGGGAAGGAGATGTGTTGACCCATCCGTAGGTATCGCGTCATCGTATCGAGGGAGGTCGCTAACCTACTGGACAGCGTGGACATCTGTGAAATCGAGGAGGAATGTCCGCACGAGGTGCAGTTCCAGGGCATGTGCACCAACTGCGGCAAAGACATGACCACGTAAGTGCCTCAACGTGAAAGCAAAGACAGGATCCCACCTGACCGGCTTCTAGTCTTCAAGCAGGTAGCGACACAAGCGACATCGACCGCGCGCCCATCCGCATGGCTCACGACACACAGCATCTGACCATTAGCAAGGAAGAAGCGAGTAAAATAGATGAAGAGGCAAAGCGCCGTTTGTTGTCCTCTCGGAAGCTCTCACTTGTGGTCGATCTGGATCAGACAATCATTCACGCCGCTGTCGATCCGACCATAGCGGAATGGATGAAGGACCCGGAAAACCCCAACTACGACGCTGTGAAGGACGTTCGCTCGTTTCAACTTGTCGACGACGGACCAGGAATGCGTGGCTGTTGGTACTATATCAAGCTGCGGCCGGGGTTGGAAGAGTTCCTCCAACATATTGCTCAGCTGTATGAGTTGCACATCTACACCATGGGCACGCGACAGTATGCACAGCAAATTGCCAATATAGTCGACCCCGACCGAAAGTATTTTGGCGATCGTATCTTGAGTCGAGACGAAAGTGGAAGCATGGTGGCCAAGAACCTCGAAAGATTGTTTCCAGTGGACACAAAAATGGTCGTCATTATCGACGACAGAGGAGACGTGTGGAAATGGAGCGCCAACCTAGTTAGAGTCACCCCCTTTGACTTCTTCGTGGGTATTGGCGATATCAATTCCAGCTTCCTGCCTAAAAAACAAGAGATCCAGAGCACGCCGAAGGCGGATTATGTATTGCCGGCTGAAAACGGTGGTACAGACAACGACGAAACCAAACCCGCACAATCCAATGGATTTGCTGAAGACGGTGTCCCTAATATCCAGGAGGGAACGTCTCCTCTCGAACAATTCATGGCCATGAGTGGCGGTGATGATCCTGCAGTCCGTGAACAGCAGACTAAGGGACAGGAAGAGATTATTCATTCGCAGCTCGAAGACAAGCCTCTCCTCAAGATGCAGTTGGAACAAGATGAGAAAGATGAGGCCGAAGCTGCAGCCGCCAATGGTGAATCTGCTGTGCCCCAATCTACCGAATCAGACACTAGTGAATCATCGGAATCATCAGAAGGAGGCTCGGGGCCATCGAAACATAAAGCGCGTCACAGTATTCTCAAGAACGACGACGAGGAGTTGATCCACCTAGAATCAAGTCTGACAAAAGTACACTCAGCCTTTTTCGCAGAATATGATCGCAAGCGCTTAGGTGGGAAAGGTGGACGTGTAGCTGAACTCACCGGCAAGCGAAAGGCTCCCCTTCCAGCCGATGATGACCAAAGTAACGCAGTGGATCTGATGTTCGTGCCGGACATCAAAAAAGTCATGCCTGCTATGAAGACGAGAGTGTTGTCCAACGTCACCGTTGTGTTCAGCGGCGTGCTCCCACTGGGGACCGACATTCAGACTGCTGATATCAGCACATGGGCAAAAACATTTGGCGCCAAAATCACCGACAGAATCTCTCGTGATGTCACCCATGTCGTCGCTGCACGTCCCGGTACTGCGAAAGTCAAGCAAGCGGTCAAGCGCGGTATCAAGGTGGTAAGCACGGCTTGGCTGATTGGATCGATGCAACAGTGGCGCAAGCTTGATGAAAGACCATATCTGCTAGAGGGTGCTGGAAGGCAGCGTCATGAAACTTCCAGCGACCTGGGCGACCTTCTGGAGAGGTCTAACGTCGGTGCCAGCGACTTTCTTCTGAGTTCGTCTGAGGGCGAGTCTACCGGCTTAGAAACCGAGGACGACCAGCCACTCAGGAAAAGGCTCAAGTTAGACATCAAGAATGGCGATTCGCCTGACGATGAAGAATTTGACGATCTGGTCGACGACGGTAGTCCAATTACCCTCAATCAAGACGAATGGGCGGACATTGATGCCGAATTGAAGGAATTCATGGGCAGCGACGCCGAAAGTGAGAGCGATACCGACTCGGTTAATTCCGCCTTGAGTTTCCGAGAACGTCGCTCTGTAAAGAGAAGACGCGACGAAGGAGACGGAGACCTTGATGTAGAGCATCCGTCAACGGTCAAGAAAAATGGAACAGGTAGTGCTTTGAAGACAGTTGCGAACGCTAGTAGCGAACGGGATTCGAACAGTACCAACACCCCCAGCACCGAATTCAGAGAAGCTCAGATCAAGGAAGAACAGCGACAGGTCGAGGAAGCTCAGCAACGAGAGGAAGAAGACGAGGAAGACTCGGACGACGAGTTGGCTCGAGAGCTGGAAAGAGAGCTTGAGGAGGCTGACGCGGAGGAGGACGACAGGCCCAAAGAAATTGATTGATCCGCACGCTTCGACATTTACTTGATATAAGGACAAGTTTGGATCCCTTTGACTGGAGCATTTGGCGAGTGGAAAGCCATTGATGACCATAGCGAGGCGTTGGGAGCAGCATGCTCAATACACACTTTCAGGATATCACCAAGACATACTAGCAACACGAAGCATATCATGCCCTGGTAACCCCAGCCGCGAGAGGTGTACGAGTGACGTGGACAATGCTATACAGTATACTGTCCATGAATGGCTTTTTTGGACTCAGCGACATCATAGGATATGCCAAGGATATGCAAAGGACTCAATACTCCATTTCCAGCAGGTACTTCTTATCCCGACTCCCAAGTCTATCAAATCTTGCAAGGACATTGGCAGAATGTCGTTGTGGGGGTCATTTGGCGCTCGCTTGCACAGCCTTGGACTGATTTCTGTTATACGGAGACCGAGTCGCGTCTCTCAATGTTGCTTACTACCTCATTCGCAGCGGACATCCGATAAGCCTAGTATAATTTTCCGTACTCGGGTGGCCTATGTAACAACTTAGCACGCAAAGGGGCGATGCCGCAAGGGATCCAATCTCCCTCCGCAGTCTCTGGCAGCATCCAATGATTGTTTCCGAGGTGTGCGTGCATCTCACCGGCCAAAGCCCGCGAGATCAGCCACCGCAACGACTGGCGAATGGCAAATTGCAATTCTAGACATTTCCCGGACGACCGTTGTCGTCCAGACCTTTACCTTCCCCGTAATGCTGCTCTTATCTCAGAGACTCTCGCCTCTCGGTCTGGGCTGAAAACGTAATTTTCCTTCCATCTGACCACGAAAATTGGCCATGATCTCGACCGCGACTTGACTTTCAGCGCGCAGAAGGCGTTAGCCATGACCTTTCTCGATGCCCTTGGGAAGCCCAGACACTGAGCGGTGAGACATTATGTTCGGCAACACTAAACCAGCCTCAGACCGCACCGACAAAGCCTCCGAAGGACCCGTACATCTGGACCCTTCTTTCTGGAATTCGGCTCGAAAGTGGACGTTTCCCAAAAGTCAAGATGAGAGCAACAATTCGAGGTGGACATCCTATAAGGAGCAACAGGATCCACATCCTGGAGATCAAGAACCCAGCTCGCGAATGGCGTCGTCTCATACAGGATCGATCATTGGGCAACATGTTCTCGTTCTGCTAGCCTTTTCCTTGCCCGTGGTTGCATTTGGGCTGGTTCTTAGCATACCTCAGTGGCGCAACGTGAGGCCAGAGTACTGGGACAATATCTTCGGTCACTGCAACTATAATGGCAATTTCACACTCAACAACAAACCAACCCTGAGTTTGTGGGACAGGTCCGGTTTCCTCATTATAAATGTCGCCTGGGGTTCAATGTCTTTTTCCGCCGCCAAGGGCCTGGATATCGTCTGGGATATCATGGTCGGACGAGCAGGCCAAGCTATTCTTGCATGGGCAACCTTCAAAGTCTCATCACAGTATCTAGACCTTGCCATGAGAGAAGAACCAGTTTCTTACGGCACGTTTGAAGCGTTGGCGTTCGTCCCGCCGAGCTTGGTGAGGACAGCAAGACTGGCCATGGATCTTGTATTCTACCGTAGCTGGAGCTCCAGGCTGGCTATACTCTGGATTATCTGCAGCTCCTTGTTTGTACTCAGCTTTTCGTCCCTCGCTTCTGCAATGTCAGGGTACAATACCAACAGCGAAGCTGTTGTGACTGACAGTCGTGGACAAGCAGCAAACTTCGCAGACTACCGAATGGTTCAATTTGCTATTCATGATGCATGGCGAATCGGTGAGCCAGAACCAATATTCATTACTACAGGCGGTGCCTGCGTCCGAAAAGGGTTCAATGATGATGACGGCAAGGAGGACGACGACGACAACGATACTGGCACCGATCAAGTTATTACTTCTTATACTCGACGCGATCCAGAGCCCCAATCCGGAGCCGAAGAAGAACCTTTCGAATACGTCCCTATCAATTGTACCATGTTCTGGCGCACCGTTCAGTGTAAGCTTTCTGTTCGATACTCAATGATGAGACGGCTAACACTTGTGGCAGACGTAGGTCTTAACGGCGCCGACGGTACTTCGAATAAGTCCAGTACGTTCATTTTCAGTGGAACAAGGTACAATTTGAGTTCGCCGACATTGAACATTACTACATCATATACCACAGCCTCTCTCGAGAAACTCACAAGTTACTTGAACAATTTCCATTCCACATCCACAACAAGCCTGAAGTCTCTCGGCGAACCATCTCGGTCGGCCATTTGGATCTATGAAAACAACACGTATTCGTATGATTACGTCCTCGACCATACCACTTGTCAGTATGAACGGTCCCACAATTGGGGGTTTTCCTTTTTGTTGCTGCTTCTGACCACCTTGATCCTGATGATATGGGCCCTCGGGACGTATGGCATGTGGCTGTACATTCAAACGCGAAACCCGTGGTATGCTATTAGATCAGTCGGCGAACGGCACAATCCAGGAGGCAGGGGGATCTACCGCTCCAGCTGGGACTTGGTTGAGGCTATGAAAAAAGACCTCGGTTCTGAAGCAGTCGTGCCAGACATGAGCGAGAAAGAGATCCGACATCTGTTGCGGCGGCGGAACGTCGCATTTAACTGCCCGTTCCATGGCGTTATTGGAAGAGACACTCTCTGTCAAGCACCAAAGGCAGCAAACGGCGTTGGCGCAGCAGTACGCCGTCGCACACAATGGAAGAGGTTGAACCAGTGGCTACACTCGTTGTTGAACAGGGACCAACCCGCCATATCTGTGGCATCACAACAGCCCGTGCTGAAGGAATCCGACTATCCATCCGGGACTGTATCGACCTTGGGATCATGGAAGTCCTCCTCGGTACTTACATTCAGTAACCAAATTGCAGAGACGGAATAACCGATTCACTGGCAACCGTGAGATAATTGAACATTCCCTTCACCACCCCCGCCCATCGAGGCGCGGCCCGTAACTGTCTTGTCATCAGGTCTGGAGAAAATGTTATACTGTACACCCCTAGGCACATAGTAACATACCTGCAGGTAGCAAGGATACAGGTGCCAACCCGATGCAGGCGGTCTGAGGATGCTAACTTCCTACGTACCAGAGGTACCTGCCTCATTTGGCACCCACATGGTGTTAACTGTCACTAAGCTTTACTAGTTAACTAGTTAGTTAGTTGGTTAGTTAGTAGTTAGACTCTGGGCGGCTGTCGGCACTTTCCGCCTCCGCCTTTTCTGCTTGTAACAACTTCCCTCTGCCACTGACTCTGCGTTCGCCTCACCTGCGCCCATGACAATTCTCGTCCAACACGCTTTCGATGTATATTTTCTGTCCAAATCGCGGGATGCTCGACAAGCCTTGTCGTCTAAGCCGTTCGCCGACCAACGATGTGGCGAATCGGTAACATGAGAATGTCGCCTGCCGTCGAGGCAGTCAAGATCTTATAGTCGTTGTGGTGAGGCCTCGGCTGAAAGCATGTATCAGGAGAGCTCCCGTGGACACCTTAGCTTTGCTGTATCCCTGCGCATGCTTGCCTATCACGCCATCTTCAGTGCGACCTGTAAGACAGCACACCCCTTTTCTTGGACACGAGTGGCCATGCATCGTGCGGGGTTCGCAGCTGCGAGAGGTGCGACCTATCCCACCCTACCTGCGTCCAGGGATCGATGTCCATGTGGTGGCTGAGCTGGCAGTTTTCCTCGAAAAAAACAAGGTCCGCGCTGTCCCGTGCGGCTGAAACCGCAGCCAGCATATGCCCAGCCGCATCTTCAAAACCGCAATTTCGTATCGAGTCTGCCTTGCGACTTGCCTCCCTCGATCCCCATCAAACTTTTGTGAGGAAGCACAAACGCGAATGGCTTTGCAAACAGTGAGCGCTTATCGCCTATCCAAGGCACAGTTGACTGCCTGGCTTAAACAAAACTTTGGGCAAAGTGACTACAAAGTCCAGGTAGCCTATGAAGCACTCCCATCCTAGTACGCCTTGGATAAAGTGCTAATGCCTAGCTAGCTTGTCCACGATCACTATCAATTCAAGTACTCACGTCCACTGACCCAGGTGAGTCCCAAGGCGGTTGCGCTGGCGACCGAGATGGTTGCGTTTCTGACACAGCTGCGCCCCGCCATAGGACGAGAAAGAGCAGATTGACGACCTTCGAAATTAGCCAAAGCATCTGTTGAAGCATAGTATCCTGCCATTTCTTTCGCCACAGCCATCTCTTCCAATATCCGCCTATTGTCTTCTTTCGTCTTGTGCTCCCTGCCTTGCTGAAAGTCCCCAGCATCTCACAGCCTTCACGCAACGAGCACGCAGCTGATCTCTCTCCGCCTCTTCCAGGGGGGGACGGTTTTGAGGTGTTATATATCTTCTGCTCTTCGCGACAGAGCTTGCCTTTCTAATTTACAAGCATTAGTCCACAAATCACTTCGTCCGATGACATCAGCCAGCTATACCTCCTTCTTTACCATTCCCAGCAGTCTACAGTAATTTTCGGTGACAGTGTCAGGTCGCTGTTGACCCATACACTTGCGCAATGGACACCTTCACTGTTTGTCGGACGAAAGAATATCCGCTCAGCATTGCATACCCCATGGAATCAGCACTTATGCTGAACTCGTATAGTGACAGATTCAAGAGGCTTCAACCAAAGCTTTTTGGTGCCGAACACCGAGCTTGCGTTGATATTTGGCAGTGCCGGGAGAATGGCCACTTTCAGCATAAACTTATCAGAGACTTGTGCGAACTTGAGTTACACCTTGAAACCCAAGGGCCTAGAGGTCAACTTCATCCCCAGTGTCGGTTTGTGTTTGTCCAGGCACACAACGGATCCTCTACAGAGCGGCTCAATGTCACAAAGGACATAATGAGCGAGATACTAAGCTATCATCAAGTCATGCCGTCATTCATTGACTTGATGGCTTCGTTCGGTCGTGGGGCCCCGTATGACTACCAGTATTGCGGTTTCAGAAGCGACGTACGCCTGTCGTCCAGGAACAATGCTCTGGCTGTCCCCGAAATAGATAGGTCAGGCCGGGTCTTGGAACTATGCTATAGTTTACGCGCTGTCGAACCCAGCACATCGATTCCGAACTGGCCATGGTCGATCAAGCAGCTAGCAGTCTCTCATTCAATCGACATTCAGACTGGTCAATCCACCTGGCTAGTATTCAAAGCGGATGGCTCGATCAAAGAACGCATTATGTCAGCCACACGGTCAGCATCTCTTCCGCAAGTCAACTCATTCCAGAACATCAATGAATCCTTGGCCTCGTCATTTGGCATCCATCTCATTCTGTGTCAGTGGGCAGCTGAGCATTGGAGATGGTATGTCAACTTTCTGGAGCAGAAGGTGCAAGAGATCACGCGCGTCAAGGTCTTCGGTGCGGTAGAGCCTCCTCGATCTCCTCGATCTGCACGCCAGGCCCTGGCAAAGATTAATCCTTCCACAAGATCAGGCACGTTTTCATTTTCAAAGACCCTTAGTCGCATCAGCACTTGGGGCTCAGTCCGCCATTCCTCACAACCATCCAGTGAGAGCGCCCCAGATCTCGATAGACAGCGTTCACCACCTGTACAATCGCGAGATAGTGCAACGCAGTTACTGACGAAAGAGGAGGCAATAGAAGAAGAGGACGAGGAGGAGGATGCCGGGTTCTCGCTAGATGATCTTCAAGAAATTCAGCATATTGAAGAGCAGATTCAACAGGCCATGCTCGTTCAGAACACAACGGTGAAGGTTTTAGAGCAGCTCCGCAACTTCTATCAAGGCCTCCAACAACATCCCGAGTGGCAGATGACATTGTCACGAACGGCTAGAGGCAGTCTCGTTCAATTCTGCAACAGTGTTGAGAATATTCAGTTTGATCTCAATTCGCAATATACCCGAGCGGAAACACTAGTTATGCTTTTGGCAAACCGAAAGAGTCTGGTAAGCAGAGACAAATATCCTTTTGCGGGCCTCCGTATTAATACTACCTAGCTTAGTCAGATCTTGGAATGGCGAAGTACAGAAGCCATCAAGTTGATCTCCAAGCAAAGCCATGCTTCCACGGAGCACATGGAATCCATGACTGTCGAGATGCGTGAACTTGCAGACAAGACAAAGCAAGAGACTGTTTCTATGAGAATCATCACGCTGGTCACACTGTTCTTTCTACCAGGGACTTTCATTTCTGTGAGTCAACATGTCTCTGGAGCGACGTTCGACTTACTTATGGACATTTACAGACCCTCATGAGCACCGATATTATTCAATACGATCATTCAAAGAAGATTTTCTCGAAAGAGGCGTTGAAATTGTTTCTAGCGGTTTCTTTACCTATGATGATGTTCACATTCTTGGCCTGGTATGCAGTCTATTTGTGTGTTACCCACAGGGAGAAGGTTTCCAAGTTCAAGCAGCAATTGCGCTTGAAGTCAGAAGGAGAAGTTTGACAGGCATGGCGACGCCACTCTTGTTCTGTTGGGTCCAGCGGGTCGGCGAATCTTCCTCCGCTCGTTTGATGGGCGAGATGTAAAAACTTGACATGCTTGCGTCTTTAACAGTCTACTAGTTCGGAAAGGTCGACAGGATCAAAAATAGCGATGTGAACTATATACACGCCGAGAGGGCGATACATTTGGGAAGTGCTTCTTTCGCTCGATGTGCCTCGAGCGGCGAGCGGCGAGCGGCGAGCGACCTGCTCTGTCACTGAAGCAGGGATCAGGGGGTCGCGAAACCGCTTCCCCGCCTTCGGCACGACAAGTCAAGAATAGCGTTCCAGCACTGCGTCCAGTCTCGCTCGTTACAACCGGTGAGGCTGAGGATAATGGGGTACCACGCCCGTTCGGTACACCCACGTCTGCGATGCCTGGTCTGAAGCCAGAACAGGCATGGCGGGAAGACGCCCGTCGTTGTGATTGCTTATCAAAGTCACCATCGCTTACCTGGCTGGCCAGGATAGCTGGCTGTGCGACACCAGCTGGGCTGAGGTTCATGCATCTCTCCAACAAAGATAAAGGACGTGGTCGCACTCGATGACAATGAACTCGGCCCATCCTATCCTCTTCCAGCGCATGCAACTGCACTCCCTTCTACTGGCAATTCTTGTCGCTTTAGATTTGTTTCCAACGCCTATGGGTTTCCTCGGTTTGCTAGTGGCGCGATGGCTTCGATTCAAGCCCGACAACCCACTCATAAGGCTGTGATTCTCGACCTGATAAAGTGGGTCGATGAGAATTCTGTGGACGGTGTTGATGCGGCCGGCGCATGCGCCCGCTTTATGCCAACGAAGGATTTGAGGGAGTATATAAAAGACAAATATCGACTTCGAGATATTCTTAAGGCTTTGTTTGAGCCTGAAGACCCACCGACGAATGTTTCACCCGCAGCGATCCTAACGAGTTGTACCTCTGTCTTTGCGATCCTCATCAGGATACAGAAAGGAGCATATATCAGCGAATTCCTTCGGCATGGAGAACTATTCGACAACCACCTTCCGTTCCTCACCAAGCCGCCCGCATTTCCGTCCGTCCCAAATGATGATTTCTTTGATCGCTTCTGCAAAGAGCAATGGCGGTTCTGTGCCCACACCTTCAAAGACGGTTACGATGATCTGCACATCTCGAACTCCTACATTCTACCAATTCTCAAAACCGAGACCCTCGTTGAGGGTGGGGCGGCGGATGTGCAAAAGGTTACACTGCATCCAGAATATGACAAAATTCAGCCCTCGCTGCAAGGCACTGAAGAGAGTGACCGATCTCACAAGGTATCATTCCTTGAACATAATCTCATAAGGTGATGGTGTCCGCTGACATAGAGACTAGCCTAAACATACCTATGTTTTGAAATTGTATCGGTCGAAGCGATATGCCAGTGAAGAACTGTACAAGGCTGAGTCAGAGGCATTCATCCATCTTCGGAACTCTCATGCGTTAGGGAAGTATTTTATCGGCTACTATGGGAGCTTCACACACGGAATCACTAGGAACATACTCCTGGAATACGCCGACTATGGTTCACTTGAGAAATTCTTCAATTCAGTCGAGCCTCCCAGTACTGGCGAGGACATCATTAGGTTCTGGCAGTCCATGTTTGGAATCATTGATGCTGTTCGCGATATCCACACCATCCCGTCGCCAGAATCGCACAACGCTGCGCCGTTGTTCAATGGGTTTGTTCGCCTAGCTTCGCTTCCTGTCAGAGCTGATCCTTTCTTTTAGTTGGCACCAGGATATCAAGCCGGCGAATATACTGGTTTCACGCGGCTCTACAGATGGTGAATTTGAATTCAAGCTTGCGGATCTGGGCCTGGCGCACTTCCACAGAGTCAAACTCAAGTCAAAGAGCCATCACAACGGAGCCATCTCAGGCAGAGACGTCGGAGGAACGCGCGAGTATGGTGAGTCGCATGCTGATACCACGGATTGGACGAGGCTCAACGAAGGACAGGTGCTCCTGAGTGCTATCGTGGTGACGAATCTCAGCACCAGACAACACGCCATATTGGTCAAGCTGTTGACATCTGGTCCCTAGGTTGTGTGTACAGCGAGTTCGCGCACTGGATAGCTCAAGGCAAGCTGGGCCTTCAAAAGTACCGAGAGCGCCGTGAGGAGGTTACGAAAGCTATTCCAGATCATCTTGATCCCGGGTGTTTTCATGACAAGGAGAAAGTGTTGACGATAGTGTGCGTTGCGTTTTCCCTCCACAACCTTCAGATGGTTTCCAATGGGGTTCATCTCTGACGAGTCCACAGTAAAGATTCACACGACGAACTCTTCAAGCACAGACGAGTCGATGATTTCATGGTGAGACCTGTCATCAAAAAGATGGTTGAAGAGATGCTCGACGATGCGGCCGGCCGACCGACGGCAGTGCAGTTGGAGTACAAGGCCAAGAAGATCATACAGCAGGCGGAAAAAGACCTGCGCGATATTGAACCTCTCCGGATTATCTCGCGGAGCTCAACAACACAATCCTCGGAATTGAACTTAGAAAGAGGCATCCCTCTACGTCTACACCAACCAAGACCGCCTAAAGCACCCTCGAGCATTATGCCAGACACCTTCTTCGACAAACATGAGCTCTTGTCAACAGTTACGACAATAGAGGAAAGCCCATCAGCCACCTCGAAGAAGAACACCGCTTCGGTACATCCGGACAGAGGTTATATACACAACCGGGTGACTTCTAATCCCACTCGTAACGGCCCTTCATCAAGTGAGGATGGTCAACGAACGGCTGTCCCGGGAGCCGATCATCACGAGAACTCTTCTTCGCCAACCCCACCACAAACACCATTCTCGTCGCCCGGTAAACTAAACAACAAAAGTGTCATACCCAATATGTCGATCGGTCAAGCATTATTCTGGATTTATTGTCAAAAGGATCTAGGACGAGATATGATCCCTCGAGAACATAGAAAATACATCGAGGAACTTGCCGACCGAGATCATGTGAGCTCACATCTTGTTTCGTTTCGGTTTTGGATGGCAATTGACACTGCTTTCTCCAGATCTTCCTCATTGATGACGCGGCTACAATGGAGCAACATTGGTCAGAAGTGACAATGTTGACCTACATCTTCACATCTTTCCTGAAACGTTATGACAAAGATGGGATGGAACTGTACTTTGCATCGTCCAAGGAGTGCATAAACGAGAAGAAGGTAACGCCATTGATGTCAAGACTGCTTGGTCACAGGCAAAGAGACACGTCCGATATTGGGAAATGCCTTGATAGGTTGGTAACCAGATACATTGACAAGATCGATGGGGCACAACATAGGTCCTACTTGCGCACTGCCAAACAACCGAAGCCTTGCTGCATCTATGTGCTTACCGACGGAATCTGGGAGGAGACGTCTGACGCCAAATCACCGGTCAAAAGACTTGTTGATACATTGAAACACCATCGCAAGGATCCTGCTGAAGTCGGAATTCAGTTCATTTTCTTCGGGAATGACCAGCAAGCTCGGAAAAAGCTCGAGGTGCTCGATGATCATTTGGATTTGGATATGTAAGCTTTTTTGGTCTAACTACTACCGCCCTTCTGCCCCATAGTCAGGTCGTTCTTCACCTGCTTCCCGAGGCCTTGGCTGATTCTTAAACTCTTCAGGGACATTGTCGATATGGAGCCTGCCAACGGAAACGTCTTGAAGATGCTTACTGGAGGCATCCTGAAAAAGGTCGATCGAGTAGTGACAAACGGTGCCGGTTCGTGAATCGTCATCTCCTGGGCCAGAAGATGTGCCTCTGTTTATTTTTATTTTGCCTGTCTCTGTTCTAGAGTTGGTCGTTGTATACGTATGATACCCCGGCAAAACTTTCTGGTTTAGAGGGGAGGGCATGCGGTGTGATAGAATACCATTTCACACCCGTACAGTGATATCAGTGATGTATTTTCTCGTTCACTGGCGTCTGGCATGGTGTATGAAGATAGATATCTACTAGGTATGGTTGATCTGTATGGATATATGCCTAACATGCGCTTTACAATCTTGGGTGATGGATTGAAATTTGTCACCGAGCTTACAATAGTAATATGGAGCGACTCCGTGAGCAAGGGACGAGGCGAGGAAGCGCACCCACCTGGCACAGCAGGAAGTGGCACTTCCGAATTTCGGTCATACTGCCGAGTTCCCCGACACAATAAATACATCTATCTAGCTAACTAACTGGCTAGTCCTCCTCTTTATCACCGTCGTCATCATCGTACCGTCACGGTCGTCGTCACGGTCTCGGTGATTGTCTGTGTCACGGTGGGCGGTCCTGCAGCGCCTTGAGCTTGTGCCTGCGTCACTACGGGGCTCGGCGTGACGGGAACGACGGCCACGGGCCCTGCTGGACCTTGGTTTGGACCTTGGGCCGTCGTCGTGTTCGGGGTGCTGCTGGCCGGCCCCTGCCCTCCTTCCCCTTCTGTCCCGCTTGGCTGCACAGACGCCGTGGTCAAAGAGGTCGTCACCGCTGGTGGGAGAGTCGGGGATGCCGTGGACAAGGTAACCGGGCGGCCGGGCCCTTCGGTTCCTTCTGGGGACACACCCGTCTCGACTGGTGATAGTGCAGCGGCGCCAGATTGATCGTTGGACTCTTGTGCGGCTGACGATGGCGATGATGATGATGATGAAGAAGAAGAAGAAGAAGAAGAAGAAGAAGAAGAAGAAGACAAAGTACGCGAGCTGCTGTCGACCGCTATACTCGTAAGACCGGGTAGTGGTAGTGCCGTCTCCGCGACGCCAATCGTCCCTAGACCCGGGGTTATCGTAGTCGCAGGTGAGGCAGTAACGAAAACCACCGTCACCGATGCCAATGGTGACGAAGGGGACGGTGATGGCGAAGGTGATGATGTTTCGGTCCCTGCCCCGGCCTCGGTCTCGGTCGATGCTGAATTCGGTACGGAGGAGAGGTCGGTAGAAGACTGTTGACTCTGTTGCGTCGTTGGTTCAGCTTCTTGGCTGGCCTCTGTCCCTGCCCCTGCCCCTGCGCTCACACCGTTAGTGTCAGACAAAGTTGTGGTTGGGGCTGAGGCGGCAGTGACTTCAGCGGTGACGTCAATCGTCGTGAATACTGTTGTTTGTGCCAGAACAGTAGTGGTTGATGTGAAGTCATCGAATCCTGGCCGGGGCGACGTGACGGTCTCAGCTTGTGCTGGTGGCACGATGGCAGTCCCGGTTCCTATCACTGAAGAGGTGTTTGGATCACCGCCACCGACAGATGTAGAGGCAGCAGCTGGGTCGAGGGGCGTAGATTCGAATGTGGGCTGTGCAGCGTCAGAAATACCAGTCACCGTTGCCGGAGGTGTAGGTGTCTCCAACGATGAGAACGATGATGATGATGAGGTTGTCGCTGAACCTGCTGCGAATGTCTTTGACGCAATTCCACCTCCATTTCCGCTCGTTGTGGTCAGGTCGGCTCCGTCTTGCGTTGCTTGTGCTGTGCTGCCATCATCCGAAGCTACAACCGTGGTTGCCACGGTGGTTTCTGACACAATCGAGGCACTGCTGGTGGCCGTCGACGTGGCTGTCTGCGTCAAGAAACTCAAGTCGCTCGTGTTACCTGCACCAACACCTACTGCGGGCACTTTTCCATCCTCTGATCCCTTGCTGGCAGAAGTTGTCTCGGAATTACCACTTGAATCCGTTGCGGTCACTGCCGCCCCTGCTACTGCTGCTGTGGTTGTAATAGTGTCCGACGACGACACGGTTGCGCCAGGTGTGGACGTTGTGGCAGTGGCAGTTTGCGTCAAAAAACTCAGATCGCTAGTATTTCCTGCGCCAACACCCACAGCGGGTACTTTGCCGTCCTCGGAGCCGTTGCCTGTAGAAGCCGTCGCTGGTTCGGCGACGGAGCTCGTTTCTGCAGCCTTCACTTGATCTCCAGGATCCGTGGGAGCATGCCGTCTTCTACGGCCTTCTTGGGAAGTGCTGATGGTGTTGACGACGACCCAGCGCTTTGGAGGTTGATTAGTTCGGCGGATTACGTCGTTATGTCTGCAAGACAGGAGTCAGCGTGGAATCGATGTTGGAACAGGGAAGCTCACGTATTGATCGGACCTGCCGATGCCAAGGTAACGGAAGCAATGAATATCAATAAGGGCGTAGTAATCTGCATGGCCACGATAGTTTCCGCAGAGAATATGAAAGAGGAAATGGCAGAAGTGTAAAGGAGCTCGGCGGACAACAGAACACGGTCACAAGACTAAATAAATGAACGGCGCACGAAGTCAACGTCGGCAGTGATGTGCAAAAGGATCGACGACAAGAAAATGCAAGTTAGCATGGACCAGAAGAGTACAAATGTCCTGGCAGACCTTTTTGAAGCGTCGAAATCAGGCGCTGCTGGCTAATTGAGCTCATTGTCGGCGGCTGCATGCTGTCCCAGGACACAAAGGCTCGTTGAGAGAAGTGGTTTTCCATCTATGAAACATGAGCACGCAACTACCACAGCCAGATCTCAATATGATTGTGTTGTCAGGAACAGAGGAAGAGAATGACAATGGTTGGTATTGATGCTTCGAGACAAGAGTCAATGGGCGTCTGAGATCCGCGCGAAGGCTGAAGGTTTGACGTCGATTGATTGGCCGAGGGGCGCCGAACGAAGGGGGCGCCTCAGCCTCGTGTCTTTGGCCGTCGAACCGCCAGCCGCCAAATGTTTCCAATGTTTCGTTTCAGGATCGGCTCATACTTGTCCCGGTCGCTATATTTGCATCTAGATCGTGTTAGACACGGCGTCTATATTGTGTTTTACATCGTTGATATTACTGTACACCCGTCAATACAGGCTCCGCTTTTCATGGATTTCCTCGAATGACTGGATTTGGTCGCCGACTTCGAAGCTGTCCCAGTTCTCGAAGCCCATACCACACTCGGAGCCTTTACGCATCTCTGTCACGTCTTTCTTGATGTTCTTGAAGGAGTTAAGAGTGCCTAGGTAGAAATGTTAGTAACCAAAACTTCACTTTTGTAAACAGCAACATACCTGTGTAGACCACTTCGCCGTCCCTAAGAACTCGGATCTTTTCCGAGCGGCGAATGGTTCCGTTGGTCACTCGGCATCCTGCAATTTTCACTTTGGCCTTCTTGACTGTGATCTCAAAAATGTCGCCCACCTCTGCCTCTCCAAGGACCTTGTGGGTGATGATGGGCGGAAGTTGCTCGGCTAGTTTCTCCGCAACGACGTCGGTTACTTTGTAGATGATGTTGTGATCCAGGATCTGAACATTAGCGGCCTCTGCAAGACGTCGAATGCCGGTGTCCACGCGCTGATTGAACGTGATGGCATAGCCAACCTCCCCCGTAGCAGCAAGAAGCTTGATGTCAGATTCAGTCAACTCGCCAGTGCCACTGTGGACAACATTTGCGACAACTTCCTTGTTGCCAATAGTACTGACAGCAGAGACAAGAGCCTCCGTGCTTCCAGCAACATCGGCCTTGATGAGGAAATGCACTTGTCGTGGTCCGAGAGACTCTTTCTCAACCCAGCCTTCGTTGTCTTTGGGTCGTCGGTTTGCTTTCATCTTCATGTAGCCTTGTTCTCGTTCCCACTCGAGCACCTTAGCTCGACTCTCGGCCTCTTCTGTCCGAGCACTGTTGATAGCGGACAGGTCGCTAATGGTACGGACCGACTCTTCTCGCTCCTGGCGAACGGCAACCGCGTCTTTGGCTTGCTGCTCATCTGCAGCCTGGAGTACTTCTGAGCCCGCCATAGGGTCTTCGCCTCGCCAACCATCAATCTGAACAGGGGTTCCTGGAGCAGCCTCTTGAATCAGCGCGCCAGCATCATTGCGTAAGGTGCGAACTCGAGCCCAAGTGTTGCCTGCGACAATGAAGTCGCCCGGTCTCAGTGTACCACGTCGGACCAAGACAGTCGCCACGCGACCAGATTCGCCGACTTTAGATTCAATGATCCAACCTTCCGCTTGCCCATCGGTTTCGGCTCTGAAATCGTACACGTCCGCCAGCGTCAAGATTGCTTCTTCCAGGTCTGCCATGCCTTGGCCCGTTTTTCCGCTGACAGGGACCACTTGAAAATCGCCACCATAGTCCTCCACCACAATGTCATGCTGAGAAAGATCTCGTTTAACCCGTTCGATATCGGCGTCGTCTTTGTCAATCTTGTTGATGGCCACGATTATTTGAACGTTTGCTTCCAACGCATGCTTGATTGCTTCAATCGTCTGCGCCTTGACGCTATCGTCCGCTGCGACGACTAGGACCACAATATCAGTGACATTGGCACCCCGTCGACGCATGTCCAAGAACGCGGCGTGACCCGGGGTGTCGAGAAATGTGATATTTCGTTCTGAACCCGGCATCACAACCGAGAATGCTCCAATATGCTGGGTGATGCCACCATGTTCCGAAGCTACCACACTCGAATTTCTGAAATAGTCTAGAATGGTGGTCTTTCCATGATCAACGTGGCCCATAATTGTGACAATTGGCGGTCGAGGTGGTAGTACTGAAGGATCTTCAGGGGGTGGTCGAGGGACCAGATCCCTAGTTTCGTCGATGGTATCGATAATGGGCTCGAAGCCATAGATCTCTGCAAACATTGCAGACGTGCCCGAGTCCAGGACATGATCATATCGGGCTCCTTCAAACCCTTCTTCCTCGAGCTTATCGATGAAGTCTGCTAGCCGAACCTTTAACCCTTGAGCCAATTTTTCCACGCTGATGAACTCCGGTATCTGAATCTCGGGTCGCTTTTGCTCCACAGCTTCCATTTTAGATCTTTTGGATTTCTTCTTCCGTTTCTGTTCATCCAAAATATCCTCCACCATATCAGGGTCGAATTCAGGCCTACTACCCCTGTAGGCACTTCTCCTCTTGCCGGAAGAAACTTTGGCAGTCCGTGATGTATAGTCAGGGTTGTCCTCTTCCACGTCAAATATCCTGCTTCTTCGCCCACGGTCCTTGTCAGCCTTCTTTCTCCTGTCAGACCAGTCGTCCTCTGTTTCTAGAGTGGGTGTGGCTCCTCCGACGTCATCAACTTCTTCTATTTCAACATCGGAGCTAACAGGCGACCGGGGGCTTGTTGTTTGAGGTATACTTCCACTGTCATGATGTCGGGAAGGATGACGACCAGGCTGCTTAGTTGCCTTTCGATCCTGGGTCGAGCGATCGTGTGCTTGAGATCTCCATCGAGGTTCGCGTGGATTCAGCTGATTTGAGGTCCTCTCAGCCGCTGACCCTCGATCATCATATCTAGACCGATTCATGGGTTTGAGCGCTGCACCAATTCTGGAATGAGACAGTGGATCTGGGGCAGTGCTCTGGGATTGCGATCGCTCCTGACTTGCGTGTCTCCTACCAGGTAGATCATTTCTGCCGGAAAAGGGCCGAAATGAGCGACTCCGATCTCCAGATTGAAGGGCGTCTTGATCAACGGAGCCATCAGGTGCAGGAGGACCGTTCACTGCAAGCTTCCTGATCTTGAACCCACTTTCGGTACCTGTGAGCGATGTTTGAGTATCAGAGTCGCCGTTGCTTCGTTGTTTCGGCCCACCATGTCTTCCGAATCTTATTGGAGGCCCTTGTTGTCCGAAGTCTGAAGAGACTTGATCGAGAATGGCACTAGAACGGGACGGCCGCTGGGAGTCGAACGGTGTCCTAGAGGGATACCGGCCTTTCGGGCCGGGAGGATATCGTGGCTGAGAAGTATCGGTCTTTCGAGAATCGGACGAGGGAGATGGGCTCTGGGATGGGGACCTAGAAGGAAGAGTAGTTGCCACTTGCGCTGCGGCCGATAATGTAGGCTGAGGAGAAGGCGAAGACGGCGCTGTCCCCTTGTAGACGAGTTCAGCTTTTGGCGGCCGAGGGCTGGTACATATGGTACACTCTGATCTTCGAGGCGCATTGACATGATTACAGCGGCATCTCCAGCCTAGCAACTCTCGGGAGGGAGTATGTTGTGAAAAGTCATCCTCAAAATCTTCCACACGAGCAGCTGCAGCTCCGGCTGGACGCAGGTACGGTGCACTAGATCTATACGTTCGATGTTGAGGCCGTAGGGATGCTGCTCCCCGTAACTCAAGAGTATGCTTGAAGGCGCAGAAGAGGCATATCTCCCTTCGATGCAGTAGCTGGAACAGTCAGTAAATCTGTCCGAAGCCCTTAACAGGTACATACCTTGGGCGATACAACTCTTCGCATACTGCAACCAAATCTGCCAACGTTCAAAACGTTCAACAGCTCGATTTCGAGGGCTGGGAATTTGTATGGTCTGATCTCTAGCAACATGGATCTAATCCTCGTCTCGATACTTTTTTTGCCGGGCCAGCGCAGGCGCCGGAGCCCAGTGGGGATGATTGCACGCAGCCAATTACGGCCAGACGGCGTTGGCCGTGCCATGATATCGGCACAGGGAATTGCGTGCCCAAAAAATCAATTACTAGTGCCCCAGATCACATATACTCGTGTTCGACAAATACCCTGCACCCTGTTGGAATGAGGTGAAACCACTGCACACTTCTCGAGTCGCGGCGAGGTCCAACCCTGGGCATTGTGAGCAGGAATGGCAGACGGTGTCGAGGCGATCGAGGCGAAGGAGGCTATCGAGGCCGAAAATGCGAGCTGGGTCAGAACCGTGAAAGATCTGTCGGCCGGGGCTGCTGGTGGTGTCGCGCAAGTATTGCTGGGTGAGTCTCGCATGTGGTATTGAGATCTTGATGGTTTTGTCTGGAATGTTTGCAGGAGTTCTATCTCTGTTTATGGCTGAGAAGTAGAAGCTAACCCAGTTCTTCAGGTCAACCATTTGGTAAGCCAGAGAAAACACACTTTGATTCTTTCATCTTACGCTTCTAGATATTGTAAAGGTGCGACTCCAGACGACTTCAACATATCCAAGCGCAGCAGCATGCGCATCATCCATTTTGCAGAAGGAAGGGCCACTGGCCTTCTACAAGGGCACCTTGACTCCTTTGATTGGAATCGGAGCATGTGTCTCTGTGCAATTCGGTGCTTTCCACTATGCACGTCGGGCCTTCGAAGAACAGAATCTGAAGCGCAATCCCAGCGCTTCAACTGAGTTGTCGTATGGCCAGTACTATGCGGCCGGCGCATTTGCTGGCCTGACCAACTCCGTCTTGTCTGGCCCGATTGAGCACGTCAGAATCAGACTCCAGACACAGCCTCACGGAGCGGATCGATTATACAGCGGTCCTCTGGACTGTATTAAAAAGCTCTCTGCCCACGAGGGAGTTCTTCGCGGTCTCTTCCGTGGCCAGGCTGTCACGCTGTGGCGTGAGGCACAAGCTTACGGTGTTTGGTTTCTGACCTTTGAGTATCTGATGGCCCAAGACATGAAGCGCAACAATGTCAAGCGATCCGATATCTCATCGCCCAAGGTCGCCTTCTATGGTGGTCTGGCAGGCGAAGCCCTTTGGATAGCCAGCTACCCATTTGATGTCGTCAAGAGCAAGATGCAGAGTGATGGATTCGGAAAGGATCAGAAATTCAAGACCATGCGGGATTGCTTCTCCCAAACATGGAGAGCGGAAGGCATGAGAGGCTTTTGGAAAGGCATTGGACCGACTCTTGCAAGAGCCATGCCTGTGAGTGCTGGTACATTTGCAGTGTAAGTTATGGCCCCCTGGGCTCGGAAGACGTCCAACGGCTAACCACATTTTCAGTGTCGAGATGACCATGCGCGCACTGGGATGAGGTGAAGTGTGTAGAATCATATGTTGCGATGTAAGCAAGATCGCCTGTCTCAACAACATGAACTTCACGAACTCGGACTGTCCCCAGACAGGAATTAGATTGGACAGCGCCTAAAGGGGAAATCTGGTTGCTATTGTGGCGCGCTTATTCATACGACTGGTTGCCATATTTGTGGGAAAGGGATGCCATTTTCTGCGGAACTAAGTTCAACACAGTAACAATACATCATATGCCTCGCTGTTGACCATAACGAAAAATGTACAGACTAGAACGGGATCCTCATTGGAGATCCTATCTGTAGGGTGCATCGGCTCTTGCGACTGCAGCTAATTCTGGCTCCCACTTGTCACCATTTGCAAGCAATTTCTCCTTGTTGTACAGCAGTTCTTCTCTGAACTCCGTGGCGTATTCAGCGTTGGGCGTCTCCACAATAGCATCGACTGGGCAGCTTTCCTGACAAAGGCCGCAGTAGATGCATTTTGTCATGTCGATGTCATAACGGGTCGTCCGCCTGGACCCATCTTCTCTTTCTTCGGCCTCAATCGTGATGGCTAGAGCAGGGCAGATAGCTTCGCAAAGCTTGCAGGCGATGCATCGCTCTTCACCCGAGGGATATCGTCTCAACGCATGTTCACCTCGAAATCGCGGGGAAATGGGGCCCTTTTCGAAAGGATAGAAAATAGTGTAGCTGTATCACTACCGGTCAGACTCCCATATCCTCATTCTCAAGCTCAAAATGGTCACATACGGTGCTCTGAAGAATTGTTCTAGCACGACATACATGCCGCGCATCATCTCAGTCAAGAGAAAATAATTGCTGGCTTTATCCACCGCATTTTCATCTTCGTAAAATCGCTTTGGTCGAGGCAACCGGTAGCCCGAAGGAGGGGGGCCCGCTGGAAGGGCATTCTGAGGTCTCGAGGTATGAAATTGAGCTGTGGCGCGGAGAAAAGGTGTTCGCTCGGACTGTCGCAGGAGATTTGAAGCTGTGATCGGTCTCGCCACCAGCCGTGATGCTGGACGAAGTGACGACGCCATCTTGCGTACAAGTCACAGACTATTATTCAGGATGAGTGGCGTGCGCAAGCAAAGGGAGGAGAAAGAGGTTTCGGCGACGTCGAAGTGTACGAGCAAATGAAGTCAGTAATGGACAGGCTCTCATTCGCTGGAATCTCGATAACGGGGGAGGTGTCAAGTGGTCGCGTCTGACAGAACGCCAGCTCCTACTGCTTGTGCAAATCTCCCAATATAGGCGCAAATCACTGCCGTCAGACGCACCAATTTACTCGACACTTTGGAGCTCAAATGGCCCACCGTAGTGCTAACGATTTCCTTAGCTGTTTTCGACTTGCACTTTTGGCCGAGTTACGAGCTTGACATCAGAAAATCAATCATCTTCCCATCCACGCACGCATTGCCCTCTGACCTCCCTCATCGATACCGCAGAGTCCAATCGAAGCCGCCAAGATGATTCGCGCAGGTGCTGCAAGAGCCCTCTACGCAGTCACAAGGACCCAGGTTCCCCGACAACTACCTGTTTTCCGATCTCAGATCACTTCCTCTCTTCTGCAGTCCTCTCGAGTAACTCCTTCATTCGTCCTCCCCAGCATACGATGCTATTCCGCGCCTGCGGGACTCTCCAAAGATGAGGTCCAAGGACGGATAATGGACCTGTTGAAGAACTTTGACAAGGTGCGCTTCGGAAATAAGATTCGGTGAATTCAAATGCTAATAGCGCGCAGGTCACAGATGCATCAAAGGTACAACATTCTTGTACACACCAACGACAATCTCTCTGACCAGTCTATCTAGATTTCCGGCACATCACACTTCCAGAACGACTTGGGATTGGACAGCTTGGACACCGTCGAGGTGGTGATGGCAATTGAAGAAGAATTCAGCATTGAGATTCCGGACAAGGAGGCCGATGCTATCCACAGTGGTGAGTACAATCCAAAAACATGAGTGGATGCAGCTGACAAGATCAAGTCGACCAAGCCGTCGCATATATTTGCGCTCAGCCCGACGCCCACTAGGTCCATGTGGTGATAAAGGTGTAGATTGTGGTCAGGCCCAAAAAACCCATGGTTGTACATTTTCCTCAACCCTCGGACGCTGGATGGCAGTTGTACTATCAGAAAACAATATTAGATTCATGCGATCTCCACAATGGCACCCGATATGCTGGATCCCCTGAACACTTAATTTCCAGGCCTCCGTTTCTATCTTTTGTTATATACATGTCTTTACCATTGTGTTAGGACCTACACAATCTCTAACTTTCTCAGCTTCTCAATCTCGACAGCAGGATAGCCCAGTTCGGTCAGGACTTCGTCAGTGTGCTGACCTAGCAAAGGCGGCTCAAGCCTGACACTCATCGAGGCTCCCTGGAACTTCATGGCTGGCCCAATTAGTTTCAACATTCCGTCTTTGGCTGCCTCGAACTGATCGATATCTATTACCATATCTCTCGCCTCGGCCTGTGGATGTGCGAGTGCGTCAACAACATCGTTAATCGCGCCGTATGGCAGACCGCTGCCTTCAAAGATGTCCAGCCATTCGCTTTGCGTCTTTTCGGCGAACTTCTTCTCCAATATCGAATTGATCTCGTCCCGGCTTTCAACTCGCCCATCGTTTGTGCTGAACCTCTTGTCTTCTACCAATCCTTTGATTCCCATGCGTTGACAAAACCCTTTCCATTGTCTGTTGTTGTTGGCCGCGACGAACAGCATCCCATCTTTTGTCTTGTACCCCCCGTACGGCACGAGATTTGGATGGCCCAGCCCAAGCCGCTTACCTCGCCTCCTCTTCTCCGGGCCTTTGTCCAGGTCTAGATTCAGAGCAGCCAAGCCCACATTAATCAAAAGGCTCAAGCTACTTTCAAACAGACTGCCGTCGATTTTGCAACCCAGGCCAGTCCTGTGTCTCTGGTTCAGCGCCGCCAAGATGGCACCGTGCATGTACAACCCCGTGCACAAGTCTGCCATTGCGACACCGGGCTTCGTTGGCCCCCCGTGCTCATCGCCTGTGATGTGCAGCAGCCCTGCTTCCGCCAGCGCAATTGCATCGTACCCTGCACGGTCTCGACTTGGGCCGCTCGCGCCGTACCCGCTGCAGCTGGCGTAGATCAGGCCCTCGTTGTCCCGCTTGAGGACCTCGTACCCGAGACCAAGCTGCTCCATCTTGCCCGGGAGGAAGTTGTTCAGAACAACGTCGCTGTGACGCGCCAGTGCCTTGACGATGTCCAGCCCCTTGGGGTCCTTGAGGTTGACAGTCACGGAGCGCTTGTTTCGATTGACCGCCGCAAAATAAAGAGACATGTACTTGTGCTCGGGACGCCACTTCTGGCCTTCACCTGCCGTTCGCCATTGGCGTGTCTCGTCGCCCGTGCCGGGTTGTTCGACTTTGATGACCTCGGCGCCGTAGTCGGCGAGGATCTGTGTACAAAAGGGCCCAGCGAGGACACGGGACAAGTCGAGAACTTTGAGGCCGTGGAGGGGCAGATTGCCCGTTGTACTCTCGCCGATGCCGGAATGGGATCTCCCAGTTTGCTGTAGAAGACGGATGCGTCGTGTCCCTGACCTCGGACTATGGCTGGTCCATCTGCATAGCTGTGACACTGGGGTTCGCATTGTTGTTGTAACCTGTATCTGCTCCCGTGGCGAGATCAGGCTTCGAATATTTGCACTGTCGTACTGCCACTAACTCAGTCAGACTCGGGTCCCTGCTCGGAGCAAGTCTCTGAGCCAGATGACCCGATGCCCCAGGTTCACTTGACTATGTCCAGTCCAATAGCTCCCACAGTGCTTCCGCTAACGCGATCACCACAGGGTTTCTCTGAGGCTCCTGCTTGTGGTTGACTATCCAAGGCCGAGCTGTAGTCCCGCATAACATGCAAAAAGGCCGAGTAGCCGACGGCTGTGTATGTATGTGCGGGGACTCCGCCATGTACTTACAACTATGTGGGTAAGGTGTGTATGTACTTACCTTGACTGGCACATCATGTACTTTGCCTAGGCAGGTTGACTGGCCTTAGCCGAGCCCCTATTTCTCAAGGGACAGTCCTTCAGCGATTCACGACACTGGCGACAAGCATATTTAGGAGGACCTTAACACTACCCATCACATACTATACTTCAGATCACCACTACCTGAACGAAGGACTGATTACTTGTCGTATGCCGATGGACCTTCAGCCGCCCAGGAACAGACAATAGAGCATCCAGGTGTTGGCACTGGAGCAGGGTTTGCCACGGAAAGTTCAAGAGCAAGAACAACAGTACGGCAATGGCTTCCAAAGGCTCCTCAAAGAGCTTGTTCCGTACGCTCTGGAGAAAGACCCCGGCGAAACATCTCATGCTCAATCGACCACGGATACGTTCACCTGGTCGACTGGCAGCGTTTTCGACAACACGGTCCGGCCATGCTCGCGGAACAGAATACCTCCAACTCCACGACCCGGACCTCACCGAGTCCCAACGCACGGTACGCGAAGCCATCAGCAAAGTATGCGCCAGGTTCGACGACAACTACTGGCTCGCCGCCGACCGCGAGCACCGTTTCCCCGTCGAGTTTCACCAGGCGGTGGCCAAGGACGGATGGCTGGGGATTTGCATGCCTTCCGCGTACGGCGGGAGCGAGCTGGGCATCGCCGAGGCGGCAGTCATGGTGCAGACGATCGCCGAGAGCGGGGCGGCGTACGCGGGCGCGAGCGCGGTGCACATGAACATCTTCGGGCTCGAGCCGGTGCGCAAGTTCGGCAGCGAGGAGCAGAAGAAGCGCATGCTCGTGCCGCTCATCGCGGGCAGGGAGCGGGCGTGTTTTGGCGTGACGGAACCCAACACGGGCCTCGACACGCTGAGGCTGCAGTCTCGAGCGGTCCGCAAGGGCGACGAGCAGCACTACGAACTCAGCGGGCAGAAGATATGGATCTCGACGGCCCAGGTTGCCGAGAAGATCCTCGTGCTCGTGCGGACGACGCCTCTCGAGCACGTCAAGAAGCCGAGTCACGGGCTGAGCCTGTTCTACACCGACCTCGACAGGACACAGGTCCAGGTCACCGAGATTCCAAAGATGGGCAGGGCGGCCGTAGACTCAAACACCTTGTTCTTCGACGGATGGAAGGTGCCGCGACAAGACCTGATTGGCGAAGAGGGCAACGGGTTCAAGATGATCATGCACGGGATGAACGCCGAGAGGATCCTCATTGCCGCCGAGGCGCTGGGGATAGGGTTCGCTGCGTTGAGACGGGCCGCGCTGTACGCCGGGGAGAGGAAGGTGTTTGGAAGGCCGATCGGGCAGAACCAGGCCATCCAGCATCCTCTGGCGGACAGTTGGATGCAGCTTGAGGCCGCGAGACTGATGATCTACCAGGCGGCGAGGATGTACGACCAAGGATATGAGACGGGCGAGTATGCCAATGCGGCAAAGTATCTCGCTGCAGAGGCGGCTTTTACGGCATGCGAACGCGCCGTCATGACGCACGGCGGTATGGGGTATGCAAAGGAGTATCACGTCGAGAGATACCTGAGGGAGATCATGATCCCCAGAATTGCCCCGGTGAGTAGAGAGATGATCAAGAACTATATTGGCGAGAGGGTGCTCGGGTTACCGAGGTCGTATTGACGTGAAGTACTTGGTAATTCTGAGTACTCATCTTCTGCCTCCTCTTCCATCCCTGCGCGTGTTGCACGCAACCGATGTCCACTCAGCATGGGCATGGCCATCTTCTTCTCGCCCTCTGTCTCTTGTCTCCTAGGCAAATCGTCGGTGAGAGCTTCCTTCGGCGGGATGTTCTCCGTGTCCCAGCTGTCTCCTGCTTCCACAGCCAATGCCGTGACCATGCTCTTCCTTGCCGACTTTCCTGGAGTTTCCCAAATACGCCCGTGAGAATTTGAGCTCTGTCTTTTTCTCAACCGGAAAGATTGTATCGACGGCGTCTAAACATGGTCAGGAGTGAGTGGATGGATGTACAGTACCGCTTCGAGGACCTCGCAGGTGTTTGGAATTGAAGGCGTTGATAGCGGGATCCTGGTTCTGTAGGAGGTGTTTGTCGCTGAACAAATCTCTTTCATATGAGATGTATGCATAAAATAATGCTGACGAACTCATTGTCGTCAATTGAGTCTGGGACAATCACCAGACGTCCGTCTCGTCGAAAATCACCTCGAGCGATTTGTGCAGCACGAGGCCATTGCCTTCTGACCCAAGGATACCTCGTCCCACGCGAATGTAGGCCCACCGTCCCATCACCGTCAGGAACGCTGCCTTGTGCTGATGAGGACCCTTGCGATACATTCCCACGGATCAATACCCGTTGGTTCCCCTCTGCCTGGAACTTGTACCGTGCCTTTGTCGTGGCGAAGTCTTTCACAATTGGCTCCATCCTTCGAGGAGGACAGTTCGACTTCGGTACCGTTCGACTTGATAGTTCTGTCATTCAGCTGACAATAAGTTTGCACCATTCTCAAAGGTTCGTTCAATTTTCTCAGGAGCGTGGTCTTCGCGCGGCATAAGGACTCTGGCACCACCGCGTCCTCTTGCAATATATATATACGCACACACAGTGCAGTCTTGAGCACCAGTTCAAACGTACAGGTATTTCCCACCATTAAATTGAGATATGTCTACCTGCGCTGCCTCTGCCTTAACTTTCTATCGAGTGACTCAGGTATGCTGTGTCCCGAGTCGACATCTTAACCAGCGCTTGGTTAATTCTCTCCCAGCCTAAACTTCGCACCTTTTCCCATCCCACCAGAGAGACCAGGCTCTCTATGTAACTAATGGAGATTCACGTTTAGGCCCTTCACTTTTCCCCAAGAAACTTTAGTCTACACATCCACTTCTACCTTTTTCGCACCTCAACAACCCTCTTCACTTCCTTCAAAATCACTCTCCTCCTCATTCCACCTCTTTATTTCTTTCTGCAGTTATCTACTCAGGTTTTCTAAGTCATCAACTTCACCTGCATCCTCATCACTGATGTCTTCATTTTCGCTTCTCTCGGCCTCCTCCGCTGTTTCCATGACTTTGAGAGGCTTAACTGCATTTCTTTTTAGCCCTTTCAAGGCTGCCTCGCTCGTCAGGACCCTCGCATTCACCATGACTTCAGGACTTTTCACCTGGGCCTACAGCTTCCACCCCTTAGACTTAGCCAATTCAATCAAAACCAGCTTGCCGGTCTTGGGATCATTGATTTGGAAGCCTAAAGTTTTGCAATATTTCTATGCTAATATTCACTAAATGTACATGTATCTTGATAAAGAGCCACATCAGCCACTCTTCCGGGCGTCATTTGAAGATAGTCACGTGCGTGGCTGGGGAGGCCGGTGAGGCTGGTGCTTCTCCACGAGGCTGAGTAGGTGAACTTCCTCTTTGGGCGGGCACAGCCTCACGACTGCGCCTCGGGTGCGGCATCCCAAATCCTCGCCCTCCCACACCAGTCAATCCAATCATGATGCTCCTCGACGGTGATTTTGCGCTTTTCCAGGCCCGTCTTCAGCTTGCATCGAACGCTCGACTTGTCTCCATGTGCTCCATTGCAAGGCGTTCCGACTACGTATCCTGAATGGCTGGAGTAGGCGAAGCCTCAAGTCGCATCAAGTCGACTATTCCGGGTGACGCGGCTCGCCCATCGTGCATCATCTTGCATACAACGAGCGGGCCTTTTGAGATCTGGGGTCATCGTACCAACGAGGATGCCGTGGGCTGTGGCCAGTAAGGTAGGTGTGTGTGTGTGTATGTGTAAGGTATATAAGTATCCCCTCCTCACCTGTTTTTCCATTTCGACATCAACAAGACACATACATCATCATCATCATCATCATCATCACTTTTCCAAACCAATTCCCTCCTACAACGAATCCTCTGTTCAATACCAGCTCCACTCCCACCACCCACACAACCATGTCAGGCTACGACTCTTACTACCAATCCCAATCCCAATATCCCTCGTACAGTCAACCTCAAGCCGCCAGCTCATACCCGAGCGACGGCTTTTCCGAGTCCGGAGCTCAAGGAGGCCCAGGCTATTACGAGAATCAATACACTCAGCAGCCATACTATGGCTACTCCGCCGACACCCGCTCCCAAACCCACCACAACGGCTACGGCTACGATGCTTCTTCTTCTTCTTCCAACGCCCCGTACTACACCAACTCCAACAACTCGGACCCTAACGCGAACTACCACCAACCCGCGCCCGCACAGGAACAGGACCGCGGCCTGATGGGCGCCATGGCCGGCGGCGCCGCCGGTGCATGGGGCGGCCACAAGGCCGGCCACGGGTTCCTGGGCGCGATAGGCGGCGCCATCGCCGGGTCTCTGGCTGAAGACTACGCCAAAAAGAGCCGCAAGAACAAACACAACAAGGCCAGCTTCGGCAGCGTCAGCACCACGGCCTCGAGCTTCTTCAGCAATCGTAAGAACTAAAGGTTTGCTGTTGAATGAGATTTGGTTGTTTTTCCCTCCTTCTTTGATATTTGTTTTGGAGGGAAAGCCTTTTTTTTCGGAGCAGGCGTTGGGTACGAAGCGATGATGAAGAAAGACCTACCTCATGATCCCGGGGGAAAACAAAAACCGAGCGGCAGGATTGGAATCCAGAGACCTCGTTCGGTTCTTTGCAATGTCGCTGGCCTAGTGTTCTGCAGTCGACGGGATTGTTGTCATGTTTGGGTCGGTTGGTCCGTCATCACATGGAGTTTTTATCATGAGTATACTTGTGTACATGAGTTTGAACGATCTTCACGCGTAGCATGGCATGGCATTGTATCATGTGATTGAAATGGGTATGAACTGGAGTCTTGAAAAGGTCTCGACTTCGACAACAGATATTGGTAGTGTTCAAAACAAACATCACCCACTCACTTCCTTACCTCCCTGCAAACTTTATCAGTATGCAATGGACGTCAACGATCTTATGCATCACAGAATAGGAACAGTCAAAATAAGAGCACAGCGCATTTCTTCATCTCTTTTTATCTTCAGGGCCTCGTAACTAACACCATGGCCAAATGTCGCTCACGCATCAAAAATGCTTTTTCTATCGTCATCATTTCATGCCCTCTCACCGTAACATTGTTCTCAATGGCAATGCACATCACATGCACCTATTTATGCTGGTTGCTGATATGGGTGAATGAGCATCTCGGAGAAACTGTGATGATGTCGTCAGCGTACTCCCTCTAGAACATACATACAGGATTTATCGATCGTAGGCTTACCTTTTCAAGCTTTCCACACCACGTACTTCATCCGTAAGAAGTGGCATCTTCACCACGTTGAATTCGTCATACAACTCTTCAATCTGATCAAGGTACTTCTTTTGCATCTTTCTCCGAGCATTGCATTGCTTGCAATCATTTGACTTCTCGGGGAAGAGTAACTGATTGACCACGATGCAATGCGTGTCGATGTGGTAACTCGCCAATTCCTGAATCATCCGTTCAGTCTCGTACAACGACAGAAACTCCGCGATGCAGACGCAAACAAAGGTCGTCATGTCCGGATTCTTGAACTGGGAATTGACTTCAGCTATCGTCTCCCGCAAGGTCTCGAGCTTTTGGGTGAGATCCTCGAGTGAGCCTCCACCGGGTAGACCTCCTCGGGCTCCGAGAACGGACTGCAGCATAGGTCCAAACTGGGAAGACAGTTGAGAAATCTTGGCCAATGCCTTTTCGAGCACAGTGGGAAATTGCAGGAATCGAAGAGTGTGGCCGGTCGGAGCAGTGTCGAAGATGATGACCTCGTACGAAAGACTCTTGACCTGCTTCAAGACTTCTGCAAATGACATTGCCTCATCAACACCAGGGATCTAGACTCACACTTCGTCAGCGCACATCTCACGGTGGCATGCATCTACAGATAGGTGTGCAGTATACTTACGCTGAATGCCAGATCCTGCATCATGTTTCCCATTCCACCCAGACCCGCCATTGCATCTTGACCTTCATCACCGGCGCCAGCGATCAAATCATTGATACTGCCGTTCGGATCGATTTCCATGGCACTCAGATTCGTGAAGCCTTCCACCAGTCGGGCATCCTTTCCGAACTTCTGGCTGAATGCATCACTGAGATTGTGCGCTGGATCCGTCGATATCAGCAGCACGGACTTCCTCGCTTTCGCCATTTGGATGGCCAGAGAACAAGAGGTCGTGGTCTTGCCAACGCCGCCTTTTCCTCCCACGAAGATCCATCTCAAGGTCTTTTGATCGATCAGGTTCTGGAGGGTAGGATCTAGGACGTCGTCGTCGGCGCTGACTACGGCAGTAGACATCTTGTGGGCTGGAGGGGTGAGTGGCTTTGCAACAGCTGCTTCTCGTCGAACAGAATGCACAAGGTCCAAATGGTGTTCTGGAAACTTCCAAGGCCTGATGCAAGGATGAAATCTGGTTGTACCAAGATCCAAGCTGAGGATCCAGGGTAGGGTGTAATAACGAAACAGGACGTGGAGACAAATCTATGCTGAGAGAGAAGGACAAACTTGGGAGCCTGGTCAAGCAATGCCACACAGCAACAACAGTCGAAGGCGAAGCGCAGTTTGCAGGGAAAGAGAACAAGTGACAAGTCGACGTCATTCGGATAAACTGCGGCATCCGGCGAGGCTGAGAAAACACGCAAGGCTGAACTTCAGGAGCAACTTGGCTTCGAGGGATCTGATGCTACTCGAGAACAACCATAAACCCTCTCTACTCCGTACAAAGGCCTTGGCCATCTATGCATGCTCTAAAGCTTCGCTTCGTTAACTTTTGGCAGGATCTCCTTAACCAGCGCCCTCCCAACTGTCCGTCCGGTGAAAACACATCCACCCAGGAACGTCCCCTCGAGCGAGCTATACCCATGCACACCACCTCCGCCGAACCCACAACATTCACCGGCAGCATACAACCCTTTGAACGGCTGTCCATCCGGCTTCATGACGTTCCCGTCGAGATTCGTCTCCATGCCGCCGAGACTCTTCCGCGTGAGCAAGTTCATCCGCACGGCAACCAGCGGTCCAGCACTGGGGTCGAGCAGCCGATGCGGCTTCGCTATTCTGCGTCCGTCGGGTCCATAGTTTCTTGCATTCCTGATCAACATGATTTGTGCATCCTTCCCGAATTCATTCGAGACCTGCATGTCTCTCAGTTCAATCTCCTTCTTGACTTTTTCAAGGTCCAGTTCCGGCCCGCCCCTTTCTTTGGCAAGCCTGTTCATCCCTTCGACGAGCTTATCCAAATCTTTCTCCACGATAAAGTCCTCGCCATTCTTCAGGAAAGCCTGGACCTCTCTCGTCCCAAGACTAGAAAACAGCCTCTCCAGGAGCCGTATGTAACTCTTCTCCGTCAGGTCGTAGTTCTGCTCGCTGCCGCTCAAGGCAAACTCCCTGCTCACGATCTTGCGGTTGCATATGAACCAGGAATAATCGGACCCCGTGGCCACTATGTGCTTCAGGGTTGCGAGTGTGTCACTTCCAGGGTATAAGAATGGTGGGAATCTCTTGCCCTTTGCGTCGAGCCACATCGAGCTCGGCCCTGGAATGACTCGGATGCCATGGGCTGGCCAGATCGAGTTCCAATTGTGCAATCCTTCAGTGTAATGCCACATTCTGTCCATGCTGTATTTCAACTCATAGTCAGCACACACACACTCTCTCTCTCACTCGCTGATAAACGGCACACGCCCAAGAGGTGACTTACTTGACCACATTCGCACCATTCTTCTCCGCGACTCCAATCATCTCTCCATCGACATGCGCCGGCACACCCACGACGAAGTGGCCCGGCACCTGCGGTCCAAGCCTGTGGACAGGCCAGTTCTCTTTGACCTTGTCCACATTCCCACCTATGCCGCCGGTCGAAATAACCACAGCGCGCCCCCTGACTTCGAAATTTCCCACCACGTCCCGGTTCGTCGCCTGCCCTCTCACCCAGCCATTTTTCACATCCGCGAGGACTTTGCCCTTGACACCGACGACGCGTCCATCCTCGACGATCAGCTCGTCGACCTTCCTCCGGAACAAGAACTTGACGAGACCTTTCTTCTCGGCGCGTCTGACCGGTTCACTGAACGCCCTCACGATCTGCGGCCCGGTGCCCCAAGTCAAATGGAACCGTGGTACACTGTTGCCGTGGCCTGCAGCATCGCCAGCTCCTCTCTCCGCCCATCCGACCAGGAGAAACTTGACGCCCAGGTTCTTGAGGTACGGCTCCATCCCGTCGGTGGCGAAGTCCACAAACGCCCTAGCCCACTTTCTGGGCCAGTAGTCTTCCTTTTCGCGATCAAACTTCGCCGTGCCCATCCAATCCGCCAGAGCCAGTTCTCTGGAATCTTTGATGCCCTTGGAGCGCTGGTCCGCCGAGTTCACGCAGAAGATGCCACCGAGACTCCAGAATGCTTGGCCGCCTAGACTTCCCTCGGGTTCCTGGTCGACGATGACGACGGGCATGTTTTTGCGCGTGAGTTCGTAAGCGGCGACCAGGCCAGCCAGCCCGCTGCCCACGATGACGACAGGCTCAGATTGCTGTGAGTTGCCCATTCTGTGGTATCCTGCCGGGTCCGGGTCAGGCCACAGTTACGTATACTTGAGCGTAGACTTGCTTGCTCTGCGGAGAAGGTGAAAACGAGTTAATACGGTACTGCACGAGGAGGTGTTTAGATTTCGGAGTGCGTCAAGTACAATCTACTTGAGGTTGTTAGGAAACCATCTGAACTAAGAACGTCGTGACCAGACGGCCGAAGGTTTGTGGATAATAAAACCAAAACAACTAATGCTGGTGATTGCTGGTACTCAACAGTGATGATAGCGTGGGTCGTGGTCCGAGTTGAGGTAAAAACAGCCTCGGTACTCCGTACTTCGCAATACCATGAATATAGTGGAGTCTGCAGGATCGCACTCTTGCAGGCTTCCAACTCTCCCCCGTATCCCGTATCCCGTATCCGCTGGAACCAGGTAAGCCCTAAAGCGACTTGTCACTCCACAAATGCTTGTAACGCGTGGCAGACTAGTAGAGGTGGTCAGCAGTCACATCGATTAGCCTTCTCGACTAGCTATCGTAAATGTCTCGGGAGATGGGGTCACAACAAGGATCGAGCATTACAGAAAGCTACTTATTAGTCGCTTCGTTCAGACAGCTTGCATCATATCATAACACATCAAGTTCTAGTAGAGCTATTCATATCCTTCTCCATCGAGGTATTTGCCTCAGAAGACACGGCGGCCTCGCGAGCCTTCCTCTCAAGCTCACGCTTCTCCCGAGCACGCCGGGCTTGTTGTCTCCGCACATTCACCGGCTGATATACTTCGTTGAAGTTCATTACGACTCCCAGGAATCGTAGATCCACGTCGGGTTGGTGCGCCAGGTCATACAGCAGCATGCTTAATCGTGATCTGAACTCGGCCGAAAGGTGCAATTGCCTTGCTCGTAAAGAATTCAGCTGCGTTTCGTCATCACCTGGAGCCAGGCTGCCGACAGGTCCAACAAGCGGAGAGTCGCCTTCCTCTGGGAGTAGCTGCACTCTCCTACCTGTTTTCGAGGGTGCTAAAGACGCAGGGGTACTCGCGCGTGTGTCACCATTGAGGTCCTTCTCGGTTATTCCCCATCGACCTTGTGCCGTTCGCTGCTCAACCTTTGCGTTAAATTGTTGTCGCCTAGTGTACTCTGCAACACTATACTTGTACAACGAGTCAATCACTTCGCGGTAGCTCAGCATGCATTTCAATATATGATGCACCTGCGCAACCAGGCTGTCTTCTTGTTGACCAGTGATTGGATGTCTTTGTTGGCCGATAAGCCCTTTTTTGGTGATGTTGTTGAGGTAGTTGGTATGGGCTTCAATGAGGTCGTCAAGAGTGGCATCTGGCTTGTGAACTGCTTCCTCGAGTTGTTTCCAGCTAGCCTCGATGACCTCAAACAGGAGATAGTACAGTAACTGGTTGATAAAGTGCACCATCTCTGCCACCACACACATGGATCGTTTCCAATCACGACCCAGCTTGTCATTGACGCCGGCAAGAACACCTCGACCTCCAGTCATGCAGCGTTTGCACGTAGTATTCAGAGAGAACTCGACTCTCTTTATTCTCCACAGGAGATTGAAAATCTTCAGGTATTGTGTGTTCGCCCACTGCGTGATGACGACGTCGCATGGAGCGCTGATTTTGTATTCCAGGGTGAAGCAATCCCAGCCGATCTCGCCGCTAGACAACTCCAGCATACGAGCATCCAGCCTTCGTAGGACTTCAGGGTCATCGTACTGAGCATTCGAATGCCGAATTGCGTGTTCGAGCTGGGAGGTGAGATTGTGCCGATACATGGAATTCACCGGACGATCAAGATGTTGTGCAAGCGATTCAATGAGCAAGTCAATGAAGTCGCCCTGAGCTAACAACATGTATTTCTTGATCGCATTTAGATGGGTGAAAAGGCCAAACTTTGTGGACATGAGGTGTGTCAAGCGAGACATGGTTGTCTTGTACGCTACATCGATGGACATTGGAAGGTTGGCCGTATTGGCGAAGTCCAGAGACTTGGAGTTTGATTTTGAGTACTGAATAACCCAGTCGGAGTCGCCGCAATTATGGCGAATGAAGTTGAGAGACTTTCCAATCAGGAATACCTTTTTCGAGAATTCAGAGGATATTATTGATGGTACCATTGCCGTGTCAAGCTTGTATTTTTCTTCCCAGACAGATGTCGCCACATGTCGGTGGTCTACCGCCTGGGAGACATTTGGGTCGGGCTCTGTGATGAAGAATTCATGGAAGGGGTCAACAAGTTCTCCGTCATAAATCCAGTGCCTCAGCATTTCGTAGAAAGGCCGGGCAACATGGGCCAAGAGCTTCTCGGCGAAGGATGCCACAAAAGGATCACCATGTGAAGAAGACAGACTGTGGATGAGAGACAGTAGTTGCCCCCCTCGTTTCTGTTGAGACTCTTCGACTATGAGCTTCATCAGCCGCAAGCCCATAGTGGCATCTCTGGTCCAGATCATGCATCGTTTGAGCGTTACGCTGGTGACTCTGAGTGACTGCGGATCTTCAGATTGACTGAGAGCGGCAAGGGCCTGTCTGATCTCGGACTCAAGCGACGCGACCAAGCTCAAATATGAGCGCAATTCATTGTTAATGGCAGACCGAAGGCTCTGGTCGATGAGACCCCCTTCTTGACCGTTGGTATATTCTGCCAAGCCTCGATAGAGCAAACACGGTTCCGCGAGAGCATGAAGCAGAGATATTATCGGAACCGGAAGTGTTGTAGGCAGTTTCAACGAAGTTACCCCTGTAAACTCAACATGTGTCGACGACACTCCTTGAAGGTTGAATGGTAAGTCTCGTAATAATTCCGGCTCTGACGGTGAAACAAGGCGTTCCTTCATTGGCTGCACAGGATCTGCTTCCTGTTCCTCTTCTGTTGATTGCGCCTCTTGGGCTGGCAATTCCTTCTCGACTTTGACGTCGGCCTTTGCCTTGGGTGGTATCGTTCGACCTCTTGGGAAGGGGACCTCTGCTGAAGCCACGTCGTCGTCATCATCATCACCACCACCATCATCATACGCCTGTTCGTCGACCTGATATGGCTTTGCAGAAGATAACGTGTGCCGTCGGGGAATGTTGGCAAAGTGAGCCGAGTCTGCGAGAGGATCTCGAGGGTGTACATCGAGCACCGAAGCGTCAGACAACTTGTAGAGAAGATAAAGAATAGCCCACTTTTGATTTAAGACAGGTATGGCTAATAACCTGGAGTATAAATTGCTGAACCGTGCAGCCTTCTCTGGCGACGCATTTTCTCTTAACAACTTTCTCTTGATCAAGTCCTGCGCCTGGTTGGTGTCCGAGGGCAATCTGCTGTCGGCATTCAGGACGATATCCTTTGCATTCTGGATCGCACGATCGATGCGATACTCAGTCTCGGTGTCATCCTGGTCGATATTCGGGGGAGGGACGAGGCTTTCAAACAACGAGGTCAAGGTGCCTTCGATGCGAGTCGACCGTGGGTCAGCCATGGACACGACTGGGAAGCCGAGAAGGCGCCTGGCATGACAAGGAACAGATCAGGGATGCGACGCGGAATGTATCATGTCCCTTCCGAGTGCAGACCATTTGTTTGCGAGCAGTCCGTGGTCTTTAAGGCTCTGTTGATTGTTTATCTTGTTGGATCTGAAATTCGCGACCTGACGCGTGCGTGTTTGCAACTGGATTTTGGGGAGGCACAGGCCTTGAGGGTGGGGGCTCTCGGTGCCCAAAGGACCCCTATATGCACCTAATAGGCTGGTAGCTGCAGTCCGCAATGATGCTTGGGGCACTCAGGAGGGCCTAATAGAGTTAGGTAGCCTCGGGTTAGTCACTAACATCGTGCCCGCACAATTCTGTAGATATACTCTGCCGTACGGAGTGCCTTGAGGTATTACTGAGTGTAGCCACTTTAGCAGTGGGTTACCAAATAATAAGCTTAGAAACAAAGCCTCTCTCGAGAGGACACGTTACTTCGACTGCGGATCTTCTGGACAGCCGCCTTTGGACTTGCGCATCTCGCAGCTCGCAGCCCGCAGCCCGCAGCTCGCGCTGACTTGACATTGCTTATCCGTTGAGCCAGAGAACCGCCGACTTATCCCTCGGACTGGTCTACAGACTCCTCGTCCAAGGGTTCTCCCTGTCGCATCGGATCTCGTACATCAAAGATCCTGAGACGGCGTTAGCACGTTTCGACGCGGCATTATCTACAGTGTGAAACGCGTCGACAAGGCCGTTTCGTCCACTGCCTCAGTTGCAACTTGCTTGACGGCCATTTGGCTTTCGGCAAGTGGAATCTCCGCGATTCCACTCGGTAAGCGACACATCTCTATCTCTGAAGACGCAATTGGGAAAGTAGAGCCTAGACTTGAAGATCGCATGCAAGCCGACAACCTTCTGCTGCATCCCTTCGACTCCGAGACTGTCACTCCTAGTTGTTCCGTGCGATCAGGGTGCTCGGTAGGCTGAGAAAGGTGTCTCGAGGAGGTCATCTACTCCGTAAGAGGAGTCCGGTATCTCGACATCCGTGTCTAAACGTGGTAACTTGGTATTGCTTTGACCAAATCTGACATTGCTCACCATCGTGTGGGGCTTTAAAGGTAGTACTGCAGACCAGTTGTGTTCTTTTGGATATTTCCTGTTCCTCTGTCCGGATAGCTATCTGTTATTGAGGTTGCTGGGCATGCCTGGCTGACTTGGTTTTTCTGACTCTACACTCATTGGAGTCCATCAGCATCGGTATTCTGGGACGACTTCAACAGCGCGTCAAAGGTAACAGATCTTCAGGTATTGCGCCGATTCTCAACGCTGCAGCCATGATTGGCCCTGCCAATCCCTTGCTGCTGCTTACAATTGGATTCGTGGTGGTTTTGTTCCTTCGATCTCGAAAGTCATCAAAAAAAGCTCTACCGGATGTCCCCTGGATCAACACTCATGATGGAGAATTCTTGACGAGGATTCGCGCCCGCTTTCGAACCACCTTCAACTACAAAGAGGCAATATATCAAGCCTATGAGCAGGTAGGTTCCCGTCCTAATTTGCATCCAGTCTCACTAAGAGGCACAGTGTTCAAAGCGGGATCGGCCCTGCATCATAGCCGATATCAATGGCGAGGAAATAATAATGCCAATATCGGCCATGTCATGGTTTATCAGTCAACCAGATAGTGTCCTCAGCGCGGATGAGATGCACCGAGACGTCTTGCAAATCGATCATACCTTTGTACACCCCTTTATCGTCGAAAGGCCGCTTCACCACGAGACCGTCCGAATTGATCTAACCCGGCAGTTGGGTGCTCTTACGAGCGATATCATGGATGAGCTCTCTACATGCTTCGACGAATACTGGGGCACTGACACAGAGAACTTCAAAGAACTTTGTGTGATGGACTCGGTGATGCAAATTATTGCACGCACAAGTAACCGTGCTTTGGTTGGTTTACCAGCGTGCCGCAATCAAACCTTGCTTGAGCATGGCAAAGGGTTCGCCACATCCATAGCCATAAGCTCAGCGCTCCTAAAACAAATGCCTGCGTTCCTTCGTCCTCTTCTGAGTCCTCTGATAACGCTTCCGAATCGGAGACATACACGGGGGTTCGCAAAGATCTTGACGCCAGAGATACAGCGACGCCAAAGATTGTTCGCCGAAGGGTCCGACGATGAAAAGGAGATGGGCGAGGTAGAGCCGAACGATTTTTTGCAGTGGTCGATACGTCGCGCACAAGAATGCGGCTCTTCGGTCGAGAATGACCCGAGCATCATCGCTGAACGAACGCTTGCCGTGAACTTTGCTGCGATCCATACTTCGACTTTCAGCATCACAAACATTATTTTCGATCTGGTGAGCTCAGACCCTTCTATGCAGTACATGGACATCCTCCGCAACGAGGTCGCTTCGGTGCTTGCCGAAGAGAATGGGAACTGGTCAAAGCAAGGTCTCGCCAAAATGGTCAAACTGGACTCGGCTTTGCGAGAATCATCTCGTCTGGGGTCCTTTGTCGGCGCGCTTTCGCGTCTGTGCGTTAGTCCCCAGGGTGCGACCGCTCCAGATGGCACATTCCTGCCTTACGGAAGTACCATTTCTGTACCAACAACCCCGGTACAGAACGATCCGATGCTGTATGCCAATGCAAGTGCTTTCGATCCCTTCCGTTTCTCATCTCAACGTGAAGCCTTAAGTACCGGGGGCCCTGGCGACGAGGACAATACTACGACGAGCAATCCTTCGGCATACCTGGAAAAGGCAAACCTAAGTTTTGTCAGCACGTCGCCATCATATCATCCCTTTGGGCACGGTCGACACGCTTGTCCCGGACGCTTTTTCGCAGCAAATGAGCTCAAGTTACTGTTGGCATACATGCTCCTCAACTATGAGTTTGAGATGCTACCCACGAGGCCCAAGAACATTTGGATGGGCCGAACACATTTGCCGCCGATGAAAGCCACTGTCAAGATCCGGAGAAGGGCATGAAGAAAGCGGACCTCGAGTAGTTCACATGCAAACGACCGTGAGCCTGCGAGTTTCGTTCTGCAATCCCACTATGGAATGGTTTTGAGCTGCGTGCTTGGGATTGCCATTGGGCTAGACTGCATCGACAGTTTCCGCACACACAATCTGTGCCTAAGGCACGATAAACGACAGCACAGGGCGGGCAAGACGGTCCGTTAATTATGCTCGAGCACAATATCCGTGATGTTCGAGTCTATTTTCGTCACCTGTGGCCTGAGCAATTTAACTAGTGAGCAGATAATAGTATTCTCCTCGAAGTTGGTACAGTAGACTTCCTCCAGACAATCTCGACTTTGCGCAGGAACAGCGAGAAATGTGCATCTCCGTACGATGTCAGTCCTGACCTTAGACCGGACGTGGATGTGATGGGTCGGGATAAGTCGTAGTCGGCCGAGATCATGTCTTTGACATTGTTGTCATTGCTGCCGTTGATGCCGCCGTCTGAAGCCATATTGGTTCTTTTGTTGCCGTGTCCGTACTCGTGGATGGACTTTTCAGCAAGGCCTGTCGCTTGCTCGCTCGGTATCAAAGGACGAATTATCACTTATTTGAGTATATACAGAGCAGAGTGCCTAACCGGTGGACACCAGGTATGTCGCCATCGGTGCGGATAATGGCCATTATATTCGACTCCATTGGAGAACGATGCGGGCGGGATACTTGGCCGTACCGAGAGCTGCGAGGTGCGGAGAATGTCCGACATGCCCGTGTTGACTTACCCTTAACGTTCATCACGAACGGCACCACATGATCGATAGGATTGTTCCATGACCAACGAAGAGGTATCTGCCAGCACCTCATAGGGTGGATGCTAGCAATAAGTTGAAACTTTGTAGTTCAAGCATGAGAAACTGTGAAATATCGGGAACCAGCGTCAGTACCGTGTCCGTACCAGTAGGGTTCTTGGGTAGACCATCCAATGAGACTTTTATTTGGCGTGCTCTAACTAGTTGGTGCCGTGCGACCCACACCGCAAAAATCGGTACTACTTAAATTCAAACCCCAGAATTCGGTTTCAACAAGCAGCAGCCTGCCCGGCTAGCTCAATCGGTAGAGCGTAAGACTCTTACGACAAGAGATACAATCTTAAGGCTGTGGGTTCGACCCCCACGTCGGGCTCAACTCCCGTTTGCGATTGATTTTTTTTGGGGCGTCGATTTGCGGCACTCTTTTCTTCAAAGTCTAAATAATCCTTTTGTTTTTTTGGAGGGATGACTTTTTTTTATTGTGAATTCCTTCATTCCTCTCCCTCTTCCTGTCACGGATGCGGTGCTGTTGCCGCTTTATGCAATGATGTAATCTGATCACGGTCCTGTCCAATGCATGCATGAGCACCGCCCGCCATGAAAGTGTCCCTTCCGTTTGCGCTCTTCACTGGGTGCGATCAAAGCCCAATGATTCAATTGAGCCTCCTATTGATGACTCTGTCTTCGTCGCCACGTTGAATTAATTGAAGCCAAGAGACTTGTTGGGATGTAAGCGTAGGGCAAGTATTGTATGTACTCGTAGGCCGAGGGCAAGTGAGGCCATATTTTCGTATTCGTAAGTGAATTGTACCCTCTGATTGGCTGACACATTGTTTCCCGAAGAAATCCCAGAGAGTGTTCACTCTATTGTTCACTTTAATGTTCAGTGCCTTTACCTGGTATTTCATGATTCACAGACATACAATAATGACTTATTTAGCGGTAGAATCATGGACAGCTGTCACCTCAAAGGAGTCACTACAGGATTCCGTACCTGTGCCTGGAAAACTATAAGTGCCCCCCTTCCCCCCCTTCTTCTACCACCTTTTTCCTTCCAAAAACCTCATCCTTCCAACCAACTTCATATATGTATATCGCAGTCTCCCGGTATCATCCTCGAAGTCTGTTACCACCTCGCCTGCGGAGAATTCTGGCATACTACTGCGGATTTCCGATATGGATATGAGAAGATTCGAGACCAGGGAGCACTGAGGGACGAACCAGCGCTCCGCCGATATCAAAAAACTCGTTACGTCCTGGCGGAGCAAGCACTGATCCGAGCAAGGATTGTGATTTGTACTTGCTCAAGTGCTGCGCTTCATGTCCTCATGGCGAACTATCGCCCGTCAACGACTCAATCCTAATATTAGGATCAAGCCGCATGCGCACACCCTTATGGGTTGATGATTCCCATGGCGAAATTCTCTATGACGCTCGCACCGAGTGGTTTTACTTGGAGACTCCAAGCAATTTCCTCCTTGCGCATCCACTCCAGTCTCTAGAACTTGGTGGCAAGTGTCTATCTTTGAGAAGATGGAGCGGAAGGGCTTCCCAGAGACAATCCTTTCAACCTCGTACCGAGCACACGGTGCCTTAGTCGAGCACATATCCAACTTCTTCGATGATGGCATTTGAAAGCCGCTCGTCAAGGCACTTCAGCATCAATGCCGAATCTCATTGATCTCTTACGGTCGGTGAAACCGGTCAATCGATCGATCAAAGCGGACGTACAGATTCAGCTGTCAAGCTGTCCTCCTCTTATCTCGGTCGACAAAACATATGACACTTTTTCATCCCAAAATGGTCCTGAGGCTCAATGCGTGTGCGTGATCAAGACTCTTACTGGAAGAGGAACACAGCTTGACGCTGCAGACATCATGGTTATTGCAGGCTACCATGATCAACTGAGAATCCTCGAGAAACAAGCGGAAGATGGTGCTGGTTATTCGACTGAGCATCTTGATGATGGGGGTCGATCTCCGGACAAAACCCACCTGTCTCAGGGTCGTGAGAATTCTGTCGTGATCTTGAGCCTAGTGCGAAACATGCACGCACTTGTTACAACAACCGCAGTATTGTACGACGCGCAAGAAGCAGTTCGAAAAAGCCGAGTGCAGAACGACGGTAAACATCTTTTGGTCGGCCTCCACCCAAAAGATGCAAAATGTCCATCCAACGAGCCCTTCTCAATCTGCTGTCCATGTGTCCCTACAAATCCGTCGGCCGCGTTCGATATCACTCCCGGCATGAACATTTTCCAAGTGCCAGCAGTCCTTCCCACCAATTCTGTGGAAGAGTGAAGACCGAGACAAAAACACAGCCAGTAAGTCGATTGTGCAACAAGTCTTGACATGACAATTAATGATGGGACCAGAACCAGGCCAAGTCAAAGATCGGTGAATTCATCATCCAGACACCTGCACCAAAGGCTCCCAAGCCCAAGAAGCTCACATCTCGAATCCAAAGCTCTGAAGAAACTCCTCCACCAGATACCGACGCCGCCGAGTGCATCCGGAGGGCGAGAAGAGTCTTTTGGGGTCAACGATGATGACCAACGCGAGACTTTTAAACGTTGCATTCTCGCGTGCCAAAGTTGGACTGTATATTGTCGGCCATTGGCCTTCGATTTCCAAGCTCCCCGAGACCCTGGACCCCCCTTCGGGGGTTCTCTTTTTCCTCCAGAACCAACATCCTCGATTTGTCCTCGATGCTGGCAAGGCTCCTTTTTAGGACGGAATTTGAAAACACGCTCGACCAAACTGTTCCTAGGGTCATTCGAGCAAACACGCTCGCACACCGTGAGGAGGAAATCCTGGCTAGAGGACGCTTGCTCGAAAACGAGTTAAACACAATTAGAGATGACTGGGTCTGGTACATGGATATTCGGTATGGGTTCCCTGCTTGGTTCGGAGCTCGTGAAAGATTCCGAGCAAAAACATACACGGATGGCGTGAGGCAAGAAATGGTTTAATTTGGAATTCAGGTCAAGAGTTCTTCATGCGAAAAGCTCTCTATGCTGCGATACAAATGAGAGCTGCTGTCTTGCACACTGGATACACAGATGATCACTACTTCCGGCAAGATTTGGAGAGATACAATGCTACTCGACAACGAGCTGCTGGGGTGATTGGAGAGATCCATGAGTTGTATGCGGCCCAGAGACGTCTTGTGGATGAGGAGATGCGTGAGGAGATGCAGATGGACGGTTTGATGGAATGAGTTTGTCTATGCGAACCACTAAGGACTAGAATGGCACGGCATGAGCTTACTTTGCTCTAAGGAACATCGGCATAGACCGAGATCATGTAATGACTAGTACAAGGACTTGGTGAAATGATCATTCCTCAAAAGCGACTGTTATGGAATCAAGGCTGGACCTTTCAATCACGCTTCTGAAACCGTTTTCTCTCGGGCCTTCCCCGGACACCTTAATTGCAGCTCTACACTGTCTCTCAACCTTTGCGATCCCATTGCAGAGCCGTCGAATATGATATGTCGAAGTTGTCCTGTGACCTGTGACCATTTCTAGATGGAACGTGTTCTTGGGCCGGACCGTCTCTGCCTCAGAACAAGATATCCTCTGTCCATGTTTCCCAAGCCTGCCCGGGCCGCCAGACGTATTGGACTTGCTGCAATCTCCTCTCAAGATCACAAAAAGGAATGATATATGCGGCATGGATTCGATCTTCTAGGCGCGGCCAATCCTTCGGATTCTCTGTCGAAGGTGGACCGGAGACGAAGCTCTCCTCGTGCTTGAGAATGAATCTTGCGATCGATAACAGAACTCGGGTGTTCCACAAGCCCTCTTGTGCCGTTGTAGCCTTAGAAAGGAGTTCAATGGCACGGCGACGAATGCTGGGAGAGCGGCATTTGACGGCGGTGAAGTAGAGCGCAAAACTCAGTCCCATTTCGAAGCTGAAGCTTGCGTAATGTGTGTTGTTGGGGGATGCCGATGCAGTTGACAGGTGCATAGCATCGGCACCGTTTATGCAAATCGCGGCCAAAGAGACCAGAGTCTGAAAGTCCCGAACATAATAATCAAACATAATTTCGAGGTCAAAGTCTTGGTTTGACGAGTGATTTGCCGAAGTCCAAATGGTTGCCACCAGGCTCTGAACTTGCATGCACCTCACGGCAAGAGTTTCCCGGTTGTTAGGCCCAGAAAAAGAATGAGACAAGAAGGTTTTCATTTCCAGGTTCCATTGTCGTAGTTGTCGGACGCAGATGCTTTGGCTGATCACATCGTCGCTGTTAGGACTGCTCGCGCACGTAACATCGACCGCGGGTGCTGCCGGCCGCAGACTGTCTATGAGTATCGAGGTAAGACTTTTCTGGGCAGCCATAATGTCTGTGAAGTTGGCGTCGATGGAACCTGAGGCCATTTCCTGGCGCCTATAAAACCTTGCTGGAGGTACTTGGCCAATCAGGGAACCCTGGATGCTGAGTCGGTGGAAAATGGCGTCTAGTTTGCGTAGGAGATCGGATAGTTGAGATAATTCCGGGACAAGTTCATGGTGGACGCAAAGAATGGTCAACCCGGCTTGGAGATGAGCTAGCGCGACCCCCGTGCGACCTCTCTTGAATTCCAAGCAGATAAATAGGAGGCAAGTTAGCAGAATTGTATGCCGGAAGCGATCTGTGTGCTGAGCCACATCCATCCTGAGAGACTGAATAGCTCTGTTGTAAAACATGATCACGTCGCATTCAGCCGTATCCCCGGATTCAGCTAGGGAGGGCACAGCTTTTTCGGTAGCAGCGACTGCAAGCGCTGCATACAGCACAGGAGGCTCGACATGCGCGACACATGGAAGCGTGACGTTCCAAAAATCTGCGTCAAAATACCCACCCAAATTGGGGGCTATTCTCGTGCGAAAGAGATGGAAAAGTTGGTGTTCCCGAGCGTTGAAGACCATGGGAAGTCCAGAGCTTCGAGCCAAGGAACCAACATTCATGAACTGATTCCATGGATGCTTGTACCGTGCTACATGATGTGTCGGAGAGTATTCAGATGCATTCTGACTGAGGCATTTCGCAGGGAGTTCAGTGCTGGACACCGAGGTCGTGTTGCGGAACAGCCTGTCTGTGGCGTATTCACATAACTGACCGGTGCTCGTGCATCTCTGACAATGAGGCTTCGCAGCGTCGCATTTTACTCGGCGGGCTCTGCATTGCGTTAGAACTCCCTCTCAGATGCGAGGAACCCAGAGGGCAATGTTCTTTACTGACCGGCTATGATCAAGATTAGCGACTTACACCATTCCACATCAAAGGCACCATACCATGTTTGACATCCATAACGGACCTTGGATCCACTACGTCTTTGCCTCTTCGCTCCTTCTCTCATATAGAAAGTAAGAAAGTGTGAGTATCAGGACTCAGGTGTGCAATCCACAGAGTCTCACTGCGCCTGCCGCTGGGTTTGGCTCCTCGAATGGAGAATCGTTGAGATTTGACTCTGGCTCACAGATAGACGGAACGGCGTGCTGAATATGTACTACTCAGACTCAAGTTGATGGTTGCTCGCCGGAACACCCAATGAATCCTCATACTCGAAACGCGAGTTCGCTCGTTTTGAGGGTTGTGGCTGTGGCGGCGTGAAGAGAATTAAGTGACTAAACTAGAATTAGAGGAAATGATCGCCGCTATGTAGTATGTACGGAAGGCTATGTAAACCACTGTAGCAGTCAGAAAGAAACGGAGAAGAGAGGGGTGACCATCTCCTACAGTTGAACGATATCTTGGGGCTACTGCCGCCGTCCTTGCTTGCAAACCAATGTTTTGGTCCTAATCGGGGAGAGACTGGATCCGAACGCCAGTCAAAAATCCTGGTGGCCAGCAACCTAACATTGACGAGCCTATGGAGCTGATACTCGGCAAGAATAAGTCTGACGACATGAGCGCGACGGGAACAGGCGTGATCGTATGAGTACGAGCCGTCACAAAGATCGTCAGCTGCGAAACCTCTGGGGCAACCTGGTTTTGGGACTGATGTTCTGCATCTCCTATCACCGCGAGTGTAAGTTCTGTGAGTATCAAAGCGCCCTTGACAGCAAAAGGCTCTACAAAGATTAATGTCTAGGACATATAATACATCGGTACTTTTGCTTCCGCAATCGACCATAGGTTGTGAAATACAGGGCTTCCCGTCCGCTCAGCCGTACTTAAGCCACAAGCCGATCAGTTAGTACTACCGTGGGTGACCAGGTGGGAATCCTGATTGTTGATTGTTTTTGCCATTTTGTCTTTTTGTCCCTTTGACTACGCAGATATCTGTCCAGCAATCGGTGGTAGGTTGGGACAGGGCTTTCTTGTGCGCTTCAGCCGTGATCTTGAAGAATTATATGCATCTATGGATGACCAATCCATCTCGTCTTGGAGCCGGATTTCACTCCAGGAGATGACGTTCACGAGTTCCGGCAGCATTTTTGTACTTTGCCGTTTGGCATTGCAACTGGTGGCCCCGGTCCGTAGTTAAATTTAAGCAGCAGTATCTCAGGAGGAGCTTTGGTTAGGGTTACGGCTTAGGGAAAACAGATCCCCTTCCACATGGCCTTCCCACGACAAAAAGGTTTCCTCGAGTACGCTGTTGGCCGATCGTGGAGTTGCCCGCGCTTCTCCGAAGGATGTGGCCCGAACAGTCACCAGCATTCTCAATAAGTAGTGTTTATCTCTTCTCTCCCTCACGAGCCAGCGTATTCTCCGCTTCCTGAAGACGACTCGAGTTGAACGCCAAATCCACACAATGGCTGAAAAAGTACGGGTACTGCTCGTCGGGAGCGGCGGCATTGGCACGATGACTGCCCTGAATCTGGAACTCGGCGGTCATGCGGCCGTGTCGGCTGTTTTGAGATCCAACTACGCAGCAGTCAAGGAGAAAGGATTCACAATCGACTCATGCGACCATGGAAAATTTGAGGGATGGAGGCCTTCCGAGATTCTAAGCAAGGTTCCAGACGTTGTCTCTGATCCATCCGCGAAGCCTTTCGACTACATTATCTGCACGACCAAAAATATCCCAGACGTGCCGCCAGTATTGGTCGACATCATCCGACCAGCAGTTACTCCTGGGAAGTCTGTCATTTTACTCATCCAGAATGGCCTCAACATTGAGAAGCCACTGCTGAAGGAGTTTCCGACTAACATCCTCCTGTCGGGCGTATCTTTCATGGGAGCGGATGAGTTGTCTCCGGGACACGTTCTCGAGAACGACACTGATCGACTCTCGGTCGGGCCGTTCTTCAACCCAGCTCTCGAGATTGGAGACCAGATTGCCGCAGCCGAGCACTTTGTCAAGATATATTCTGCGACCGGCAAAGTCCAGTGTTCCTATGATAGGGATGTGCTCTTCATTCGCTGGAGGAAGCTGTTGTACAATGCCGTCTGGAACCCAATTTGCGCCATTACCGGGATGGACACCACGCGCCTCAGACTCGCTTCGGAAGATGATGACCCTGGCAGCCCGCTCAACACGCTTGTACGACCAGCAATGAACGAGATTCGTGCAGCCGCCTCCGCTGTAGCCGGCGTTAGCTTGCCCGAGTCCCTTGTTGAGGTCATGGTTGACGCAGACCCGCTGGAGATCTGGTGCGCGCCCAGTATGATGCAGGACACGCGGAAGAAGAGATTCATTGAGTACGAGTATCTTGTGGGTGAAGCTCTAAGGGCAGGCGAGAGTAAGGGGGTTGCAATGCCAACTTTGCGGTGTATCTACGGCTTCTGCAAGGCAGTGCAATGGCGTACAAAGGAACATCATGGGCTGGTGGACCCGCAGAAGTTGATGGAGGAGAGGAAGAAAGCTCGAGTTTGAATGAGCCCTGTCCGGTATATGGAAAGCTTGATAAGGGGGACATAGGTAGGGAGGAAACCTTGTATATCAAGGCTTCTCCAAAAGCAACCTGAAGCAATGTCTTCATGTAAGTGTTTGACCATAGAGGGGCTACCACATTCAACTGTACTCAGATGCTACTGCTAACGGCTGTGATACTGTGTATGTGGGGGGGAGCAGACGCTGTCACGCCCAAGGCTTCCCGCCCCTTTTTGGGTTGAAGAAAAAGTTTGCAAACTCAAGTCCTTCTGAACTAACATTCCTCCTTCAAATACCCACTGTTTATACTCTGACAACTCTTGGTCGTTGACAGGTAGTCCGGGGATCTCCCTAGAATCAAATCTGGGACATTTTAGCCTTGAGGTAGGCACCCTTCCCACCATGACTCACTCACCATCGTTCCGAAGATTATAATTACGTCTATTCATGATTGAGGACATTCACAGCATAAAGATTACACCACAGTCAACATAAACCGCGAGCGGTCTTCACAATAAATACAACGCCCTTGCTGCTGTATTAGATGTCTGTCCTCTTAGCACCAAAATTACGGGGTAGACAGTAGCTCGCACTGCGTATAAAGGGTTCATTTCAAGAGGATGGCGTCGCAAATTAATGAGAAGACAGGTCGGGCCTCTCTGAAGGATAAAGCTAGGCTAATAAATTCGTCAACGCTTGCACAGGAGTACTCTCGACGCTCGATTCTCCTCGAAGAAGTGCTTGGCCAGAGTCCTGAAGAGATCCTCCGACGCACCTTGTCCACCGGAACAGCTGTTGCGACCGCTTCTAGTTCTGCGCAACGGATGGACCTCTGTCGTCCGCCCTCGCCAGAAACACAACTTGCCTTTCGAGACATTGGGCGAGGCAGCTGTGGCAGCATTTTTGAGGTGCCCGGAGCACCCTATGCCATCAAGAAGGGCTCCAACGTTGCGGCGATATGGAACGACTTTAACCTGACGAACCTGGCGTACAACTCCCACATCAAATGTCTGTTCCTCTTCCGGGACGATTTCCCCAACCACCAAGTCCCACGTTCTCCCCTTGCCCGGTTTTTCAACAGTCCGGAATCCTCGTGGTGGGAAACGAACATGTCCTGCTTTCCAGAGGCAGATCGTGTCAGGGCCGCGGCTTTCCACCTTGACCGAATTCTGCCCGTCACAAAAGAGACGAGAGAGGCTATCGTGCAGACGTATTTCGAACCGGATCGGTCCACACAGCGGCAAGTTCTGAGCAACATTGACAACAAGGACTGTCTCGTTCGTGTGTACTTCGGAGAGAATTCCCCGAGTGACGAACTGTACGATAGCTCAGATACCCTACGCAACTTTCCACTCTACGTCGACCGAGCCCAAGAACTTAAATTAGACATCGACAAGCTAGCGGAGGAAATGGCCCTGGGACTGGCGGTCTTGCATTGGGAGGCTCAGATTGATACACAAGATGTCGAATTTGTTATCGGAACCTCTACTACAACGGTACTTAGTAGCTACCAACCCGACCATCGCAGGCTGCCTCCTCCCGTTTCTACCTTCGATGACTTCGGCAAGCGAGAGATTCAGATGTGGATGCTGGACTTTGACAAGGCGACACAGGTTGCTCTGAGTGACACAGACATTGTTCAGAAATACTTTGTCGCTGTGACAGGCAACGATCCATACTTTCCGCACCCGCAGCTGAATCTCAAATTATGGCAGACCTTCAGTCAAGCGTATCTACAGGCGAGCAAAGTCATCCTGAAGACGAAGCGGGTCGGGAATTCTATGCTTGAGCTTCCAGGCATGTTGATCCAACGCTGGGAGCTCTGGGGAGTCACGAGCACGCAAGATGACGAAGATGACCCCTTTGAAAGAGGCACCGATTATGAGGAGGACGAAGAGGACTTTTCTGAAGCTACATCTGAGGACGAAGACGACGATTCGGGACCTGAGCCCTAAATATACCCTACTACATTTGTACTAGACTTGGTATGGTGGGTGTTTTAAGCCTTGAACGACTCCTTGAGGAGAGAATGGTCAATCCCGTGGGTCGTTATTAAACGACGTAACCGCTATCAGTCAATTTGCAGGGTCAATTCGAAAGTTGCAAAAACAGAAACAATCCCTTCCTGATCAAGAAGAATTGCTCCTTTCAAGTGAGACGAAATGTTATCATACCTTAGGTAAGTTCCGTCAAGGTCGTGATCGTAAAGTATACTATCTCGAGTATACCGAAGAAAAGGAAATGGAAAAGAAAGCAATCGCTAACTGCGCTACAGTACTGCCTCATTGTCCTCTCTGTGTCTTTACAGATTACCCATATTCTTTCCCTGACAAAACAAAAAGGATCCTCATAGTCTATAGATGGAATCTCCACCGAGGGTCTTCATCTCCAAGCCAAGGTCCGTCGTTGTTAATGGGCTGGATATTGGTATCCCGTTTCTTGTTCTCACGATCGAGAACCCACCACAAAGCAGCGGTCACGGCGAGATTGGCAACTAAATAACCCAACGCGAACGAATGGCCCAAGTAGTATCTGGGCGCCGTCTCTGTTCGATAGAGCTGAGTGCCAAGTACCGCACCTAGATGATTATTGTCAGTGTCCGCGATAGCTTTAATGATTGTGCGGAAGTTCATGCTTTGACCGGCGACCGCGGTGGGACCCTTACCTAGATTTCCAATGGATATTTGTAGAGCATTTGTGATGGCTCTCTTTGTCTGTCCACTGACGTTGTTTGCGGGCCACGCTAGATGAAGTGCCACAGAGGGATAGATGCCTGCTGCTGCGAAGATGGTCCCCAGGTACGAAACTCCTGGCCGATGGTCGGAGAGGAGCAGGATATATCCTAGAATGGCCAGGGATGTAGAAACGAGAATGATGGGCGCGCGGCGTTGTAGTCGCTCCGACAGCATGGCTGAGCCGATGGTGAAGAAGAACGCTATTGCGTAAGGTGGGATGGTCATGAGCTGCGCTTGCGCGGAGGTGTACCCCAGCGACTTGATGATGCTGGGCAAGAACAGGGACAGAGTATACAGCGGAAGCGACATTGTGTGGAAGCCAAACGCGTAGAGGTAGCATTTGGCATCGGTAAAGGCTTTGCGGGCGTTGTTCCAGTTGAACTTCTCCTCGGCCGTCGCATCGCTGTCGTCCTTGAGGCGTCGCTGGACCACGTCCCGTTCTGCTTCCGTGAGGAATTTGGCTGTGTCCGGATAGTTATGGATGAAGAAGTATGACAATGCAGATATCACCACGGTCAGTATGCCTTCCAGGATGAAAATCCATCTCCAACCGTTGTAGCCCCCGACACCCTTCATATGAGCAATGCCCCAGGCCAGAATACCTCCGAAGGCGCCCGCCAGAGATGCTGCGCTGAAGAACAAGGCCACTCGGAATTGTCTCTCATTGCGTTTGTACCACATTGAGAAGTAGAAGACGATACCAGGGAAAAGGCCAGCTTCTGCCACTCCGAGAAAGAAGCGTGCCGCAAGAAACCCAGGGCGCGATTGAGTTACCCCGTTCAGTGTCGAGACGACACCCCAGACAAACGTCAGCGTTGGAAACCAGAGTCGAGGTTTCCAGAGTTTGAGGACGGTGTTTGCTGGCACTTCAAAGAGTACGTAGCCCACGAAGTAAAGTGTGAGGCCTGTTAGGTACTGGTTGCCCGTCATGTGCAGGTCTGTTGCCAGGCCTTCGATTCGAGCGTTGCCGACATTGCTGCGATCGAGAAAGGACAGCAGGTATAGTAGTGTTAATGCAGGCAACAGCCTGATGTCGAGTTTCCGAACGAGGGCCCTTTCGCTGATCTTGGTTGATAAATCTTCCTCGCCTTGTCCAGCATGCTGGTTCTCGTCTTTCGGCGGAGCCGCACCACCCCGGGGTGATTCCTTCTCTGAGAATGACATGTCGAATTCTTAGACTCAAGTATAATATAGCTGTGTTATGGCGAGTCACTGCAACTATGTAAGAGCACCCTGGTGTGCTGTAGACTCCGCTCGGGAGACTGCTGAAGAGATGGTGCGTCAAGACTGGAGAGCGTGTTCGTTGATGCATCCTTTATGATTTCCAAATACCCTGTAACAATAGGTTGACTACAACTCAAACAGGCAGGTGGATAACTTAGGCCATAAGCCGGCAGAGCGATCATGAGCAAAGACATAAGAATACCCTGGTTCAAAAGGAGTGGTGCAAGAATACCCAAGATTGCGTGATGGAGGGCAAGATGATGTCCGCAAATGAGTGTCACGAAGGGAGGGGTGAGATGCAGGACTTACATCAGAATTCCCAGTCGGACGTATCATATGAATATAGAGGATCTAGGTGAAAGATACGAGCGCGGAAGCCTCTTCTTGCTTGTCAGTGGCTCCTCAATAAGCGTGGTCATGCACGGAGAGGAGTGAATCGCACAACAGACTATTATGAGCCACTGCGCGGACATTGCGGGGATAACGAGCTGCACGCCAAGAGTTGGAGTCGAAGTCGAAGTTGCTCCGTGTCCTCATCATCGCAGTGCGTGTAACTCGTACTCGTACCTGATGTTGAGATACTGTAGACTCTCACACGTCTCAAGAGCCTCAAACCCGTGCACCCGTACAGTACAATGCACTTGTTCAAATACCTGGCGCTCACCGCGCTGTCCATAGCCACAGTCTCTGCCAAAAAGGCCTCTCCAACCAAGTTCGACACCTACTTTTCCAAGCAAGCCAGCTCGGCCCCATTCGAAATCGACGAGAAGGGCTACAATGACCTAACAACTGCACCTCGAGACTATCACCTCGCCGTCCTTCTCACGGCCCGTGACGCGAGATACGCATGTGGACTGTGCAAAGAGTTTGACCCGGAATGGAACATTCTGGGCCGCAGCTGGCAGAAGGGGGACAAACACGGAGACCATCGACTGCTCCTGAGTACCGTCGACTTCGACAATGGCAGAAACGTTTTCATGAAGGTAAGTAGCCAAGGTCGGCTTTGTCAAGAGTAACCATGAGTACTAAAGTATCCGCTCTAGCTTCAACTTCAGACTGCTCCCGTCCTTCTCTTCTTCCCGCCTACCGTTGGCCCGAACGCCAAACCAGACGCCCAACCTCTACGACTCGACTTTCTAGGCCCTCAGACCGCAGAAGGCGTCCACAGCTGGCTGCTACGACATCTCCCGCCTGGACAATATCCTAAAATCAATAGACCGATCAACTACACCAGGATAGCTGTCACAGTGACTCTCCTTCTCGGAGCCTTTACTTTCCTGACCGTGGCATACCCGTATGTCATGCCCATCGTACAGAACCGCAACCTGTGGGCTGGTATCAGTCTGATCTTGATCTTGCTCTTCACAAGTGGCCACATGTTCAACCACATTCGACGCGTACCTTATGTCGCTGGAAACGGACGCGGCGGCATCAGTTATTTCGCGGGTGGGTTCCAAAATCAGTTCGGGATGGAGACACAGATTGTTGCTGCCATGTGTAAGTCTAACCTGGAGAATCTTTGCTCACCTCTATGCTCGAGCTAACCACAAAACAAAACAGACGCTATCCTCGCATTCGCCGCTATCAATCTCGCTCTGAGAGTTCCACGGATCAAGGATGCCCGCACCCAGCAACTCGCAATCATCATTTGGGCGACAGTTGTTTTCGGCATGTACAGCTTCCTGATGAGTGTGTTCAGAATCAAGAATGGTGGCTACCCTTTCTGGCTGCCGCCGTTCTAGGTTCTTCATTCGTCAAATATGATAAAGAGTTTGACCTTGTACACTATATAGAAAAGCATTTCGTTCGGCAGGGTAGCGATCTGGAATAGTTACCCGAGCCATAGCATGTTTATAAAAGGGGCAATGTGAGCTTGAGTGGCAGGCATAAATGTATACTATGACCGATTGACTGGTAACGGTTTCTCTTGGCTGAAGACATTTGGGCATCCAATAAACCAATAAAATCCAGTGCTCATGATATGGTTGTTGGTGTGATCAAGGGAGGACGAGGACGGTAGTAAGCGGCAACTGCGGCATCACATCCGCCCGGAACGCGGCAACGATAGTCCGGAGTTCACGTGAGGAGCTAGGGCTCACCATGCTTACCTGAAGCGATTAGCCTGATAAGCTTAAAATGGCCGCTGGGAGCGGAATGAATCGACCGCCAGTGGCATAGGAACCAGTCCATCACGACACGAAATCCATCCGTCCTCAGCACTTCTTCTGCTCTACGCAATTTCTTTTCCGCCGCAGCATGAATGGCGCGACAGATCTGCTAAATGGGGAACAGCCACAACAGCCGCCTACGCGCAGCCGAGGTCGGCCTCGTAAATTTCGCTCGACAAAATGCTCGTTCTGTGGCCATGAGTTCTCCAAGATGGAGCATCTTCAACGACATGAAAGGAGCCGTCAGTGATATGCGAAGATAATGACCAAAAGTCAAGCCACTAATCAGAATCGCTGCAGATACGGGTGAACGCCCCTTTGAATGCGCAACTTGTGAAAAGCGGTTTTCTCGAAGGTCAGCCTTGCTAGACCCCGCATTGGGTCCTGAAACTCGACTTACGACCGTATACAGAGACGTTCTTAATCGACATATTCAAAAGCACCTGAAGCCTCGGTCTGACCCCGCCGGTCTTGCCCGAGCAGTGACGCAGAAGCCTAGGGATGTTTCTACTCGCGCGAACGGCGCTAGTCAAATCGATATCAATCCGCCTGCGAGAGCTGGTCCGCTATTGGGAGGTGCTCTTCAGGCAACTAATAGTGCTGGTATTATTGAATCACCACTTGCTGGTTCCATACCAACACAGGCTTATACCGACTCAATACTTGCTTGTCCCGAAACCATGAAGGCGTGCCTTGATCCTTCTATGGCGTCATGGCAACGCGCCGCGGGTGGGCTAGACCCGACGGCATTGGCTCAGCCTAGACAACAAGCACCAGCCCTAGACCTGGATTTCAGTACATTCGATTTTGGACCCGAGAAATTCCAATCGTTGGACATCGACGTGATGAAGGGTCTAGAGGATGACATGCAAGAGGCTACTTATTCGGACACTCGGCTGTGGGATACTACTGACCTCTCGGCTTTTAATGTGACCTTTCTCAGTCCATGGTTCTCTTTTCCAGCACAGACACTTCAGCCTGCCAGTCGCCGTTCCCGTAGTCCGCGTGAGGATATCCCCGACGAACGATTTGATCGCGTGCGCTACTGTTGGCCTACGAAGAAAGCCGATACTCGCAGTTATCAAACTTGGAATGAAGTTGTTGCACATCCTGAAGACAATGTTTTCTCCCGATCACCTCCTGAGCCTTTGACTGACCCTTCATCCTCCTCAAAATGGAAATTCGATTCAAATTGCAGACAACGCGTGATGAAAATGTTAGGCGTGGTCGAGGGAAAGGACCCGCCGACCACCAATGTTAATGAAGGCTCGCAGGCCCAACAGCACGTGTTATCAATGCATGGGACAAGGACAAGATTTCCTTCGGTCAGCACCCTTGATTTTAGCTTGGATCTGTTCTTTGAAGAGTTCCACAAATTCGTACCATTCATCCATGTCGCCACGTTTGATGCACGGAAGACGCCAGATGTACTTCTTGTGGCGTTATGCATGTTGGGTTTCATGATGATAAAGAGCCCTTCAGCCAAGCAATTCATCGGTGAACATGGCATGGTGAGCCTCTATCCCAGAAGGTACAAGGGTCATAGTCCCGGGACTGACTATAGGGTCCCAGACTCTTATTGCTCGTTGTCGCCAGGAGCTCAAAACAGCCACAGTGCAGACCCCGGCACCATCACTACTGTCTATCGTCGCAGGCTCATATCTCTCCATAATTTTGGGTATTGTGATTGTACGGTCTATTCTGAAGTACATTATAGCAGCTGGACTAATACTCTACTAGGGTAAGGATGACCCGGAAGCTTGCCAAGGACTCTACGTTGAAACTGTTACGGTTTGTCATACTGTGCTTCTTGTATAATGGCTCCTAACAGGCTTTAGACAATGATCAGAAACGGCTTTTTCGGCGACGACAGCGTCCAAATGGTGGAGAAAGATGTTCCAGACGCTGTCCTGCTGGAACACCGTGGTTGGAAGATCTGGGGAAGGCTAGAGTCAACCAAGCGGTCAGTTTCGGAATCTCCTTTACTAACGATCTATCTCCCTGACCTTTCCAAGACTGATCATAGCTGTTGTAATGGCCGATGCGTTTTACTCGAGCACACTCGACTTAGTTCCCATGATCCCGACCAACTTTCTAAACCTATACTTGCCTTGTGATGAGAAGCTATTCTTTGCTTCGTGCGAAGACGAATGGACAAAATATATACACGCCGGCTGTAGTACATCCTCGTCCATCTTAGAATGTCATGGCGACCGGATATCATTGTCAGAAGGGACCTATTATCTCAACTCTCTCGGGCTACACGGTATTCTCGCCACCGTTTGGATACGTCTGTCCGAGGCCCATCACAGACTCCTGTCACGCAATGATTTGACAGGTGAAGGATCTGGCCTCATTCCGTACGAAGTTTTCTCCAGCGACCGATTTGCCAGTTCTATTACCCCTTTCCTGGTGGACATGATGCAGTGGCACGGAGACATGTTACAGAACTCCAATCCCCACTGTCTCATCATGTGGAACATTTTGTGCATGCTGCTTTTGGGAAACGCGTGGATGTTTGAATTGGGCGCTGGAAGGCAAGGCGCGAAGCCTGGCAAGGCAGCTCTGGAATGTATTGCCTCTTGGGCTAAGACGCAAGCAGCGAGGCGAGCCTGTGTTCATGCTGCTCAGATCTTCTGGACATGTTCGAAGAGGAAAGTCTCCGACAGTATGATGCTGCACTCGGAAACAGGAATGTTCCAAGCAGCTCTTGTTCTCGGCTTATATGTTCTAGTCACAAAGACCAATTGTGATGATTCTTCGCAGCAAAACTATTACGAGCTTCTCGCTGATCTGGACTGGAGAGACGTGGGCGATGTTGGCATGGGAGGGGAATTTCATTCTGCTGGCGGTATCGGCATGCCACATGCAACGGCATTTATTACCAATGGTGGCTGCCTCACCTTCTCTGGAATCCCAATAGCTGGAGGCTATGCTTCAGCCAGACGAATCCTGGTCCACTTTGCCAATTTGCTTGAAGACGCCGGCATATGGCAGACGTCCAAAATTTGTCGAATTCTTCATATCATGGGAGATGTTCTGATGGAGGATGGTGTTGAGGAAAGTGCAAATAAGGTTGTCGCTTTCTATAGTCACAAAGCCTCTCTCGTTTAGGCGGTAGGATCTTTCTCCGGCACAGAAACACGACAAGAAAGAGCCTTGCAACCTTGCAGATCCAGACACTGCTATTGGATTCTCAGGTGAACGCTAGCCTCACCTTGCACCAGTGTCTGCATGGATACAAGCAACGAATACGACTCTTTGCTGCCCATGCGCCTGCAAAGGCTTCACTCCTGGAGAAGATATCGAAAGCAAGGTTGAAATCAGTAGGAGGAGGAATCGTCCGCATAGAGAAGGTACCTCAGCGATGTCAGTTCGCCTACGGAGTACTCTCGGATCGGTGTCGGGTGATGACGGTGTTGAGTTTGTATACCTAGAGTGCAGTGACCTTGGGAGATTTCTATGAAAGCATAACCTTGTACCAATGGCTAGGCTACCCATTAATTAGAGCAGAGCTCGATGGTGCTTCTGTCCATGTATATAACGAATACACAACCCAGACCTCATCCGTCGTAAGCGACCAAAGTCACTCGTTAATCCAGCCAACCACCTCACCACGTAAAACTTTCCCCAACGAAATCCTCACTAAGCTCCCATAATTTACGAGCAATGCCCTCATCCACAGCATATGGCTCGACATTGCCGATCCGACAATCACTGAGAAAGTAGCCCTTTCCATCAGCGCCGGGTCGACTAAGCTTGGGGTCTAACGCCGCGACGAGAGTAGTGCTAGCTCCTGCCTCGAGAGATTTGAAGTCAATACCTTGGGCCGCTCTGAATTCTGAGATCTTTTCCAACCATTCCTTGTCCGTGTGTCGGCTCAGCTCACTCAGCATCTCTCCCGGATGCAGAGCGAGACTGAGGATACCATGCTTGTCGTATAACCTGTCGTTGAGACCGACAGAGAACAACACATTGCTGGTCTTGCTTTGTCCGTAGGCCGCGAAAGGAATGTACACCATGTCTTCTTCGGCCGGGAGGTATGCGGCCTTTAAGAGGGCAAAATTGGGCTTCTCGGACTCGGGAAGCTCCTTGACTGGCTTGGTGAAGTTGACGTCGCTGACACGCAGCGGCGAGACCCTGGTGCCGACGCTGCTGACGTTGATGATGCGGACGAAGCCTGGTGCGGAAGAAGATGCCTTTTCTGCGGCAGCGATCACCTTGGGCATGACGAGGTTGCTCAGCAGGAAATGGCCAAGATGGTTGGTGGCAAAGTGCATTTCGATCCCGTCAGCGCTGAGCGTGCGCTGCGGCAGGTTCATGACTCCGGCGTTGTTGATGACGAGGTCGATCGTGGGGACACCGGACCAGCCCATCACGATTGACCCTGCTGTCCTGACAGATGCTTGGGAGCTAAGGTCGACTTCCAAGAGGCGGTAGTCTGTGTTTGGGTATTGAGCACCCAAGATGTCAATACACTCTTGGACCTTGGAAGGCGAACGGCCGGCGAGGATGAGACACTTTGGGGCTTTTGAGGCGAGAGCCTCGGCGGTGGTATACCCGATACCCAGCTTGTTGACACCGGTGATGAGGATGGTTCGACCTTTGATTGCTTCTGGGAACGCTGTCGCTACGGACAGGGCTTCGGTGTCCTTGTCGAACTCGGTGTGAGTGGTGGCAGTCATGATCACAAAAATGAGTCAGGACCAAGTGTTAGTAGAAGGGAGTCTGCTGGTAGTGATGAAAGGGTTGATGTTCGTGTTCAGGGGCTCCTCGAAACACGGCCATGATGGGGGATTTATAGCTCGGCCTGATGTATCTGCTGTTGTCAAGCTAGTCACATTGTCTCTCTTGCGCGGCCCGTTTGTGGCAACTGCCATGGCCTGCTCCCGGAGATAATGCAGAGCATACACAAAGACCTGGGACCCTGAGTGCTGCAGGCACAGTGGATTGGTAGGGTAGAAGTTCTGCGGAAGAAATTACTAGGCCGGTTGGAGGAGTCTATCAGACGTGGGCCACAGCGAATCAGCGAAGCACAAATCCGAGCACACCAATGGAGTCTCCAACATCGTACACTATGGTAAGCAAAAGTGTTCAATCCAAACTCCCCGAGTATCCACAGGCTTTCTCAAACTCAGTCGCCGATGACTGCTGCCTATGTATTCACCAAACCATATCTCGACGTTTCCGAGCAAAGCCTCACGACAGATGTACATGATCACCACTTCGCTGGGGCTTCTCCGTCACGCAACATCAAGCGCCGCTTCCGGACATTTCTGCCCTCGACTACTCATTGAACCATGACCGAGCGGACCATATCAAGATTGTCTTCTAGCCGGCCAACAACTGCTCCCATAGCACGGAAAGTCAAGACTGGTTGTGGGACCTGTAAGATTCGCAAGGTCAAATGCGATGAAACATACCCAGCGTGTCGCCGATGTCTCCAGACTGGAAGGGTCTGTGATGGCTATGGGATCTGGGGTGGCGGTAATAGGCCTGCTGTCCCGGCCCGCGCGACAGAGCAACTGGACTCAGGTGGGACTCTCTGGCGCTCGGAACAGTATGTCCAAGGACTACGAAAGTTGCAACCAGGGCTCAGAGGCAACGATCCTCGTGTTACAGGGGAGCACACTGAGGTAGATGATCATGTGTCTCTTGTGTCTATAAAAGGCACATCAGTCAACAGCCCCGCAAACTTACGGCTCGTTCCCATCCATGTCGTGCCGACCGACCAGCACGGGTACATGGAGTGGTACATCTGCAGGACAGCCCCGAAACTGCCGGGTGCGTTCAGAGAAAGCTTCTGGGACAGACTTCTTCCCCAGGCAAGCCAATCAGAGCCAGCGATACTGCATGCGATCTTGAGTCTGGCATCGATTCACAAGAGAGCTTTGCTGGACTTAGTCCCTTGCAGCGTGAGGAACGCGAAGGAGATTGGCAGCCTGTTTACTCTTCAACAGCTGACACTTGCGACTGGCACTCTCCGCGACAGGATTGCGAACAGAAGTCAAGCTTCACTAAGGGTGGCACTCATTGCGTGCGCAGTATTTATCGTGTTGGAGTATATGCAGGATAATTACCAGACCGGTCTGACACATCTCCGTCATGGCCTAATCTTGCTTGAGGAGTTCATGCTCCACGACGGACAAAGCAACGGCGATGCCAACGATGATTCTATTATCAATACGTTTGTGACTTTGCTTATTCAAGCGAGGCTCTTGGGCCAAGATATCTACCACCCTAGTCTGCTCCCTTTGCTCATCGACAAATTAGACGTACGTTGCTGGGAATTCCAATCGGCCGCTGATGCCAGAAGATGTCTCGAGTGGATCTTTCTTCAAACCTTCAGTATTGCTGACCAGACTGGGTGCAACCTCTTCTGCGACCGCTTGTCAAGCTCCATCACCGTTCAACCGAATCAGATGATGGATATTCATCAGTATCTGCGCCTGTGGCAGGGGGCTTACGAGACAAGCATGATGAGATTCCGATCGATGCTTTCGTTGATGGACTTTTACTCCTGGAAGCTCCTGCTTCTCCTCCACACTCTGGCCTGTGTGCTTGTACAGGATTTTGCCCCTACTGTATATGAACAGGTAGTGGACAGCAGCGCCACGGAATCTTCGACTCGGCCTCCGGATACTTCTTCAAGAGATGCCTCTTCCGCCGCGTTCTCAACAGTACCTACACTCCTGGCGAGCCATGTACCAAGTTCGCATTCTGGTTCAAGGACGGAGTACTCTTCGGGAATCGGTCTGCCCAGAGATCCATGTCTTTCCATAATTTCACAATGTTCCTGGATTTATCGCGAAGTTCGCGATCCGGTCCCCGTGCTATATGACACTAACTCGCTTGGTATCAACGAAACGGCTGCTTCTTCGATAGCTGATATCGGCTGGATGCCGGCACTGTTCTACACAGCCATTCTTGCGCGAGACTCTACCACGAGACGAGAGGCAGCGAACCTGTTATACCTCAGGCCTCACAGGGAAGGTATATGGGAGTCATATCTGTCGGGTATCCTTGCTGAGAAAATCATCCACACAAAAGAAGAGAAGCGCAACACGCAGCCGCCTAGCAACTCTTCAATGAATCTGGAGGGGGACCTGGGACACGCGTTGGAGACAAGCACATTACGGGATATACGAATCCAGTTGCCCTCGAGTAGCGATGCGAAGCTTGTACTGACGTATGCGAGGCTTTTGGGAGACGTCGCAGGGGCGGAGTCGTGGAACAACGAGCGTTGTATATACGATATGAGAGCTGGCTGTTGGATTAGCTAGATGGATGGGGGGTGTTCAACTGACTAGTCAGGGGGAGCTGGCGATGAGCGTACGGAATTCCTCTTCTAACCCTTCTACTCGTCTGAAGAAGGCGTATGAAGAAAACTACTCTGAGTACGGAGTACTCTATGCGGTCGCCGTTGTGGAGAAAATATACTACCTGTAACAATGCGCGAGTGAATGACACACCGGGCGTCGCACATTTGATACTTGTAAGTTGTAACACTTTCCCGGATTCGCACCTTGTCCGTAAGGGGAATCGTGTTGACGCTGATGTTGAACATCGCAGAACGTTCTGCACAATAACTAACTGCTCCAGACTGTGTTCTCCTCTCTCTCTCTCTCACACACCATGACCTGCAGCCGACACTCGTAGTAGTTATTCTACCGTCTTCTCACCTCTACTCCCCGTGTCATGGCCACTACCAGACTCAACTTCCGCGCCCCTTCGACGTCCACCGCAGCCGTAGCCACGGTCGGCGACAACAACAACAACGACGACGATCATGATACCAGTAGTCCCAAATTCACTCCTCCGTCCGCCTCATTCCTCCACGGCAAATGGTACGTGACGCACTCGACGCTCCCCATGTGGAAAACCAACCGCAACGTGACCATCACATACACGCCTCTCCCGAACGACGCCGCCGTCTTGGACGATCTGGTCGAGTACCAGCCCAAAAGCTCAGACAGGCGCAAGAAAGTAAAAGGGTACGATACACCGTCTGGCGACGTGCCGGCGGCCTACGGTTGGCGCGGGAAGGGCTGGCTCATGATCGCGTCCAGCAAGTGGCAGGTGATAGGGTACGGGGACGAAGACGAGGGGTGGTGCGTCACGTACTTTGAGAAGACGCTCTTCACGCCGGCGGGGATAGATGTGTACTCGAGACGCAAGACGGGGGCGTCTCCTGATCTACTCTCGCGGATCACGGAGGAAATGAAGAACGTGAGAGACGGCAATGTGAGGAAACTGGCAGCGGACATGTTTGCCATTGACCATACAGGATGAAATGAAAACGAAGCACCACGCCAAAAGAAGAGAGAAAAAACAGACAAGAGCACAGTAAGTGCATATCTCCCTACATGGAGCCGTTGGATCAGAATTCATTGTTATTATGACCATGATCGTGGCTTCACACGCGCGACAACGCACAGCCGAGATCTGATCGAGTATACCACCCGCCGTCGAGAAGAGATTGTTCCATGGCCGCCCACTTCTCGAGTTTTCCACCTCCTGTGCTCTTCAGGTCCAGATCTGCGAACTTGACGTCGATAACATCTACGACGACACCATCGCCGCCACCACCACCATCGGTGTCACCGCCGACACCATCTTCATTGACATTTACAGTGGCATTGTCATGGTGTTGACAACGTTTCAGCGCAACAAAACAACTACAATCTCTCAACGCCATTGCCAGGCCAAACTCATCCCCGTCGACCAGCGAGGGGTTCAGGAAGTCATGGATCCCCACAGCCCCGTGTTCCCTTTGCAGGCGGCGAAGATGGTATAATGCCGGCTGGACTTTTGCCTTGAACTGCGCGACGAACCCCGAGAATGCACCAGCTTCTCCTCGACTCAACTCGACCGGCCATATATTGTCCAGCGCACGGTTGAGGACGTGGTCTTGCTCCAAGAGATCCAGGGGACAGAATCCCGAGTCGCCGCGACCTTGATGGGACTGGCTGCCGCTGCGTCTCATGGCATTCAGAGCGCACGTTCGACAGCTCTTTGCACCAGACGGGGCGCTGGGACTCTGCACGAGCCATTTCGGCTTGAACTCGACGAGGCGGTCTATACTCGGCCCTTGAAGATTTTGCATCAGTACGCCGTATTGTTCGTGCTCGTATGACGGGAGGTATTTGTGGCGTCGGTGATGCGGTCGCGGTGGGTGGCGGCGGTCAATGCTAGGAAGACCCGTGCGCGGATTTTTCGTATCTGGGGAAGAGGACGACGACGACAGGATGATGTGAGGGTCGTTTTCCGTCTCCATCTCGTGAAGCTCGTCGTTCAGATCCCGAACCATGGCCGGTGTGAGTCTGTACAGGCTCTGGGTGAGAAGGAGGGAGTCGTGAGGGCCGCCGCGGCTGGTGTTGGCGAAAAGTGGTGCTATGCGACTCTCGAATTCCGACGTGACTTGCACCACAGGTTTTGTAGACGGGAGATCTTTGCGTAGCCGCATCACGCAGCAGTGTGAGTGATTCCTCAGGGTGGACGGAGAGCGCACCGACACGCCGTAGATGATGTTCGCCGCCCCCTCGGCGAGATAGTGTAGGTCCAGGTCAGCGGTCGCGAGGGATGCCGGGCACTCTGGAGACGGAACGTGTGGTTGGGGTTTTGTTGTTGACATTGTCGTTGTTATTGTATGGTATAGGACGATCTTCATACAACGAAAGTAAAAGAGAGAGTGCCGTCTTGTTGAATGGCGGTTGCTGGCTGCGAATCCGTCATCAGGCTGATTGAGCTTCTTCTTATTCTTGTTCTTCCTCGCAGACTGACGGTTCGTTTAATTCTTCTGACGCGATGATAGATGATTCTTTGGAAGCTTCTTGTGCGCGTAGCCGAAGTTCAAGCCCGGGTTACTTTACTATACAGGTCATGTAGGTACATACCACTGACCAGGAGAAGTAAGGGTATCTACTAGATTATCTAGTTAGATGCCTACCCTAGGTACCTGGGCGAGTTTGAGGGCTCTATCGTTGAAGGAGTTGTCGCAACCAACAAACTACTGTAGTTCCCTGCACGCGGGTCGTGTGGTCGGGGATAAGTTAGTCGGGAATAAGTTATAACCGTGTCCAACGGTGCGGAAGGAGATGTTGGCTAATGTTGGTAAAGGTAAAGAGAGTCAGGGATATGGCATCTCGGTCCTTCTGGGTAGATGCATCGCTTCTTACTATAATAATATCCATACCAAGGTACAAAAGGAAAAGAAAATTGATCAGATCGTAACAGATCGTGAAGAGTTACACCATCATTACGCATCACACACACACATACATACATACATACATACATACATACATACACACTCACCTTGCCTACACAGTCTCTCTTTATCTCTCTCTCCTTCTACCTCCAAGAAACACTTCTTGAAGACTTGGGCGAAAAGGCATCTGTGGATGGTAATCAGACTCAGTCGTCATTGAAAAATGTCTACCTTGACGACCGACTTGTCCTCGCACCTCGCTCTGATCACCGGCGCAACAGGAGGTACGTGTTCCACCCTCCCCCGGCCCTTACTCGAGTCCATCGTTTGAAACGATGCCCTCACCGTTTACCTTGTACCTGTAGGCATCGGACGAGCTACGTGCCTCTCCCTCGCACACCTCGGCTGTTCCATTGCAGTCCACTACAACAGCGCCGCAGACACCGCTGCGAGTCTCGTGTCGCAACTACAGTCCTTAGGCGTCAAAGCCAAGTCGTTCCAGGCCGACTTGAGTGCCTACAACGGTGCACGCGCGCTTCACGCGGCCGTCGTGCGAGAAATGGGTGACCCGACCATCCTGTTCAACAACGCCGGCATGACCATGGGCAAGTCCGGCGTCAAAGACGTCTCGGAAATCAGTGTCGAAGAGTTCGAGCAGACCTGGCGCGGGAACTGTGGCACGGCATTCCTCCTCACGCAACTGTGTATCCCGAGCATGGTCGGACAGAACTGGGGCCGGGTGATTTTCTGCTCGAGCGTCGCTGGGTTCACGGGCGGCGTTGTCGGCCCGCATTATGCGTACGGCTCTCCCCTTGTTCCGGTGGGTCGACGGTCGATACCTAGCTAACTCGGATCGCAAAATGCAGGTCATCCAAGTCAGCAATGCATGGACTCATACATTGGCTTGCGGGCGCATATGGTAAAAAGGGGATTACCGTGAACGGCGTCGCGCCCGCATTGATCGAGGAGACGGGCCTGTTGCCTGCGAGCAACGATGACCTTTCTGCGAGGATCCCAATTGGTAGACTGGGAAAGCCTGAAGAGATCGCCGAGACTGTGCTGTGGATGGTCAAAACTGGCTATGTTCATAACAAGGTCGTTGCCGTCGATGGAGGATGGTTCATCCAGTAACAGCACCAAACGAGATCTTACAGGTCGCTATCGCAGGGGGGGAACTGAGATCGTTCATCCACTGGCTTCCTTCTTCTTCCTGGCTTCTTCTTCTCTTTCCTTCTTACGTTGAAGGTACCGTTCTTTCGCGCCCATCTTGTCAGCTTCTGTGACCCTGCTCTTGTTCTTCTCCTGCTGCGCCTTTTCTTCCTCAGTCTCGGCTTCCTTCTGTTTGGCCGCCATCTCTTCGATCTGCCGCTCCATCATCCGCGACTGTCTCTCGCGTTGTCCTTGTCGAGCATCTTGAGCCTTGGATGATCGCCAATACTCCTGTGGCCTGCCATCGTTGACCTTCTTTGGCGCTTCAGCTTCTCTACCAGGTTTCTTGGGCGCGGCGTTCAACCCGGCAGAAAGCAGTTGCCGTTTATCCACAATTTCGCCTTCGTCGTTCACCACGATCCTTGCGCCTTGCTTGTTCAGTTCTTCGGCGAGCTTACTGTCGGTCACCTCTTCTTCGGTTTCTCCCTCATCTTCCACCCCAGCCGCCTTCTTCTTTGCAGCCTCTTCTTCTGCTTCCTTGATCGTACGCATTCTCTCTTCATCCTTCTGCAACATTTGTTTGTGGAATGCAGTCATGCCACCACCCTTCCTCCGTCGTTCTTCCTCGGCCTCTTCGCGCTTCTTCTCCTCTTCCTCTAACCGTCTCGTCTCTTCTTGTTGTTTCTTGTACGCCCCAGTCACGAATTTCTCCTTGTCCGCGAATTCGTCCCCTTCGGCCTCCCGTTCTCGCAGTAGTGCCTTTTCCTTGGCTCGTAGTTGATCCCGCTTGCGGACCTCGGCGCTCTGGAGAAGGGATGTCATGTATTTCGGCCCAGACTCTTGTTCACCGGCGGATGATTTCTTTTCTTTCTTCGCGTGGAATGTCTCGTAGGCACCATCGTAATCATATACGGACGCATCGATCTTTGAGGCTTCTTCATCGTGGAGTTTGGCACTTCGCAGCGCGGACAAGTTGGTGTACTTCTCCGTCGAGGCAGCAGATTTGCCTTTGGCGGGCTGTAGTCCGTATTGTTTGGGCTCCTCTTTGGCGGGCGAGCTGCTGTCGTCATCGTCATCATCGTCAAAGGCGCTCAACGGCCGCAATGGTTTCGACGTTTTCTTCGCACCGTATTGAGGTGGAGGTTTCTGCTCCGAGGCATCGTCCTCCTCGTCAAAGAACGCTTTACGCTTCTGTGGTTTGGATATACCAGGCTGCGACTTGCCAGCATTCAATCCAAAAGCCAGACCAGGCATGTTTGGTTATGAATTGGCAAGGGGATGTTTGATTGTAAACGACGATCAAACGGAAGTCCAAAGTTCGGGAAACGCATCTACATCTTATCTTATCTTTGGTCCCGCAGCGCCTTGCTGACTTCGAACGCCCACTCCATTCCCTCTAGTTATCAGAGTACGAGCAGGGTTCGAGTACTCCGTACATCTACAGTGCAAAGGTGGACCTTGTCGAGCCACTGGTGATATGCGGCTCGGTTGCGAACAGGTCGTCATAAAAGCGGCGGCTCGCCAGAGAGAATTTCGACAGTGGATGGAGGCGCCGATCAATCCCAGGCAGCAGCGACATCTGCGCTTGAATGCGATGATGTAACAGCCAGACATCTCACCGGTATATCTAAAGTCTAGTGGGTGTCGGACCTGTGATACCATCTGATAGTCAGATTGTTGACGAGACAGGAATTCTTGGCTGCATTTCAATACTTCCGTCAGCATGTTTACCTACTCGAGTGAGCAGTTCTACAGGGATTGGCGATACAAGGTGGTCGAGGATTTCAAGACCGACGATGGCGACACGTATCCATATGTCGAGGGAGGACATGTTGAATGGGGTGCTGAAGACCACAAGCTCACATTGCCAACCAAACCAAGCAAGGTTGCAATCAATACGGATGCCTCGATCCTTGCTGTTGCTGTAGAACATGATATCCACGTCTTCAGCACCGAAGATTATAGATTGACACAGGTATTGAAAGGGCACATCTCGAGAATCGATACACTCGCCTTTCAGCCGGGAAACCCAAATATACTGGTCTCTGCAGCGACGAATGACCACGCAGGTTCGGTGAGAGCCGACTGTGAAATCATCTTCTGGAACCCAAAGCAACGACAAGCTCAGAAGGATGCTCTTCAACTGTCAGAGATCTGCCAGGAAGCGAGTGACAATATCGCTGCCTCGATTGCGAAAGGGAGTGACTCGATTGAGTTGGCAGATACGGAGATTTCAAAGTTGTCTGAGGATATTGAGCAATTGGTAACCACTCTTGTTACAAGACATATGGTTTCGGACGAAGCTCGAATTGCAGGACGTCTGCTCAGTCATTTTGATACTCACCTGTTTGACCCGTCGGGGACCCGGCTGATGTACCTTCCCGGTAATCGCCCTCGATCCAATTCTGATGCCCGCTGGGACATGCGTGTGTTGTCGATGCAGACTCGTGAGGATCTTTTCACCTTGGTGGGACATACTGATGCTATCATGTGGTCCGGGTTCAGCCCTGATGAGACCATGATTGGAACTTGTTGTTGGGATTCTACCATGAGAATATGGGATAGCCAAGATGGTAGCCTCAAGTTTAAGTTCGAGACTGGCAAGCAAAACTGGAACGGCTCCTTCTCACCAAATTCAAAATTCTTCGCAGGCACTGCTGGAGACGGGACTATTTACCTCTACTCTACTTTGGACGGCTCAACTCTGTGGTCACGTCAGTCCGAGATCGATTGGTGCCGACACTCATCATGGACGCCCGACAGTCGTTTGTTGGCCATCGGTGGTCGGAGAACGGGAACTGTCTTGGTGATCAATGTCAATGAGAACACAGTGGTCCAACGCCGGGTTTTGAGTATTGACGCCTGTAAGGTGGACGAGGAGCGCAAGAAAAGACTGTTGAGAAGCTATCTCGAAGTTTATGCGGTGCGTTACGTCGATGCTGGCAAGAAGCTCGCTGTATACACTGGTGGAGATGGGGGAATCGAGGTTTATGATTTCGAGAAACAGCAAAAATGGCGGTTTGCACGGTTTGGGACCGACGAGGACCTTCATCCTTGTGATGCGGATGTTCAGCCAAAGGGCTCGCCCGGGTTGGACATGATCGCCTGGAACGACTTGAAGAATGGTAGGATCAAGCTGACGAGCTTGGACGATAATAATGTGAGGATTTGGAGTGTGCCGCTTGATCATGAGTCGATATAGCCTGTCACCGCTCACTACAAGTCATCGCATACTAGAGTGCCCTCAATCGCAATCCCTGTTCTTCTCCTCTGTGTTGGGACAACGTGCCCGAGGTGAGTTAGATATACCTACATATTCAGGTAAGTACATACTAGGTTCACCTGAAGGTGGATGCTTCCCGTAGACAAAGAAACGCCTAGATGGCCACTCGTAAGACTCACCCCGTCGAAATGCGGTTCTTTGGTTCAGATGATGTGTGAGAAGTGTCAGTTCATGATGACTAATCTAAGTATAGCCTTGCCAAGTCCTCCGTAGTCTTTGGCTCGCGCTCGACACCTCAACTCCCATTTGAACTCGCTCCTGTTGAAGTTGATTGACAACTCATCAATGAACAAACCAACTGTGTAGTCTTGCTTTTCCTTGGTCCAAGTGCTCGGGCAAGTGCCGAGATCCCTTGATCCTCCGCGAAAGCACTCCTCCGGCACAATGTCTTATTATTTTGTCATCATATCACCGGCCGACACTCCTTTGTTCGAATTGACCTTTGGTACATCGAAAGCTGGAGGGGATGGAGTCGCTCGATTTCGGAATGGAGAGACGTCCCGGTACATGAATCAGTTCATTGTTCATGCGGCACTGGATGTGGTGGAAGAAGTCCAATGGCTGAGTCCGAACATGTGGCTCAAAGTGATCGACAACTATGCTCCTACAAATTCCCACATCAGCTGCTTTATTACCGGCACCAACGTCCGCTTCATGCTTCTTCATCAACCCTCGGCAATTACCAATGCCTCTGCGGGAAGTCGGACTTCTACAATCTCTTCAACCTCGATTCCTCAAAATCCCACCAGTCCACAGACCGAAGAAGCTATTCGCCAATTCATGAACGAGGTCTTTGAGCTATGGGTCAAGACGTTGATGAATCCATTCTACAGTATCGGCAAACCCGTCACAAGTCCAATGTTCAGACAAAGGGTCACTGCGGCAGGCCGAAAATGGTTGTGACGAATCGGCTCCAGCTCCTTTGTTTGCATGATTTGCGGCAAGCGTCGGATGCAAACAAAGCGTGGTGCTTTCAGCGAGGTCAACCTATCACCCCGAACCATTTCCCTTCATCGCCTCCAAAATCAGACACGTCCCTGCAGCGAATTCGGAGGGAATGAGACCATTGATCGCGTGTCGTAATCAGTCCACTCTCCCCTCTCGGAGCATCACAGTGTCTTCGGCATCAACTACTCTAGTGTTTCCAAAGCAAGAAGCTATCAATATTCTAGCAATTCCAGACTCCATCACCGATACAAAGGGTCCGAACTCTTGAATGTCGCGTACCTATATCTTACGGACTGGGCACACAGCTGAGAGAACGCTAGATGGCTCCAATCGGCCTCGTTGCCAGCACCTACCGAGAAGCTCTCATACGTCGTTCGACTGTCATCTACCTTTCATGGCCTCTCTGGGCTCAAATTCTGTTGCCTGTGATGGCTGCTACAATTTAGGTCCCAGTGTACTTTCTCATCGAATTGATACGCGGCTTCTCCTGCTTCCATTGAGAGGAGATATGAGGATGCAAGTTTGTGGTCCTAATATTCGCAAGGACGACACCTGTTCCATTGACATGGTTACAGTATTGATCCTAGCAGTATTTTAGCTGCCAAAGTTTGAGGGCCTTGGAAGTTGTGGACGGGTCTTTGATGATTCAAAAGTCCAGGTGTTTGACCGATAGCGTTCCGGTTCGCCAAGATTACAAGTGTCCTCATGATATGGTGAGCGACAAGTCCACGAGCTCTTCGCAGACAGCATCGGCACTAATATCTAGTAATCGAAATCCGAACCTCAATATGTGCCTCATAGGGACAAACTTCTGTCACACGCTGACCTTTGAATCTATTCCTGTCCTTCAATCAAGTTTTTCTCTTGTTCGCATTCTTCACATCTCTGTCTGACCAGTAACGATGTCTCCTTTGTATGCTCGTGTCCATACAATGCCTCATATTGTGTTGATCATGAGCCTCTAGCCTTTTATGTCCATGGTCGGTGTGGGTCGTAGTGGACGATCAAGTTACCTATAACGACACCGTGTGCGTGTGTGGTGTATGTGATGCTGCTGTCGCCTCGTCTCCCAATCTACGCCATGGTATCTACGTTCCTCCTCGAACCTGTCTCCGTCGAAGACACAATGCCGTCGCTTAGTCGTCGTCCGCTTAGTCGTCAATGTTCAATGGGAGCGCCGAGCAAACAGCTCACACACAAACTCGTTGCAAACTTGTTGCCAGTTTCAAACCTGTCCCTCCATCGTCAGAATTGGAAATCCTCATTGTTGAGGACAACTTCTTTCTTCTTCTTGGACATTTGGACAGACGGCTCATTGAGACTGCTCTCTCCTCGGATCATTTCCCTCGACAACCCTGCTCTCGGGTCTAGAAGGCCCCAAACCCTCGAAGCAGCCAGCGAGCTGCGTCCGAAGTCCTCTTTAATCATCACATTCTCTCATTCAACTCGTATCGACACAAAATTGGCACTGCATCTTCATAGCAAACATGACGGAGCCATTCAGACCTCGCGCCATCATGCGCGAAGCTCCTTACCTCAAACAAGCCGGTCTCTTCGCGCCCAAAGACTACAAACGGGGTGACCTGTTGTTCTCCGACACCGCAGTGGTTTTGGGAACCGACCTTGACCTTGACAAACGACTGATGCGACAGCGAGATAAGATGATCCCAGAAGAGTGGGACGATCTTCTGGAGCGATGGCTCATGGCTGCTCGCCAACACATACCCACAATGCGCTGGTTTGTCGAGGAAGGTACCATGGAGGGCATGAACTATCCCAACCCATCAGACAACATCCTGGATCGAGAGGCATATTCGACCTTCGTCACTGATGCTGAATATCTTCTGCTTGTGGGCAAAGAGGTGGACGGTCACCAGTGGACCTGGGAAGAAGAGCTGGAGCTCAGACACTTGAGACGAGTAATCGAAGACAGTATTCCTGTCACTGTTGACTACCTGGGTGGACTTTCATGGGCAGTCAGCACCCTCACCGGTCTCATCAACCACGCGTGCCATCCGAACGCCTATATGGAGCTGATCGAAGAAGGCACAGAGGGCTATGGCGTTGCCACAGTCACGATAAAAGTGTTTGCCGTGAAAGATATCAAGGAAGGTGAAGAAATCACAAGATCATACCAGGGCCCCAGGGGCTGTGTTGCACATTGTCTTGATAAACTCCGGCACCAGCGTGGGTTCCATTGCAAATGCAATTCTTGTGAACGGGCCAAAGAGGACGTGGGTTATCGTATCCTGAGGAACGATGTGTACGACCTCAAAACCCAGCTGGAGACACAACCACCGCAAATGGCAGGGCACCGCCTACGAGATGTCGGTCTCTTACTAGATGGATATTCGCTGCTTGACATCAGCCACGAGGTGGAGTTCCGGGTGTATATAGAAGAGGCGAAGACGGCTGCTCTCCTCGGAGACACAATCCGCGCCCACTATTTCACCACGAGACAATTGCACTGGTTAGGCCATTGCGCGCATCGCCCGATGGCGATGAGCGCAGTCAGGGTGCTAAGTAACATCCAGAGGAACAGACGCTTGGACAGTGCCATCGACTTAGGACAGTCTGTGTGGGACTACTATGAAATGTCACAAGAGAATCTGGAGGAGGTGATTTTCTCGATGGCCCCTGGAAGAAGTTCCGATACTAAGTATCGCCTATTGCAAGTCGTTGACGGAGTGGTGGAGGAGGTTCCAGACGAAACGGTCAACAAGATGGAAGCGGAGAAGAGAGAAATGCATGAGCGGCAGCTAGAGGAAAGACGCCTGGCAGAAGAAAAGGAACGCCAGGATCTGCAACACAGAGTACAGGCCCAGACAATGACTCTTGAGGAGCTTACCCAGAGCATCGAAGGTGCACCACAAGGTCCAAGCAAGAAGAAAAAGAAGTCAAAGAAGAAGGCCAAGAAGGGTCCTGATACAACAAACGAGGAGAGCGAACCTTTGGTCGATGATACCGCTACAACTGAAAGCCTCAATCAAATCCCGGTTGGAAAAAGCGCAGTGCAGAATTTAGACGACAGCACAAAGGCCATTGAGAAGAAAGATGTCAATGAGCATGATCAGCAAAAGATCAAAACAGATGCAAAATCCTCTTCTCCCCCCACAGCAACCCCTAGTCCTGCTGAAAAGGCAAATGGATTGACCGGCATGTCTTTGGATGCAGGATCAGGAAAATCCAACCACGATGAGAAAAGCGATCTAGCGAGAGTCAACAAGTGGACAAACACAACTGAGAGGTCAATGTTGACTGAAACGAACGCGACACCCGACCCTGACCTTACGACGACCCCGGATACACTCACCCAGACACATACTTGGACCGATACTGACGAAGACAGCCTGACTATGCCTCGTTACGATCAGCACACGAAAACAGACACGGTGGATGATGTAGCAAACGACAATAGCTGGACGACAGTCACAACTCGCAAGAAGACCACAGAAGAGCGAGGACTTCCACCACGAACTTCTTCGAATTTGCAGAATAAGGCAATTGGTCCCCGTCAAGCGCCTGTTACGACTAGTGGTCGTCGTCAACCGCAGACATTGTCCAACTGGCAAGACCAGACTACTACTACCGCTGTTGCTGCTACTGCTGTTGACCATCGCACAGATCAAACTTCCTCAAGCTGGCAAGCTCGAATTGATGACCTTCTCCAAGGACCAAGTGCTCCCCATCGTCGTCGCCAAGGCCAGACTGCTTCAAGCTCGCAAGACGAGACTGTAACCAAGTCTCAACAGGCACCTGTTACCGCTGCCAATCGTCTTGCCAAGACCGAAATCCCTCCTGGCCCCTTCATTGGCCCTAAGGAGGATTCGACACAGGCCAAGCCTGTGTTGAATAAAAAGCGAAATGACCGTCGGGCAAAGAAAGCCCTCAAGCAAAAAGTCTCCAAATTGGAGCAAGAGGTGGAAGAATTGAAATCAAGAAATCAATTCTTGGAGACCGTCGCTGGGATTGTGGCCGAGGAGGACCACATCCGCACCACCCAGCCCTTCAAGTCCCCATTCGGGGCAAAAGATGGCACTTCCAAGTCGGAGTGGCTGGCCTCAAAGGCCAACAAGAGGAGTCTTGCCAATGACCCTCGTGACTTGGGTCACCTTCTCGCCGCCAAAGACGGCATCAATGCGCCCTTGTTGGGCTTCGTTCTCAAGGAACGACGGGACTCGGCGTGCGGCCGAGTCGAAGGAGACAAGGTGTTTGTGGAGCGGGGCCGGCCTCGGGGCCACACCGTCAGCAATGACGGTTCAAAGATGGATTGCCTCAAGGAGGCTGAAGTTTGAGAGAGCAAGGAGGGTTGAGTTGTGTGTGTGTGTGTGTGCGGGCGGGCGGGCGTGTTGTGTTGTGGTCGTTGGCCGCCGGCCGCTGGCGGTTGGCGCGGGTGCTCCTTTTTTTTGTTCTTTTGTTAGAGTATACCCCTGCAGCAATGACTTTTTGTGCTATTCACTGTCTTTCAGGAGCGCGTCTATCGTGATACTAGTAGTAGTCGTACGTTGTAGAGGACTGGCGACAACGATTTCTCACATTCGTGTTGCCGATGAGATGCTCCTGGCACCTAATCGTAGAGTGTGCTTTAGGGGACATGACCGATGTATTGTATCACACAACGAGCTGTGTTAGGTACAGTTTTGAGACTCATGCAAGACACCAGCGCAAGTCACAGCAACGCAAATCGTTGAGACGGAGGGAGACTGTGCAGGCAGTGTCACCATGTCTCGCGTGCGACGTTGTTCGTTGTCGTCTCCTGGTGTTCACCCGCCCAGGAATGAAGTTCTGTCCGATGAGTGAGTGAGCTTGGCGTTCGTCCAACCGGTCATCGATGATGCCGCTTTAACGTACCCAATCTTGTCTTGTCCTTTCTATGCGATGCGAGCCGTAGCTTCAGTATTATTCAATCACAGAGATTGACGAGCGACGAGCAATGCAACGGGGACGTTGTCTTTGGTGTTCATGAGACCGTCAGTAACCAACAGTTGGCTGTGACTCTCATTTTAATTGCAGCATTCTCTTTTATGTGTATGCTGGGCCTTGCCACGACTGCCTACGATTCACGAATACGGACTCGGCACAAGGAACACTCAGTACGGCGCAAATTGGCGAATCTCGCCTTGCGCTCGAGAGCTTGAAGTCAATTCTTTGACATACGCGCAGAGTGCAAAGTCGGCGAGGAGAGGAACACCTTTGTTCAATTATCGATTCTCGAATTGTCATCGAGTACCCTGTACTCGCGGCGCCCGATCCCATCTCTGCCCGTAGGTTAGGTGCACAAAGGGCCATCACTACCACCACCACCATGTCCCACTCTAAACGAAACACTTCTCTCGCCTTCTTCACGGCCCACGAAAGGTCATTGTTACGATCAAGCTGGGGCACTCAATCTACTCGGTTGTCCCGCGAGAGTTTCCTACCATTTGGGCATTGTAGATTATGCCTAAGTATGGCGATTGATCCCGTCGCATGTCCCGGCTTCAGTACGACGAGTGGTACGACTGCCAATTCTAGCGGCGATGGAGACGATAAGAACAAGTCCGGGACTACGACGACGACGACGACGTCGACAAAAGTCCACCTCTTCTGTCGTGAATGCGCATTGAATGACCTCATGGCCCAACGGAAGGAAATCAAACGGTTAGAACGTGAAGCAGAGTTGAGGAAACGGGAAATGGAAGACGATCTGCGTCGCGCGGAGGAGGAGAGCAAACGAGAAGATCTCGAACGGTTCGAGAGGGGAGAATTGGACTCTGCATATTATGACGATGTCTTCTCCGGCAGCGGCATGAGGAGGAAACGAATCGCCGAGGAAATGCACTCTTCTGCCCCCAACGCCACTACCAGCACCAGCACAGGCACGAGCAACACATCGGTCCGGACGAGTACCGGTGACGGGGACGGTCGAGACGGATCCAAGAAATCAAAAACCAACTCTACTTTCCCCTCCGTGGACACTGCAAACGGTACTCGCAGTGGTGGTAATACAAAACGACAACAATCTGAAGCGAGTTTCTGGATCCCCGGGTCCGAATTCACGTCTCGACATCACGGCAAAGACGGCGCGACGAAGACCGCCGCAAAACTTCACCCTCTCTGTCCCGCCAGCACACCTGATCATAAACATGAATATTCACTCAAATCTCTGACTACCGTCAACTTTAGCTTCGCGGATGACGGTGACGACGGCGCCGATGGCGGTGGCGGTGGCGGTGGTTCTGGGAAGAGGAAAGATGCCACCAAACAGCCAATGTGTCCAAGTTGCAAAAAGATGTTGACCAACACATCACGCGCCATGGTCGGGACGGCACCCGGATGCGGTCACGTCGTGTGTAAATCGTGCGCGGATTTACTTTATCGTGCCGACACGACGAGTGCCACGACACATGCCACGCCATCCAAGGAAGCTGCCACGACTGCTCTCACCGCCGCCAGGTCGCTGGACCGAGAACAAGGAACGGAAAAGGCAAAAGAACAGGCGCTGATCTTGTGCTACGTGTGCGAAGCGGATCTGAGCGGGCCGCGGGGAGGCGGGGAGGGCGGCGGCGACGGCGGCAGCAACGACGGCACTGGTAAGAACGACAGGCACAAGCACAAGGGCAAAGACAGGAACAAGGACAAGGCGGGTGACAAAGTAGGGACGGTCGTCGAGATAAGCCGCGAGGGGACTGGGTTCGCGGGCGGCGGGACGAACATGGCCAAGAGAGAAGGCGTTGCCTTTCAATGTTGATTGACATGCTGTTGTAAATACCCTTAGGGCACCTTACATGCGTGCGTGCCCAGGGAGGTACAGATAGATAGACCACCTAGGTAAGCTACTTGAACGCACACCGGTTAGTTAGGTAGATCCCAGGCATGTACCCTGACCTACTCCGATGGAAAGATCTCGAGGAATACGCTGTCCGCCTGCGGTCGATCGATCTGCCTCTGCCTAACTAGAACCCACCACCTACCTGATCAACCTACCGACCTCCCTCCCACCTTACCTACCGGAGGTAGAGTACCTTACATACCTACGACATACCAAAGTATTCACAGACTCATACACGTCGATAGTCACATCACCTTTCATGCTCATTGCTACTCAACAGTCCTTGGAAAACTGCAAAAAGGGTATCTATCCGTCGTTTCTTCCAAATGAAAGCCTCACCAGCCCCCAACGTCTTATTAACATGATACTATCGAATGCCGTCGAATACCCGACTCAACATGCAATATTGCAATATGCAATAGTCATCATTCTTTCGTCTTTTCCTGGGCTCAAATAGTCTTTGTTCAAAACTTCAAGGTGTTTCAAATGCATGTCTCTTTCGCTCATTCCAACAAAAGACCAAACGGAACACTTTGTTCGAACCCTGGAAACCTCCGCGAGTGTTCTCTCGACGGGCCTCAAAACAAAACCACTCAATAAGATTCATTCACGTCGTAACCTTCCTGAACATGATCCAACTGGCGAGATGGAGGTCTCATATCTCCAGATCCGGGTCCAGGCCCGCTGGCCACCCGTACAAAACTAGCACTAGGCCGCCTACCCAACCCAGGCAATTTTGTTGTTGCAGCACTTCCGAAGCTCGTCCGTTTGCTTGGACTAGGTATACTAGTCCCAATGTCACTGCTTCGTTTCGCAAACGTCGTCCGCCGCGGTGTCGGGGTAGCTGCATCCTTCACATCACCCAATGCCATCTCACTGTCATCTTCGTCCAATGTGCCATCATAACCATAGCTGCTGAGGCTGCTCTTCGGCCGAATTCTATCCGTCGATGCGTTCGGAGCATAATTTGACCCGACACCGCTTCCAAGAGGTGCTCGGAATCCCGAAACACTGGCCCGGCTGCCCGGTCGGCTGTGACTTGGAACGAAGGACGATCGGCCTGATATGCCACTTGTTCGTGATGACGGCCGTAGAGGCGGCGGCGCAGCCATATCACCCCTCGTGGGAGATGGCGGTTGTTGGAAACTCAGAGATGACGTGCTCGGCCTGGCTCTTGCCTTCAACGGAGATTCTTGAGCCTTGTCAGGTAACGAGTCGGCGCCACTGATGGTGCTGCCACCAGTCCGTTTACGTGTTCGCACCGTCACCGACGAGGGAATGTGGTTGCCCAGCGCCGATCCCGACCTGGGGGACATTTTGGGCGGGGTATTTACAGGGGCAGGAAGCTTAGACCTTGCATTGTGCACTCGCTCTTCGAGTTTTTGCATCTTGCCCCGCAGGTTCCTAATGTGGACCAGAGACGCAGACTGAGGTAGTCCAGACGATCTTTGAGGCAGAGCGCTATTCTTGGACAAGCTTTGGCGGAACGAAGCAGAAGGTCCAGTTCGAGACAAAACCGACGGTCCTCGCACATGGCCATTCGGTCTGGAATTGGAAATGGAAGACGGTGGCCTCTGGATGGCGGTCGCACCGGCCAGCGAAGATCGTTTGGGAATCCCGGGTGTTGCGAATGGTTTGGAGACGTTGCTCGAATTGTCTGATATAGGAGGGGACGGGGGTGTGGGCGTGTCTGAGAGACCGGAGGAAGACGCAGTCTTTGCTGGAGGGGTGTCAAATGTCGGAGAGGAAGCATTGGTCGTGGTAGGGGAGAGTTCTGATCGCGGAGACGAGCTGGTGATGTGGATAGGATGTAGGGTCAAGCGTTTTCGAGCGGTGGCCTCTGCTTTTCTTAACTTCTCTTTTGTGATGTCGGCCTCGATCTTGAGATCAGAGAGCTCATCTCGCAGTCGCTGCGCTTCAATACGCAGCCCTTCTCGGTCTTGCTCACTTGACCGCAACTCATCTTCGAGCAGTACGCTTCGCTCGATTGTCTGGTTGTATTTGGCTTCCATGTCTTCTAGCGACGACTCCGTGTTTCGTTGCTTTCTCTCAAAGTCGTCATTGGCAACTTCGATGTCGCGCAGGCGCATCTGCAGGTTGCGGTTGGCGTCCCGCAATTCGGTAATCTCTTTCTGTAGCGCATTCTGAGCATTGGAGGCTTCGGTTTTGGATTGCTTGTATTTGGCTTTCCATTCGTCCACTTCGTATTGTAGGTTGCTGGCCTTCTCCTTCAATTGTCGCTCGCGTTTTTCTGACGCATCAATGTCTTTCTCCAACTCAGCTTCGAGTTCTTTGCTGGAAGTTTGGAATTCTTCCAGTTCGGCTTCTAGCAGTTCATACTGCGCCTTATAGTATTTCAGGGAATCCTCCAAGGAAGACCCTGGGCCGGGAGGAGACGAGGGAATCCCATCGGATAGGGGCATGGTCGCGTCGGTCGCGATTATGTTATTATCGCAGTGTTGTCGTTTGGCAGGTATGTGTCGATGGGGGTTGTTGGATTTGGCTGGTCGCGATCAGAATGCCATTTGTCAAAAGGTGTTGTCTGTGTGTTCGCTCGGCTCGGTCGTTTCGTGGTGTCCAGGGAGGTTGGGGGCGGTGTAGGCAAAGTTCTAGGAGTTCGTCGGCGGTTGTTGTAATGCTTGTCGATATTACGCTGCTAGGGTTAGTGTCACGGGTCGTGTGCGCCCGAAGGCGATGGTCGTCGACGTTGGGATGATACGCAGTATGTAGAATGGGAATTGGTGATGCAAGTGTCAAGAGGTGCAACCACAAGTCAACAAACGTCAATGCAGCGCGCCAGGCAACGCACTGCTCAGTGCTCACCAACCCACGCTAAAACTTGCCTAATAATATCGTAGGCGCCTTTCGCAGCCTATACGAACAGGTGGAAGGGACCCCATACTCTCGACATTATTGGTACCTGGAACACACTACGAGTGCCTAGTTAACTAGAGCCTAGAGGTACCTACTGTAGGTACCGAGGCATCCCCGTACAAACAAATCATACTACTCCCTACTGTATGCGTCCTTCACTGATAACTCACTCTATCGCCTTCAATTCACGATTTGCCCAGATCTTAGATACAGCCAAATACATAACGCTCATAACTAGGTATCAGTACCAACAAGAGGGTATCTTCCATTCCGCATCCGTCATTGCACTCATTTCACATCAGCAGCTTCACCCTGCTCCTTTTGCTTCTGCTTCTCTTTCTCCTTCTCAATGTCAATCGGCCCAGGTTTCGCAATCGCCGCACCCACCAACGAGAAAATGTTGTTTGTCCGCAGGTACATCAAATAAAATAAGGTGAAGCCGGTCACCACCAGTTCATCCCGAAGCGCAACGCTATTGCTCGCCTTTTCACCGAGGAATTCGAACTGACCAAACTTGCGCAGGGCCCAGACGTTGATCGAGAACTTGGCCACGGGATCCTGCGCCTCGTCCAAACATATGAAGTCCCAATTCTTCAAGCCACAGCTGCTCGTCCAATTCATAGCCACAGGAGTCTCAGGATCGTCCGAGTACGCGTACGACAGGTGGGTGTATCGCGTCTTGAGCCGCGCCAGGGCCTTGAGTGTGCCTGCGCGCCCATGGACTTCGTACTTGGCATTGATCGAGACCGCATGCAGCGTGCCCGTGCCTATGACCTCCTTGTCGTCCGCGGACTTGAAGGTCAACGAAGGCGATTTGATGACACCGTAGTGCACGTTGTAGATGGGCGCTGAAGGGTTTGCTTTGTCGGTGATGATGCTTCGGCCCTTCTTCCATGAAAAGTCTACCTGAAGCGAGGCAGGTAGTGATGTGTTTTCGCTGGACTGGGGGATATCATGTTTGTATTCCATTGTAAAGTGAGGTTGGTTGTCAAGACTGTAGGGTAGAATGGCTATCGGAATGGTTATGGTTGTGTGAAGGATTTGTTTGTTAACTTACGAGTCTCTTATCGAGGCATCCTTTGCCCGTATATATAGCCACTTGGACGAGCTCCCTGTGCGTCTCATGAGCCTGCTTCCAGCATCTCTCCGTGCAAATCATCTGGGCAGACGGCTAAGCGGTGGCTCGGTAGAGGTGCTAACCGCATCTGGTTGTATCCAGCGCTGTGTCTTGGCCTACGACAGGCTTCAGTCGCAAAAGTCCAACAAGCCTCCCACACCTATACAGGGCAAAGCTAACCCTTTAGTCCTGAAGGTCTGGCCTATTGCGTTGCACGTTTCCCATCGGCCTCTCAGTGATCAGCATACCTGTTCAACGTCCTGTGGTGGCTCCTGTGGTGGCTCCTGACCTCCCTGCCCAATTCCTCCTTCGGCGAGAGCCATAAGATCGGCCCTCTGGTCTAACGAAATCCATGATCGCGGCACTATTGCTAACGCTGGAGTACCTGTCAAGATCAATATGATAAGCATCGGGATTGTCACAAAATAGGTCAAGCTTGAAGCCTCAGCCTTCTGATCTATACCTCGAAAAACCCCCGACAATAATCTCGAAACCGGCCCATCCCACTTAGCTGAAACATAGAGAGTAACATCCATCTTAACGAGCAAGCAGTCCTTACTCCGTACACGGTCCAAGAATTACCACTATCATCATCCCTTGATCAATTTTCGTAACCATTCAGCTTCACGAGCCGCAAGTGGAGTGCAATTCCAATGACCGGGAGAACGCTGACCAGTTCCCCCAGAGCGGCATACTGGGGAGGTAGGTGCCACTTCACAAATAAACCTGCCGCGAGCAAGACCGCAAAGAGGTTATAGATGAACGACCAACAGAAGTTGAACTTGATGCGTCGGACCGCCTCTCGAGAGAGATCCATAAAACACAAAATCCCCCTCAACGCAGGTCGAATCAGTACTGCATCCGCCGCGCTCTGAGCCACTTCACTCCCTTCGTTGATATGGATGCCAATGTGGGCTTGGGCTAGGGCGGGTGCATCGTTGGTGCCATCGCCACAGAACATGACCACGGCGTGCTTGTCTTGCATGATGTCCTTGAGATAGCCTACCTTATCTTGCGGGGAACATCGAGCCCTGACGTGAGACAGTGGTATCCCGAGATTGATGGCGATGTCTTCCACGGCGACCTGGTCGTCGCCGCTGACAATCGAGATTGATATTCTGCGCTTCTCCAGTTCGAGGACGATACTGCGGCTGTCCTCGCGAACAGTATCCTTGAGGCCGAAGACTGCGACCAGGTCGCTGTCAAGCATGACGCAGAATGTCGTAAGGCCGTTGGAGAGGACATTCCTGACTTCACGATGCTGTTCGAGACCAAGCCAACGAGAGTTGCCGGCTGAGATTCGACGCGTACCTATGATTCCTTCCATACCTTTACCGGGAATACTGGTCACTTCGTCCAGGTCCTGTTGCAAGGTGCCCCGATCTTTAAGATGCTTAGCCACCGCTGCAGATACAGGATGTTTGCTGTGAGCAACCAATCCCAGAATCAAGGACTTGGTGTGTTCCTTTCCGCATGGAAGATCTTCTGATACCACAGACAAAGTTCCTGTCGTGAGTGTCCCTGTCTTGTCGAAGACCACATGATTCACATTTCTGGCGATCTCAATACTGTGTCCAGTTTTGAAGATGACCCCGTGTTTCGCTGCTACTCCACCTGCGATCACGATAACCATTGGCACGCAGAGCCCAATGGCACAAGGACAAGACACGATCAGAACTGCCATCGCGTAGATGACTGCATCTTCGGCAGCGTACGAAGGTGAATAATCCCGCCGCGCAACATCAAAACTTATCCATCCGATGAAGGTGACTGTGGTGATCAGTAAGACCACGGGAACAAAGTAGCCTGCAACCCGGTCTGCTATATCTTGAGATTTGGCTTTCGCCATTTTCGCTTCATCCACCATATCTGCAATGGTGGTTATGGTGTTGTCACCCGGTAGGCGACTGACACGAACATGCAGCAGGCCGCCGCCATTCATTGAACCAGCCATAACGGCCGTACCTACCTCTTTAGTGACAGGCTTGGATTCGCCAGTCATCATGCTTTCATCCACTTCCGAGGTGCCAGATATCACGATTCCATCGGTGACCAGCCTCGTTTCCGGCTTGCAGACAAATACATCACCGTAGTGGAGAAGACGAGCGTCGATCTCGTATTCGCTTTTGGACTCTGGCTGCAAAAGAAGCGCCTTCGAAGTTTGCAAAGTACGCAAAGAGATTGATTCAGCAGCTCGCTGGCGCGACCAGGAACTGATAAGTCGGCCGATCATGATGAGAGTAACGAGAAGAGTGCTTGTCTCAAAAAATTCCCCCGTTCTCAAGGGTTCTCCCTTGACCTCGAAGGCAAACGCAACCACGGAGAACACATAAGCCGCAGTTGTGCTGAGGACAATTAGAAACTCCACTTCGAGAAGTCCAGAGAAAAAAAGCTTCTTGAACGCAACCATATAGAAAGGCCCTGTGACCACCACCTGAATGATGGTCGCCAGTGCGAGCGAGACCGCTCCGTAAGCGACCGCATGCTTCGGTAAGGGTGCCCAGGCCAGGATTAGGACAGGAATGGTAAGAAGACATGAAATCAAGGTCATCAAGCTGTCTTTTCTGATTTCTTTTAGCCCTCCACTAAAAGATTTCGAGTCTTTCTCAGATGCAAGCTGCAGTGGCTGGTCAAAAGACGTGCCAACTATATCCCTGGCGCCAATAAGTTCGGGGTTGTACTGAATGCTAACGATCTGAGAACCCTTTGATCTTGACCTTATCAAGTCAACTCCACATGGTAGCTGTTGTCGCAGTAGAGCTTTTGCGCCATTCGGATGAAGGACATCTATTTGCCGAGCTTTGGTGGCAATTCGCTCACAAGTAAAATCCGTGGTTCGTTGGATGTGTGCGATCACTTGGTCGACAGACTTCTGACTGAGATCAATATCGAAGGTGGCCCGTGCCAGTATGAGACTGACTTGAATGTTTTCGACTGCTGACAAAGATGCCAATGTCCGATACAGTGACAACTCGCAGCTTGAACAAGTCATGCCACTAATACTGAGCACAACCTTCTCCTTGTCCTTCCAACCTTTCTCCAGGTCAGAGGTATTCCGCACTTCCTTGCAGCCGACATCAAGTTGAGCTGCACAAGACCATCCTTGGACCGCTGTCTCGCGTGGTTGGGGAGAAACGGACGGGCACTGTGCTGTGGTATTCTGCTCACAACAAGGGGAGGAATCCACGAATTCTATCTTGTCATCATCGCAGCAGCCCTTCGAGACTCTCGCGGCGGAAGTTTCGAGCAAGGTCCCACCAGGACTCTGGACTTGCTCAGGGATACCCCACTGAGACTCTGTAGCTCCGCGAGTCTTTGGAACTTGACAGCAAGGCTGGAGGTTTCTGGCTTTGAGTACACGGCAAATACAGCGAATGACTCCCGCTACAGCTCGATATTTCTGGCGTGAGGCTTTGATGTGATCCTCACAGGCTTGGAGTGAGCATGTGTCACTCCAGGCGATTTCCCGCGTCCCTCTGATGGATGTAGAAGTGTACGCATCGGCACTGGTGGTCTTCACACTTCTCGGGTTCGAGGTTGGCTTCCGTTGACGGCACTCTGCTTGACACTCGATGATAGCCGCACGATCGATGCAGGCTTCTACTAAATGAGTCAGCGTTCATCGATATGTCAATATTTCGTTAAGAGCCAGACCGTTGCAACAGTTTTGCAGTCCTGAGGGACATTCGAGACAGCCATCGCTTGGTACAGGCTCTAGGGGAACAGAAGGGTTGAAACCAAGTTTACCACTGCCGTCATCAGAGCATTTGCTCTTTTGTGCTTCCGATGCGGTCCTTTGGCAGTTATTTGTGCTGCCACTGTGGGGGTCTGAAGCCACTGAATCTGATTGAGGCTGTTTAGGGCATGAAGCAGTCGTCTCTGTCTGTGTCAATACATTGCTACTACAATTACTTTTGCTGCAACTCTCGGAACCACAGCATCTGCTTGCAGGTATGTTCGGTCTAGCCTTATCACAGCAAAAGGTATTCATCTTGGTCGATTCGGCCGAAATTTTGGGACGGCCATTCTCTACGCTGTTGTCGGAACCACAGCATCTGCTCAGAGTTTTCTCTGGCGGCGTTCTGGCACAGCAGGAAGAACCCATAGCGAAAATTCAGAAAGGCGTCTGTTTGATGTGTTTTTCCACCCTTCAGTCACAGGATATTCACCTTATCATGACTTACCGACAATTGGAGCACCCATGCCTCCGGGGGAATGGCTTTGTTGTCGGCTCACTTTCCCCAACCGGTGGCTAGTCCTAACTTAGCATCCTGTCCCTAAGCACCAGTTAGCGTAACCACAAAGCCTCGACATGTTAGAGCTCCGGTATTTTGTTTCAGGCGACGAGGCCCTCTGACTTTTTCAGCAGTGCCCAGGTTCAGCTCGAGCAAGATCCTCACGAGTCGCTACGTTATATTTCTGCAGTTGTCAAAAACAAGGACGTACCTCCTTGCCTACCATGGCCCAAGTTATGCCTGTTGAGTCGCCGAGCGACTACGACTCCGCGAATCCACATTGCACCCCGCGAGTTGGATTGTTTACTCCTCCTCACTCTATCTCCCCGGAACTTGACCGCAACGAGCTGGGGTGAGCAACGGTCAGTCTCATGATCATCCTCAGTCTGTACAATAATAGCCGAGCACGACCCTCGCAGGACCACGTTGCCTCCCTGTTCTTGCATTGTACGAGTACATCCGGGCATGTCGGCGGCTGGGCAGCAGGAACCGGCCTCGTTCTCCGCATAAGATTCGTGGCTTGATAGACCAAGAATGTACCAAGCAGGCTTGAGAGTTAAGAAATGCCGAATATCAGGCCTTTGCGCAGGCCAATACGAGATGGAGAGTGTGGTGCACCGCCAATATGAATTGCCGACAGCAAACCCCGACAGACTTCAATACTTGGCTGTGACATTGTCATGCCGATCGAGACCCAAAGAGGTTGGTGCACAGGCCGAAGCGAGGAGCAATTCCCCAGCTCTCCATACAGACCCCGGATCACAGCAAGCCACCAACTCCCACTGACACCCCATGTGCTCCCACCCCGACCAACACCGACGGCGTTCTGTCGCCGCGATTGCCATGGTTGACAGTATACCTCTGGAGTCCCCCATGTTTCCATAGACCCCCGCAAGCTGATTGCCTCATCATTACCCCGAGCGAGTCGAGGACAGTGCAGGGGAAAGAACTACAAGAACTACCAGCCTTGCTCCAGCTGCTGGACTTTCTCCGCTCTCCATCTTCCTGTATCCTCCTTTGGTTGTGACCGCACTGTAGCAGATTTAAAGTTTTCCACTTTCAACGATCCTACTCTCACCAGACGACATCTCGGTCCTAGAACGCTCGTCAGGAGAACCTCAGTTGGATGGATACTATGGCGTCAGAGGACAAGATCACCGATGCCTCCATCATCGGCGAGAAGGTGGAAACCTCGCACGAGGAGGCAATGCACTTTGGCCAGTTGACGGAGGAGGAGCTGCACATTGAGAAGAAGTTGCGTGTCAAGATAGACATGCTTATCATGCCGCTTGTCATTCTCGTCTATTTGATGAATTACATCGACCGGTATTCCATCCCCATTGTACCACGTCATGTGGGACTCTCATGCTCATCTTGTGCTACAGGAACAATTATGCGGCTGCCCGGTTGCAGGGTCTGGAGAAGGATCTCAAGTTGGTTGGAGACCAATACCAAGTCGGCTTGAGTATCTTCTTCGTGTCATATGCGAGTTGAATGATGACTTTTGAGCCCGCAGTTCGACTGACCCCTGCTTAGGTCCTGATGCAAGTGCCTTCGAATCTTCTACTCAACTATAGCGGACGCCCGTCGTGGTATTTGGGCTTTTTCATCTGCGCATGGGGTCTGGTCTCTGCCCTGACCAGCCAAGTAAGTACATATGGACAGATTGTCGCTTGCAGATTCGTCCTTGGACTCGTCGGTAAGGATCTTCTCGATAAGTCAGAGCATTCACATGGGCTAACTTGTACTTCAGAGGCACCCTTCTTCCCGGGCGTGCTCTTCTATCTCAGTGTAAGCACTACCGACTATCAATACCCCCCAATGATGTGGTTACTGACCACTCGAACAGAAATGGTACACCAAGAGCGAACTTTCCCTACGCATGGCCATCTTTTATTCGGGATCTCTTATTTCTGGCGCCTTCGGCAATCTCATCGCGGCAGGTATCCTCTCAGGTCTGAGCGGCGCCAGAGGCATGGCCGCCTGGCAATGGCTTGTACAACTTCTCACTCCTCTTTGATCCATGCGAACCACTGACAAAACTTCCAGTACATCATTGAAGGCGCCATAACATGCCTCATCGGCATTGTCATCATCTTCGTCCTGCCCGATTTCCCGGACACATGGCGTGCGTTGAGTCCTGAAATGAAGCGGGTCGCGAACCGCCGCCTCGCCATCGACGCCGCCGAAGCCGACGTCGACGAAGCCGGTGGCATGAGCCAAGTGCGAGGCATGAAGCTCGCGTTTGCGGACCCAAAAACCTACATCCTCGCCATCGCATATCACGGCATCACCGGCGCCGCAGGATTTCAGAATTTCTTCCCGACCCTAACCGCGACACTCGGCTACAACCACATCGTCTCACTCCTACTTGTCGCCCCTCCCTATGTCTTTATGGTTTTTTACTCCTTCTTCCACAGCTGGCTATCGGACCGCGTGGGCAACCGATTCTGGTTCTTCATGTACCCCATTCCCGTCACCATCGTCGGCTGCATCATCTTCATGACCACCGACAGCTTCGGACCGCGCTACTTCAGCTTGTTCCTGCTCAACTTTGTCTTCGCTATGAACGGCACCTGCTACGCCTGGATCGCCAACGCCATCCCGCGTCCGCCGGCCAAGCGCGCCGCCGCGCTCGCGTTCATTAACAGCGTCGGCAACGCTGCTAGCATCTGGACCCCGTTCACGTACTTTCCGGGCCAGGGCAAACACTACCCGACTGCGATCGGGATCGTCATTGGCCTGCTGGTCTTGGCGGGCCTGAGTGGCATCGCGCTCAGATTTGTCCTGGAGAGGCAGAACAAGCAGCTCGCCAGACTGGAGGACGAGAACGTACAGCTGACGGAACGCGAGTTGGCTCGATTGAGGAAGACTGCCGATATTGAGGGCATCGATGTCGCCGCCGCACGGAGGTTGCAGAAGGGCTACCGCTTCATGATATAAGTAGGCATACTCTCGGGACGGCCAGAAAGGGAAAACAAGGGACACTTTTGCACTGAATTCCTTCGGCTCGGCGTGCGCTGCGGGACGGAAGGTGCCTCTGGGCCCTTGGTCAAGTCAAGCGAGTATTGAAAAGACTCTAGTGGGATGCATATCATGGAGAATACAGATATGTCCTATATGTCCTTGTTCTCGTCAATCAAGATAGCAAAGCATGGCATTTTTTGGTTCTTATCAAAATCTAAATTGTTGACCTATACTTACTTGCCGTGCACACGCGAACCTGCCAAGCAGGCAGAAGCAGCGGCGATCGTAGAGGCCCGATTTCGTGTTGCCTCAGAGAGAGAAAGAGGGCGAAAAAGAGTATAGAACTCCATCGTTCCAAGTCGATGGCGAAAAGAAATTACACAAAAGCATAGTACCATCCATCCTCGGCAATCTGGACCGTAGCCTGCAACAGATAGATACCTTGTATCCCGCCCCGTACCGACCAGCGCCACGCTGCCCATCCCATCCCAACCCGGCTCGGTCCTGGTGTTAAATGCAATCGATACGCGTCCAACTCCCATTGAAAATAATCGTCCAAGTTTTGTCCATTCATCATAGCCTACCCTTTTTACAGCACGTTCCCAAAGCAAAGCACAGCAATCCATGAAAGATTAACTATTGTTGCAGGGTTTTCGGGGGTCCGCCCGCCGCTCAAACCCGTTAATTCGTTGTAGCTGGGCCACAGGAGGCCACAGTTCGCATCATTCGCTGGACCGACGACAGATATAACTAAGTTCGTTACGGGCAGGAGGCAATTAAGAGTCTTGCTCATCGTCCTCGTCGTGCTCTCTCTTCGTTCCGCGCTTCTCCGACTTCTCACCCTTGTCTAGCAACTCCATCAAGTCCGCAATATACGCGGCAAGGGGCTTGTTGAGACTCAGGTTCGTGAAGAGAGCATACTTGTGCGCGCTAAACAATTGCTCCGTGAGAGTTTGGCCGTCCTTTTCGAACTTATGACCGTGCTTGCTTGCGAAGCGCGCCAAGTTACGCAGGATCATGACACTCATGTACGAGATGCCGTGAGGGTGCATGTCCGCCCGATCGAAGCCAGTATAATGGATCGCGTGCTTTACAGAGGTTGGTTCAGGATCCTTGGTGTCAAACGCAATCTCGTGGATGACCTTGGCCATCTGTTCCGCGCTCTCTGGGATGTGCACAGACACGTGCTGCGCGAGTTCCCTTAGCGTCTTGAACGCAGCTCGATGTTTGCACAAGTTCCACCGACACACGAGTTGAGCAGGCGTCCTGGCAATGAAGTGGCCCTCTGTCGTCCTCTGAACGGCGAGGTGGTCGCTGGTGATGTGAGCGAGCAGTCTTTGCCGGCTGGAGTACCAGGTGCTGCACATGTGTTTCAACGTCATGCGGCCGTTCTGATCCTTCTCAGGGGGGCCAGTGTGCCACAGACATTTGTAGTAAGGCTGGCCATGAAGGCCAACGAGCACTCGTCGGGGCCTGATACCTTTGATAATGAATCTCGCCTGGGGTTGCGTCTGGATGACCTGTGCCTGTGCATGGGTGAACGTTATAGACACATTCTTAATGAAATCTGCTGCGGCAATAGGTCCATTAGGCAGAAACCGCTGTTGATAGGCTTGCCAGATTGCAATCTGCGTGATTTCGTCCAGTGGAGACTCTTCGAAGCAGCAACGCAGCCACCGCGAAGATCTCTCTGGCTCGCGGAATTGCAATAACTCGGCATAGAGCTCCCCTGGGACGGTCGGTATCGTGCATACAAGTGGAGACTGTTTGGCTGGTCGACCCGCAACGATTGATTCTTCTTCAACCACTGCTTTGTGCAGCAGCAAGTGGATCAAGCGAGGCATCATCGACGGAAGGAGTAAGGGCGTCTTGGTTAGTAGTTCGATGTTGTTTTCCGGGATCGCTGTGTATGAGTACAGGAAGTCAAAGACCGCCTCGGCCAGCTCGTCGTCGTCGATAAGAGTGAACGAGAAGAGCCGCTCTGCGGTCGAGATAGGTATGTCCTGTATTCGCTGGACCTCTGCGATTTCGATTCCAATTCGTGTTATGGCACGAATAACTGCAATAAGAACTGCGCGGTCTCCCGACAGAAGATATGGAATCAGTGACACATATATAGGGTCCTGAGCGTCGAGGGCCCAGTATCTGGTGACAAGCTCCAAGATTTCGAATGCAGATTGCTTGAACTCGACCAATCGTGGTTGATCTGGGAGATTGATAGCAATGACAAGCAAATCTTTGAACAACGGCATTTTCGAAAGGAAGAATGCGTTGTCAGGGAGCGTAACCATATTGCGAATGACCAAGATAGCCTCGTTGAGCCTGGAAAGGTTCTGGGTGGATTCTGCATCTTCAACATCCTCGTCTGTAATACTCGTTGAAGTTTGCTGAATGCGATCGAGTAGATCTTTGGTCCCAAACGCGGCGTTCAGCGTGTTGATAGGATGTGCGCTGTCATCCTCGTTGTAGACAATTTCCCATGTTACGCCGTAAACAAGTTCGCTTATCTCCAAAGCTTTGTCGAGAAGCGCTTCGGCCAAGTACGGGAAGCCCTCGAATTTGTATTTGTCGCCACGCTCGTCAGAAACCTTGACCAGATGATGTAAAGCAAAAACCTCCTCTGATGGCACTTTTGACCGGAGTCCATACAGACAACGTTGGTAGATATTGGGGCCATTGAATATTCCTGGTGGATAGACAATCTTTCTAGCAAGGATGGGATCCGCGCCAGGTAGTAGCTCCACATCTTTTTGAGCCTCTCTTAGCTTTCTCGGATCCCTCTCCAGCTCTCTCTGAGCCTTTAACTTGGCTTTGTTGGGATACCAGAGTGGATCATCGCGAGGTGTCTTTACTTGCTGTAGAGTTAAAGGTCTGCCCAAGTTCGGCTGATAGTTCTTATACCAGTCGAACGAAGGATTGTAAGGATCACTGGCGGTATTCTGATAGGTCGGTGGCTGGACCGGAGGTGCAGATGGAGAATCTGTGGCTCGGACAGGGCGAGCCCGCGTTGATTGAACGTCGGGCTGGTATATCTGGGTACGCTTGGGGTCTTGCCTGAGGTTTCCTGTACGTGTTTGTCAGTAATGTCCTGCATCAAGGCACTTCGCGAGGCAAGCGGTGAATTCTCACGACTTGGATATCTGCTTGCGCTTCCGGCGTCTTCAGGCTCAGTCTTCTCGCGCTTCGGAGTTAATTGATCATCGTCTCCATCTGCAGAGTCGGTAACGCCATCAACTTGCATGGCTTCTACAGCGTGAGAAGGAGCGTGAGGGTAGTTGTCGAGGGTTCTAACCCGCAGGTTTCCACCCTTTGCGCTGAGATCTTCCAGGATTTCTTTGGGAGGTGGCTCCTCTCCCCAGTATGTCGAAATTTCATACGCACTATATGCGAAAGACTCTCGGTCAGCTTATACACGCTTCCCTGAATTGGCAACACCAATCACTTACGCAAGATTCTTGTAATAAACCGTTTTCAGCTGAAAGGTCATAACAGCTTCATGAGTTTTGCCGATACCGAATTCCTTGCATAGGGTCCGCCATTGCATACGCTCTGCGGATAGTACATCATAACCGCCTCGTTCCATTACCAGCTTGTAGAGCTTGTGGAGGGATATAGGCCGTCCGCTGACTTTGCCATCACGATCGAAGTTGGTGCTGCAAAGAATTGTGAGCAGGCTAGAAAGACATGTGGCCATGTTAGACATACCCTCTCCGTTCGTGAAAAGCCGCCACATCGTTCAAGAACTCCTCCTCGTCCTCAATGATCGTATGAGGTGGAGGTGCCATGATCGCGCTGGTTTCTCTTGTCGAGGCGATGCGACTTGAAGGGTTTACCGGGGCACGAGTTTCTTGCAAAAACCGGCTGCGCTCATTTCGCGACGCGCTCTGAGCGAGATTGCTTGATATGAGAAATCGGAGAGAACAGAGGGGACAGGCCCTTTACTGCTTGTCTCCCAGCTCAAACAAAGTATCCTGAAGGGGGTGCAGGTGAACGAACGGTGGCTTTCAACGTTTCTTTAACTTTCACTTTGGCACTCGTCAGTCGCGCAGTTTGCGGCGTGACCCGCGCCGAGTTTCATTTCGGCTAACTTTCCTGCCTCGATTTGGCCGGTCCCTGCGCTAACCCAATCGCTCTCCAGACTTCTAAGTTGTACTCCAGATAGTAATATGGCCTCTGCCATCGAGGTTTGTGTTTCTTCTGTTTTTCTCTGTTCATCCCGGTGAAACTGTACGGTCTTATGCTGCTGTCATTTCCTGCTCAGCCATCATTGTCTCCTGTGATTTCGAAGCATGCATTCTGATCTTGTTCTTGTTCTCAATTGTTTTCGCTAAAATGCCTTCTCATGCGTCTCAAAAGCTCTCGCAATCTCCTCTGTGTCTTCCACTGTTCAAGTTTTCCTATGCTACAGTCTCTGCTGAAGGTGTAGCCCCAATACCGTGGATTCACATCTCCGGCAAGAACAGGCTATTTGCTGTCTTCGAAACGATTTCGGTTCAAGTGGAAGATGGCCGCTTCGAAGACAGGCAAATGTTCAAAGTCTTACAGGATCCCGAAGTCATGGTATTTGGACCCAGGCTAATCTTTGCTCCTTTACTCTGGATTCAGAACTCATATGATGACAGGAAGAATTGGATTTGGGCGTGCTCGCGGCAGAGGCGAATCGTTCTATGACCCAACTGTCCAATATGATGAACAGTGCCCAAACACCCGAAGTCGCCGTGATTGTCAAGGTGCCAAACATCGCAATGAAATACTACATGACTAATGGCCAGGTGATGTACTTTGCCTATCAAGCCTTCTTTGCTCACCCTAGCAGCAGTATCGTCGCTTCCAGATGAGATTCGCGTCCGACGAGGATTACTATGAAGCGATGAAAATGCTGTCTCGTGCGAACGTTCCCACAGTTGCTGCGGGTTCATTTCCTGCTCCTCCAAAGCCGCATCAAGTAGCTCCGGCAAACCAGCTAACACCCAATGATTCTGCTTCTCAAAGAGGCGTTTCTACCAATGCTCCCATGGCTTATGAGCAACAACAGAACTTACCGAAGGTTTCAAATCCTTCTGCTCAAACTTCTTGTCTTCCCCTCTCGGCCCAGATGTCGATGGCTCCTCCAACGTTCGCAGCGTCGGCACTTGGAAATGCACAACAACGCCCGACAGGGCCCTCGTCCCTTCACGGGCAAATGTGGCCTGGCTTGGGCCATAGGCACAAACCCGCAGGCTCTCGTTCACACGTATCACTAAGCACGGCCACTACGCTCGTAAATACCAGAGAGCCAGTCGCTCACCACAACGCGCGCGGCCGTCACGACGCGGACTGTTTACTGCCGAATACACGACCACAAGGCAATAGCATCTTTGCCAATGCTCGTCACGAATCGACGCTCGACCACCAATCCAGCTTAGGTCTACCACCGAGAAGAACTCTGCCATTCCCCGGCGTGTCTGCGTCAGACGATGAGGTCCGCTCGCCAGCGATTCCCCAAGCCAAGCTTTGTAGCAGCCATCTCAGCACTGCCGATGCAGCAGGAGCGACAGCAACGTCAACGTCCAACCCAGCACGGAACGAGCCAGTTCCTGCACCGTCACCAAAGGTCACAGGCAAACGCAAGCGAGCTGCACCCAAGAGTAATGCGAAGGCGACAGCCGCAAAGAAACCACGTGCGCCAGCCAAGGGCAAGAAAAGAGCATCCAAGCCCAAGGAGGACGCTGGTCCAGTCCCCACCGTTGAAGAATTACTCAAACGACCAGAACAGACAGTCACACGCCGCCTGACGCGCGCAATGAGCATCATGAGCACTCAAAACGACGCCAATGGCAACAACCTACCACAAATTCCGCCGCCAACGCCAAAGCCACATGAACCCGAAGCTCCAGAGTCTGCCATTCCAGTAGACGACGCTGGCCGCGAGCCAAGTCTGTCCCTCGGCAGCCCGTCACGACGGCACACGCTTCGATCGGCCTCTCAAGCGTTGCCTACGCCGCAAATACAACGGACAACCAGTCTGGCCCGACCTCAAACCACAACCACCGAGGTGCCAGCCAATAAGAACACAGAGCGCAATCTTGACCGTGACGCCTACCCATGCACGCCTGCCGACCAACTCATCAACGCATGTACACCGAACTCTCCGACAGTGCCGCATGTCGAGCCTGTTGTCATGCCGGACGCTCGCACAGTCGAAAGACCAAACAACGCCATCCCTCAAGAAGTTCTACCTACCGATCGCCTCGACCGGGTTTCCGACGTTGATACCGACAAGGCCACAGCTTCGATCACACGTACGGATCATCATCATCCGCCCAGAGATAGTCAGCAGCATGATCCGACAAATCGTTTCCAAACGGAGCCCGGACCCGAACCTGAGGTAACCCACGGCGATAGAGGGGCCAGCTACTTCCTTTTCACAAACCCAACGTCCGCACAAGCCCTGGCCGAAATCAACGACTGGTCTCAGCTCCCACCTTTAGAACGGAGAAACGTCCTCCGCTCCCATCTCACAGCCTTGATCATGCAGCCGTCCTTCCGGAGCTTGTGCCAGGACCTGAGCGCGATGTGGGAGACAGAATTCCTCATGGGGAAGCTTGCAAACCCCTAGCTAGACATGGATAGTCAGCGTTCAACTGAGGAGGAAAGAATGCCAAAGAGTGTGTGCTCGTCGTTCTCTCGTGGGGAACGTGATTGGTGGGCACAGAAGAAGACTTAGAGAATGCGTTTACACATATTCCTCCCCAGGCTAGGATTCCTTGAGAATGTGAGCCATGTGCTATTGTATGTATTATCTCCGGGGCCAATTAGGCAGATCAGTCTCACTTGAAGACTTTTTACTCCGGACAAGCAAGTTCAAGGTGGCGTTTACACGGTACATGCCGATGGATCTGTCCAAGACGAAGAAAGGAGCTTGGTACGAAAAGAAGTCCACACGTAGGCCAACATGATAGACAATGAGAGACATGTGGAATTGTAATTCAATTTCCCCAATGCTGATGCTTTCGAAGCCTCCAGATGGAATGCCATGAGCAATCCTTGATCTAGCTAGCCATGCATGGTCCAGTGTCCGCTCGGATCAATAACAATGCCTCCCAACACACCAAGTCGCAAGATTTCTGTGCATGATGACCTGCCAAAAAGGGAGACTGTAATTGTACATACAAAGAAGGGGAGCAACACGATCCCTCTTCTGCTGTCCTTCTTTCATTTCGGTCCAATTAAAAATACTCCCTCCAAGAAGCGAACCGCCTGCGAACGCTATACCGATCGCGCCAGTGGATATACGTAAAAATTTCGCTAATGGCAGAGAAGAAGAATGCAGGATCAAGCGTGAGCTCCTGAAAGAAACTGGAGTTGTACCGTATGGCTTGAAGGAAAAATATGCAGGTTCCGAGACATTAGAATTGCCGAACATCTGCTTCGAGAGAAGACGAAATTGTGGCGTCCAAGGACAAACTTAAGCGTTTGGGTGATTCGTCGTTTCGTTGCCAATCAATGTTGACATTTCCATATCGGAATCGACGTGGATGGAGTAGTTTCATCCACTCGATGATTCATAATGCAGAGAAGGAAAGAGAGCGGGGTCTCAGAGCGAGCTTGAAGAGAAGTGAAGGTAAGAAGAAGTTGGCTCGTTCGACGAGAGACAAAAAATAGCAGGCTGGTAAGCCCAAACCCAGGCGTGTTTCACGGCGCTGGGTGTTTCTGGAGCTCCGAGAACTCCATCGCTAACAGGATGCAATGTCATCCTATGCCAGAAATAGGTACAATGATGATGACGTTCCCAACTCCAGGCTAAAACGCAATTGATGTCGGAAGGAAATCAAAAAAAAAGCCGCTAATAAGAAGCCATGCGATGGTTCATTCCACGGAGAGCCCCTAGATTCACGCGGGGTCCGGCAACAGGAGTGAATTCAACACTCATATCCAGGTCCATATCGCTATCAAGCCGACTTCGACCCATAGCCGTAGGACTAGAGTCAACCGAAGGGGAGTGTTGGCCAAAGGCAAAGGTCTGAGCTCGAACCAGTTTGGATCGTTGTTTCACCTTTCCGAGACCGCGTTCACAGTCAAGGACGTGCTCTTTGGCATCCATTTCAACATAGTTTTGAGGAAAACACCGGGACCGGTAATCCTTGAAGAAGGTGCTATAGCCACCATCTAAGATATAAACCTCAGGATAGGTCAAAGCAGGATAGCAGTCTGCATTGACAGTGCGATCTCTGTTGCGGATGAATTTAGCCATTAGGGGTGCACGATGGGCAGAATATTCGCAGTGGAATATTAATAATGCCTTCTTTGTGGGTTCAACATCGAAGAGTTGAGATGAAAGTTGTTCTTTGTCGTTGAAGTTCACGGCTCCTTCGATGTGGCCGCCATTGTATTCGTATTCAAATCTGCAGTCGATGACGACAAGCTTCTCATAGGAATGGTTGTAACGGCCGTCTAAGACTTCGACCATCGTCTCCTTGGTGATACGTGGTAAGGCACCAGCTTCGCCGTCAGGGATGAAATGAGGAAGTTGAGGTACATGAGGAGCTTCGTTGTCCATGATGGACGGCAACAATGGGGGAGGCGGGCTCATTCGTTCCTTCTCTCGCTTCATGACGTCCTCAGGGTGCTCAAACATACTCAAAGACCGGCGGAACTGTTTCCGAGGGCGCACAGAAGGATTGGACCCTTTCCTTACATGCCCTCCGATGGGAGACCCAGTGCGTGAATTTCCAGCACAAACGCCAAAGCGAGGTCGTGGAGCAGCGAAGGCTGGAGGAATTCGAGACACCGACTTCTCTTGAGTTGGAGAATCGGCAAAGATTTCAGAGAGGGATAAGGAGGAAGAGGTTGCTGGTTTATTATTCTTGTAGTCGGTGAACCGAAAGGGAGGAGCCTGACTCTCGGGCGCCGGCCGTTGAGGCAATGAGCCGGTACTAAAACCCTTAGTTCTCGACAACGATGGTCTCAATGGACCCGATCTTCGCCGCTCCTGTGGCACATTGAGGACTTCTGAGGAAGAATCAAATGAGCTTGAGGAGGTGATGGAGAACACGGGAGAATCGATAGGTGTAGGCTCTGGAGTGGGCGATTGGAGTTGTATCTCTATCGCTCCAAAGGGCACCTTATGTGGTAGAGGTGACATATCCATGTCCATGACGTCCTGACCTCCAGGAGAGGACGAAGGAATAGGAGGTGTGGTGAGGTTTACTGGATGTGTCAGTTTGAAGGGCAAGCCAAAGCCTTGAACGTCTGTCTGCTCACAGTGTCCATCTTGCCCAGCAAAGATGCTATTGGGGAACAGTGCTCTCCGCGGCGTTGGCAGCTGAGGGCTGGAGAAAAATCAGTATCAGCTTTGGTGTGTGACCGTTTCGTGACATGAGCATACCTCTGATCGATGTGGAAATTTTGTGACAGGTCAGCAGCAAGGCTTGCTGTCGGCGAAGAGCCTCGAACCGGTTTCAAGTTGAAGTAATCGATGTGAGATTTCTTCATTGATAGGTCCTTGAAATTGAAGCTGTTGTTGGCGAAAGATGTTGCAGCCAAAGAGGCGTATGAGGAAGACCCATCGGGTCTGAAGCCACAATGTCCCAGGAATGCTGGGGGCTGCATGGCCGCCAACGGTGAAGAAGCCTCAATCATGATGCTGAACAAGCCTCTCTGATCTATTGCCCTCTCTTACACAACCATAGCACCACTCAAACTGGACTGGGGTAGGATGCAGGTTCTAGTCTCGTCCAAACAGCGTTCCACAAGTTGTCGAGGAACTTCAGAACCGGCAACGCCTCCCTCCTAGTCGTCGAGGCAGATGGCTTCCAAGGGCGGATCGAGAAGGGTTCATATGCTCATGTTCCCGTCCAACAGGCTAACGAAAGACCGATGGTGCTGGCGGTGGTGCTGGCGGTCCTGGGCGTGCGGTAGCTGAGGAGGCGAAGAGAGAAGTGGTCGACGTCAAGTAAGACAGACCACCAGGAAGAAGGTGGATGTTCTTCCCTTGACAGCCAGCAAGAATGTTCGATAAAGAAGAAGCCCTGACCTGCAGCTCGGTGGCGTATGGAAGGGAGAAGGAGGGACAACGACAGTTTTAAGCAGACTGCAGGTGAAGGCCCAAGTTGTTGCTGGGCAGCGTTGGGGTTGGTGAGGAGCGATGGAGGAGCAAGCGATGCAATGCGGAGCCCTGGCTGAGAATCCAGAAGGAACCAGGAATGGACCACTTTTTTTTTTTTTTGACAGTGTGCTATTGCTCTGCGAGTGGGATCTGTACGAAGCTGCGACGGGCGGTAATATTAAAGGTCCAGCGAAGCCGGTCGCACGGTAACTGCTATGACCGTCACACAGACCAGAGGGTAATAAAAGATAGCAGCGTTCTGGGAGAGGGAGTATTCTATACCCAGAACCCAGAGCCAGGAATCGCCCTCAGGTACCCGAGCGCTACCGCCTAATCAAGCCCATAAGCTCCTCCAGCCGCCGCTGGTCAGGGCGCGTACCTGGCCTACAACCATGAGCCTCCACGGCCTAGAGCTGCCCACTAACCATGGATTCGGTAAGGCGGGTGGCCTAGCTTTTGCTGCCCCCGCCGGTGGTTCAGAAACACGGGCAACGCTTGCAGCCGTCTTCTTCCAAGGCTCGTTTCAAGAAGCAACCTGGCGACCACTCAAGGCTCAATACAAGGCATGCTGCGTGTGCGCCCAATATCCACCTATGTCATCGCTGATGCTTTGTATTATTACTCCTGCTTTGGTTGTGTGATGTTCTGATTATCCATCGATCCACAGGTACGAGCCGGCTCTACTGTGACCGCGTTGATCTCGATCGAAAATCCTCTGCTCGACTATTCGAGGCGCTTCCCACAACCGCTAATCGACCACAGCTGATCACAACAAGGTGGGGATACGTTTGAAGGCCTCTTTTCGAAGGCTAAAAAAGACCTTGTCCCAGTGTGGCAGGCGACGTGCAGCTGAAGCTCGAAGGATGGCCCCGTCCTTGACAGGGTTCTTCTGCCATGACACTAGGTTGCCCTGTGCGATAACCGATTACATTCTGCCTATCAGAGATGCCACTGTGCATGTTCCTGTGTAGCAGTACGGATCCTGAGGCTTTGCTATGTCATCATCCCGCTGTCGACAACTCCCTCCCCAATAGAGAGATTGCACGCTGAATGTCAGCGCGTGCGGAAATCACACAGCGGTTGGAATGCTCCAAGCACGAGGCTTGTGCAAGTCCAGACGCCCGATATCATCGGTTCCTGGGACATTCTGGACCTCGACTTGACCATGAGTGGCAAATACGCTTTCGTTCTGAGGAATTTGGGGCGGCCTCCTCTTCAAGGCCAGTATTCAATAGTCGTTGCAGCTGGACAATCGCATGGCTTCCCATCACATGGCGCAAACAGAAGAACATGTTTGAGTCAAGAAATGGCGCCATGTACTGTACAGTACTCGCCTTATCAGCACTCCGCTACGCGGGGGTTCAAATTCAGCATGGCTTAAGGCCTTAGTTGCTTCATCATCTTCGCTTCTGGTGGGTTTACAAATAGCTCACGGCCAGTCGGCGTCACCGTGCTTGAGAAACTTCACTTCTGGAGCTCCATTAGCCTTTTCGGCACAGGGTCAGAATTCACGGACGAGATGCCCTTGTGACTACAATACGGAGTTACCTAGCTGACCTACAGGCCTACGGCCAAGACCGAATTGACTCAAATTCGCATGTCTCCCAGTAGATGGACCCTCCTTATCGCGAGCTTGGTTTCACTAGCCTACAGTAGGTTGTTCGCAAGGTTCCATCCAAACTGAGTAGCTCTTCTGTTGCAGTTACCGACACACCGATACCGACGAAACGTCATGAGATCAGAATCTGTACTCCCGATTCCTTGTTGTCCTCGATGATGGACTTGCATGAACCTGTGCCGAACGCAAACACACCGCGTTTGATCGAGATCGTGCCGAAAACCACGCACCATCATCCTCTGGCTCGCGTAATGGTGTTGCAGCGAAGCATAACTAGGGCTGATCAGGAGGAGGGGCTACGAACTCACAAAGCTCTTGACTTGAAGTCAGCTCGATTACAGGCCGCTTTCCCCGCCCACTGCGACTCAGTCTGAGTCCGGGGAATTGCCTGGTGTGACTTTTGAAGCTACTTCTAGCATCTCACTGTTGCGGCGTCCACCGGACGACTTCAGCCAGGTTGGTGTTACTTGTGATAGGCTATCAACCCATGGACCTCGTCTCACACAGCGGCAGACCGTGTACACTAAGAACTTACTTTTCTGACATAGAAAGCGCTGTAGATCAGCTCTGAGTGGCTTGCAGTTCCCATCTACCCCCCTCAGGTGTGGTCCGAAAGACGCGTCGCCAAGTCTGAGCGTCAACAATCCATAACGCGCTACTGTCGCCTGTCCACGTGAGGGCAACTCGAAAGCGGGAGAGTAATGCTTCTCGCTCAAACTCTCACACGCACACACACAAACACACCAGAACTACTCGTACAGTACGATCATGGCCCATGGCTCATTGGTGAGCTGCCGGCGGCGAAAGCCCGTCTGTCACTGCAGCACCTACCTCCCTTCAATGCAGCACCCTGGTTTTAAGCCATGTTCAAGCCATCAGTTGTCAATTTGGCTGACAGGAGTGTTCCCGCATGCTTCAAGAAAGCATGGCCACTACTACTGTACGCCTCCGGATCCCGCACGCCCTGAGCGTCAGGCAATAATCCAGCCTCGCCCGAGTTTTCATCCCAGTCCTGCTTGAACCCTGGAAACCCACCGGGTGCTGCCACCTTCTGACAGCTCATAGACTCGGGAAGACGGAAAAGGGCAGGATCATTGCCCGTTGCCCCTCAAAGCCTCCTCAATCTCGTGCTGGCCCAGACCGTTCCGATATTTTTCTGCCCCGTATGTACTTTGTACATACATATCCATTTATTTCACGAGCTATTGAGCTGCCAGGTCCATTGCCAGGACGTCACTACGACCCGAATTCGGGAACCCAGGCGATGAGTATTCGATTCAAGACGCGATAGTCCTCTACCTAGAAAGCTTCTGACAAACTTGACAAGTTTTCATCCTCATCGTCGTCACCAGCACAACCCACACAAGGCTTTGAAACCAGAGGCACAGAAAATCTCCATTGGAACTCTGTTCAAGAACTCCTCCAAGCACTTACAGTATCACACTAATCTTGCACGTAATAAACTCGTAATACTTTTAATTGCGGTTCATCATTTGCGTTTGGTCTGTTCTTCGTTTTCAGCCAGCCAGTCAGTGGACCGCGGGAAAACGGTTCGAGGCTTCTCTTTTTTCTTTAAGGGTTCGATGAGAGAACGCCAAATTTCCAACAACCACCAGGTCATTGTTTGGCGCCAAAAATAGGTGGCAGTACAGTATCATTTCACGGCCAACTTTGTCTTTTAAAAAAAGCATATCTATGGTTGATAGACAGAATTTAATTTCAAGGTTGTGCCGCGGTACGCTCGCCATGAAAGTCTATATCTGCGCCACCAACAACGCGGGTCGTTGCTTGTTGACGCCAATCTCGACGCGTTTGTCCCAAACCAGGTAACGAGCGAGGCTCGTACCAGAAGCTCGCCTTGTTTTCGGCCATGTCCAACTACACATCAACATCGTGACGTAAATGGACGGAAATTCCGTCGCGGTGATCACGGACTCCACACCGCACGCCGGGCGTCGTCAATCGAGCAGCAGATCGACCACGCAGATCAAGATCGAACCTCAGCCTTGCATATCGCCGACCGATGGCATTTCAAAAACTCGAATCCTCACCACAACAAAGACGTCAGACACAACAAAAGGTCGCAGGAGAGACGGATGTATGGAGCCTTGTTTTCCCAGGTTCGAGCCAAGCCACAGAGATTGCAGTTGTGATCCGATGACCTCGTGAAAGGCGTACCTCGGACCTCCCTCCGGCGGCAAGGTATCAAGACGCGATGATATCGAGATCCCACCGCCCGAGGAGACTACGGACACTCGACGAGTCGAGTCACCTCCTGCGAGTGGTGTCCTGACTCCCTCGCATCGAATACTTGGCCCATGTCTTTTCGAACATCCCGGACCACCTCAATGGCACGTTCCACGTCCACGAGGAGCAGCCCTCTGCTAATCGGTGCATGAGATGACGACACACACACCCACACACACACACACACACACACACGGGACGCACAGTTGGTCTTTGTAAACGACGTGTCGCACGCACGGTAACTGTGGTATGACGTCTTGTAGCGAGATCTCCAGGATGCGAAGAGGTAGGTAACCCAGGTCATGATGTTATAGGCCGTTTATGCCGTTTCCGCATTCGGGAGTAAGTAGTTCACAGGGACGAGTCGACCGTTAGGCTATGGATGATGTTGTGTCGAGCTGAATACAGGTAGGTTCCATTGCATCGTCTTGGCTGGACCCGAGCAGGCTTCCTTCCTTCGCGCTTCACAATCACGCGCTTCTGGCATCATCTCGATCTTCAGACCTTGACGGAGGCAGCAACATTGAGTAGGTGATAGGGGAATGGCTCTTGATATTCCCCAGGCGAGCAGGACAGCCACCTCCGCAACAACAGAAGCCCATGCCTGCGGAATTCTTGAGCTTGATTCAAACAAAGACCCCGTGCCAGTTCTGGGGGCCCGAAAACTGTTGATTCGTCGATTGCTTTGTCGACTTCTTGTAACGAAGTCAGGGAAATTGCTCATGGGCACATCGCGACGCTCTACAGTCGTATCATTGTTGACGCAAGACTAGCATTTCGCAAAAGATCTTTGTTCGCATCCGTACCGCTTCTCCAGGCTAGTCTCTTTTCTACTGAGACATGGATTTCTGCGATTGACACCGTTGGAAGAGGTCAAACTCGACCTGAGAGTGACGGCAAGATGATCCGAGTTGAAAAATCGTCGCAGCCGGAGGGACAGATGCGGCTTTGTCAGTCCACCCGAAGAAACAGCCAGGTGAGAACATCAGGCGATTGCCACTGATGCCCTTCATTCCACACCGGAACATTGATCATCCGAGTATCAAAACTCTGTCAGTGCTTCCCCATCGGCGCTTCAACGGGCCGAAGGAACACCAAGGAATTCTTCTTTGCACGAATATACTTCTATCGTACCGCGAGATAAGCCAAATAAGAAGACACGCGGTAAGACACCGGTCACCATCCCGGCCAGACACTTCAAGAACGCCCAACCAGTCAGAGTCCGGGGTCCAGGCAAGTCATGGCGAAACCCAAGGCTCTGCTGCTGGGTAAGCTCGACCAGTAAGTATAGGTCCCCGTCGGCACATGCCATAAGCCCCCAGTCAAGTTACTGTCTTAGTACCGTCCCTTTCCCTTGCGCCTGCATAACGTCAAGACGACGACCAGGTCTAACGCACCACCGGCAGCGCTCAGAACTCATGGAACGCCCTCTCCGGCCTGGCGGAGTTGGTCACATCCAACGCTCGCAGCCGAGACGAGTTCATCAAGGAGTGTATAGGTGGAATGCATGATGGCGTTGTAGCAATCTGTGACCGAGCGCCCTCAAGCCTTGCTACCACAGGCAGATACGATGAACAGCTGATCGAAGCGTTACCGAAGAGTCTGAAGTTCATATGTCACAATGGAGCCGGTTACGACAACATCGACGTCTCCGTTTGCACTGCTCGCGGAATTTTGGTGTCCAACTGCCCCAAAGTGGTGGACGAGGCGACCGCCGACACTGCCATGTTTCTGATTCTTGCCGCCCTGCGTGGTTTCAACAACGGCATCATGGCAATTCGCACCGGCACTTGGAAAGGTGCCGTCCCGCCTCCGCCCCTGGGGCATGACCCACAGGGAAAGACCCTTGGCATACTGGGACTCGGCGGTATAGGCCAAAACCTTAAGGTCAAAGCTGAAGTATTCGGGATGAATGTCATCTACCACAACCGGACGAAGCTGAGTGATGAGATGGCAGCCGGGGCAGAATTCGTGGGCTTTGACGAGCTGCTTGCGCGGAGTGACGTCCTCAGTCTGAATATTCCGCTTAACGTACGTTGAATGGTGCCTGTGTCATTCGATCATTTCGCTCACCCAGTCTCTCAAGTCGTCTACTCGCAACATGATTTCGACCCAAGAGTTCCGGAAGATGAAGCCTGGTATCGTGATTGTGAACACTGCCAGGGGAGGTGTTATGGACGAGGACGCGCTGGTCGAGGCACTGAATTCTGAGAGAGTTTGCTCGGTCGGGTTGGACGTATATCAGCAGGAGCCAGCCATTCACCCAGGTCTAATTTCGAATCCACATGTTTGCCTACTTCCTCATATGGGCACATCGACTGTTGAGGTATGTTTGTTCAATGTTCCCTCAGCTCAGATCCTTAGTTGGCTAACTGAGACGCAAGACCAAGACCAAGATGGAAGACTGGACGATTGGGAACGTCCGAGCGGCGCTGGAGACGGGAAAGCTGAACAGCGTGGTGCCTGAACAAGCGCATTTATTGTGAATGCTTGTGGTGGACCAAAAGGACTGTCACTGTGTGCAGACCACTGTGTCTTTCCGTGTGTTTCATAACCACTCACCATCGTTGTCTGTCACGAAGTTGCCGATCCGTGAAGGTCCGAAGTCACCGAGGTCCAGAAGCGGCATGTCAAGGAAATCAAATGAGTTAGAGAACGACTCCGGTGCTCGGTGTGCTACTAAAGTCCCAAGAAGATTCTGCAAACCATAGGATGTTCGCCTTGTGTCGTTGAAGATTTCTAGCCCTGTAGGCCCGCCAGGATTGTTCTTCGTGTCTAAGATCAGCTGAATGATGTCGGCATACCGTTGAGCACACATCCATCGTGTCGACATCTGTCTCAGAACGCTGAGCAAGGGCTCCAGATCTACCGGCATGGACCCAAAGGTATTTTCATAGCCGGTCGTCCAAAGGATGATCAAGCTCCTCGCGGCCACCCATACAACGAAGGCAAACATTGGGTTTAGCCGATCAAACTCTTGTGGCTGGAGAGAGCTCGCTAGCGATGCAACTGTTCTGATAGCCTGACGACACCGCCCGCGGGCCGAAGCAGATGGTTTGAGGTAAGGCGAAGTTGTGGATGGGAAAGCGGCAACTGTATACATTCGAATATTGACACTGGTAAACGGCAGTGTTAGTCTTCACGAGGACAAACCAAAGGCAGAAAGGGATAACCGTACAGTTGGAACGTGGCATGCAGCATAACCCACATTGGATCGAAAGTGGCCGGTCGTTCCCTGACGTCTTTGGGCAAGTTCTCGAACCACGTAGTCATGGTGATATCCAGGCGTCGGAAGACGCTCTGCCACTCCTGACAGTGGGCGGGGAGTGATAGATCGACAGGTTGGATCAACAGCTGATTAGATCGGTCCAGCGATGCCAGCAGGTCGATGTTATGGTGCCATAGGCTGGCAGAGCAATAAGCATGTGAAGGCTTGGTCTGTTGCCCGGCCTGAAACCATTCGGGTGTCACTGTCTGGTTCCACTCTCCGTCGTTCAGAGGATATGGTAGTTTGATCGCCTTTGTGTCAATGCCTCCGGACTGTCCGTGAGCAACGCTGGAGAAGCGATCGAGGCTGTAAATGATCCAAAAAAGACGCCGTTTCTCCTCCTTTGAAATGTTGGAGAAGTCGGCTCCGTCAAGAGGTTCTTCGTTCCGGACCAGAGGAGTGTTCGTTTCTGGCGTGGTCGGAGAACGAGTCTTTGCCAGGCCCAGCTGATGCGCCGCCGTTATGAGCATGCTCATCAGGTTCAACGTTCGTGGACCGGGTCCTTGGCCAATAGCGTCCAAGGCCAGGAGTGCCAGTGCCTGAGTTGAAACCAAGGAACATGTGTCTACGGATTTTAGTAAAACCTGCTCACGGGATGTTTTGACGAAGTTGTCCTTCTCCTGGGCAGACGGTGCTGGGTTCCTCCAGAAACGGAAAGACACGACCACGATGCCGTGGAGAAGGACCTGGCGATCCGGTGCAAACATGCCGGCTGTGAAATTTGGCTTGCAGAACAATGGCGCCCAAGGATGAACTAATTCAAAGAACAGCTCGACAAGCTCATGTAGCACCGCTGTGGGTGGTAACCCACTACTGGCATCTTCCATCGCTGGCACGCTCAAAGGGCCTGGTAAACGCTCCATCAGCGGAGTAGGAGCAAAGTACGGCACCTCGGCGATTTGTTGCGACGAAGGCCAGATCTCTGGGTCAGGCCCATTGCCTTGTGGTGCGAGTGTCGCGGCGACTAATGGCTGAAGGGGTGCGGTCGGGACGGCCATTTCGGGTCGAACATGGTTGAGGACTTCCTGAAATGACTGGTGGATTTTCTCCATACTGCTCTCCAGGAGGCTCAGACGTTGCTCAATGGCCTTGCCATAACCTGGACGCAAGCCGGGTTGCCCTTTCTCACGGTAGACGCAGGCGACTCCTGTGGACAATCAGCCATATGAACTCTTCATGATCATGCGTGTCGCTTTTGGTTCACCCATGCGCCGACAGGTGCCACAATGCGGCCGACAACTGTCGCATCTTGTTTTCTTCTGCTTGCAAGTCTCACAGCTAACGGAAAAACAGATAGGTTAGCCCGTTAACGTGATGTACCAGATTCCTGGAGAGAAAAGCATACGCTTTGGACAGGATGCGCGACCGCTTGTTCGGCGGTCCGACCGGAGACATTGTCACGCCTTCTTCGGACATATCTTGACCATCGGTAGACATGGCCGAGCTTGGATTCCCGAGATCCCATTGACGAGAATTACTTCAACGTTAGGTTAAGGTGCAATGAGAGACTTTTCAGGCCGACGTAGCGGAGCGGTTTATGTAGGTCTGACTCCACCTCGGCTAACGCTAAATTGCACCTCACTTCTTATTGATAATTCGGCTGGGGCATCACTTGTCTACTGTACATCTACGTTAGGGGAGCTCGACCGCTCCATTCTCAAAGCAGTGACGAGTACATGGCAATACTATTACATTGTTTCGTGGCTGCATCATGACCTTTATTTTGTTGTCGAGTTATACAGACATTCTGCAATCACTTTTCCATGATACAGGTTCCATCCGCCAGACTCAGGGCTTTTTACAATCAGTATGGCTTCACTCCTGCCAGCTGCAGCACCTTTTCATTGACGAGAGGTTTCTCCAGAGGCTCTGGGCGATGACGGGGGTCGGGTGTGCCATCCGGCAAGCTTGCTTGCAGGTCTCGCAGCTTAATGTTATCATGCGGCCAATGTGTGGTCGCTCCATAGACGCTGAAGACACGACTTTTCTCGGCTTGGGATTCCTTCGACGCCAATGCAGCGGGCGCATAGGCTGCGTATATAACTGTGCGCGTCGTATTGCTCTTCTGTGTAGGTTCTCCGCCCCAGTGAATAGTTCGAGAGTCCCAGACGATGAGATCTCCAGGCTCCGCAAGAACCTTCATCGGCTTCAGGCCGCGGCTGGTGAAGAAGTCCATGTCTTTGTCGTCGAAATATACGTTATCCTTCCATTGCCAAGTCGATGGGTCAGTCTTTGTGTCGAAGAACTCTTCGACGAGCTTGGAAGAGCCAGGAATGACCACAAGAGAGCCATCCTCGGGCCCCGCATGGCTTAAGTTGATGATGCCCTGGATACAGTGCAGGCCACGCTTTCTGGGAGCCTGATCAATATGTGGCCAAGGCGCACGGGCCGGCTTGAGGTTAGGAAGGGTGACGTTCAAAGAATCAAACGAGACCAGCAGCTTGTCCGTACCCCAGATTTTGGTAAATGCGTCCAAGACACCGGGCTCCTGGCGAGCTTCCCACATGAACTTCTCATGGACGACCGAATAATGCTCGTAAGTATTTCTCTCCGTCTGGATCGGGAGGTTTGCAGCATTCCAGGTGGATGGGTCGTTTGGGTTCAATGCAGGGTCAAAGGACTGAAGCCATTCTATGGCTTTCTGTTGGTAGTACTGAGCACGTTCCGGTGGAATGGCACCTTTGACGACAGCGTAGCCTTGAGACTCGAGCTGGTCAAGCCAATCTTCACCAGAGACTGTCAATCTGTTGCCGTACTTAGCACCATAATCAGATGCCTCTCACGCGCGTGTTAGACTCACTTGAATGGGCTGTAAACCTGGGTTGAAGCAGTCACAGTTTCGGTGGCCATGTTCAGATATCTCCTCTGAGTCTGTGGGAAGAAGATACGTGTCTCTCGACAGTGGTCTCTTTGATATTAGCACGTACCGTCACTCTTTTAGGGCTCGTACAAGATTTCGTCCAAGAAATGCAACAGGGTCATTTCGCAGTACCGTCAGTCTGCCGGAGCCCGTAGCCCCGGCCCAGCTTTGCGCCGGAGCACCGTAAATCTGCCACTCAATACCAAGGCCTCACCCGGAATCTCGCCGGGTACGGGACATGATTAAAGCGAGCTTGGAAACAACGACGTCTCTTTTCCTGGGCAAGAGTCTGGACGAGACTTCTCTTGCCATGGGCGGCGGTCGTCATCTCCCTGGTGTCGGCATGGTAACAGCTTTGACATTCCAGTCGGGACTCCATCCAAGTCCCAGCATCGAACACCTCGGCACTCAGGAGCCAACGATCCGCAAGTCTAAAGAAATCGCAATCCCGCAAGAACCAAGGTCTAAACTGGTGGGAGTATAATGTGATTACCGGGTCCGAGTTTGAATTCTTAGGCGGCCTTGAGCGATGATAGAGCTGGGCACAAGCGTTTACGTTACCAGCTCATCTGGGTGACAGTCCATTCTCCCATCGCCAATCCCAACCACGGTCTATTCCACCATCCACATAATGCGCATTCTCGTTACAGGAGCGGCAGGTTTTGTCGGGCAGATTGTCTCCAAGGAACTCCTCGGCGACGAAGCACATCAGCTCATTCTCACGGATGTCGTTGAGCCAGCCGTTCCGCACGGGTCAAAATATCCTAAGCATGCCAGATGCATCAAAGCAGATCTCCTGGAGTCTGCCGCCACCTTAATCCCGTCGGGGCTTGACTGTGCGATCCTTCTCCACGGCGTGATGTCCTCGGCGGCCGAAGCTGACCTGGAGCTTGGATATCGTGTCAACGTCGACGCTACGCGGTCTTTGCTGTTTAACCTAGCAAAGAAGTGTCCCGGGGTTCGAGTTATCTATGCCTCTAGCGAAGCTGTGTATGGAAGTCCCGTACCCAAGAACAATGTCACCGAGGCAGATTTCCCAACTCCAGAGATGTCGTACGGCTGTCAGAAGGTCATATGCGAAACGCTCATCAACGACCTCACACGCCGGGGCATGATCAACGGCTTCTCGCTTCGCTTCCCCACGATATCTGTCCGCCCCGGGAAACCAAGTCCCGCCATCTCAGCGTTTTTATCCGGCATCATACGCGAACCCTTGAACGGTCAGACGTGTGTGATACCGTTAAAGGATCGTGCCTGGCGCCATTGGATGTGCTCTCCCAAGACACTGGTGCACAATATACTCGTCACGGTGCAATTGCCATGTGACGCACTCGAGCCGCATCGGAGAGCGGTCAACGTCCCGGGCTTCGCGGTGACAGTACAAGACATGTTGGATGCTCTTGCGGAAGTCGGAGGAAAAGACAAGTTGGCTTTTGTTCAGGAAGAGGAACGGCCGGAATTACAGTCGGTGTTGTACTCTTGGGCAGATGACTTTGATAACAGCCTCGGACTGTCATTGGGTATGAAGCAGGATACCTCCTTTGTCCAGTCGGTTCGTGACTATGTCGAAAGCATGAAAGAAGCCCCTAGGCTGTAGCATGCTACATGTTATCTAGGCCGTGCTAGACATGTATACACCGGTGGTAGAGTGTTGAAGAAATGAATACTTGCGGGAAGACTACGCTGTCAGCGTACGTGCTTCACGCACCGTCATCCTGATCTTCATTCCTCTATTTTCTATGATGGGTCCAGCGTCTACCAAAGCACAGTCTATGCCTTGCCGGTGGACATCAACCAATCCATGTGGTACTCCACCACCGCCTGCATGGCCTTGGTCTGTTCTTCTAGCACCTTGGTCAACGGCACTTTCCCCGTCAGCTCCCCTTGCACCTGCGTCCACGCCGCTGCGACCGGCCCGTTGATGTTGACCTTCGCCATTCCGTACGATATGCACTTCTTGAGGAGCTCCTCCTTGAAATAGTCCTCGTGTGCCCCGTGCAGCACCAGCCTCACCCGATCGCCGACTTGCTCGTGAATCCTCGCCAGCCTGGGAAAGTCCAGCTGGGGGCCTTTCGGGCCGTAGACCCCGTGGACGTTGCCGAACGCCGGGGCGAGCCAGTCTATCCCCAGACGGACAAATTCCTCCGCCTGCTCAGGCGTCGTCAGGATCTCCTCCATGCCCTCCGTGTCGGCGATGCCGTCTTCCGTCCCGTTTATCCGGCCCGGCTCGCACTCGGTGACGATGCCTCGAGCGTTGCAGTACTCGACGAGCTCTCTGCTCAGCCGCATGTTCTCGTCCCTTTCGTAGTGACTCATGTCGACCATGATGCCGTCGTAGCCGCCCAGGTCGGCCGAGCGCTTGATGATGTCCGGCGACTGCGCGTGGTCCATGTGCACGCCGACTGGTACCGTGGCCTTGTCCGCAGCCTCGGCGGCGGCGTGCAAGAGCAGACCGTCGGCGAACTCGATCGACCAGGGAAACAGTTGGATCAGAGCTGGAGATCGCTTGGCTTCGGCAGCTCGCACCGTCGCCAACACGGCCTCGAGATTGTAGCAGCAGACGGCCGGAATCGCGTATTTGCCGGCATAGGCAGCGTCGACAATCGCTTTCGCGCGGTTGTCCTTCAGCCTGGCTGCAACACCGTGGTTTCCGTTCACTCCATTCGTTGCCATGTTGGTCTGTATAGTCTTGAGCACGAAACACGCCAGAACCACAGACAAGTTTTACAAACGAGAATTTTAAACCGACCGTAGTTCGAGGCTTGAGGGGTAAGAATACTCCAAACTGGCGAAACCGGACCGGTTGCTCTGCAACTCAATGCCGACATTGTTGTTCCCTTGGTCGGTATATCATTGACAGGGGGCGGAGGAGGAAACCGCCGGGCGTGGATCCTGTGCCGCGTCCGCATCTCAAGGTGGAACTCCCGAAGGTGCGACATACGGCCCTGGCAGATACGGCCCTGGCAGATATGTGCTAATGCGGCTTTAAGACAGATTCGACATTTTTGTTCTCTGGTAGTTCGATATGACAATGTAGACATTCAGGTAAATGGTCAATAGAGTCCGAGATTGCACCACTGCGTGCCCCGTCTGCCAGGAGCTCGGCATATTGTCTATGTAAACCTCCAGCACAGACTCTATCCAGCTTCTCAGACCGCGTGTTGCTAACAGCGAGAGATGGCAAACTCGGCACAGAGTCTATGCGGTATCCTCTACGTGCGCAGTACGAGCACTGCCTCCGACCTTGGTATCAAACACCACCTTTTCCGACTGAATAGCATGTTCTTCGACCTCTACGACATGATCTCCAAAAGCCGCTGCGATCTCTTCGAGAGTCTTCTGCTTGGTCTCCCTGCGCAACTGTTAAGCATGTAGATTATCAGGCGTATGGAGTGGCATCACTTACGGGAAATAGAGGTAGATGAGCACGAGATACACGGAGCAGCACCCGACAAACACATAGTAGTAGTTCTCTTTGATGTTCTTGAATGCGCTGGGTCCAGCCTCGGTCACTGTTTACCGCCGTCAGCATGAAAAATCTGGACCTATCGGGAGCACAACATACAGGCCACGTTGACAGAGTAATGAGCAAAAGCTGCTACGCCCATGATCTTATTGCGCAGAGCCACGGGCAGTACCTCTGCTCCATAGAGCCATGTGACCGGATTGATCAAGCTGTCTGCAGTTGTCTTAGTCCAGGGAACGCTTCGATGGTGCATGGAGATACTCACAGTATCCGACGGTAAAGACGTAGATGCCGAGGATCGCGAATCCCTTACCGACGCGGTTATCAGTATTTTGATAGACGTGCTGCATCACAGCGGCATAGATCTCGGTGCCAATTGTCCATGCCACGCCGAGAAGAAGCATCCTGCAGAAAATCAGCTACGTCCGATACAGATCAGGTGGATAATACTCACTTGCGGCGTCCCCAGACATCTGGGAGGAATCGAATGGAGATGGCGCTCGACAAAAATGCACATGTACCCCAAACTGCCGTCAAGGCTAGTACTGTTTTGCTTTGGACGCCCAGAGATTTGTATAGACTCGCTATTTGGGTGGTGAGTGTATTTCCTTACGTTTCAAATAAAGGTCGCCTACTTTGATAGTACTGAATAAGATGTGTCAGCGAAGGGCATCGGCAACAAACTTAGGGGGGGTTAACATACCTGAATAACATTGACGCCCGTCACGGCTGTCAGGACTTGGACTGCAATGGACCTAAATCAGGTGAGCGTTCTCGTCGTTTGAATTGTTTGTCCACAAGAACAACATACACCAAGACACGGTGGCGGTAAAGCTTGAATGCTTCTCCGAAAGAAGGGATCTGTCTCTCGTGCTCAAATTCGATCTGGGATTTCATAAGACCAAACTCTTCAATGGCTTCTCGTGATTCTAGATCGCTGCGGATCTTGATAAAAGCTTTGCGTGCCTCTTCGACTTTACCCTTGCGAAGCAGGTGGCGCGGTGAATTAGGCATAAACGTTACAAGACCTGTGAACATGATGACTCCCCATGGAATTTGCAGGCCAAGTGGGAGACGCCATTGTAAGGTTCCGTACGGGGCATAGTTGCAAGCGTATCCGACCCAGTTGGAGACCATGATTCCCATGGAGAGACCAACCCCGGATAGACCACCGATCAAACCGCGTGACTTGGGATTGCTGATCTCGGAGAGGTAAATTGGGACAGTCGCGCAGAGAGCCCTAACGGTGTAAGGAGTCGTCAGTTTCCCACCAAGTAGTAAAACAATCTGGACTCGAGTGAGGCCATCATCGACGCATACATACCCAACAGCTATTCCAGTCAGAACCCGCCCTGCAAGAAGCATCCCGATGTTGACTGCTGCAGTCTGGATGATGCAACCGATCGTGACAATCACGCACAACAACTCCATGAAGCCGATTCGGCCAAGCCTGTCCGCAATGGCGATCTGCAGAAGAGCACCCACGGCTTCGCCAGCTGTGTAGATGGCGCCGACCTATTTCTAATGAGCATTCATAACTCCACAGGAGCTCGCTAGAGCGGGATCATGATACATACAGCACCAACGAGACCGGGATCTGGATTGTTCATGTACTCAACCCAGCTTTTGTGGGCAATGGCTGTGTTCTCTGTCAGCCTCATCGGACTCACGACTCAAGGAGACTCTACAGACTAGTCGTCACGATTCCCGTGTCGTACCCCTGCCAATATAGGTGTCAACATTATTCTGCTAGTAGTAGCAACGGCGACTTACGTAGAGAAAGGTGCCCAAGGAAGCAAAAAGGGCAATGCCCATGCTATATCGGCTGCGTGCCATGATGTTGTTTTGGCCCAGGTGCACGAGGATGTAAGACTCAGTCTGGAGCACGGGGGGCAGGACAGGATGCCATGTTACTCATATCCATATGGCTGGACCTTCTGTTGATTGGAACACAAACGAAATCCAAAGGTACGTGTAAGCAGCACGTCGACGGGATGTTCATGCCCCGGATTGCGGGGAAGCCTGGAGGTTGTGGGATGATGTTGCGGCTCATTGTCACTCCGGACTCAAAGGCTGTCCCAAAACAACGCCCAACGTCGTTGCGTCCCAGAGATCCAGTCTCGGGCTGAGGTCTCTTTCCTGGAGAAAAGGGGGCATGCAGCTTGAGGAAAAAAGAAAGAAAACTTTGTTCCGGGTAGGGTTCCTCTGTGCTGAGCTAATTAAGACAAGACCCAATGTTGACTCGAGTAACTGAGGCACATTTGTTGATTCCTCTGATGGTCCGGATCGTGCAGAAGACAGCGGGCCACGAAGCTCCTGTGGTTGTAGCGGCGTGAAGGGAATTAATTGACTGACTAGTTAGAAGTAGAAGAGCCGATGGTCGCTATATCTACGTGCGATCATGTAAACCATTGCACCAGTCGGAAACAAGTATCTCCGATGCTCAACGCTAGAATCACATTCTCGGAGCATCAGCTAGATCTGTACTGTGACATGCGCAATAGGCTGCCTCTCAACGACGGATGCTGTATGTCGTGTAAAGGTTCGAGAACTTGGTCGTCGACTGTCCGAGGCCCTCTTCATACGGTTTTCCATCTGCGGAGAGCAATGAACAGAGCTCGAGAAGAGGAGGCGCAGAGTCATCACATCCAACTATCTGCCATGTTGGCTATACACGCACCAGGCGCCGACGAATGGTCCCTTCACCAGACCGAAGCTTTGTCGGGAACCTGATGAAGGCCCAGCAATCGTACTGAGCATCACCTAGATAAGTCTCATTCAGTCACGGAGATGCAAACTCCTTATCAAAGCAAACCCTCTGAGCCAGATATTTGATGTTCAGGGGATGTGTGGTAGGTACGGGTACTATTTCCACTCACTGGGTGAAGGGGAATAACTCAATTATCCACGTCAAATTGGGATAAGGACCTTTGATATAACGGGAAAAAAGCTACCCAGGCAATCCGTCTATGTCGTCTTCGATTTTATCAATTCTCCATGTCATCTTCATCTCCAGCCAGACCGTTTCCAGACTAGAGGAGGTGATCTAATGCCTCTCGAGCATCTCGTCACTCAAAATATCCCTCAAACAACCACTTCATCTTCTCGGTGGCTTGTTTACTCCGACCGGCGGGTGCCGTGCTGATACCGAACTCCCGTGCGCCCTGGAGATGAGTCGCCTTCACCAGATCTTCGTGTTCTTCCTTCGAAAGCTCATCGAGCACCGCGGCAATGAAGTGTCGCGCGTTCAGGGCGTTGGCGCGCATGTGGCCCATGACCATCTCCACCGACACGTCGCCAGAGTCATGCCAGCACTGAGAGGTGGATTACGGTTAGCTCTGAATTCAGTACTAGAGTACATCACGACGAGATTTATAGAATGCAACGGTGGATGAGTAAGGACGTCTCCAGATTGGAGTAGAAAATCAGGCCAAGAACAGGAACACACATACATCGTAGTCTGTACTCATCAGGATAACCTGATATGCAATCTCTGCTTCAGCGGCGAGTTTTGCCTCGGGCAATGTAGACATGTTGATTACGGTACCGCCCCAGCTTCGGTACATGTTGGATTCGGCGCGGGTGCTGAACTGAGGTCCCTCTGTGTCATGAAAAGTCATATTAGCAATCGCCACTCGCCACTGGCAATCTCGGTCTTTTGCTTTATTTCCTCTCCTTTCGTGTCGTTCTCATAGTGTTCAAAATCACCAACGTAGAGAGAAGATTCGAAACACAAACAACAACGATGATAATGCAAGAAGACAGGACGACATATGACAAAAGGACCGAAAAGGGAAAACGTACCCATGACAATAACTACACCCTTATCATGCAACACCACCCCTTCGCCCTCGAGACTATGTCCGCACTTCCTCACGACGTCGCCGACGCGGTTGTCGAACGGATCCGCAAACGGCACGTGGACCACGAACCCATCCTCGAAAAAGGTGTGCGGTCTGATCCCCTTGGTACGGTCGATGACTTGGTCCGGCACCACGAAGTCGCGCGGCTTGACTTCCTCGGCGAGACTGCCTGCCGCGCTGAAGGCGATGATGCACCTGACGCCGAGTTTGCGCAGTGCGGCGATGTTGGCGCGCACGGGGATCTCGGACGGATTGAGCTCGTGGTGAACGCCGTGGCGAGCGAGGAACGCCACGGGGATCGGTTTACCTGTCGTGGGCGACGGGTGCTCGAGGACCGTGATGGGGGACGACGGCGCGCCCCAGGGCGTGTCGACGTTCAGGACCGCCGCCTTGTGGAAGTGAGGGAGGTGTTCGAGCCCCGTGCCGCCGATCACGGCGATGTGGATTTTGCCTGGCGATGAGAGAAAAAAGCCGTGTCAGAAAAGGAAACCATGTCATGTAGTAGTACCCCGTTCGGCCCCCAATAGATGATGGACCGCGTAGGAACTTCCAATCCCCTTTTTTTGGAAAGGGAAAAACATCATAGCTGAAAGCCGAGTGTGCACGAAATACGTGCGGTTCGAGGGGAACAACACTCAAGATCAAATCGGGTGCAGGTCTTTGTGAAGAGGGTGAACATCAGGAGGAAAGGCAAGGACCTTGGGGCGACCAGAGTACGAACCTGGATAGCTAGTGGGCACGTCTTCTTGTGCTGTAGACATGGTGCTAGATGTAGATGTCTCTTGATGTGGCTTTTGCCAGATGCTTCAATGCTGACCAACAACGGATCCAGAAACTTTTTATATTCAACGTCGTCGAAAGTCTATTTCTGGCGAAAAGCTGTCAAAATAGATCGAGGATGTTACGGGTTCTGGGTCCAAAGTCGGCTTTGATGATTCACGACAACCAAGACCAAAACAGTCGGCGTTTTCGTATGATATTCGTCAATCATAAAAACTCGGAAATACTACGTGGTACAACTGCTTCCTAGAATCGACCATCCCGCTTCGGAGGAAATTTACTCCGAAGATTTCCCGCCCAGCCAAAATTCAATGGCGCAATAGTGGCCGTTGATAAAACATTGCACTGAATATACAGGACCTATCAATGAACTCCATGCTCCATCGTGCTGCATACGTATCAAGCTTAGTCTGTCATAAGCATTCATAAACCTCCTCCCAGCCCAGAAATTGCGGAAGAGCACGCATCCCCTACCGCCCTTCACTGAGCCAAGGATTCTCCTCATCATCATAAGGCTCATAGGTCGAAGAGTGAGCAATCTCTTTCAACAGCATTGCACTTTCGACTGTGCTATTCATTGCGACGCTCGCGGCGACCACAACTGCAGCACCGTGCTGCCGAGGTTCCACGGCTGTCGTTGAAGTCGTAGGCTGAGAGAGACTGAGGTCGAAGTCGTTCTCAGAAGCAGAGGCTGCGCCATGATTGGAGAAGACCATTGGGCCTTGGAGCTGGGTGCCGCCCAGCGACACACCTTGATGGGTGGCAACATGTGCGAGTAGATTTTTGCTCCCTTCAAAGAGACCAGCTTCGTCACCCAGCATCGTGCATATCATACACCGAAACAACGAGCGGTCGCTGTCTCTCTGTTGCCGCACGTGTGATTTGGCAAGAAATAACCACCGATAGCGAACACCATCCGCATATTGCCGGATGCGATCATCAATCTCATAGCTATTATTCTTTTTCAGGGCTTTGGCCGCAAAGTTGCATTTTGTGCTGGCACATTTGTAGGCAACGTCGGTATGATATGTGCCTAAAAGAATCCGGGACAATGCCTTCTTGGCAGACCCTCCGCGAAGGTCATGGGCATATTTGCAAAAACCACCAAAATTGGTGATGGGATACACAGTAGACGCCGTGGACAAGCTTGAGACGGCCGACATCGTGGATAGAGCTGTCGACTGTCTCGAAACAGTCGGGACGTGGCCTGGCTCGGTGTTCAGGCGGGTGGGTGGGCGCGTGGGCTGCAAAGCCGAGTCATATGTACCTACAGAAGATCGACTACCAGGGCTGGACCACGGAGAGGTAGAATTGTTCAAGACAGGAGTGTCTTGCAGTTGAAACAGGCCTTCTCGTTGGGATGGTCCAGGTGAGTCATTTGGCAAAGACCCTGCGGAACTAGTCGTCACCTGGGATGACCGGTCAATCTCTGAGTTGGTCTCTCTGCGACGGAGCATTCTGCCTAAAGCACTCGACCTTCTGCCATTTTGCTGCAATGGCCTAGGGGGTGGTTGCTCTGGTTGTGCTGCTCTCGGCTGTTGTGAGGAAGGCTGTCGATCAGGGGTCACCGCAGTTGCGCTGGCTCGTGCCGTCTGGGAAGGTGTTTCTTCCTGTTGTTGTTGTTGCAGGACATGTCTCTTCCGCTCTATTTCTTGCGCCAACATGCGCCTTTCTAGCTTCTGAAGTTCAATGACTGCGTTGAGGCGGTTCTGGGCTGAGGCATCAATGCACTCTTCAAAGTCGATGATGCTATCGTCGACTCTGGCTTGTGCCAGGCCCTCCAAGAGAGCATTTTGAGTATCGACGGTTATCTTCAGCAGCGCAATGATCGCGATGGCTGTTGTGAGCATTAGCAGTATTCAGCCAGCCAGAGGCAAGTCATACTGTCTCCCTGGTCAAATGTACCCTTCGCAAGGACTTGTTCTATCTCTTTCTTGCCGTTCTCGATCGTTTCTTCAAGGCGATCAGTGGGCGGGAGGGCATCGTGGGCTTGTCGACGAGCCTTGATTTGTCGGACGATGCGGGCACCGGCGTCATAGGCTTGAATCAGCCCAGCAACGCAACTCACTATGGCGAGAGCCTCGCCGACACCAGACATAGTGTGGCAGAGATAAGGGAGGGTTTTGTGTCACTTGCAATCAAGCCAATGGTGCAGAAAAGAGAGGTAGCTGCGAGAGAAGCAGAAGCAGAAGCGGAGGACAGCAGACGATTATCATTGTGTCGTGTGAGGCTGTGCCTCTGTTCTGCCAGTGTGATGCGTTTCCCATGAAGGCCTGCTAAGTACTTTTAGCGGAAAGCCACAAGCAACTGTGCATGGGTGGACGGGGCTCTGTCCTGCAGGTTGTTGCAGCCGAGCAGAAACAGGCAGACCAGACTTGACCGAAATGGGGCGTTGGACAAGCGTGGGATGCATGGCCCCAAGTGCGACCTCCTGATGCGCTGAGAGAACAGTGAGCAAGTCAGAGATTGTGTCTCATCTCACTCCGGGGACGTCTTCTCTCTGTCGCGACGGAATTCGAAGGTAGAGAGATAAACTGAAAGTCAAGTGCTGATGCGCAGAGTATAAATAATTGTGGCTGCCACGAGGTTGTGCTCGTTTTGGCAGAGCCTCAAATTTTGCCGAGTGTCTGTCTGTTTAGCTACCAATAAATCTTTTTTGTCCGGGGGCATCTTTGTCATAATCAGCGGCTGAATTATTCGACCACAACAATCAAGAACTATTCAGCATTCATGTCATCGTCCTCGTAACTTTCCGCAGACGTGTCAAGCTGGAATCATGTTCGAAGTCCCGCAAGCAAAAAGAATAAAGAGAGAAGACCTGTTCCGACACGATGACAGCCCAGCCAGCTCGCGGCCTTCGTCGAGGTCGTCTCCCAACAACCGAGACGACGTAGAGACAGAGGATCCCGTTCGACCCAACTACGGTTTCGAGTATGATTTCATCACGCCACAGCCCGAGCAGCAGCAGCGGCCGAAGAAGAAACATGCAGCAGACCACCGTCAGGCCCAGGATGATGCAGCCGAACCCAACGACAACCGCCACGACGACGGCGATGAAGATCACCAACAAGAAGCGGAAGCAGAGGCAGAACCAGAATACCAATTTCGACTGTTTACCTCTGCCGCTCCACCGACAACGCAACCTTCTTCGCAACCGAAAAAGGCCACGATCCGTCTGAGCGCGACACCGCCGCCCGAGGAGTTTTTCCCAGAGTCGACGACGGCTCTATCACTTGAGACCGCAGGCTTCGTCCGCCCCAACCGCCGGGACGACTACTACTTCACGTCGTCCCTGCCGGCAGATGTGACGAAGACGCTGAAATCGCAATACGCCGACACGGCTCTCTCGACCTCTGACGTTCTCGCGCGCGCGGGTTCCACGAGATGGCCCGGGACGGCTCTCCCCTGGCGCTGTATCCACGTAACAACAACAACAACAACAACAACAACAACTCTCAAGGTCGGTTCCAATCCAAAGGGGACAACAGTCGTCGATACTTCCTCGTTTTCTTCCTCTCGGGCTGGACCTTCTTCTTGCCATGGCATCGATTCAAAGCGAAAAGGGCCTTCTGCTTCCGCCGCCGCAACAGCCTCGATCGTTGTTCAACGACCTCGACCTCGACCATCCAAAAAGCGCCGCATTTTCAACCGTCGTCGCCTCGCCCTCCGCGCCGAAATGGCCTTGAAGGCTGAAAAGGCCGAGGAACTTGAGCGTCAGAAACGCACGCGACGAAATCGAGAGAAGAAAGTCAAGCGAAAGGAGAGGGAGAAGTTGAAAAAGCAACTTGAACAGAAGCAGGAGGAGCAAGGATCAGACGAGAAGACGAGATAGCTACCTGCTTAACCTGGTAAATAATCATCACCATCACCATCAGTGCATCAGTAATTCAAGAGTACCAAATTGCTCGCTTGCTAAAACGAGAGTCGATAGTCTCCAACCAGGAAAGCGTGCATGAATCATGACCATAAAAGCTATCGAAAAAAAGAGAGTATAACTCTCGCTTGTTTCTACTTCAAACCCTTGTTTTCTCTCTTTTTTTTGTCTTCACGAACACCATAACCCAGACCAACCAATACCGATACCGATACCCAAAGGCGTTATCACTGCTGGTTATAGACTCTCCAGGTCATTGTTCACGTCTTGTTCAACGTCACTTCACTAATGCGTCTGTGCAATCGCTCCCGCCATTCTTTTCCTCATGAAATCAAAGAAAGCAAATTGACTTGGCGTAGCACCATACTCGTACACAAATCGACTGGCCATATAACTTCCAAAAATACTCTTGAGATAGTTGCCCGGCACACGCTGCAAGATCTTGTCAAGCCCGACCTTGGCTTGGAGTGTCTTGGGAAGTGCCTCTTTGAAGACTGCTAGACGCAGAGGCTCGTTGTCCCACAGCTCCTCGAAATTCTGCAATTCCTCGTCGAGCTTGGTGATGGCTAGGGACAATTGATCGGATAACATGGATCGCGGTACACCGGTCTTCTCATGTTCTCGCCAGATGGCTTCGAACTCGAGCCGGGCGTTGTTCTGAATCGTTTCTTGCACTTCCTTGACGTAGGTCTTGTAGAATTCGGGAACAGTGCCATCCGGGTGAACACACATGTTCTCGATGAAGCCCTGATCGTCAAATGAGAGACTCGCCAGAACCTCGAGCGACGATGACGTGACGCCACCCTTGTTGGCAGATGCGTCCTTGTACAGAATGCAACCAGCCTTTTCGAGTCGGAGTTTTGCATCTTGCGTGATGAAGAGATTGGCACCTTCGACAATATAGGGAATCGTGCATTTTCCGTCAACGATGAGCTTGCTCGCCGTTTGCAAGTCGATTGACTCTGGACGACCACCACATGGAACGAACAGATCGTACACGGAACCGTCACGGAGGTGGAAAGTGTTTCGGAATGTCATTCCGTTGTTAACCTTTTCGCCAGAGGGCAAGGTAATGTTTGTGTCTTCGACCAGAACACGGTAACCCTCGGGCGACAACTTTGAAACGTCATATTCTGAGATCATGACACGCTTCTTCGCTAGACGGACAAGCTCTGCACGGTCCAAGCCAGCAGGATCCACGAGGACCCCAGCTCCGTCGACAATGGCTGTGTACTTCTCATTGCCCAGCAGAATTTCGTTCGAGCCCAAGTCACCATCGGGTCCGCCAGTTTGCAACTTTCTGACCTGGCTTGGGTCGAGACCTAGCTTGCGATAGATACCAAGCACATATTGGCGAACAGACAAGGTAGTCATGCCATATGAATCATGAGGAATACCACCGAGTTTGGGGCTCTTGCCGGTGAAGAACGACTTCCACCATGGTGCGCCTCGGTTGCGGGCGTGCTCTGTGGCCCAGTCGACAAGATCAGCTGTATTCTCGTCAGGACCCATGAAGAGGATTTCTTGTTGTCCGTGAAGGTCAACGATTGGATCCTTGATGCCCGGGCTTGTTGGCTTGAGAAGAAGGTCCATGATACTGTCAATGTACTTCTCAAATGCCACACGGGCCTTGTCCTGGTGGTTGAAATCGAGTAGGATGACACCTTTCGAGCCGCCCTCAGGTATGTCTTTGTTCTTTCGTTGCTGGGTGTTTGCCAGGTTATAGTTCTCATCAAATTGAGTTCTGGCATTGATAGAATAGAGTTCCCTGTTGCGAGACTTGACAATTCGGATACCTCCACGAGCAATGTCGCGGAAGCGCAGGTGGAACCCCCTGAATTCTGATCCAATGATTAGGAACATGCCGTACAACGCTTGAGGATATTCGTGCTCGGGTAAGAACTCTGTACTTGGTTTGAGTCGAAAGCTGAGAGCAACCTTGGTAGGTGTATAGAAATTCGTCTTCAAAACTGCTCGGTTGAAGGTCAGGAAATACTGCATGACCATCTCGTCGTGCTGGTTGTGGACAGTCCGGGAGATCAAATCGGACAAGCTATTGTAGTCTAGAACCTGCTCGACGTTGAGACGGAGGTAACTCAAGGTCGGAATGAAGTCGTCTTGTTCTCCTCTGGTCTGGACATAGTGGGTATTAGCAAAGGAGAGATAGAGGTTTCTGATGAGGTCGGGGTATTTGTTGATGATCTCGAGGATGTACTCTGAAGTGAAAGTTTCTGTCCGGAGCCGCTTCTTAATCTTAGCCAGCAGCTCAGCATTGGTGTTACTATCTCCCTTCAAAGCCGCAACCAGGGATGTATATTCAGAGCCCAAACGGTTGAGAAATTGTTGCACGAAGATATGAACGCAGTGGGCGTAGATGCTCTCCTGCAAGCTCAGGTTCCCACTTGCAAACTGGCCTTGTAGTTTGTTCTGGGGGATACAGAATAGCAAGGATACTTCCTTGATGATTTGATGAATAGCTGCCTCGATGGGGGGATGCCGAGACTTCGCGATGTCATTGCTTGCAGGTTTGAGGTAAAGAGATATGATCGTAATGCCGTTTGAAAACTGCTCCACATACTTTCTTGAGCTGGTAACTCCGTAATAGTGATAGAGATCAGACAGAGCGCTGTAGACACCCATGGCAGAACCCTGTCGGTATGCGATGACGACTCTTTTCTCTCTCGTGCCCTGTATATCGAACATCTCGATGACAGGCCCCGTTCGCTGAACCGCATATGTGATGATCTCTTGGTAGACCTCTTTCGTGTTCTTGGTGGCTTTCTGCAAGAATCTCTTTTCCCCAATTTGTTCCAAGTCTGTCTCATCTGGGCTTGGGTTGGGATTGTTGAACTGACACTGGTAGACGAAGTAGCAGCGCAGGGACTGTTCCGGGTTCTCGGGCAGGGCATTGTTCGACCGGAAAGATTCGACTCGATAGCTTCTTGCGGGTGTAGATCCGTCAATGTACTTCTCGTCGATTCTCTGCTCGTATCTTGGGCCTTTGATCATACTGATTCCGGGCTTGCTTGTATCAATGTAAACTGCATGATCTGCCGCTTCTTTGGCCAACTGGATCTCCAACTTCTTGTCGTCCCGCGCATACGCAGCCAGTTTGGCGGCATATAAGGAGAGGATGTTGCTTGCGACGGCCTCGACCGATTCGGTTGAGAAGTACATGTCATCGATGCCGAGTGCATTGTAGAACCATTCCGTTTCCGACGCAATGAATTCGGTAGGCAGGAAGCCTTTTTCTTCGATGAGGTCCATAACTATTGTTCGGTTAGTACTTCCATACACCCCTTGCTAACCACGACGCAGACTTGCCTTCTTCCATCTGGGCTTTCTTGCCCTCAAACTTGGGGGCCACGTAGCCGGGGCCATTGTGATCTGCTGAAAGGGTACGATGCAGGGAGATGTTGGAACTGGATGCTCCTGGAACACCAAGTAAAGTTGGTTGCGGTGAGGGTTGCCGGCCTGGTGTCCTGACGACCTGGTCGACCAGCTTGTGTCTGGCTGCGTTCAACACGCCGTCCCCATTGACAACTTGACGATCCATGTTTGCTGTTGGAGTGAGCGACAAGTCTCCGGCGTGATGGACCGGAATTGACGCACGAGATGGAAGTAGGAGAGATGAAGGGGATGATGTAGGAAGTATTTGAAGGGGCTCAATGAAGTATTTCTCGCTCAGCTACTAGCATTTGACGGCTGTGAGGGCCGGTCAGCCGCAGACAAGGTAGAATCGATCTGAACGTGTTTGGTTGACGTGGTTCAGCCACAACTTCCCTTCGGATGCCGTAAACACCCCTTGCGCGGTTATCGTCGAATTGATCCAAATTCTGACCGGCTGAAACACGGTGCTATATGTATCGATTACAGATCATGATGCCTCCAACTACGAAACGTGTCCCCTAGCCCTCGCTATTTATATCGAGGACCATTGCGCAAAGTTTTCCGCGACTTGCATCACATGGTTGCAGATATTTGAGACTTCGGGGCGACTTCAGAATCTAATTACGCCAGTGCCCTAAGCTGCTCCCCCGCAATTGGATCGATGCGCCACTCAACGCGCATCAAGCCCAGAGTTTTTCAGGCACCGGGCTGTAAAGTTGCCAGATGCATCCTAGTTGCTCCAGGGACAGAGCAGAGTCTTTCTCGATGAGCCAGTGACGCGGCTAGCATCGGGGCTCAGCGGGCTCGAGCGGTGCTGGTGTGCAGCGTTTGGGCCAGTGACAAAACGTGCTGAGAATAAAGTCTGGCGCAGAATGCGCAGTTGACTAACACAATTAAATGTCGCAAGGTGCTGCAGCTGTAACTGGATTTGCTAATCCAACAATGTATTGCTCGACCCGTGTCGCCCCCGTCCCTCTCCGCAATTGAAGGGCCTGGGGCAATGAGAGGCATTTATGTTACTTTCTCGTTACGAAACAAACAACAGAACTCCGATCTTTGCTCTTGCGACCCCGGAATCAACAATGCAATGTCGCTTTAGCGATGCCACAAGTCAAATCAAATGTGCGGCCTATGTTCCACGGCTTCCTCCTCCGCGTGACTTGCGAGTGAACTCCTCTCCCCCTGGGAGTCACCTGCATCCACCTCTCCGTCCTTGTCCGGGTCATAAGACGCGATGGTTCTGCTCTGAGACCGGGCCTGTGCTTTGATGGTCGGAGGTGCCGGCTTACAAGCCTCATCTTCGTCGATGGAGTGTCCATGGTCGGGATAATCTTCTTCGAGTAATCCACCATGCTCCTCTTCGGCTCCATGCTCCCTGTTGTCCTCGTCGTCCTCTCGAGAGGCCTTGTTGTCCTTGATGAAAGTGTCGATAATGTAATATTGTAGTGCGTTCATGATCAGTGGGAAAATGAGCATGACAAAAGCAATCTGGATGGCTTCGTTGCCTTCTGTCCAGCGTAGAGCCCAGTCACCGACTTGGCCCAGCCATGGACACAGCTGGAAGATGAGCAATACACAAGCCTTCATTCCCAGCAATCCCAAAAAGTAGATGAGACACTGCTTCAGCCACCAGGTGGCCTTGGGTGGCGTTCCATAATGCCCGGATTCTATTGACTCTTTCGGTCTTGCGAGAGGGGTGTAACTCGCGCCGATAGTCAGGATTCTCAGTATGCATATCAATATAGGGATTCCAATCGTCGTGTCAATGGCCAGGTTCAACAAGTAGAAAGAACAAGGATTGGGGCTGTATACATCATTGATCCCGGTACCGAGGGTGCTTGCTGCGGCCTTTACGAGGCTTCGTTCGATTTGTCCAGAAGAGAACATAGACATGAGTAGATTTGCCAGATGTAGCAGGATGGACCCTACGACCTGTTTTGAGGCATCGAAAGACCAGATCTTCAGAGGTCGCTGCGGCCTTTCCCGCCATCTTTTGTACACTAGAGACAACAGGGCGAGAGCTCCTAGAGCACCTTGGACAAGAATGGCAAAAGGACCCAGTAACTTGCATTCGCCGCTGCTTTCGTCATCCGCGTCGGTGGTTGACGCGGACTCCAATGGGGAGGCCGATGCGAGAGGGAACAATGAGTTCTGTGTAGCCGAGGCTGCAGCAGTCGCTATGCCAAACATCACAGCAGTGGAGGTTGTCATGATGTCCGAGAGCAGAGGCGACGCTTGCGATTCTGTAGCAAGCGCATGGTGTATTGCCGCGGAAGAGGGGAGGAGGTCGGGAGGCTGCATGTGCGGACAGAGGGGGGTGTCAGGAGGGTTTCGATGGCTATAGCACGTTCATCAGAACCAAGTCACTGATTCTCAGCCTGCTGAGAATTCCTGGTCGGTGGCGATTAGGCAGTGAAGAAATATCACCAGAGGGGAACGACAAGAGGGGGCACAGCCCTTTGGTCAAGTTGCGCACCCAAACAGGGTTGCAGGGGTGGCCAAAAGCCAAAACGTGGTTGTATGAGGCGGGGAGGAATGCTAGTACGCCAAGCCATCGTCATCGAGCCTTAGGAGCCTGTCAGACAACCCTTATTGCAGGCATACTACAGTATGTACTTACCTCACCTGCCTAGGTAGGTAAGGTCAAGGGAGTCAAAAAGACCTGTTCTTCTCCGCTCTCCATAGATGTAATCTTTGGCAGTCGTGGTAGAAGTTTCAGTGAGCGGAACCTCATTCAATCCGAGTGTTAAGCTCTTCTCGTCTACATTTGTTCTCTAGCAATACAAAGAAAGCCCGAGTTCAGATCTAGATCTGACTCAAGGAAACCAATCGTTAGGACCACCACCAAAAAGGCACGTCTCAAAGGGTATCATGGTGCTAGTCATCTAGCAAGCTAAACCAGAACGCCGTCTTCATTTCTGTCGTTACAGATCGTCTTCTCCGTTTTCGTTTCCAGGGTTCATTCTTCCAATCCTGTCGCCTGAGCCCAACCAGTTTTTGATCACGCAAGGCGCCGATTCGGGGCCCTGACATATCTTCTTTCTTGAAAGGTGCTTGAACTTGGGACCGAGGGGTCCATTGACATAATGGTACTGTCCCGCAAAGCGATACTGTCTCTTATCGCCCAGTGGATAAAACTTGTCTCCCCAATGGCCGGCAAAGTGGAACCATTCAGTCGGTGCACTGGGTGTCACATTTGAAGACCGTAGATTTTCGGTCTTGTAATCATAGGTATAGGCATGGGAATTGAGCGATGGGTCCCAAAGAGGACCACGGTCAGTCAAATCGTGCAGAATCCCCCAGGGTAGGACATATGGGTGTGTTCCCGGAGTGGCATACATTGCATGGGTCCCGTAGGCTGAATAAATGACGGGCCGTTTCCCGAGCTTCTCTACAGCTTCGTAACTGTACGCGGATCCAAAGTTATGTTCACTGAAGAACACAGCCCTCGGCTTTCCGTGCTGGAATCGCACCACTGTGTGTTCCCAGTCGCCCACATGGTTACCAAATCTCACATTCAGTACCACATTACCAAGGTTGAAGCTGTAAAAGAAGAACCAGAAGGCGTCGACGATACCATGCCCCTTATTGATGGTGACTAGAACAGCAGGAGCATCACTTCGGCCGCCACGGATTGTCCCGGGCGCTAGACTCTCGAGTACCGAGCGTTTGAGTTCCATATGTCTTTGGCGTGCTGCCTTCTTGGCATCTGATTGGCCGGTGAGCGATTCTCGAAAATCGGCCAACATCTCCGGATTATCGAGGTTTGGCGCGAACCAGTCTTTGAGATCAGTCATTGCATCTTTCAGACCTTGAAGATAGGTCCGGCCAGGGCGGTGTACCCAGCCGTCATTGTCATCAAGAGGGTCCTCGGGGTTGGAAGGCCTGTTCGGGATGTTTTTTTGACCCTCCAGCCATTCCGGCCGTTCTTCAACATTATCTTTACTTGTCAGAAAAACCCATTCGCCATCCTGCCACTGGTTCAATCCGTCCAAGTCGTTCAGTGTTGGATGCTGCTGGTCTGACTGCACCGCTGTGTAGTTGAGAGTAGGAATGATGTGATAGAGATGTTCTGCAATATCACATGGCCAGAATTGTTCGCCCGAGTAGAGATGAACTAGCGGGGCATATTCCATGACATAGTCTGGAATCTCGCGAAGAACGCGCTCATCATCTGTCCAATCTTCGGGCCTATCATTTCCTTCAGTCCAAGCATGCTGCCAATCCCAATCCGGTGTGTAGTCCACCATCTTCTTGGAGTTGTATTTAATCACAGGGCGGCGTCCAAACCTTGTCGTGTCGGAAGCGTAATGTATATGTGTCCCGCCACAAACACCAAGCCACCGACAGGCCTTTCGATCCAGCCATGACTTGGAAGTAGCCATCCATTTCGACTCCTCTTTGTCCTCATCTTGCCATATGAACGCTTCTGGATGGGTGGCTTTCCAGATGCTGTTGATGCACATATAGGAGATGATTGTGGACAGAACGCCTATAGTGGCTTTGGTTTTGGTGCCACCCATCTCCTCTCCCTGTAGTTCCTTATCCGTCACCGATTCATAGATGGGTTGGGGGTGTATATCGGTCCCTGCAGTATAGGAATCTACAATGACCACGACAGACTCGTCAGTTTTGACATCGGTTGGGCCGTTCGTATTCAAGAGCGCCTGCGCAAGAGGGAGGGAAGAGTCGTCGACTGTCGGGCTGGCCGAAGTCTGAGAAAAGAGAAGAGCAGTGAGAAACGAGGCTGCCGGCGCCGAGGTATATAGTGGGTTTGTCAGCCCGGAAAGCGAGGGAGGATGATGATGATGGAAGATCAAAGACACTATGCAAACGAGCCGGAACGGTTAGCCATATAGTCACGAAGGGTTTAGATCTGACATGAAGACCAGCTATGTGACTGGACCAGGACCGGACCACCGCTGGGCGTCAACCGGGCAGAGGCCCATCGAGGCTCCCAGGCGGGCTATCAATAACCGCATTGAACAAACAGCAGACTCAAAATGGACAGCAGGGCGGACATAATGACTGAGCGACGCTCCGCCGATATGCCACCTCAGAGCCGCAGTCCGCTGTTGTAGATGAATAATGCCATAAATATGCAGTTCCGCCAACATCCGTGTGTGACGCAGGAGGAGTCGCCTTGATCCGGTGCCGTGCGAAGGGGACAAGGAACGTACTGATAAGCCTTGATTGGCCCACTCCACCAAGAAAGCGAGGGGCTTTGTACGAGGGTTGGGAATAGTAGCGGTCTGAAGTAACCTAGACCAGTGAGCTGTACATCTGACCAGGGAAAGAATCGAAAAGTATCAGGGTTTGAAAAGGATTTGAGAAAGGCGATTGAAACAAAGGACGCAGTCCCCGGGTGGCTATGATGTGATCCGGATGTGCAGGAAGAGTGATGACAAGACACGGAGAGGACGAGCCTGAAGCCAATATTCTGGCTGATGAAACCCCAAGTTGGCTTTGGCGTTACGATGACATCGTCCAGCGGAATGTTTGGTCGACTTGGGGCCACTTCCGATCTGACACCAAATACAATAGGCTATTCTTGTCGCGCCCGGAAGAAGCTTCAGCTTTAGCCTATGGCTCACTAGTTAGTTAGGCTTACTGGCCTCAGGTTCTTGGACAGTTGAGCAAGGGATCCGCAGTCCGATCCTCCCGCCAATACCGCATTCTGACACCATCAAGCCCCTTCCAGGTAACTTCATTCTTGCTCATATTCGCGCTCTGAGGAGCTGACACTCTGCCCCTACGAAGGCCACGCTGAATGCATGTTTCTATGACCTTGGCGCTGGTCAAGTTTGGTCCTCGTAGTCCGTGCCCGTAATGTGTGCATAACGAAAACGACGCCTGTTCCTCGCCGCGTCTCAGAATCGCTGGGATCGTTTTTTCAACAGCGCTTATGTTACAAAAGAAACGAGGTAAGTCACCAGATCGGCCCCGGGGTTAGCTGCTACCGGCTACCATTGTCTATTGAGTGCCCGAAGCTTGGTCAGTACCACTTGCAGAAGCACCATTCATACAGCCTGTCTCTTATGGCACTGCAGAAGTCGTGCTTCCCAGCGGCACGCTCGCTCTCGACGAAGCACTGTCCCACCCCCACCACCGATGCTACTGGCCGCTGACGCCACGAGCCGATCGAAGTTGCTGGCTGTGGCAGGGGTCAAGGTCACACGTGCCGGAGGATTGATGGACGTTGCTTCTGTTGTCGGGTCGGTACAGACAGAGCACCCAGTCGAACGTAGATGTGCTGGCGGTCGATCGAGAATCTTCTCCAATGTAGCAAAACACGCCATTCAGGCTCACTGTTGATGCTGCGACGACAGCTCCAGGACATTTACTGAACTCGGGAGCGAGTGATTTGTCTGGTTCAGACTCAGGAACTTGTTGACATGCTTACCTAGCCTAGGCACATACCGTGCTCGTGGGTATTCTCCTGCCCCGGATTCGAATTGGGATGCTCGTGCCATGCATTGCTCCGTCTCTTCTGAAGTTGCAATGGTGTGTCTAATGACTAACTCGAATCCGTAGTGAGACGGCATGAAGTTGTGCTCTCTCACTCGTAGACTTTGAGGTTAGGGTCCGACAGCTGGCGTAAACTAGACAGTTGCCGAGATGAGTATACAAAGACGTCTATGTCGAAATCCCAATATTGAGTTAGGGACAGACCAAGTTGTAGCTACCTGTGTACTTCAGTCACGCGGGGCGCGTTCGTCATGATCGCAGACTGAAGATTGGAGCCCACACAATGATCTCCAGACCGCATCTCGTTCGAGTCGAAACGAAGCGCAAAAAGGCACTTCAAAGTTAGGCTCCAATTGCTCCGAGGCAGCCTGATGGTCGATCACGTTGTAAAGTCTATTAAACAGTCGTGACACTTGCGCCTTTAGGTTTAAGTACTAAGCGAGCGTGAATTCGACCGTTATTTATGCACACCATTTGGCTGTGGGCTTGTAGTACATTTCGGAACAGGACTAGCTATGGAAGTCCCAAAAGAGTGCTCCTTGTTGCACTTATGCAAAAGAACAGACCTCTCATCATTTTGCGCTTCGTTCTTCGTCTTTCGTTTTACTCTCAGACTTGCTTGATATGCCACTGGTTGACAGAAAGCGATTCGCTGTACGTGGGTAAAAGGGATACGCTGAGCATGCCGGATTAAAGTAACGCCGCTTAATCGTAACTCTCATCGCGCCGAAGCTCACGTGATGCGTTCTACAGAAACCTCTCCGACGATATCATTTCAAGTCACCAACCTGCCCTGCACCAACCTACTATGTCTCAGCAGAACGAGACGTTTTAGTTCTGCCATATCCAGATTGGCTGTGGAGATTGTTGATCGTGCCATGTTTTCGGACGATGAATTCGAATATGAGTACGATGACAACGAGACAGAGGTAGGAAATGCATGATGCCAAGTGCGCTTCCTTAACTTCTTCTGGCCGTTCCTTATGTTCTCTTGACAGACATTCTTCGTGGATCTCGACCTCTCTACCTTAAATTCCAGAACACGCGCAACCGTACCTGGGGGCCAGAAGCCAGCTGTCCCCGTCAAACCAGCAGCTGATGACTCAGTCCCGCAAACACCCGACAGATTCGAAATAGCGCAGAGCCCACCAGGGATCCCGGTCAATGGCGATGACGATCTGGGAGCTCAGGACAAGCCCAAAAGATCAGCCGTAGAAGGTGATGATGATGATACGTCCGCCTTTGGGAGAGATATCCAGATCCTGGACTTTCCATCGACAAATCCGGTAGTTTCATACAGGGGACAGGTATACAGCTGCATGTGGACAGATATGATCGGCACCAACATGTTCTTCACAAGCCCTGGCTCCATGGACAGACCCCTAAGACGCACAGACGCGTACGACCTGGTCGGAATATCACGGATCAAACTTGTTGCTGAACATGCAAAAGTCGCCAAACAGCGCCCGACAGATGGCAGCAATGTAGGTGTCAAGCCGGCCATGTCTGAACATGTCTTGGATGGTAGTAGCCTTGGGGACTTCCATCGCTCAAGTCCAGTCATAAACGCTCAAATCAAGAAGCAAGCCTCCTTTCTAGAAAAGTTGATGGACATCAAACGGCAACGTGGAGAAAGAGACATCGTGCGTGCTTATGTCAACGAGGACACCGCCATGGCAGGGGGCCTTGTACTTGATGGAACTACGCGGGATGAGCTGGAGACTTTGAGTCGGAAAGTACTCAACGGAGATGGAAATGCTCTTGCACAGCTTCAAGAGATCTATTCTCGACTAAAGGGACAAGACCAAAACCCCCAAGAAAACGCCCCGACACCTTCCAGTCAAGGCGACTGATATGACAAACTCTGTGTGCTTTTGCAACAGCTCAGTGTTGCTCAGCTGGAAAATTCAACAGGGGCAAGATATTGCCATATTAAACCTAATACACGATGTTCTAGAAGCAAAACCCAAACACTGCAGGATTCACCACGCTTCCACCAAACAACACAGTACCCAACGCAATCTGGAGCGAGGCGGCCGAACTAATGGTCGTGCTTGTCGCGGTTCCAATGCACTGGAGATGGAGGTGGGGGTGGAGGCGAGTGCTCAGGCAATTGTCTGCGCTCTGAGTAGGAGGCATATTTTGGTCGTGGGGAAGCCTCAACCGCTTTGCGGATATCTCGGCTGGAGGTCTCTGAGGCGAGGACAGTTGATCGGTAGGACAATCGTTGCATGGTCTCGGAAGGCATGTTTCCGTTCGGCGTAGGCGGGCCGTAGGTGTTGGAGCTGTGATGCTAGATGGCCACCATCAGTGCTCTGCAAACGCTAAGCAGGGAATGAGGGACAGCTCTACTTACTGGGGGGGTGACGGCCTGATGATTTTCGTTTGGGTCGAGAAGGATGAATGCCGTCTGTAGTGTGGATGTGTTATGCTGCAGGAACAATTGTATTGCCGTTCAAGAAATGTTTTCGATCGACAAAGAAAACTGGAGACGAGACCACGGGTATTTATGAGGTTCTCAGGGAAAATGCTGGGTGTGTGAGGGAAATTCTCAGGAGCAAGGGAGCCGTGTTTTTTCCCAAGAGGATGTGACGGTCTCAAATACCCCCTTCGCCTGGGAGAAATGGTCTGGGAGAATGGGACTCATCAACTCACAAATCTGGCGGTGAAAGGCGACGTGGGATGTCACATTTCAAACGAATCCGGCTGGTCGATTGCAAACAGACCCCGAATGCGCCAGAAGTGTTTCCCCGGAACCACGAGCGTGGCTTTCCCTCTGGGTCCTTGCAATCCTAGACCGCACATCCCGGCATCCTGGCGGCGGGCGAACAGGCTACAGGGGGTGTCTGGAAATCAGCGAGCTTACCCAGGCCGGTTGCATCGGTACGAGTACGGTAATTCTGTTTGCTTCCATCTGTTCGCCGTGCTCTTCCTGTCGCTGCTCTGTTGCTGCCTGAACAGCTGTGTCGCCCTCGTTGGCTTCTCTCTACTAGGCGTCCCTGTCGATGGTGGCCTTTACTTTACATACGGGACGGGGTATATACTCGTAGACCAGGGCGTCAGATGGAATGCGCCGACACCAATGGATCGCCGCATCGTGCCCGTTGGCTGGACGATCCCGCCGACCGCCTATCTGTACGTACACACTACAGCACACTGACATGCGTCCGATCTATGTGACTACTGGATGTCAAGATCGGGGCATGTACGGAGCACCACATCTAGTACTTTCCCAAAGCGCATGAAGTTCGGAAGCGGTCATGATTCATGAGCAAGGAGTGGGAGTCTCATCACGCCGGCTGTTCTACGTCAGCCGCGAGCTAGCTAACAAAACCACTTGGATCAGAAGACGGTGGCGTGTTGGGCATTTCCCAAGTACTCGGGAAGTGGAAGCGTTGAGGACGAATCTGGCTGTCCATCCCGCGCGCCAGACGGTCTACTGATACATCCGACGCCAGACGGTGCTTAGCGATTGTCTTGAAGCCCCGGAATCCCCATCCACCCCTTGTTGAGGTGGGTATTGGACGCCGCCGTCTGTTGCGGGAATGCTGCCGGAAGCTAGAGAAACTTGGGGCAGACGCCAGAAACGCTACGGCCCTTTACAAGCTGGACGGGGGGATGGCGGCTCACCAAGGCTTGCAACCGGAAGCGACCATTCAGATCCAGTTGCGTGGTCCAGTTGGAGACATTCTCTTTTCTTTCCTTGCGACGCTGTTCGCGGGCTGACCTCCGACCCCCATGGGCCATGGCAGACGAGTCCGAGTACAGGTACAGCCTAGAGTACCTAGGGTACGGTATCTACCTTCTCCCGTGTTGATGCCTGACAGTTGTACAAGCAGTGAACCACATCCTGCCCGGCGAGCCCACCACTCCTGTCCTGTCGCCTTCTCCCGGAACAAGGAACATTGTCTGTGAATACGAGGCATACGAGGCATACGAGGGGGCCCAGGACATTCATGTGCGATGGGATCGCAAAAGCACCTCTGCAAACGAGTGCTGGCACCTTTCGGTTGTGTCACTTCGTCCATCGCCGCCAGTTACCCCCTGCGGCAGCGCCTGCCATCATGTTGCCAGCCTGTCACTCGCAACATAGTTGGTCGTCGTGTGAGACCAGGCCGCATTCCCCGTGTAGCCCCCCAGTACACCCACCCCTCCCCGGACAAGTGTGTTGTTGTATGATCGGGCATCAAACAGGGCAACCCCAGGAATGTGGCCAAGTCAATAGCAACACTGCATGCGGAGTAGTGAGGTGACTCTTGACGTACGCAAGCTGGCGGCGCCATCGATCCTTGTTGCGCAACGTCTGGACTGCAACTGCGTGGGATACGAGTACGGTGCACAGCATCACTCTTACCGGCACGGATTTTCATTACATTCTAATGTTCTATTTGCTGATCGCTTCCCCTGGGGCGACTGGGCACGGTCTCACAATCCTCCAAACTCGTACTCAGTAAACGAAGTGGTGAATTACCAACCTACCTCGGCCAGCCTTGTGATTGCGAGAATGTCCTACACGCAGGGCTGAACATGGCCGGGAGGTGCTGAGGCGTTAAATATGAACAGCACCTTTGTCCAACATATAGCTCACATCGACATTGCAGTGTAGCTTCGTCCTTCTGAGCCACCCTCGTGCATTTTGCAAGTCAGTTTCGCTTACTATAACCAGGCCGCACCCATTGACATCCGTGAGATGCCTTACGGTCTGCACCAGTACGCTCGATCGAGAGGAGAAAGCAGTTCTATCATGCAAGGCCCCCCGAAAGAGAAATACGGACTAAAGTACGGAGTAAGAAAAGCTTAGAGCATTTGGTCAGGCAAGGTAGGGAGGTATACATCTGAATACCTAGACATCTCGGTCTGTGGCTGTCGCGCTGCTGCGATTATGCTACGCACCGTGCTGCCGGTTCCCGACACTTGAAGTTCCTGTTTCTCCTTTTCCAAATAATAAGGGCCGTCGTCCCTTTATTCATGTCTTGTTGGGTAGCCTTCCACGGTCCATCCGCGCAATTGCTTGTAGACCTTGAGATGGCAGAGCTTTCTCTGCAAGGCGTCGCCACCGACAGTGAGCTTTCTCTCCGTAGGGAACGGGAGCGTATTGGGAGGCCGATTATGCTACCCATGGTCCTGGGACCGAGTCTCTGCATGTATCCAAATTTTTTCCTGCTCGGATGAACAAATCCTTGAGCAGAGTTCCTGCATCCTATCTTCATTTGATCTTCACTCGATTCCATGTTCTCGCTTCATGCGCTCAAGATTCTCTTGTCTGGCAGCAATATCTTCCTTCGCTTCGACCTTCATTTTCTCGGGTTGATGGTACAGGACGACCAAATAGCGGTTCATAAAGTTGAACCCGTTCAGTTTGTCGCAGGCTTGTTTCGCATCCAACACCTCATCGTAAACCACAAAAGCGGTGCCTTTCGTGGTAGTCGAGTTCCCAAGTCTTATCTGGCGTACACCTCCAAACTTAGTGAATAAAGACCACAGACTCTCGCTGTCCACGTTGTAGGCAAGGTTCTTGACAAATAGGATGCGATTGGCCTCGGGGGCCAGCTTGTTGCTGCGGGACATTTTTATGGAGCGGTGAGGGTAGAGGGAAGGAGTACTGAGCGTGCAGACGAGTTCAGAAGATGGCGGAGAGGCTGGATGGTGCGGTTGATGTCGTCGTTGTCGTCTGCAGTAGATTGTAGTGATGAAGTTGAAAATGCGGAGGATTGCCGAGAGATACCTGCGCCTCTCGACGGGGAGAATCAACAGCAGAGGAGCGGCGCAATGTGATCAACTTTTGTCCTGCCACTATCACTTTGGCTTAACGTACTTGTTCACAGCCTCAATTGAATACACGGCGCGGTGAAGAATTCGAAGTTGTGGTGCGGCCAGTGCTCGAGTCGCTGCTTTTTGGACGAAGCGCGCGAAAGAGTTTAGAACCGCAGTCATCAACCTCTCCCGCAACCGCCTTTCACAACCAGCTACACTTTCCATTCCACCACGATCCATACGCTGCACACGGTCCTTACTCTGGCAACATTCACCGGCTTCGACAAATGTTCTCTCACCAATGTAGCCAAATCGTCTCCGGGCCCTCTCTCACCTTCATCCGCGTTCACAGCTAGAGTCAACAACCCCGCCTCCCTGCCAACTTGGTGAACGAGAATCATGCCTACGTCTACAGTATGGCGTCCTTCCGGAGACCCTTCGATGCCTCGAGGGGTCAGCCCCATGCGCCCTGCGCCCCAGGACATTGAAAGGCTCTCTCCTGATCCGGTGCTCGAATCGGCCTTCCACCCCGTATCCTCCTCTTTACCTCCGACCTCACAAGAAAATGGCTTCTTATTGAAGGGACTCGGCTTGTCAGAAACAGAAGTTCCGAACAACGTAGGAGCTACTCTTCAGCTGGATCATCTATACTACGATCAGGACGGTGCGGCGCATGTCGGTGCTCGACTCGTTAGAGGAGTAGGCGCACCCAACGGACGTCAGTTGCCCAAGACCTCCCACAGGTCGTCAACGAGTGCTAAAATGATTTTAGATGATCGGAAACCTGGAGCAAAAGGCCATACACGCTCTGGATCTACCATCGATGACCTTGCGAGTGCCGCGATCGCGACCAGCCCTGCCCTCGTCGAACAGCCTTCTCCCTCCTTCTCTACACGAAGCAACTTCTCTACGACACGACCGTCGACCTCCTATGTTCCACGTTACACGTATGAGGAGCACTCTAATGAACCGCCTTCGAAACGAATCAAATCGGAGCGCCTCCCTAACCTTGAGTGGTCACCCCGTGCGGATAGGCCGAAAACTAGTGGCAACGACAATTCAGGAGATATAACACACGCGTGGCTCTTGCTAAGTCTAAAGAATGAAGTCAATTTCAAACATCTCACGCCGTCTCTGCCTTCTGCAGCCCTGCATGAACCTGCAGTATCACCACCCCTGCCGAGGCAAACCAAGGAATATTTCAACCAGGAAGATACAACAGCAGTGCATGCATCGCGGCACACGAGTCCGGAAAGAGATATTGAAGACCGGGAAGCGGCCGCGAGCAAGGAGCGCAAAGTAACCGACAGTCGACTGATGCGTGTGCCAGAAGAGGATGACATTGCGTCTAGACTATCCAGCCTGTCGAAGAGAGAGACTTTAGGCGAAGAGAGGATCCACGAAGCCCTAACAAAAGCTAACGATGCGCAATCTGGCCTCTCTTCTACCTCAGCCCAGACTGCACCTCCTAAGAAACAGAGACGAGTCAGGCCCGAAGTCCAACAAGATACCTGTGCAGGCTGCCATCGCCTCCAACCGGAAGCCACCAACGAAGAGGATGTTGAGATTTCTTGGATACAATGTGGTCCTTGCGAGAGGTGGTTCCATGAAAAGTGCGCAGGTTTCAAAACAAAAGCCGAAGCAAGAAGTGTTGATAAATACGTCTGCAAGGACTGCGAGCCTCTACATGGCAAGACCACGTACGTACGGAAGTCGGCGCGGCAGAGGACTGCCGTCGACTACGTCAATCTCAACCAGGGTGTTGTCAAACCATCGGAAGATACCTTGACGCATCATTACATACAGCCGATTAAAGAGGGGAAGATCGAGCTTCTACCAGACGACTTCCCACGTGTACGGCCGGAGCTGGTCACGGTGGAATTCATGGAGAGCTTCGAGGGAATGAAGCGACCATTTGTGGTTCCGGCATGCTGGAATCCACGATTCGGTGCTAAGCGTCAGACGAGTCCGAAGCCAGAAACACCTCTATCCACTGTGACCAATGAACAAGGAGCTCAAATGGTTCAGGAAGCAGAGGACCCTTTAGAAGTGGTTGAAGACGAAGTCATCGACTGTGACCAAGACTTGCTAGGTATGGTCATTCCACGCCATCTGACCGTGCGAAAGGTCGCAGAGCTTTACGGACCACAAGAATTTGTCCCTGTTATTGATGTCAAAACCCAAGAGACCAGGGGACAATGGACCCTGAAAGAATGGGCCGATTACTACGAAAAGCCAGGTGAGAAGCCGATTCGAAATGTAATCAGTCTGGAAGTATCACACAGCCCGCTTGGCCGGCTCCTACGACGTCCAACGGTCGTACGGGAGCTGGATCTTGAAGACAATGTTTGGGAGCTCGATGCAGAAACACGAGCAAAGAAGCGACCTGTGCAGTTTTATTGCCTGATGTCGGTCGCCGACAGCTATACCGATTTCCATATCGATTTCGGAGGATCGTCAGTGTATTACCATATCCTCAAGGGAACAAAAACATTCTTCTTTATTCCGCCTGAGGATAAGTATCTTAAGAAGTATGAAGAGTGGTGCAACTCGGACGCTCAGAACGAAACCTGGTTGGGAGATTTATGCAACGGCAATGTCACGAGGGTTGATCTCCATGAGGGAGATACTGCTTTTATTCCCGCTGGTTGGATTCATTCAGTCTGGACACCAGAAGACAGTCTTGTCATCGGAGGGAATTTCCTCACACGTATCGACTATGAAACACAGTTGAAGGTGTTCAACGTGGAGAAAGCCACCAAAGTCGCAGCAAAGTTTCGCTATCCTTTCTTCCAGAAAGTGATGTGGTACGCATTGATGAAGTATCTCGAAGATGATCCGATTCCGGAAGAAGTGGTTGAAGACTTTCGGGAGGATCCAGATTATACATTCTTACGCGCAAATCCTTTATGGCACGAACTTGGACACTTGGAAAACACAGCGCCACCAGGAGACCCCGCCCACAACGCGAGATACTACCCGAAATCAGAAGTGACGGGGTGGCCATCATTACGAGACTATCTCTACCGGACTGCTCGGGTCCATGCCGGCCTGCCTGTTGCGGATATCAACAAGAAACAGATCGATGCTGTCAAGAATTCAGTGCCCAAGGAATGCAGTGACCCCTTGCTTACGATCAAATTATTTGCAATCTGGATTGCTTGGAAGACTGGAAATGTCACTGTTCCGGAATGGGTACATTCTGATGGTGCTCTTGAGAGCGAACAGAATGACAAGGTCAAAAAGCCAGAGAAATACCCACTCCCGGGAGAACGTACGTCCGCGCGAAGAGCGGCACAGGTTCAAAGTCAGCCACAAAGTCCTCCCGAGGCACTCAGCCCTGTCATTTCCGCCAGACAAAGCTCAAAACCAGCGCCCAAGAGCAGTAGCAGCAAATCGGCATGTGAGAATTGCAGGAAACGTCGAATCAAGTGTAAACACAAGTCTGGTAGTGAGACGCCCACGAGGGCTGCCCCAGAGATTCGACCGCGAAGTTTTTCTACTGGAGCGGCCTCGGTCAAAAATGCTCCCACAGCAAATCGCAATTCTGACCAAAGTGCGGTCTCAGACGTCATTGTGAATGGAGTCGAATCCAGCGATCCGCAGAGTTCCAAAAAGGGGAGAACGAAAGCTTGCGAGGAATGTCGCAAAAGCAAGGTATGTATCATGATACGGCTTCGGAAGATAAATGTTGACAAAGCTTCAGCGTCGATGTGTACATGACGAATATGGTCGTGTTGATCCCGCTAAAGCAGCGGAACCGTCCAAACCTCGAGGATCGACAAGTTCAAAACGCCCTTCTCGACCGAGTGACGACAATGGGCCAAACAAACGTGCAAAGATGTCCGACGAATATCTAGATGAGGTTATTGATCCGGCATTAATGAACGGCGACTCTCTTATTTTCGGGCAGGAAGCCGTAGAAGACAGTTTCCATACCCCCGGTCCTTTTGTCGAAAACGCCATCGATGATTCCGATGATGCGTCTCGACCTGTGGAGACGGAGAATGGCATCGAAGATGTTCAGCCCACAGACGGTGGTGATGGAGACAGTACGATGCCAATCGATCCATCGTTGATGGAAATTACTGTTCAGGCAACTGAAGAGGTCAACATCAAGAACGAGCATGAAGCAGGAGATGTCGTAATGGTCGATGGCGATGGCGCTGATTCTACCATTTCTCGGAACAACAGTGCATTCGCCACGCCAGGCCCGATCAAAACCGGATCGTCCGTCAATGGAGATTATTCGGTAATTGCCAGTTCGACGCCAGGATCAAGGCAGTCGTCACGACAGCCGAAACAGATCGAACGGTACACACCGGAGGATAAACGATCGCCGAGTAAGACGTTCTCTAAACCTCCGGGGAGCAATCGACGAGCATCGAGTGCTGCTAGTGCGCAAACAGTTGTGACTAACCCCAAGAGTCGCCGGTCATCCAGTCACACATCTTCAATTGTCCATCGGGACGGGATAGCCCTGCTGAGAGGACAAGCTGCATCCACAGAGGCCTCTATCTCTGCCGCCCGGCCTGTTAGTAGAGCTAGCACGGCAGAAAGCGATCTGGACGCAGACGAGAAGTTTGCTCGGGAGTTGCACGCTGCAGAGAATGGTTTGAGACGGCGGACGAGCATGAGGGCGTGAGCAATTTGGGATGGACTGATCCGTGAATAAGCGACCGGCTGCTGCTCCTGCTGCTGCTGCTGATGATGACGATGAGCCCGGCGGGTGCGGATTGAGTGATGGGGACGGAGGCGTTATTGCATTGCGTTCCGTCACCTGGACCATCGGAAATGACATGAGAGGCTTCGATTGATGAGTTGGGCAAGCACATTTGGTCTCATTCTCCATCTCACAGTTACTTCTGGGAGAGAGAGGGAGGTGTATGACACACTCGCGCTCACATGTGCGTTCTTGAGGACGGGGTCTGATGATGATTGGAAGCACGACGCTTGCTTACCATTTCTTTTTGCCGTGATGAAATTTTCTATTGGTTTTGCCACGGGCGTTCAATGGACGGACGGATAACAACAAGCAATTGTGCGCGCGTCCCTACCTGAGGTATGCGATTGGAACTGGAATGGGAATGGGAAATTTGATTATACTCGTGTGTACAGGAGCAAACAAACCGACTCCGCTGAGGTGCCTGTCTACCCTGCCTGCCTAGGTCTGGTAGGAGGAGGTACTGGTTTGCTTGGTCTAGCCGGTTCTTCTACTACCTCGACCGTGTTATTTTTATTCTTGTGTTTTTGATACATAATACCCTCTGATAGCAAGTTTGTCTCGATTAGAGAGCAACTGATGAAATGGAATGAAACGAACTGAAGTATCGAGAGTTTTCTCCTCTTGAAACACGATCCCAAAAAGTGCCAATTACCCTTGCCCGGTAGAAGGTCCCGATCGTATCACAGGTGAAATCGAGCAGCAAACTTTGTTGAGAAATGCCAGTTAAAGACAGACGGCGGGCAGGCGAAATGGGAATGCTATCGGGTTGGACACAGGGTAGGCGTCGATCCAGATATCCAGGTAGGCAGTCAAGCTACTCAGCTGCCATGTACATTTCGGCCACGCGGTACGGTTGCAATGTAACGGGTTTTTGTTTGTCTGTACACAGGTATCTGGTATTCCTTTTGGAGCTAAGCTACGAGGCAATGCCCAGGTTTTTATTCCGAAAAGTGGTGCAAACCCCATAGATTTTTGGAATAAAAACTTGGGCGTTGCCTCGTACCTCGTGGTGTTGTTCCCCCATGTATACCTACCTACCTACCTACCTAGGTGAAGAGGTAAAAGGCATACAGACCACAAGAGGCATTAAAACATCACGTCACGTCAACATTATACTAGCCACACAAAGTAGGTAGGTAGGTGAGCAGTATACAGGGTTTCCCCACCTAATAAGTCCATCCACTATCCACCCATCCATCATACATGCACAAATCAATCAGTCAGTCATTGCTCCGTGTACACTCCCTGCTATTCCCCCAAACCATCATCATAACCCCCTGTCCTTGTCCAACCATTTCGCCAACCCGACCGTGCCGTACAAGTCTCGCCACTGGCCGTCGTCCTCCTCGACGTATTCGGCCACAAACTCTGCCGTCTCGTTCGCACGCTGCTGGATCACGGCTTTGGTCTCTTCGAGTTTCTGGCTCGCGCGGGCCATGGCGAGATTGTAATACTCGACGCCTTCCTTGGCTTTGGCCGAGAGGCGGTTCGCGCCACGGTGGGCCTTGCGCTGGTATCGGCCCGCGACGATGGACATGACGTAGTAAACGCGCACGAGAAGGCGCTGGATCGACTGTTTGACGAGCATGGTCATGCCGTGCGAGAAGAAGGCGCGTAGGATCTCGAGCTGCAGGCCTTCGTAGAGAGACGCGACACCCTCGGTCTGTGCGATGGCGAGGACGGTGGAGAAGATTGTCGCCCGAGCGGCATTTCGGCCTTGAGCTGGAGTCGGGGCGTCCTCCTCGACGACCTTCTCTTCGGTCGAGTGGTGGTCCTCGGATGGTGGTGCAGAAGACGACGACGACGACGGAGATTTGGCACCGACGCCGCCTGCTTGGAGACGTGCCTTGGCGAGACTGAATGGATACGTGATGCTGGAGGCGCAGACTTTGCTGAGAGCAGAGAGAAGAAATGTCAAAGATGGCGGAGGATTCGCGCGGCGGTGTCGAGGGAGAACAACCTTTTTGAGGTTCTCGAAGAGGAAAAAGGTTATGCTGGGGTTGAGCGTGAGGACAAGGCTGGCCGAGTAGCCGGACCAGAAGCCCTGGATACCCTTGTCCGACAGGATGTCTTGGATGATCTTGCGGGTGTCGGGGACTTGGAAGTGGCCTTTGTCATCGCTCTGGTCCTGGTCCTTCACGGCCAAGAGAGCCGCGGCTTGTTTTCGCGTCACGACATTGGCGATGGGTGTGGTCGCAAGTTTGGTCAAGCTGCCGGCTACGAAGCCCACAGACAGCTCTTCAAGAGCAGGCAGGGAGTGTGCGTTGGCGTGGGCGGCCAGGCGCCGATTGCGGAAATAGCTATAAAGCAGGAAGAAGATGAATGAGTCGGCTATAGTCTTTGCGGTGTCTTGTGCTAGGCCTGTGAATAGACCGGCGATCCCGCCTTCGTTGGCGTAGATCTTCTGGACTGCATCGCTGAAGGATTTGTATTCGGTGTCGGAGGGATGGGACTGGTCATCACCACGCAGCTTCCGCTGGATTTGGAGGCGGGTTATGATCAGATCAATTGGGTAGAGCGCGGCATTAGATATCGAGGAGCCGACGGAGCCAGAGATGGCATGGCCCAGAGCTTCGAGGAGTGTGCCATTCGGCAAAGAGGGTCGAGACGATCGAGATTCTTCCTGAACTTGGTGGTAGAGCTCGAAGGCGTCCTGTAGAAGTAAGTAGTCGGTACAAACACGCCTGGGAGGTCCATACAAGTTGACTGTTATAAGGGTAGGAGTCTGCCATGGCTGCAAAGAGGCTGTCGCATCATTTCGTGGAAGCCATTGGTATGAACACACAGAGAGAGAATGGGAACAGGCGTGAGTGAGATGTTGGGATGTTGAGAAGTTGAGAAGCGGAGAGGGACAAATGCAGTCGAAACGGACGACGAAGAGATGACAGCATCGAGTTGGGACGCGCCGAATCTTCCCCCACATTCTCAAGAGCCGGGGATGCGAAGTGGTACAGAGGATTCCGTATCCGCACGGAGTAGCTCGCATTCCATCTATGCCATTCGTAGTATACGGTATGTACCATTCATCGAACAACGTTATATATTTTTGCCTCAGCGATATGCAACACGCTGACCTCCCCTCTTCTCCATCTTGGCCTGTCTCTTGCTCGGCGGTGCGCTGGCTCCCTCTGCACCGCCGCCAGCCATACCACCCAGCATGCCTTTCAGTCCGCTAGCTGTGGTAACGGCAGCATATATGGCGTAAGCTGGGACGATCAGGTACAACCACCATGCCCGGTTACCGAAGATTATGACCAGGATCACATTGATCCATGTCCAATAGAGGACATCCCACATAAATTCAGTCAGTCCCTTCGCGCCAAGGTCTTCTCCGCCGCGCATCGTGCCGTCCTGGCGATAGGTAGGTTTCGCTGAACGATCCAGGTAGAACTCGATCATGAGCCCCGGTAAAGAGAGCAATATGTATCGTTTGAGGGACAACGATCGTCGAAGGGTAAAGCGTAGGAGGAGGAAGACTGCGTTAATGGCAGCCGTGATGAGGTGTGTTTGTTTTAGCCGGTTAGCATTGCGGACCGTGAGGTTTTTTGCATGTTTCTAGAAAAGGGTCAGTTAGAGGATAGAGATGTCTCTACTTCTGCTTACGTTCGCCATGCTGGGAGGAGGTTGTGCCTGGTTGAGAGGTGTTTGGAGTCGTGTGCTCGGTGCGCTCGGAGGTGAATGAGTTTTGCAACGGTGCCTAACGTGTGGTCCAGCTGTCCTTTGAGGAGTTGGTCAAGAGAGAGCCAGCAGCAATAGCAGTAGCAGTCGCAGTCGCTGCAAGAAGTTGGAAATGGCGTTGCTAAGCTCGAATGTATTGAGTGTCTGGACGGAGTGCTGGGTAGGATTTCATCGGTCGAAAATCCCCCGCCACAGGCGATCTGTGACGGTGCCTCATTCCAGCCACATTATTGTATCGTAGCGTAGCGCAGCGCAGACTAGCAACAGACCACCGACCGTCGCCGCCGCCTTCAAAACAACAGCAACATTTCACAGTAGCCGCCCCGGCTCTATTCATACTCGACCTTAAACTTACAGTTAATGCCGGTTCCATGTTGTTGCCTCGAAGATAATTTTGCGGCCTTCAATCCAGCCTCACGATATGCTCATTTCCACCGCGCCGCATTGTTTTGACCATTGACACCACACATCATTCATGCCCTCACGACCGTGTTTCTCACCTACAAGGTCTCTCTGAACCGTGCCGAGCAATCCCATCCTCCGCTGCGACTCCTACTCCCGGCTCTATGCAACCATGGCTCCTACAGCAGTGCACGTCGCTGGTCAGCTGCGCCAGTTAATTTATTATCATCTCGACAACAGTCTTCTCAAAAACGCCCTATTCCTGGCCGCTCGACTCGTAGCCTACGAACCTCGATCCTCCGAGGCCGCATACTTGTTGTCGTACTGCCAATACCAGTCTGGCTTTTCAAAAGCAGCCTGGGAAACCAGCCGATCTGCGGGACTGAGAGGTCTTCACCTCGGCTGTAGCTACGTCTTTGCACAAGCGTCGCTCGAGCTGGGCCGTTATGTGGACGGACTGACAGCGTTGGAGAAGAGTAAACACTTGTGGCAGAACCGGAATGCTTGGGGTCAACACACTGAATCTCGGAGGCAACATCTACCCGACGCGGCAGCAGTCTTGTGTCTCAAGGGCAAACTGTGGAAAGCTCACAAAGACCTCGATCAGGCGGTGGAGTGCTGGGCTGCTGCGCTGAAACTGAATCCTTTCATGTGGGATGCATTTACTGGTCTGGCCGACTCTGGCGCAAAAGTCAGCGCCCCAAACATTTACAAAATGTCCTCCGAGGTCATAGCCGCCACACATCAGGCACATCAGCAAACTACAAGAGTCGAAGCCGCTGCCGAGAGAAACGTGGCGTCGAACCATATCACTCAGGACCGAAGTCAGCTGCCTCCGGACCCGTTCGTGTCCTCGCAACGGCCGAATGGAAACAATTCTGTTCTTTGGGAGAAACTCAATGGCAGCAAGATCAGCGTCAACACTGCCAGTACAATCCTAGATGAGGAGGGTTTGAATACGCCGTCTGTGGACACAGAGGCTGATGAGGGTGTATTAAACGGGGCTCCCGTAAACCATCTTCACGAGCCTCCAGCTGCACCTGTTCGAAAAGTAAAGACTTCAGCTGAAGCGCCGGCAGATCCTCCTCCTAGGTGGAAGACAGGGTCCGCGAGAATGAGAGCGAAAGCGAAGCCCGCCGATGATCCGACCGTATTACAGGATCCCCCTCCTGCACCGGCTGCACCATCTAAGAGGACAGTTTCAGGTCAGCCGGCGCCCACAAATCATGCATCCGCAGTCGCAGAGGGCACGAGAAGGAGCAATCGATTGCTCAATACCACGAGGCCACCCACTGCGAGCAGTACGACAGGAAGCAAAATTTCTTCGTTGGCAAATACTCTTGGCTTACGGGAAGGTAGAGATATCAAAAAGGCCAAGGCTCCGGTTGTAAGAGCCCGAACAGCAAACACTTCAACTGTTGGACGAGTTGTGAGCGGGAATCGGACGAGAACAGGATCAGCAGATGCGATGGATGTGGACAGCAGAGAGCAAAAGTCGACGAACGTGCCTCCTGTGCCCGCCTTACCCATTGCCAAAGCTCGGGCAGAATCACTTGTGACAAAAGAGCTCGAAGCAATCCAGTCCCTCCTCGATTTGTTTAGCAGACTGGCATCTGCCCAACTGTATCTGTCCAATTACGAATCCCAAACAGCCATTCAAATATACAACTCTCTGCCTTCAGCACAACGAGAAACGCCGTACGTCCTCGCCCAGATCGGCAAGGCGTATTACGAACAAGCACAATATGTCGAGGCCGAAAAGTTCTTTGTGCGAGTAAGGCAACTCGCGCCGACGCGGTTGGAGGACATGGAGATATATTCCACGATTCTCTGGCATCTCAAGAACGAGATTGAACTCGCCAATCTCGCCCACGAGCTCGTCCAGTTGGAACGACTCTCCCCTCAGACATGGTGTGCCATTGGCAACTCGTTTTCTCTTCAGCGCGAACATGAACAAGCTCTGAAATGCTTCAAACGTTCAACGCAACTTGACCCCAATTTCGCCTATGGCTTCACCCTCCAGGGCCACGAATACATCTCGAACGAGGAATTTGAAAAGGCCCTTGAAGCATACCGCGCCGCGGTCGCCGCCGACCCGAGACACTACAATGCTTGGTACGGTCTTGGAAAGGTGTATGAAAAGATGGGCAAATGGAAGATTGCCGAACAACATTATCGAACTGCAGCCAAGATCAACCCTACCAATGCCGTGCTGATATGCTGTATTGGCCTCGTCCTCGAGAGACTCAAGCAGCCCGAGAAGGCGTTGCAGATGTACACTCGTGCATGCACGCTCGCACCGAATAGTGCATTGGGCCGGTTCAAGAAGGCAAGGTGTCTCATGAGTCTAGGACGGCCCCGGGACGCCTTGGCAGAGTTGTTGATCCTGCGGGATGTCGCACCCGACGAGGCCAATGTGTGGTTCTTGATGGGCAGGCTGTACAAGATGCTGAGAGAAAAGGCCAATGCCGTCAGAGCCTTCACCATGGCTCTCAATCTGGATCCCAAGGTACGTTACACAGAGTGTGGGTATATATGTATATGTATAACCTCGAAGGCTGTCCTCACTCGCCTTGCCCACTATGTTTCTGTTTACTAACTTTGGTTCGTTCAACAGGCAGCTCAATTCATCAAAGATGCCATGGAGAGTTTAGATGACGAAGACGAAGACGGTTATGACGAGGATGAAGATATGGACTGAAAGTGTCACTTTTGACGGAGTGGATTGGATTGATTGCCACGGCACCTATAATTCGCATCGGCGTTTAAAACGGCTTTCAAGGGGGGAAACGGGCATTAGGCATTGAGCATGGGGCTTTGGGCATTTCGGCATTTCGGCATTCGAAGCAGCATTTGGGCCATCGATAAGGAGAAAAATTCCAACGTTGATCCCATCATACTCGAACACTCCCCATGGGCATGAAAATCCCATTTTGAGGATCAATCCATACACATCAGGCTTCCCGCCCTCTGCCCCCTTTTCCCCAGTGAAGGATGAGGCGTATGCATGATTGAAAAGTCTAAGCGCAGCGCAAATTGGCCATGCACATGCATCCCCCCGTTTAACGCCAGCGACGGCGTCGGGGCGGCGCGGGTAGCTTGAACTTGAGTTTGATCTTGATCAACTCGTACCTGTCTGTTAGCCAGTACCCCCCAACCAGGTTACCTCCTCCCTAGGCTAGGCGACGCGACCTCCTTGACGCACTCTCAGAGATACTTCGGTGCCTGCCTACCTTGGGTTACCCGTGTCGGTCGTGTCCATGTGAATCCGCGGCAGGGACTCGACGAGGCGGAGGAGGGAGGCGGAGAGAAGAAAGAGGAAAAGAAAAAAAAGGGGGGGGGGGGGGAGAAGGTGAAGAACGTCGTCCGTCGTCAACACCATTCTCTTGAAGGCTCCTTTCCTTTCGCTCCCCGGGCAAAAGACAAAAGCTGCACAGTACGTTGTTCACTTGACGCATCATATTCCAAATGAATCGATCCTTCGTGTATCTGTAGACACTGGGTACAATGGGTACAATAGCGAGGCACTTTAGTCCTTCGTAGCGTTGTAAGTCATCGCATGCTTACATAGGTATCAGTACATTGACAGGCAAAAAGGAAGAAGAACAAAAAGAGTCCAAACAAGCAATGAGAGAGGTATCGTCAAATCATAGTAACAAAAGCCGCTCCGGAAAAAAAACAACAACGCGCAAAACCAAGAGGAAGACCACCCCGAGCCACGCGGTGCCTGGAAGCTCCTGATATACGAAAGGCTGATGCAGGTGTGGTCATGTATCATGTCCCGTCCATACGTCAGTCGCATCCCAACGCCCGCGCCCGGCAAAAGTCATGTCAATTTTATCAGTCACTTCGTAAAGCGCATCATTTTTGCTTCCCATCGCTTCACCGTCAGCACCATCCCCCCTTGGAACGTATACCTTCGAGAAAAACATTCACAACTCGTCCTTCACATATTGAGTGGCGTCACTGACCGTGCTGCTAACAGCACTCGCCATCTCATCCACACTGCTGCTGACAGCCTCAGCAATGCTGGCACCACTCTCGCCAACATCACTTGCCATTGCTGCAATGGCGCTTTTTGCGCTCTCTACAGCCTCGGCGATCCTTGATTGCGCGCTTTCTAGAGCACCCTGTTCAGGACCATATACGGCCTCCGAGATCTTCGCTCTCACGTTGTCCGCCGCGCTTGCTGCTTGATCAGGTATGTCTCCTACCACAGAAACTGCTGCCGCAACACCGTCACCAACAGCTGATGAAACAGAAGAGTACTGATTGGCAGCAGCGCTGGTAATAGCGTCAACCGTGCCCGTAGGTGTACCATAGATAGCTACAGAGATGGCGTCTTGTGCGCTCTTTGCTATGTCGGCGAACGAAGACTGCGCGGCTTCTGCATAACCAACGGGAGTTCCATAGATTGCCTCACTAACAGCGGCGCTGGCTGATGAATATGAATCCGCAGCAGCAGAAGAAGCTTGCTCAATAACCCCTTTCTTGGTCCCGTAAATCTGAGCGCTTGCAGCATCCACTGCTGAGTTCAATTGTTCGGTGACTGAATCAATGACCGACGAGACCTCTGGAGATGGGGTGAAATAAGTTCCAGCCCTCGATGCTATCGATGATGCCGAATCGTAGGCATCATTGGCGAGGCTGGCAGCCGACGCATAGCCCGTGTAGTAAGCCGAACTGAGCCTGTTCATGACGGATTCGGTGAAGGCCGGCTCTTTGCCTACGATCAGTTCGGACACAAATGATTGAATTATCACATATTGGTCACCAGCAAAGTTGGTCACTTGTGCGGAATAGTCGCTTGCTTGATCGACCAGTTCGTCGTAGAAGGGCCTTGGAGTACCGTAGATCTGCGAACTGGCCTTTGACACAAGGGCTTCCCAATTTTGAGAGGCAACACTGGACACCGATTCGATAGGACCAGTAGGAGTACCGTACATAGCAGTACTGGCGGCTAGACTGGCGGACGACAACGATGACGACGCAGCTGCGATGGCGGCGTCGTACTGTGAAGATATGCCGTCCAGGACATTTTGTGCAGGAGAGTTCTTGCCGCTAACTGCAGAAGAGGCCGAGTCTAGCATTGCGGACATGTGTGAAGCAGCAGCCGAGGAAGCTGCGGCATATGAAGAAGAAGCTTGATCCAAGGCACTCTGGTAGAAAGGGGCGGGAGTACCGTAAACAACTGTGCTGGCAGCGTAAGAAGCCGAAGATAGAGAGGAGGATGCAACCTCTATAGCGCTGGAGTACGCCGCAAGTGCTTCGTCCAGTAAGCTCTGGGCTGGTGTGGCAGCAGAGTTAACTGATGATCGGTAGGAACTGAGACTCGCTTTCGCTGCTGACGAAGCTGCCGAATACTGTGCTGCAGCTAGGTCTAATAGGCTCTGGTACGCCGGAACGGGGGTCCCATAAATTGCGACCGATGCAGCACTTGACATGCTGCTCAGTACAGGACTTGGAGCGCCGTAGATAGCGCTGGAAGCCGCCTTGATAAAATCATCATATTGCTCATGCGCCATTCCAATGGCCGCATAATAGTTCTTTCGAGCTTCTCTCAGATATCGCTCGTGTGCTGGGGCAGGAGTGGCACCAACAGCAGCCTTAGCCTTTGAGTACTGCGCCGACGCTGCAGCCAACGAATCTTGTAGGGCAGAAGAGGCCACTGCTGTGACCGAGTCGAGAGGGTTGGTTGTTGGTAAAGTTCCAGCGGCTACTCTGCTGATAGCTGAGTATCTGGATGGAAGTGCGGACCGAGCAGATTCAAGCCTACTATGAGCTGCTGAGGTTGCACCAGAATAAGCCGACTCAATCGAAGACAGCATTTCTTCATGAATCGGCTTCGGGGTCCCCGAGATCTGCTTTGAAGCAGCAGACTTGGCGGCGCTGTAGTTATCCTCCGCACGGCTGATAGCCTGGCTGTACAGAGAACTCGCTTGAAGGAGAATGGACTCGGTTAGGGGCATCGGAGTTCCGTATATGGCAGCACTGGCGGCTGCAACGGCCTGCCCATACTTCTCAGAGGCCACACTGGTGATGCTCTCGGCAGCTCCCTGGGGCTCCCCGAAGAGAATGCTTGACGCGGCTGCAACAGCACTGGAGTATTGCTCACTGGCAACCGAGGTGATGCTCTCGCCAGTCCCTTGTTTAGTACCATAAATCGCTTCTGAAACTGCTCGAGTGACTTCGGAGTAGCGGTCACCGGCATTATTAACAATATCTTGAACCTTCTCAGAGAAGGCAGAGACTGTATCATCATCAAAGACATCGTCCAGGATCGGTCCGGTGCCCTTTACTTCTTGAGCCATCGCACCCGCGAAAACTTTAGACGAGGCCTGGCTACTCGCTGAGTCTGCGACAGAGGACGCTGAGCTGGAAACGTTTTCCAAGATCGATTCCGCAGACGTTAACTCGTCACTAGAAGTCACTGCCATGGATTCTGTCAGTGGAGAACTTTGGCTAGCAGCAGCGCTGGTTAGCGAGGCGAACTCCTCAGGAACCGCACTGGCCAAGCTTGAAGCCGACTCGCTTACTTCGGACGCAATGGACTGAGCTGTACCGGCACTTGTGCCGGTCACCACTGAAGACGCTGACTCGTACGCATCAGCAACGGAAGAACTGAGTTGTGATGCTGCAGACTCAAGAGAGCCCGTGCTCGAGAACGCAACTGCTGACTTCGCGGCTGCGAGATTATCATCTGCCAGGTTCTCGATTGCTGACGCGGCCGATTCCACAGATCCAGTGCTGCTGCCAATAACTGCAGAGGACGCGGATGAAATACCTCTGGCGACAGTATCGGCTGCCTCAGACAATACACTGCCGGCGGACTCGATTGCTTGGGAGGAGGTGCCCTGAAGTTCTGCTGCAAGACTTGACGCTGCCGAGACGGCTTCAGCAGGCATGCTCCTCGTCTCGAAATTGTCTGTCGTATCTCGTGCTCGTAGCTTCCACTGAGCAACCCCCTTGAGTCTTACCAGCTCTTTGGCCGCATCCTCGGTGATTGCCATGCTTTCTTCCATGATTTGTCGAGCAGTGGAGATGGCTTTCTCTGCTTCAGGGCTTTTCGTTACAACCTCCTCCACCTCTTGTTTCCAGTCATCTAGCTGGTTTCGAACGGCGTGAAACTTTGCCCAGTGCTTGTAGGTCACTCCTTCCATCCAAGACCACCGCATGCCGACTTCCTGAAGTCCAAGGTCTTTGATTCCATCGAGAACGTCCAAAGTAGAAGCAGAAGCATCGGCCAAGCGTTGATCCAAGCCCGTTTCGAAGTCCTGGGCCCAATCGCGCACTTTTTGTGCGCGACTTTTGATTTCGGCTCCTGAGGCTCGGATCGACCCAAGGATATCTTCCGCAGCTTTTCTGACCTTGTCAGGACTTGCATCCTCAGGAACACTCCCCACCACGCCAATGATTTTGGCCTTGACATTTTCAATTTCGTTCTGAACCGTCTTTTCAAGAGCGGTAGCCAGGCCTCGACCCAAGCCGTCTATGTCACTTTGAACGAGACTCTCTACAATAGATCCGACACGTTCGCGCAGATCATCAGCGCCCTTATCCGCAGCAACGGCAAACTTCTCCTGCCATTGTTTGAGATCGGCTGACAACTGCTCTTCAGTGGCTTGTTTGTAGGTTGGTCGAACTGGTGGTTGCACTGTGGCAGCAGACTCTTCAGTGGCATCCAAAGTCGTGGAAGTTGTCGTCTCGTCATCGGTGTCAAACAATGCATAGACGTCGTCGACCGCGGTACTGGCTGTTGCGCTTACAGAAGCAGTTGAGGTCGAATATGTCTTATCAACTTCATCCATAGCAGCTTTCAGCTTCCTTGACTCTCTATACTTCGCCACCCGCTCATTGATCATAACCAGTTGCGGTCTAACGTTGTCGATATAGAGACCCTTCAGAAAGGGCCAGAGAGTTCCATCAACAAAAATGACCAGGTCTGACCAAGCATGCCGAGCTAGCGGGTACGCAGTAGTTGTAAGGAACCGCTGCGTAACATGGTATCCATTTTCCAGATGTGGTCGCGAATACCGGGCAGCTGGCAGTATGTAATGCTGGATAGTGTGGTATGAGGAATCTCGAACGGTGGTATAGTAGGGTTCAGCTAGCATTGCAGCCTTATTGACATGAGGACCAAGATTGTTGTCATACAGGTGTCCAGCCTTGAGTTGGGCCTTCTTGAGCTGTGGAACAATTGACTTCTCAAGTTCCGCTTGTATGTATTTCTGCGCAGTTTCGACCTGAGGCGCAGCATACTTATGGTAGTTCACCCTCACAAATACTGAAGCAGGGCGAATTATGCGTCTATTCGCTTGTTCAGCATATGGCTGGGCTTTGGCGACATATGGAGCGGCGTATTCATCGTAATATGGTTGCAGATGCGGTTGTGCATACGACTTGAGAGTAAAGTAGTTTTGGCATAGGTGCGGCGAGGACTCGGTGAGCTGCTTTGGTGTAGGGGGACATCGGAATACGACTGTGAATAGGGCGTACCAGAATGTAAGCCTGTTGACGCTGTTAGAGACATTCAAAACTTCCGGATTGAAGCTGCCCACCTTGCTAGATTGTTAAACAGCCATAAAATCCAGCCCTGTCGGCGAGGACGCTGTCGGCGTACAACTGGGCCTACAGCGTGTCCATTAGGCCGGTCCTTGATGCTCTCTATCAGCCTCCCATTCTCAGTCACCGCCATGTTTTCGGAATGGCAGTAGCGTGCTGCCAATTCAGACAGTCCACTCCGCGTGGAAAGAGAAGTAGTGAGAGTACAGCCAGATCAGCGGAGAAGGGACTGAGATCGCAAGTAGAGATGGAGACGAAGAGGACAAAGAGAGATCGATTAGGAATATAATTGAGGACACGGTTCTGGAGAAACGATGAGGAAGCCTCTCGTCTCACGATGTAAAAAGATGGGCAAGCAGGCGTCGCAGGTGTGAGCTCCTGGCTTTTCGAACCGGGAAAATAACGGGGGTGTGAGTAGCACCATATCGAAAACGGCCTTACGTCACTGGGCCCTGGAGTTAGTGAGCCTCGCAACCGGGCAGGGAGGCTACTGGCTACCAAGGCCTACGTAGGGGGCCACCGGAGACGCCCATTGACGCCCATGGCACATTGACTCGAAGCCTGGAGTGAGGTCAATCACAGGTCGTGGCATGTGCAAATAGGCGTCAATCACGTCAAGGCGCATGCTTCAAACGCGAGATCGTCCACCACTGCTCAAAACTTGATCTTTGGCTGGGGGTTCGCCTAGTGGTCACATGATCATCGGACTGACTGCATCTCAGCGCCACTTTCTTTGTCTGGGGAAGTACGAGGTACATGAGGTGCAACTGACACACCAAGACCCTTGAAACTGGCTGCGACTGCGATTGACCGTCAAACACCATGATTTAATCTATTACTCTGCGTCTTTAAACACTCATCGCTTTGAGACCTTCTTGACTCTCACCGGTCTGCCTCTCTCGCCTCGTCTACCTCGACTCGCCTTCATCTTGCCCTCTTCTCGCCATGGTCACATCCGGGCAAGATGCCTCCGAACACCCCAGAAGCAGAATCCTTCTCCATCCCTGTGCATCCTCAGCATGTTCCTTACGAGGAAGGCCAGGATCACTGTCGGATATGTCGCGGTGAAGCCACCCCAAGCCAGCCTCTATTCTACCCTTGCAAATGCAGTGGTAGTATCAGATTTGTTCATCAAGAATGTCTCATGGAATGGCTCGCCCATTCCCAGAAGAAATACTGCGAACTATGCAAGACTTCTTTTCGCTTCACCAAACTCTACGACCGTTCCATGCCTGCCGCCCTACCTTTCCCTCTTTTCATACGGCAGCTCGCGAGACACGGAGCAAGAACCGCATTGCGATATACACGTTATCTCATCGTTGGTCTGATCTGGATCTGCTGTCTGCCGTGGTGCATAAGACAAATATGGCGCGGTATGATCTGGTTCGCCGATGGAAATTGGCTGGATGAAGACCACACGCAGTCTATGCTCAATAATACAGCAACCGCGGCGTCGAACGGCTCATCGTATAATGTTACCGCCACATCAGCGCTGAATGAGTATCTCGAGCAGATAAAGCTGCCGCTTCCTCCCATGCAGTTGTCTTTGGCAGATATCGTCCGCGTCTTTTTGAGCCAGGGCTTGATAGCACGGGTCGCACAACTCTTTCTCTCACTTTTCCTTCCCGGTTGGAAGAGACGGGGTGCTTCTGCAGCTGCAGCTCCTACTACGCAGCCTGTGAGAGCACCACGACGACCTCCGTCTCTACTCTCCGACGTTGAATTTCTCAGTCATCTTACAAACGTCCCTACAATCAATGCAATATGTATTGACGTTGTTGAGGGTCAGTTGATATGTGTGTCGCTCGTCACCGCATTCATTCTCGTTTTCCTGATCAGAGAATGGGTAATCAATCAGCAACCGAATCTGAATATGCCAGACCCTGATCTGGTCGATGCTGTCCCTGAACCACAGCAACAAAACCAACCGCAGGAGCTGAATGACCAAGTCCGTCCTGAGCAGAACGCAGAAGTCCTGGTTCCCGAGCAAGGCCAAAGGCCCATTATCATTCCTCGCCTACGGCACGTCCTAACCGAAGACAACATTGTAACAGACACAGGGGATGTCCTCGAAAGACCAAACGTACCAAACAGATCACAAAGTCTCATTCATGACGGTTCAGCCCAGCCAGACCGAGACGTTGCAGGAGGGGAGAGCTCGGCCAGTGTTGATGATACAGAGCCGGGACCTTTCAGAAGACACAGCTTGAGTAACTCTATCCTCATTCAGCGCAATTTTGAGGTCGTTTCTGGCAATAATGCAGGTCAAGGCGAGAGGTTTCCAATCCCCTTCGAATATTCGCATTCTTCCAATGACGAAGAGTTCTTCAATACCCGACCATTATCTGACATTGAGGATCACCATGTCGGCACTTCTTCACCGCTAGCGCAGCACACCGCACCCAGCGATATGATAGATCTCCCGGAAGACGATATGGATTCGGATGGTCTCATCCTCCCGACACCTGAGTCGAGTGATACTGAGCAGCCAAGTCGAGCAGTGGAAGTAACCACGAGCGATAACCATGATTCATCAAATGGTAGTACAGGGGCCGATCGACCAGAAGACCATAATTTATCCATCTGGCAGAGACTTGCACGCTGGCTGTGGCCTACTGAAAACTTTGAGAACATACAAATCTACCTCCAGGCTCAGGTTGATGGCGCCAACAATGACGAGGACGATGAGCAGATCATGCAAGACGCTCTAGCTGAAGCCCCGTTTGTGCCCAACAACCATAATCACAATCACATGGATCTCCCTCCCCAGCCAGCACCAGTGCTCGGACCTGCTGCTCCGGCAGCTCGTGAGCCAAATATTGTTCTCGGTGTCGACCTCAATGATCCCAACGCAGCAGAAGATATTGAAGATTTAGATGGAGTGCTCGAGCTGCTTGGTATGGAAGGTCCGATATTTGGCATGGTTCAGAATGTCATCTTCAGTCTTTTCCTCATAACGATCACTTTGTCCGCAAGTGTCTGGTGTCCATATGTTTGGGGCAAAATTGCATTGCTGTTTATGCATAACCCAATCATGCTGATCAAAGCACCCCTATTGGGGATATCAACCACCGCGGATATGATAGTGGATTGTTTCTTTTTCGTGGCCGGCCTTGGTGGCTATTTCATGAATCAACCCCTCAAGGTCCTGAAAGCTCTCATCTCACCTCTCTTCCCAGCGTTCGGCGGTGTTGTGGACTCTGCCCGGCTGGATGTCCTTACGCTCGACATAAGTCAGAAGAGTGGTGCGCGGCTGGAGAAAGCCTTGTCAGGTGCATTCCTCAATCTCAAGCCCGACCTACCCACCTTCTCTATCATGGCTCACCATGCTCTACTTTCCTACAAAGCTTCGATTTACTATGGTGCTGAGCAACTAGCATCTTCTCTGCTCTGGGTTCAACATGCCGTCTCTCGACCATCTTTCTCTTCGAAAGTACTCGTTGGTGCCCTGTTTCAAGCACTTCGATCCGTTCCACAACTTCTCCAGAAGACTCCGCAAGCTATCACGGACACTCTGAACGCTCTTCGCTATGTTCCTCAAGACTTGTTGAATATATCACCCAAACCTCCGTTGGAGGTTGACCCATCTCTGGTCACGTGGAGCACAGAGGACAGGATCATTACAATCTTGATTGGTTACGCCTTTTTCGCTGCTGTTGGAATCGCTTTCCTGGAGCTTGCGCATGTGTTCTTGGGTCTCAGAGACAACGAGAAAGTCGAAGGGTATCTTGCCGATAGTCTCAGGCAAGCCGGAGGCGTCATGAAAGTGGTAGTCATCATTGGCCTGGAGATGTTGTTGTTCCCACTCTATTGTGGCCTTCTGCTGGACGTGGCGCTCTTACCTTTGTTTGCAGATGCGACCATCGCTGGCAGGATTGCCTTCCTTGCACAAGCACCTTTCACTGGGGTCTTCGTCCACTGGTTCATCGGAACCTGCTACATGTTTCATTTTGCGCTCTTTGTATCCATATGTCGGAAGATCATGCGGAACGGCGTTCTTTATTTCATTCGAGATCCCGACGACCCTACATTCCATCCGGTACGCGATGTACTCGAACGACCGGTACCTGCTCAATTGGGAAAAATCGCATTTTCGGCGTTAGTTTATGGCGCTTTGGTCATTGTGTGCCTTGGAGGCGTGGTGTGGTCTTTGAAGTGGGTTCCTGGAATTTTACCAATTCAATGGGCGACTCCTGAACCAAGGTTGGCGTTCCCGGTGGACATCGTATTCTACAACTTCCTGCTAAGGTATATCCTACGAAAAGTTGAGCCCTCTAAAAAGATTTCGGCAATGTATGAGTGGTGGTTTCGAGGTTGTGCTCGGAATTTGAGGTTGACAAATTTTCTATTTGGAGAGGAGGCAAAGGAAGAAACATACCGCACTCCGGGCTGGTTTTCCGTTCTTCTCTCGGGCAACGACCCAGAGTCTAACAATACTCAGGACGGAACTTATGTTCGTGCTCCGGCATCAGACTCTGTGCGCATGCCTAAGGGACGCAGTGTCTTCCTTCCGGTTAATGAGCAGAACGAACGCGTCGATGGACAACCTGATCAGGACTTTGGAGATCACGGAAAGAAGGATCCGCGATTCACCAAAGTGTACCTACCTCCTAAGTTTGGGGCTCGTATCTCAACATTCATCTTTCTGCTCTGGCTGTTTGCTGCGACCACGGGCGTGGCCTTCACTATTGGACCTCTCCTGGTTGGACGGGAAGTGCTCTATTTGCTTACCCAGTCTTCGCAGCCTCCGAATGACCTCTATGCCTTCACAACCGGTTTGCAGATTTACACGGCGTTGGGCTCTGCCATTGTTTACGCTCGTCCTGCATGGACTTATATCAAAGGCAAGATTCCACAATCATCAGGGTCACAAATACTCGCCATGGTGAAACATGCTCTCGGCATAGGATATCTCCTCACCTTCACCTTATTTGTCCTGCCATTTGTCCTTTCTCTGATCTGGGAGCTGTATGTCCATGTCCCTCTGTTGACGTATGTGGAATGGGCCCACAAGGAACAGCCTTCTATTGAAAGACCAAAACTGGACAAACACAGTGCGACCATTTACATATTACAGTCTTGGGTAATGGGACTGCTCTACTTGCGACTGCTATATCAAATACTCCAGCATTACCTGGGTCCCGGGTCGCGCGTCTGTACTGCCATGGCTGCCATCGTGCGTAATGGTATGTTTCAACCGGATGTCAACCTCGCGAGTCGTTCCTTCGTCTTGCCTGCCAGCGCGCTCTGTGTCGCGTTACTCACAGGCCCTCTCGCCGTTGCGAAGACTGTCAACATCCTTGGGCGTATCCAGGACCATGAGGTGCAAAGACTCGTGTACAGATTTGCATATCCCTGCGGCTTTGGCATGGCGCTGATATGGCTTGGGTGGCTAGGATTGAAGGCACAGATAACAAGTTGGAGGGCGAGGATTCGCGATGAGGTGTATCTTATTGGTGAACGATTGCACAATTTCCACGAGCCGAAGCCTAGCCAGGCCGTCGAGGGTAAAGCAAAGGTCAAGAATTTATGAATTGTTTCTACTAAGTTGGGACGGTGGTTATGGTTATGGGCTCGGTTGAGCATAAAAGCCCTGCATCACCGTCGGGCATTTGGCGTTAACTGAAGCTTTGTGCGTGACATGAAGAGAGGAGGTCGATCGTCCTCATAGATATTGTCAGATTCAGACTCAGCTCCCAGTCCAGTGTATTTCATAAAATGTAAGCATTCAAATCTACGTTCTTATGTACCACAAGTATGTAATCAAAGATGACTTCGGGATTCGTCATCATCGGGGAAAATCAATCGACATCGTCTTCAGCACAACCTGAGGCCACTTAAGGCCAACAGTGTTGGGCTGGATGTCCCCCCTTTTTGTTGGTGCCCCCGGAGTATTTCATCTCGCCTTTGTTAAGGTGCCAGAGACGTAAGGCAAAGGCGCCCAGGGGAAATTCCACTTGATATTCACGGCTTCCCACTTGCCAGCGTTCTTCAGATATGACGCAGTGTCCCGAATCAGGCTGCACCCGGCGAGGAAGAATTGCCAGCCGATCAAGGTGCAGAGGATCTGCATGGCCCTGCCGAGAACGCTGCCGTTCGCCGTGGTCCACGGGTTCTTGACGTGTTCGACGACCATCAGTTCCCCGCCGGGCCGGAGGAGAGAGTACAGGTCCCTCGCGGCCTGGTCTGGGTCAGGGACCGAACACAAGACTCGCACGCAGACGATGGTGTCGAAAAGGCCGTCTCGGTCGCGGTCGCCGGCAGCAGCACTTGCCAGCCCCTGCTTGGCCAGCGCGGCGAGGAGGTCCTTCTTGTCGGCCGTGCAGGACAGGATGTGGTATCTGGCCGTCAGGCCGGCTTTGTCGATGCGGTCCTGGAGGGCTGGATGGAGGCCCACGGCAGGTTCGGCGCCATAGATGGCGGTGATGTTGGCGTTGTCGGAGAAGGCAGAGACGTGAGGGCCGGTGCCTGGCCCGATGTCCAACACCACCCCATGTGCGTGGGACAGGATGGGCGCCACGAGGGCGGAGGATCCCACTGGTGGTGGTGGCGGATCGATGGGAGCTGCGCAAAGGAGGAAAAAAGGAAGAAAAAGAGTGATATGTTAGCACAAGTTTTCTCGTTCAAGTTTGGCCGGGCAAGGTAGGTAGGTAGATTGGTGGGTTCTGGATCCCCCAGGGAAAGGTGCAGGCTTACCAGTCGCCTTTGTCCACCACTTGCTAAACGACTCATCTCTGACCCGAAACACGGCTGACGGCGTGGGAAAGGTGCCTTGCAGAATGAATGTCTGGAAGGCGTGTTTGGTAAAGGCTGCCACAGGCACAGTGTCAGAGCATTGTCAGCTCCGGAGGGGTCGGGTGAGGAAAATATCATGGTCCGCGTCTGGGTTGGGGGTGTGCGGTGCGGGTGTGGGTGCGTGTGGCAGACACATCAACAGGCAGATTGGGGAGGAGGGACAAATACCTTTTGCACTTCCAGAGATCAAGAGCAATGGATCAAGTAGACCGTACAGGCGAGCTGTCAACGGTGGTTGTTGAGACATGGCTGTGTTGGGACGTCGGTTGGTAGGGCGGGGGGTTGTTGTTCCAAAATGACCACAGGCCTGGGCCGTCGAAATGTGATATCAACGAGAACGACAGGATATAGGATAATCCACAGGGACAAGGCACACTCAAACACGCCTCCCCTTTAGCTGGATTGGTCGGGCGAAGGGTTTGGGGGGCTTCCTGGTGTCGGAAAGACCCAAAAGGCGGACGGACAGCGACGAACCCGGTCGTCCCAGTTAAGTGTAATAGGATATGATACGAGGAGAAGTTGGACGAACGACGACCACGGGGGCTGGAGGGTAATATAAGAGAGTCGTTCACTGATATTCTCAGGCAGGCCTAGTAGGTACCACAGTAGGAAGGTATCCGCCGCTCCTCGTCCGTTCACGTTCAGTACTGACCTTGGATGCTTAGAGGTACCGTTAACACGATGCGATAGACCAGTGGGGATGCACTCTCGATCGAATGTGGAGACGCTTTGCACGGTATTCGTAAGAACTAGTAAACTGACGACCCCCGGCTCCCATTCCAGCAGGTATCGCGGTTACGTTAAGAGGTTCTAGGTACTGAGCTAGTAGTAAGGTGTCATTTTAGCGATACCACTCCAGCGCCTCCCTCAGTAGAGTACTTTCACAATGGAGCAGGAACAATAGTTATTCCGTAGCCACAACAGGTTATGTAATTCGATCGAGTAGCGAGGCTGTACTGTCAGTCTTTATCAGTAAGAGACTAACTTTACAGGGTACAAGGTCCTTGTACTACCAAGAACTCCCCCGCCATTGAGAGGGGTCTTTTCTTTGATGAGCGTCTCCAATATACACAAGTGCTATTAGCGAACATTTTTCTTCGGCATACGCCGCGATTGCGTACGACCCTCTACGTGAGGCAGGTATATATGACGGTGCCCTGGACCTAATCACTCTCTCCCTCACACCTCACGTCAAACTCCTTTGATGGCTAGACTGCACGGTATCTTCAACCGAAGTTAAAACACGATACCGTGCGTTGCCCGAGGCGTTGCAGGTAAAGAATCCAGCCATCCTGTACGAGGGCCAGTAGCGTATACGCCCTGTGCGAGAGCTCCAAGGTCTAGGACTGCCATTCCAGCTTTTGGGCAATCTATCAGTGCGAGGAAACGTTTCAGAGAAAGCCCCGGACCAGCCGTCATGGACGGACGCAATAGCTTCGAAAATGACGCCACGGTTCAGCGACCGGCAGCAACACCGACACCAGCACCAGCACCAGCACCAGCGAGAAAAAAAGTGCTCAAGAGGACGATACACCGCATCCACAAACGCCTCTCACACGTCCACTCGCGCATCCCATACCTGCGGTCTCTCCCACTCGCAGCCATCCTGATCATAGCGCTGCTGATTTTAGTCAACCTGGTCATCTGGGCAATATGCGGTCTCATCCTCACCAGCCACACACACCTCCTCTCGACGGCGGCGTTGGCGTACACACTGGGTCTCCGCCACGCCCTTGATGCCGACCACATCTCGGCCATCGACCTGATGACACGGCGCCTGATAGCAACAGGCCAGCGGCCGGTCACGGTCGGCACGTTCTTCTCTCTGGGCCACAGCACAATCGTGGTCGTGACGTCCATAGTGGTCGCGGCCACTGCGGCCGGCGTGTCGTCTCGCTTCGGCTCCTTCAGCACCGTCGGCGGAATCATCGGCACGTCGGTCTCGGCTGCGTTCCTCATCCTTCTGGGTGTCATGAACGCGTACATTCTCTACAAGCTCATCGTGCAGATGCGCAAGATCATCCGCCTGCAGCCGGGCACCCACGAGGCCGCCGAGGCATGGAACGTCGAAGGCGGCGGGTGTCTCTTCCGCACGCTCAAAAAGGCCTTCAAACTCATCAACCGCCCCTGGAAAATGTACCCCCTTGGCGTCCTGTTCGGCCTGGGCTTCGACACGAGTTCCGAGATCGCGCTGCTGGGCATCTCCAGCATCCAGGGCTCAAGCGGGACGAGTCTCTGGCTCATTCTGGTTTTCCCCGTCTTGTTCACCGCGGGAATGTGTCTTGTCGACACCATCGACGGAGCGTTGATGATGAGTCTCTACGTCGCGCCGATGGGTATGGGCGGCAGCGGCGGCGATGACGACAAGAAAGACCGCGACGACGTGGACGAAGTTGACCAGGTTGGAATGGTCTCTGAGGGGCCCCTCGCGGTCCGCGGTGGTGGCAGCGAACAAGATGACGATGTCGAGCAACAGCGGCAGCAGCAGCAGCAGCAGGATGCACATGGCAATAAACACAGCAAGAGGAACGGAGATGTGGCGATCCGCGTCAAGAATCCCCTGACGTTTTTATACTACTCCATCGTCCTGACCACGTTGACCGTGATATGCGCCGTCATCATCGGCGTGATCCAGCTGTTGACCTTGATACTCAACGTGGCCGAACCAACGGGCAGATTCTGGGACGGCGTCGAGACCGCCGGAGACAATTACGAGATCATCGGCGGCGCCATCTGCGGCAGCTTCGTCCTATTCGGCGGCCTAAGTGTGCTCTGCTACCGCCCGTGGACGAGGTGGGTGGACAGGCAACGCTCGAAGCTGAGAGAGGCAGACGGCGGCGCGGCAGCGACTCCGGCTCATGGTCATGGTCACGGTGACGGTGACGGTGACGGTCACGGTCATCAACGCACCACCCCTTTTACTACCGCTGCAGGAGGATCCACGGAGTTCATCGGGTATACGGACGACGAGAATCCGCGGGCCGACACCGGCTTGAAACACGGCCAGGCCGAGGAACTGGTCGAGGTTCAGGGGAAAGCGAAGAGCCACCGCGTCACGGTCAAGGCGCACAGTATTGACGACTACGACGACGGAACACCGACGAGATCTGGACCAAGTGGAGGGAACACTCGTATCAAGAAATAGAAAGGGCTGGGTTGATAGATGGGTATTTAGGGAGGTAGGTACCCTCAGGTGTGTGCTCCCACATGCATGCCCGAGTACCCACCACCACCTACCCGGGCAGGTGTATGTTAGGAGGCAGAAGGAGTTATTACAGGTAGAGAGTCATTTGGACAAACATGGAAAAGGAGGTTGGCTCACAGCCTTTCCTTCATGATGACTGTGTCTGTGTCTGCGTCTGCGTCTATGTGGTTGATATAGAGATGCCATTCACCGTGCATTATAACCCTATGGCGGCCGGCGTGGCGGGGGACTGTCATAACTCATACCTTGTATAGAGATCTAGGTACTACCTGGTAGGTAGGTAATGACCAAAAAGAAACCAAAGACCATCACACCTACGTTCCAAATCTGTTCACATGTGATTCATATCTAATGCATATCCAGAGCCCCTTGATCTATGCCCGTCAATCAAACGGGGGGCAGCAAAAACCCCGTGCGCAAAAACAAAAAAAATAACCCATTTTACTTGGACTGGGCGTTGGCGATCACCTGGTCGAGAACGCCTGCACTTGCGGCAACGAAGCCCAGGTACGGCGGGCTGGGCTTGAGCACCCTACTCAAGTACTCCGGGTGGAACTGGACTCCGACGAAGAAAGGGTGGTCCTTCAACTCGATGACTTCCATGCGCTCGCCCGTCTCGTCCTTGCCGATAAAGTTCAGGCCGGACAAACGCTCAATGTACGTCGGGTTCACCTCGTACCTGTGCCGGTGCCGTTCGTGGATCGACGGTTGGTTGCCGTACAGCTTTCGCAGTTTGGACCATTCGGTGTTCTCTTGGAAATTGGTCGCGCGGACACCGAGGCGCATGTTCCCGCCCATGGTGGCCTTGTCGATCTCGGGCATGAAGATGACCACGGGATCCTGAGGCCGTTCGTCCAGCTCGACGGAGCCGGCATGTTCCAGCCCGCATACATTCCGCGCGTACTCGATGACGGCCAGCTGCATCCCGAGGCAGATTCCAAGGTACGGTTTGGGCTTTGTGCGGGCCCAGTTCGCAGCTGCGATCATGCCTTCTGTTCCTCGACGGCCGAATCCTCCGGGCACCAACACACCATCGGCCGTGCACAGGTCGTGCCATGCCTTGTGGTATGACTCGGCAGAGGATTCCATTGTGGCCTTCTCGAGGTTGCTGGCGTCGATCCAGATTAGGTTCAGCTTTCGGTTGCAGGCCATTGCAGAGTGCTCAAGAGACTTGATCACCGACAGGTACGAGTCGTGAAGATTGGTGTACTTGCCAACCAAGGCAATGTTGACTTCGTCCAGGTGCATTCGTCGACTCTGCGAGGACGTCAGGGTTTTCCAATCGTGCCAAATCTTGTCTCCTTTTGCGACCAGCGCCGGGGCAAGTGCCAAGTTATCAAGGCGGAACATTTCGCGAAGCTGTAAGACGAGCCCCTGTTGCTCCAGGAGCATGGGAACGTGGTAGGTGGAATCAACGTTGTGCACACCAATCACCTGGCTTGGCTCTACCTGGCAGAACATGGCGATCTTGTTGGTGGTGGCCTCGATAAGAGGCTCCAAGCATCGGCATGCAATCTGTTTTTTGGTTAAGTCTGTATCAGCGGCGGGTCGCGGAAAGATTCACACGAGATGACCTACCAGATCCGGCGACAAGCCCCGTGACTGCACCTCTCGAATTGCTTGTTGTGTTGGTTTGGTCTTTTGTTCACCCTCAACTACGGGGACCAGCGAGACGTGGATCTGAATGAAATTGTCTCGACCGGCTCTTCTCCGTAATTGACGCATGGCCTCGATGAAAGGCGCGCTTTCGATATCACCCACCGTGCCACCCAGTTCAATTATGCAGACGTCTGGCTCTTCATGCGTGTCATCCACAGGTTGCCTTGCAACGCGCTCAATCCAGTCCTGGATTCCGTTTGTAATGTGAGGGACGACCTGCACAGTCTTGCCTAGGTAGTCGCCACGTCGTTCTCGCTCGATGACATGCTGGTAGATCTTGCCCGTCGTGATGCTGCTTTCTCGCGTGAGGGTGATGTTGAGGTAGCTGGTGTATACCCATGAGTCGCTTGAAGAATGGATGGTGGAACGAGTGCATTACCGCTCATAGTTGCCAAGATCCAAATCAACCTCTCCTCCATCGTCGAGCACAAAGCATTCACCGTGCTCGGTCGGGGCCATCGTGCCAGCATCGACGTCTGGTGCGACATGTTAGATGATTTTGACCGAGTATTTTGAGATTGGCATTGGTGTCCTACTCAGATACGGGTCGATCTTAATGCTTGTCACCTGTTTTTGGTACATGTTAAAGAGGCGTAACAGAGACAAAGACCGCGAACATTGTATTACCTTCAGACCCATAGTCTTAAGCAACAAGCCCGTCGAACTGGCAATGATGCCCTTTCCGATGCCGGAAATGACACCACCACTGACAAGGACGTACTTCATGATGGCGGGCTCGTGTTCTCACAGAAGGACAGAGGGAAAAGTAAAATGTAGGATGCCGTCGCTGGCGGTCGCCAGGCGGGAAAGAAGGGAAAAATGGGCGGGATCGCGGTGTGTTGCAGAAATACTCGAAAATTAATTTTTCGAGGCGCAAACGGTGAATGCGGGGCGGCGTTCATTGGCCCGCCGGGTGCCTGTTCTGCCTGTTCTGCCTGTGGCGCCCCCGCTGGTGATGCAACAAGGCGACGCGAAACGCGAGACGCGTCCATGACTCTTGTTGATTGATGGCAATTAAACTCGCCGATACGGAGTACGAGTACGACGATTGTACGGAGACAGCCTTACTCTCCCTTAGGTACCTACGAGCAGCAGTAAGCGGTTGGAGCATCGCAATCCTTGCTACATTGAACACCTCGTCCGGTAAAGTTGCCTGCCCAAGCCGCTCTATCACTAGCACACTAGTTAGAGCCTTGGGTCTATCGAATCCGATCCATCTCCCCAGCACAGGTAGAAACCATGACTGAAGCGGAAAAAGACTGGAGAGAAACCAACTGGGAAGTAAGTCAAGTCTATCTCAGACACGAACATCATCATCATCATCATCATCCATCGAGGACAAAATCGGCAATCTCGCCACACCAGAACTGTAGCCCCGTGGCCACAAGTTGACCCGACTCTAGATCCCAGAAGGCGAATTCGCAGTGTTTGGAAAGGTATGCCCCGGAGTCTACGAGGTGAACATTACTGGCCCAACGCCCCCTGATCTTCTCTCAGGTATACACAGACCCTGAACATACAGACAAAGTCGAAGCCATCTACAGGGAGACGACAAAGCGAGCGCACGAGGAAGAAGGGACCCTCTCCTACTGCTTGGGCCGCGATCCAGACGACCCAAGCATCATCCACTTCTTCGAGCGGTACACGTCCAAAGCGGCCTTTGAGAAGCACAACGACCAACAGATCATCCAAGACCTGGTCAACAGCGGGTGGATGAAGGACGTCAAGGCGGTCTTTGTGAAGCCTATACCGCCAGCAAAATAGAACCAGAACGTCCTTCCGTACATATGTACTAATTCATCGGCGTCTTCTGAAAACATTGTAGATCCTGGTCCAGGATTGCCTGGAACTCCTCCACTAGACCGTCCATGAACACGTCTTCCACAACGCCCTCTTGCCATGTAAAGCCCAACACGACCCTCCCGTCCCTCCCCGTGACGCAGCTGACTTTGATCGCTCCACTGACAGCTCCAGCAGACTGGCTGAACACCAAGCCTTGGATCATTGCACGTCTGTCCTCCTTCAGAGATGGCAGTTTTCCAACATTCGATAACTCGAGGCTCGTCACCCGAGGCTGGCCCATCTTGTCCATTGTCAATGCCCTGACATCTTTGATATATACCAGTTTCTCCAGCAGCCCATCGCCCCTCCGCTCCCGTACAGCACGGTCAATCCTCCTCTTTGTTCGCTGCGCATCGTGCACCCATGCAAACGGGCCCTTTGCACCATCCACCAAGAAGTCTGACCGTCGATGTGTCTCGAGGAACGTATCCACGAATATGCCCATGGATAATGCACTGACCGGTGGCGGAAGCCATTCACGTAGCGAGATGGGGCAGTCGGTCTTGAGCGCCGTGTATTCCGAGGGCACCTTCTCAAAGAGAGCCATGACTAGCATCGCTTGTATCGCCGCTGTGAGCGACACGCCGTGACCTTTGCACATCCGTAGGAACTCTGCCGAGTCGTTCGCCCCGAACCGCAGAGATCGACATTTGGTGCGAACAGGCAGGAACTGTCTTGCCCCGGTCCACAATCCGTCTGGTTCCTCTGAGCCATTCCCGTCCACAACTCTCGTCGTATCGACAAAGGCGTCCAATGGTGGAACGAGTGGCAAGTTCGGCGAAACGACCTTTGACGGCCCCTCGGTCTCTGTCGGGTTGTTCAGGGAGTTCTCCAGCGCTTGATGAAAGACCAGCGCACTCTTCGTATCCCCCACAGCATGGTGGAACATGTAGCTTAATACAAACCTCGATTCGTCGCCGGGTTGCTGGAGAACATGGAGTCGCCACAGTGGTAACGGCACCTCAAGGTCCCACGGTCGACTGTGCTCTCGCTCCAGAAAGCCGTCTAGAACCGGGTGGTGTCTCCCTTGGCCGTCCAGGACGTCGTCGATCTCGGTGAACGTGACCACCTCATCCAGGTCGACGTACGGGAGGCGGGCGAAGTATGGCTCGGACGAGTCAGGGTCCACGGGTGTGATTGAGAGGTTGGCGTGTCGCGAGATGACGAGTGCGAGCGCCGAGTATAAGACGGATCTCAGGCTGTGTGTTGTTGTCTTGCGGTCGAATGAGTAGAATGCAGTAACCCCGACTTTATGGTATACGCCCAGCTGACTTCGCGTGACCATGAACTTTTCGAAAATGCCTGCCTTGCATTAGAATGATGCTACGGAGTACTCCGTATTTTTTCACGATGGCCCTCTTGGATAGATTCATAGGACCTACCCAAGGGCCGAAGTACAGAGTCTGGTCCTGCTCTAGACATTGTTTGCTGTTGGTATGCACATCGGCTGAATATCGCCTGAGCTGGATTTTTCAACTTTTCTGGGAATGAGGTTTACAGATGAGGACAACTAGAGTAAAATAGAATGTAATACAGTTGACCCACAAGTAACATGAGTAGCGATGAATCTCCTCCCCCACTCCAAGTGCTTAGTAGATAAAGACTCCGAGACTCTCAGGCTCATCACCGGGCGCCTCGAGTTCGACCAAATATCATCGATGAAGCGGTGAAATCTACCGAGATCTACGAGTATCTGGACAGGAGCAGGATTAAGAACGCCTGTGAGTAGTCAGAAACTTACTGATATTCAGGTATTCAGCAGTGTGCGTGCGTATTTCGGAGGGCATACAATGTATCCGGCGCCTTCGAGGCCCACCCTCCTCATGAGCTGTCGGAACTCCTCCTTCTTCTTTTGTTTCTCTCTTATGTGATTTCTGATGTATGACAAATCTGATTTGACGCCCAGCACGTCCTGATTGGAAAAGTGCATGTGAGGCTCACGAGCCTTAATACTCTGCGGTAAAAACGCTAGACTTCGTTAGCTGTCTCTCCGACGAGAGAATGCAAACCATACATCTGTCGAGGAAAGGTAGTCTTACTTGAGAAACGGCCAACTGTCCTCCCTTGAAGCGGGGAGATTCGTGGCAAGCCGTTCACATGAGGCCCTGGATTTAAATGGTGGCAGACCCTGCGTCTGGTGGGGTTGAGAGCTGAGCGTAGCATCTTGACTTTATTGCGTAGAGAATAAGCAGGAGACAAGGCATGGATATCAGACCCGGTGCCTATGTTAAGTAAGAGATGTTGTGCTCTGAGTAGCAAAAGTACAGGCCCCAAACCAGCGACTCCCATCTCTTATATGCCTAGTAAATGCCTGAAGGCACACACGACTAAGTTTATACGTCTCATAGTCGTACCATGAGTCTGCAACCATTTAGGATTTCGCTACAGAGGGTCAACTCATGGTTGAAAGGTTCTTTTATAATCCCTCAAAAATACTCGAAACCAAGCCATATTTCTCTCAAGAAAGCCCTTCTACCCTGATAGAGTTACTACATCTCCGAACTTTCTTTAGGTGAGGAGCAACGCTGAATGATATTCCTGAGCCAGACAGAAACAAAAACTCATCAGTCATGAAAACCCGGCTCGCAATATCAACCCACGGCGGTCTCGTCGTCGTCGTTGACCATGTTGTTACAAATCCTAAAACCATATGTCTGTCCCAACCGCATTATACCCACAAGCGATAGTCACCCTTGAAGCAGCGATGAAAGCTGCCTTAATTCTCGCAACTGTCCTCCATCAACTTTCCCAGGCGCCAACACTACCAAGATCATCGCGTCATACGATGAAACAGTTGACTCCTTCACCAGCTTCGTGATGACAAAATCACTGAGTCTGACTCTCCACGAAATCCAAGGCGTCCTCCATGCTCTCCTCGCGAATACTACTGACGTTGTTTCCAAATCGTACACCAAAGCACTTGTCAGCCACTCGCAACATCTCGGGTCGGAAAGTAGTGCAAATGAACTGGCCGCCGGTAGGCCTCTCGTCTCCATTGGTAGGCTCCTCGTCCGCTCTATTCGCGAGATAGAGGAGATGGTCTGCGACAGCTGTACGATACTGAGCATCAAGGTTGGCGTCGATCTCATCAAAAATGTAGAAGGGTGCGGGATCGGTAGCTTGGATCGCGAAGATGAGGGCCAAACTGCAAAGACCTTGAACACAATTTTAGTTTGAGCAATTCAAGTCGTTTCGTGAAAATCCACTTACTCTTTTGCCCACCGCTGAGTTGCTGAATACGCTGCTGATCGTCATGTTTGCTGTTGAAGCTGACACTGATCCCCACACCAGTGTAGTTCTCAACGCCACGCTTGTTGACTGGCTGTTCGTCTTCTGACTCTTCATCTTCTGCCTGTCGCTTATCGGTCTTGCGCTGGATGATCAATCGTCCACGACCAGCTGGGACGAGCTTTTGGAAGACCTCGGCAAATGCCTTACTAACTTGTTTGAAAGTCCGCTCGATCGCTTCATCCTTTCTCTGATCAAGAATCTCGATGAGGTTCTGGATAGATGCTTTAGCGGCTTCGAGATCTTTCCTTCTCCCCTCCAACTCTTCGCGTTGCTTGGCCGATTTCCTGTAGTGCTCGAAAGCATGCTTATTGACAGAGCTGTACTTTTTGAGCGCCTCCTTGGCCTTTTGGAGTCTCTTGACGATGGTGTTGGAATCAGTGTTTCGATACTTCTTTCGCAAATCTTCTGGTATCGCTCCCAGTTCGCGGATGTTGTCGATCGTCTCCTGTTTAGAAGCCTGAAGGGCGGCCTTCTTCTGTACAGACTTCTCAAGCCGGCGCTGATGCCGCTCGATGGCCTTGGCGAGTTCTTCCTGCTGCCGACGGGTCTCTGCAGCCTGTGCTTCAAGCTGGGCAACCTGAGTAGAGGCAGTCTCGATTTGGTCTTCCAGTTCATCTAAACTCTCCTGAACGGATTCAAGTTCCTTGCTTAAGCGCGCTAATTCTGCCCTCTTAGCTCGCAGATGAGCCGATACGTCGCCCTCGGTCTCAAACTCATCAGTTTCCAGAGCAACCAGCTGTGGTCTCAGACTCGAGTTCAACTGTGCCTCCAAATTTGCCTTTCGGGCTTCGGTTTCAGCTCTCGATGCCGAGAGCTTGTTGTATTCGCGTCGGAGGTTCTGTATGGTTGCTGTGAGGTTCTCAAGCTGCGCCTCCTCGGCCTGTGTCAATGCTTTCTTAAAGTCAGAATTCAGCTCAGCTTGGTATGCATTTTGAGAATCACTCAAGCGCTTGACGTTGGCGCTGATGGCAATTTCTTGCTTTTGCTTGGCTTCGAGATCATCCTTCTTTCTCTGGAGCATGTCCATCTTATTTCTGATCTCCTGTTTCAACAATCGCTGGTTGCCTTGCGATTGATTCTTTCGCTGCTCAAGCTTCTGGACCTCACTCATGGCCTTTGTGACCGTCTGATCCATCCTTTCGATCTTTTTCTTATTCTCAGCACTTTCGGCCTTGACAGCTTCGAACTTTTCCCGAGCAGCCATCACCGCCTTCGTTGCCTTCAATCGAGAGGTGCGTACATCGTGGTAACCACCGGTCAATGCACCCTTCTTATCAGATCTATCACCTTCGGGTGTCACCGCAGTAAGCCCATGGGTCCTGGCGTACTGAGCAGCGATGCTTAGGTTCTGCGCAATGATCGCTTTGCCAAAAACTTGCTGCACTGCTTTCTCATACTTTTTATCATATTGGAGAAGAGACATGAGAGGCCTCGCGTCCGGCGCATTTGGAAAATTCGCAGTCTTAGGCTTCAATCGGTTGAGAGGCATAAAGGTGATACGGCCAGCTCGCTCGCGGTTGAGAATTTCCATGACCTTGGTTGCCGTATCGTCGTTGTCCACAACATAATGAAAAAGAGAATTGCCGGCCGTCACCTCCACAGCGGTATGATGTTGTGCCACGTCGATCAGCTCTGCAAGAGGACCATAACATCCTTCCAGGTTGTGCTGTTGTTTGATTCGGCGTACAGCTTCTAATCCGCGGCTGGTGTTCCCGTCCATCATATGTGACAGATTCCGCTCGGCTTTCCTCAACTCGTCTTGTGCTGCACCATATTCGGAGTCCAGCTGTGCCTCCCGCCGCCAGAGAAGCTTTCGTTCATCCATGAGATTTTCTCTCCGCTGCTGGGCGCGCTGGATTTCTTGGTCGAGGGAGTCGTCTTGGCCACCAACTTGCTGCTGTAGACTTTCAATTTCCTTTTCAAGGCTAGCGATCGCTTTCTTGTCTTCTTCTATGCCTTCTAGGGTCTGCATTCTTGTGGCTTTGAAGCGCGATAATGCTTCGAAAGCTTCACTAATCTGTGCCTGGAGCCAATCGTCTCGAGCTTTCTTTGTCTTGAAACGAGCATTTCTGCCTTGCTTGGCGTATAGGTGCTCTTGCGTCGCAGTGGCTTCATCGAGGCGACTCTTCACTGACTGTTCTTTCGCCATTTCTGCTTCGAACTGAGGGATGATGGTGTTCAGTTCTTTCTCCACTTGTTGTATTTGTGCCTGGACTTGCTGTAGCTCCTTGTCATGAGCTTGTTTCGCGCGGTGAGCTGCGGCCTGGCCGTGGGTGAGATTTCTCTCTTCGAGTTCAACCTGCGCTCGTGCCTTTGCCTTCTCGCGCTTCTCCTCGTCATACTGTCGTTTTTCGAGTCGAGCGGCGTGGATTTGCTGGTTGAGGTTCTGGATTTGTTGCGTGATTCTGGCCAACTCATCTTCACCTTCAGCATAGCGTTCACGATTCTCATCGGCATCGTCTATTCCCCCAGCTCTTCTATCCTCCAACTCGGCTAGTGCTTTGTTGATTTCGTCTTGCTCTCGAGTGAACAGTGTATATTCTAGCGCACGCTTTTCGCGGTCTTGCTCTTGAAAATCTCTCAACTCAGCTTGCTCTTCTTCTAATTCAGCGAGGCGTTCGTTTATTTGGTCAAACGTCTGATCAATTGCCACGAGCTTGTTGTTAGTCTCACTCATGATCTTTTGCGACTCCTCTTTTTTTGCGACAAACTGTTGTGTGCCTGCGACGCTCTTCAAAACGTCGAGACGCTCAGAGTCCTTCATGTTCGTCAAACGTGTGATCCGGCCCTGTGGAACGATGTAGTAGGGGTTCGCCCGTGAGAAGCCGGCGTTTTCAAGAAGTTGCATGACATCTTGCTTGGTCGCGTTTTTGCGATCCAGGGAGTATTCGTCCTTTTTCAAACCGATCGTACGACGAAGGATCAGTTCATCATTTCCAGTAGGGAATCGACCGTCGGAGTTGTCGAACACGATTTCTACATAGGCAGACATGACTGCTGATCCAGTGCCCTCCTAATCTTGTGTTAAATCGCGGGCACAAGCGAGGGAGCGGGACTGACATGAATGAGGGCTTGTCTCTCTTCGCGACCCATCTGTGAGTACGCATCGCTGAGGACGAAGCGGATCGCAGCGAAGAAATTACTCTTGCCAGATCCATTGCGACCAACGATAACATTGAGCTTGGGAGAGAATGGGTTGACGACGGTTTGGTTCTTGTAGCTGTGCGGGTGTGGTTAACGACGAGATCGCAGTGGGAAGCAGTGTCTGACTAGCTTACCTTTTGAAGCCCTGGATCGTTATCTGTTTGATATGCATCTTGACCAGTATGGGTGTGGAACGAATGCAGGCGTCAGGACATGGTGGGATTGATTTGTTTCTGAACAGACGCGATGCGCAACTGACGCTCCACGCGACCGCGATTGATCCATCTAAGTGGCTTAGTCATCGACGAGGCTGCGCAGCAGTCTCCAACAACAAGAGTGCTACGATTCCAACAACCCACTCCTTATCTTAATTCAATCCGAATCTTCAAGACGACAGCGAGTCTACTACATGTCCTGCTTGGCGTCGCCCATGGATACGCCATACGAAGCTTCCCATGGCCTGGCCTGGCCTGGGTTCCTAGCACGCTGCAACACTCCGTTCCAACCTTCCTTGGGCCTATTTCTTTTCGCCGAGAAAACTCGGCCGTCGGATCTATGCTGTTCGGGCTTCAGCCAAGTCGGCCTCAAGGTTTTTGTCCCGCGGCCGTGCGCCATCTTGAAGAGCAGGTTTTACGTTGCAGAGCAGATGCTGGTTAGCTGGCCGGGCATTCAATTTCCATATCCGAATCATGCCCCGAATGCCTCGAGTGTCCCGACATAACACCCCTGGTTCTCGCACTGCAGGCTTCTTTCATTGCACGCATGGCCGGAATGCCCCATCGCTATGTCTCCTCGCTAGTGGAACACCCATGAATCGTCCGACAACGGAGATCAGAGTCGGTCGTTACGTACTGTTGTCTTGACGCCGAGACTACAATAAGCTTGACCATTTTTATCAGATAAGATCTCAACTTCCCCCTTTCTGTATCTGCCCTCATGAGCTTCGATTGCCGTTGGACAAAATGTTGAAAAAGCTCCTTTTCTACTGCAAATTAATGCGTTTTGCATTATCTTTGGGCTTAGAACGAGTGGGATTTCTGGTCTTGGCTCGGATTCATCGTCTCACGTACAAAGCAGTTCCCAACCCCAAGAATGTTGTGGTCGTGGGAGGTTCTTTTGCTGGCTTCTTCCTGGCAAAAGAACTGGCAGATTCGCTTCCTACTGGCTACCGAGTCATAGTAATCGAGAAGCATTCACATTACTACTTTACTTGGAATTTCCCCAGAGTTACTGTCGTCGAAGGTCATACGCAAAATGCATTCGTTCCCTACCCAGACGAGTCCTTGGTGCAACCCGCCGGAGTGTACTCCTTCCGCCAAGGAGAAGTTGTCGACATTGGAGATGGCCAAGTGACACTGGCCGATGGGACTATCATCCCTTTCGAATTCCTTGCCATAGCGACTGGCTCGAACGCACGGTATCCAGCCGAGATGGACGCCGACAACAAGTTTGACTGCATAGCTTTCTTCGAGAAGCAGCAACAACGTATAAAAGCCGCAGATCACATCGTCATCGTCGGTGCAGGTGCCGCCGGAGTCGAGGTGGCCGGGGACATCATGACCACGTACAAGAACAAGAAAGTCACCTTGGTACACTCGCGACAGCAATTGCTGAATAAATTTGGAAACGAACTACACAACGTGGCGAAGAAGGGGCTGGAGGATTTAGGTGTTGAGTTGGTCCTAGGAGATCGTGTAGTTGCCGGGCTGGATAGCGATGGTCCCGCCGAAATCCGACTACAGAGTGGGAAAGTCCTCCAGGCCGACATGTTGGTATGTGCTCGTTCTGCCCTTTTCTGGATGCCTACTTATATGCGACACAGATCAGAAGCACGGGGCAACACCCAGAGTCAACTCTCGTCAAAAAGGCCTTCCCGTCCGCAATCTCGCCTTCTGGAAATATCCTGGTTGAGAAGACCCTGCAGATCAAGGGTTGCCCCCCTAACATTTTCGCCTGTGGTGATGTGATTGACCTGCCTGGCCCGAGACTGGGCAGAGCCGCCACATATCAAGGAATGTTCGTTGGTGACAACATTGTAAGGTCGATCAAGGGGAAACCATTAAAAGAATATAAGCCAGGAATGATTGACGCGTCAATCGACTTGACATTAGGCGTGGTAAGTCACCGAGGCAGGACGTGTGTAATGTATACGAAACTAACCTCAGTCTTTTTCTCCCAGGGAAACAATGTGACGTACATCAACGATGCGGGTGACGAGATGACCTTTCCCACAAAAATGCCCGATGTCAACCTGCATGCAGCCCAAGCCTGGAAGGTCATGTATGCCAAACCGTTTGAAGATCCAGGATACACGCCAAAGAAGGTCGCGGAGTTGGCTGATGTTTGAAGACCGTCTATCTATAAGTCACTGGTGTTTCGGTTTTGTGGTCAAACAGAGAATCATGCGTGATTGCTGCTGCTCCTCAGGGAAAGCATCGACTTTTCTTTACCAAGTTGGACATTTGTCGAGTCTTTGGAATGGATACACGGCGACGCCGTCAGATCGTGTTTGCAGCGGGCTTGTTCTTAGGAGGCATACTGGTGGGTGACCTTATAGGCTTTAATGTGTATTAATTTCCCTTTCCTCCATCTCCATCTTCTTCGGGCATAGCAACGCCTCCCTCTCTCTGCCACTTCAGTAATTCACATAAAGTCACTCTTCACCGCCTGGATCGAAGGCTCTTTTCTCTGCGCCGAAAAAGGTCTAGAAACTTGTTTGGCGGTTACAGTTGGAGCCTGCACCGAGCAGACTCCCCGCCGTGGCCAACCCGGTTTGTCGTGGCATGTACCGACCCCTTTTCCGCCTACGGCGCCTTTCAGCCTTGGCCGGCTTTTTTGGATATCCTTCAGATCACCGAGGCAACTCAAGTACATACAATTGAGGTACATCTGCCCACCAAGATACTCACGCACACGCTCTCGCCATCCTCCGCTTGCCGGGAAAGGCTACACTGCCCTTTCAAGAGCAGCCGATTCCACTACTTCTTCAAAACAATCACCCACCTTCTGCTCTGTGACAACTGCCTTGTACGGAGTTGACGCCTACAATCCCAAGCCCACCTCGTTGAGCTTCAAAACTGGATGTGATGTCGCTCTCAACACATTTCGCACTACCTTTACGTCCCCTATGCTTTTGGCACGATATTCTTGGACTTTGAAATCGAAGCCATCCATCGGCCCCCCACACATGGTCTCACTACCTTCGAGATGTCGTCGCCCAAGGACCCTGCCGTTGCCCAAGTTGTCAATACGCTAATGGTCGTCGATGGCATCCGCGACATTTTCAAGTCTCTTGTTGTTAAGGCCGCGACTTATTACCGAGGACGAGAAGTTCAAGGGCGTTCTTGACATCGGTATTCCTGGTGGCACTCGTCGACGGCTGGGTTTTGTCTACGCTTCATCGGCCATGAACCAAAGCAAACCACTGGGGGCTATGCGCTTATGATGGCGGCAGTCGGCGCAGTCTTATTCGTTGGTTTAGCGGTTCGGTCTTGAGCCGGAAGCCGGATACCTCCTCACGGCCCAACGTTCTTCGGGTGAGGCCATCAAATCCGTCCTGTGCCTTTTACGATATCACGGCAAGCCCTAACAACAACTTCTTAAAATTAAGGTGGACAGCTGTAGCTAACTAGAGTCGAGCTCATCTTAACCAACTACAATAACATAGTTTCCGATACGGCATTTGCTAGATAAGGGTTCGATTGACCTGCGTATCTATGTCCGTTACAGTTGGTATCTAGCCAAAATCCACTTCACCACCAGCCATCCCTCCCATCTATCGTACGTGTCTGTCTCAACCCCACCGCCTAGTGTAACTTAATGTACTAAAAGGAGTCGCGATATTCAAGCGCACTCTTAGATATGCGCCGATGCTTCTCCTTTTCAAGGTCTCGACTGTGGAGATAGCGCATGAGGAGAACGATCACAACCGCACAGCCTCCAAATCCAGCCGTGATATAATTACCTGCCACAATATAGGGTTGCTTGTTGGCTGGGAAAGTGAAGATAGGGACCCAGGCGGTGAAGATGTAAGCGAAAGCATTCATCTGGGAAAACAACGTTAGCAAATCCCTCAAGTTGAGAAGCCGGGGAGGAAGAACACCGACCAATGCAGAGACGTAAGCCCGCTTCTCTTGGTCGTGTCTGTTAATCTCGTTGACCCAGGTCCAGGTAAGACCTGCAGCTGTCCCAGAAAGAGAGGTCAGATCTAAAGAAAACCAGAAGGTCAGTGTTCGTCTCTCTCTCTCAAGGCCCTTTTTCGGTACAGCATACAGTAGAGTACCCAGCGATTCGCCCGATTGCGAGGGTGAACAGGCGTCGCAGCAAGGGCAGTCGGGAATATGATTGCCATGACACTGGCAAATAGCACACCGGGCCACCTAAGAGCACCCGGCAAGCTGTCCGAAATCCAGGAATTGGCAAGGGTGGCGACAATGGTGATCACGTTGATCTAGTGGGGGTGAGCAAAATCATCTCTCTCAGGATCAAAGCCAGAACCTACACCAAGGGGAATAAGGTTGATCTGAGGGACCGTGTAGACGATAGGCTTTCCTTTGACGTTGTAACTTTTGGCCCAGAAGATCACTAGTCTTTTGTTAATAGTTTGAATGCTGCGAGGATTGAGGAAGTCCTTACTCGACTGGCCTGATTGGCCAAACTGGGCCATGAATGCAAACAACAAGGGAACTTTCATCATCGTTAGTGAATGAGACGGATGAAAGGCTTGATAGGCATGGTTGCTCACAGAGGAAAGCATGCCATGTCGTATGCCATCGCTTGATATCCTTCCACTTGAACAAGCCGGTGAGAAGCTTTTTCTCAGAAGGCATTCTTGCTCGGGCCAGATCAATTTCTGCCTGAGTGAAAATCCTGATGAACAGTTTTAGTCATGCGACGGTGTTGGGACAGGCCAGGAGACATACCAGTTAGGCTTAGCTCTCGCCGGAAGTTGTGGCATTGCAATCGCAGTCCAGAGAGCACAAGGAAATGAGATGACACCACAGATGCTGCGCTTGTCAGTCTAGACCTATATCCATAGCCAAGGGCGCACGCACATGTACATCCATCGCCAGCCTGCGAGGCCGCTAACCCCATCGAGTCCGGCAAATACGGCCGCCATCAAGAAACCGGAGAACAAGGGTCCAATTCCGGTCGCGATTTGGATAAGTGTGTTTCGTCGGGCCAGCTCGTGAGGTTTATAATAGCTGGAGCATACATACATGACAGCAGGAAAGTGGCCGGCTTTAGAGAGTGAGTCGATCTCACATCGTACAAAGGCTCAGATGGATTCCTACCTTCGAATAGACCCACACTGTGTTGATGTTAGCAATTGACAGACTCGGGAAGAAGGAAGACCCACAAGAAGCGGAAAACATAAAGCATTTTGACATTCTTCACGCCGGCGGTAGCAAAGGTGAAAACAGTCCAAGACAGCTCAAGGAATGCAATGTATAGCGGCGCATTAACCTGCTATTGTGTTAACGTACTGCACATCGTATCATGGATCTTGGTAGTTTCGCACCCTGGTGAGGAGTAGGTTTGATGGAATCTGGCCAAACACATATGCTGCGCTCCAAATCGCATTGGCGTAATTGAGCTCTTTTCCGTACAATGAAAGGTCTTCTTTCATACCGCTGTCTATATAGTGTCAGTATGGTTCACAATGTCGCGAAGGTCACCACCTACTGAAAGCATTGTTGATGTTGACTTGATCGAGGTAGCGACACATGACGCCCAGAGCTGCCGACGAAATAAGGGTCAAGTCAAGCTTCGTGAGGAAGCGGGCTTCTTCTTTGGGGACATCGAGTGCTAGGCAGATGAGAAATTGGCTTTCACTTGGTAGCAATGCCAGAGAGCTTACTTGACCAAATGGCAGACCTCCAAGTTCTCTTGGGCTTGGTGTACTCTTGGCTCTCTGTTTCGTTCTGAGTAGATGCTGACTTTACCGGGACATCACCTCCGACCTCGCCAACAACAAAAGTCTTGAGAGACTTCTCTTGTGGTAGAGACATCTTTGCAGTAATGAATGACAATAACCAAATTGAGCCCTATCATCTTGCCTCCCAGCCGGACATGAATACATATATAAATCGTTTTCAAAAAGCCAGGCTAGGCTTGGCAGCACGTTGAGTCGGTGTTGCCTTTTTCGGGGTAAATGGCGACATCGAAGCGTGGCGGACTTTTGCGAGTGTTGATTAGGCCGTCTAGTATACTAATCGGACTAAATTCTGCTAATATTCACACCATCTCAAAGTAAACGAATGATGGAGACTGAGGTTTGCAGATAGCCGATGTTTCTGTATCTTGTCTTGATAATCAACATCGAGACCTCGACCGGACACTGCCCTGAAGCCAATGGTATTGAGGCAGCTGTATCAATTATGGGATCACCTCCACAATGCGCATGGCCAAGAAGACCCGGTGCTCCAGCCTTTTTGCATCGATTGCCGTTCACAGGCATCAGAAGCCTTTTGAACCGACAACGGCAGCTTACGTGACTCCGGGACTCTTCAGGACTCTGCGCCTGGAGGTTTTCGCAGCGAAGGCTTCGAGTATGACTATGGCTTCAACTGAAGGATTCAAGAGTTTGAAAAGTTCTCAAATACGAGACAGCAGAGTTCTGTGGCCTGTGCTAACGTTCGATGGGCAGAAGACGCAAAAGGCGCCTTCAACGCAGACGTGACCGAAAAAGAAAGCGTCGAAGAAGAGCTGAAGCGAACCGATGATAGTGTGGCGAGGTCCTCTCCCGACACGGCTAGATTCTTTGGTGGCGTGATTTGTTCTGATTCGAGCGACTCAGATTTCATCTCTTCGTCCTCCCACGTGTAGAGAGAAGGGTATGCTTTGGTAGCTAGTGGTGAGGTTCTTTCCAGTGTCATTGTTGCTATTTCAAGAAGCCACAGCTTTGAATGTTTGCGGTCAAGCATACTTGACGAAGAAGTTTCAGACCAATTGCTGGAGAAACCGAGCGAGCCTGGACAAGACATCTGAAGTCTAGATGACCTAAAACGATAGCTCGCAATAAAGGGAATGAGACCACGATCAAGCATACTGGAGAAAGTTGAGCTGAGCCGCGGCTCAAACTGCACTTGGCCTACCAGTATCACGTGATTATGATTGCAGACCAGTGCAATATCCACAGCATTTCCCTGGAATTCAAAGAGACGGAATAGAAAACACAAAGATATTGATTGTGGTACACTCCACATAATAATGACTCATATCTACACTACTCGCTGTTTGCCATCGTGCCAGCCGAGAGCATAGGAGGTCGGAGTGAGATCCGATATTTTACAATTTCGGGATCCTCATATTCCGCCATCCACGATGGATCCATGGTGATCTCCCACTGCTTCATACGGCTCATGAGCTGGACTTTGGGATCTTCCAGGGCCTTGTAGAATCTCAGGTCCGCGTCCTTCTTTTCTGGGGTGGCCATCGCGAGCCATTGCTCCATATTATGCTCCCTTGCGACGTCGTCGATCTTCCAAATTCCCAAGGGATCCTCACTGTATCCTCCACGCTGGATGAGCCGCTTGTTCTCGATGGAGAATTCGTTTGTGAAATTGAGCCACTTGTCACGTCGAGCCTTGGCCCAGATATCGAGCAGTGATTCGGGCGCTCGGCCGTTGATCACAGCCGCGAGAGCTCGTCCTAAGGGACCTGCATCCAGGAGCCCCGTCGTCAACCCTAAGCCGCCAATAGGGTTGTTGCTCTGCGAGGATGTCAGTCAGATATGTGCAGACATAACATGGGAAAGCATATCACTTGCATGTGCCGCATCGCCAGCCAGCATCACCCTGCCTTTGCGGAATGTGGCAGCACACCTCTGATGGGGCTTGTACTTATTGAGTTGGACCAGCTCATACTCAACCGGCCAGACGGGGAAGATGTGCTTGTAGTGCTCGTCCAATTCAGCTCGGATCTCCTCGTTTGTTAGGCCGGCCCGTAGACCGAACGCAATACGCCAAAGGTCCTTCTCGGCACCCAGGATGGTGACGACTGCCCAATTCACAGGATCCAGGACAAAGTTTGCGGTCGTAAAGCCGTGCTTGTAGAAGTCATACTTGATATTCGTGGCAACAAAATCTTCTTTTGGCCAGGAGAATCCTTCAAAGGCGATATTGCATAGCTTGCGAACACTTGAGCCAGCGCCATCTGTGCCAATAAGCCAGTCGCAAGTATATCTCGTATGCTCGCTCGTAGCAGGATTGAGGGCTGTGACAGTGACTATGTTGCTTGCCTCATCCTGGGTCACTTCGATGACCTGTTGGTTGAATCTGACTTCGGAATTGTATTTGGTCGTTAAGTGTCTTAACAAGATAGCAGCCAACTGTGGTTGCGGGCAGTTGATTCCTGCTGGGAAAATTTCACCACCTTCTCTCTTGTCGACATATGCTACTCGTTCTTTGTCGACCCAAAATGAAAGACGATCGTTGATGACTGATTCTGCCTTGACATCCTCTAGAGTTCCAGTCTCGAGTAGTTCGGCTTGTGCACATGGCTGATATGCAGATGCCCGAGGCGATTGATCGACTTCATGGTTTCTCTCCAGTATCAGCACCGGTACACCAGCCCTTGCCAGATTAGTCGCGGTGGTCAAGCCGACAGGGCCGCATCCGACAATGATGACCTTACGGTGTTCAACGCCTAGGGAACCCATCGTTTTGAATTTGGATTGAACGGTCTCGGTGCGCTTGCGCTCGTGAAGCAAGTTCTATTAATCGCCAAAAGATCTGGGCCGCCATGAGGGGCTCATGTTAAAGTGTCTCCAGGGTCAAATCCATAACATGGTTGCCCCAAGAAATGCCGAAACGGGCGAATCCCCCCAAATCGCCCCCAAACTCTCCCCACATTCCCCTACCCAATACTCGCATAGTGTACGAGTACTTTAGGTCCTTTGCCGATGGCAACAACGGCAAATACACTTACTCCACCACTTTTGTTCTGGGACTCTCACAGCCATGTGGGGAGTCTACATACCTGTATATATTGCCGTTCCAGGCACTTTCTTGGCCGTGTTGGAGGATATCTAGTACTAGACGCCAGAGCTGTCACGTTCAAGTTCGAATCCGAGATATCGTCACGTCACCATGGGAGAACCAGCGCCAGAGAGATGGCTTGGCGAGCAACATGACTGCCAGTATGATTCAGATCCTCGACAGAACAAAGACTTGGGAGCCTTGTTGAAGAGTCGCAACGTGCTCATCGCCGGAGCTGGTCGAGGCATTGGGCGAGCGACAGCTGAATTTTTCGCTCATACCCAGGCCAAGTCGCTTAGTTTGATGGCGTTGGAAGCTGCAGAGGTTGAGGAAACTGCAGAGCTATGCAAGAAGATCAATCCAAAATTGATGCTCAAGACGGCAGGATTTGATGTCAAGGATTACGCGAAAGTTGAAGAGTTTGTCCAGGATGTCGATAAAGAATTCGGCAGCATTGACGTTCTCTACATGAATGCTGGTAGACCACCTCAGTGGTTGGCGACTCATGAGTCAGACCCGCACATTTGGTGGGACACCGTCGCTGTATCTTTGCAGGGAGCCTTCAACTTCAGCCGAGCGGTGATCCCAATCATGCGTCGAGAAGGTGGAGGAAGGATCGTCTTCACAGCTTCAGCAGGAGCTCATGTTAACAAGGGCATGACGAGCTACATGCTGGGGAAGCTCGGTATGGTCCGATTGGCCGAGTCCTTACATTTTGAGAACAAGGATGCTGGAATCAAGACTTTCGCTATCCACCCTGGTGCGATCAAGACTCGATTCTTCAGCGACTTCAAGGACGCAGCAGAGGGTAATATCAAACCAGGAAGCTATGTTTCGACCTCAGCCGAAGGTGAGAAGAAGTCAGCAGAGACTGCGGTTCACTTTTTTAAAGACGTGACATGGGATACTCCACAAATGGCGGCTGGAATGGTAACTGTCCTAGCCAGTGGACAAATGGACTTCATGTCGGGAAGATATGTTGACTGCTCTATGAAACCCGGAGAATATATCGCCGACAAGGAGAAGATAAAATCGAAAGACCTTCATCGAGTGAAGTTGTTGGTGGACGATGGCTGGTACATACCTTCGGCTGCTCCAGAGTAGTTGATCAGGACGTTGGCCTAGAATTCAACCATAAGAGAGATAATGAAAGAAGAAGGCGGCTACAGACCACTTCATGCTCTGCAAGCCAAACAAACGCAACGACAAAAGCACCTGTACTCCATACATCGATTAAAGCAGAGATAGCCATGGACAGCGTTCGCTGCCACTGTGGAAGAGGCCCGCGCCTAAAATCCCGCTAGAGACGCGCCAAGAGATCGCGCAGCGCGTCACGCGTAAAGTGGTCAGTCCCTCCTTTTGAAGAGGGACTCCTTAACATTGTGTACAGTCAAGAACTCAAGTTCAAATAATCAACACCGCTCACAATGTCGTCGACACCCTCCTCGCGCCGCCGAGGTCATTCTTCGCGCAATTCACAGTCTTCATCTCCTGCACAACAGTCTCAAGCGACCCCCCGCAACTCTAGACAGCCCAATGGAGGTCCTGGAGTCGCATCTTCTTCGCCCCTGTTTTTCCAATCGTCGCCGGTTCGGTCAACACCTGCGCCGCTCTCGCAGTTGGCAAGCGATGGCATGGTAATTAGCTCTCCTCCACAACAAGCATCGGACGTTGGCGACCGAGAAACCACCCCCCGGCCAAGCACCAGGCCGGCTGCAGGTATGGAAGAAAATCCCTTTCTGTGAAGTGGCAGCGCTCTTACCTGTACAGAGTCTTCTCCCGTGCGATATGATCCCAGTTCAAGCCCGGGACGCACTTCAGGTCGCATTCAGTCCGATGTCCCAAGCAGTAGCAGCGGTCTTTTTGTCCGTCAAGACAGACAACCTCGAATTTCCTCTCGACGGGGCGACATTCATTCGGACACATTCGCGTCCTCTCCTGCCAATCGTCGACGTATTTATGTTGGTGAAGATGGCATGCCAGTTCGAGATGGTCAAGATCCACCATCTGAAGCCACCTTCTCAAACCTCAACCCCGATACCTCGGAAGCAGATGCGATGGGAGGAGATTCCACAAGAGTCATCTGGGGCACAAATATCTCCATTGTGGATTCCATGTCCTCCTTCAAGAATTTCCTCTACAACTACGCCAAAAAGTATCGAATGTGGGCTGATGGGGCATCCGAGGAGGAAACCAGAGAACTTGGAGCCGATGCGGATCAGAAAGAATACCTAGAAATGCTTCAGGACATGCGCAAACTAGGTGTCTATGGTCTCAATCTGGATGCCCGCAATCTCAAAGCATACCCTGCAACATTAAAATTATGGCACCAATTGCAAGCCTATCCTCAAGAAATCATCCCATTGATGGATCAGTGCGTCAAAGATGTCATGGTCGAACTTGCGCAGAAAGAAATGCAGGAGCTTCAGAGAGCTCGCAACGGTGCGACAACTTCACGCGCCAGGAACGGCAGCTCAATGCCTCCATTGACCCCATCAGATATGGGCAGTGCAGCGACGCCCGCTGCAACCCCTGCTGCAGATGAGATCCCAGACCTCGTGGAAGAAGCAGAGATCCGACCCTGGAAAGTTCTTCCATTTGGTCTAGATAAGACCGTCAACATGCGAGATTTAGACCCGGCAGATATCGACAAGCTGATCTCTATCAAAGGTCTCGTCATTCGAGCAACTCCAGTGATTCCAGACATGAAAGAAGCGTTCTTCAAATGCACAGTCTGTAATCACACTATGTATGTGTCGATTGATCGAGGCAAGATTGCAGAACCAACACAATGCCCTCGCCCCGCTTGCAAGTCTCGAGACAGCATGGAAATCGTGCACAATCGATGTGTCTTCGCAGATAAGCAAGTCATCAAACTCCAAGAGACACCGGACTCTGTCCCGGACGGCCAGACCCCTCACAGCGTATCTCTTTGCGTCTATGACGAACTGGTTGATGTGTGCAAGGCTGGTGATCGAATCGAAGTCACTGGGATCTTCCGCGGCAACCCCGTCCGTGTGAATCCAAGACAACGCACAGTCAAAGCTCTGTTCAAAACATATGTCGACGTCCTGCACGTTCAGAAAGTCGACAAGCGCAAACTCGGGATTGACGCATCCACCATCGAGCAAGAGCTCTCCGAGCAAGTCGCGGGAGATGCTGAGCAAACCCGTAAGATCACTGCAGAAGAAGAAGCCAGGATACATGAGATAGCGGCTCGAGATGATGTCTACGACATTCTTTCGCGAAGTCTAGCCCCTAGTATCTATGAGCTTGACGATGTCAAGAAGGGTATCCTTCTCCAACTCTTCGGTGGCACAAACAAGTCATTTGAGAAGGGTGGCTCTCCTAAGTATAGAGGCGACATTAACGTCCTTCTCTGTGGTGACCCGTCTACCTCGAAGTCTCAACTCCTACAGTACGTCCACAAGATCGCACCTAGAGGTGTATACACTTCCGGCAAAGGTTCTTCGGCAGTCGGTCTAACGGCGTATGTGACGCGCGACCCGGAATCGCGACAACTCGTCCTCGAGTCCGGTGCGCTCGTGCTCTCCGATGGCGGCGTCTGCTGCATTGACGAGTTCGACAAGATGAACGAGTCGACGCGTTCGGTCCTGCACGAAGTCATGGAACAACAAACCGTGTCCATCGCCAAGGCAGGTATCATCACCACTCTCAACGCCAGAACGAGCATTCTGGCTTCTGCAAACCCGATCGGGAGTAAATACAACCCCAACCTACCTGTGCCGCAAAACATCGACCTTCCACCGACACTGCTCTCGAGATTCGATCTCGTGTATCTCGTGTTGGATCGGATTGATGAGACCAATGATCGCCGCCTCGCAAAGCATCTGGTCGGCATGTACCTGGAAGACACGCCTGAGAATGCATCACGAGAAGAAATTCTGGTACGTGACTAGTCCCCCCATTTACTTCTGTTCCTAGCCATTGTTTTCCTTTTGTGTGATGTCAGACTGCGAATGACAGATGGAGGTCGCGAGCTAACAAATCCTCATGAATAGCCTGTCGAATTCCTCACGGCATACATCTCGTACGCAAGACAGAACATTCACCCTACGCTCACACCCGCTGCCTCCAAGGCCCTTGTCGACGCGTATATCCAGATGCGCTCACTCGGGAGCTCGATCCAAGCCTCAGACCGACGGATCACCGCCACGACGCGACAACTCGAAAGCATGATCCGGCTCAGCGAGGCGCATGCGAAGATGCGGCTCTCCCAGACCGTCACGGAAGCCGACGTCGCAGAGGCCGTGAGACTGATCAAGTCCGCCATCAAAGCCAGCGCGACCGACTCCAGGACCGGCCTGATCGACATGGGCTTGCTTTCCGAAGGGGGCAGCGCCAGTGACAGGCGCAGGAAGGAGGATTTGAAACGCGCCGTGCTGATCGCCATCGACGACGATTCTGGCGTCAGAAGCGGCGGCGTGGCCAGGTACAGTGATCTGTACCGCAAAGTCAGCGAGGGCAGCACCGCCGAGATCGAGGGGTCCGAGTTCCAAGAGGTCCTAAGGTCCCTGGAACAAGAAGGGAAGATCCAGGTTACAGGCGAAGGTGGCCGGAGAAGTATCAGGAGGATCACTGGGATCTGAGCGAAGTCGTCAGCAACTAATAAGTCTTCCACTTGGCCTTTTAGCCCAGTCTGAAATTTCTTCTTGTGCCGTAGCACAGAGAGAGTGTATGATGCAGTTTACGAGGACGACGGGTGACGTGGCGTAGTCAATGAAACAGGGCGGTGGTCACCTTCCTCTGGACTGTTCGTTTCTTTTCGAGGATAAACACGGCGTCATGGGCATTGTTTTGTTAAAGAGAGAAGTGCTCGTCGTACCCTTGAGCATCAGCTGATAAAGTATTTTACCGTACGGGATCTTTACGATATGAGATGTACGAGAAGTTTGTGCCGTCTTTTGTTGCTTTTGAGTGGTTACTGATTTTCGTCTACCTGGCCATACAGCATAAGGAAAATATCTTCGACTCAAAAATGACCGACCACCATGACCCATGTCCTCCTGAGGAGCCTTAGGTACCTAGACTAGAAAGATGTACTCCCGAGAAGTCAAACTGAAAGACTGTGTGGTATCGTGGAACTCGACCAACATAAATGAAACCCAACCATTGTCCTAATACCGAGTTCCCGCCCAATCCACACCCATTTTCCCAACCACCACCACAATTCCAAACCTGACCAACTCTGTAAATAAGCGGGAAATTTACTCCAAGATTGTTCGGAAAATGAATGAACAACGCCTCCAGCAAAGACTTAAGAAAGCAGTCTTTTGCAGACATCAAAAACACAGATCAGGCCGTAAAGTTGTATACTCTGACCTCGCCATCCTCTCCGCCACTGCACATTCGACTATCACTCAACCCGATACAGGTCACTGGTCCTGCATGCCCGGTGAAGGTTCTTTCACACTTGCCCGACCTCGGGTCCCAGACTTTCACCATTCCGTCCTCAGCTCCGGACACAAAGCGCAGCGTATCCGCCGCAATAGTCCACACACCCTCGACGTGCCCAAAGAATTTCCTGATGCACCGACCCGAATGCACGTCCCATAGACGAATGGTCGAGTCAAGTGCCGACGTAAGCATGTACCGTGGTGGCCGAGGTCGATCAGGCTCTGAAGCGAATTGACCTGTGTGGTCGATGCACAGGGACAGCATTTTTTGATTCGCTTTGGTCACGGTAGGGCTTACCGGACTGCCTGGCTCTGAGTCCTCGTCCTGGTCTTGGTCCTCTTCGGCTTCGAACTCGGCCGGCAACGGCAAGACTTGTTGGACCTGACCAACGTGTCCTTCGAAGGTGTGAATACACTTCTTGGTATCTAAGTCCCAGAGTTTGATAGTGCAGTCGTCAGAGGCGGTGAAGATGGTACGTGAAGCAGTGTCGATTTTCACAGAGTTCACCCAATCTTTGTGCCCGCGGAGCGTGAACACTGATCGGTCTTCGAAATTCCACACACGAGCAGTATGGTCCACAGAGCCAGAAACGAGAATGTTGGAGTCAAAGTGCAGCGCAACGACTCCTCCCGAGTGGCCCTGATAGGTGGCGATACATTCTCCAGTGCGCCAATTCCACACCTTTAGCGTCTTGTCCAGACTGCCACTGATAAGTTTGTTGTCGTCAAATTGCAAACATCGGATGCCCATAGTATGACCCGTGAGTGTTCTCAACTCTGTGCCGGTGTCGACGTTCCAGATCTTGATTGTTGAATCATACGAGCCCGTGGCCAAGATGTTATCGCAGAGTTGAAGAGACATCACACCGTTAGAGTGGCCTTTAAGAATCTTGATGCTGCAACGTCCATACTTCCAGTTCGTCCCAACCTTGAACCTGTCTTTGTAAACGTCTTTCCAAGGTCGCGTTCTTTTATGTTCGCCATCACACGACCCTAGAGGAGGCTTCCGCACTGAGACCGGGGAGAGACGGCCATCAGAAGACTTTTCAATGTCGGAGACATCATGGTGGCTTTCGCTGTCCGACACAGAGCTTGGTACAGGACCGTTGTCTGCACTCTGGGATGAACTTGCAGAATGCTCTTCGATCAAGTGAGTGCCGGCGGCACGCAGCTCAATCTGCCTCTTCGTCGCACGCAGCATCTTGCGCTCCAGCAATGGGAGACCCCAACCGCATTTTGTACATTTTCGATCAATATGTTGTTCGCACATCCTATGCCAAACTACATCGTCGTCGGCCAACTGCCTCCACTTGCGAGACACTTGTGCGGCTTTGCACAGCGATGTCGTGTCAAGAAAGCAGAGAATTCGGAAGGCCACTTCTGGAGGCAATGCCGATATGAAGTCGATGCGGATGAGTTTTTGAACGTTTGCGGAAAGGAAAGACAGCTGCGGGAAGCAGCACTGAGCGAGGATGCCTTGCAGCATGAGATTTCGATGTTTCGAGGGTGCAGCAGAGAACAATGACCAGACCTGGACAATGCCCTGACGATCTTCTTGTGAAAGTGCATCTAGATCATGCTGCAACTTGTCCATAGACGGCTCATCTGCTTGCCTGCGACATAGCATATCGGGTCTATGTCTGTAGCAGAACTTGGAATTCGAATCTTTGCTTGCTTCTCCGACTGGCTGGTCAATCTTTCCAAGAGGCGCGTATTGTGAAGGGATATGTTTCGCAAGGAAAGGGGCAACGGTCTGTCGAGCATGCTTCGCAGTGGAAGCTATGGTGATGCTCTTGTCCTTGGAACCGTCGGCCGCATGATCATGGAAATCCTTCTCTTCCGTTGGATTTGGCCGCAATCTCTTCCTGGCCGGCTCTTCCCAGTCTTCCTCGGTCATAGATCGAGGCTGGTGCCTTTCTAGCAGATCGAACGGCATGGTGAATTGGAAGCGGTGTTTATGCACAGGCGTGTTACATATCGGTCGCCTAAATTCTCGTATCGGCTGATCGGACCTTGATCTCGTGTGACCAAGCAGTTCGCAAGGGTGTATAGGCGTGGGCGATGCTTCGGGCGATGGTTAGGGCAAAGGAAGCAGGGTGACGAGAAGAGAGTCGGGGATGGATCGAGGGTCAGGATATGGCAGAGCAGACGTTGCTGGTTCCGAGCGATTGCTCATTCGGTGGCGGTGGGATGGTGCAAGATCAGGGCGAAAAGAGTCTATCGCTCCGGCTGGTCGGCAAACGTCGTCGGTCACGTGCGATGAGGACAGCAGCAGCGGCTCCCATTGGCTCAAGCGGAGTCTGGCCAGGGGTCGATCTGGCTCCGCACATGGACAATCCGCGATGGCATCATTTCGCACGCCATTTCACCATCGTGTTTCTCATCGACAGCCCCTCCAGCCCCCTACAGCACGTCGTCAGCCTCTCTTCGCATTTGTCAGGCGGTGCCGCGGCGCTCACCTCCTGTTCCTGCATCCACCTAAATCAATAGCGGCACTTTTGTTGACATCTCTCCGCATTATTCTGGTGCGGCGCCCCGTCCATTCCGTGCCGAAGACCACATAACGACATCCACTCTCGCGGAGCCAAATATCCGTGCTTTGAAAGGATTGCATTATATTGTATCAGGATCACTACTAGCCTGACGGCACTCACCGCCTCCGGAGCAAGCTTATGGCCCCAGGGATGGCATTTGACACTCGCACCCTCGAACCCTTGCACTGACGCCTAGTTCCTCATTATTCCCTGCCATGGCGCAATCTCCCTACCTTGCCCAGCAGCGTTCTGCCCAACCCTCTCCCTCTCAGTCATTGCACGCCGCTAGCCCTCCGGTCAATATCGAAACAATTGTCTCGTACCTAGTCGCTTCCAAGCGGTCATTGGGCAGCATCCATCTTGTCCATCGAGCCACAAGCATCCTCGCCGAGGCACGTGCTTCGATCGAGTCTACCACCGCGCTTCTCGCGAAGACAACCTACCTGCGTCGGGCGTTGGCTTCACAACTCAAGACTTTGCGTGGGGTCCTGGAGGAGCTGGACTCGGCTGCTCAAGGCATTCAGCACGAATTCGAAACTATAATCCAAGAGTTGGACGATACAGGCGCCAGGCTGCTGCAATGCATCGACTTTTTGAAAGAGACGGCCATCGAGGAAGCCTTCAGGTCCTCCACCGAAGCAGAAGGAAATACAGGTAAGGTCACGCTGCACGATTTCGTGGACGACAATGGCGTGGAACAGATCAAGCATGCCATGAGAGCGGCGATAGATAACGTACAAAACGACCAGCACGAAATAAACCAGTCCATTCAGACCCTTGAAGAGGATCTACAATCGATCAACGACGTCCTGGTCAATCGCGTCAATGACTCGGGTGGTGAAAGTGACCTCAAACAGCCAGTCTCTGCGACCCTGTCGATTCTCGAACACCACGCCAAGGAGATGGCGCAGGGCCTGGAAAGTCTGGTCAAGCACTTCGATCTCTGTGTTACTGCCATCAAGCACACCGAAGGCGGCGGGGAAGCCGTAGTGCAGACCATGAATGCCAATGCCGAAGACCTTCCCGATAAGGTCGGCATGGGCATGGAAGAGCTCCAGGCGGCCGCGCAGCCCATGAACGAAGAAGAACGGACGGAGATGCTCCAAGTTCTTGAGAACGACGCAAATGAGGTCGACGAAGTGGTGATGGAACTCCAGGACCGGCACGCCGAGATGGAAGCCCAACTGGACAGGATTGCACAGTGGCGCGAGCAGCAAGAGATTGTCTACGCCGACGTCACGACCGCGTTCCGCCTCATGGACAAGATCTCGGGTCGGTTATCGGGGTATGTTGCGGAAACGGCACGGCACGCGAGTCGCTGGAATGAAGAGAAGGCCAAGATCGAAGACGGAATAGGCGGCATGGAAGAGTTGTGCGACTACTACGCCAACTTTCTCCACGCCTACGACGGCCTGATTGTCGAGGTGGACCGGCGCAGAGCGGCCAAGAAGGCCATGGAACGTGTCGTCGCGCAGGCCCATGGTCAGCTCGACCAGCTGTACGAATCCGACAGGCAGCTACGTATCAAGTTCCGGGAAAATCTGGGCGAATACCTGCCAGGGGACATCTGGCCTGGCGTGAACGATTTACCCCCACGGTTTGAGATCAACAGGGTGGACGCAGGCTTTGAAGCCAGCGTGCCCGATATACCGAGGCGGACCGTCGATGAGGCCGCGAGAAGATTTAGTAAGGGGCGATCGTGATATATATATATATATATTGAAACCCCTCCTTATACTGCCGCGCTTGGGGACGAAGTGAGCCTACCTGTGAGAGACAGCCATTAGTCGCTAGACACGCAGGTAATGAATGTGATGAATCATGATGAGAACAAGATTTGTGTAATGTGTAGGTACTTTAACAAAAGTGTAATTGTGTGTTTTTCAGCGCTCTCTTTGGATATCATGTGTTCCCCCCCTCCGGTCCAAATACCTTGGTACGTAAATGGAGACGGAAAGGGAACGTGAAAAGACAGACCAGAAAGGTTTCGTCGAGGTTGTTTTCTCGGTTTTATGTAGGAAGTGTCCCCGACATTGGACCGACGAAAAAAACCCAACCATCTGACAACCCCTTTCTCGCCTGCCTCATCGTCATATCAAGTGTTTGTTGGTGTCTTCATGTGTTCTTGCCAGTGATCCGGGATAGAGGTTTTCTTTTTGTGTTCCGACTCTGATCCCAACAAATGGAAAAAACATTGCTTACCTCGGGGTGTACGTGTCCATGGAATCGCGACGCGGAGCGATGGGAACGAATGTCCTGCTCGGTGCGTCGTGGGACCCGTCCTTCTCGACTCCTTTAGTCCGAGACAACACCAACCATGGTTTCCCGATCACGCAGCAAGACTCACTCTCTCTCTCTCTCTCACACACACACACACACCCACTAGCATGTCGAGTCAGGTCTTTGGAGTTGTGGTTTTTCGTGAACTCGTCATCCTCTCTGGCAACTGACGACAGGTCTACCCCCGAAAAAGTAGAAATGAAAAAGTGATGGGCTCATCGCCGTTTCGTAGACTCCTTGACCAATCTCTTCTTCACATTCTTGGGCATCTTGGTCGCTCTCTTCTCCCGCTTCTCCTCCTTCACCTTGCGCTTGTGCTCTCTCTTCTCGTCTTTGTCCTGGAACCGCTTTCCTCGCGGCCGGCCAGTCTCCTCGGACGAGCTCCCGGACTCTCCGCCCGAGTGCTCGTCCCCAGACTCGTCCTGCGAGTGCGACTCGACCCTCTGCAGCGGCGCACCGAAATTCTCGTCCTGGTCGTCGTCGTCATCTTCTTCTTCTTCTTCGTCCGGTGACGCCTCTCGCTGCAGCTCGGCCTTGTCCGGCGCGAGCAGGTCTTTGTACACCAACGCATCGCGTCCCGCGGTCTTCATCGTCTCCGCGTCCTTTTCGGCGTCATAAACCTCATCCAGCGTCTGCGGGATGTACTGTTTCCTAAAAACCTCGTTCTCCACCTCGTCGTCCTCGCCCTCTTTTCTCTCGGCCATGATGCGGTCGAGATCCTTCCTCATCACGTCCATCTGCACGTCGTCCTCGCTCTTGGTCTGGTTCGTGATGAACTCGTAGACCTTCCTGTCGATGAGCACGCTGACGCCCTGCCGCCTGAAGAAGTCGTTGACGTTCTTGATGTCCATCCTCAAAAAGTCGAGACTCCGAGGATGGTCGCCCTCGACGCTCTGGCTCACGTCAATCACCCACGGCTTCCCGCCGTGATAAAGCATGTTGTACTCGCTCAGATCCGCGTGCACGAGCTTGCACACCTGCAGCATGACCCTCATGTACGCGAGGACATCAAGGTAGACGTCACGCCACCTCGCGACCGGGTTGTCGTCCTCGAACTCGACGTCTTTCAGTCTCGGTGCGGCCTTGCCCTTGGAGTCTCCGATAAGGCTCATCCCCAGGACGTGCCTGCGCAGGTACAGCGGCTCGGGACACGGTATGCCGGCCGCGTGGATGCGTTTGAGGTTCCGCATCTCCTTCTCCGCCCAGAGTTTGACCATGGCGCGGTTGTCGCTCTTGTTGAACCCCTTGCGGAAGCGGAACTCGCCGGTGACGTACTTTTCTCGATCCTTGAAGACCAGGATGCTGGTCTTGTACACCTTGATGGCGACGTGGGTGTCGGGCTCGTCTGGATCGTCTGACGCGGCCACGGCGTGGTACACGTTGGCTTCTTTGCCGGTGGAAATCGTGCCGTTGATCTCGGACACGATGCCAGAGTTGATCATCTGGAACAGAATCCGCCGTGTCTTGGGATCCAGGACCTGTTCGGACGTGGCACGGTCGGATTTGTCCTTGCCCTTGGACGGACCCGTGGGCAGCGACTCTGGGCCTTCGATCTTCAGCTTTTTCATGCCATACCCCAGTTCGCCCATGTCGGGCTTGGACGACTTTTGAGGATTTGCCTTGGGATATTGCCATGACGGTACGTTCGGGTTGGCCATGGCATCGTCGAGCCGCCGTTGACGGTTGTATGACTTGGTTAGATCTGAGGGATTGCCAGAGGCGAGATCATCTGGGTCAACCAGTCTATTGGTGTCCACGTCACCATCGTCGTAGTATTCTTCATAATCTTCTCCGTCTTCATCATCATCGTCGTCATTTTCGTCGTCTTCTTGGATGAATTGACCCAGGGCCAGTCTCCGCTGGTGCCCAGTGCCACTGCCGTCTATGTATCCCTGGTTGGGGACGTATGTGTGAGTTGGCGCCTGTCCGTCCGCTACTCCAAGACTTTGATTGTCCGTTATCACGCTGTCAGATGGGTTGGAGGTCGCCATACTGTGTGAATGGACCGTAACGTGTAATGGCAGAATATGAAGTCTTTGATGTTGATCGTATTCGCCACAAAAATTATTCAGAGAAGGTGAAAAATGCCGTCATTTGATGTCATTCCTGTGCCAAGACAATCGACGAGGCTGACGAGGCTGAACGGCAGGGCTGAGACTTCACATGTCAGAGCAAAAGGATGGTGATAGACACCCTCACCGTCAATTCATCCCGACCGCGCCGCTTATCCTACTCGTGGTACTGTACTGTACACTCACTATCTCATCCCGCCTAGCCTATGAGTTAGAGAATGTTTCTCCGCCCGCCTCAGCCTATCAAGAGCGGCAGTACCAGCAATGTGGCCTCGATTCAAGGTGCCAGGTCTGGGGTATTTCGCTGGAACTTCCTCAGCTCTTGATAATACCAAGCCTTCTTTCCATGAGGACTCCAGACCGTCAAACCTGTCTTTCCTTGCAAATATGCGGGCCACTCCTTCGCGAAAAATCCATCGATCTCCAGCTTTTGCAGGCCTCGGATCTCCGCCAATGCCCGAACAACCTCGACATCAGCCCCTCCTCCAAAATGCCCAAATGTCGTCTCTGAATCCCAATACACGTAGATTTGTCGTAGTCCGACACCATCGGCAGCCAGTCTACGGAAAAGCTTGCACCATGGTGGACCCAGATGGTGGCTCGTGGAAGATATCGCCAGCTGGAAAGATTGTCTGCCCAGAATACACGGCATGAACAAAAATTCGAAGCTTGGCCAGATGTTTGATATTTTCCGAACCGATGTTCTCAAGCCACCTCACCGCAAGCGTCGGATCGCTGATCGTGAACTCATTCTGGCTGTAGAAGGCTGGCGAGGCTTGTCGTTCAATGGATTTGGACCCAACAATGTGGATCGTCTGTGCGGCCATGATATGCCCTCTGACAGCTAAGGAACAACGTAGCAGGGGAGTGGACGTCAATAAAGGACAAGCTGGTTCCCGCGATAAGATGAATTCTCTTCTGCTGTTATTTTACAGCGCAGTTCTTTGATGAAAAGAAACAACCGCAGTCTTGACTCAGAGTAAAATGTAGCTTTCACAGATAAGACATACGTAGGGTGAACTTCGAACGGGCAAATGGGTGCTGAACAGGTGGTGTTGGGCACAAACTGATGGGCGAGAACCTATGATCTGGGTTGCTTTGCTGTCCAAGAAGCTGGAAGTCGAAAAGGCTCGAAAACAATCTAATGCTTTCAGCGACATGACCTTGTTCAGCACGTGGTAGAATGATCCGGAGTGGCTTTCTAAAGCCGATCCTCCAGAGGCAACAAGTTTGTTAACTCGGAATAATCAACTAATCGTTTGGACAGCTATCTTGTGTAGCTGGTACTGATGTACTGGTCGTCCCACCGTGGGGCCTCAAGAAGGACTTTTGTACTCTGTATGACCTTTTGATATCGTATGATTTTTGGGGGTCTGTTTCCCGCATCTCAGCATGTACATTTAAGGCAAGCCTCGGCCCACAAGCCTAGCCATCAGGGTCCTCGTGCTTATACGCATCGTCCGCCTTGGTTTAACCGATTGCCATTCTCGTGCACCGTAATGCCTCATCTCGACGTGCCTGGGGCACAGCTCTACTATGAAACCATCGGCAGTGGCCCATTACTACTGTTGATCCCCGGCGGCAATGGATCGGGCGATCTGTGGCGCATTCTCGCCGAGCAGCTCAAATCCCACTTCACCGTGACCATCTACGACAGGCGCGGGTTCTCGCGGAGTCACCTTGTTGGCGCCCAGGATTACGAACACCGCCTTGAAACCGACGCCGACGATGCCAGTCTTTTGATCAGGCATCTCTCCAGCGACGGCGCACCAGCCACTGTCGTTGGCAACAGCTCCGGCGCCATCGTGTCCCTGGAGCTCTTGTGTCGGCATCCGGAGTGCGTCCGCGTCGTGGTCGCACACGAGCCACCCGCCATACGATTTGTCCCAGACTCGGACGAGCTCTGGGCGACGCAGAACGAGATCTACAAGACCTACCGCAAATCAGGAATCGCTCCGGCGCTGGACATGTTTGCCGACATGATCAAGGCCGGAAAGGAGCGAGAGGGCCTCGTCCGCGGGTTTGGTTCGACCGATCCGTACGTGAAGCTCAACACAATCTATTGGTTCGAGCGAGAGTTGTTGGACTATCCGTATCGCCAGTTCGACCTGACGGTGTTGGAGAAGCAAAAGGATCGTCTGCTCTTAGCCAATGGTGCCGATTCGAATAAAGAAGCACTGCAGTTCCGGGCCAACGTTGCGCTGGGGGAGAAGCTGGGATTGGACGTCAAGCTTCTCCCCGCGATGCATATTGGTTTCGCGACGCACCCCAAGGGCTGGGCGCAAGGGCTGCTGGATATCTTGAAGGACAAGAATGACTTTTACGCCAAAGTATAAAACGAGCACTCGGTGATCTGTTGCGGAATTCCGGGTGCACTGGGGCTGCGTGAGTGAGGCTGGTCCCACTTAAATGAGTGCACCCATACTGTAGACAATAGCAAGCGGTACACTCTGATCATCACGGACGAAAACATGCTCCTGGATCGGGTTGTAGTGCAGTCAAATGTGAGATTCCTGGCACCATGCAGACACACACGGGTAATGTCGGTGATGAGACGAAGCACGCCCGACCCATCCGTCCCGACACGGATCCTTCACCCAGCATCGTGTAGTGGGATTCCCCGAGGTCGTTCGTAGACTGCAAGACGGCTTTCTCCCGTTGTAGGAGCCATCACAGAGGCATACTGTAGGAAGAGTCAATCAGTGCACAGCGCCCTCTGACTGATCTTGTGCGCCACCAGATGCCTCACCGAAAGCAGCCGACAGCGGTGCCAAGCTGTTGCGGTGTCTTTGGTTAGTTTTCTCGTGAAGCTCAAAGTACGGACCCTGATTGCCCTGGACTGGCCCGGGTGGATGAAGAAACATCGATCACGCAAACACTAGAAAGCAGAGTGCCGAGGAAAAGGCGGAGGACTCGAGGAGAACTGATGCCGAAACAGGGTCCCGAAGTCACCCTCACCGAGATTTTGGCGGGGAGGTACCTCGTACAAGGCGAGAGAACAGCCTGGCCGGCGGCAGCTGAGGCCCGCAAACACATACCGGGCCACTTATTGTGGAGCAGATTGTGGTAGACACCGGGAGTCGCTGTCCAGTCGGCATTCGCAACGGAAAAGAAGTAGGTACCTAGGTACAAATTTGCAGGCCAAGTGGATCGTCAGGCACAAACCACCGACGCTCCAGATCAGCATCTCAATTTCGTTCTAGACAGAGAATGTACGTGGTCACGCGGTGTGTAGACATCTTGTAGCCAGACGCAGTGAGACGGAAGAAGGCAATTTCCCACCGTAGAAAGATGCAAGACTGACCTCTGCTCGTACCGTAAGTGGTGCATTCGTCCCTATATGGCGCTCCCTCTTCTCTGTTCTCTTTTGCGATGTACAGTACACACACCGACTCTGTCCACGAGAGAGCAGGAACTCGTAGTGTTCATTGCCGTACACCGTACACCGTACACTCATGGACACGATCACAATGCGCTGGCATCTTCATCGCTGCCCGACCGCCTTTGCATTCTTTCCACCAGCAAAACCCATCGCAATGCAGCATTCCTCTTTCTCCCACATACATACCACCGTACACTCCATCCATGCACCGTATTGAACCTTTCCGCCTCTGAGAGTGGCCGTCTGTCACGTTATATTCAACTACCGAGTCCGAGGCCAGCAAGAACCCTGTACGAACCCCTCGCAGCCCTCGCACATACCGTCAACAGGGACTCAGTAGACAAGCCACCTCAGGTCGCGTACTGTACTGTACATCCTATCACGAGTCCACCGACACCTGGCACAGTCTTGACCGTCGCAGCAATCGTCGAGCTTACCTGCTTCGACCGTGTCTTTCCCTGATTCGGACACACCCTTCTCCGCCCGTCCAGGGCGGCACGAGGAGCCGTCTCAGAAAGAGAGGTGCTCCCCCTGGACAAGGGTATACACTGTACGGAGTGCAGAGTAGCCAAATGGCATCATACGACTGGACCCCTTGATCCAGGCACGAAGACTCGGAGGGTCCTACGCTCACTCCTTGGGCCTAGCGAGCACCAGCCCTGCCTGTTCCCACCGCCACGTTTGGGCACTTCACGGCTAGTGAAGCTGCTCCCCTGTCAATCACTTGGGCCTAACTTGGTTCCCCGACCACTTGGAAAAGGCCGTGCACAAAAAACTCATCCAGACCTCCCTTCACACCCTTTTTTCTGCCTGTAAAAAACCCTGGGGTCACGAGTCACCAGGCTGACGGGACGGATCGACCTACAATATTTCCTCGCTATGTCCCTGTCTGCCGACGCCAAACTTGGACTTTGACACTTCCGAGCAATTCTCTTCTCTGCTCTCATTCGCACGAAGGTGCGCTCTCCGTCCGGGCCTTGCCTAGGGGTTGTTTGGACAGGGACCATGCGCTGTTCTTCTGCTCGCCCATGGTGGTGATGGGACACACATCCCCCGACGGCCATGAGTATATATCGTCACGGGCATTTCAGCCTACTTCAGCGCCGCCATACCACCCACCACCCCTTTTATGAGGACCTTTTTTCCTTCCTCTGTCTTCCTCTCTCACTCTCTCTCCTTCCCGCAGTACTTTCTCTTTTTCTTTCTTTTGCGACTGGTATTCGCACCTACTCGCGCAGCCACCGTAAACCGGTGCGCGTGGCCTCCTCCACTTTCACGACGCAACTTCAGTCAGCCGCGCCATGGCGCACATGACCCTTCCCTTGCACCGTCCGCTGGTCGAGTCAAAAAGGGGGTCGCCGCCTCTGCGCAATCTTCTTCTTTTTTTTTCCATCTGTCTCGATTGCATTTCTCGACATGCGTCTGGCACTGATTATTCTGTCCCTGTCATGCGCATCACCGAACGAGGCTGAAGACACTTGTACCCGCGCGCCGCGCCGCACCGGACCGGATCAACCTATCCTCGTTACGGACACCCACCCTCCAAAGGGGCCAACCTCACTAGCCCTTACCTGCACCATGTCGCGTACTTTTGGACTTGGAAAGATCGAACACTTAATCATTATTAGCTACGCAACAGAAGGCGTGTGTCTGTTTGCTGAGGATGGGGACTGCACAACCACAGTCGATTTCACCTCGGCGTCGTCGAGTGGCTTACGGATCACTTTACGCACCAGATCTACATCGCTTGTCGGCCTGTCGTGAGATGGCCCCCAGCCCTCGATGCCGGTCGATCTTATCGATATCGATAACCAGATCGTGCATTATGGTTACCACACCATTGATTGTACGAGGACAACATCGCTTCCACCACGTTTCATCAGTGGATGCACCTGGCCCAGAACAACTATGTCGGGGTCCACGCTTCAACCCCTGCTCACCATCAATCGATATCGTATGGTGGCGCCAATGTTGCGTCGACGGACTAGACTAGTTCGTCGACCAGGTCGTGAATAGATTGATGCATTTGTCATTGATCCCCGAGAGATGGTCTATCATCGTGGTCACGGTTGTCACCACCACCACCACCACCACCACCACCATCATCATCATCACAAGTCGCCCGTACCCTCCTCGTCTTCAAACCGATTCAACCGGACTCAACGACTCTTCGCCCCTTTCATACCCACCTGTGACACACCCGATGCGTAGTCTAGGCATTATGCACCACCTTACAACATGCCACGGATGCTCATCGCTGCTCATTCATTACCTTGTACGGCGACACGTCAACAAAAACAAATCAACAACACACGGGCACACACACACACACACACACACACACACACACACACACACACACACACACACACACACACACACACACACACACACAACACAACACAAACCCACACAATTACCACGGACAAATCGTTCAACATCTACGTCCCCCGAGTACTCCTCACTCCAAAGGACGTCTGAAACGGGGCGAAGAGAATCCGGTTTCTTCAAAATCGCCCCGTCGTCCTCTCAACATACCTTCATACAGTGAGTGTTACATGACCTCTGCCCCGAATACATTTGGTCTACGAAAATCCCCTCGCTACTACGCTACCACGCTACCTGCACCAGAAAAAGAGGAACAACTTGAGAGATCCAAAATATTCAATGGAACGGCAATTTTATGACTATCAACAAGAAAGAGAGAAAGAGTCGTTGTCGAGACTGAGGGAATACTGTCGACACCTCATTGCTACAACAAAGCCTCCTCCTCCTCCTCCCCTCGACACCTCCCAAATTCCTTACAATCAAAGGCCGTAAAAACTTGTCCAGTGCCATCCATCAATCACGAAAAGACATGCAACCATGAACCCATCAACTCGGTTATGCGTCAATTCGTCGCAACCAAATTCCCCCCATGTCCGCAATCTGCATCAGCTCAAGGTGCCAGGCCATAATGTCAGTGAACCGCAAGGATCCTCTGCACAAGCCACCATGCCACAAGAGCCACGACTTTCGGAGGAGAGAGAAGACCGTTACCAAAATACTCCAAATTTTTTGAAAAGGGCTGAAAACTTTGTTCGCTGAGGTCGCAACTGCGGGTCACATCTTGAAATGATCCTCGGTCGCAAAAGCAAGTACAGGAAGAAACCCCCGCTACTCTCGAAAAACTTTTCTTGCATCGGATCGCTGCCACCGTTCCTCCGGTCGTCGGTACCGATGTTCTAAACCCATTCCTCGGAACCTGATTCTTGCAGATTCCTATCGTCGACGTTGTTGGCCGATCTGGTGCTGAAAATCAAGAATCGCATCTATTAACAATGTAGAAAATGATACCATGCCAGGACGCCGTTTGGGACGAAGAAAGTGTCGTCCAATCCTGGGAATGCTGAAACGAATTGTCTCGGCGCTAAAGGAACATCAAACAAATCACAAATTTGCGAGGTCGAGTTCGAGACGTCCGCCCGCTCTGTTCGAAATCGGGTGTCCGCGAAGAACCAGCTGTCGGAGTAGCGGACGTCTCGTCGAAAAGATTGATTTCAAATGGGTCGACATTGCTCAACACAGCGAGGCTCAAGCCAAGACGGTAAGAACGCTCTGAAGCTAGTGGGAGCCACGATCAGCCTCGAATTGCTGTTGGTGTCGGCGTTTCACTCATCAAAGTATGTTGAGAAGAAGAGTGATAGGGATAGCCGAAAGACACGGGTGACTGAGACCGAGAACCATAAAATGGGCCTTGCGAAGGCGGTCGACCAAAGTAAGTGCCGTTCGAATTTGCTGACAACGCAGGTGATGAACTCCGAGGTGGCGTGGGAGTCGACGACCCAGACGAATTTGCGGATCGAGAACTACCATCGGCACTCAGATCCGACGCAGACGCAGAGTCGGCAGCTCCATCAACCAGCCTCAGGGCAGCGGCTTTCAGAGGTTCACCGTGCTTACTTGTTCCGGCTGTCCCAAACTACAAAACGAATTAGCCTCAATGTGTTTTGACACTGGTGCCATCCGCTTGACTCATATTCGGTGTACCTACAAAACAGAATTTCTTTTCCACGAGTTCCTTCATCGCGAGATCTTGATAGGATTCAGAGGTAAGTGTTGGTTTCTCTGTCACCAGAGCAGCCGGCTTTGATGTCATAGGAGCAACCGCCGGAGCATTCGAAGAAGCTCCATTGATCGAACCATTGACGCCAGTGTCATGCTTGGGTGGAGCGATGGCGACGCTCTTCATATGAGTGCTCGCAGGAACTTCGTGGGAAGAAGACCGCTTTGTATCTGCCCTCGAAGTCGTCAAGCCGGAAAATTCACCCAAGGCCGCCAAAGCCGAGCTTTTAGCGGCGCTCAGCGAAGAGTTGAAATCGTACCTGTTCCCGAATGCTTGTCCATTACTGGCCTTGCGGCGAGATGGTGCATCCGAGACCAGGTCGCCTTTCGATCTGGGACTCCTCAGCTTGAGTTTGGGTTCACCCATGAGTGCACTGGCTGATTGATAGCCGAAGCTATCGAAACCATTTGTGAAGTCGTCGAATGAAGACGGCAAGCGATTGGTTCGTCCAGACGAGGTAGGAGGTGATTGTCGTGTCCGAGGCAGCGCAGTTATAGGTCTGGCGCCTAAGGTGGGCAAGCTGTGCTGCTGGACCTTGGACTTCTTCACAAAGTCAACCTGATAGTTGAGCGAGAAGTTGTTGTCCCAGAAGTCCTGACCATTGACAGTGTAACGAACACAGAAGAACAGTGTCCGGTTCTCCAGGTTCGCTTGGTCTATCAACCTTATGCTGAAGTTGAAGCGATCGAGGCCATCACTGGTAGGTTTTCGACGGACGTCGTGGTTGAAATCGGCCACGACCTCCGAAGTGGTTTTCCAATAATCGAATGTAAATCGAGCGACAACCTGCTTGTGGAACGAAAGATTCTGAACAGCAACGGTGCCGATCAGGCTCTTATTATCAGATGACAGGAATATCCGCTCGACGAATACGACTTGCGACTTCCTCGCCGGATTGTTCTCATCGAAATTTCGTAACCGAAGATCCCACTCATAAGCATTGGCACGGGGTCGGGCACTAGCCTCGTCGGAACCAAAAGGAAATTCCGACTCGCTTTCATAGGTCTCGACTGGCGAAGACCCGGCACTGACGGCGAGCGGTCGATCGACTTGCAGGAAATGTCGCACATGTTCAAGGTGGGAGTCAAAATGGACTGCCTTGGAGTACGTTGGCGTCCCTGGCATGCTCGAAGGCCGCCGTCTCGATGATGGCCTTAAAGCTGGACGAACCAGTTCGCCAGACTTCTTCCGGACCATCGGTGGACGGTGTGTTGACCGACTGTCACTATCACTATCATCGGACTCTGGTTGAGAGATGCTTGGGGGAGTGGACGGTTTGACAGGCTCGAAGACTATATTTGAGTCCGTCGATGACCGCGAATGAGAAATCTTCCTCGCCTCTTGTGATAAGGGTGGGCGTCTGACAGCTGAGTTATCTGATGCGCCTCGGTCGTCAACCTGAGGATCAGTAGTCTCTGGTTTGTCATTCTTTTGTCGTGTAGGTGAGCCTGTTTTCCTTTGTTCTAGTGACCTGATGGCAGCTTGCAATGCTTCCAGGTTGCCCAGTTCCAGATCCCTCGGGCGCCCTCGTGACTCAGATTCTTCATCGTCACTCGAGTTGTGAGAGGAATCGGGAGGAGAGATGGTCATCCCGGCGGGTATCAGCGAGTTGCTTGCAGGAGGAGGCGACTGGCGGATGCTGCCATAGGGATCTAAAATCCCATTCTCTTCATATGACTCGCCATTGTAAAGGACATCGTTGTGTGCGTCGTTCAGTGACGGACTTCTTCGATGCTTGGTGAGATACGTTGATGACCCGCTGGATCGAGGAAGGTTGGGCCTTCCGGAGGTAGCCGGCAGGTCCGGAGAGAGGAATTGTCCTTTGATGTATGAATGAGACCTGCTCGGGGTAGGACTGGATTGGTTTGAGGAAGCCGGCGACTGGTGGGTAGGAGGTGTGTAAGGCATTCGGTCGGCTGCGAGGTCTCTCAAACCCAAACCGGGAGCTGCAAAATTGAGCGCGCTACGAGGCTCATCAAGAGCAGCCCGAGGAGGCTGAATGCAGGTTTGCGGGGAGGACGGTGGTCTGTTATACACAATGAGTTGTTAGTAGTCGGTCAAAGCATTGTGGACAATAATGATAGTTTCGTGGTCGGAGCGGTGTAGGCGGAGAAACGAGACATGAAGGTCTAACAAAGATCGTCGACCGTGTTGTCAGAGCGCAGCCACGCTCGATCTAACTGTGCCCGTGTGCCGCTCCACTCGAGACTCGTGGAAATTGCAGAGAAGCCAGGACTTCGGATGTGAAGAGGAAGGTACTTACAGTGCGAGAGGAAGCAGCAATGAAGCTGTCACCTGTAGATGGACAAAAGTCTCTACTCCGGATGCAGGCCGGAGGTGGTGTTTGTGGGTATCGTTTTTACGAGTGCAGGGAGCACAGGTCGAGTCGAAATCACGCCACGGGACCAGAGATCAACCGTACAGCGATCAGTCGAACCTCGCGGGTTGCTGCACGTTCAGGGCCGGCAACCGGACTATGTTCGTAGATGCGTAGGACAACAGGCCAGTGCGGTAACAATGGTCTCTGGTGTCAAATTATGTTGGATCTGTTTCCGGGAATCCTTTGTTGCTGAGAAATGATCCCAGGCTGATCCGGAAACGCTTGCTAATCGGTGACCGACTTCTGAAAACTGCCAATTCCCTGTTGATTGTTCCAATTCCCGCTCTTTCCTCTTCTGAGATATCGTAACAACCAGGCCGGCAGATGCCTCGAGAGTAGGGAGGAGAACGGCGAGGGAGGTAGGGGAGGTGAGGTGAGGATATGGGATTGATAGAGGAGAGAGACAATTTTGGTGGAACAGTCGGCCAAGGAAAAGCTGGCGAGCCCAAGGAAGGTGTTGAGGTGAGAGCGGGCCAAAGTAGGCAGGTAGGTGGGATCTGCGCTGGACACTGGACGCTGGCCTGAGGATCGGGCGGGCGACGAGGGTGAGAGTGTGGGCTGAGGGCGCGGCTCGAGCGCAGAGGCGAAGAAGGAGAAGACGATAGGGACAAGGGTGCGATGCAGCTAAGAAGTGGGCAGTCTGGTGGCGCAAGGATCAAGCGTCAAGAGCAAACTCTGTGTCGGGCGACACCATCCATGCGGCTAAGGCGATAGTTGGGAAGACTAATGGCGGGACGACCAGGGAGTTAGTTTGGATGAGACTTTCCGTTCCTGTGGCGAGAGATAGCGACTGATCCCAACTGATGAGCAGTTGAGGAGTCCGACGACAGCCAGGGAAGTGTGAATTAAAACCTCAAACGCGTGCGGGAGTCAACGGAAAACCGTGATGGAGGTGAAGCATCAAGTAATACAATGGTAATGAAGAGCACCAGGAAACCGGCTTCCGGTCTAGACCTCAGACCACAGACAGATACAGGGCCTGTTGCTTCGGAATAATCTACAATGTTGTGTGTACAGACTCCATAGGCAGGGATTATCAATTTATTCACCACTTTACAGCACCACGCCTCCGCCATACCCCGCCGTGGTCGACTGCTGAAAACGAACAAAGATCCCCGAAGAGGGTTGACATGGGGTGGCGGGCAGCGCCGGAGAGATTTGACTGATGGGAAGGGCGAGAGGGATAGACGGTCACAGTCTCCAGACACGTATTGTAGTGGTTAGAGCGCGGACCGCAGACTGCAGAGGAGAGAGGGCCGCACGGGGAAGCGAGGGACCATTATTGAACCGAAAGCAGGCATTCTTGAAACAGACAGCTTACTGTTCGTTATCGAACGTGGACTCGAAATTACTCAGCATAGAAAACACCGTGGATGTCGAGTGAGGTGTTTTTGCAGGTGTTCTGATCGTGCATGCGCGTTACGGATATTTTCTCAAGCCCTTCGACACCCTCAGCGACCAAAGTATAAGACGAACCGGTGCAACCGTTATCCGGGAGACGTCGGATGGACGAAGGAAAAGTACAAGTATTGTACCTGTTGGGTCGCCGGTACCTCTGGCGTCACCATCCAGCCGTGATTACCTCATGTCCTCAGCCCCTAAAGGAACCTAAAGTGACTCTCCCAGGCTCTAGCGGGCCCCTAACCCCCCTAACCCCCCTACCCTCAGGCTGCCTGCCAGGAATTCCAGGCCTTGGGCGCTGGTTGCCGGGCGCTTGGAGACTGTTCCCCGCCACTGTGCCCCTCCTCGCCGCAAGCGGACAAAACGTTAAGAATGCACTCGTCTGTCAAAAGTCAGAAAAAACACGCATGGCGATACGAGGCATGTGGCTGAGGAGTCCCAATCGATCGCTTAGCATGGAACCCCTTGATCGACTCTGACAAAGACTCAAAGAGACGGAACAGAGCCCTCGTTGCACATACTGCACAAGCACAAGTATGAATTAGCGAGGTTGCCTGAGATAGGCATGTGTCTCTAGCCAATCAATAATATTGTATCTGGCAAGGGCATTTCGCGAACCGACAAGGAGATGCTTCTCCTGAAAAGAATAATTGCAACATGCCATGTTACCCCCACACTCTGTCTCGTCTGATTCACCTTGCGACACGAGCTTAACATTATTTTCCTGTACGGCGTCCTCGCAACTCCGTATGCTCAGCGCCATTTAACCCAATCGTTCCTCTGCCCGCATCTACCTAGGCCTCCTCTTGGGACAATCTCCCAACAAGACACCTGTCAGTTGCTTCGCACGGAAAGCTCAACCGGCTTCTGGTTTGCCCATCCCACCCGCTAACGTGCCCCTGGCAGACGACTCGTGTCCTTCAGAGTTGTGGCGCACCAGGCGTACAATACAGTTCTCAGGGCAACATGATGGGTTTACGGGCTCTCCTGGGCTGCGAATGAATTGGCCTCGGGCTTGGGCGCGCGCACAGGCAATAATAAGTGCCCGGAATATCGAACCGCTTCATGCCTAAACGGTCCTCTCATGTCATCATTCTTCGACACCAGAATCGTTTGACCCGCCCACTTTTGGATCTGTGGTGCCCAGAATGGATCTTCTCTATAGCCATCCCCACCGCGGCGGGAGCGCGAGTACGGCAAGCTTTGCCTCCTTGAAGATGCATTTCAATTCTACAGTACTCCGTACAGTACGCAATATTTCCCTGCTTGCGTGCGTCGATTCCACATCCCGGGAAACGTGCTGAGAGGCTCGTCACAAGACTAAAGCGCATATGCGGCGTGACTTGGCCAGCATAAACTGCGTCCGAAATTCCAGGTTTCCGAGTTCATTGCCCCAGTCATCACCAACGAACGACACGAGCGAAAAGTTGGCAGCTGGCAGTTGACAGGCTGACAGCGCCCTGTCTGGGCCATTTATTGGCAGAAGTGTGTCTGCGACACCCCCCAAGCGAGTCGCTCACCCCCGCGGGAAGTGGCTGATGTGCCATGGGCGAGTCAATCAAGTGTCGCTTCACGGAGGTGGGTACAGTACAGCGTCTCGCAGAATAATGCACCATCCCCCAGACGCCTCCCTGCGAGTCTTGCGCGTTCCAACGTCTGGATCTGAACGCGACAGGTTGGAAGCAATTTCTGGCGGTGAAGGCCGCGGTAGGACCCAATGATCTTGTGCCATTTTATCGTACTCCACCATCCCATCGAGTTTGTGGCATTCTGCTCGACGTTCCTTTTTCTCTCCTCCCAACCGGGGTTGGTGCCAGTCAGATATCGGCGTCGCTTCTTGAGGCGAACCGGCCAAGTCGTATGGCACAAGGGGAGAGCTTCCCCGGTCCCTGATACAATTCTATATTATTATTTGATTGTTGTGAACCCTGCCGTCGGGCATTCTTTTTGGTGCAAACGACCTGAATAATCCAATTCTACTGCTCGATGAGTCTATGCTCTCGTGTAAAATGAAAATTATCCGTGAAGTGTGTGTAGAACAGTGTAAATAATGGGAGTTGACCGGGAGGTTTGTAGCCGGCCCGGTCAGGCTACCCCTTGGACAATAATAGAACAGTATATGTACAATACCACATCTTGGGGGTGAGCGATGTCTGGCGCGAAACACCCTGTTGGCAATGTTAATTCTCCTCCCTCTCTCCTCTTTCTCTCCATCTGTCTCTGGCCTTGGACTGATTTCATGGTTTGGCTAATAAAAAAAAATAATAAAAAAATTCCCAACCGATCGTTCATCTCTCCACCACTGCTGCCTCCATAGCATCGTCGATTTCCCGTTTAGAATTTCAAGATAGGGGGGGGGTGGACGGCGGTGGTTGAGACAAGTCCCGTTCCGCGTCCATCACACACACGAAAAGAAAAGTATCGGAGGTCAGCGACCAGTTGCGAGAAGTCAAAGCACATGCTTCACTTTTTCTTTCAACGACTTTCGAAAGGCGGTATGCGCGTTCATCCAATCGCGCCCACCCGTGGCGCAGGCCCAGCCTTTCTAGTTCTCCGCGGCGGGAAGATGGGCGATTCTTGGTCCACCACGCTGCCGGGCCACTTGGTCACCTCTTTAGCCTGTACCTTATGTACAGTAGTTTACGCAAGTCCAACGCACCGGTCAATACTTTACATCACATCCGAACCATAGAGGATTGGGCGAGGAATTGCCATTTTAGGTTTTACTTCCTACAGCCATTATTCTGCCTGACAGAAATCATGGTTGTTTACTTTTCGTTCCCATCATGGCACTTTTGGAGAATCCCCATCTTCCAAAAAAACAAAAATATAAAAAGATCTGCCATAATAATTATTAATGACAGTACAAGCAAGTACTAATAACGTTTAAATCTCTTTGGTTTGACGGGTGGTCTGATTGTTCCTACTGAATGGGGCAGTCCAACCCGACCATTCATTACCTACAACACCTGGCTTACTGGGCCCATTTACTCTGTCTCGACATTACAAGTTTGCAAATGTTACTACTATCTGGACGTACTGTAGGTAGATAGATCAGGTGCGGCCATGTAATCCCGTAGGCTTCAAGCATGCACCGCCATCAGCGTCATCGGCATCATCGGCAGCATCTTTTAGGTAGGTAGGTACCTAGCTACTCTACTCTGCTCTACCACGGTGTTTTACAGTAGTCTGTTTCAAAGCGATGGTGCGATTGTCACCAACCATTGGGTGCGTGTCGCAGGTCGCATTTCGCATGTCGCACGTCAGCATGAAAGTCTGCAGGGCTTTGTCGACGAGTGAAGTACGCGTAGTCATGTCATGCTGTATGTATGATTGGAGGAGGCTGATTCAGGCGATAAGGGAAGATCGACGCTGCTCACTACCTACATACCTACCTAGGTATCAACCAACTCGCCGTAGTTTTGAATCCATTTGTACTCGTTGCGCCTGCTCGTGCTTGTTACGTGTCCTCGGATGATCGGCTTGTTCGAAGTTGGATAGCTACTTAGTTGATTGACCTTGGACCAACGTACAAGTACACACAGTTACCTACCTAGCTGAGCCAGCTAATTATTAGTGCCCTCAGAAGAAATATCGGGTTCAACCCATTTTCTTATCGCTGGTACAAATGGGCTAGGTACCCAGTGGTAGTCCGTACGGAAGTAGTAAAGGATACGGGTTCTTGTGAGAACGCTGCTGCAAAAGGCCAACAAGAGGGAGGGCGCTTTACAAGTAATCATCCTTCTACCTTACTAAGGATCCCCCCGGGGGGCGCGCCAGTACCAGTACAGTAGTAACAAAATGATGCGATTGTACGAGTATCAGACGACATGGCCGAGCTGCCCGGGGGCGTGCGAGTACAATCGAGTGCGAGTAAAAGGTTTGTGTGGTGAGTCGAGTCTTTTTGGCATTGCGCGTTGCTCCTGTCCTTCTTGTTTCTCCGTTGAGAATTTCTTTGTCGCTTTGACCACTACTACTACAACACGAGTTTGTTGTGACTCCAGCCACTCGTCCTGAGCCCTTCCTTGAGGCCCCCGTCGAGGCCCATCCAAAGATCTTCATTCAGGGTTTCAGGGTCCAGTCCGAAGGAGATAGGTCCAGGTGCCTGACAATCCGTCGATTGGCGCACGAGCGAGAGGCAAAGCGTAAAAGCTGTTCCCGAGCGGTCCCTGCGACGGGAGACCGGCGGAGGGGTGGTGTGCAAGGAACCCGTACTGTAGTACTTGTCCATACAACATGCCACCACAGATGACAGGGACAACCCCCTCCCCCCCTCAAGGCAAAAGTCCAGCACAGCACCGCAAAACCCTGGCTGACTGTACAAGGTACATGAAAACGTGGACTCTTTTGCCACCCCTCCATCAATTAGTCAACTGTCGCTCATCAATTTACTGTAATACATTGCTCTGAGTTTTGGGTCTCTCCGTAAGTCAGTCCCCAGTTCCTGCGGAGGGGCCAACACACACACAGACACATACTTCATTTTTGATGATCCTTACGAGAAATGGCAAGTCCAGAAGATGGATCCACTTTTTGTAGTATGATATCCGGGGAGAGAAAGAAAGATAGCTGAACTCGTATTCGTACAAAGCATGCCGTTCGTTGATAGCGCAGGAGAGCAAGGGTATATTGGGTAGGTAGTAATTAATAATACAAAACAAACAGCTTATCGGACATCGGGGTGCATGGTTGCTGCATGCATCTGTCTAACAGCGCCGCTGATCTTGCTGTACGGGCTAATAACTACAGTACGAGTTTGGAAAATGAACGGCCAGCATGTGCGCTCGCTCTGCTCGCTTACTCTTTCACAATCACAATCAACAATCAACAATGGCTCTCTCGTTCGGAGTACAGACCGAACCCCCCCATACGAGGTACGAGTAGGGAAACGTCGGTGGAGTCAGTCCGAGCCACGACCTCAACAATCACACCAAGAAAAATACACACGAAGCGTCGGCAACGATTCTCGCGCCACTCCCGGACGGATGCGTAAGGTTCTGACTTATCGCAAACGGCAAACTAATGATAAAACTAACCTTTGTCGTCTGTACAAACATACAAAAATGCTGAGCTGTCAATCTCCCTCGTCGCTTGCAGACGGGGACGGGGGGCGGGGCGGGGGGGGGGCGGACAGAGGAGAGAGAAGTTATTGTTGAGGTGGCAAATTGATCGGTCTGGTCCTTCGTCCATTCATTTTTACGAGTTTATCAGGTATGAATTGGATTATCTCGCCGGGTCCAGCCGACGCGCGACCGAGACGAGAAAAACTAGCTATCTTCTGAAACTAGTAATTGCCCATGCTGATATTGTATCCACGGATATACTGTGCCAGGGATCAAGAGGGCGGCGGGTGGGAAAAGCCTTTTCACAGATGGCAACATCCCCAACAGTCTCTCGCATGTTGCAGCAAAAAAAACCCCCATGCTCGGTCATGCATGATGCATGAAAGCAGCATCCATTTCTTGGGACCCTCACAACTAGTGAACTGTATCTCCAGACGCACCCCGACTCCTCTCCAGTTCTGAGCGCCGTGCAAATCTCCCCGTCGACTTTTTTGGGACTCTCGAGTCGGGCCCCCCCTATTGACATGTGAAACTCCGTGGGCGCGCGACGCATTCGAATCCTTGCCACTTGTCATCCTCGCTCGCGTAAGATAGGTGACTAAACTAACTACAATAAAAACTACTCCACAGGGTCCAGAACTCGTTTTTTGATGTGATGCCTGCAAGGATACCTGGTAGGATGTTATGTATGCTGTTCAACCGCTGACCACTTACCATTCACCATTTATCATTCCCGGCCAGAAGGGGGGAACTCAAAGAAGAGGCGGTGTACCCCGGTAGCATTTCACTGTGCGAGTGCGAGTGCGGATGAAAACTCCCCCCGGCCCTGGTTCTACAATTTCTCCGACATAAACAAGGTATCTGGATGCACGTACGAGTACGAGTACGAGTACCCTCACCGTTGCCCCCAGTTGGCCCCGTTGTCATGTGTCGAGTGTCACCAGCATGTGCGTTGCAACTTTGGAGGATTACCTTATGCAAGCCACCTCAGGTGTGTGCGTGCGTGCGTGCGTGTTTTTCCAGGGGGGTCAAAGTCACTAGCTTCGAGCCACCACAACGAACAACGAAAAACTACATTGTACTGTAAGAGGGGAAATCAAAAGGGATCCGAAATCCACCCTACCCGGCCACCCACGCATCCATACATCCATGGCTACAGTACAATATCATCAAAACCCGGGAAACCACAGCCACGGAGTCAACTCTGTACGGGCTGGTTGGATCCTCGCTCCGCCCTCGCCTCCCGACAGTGGCCACACGGCGTGACTCTCAGGAAAGTGCCTCGGTAGGTTGTAGATATCAAAGATCGTATTATGGTATCCATTCACGTCTCTCTCTATTGAGCTCAAGAGTCCAACTTTTTGTAAACCTCCCATCCCTCGCGTTGAAGCCGACGCTCTTTTTCCATGTTCTCGTGCTCCATGTTTTTCAAATGTTCTTCTACCCATTGCTGCGCCTTGATCTCACTTGTGCCGACAATGCGTGCGGCCAGGATGGCCGCATTCGTGCTGTTTCCAATGCCCACCGTCGCCACGGGCACACCGCGTGGCATCTGTACGATGCTCAGCAGACTGTCCATTCCGTCCAGGCTGCTCGCCTTGACCGGTACGCCAATCACGGGGACCGAGGTCTCGGAGGCCATCATTCCAGGGAGATGGGCCGCACCGCCAGCTGCGGCGATGATGGCCTTGTACCCTTGCGACGCGGCCTTCTCGGCAAACTCCAGCATGTACTTGGGCGTGCGGTGTGCCGACGTGATGTGTACGTCGTAAGGTATGCCCATCGTCTTCAAGATCGTGAGACCGGATTTCAGAGTTGCCAGGTCAGTGTCGGAACCCATGCATACGGCGACCACGGGCTTCGGTGGCGGCGTGGGATTGCTCTTCATCAATTCTGTATACGTGTTCGTGATGGCCGTTGCCGACGCTGCTGACGATGACGAGGAACGGTGTGCGCGGACTGCATTGACCATCTGGACAAGCGGGTGGATTTTCGCTTCGCATTCCGACATGCTCGCGCCGGTGATCGTGATGTGGCCCATCTTGCGGCCCGGCCGACCCGCGCCTTTGCCATACAAGTGTACCTCGGCGCCCGCTACATCGCGAGCAGCGTTCACCACGAGAAGGTGCGAGTCTGGCTGGGGTCCACCGAGGATGTTGAGCATGATGGCCGCAGGGACGCGGAGGTCGGTCGAGCCGGGAGGGATCCTGGAAGCCAGTTCGGGCAAGATTGCTCTGACCTGAGCCTGGTACTGAGACATGTGGCACGCCTCTATCGTATAGTGACCTGAATTGTGAGGTCTTGGTGCGATCTCGTTGATGACTAAGCTATCGTCTTGCAGGAGGAACAGCTCGACACCGAACACGCCGGTTCCAGGGAACGTAGAAACGGCGCGTCGTGCCAGCTCCTGTGCTGCTTGCGACACCTGCTTGGAGACGCCCCTTGCAGGCGCATACACGAGTTTGCAAATGCTATCCTCGTGGATCGTTTCCACCGTCGGGTAAGCCATCGTCATGCTCTCCCACGCATCGATGTTCGCTTCCTGTGCTGTCTTGATCACCATGACCGCGAGCTCCATTTTAAAGTTGGCCCATTTTTCCGCATACAAAGGTCGATCTCCCAGTGCCTTGAGAGCCGGTTCAATGTCAGACACCGATTTGACGGGGTAATTCCCTCGTCCATCGTAGGCCTCTGTCCTTGATTTCAGCATCAGAGGGTATCCGAGCTCGTCCGCAATATCTTTGAGGCCTTGCGGGTGACTTGTGCCCACGGCAATCGACTTTGCCGTCGACAAGCCGTACTTGGCATAGTGCTGTTTCTGGAGAAACTTGTCTTGTATGGTTCGGATTGTCTTCCAGCTTGGTTGAATTCGGCCCCATTGCGTTCCATCGACAAAGGCCTTCTCGCCCTCCAGTTCTTCCAAGATTTTTGTGTCGACATGCTCGATTTCATATGTGAGCACATCGCATCGTGAGGCCAGCTCTCTCACATCCGATGCCTTGGCGAACGACCCAGTAACGTGCAGGTCAGAGGCAATTTGGTTGATCTGTTTTGCAGGTGCATTTTCGCTATCCAGCACAGCCACTTTGATATTGAGTCTGCTGGCTGCTTCAACAAGCATGCGTCCGAGCTGGCCACCGCCAAGAACGCCGACGACGTGTTCCTCCATGACCTATGGATGAGGAGCCGAGCAGCACTTTGGACAATCAGACCACAGAATAATGGATTAAGCGTGCGTGAAATATTCGTCACTCCCAAACAGCCTTCTTGAGGTCAATCTTCAAAAGACCTGGATCGGAACGGAACGACTGAATAACGAACGAGCTCTTGAATAGTCTCCGAATCTTATCTTCGCTCGCTTCCTCCCTTCCCTGTTTTCAACGTGCACCTTTGGTCGGACCTTTGACTGGCACGTTATCGATATGGGCCACAAATCGATAGAAGCACACCTTGGAAGAGCTTTACCTCTTTGGTGCGGAGTGACTTAACAGCAGAATATCGGCTTGGGCATGAGAGTCACTCGAGGTCAAAACCTGGGGCTGTAGGACAAAAAATTCTGCGCTAAGCCCAAACGGACTAAAAATGAAAGCAGTTAGCAGCGCATTCTCTGGTTGGCTCTTCGTATTGTAGAGCACGTGACTTTAAAATATTGGCACGTGACTTGAACTCTCGAATTCTGTTCTGCAAGGCTCCACCAGCCTCACCAGCCTCACCAGCCCGGGGTGCTCCTCAGAGTGCCACAGAATTGCTATGAGTGCTACGAGTACGAGTTTCTGTTCGGTGATTTTGGGAATTCTGGTTTTACCGCCCCCAAACAATACTCGGCAGGGATTACTGACAATAGCGCACCAACAACACACAAAGGCGCAGACAAGACCACAGCCCAAACACTACTGCGTTACACGAGGCGCCACGCAAAAGTTTGTTGGGATTTTCTCTCGAGCAAAGTTTGGCATGTGAAGATTCATTCAAATCTCCACCTGGCTCGCTTCTAATCCATCAGCCAAGGTCTACAACACCATCTCGCCTCGACGGGAGTTCGGCACGCATCACAATTGAGGGGTCTCCAGACTCAGACTTGTTGCGTTGGGTTGCACACACGAGTACGGAGTCTCCCAAGTCCAGAAACTTGAGCTGATGGCTGTCTCAACCCCCTGGGCTCTTCTGCAGGTCAAACCCCGTTGGCCCCAGGTTTCGAGTAGAGCAGGAAGGGTTCGCTCTCAGTTTGTCTGATCGGCGAACCCTGCGTCCTCCAAGACGTGTCTGTTTCATACGTGCATGATGATCAATAAACCTTTCACCGAGCGAGAAGCAGGAATCAACGCAAATCTTTCGCGTTGTTACGTTAGACAAAGAGTTTGTTGAGAGACCCTGTCGCCGATCAGAGCAACGGAGACCTCGACATCGTGCTGCGGCTCGGAACATATTACTTTAAATATTCGCCTATGGAATCAACGAGTGTGAAGAGGTTGTTGTTGGTTGCCACCGGGAAATTCCTCGACGATCTCTGTCTCCCTCCCTCTCGACCGGTACGCTCAACACATGGTTGACGAGTAGATATTGCCATCGTGCAAGGAGTGGGATGACGCCAATCAGCATTCTTAACCTAACGTCAATCAGCTCAGGCACTCGTTCGCTCGCACGCTTTTCCATCTCCATGCCATCCTTCACCACCTCGCGTGCAGTGTTACCATCGCAGGGGTTCCACCTCTTGCATGGGCAAGGGTGTGGCATGGGCATCATCTCTTCTTCATTCCTGCGTAAGGTATTATGCTGGTTGTTCCCGGGCCGGTTACCCTTGCGTGTGAAGTTGCGGTCGCAATGGCAAGGGCAATGGCATTACACATGCATTGGCAGTGCAACGCACACACGCTAATGACACGAGAGACCCGTTGCCACTCAGATTTACCAGCGTGTGCGCCCATCATCAAGCTACCTGTTTTACTCGGAGGATGGGGGGCTTTTGCCTGCAAACCTGCCAACACAGTCATTATAATATCGCGAGGCAATTCGACCCTCAGCGATGAGAACACCCATATTCTCCTCCGTGCCACATGGGTTCTCATATTGGACAACCACCGCCGCCACCGTTACCGCCACCACCACCACCAACACCATCACAACTCATTACCCCTCTTATCGAAAGTCCTCAACAGGGTACCCGTACGACTTAACGTGTCTAGCGAACTAGGTCAGTCTGGCGGTCAGTCTGGCGGTCAGCCTAACACCATACGAACATACCATGTATACCCACGGATGTACTGCGTTGTTCACCATGCATATCCCTGTCCTCTCTCTCTCTCCCCGTGTTTCTCCCCCTCCCTCCCCCCTCTTCCCCCACATACCTCTCTCCGCCTTCTGCACGACCTCAAAACCCCCTGCTGAACTCTAGCCAGGGTGAGGTAATTTCGTGTCACGTTCTCATTCTCGTTGAGGCCTTGGCCTGGGCCTGGGCTTGGGTCCGGAGGACGCCCTTCCGAAGAAACACGCCGTGAAATACCCGGCGGGAGCCAGCCTCACCCCTAGAATCCAGGATGACATGCATATCCGATATACGCCTACGCACGAGTGAGTGTCCGTACATTGACCGGAGGTGCAGGACATTGCTCGTCAGTAATCACGCTACAGATTTTGGTTTTTTTTTCGCGCTTCTTGTTTCTCTTTCCGCGCTTTTAGTAGTTTCTTGTCGCTCATCCTTCCTCCCTGCCGTTACCAGGTTCTTTTGCCTCTTTTTCCTTTTCTTCCTCCTCCAACTCCTCCTTTCTTTACCGTCCCTGTCCTTGTCGTCCCCATCATGGTCCTCGTCTTGTCTTGGCCGGGCCTGTGACCTCCTGGTCAGGAATGGTCGGCATTTCCGTAATCGGCTACCTAGCTAGGTAGCGTGGACGAGTTTGTGGGTAGTCCGAGAGCATGACAAGTGTTCAACAACTCCCGAGGTCTAACCTAACCATCATCCGTTCTGTCTCCCATCTCATCGCCTCCCGTCGTGTCCCGTCTCACCATCGACCATGTGTAGAAGGGGTAAGCCCCTTCTAAATCACAGGCTTGTCTCTGTTGATGCCAGTCAGTGCCCAATGCCCAATGCCCAATGCCCAATGCCCAATGCCCAAACCTAGAGAAACCTGACTTACCTATTCAATGTGCATCACCGGTGCTCGACGGTGTTCTTTAGGACACCGGCATCAAATGTCCTTGGCCGTACAGGAAAAGAAAAGAGAAGAGGAGGGTTCTATCTTGTAATCAACGGGACTATCTCATGTGTACGCGATTTGAAAAAATCTAGAAAGCCCAAAGAAGATTACTGTAGAGTACATTCCCAAGCCTCATTCGCATCCGTATCTTTCCCCATCGTCAAAATTCAGAGTCAGAGGCCGAGTCGGAATCGAGAAGCAAAAGTCCAGAAATGCTATTCAAATACCCAAATGTCCAAATGTCTCCCTGCTTCCTTCCTCATCACATTCATGTCCTCGCGCGTTTAGTCATCCTTTTTCTTCTCATGACTTCAATTCTGTCGGCCACGACCGCAGAAAACCGCCTCCATGTAGCGGGCAGACAAACGAGTCATAGAATAGAGCCTGGTCTTTTCTCAATTTCGCGGTCCCAGGACCTCGACTTTCCTCACCCAGACCTTGAATTTCTCCTGGACTCGTTCTTCGTCTCCCCCGTCCATCATCTCATCGCCATCTTCATCCCGGTGTGCACGACGCGTGAAGCTCTCCTCTCTACTCCACAATCCCCACGTCCCCATGCTCTCCAGCTCTTTCTCGACGGCCTCATCTTCCACTCTTCTGTACCCTTCGTTTGCTACACCAGGGAAAAACCTCGCGTACCAAGCCATGTAGTGTTCTTTGGCGTGCCGATTGGCTAGGACGGATGTGGTGTATGTCTTCATTTCTTCTCGTGGCATTGTGGTCGTGACAGTACCCAAGTGGCCCAATGGGACAGACGCAGGGGCAAGATCACTTTTTTGTTGTGGTGCGACCGTTGAGTCATCTCCAAATAGGCTGTCGAGGTCATCGTCTAAATCTTCATCTTGCACTGCGATGACACTCGCAGTTGCTGGTGAGCTACTAGCATCGATAGTAGTAGTCCCTGAATAGACCGCATCGCCCTCCACGTCGCTGTCGTTCCCATCGACAACAAACGATACAGTCTTCTCCCATTCAACGATGTAATGGATATTCTGGGCTCCAAGCTTTCCAGCCTTGGCTCGTCGAAAGAGTCGCTTGTCGATATTGACTTGTTTCTTCTCGATCCATACCCTAGCTTCCACATCAACGTCCTCACCGATCGTAAAGTATTGTTCAATTAGGCCATGACGGTAGCTTGTGTTCAAGGACCAATTGCCCCCCTGATACCCTCCCTCAGGTGCGAATTGAGTACTGACATCTTGGATAACTTGCTTAAGTCGAGTCTCGGCCGACAAAAGGTTATAGGTTCTCTTGAACACGTAGTTGTCCCCAGCTTTGAAGTTGGGCAGGCCTGCGAAATTGCCCAGAACCGTGTACTGAAATACTTGCTGATCGTCTTCAGTATCATCACCGTCGGATGTCTCGGAGGTCTCAGATGAAGAGTCGGTGGTTTGCCGAGTCTCAATGTTTGCTTTGATCACAGCAGAATCAATCCCAAGGTCTTGAAGGGCCTTCTTCGCTTGCATCATTTTGAGCAACTCGCCATCAAAAGCTTGACTTGTCGCTGATACCGCTGTCGCTGACGCTGACGCTCCCATATCCTGAGGATTCTGCGGTTGACAACTTCTCTGTCGAGCATTCTCCAACCTATTGATCTCGTTAATATCGTGGGAAATGTTCTGACTTTGGCGGTTGGTGATGTTCGTGACGCTCGCTGGAGTGGTGAAGCTGGAGCTTGCCGCGTTTCGTCCTGCGCCATATACAAATTCAGCACCCTCCTCTTCCTCGCTCTCTTCGCTGTTACTATGATCATGATCAATAAATGCCGTCTGATCAGGGAGTTCGAGAATCTCAGGCACTTCAGTGTCGTCGAAGAGCTTCAACTGCTCCTTTATCCTCTCACGGAGCTGGTCGGCCTTGGCTGCCTTTGCCTGTCGGCGCTCCGCAGGATCGGTCAAACGAGGCTTGTTCTTCCGGGGTTTCCGGTCACTGTGCTTCCGCTTTGTCGATTTGTCTAGGCGAAGAGCACCAAACTGCCGGACTTCTTCGTTCGCCTTCTCGATTTCTGCATCTAAACGATCAAGTCTCCCTGGAAATAGTCTTGCCTGCCAACCACAGATATCTTCCGAAGGCGGCAACTCAAATTTCCCAGCTCGTCGCTTCATATTCTGTCGTATCTCTTGTACTCGCCTTCGTGTGAACCTATTACTCTCATCTTGGTCCACGATAAGACTTATGAATTCGCGAAGCTCTTTAACCTCGTTTCGATCTCTATCACTGAACAATCCACAGCACCGAAGGCAGCCTGTCCAGTACATTGCATTTTGGATCGCATCGAGATCTCGTTTCCTTTCCTTTGCGGTCTCATGATTCACCACGATACTTTGCTCTTCTTCTCCCAACGCATCAAAATTTGGCGGTAGGGTAATATCTGGACCGGCCTTTACGGGGATCGATACTTTTGGCCTGGAGTCTCGAGTTTCTGTTCTGCTTGGGATTGAGATATTCAAATCATCGGCACATTTCATAGCTAGTAGATCAAGACCAGACATACTTCGCGGAGGGTGTACCCTGTTCAGTTCGTGATCATCGTTGACCTCACAGAGTAGTTGCTCGTCAGAAGGGTGATCTGTGCGGACGTCGGCGGTATCAGGAATATCTGCATGACTCAAACGAGCATCTGAGGTTCTGTCATCCTTGAGGAGAGAAGGACTCGATACTCGCGGGCAATACAATTCGGCTTCGACAAGAGTTGGACTCGTCAACGGTTCTTGGTGACTTCGACGCCGCAATGCCTTTTCACGTAGCATTCTACTGCGCTCAGCTCCCTCCGCTTGATCTCTTAACATCCACTGTCGAGCTTCTTTAAGCTCCTCATCCTCTTCTTCATGGTCAAGTTCCGATGGTAATTGGTCAAAAGCTCGAACTGCTTTGAACAGGACGATATTTCCAGGCTGCATCAAAGTCAAGTTCCTGACTAGGTTTTCGTCTTCCCCGTGATCTGATAATTCTCTAGGCAGCAGCTGATCAATCTCATCTTTATTGAGCTGATCGTTGGCCTTGAACACTTCATCTTGATACAGAGGAAAGTTCTTCTGCTCCAAATGATTGATGGGAAATTCATCATTCACAAAAGTCGTGCCTGAGGCCTTAATATGTACAAGCACAGATAATTAGTATCCCATAAATGTTTACAAGAAAAAGGAAAACTTACAGAAGACAAATGGTGTGACTGATATGGAGTCGACTTGAAATTGTCCTTTGACTCTTCCTTCTTCGTGAATGACCATCCAGCGCCTTCCTCTAACGTATCATGAGGGTGTCGAAGTGATGATGCCTGGACTTGGGTTTGTTGTAAATAATTATTTTCAGAAGAGTCCGATCGATGTAGCGCAATCTCGATAGCTTTGCTTGTGACAACAAGGTGGCACTTTTTTTTAGACTGTTCGATTGACGAGGATAGTCCTTGCGTATTCGTTGGTGATGCACTCTGTTTGGCGAGAATATCATCGAAAGAAGTCTCTTGCAGTCCTTCTGCGGGTGTACTGAATCGAATCGGCGATATTTCTTCACTGTTGCCATTTGTGTTGGCCGAGGGCGTTGTTTGGTTAGCCGGTCCAGCCTCGTATAAGTCCCCAGCATCGTCTAAAGGTTGCCAACAACGAATGAAGGAGGCCTGGTGTCGCACTGTTTCTCGGCTCTCTACCGGAGGGAGCCGGTGACATTCCACCGTGGACTCAATCGAAGGCGTAGAAGGCGCTGAAGATGACGATGGCTGGAGATCATTTATCGATGTTAAATCGGTTTGCGAAGAGGTGCAGGAGGAGGTCGTTGGTTCAACCCCATTGTCCACAACGGCTGCGTCCGTGTCGTTCTTGGAGATACTGGCGCCCATCGCCGCCCTATACCAGTTGAGAAAACTCGGCATTTCCAAACGTTGATCATACGAGACAATTCTTTGAGATATTGAGTGAAGTTTGAAGCAGACCAGATCGCTGATGATATCAAATCAAATGCAGAAGTAGAAGCTCTCTGGGACCATCAGATCATAGCGCAATGTAGGAGATCTGCTGTTGAGTGGACAGATCTGAAAGAGGGAGGAATGCGAGTAGCGAAAGTGAAGTGCCGTCCGACACAGTGTCCGATATGAAATGAAGTAATGTGATCAGAATGAGTGACAAGGCATGCTTCGCAGCATTCATTTCAGATTCCAGAAATACGTATGAGAATGATGATTGGTACTTTCGAAAGCTTCGTGGCTAGGAGTAGATGTTGCATGGTAAGGGGCAACCAGGGATGATCATGAAATGAGAAAGGTTAAGACGGAGGGAGAGAAACGAAGAGATGAAAGAAGATCGAGGGAAAAGGAGGGAGAGGATCAGTAGGTGCTATCCTTGGTCTTACCCAGCAAGCGCTGTTATTCAATGAAGGGTCATAGGGCACAAGTTGAAAAGTGAAAGTGACGGGAGAGAGGTATGGGTCGTATCGTCAAATTCTCCAAGCACCTCTACGACACCAGAGATATCCATGTTACGGATCTCAGCCGTTATTCTGTGGAGTATCTGCAGAGACTGCTTGACGTGGGAGAGATTGAATGTCACCTGCAGCTGCAGTGCATGAACGGCACGTTGGGGTCAAGAAACGCCACTCAACTGTGATGGCGTCAAGAAAGACCACCACACTCATCCAAGGCGGCGTTACTCACTGTCATTAAGGCGGCCCTTGACATATGAAAAGTGAGCAATCATACGTGTCGGAAAAAGTGAAAGTGACAAGACGCAGCTGGAGTGGGAAATGGTTTACGGTATGTTGAGGTCGAGAAATGCTCCAACCAAGAACGCATTTTTGTATGCAGCGCGAGGCTGCATATTCGAGGAGGCCTGGAAGCTACAGGGCACCTAGTACTTCGATCGTTAGCAAAAGTAGAAGATGCAATCGTCAAGTACCTACCTTGAGGGTTTCTGGAGTGACACCTTCCCGGGAACTCGACCGCGGTACTTGTACCCCAGCGAGTCCAATAGTCAACTCACCTTCCGGCTTCACCAGGATTCAACAGAGCCGAGTTCGAACACAGATGATCGAGACGGACGTTGGCCTGCCAGCGATGCAGAACTTCTGGATGCGGTCTTGGACAACTTTTAGAGGGATCTGCTTCCAAGACCGCATCCAGAAGTTCTGCATTGTTGGCAGACTCGACCCAAGTGATTTTGGCACCCACTTTCTCTGGAGATAGCCCCGACTCAGCCTTGTAGGCGAGGAAAGATGACTGTGCAGATGTTGACCATGCCCAGGACGAGAGTCGCGGAGCAGACGGTATCCAAACTTCTACCATCGATCTGTGAAACGTGATGCAATGTGCTGTGACTTTGGTGGCAGGCGGGATGACTTGGCGACGGATTCAAATCTGTTGCCTGATGCTGATAGTACGACATATCCAAGGAGGAAGATTTGCACCGGGTTGTGAAGAGGGTAGACAGTGCGTTTGAACGCATAAGACACAGGTAGCTGTGAAATGTAGTCTATAGTAATTGTCTGACGGTTTTCATCTCTGTCTCGCACACACAATTCTCCCCCGCGATTGTCTGACTGACGGCTTTATTAAAAGCCTCGGCTAGCTTTCCTTTCTTGGTCCAATTCAACGAACGCGCTGCCAAAGTCGCGTCTGGAGGACTGTGACGCCCTGACAAGGCGACTGGCACGGTGCAACAGGATCAATTACCAAAGTCAAGAGAATCGGTCCAGAGAGTCGTGGTCCTCTGCACAATCTTCCGATGCGTCGTGACTTCTCCTGAACATGGCCACCAGCACGATTCAACCACAGCCGTTGACTGCACCTCTAAACGAGGACGCCATCGCATCTCTTCAGGCTCTGGCCAAAGACAGAACCCTGACTACAAAACTAGCGAAGTATCTCAAAGACGCCTCCGATCATCTTGCCCAGACGGTCGACCAACTCAACGAGATAGGCTATGACCGACGCATCAGACATGACAGACACCGAAAGCGACGGAACGGAAACGATGGAGGCCACGACGATGCTGATCGGGAGTTTGAAGAGTTCCAAAGCAAAGTAGACACTCTCACGAACAAAATGGACATGAGCATTCGCGCGATAGTAGACAATCAGATTTGGCTAGAAGATCTACCCAACGCGATCAAGGAGGCGGCAGGGAGAGCAGAACTATCGTCCACGCAGACGCAGCAATCATACAATCCCACACCTCTCTCTACTCGGCGCACCGTACCTGACGACGACGACGAGGAAGAAGATGATGATGACGACGAAGACCATCCACCCCGAACCCGAAACCGAAACTCGACGGCCCAATCCGCTCCTCACGCAGCCGATGTGCCGCACGTTCTGCTCTCCGCGGCCCTCCAGAAACAACAACGAGAGTGGTCCAGCAAGACTCCCACCGAGAAGTACGCGCACCACAATTTCTACGCGGGCTTCAAACGCATGCTCTACGACGCCCTGCACCCAGGCGAGGAGCAACCGCCCATGCCTGACCCCGGTCTCTGGTTCGCCGCCGAGGAAGGCCGTGACATCCTCCTCTCCCAACGGGTCCGCCGCGGCGGTGACGACTCCGAGGAGAGCGATGTCGAAATCGCCCGAGAGACAACCCGGATCAAATGTCCCATCACCCTTCTTCCGTTCCAAGACCCCGTCACGTCCGAAAAGTGCAAACACTCGTACGAAAAGGAAGCCATCTTCGGCATGCTCCGCACTTCGCGGGAATACGCACTTCTGGGGGCCGACCAGCTGCGCGAACTAAGCCAGATCCCCAACCGGGTGGAACGGTCACGTCGCGAGCGGGAAATGCAGATTCGCACAGTCAAGTGCCCCGAATGCAATGTCCCGCTCACCGAGGACGATCTCCAACCGAACCTGGCCCTGAAGCGCCGGGTGCAGAGACACCTCGCTCTCCTGGCCAAGAAGAACCGCGACGAGACAGCGACGAGCGACGTCGACGATGACGACGAAGATGGAGACGGACCAGGCGTCCGTGGAGCGCGACAAGGCACGCTTCGAAGACCTGTCGGTCTCGGGTCGAGCCCCGTGGTTGCGTCTACTGCGAAGAGCAAGAAACAGTTCAAGGCAGAGAGACTCTCCGGCGTTGGTGGTCGACGAGACCCGGGTAGTGCAAACCTACACGGAGAAGACGACGAAGACGATGACGACGACGATGATGAAGGTGAGGGTAGTGGCAGTAGTAGACTATTGCCTGGGACCCCGTCGAGAAATCAATTGCCAGATTCGACCATGACGACGACCATTCTTGAGCTGGGTGACGATGATTGATTGATTGACCGGCGAGTGGGGTGCGAGTGGTGTGTGTGAGTGTGTGTATGGGAGTGACTTTTACTCCATACCTGTATTCGTACTGAGTGTGTCCTGTCTCTATCTCTGACTTCAGTACTTACTGCCCAGTGGGAGCTGAGACAGCAGGTCCTGACTCCGTACCTCAGTCCTCCTCCGTAGTCTGTAGATACTGCGCAAAATTCAAACAAAGCCCAGGACCACTCAAGACATCTAAGATACCTAGGTTGGTATAGTATAATTGTATGTATGTATGTCTGTATAGTTGTATGTACCTGACGTACACCCACCGACGCATCGCAGGAGGGGTAGGTACCACCCAAGGTCGGCCGCCTCCTCGATACTTATTGATCTTGACGAGCGTTTCTTTCTTTGCCTACAGCAGGAAGAACAAACCTGTGCCTGACTAGATCCGACTTCTTCATATTCTGGCAATGTTCGCGTGTTGTATTGTACGTACATAACTTTTGTAACTCACACGTCGCCATCGTCATGTGGTTTGTTGTTTGATAGACAGGTGTATACATACCTCCTCCCATCCCCCCCGTCGCTACAAGGCTAGCAGCCATCAGTACACCCGGCGCATTGTCCCATTCCTAACTAACTAGTTGATACTCCGTCCACTTCCGACCACCGTACTTCCCACACGACAGTCACAGCGCACACAACTGTAGGTATATCGATAGGTATTTCATCCCCTCTTGGTACAGAGATTTGTTGGCGCAGAGGGAAGGCTGAGAGAGTATCTACCTAATTTGACATATATACAACCTCAGGTGGGTAGGTGGGAGGGTACCTACCTTCCAAGGTAAAACGGAAAAACAACTTAGGTCTCTAGCTAATAGTCCTCGTCGGAATCATAATCGTCGTCATCCGGCAAAAGACTTCTATACCTTCTACTCGCCAGGTCTTCTTCCAGTCCTCCTTCGCTCTCTGGATCGATATAGCCTGTTCGCACACAATCATGTCAGCAATAACTCCATCAAAAAGGGGGAAGTCGACAGGACAATCTATCATGTCAATCGGGTCTTTCGTACAAGGAGATAGATGAAATCAAAAAAAGAAGAGGGGTAAAAGAGAACTTACCGTCACCACCTGCGAAGCTCAACGCAACAGGTAACCATACCAAAGCATGCGCGCTCGCCAACACAACCAGCGCCAACCACACACGAAAGTAATAGACCTCAAAGATCTTACTGCGCGTAAAAGCCAGGACCACGACACCAAGAAACTTGGTCACTCCGATCCCACTAAACACGCTGCCGCCCACGTTGACCAGCGCCGTCCACGCCCGCACGTCGCGACCGCGGAACTTGTGCCGTCCACGCTCCATGACGCTCTTGCTGGGGAACATGAACGCTCGAGCCATGTGGGCGCAGAACTCAACCCCGATGCCCACGCAGATCACCAGGTTCACCAGACTGACGGCATTGAGGCTGACGCCCGCGAGTGCCATGACGCCCATCACGTCCACGACGATCATGACCACACTGACACTCACGACCGCGCCGGTCGCGATGCTTCCCAGTAAACTCGAGCTGAGGACGAAGATGATCAGAATCGCAACCCCGACCAGAGTTGCCGTCAGTCGTACAATACTGCTGTACATGTCGAAGAAGATATAGTGCTTGCTGTACGCAAAGATATCGATCCCTTCGTTTTTCTCGCTCACTTCGCCTGCGATGCGCTTTGCTGCCGCGTAGCTCTCAATAAAATCTTTCTGGCCTTTAAGCGGGGTGTGGAACGTCCGGAAGTGACTGGCTGGGATGTCAACATTCTCCTCGTCAATCACCACCGCCGTCGAGTACGCAGCTTGACCACCATTCGGACACTCTTCGTCCGTCGGAGCACGGATCCATTTACTTGCGTAGTTGATAAATTCTTCACCAACCGGCATGCCGGAGAGCGTAATGTTCCAATCTCCGTCCTTGAAGCATGTGACTCCATCCTCGTCCCTGCAGCAATCACTGATGGGGTTGAGCCAGTAGAAAAAGTCATCCACCCAGCTGGCCGTCGCCGAGTTGATGTAACTGACCCCGGGTCGTTTCGATTCCTGCTCCAGAATGTACTCTAGACTATATTCACTACAAGTCGTGAAGCGACCGCAGACTTGTTGCTGGTGTGCTCGCTCCGTGAGGTTGACATTTCGTGTGACAAAATACACAGGCGGGCCGGAGCCGAAATAAGCGTACATGTCGTTAAAGTATGGAATCATGTGGCTGTCGCTGGGCAGTGCAATGCGCTGGTCGAGACCGAGTTGGATCTCTGGGAGAAGCGCGATCGCGGCGGCAAAGATGCTCACGAAGAATGCCACCACAAATGTCTTGATCTTCTTGTCGAGTAGAGTCGGGGCATATGACTTGCGAATGAATTTCTGGAGCCAGCCCTCTTCGTCGGACCCGAAGAAATGTCCTCCTGGCATGCTGACAAAGTTGGCACCGCGGACTGTAACGCAAGGGAAGCAGTCGGCTCGGAGACTCTCCACGCGTCGCTGATTGAGCGCGAGAATGGAGATGAACATTGTAACTTGTAAACATGCGTTCAGGAAAACTGCACCTGCAGCATACGCGGCGAAGTTCTTGACAGCCGGCATACCAACAAATGCACCCATCGCAAAAGCTATGGTTTCTGTTGATGCCGAAAGGAGAATGCTTGGACCCATGCGTCCGAGTGCTTTTGCGACACGCTGATCGATCTCCTCATCTGGGTGACTGACATTGACTCGTTCGAACTCGTGAACGATGAGGAATATGTTGTCCACACCAACCGCGAGCACTAAGAAGGGAATCACCTCCGCAATGATCAATGTAACCTTCACACCGGCGGCGGAGAACAAGCCAACGGAGCCGGAGACAGACATCAGTACAATGACAATGCCGACCACACCCAGAGTAAATTTAGATTGCACCAAAGCATTGGAGGGGTTACTGAGAAGGGCTCTGAGAGATAGACTGGCCGATCCTAAGGAAATCGAGGCATAGATGAACATGACAACATAGCTGATTGCGACAATTTTGGCATCTGTGTTGGTTGATTTGTTTAATTCCTCCTCCAGACTGCTCTCAGTATTGAAAGATAGCCGGAGGCCTCGGGATCTGGCAGCTTCTTGGTAAATCAGCAGTTCATGCTTGAGAGCACGTTCCCATTCTTCAGCTCTGGCCTCGCCCTCTGTTCCAGGCTGATGGTTGTTGACAACCCAGGTGGTAAACATAGCTTTCGCGTGGGTGATATTGTCAATGTCATCATACCCTCCCAAGATACGACCAGGTTGGAGTGGATCCATAAATTCGGGCAAGCATCTCTGATCACCAGGATGTGCAGCACAGAGCTTGATCTGGTCTTCCCAATCACTAGTTAGCCCAGCTCCGAACCATCCACTGACAGACTGAACCACACACGCCGATCCAGTCGGCTTGAAGCAGACATCATTGAGTGTAATGCCATTCTCAGGCGTCATCATGCGAGATACACGCTGCTCGACATCGAGCCACCAGTCGAGATTGTCGTAATTGAGAACAGAGGCAGTGGGCGAGCTGTCATTGACGAGGAAGACCTGCTCCGTTCTGTAGAATGGACCAAAGTTTGCATCGAAAAAAGCCTTCTCTTGAGCTGCATCGGAACTGGGGCTAACCCAGAGCCGAACAGGATCTCTTTCAACCTCAAAGCGTAACCATCCTAGGCTCAAAAGTCCCACAATGACAATATTCGCACCGATTGTCAAGGCCGGATAGCGTGCGCAAAAGCCACCCAAATTGTTGAAGGCTCGATCTAAGACTTGATTCAAGTAGTAGTTCCTGCTGGGTCGCTCTAAAAGCCCAGGATTGTGCACGAGATCGCCCTCGTCCTCATCATCACTTGGCGCAGCATCCTGCAACAACTGTAACCTCTCACTCTTCCACTGCTTATGCTTCCGATATGCCACATGACCAGATATTGCAGTGATGAGTAGGAGTAGTGCAATGGAATAGATGATGACAACCGCAAAAGACAAGCACGGCAATTTTCCAACGTGACAGGCCTTAGCTGAACTGACGGGCTCTAATGTTGGGCATACCGCAGGACAGTCTACACAGCTGCACCGATAATCCGGATTCGAATCGTTGCAGGCATAGACAAGAGGATCTTGCGGCTTCATGCCCTCCGGATCGTCATGCCGTGCCTCTTCCAGAAAATTGATCTGGAACGGACTGCCCAGTAATTTCTTGTCGCCCAAGAACTTCAGGAACTCGGTGTAGTTTTCCGCGCCACCTCCAATGAATGCCATAGCCTTGCCACCACTGGCGCCGTTCTTGACCTCTTTGCAACTATCGAAAAATCCGCTCTGATAGTCCTTAGACCAAACGTTGTCCAACTCGGTTACTACGGCTTTTCCATTTGTCGCTTTGCCGGTCGCAGTGACGTTGATAAAGAGAGATTGGTCTGGCGAACAAGTGAAGGTGCAGAAAATGTTGAAGAAATTCTCCCTGCAGGCTGGACACGATGCGATGATGCGCTCTGCTAGTTTGAGGTTCTTTTTCAGAGCATCGACCTGTTCCTCCTCGCAGCATACATCGGTGTCCTCCCATTTCGCTCCGCAAAGGTCAACGAGCTTCTCCCGCAGCTCTTCAGACGGAGAAGACGCTTCGCCATTATCGGGACAGGGTAAGTCAGAGCCAAAAAAGCCTTGCTTGCCACAATGACCTCGGATTGCGCATCGACCAGCTTCGTGGAGAGGGGTTGCCACGGAGGCGAGAGCGAGAGGAATCGAGGAAAACGCAGTCAAAGCTGCAACGGCGCTAGGGGAGAAGCGCATTGTACAGGATTTCGTAGGTGGTCTAGGGGTGGGTTCTTGGGTATCACCGGGAGGAATGGTCGTCGGCGTGCTGCATTATGCAATGGGTTGTCAGAGTAGTAGTCCGCGCAAGGCGGGTAACAAAACTGAATCACTGGACAGGGGGAACAAAGCGTAGCCAAGAGAGAATTGCACCGAGTATGCAGGTGGTTTGTTTGTAGAATTCCAAAGCAGGCAAACAAGTCACCAGGTGGTTGGAGGTTGGAGGCGGAGCCTTGCAGCAACGAGAAACCGAGTGCGTCACCAGTTGCCGATCTAATATAAGGCCGGGCCCGAGTTCCGCTCTGTTTCCGCCAATCCCGCATATGGTACTCCGTACCAGGCATCTGAGGCTCCGACTTCAGGTACCTTAGGACCTTAGGTAAGTTCCCTGGCCTGTTGCGTCTACTGTATCATGAGCCTAACTGCCGCGTCCAGGTAGTCGCGCTCGTGCCCCCTGAAGCTTACTGTCGGTAGACACTCGTATAAGGCCTACTTCACTCGGTTCACAGTGAGAACGACTACTGTAGATTCTTGTTGGACGACTATAACTTGCCCGTCTCGGAACCATGGGAATCGGGCTTTGTTACGTTGATCCTCTCCAATCCTCTGAACAGGTCGATTGGATGCCTGCTTCTCCGAGGCTTCGGCTCACTATTGACTTTTCTCTTTTCTAACTAGAAAGAAAAGGGTAGAATACACATAGATGAAGGAAGTGCCTTCAAACCCCGGAAGGAAACCCTCATGTCCTGGTCGGAACCTCAGCCTATTCTCTACTCCAGCCAAAGTACCCACCATTTTGACATCCTTATGGCGCCTTCATAATGCACACAACCCGACCAGTTTGCTGAAAAATTCTCGCCGGGGTTCCTTCGCTCTCCATACTCGAGACTCAATAAAATGGGTGAAATCACACTGCCAACAAGCTCAGCTGTCGCCTGAAGTTGCCGCTGGCTTGGAGTCATTTGGCTTGGATTCGTTGGATGGTCTGCTGTCCAAGGCACCTTCAGCCGGTTTATTGAAGCCGCCTCGTCCACCACGACCACCACGAGGAACTCGATCGTCGCCTCGGCCGCGTCCGCGACCGCGGAATCCACCTCGACCACGGCCGCCTTCGCTATCACTTGCCCCTCCACTCTGGTAGCCTCCTCGAGATAGTCCAGAGCCTGCAGCGGAAACACCCCGGCTGCTGCCTTGCCAGGTTCCCGCGCCGCCTTGGCTGTGGCTATCACGCTGGTGGGTGCCACCGCCTCGTTCCTCAAAGAACACAACCTTGGGAGGTTTGCCATTCGGTCCTTTGTGTTTCAACACCTCGGTTTGAGCGCGTGTCAATGCAGCTTGGGCGGTGTCGTGATCCTCAAACTGAACCTTCCAATTGCCGAACTTTCCGATCCGTACAATCGATTTGACCTTCTCGCGGTCCTCCTCTGCCACGCATTCTTTGGCAGCCTCCTCCGTGTCCACAAACGACATATAGAGCGCAGTAGGCGCCTTGCGCTCAACAGCAGGTGCTGCACCCTTTGCTTTGGATGCGTCACCGTCAGCTGCCCTATCTGCACTTGCACCATTTGTTGCGGGAGGTGTAGGCTTGGCATCCAGTGAGGTGGTAGCTGGCACAGCGGTGCTCGATGGTTGAGGCGTCATGGGTTTTGCTTGAGTGACGGGTGGTGCAGGAGATCCTGTTGTTGGGGGAGTGGCTGCCTTTGCACCTGGTCCCTGTTGACCTGATTGACTGACTCTGCCTGGCTGTTGCCCGGGTTTCTGCTGTTGCGGGAAAGGCTGAACCGGAGCTGGGAACGCAGGTGCACGATTCTGACTTGGACCGGTGGGAGCGACAGCAGGTGGAGCTGGGACCGGAGCTTGTTGGGCAGATGTCACCTGCTGTTGTTGGCCGGCGTGACCCATGTTGGGTTGCTTTCCACGGTGGGCAAAGTTGAAGCCTTGGGCACGCATTTCTGTACCAATGCGACCTCCTTCGATTTCCAGAACAAGATAGCCGAACGCAGCATCAGCTAGGTTGAAATTCCACATGTTTTTGAAAGCACTCTCGTCCACTTGACCTGCAGCACCTCCACCAACGGGACCGCCGAATGGATTGCCTCCGTTGGCAGTGCTCGGCATCTTTTCGATGATATCCAAAGCACTGTGCAGGAGTTGTTTGTGGCTTGCATTGGCCTCAATGGCTTGCTCGACGTCTATCTTGACAGTTTCCCACACATCCTGGAACGAGGCCTTTGAAGCAGCCAATTTGCCACGATAGTGGTCCAAGGAAGGGTTCACGGAGAACTCATTATAGGAGCTGCCGTAACGGAAGTGTAGACCAGCGGAGATTGAGAAGTCAGCCTTTAGTGTCACGGACAATTGGTTGAGAATTCCGTCTCTTGCAGGCGAGGCGTGAGTCAGGAAAATGCGGGTTTCCGAGGGATCGTAGACTCGGTTGGCGGTGTCGATCAAAGAACCGATCTGCAGCAGTGTTGTCCACATTGTTCCTTGTCCCCCAGCAATGTATGTTTTGCCCTCGCCATTGTCAAAAAGCTTATGGATGACCACGGCACCTCCCAGACCCAATAAGCGCAGCTTGACACCACCAATGTCCAGTAATCTTGAATTGACTTCGTCAATGATGTGTAGGTTATCAACTTTGTACTCCCCTGATCTGAATCGTTCGAGAACCCGCACATCTTCACAAGCGCCCCATACGGTGTAGACCGGCACGTCGAGGGTGATCTGCTTGTTCAGTAGGAGAGGCAGTTCCGAAAGAGGAATTTGATCAGGTGAGAACATCTGTTTGACGGGTCGCGGCGGATTCGGTTGAGCGATCTGTCTCTTGACAGGTTCACTGAGAAGAGGTGAATATTGCGCGACGTGCTTCAGAGTCCTAAATTCCGTTCAGTATTCTGGTCTCGGAGGGATTCAGTGCCCATACTTCTCGGCTATTCTCTCTAATGAAGTGTTGTCGTAGAATCCAAAATCACCGGTGTGTAGAATGTAATCTGCCCTCGCAGTTCTTGCCAGGTCGTTCAGAGATCGGAGGTTGCCTGTGCAAGCGAACAATTTCGTCAGATCGGCTCAGCCGAGGGAGCGCAAGAAGAACTCACCTCTCACATCGGCGATACATAGGACGCGGACAGGACCGGACTGGATGATTCGGCCATTGTTGGGAAGAAGAGCCTGCGCTCCTGGGGTCGGGCCAGAAGTGCCGTTGGGTAGATAGCCTTGATTTGGGAATTGAGGGCGTGGCTGTGGACGGCGCAGGATTAGCGGCGGAACTGCAACAGGCATGAAGCCCGTTCCAGGATGGAATCGATCCATTGCAAGGACCAGGGCGACAGTTTCAGATGACGGAGGATACAGGGTATGACGATGAGGAATGAAGGAGATGAAGACTCACAGAAGCCATCGCTGAATGTGAATTCGTGGTGGACGGGGACTCTGAGCGCGAAAGCACAGGTTTGAGGGCTCGGCGAAAAAAAGGCGACGAGGTGTATCGATTAGAATTAGTGGACAGAGGGGTTTCGCGTGGGAATCTGTCGGCGCAATGATTTCGCAAAGACCAAAAACAAGAAAGAGGCTGAAGCTGAGCCGAAGAGTAGAACAAAAATGAGAATGTCTACAACAATGAGAGTATTCACCCCCAGGAAAGGCGACAAGCTACATCCTCCAAACGACGCCAGTCTCCATCGGTCTGAGAGTCTGCTTGGCACTGCCGCTTAGCCTCTTTCGTTAACCCCGAGAGCAGCATCGTCGCCTCGTTCTCAGCCCAGGCATTCACAAGGCGGTACAGGTGGCTACAGAAGTTGAGAAAAGTCTTTCATTCCTGTGAATCCATGTCTGTCTCAGTGGGAGATGGCATCGGGTCAAGGAATACACCTGTGATGGTCTCCCACTTGAGTACTTCTGATGCCTGATTGTGCGCAGCCACTGTGTATTCGACTCGACTCGAGTTCTAAAGCCTCGAGAACAAGCATACCCTCGAATGCACATCGTGTTAATGTTTCAAATCTGGTACATGGCTGGCTGGAGTTATTCTACCTCCTAAAGAGCGGCGTCACTCTGGACAGAGCCCAGATCGCACAAAATTGGTACATTGAAGAGACAATCACCCCCCAACTCCATTGACAACACGATAGACCTGAACATCGCGCATGTAGGCTATTGATTCCCCGTTTTCGTCCCATTTTCATGATGGTATCATATGTCCCCGAAGACTTCAGCCATAAACTCCCGAGAGCTTCGTACACAACCATTATGCAGGACAGATGTTTCATGCCGTACCCAGAATCTTGTCAACATCCTTCTTATCCACCACAGCGCCCCCTTCAGAGCATTTGGCCTTCGACCGTAGCTCGCTACACAAATTGTCAATATCGATTTCGCCATTCCGGAATTTCTCCATTGATTGGAGACGATCCCTGGATGAAAAGTCAGCTTACTTGGACTTCTGAAGCAAGGACAGGGGACATATACTAACCATATCTTGTTACAAGTCATGGGTTTGTCGTTGTCTGGCACGACTTCTTCGTTCTTAGCTGCTTCGACCATTTTCATGAGGTCGTTCTGCTTATTATAAGACTGATCCGGCGTGAGATCGGTGTAGTTGTGAAATGGGCTGCCCAGATCTGGCAACGGATAGGCATCGTTGAAGAAGGCCCCAAAGTCTTGCGACAGAATGTTGTCTTGAGTCTCACGGTAGTCCCCGAACAAGACCGGATCAAATGAGGTATGATTTGACTGAGCCATGAAATCAAACCCATTGCCATCCAAGCTGTGTGCATTTTGGCTCAAGCCTGAAGATACTCCGTTAGACATGTTCAATATGGGAGGTACAGGGTCGTCCACGCAGCCACAGGCCAGTTGGAGTTGTTGGCAGAGGTCCTTACCTCCAAATGAGTACGGATTTTCTTCATGGATAGGGTTGAGGCCGATGTCAGTGATCTTATGTACCGGAGAGTTGAGGCTGGGTTCTGGGGATGTACCGATCGAGGAACTGTGATTTTGAGACTCCGTTGACGAGCTGGGGGAATCGTGGGCGGACATGCTCGAATTGGAGTATAAACCAGAGGCATTGCCTTGGCCATTGTAATTGGTTGTATTGTAATTATTCTGAAGGAAGTATCCGTTCGCTGAGGCATGTCGGCTTGCCTCGAGGATTGAAGGACTGAACAGACTTGACAGGCTATCAACGCTTCCATGGTGCTCTTTTGGCGCTGGTTGAGGCTGAGGGGAAGCTGAATACCCATTACTCAATGGGGACTGGCTGAGGGATCCAAATCTAGCAGGCTGGTTCTGTGAAGTCGAGGGCGACCCACGGTTGTTGGCATTGCCATTTGCCTGGGTCGAGCTAGGCGTTGCGACTGAAGATGCTCGACTGGAGGCTGTGGTTGGCGCTTTCTGCGAATTCGAACCAAACAGATTTGTCCCAGGCATAGGAGGCAGATCGCCAAATTTCGGGAACTCAAATTTGAAATCGTTTTGAGTGTTAACGCCAGAATTGTTTCGTCCTTGAGTTACAACCGGTTGCGAGCGGTTCAAGCCATTACTACTGATCCATGAGAGGCGCTTTCGATATTCTTTCAGTTCAACTTGGAGACGTTCTACCTGAGCTCGCAAGAGACCGTTCTCGTGATTGGCGGACTCGGAGGCCTTTTCGAGATCCTCAACCTTCGTCTCGAGATCTTTCAGATGCTTTTCCTTCCGCTCGCGGAAGGCACGCTGGGCTGCTCGGTTCTGAGCCTTGCGCTTCTGTGAATCGATTATTAGTTTTGTCCCTCCTCACCGTGGGACCATACATACAGAGGTGGGTTCAGAGGTCAAAGGCTTTCTGCCAGGCTTCTTGGCAGTTTTGTCTTCACCCTCACGTCTTTTCCCTCCTCCTTCGTCATCGTCCTCTTTGCCGTCAATGCTTTTCCTCTTATCGTGAAGCTCGCCAGGGATATCCCCAATCATGCGAGCATTCTCATCAAAGTCAAAACTCTCATCGCCGAAGTCGGCTTCGGGATCGAAATCGAGGAAAGGACTCTCGTCACTGAAGTCGAGGTTGGTAGAGCCTGGAGCAGACATGTTGGGTGTGAAGTTAAGATTTTGAGGGGTGGACTTTTGCGTAGATTGCTGATTCGAGGATTTGTTGGAGTTCAACGCCGCCATAAGCAATTCTTGTTGATCCGGAGAGAGAAAAAGACCTTCTGTAGATTGGCGCGACATTGAAACGTAGACCCGATAGCTGCGCTGCCTCTGTCTCGGTCACAGACTGGGCTGGCTGGAGCAATCGACTTGTTCAGGCGGGAAGCGCGGAGCGACTCAAAGGCTCTCACGAACGGCCTCGCGTGATGCCTCCCTCTACTGCTTGTCAATGGCAGTAGCAAGAGGCTCGAAGTAGAGCGCAAAAATGTTCGATAGCAGTATGAACTGCTTGGAAGAAGACGAATCGAAGATGAAAGAATAATAGTGGGTGGCAGTAAGGGTGCGGGATGGGCGGGGCGGTCAGCGCACGCTTGAGATAATTACAAGGCTGGCCGGATGGATGAGGGCAGTGCCTGCCCAAGATGAAGGGATCCTGATAGGGGCGAAGGAATGACGAAAGGTGTAATAGAAGTTTGAGGTCGGGTGAGGGTTGTTTGCTGCAGCCAGATACGGTGGTAGCAGGAGAAGAATGAATAATGGATGAGGCGCCGAGGGGAAGAGCGAGGACGCATTCCACTACTGATTGCAGACAGCAGGGACAGACCCTGCCAAGATCTACCTACGCGCCTCTTTAAGCCAGGACTCGGGGGCTGTTCGTTAACTACGATGCTCCGTAGACCCTCCTAAAAAAGCACCACTGCCTTATGAGTACTAGGCCAGCCAGGTAACCTCAGGGCCTGGAGAGCGCCCGGACATGTCATGGAGTTTGCTTTCTCGCCTAAGGGCCTGCATTTCCCGGCGAGCAGCCACTCAATTGCCTCTTTTCGAGCCCTACCGAGCGAGACACGGAGTCCAAGGTACGAATACGAGTACGAGCCGATGTCATCGACCCAGAGGGGATATCTAGAGCAGACAGCTTGCCCTCGAGAATTTGATCGACTTCATCTCCCTCGACAGGCGAGGGAAGTCAATGACCACCATAGCGCTCAAATCTTCACCCTTGTCCACGCAAGTCTCTGCTCTGGGTGGTGGAAAAGGCCTCGTGGGCCAGGTCGAGATGTGGCAAACTCTCCGGATGGGAGCAGCATCAACCTCGTCCAAAGTTGATTTCTAAGCTGACTAGAGCCGCGACTGGTCCATGCGCATCCACGATAGTCCATGCCGTCCTTTCAAATTTATCACCAAACTTCATTTAGGCACTCTTGCCGGCTATGATACCATGGCGCTGACATCGCAATTGGAGAGTCTTTTCTGAAGGCACTCGGACGAATGAGAATCCTTATCCCATGGTTCCTGGACGAAGGGGATCGCTCTTCAAGCCTGACTCACATTGTACTGTATACTACTGATTTAGAGCTGCTCGCTTCTGCGACGTCATCACTACCTAAACATCACCTGAGGTTCTCTCGAACCAGATTGTGTGAAGAGCCGAAGTGTGGTTATTCTCTGTCTGTAATAGTGATGTTGCAACTGCAACTTCTCTTCCACGGGTCAACGTCGAGTCCCTGGCCATTTCGCCTGGTTCCTCCACCACGGACTTTGCCGGGTGCCAGGCTGGGGCAAATGGTCACTCTCGGCTGGCGTCGATGGAACGTCTGCAGCCTGTGGTAGGGATACGAGTACGCCGAGGACAGAAGATCGCTGGCAACATGGTGTGCACATCTGCGTAGCACCTCCCCGTACCCATAGGGATGCCCTTTTGAGATCTGAGAGATGATTAGCGACGATCTGAATATGCCGGCCCCCTTACTCCGAACTCGTAGACCCCTCTGGCCGATGATGGGACGTGCTGATAAGTGTAGGTGCCTGGGCGAGTCTGAGTTAGGATTGTCTGGTGGCCTGCGGAAGACTCGCTCCCATCAAGGCCCAAGGCACAAAGACCTCGGGCCATCAGACCCGGACACTCTTGGCACATTTTGATCGTACTGCGCCGACTGTATCGCATATCGCAGGCTTGAGTCTGTAAGAACTACATACCTGAATTTGCCCTGATCATCCAGTCCGCTTCATGTTCCAGTAAATAACCTACTTCCGTTTCAACATTCCCAGATTTTGGACTCTTCACCTCGACGCACCAAAGTGCCAGGATGAGTTCAGCCGAGTTGGCCGCTTTCGAGAATGAACTCAAAGAATACTCACTGCAACTGGAGACAGTGCAGTCAAGTCTACAAGATGACCCAGACAACACTGAACTACAAAGCCTGAAGTCGGAACTTGAAGAAGTTATTTCCCTCACCGAAGCTGCCATTGCAGAACTAAAACCTGCTTCAGTGCCAGCGCATTCTGCAAAGCCTTCTCCGCCACCGGTGAAAGAGAAATGGTCCAAAGAAAACCACCCAGCTTATCAAGCCGGCTACCGGAAACCCGATGTTGAAGAAGAGCCACACACCCCAACCACATTCGCGGTCAACGACAATGTCATGGCTAGATGGAAATCAGGCGACGGGGGATATTATGCCGCTAGAATTACGTCGATTACCGGCTCATCGAGCGACCCGGTGTACATTGTCACCTTTAAAAGCTACGGAAACACGGAGACACTGAAATCCAGAGACATCAAGCCATTATCGAATGAGGCAAAGAAGCGGAAAGCTGATGGCATCTCAGGATCATCCACTCCGGTTCCTGCGCCGCCCAATCCAAGCGTCATTTCTGCAGCGGCCAGTGTCGATCCCACTCTGGCCCAGCAGGCCAAACGAGAGCCCAGCAAAGTCAGCGATGGCCCTGTCAGACCGGCCAAGATACCACGCAAGGTGAAGGCGAACAAAGAGTTGGAGGCGGGCAAGACCAAGTGGCAAGACTTTGCGGCCAAATCCAAGGCCGGCAAATTTACCAAGAAAGAAAGCATGTTCCGCACTGGACAAGGTGTGAATGCCAGAGGTAAGACCCCCATTCCTGTTATGATGCTATATGCTTAACTCGTTCACAGTTGGCTTCACTGGTAGTGGACATGAGATGCGCAAAGATCCCACCCGAACACGACATATTTACCAACAAGGCAACTCGGACGAATGATCAAGAGCATCGTGGAGAATCTCATGACTTTTTTGCTTTTAGTACTTTCCTGGCTTGAGCGTTTATGATCAATCCCACGGGCCTATCGCTGACCGCATTGCACCTTGCAGATGGGTATAAGACACGAACATGCATCGATCATCCCGAAATCAGAATGATATTTGAGTCAAGTATCTTCCTTTGCTAGGTGTATTGGTTCTGACATGTGGAAAATCATCTATAGGATGTTGTAACAACACATGCGTATCGCGCGGAAAACTTATAGCCTTTCTTTACTCTCGTTTCTGTACACGTTATGCGACGTTCTTCTCACCATCCAGTGGCCAAATGGGATTCCCATGTACTGTGCACTCGAAGTGGGCAACACAAGGGGGCGTCTGCCTGCTTCGAAGTCGTTAATCTGAGCTTACGACTAGAGATCCGCATGACTCGCAGATTTGCTTTCGCGCACCCACCCGTCTAAGTGCACACTTGCTCCCTTGGTCTCGAGCATGCGGTCCCGTGAACTGTCAAGTTCTAGACATCAAACTTTACATGACATCGTCTGGTGCCTGGCCGTGTGAGGTCCTGATATATCGTGCTCCTCTGCAGAAGCGAGATAAAAATCAGTCTCAAATCTTCAGCAGGGGTGGCTTGGTCTCAAACAAACACCAGCTGGCTTTTGATACATGATGCGTGGAAGCCACGATTGACAATGAGAACTGGACGATTGAAAAGTGATGACCAGGTAGTCATTTAGAGCCTCACAGGCCACCTTGTATTCTGAAACTGCTCACGACCAAGACAAGCATGTTGATGATGCCCCAGAGCAAGGGTGTCCACGTGCTCATGGCAAAGTATCCCGCGTTGTAGACCGCGCCGAGGACCAAGCCGACCATGGTCCCGGCCAACAGGGCCTCGAGCCCGCCGAGAACGATGTAGACCACGGGCACGATCCAGACCCATCCGAGCGTTTCGCCGATGGGGTTGTCGCCGAGCAGCCTCCTGTTCTTCGTGCTCAGGTTCCTCCCCGCGGGCGAGGCGAGGAACCTCCTCCGGCTCGACGCCGAGCTGAGCTGCATCAGCACCGCCCACGCCGCCACGCAGATGTGCGCCGCCACGATGGTGATGAGCGTCCAGTACAGCGTGTACCGGTAGATGTCCGAGAGGTAGTACAGGTATCGAGACTGGCCGGGCGGCGCGCGGATGGGCCAGTACAGCGAAGGGAACTCGGGCGTGACGTAGGACCGTGGCACGCCTGCGCCGTAGACGTACATGCTAGACATGGCGAGAGATTGGAGTCAAGGTTGACAACTCGGGGTTGTTTGAAAAGGGAGAAAAAGAGAGAGAGAGAGAGAGAGCGTGTGTGTGTGTCTTTAGAACAAAGCGCAAAGGCGACGTGCCCCGTGGTTTGTTGCTGCAACTGCTGGCTCGCGTCCTGTCCTCTCAACGCCCCGACCCGGGCAGTAGGGCGACGAGCCTGCCGCCTTTGTTCATACTCTTGGGCTCACGAGAGCTGGACTGAGCGACGCGGTGTGTGTATGTGTGGGCGTGTGTGATGATTGACGGACGGGAGGATTTGTTCACTACTTTGAAGGGCCCTATGTCACGCATATACTAAGTGCCTAGAGGGATCGAGGGCGTACTCGTACTAGCCCTCAATGATGACGGGCTGCAAATCAATGCAATCACGTGCCACAGGGGACGAGTACGAGATGTTCTGTACTGTATGTATGACAATTTACACGCCAAGATATGTAAAGACCCGCATCGAGGCGTATCGTCTAAATACACTAAGCCTAGGTACTCCGTACGTGATAGTAGTTTTGGTCCGGGAGCGCTCCGGTCAAGGCCCTGTACACCCTTCGAGTCTCCCGTTTCTCGGGACTCTTCGATATATGACAAGTCCTCCGGAAACGTATACAGACAATACGCCTCGACTTGGCGCCTTAAACGTCACTTATCATCAAAGCACTGAAGATTGAATGCCATGAAAGCGTCCTCTCATTTAGATCTGGTAGCGGAACTGCTTGTTCTGCGAAAACTATTGTCAGCAGCTGCACTGTAGCTGGTGGAATTCGGACAAGACGTTACCTTCAAGTCTGTGAGGTCATCCTCAAAGGCATGGTCAACACCCTCGGCAATGCCAGCTTCATTGCGCTTCTTGTTGTACAGCACGCATACAAAGCGATACGCCACAATAAGCCCAAGAGCGATGAAGGCAGTGATGACCACGGCTTGCCAGCCGGGCTCGTACTGGGGTGCATCTTGTGGACGGAAGAGCAGAGGCCCAGCAAAGTTACCTATAGAAAAACCGGGTCAGGTACCATCGCTTTTCGAGTCATCGGATGATGGAAAACTCACCCAAACAATAGCCCATAAAGAGACCTGAGGATGTGACGGTTTTCTTCGTGTACCCAGCAGTATTGGCAGCTTGCAGTGACATGATGACACCATACGGGGCTGCAAAAGAGGCCAGCAAGTAGAGTCCAGCAAGGCCACCGGCCTTGTTGCTGTGCGGCAGTCGCCACATGAGGAGGGCGCCCAGAATAACTAGGAACTGGAACAAGACAACGACGTAGGACCGGCCACCACGACGACTGAGCTTGCCTGCCAGGTACGTCGAAAGGAGAGTGCATGTGCCAGCTACAAAACCAGCAGGCATCGTCAACAAAAGAGAGTTGAGCGGTGAGTAACCAAATCCGGCGATGATAATTGGGAGGTAAGTTGAGAGGGGGCCGTTCGCAATCATGATGCAAAATGCGCAAAAGAACACGAGCCAGAATTTGATGTCCGTCAACGCCTCCAAGACCTGCGCCGGCTTGAGGTGGCTATTGCGAATGCCGGCGTTGTTGACACGTAGTCTGGCCACTGCAATGTACCGCTCACGCTCAGTGAACCCCTTGGCGTGGATAGGCTCCGGGGGAAGGAACAGGAGGATAACGATGCCCCAAACAACGGTCAGAGAGCCAGCAAAAATGTACATGTACTTCCAAGGGCTGAGTGCGGCTTTGACATGACCAAATCCGTAATTGACGAGCGGAGCGAACATGGAAATGAAGCCAGCTTTCAAAATAAGTGAGCAATGGGTCTTAAGGGCTGACTTGAAGCGAACAGCCTTACCTGCAGACCACCACGAGCCGAGTCTCAAGGGCTGCTCTGTCTTCTTGTAGAAGCTGGCCACAATGATCATCAGCATTGGTGACAACCCCGCCTCAAGAAAGCCGAGAAAGAAGCGATTGACGTAGAGTGTTTTGAAGTCGGTGCACTCGATGGTCAAGATAATGTTGAGGCCCCACAGGCAGATGAGTCCAGCTGCCACGCGCTCTACCGGGAAGCGCTGAGCGAGAAGTGCAGCAGGCAAAGCACCAGCTATAGCCCCCAGATAGAAGATGGAGGAAGACATGCTATAGCGATTGCCAGTGAGTGCGAGATCCTTGCGGAGACCAAACAGCGCCTGGTGCACCGAGTGTCAGAATATGACTTTTTGTACACAGGAATGCGTTACCCAACTTACTGCTGATGAAAGCATAGACTTGTCGTAGTATATCAGCCCGTAGGTAATGAACATGAGTGGGACTAGCTTGAAGTCGATCTTTCTGACTAGCTTCTGCTCCTCCTCGGGTGTCCATTCAGCGTCCGCACCCTGATATGCGGCGATGATCTTGAGCGCTTGGTCATCATGGACGGTATCGACATGTTTGAGGGCAGACAGATCTTCAAGCTGCTCTCTGGTGTCGGTCTTTTCGATGTCCCGGGACATGTCGGTCATTGTACAGTACTTCTAGGGGGAGTTGGTAGGTATCCGTTTTCTCCTGAACCAGCTTACTTCAGGTTCCTCAACATCAGCAGACAGAGGAGCCCTGACTATTAAATAGACACGAGTACATCGCCATTCTAAGCGGTCGGCAGACCGCGTGCCCCGGTCCAGACCGCATTCGAATCAGACTGGGGAGAGGTAGTTGCGGGGACCCCACATGAACACGGTACCTCGTATAAAATGCGTGCTATGTGACTCTCTCATAAGGCGCTAGTATAGAGACAATCTCTCAAGCTAGTTAACCGTGACTCGTTTTGCTTGCTGTACTCTCTGACCACCGCCATAGATATATCGCAGAACATTGGATACAAACATCTGAGCTGAGTAGCGAGACAGCGAGCAGGGAGAAAGATCCCCTCGGTCTATGCTAAGCTGTTCTTAACAGCAACTTTGACAAGGCTTGCTAAGACACAACACAGCACCTACCTGGACCGCGTCCACGTTCAATCAGTGTAGGATGAGTTGGTGGCGCGGTCTAGGCGCGGTCTTGGTATTGTCTTGGAGGCGCATTGCCTTGGCATGACATTACTTACCTTGGCACATGATCGTATACATAATCTCACCTATAGGAAGACATGCAATTGAGTTATGAATTGTATGCGGCTGAAGAGCCGGAATGGGGGTTGAGGGAAAGACAGAATCGTGCTGTGATGAGGTTTCATTGTTGTAAGGGAGAGCGCCAGACATCGCAGGCGATCTACCTGCCTTAATGTCTCTAAAGTACACAAGTGCTAAATGAGGAAGGTGTGCCAAGAGGCGCCATTCCAGGAAAGTGCAGCGACGGGCTCAGCATGGCGCTAACGGACACGGCATTCACCGGCCTACCGGCCCTAGACCGTCTCCATACCAAGACATCATTTCTTCTGGCCTACGGGCACTTTTCCTCTTGCGCGGCCAGGAGGGCGCCGGAGGCACTACTGCACACCATATGCAGGAATGCTGAGAGACCACTACTACTTGTAGGGGTGTTGCCGGGCTGCTGGGTCATCGAGGCTGGAGCCTGTCCATACGGAGATTCGGTAATGCAAAAAGGATGTTCCGTAGCCATGTACAACCCTAGACCCCGGACTTATGCAGAAGGCTGGAACGTCAGCGGATGCCTTTTGCTTCAGCCTCTCAGGTGAATCATTTCAAGTTCCAGTTTCCTCGTACGGAGTCCTTCGATGCCTGTGCGAGGAGTAATTTTATTGCTCAGTCCCAGTTTCTCCGCACCTCGCCAGTTCTCCCCACTCCAAGCTCTCTAGAGAGCCCAGTTCTCTCTCCGGAGTGAGCAGCTGAAGCCTCTCTACCTGAGCAATGTAGGGCTGTGTGTGATTCACGCACCTCACGCAAGACCAAATCGCCGTGCAGCATGCGTACCATCAGACGGACGCCAACGTCAACATGAACACTCCATCCACCACCATGCGGGCGTGCGAAGCATGCAATGCAAAGAAAACAAAGTGCGACATGGTCCGTCCGACATGCGGTCTCTGCCAACGTACCGGCCGCTCGTGCATCTTCCCAACCTCACGAAAACCTCCTAGGCCTTCCCTCAAGCGCACAAGTTCAGAGTCGTCGAACACGTTCAGCGGTAATCTGAACCTACTTCTGAGCATTCTGGGAAAACCCGACGCCATCAACTTGGCTGCTAACCAGGCACGCATGCTTACTACAGCACAGTCTGCTACAACGCAAAACCACGTAACTGCAGCGCAGGGACAAGATGATGTCTTTGAGAGTGACTTGTCAGTGACTACACCTTCGACATCTCTACATAAGACGAGTGCACCTTCGCCGAGCCAAACAGGTGCCGTAGGTCAGCGATTTCCTTCGCAGGCTTCAAGTTTCGATGCAGTTCCTGACACCATCGAACCCATATCGGAGCACGCACCCCAACCGTCACCAACACATCCTATTCAGCAGCCCACTGTCTTTGTCTCGTACGACGTAGCATTGGATCTCATCGAGACGTTCTTTTCTCATATCCAACCTTGGCTTCCCCTTCTCCATAAACCAAGGTTCGCTGCTCGCATTCAGCAGCAGCTGGAGCCTGGCGCAGACGCTCTGCGTAATGTCTCGTTGGAGGTTCGCTTGCTGATGATGAGCATGTTCGGTCTCGCAGCGAGATTTTCGAACCATTTCACATTCCAGGGCTGTTCGCCTCTCGACCGCGCGTCGATTTACATGCCTGCCGCGCGGCAGGCGTACCTTGACCTCCGGAACCAGAATAATTCGTCTCTGTTGTACCTGCAAGGAAGCATTCTTCTCGCGGTTTTTACCTATACAGACGAGATGAACACGCAGGCCTGGATACTTACAGGGGTGTGCGTGCGCCTTGCGTACGAAATAGATCTCTACGACATTGATGGTGACTTTCGCAACAGTCCACATCATCGTGACGGCATGGACCACGTCGAATTTGAAGAGATGCGTCGTGCGTGGTGGCTGACTTGGGAGCTTGACACGTTTGGTTCTCTGGTGATGCAGAAGCCTTTTGCGGTCGATCGCCATCAGTTCAACGTGCGTCTCCCGTTGAGCGATGAGGACTGGTTTGCGGAACGCGATGTGGAATCCCAAAGGCTTCTAACAGCCCCAGAAGAATCATGGAAATCGCTACAAGGCTCTCGCAATCAAAATCCGCGAGCGTGGTTCTTGATTGTCAACCACCTGCTCTCACTAGTTGCGCAACATTTGTCGAAACCGCATCTGTCCAGCGAGTCCAACATTCAACTTGTGTCGGCTTGTAATTGCCTGAGACTAGCATGGCCATCGTCATTCCACATACTTACCTCTCCGCCTCTCTTCAATCAAAAAAGCTTCCCAGAGTCCAACTGGATCATCGGGTCACATCTTATGCTTACGACAACCTATACCATACTGTTCTCAGTTCAGCCAGAGCCTTACCCTACGTTGAGCCCAGCATCGGGAATCAGTCAGAGCTCTGAGACTAAGCTCAGTGCAAGAGTGGTGTACCTGCCCCAGATTGTCGCTCTGTGGCCACCAGAGTATATATCTCTTGCACACCCTTTTTTCGTGTGCTGTATCATGCCTACAAGGTCTGAGATTGGCACGCAGCGCTTAGACGGAAAATCTAGGGTCGCACTTGACGCCGTTGAAAATTCCATGGAGTTAGTCATTTCTCATTTTGCACAGAAATGGAAGCTGGCAACAGACGCTCTCAGTAAGTGGAAACCCCCCTCCCCGGGCGAAATTCGCCTGCGTTTGTCCAGATCCGCTAAACTACATTGACAGCCATATTCCGCTTCCTACGCGGCGCAACTCTAGACCCTGCTGCCGACCAACCCTTGAGAAGACGGTTTGCGGCCTTCTTCACGCGCAAAACGTCGTCCGACAACCCGCGGCGGAATTCGACGTCGCAGAATGGCAACGATGTTTCGCCCGGCCCAGTCTCTCAAATAGGATCAGAGTCTAGCTTACTACCTGACCCCAGTAATCAGATTGCAATTTCTGGGGCGTCGCCTGGATTGACAGATTTCGATGCCGCTCACAATCAACATCGGATTGCACGCAATCAAAGTGGTCATGATGGATCATTCTTTTGGATGGGCCAAATGTCACTACGCGATGATCTATATATCGACAGCGCTATCGGTAACCAGGCACTATATCCTTACTCGCCTATCTTCGCTCATCCACTGGACAACAGTAGCATGTTCGACTACGGTCCCTCGTAACCTCACCGACGTATCATCTTCAGGACCGACCCACGCTCAGATGTACTGAATCCACAAGACCATCGAAGCTTCGACAGGCCATTCTGGTATTTGAGAATGCTACGCTTGTACTCAGCCAAACACTCTTGGTTGATTGCAGTGCGAGCTTGTCACCGCAACGATATGCGCCGCCAAGTTTCCGATCCTTTCCGGTCACTATGTAAGGAATGTCTTGGACCTCATATACGTGGGCTGGACCTTGCCGAGGGGGAAGTCTGCGCGAGATCGCCTGCTTACCTGTCGACACCAATCACTTGTCGAGTTTCTGGCCCAGAAGCATCTTCAAGAGCAGCAGAACCTTCTCACCCCAGAAATAGGGTAATCCTACTCGTAACTCAGAGTGTCCGCTTCCTTCCCTCCAGTTCATTCCTGGATACGCGGCGACAGGTAGGCCTCACCGCTGCCAGAAAGACGCCGCGATATCGCCTTGGGAGGGGGTGGTACGCGTTGATGGTTGCATTGGTGCAGACTGGTAATTATGCAGACCGGACACTTACTGTCAGTGCATACGCACTGTACGAGGCAGGAGTTGCACCACCCTGGCTTCAAGTACCTAGATATACGAGCGAGGCTTGAGTATGAAGCAACAGCGCGGTTGGAGCGGATCCTGTCATAATCTTAACTAACGTGCGGTCACCATATCTATTTGTATGCCAGCCTTAGCAATCATCTTGATCGACACGGCTCATCCTGCCACTATGCAGGTGTGATGATTGTGCACTGCCTAGACACAAGCCAAAACGCTGGCACTTGTCTGTGCGTGCACTACAGAGCATCGGCACAAATTCATCATGTCACCATTTACTCAAATTTCATGGTGTTGACAAGCTTCATCTCTCCGGCAATCTCGACCTCGACCACATCTCCGTCCTTTAAGAAAACCTTTCGGAATATGCCTACCCCGGATGGCGTTCCGGTCATGATGACTGTGCCTGCTCGGAGTGTGGTACCTCGACTCAGATGGTGCAAGATCTGCTTGACGGACCAAATCATGTCATCGGTTCCGGTGCTCTGGAACGTCTCGCCGTTGACTTTGGTCGTGTAGCTCAGCGCGTGGGGGTCCGGAATGACAGTTGGACTGGTGATCCACGGTCCTATGGGCGCAAACTTGTCGAAGGACTTGGCGTAGCAGAACTGTCCGCCACTGACATCTGGTAATTGGTAGTTTCGCGCCGACACGTCGTTGCCAATGGTGTAGCCGAGCACGACTTCAGCCAAGTCGAAATCCTCGGGCAGGTTCTTGACGTCTTTGCCCACGACCACTGTCAACTCACCTTCGAAGTCGAGCATTTTTTGAGCGTCGGGGCATATCGGAATTTCCTCGTCAGGACCAGCCAAAGCATCGGCAGGTTTAGTGAAGACAACTGGGAATGGGGGAACTTGGAGCTTTGTGTGTAAGAACCATCAGCATCAGCGCCAAGGGTAGCTGGATTTCCGAAAGGTCCGCAAAGTTGGAAGTGTAGTAAAGTGTAGGAGGTACTCACCGAGGCTTCCTCGGCGTGCTTCCGGTAGTTGAGACCAATACATTGTATGATAGGCGTCTTTTCGAGTGGACAAAGCAACTATTAAGCCCAAGGTCAGCAGTTATAGCAGGAATGCTGAGACCGAGACAGGGAGCAACCCACTTTCTCAACCGTGATGACTTGCTCGGATTCTGGCTGGAAACCGCTCGTCACCGATCCGCTCAGCAGTCGTACTTTGTAAGATCCATTTATGGCTTCCACGAGATCGCCGTAACGTGCAGCGCCGTCGTGGGCAAAACGAACCAATCTCTTGAACGACATTTTTGTCAGACCTGTTGGACTTCTTTTTGTTGGATGTGGTCTCATCCTGCGCGGAGTCCCAGTATTTATTATCCAGACAGTTTTGGCGGAATCACTCCGAAGCCAGAACGGGACCTCGCTACAACGGGGCACACCGCGGTCCTCCACACGGCAATTAGCCATGACCGTCCTGCGCCGAGCCTCCACTACGAGTACATTACTCCTCATATCATGTTTCTTCGCGCAGCTGACGATAACGAAGAGAGCAAAAAGGCCAACTACAGCGTTTTGGCGCGAAGATTCGAGACATACGGAGTACACCATGTCGATTTCCAAAGTCAAGGTTGTGCGTCTTGCGCACGTCCATTATGCACATCCAGATCTCCAGCGCGGGGTGGACTTTCTCCTCGATTTTGGCATGATTGAGGCGAGCCGTGAAGGTCAAAAGGTTTACCTCCGTGGATACGGCATCCAGCCATACGTCTACCTGGCTGAACAGTCCCCGGATGACAAGAGGCATTTCCTTGGAGGCTACTGGGCCGTCGAGAGCGAAGCCGAGCTACAGAAGGCAGCGAACTTGCCAAACGCGTCCCCGATCAAGGACCTCGAGGGCCCTGGCGGTGGCAAAGTGGTTACGATCGTTGATCCCAACGGGCACGTCGTTGGCTTCGTCTGGGGTCAGCAGCTTCGAACGCACGATATGTCAACGTCGGAGCAAGTTGCTGGATCCTTGGACAAAACTGGCGGTGACTTCAACTTTGCCGCACAGAAGACCCGCAAGGGATCTTGGAGGAGGTTCAATGTTGGCCCCAGCCCGGTCCATAAGCTCGGGCACTATGGCTACATGACGAGGCCGGAAAAGCTCAAGGAGACGTTGAAGTGGTACCTGGACCTCATCAACTTGAAAATCACGGACAGCATGTACGATCCGGTAACGGGTGAGGATGAGACGTGTTTTATGCATATCGACCTTGGTCAGCAATACACCGACCACCATGTGAGTCAAACGTCCGCAAGAAAAGAAAGAAAAGGAAAGGCCGCGGCTAACGTGCAGAGACAGAGTTTTTTCCTGGGATCGACACCAAACACGACAAAGGCACACGTCCACCACTCCAGCTTCGAGGTCAACGACTATGATACTGAACTGCTTGGCCATGACCACCTGAGAAAGAAAGGTTGGACGAATTGTTGGGGTGTGGGTAGACATGTCCTGGGCAGTCAAATATTTGACTATTGGTAGGATTCTCCCTTTTTTGTCTTGTCGTCTGGATCTTCGCAGGTACTGACCGGGGTGATATCGCAGGTTTGACGGCTCCGGCAACGTGGTTGAGCATTATTCTGATGGTGACATGGTAAATGAGGACACGCCACGGGGAAGAGAGCCTGCTGCTATAGATGGAATCGCCGTCTGGGGTCCCAACGTGACGTTAGGATTTGCTACAGGCAGAATTGAAGATGCTGGAAAACCGTTTGTGGCCCCTCCAGACGTCCAGCATGCCACGCCTGCAGTCGCTTAGGCAATACTCCTGAGAAGACTATAGTAGTGATTCTCGCATGAGAGCCACCAGGACCCATCCAGCCTTTGAAATTCGCTCGGTATATGCGTTCACACGTACATACAATACAGACAGTATGCTGCATTACTTTGGCCCCGATGAACACCGGCAAAGGCCGTTCCCCACAACTTATATCCAATATCGGAAAACTTGACGCCCCGTCCCCGGACCCCGGGATTGCCTCGGCTTTGACCCACTATATTCTGCGGCCACGCGCCGAGTCAGCGGAGTAGGTGTGCGGGCGACTGACTTTACGGTCAATGACCTGTGAGAAATATCTACCGTCAGAGCGCCCGACTTGGTAGAGACGTAGTAATCTTCAATAACTCAAAGCGGACAGAAGAGGACTGCAATTGATATCATACCAGTTTGCTACTGTTCGCTTGACTCGTCCAACGTTGGGTCAACATCCCACCTCAATCAGCGGCGCAAGCGATATTCAAGGATAGTGGTACATTATCATCATCATCATCATCATGAGCAGCACTGGGGGTCCAATCCACCACGAGACGCCGGTGCTCGTTGTCGGCGCAGGTCCCGCTGGATTGATCGCAGCTCTGCAGTTGGCGACCAACGGGCAGAAATGCATGCTGGTTGAGCGAAACCGCACGACAACATCATGGCCCAAGATGGACATTACCAACGTCCGAAGCATGGAACTGCTCAAGCGTCTATCGGTTGATCAAGGACTGCGCAACGTCGGTGAGCTTTCTCCTCTGACCTTTGACCTTTTTTTTGGCAACTTTCCACAAGGGAATGTGCGTCCAACTGACGCACATACATCAATAGCGTGGATACGTTAATTGTGCTAAATGCTGACGACAACCACTTTGTGTGTGTGGGTCCCAGGTGTACCGCAACAGTATTCGTTCGATGTTCTTTTCAGCACCAGTATCGCCGAAGGAGGGAAACTGCTGGCAAAATGGGTAGGTCTCCTTTTTTCATATTCATCTTCCTAGCCCAGTATACACGTACTATGTACATATATGCTGGTGGGAGTTTGTGTGTTAACATAACATTTACCGTATCTCCAGGATCTTCCTTCACCCGACGAGTGGCGGAGACGGATTCGAGAGCAAAACGACGGGTCCATGCCACGCGAGCCCTACCAGCGATGTTCACAGGCTATATTCGAGGCTTGGCTGAAGCCGCAAATCGAGGCGAATCCGCTGATCGAAACCCACTTTGGATGGACTTTCAAGACGCTGGAGGAGTCTCCCGATGGCGTCCGCTGCTCGGTGCTGGACCTCGACGGCCAGGAACATGTCATTGACGCGAAATATGTCATCGGCTGCGACGGCGCCGGAAGCAAGGTTCGAGCAGCCATCGGTAGCCAACTGGTCGGCGGCGCAGTGTGAGTACAGTCCCCGGTTTTTCTTCCCAAGAACAATTTGATTCTTGTGTACCCTATTCTAAAAACTGACAACGAACGACCAAAAAATCAAGGCCTGGCGCGTCGTACCTCGTCCATTTCAAATCAAGAGACCTCAGCAAGCTGCATCGACAGGGTCAATTCTGGCACATCTTCTTCACCAGCGGCGCCACCATAATTTCCCAAGACGAAAATGACACGTGGACCATCCATGTTCCAGTGCCAATCGGGACCGACGCCAAAACATTGGACCCAAAAGAGGCCATATTCACGGGCCTTGGTGGCGAGCTTGGCCGTCTGGAGATTGAGGTTGACGAGATCCTGGTGACCAGCGTTTGGCGGCCCAACATCTTCCTGGCAAATAAATACACCTCCGACCACGGCCGCATTTTCATCTCGGGCGACGCGGCGCACCAGAACATTCCTACCGGGGGCTACGGGATGAACACGGCCGTGGGCGACAGCTTCGATATTGGCTGGAAGGTCGCCGCCGTCCTCGCCGGCTACGGCGGCGAGCACCTCTTGAGGTCCTACGAACCCGAGCGCCGTCCCGTGGCGGCGCGAAACATCGAGCGTTCCGGCGTGCACATGGGGCTCCACCAGGAGATCCAGACCTGGTCCTCGCAGGCGCCCGGCGTCATCACGTCGCAGACGCCCGAGGGCGAGGCTCTGCGGAGCAAGGTCGCCGCGAAGTACGAGGCCCAGGACGGAGAGAACAAGGACCTCGGACTCGAGCTCGGCTACCGCTACACGACGTCGCCCGTCGTCGTCGGTGAAGATGCCAGGGATGAGCCCACCTGGAATTTCAGACACTACGTCCCCTCTACTTTCCCCGGTGTGCGCGCGCCACACGTTTTCTTGAAGGACGGCGAGACCAGCATCTTTGACCTCTTCGGTACAGGCCCAGAGTACACCCTGGTCGACTTCACCGCCGGCGGATCGTACGGCTCTGTTTTCGCCGCCGCTGCAGCCGAGGCCCATGTGCCTTTGAAGGTGGTGCGTCTCCCCGACGAAGCCCACGTGAGGAGGATTTGGGAAAGGGATGCGGTGCTTGTGCGGCCCGACGACCACGTCGCCTGGCGCGCCGCAGAAGGCGATGGCGTGGCCGCGGATCCGGAACTGGCAAAGGAAGTGCTTGCCGTTGCTGTCGGCCAGAAGCAGAGTGCTTCGTCGCTACGGCTGAAAGACGCAACGGCGGCCGAGGTCGCATACGCAAAGCCCAGCCACTTGAATGGCGAGGCGTTTACGGGCACCACAGGCGTCCAGAAACACGAAGAGGTTCAGAGTTTGGCTGCTTTCCAGCAATAGTTGAGCAACAAATACATTTCGTTGTCAATAGTTTCTTTTTCATGCGAGCCGACGTAAGAATACGATTTGATTTCTATATGCGAAACTGTGCGTAGATTTCTATATGCGAAACTGTGCGTAGTTACAGTAAATGCCGTTGTTCACCACATCCCTCATGCTGCTCGGTCATCGCCCCCCAGCTTGTGTGTTGTTGATGATACCTCACTTGTGCATCGGAATAACTCAAATCCACACGGGGTACATCCTGCAAAACATGAGTTCCCCCTGTGACCGGTCGTCTTGGAGGTGGAGTGATGCACGGCTCCAGGTTTTGACAGCCCAGGCGTGGCGCAGTGCCGAACACCGTGCCCACATAATAATACCCCGTGCAGTCTAGTTTCAAAGCCCCCTCTCCACTCAGAGGACCGCGGCAGAACGGTGTTCCCCAAGGTCCCCAAGGCATCATGCGGTGCCCCGAAGCCGGGGGTGGGGCACACTCCTTCACCTGAGGAGCAAGGTAGCCGGCACATCAACCGTATTGGATGGGCAAACGAAGGGGGAAGCGGCACATCACTCAAGGATTCTAGGACACCATGGGTCGGCAGATATATCACCAGGTCCGGGTGTAGGTGCCATTGCTGTTTTACAGCCAAATATTCTTCCCACCCCATCGAATCATTGATGAGACCAATATCGGGAGATCAGTGATCATGGCAGCCAAGAATTTGAGTGTCACCGTCATCGGAGCAGGTATTGGAGGTTTGGTCTGCGCAATTGCGTGTAGACAAGGAGGGCTGGGCGTGCAGATTCTCGAACAAGCACCAGCGATACTGCCGGTACGTCCAAGACGCGTCTGATCTGCTTCTGGGGAGGAAGAATGCTCACGATGGCGCCTCTCGTCGTACAGATCGGAGCCGGTATCCAAATACCGCCAAACGCCAGCAGGGTCCTCCAGGCCTTGGGTATTCTGCCAAAGACCGCTGCCGTTGCTAATAACGTCAAGAGTCTGCAAATGAGGCGATATAAAGATGGGAAACTACTCGTTGACAGACCTATCCGTTATCCAACCCCGTGGCTGTAAGACTCCCCCTGGTTTGACTCCATGGTGTGCTTCTCGTTCTAATAGATGGTCAGAGTGATTCACAGAGCCGATTACCACCAAGTCCTCATGGACGCGGCCAGGGATCTGGGGGTGGAAATTAGGCTGGATGCCAAAGTGCACCACGTCGACTTCGAAACCGGCCAGGCGCACCTGGAGAAAGGTGAGGTGATTGAGAGTGATGTTATCATTGGAGCCGACGGTATGTGGTGGGAAGCCTCAACTCCGATCTTTACGACTGATTCCCGTAGGTCTATGGTCGAGTACTCGCGGCGCCATGCTCGGCCACCAGTCGGAGCCTTTCGAGACGGGTGACCTCGCTTATCGGGCGACATTTAGTCGTGACCAGCTCCAAGATCTGGATGACCCGCGAATAACGGCTTTGCTCCAGGTCGAGGGTGTCACGCTGTGGATGGGCCCAGAGAAACACTGCGTCTTCTATCCGGTACAGAACGGGAAACAACTCAACATGGTGCTCCTCAGGCCTGATAATCTGGCGACCGGCGTACGAACTGAGCAGGGAGATATTGGGGAGATGAGGAAGACCTTCGAAGATTGGGACCCTGTGTGAGTACCATATGGTCCTGCTACGGCGAAGTTCCAACTCGCCAAACCAAATCAGCCTGCTGACCGTGCAAAGACTTTCGAAGATCATCAGTTGCGTGCCTTCGGTGTTGAAGTGGAAACTGATGCACCACGACGAGCTCAAGCAATGGGTCAAGGTACGTTCTGCGCCGGCCTCTCACCCTTCTCCTGATAGCTTGGGAATCTCGGTATGCTGATGCCCGACGCAGGGCAGTGTCGCACTCCTGGGAGACGCCTGCCATCCCACCTTGCCGTACCAAGCCCAAGGAGCCGCCATGGCCGTTGAGGATGGAGCTATCATCGGTCAACTGCTGACTCAGTTGAACGCCTTCCTGTCGACGCAGCAGCTGACTCCCGCTGACCGTGCCGCACGCGTGAATGATGTTCTGAAGCTGTACGAGTCTGCCCAGAAGGAGCGAACCACCACAAACGTCAGAGGAGCCATCAACAACAGGCATTTCTACCACCTGCCCGACGGGACCGAGCAGAAGGAGCGTGATGAAATGCTGGCAAGGCACACGTGGACAAACGAGTCATCAAAGTATCTATGGTGTGATACAGCCTACAACCATCAATTGCTGCTGTCTGATGTGCTCGAGAATGCGCGCAAGGCGTTTGAGTCATGGAAGAGAGACCAAGGGCCCGGCAGCAACACGGCGAGGCTCTGATGGGTGGATTCTCCCAAAGTATGAAGACGGGTCGGCGAGAAGAGAGAGTATAAGGGGGAGGACATGTTCATTGTATTAGCGGTTCTAAATATCGACATATCACGACTAGAGACGAAGGTGCACGCACATACTGATGCGCGCGCCTTCAGGGCAGTGCTCGAATAGGACTAGTGCCACAAGGGCACAGCCTTGTCACGTGGCATGGGAAGATCTACTGTGACATAATACAGCAGTTTACGTGCCAAGATATGTAAAGACACTCGTCAAGACGTATCGTCTCGATACGGCGGGCACGTGATGGTATCTGGTCGAGCGCTCCGGTACGGGCCCGCACGCTCTCGAACCCTACGGGCATTACCTACGTACATTCTGATAGCCCCGGAGCCCCCCTTGTAGAAATGCTATCCTTTTCAACAATAACACCTGACACGGACATGTTCTAGGAGGGAAGCTTAGAGTCCTTAACCTAACCGCACCTTTGTTACTATCTTTGACCAGAACAGCACCCTTCATCCGGATTATAGATCCGATCGTATGGAGAAGCGTCGTTTTCATCATCTCGGCGTCACCTTGACGTATGCTTCGAATGGCCTTGAGCAGCGCCAAATCATGCTACTTCAACCGCTCCAATTGCTCGCACCTTACGAAAGTATGACACGGTAAGATATATTTGGTTCCTGGTTTGATATATCAATTCTCCCCATGCCACCCAAATTACCCTTGCGAAGCATCACACCATCTTGTCTTCAACCATCTCCACTTGGAAGTGCTATCAGTATCTTCGCGACGCCTGTCCGCAAGCCTACATTGAGCAGACCGGCCCGTGTAGAAGGACCTGTCACGGCAGCTCCATGCCGACTCCTTATTCTCAACAACCACTTCAGCACCAGCAGTGCCGCCATGTCTCAGAACAACAACAACAACAATGCCGACTTCAAGCTTGAGAAGCTCTTCGACGTCAAGGGCAAAGTGGCACTCATCACGGGAGGTGGCTCGGGTAAGTTTGTTCAAAGTCGACATGGCAGAAAGGGTTTTGTCGACATGACGAAACCACGGTCCCCCGGAAAAAGATGTCGAATGCTAACGGAACCCGATATCCACACGTAGGCATCGGACTGATGGCCACTCAAGCGCTGGCCACGAACGGCGCCAAAGTCTACATCGTTGGCCGGACGGAAGAGAAGCTCCAGCGCGTGGCCGACGTGTACGGCAAAGACATCCCCGGCGAGATCATCCCACTGACGGCCGACGTGTCCAAGAAGGACGAGATCAAGCGGCTCGTGTCGGAGGTCTCGTCGCGCGAAAAGTTCCTCTCCATCCTGTTCAACAACGCCGGCATCTCGCTCAACACGCAGCAGACGGAGGCGAAGTCGGCCGAGGAAATGTCGGCGAACCTCTTCGACGACCCCGACGAGACGTTCGAGATGTGGACCGACACGTACCGCACCAACGTGCCGCAGCAGTTCTTCATGACGACGGCGTTCCTGCCGCTGCTCAACGCCGCGCACCGGCACCACGACAACTTCTCCGGCGTCGTCATCAACAACTCGAGCATCTCCGGCATCGTCAAGACCAGCCAGCACCACTACGCCTACAACGCGAGCAAGGCGGCATCGATCCATTTGACGACCATGCTGGCCAACGAGATTGTCCAGAACGGCCTCAGGGTGCGCGTCAACAGCGTCGCCCCGGGCGTGTTCCCCAGCGAGATGACGGCCGGCGAGAGCGACGAGAAGCAGAAGTCCCACATCCCCAGGGAGAAGTACGAGAGCAAGGTCCCCGCCGCGAGGCCCGGTGAGGACAGGGACATGGCGAACGCCATTCTGTTCCTCGCCACAAACCAGTACCTGAACGGCCAGACCGTTCCAGTCGACGGGGGATATATCCTCAGCGCTGGAAGTGGGCCGTAGAGGACTGGATAACACAATCTATCATCAGGATCTCAAAACTCTGAGAATCATATCATGTTGACGAGAATAACGAAGCCGAAGGCCTAGGAACTGGTTACAGAGGGCTGCACGAGTGAGAGTCGGCGCGAGCTCAGGGAGTGCCGAGGGTAGGCACTGGTCCCGATGGGGTTGACCCAGCTCGAGTGCGTGACAATATCATATATTCGGTGGTTGAGATCGATAGCATACATGCATGTACAAGTACATTTTGTAGAGAATTACTAGAAGTGCGTGTTCACCACAACTCGCCTTGAGTACCCCGTACACGTATGCACGCGCACGTGCACTTCACTGACTTCAACGTCAGCCTCGTAGCCTTGGGGTGTACCAGATAGATACCTGTAGGTAGGTAGGTAGGTTGGTGAGTGAATCCAAACTTAGAGACACGGCGTGTGTCCTACTGAGTCAGGACCCTTCATGTTCTTATCCACCAGTATCAGCATGTAGAATCGTTATCCTCAAGGTACCTGATTAATTGACGAGGCCTAATTTTTGAGTTACACCTCAGCTGTGTTCTTTTCACTCTCGACACGATGGGAATGCTCGCCTGGGTTCCCATCGGCGTCCGCATCGACAATCTTTTTTGCCTCCTTTGCCGCCTTGGCCTCTGCTTTTTCTTTCTCAGCCGCCTTTTTCAGACTGATCCAAGGCATGAAAACGCAGCCGACGATGGTCATGGCGGTGAGGGCGGTGCAGACGTAAAACGCGCTCCGGAGTGCCTGGTTGTAAATCACGAGGACTGAATCGAGGTATTCCGGGGCGACGACGTGCCTCAAGTCCGTGGCGCCGGTGTGGGTGACGAGGTCGGCGTTGATCCCTGGAACTCCCTTCAGGCCAGTTGAGAGCTTGTTGTCAAAGACATTGTTGGAGACGCTGACGAAGATGGCGCCGCCCAGTGTCTGCATGAAGAACATTATGCTCACGCCTGTCGACACGTCCTTGCGAGACAGGACCGTCTGTGCTGCCACGCTGGGCTGTTGCATGCCGAAACCCAGCCCCAGACCCCAGAGCACCTGGTACCCGATCCATTTGGGATGCGTGGTCGACGTGGTGAAGGTGGAGATGAGTCCGGCGCCGACGGTCGCCATGATGCACGAGACGTACATGAACTGCGTGAAGTAGCCGAACTTGCGGGTCGAGAAGCCCGAGATCATGGATGCAACGGCAATGGCCAGAACGGCGGGGATGTTCATGATGCCCGAGTGGACGGCCGAGGCGCCCTTGATGGCCTGGAACCATATCGGGAGGAAGTAGACCAGTGACATCATCTGTGCACCACTGAAGAAGGAATAGCACGCTCCGGCGACGACGGCACGGTGCCTCATCAGGCGCGGGGGGATTGTTGCAAGCTCCTTTCGCCAGTGTTGAATGTAGATGAAGATGCAGGAGAGGATGCCGAAGAGAATCAAGAGGACGATGATGCGGGCGTTCGACCACGAGTATGTCGTCCCACCCCACTGCAGAGCAAGGACAAGGCAGATGATGGCAGGGAGGATGAACAATGTGCCCAGGGGGTCGAGCTGGTGAATCTGTTCCTTCAATGGGGCTTTTGTCGAGTTGTTTCGAACTTTGAGCGTCAATGCGAGGATGGCCAGCGTCACTCCACCGAGAGGCAGGTTGATGTAGAAGCACCATCGCCAGGAGACCTTGTCGGTAAACACGCCGCCCAGGAGAGGGCCTGCGACGGAGGCAAGGGCAAACACGCTTCCAAACATTCCAGTGTAGGCAGGCCTTTTCTGCAAGGGAACGAGGTAGACCACAATGACAATCGCACCGGACATGATCCCCGCGGAACCCATGCCTGCAATGGCTCGTCCAATGATGAGGGCGGTTGAGTTCGGAGCGACACCGCATACCAGGGAGCCTAGTTCAAAGATGCCAATGCTGGACATGTAGACCCATTTCGGATTGTAGAATGTGTATATGCGGCCCATGATGAGCATCAGAGGGGCCATCGTTAGGAGGTAGGCCGACGCATACCAGCCGACATCGCCAAGGGAATTGAAGTGATTCGTTATCACGGGTACGGCGGTGGCAAGGATGGTGCGGTCCTGTCATAGAGCATTGACTGGTTAGGAACGAGTTCAAATGAGACCGAACGTTAAGGGGTAGACAGTACCAGTGCGCCGCAGAATGATGTTAGCATCATTGCAAAGATTGTCACGAGGACTCTTGATTTAGGAGGGTATTCATCTTCATCTGCAGACGACTCATCGGGTTTCCGAGACGTCTCCTGGACATCTTGACGGTGATTTTCAGGTTCTGTGGAGTTTCCGGCGGAAGCCTCTGAGATGGACATTGTGGCTGAGGTTGGGCCGAAATTAGGCTGTCGTCTTCGGTGGTTCGCTAGCAGCCAGCTGGAGTAATTCAGGTGTAGGAAGATCACCTTCGACGATCGGATTCATGGCGAAAACACTGGGATTGCCGCCTACCTTTATAGACGTACCTTTTATCGATATAATGCGCATGGTATCCTGACATTTCAAACGAGTGGTGCCTTCGGTCGGGATGGCGCCGAAAAAACATCAGGACCATAAGGAGATGGTATTGGAGCCTTGACTATCGACGACTGTGTCGAGGACCGTACAGCGTATCCGATGCTCAAAGAAGCGGCCGCTGCTTTTCGGAGGTCAAAGATGCTTCGGGGCCGAAGACGCGGACAGGCCAAAACTGCCGGCCTTGTCTGACAGGGAAACGGCTGTTTTAATATGGCAGGATTTCGTCTGACAGAACGGATTTTGTTAGATCCAATTCAGGAAAAGTCCGTTACTCGTACTCGTATTGACATCTTCTAACCTCGACAAGAATATATGAGGATGCCGTCTACTCGTATATGCTGATGAGTACTAGTAGGGCCACTCCGTCATAATTGGACTATGTCCTGCTTGCCGGCTCACTTTGTCCGTTTCAATGAGACTTCCTGCACACACCACACGATGGGTCTGTTTTTCCGGCTCGGACACGGTTCCGCTGTGACATCAGGTGTTGATGATGACGTTCGACTTGGAGCAAAATGTTATCAGAATGAGCAATTCGACTTTGTTGCCCATGCTGTTTTGCCTCTATAAATGTTCTCTGCATTGACACTATTTTCCAGCCTACATTAACCATCCCTCTCCAAGCTCATACTAATCACAAGCGGCTTCCCAAAATGTCTCAGTACAAGCCAGGCTTCAAACCTCCAGTCTCGCATCAAGACCCCCCGGGCAGGGAGGGTGACTTGCCAGTCGAAGCGATTCATGATAAGCTCCCGACTCCCGATGGCAAATGGCAACCCTACAGGGCCGCCGGAAAGCTGGAGGGGAAGAAGGCGGTGATCACTGGCGGCGACAGCGGCATCGGTCGTGCAATTGCCATACTCTACGCAATGGAAGGCGCAGACAGTCTGATCGCCTATCTGCCTGAAGAAGAGGAGGATGCTCAAGAGACGAAACGTGCGGTGGAAAAACACGGCAGGAAATGCATTCTGTTGAGCGGCGATCTCAGAAAGGAAGAGAATTGTAAAAAGGTCATCGATACTGCCCTGAAAGAGCTGGGTCAAATCAACATCTTAGTAAGTGCATGCCACTATGGCAAGATTCCCCTTGTAGTAACAAATTGGGTAGGTCAACAATGCTGCCTATCAAATGATGCAGCAGGACATCACCGATATACCGACTGAACAGTGGATCAAGACATTCGACACCAACATTCACCCGATGTTCTATCTTTCCAAGGCCGCAATTCCCCATATGAAGAGAGGCGACACGGTGATCAACTGCGCCTCAATCAATGCGTACATTGGCAGGCCGGATCTTCTGGACTACACTTCAACCAAAGGAGGTGAGTTGATTCAATCATCCGTGTCCTGCAGCCCGACTAACAACGCTGCAGCCATTGTGTCATTCACTCGAGGTCTCGCCAACCAGCAAGTGGATAAAGGCATTCGTGTCAACGCTGTATGCCCGGGCCCGGTTTGGACGCCGTTGATCCCCTCCACGATGACCAAGGAGGCACAAGAGCAATTCACCTCAAAACTGGGTCGTCCTGCACAGCCTGCGGAGATTGCTACCAACTTTGTCTTCTTGGCCAGTGCAGACAGCAGTATGATGAGCGGCCAGAGTCTGCATCCCAACGGCGGTGTCGTGGTCAACAGCTAGATTAGGTATAAATTGTAAATTAGGAAGCTTTTTTCCAACCGAGCATCAGTTGTGCAGATGGATAATTGTTTATCGGCGCCGCATCGGGTTAAGCACGAAGCCAATTTACTCAATCCGGTTGTCATCCTTGTGCTAATCTATATGGTGCGTAGTATCATACATTCTCTTTTTCTTGATTCTGTTCTGCTTCCCAAGGTTGGTCCCCAGAGCATATCTCCAAGCCCCCATGTCCCCTTTGACTATCCGAATACGAGCAGCGGCAAAGCGCCGTATGAATGTCTCGATAAGGCTAGAGCGATGCCAAGACCATTCGTCGCTGCCTGAATCTGCACGGGCAACTGGAGAAGATGGACAAACTCACTTGCCATATCTTGATGTCACCACATTGTTCTCAACCAAGGTAAGCTGGGCCTCGCCTGGATAGACAAATCCCAGAAATCCCCTTTCTACCGTCGGTCAGGTGCAGTCGGATTCGCTCTGTGATAGAAGTGAAGTGAATTTGCGTCCAGATTAGCGGCTGGAGAACCACACGTCGAGTCGATCCACCCCATTGCTGGCCGTGGAGGTGGCTGTGGCGGACGACAGCATCTTCGACCATGGAGTCGGGAGATCAGGTGTTGGCAACGACCGAAAAGCCTCCCCTCGAACGGCCGGCCAAGGCGTTCTCTTGTATTCGCTGCTTCGAGCGCAAGGTGAAATGCGACAAGCAGCATCCCTGTTCGAATTGCTCTAAATCACAGGTCGAATGCACCTTCCGAGTACCACCAGCGCCTCGTCGTCGAAAGAAGAGACTCCAGGAGGATGTCTTACTAGAGCGCTTGAGAAAATGCGAACTATTGCTCAAAGCCAAGGGCCTCAGCCTCGATGATGGACCGGGTGAACACAATCCCTCCAGCCTCTCATCGCCCACAGATCCAGCATCAACTGGGGAGCCAGATTTTGGTGGATTGCCGTATAATCGGTCTGTGCTATTTCCTGAGCTCCCAGGGAAAAGGAGTGGGCAGCTCTTGATGGAAGGTTCCAAATCCCGTTTCGTCGAAAACAATCTTTGGGCTAGTGTGTCGGGCGAATTTCAACCCAACGACGCCCTCACAGAGGAATACTCCGATGAAGGCGATTACGGCTCCCCCGAGGGAGAAGGCGCAGAATTTGTATTGGGTCATACGCCGGGCTCCAACAGGGTGTCACAACTACATCCGCCACCAGATCATATCATGCTTCTGTGGCAGTCCTATTTAGACAGCTTCAATCCTCTGACGAAGCTTGTACATCAACCCACACTCGAAAAAAGCATCATAGAAGCTTCTGCCGACCTGGACAACGTGCCACGGAGTCTCGAAGCCCTGATGTTTTCAGTGTACAGCGCTGCTGTCTACACTATGGAAGACGATGAATGTATCATGAAGTTTGGCGAGGAACGCAAAGTCCTGCTTTCGAGGTACCGATATGCCTCCCGGAAAGCTCTTTCCAGAGCCAAGTTCATGGCGACCTCGGATCTCCAAGTCCTTGCGGCATTTGTGATTTACATGCTGACTATGCGAGAAGTATATGATTCCAGAACTGTATGGGCCTTAGCTGGTGTGGCAAGTAGGATCGCCCAAGGCATGGGCCTACACCGTGACGGTACCACCCTTGGAACTCCACCGTTTGAGACTGAAATGCGTCGGCGCATCTGGTGGCAAGTCACTACTCTGGATTTCAGATCTGGAGAACTCAGCGGGTCTGGACGTTTCAGCGATTTCGACACGTGGGATACGAAACCTCCAACCAATGTCAACGACGTTGATATCTGGCCTGGCATGACAGAGCCACCAGTTCCAAGCCCAAGACCTACCGACATGATCGCCTGTCTTCTCCGAACCGAATTCGGCACATTCTGGAAACAAAAGATTACTGCGAAATCCAAGATTACTCTGGAGAATCTGAGGCTTGATGGACCATTCAATTCGACTCTGGAAGAGCGCGATGCCAATATCAACGAGCTGGAAAGCATTCTCGAGGAAAAATACCTGAAATATTGTGATCCTTCGATTCCAGTACAGTTTATGTGCATCTTGATGGGCAGAGGCGCCGTCACGAGTATGAGACTGATGGCGCACCACCCAAGGAAATATGCCAATCCTGCAGACGTACCAGAATCAGAAAGGAAATACTTGTGGCAACTCAGCTTGAAACTCCTCGAGGGCTACAACTTGGCGCATTCCACCAAATATCTGAGGAAGTTTATGTGGCACACGAGGAACTTCTTTGGATGGCAGGCCTTGATCTACATTCTGAACGAACTAAAGACAGAAACCATAGGCGAAAAGGCCGACCATGCCTGGAACGTCGTAGACGAGGTATTCTTCCACCAGAGAAACTTTGTCACCGACTACAAACGACCTCTGCACGCTGCGGCAGGCAGCTTGTTGTTAAAAGCGTACAGTGCGCGCGAGGCCGCATTGCGCGAGAAGACGAACGGGCTCTTACCCAGGACGACACCCGAGTACATTACTATTTTACGGGACCAACGCAAGGCCAATCCCCCGACTGCGCAAATGTCGACTGCCCAACCGCAGATGACGTCTACTTCGACAAGTCCGTCGGTCTTTACTTCGCAAACCCCTTCTGATGCATGGCAAGGAGGGAGTTCGGCAATGTATCAGTCACAGCAACCCCCGCAAGCGGACAGGTACAGCGCTCCGAGAAAAGGCCAGTTGCCCTTGCCGAACTTTATACCTCCCCAAGTACCTGCGTCGTTTCAAACGCAGCATATCCGACCGGAACAAGTCATGTACGCTTCCGATCCGTCCCTGGCCAACGAACTCGCACTCGCAGATATGCCGATGGATTGGGCGTCGTGGGATCTGATGATGCAGGATTCCTCCTGGGATCAACCGGGTGGACAATAGCCATGGGAAGGAAGATTCTGGTGGATCAAGCAAGGGTAAGGGGGAAAGGAGGGGGTGGGTCACCAAGGAGCCGACGATGGAAAGAAGAGAGACGTCTTCACCCAACTCACCACTGTTATCACTACCTGTGTGTAGTGCCTATTTTATCCTGTTTTTCGGCCAGGTGGCCTGGCCTGAAACTTGTTTGACAAGCCATCTTACTCGAAGCTACAATGTATGTGTATGTATATGTGTATATACCACCTAGCTCTACTCCTTCGCATCGTCACAAAGTCTGGTGAAGGATTTTGGGAGTTTCTTGTCCTTTGAAAGGATTGTGTAGAACTGCAATGGAACAGCGACCAAGGCAAGTCAAGAACACCATTTCGACTGAGGCACGATACGAGATAGCGTTTCCACGCACGGCACTGAGATGACGTACGAGAAAACAGACACGAATGAAATAAAAGAGGATTTGAAAAAAACAAATACAACCGAGAAGGTTTTTTTCTAACAAGAATCTTGAAACCCTGTTTATCGGAGATGATCTTTGAAGACATGACTAGTTAGACTGCCTTCCTTGATCCGTGATATTGTACACAGCAACGAAAGCGTCAACGCGCCACTGCTCAAACTTGGTTCATCAACGCATCGCCCTCCTCCGTCGCCACCGAGTCGGTAGTATAGTTTTGACCTCCCACAGAACAGGAAAGGCAGACAGGGCAAGCCAAGTCTTACCATCATCGTCACCATCATCATCATCATCAGCTACCTATCTATCGATCTACACCGACAAGTACTCCATCAAACGCCTCCCTCCTCCGAGGTGGTCGCGATGGCGCTCAACGACCTCCGGCAAGGACAAGTACACGTACTAGGTGTACTCGACGTTCAAGCGATCCAGACGTTTCATGACGGCATCGATGACGGCGCCTTCGCGCTCGACCATGGCCATGACGTCTGCGATTTTCTCCTTTTGCAGTCGACTCGATACGCCGAACGTCGAAGACGTGCTGCTGCCCGCACCTGCGCCAGAAGCCGAAGTACCTGACCTGATGGTCGATACGGACGCAGACATTGGAGGCTGTTGCGAGGGTTCTGAAGAAGCTGCTCCTGCTTGAGCCTGTTCGACGATGACGCGCTTGCCTTCTTCCAGGAGCTCGCGAGAGAATTGTTTGACCTGCCAAACGGAGAAAATGATTAGTTTCCGAGACAAAAGTTCAAAAGGGAACTATCCAAAAAGGCAAAAGGAAAAAGGGGCGCGCGCTGGCGAGTGTGGAAAGACGTACCATGTCAAATCTCTTGTCCAGTCTATCGCCTGCTTGCTCCTCATCACCATCCTCGCGGACACCGACGCCGACGTTACGACTCAGCGCATCAATCTCCTCGATCCACGTTTTCTCCTTGGAGCTCAGTTCCCGCTTGGCGGAACCGACTCGTCCCACCTTCCTTCTCAATGCCTCATACCGTGCAAGCAATTTTGCCTGCCGATTCTGGGCATCCTGAATTCTGGTGGTGACAGATTTCTTCGCCGTAACGGTGCCGTCCTCGTCGACCTCTTCGCTTGATCGGAGGTGCTGCAATCGCTGAGCCAGCTCGCTCATCTGTTGCACTTGGCTCAGCAGCTCTTCGCGCAACCGCTCGCAGCGACGAAAGAGTTCGGCGGCCGCCTTCTCAAGTTCGACGGACTGAGCACTGACGGTACGATGCGTGACCGTCATGATCTCCAGCATTGCCGGACTGAGACGCATAGGCTTGTCCATGACAGCACGTTTCAGCGTAGGAGGGAGCCGCTGCTTCATTTGTTCTATGGGATAGAGATGGTTGGCATAAAAGATCTTTGCGGGAACATATGGCGATCTTGTAGGAAGTGTTTCGACATCATTCTCCTCGGAGGGCGATATCCTTGCGAGCTGCCGACTGGATGAGGTCGTCGTGAGCTCCGGAGAAGACAATGCCAAGGTGGATGCCCGCAGGTGAGCTTGATCGAAGAACACAGAGTAGGCTGAAGAAGTGGTTGCAGTCAGAAGGAGGTATCCCAAAGACATATCGTCCACTATCGTAGGTGCCGACAGTGTTTCCGTCGCGTCGTTCGTACTGATCACCTTGTCAGTGATGCAAACTTGGGTTTCGCAGGCTGTCTCGAGTCTAGTCCTCATTCCAGGGTCGACATTCCCAGTTCCTGTCATCTCTGCAGCCAGGTGGGTTGTCCAGTCGTTCAAGGACAGAGAATAGATGTGCTTGGATGTTGTCAGGAACAGGCTGTAGCTGCTGACAATATCTCCGGTAAGCATTGGCCAGTTCGATGCAGAGTCGGCCTCGGCGTCGAGCGCAAAAGTATCAATCAATGTCAATTCCTTTGTGTCGGGGGTTGGCACACCAAAGGTACTTTTGCCCTTCTTAGGGAGCCACTGCCCAGACACTCCGTCGAGATCAATGGCAAACCACACCTCATTATCTGTGGTTGCTACACAGACAGTGGTGAAGGGAACGCCATGGGATGCGAATTGGTCAAAATCATCATCGTCTTCACCAGACATGAGATCACCTTCATCAATGGTCGCTGGGCAGACGTAGATGTCGGAGATTTCAATGTCCGACGCGTCGTCTTCGGGCTGTATGGCAAACGGACCTTGAAGTCGAGGAATCGCACTTGGATTTTGTGGCCGTAGGCGTACCTCAAACTCACCCAAGCTATCCGTGGAATCGAGAAGCAGCGGCTCTTCGCTGTCAATCTCTTGCACCCACTCGTACTGTTGATCGGCAGCTCGTCGTTCATCCATGTCGGCATGCTCACCAGCGATGGAGGCCATGCGAGAAACGGCATTGGTTGAGAGAGAGGGAATAGTGGTGGACGTTGGCTTCCACTTGGTAGGTAACAAAGGACACAGGGCGTATATATCACCATTCCTCATTGCCGTCCAAAGAGTCATGCTTGCCCACGCATCCTCGTCATCCTTGCCTCGGCCACCAAAGCAAGCCGCCGACACCTCCATGTCGAAATCATCAACAGAGAACCCCTTGGTCTTACCAAATCCCGAGGGCTCGAAGTCTTGATCGCAAGACACTCCATCGGCCAGCTTCCGGAGATCAATTGCTAGAGCCGGGCGTTCGAATGACCATTTGTTCGACCTATCAAGTTCCCATACTCTTACAGCTGCTTCTGCAGTTACGGTCACAATGCAGTCCGTGCTTGCGGTCGAAGACGCGAGGGGATGCCAGAGCACTGATGCTAAAGGAGATTCTGGGATGACATGGATTGTTGGGCCCAGCTGAAATGTCTTCAGCTTGATAGGGGATCGGTCCTGGTCTCGAAGTCTAGAAGAAGGCGGTAACGCTGCGATATGAACGGTATGTTCGGTAGCTATAGCGAGAAAGATGCCTGAGGGAGAGGTGACAATCTGTCGAATCTGGTAATAAATAGACACATCGAGAGTCTGACATAGTTAGTCGTAGGGCAAGCACACCATTTCATTGACATACCCGATAAACCTGCTCTGTAGCAGATTCTACTGATCGCGATAGACCAAACCGACTATGCCCAGAGTGAGCGTTTTCTTCCCATTCATCTTTGATTAGTGACAGGTCTGCCCATCTTATTTTGTTGCCCACGACCGTGAATATCTCTGTGCCACGGCTGGCGACCAGCCTTCTGGGACCTTGGTATTCTGTGGAAGCAGGTGAACCAAGATAGGAGGACCGTTTTGAGGGTGAAGCCGGCGATTGAGGTGCTGGGTCTGAGAATACCTTTGCACCGGCCGATGGGCGAGACAGCCAGGGAGGAGTGTGACCGATGACTTTCGGCATCTTAGAGTCGCCGTATGATTTATCGACGGATCGAGGAAGACATGGGCGGAGAGGGCCTCAAGGAAAGACAGTACAGTGTAGTCGTGGTAAAAAGTTGTAGTTCAATCGTGCAGCGTCCTTTTGGTCTTTTCGCGTTAGAGAGACGCGCCGCAACTCATCATTTCTGCCACTTCCACCCGTCGCCGCATTTCCATTCCTCCACAAGCAAAATCACATCGAATATCAACGCAATATGGCTGCTTTGACGCGCTCAACCGTTGAACGGCTAGACAGGCCTAGTACTTATTATTCTGGAAGGGTTCGTAGTGCTATCTGTCCTGTCTGCCACGATCCCGAGCTTACAATGTGTGCAGAAGAAGCGCAAGTATGGCAGAGACCAGCCAGACGACAGAGACGGCGCAGGCAAACAGCCGGAAGAGGACGACCTGCTCAAAGACGCGACCACTCTATATGTTGGCAATCTGTGCGTATATTGGCCCTTGTGAGCGGCTGCGAACTAATGGCTCGATCAGGTCATTCTACACGACCGAAGAACAGATCCACGAGCTCTTCTCAAAGTACGTAACAGTCTGCCTTCCAACGTTTCATTGCTGACAATTTCCAGATGCGGTGAGATCAAGCGTCTGATCATGGGCCTCGATCGGTACCAAAAAACGCCCTGCGGCTTCTGCTTCGTCGAGTACTATACGCATCAAGACGCTCTTGACTGCATGAAATACATTGGTGGGACCAAACTAGACGAACGAGTCATTCGGACCGATCTGGATGCGGGTTTCGAAGATGGAAGACAATTTGGTCGCGGCAAATCTGGTGGACAGGTTCGTGACGAATATCGCGACGAATTCGATCCTGGACGAGGAGGTTACGGCAGAGCCATTGACGCCGAACGAAGGAAAGAAGAGGAAGAATATGGCAGTGGACGATAAAACATTAGGGTCTAACTCTCTCGCTATACAAGCCGAACCACAGGATGCGATCTATTACAGCATACCGGCCTCTGGTATTGTTCACGCCGACCCGGTTACAGGACTTCTTCCGACTGCATCCATGACTTGTTTCAACCACCAAACATGTATTCGAATATCGGCAGTCAGTTCCGGATGGAAACTCGTCCCAAAGACGTTGCCTTGCTTGACTGCAATGATATCGCCGACCTCTTCTCCAGCATTTACTTCAGCCCCAACGGCCGTTGCCTTCTTAAGCCGACCTGGAAGCACACCCATAACATCAACGTGCGAGCTCATTGCTTGCCGTGCTTGTTTGTCTCTGGCAGATTTGGACGGGGCAACTACGGTTTGAGCCACTTGCTGTTCTCCTTTCTGAACACCTTCGACATTAGGCAAGATCTTTTCGACAACCGGCGCTCGGATGAAGATTCCTGGAAACGGTTCATTTGACACTGGTTCCTCCGACTTCAAGAATGGGAGGTTCAGGTCGGCCTGAAAACTTTCGACCTGTCTCCCAAAATGGTTGCGGTTCACCCGAACATCTAGGCCACCGATGAGCTCCTGGCCTCCTTTCTTGGTGGCATTTGCTGCCTCAGATAGCAGAATAAGCCCGGCACATGTTCCCCAGGTTGGCTTCCGATCAACTCTGGACCATGATTAGCCTAGTATCCACGGACGATGGGTAAGGATATAGCATACTTGACAAAGTCTCTTAAAGGCTCCAGCAGCCCGGACTCCGCTGCCACTAGGGAAATGGTTGTGCTCTCGCCACCAGGGATAATCAATGCATCGCAACGGGAAAGCTGCTCAACGTTCCTTACTTCCGTGAAGTCGAAGGAGGCCGTGAGACCTTGGCTGTGTAAATGACTTGCAGCTCGTTTGAGCAGTATCAGATGCTCGAGAAAGGCGCCCTGTAAAGCCAGGACACCGACGGTAAGTGTCATCGGCATAACATGTGTTTGGGATGCTTATCGATGGGATGACGGTATCGGCAACGGCGCCTGGGAGTGTAGTTATATGCGTTATCTCTTGCTGCTCATGTAGAGGTTGAGTCTCTGTATGATTCACGAGTAATCGGGATTGATACGAGATTCCGCTCCTGCGAGGCGAAAAATATTCTGCCGCCGCCTTGGGGTGTGTCATTGGTTGTTCAGCAAAGCATATTTCTTCCGCCTTGTTACACCCGACCGCGCATACATTATCCGCGTATCTACGGATGGTAGAGAGCATGCCGCGCAGTATGTAGGTGCTTGTAGAACGAAGAAAAGCACCCTTGGACATTGTCTTGGGCAATATTTGTGGTCAGCCTTGTGGAATCTCCATCATCCATCACTGATCACCGATCAATCGCCCCGTCAATCATCTTACGTAGCAGAAGGCCTTACTCGTACGGAGGACGTGAATCTCGGATTCTTCGGGCGTGCTATATTAAGGCACATCTACACCTGATCTTCCCCTAATATCACAACATGATTGCTGTTCCTGACTAGACATAAACACACCACCAGCGAGATTGAGGGTGGATCCCAGCAGAGTGATTTCCTCTCTCATAGTTGTTCATGTTGTCGAAGTTCTTACTTGAAAGACCCGTCGGCCCTGGGAACCATTTCTTTCGCTTCTCCGTAAGGAACCGCAGACTCTCTTCTTGAAGACTTCAGACTCCGACGCCTTTGTAGGCTTGGCCAGTGGATATCATCCTGGCGATATCAACACCCGGGAAGGAGGACGATCCTTCTATCAACGAGGTACCATCGGCGACGGATTCCCTATCATCAAAAGCGATGTACCTGGGCTGTACACGGTTGACCCGACTCACCACTTGCGTCGGACAACTTGCAAAGCATATCCTTTCCTCAGGACGGTGACCGGTTGTATTATCTGCCTCACTATCTTCTGAACATCATTGTCTTCACATTGAGCGACACAGCAAAAGAGTCCACCTAAGCAACGGCATCCTCAGAAGTCAACCGCACTGTTATCAAGACTCAGCACCATCGCTTTAGACCACACTCACGTTGAAAAGCCTTTCCGGAGTATCTCGACAAGATGTCTGCCTCGCCTCATCCTGTCCCACCCCCAAAACACCCGTCGGCCATGACGCGCTTCTACATTGACACCCGACCCCTCGTCACGGCGTCACCCAAATCCCTCCCTTTGCTCTCGACACTACAATTCAGCGAACAGGAATCGATAACCCGCTTCCTCCGACCCGCCGACAGATTCATGTCCCTAGCAAGCGCCCTGTTGAAATACACATTCATCCACCGCGAGGCCGGCATGCCCTGGTCCGACATTCGTATCTCACGCACACCGGCACCGCACAAGCGGCCATACTGGGAACCACCTGAACTCTGGACGAGGCAAACCACGAGTCCCTCCGACCCCATGCCGTCCGAGACAAAAGGTCTCGAATTCAACGTGTCCCACCAAGCAGGTCTCGTGGCCATCCTGGGCTGCACGACCCCCACGGCACAGCTTCCCACCGCCCCGTCCAAGTCAATCTCCCAGGTCACGCCGCTTTCGCCGACGCCGCCGACCGGCAGCTTCGACCAACTGAGTCTGACGGGACACCACATGCCGACCCTCGGCGACGGCCAGGTCCGTCTAGGAGTCGACATAGCGTGCACGAACGAAGACAAGCGCACGCCCAAGGACGTGACGACGCAGGCCAAGTTCGACGAATGGGTCGACATCTTCGCCGAAATGTTCTCGGACCGCGAGCGTCGCACCATGCGCTTCGCACCCGTCCACATGCCCGTCTCGGAGCGTGAGGAGGGCGACTACAGCAGCAGCAGCAGCAGTGACTCGTCTTCGTCCGCCGGCGACGTCTACACGTCCGTCACCGCCCAGGGGGGTCGAGGCCGAGAAGCCAAGACCATCGAGCAGAAGCTCCGCCGGTTCTACGCCTACTGGGCACTAAAGGAAGCGTATATCAAAATGGTAGGCGAGGGTCTGTTGGCAAGTTGGCTTAGGGAGCTGGAGTTTCTGGACGTCGTGCCGCCGGCCATCCCGGACGCCGTGATCAAGGCAAGGCGCATACAGCGCAAGCGAAATCGTGGCCGCAGTGTTGCAAGTGGCGCAAACACTGCACCGAACGCCCAAGCCGGGAACCATGCGCACCTACACCCTGATGAGCTGCTGCACGAGGCGCAAAAGTGGACGACGCCCGAGAAAGCGGAGCGGGGAGTGACGACACTGTTCCGTGGGGACCGGGTCGACGACGTGGACATCGAGCTTGTCGCGTACGACGAGGACTTTCTGATCGCGACGGCCACGAGGGGACTGCGCGAACTGGACCGCCCAGAGGGTAGAAGGTGGATCAGGCTGGACATCGAGCGGGACATCAGGCCCTGCGCCGAGGGTCGGTGTAGTTGTCTACTGTAGACTGAGCTCGGGCTTGGGCTTGAGGCTGACAGGTTGCCCCTCGCATTCTCAATAGACCTGGATAGACTGACGATGTTACGATTCTCAAATACCTAGTACCTATGACGAGTATCTAAAGGGAAGCAACTCGGCCTCTGAGAATGCCCAACGAGGTGTATCAAGCAATGGATCCCGGTGCTCTGTTTTTGGTCATGTCTATATCTATGTTGTTCGGTCATAGGTACCTTCTCGATGCTTGTATCTGTTCGTTTCCTTTCCTGCTTGACATATGGAACCCAAGTCAGTCGCCTTGTACCAATTCTACACGTGCCGACGATTCAATGTCGACCTTGTGGTCCTCGGAGACAGCCCGGCCGAAGCGATGTAATTCATCTAGAAACGCAGGGATGAATGTCCCGGGACCTTGGCAATCTTCTCTCTTTTCTGCCATTTGCGACGCAATCTCGTAGTGCAAGATTCCCGCCAGCGCAGCCAGGAATTTATCTTCGCGATGCACGGCGAGGTAACTTGCCACGACGGCGCCCAGGGCACATCCCGAGCCCGTGATTTTGCCCAGGTACTGCGAGCCGTTGTTGATGGCGACAGTCCGCGTTCCGTCGGAAAGGTAGTCCGTCTTGCCCGTCATGAGGACCACGCAGTGTTCGCGCTGGGCTAAAGCCTTGACAAGCTTCGCCTTGTCCGATGGCGTGGATGTGGACGGGCCTGAGTCTACGCCGCGCTGTTGGACGTTGGACGTGCCAGCCACCGCTCCGATTTCTCCTTCGTTGCCCTTGATGACGCTGAAGAAGCCTGCCGTCAGGAGTTTCTTGACTGTCTCGCGTCGGTGGGACGTTGCGCCTCCGCCGACGGGATCGAAGAGGACCGGACCGCCGACAGCGTTGTAGGCTCTCATGCCTGCGATGAAGCTGTTGATCTTTTCAGGTGACGCGGTGCCCATGTTGACGACGAGCGAGCCGCCTAGCTTCGCGAGGTCGGGGGCTTCGACTGCTATCTCGGACATGATGGGTGATGAGCCCGTCGCGAGGCAGACGTTGGCTACGAAGTTCTGCACGACTGTGTTGGTCATGTTGTGGCAGAGCACGGAGGATGTGGAGTGCGTTTTAACGATGGGGGCAACTTGAGAGAGCAAGGTGTTGAGATCTGTGATGAGTGACGGGAATTTGCTTGGTGGAACGGCGGCGTAGTATGTCTCTGGAGCGGTCCTTATCAGATCACAGAGTTGTTGGGATGAGGCTTTGGGGTCTGGGGCGGCGACGATGGCGCTGACGATGGCGACGCCGTTGAGACGATTCGAGCCGTGAGCAGACTGATGGAGGACTCTCTGCACGTTGCTCGCGTTGATGCTGCCGATTGCCACGCATGGTATGGACTTTTCTGTACCTGTGTCGCAAGCTGCAAGGATCTCCTGGAGACCGCGAGTGCCGATGATGGATTTGGTGTCTGTCTTGGTCGGGGTGGCAAATGTCGTCCCAATACCAAGGTAGTCAGCGCCATCCGCAATGGCTTTCTGGGCCTCGAGTACCGATGAGGCTGTAAGTCCTATGATGGCCGACGTTCCGAGAATGGCTCTAGCAGAGGTACATGTCATGTCATCTTGGCCAATGTGCACGCCTTCAGCTCCTGCGGCCTGACAGACGTCGAGGCGGTCGTTGATAAGTAGGGGCACACCGTATTGTCGGGTGACTGCATGAAGTCTTTTGGCGGTTGTGATCATCACACCAGTGTCGGCATGTTTGTCTCGATACTGGACAACAGTGGCTCCTCCTTGAAGAGCCTGTTCCACAACGTGAACAATGTCCTTGTCGCCGAGAATGGCAGGCGTGGAATCAGTAACTAGATATAGAGACCAGTCTATACGGGACTGTTTAGATGGCGCCATTGTTCGCAACTGTAGCAGTCCTGCGTACTTCGTCGCAGATGCTGAGAATATGTAGTTTCTGTAATCAGCTTGTCATGGAGTCATTCTCACTCGTCCTGTGGTTCCGTCAGTCTCACTGATTTCTCCTGTCAATGTTCTGTGTCACGCGGCGGAGCAAGCGGATTCTCGGTCGACATCCCTTTCGATGCTCGCACGGAGAGGGACATTCAAGATAGCCTAATGGCCGACTCGAGGAGGGGAAAAATGAAAAGACCGAGATATGTGTGACGATGGTGTCATGCCTGGGTCGAGTCAGTCCGAGGGGGAAAGCTTCACGTCCGCAACGCATAGAAGTGGCTTCTACGGAGTATCACGAGCAAGTGGTACTCAGAATGCACTTCGTGCTACAAGCATCATATTCAGTATTTGCAGATGGTGAATTTGGCGGCGCGAGTTGATGTAGCGTTCTCATGCAGCCAGAGACGAAGTTCCAGGCTGCAGCGTTGCCATTCCACCAGTACGCAGCGAAGGGTTGAAGTGAGGCTCACCAAGTGCACAAGGCGTAGTTGAGTTTTAGGCTTCGGACGGACCCAGAAGGGCGCAGTTCGGTGATGGAAGGGGGTTCTCTAGGCGCCAACGAGACTCTCCAGGGGCGCTGCGCAGGCTGTCACTTACCTAGCAAAGTCTGATTAGGCTGACTCGGGGCTCAAAACCAGTCACCCAGAGGCAGCTAGTTACGGCGGTACGCGTACCCCATTCTCGCTCTTCTCTCGCTGCTCGCCCTCGGCTTTCTCGCTGCCACAACGCGCTGGCCTCGAAATTTGAAATTTTTTCTCCTTGCTCTGAACCGCGTCCCCGAAGCACAGTCACCCAGTCAGAGATGACGCCTTGACTCCATCACAAACTCCGGAGAACAACACGCAGTAGTCCGTACGACAATCAAGGAGCCTTCGCTTTGCCTCCCCCTCACAGCCTTTTTCCCTGCCTGGTGGACAAGGCCTAATCCTGCTCACTTAGCGCACCCAAGGTCCTCGGTAAGCTGCGCCTAAAATCCTGACCTCGCCTCTTTCCTGGCTCTTCCTTCTTTTTCTTACGCTTTCACCATCACTACTACATAGTGAATTTGCGAGAATCCTCTGTCAGTAGGCTTCTCCTGATCATCAACATTATCATCAACGCACCATCGATCTATCCCTGTGAAGCTCGCTTCATCGACGACGATCCTCGACTCCCCAGACACGACCTTTCGCTGCCGTTCATCCATTGAACCTGACCGAACCCAGAGTCCTTGTCAAACGCATCTCGCCGGATTGTTCATGTATCGAGCAGTCTTTCACTCCTCCAAAACCAATTCCAAGCAAAAGCTGGACATAATTCCGGCAAGCAGAGACCCTTGTAGTCCTACAAGGTCTTGTTATGGTTGATAGACCATCAACACCTACCCAACGTTTTCTTCATGTCAAATATCCTTACCAGGTGGTAATTCCACGCATGTCTGGTCACTTGAAAAGAGAATCCCTTGTCTCTTTGCTCTTCACCACCGCCCCCAAACACCAATAAATTCGGTTCAACAATCAAATTCGATATTCTAAAGAGAAAAATCCACTTCCACTCAGCTCAAAATGGCGACCATCAATATTCGTCGGGATGTTACCGATCCCTTCTATCGATACAAAATGGAGCGCCTGCAGTCCAAGATTGAAGGAAAAGGCAATGGAATCAAGTAAGCCAGTGCCCAGCTGTGAATACGCTCGTATACTGACAAATTACACAGGACCGTGGTAGCCAACCTTCCCAGCGTGGCGGCTTCCCTTGCTCGTCCCCCAGCCTATGTGATCAAATACTTCGGCTTCGAACTCGGTGCTCAAACCAACACCAACCCAAAAGATGATCGTTGGATCATCAATGGAGCACACGATGCGGGCAAATTGCAAGACTCGTTGGACGGCTTCATCTCCAGATTCGTCCTCTGCAGGTCCTGCAAGAACCCGGAGACCGATATCAACATCAAGGACGGTCACATCATTCTAGACTGCAAGGCCTGCGGTCAACGTACCAATGTTGATTTGCGCCACAAATTGAGCGGATTTATTCTCAAAAACGAACCAAAGGGTGGTAAAAAGACAAAGAAGGAAAAGATGACTCGTCGTGAGAGGGCCAAGGCTGAAAGTCAAGAGAACGGCTCCATGAACGGTGGAAGCCCCCAAGACTCCAATTCCGACAAAGGAGATGCCGACGATGCCGACTACGAGATTGCGGCTGGCAGTGACGACGAGTTCACCAAGCAAATCCAAGCTGATGCTAAAGGCATCAACGGAGAAGTCAAGGAAGAAGAATGGGCCATTGATACTTCTGCCGAGGCCATTGCTGCTCGTGCCAAGGAGCTCCCATCTGATCTGAAGCGTTCGCTCGCATTCGATGAAGATGAAGACGGCGAAGACAACGGCACCAATGTCTATGATCAGCTCGGTACCTGGATTATCGACGAGACCAAGGCCAAAGGCTCTGTCAATGCTGTCGACGATGTGGAAATCTACAAGAAGGCTAAAGAATTGGGCATCGAGAGCAAGCACAAGACTCTGACTGTTCTCGCTCAGACCATCTTTGATGAAAACATCGTCAAGCAAATCCCCGCTCGTGCCAGTATGCTGAAGACAATGATCGGCGAATCTGAGAAACACATGAAGGCTTTCTTGGGTGGCACCGAGCGCTTCGTCGGCAATGACCACCCAGAATTGATCCCACAGATTCCCGCCATTCTCATGGGCTACTACCAGCATGATCTCCTCAGCGAAGAGGTAGCCAAAGCGTGGGGTGCAAAGGCCAGCAAGAAGTACGTTGACATCAGCACTAGCCGAAAGGTTCGTCAAGCTTCCGAGAAGTTCTTGCAATGGCTTGATGAAGCCGAGAGCGATGATGGCAGCGATGAGGAGAGTGATGAAGAGTAAGCGATGCCTCTGCTATCCAACATTCTTCGACAGGCAACTCTATCGCTCCAGTCATCTCGGCTGTCTCCTGTATGTTTCCAGCACTCTACTCCGGCATTAGTGACTCTCCTTGAATTTGCTTTCAGTCACTCTTTTCTCGATTGAAGGATGGACTGGATTTGTTTGGTCAGGTGTATTGCCTGTCTCGTATCAGGCGACATCGATCAGATAGTGTATGTAGAACCTTCAATCCAGTCATTTGTATAGGACTTTTCTACCGTGGTTAATATTTCTGTCTGTTACGTAGTCGACAACCCTTTCGTTCGTCTGAGCCGGACTCTGCGCTTCTGGCATCCATTGCGTCCAGTCCAGAAATGGCAAATTATACCACCGTACCATCTGTGTTCGTACATACATGGCCGTCGTGGCCTTATCATAGTAAACGTAGCAACCAGTTCTAACGAAGTCCACGTCTAGATCTCCTGCGGCGCCTTTCCGCCGAGAAGAAGCAAGGGTAAACTTTTCACTTGCTGCTCGCGAACGGGGTTGATATGTAGATTTGTCTCCTTGTGCGCGGCCCCTGGCGCGGTCAGTATGAACCAGAATGTGCACCAAGCTGGTCCTTCCAGTCCGGAAAGACATAGGGCAACTTGTCAGGCACATAGTCGGGCAGCTCGTCTCGGATGAGAGCGAACAGGGCGTCGAAGACGATCTGGTAGGCCCGAGGAGTGAAATGCAAGCCGTCAGACAACAGATCAGCCAGGACCTGGTTGCGCGGCGCGGCCAGGCTTCCGATCAGGGGTTGCTGCGGTGGTTCGTCTCCGCGCCAGCCAGCCTTGGTCATGAAGATCGTCCACAGGTCGAGCGTTGGGAGGTCCATGGCTCGACCGAGCTGGCGGCAGGCGGCGGCGTAGGCGCGCGTGTTCGCCGCCGTGCGCTCGTCGACGCCGAGCTGCCACTCGTCCACAGGCGGCGGGGTGATGAGGATGACCTTTGTCCTGTGCGCCGCGACGCCTGGGTGTGAGACGATGTCGCGGAGGTAGCCTGGGTAGGCGTCCAGGGGGACGTGTTGCGCGCAGCCCGGCAAGGTCGCGTCGTTGGCGCCGAAGAATACCGTCATCAACTTCACCTGCGGCGTGTGATCGGACGGCGGTCGCGCTGGGAACCAGCGTTGCATGACCTCCAGACCCATTCGGGACGTGTACCCTGACATGCCCCGGTTGAGGACATCGAGGCACCGGTTGTACCGTTCCGACAACGGCGACAGGAGGCCTGAGGTGCTGAACTGCGTTATCGAGTCGCCGAAGAGTATGAATTGAGGGTACTGTTGGGGTGGTGTTTGTGATCGCCTGGAGATGGATGCTGAGGGTGAATGGGACATGGTGGCGGAGGAAGGGGAGCGGTTTAAAGATACAGGGAAGCGGAAATAGACGGGGAGGAGGAGAACAGGAAGGGATTTGTATGAGAGGGAGGAGAGTATCGTGTTTTGAAGAGGGATCCCGAGGTCGTGGTGTATAGGTCCCTGTTTACGGTACTTTGACTACGAGTCCTCGTACTGTAGTATCCTTGACCTGGGGCGAAGGTGGATGGATGGAGGTACTCCGTAGCTTGGGGTTGAAGAAGCATGCATTGATCGATTGTTTCTGTCTGACGGACCCTTGTGCGTCTGGGTTCCATACGAGGACAAGGTGAACGCGGGGCCCAGCGCCTTTGTCAGACCATTTAATTTCTTTTGACGCCTTCTTCATCCCTTTTAGGTGGTGTAGAGCAGCTCAGCACCATGTTCATTCAAAGGTGTGTTGATTATTTTGTAACACATACAACAATAGTCCCGCCAGGGTATTGATACCCGGGATCTGAACGCACTGCGTACTGTATGTAGCCACATCTACGAAGCGTCATGAATCACAATGTATCTGGTATGCCGATGTTTCTTCGAGGGTTTTATCTTCCCCTGCTCAATGATCATACTACTGCACGTATATCGTAGCTCGCTTTGTTCCGGATGGTTCTCGGACCCTGTCTGCATCCTTATGTATTGTGTAGTAGCAGTAGTGCGCGTAGTGCGTCGAGGACCCTTGTTCTCATCTGCAGGGCGTCGTCAGGGTGCATACGATGGCCCGGATCTTATTGCCCGAGGTACGTGACTCGAAAGTGTCCGTCTATCATTTTACCTTTACACAAGAGCTCGAGGATCCCCCAGCCAAGGAGCGAAGCACGCGTCCAAACCTGTCGGCAACACCTACTGTGGGCTTTGTCCGGGCTACATAGACCATTCACATCTCCCCCTCATGCTCATTTGTCTCTCTGACATGTTCGATGCGTGGATCGAGCAGACCCAACGCGACTGTCCGTCGCCTGTAAGCGACACTTGACTCCTCCTAGCGGGACGCCATCTGGCTGCCGGCATAATGCCCATTCCTATCAACTGGCAACGATCACCCGTCACTCTCACGCATCCTCGTCATCTGATATACCGAATGTTTTAGAAGAACACGGCCCTAGTCCACCTGATCACCGTCTCAGGTCTGCCATTCCCGCCTGCGAGATCGTTTGCGGCTCCGTTTACCTTGCCTTTGTCCCGACAGATGCGCCGTGACACCGCAGGGGGATCATAAACCCGCAGTCCCGCGTGCGATTGCTGACCCTCGCACCCAAGGTCGTTGCACTGCAACAGTCAACACATTACCAGGCCGCCATCGAGCCTCTTGATCTCTGACCAGAACTTGATGGCCAGCTGATTGACCACGGCAGGGCGGTGTCTGCCTGTGACAGGAGCACCGTGGTTGCCAGGACCTTCCTGTCTGCGCGTGTACAGTTTCCCTCGCAGGGATCCTCAATACAAGGCTCGTGCCTGCCTACAAACCTGATCTGCCTGAATTTCACCATGCCGAAGTCATATGTCTCCTTTCAGGACCCCAACGAAGAGGACAATGTCGACTACTTCGCCGTTCACCCTCGCCCAGCAACGACCCCGTCCTCGCCAACAATCTACCACAGACGCTCCATTTCGATATCTGGCCCCGAGGTCGAGCGACGTTTACATCCATCCCTAATCATGACCTCCACCCCTGATGAGACCACTGAACTGCTTGGAGGTAGTATGCACTCTGCCATGAGGAGGTATGCAGACAACTCGATAATTTCACCTCATTCGCGGCAGCTGTCGAGGGTGAACAGCTTCAACGGGAGTCTAAGGAGACGGAGGTTTCACAGTGCCCTTCCGTCCGGCCAAACAAGCCCCGTGTGGAACAGAAAGAACTCGGGATTACGGACACCTAAACTTCAGCAGTCGCTGATGGGATCCATTGCCAAAGATGATCGCCTGTGGTATGATCAGTTCACGTCGACCGACTGGGTACATGACAGTATTGCCGACGGATACCGGGTCTTAGAACTCAAGAAAAAGAGAGGACTTCGAGGCCGCATCCAGCTCCTCTACGATTCTTCCCAAGGATGGATACTGGTTGCCCTGATCGGAGTCATCACCGCTGGGATCGCTTACTTTGTTGATGTGACCGAGTCCGCCATCTTCGACCTCAAACGAGGCTTCTGTCGAGACGCATGGCATCTCGGAAGAGCCAGTTGTTGCGACGGCAAACGAACTTGTGACCAGTGGCGGACATGGTCTCAACTTATTCATGCGTCTGATGTGGACGAACAGTCGGTTGATTTCGCGGCATTCGTCATCGGCTGCATGGTATTGGCAACCCTGTCCTGTTTCCTCACATTGTATTCCAAGACTATTGTGCCTTCAACCATTGCATCGACATTCGATGAAGACCTAAGCGCTGAGCGGACGAGAAATTTCGATGAAGGCGACCAGGAGGCAAAGGTGGCAGCGGAACAGACTCATGCTAATGACTTGGCCCCCGGGAACGTCTACTACTCTGCTGCAGGGAGTGGTGTTGCCGAGGTCAAGGTCATTCTCAGCGGATTTGTTCTCCACGGATACCTTGGTTTGCGCGTTCTCGTGATCAAGATGGTTGCCTTGATATTGAGCGTCGCTTCAGGCATGAGCCTGGGAAAGGAAGGGCCGTACGTGCACATCGCTGCTTGTGTGGGCAACATTGCTTGCCGTTTGTTCTCAAAATACAACCTAAATGACGGCAAGAGACGAGAGGTCCTTTCTGCAAGTGCTGCAGCTGGCGTTGCTGTGGCCTTTGGATCGCCTTTGGGCGGAGTTCTTTTCAGCCTCGAAGAGGTCAGCTATTATTTTCCTCCTAAGACTTTGTTTCGCACCTTCTTCTGTTGCATTGTCGCAGCACTATCTTTGAAATTTCTCAATCCCTACGGGACCAACAAAATCGTCCTTTTCGAGGTCCGGTATGTGACCGACTGGAATTTTTTCGAACTCTTCAACTTTGCACTGCTCGGTATACTAGGCGGACTGGCAGGAGCCCTCTTTATAAAGGCATCTCGCTTCTGGGCCACCACGTTTCGAAGAATAAAATTCATCAAAAGCCATCCCATGTTAGAGGTCCTATTGGTGGCACTCGTCACTGGCCTCATCAGCTTCTGGAATCGATACACGCGACTCCCCGTCACTGAATTACTGTTGGAACTGGCCAGCCCTTGTAACAAGGATAGTACTAGCGGGTTGTGCCCCAAAGAAGATGGGATCTTGTCAGTTGTCGGCTACCTTTGTGTTGCATTTGTTGTCAAAGCGTTTCTCACCACCATTACTTTTGGTATCAAAGTTCCTGCAGGAATTTACGTGCCTTCGATGGTCGTTGGTGGCCTCATGGGTCGCACATTGGGCCACCTCATGCAGTACATCGTCCTGAAGAGTCCGAATTTCTTCTTGTGGGGTGGCTGTTCACAATCTGGCGACTTGGAGGCCTGTGTCACTCCCGGCGTGTATGCCCTGGTAGCTGCAGGCGCTACTATGTGTGGAGTGACCCGCCTATCAGTCACTCTCGCTGTCATCTTGTTCGAGCTCACAGGCAGCCTTGATCATGTGCTACCGTTCTCGCTAGGAGTGTTGTGTGCGAAATGGACAGCAGACGCTGTTGAGCCTTTGAGCATCTACGACCTTTTGACAGATATGAACTCCTACCCGTTCCTCGACAATAGAAGCAGCCCTGTCTTTGACTCGGAACTTGGAGATATCACGCCTCGGTTGCGACGAGACAAAGTCATCGACATTACCATATCTCCACTAGTCAAGGCGACTGATCTTCGAGCCAAGCTCCGACGCCTGCAATACCTAGGAGAACTTGATGGCGGTTTGCCCATCATTCGAGACAAGATTTTAGTTGGTCTCATTCCAGCTCCGGACCTCGAATTCGCACTGGACAGAATTGAAGACGAGGATAACGCAATGTGTCTGCTCTCATCGCAGAACAGTTCAAACACAAACCATCAACGCTACTGGCAAGCATTCGAGGAGACCGGGTACGAATCTGAACGTGAGAGTTCGGAACCAGACGAGGAATCAAGCGCGACTCCTATCGACATGACGCCATACATCGACCCTGCCCCAGTGGCACTAGACACACATTCACCCATGGATCTTGTGTACCAATGTTTTGTGAAGCTTGGCTTGCGATACATTTGTGTTCTGGACGAAGGTGAGTACCGAGGGATGGTGCATAAAAAGGCCTTTGTTAGATATGTTAAACAATTGGAACATTCGAGTCATTGAGCGCATTGAATGAAAAGGTAGCGGAGACCAAAAGCCTCGAACCAGGCAAAGAAACCCGACACGAGGCTCGGAGGTGGGACTAGACCACTTGCCATGGTCTCGGAGTGTATCTTCGTCAACCGAGTGGAGGTCCTGCAAGGTTTTGAAAGACTAGCGACTTGATTTTGATTATTTTGAACAACGCATGGGATGGGCGTCTTCTTTGCATCGGCATCATGGGCAAGGAAATACCGGTCTAGGGAAGCTCAGCGGCGCAAGGCGTTCATCCGGATGGGACTTTGCTGCATATTAGGCCAGTATGAATACAATCAGGGAAGTGACTCTTCCTAGTTCACACCCAGAGAGAAACCTTCTTCAACCTTGTTGGATTCATTCGGCAGAGACGTGGCTGGGGACATTTTTGTTTTGATGATCGCTTCTCTTCTACTAACTCAATTACCCACTCTCCAGGAGGTCCTCTCGCTCTCTCTCTCTCGATCTAGGTTTCAGAGGTTGGTGCTACTTAGCTTATTTCCGTGCGGAGGTGCCTGGTTGAGAGACAACCCAGGCTCGCCAACATTGTGGCTGTGCTGTCATATATCTCCGAACCATTGGTATAGCTACGGAGTCATGCAGTCAGCCAAATGCCAAATGAGTTTGTTTCTCGTGGTCCATTTATGTTCGTACAAAAGGAACGCCGGTCACGTCTGTTTCTTCTCTCAAACCAGATTTCGCCTTGTGGTAGATTTGGGAAGACCCTCATTGTCCGACCTACAATCCCCAAGCGAGTTGGGCGAGGCAGAACATGGTCTGTGGTTGCTTTCCCTTTCTTTGCTTGAGACACGTGTCTTGCGTGCCACGATTGACAGAAGAATTTGTTACAAGTATGTGGCACAGATTTGTTCAGGTCACTTGTGAATGGCGGATGTTCGGGCAGAGACTAATGCGCCGTCGCGTGTCCTGCAAGTCGGAGCTTCAAGGTTGTACAACCGCATGGATCTCAACACTTTGATTCTGTCAGCCATGTTGTTTTGTTGCTTGCCTGGTGGTGTGTGGAGCGATGAGATGTGTCGAGAGCTTCATGATGTGGTTTGAGCCTTTGCAGGCTTTTGTTTCTTCATGCCTCGTCTCGCCTTTTCCGGAGAGCTCTTTTTGGTTACGAGGACCTTGTGCTTTGGTTGTCTTGTGGTATTTATCACTGATCTGAAATCCCCTGCTTCTGCTGCTGTTAAGCTCTTCTCTTTGCCGACACTGATGTTGACATTATTCGACAACACCTGCCTTTCACCATGACGAGAACTTCTACGGATGCCATCCAATGTCTGGAAGGAGTCGAGCAATTATCATCATCGTCATCAACGCGAACATCACCACCGGAACAGCATCAGCAGCAACCGGGCGCTGAAGAAATTCGAACCATACCTGATCGGGTCGGTCCTTGGCTTTTGAAACGTGGAAGAAGTTCAAGCTGCACTACTTATGCAACTCCAGGATACCATACACCGACCGGTCCATATTCAAGCGGAGAGCAGAGTCGCTCTGAAAGCCCGAGCCCCGGAGCGAGTACGAATGACACCAACAACCGCGAGGGGTGGAGGAGGAGGGGCCGACGAATATCGGAACTGACAAAGACTTTGGATGAAGTCGACAAACAATGTGAAGCGATCAAGGCAATGTTGGATGCCGAGGAAGAAATGATGAGGGAAGGTAGACGAAACGGAGAGGATGGTGCGGAACGGCAGGAATCTGCGCAGATCAGCAGACCGTCCACAACTGTTTCAACGTTGACGTCGGGACTAAGAGCGACACCAGTTCCTGTACCGATTCCTGTGTCTGTCTCTGTTTCTGTCCCTGGTGGTGGTGGTGATTGTGGTGGTGGAGGTAGTAGTCGCGGGTGTGCGAACGTGAATATAAACGTGAGCACGAACACCACTACGACGGCGAATGCGAATGCGAATGAGAACGAGAATACGGACACAAACGCGAAGCCGACTACGAACCCGAACACGCCCATGCCCACGCACACGAATAGAGCGTCGCCAACACCAGCAGCTGGAGCAGCTGGATCATCACAGCTCTCGACAATACCTGGCGTCGAAAGAACCGCCGCCGAGACTCATTTTATCGCGAGAACGATCATTGCTACTTCTGCTTCTGCTACTGCCACTGCTGGTGCTCGTGGTATTGGTGCCGTCGGCAGCGGTGGCGGTGCTCCGACTGCTACCACGGCGACCACAACCATAAACTATCAATCCGAAAGCTGCGAAAGCTGCGACGGAATCCGTATGGTCGTATGGAGAAAGGTGTACGTCGCGTGCACCCTCTTGTTCTTGTCTTGTGTGGGCCTCGTCGCCACCCCCTGCGTCTGGGACGCGGCTTTCCTCCACGGTCGCAACGAGGGCGAGCATCGACGGACGCTGGTTTTCTTGTTTTTGACACTGCCCGTCGCGTGTGTGACGGTGGTGTTGGCCGTGGGTATGTCCGGGTTACAGGAACTTAGGGACCACATGGACCGGGATCGAGTCGTGACAGCGACGGCGCCGACGACGAGGACGGACGATGCAGAGACGGCGACGACGATGACGAGGTTCCGTGGTGGTCTGCGAAATCATCATGCAAGATTGTGGGTCCGAGAGTACTTTTGGTGCGCCGTTGCGTCTGGCGTCGTGGTGTACCTGTTCCTTGCGAGGTGGGTTTGGTCTTTGGATCCAGGTAGGTCAGAAGAACAACCGGTATTTTGACGTCTGGGGCGTTCACTACAATATCGCGAACGGTCCGTGATGGACGCGATGGAACATGACTACACGTCACCTGGCTACCAGTGCACCCGCTCGGCGAATGCTTCGCTACGAGTACTCGCTTCGTACCTCGTGGGGTTGTTTTGATTCATCCCGCCATCAACCACCGGTCACCGGCCATCCGTCGTTGAGTGTCGGGAGGCGGAGATGGCGAGGGCGAGGGCGATGGAGACGGAGATAGGTGGATGCCAAGGACCAACGTGGTATTGATATGACGGAAAGGGAGAGTAGAAGAGCAGAAGAAAGAAGGAGACATGGAGAGATATCTATACACCAACCTCCATTCTCTACGGTTGAGTTTCTTCTTTTCATGTACAAGCTAACGAGCTAGAAAAAGACCGTACGTTCTGCGTGAGAGGGTCAACAATCGTGCGTCTGAGACGTCTAGACCTACGGAATACAAAATCTTCAGAATTGAGAGAAAGAAGATCAGCAAAAACGACAACTACCTGAGCAAGAAGCTCATCTATTGTACACACCATTATTTACCTGCCCAAAGGCAGGTGACACAACAAGGTGCTTAACAGCAACACAGATCCCTCTGTACAGGTGGACGGTCATCCCTGGAAAAAGGCCATCTACTCTTTCTCCTGAAATTCTTCCGCCATCGGTTTCGGATCATTCGTCTCGTACCAGAGACCATTGAAAGCACTAATCAACCATTTACTCAACTTATCATACACAACATGGTTCGCGTTGTGGAAATAGATACTATGGTCACTGTCCGGGAAGAAGTGGACGTCATAGTTTTCTATCCCGGCGAGGTCAAACTTGTCCAGCAGCGTCAGCGTATTCTGCATGTGCACATTGTCATCCGCGACGCCGTGCATGATTAGGAACCTGACGTTCTGGCTGATGGCCGTGACGTTGCTGATTGCCGTGCGGTCGTACCCGTCAGGATTGTCCTGTGGCATCCGCATATACCGCTCCGTATAGATGCTGTCGTAGAAGCGCCAATCCGTCACCGGGGCGACCGACATGCCGTACTTGAACGTCTCGCCGGCGTCGGTCTCGAGAACTTTCAGCGTCATGAAGCCGCCGTACGACCAGCCCCAGATGGCCATGCGGGAGGCGTCGACATAGTCCTTTGCGGCCCACATCTTCGCTGCGGCGATCTGGTCGTGTGCTTCGTACTTGCCTAGTTCGTTGCGGACGATGGTGCGCGCTTTGCGGCCGATGAAGCCCGTCCCCCGACCGTCCAGCGTCACCACGATATATCCCAAAGAGCTGGCCACGTAGGACTGGAAATCGACATGGAAGCGGCGGTTGACCATTTGAGAACCAGGGCCTCCGTAGAGGTAGAAAAGAACCGGATATTTCTTGCTAGAGTCAAAGTGCGGAGGACGACGCTCGACGAGTGACAACGTGTAATCATCAATGCTAACGTTTTGGAAAATCTGATGCGGAAGTTCGTGTTCCGAGGCCATTTTGGCAAGAGCTTTGTTGTCTTCGAGTTTTTGTTCAATATTTTCGGTGTTCGCAGGCGTCGAGATGACTTTTTGGTAAGGAATACTGGGTCCCTGGTATGTTAGCAGGACGTATCCAGCGCCCGAGGAGAACGAGGATGCCCAATACGCTGTTTCGTTGGAGGGGACAAGAGATGTCATGTCTGTTCCGTCAAGCTTGACACTATACACGTGTCGTTCTGAGGGCGCTTCTTTAGCGGCGACGAAATACACTAGGTTGTTCTTGAGGTCGACCCCGGCAGGTCCACCATCGACTTCCCAATCGCCCTGAGTGAGCATAATTGGGCTCGAACTGTTCAGAGGGCTGAAGTATGCGAGATGGGTGCCATAGTCAGAGATGACGACATCAACGTAGCCGTCCTCTGGTCGTCCGTTTGCTAGATCGGCCGGAACGTACTTCGTGAACTGCGTAGGTTCGAACCAACCTCCGTCGACGTCTTTGAGATCGACAGTCCTAACTGTCTGGCCGGTTCTGCTGGTGACGTCGGCCAACACAACCCTGACACGATCACTGATACGATTTGACTCCGACACCAGTACCTTTCCATTATCAGCCCAGACAATGTTGAAGATGATTCGGTCATCATCAGGGAAGCCTCCTTCTATGTCGATGGTAAAGATCTGTTGTTTTGCAACGTCATAGAAGAGCATGTCCACAACAGGGTTTGGCGCGCCAGCTTTGGGGTACTTGATTTCTTTGACTTCCGGATAGTTCTCCAGTCCTTCTATCGGCCTTTTGCCACTGGGTCTCGACAAAAAATACTGGACGGGATACTCTGGAACCATTGTCTCGTTTGTACGCAAAAACGCCACGTACTGACCGTCACGCGCCCACCATGTCGCCGTATTGGTGCCAAAGACTTCTTCCTCATAAGCCCAATCTGGGATGCCGTAGAAGTACTCGGGGCCTCCGTCGTCTGTGATTTGCGTTACCTTTGCCGATGACAACGCTCTCAGGTAGAGGTTGTTGTCCCTGGTGAACACAACCGAGTCACTGTTGGGAGACCACTGAGTGAGTTGGATTTTAGTGTCTGGGTATGCCGGGTCCAAAGGCTGGACAGCTTGCGTTTCGACATCGAGAATGAAATACACTCCCAAGAACGAATGTCGGTAGACCTTTTCTCTCTTCGACATGAGGAGAACATGCTTGTGATCGGGGCTCACCCAGAAATTGTCCGTCCACATTTGCTCGCCATTAACGTTGAACCAGCCACTTTCCACCAACGTTTTGTCCTTGGCAGCATTTGACGATGCCGAAGTTTGGCTTCTGATGTCCTCCACGACGACAAAAGGCTTGTCTGGCTGGTTCGCTTCGAGCAACAAGCCATCCTCACCATCAGGACCTGCCGTCCATTCTATGCGGGCATATCTTGGCTGCCACTGGCCGGACAGAACTTGATCAAGAGATACTTTCTTTCCCGAGCTCTTGGTAGGAGTTTCGTGGTCGTAGGCCATAGTTGAAGCATGCTTATACCGGGCTGTCGACAGAAATATGAACAAGGCAAATGCCCAGCCAACAATCGCAATGATAGAGACCACCCATATTGCCTTCCTCAGACCCTTCGACATCCGGTTCCCGTCCGTATAGTTTTTGTCCGTGAATTTGGGCAGCTCGGGATCACTATCATTGTCGCGGTATTTTACAGGCTCTTCGGCCTCCTTAGTCGCGTAAACCGAATTCAGGTTCTCGAGGACTAGAGATGTAGTCGACACTGTCGTGACGCTCTCTTCGGATGATCTCGACCGATCACCATCTTCCCTTCTAGATGTGCCTTCCCACTCGTGACCTTCCTTAATCAATCTCTCCCCCTCTTCAACCAATCCCATTGCACTCCTCGTCATTGTGGCCGATATCTGCCAAGGTCCCAGATTTGACGCGAGAGATGTGGACCTGGAGTGACAATCGCTGTCGCTATCGCAGCATATTGATGAACGTTCGGAAACCGGCAAGGGAGTGCCGTCGATATCTTTGCGTACAACTGCCGAGAGTCTTTTGCGAGGAGACAGCAATGGGGGTTCTTTGGCGTGGATGCCGGTGATTATCTTGAGTGTCTGTGTGGCATTCGGTGTCGACACCAAGTGCTCAAGAGACTGCGGAGGCGGAGTGGAAGCTGCGCTTGAAGGATGCATCGCTCCACCGTAGACTCACGGCCGCGTCCCGAAACAATTTGGTATTGGGACCACGAACAGTCGCTGCGTGTTTTCTGCTAATTTTGAAACTATCTATGAAGTTAATGAGCATTGGGCTTCTAGACGTTGGGGTTACTCGCACGTTCTTAGGCATGCCGTTCGCAGACGTCGTCCTTTCTGGTGTTCTTCCCATGCAGCCTCGTCAATCGCCGAAAACGGACTAGTGCGAGAACGCGAGCATATGCCTTGAGGCTCTACATTCTCCTTGGACTTGGTACATCCCACCGAAGCTCAATCCCTTCAAGTTCTGATGAAATGGTGCTTGCCGTGTTCTGCATACAGCATGCTTGTGAGCGAGGGTGGCCATATCGGGTCCCCCCAGGTATCCATTCATCACATTGATTTGCTCTGTTCTCAGTTGACCGTTGTGTACGAAACAATCTATTCTCATAGTTCACATGAATGTTGGGCGCCATCAACGTCTTGGTCGCCGTCGTTGACTTGTACTGCTGACCCAGGTTTTGATTCGCTGCTGTCTCATGGTACCATTAGTACATGCAACCACATCCTCCCGGTGCTGCTTGTGCACAAGCTCAGCGGGGAGTGTATAGAAATTAACCGCGTACATATTGGAGACGGAGGAAGGGAAGCAAGCTACTGGCTCGACGATGAGTAAGTAGTTGCGAGTAGCTCTTTCAACGACCACGTACTCGTACTAGGCGGTTGGGGAAGGGCCGGATTAGAGGCGTTTCGGCGCAAGGTCGATCACAATGATGATCACATTCTCCATTAATTAGCGCTAAGAGGTTGGTTGACAACCGACAATGCTCACCGGATTCTACGGAGCTCCTTTGTTGGCGACCAGGGGCTGACAATATTGATACGAGTTCTCGGTACGTTGTCTACTTCGAAACAACAGGGAAAACATTGCTGACTCAATGTATAAAAAAGTAACATGATACAGCAGCAGTAGCTTCTCTCTTCCTCCAAACCATTATCCGGCCCCACCATCACCAAATCTTTCTACCTTTCTTCCTCCTGGAAAATAGTATGATGTCTGTCTTCCTCTGTGTGATATTATTGCGTGGACTACGCGAAGGACCACCAGACACCCTGGTGTGGTCAGCAGTCTATCACTTTCTACGCTCTTCTCAACATCAGGCCCTGTTCAACACTCGCTACATTAGCACGTCGACTCTGATTCACCGGCTTCAGCGGAAACACGAATGTGGCAATCATCTACAATCAAGCATTCGTCTCACCTGACACATCAGACACTTCGTCTGTACTGTAAGCTAGCATGCTAGTCACGAACATCCCCCTTCGGACTTTTGACGCCCTAAGAGGCCCCTTCCGCTTGCTAGCCTTGCGCATCATCCATTTGCCGAATGTTTTCATCGACCAATGCATCGTGCAGTTCTTTGCAAATTACCAACCCATGTACGCTGACCCAAGAGCTTGCAAAACTGGAAGTCGAAGCTCCCATACTGGGTTAGGCATTCTGTACTCTGCAGCGGAATGAGCATGATTCGCCAGCAGCTGTGAGAAGGACGTGGTCCTTCTTAGATGCCGCGCCGTGTCGACACCAATACGCCAGACATCTTCTCTCGTACCTCCGGGTATGGCGGCTAGCCTCTCTCAAGTCAGAGGACTCCACCTGGCTCTTCTTCCGGATGCACTGAGCCAGAGACGGCGTCGAATGGAGTCCATGGTCATGATACTGGCTTTGGTGAGCTTACCTAGGTGAGATTAGTCATTTCCTTTCTGATGACTTGGTGCTTGTACTCCTGTGAAGATTCGAGCTTCATCTGCATGTTGGTGGAATGTCTTATGACGCAGTATGGTTTCCTGCTTCTCTTCCGACACGTCCGTCGTCCACTGCCTCCGCTGGCATGTACGAGAGGAAAGGTAAATGATCCTATAAAGAACGTCAAGTCCCCGCCTTATTCTCGGCCTCGAAAACTCGTCAAGCGACATCCGATTCGATTTCCTAGTTGGTCCCTGTCCAGGCTAGACAGAATAAATTACTTAACCTTCATTTGCCTCGACCCTCGTTGAGCGAGCACAATCAGACACAATGGGTAACCACGCACTTGACATCAACGGCTTCGTCGTGAACGGCAAGACCGTCGACATCCACATCACCACCAGAGGATCTGACTGGGTCTTCACCGTGACCTCCATCATGGGTACTCTCTTCCTCTGCATCCTTGGCGCCGGCTTCTTGAAATCTGTGAAGAACCGGTTCTTCTTCTACACTCTCGCCGCACCAGCCTTCGTCGCTTTTGTTGTCAACTTCTCCATTGCTTCCAACCTTGGCTGGACTCCTATTGACGTCGAATGGCACCGCTCCGACGATGATGTTGCTGGCAACAACCGCCAAATCTGGTATGTCCGCTACATTGAATGGTAAGTGGCACTATTTTCTTTCCTTCCTCTCACTTTCTCTCCGGCAGAACATGGCCTAACATCCCTTTCAAGGTTCTTGGTATGGCCAATCATCAGCGTCGCCATCCTGCTCACCTCGATGGTCCCGACTCTTTACATCCTGTGGACAGTCTTCCTTACTGCTTCCATGGCAATCCTCGCCACTGTCGGTGCTCTGGTCAGGACCGACTACAAGTGGGCCTTCTACACGTTCTGGGTCTTTGACTGGCTTTTGGTAGGCTACAACTTGATCTGGCTGCCACGCAAGTACGCCAGCAGCCTTGGTCTGGACATCGCCCGTATCCACAACATCTCCTCTGGATTCATCTGGGCTGTCTGGGGTTTGTACCCCATCTGCTGGGGTGTGTCTGAGGGAGGCAACGTCATCCCACCCGACTCTGAGCTCATCTACTATGGTATCCTCGACTGCCTTCTCCTTCCAGTTCTCTTCAGCTACTTCCTGTGGGCGCACTGGAACATTGATCCCGCACGTCTAGGGCTTGCCATGAGATCCTATGAGGACCCTCTTCCGGGCACCCTATCGCAGCACGAAAAGCAGCGCATCTCTGCTCCCGCCGAGGGTGTTACCAATGGCACCGCTCCTGCTGAGCCTGCTCCGGCTGCCGCCGTCTAAACATGGCACCGAGCTACTTCTGGCCCATGCGACAGGATGCCCACACCTGCTGGGACAGCACCACAAGGACTGCATCGGATCAGACATTATAAACCCTCATCTGATCAGAGTTTTATTGATTGTTTTATTGACTTGCGTTTGATGGAAACAATAATAATTAATGTGAGGTGGAACCGTCAGAGCCGTGCGCTCTGATCCGCGCGGCCAACATGACGAGAATGAAAGGGAGGCAGGAGAAAGGCAAGAGGAAGGTGGAAAGTTTTCTTTGACTCAACATGATTTGAGATACCCACTCGCTATTAGATCGGTACACAGTATGTACGATATGTAGGCCTTAATTGTAAGCATATCAATAATATTATTAGCAAAAGAAATAAGTCCAATTCCTATGTGAAGTAGTGTTACAAGAAATTTGACTGTGGTAGTTGTGAGATCGGAATCGATAGATACCATTAGGGAACCGATTACCTAGGTAATTAATGAGCTTGCTTCCATCATTGTCTCCTTTGTCCTGTGCATCATAATCGTGGGTATCTCGAGAATAGGAAACAGGGGTATCATCGCGAATAGAACCCAGGAAAACCCTTTAGCAAAAGCAAGAAGGAGCCGGCACCCTCCGCGGCCTTCTCTCCTCGCTGGGGTATCAAACTTTGGACTTACGCCCGACTTCAAGTACACTCTCGGGCTCTCAGGTTCTCCGTCATCATGCACGTCTTCCGTCCCTTGATCGGTCGTCTTCGTCGGTGCCCATCCACGCCCAACTCCGGCCCAAGAGCTCTTCAACGAGTAACCTACTATGCAGCCGGGACCACACCCTCAGCAGCCGGCTCTTCACGTTCGGGCTTCTTCTCTTCTTTCGCCGACCCCTTTCCCCCCAGGTGAGGCCAATGAAACTTCTCCTTCTTGGTGGCACCTTCTTCTGTTTCTGTGGCTTCGGTCTTCCTTTCCGCACTGCTCGAGCGCCTGTGGAGGATCTTGTCGACTAGTGATTGTCTGCGCTTGGGCTCGTCGGTGTGCGGCGTGGCTTCCACCGCGGGAGCCGCAGCCGGGACCTCAGTCGCAGTGGGCTGTGGTGCCTGGTCCTCGGTTGGAGGTGCCTCTGCTGACGCCTAGGTGCGCGTGTGAGTCGATCTTGAAATAGCAGTTTATTTTCGTCGTGGAACATCCGTGTCAACGTACCTTCTTCGGATGGATCAGTTTGTCGAGTTTGTCGAGGACAGGCATTATCGTGTGGACTTTGGACGTTGTGTTGACTTTTGGCAAGTAGTGATAGCTTACACTTTTCCTTTTTGATTGTGGATGTGTTGTTTTTGGATTTTGGACACAAGACTAAAAACCTACCTTCTGGGTCTAGGGCTGGGAACCATTTTATCTGTGAAGCACGCCCCCTTTCGAGAACGAGAGAGAATGGTCTCGTCTGCCCATGGAATATCGTGGGTGATCATGTGATGAGGCATTTGCAGCACATAACGATTACTCGTAGGAATACGAGGACAATGAAGCCATCGACGATCGAGCGGGTGAAGGCTTGGAAATTCTCTCGTGATGGGTTTGGATAATCCCTGCGGGAAGAAGAGGAAGAGGATGTCCTTGTGACCGCCTTCGGCCGGGGCTCGTACATACTTAGTTCTCATCTGAACGTCCTGGCGGGGTTTGCATATGAAGGTTTCCGCATCGACACTCTGGGCACTCTTGGACCCTGCTGAGTCTCTCTGTCTCTCCTCAAGACCGGCCAGAGACTTGAGCAAGGCGAGTGGCGTCGCAAGCTTCCTTGAGGTTCCCTAGCGAGAGGATTGACGCTCCTGAGGGACGAACGAAACGACGGACCCTCTCAAGGATACTGACCGGATGTCGTGATCTTGCAATTAGTACGAGGATCGTGAGATGAGAGAGGTGAGAACTGGCTCATTCAGTATCGAAAAACCTTGTGATCCCCCCGTCTCTTCCGGTTAGTTCCAATTGGATCCGTGCGGAGTGGATGACGGTGAGTCTGGGATCTTCCGCTTGTTGGCGTCTCTTGCATCTGAGGGCCTCTCGGTCAGGACTAGAACTGTATCGTCGCGCGTTGATCTCCAACATTTCTGGTGTGAGCTGCAAGAGTCCTGTACTGTACGTGCGATGCGCCGATGAGGGGTTGACCGCCTTCTGCAAAGTTCTCTCAGACTCCGCCTACGAGTTCACGGGACTGACATCCGTCCGAGTACAGCACACGACTACTTCCAGGTTCTGTTGATCAGAGGAAGGGAGAGAGTTGGCACCAAAAGGCGCCTCCGTGTCCTCCATCAGACAATTTGTTCCGTTACCGCGCTCTTCGAACCCCTGAGACTCCCAGCGCACCATGAATGGTCTCCTCACTCGAGTCCCGATACGGGGCTCAGGGCGGTGCTTGAAGAAACTGCTTCAAGGAGCGCATCGGCGATCTTATCATCCCGAACCCCGTTCGTTCCAAAATAGTCCTCACCACACTCATCGTTTCGTATACCGGTGGACGATTCAGGCCGTTGGAACACCTTTGGCCGTTGCGTATCTCTGCGAAAGGGTGGCCGATAGGACCGATGGCGGGAGCGGCTTCAAGCTCGACTTTCCTAACGTTGAGACCGTGTTGTTGACGGAGCCGATCCGGATGAAGACGCAGGTCTGGGGCCAACTCTAAACATATGCCAGGATGAAGCTCTGAGGCTATATTCGTGTATATATGTGGGTTGTGATGTAAGGACGGACAGTGGTACGCTTCGCATGCAATCGGGGACAGGGACGATATCGTCTTGGAAAATTCTTCACGCCGACTATATGGCCTTCTCTCGGGCTCAGAGCTACGGTATCCCAGGTTCATGCCTCGTCTTTCTACAGACTACTCACCATCCCGCAAACCTCCTATCCACTAGCACCCTAGGCCCCCCATATTTCATATCATCGAGTAGACTTGTTGCATCCGTTGACTGTTCCTCCAAGAAAGGCACGCGTGGATTGCCACTATAAGACTTGCCGCGTCGAAAGTGCGACCCTTTCGGCTCAGGAGGGTTGCAGGTTGGGCTGCTCCTTGGAAACCAGCTGCTTAGTGGATTGGACTGGGAGACGAGGCTGCGAGGCTACTTAGTGACTGCGGCTAGCGTGAGTGCTCCACGGAGCTGGAGAATCTCTTCTCCGAGGGTTCAGCTCCGCATTTGACGGTGTTGCATGTACTCCGTACGAGTAATTAATTCACTTCTCCAACAACTGCTCAAACAATTTCATCACGCCACTTCTTTCCCGCTACTTGTTTTCTGGTCTACAGGTGATCGGTCTAGCCAGCACGTACAATAACTCGGTGCTCACCTTCAGCATTGCTCAGACTTGGAGGTTCTCCGTGCTCCGCCTTCGAGGATGAAATCCTCCAGCCTGACCCGGGGCGTCTTTCGGGCAATCATTGCCAATCGACCTTATGTCGTTCGAGACTGCCGGCGCCGTATTGCGTCAAGACCGAGACCTCGTGTTCTACCACCGACCATTCGACTATCTCAGAAGCGTAACTTCTTTGGTTTGACCTTCAGCGGCGGGCAGAAGACCTTGGTGGGTGCAAAGAATACCGAGGCCAATATCGAAGCTGCCCTGCTCCGCCTGGTCGATCTTGTCAAAGCGAGGAGGTCACAATCGAGACTGCCATCCGACGAGGAGGTCGCAGATGCTTTCAAGTTTTTCTTTGACTCCAGAGTTGCAGCGCCCGGACGACTGACGAGGAACGAGATCTTTTTGGTCACAGAAGCATTCAAGCATTTACAAGAGCGAGGACACATCTTATCTGGAGAGGAAAAGGCAGCGCTGTCAGAAGAAGACTTGGACAATGTGTTGCTGGTATTGGCGTCGTCCACGGGCCGAGATAGGTACCGAAGTGACGCCCGCATCCTGGCAACTCTTGTCTTCGAGGCTCTGCAGTCGAGATCCGGTGTCGTCGATGACATAGAGCTGGCGCCAGAGGCTGGGCATCAGGCCGTGAAGCCCTCCCTGCTGGTGACCTACATCACTGTGCTCGCCAAAACTGGTTCTGCTCAAGATGCCCTGGAGCTCTTGCGACGGTCTGAACAAAGTACCGAGAGAGCAAGCCTTTCCATGTGGACAGCCATTCTTACCGGATTGGCGAATGAAGGCCGGACACAAGAATTCTGGAAGGTCGTTCAGGAAATGCAAGACACGGCTGGTCCGCTGGATGCAGGCGCCCAGCAGTCGTTGGTGAGCTACCTGGCACAACGGGGCGAGTTCCATACACTCCAGAGAGTATTTGAGTTACCGCTGGAAGAGGGACAGGTGCCGACCACTGAGAGTCTGGTCAAAGCGGTAGACTGTGCTATACAAAATGGAGATTTGAAATGGGGATCTCGATTTGTCAAGGAGCTTGAAAATCGGACCGATTCTGGCGAGATGGCGGGAACATTAATCCTCTGGTATGCCTTGCGAGACCAAGATCCAACTCATATCCGACAGAAGCTTGAGCAGATGGCACAATCGGGAGTTACTGATGCAATCACCATGAAGACTCTCAACCGATTGATTGAACATGCCTACTTGCAACACCAAGCAGAGAATGCTGAGCGATATGTTCAATTGGCGGAAGATTTTGGGCTGAAACCGGACGCAAAAACACATTCGGTTCAGCTGCACTACCATCTTCACCAGGGAGATCGCGCCGCGGCTTATTCGACGTACGAGCTCCTTTTGCGGGATGATGTTCCTGCGGATCGATGTGACTCTCGCGTTCTCAACGAATATATAACCTCACTGGCATTTTCGGCAAACCCGGAATATACTCATCTCATGCAAATTGTCGACCACATTCTCGATACCGATGCTGAGTTGGAGCCCGAGGCCGTTGCCGGACTCTGCCATGTTTTCTTGCAGAAGGATGAGCTCGAAGAGGCGACGGGAATTCTGCGTCACCGAATCGACTCGTACCCGATGGACGACCGAGCGCGTATTGCCGCAGTCTTTCGTCAGTTTATTGCAGACCCGACCATCACAGCTCAACGAGCATTCAACGCTTACGAACTTTTCCGACATGCCTTTCCAGAGGCAGAGGTTGAGGACCGTATCCCGTTGATGCAATCGTTCTTTGATCGTGGTCGCTCGGATCTGGCGTGTTTGGTGTTTGGTCACATGCGACAACGGGAGGAGCCAGCTGCGAGACCCACGCCTGAAGCATATGCAAAATGTTTCGAAGGCATAGCCAAGTGCAAAGATATTGACGGACTCCAAATGGTGTACAACATGCTCAAGCTTGACTTGATGGTCGAGCAAACGACGCGCATTCACAATGGCATGATGGCAGCGTACACGGCGTGCCAACAGCCATTTTCGGCCATCATCGACCACTTCTGGAAGATCATGGAGTCCCGAGAAGGCCCGACCCTGAGTTCGTTCGCTCTCGCCCTCCAGGCTTGCGAGAAGTGGATCCCCCAAGGGGCGCACGAAGCCAGACACATCATGGCGCTGATGCAGAGTTTCAACCTTGTCATCACCAAGGAGATTTACGATTGCTACGTGGGCGCTTTGGCGGGCCAGTCCGAGTTCGAGAATGTGGTGGAGCTGATTGAAAAGATGGAGGAAGACATCGGCGAACCACCGGACGTTCTCACCATCGGGACCTTTTACAATGCCATACCCTGGCAATATAGGAAGGACGAGGTCGAAAAGTGGGCCAAGCAGGCGTACCCTGACTTGTGGGAGGAATTGGAATCGTACGGAGACGAGATCGACGAGGAGTGGGAAATTCGCTATTTCAAAATCGACCGAAACATCGACATGGATGACGGCTTGTTGTTTGCCGAGGGAGAGTATCATCCTGTCATTGCACAGGCGAGACAGACCACGCTGGAGGCACCGAGGAAGTAGCAGAGCAGCCTCGCCGTACACGAGGAAACTTTAGGCAGGCATAATGAAATATACATAAATGTCATGACGAAAGGACCTGACGATCTCGATATTGACTTTCGACTTTTTTTAGATTTGTCGTGTTGTTTACAAAATGATTCTATATCTTGAGAGAACTAGGCCAGGTAAAGTAAACTCATATACTCATCCGTCTCGTTCTCGGTCTGGTTCTCCGTCTCGCTTTTCCAGGTCTATACTCGTGCCGTGAAGCGGTCTTTTCATTCATAGCCGCAGTCTTGAATACATGACGACTTTTCTCATCATTGAAACAATTGTAACCTTCGTCGTCGTCGTCGTCGTCGTCGTCGTCGTCGTCTTCATGATCAGACGGCTCCCCGTCGTAGAACCCGGCCGGCATGGGTCCCTGGGTACTATAGCCTTCCTGTTCCTGGAGAATGTCGACGTGCCTGACGGAGCTACTAGCGGGGTCGATTTCGTTCCTGAAGGTGAGGTCCTGGGGTTCGCGCCAGCCGTACTTGACCTTGACGCCGGGGAACATGGCGGCGATCTCCTCGCCGGACAGCAGGCACCCTTTGGCGCCGAGGCCCTCGACGACGGGCCGGAGCAGGCGGGCGGCGCTGAGGGCGCTCTGGTCGCGGATGATGGCGGTGTTGGACCAGACGATGACGCACACGGAGGCGACGAGCTGCAGCACGGGCACGAGGACCAGGATGGTGCCGGCCCACGGCCACTCGACCGTCACGGCCTGCGCGAGCACCGGGTACCAGCCGGTCACGTTCTGCTGGGGGCCATTGTAGTCCATGGCGGCGACGGCCTCGATGGCGTACTCCATGACGCGCTGCTCGACCCAGTACGCCGTCATGGGGTGCGCGGGGCTCCACCACGACGACTGCGTGTACCGCGACATCTCGTACGCGAGTTGGTTGTCGTCGTCGGCCGGGTCCGAGTAGTCGATGCCCGACATGGACCAGCCGATGGCGCCGGCGATGATGCGCGCCTGCTCGTCGCGGATCTGGAACGTCAGTTCCGTCTGCTCCGTGCCGGCGTGCAGGTACTCTTGCACCCCCTGCACCGGCGTCAGGGTGCTGTTGCACGTGTAGAACGACGGCCGGGGGATGTGCGGCGCGCTGGCGTTCTGGAGTGCCATGACCTGGCTGCAGCGCGGGCCGCACGTCGCATTGAGAACGCCGATGTAGGTCACCGCACCCGGTTCGCCCGGTTGGAGGTCGAGGAACTTGAGAGCGCCACGCTCGTCGACGTAGCTGATTGTCTCGGTGCCCGTGTCGTTGCTGTAGCCCGCCTCAAGGTCCGACACGTCGACGAGTTCGAGAGCCGTGCAGGTTGCTTCTATGGTGATGGTGCGGTGCGAGATGAGCGTTATCGCCGCGTTCGTTGGGTTTTCGTCTTGGAACGCATATGTCATGCTCGTCCAGTTCACCCCGTTGCCGTAGATGGTCGGTGTACTTGGTGACCCGAATTCCCAAGGGCCGGTCTGTCCGGGCACTGGTCCGTCGACGAAAATGTAGTCCTGGCCTTGGATGCCGTAGGTGTTGGCGGAGCCCATCTGCGCCGCAATGTTTGGGTTGTCGGCACTCCAGATGTCGTTGATCTGGGTCAAATTGGCAACGCTCAGCTTGCCAAACTTAAGACCTGGGTGTGTCGAGGTGCCGAGGTTGTAGGTCACTCCCAGTAGTGCGATGAGGACTTGTAGACACATGTTGATTCCGAGCCACACGGCGCAAAGGCATTGCGTGCGGTTGAGCCTGAAGAATAGTCGTCCTGGTGTACGGGCCGTGCGGAACAGACTGATGACTTTTCGCAGGCTGTCACAGGACATGATGAGGTCGAATTCTTCGAGCGAGCGATACTTGGACGCTAGCAGCCGCCAGCGGAACATGAGCGCGAATTCACGGAGCGTGCTAGCCAAGTTGTTGCCGGTAAACAGGGACAAGAGGACTATAAGCGCGTTGAACAGCTTGACCTGGCCTACTGACATCTTGAGTAGGTTGCCAAATACCCCGAGACACGTTGCAAGAAGGCCGCACATGATCGCGGTGGTGGCCCATCGATACATGGCCTTAACGAAAAGGCGCCAACGCTGACGACTGGGGTTGAATTCTCGAACAGTTGGAGATGCGACTTCTTCGGACAAAGCTCTTGAAACCGAATGCCGCCATGGCTGCCTGTAACGCGTAGCTATCCTCGGGAGAGCTCGTTGGGACTTAGTAGTAGGAGAATTGGGAGAATCGGTCGAGTAGATCGTGTCGCTCCAAGTCAGGGGAGACGGAGAGTCTGACGCAGCCGTTGGTGGTTCATATTGCCCACCAGAAGCCGCAGAGTGCAAGCCGAACTTCTCCATCATTGTGGTGGACTGTGGCGTGCCGCAGTATCATTATCACTTTCACCTTTGGTCATCGAGATATCATTTTGAAGGTGTTGTTATTGTCGACAATGAATGATATGTTTTGATCGAGGCAATAAAAAGGCAAGGTCGGGGAGGGTGGGGAGAAGGAAAGGGATCGTAAAGGAGCCGCACATGGCCCAGAATCCGATAAGTCTTCCTCAAAACTCTGTCCTCGTGGTGGGCGAGTCATTTTGATCCAATAACTCGGCTGCTTCCGGGTGTAGAGCGCAGTGCACGTTCCAGTCTCAGGATTTTCGATCAATCGTGGCGGAGAGTTTTTGACATCTCGATGCTGACGCAGCAGTCTGGAACACTCAGCTTCGCCTGCGCGAAAAAAGTTTGAGCTAATCGCCCAGAGAATGGCACCGTTACTCTGGTTTCAGATGTCGACGCTGAAAATCTAAGTTTAGCATGCCACGATGTCTGGAGTGGCGTCTTTTTGGTTGGTCATGATCCTTGATCCTCCCAACCTTGATCCTGGGGGTGATGTTGATTATGTCAGCCCCACGTGACTCCCCGACGTCCCTTATCATCCTTCCTTGAGCACCACCCCTGCTGTCCTCCTTTCCTGCCAGAATGTGTGCGCTCTTCGGGCATTAGGTGTGATACAGACGTGTCGGTATCAGGCCGCCCGAGCAAACGGAAAGCTCAAGTTCTAACATCATGATGTCGATACCGCATTTCGGCGTCGGTCAACGAGTCCCCCGGGGAACAGGAGACTGAGGCCACCACGGTCATCCCTGCCGCTGGCCGATAGTAATGCTCTTCTTGAATTTACAGTAAATCGATTACCGAGATAACCGGAATGAGAGGCCTGACGGCCATGGATCAAAATCCGAGCGAAGGGCCGTAATGGGAGAAGAGCCAGCAACATCAAGCAGCTGCTTCATCAGATCACGAGGACGACTGGTGGCCTGGGACTTCCAGATCAGTGCGATGTTCCGACTCGGTAAGACTCTTTGAACCAAGGACATAACAACGCCTCACTACCGAAGTTGATGTTCCATCCTACAGGTCAAGATGCCAGACTCTTCGTATCAAAGGATCTTGTCCGCAGGAGAAAATCAGCTGATATGGCTCACTGACACCGCACAAGATATCGCTGTGAATATTCATGCTGACAAAGCCAGGTTTCTCATCATGAGCCCCGGTTTCCGCTGGAGACCGCTCTGAAGTGAATTCAAATGAGGAGGCTGGATCTCTCTGCGGGAAGTTTTTCGATCAATTCACTGCCCATGTAGAGGCACAAGTGAGATTTAATATACAAATGAGGACTCGCTATATCGCTACAATATGCAACGCTACGGCAATGCTATGTCTAGGAATCGAGTTGGAAGGGCCTTGAGGTCCCTGCCTTTACTCTTGGGTATATCAATACTCTTCTACCAAAACCGCGGTGCTTGGAGCAAGGAGGCAGTCAATCAGCACATCTTTTCATATCCCCATCACCTCACCTTCCCTTCGTTTACACTGTCAATGGGTGGCTGGGCCAAGGTCTGGCTTCATCAATGGCAGAATTTTCATCTATTCAAACGGCAGAACTTTTCAATGGAGTGAATGATGTCTCCTTGCCTACTTCAACTTCTCATTTCGAAAACTTCCTCCTCTTTTCTCCCTCTCTCTCACCCAGTCTACTTACCCTGAGCCACATACTCTTTCCTCCACTCTACACTGAGAGCACCCATCTATCTTGTGGCAGTACGTTTGAAGATGGATACTACGTTCGGAAGGAAACGTCGTCGTGATGACGACGATGGTTTCAGCTTCTCTGCTGTCAACGAAATTCCCAAGAAAACACCAAAGCGTGCTCCTCCAGCACAAAACATGCTCTTCTTTCAATCTCCTACTCCCAATGTGCCGAACACCCCATTCGGCGATGTCTATCAGCCTGCGGCGAAACGCGTGCGATCGAGCAAGACTCGACAAGAAACTACTGGCTATGTTACTTTCGACAGCCCTCATAGCGAGATCGTCTTCTCGGAAGTTGACAGCATCATGGCAGGCTTCGGAGAGTACTTGAAGCTACGGGCCAACGGTGGTGGGGCGAAGAAGAATCAAGGTGTGGCTGCCAACCGTGAAGGCATGGACAGTGAAATGGGACCGTTGGCTCTATCTACGCACTTCATCGACCCTGCAAACTACCGGAAAAACCAATGGATTGGCCGCAGCATGAACCACCCTGAACCAGCACCATCTTTACTTCGTCAGCAGACTGGCTTTGACTATCCAGTCCCAAAAGTCACTGGCATATTGGCTTCGATCGAGGAAGCTGAGGAGTTGCATAGACGGCAGCAACAACCAGGCAACATGACAACGATAACCACTCAGCCCAAAATCATGCTGTCTCCAGGAACGCAGCCTCGTGACCCTGTTCCTCGTCCTGTTCAACTACCGGAAAAGTCCTATCAGAATGTTCCTGTTCTCAACCAGTTCCAACCTCGTCAAACTTCTTCTGTCCAACGCCCCTCCCCTGGCTTCCAACGTCAGAATTATGCTCCACAGCCGACACGAGCCGAAGTGTACCCTCTTGTTCAGAAGCAGATGCGGGTGCCTGGTCAAGCTACGCCTGTCCAACATCCTTCATCTGGCCTTCAACACAATACCCCCGTTCCACTACCAACACGAGCTGAGATATACACTCTTGTCCAGAAGCAGATGCAGGTGCCCGGTCAAGCTACATCTATCCAACATCCTTCACCTGGCCTTCAACACAACACACCTGTTCCACAACCGACACGAGCTGAAATCTACGCTCTTGTCCAGAAGCATATACAAGTTCCTGATCAAACTGCTTCTGTCCAGCGTCCTTCACCCGGCCTTCAACACAATACCCCCGTTCCGCAACCGACACCAGTCTATCAGTACAGTCCTTCGGTCCGAAACCAGATGCAGGAGCCTGGTCAAGCTGCGTCTATCCAGCATCCTTCACCTGGCCTTCAACACAATACCACTGTTCCACGACTAACGCCAGTCTATCAATACAGTCCAATTGTCCAGAACCAGGTGCAAGTGCCTACTCCAACTGCTTCTGCGTCTGTTCAACATCCTCTATCAGGCCTTCAACCCTCTACCCCTGTTCCGGAGCCGACAACAGTCTATCAATACCCTGATCCGGTTCAGAACCAGAACCAGATACAAGTTCCTGAGCAACCTTCTTCTGCGTCTGTTCAACATCCTTCACCTGGCCTTAATGCCTCTACCCCTATTCTGCAACCAACACCAGTCTATCAACACACTACTTCAGTCCAGGACCAGATCCAGATCCAAATGCCTGATCAAACTGCTTCTGTGTCTGTTCAACATCCTTCACCTAGTGTTCAACCCCCTACCCCTGTTCCGGAACCGACATCAGTCTATCAATACACTACTCCGGTCCAGGACCAACCTGATCAAAATGCTTCTGCGTCTGTCCAGGATGAGGACCCTTCTTCTTCACATGGTCTTGAACAACAACACAATCCGGACGTCGAACCCGCCACCGAGACCGAAGCTGCACTCCTTGCTCTCGGTGTCGACGTTTCGGACTTTGCCCAACTTCCTCCTCCGGAGCCTGAGGCGGCTGCGTTCGTCGAGAATGAGGCTGGCTTGCCGAGTGACGCATTGCCCGAATTCAATTTCGACGAATTTGACATGTTCAACAAGAATCACGCAGTCACTAGTCTGAGCGACGCATTGCCCGAGCTCAACTTTGACGAATTTGACATGTTCAACGAGAATCAGCCATACAATCCGAGCGATTGGGGCTTCTAAAGAACAAGACTGGACTCGTCTGGGGTGGTCTGGTCGACTCGTACGTACTGCTGCTGACGCCGCCGCCGACGTGGTGCCGGTTTAATTTTGAACGACATGAGTTGAATCTGCATATTGCATACTGCAATGGGTCCAAGATTGGTTGGAGGGCTTGCTGCGTATACTATTGCGGTATTACCGAGTTGATGGGCAGCGTATTCACACACCGGATGAATCGATTGATCGTCGAATGAACAGCGTGCAACGTATACCGACTGGATGGCTCTGCATTTCTATACTGGATGGGGATCATGGGATCGATTGGAGAAAAGTATAGAAAAATGGTGTGCCTCATACCCGTGGCCTCAGGTCTGGAATTGTTTTTGTGAATTGCGTTTGGTTCGATCACATTGGTTCTTTCATTTCTTCATTCGAATGTGCGCGAACAACAGAATGGTTAGTTGGTCTCGCACAACAAATTCTTCCGAGTACATTGTCAAAGGAAGACAAACAAACAAGCAATCTATCAAAAAAAGGTACAAAAAAAATTAGGAAACCAAACAGTAAATACCAGATACAAAAAAAATATCAAGGACTAGTGGAATTTCAACGATGAACAATCGAGTCGAAACACGCATGACAGTACAATTCCCGAAATAACAATGACAACTTAGAACAACAACGGCAAACGTCTTGTGCTGACTCGACTCGATTATGAGTCGACAGTCGACCATCGTTCGAACCGGCCACCTACGTACTCTTACGGTCTCCCCCTCGGCCATCCATGCGGTCGCGGCCACTCTGGCTTCGAGGTCCACCACCCCATCACGGGCCCGGACTTCCGACTACCTACCTACCTACCCACCCACCCACCTACGTGGGCTCATTCCTCCTCGAGGTAGCTGTCGCCTGGCACCCACGGTCTCTTGAAAGAGAGAGCAAACGTGCCCCGTCAAGGCATCTTTTAAGGGCCGCCCGGGGTTGGGTATGCATGCATGCATACATGGCATTTCTTGAACTCGGGGCAGGATACAGGACGTGCGGACCAAGGTGTAGACCGTACCGAGAGCCCCAACTGCCGTAGAGTCGTCGAAACGGCCAAGTACAAGTGGGTCGTTGGGTCATTGTCTACGGTGGCGGATGCTCAAACACACCCTAGACATGCTCTCTCATTGTGTCGTATCAATCATGATGTATGTGAACCAAAGCCCTTTGAACTCGAATGCAAATGCCGACGTTATCGTCATGCTGTGTCATAAGACGGTGCCCACCCATAATTCCAGTCCCAGCTTCGGCTCCCTGATTCATCAGTTGCTGACCGCTGCCGGAATATTCGTTGTCGTAGCTCACTCAATACACGCACCAAGACAAGACACGAAACGACAAAAATGCCAGTCCAGTCTATGACCCGTATTGGCTCAAATCCAAACCCATGCCCTTTGCGACCTTCCTCTCCATCCACCTCCTTCTGAAGCCTTCTCGAGCAAGTTCCCTCGTCTTCCTCGACCATATATCTGGTGCGACGCGCCCCCGGACAAATCCTTCCTGCAAAGCCAGGATGGCATTTTCGATACCCCTTTCTTCACATGCGGCGTCGTACATCTGACGAGCCACGACGGTTGGAGGAACCAGCATGTCGTCGACGGCCGGGATGTCGTTCTGGCTTGCGCGTTGGCGGGCCGAAGAGATCACGCCGTCGGATTTGGAAAGCGAGGTCGACAGCAGCGAGAGATTGGCCGATATTGTCGAGTGTAGAGTTTGCAAGTTGGTGAGTTCAGCGGACAAAGTGGTCAGAGTCGACTGGAGTGCTGCATTTTGGGAACGCAGTGCGGGCAGGGCGCTTGTGGATTGAGCAATTTGAGAGTGGAGGGATTGAGTGACTGTGTGGGAGAGATGAGTAAGGAGGGCTTCCTTTTCCGGGTTGACGGGGATGGGAGGAGCAGGGATGGCGGTTTTAGCATGAGCTGTAGCGTTAGCCGCTGAGGGAAGGGAGATTTCGAAAGGAGAGTCGAGAAGGTCAGGAGGGGGCTCAGCTTTCGGTTGTGAGACAGGCGGCTGTGGGTGGGGTTGACCTTGGTACTGAGGATGAGGCTGTTGCGGTGGTGGGGTTTGGCCAGGGGGGTTCTGAGGGCCACCGGAATATCGAGGATGACCTTGTTGAAGTGGTTGTGAGTGGTATTGGGTTAGCTGCGACCGAGGATCATAGACTTGCCCTGGATAAGGATTTGATGATCCTGGCTGCTGAGCGTATTGCTGGCTTTCGCCCGGTCTGTAAGGTTGAGCTCCGTAAAGGGGTTGCTGCTGCTGCTGCTGCTGCTGCTGCTGTGGAAGCATCGATTGCCGTAGACTGCTAGTTCGCTGAGGCGAATAGTTTAGACCAGTTGGAGATCTAGGCACGTCGCCGTTTCCGTAGGGGTGCTGAGGTCTCTGACCGGGACTCAGTTGATGTGGAGGCAATGGTGGGGGCGCATCGTATCGGCTCTGTCGCTGGCTAGAGATACCTGGTGGTGATTGTCGTTCAAGATGGGCAGACGGCTTCGGCGGTGGCGGCGGGGGTCCTACTTGGTGTTGTTGTGGTGGTGGTGGACTAGACACGGGGACAGGTGAGGGATGCTGTGTGAGCTCTCTGGGTAGAGGTGGCACAGGAGGCGGCGTTGGTTGAGTTAGTCGTTGTTGTGGCTGACCTTTGGCGACAACAGGCGGTTCTTTCGCAAAGACATCGGCCAATATGGAAAGGAAGTCGACAAGGTTAGATCTCTGATGTGCGTTTTGTCAACATCCAACCATTGATTCTCGGTGTCGTGCCAATCCGACTTACTTCCCAGGCTTCTCGCCAATGTGCCAGATATGGATGATAGATTTTCCCATCCCCACCAACATATTGCCCAGGTCTTATTATCATGTCGTCCGTCGGCGTCACATAACACATGGGCGGTTCGTATGGATATGTATGAGGTACCCATAATGAGATGGGGAACCTGTAGACATTCCCTCGAAAGTTGACTGGTATCGTCCCTTTGAAATGGATTAGGAGCGCCGATACTCCGTTCTCAAAAGCTACAACACTGTGTCAACGAAAGGCCCTCCTCTGACTCTTCCGCCTTTGACTCACTGTAGACATCGGTTCGAGGTGCGAATCCATTGTTGCGGGATAGCACGTAGGCGAGGTCGGAGTAGGTTCGGTTGGGGTCTCGGTATTCCTTGCGCGGGTCAGTCCATACACATACACACACAATGGCGCAGGACGCTTTCTTACACGCTTCAAGACATCATAGAGCCAGCTCAGAGTCTTTTGCGGCACACCGGCCATTTGTCACGGTCTTGCTTGAGATGCTCGTTGGTCTCTAGGCGCAGTCGAACGTTGAGGGACGTTTCTAATTGGCCAAGAAACTACTCGCCCATCACCCCGGATTGGGACGTGGGTGACGCCGCCCTGAGGCCAACCCTGAGGAAGCCGGGGGACTATTCAATATTGTTTCGAGATGCACTTACAGTTGATCAGGCAGAGCGGCGGCATCGGTAGACTACTCTATCACAGATGACGGACAGTGGTTCCTTGGAAGTCTCAAAGATTGGATTGCTGGCTGGAATATGAATCACATTAAACTACCCTGATTGGACATGTACCAAATACGGTCTTTGAGCCAGGGGGCTGATTTAGCCAACATAGTCTGCAAATTTTATGAAATCCTCATCCTTTCTGAGCGCCATGAGGTCATCATCGTTCAAGCACATCGCAACAGCCATACCCCCATCTTTGTCTTTGGGCATGAGATAAAGCAAACTTGGAGCAGCACCCATCCTCGGCCGTCTCGCAACATGGCATTCCAAGCACCTCCCCGAACGACTTCTGACAGCACCCGACGTTTGCGTGACTGGAGAATATGACATCCCGATCGAGATCCAGTTTCGCACCATTCACTAGCTGATTCTTGTCGTCGACGCGATCGAGCATCGTCGCAAACGCACGTACGTGGCGTGTGATTTTCTCGTCGCTCTGAAGCAGCATGCGCAAGCGCGCCGCGACATCCCCAAGGGGTAGCTCGTACACGTCAACGTTCGAGCCGTAGACAACGTCGACCATATGGCCCAAGTAGAGGGAGGAAAGGCCAAGATACCTGCGCGCACTGATCGGGCGGGCAAAGGTCGACGTGGCGTGGGACCCCAGTCGGTTGGCACGAGCTCGTAGGATGGCCTGCCAGCACAGAGCACCCACGGCGTCGTCCGTGGTGATATATGGTACGAGAGTTTGGTGACTCGCAGCGGTCTTGAGGCGAGCCAAATTCGACGAGGTGATGGTGAAATATGCCCACACCGCGGTCGACGCGGGTTTGGGCTTCGTGGCCGCCTCTGAGCAGTTCGCTGGGTTGTTCTTCTCCTCCATCCTAAGGGGGCTGACCATGACGTCTTCGAGCTCGTTGCTGGGTTCATATTCGTCTCCAAGTAGTGGCACGATGTTCCCCCGTGGCTGGTTGCCCTGTTCGATCTCCTCGTCGGTGAAGCACTCCAGACGACAAGCTTTGGCGAAAAGTGAGATGATCATCCCCATGCCCGTCATGTCTGCGGTCATGTGGTTGCAGGAGAACGTGAGTAGGAGCCCACCATGGACAAGGTTGGCCTGTAGAATGAGGACTGGTGCGATTTGACTGAAGTCATTGGGATCTTCGGGCCACGAAGAGGCAATTGGCGGGAGGATGATAGCTGGGTCGAGGGAGGTGAATGGATATTTTGTAGTACTTAATTCTGATAAGCTGGGAAATGCAGGGTGGCTCTCTCTGATGTCGTTGACGTTTAGGCTTATTCTTTCGTCGAGAGGGATGATCTTTGGTCTGCCGCTGCAGCCTTGACGCCGCCCTTCCATAATGACTTGTCCTGCGAGGAAGGGAAAGGCCTTCGCGAGCCGCAGCAGGCCAACCGCCAACGTGCTTTCGATTTCATTCGAAGAATATGTTTCTGGAAGACGAAAGCATAAACATAGCACAATGTACCGTTTTAGCATAGGCAAGTTGCCCATGACATCTTGGAGGTGTGTGAAGTCGTGAAGAGTTCCGTTTGGAGCCATGACGATTTAGTCCAGCAGGAGTAGAATGCGAGGTTGCGATCAATGCTCCGTTTCCATACTGATATATAACAACCGACTCCAAACACGAGTAGCTGTGCACTCGTTGCTGTTCGTCCAGGCTCAACTCACTAAGCCAAAGAGAGCCAAGGGCCCTTCTTCCAGTTTCCTGATCGAGCCTTGTGAGAGGAACGAGTGGAGAATCCGGTAGTTGTGCAGCATTGTTCTCTAATCATTCCAAGGGTAAACCGAAATCTTATTATTTTTATTTACATAGAGAAGACTGAAACAAATATGCAAAGTAGCTTGTGGATCATATGAGATCTATTCCATGGGTATCATAATGCTAATCATACAACACAGCAAGTAACTTGTCTTTTTTTGAAGAGAATTCTAGCCACCATCATTCCGAATCACTTCTGAGCAGCTGCTTGCTTGTCGAGATCAAGCTCAACTCCACGTTGACGAGTCTTTCCCTCGTCGTGGATATCTGCATATTTTTCCTGCTGAGCACGATCACCTGTCAAGGCGGCAGCAGCACCGCCAACTGCACCTTGGACACGATCACTGATTCCCTTGCCAAGGTCACTGAGTTGACCCTTGGCTTCCTGCCCCTGGCCCTGGAGATTCTGCTCGCGGCCTTGCTGCTTGAGGTTTTCATTGCCGAGCAGGTTTCCCACGGTCTCCTTGGCGCTGCCTATTGTTTGATCCCATTGTCCTTGAGTACGGTCGCTGTTGTCTTTGGCCGGAGCGCCGGTTGAACTGATGGTGAAAGGTCCAGCCTTGGCCGCAGCATGGGAAAGGTCTGATTCGGCCTCTCCCTTGGCTTTGTAGTGGTCTGCGTTGGCTTGATCGCCAGCACTGCCAGTAACGGCGGCGATGCCTGAGTTGATGTATCCCGTGGCAGTGTCCACGACAGACTGGAGGGTAGAGGTGTTATCTTGGGACGACATGTTGAACGGTTGATTATTGTTTGGATGGACGTGTGAGATTCAGTTTGGGGTTATTGGTTCGAGATGTTTTTGTCTTGTTGACTGCCGGCAGGAACAACTGGTCCCTGCGAGAGGATTACGCCGTATTTATAGACGTCAATGTGAAATCTTGCTTAAGCTGCTATTGCCAGTGTGAATCGTGGTCTGAACGCAGGGGAATGCGAAAGGCGGGGCCAGTGAGGCGATGATGTCATGGCAGCCACAGCTTGGCGACCAAAGCGTGTGAGGCTGCACCGATTCAGTGGCTGAAATGCAGCCTAGTGGGCACTAAGGCGCATTTAGTGTCACCACTAGGCCTAATGCGGAGTACGCGCCCTCAGAACCTCGATCGACGCATCGAGCATCAAGCATCGACGTCATCTCCTCACGAAAACCTCCGGGAGAAAGAGATTTGGGGGTGATCTGAGACACACCATGGCACCATCCGAGTGCCACATGGTGAAATGCAACGCAATGCTTTCATGTGAAAGTCTCGGTTGCCTGCCAATCCGCCTTGAGCGAAGCTTCTCGTGGCCACGGTAGTGTGACAACTGGTATCATCGCAAGCAGACCCGGATGAGTCGTTCTCGTACTCGTATTCTCATCAACGATCTTCAAGCATTTTCTTGACCCGGGGATCATCAACCAGGATCACGATTCATACATCAGAATCTGATCTTCGGCCCAACAAACACCAACAAGAATGCAATCACCCACATACCAAAGATCATGGCATACAGTTTCATTCTTCCCAGCCAGCCCTCCTCTTCACTCATTCGTCTGAGGAATGCAAGATTCTTGCTGGCGGCCTCCATCGAGCTGACACTGACATCAAGCCCTTCCATTGCCCTCCCAAGGATGCTCTTGTCCTGCTGTAAAGCGAATTGCATAGCTTGTGCTTGCTGTTTCAGCTGGACGGCCATACTGACCATCGATGCAGAGATGTCCTCCTGCACTCGGGATGAGTTTAGTAATGATCTCTCTGTAGCTGATGCATTCGAAAAGCCTGTCGTTTGGGCCTCCGAAGCCTTCGCCGGATTTGTTTGGTCTCCCCCCCTCCTCCGTACTGTGGATGAGGAGAACAATTGGTTGTTTCCCATTTGTTGTTCCCCTTCTTCTGCCTCCTCTTCCACCTCTGTGACGGGTTTGCTTTCCCTCAGAATGTCGTCCTTTTCAGTCGGAGCTTCTCGTTGCTCGCGAGGCCGATCAAGCTGCTCAAGTACATCGAACAGGGTGTCGCCTTCTTCGTTATCCGCGACAGGAACTTTCCAAGCCTCTGTGCCCAACATCTCGATCTCGCGTCCAATCTCTTCAATCCGACTTCTCAATCTTTTGATAATGGCTCTCTTGTCTGCCAGATCCTTGATGGCCTCGTATTTGGCTCGTTGTACTCTGATCATCTGTGCCTTTCGTTCCAAGTGTAACAACAGAGTTCGCGCCCCTTCGACATTGCGCAGCCATTTCGTACGGTGATATGGTAAAGGAGACCACAATTCTGCTTGTACTTGTCTTTGTAAGGTCGATAATTCTGTTGATCCCTGAGAGGATGGCGACGGGGTCAGGAGTACAAGATGTTGGAAGCGTATCAGGGTTCTACGCAGATTGAGGTAGTCAACCTCATGTCGGAACGGTCGCGCGTGCTCGCTGTCGGCCGTGGTATCCTCTCGTCTGGCTCCTGCACCGAAGGTCAGGGCCACCGGGCGAAGGGCTGAAGTGAGGGACATATTGTATGGATATATTCGGTAGGTAGTTTTGCCAAGAACAGAGTAGTCGGCCTGGAAGTCTTCAACATCACAGTTGACGCATCCAGGAACATCTGCGGAACGACAACGAGCCAGCAATGGCCACAAGTGACCGAAGTCCAAACGAAAGGTAACATCACGTGATTGTGCTAACCTCTTTCTGAAGATTACATAAGCAAATATTCTTAGGTAAGCTAATTAATTGTACAAGTTCTCTTCTCTACCCCATTGTTACCCTCTTCTTTACATTTCTCATGCTTGAACAGTGGGAGTAAACCCGACCAAAGCTTTCATGGAGACAATACCATGTATATTTCAACATAAAGATCCTCCTCGATCTGACTGCGTTCTTTGTCCGCAGTCTCTTTGTACCCATGTGCTCTACAATGGATCCTTCAGCTCCGAGGCAGTCGATGCCTGGTACTAGTAATATTGATGTATTGGCATACCTAGCTAAGGCAGTTTCGCCTTTTCTATATAATTATTTTCTCCATCCTCCTTCCGTTCTCGATTCTCAGAGACGCAACACACCCCGTCCTCTGATTCGAGTCAACCCCAGGAACAGCCTCGTTATCTCAGTCAGAAGACAGGTAATTTCCACAGCACTTCACCCCAGATCGCCCTAACCTGCGACATCATGTCTACGATCATTGTGCCATGCTCTGAAGGTGACACAGTAATCTTCCTCAAAGTCGTGGATGGCGACAAGGAGTATATCATTCTCATGAGGAAGCGAGACAAGTTGAGAGATTTGATGAAAAAGTTCTGGAAAGGATCGTGCAAGAGACCCCACCCAGCACTCTTTACACACCAAGGTAAGAAAATCCGAGCTCGCTCCACTGTAGCTTCGCTCGGACTCGTTTGTGGTGATACAATCCAGTATCAAGCCACTGGCGAGAACCCCAAAGAAATCTTCTACGAAGAGCTCGTCATACTCGCAGACAGCTGCAAGCAATTCAGCAAAGGCCTGATGATAATCTTCCACGACATGCCCGTGGCCTGGTTCGAGTCAGAGGATGTGGAGGCGCAAAGAGTGCTGCTGAAGCACAGCGTGGAAGAACTCAATGATAGAATGCTAGATCTCAAGCATCTTCGCCATGCGCCCTACAATCGGGTATCTTATGGCTGTCTTACTGCCGCACAATTGTTCCTCGCGGAATTCATGCTCGAAATGTTCAGCGTCGACGATATTTTATGTAAGGCCACATTCGCTGCCGGGGACTTGCGTCTGCACCCGGAAAGAGTTGCAAAGATGTGTTTTGGGGCCGCCTTGAATAGGGAAACACTGTTCAAAGTCTCTCGACAATGCAGCTTTTGCCGAATCATGTCATCAAATCCTCACGCGAAGACGTAGCTATGAGCGATGTCGATCATATCCCCGAAGCAAGCACTTCGCAGAGTTTCGGCGAGGAGGATGACGAAATCTGTCTCGTCTGCCATGAGTCCGTCCTCCAGGCTTCGGCCTCTACTACTGGTGCTAACAAGCAGGTCAGCCCAGACGTGGTTATGGTCTCATGCTGCCACAAATTCGCGCACGCTCTTTGTCTTGCCGAATGGTTCGTGCACAGCGTTTACTATCAAGACTACCAAACTGAGACGTGTCCTCACTGCAGAACAGCTTACCCTCCCAGCGACGCTTACCCGCTGCACCGCAAAGCGTTGTTTGCCTTGGCTTCTCGAGAACCACACGAAATTGAGGCAGGACACTGGGCCGCGATGTGGCAGGAGATGGAGACTGCTTCACCACTCAGAAGTTGATTTGCAAACGGCCATCTGGCTAACGATAATGGTCCAATTTGACCTTTGATTACCTGATGAAACGTTAGGTGATCCCGCACGGTCACGCAGTGCATTGGATCAAGGACCCTCATCTATCTTTTCGAATTAATCATTAGGTCGCAGGGAATCCAGTCGTGCATGGTCAAATAGCTGATTGAAGGGAAGTGAGAAGATTTCATTAATGAGTGTATGATTATGGACGTGGATATGAGAAACGCGCGAAGAAGTTAACGGGACGATGCTTTAGTTAGACTCAGAGAGTCAGATTATCACGATCGGTAGGTCAATTGCGAAACGTTTGTTGAAGAATGAAAATGTCATTCACTTTCTGCTATGTGATGAAACGAGTGCTTGCGATCCATTTGTGTACATGGTGGCTGTGTTTTCCTTTATGGCAATGGCGTGTTAAATTACTTAAATTAGGTGTCCTCTCACTGTTCATCCTCTCATCCTGATAGAGACCCATGTGTGTACGTTCCACTATCGTAACTTCTTACTCGTCCTCGTACGCATACACGTATACTTATGCGGTGTTTCGTATGGTGTTTTGTGGCTAGCTCCCCTTGGGAATCAGCTTGGGTAACAGACGGTGACTTCGAATCCCGGTGAGGCGTGGGAGTTCGGTCCAGCGACACAGCTTGTTATGCTGTTCGCTTTGCGCCCGCATTGCGTTTTATTTTTCTTGTATCTTTCTTTTTCTTTTGCGGAAGGAAAGAAGTGAGGGATGGTTCAATTCTTGCGTCCGGGCCTGTGGATGCGGATGCGTAAAGGAAGGAGGGTTTCTTTTTTTCTTTTTTCTTCAATGAGCGGCGCAGTCGTTTTTGTTCGAAGGATTTACAGGAGGCGTAAGGAACGAGGAGAGGGATGCTCGGCTCGGTCTGCCTTGCGTGCGTCGGTGAAGCAGGGCGCCGATTCGGAAAGTGTGGTGCAATCCAATCATGCAAAAGCGCCCACAACCGACATGCCGGCAGCGCCCGTGAGAACAAAGCAAAACGCTTGGATTTTGTCCTTCTTCGTCATGATGAGCGACGCCTCCTCAGAGAGGAAATCCTCAGCGAGAAGGTCGACCAGTGCAGCGTAGATGAGCAGACCTGATGAACTGTTGGGAAGGAAAGAAAAAGACGTGTTAGCTACGGTAGCCTCTTCACGCCTTGAGGTCCATAGGGTGGTATGCTCAAGGAAGATTGACATGGTACTTACAATGCGTTGAATGCTCCGACGAGGATGAGGGCAAAGGCACTGGACGGATCGTACGAGTTGCGCGTCAACAGCCCGATGGCTTGGCCAATGGGACAAGTCGTTCCAAACGCGCAGACCAGAACCCATGGGCGGATTGACTGCTTGGGATAAGGCACGGCGGCGATCCGACTTCCGAGACCTAGACCTTCGAAGAATTGATGGAAGAGTATTGCCACGAGCAAGATGACAAAGCCATCAGTGGTGATGGAGACGGTCATGCCAACAAAGATGGAGTGGAACAGGATACCTCCCTCGAGCAACGAGATGTTGAGGTTCATTGTCTTCAGCGTCATGGCATCCACGCTCGCCTCAGAGTCAGTATCGGGTACACCGACAGACGAGCTGTCGTCGAACACAGATTTCTCTGCCGGGTAGAAGGAGCGCGGTGTGACGGCCAGGATCATGTCCTTGAGCTCTTCGCGTTGACGGACGTACTGGGCGTAGAAGACTTGGAACCAGGTGGGCATGTCTGTGAGGTTGTTGTATTGCTCCATCTCTTCGCGCGCCACGGCCGAAATCTCATAGGAGTGCGTGTACGCGTGCGGCTTCTCGAACCCGTCAACCTCGGATTCGTCTTGTGAATGGACTCCGTATGCTGGAAGAGTTTGCGGGGTGCCGACACCGGGTCGTGCTCCTTGTTCTGCTAGTCCAGGCCTATGTACATGGGCGTGTCCGTGTCGATGTGGTCCAGGGGCTGAAGTAGCGTTGCCCATGGGTCCACCGTGGGAATGGCCACCTGTCTTCGCCTTGAGGTACATTTCAATGGTGAATAGAGCAAACAACGCAAACATCATCTAGGACTCGTTAGAACAGTCCGAGCTCCATGATCTGGAGGGGGAAAGGAGGGAAGTGTATGTGTCCGAAGACACATGGACACCGGTTTGTCAGGAATGTAGAATGGTACTCACGATAACGCCAGGCATAGCTGGATAGTCGTCTGTGAGAAGGGAAGGAAGACACGGATCACCGAGAGACTGAAAAGCCGTGGGCACCAGATGAACAAAAGCCGTTGCAATCAGCACGCCCGTTCCAAAGTGTTTGCAAAAGAATATAACGCGAGGTGGGAGTCTCGCCCAAGATACTCTTTTCCCCATAACTGGGAGACCAGCTCCGGCAATGCTGAATGCGAAGACCATGAAGACTGCACCCACATGGAGAGGGAGGTCGTATTCACTGAGCTCAGCAGCTCCTCCGCCACACTGTGGTTTCGACATTCTTGTCTGCGTTGCAAAAAAAGAGAACCAGTCCCGAAAGCTACCAAAATGGAGTGAGCGGTAGAAGAGTAGAAGAGAATGACGAAAGCAAAGCCCAGCTTCGCAAAGACAACGATGGAAATGTCAGGAAAGAAGCTGCCAGAGCTGAAGAAAAAGCTTTTACAAATCCAAGCAAGCACTCTCATATAAGACTGGTTCGTATCGCCCACATATGATTGCCAAGTGTCGCTTGGGTCGTCCTCTTGCCGGCAGTTGAAACTCGATATCGCAATTTCTGATATGTTCAGGCCTATCAAACCGGGCTAGCAGTCAATGATATTCACATTGGGCCACTTCGGGGAGGTACGACCATGTAGCTTGCCAAGTGGATGATGAGTCCATCTTATCTGATGAAGCTCACCTTGTAACAATATCCGTTTGGAGAGGAGGAAGCGAGAAGCAACCGTCGACAGCTGCTACTTCGTATACTGGCCTGTCTTAGACAAGCTCCTGACTCGGCAAGCCTTGTACAGCTGTGACCACGAGACTGACTGCTCCATGAATCTCTTCATTTACTCACTCGATAAGAAACTTCTGTTAGTCATAATATTCAATCTTGTAGACACAAGGAATGATTGTACAGGCGAGATGTCTGTCCTTCGTATGTAAATTTCATAGTCGTCGCAGTGGTGAATCCGCGTTCGGAAAGATTTCCAAATATCCAACCTTGGGCGGATCCGAGGGAATCGATGCTCCGCTCTGGTTATCACGCTTCTCAGACAATTGGTACTCCGTCCTCGGTCCGTTTTGTCCACGCAAATGCGAGAACCGGCTTGTTTATCTGCCTCAACAACCAGCTTAGGTCGTCGAGAACCAGGTTCGGTACGAGCAAACCGGCAGCGACACTGGACGTTGGACGAAAGTTGTTGCCCACAAGTCGAGCTTCGTAACTCATCTTGGCAAACCATTCAGGGGTTCTGCTTCGAGGCTGACTTTGCATATGACCATTGGCTCCAGAAGGTGCCGCATCAGGGAGCATATGGGCAGTTTTGATACAGTATCCGTCCAAGCGAAGGCAAGCATCCTGGTCCATTGCTTGGCTTTCGTAGACACGAGTTCCACCTACTCAGTTGCCGTTTGCTCGAGGTCGAGACCTGTCTTGATCGGACGAAGGAGCATTTCCTATACCGTAACAAGCTCCCGCTCCACCGCTTGTCTATCTCAAGGCAGGCAAAGGAAAGGACTGATCTGCCACTAGAAGCAAGCGGGTCGCTCCACATCTCCTCTGGATTTGGAGGATTTGCAAGCCTGCGACAAAGACCAGGGAGGAATTCCGCCTTGGCAAAAGGCATGTTGAGACCTTGTCGAACTCTGGAAGCGCTTAGCTGCTGATAGCGGGATTAGAGTCAGGAGAGGGTGATGTCTCCTTCGCTCACAATCGCTGATTTGAGGAGAAGGATAATCAACGCCGACTGTCGCCGCAGAAACCCTTGGGCAACGATGGCTGTGAAGTGTATGTGATGTGTGCAGTGTAAACAGAAACATGAAGCTGGATCTCCGCCATACGAAAGAGGACTACGGCAGCCTTGGCACGTACTAGCGGCAATCACTGCCAAGCCGCTAGTGACGTAGCTGGTTAACCGGAAACTCTGTCCAGGGAGTACTTTGGATGTTCCGTAACAACACCATGTCTGAGGTTCGCTTCTTTCTGGAAACCTGCTACCTTCGTCGCTTAAAGCCCATACGGCCAAGATCTTGGCTTGCGCATCACGGCTTGATCTTGCTTCAAGATTTCACATCACCTCTATCAAGGGACAGGGCCGTGGAACAGCGTCGCCATGGGAATTGTCCGTGAGAAGCAGCCGACCCTGAGAAGAGGGAATCCCAATTGCTACAGGTCCTGCAAGGGTCAGGAGAGCTAGCTGACAGCTCTGCGACCTGCTATAGATAAGTGTGCTTGCCGGCTCATGAGCATGGTTCCAGCTTGTCGTTTACCCATTTTCTGTGTCACTCATCACAAATCTTCTTCCACAATCCCATACTCCCCAATCTTCTCATAATTGATTCTCCTGTTTCGTCTCTCGAACATCTGTGCGCTTACCTTTTGGAAACACATTTGATCTCAGGCTGTCCAGCTAACTTCCCGAAGTGGAAGATAGCGACGGTTCTTCTCTCTTCCGCGCAAAGCCTTACACTTTCAGCCTTGTCTTGAGACAACCATGGCTTCTCCCAGAGTGGATGAGAGTGACAGTGTGCCTCGGGCCTCTCCTACTCAAAGAAGCACTGCGGGACATGGGCCTTCTGATAAGATATCCCCAGCTGTTCAGACAGAAGCCCCGAGATCTAGCAGCAGTGGGACCAGCACTGGGAATGTGCTGAAAGATGTCAGCATTACCCAAGCTAGCGAGTCGGCTCAGGAACAGACCGTCGACACTGCCGACCCCTATTCGCTTCGCGATCTGAAGCAGCCAACTGCCAATGACAACAAACGCTCTAGCATGTTGATGCAGAAACAAGAGCGAAAAGTCAAGAAGTACTACAACAGGCAAAACGCACTGATAGATGCCTATTTAACCAGTGCCGACGAAGAAGCTCTTGAGCTCGAGGACAACATCAAGAATGGGGGTAAAGTCCGCTTCGCTGTCAATGCTAGCTTTGTGTGCAACTTCTGCTTGTTTGTCATCCAGCTCTACGCTGCAATCTCCACGGGCTCCTTGTCACTCTTCGCTACAGCCGCAGACGCCTTCGTAAGTCTCTACTCGACTGACAACATATGCAATGGCTGACCGCTGATGCTGCTTAGATGGATCTCGTCGTCTCGATTGTCATGCTAATCACCTCACGCATGGCATCTCGACCCAACGTATCCAAGTTTCCCGTGGGCCGAAAGCGACTTGAGACAGTCGGTATCATCCTCTTCGTATGTAGCCCTTTCCGATCGACCTATCCACGGCTTGTTCCCCTGGATGCATAGACAGGACGTCACTGACCAATGTGTAGTGCGCCCTGATGACCACTGTGGCGGTCCAGCTCATTGTCGAGTCAGCACGTGGTCTTGGTGCCGGGGAACCGGACTCGGAATCATTGCACATTATTCCTCTTGTTTTCGTGGGCGTTGCCATCTTCGCGAAAGGGACTCTGTTTGTCTACTGCTTCCTCCTCCGACGTTACCCCGCGGCACGCATATTCATGATCGACCACCGCAACGACATCGCGGTGAACCTCTTCGGTCTGATCATGTCAATCGTCGGTACTCGGTTCCGGCAGGTGTGGTTCTTGGACCCGACAGGCGCAATTGCCATCGCGTTGTTGATTCTCTACTCGTGGGCCTCTACTGCATTCGAACACATGTGGTATCTGGTCGGAAAATCAGCTCCACAAGACTTCCTGAACAAAGTCGTCTATGTGTCAATCACCCACGACGAGAGAATAAACAAGATCGACACTGTCAAGGCGTACCATGCCGGTGATAAATTCTATGTCGAAGTCGATATCATCATGGACGAGGTGGAGAGTCTCAAGGTCACTCACGACGTGAGCCAAGCCCTGCAGCGGAAATTGGAAGGGCTGGCAAATGTTGAACGAGCATTCGTACATGTTGACTATGAGGACCTCCATGATGTGCATGAGGAACACAAGGCTCTGTACGAGAAGAAGTCGCCGAAAAAGCCATTGGCTGAGAGAATCCAAGGCCGACTGAGCGGCATATGGGACCGACCAGAGAGACCTCCAACAGACCAAGAGGCGAAGAAGGGCCTTGTTGCAAGAATCTTCAAGACCTAACATCTGTTTGGCAAGCTACAGAGTACCTGTAACAGTATTGTAACGATATCGTGTCATTAGTCATGGTCCATCAGTCATTCCGCAATTGAACGATATCCGCCCCCGATGCTACTCGGTAGGTATTGCTTGGCCGTCGGTTCACAGCGTAAACGATTCGCAGTCAGTAGCTGCGTGGTCACCATCTAGAGGCCTGTGTCCTAAAATTAGCCTGTTCCTGAGCTGACTGACTAAGAAATCACCAAGGATCTCCTGTCCAACCTCATATCACGAAGCGTGTCGTTGGACGCCTTAAAAGCTACGGCTTGGCCAGGCCTCCCGTACGTACATTCTATTCTAGCTTGCTCGTTGGGAGTGTCTCTCCAGACCTCACAGCACGACCATCGGCGCTTCACTAAAGGGCTGCTCCCGCAAGCAGCTAGGTATGCGACGGAGACTCGCCCGGGATGGCTTTCGAGTCCGAATACAGAGCGATGGAAGAGGACGACCGGCAGCAACCAAAACCACGAGCTAAGCGATTCCACCACAAGGTCCGGAGTGGATGTGCAACGTGCAAGTGAGTACGTCGCATTGACGGTCCAATAAAGTGCAAAAATCTCACGGTCACCGTCTCAACGCAGACAGAGAAGAATCAAATGCGACGAGGGATACCCTACGTGTAAAAGGTGGGTCGCATGGATCTCAGGTGGCCTCGAGTTGCCTTATTATGCTGATGAAAAACATTCTCACGCACATGTACCTGGGTAGGTGTGCGATCGCGGGACGAAAGTGCCCTGGATACGACAACACCCCCAGACCATGGATCTTCGAGAGCAAGCAGCAAACCCACATGGACGTTCAGAAGCCGTCCCGGGCTGTAGGACACCAGTTTGGCGTCAAGCACCGCTCGTGCGGTCGTGAACGGCCCGAAGACATTACCGACCTCGCGCGGGAAGCGAAGCGCAACGCCCTCATACGCGCACAATGGAACTACCTCACACATAACGTCAACGTGCGGTTCGGAGAGTCGCCGCGCGACCAGCGGAGTCTGAAGTTCTTTCTCGCCGAGACGGCGCCGACCATAGGAAACTACGGGCCATGCAACATGTTCTGGACCCGGCTGGTTCCTCAACTCGCATTCGAGTTCCCCGTCATCCGACACCTTCTCGTGGCCATGGCGCTGCTGGATGAGCAACTGGGCGTGTCGGAGACGACCAAGATCAAGCCCGCCTCCCTTGCGCTGTGGCACTACCAGATGGCGCTGAGGGGGATGGCGATGGTCGAAAGAGCCGACGAGCCTTTTCTCGTGCTCGCATCGTCGATGGGCTGGGTTTTCGAGTCGTTGCAAGGCAACTTCTCGGCGTCGGCCATCCACCTCCGCGCGTCGGCGCGCTTGTTGAAAGAGCTGGAATCCGGATCGTCAGACCCGCTTGCCTCGGACATGGTCGCCGCCGTGAAACCCATGGTCAATCTGTCCATGTCGTTTTCAAGCATCGTCCACGGGGCCAGTTCCCCGATCGACACTCTCCTGGGTCCAGACGATGGCGACTGCGACGACCAACCAACAGAGCCCTGGGCCGTCTCGATAGACTCCCTCGCACAGGCACGGGACATGCTCATCGAGCGTCTGACGCGGTTCAAGCGCGCCGACGTGCCTTCGCGATACACGGCCCTCGCGCTGCGTCGATACATTGTGAGCTGGCGGAAACGGGCGCGAATACATTGCCTGCCCAGCAAAGAGTCCAGTCTTCACAAACAAACCATGCAGATCCTGTTCATCATGGCTCTGTCGTTCTTGCCGGAAGACATCGCCGGTCCGTTCAGCACGGCCAACGAAGCCGCATCAAGGCACCTCCTGGACACCATTGAGCGCTTGGCCGTCGCCAAGCGAGAAACAGCGTCGTGGGACGAAGCCGACATCGATGTCACTTTGTCTGTGGCGTTGGCGTTCCTGGCCGAGCATCTCCCCGATTTGTACTCCCGGAAGCGAGCAGGACATTTACTAGCTTCGTTCCCAAGGGCGCCGCGGGCAAAGACCAACGACACTCGGTCGTCGACGAGTGGTCTCTTGTGGAATCGATTCAGGCCAGGTAAAGTGACGTTTGAGGGAGACGGGGACGGAGACGGAGAGGAAGGGGAAATAGCGTCGGGCCTGGGACTTTCTGCCATCGAGAAACAATATTCCCGTGTCTTTGACTGAAACGCTACAGTACCTCTGGGACCTACTGTGCACAGGCGAATACCTCAGGACAATACCTAGCCTACCCGTACGCAGCCGTACCCAACGGCCTTGTGTCAAGCTTGATGAGGAGCTGAGATCGAGTAACTTAATTAGCACCATCCGTTCCAATAAACTCCACCACACGCATTCGAAGTAGGTTCGGAAACTTTTGCCATTGTGGCGTTTTTTGCTTCCCGCACTTTACGAGTACGTGTTGGTACGAGCACAACGTGTAAATCTCGCCCGGACTTGTCCGAGATATGAAGTTCGGACCTTGTACATATATATAGTAGATTGATAGCCGTTATTGTTTTCAATATTTACACGGAGCTCAGCTCGCAAATTTGGCTACCTGTCCGTACTGTTGCTCTTCAATCTACCTTTTACCAAGTTGTACGGATTCCTTTTCTCCAAATACCTCTCTTCCACGCACACACACACACACACACACACACACACACACACACACACACACACACACACACTCCGGAAAAAAGGAAATACCACCGACATGTCTGAGACGGATCCTGGATTCATCGCGGCGGTGGAGGAAGCACGACAAGGTTTCAGCGAAGGCGGCGTTCCAATCGGTGAGTATACCCTGTCTTCGTTTCCTCGCTACGTGGCATAGTGGCCATGGCGAGTTCCGTGCAATAATAATACATTCTACTATCCTCTTCCTGATCTGCCTTTCTGTTCTGTTCTGTTCTGTTCTGTACTCACGCTAAATGCCGCCGTGTGTGTGTGTCTGTGTGTCTGCAGGAGCGTGTCTCGTCTCCAAGGACGGCAAGATTCTCGGCCGAGGACACAACATGCGAGTTCAAAAGGGTAGCGCGACTTTACATGTGAGTGTTCTTTCTTATCTATGTATCTGATCTGGCATTGTCCCCGACCACTACCACGACCACGACCACGATCACGATCATCTCACGGGGCTCTTGGATGGGGAAGTCTTTCGAGAAGAGAGAGAACCCAAACCACCAAGTAACGTCTGTCCGAGTCGTTCTGAGCACTCTGAGTGCTGAGTACCTTCTTTGGGACCAAAACCTCCGGCACAAGGACGGGGTTTACAGATCCGTCATCTCGTCGTCCTCGGTGGTAGTGCGAACCTCGTCAGCATTTTGGCATTTTAGCAGTATATATATACACATGTCGACCATGTTCTCTGATATCGACGCTCTTCACAGGGCGAAATCTCGGCACTCGAAAATTCAGGTCGACTGCCTGCTTCTGCGTACGCCGGTGCGACAATGTACACCACCCTGTCTCCCTGCGACATGTGCACGGGCGCGTGTGTCATGTACAAGGTGGCCAGAGTGGTGATTGGCGAGAACAAGACCTTCGTGGGCGGGGAGGAGTACCTCAAAAAGCGAGGCATCGAGGTCGTGGTGTTCGAGAATCAAGAGTGCATGGGTCTGATGAAGAAGTTCATCGAGGAGAAGCCGCGGGTATGGTACGTTGAGACTCTCCCTCCCACTCTCCCACTCTCTCTCCCCCCCGTATTGATCCCTGCCTATGTTCTTCTCGAGTCATCGTCGCCGCCGCTGACGTGTCTACAATGTTCTAATAACGGCATCCACAGGAACGAAGATATAGGTGAAGACTGAATCACGCTGATCGTCAATCAATTATTACATTGCTTCTTTCCTTTTCCTTTTATTTAACTCGGTCGTGAGATCCATCCAATCCTCCGTCACCTCGAAGTCGTACACCGCTGAACCTCCTCAAAGAAGAATTTGAGATCATCAGGATTGACACCTGGCGTGATACCGTGGCCGAGATTCACGATCCATCTCTCTTGGCCGCCGCCAAACCCTTTTACCATACTCTCCACCACCGACGTGATGGCCTCGTGTGAACCGTAGAGAACGCCCGGGTCAGCGTTCCCCTGCAGCGTCACGCGACCTCTCGCGATCTTGACCGCTTCCGCCGGATCGTGCAACCAGTCGAGCCCAACCACGTCGTACCCGGAGTCGCACAGCTCGTCCAGGGCGTACCATGCGCCCTTGGCGAACACCACCATAGGCACGACGTCCTCGCCCATCTCGCGCAGCCGCCTGGGCAGGTTCTCCGAGATGTATCTCAGCGCAGGCAAGGCGAATTCCTTGAACGAGGCAGGCGACAGCTCGCCGGCCCATGAATCAAAGACTTGAAGGATCTGCGCTCCCGCCGCGACTTGCAGAGCAAGGTACTCAACACAAATGTCCGAGATCTTCTTGAGCAGAACCTTGGTCTCTTCGCCGTACTTGTACACCCATGTCTTTGCCTCTCGGAACATCTTGGACCCTCCGCCCTCGACCATGTAGCATAGCAGAGTCCACGGTGCGCCGCAGAACCCGTACAGCGGCACTCGGCCGTCCAGCTTCTTCCGCGTCAGCGTGATGGCCTTGTACACGTAATCCAGTTCTTTCGCGACATCGACGTCTCGCTTGACGATCTCCTGGTACTGCGTATCCGCCGGCGAGCGTAGAGGGTTGGGGAACTTGGGGCCGATGCCGTCGACCATTTTCACTTCCATGCCCATGGCCTGTGGGATGACGAGGATGTCGGAGAAGATGATGGCCGCGTCGATGAGCCCCGCATATCGCTCGATCGGCTGGAGCGTCAGGGTCGACGCGATCTCGGGCGAGCGACAGCATTCGAAAAAGTCATGCTTTCCTTTGGCTTCGTGGTACTCGGGCAGGTATCGGCCGGCTAGAGAGAAAGAAGTCAGTTTCTTCCAGACCCAATTTGCACTGATCAAAAGACAAGGGAATAAAAGGCACTGACCGCCGCATACCTTGTCGCATCACCCACATGGGCGGCCTGTCGACCTTTTCGCCTATTCAAAGAAGTCAGGTCTGTCTGTTCCCAAATACTGCTCCAACAGTCCAAACATGTCAATGAACCCACGCACCACGTGCTGCCCGCAGGAGGCGGTCATTCTTCAACGGAGGAAATCTCTCCTTCATCTTGAGCTAGCTGGTCTCTTAAAGCGCACAACAGGTCCGTCGGTGGATGTTGCGACGGCTTTGAATGGCAACAAGCCGCAACAGATGATGTGCGGGCACAATTGGAAAGTGCGCAACTTTATGGGAAGCCGACATTTAACCGGCTGCCCCTCGCATCACGAGGCTACGAGGCTACGAGGCTGCGATGTGTGCCCGCGAAGGATTGATAGTTCATACAGAGAGGGAGACCCTTGAACCGTATGCTGTAGTGTAAGCTTGTTCTTCATACACAGATACACTACCTACACAGCTGCAGGGGTACTTTCTCCCGCATCTTCCTCTTCGGCATCAACAGCTTGATCGCCCTTCTTTTTTCGCAGGTTCTCCAAGCCATATAGCTGTTCTCCCAGTGTACCGTATGTGCTCTTGCCCTTTGAATCATCTTCCAGTGGCAGGTCGGATGCTTCAGAGTCTGGTACAGCGTTGTTCAGAAGCACAGCGAGGCTCGACCGTTCCCATCGTAACTCAGGTGCCGGATCGTCATCCTTGGGGGCTGTGCCATTGGTATTCTCAGTCAGGTTCGAGAACAAACTGAAAGTCTCGAAGAAATCCGAGTTCGGTACAGCGTCCTGTTTGACTTCCTTGACAGAACCAGGCTTATGCACCGTATCGATGCTGACCACCATCTCCCATAGTGCTGGACCTACGGCGACGTCCAAAGCATTCCCACCTAACTCAATGGTCTGATGGTGTTGAAGCTTCCCCTGGTGTGTCAAATTATAACTAAGCAGCAATGGAAGTCTCAATTCCAAAATTAGAGCCCGTATTCAAGACGATCGGCAAAGCAAACTTACCCTTCCAACGCTACAAGAAGCAGGTGTGGCGGATGGCGCGAATACGGCGAATGTCCGCCCACCGAGTAATGGACTGGCCAAATATTGGACACAGCGAGATGCGCCATCGACCGCTCACCGGAGGTCACATCCAAGTTTCTTTCAAGATCTTGTCGGACAGCCCCTTGGAAAAGCTCTTCATCGAGCAGTCGACCCGTGCGCCAGTGGTACACTTTCAGAGAAGGTTCACCACTTCCTGTAACGAGAAACTCGGGTTCCCAAGGTGGAATGCACAATTTACTGACAAATTCGCGGTGTCCCAAACAATAGCCTTCGATAATATGTGCTTGCGTGATGCCTCGGGATACCCGGATGTGTTCATCTCTATCGGCAGTGAGGATGTACTGCTTCCGTTTGAGACCATCCAGGACTTCAGTGATGGCAACATCGGTCAACAAAGAGACATGTCCAAGTATCAATTTGAGTTCGAAAGTTGGTCCTTCCTTCTTTGGTCTCATGATTTTCATTTCTCTCTGATTTTTCAACGCCTCCAGATTGCGCTTGCTGTGAACTGTCAATTCCGAGGCCGAAGGGGTGAAGGGTCGCTCTTGTTCATCCTGATCCACCTTTGGAGGTGTCCAATCGTTGCTTGGATGTAGAGGAAGCAGATAGACATCTCCAAACTTATCTCCGACCAGAATATTCTTCTCATCTGGTGTCAGGACAATGGCACAGACACGTTTTGGCATCGATCTATCCTTTGTGAGCTGGAAGAGGGGGAGGAGGAACACAATGGTATCAAACTTACCTCTGGCTCTGGAGATCCAGGACTCCCTCCGGTCCGACACCGAATACATTGATCGACTTGTCCTCAGCGGTGACAGTTATCACTGTCGCACCGCTACTGGTGGTAATGATATGGGTCACGTTTGATGATTTCGAGTTCTCGACCTTGAGTTTCCGGCTTTCTCCCTTCTCTCGCTTCGAAATGATTTCGATGGAATTCTCCGAGTCCTCACGCGGAACCTCGGCTTGCTCTCCCTCATCGAGGCGTCGTCTCTTCGGCGGCCGGTTTTCGTCGCCGTCTATCGTGGTAGCGGGTGCTTCTTCCTGATCGGTCTTTTCACCCTGTTGGGGCCATTGACTCAGCAATGAGCCAGTCTTGATATCTAATGAGTAGATGACAGGGCCAGAGGCAGAGAGCAAGAATGGCTGCTGTCCATTCGACGGCTGAACACAGCATACGGTCTGAAATGGTGATTGGACCATTGTGAAGCTTTGTTTCGCGAAACGAAGCCTTTCCTCAACTCCCTCCGACCTTCTTGTGACTTTTACGGACCCTATAAAGTAACATCAAGAAGAAGTTGAAATGACTGGAAAGGCTTTAAAACCTTCGTATATTTCAAGTGAAATCACTACGTAGTGTTTCGGTCACCACCAGAAAGAATATTTACTGAAAGTGCATTATGCGAGAGTTGTAGTTGACCGAATTATTGCCAAGATCAGTACGGCACAACGTAGAACCGCCCCACGCAATCTCCGCCATCCAGCATTCTTTTGATATTGCAGTTATGACCTCTACCTCAAGTGGTATACTTGAATCCTTTCAATTCCCCGTCTGTCTTATCAAGCCAATCTTGATCTCCCATAGCGAGATCGATATCCTCCTTCCGAGAAAGATTGCTCCTGTGGCACAGATAGCCATAGAGCACGATCAACACAATGGCAACCACGTAGCAAACAATCATAGCCACCGTGCCTCCGGTATACGCCGGAGCCTGCTCTGCGCGAAAGGTCTGGGGGCCGATGATATTACCTGTCGCCCAAGCCACATAATAGAAGGCATACAGAACAGTTCTTGTTGAAAAGTTAGATTTTGATTCCTAATCACAGCAATATGGTGTAGGATGCTCACTTCTTGGTATGTCCTGCAATGTTGGCCTGGTACACAGACACAAGCGTCACGTATGGCGCCCAATAGGTGTAGAGGATACTGCACCACCCAACGTCAGCAACGTACTCGAGAAGAAAAGCAATTGGGTACCACATACTATAGTCCAACAAGTTGTCCGGCCAAGTTCGTCCTGGGGAGTGAGTAACATAGAACGGCCCCGAGCAGGGGCAAAAGGATCGAGACAGCAATGATGGCGGTACGCCATTTCCTGGTTGTCGCAGCCAGGAAAGACAAGGCGATACCTGACAAAGTCGACATGGCCTATAAAGGTAACATGTTAGCAATTTTTGTCACTGAGCCAGGCTATTCGGTCGAGGAAGACAGGCGGGAGTACAACTTACACCAGGAGGCATGGCCAGGAGCGAAGTGTGCAAAGAGTCGAATCCCAATCCCGAGATGATCAGGGTGTTGAACGTGGTGAGGCCGCCGTTGGGGACTTGCAGTGCGACAATAGCGAACCAGATCAGCCAAGTGCGAATGTCCATGACAGCTTCGAAAACCTGCTCTTTCTTGAACACTTTTGACTCAACCCCAGTATTGTCAGAAGCTTTGCGCTGGATGATGATGTACTTTTCTCTCCCAGAGAGCCAGTCAGCATCCAACGGGTTATTTGGCCTGTTAACCAGTCAGTTTTGAAGCGAAATCGGGGATGGTGCTTGCCGAAACACGTACAAGAAGAAGTAGACGACAAAAGACCACAAGAGGGTAAAGATCCCCAAAACTAGAAAGATGATCTTCCAGGGCTCAAAAGGACCTTTATAATAGCCCACCAGCCACGAGATGAAGCCGTTCAAGATTGGTGCAATGACGTTGAGAATAATACTGTTCCTCTTGGGTTGCTCCTCGGGTTTATACCACATGGCGACGACCAGGGTAACTGCCGGAATGAGGAGGGCCTCGAAGCCTCCTAAGAGGAACCTGCAGACGAAGAGCCCTCCGAAACTTGTCGTTGCCGCCATGCAGCTTGCTGTGACTCCCCACATGAAAACATTGAACGCGAAGAACTTCACTGCCGGTAGTCTCTGTAGGCAGTAGGCTGCTGGTCCCATGAATGCCAAACCGCCGAAGAACGGGGCCGAGCCACACCAGGAATAATCTTGGCCGTGTAGGTTGAGGTCCTCCTTTAGACCATAGATAGCCGCTCCAGAGATGGCTGTTTTGTCCAGGCCAGAGAGCGTTGCGCACACAAAGAGCTGTTGATATCGTCATCAGTCGCAGGCATAGAGATGCTTCACATGGAGTCTCACAATTGGAATCAGCCTCCAGTCAACCTTTCGCATCAATTTCTTCTCTTCTTCGGGCGACCAACCCTGACTTCCCATTTCAGGACCATACTCTGCAATGATCTGAGCAGCAATGTCGACATCTTTCGCACGTCCTGCTTTGACTGCCTTCACTGCTGCCTCGGCTGCAATTTCAATAGAACCGCGTTCAGCAGACGGTTCAATGACATCCTCCGCGGTCATATGGGGATCTTTCTCGGCGGCCATGGGGACGCTTCAAGGTAAGGAGAATGAAGGAGAGATGTTATCGGGTAGAGGCTTCCCTCCCATCCCGTTGCGACATGTTCAAAGTTATATCCCAGGTCGCAAACGGCTGGTTTAGAGGTGTAGCAGGCGAATAACGCCCAGTCCTCCAAGTGTAGATAATTGACAAGCGCAAAGGGGTTGAGCAATTCCCAGTATATGATTGGACGCCCGTGCCAATGTCCAATGCGATCCGCACGGCAGCATATCCTGTCTCCACTGATAGTGCATTTTAGCTGCAACAGTTGCGCGCAGACCTCAGGGACGATACCCAAAAGGCGTATTTTGGGCCTAGGGGCGCCCAAGAAAGCGCGCAACTCAATCTAGAGAGCGGCGAACATGTATGTCCGTAGGTCATTTGATCCCTGAAATGGCTGGCGTTCGCCGCGATAAGATCCGCTCCCATTTCAGAGGATTGACGCCCAACGAGGGTCTGAGATAGTGTTTGCTGTGATTCTTCGTCGACCGGGGCTATGGCCACACTTGTCGCGCCGCCCCAGCAATAGTCGGGGCGCGAAGATCCAAATCATACATTGCAACGCGCACGCTAGGGCAGAGGATGGTTAGATAAATTGCCATTCTCGAACTGTGCAGTATTCAAGGAATTCCATCCAGTCTTTCCACGACAATAAATCAGGACGACATCCTTTCAGGAAGTACTCGTAGCCACGCCCAGTACCACGGCCCTCGAATCAGTCTTGTGGTCCTACTTGTTATATCATAGCCGTCACCATGATTGCACCCCTGGGGGAACTCAAGGCCCAGTCAAAAGAGCCACTGTATCCAAAATACCTGCGTATGTTCACTTCAAGACTGCACCTACGTCCTGTTGACATTCTTGTTTGACAGCACACTATGATCCTCTGGAGAAGGTGGAAGAGGTCGGTCCCTTTGAGCACGTTGACCCTGGTCACCGTGCCGACCCGAAAATGCCAAATTTGTTGCAGAACGCGACCAGTATTACCGAACTGAGTCCGCATTGTGGCACCGAATTACTGGGCGTCCAACTGGTATGGATTCCGGCTGTATGGATGATACCATCCGTGGAAGACATAGACTGACTTGTCTTGCCCTTCAAGACCGAGCTGACCACCGAGGGCCTGGACGAACTGGCGCTCCTGACGGCTCAACGAGGGTGCGTCGTATTCCGGGACCAGACCTATACGGATGCCGGTTTCGGGGAGCAAGCGAAGATCGCCTCACACTTCGGGCCCTTGCACAAACACGGGTGGATGCCACATCCCCAGGATGGACCGGTGGAATTTGTGATCGTCTATGATTCCAAAGACGATCTACGGATCCGGAAATCATGGGCCAGGAAGAGCCCGATTCAGTTCCACGTTGACCAGTCTCCAGAGCGTCAACCTCCTGGTCTTACATTCTTCTGCATGTTAGAGTCGCCAGATGGTAGCGGAGGAGATACAATCATTTCCAACGTAAGTCAGACAACAATTGTCAGCATATCGTTCCCCTTGATCACTAACCTGGCTCACCTGTAGACGGGAAGAGCATTTGAGCGACTCTCGCCTTCGTTCCGAAAGCGACTGGAAGGTCTCATGGCTGTGCATACGACTGCAAACCCTATAATGCGAGAAATCCGCGACAACGGAAACAACTCTGTCTTAAGACGACCGATCACTCGTAGTATCCATCCTGTCGTCACCATCCATCCCGTTACCAAACAAAAGGGACTCTTCGTCAATTCATCCTATACGCAAAGTATTGTCGGATGGGATGAGGAGGAATCAGGTAAGTACTGCGTCAGATTGCGCTGGAGGTCGAATAGCTGATTGCCACGGTATAGATTACATGCTCAAGTTCCTTTTCGATCATATCAATCGTGGTCAAGACTTCTCCTGCAGAGTGAGATATGAGCCTGGAACCGTTGTGGTTTGGGATCAGCGAATTACTCAACATTCTCAAACGCTGGATTATGCTGCTGGTGATCGTCGCCACGCTTTTAGATTGACTCCATTGGCAAATGTTCCAATCCCGAGCAAAATCGAAGAGGATGATGGTGAATGCCAAAAGGACGAGGCACGAGTAATGCTCAATCTTTGCTAGCAAAGGCGCCGTTAATGAATACAATGTACCTTCTTTCCATGGAGTCAATGGAACGAAGTTTTTGTATGATTGTCGTTCCAGCATGTCTTAGTCTGCTTCTACCGGGAGCAAGTTAATACCAAGTGAAATCAAGAACGTCTCGACTTTGAAGAGACCAAGATTTGTCAGGCCTCTTGCACCTGCAGCGTTGTTTGTACAACTGCGATTTGCCCATCTCCATCGCTGAATGAGTATTTGGAGTTCGTTATGTTCGTCTCTGAAAGATAGGCCCTGGAGCCCAGGCCCCGGTTGATCTGATAAAGAGGGACAAGCCACATCAACGTCTGGGGTTATGATTTGAAGTAGATGCACCATGAACGTTCCAGCCATCGCGAAATTCGGTCGGCTCCCTAAGCACTCTGGTCAGCATCGATTGGTTAGAATATGGTGATTTTAATGCAAATTCCACTCTTACAGCTATGCCAGAAGGCGTTCCAATGAGAATTGGTCAGGTCTTCCATGAACTCAACAAGTTCCCTGACACAGAGCAGCGCACCTCGTACGATTGCTAAAGCAATGTCATACATTGACCGAGCTTTTGCCGTGTCATACTTCGCGATGTTTGTCCAAAGATCAAGTGGTCGAAGCAAAGCTCGAAAGAGGGTCATGTGTACCGTAATGTACGACAGATGGAGCGAGCCAGTCGGGTCAAGACGTCTCGCCATATACTCTGACGTAGGCCCTTGTCGCGAACCGAGCTCGACTTCGCGTCGACGAAATTTCAGGTTGTCTGGGAGACCATCTTTCCACTCTTGCAGCCTTATGCGAATGGCTCTGCCTAATTCAAGGCTGGCGTGCAAGTCATTAGCTGTTGTTTTAATGGCGCGGACAGTGTAGAAAGTGTTCTGAATCACGGAGAGAAGGGTCGTCAAAGTGACGAGGTAAAGGAAATGCAGTTGGCCTTCCGTCGAATCGGGCCTGCCTGGTAAGTCTTGTACTTGCAAAGGCTGCACGTCGCTCTCATCGTCTCTTATGTGGCTGGGCATACCTCTGGCAAGCGCATGCCATTTCTCCATTGCGACTAACGCCCACCAGAGTCTCCGGCGGAGTTTACACTCGTTTGGCGGGATCAAATGCCACTCCGAAGGATCTCGATGCAAGCCTACCGTGTGAGCCGCGGCGACCGCTGAGCCCATCAAGGTCCACTTAAAAGCAGTATCTGACAAAACCGGGTTGGTGGGCAGTCGATGTTGGAATATGAGACAGCTCTGGATGGTAACTAGGGTTGGGGCATGGAAATCCTGCCACAGAACTAACCAGCAAATCCGATACAACTGTTGACTTGACGGTGGCCTGGGCTGCAACCGGTAGAGGGAATCATCATACAGTGCAAATGGTAGCGCAGTTGCACACATACCCGCAAGCAATGCCAAGTTCATAGATTGCAAGGACTCTGGACTTTCAGGAATCTGGTCGATAGAGAGGATTGGGAACTGCGGCTCGATGAACCGAAGATAAAGGCGAACAAGGCGCATCGCCACATCAGGTTCGACCAAAGCCCAAAAGTCCGACCACGCTTGTTCAATTACCTCTGGACTCTCTCGAGGTTCCGCATTGGCCACCAAGCTTTTATCGGTGACGCCGAAAATGGTTGGCGGTAAAGGACCCAAGCCCTCAAAATCCCCAACCAGAGGGCTTTCATCAGACAGGTCCGAACGGCGGTCTGGCTTCGCGGTCAACTGAAACTTCAGCCCACTAGCGACGCTTGCGGACAAGCTGCTATCGCGGAACGTCTGTCGACGAAGTAAATATATATCTGAAGTCCCCGTGGGACCGATGTAGAAGCTGAATGCGTCTGGAAATGACTCAAGCGATGTTTGGTGTTCGAAGTCAACTTGTTGTCCGGTCCGCAGGCTGTGCGGCTTTTCCGCGTCGTTCAAGTGATCCTGCTGCGCGTTCAAAGTTTGTATCTGGCTTCTTTGATCCCCCTCAAAGGCAGCCAAAGCACCAGATACACCTCTCGAAGTCTGCTCTGCTCCAATTACGGCTGGGAATCTCTCTGCCAATGTTGTGTGGTCTAGATGGACAGCCTCCTCAGAGATGTAGGCCAAGGGGGAGATGAGACCATTCTCAAATGAAGCGAAATCAGGCATTGGCCTAGTAAACGCACCCGGACTGAAAGTAAAGGAAGTGTCATCGGGCCATTGCCTATATTCGTAAGGATGCCGCAACAGGATGTATTATCGCATGCACAGCCATACCTTTCTTGATTGTGGATCGGCTCACGATGCCCATCAGGCGAACGAAGCCTTTTCCTCGGACCTTCGTTGAAGGTGCATTCTTGATTCAGCCGAATGCAGCGGACGCAGGGAGCGCCGTTAGGCTGATCACAGAGTACTTTTCTGCGCCGACATGCGTCGCACGGTCTGTTCTTGCGAGACCGATAGGGCCTTCCAGCATCTCCATCATCGTGATTACGACCGTCGGTCATGCTATGAGATCTGGCTCACGTCTTACCAGTTCACACATCCCAAGTTGACTTCGCCCTGGATGACATGATTCTCGACTTGCAAAAGACAGGCTGTGTCAGTGTCCTGGTGTGTTCTTGGGGAAAGAACATAGGAAAGAAGGCGGGCAGAAGTGCGCTGGGAGCGATAAGCGACGCGTTACGTCATCACGTGCAGATATACTGCGTCCAGGCTTCAAATCTTTCAAGACATCTCAATCCTACTCGTACTACCTCAATGTGTGTGTGTCTTGAACTCAGATGCATGAAATGAGTGATTGTCAACTAATTAATCTTATTCTATATACTAGCCTCATATCGCAGCAGCCTCTGAAGCCAATCATCTTTCAGTAGAGCATTCAACAGTTCATCCCTCATGGGAAGCAGTGGCCTTCTCGGACGTCCACCGTATCCAAATTGTTTCTCTAATATCGCTTTCATGCCGGAGACACCGACTCGCTGAACACCACCGTCAGCGTTAGTGATCAACTCCTGCAGCCGCTGTGCTTCAGCGTATGCTTCAGGGGAGGTAGGGGCCTTTTCACAGAGCTGCCACAGCTTGACGCATGATTTCTGTCCCCAAAGTCTAAGCCACTGGTCAATCTGGTGTAAAGGCGACTCACCGGTACAAAATTAGAAATGGCCGTGATCGCACCCGAGGAATGCACAGCCATGCTCGGCAGGAGGATATCGATGAAGCCGTCAATTGCATGAAAATAAGGAACAGTACTCGTGCCTGTCTTTGTGCCATCTTGGGTTGCCTGGTGGTATCGTCTGGGATACAAGGCCTGGAATCTGGTATCGCGCAGAGTCGATGTGATTCTCCCTATTTTGCCAACATTTGCGCAGCTGTTATGGAGTAAAGGGAGGAAGTCAGAGCTAAGATTAACCAAGTTTCAGAGCACGCAAGTGCTTACGTGAACTTCATGCCACACACATTGGGTGCTTTTTTGACCATGTCGATGACAAAATCGGAGTCCATATCAATGCCAGAGGATACTGCAGGGAAATTGTATACGATCCTGGAGACGCTTAGTGAAAGCTGACGGATGTACTTTTACATACTCACAGTGGAACAGGAGATGCCTCGCTCACATCTATTATGTACTGCTTCACAGCAGCCATGTTGTCTGCCTTCAGTGCACCGGCATAATAGCCTGGCGGAATGAGCATCACGAAGTCTGCGCCAGCCAGAGCCGCAGATTTCGCCAGTTCAATGGATTCTCGCGTTGAGCTCGACCCTACACCCGTGATGACTGGGATATCCTCAGTTGCTGGCGACATATCAAGAACTTCGCGAGTTATCGTCACCAACAGCGTGCGTTCACTGGGAGACTGCAAGCAATCATCATGTCAATTGGTTGCTTTATGCCGAGGCCGGGACACCACCTACCAGATGACATGCCTCGCCCATGGTTCCTGAAATGACCGGAACGCTGCCAGCCTTTGAGACATCTGGAAGCCAATCAGCAAACTCAGTCTTTGGGGTTTTTTGTCGATTGCGTTTGATCAACAGGTCATGACCCTTGTGCCTGAGCAAGCTCTGCTCTGCTGGAGAGACTTACATCGAAGATGTCTTCGAAAAGTCTCAACGTCAATATCTTCGTTGTCAAGGAAAAATGTCGGTACAGCAGTATAGATACCTGCGGGAAGAGTCTTCATGGTGCACTTGAGGTTACGCCGGCGCTTTCAGTGGGCAATGGCTGTAGTGATCCGGTTGTAGTGCCTGGTATACACCGACAAAGGAACTCACACTAGATTCCCAAGCATACAGGGTGATACCATTTCCATGAATGGCTCGTGCCTGTCCTAGAGCACTTCGCGCTTCTGGCACCGAGACCGTCGTTATCATTGTCTTGGGCGATTGGACCGCCGCCATGGGTCCGCAGCGCGCAAACCTTTAGCGACCCCTGCTCGCGGAACTCCGTATCTTCAACTGACGAGATATCATAGCGATGTTGTGACAAACATTGTGAACAATCTACTACGACTCTTCTGGAACCATAAGTGTCGCCTAATCGTTCCAGCCATCTGTATACTCTATCCGCAATCTCTTAGCCCTTGGTGGACGCCCGTATCAGCCATTACCCAAGGCGGGTTGGGCGGACTAGCCCTCGAGTATATGAACAGGTTCGTTGCATCGATTGCATTGCAATACCGGCGATTCGAAGACACATGCTGTCTTCATGAATGCCTTATTTTATCCATACTCCTATCGCTGTCGTCGGCTTTTATTGAGGTTCTCTAAAATCAGCGCAACCTCCTTGTGAGCTGTCTCGAGTATATGTGTTGATGGGAACTATGGAATCTATCCGATCTTCTCACCACTCCTAGCAGTGAAGGTGCACAATCCGCCAAGTTGCAGAGGTACGAGCTCCTTGGGGCAACCAAGAGCTGCACCCATATCTGTCATTGTCTCATCTGACGCTGTCTGGACCGTTGCGTCTGAGATGATGCCTCGCTTCACCAGGGCGGCTGCCATTCCTGCATACAAGTCTTGCCACGCAACGCTGCCAGGAGAGGCCAGGTAGTATCCATTCTTACCACTACCAGGATTCTCGTCGGATCAACTCTCATCCTTACTTTTCTGTATTCCCTACCGTCGTGATGACACAATACTCCACGTAAACAGCCGGTCTGTGCCCTTCTTCACGCTCTACTCGTCCAGAAATTATGGACGACGGTATGGAAAAAGGCAAGGAAATGAGCAAACTTTTCTCCGTGAGCCCGCACCGCCGCTGGATGTCGAATCAGTTTCGCAAAAGGATCTACGTGCCCTCTTTGAGTCTGGGAATGAGGAAAAGGGCAGCACGGAGGGCACGGAGGGCACGGACGTTTGCTAGTGTTCCAAACGGGCCGGGCTGATTAGCAGAGCCTCTTATGAGGACTCCTGAGGTGTTGAAGTCGGATTGCCTCCTCGCGGCGTCACCTCATATACGAAGTCATGGGATCTCTATTACCTACATTGACTGGCTTCAGGCTCAATATTCGCGGCAGTTATGGCTGTAAGAGCGGCATGGTCCTCACAGTTGTCCTCGTTCCAATACTTTGGGACAGCCACCGGGCCTAGTCTTGCATGCCAGAAAAAACCGTGTGGGAACCTCGAACCGTGTGGGAACCTCGAACTGGGGCTGACGAGTAGAAGTGGGACGGGGACAGAATAGGTCAGTTGCTGGAGAATGAGGCCGCCCAAGATGAAAGAGTTGAAGACCGTCGAAGATGCAAGGTACAGGATACCGCAGATGCCGACCAGGTAACGGACCAGAGGTGCGCTCACACGGGAGCCTTAAAAGGTGCTGGCGCGATGGAACCTATATGTGAAGAGAAAGGCAATTCATTGTCGCAACACAGGACCCGGCGATCCGAGCGGCCCACGTGGGGCCTCCGACGACCAGCAACCAGGTAGGAAGCAGTAAGAAACTGCCCAAAGCAATCGCACAGTCGGAGTCTTCGTGGTAGATGGTGAAGAGAACTATGAGGACAGACGTCTCGTTGGCGAGATTTGTGGCGGTGAAGAAGATGGTCAGGACGGTCAGGAGAGAAGTGAAGACGGTAATGATGACGTTACGAGGAGTGCTTTGGGATGTTGATGCACGGGGTGGGGGATTTCCTCCGCAAGATGGGTGGTAGCGTCGAGGCAGGAGAAGCTCCAGGTGATCATGTTGATTGCGATGAAGGAGGCAACACCGTCCGACCAGTCTGACGCGTTGTAGTATTTCACAAAGACCATTTGTGCCGAAGCTTTGGCAGACGGAGCTACAAGTAGTGTCATAAAAAAAGCCAGGCCCAGCGTCACTGAGAAGAGTAAGGCAGTCTTGGAAATTCCTGGAGGGAACCGGTTGCAAAGATTGAATGGGGCGGCGAGTAGATTGAAGGCCTCGAAGGCCAGGAATCTGTGCCACTTCTCATTCACGAAGTTCGGATATGTGATAGCAACCAGTTGGAAGAGGACGTAGTCACAGCTGAACGGGCCCAGGAAATGATACATGACCGAAGCTATGAATTATTGTTAGCTGATACACACAGATGGGAATCGCGGAGGATAGCCCCATTGAGCACGACCACCTTCGAGGACGCGAGGCACTCACCCCTGGAGAAAATTGCCGTCATGTGAGATCAAAACCGTTGACAAGATGGTGGTGCGAGCCGTGCGACCCAAAGGTACTGGTCCGCCTAGCATGGGGAAAAGTTGAAGACAGTTCTAAGACTGACTGCAAAGCTGAAAACGACCACGACAATGACGACAGTGCCATAGGACAAAGAGGTCCCCTATCAAATATGGCGTTGCCAACCACCAGCAGGATGCCTTGTTGAGGTGTTGGTAATCTGATAGCCTAACCAGCAGCCGACTGAATGCCGAAAAGTCTTTTCGATCACTTGGACATGGCCTGTGTTGATGAGAGCAAGTATCTCCCAAATCCGCACGCCAATGACCAAACTGTTGTGGGCTTGTGAGCTAGGGGTTGAGCATTGAGCCGCATCACCCTCGTCCCAAAGAACGTCCCCATACTTCAGGATTCCGGGCGCCTTCTTTAGTCTCATTGTTTGGCCTATTGTACATGCCTATTGGGATGAGGCGACTGGATCACTCCTTTGAATCGTCCGGGATACTGTACCCTTGTTCTGGAACAGCACCATAATGTATCCACAGACTTTGACGGCTTAGGAAGCCCCTGGAAATCAGCTGCCTGTGCCCAGGCTTCGAATGCGTTCCTGGGAACTTCTCGTAGATCAACCGCGTCTGTTGGTTTGCTCGGATCAGTCGAGAAATCATGGCTCAAGCTTTAATTGGGGTATCCCATTCGCAGGTTACAAAAGGCTTTGGAACTCAACCCACAGCTTCCTGTGGCACAGAGCAAGGTGGTAAATCCACGGCCCGCCGCAGCACTCAGTGAATGTGGTTGTCGAGATCACGTAACAATGACGAGTTGTGGTTACAGTGGTGTGGAGAGAATTAAGAGGTAACAAGAAGTAAAGGAGCGACCTGCCGCTATATACAGTCATCTAGACAGGAGTATATGAGCCAAATATAGCAGCCTGAGTAGTGCTGAATTCGGCACTGAAATCACAGTGTCTTCTACCCGCGTCCTCCGCCATCAACATGTGAGCTTCTCAACGCAATGACTTCATATAGTCAACACAAATAACACAGTGCAGCTTTAAATTTGAACGCTTTATACAAGTTGTACACATAAATCCCCCATTAAACCAAGGACAACATCACTCCTTCTCGTTGCATTACACTTCTCATAGTCCGCCTCGTCACCACGACATCTGACGGATCTTACTCCCTTTAGTAGGGATCGTTTGTACAGGTCCTCGAGGCGGCATGGCTGGAATATTACGGTCAAAGATGCCCGTTTTTGCCGAGTGCTTAAAGATTCCCTGGTTGTTTCTAAAAGGGACTGTTTTGATCCCATGAAGTCCTATGGGTGCGGGAGCTTCATGTAGGTAGGTGATCACGTTAGCGTGTTGGCATTTGAGAAAATTCCCACCTCCAAAAGCGGCGGCACTCGTCACCTTACATTGGCTTGGAATCTCAGTAGTACTGGGCTAGTGCCACATTTGGCTTAGAGCGGAATTGTTATGTAATCTTTGGGCACGCCAAGGCTGTCTATCACACACGAAATTTCACGGTTTCAAGGTTCGCAGCGCAGTTGAGAGGACTTCATCGCATACCTCAACAAACACATCAAAACACCGTCGCACATTAATTTGCCCTTAAATATCCTAACTTCAACCCTAAGAAGTCATGGGGGGCAAAACTGGAACCAAGGCTGTCTACTTCGACAAGCTCAAGGGCTTGCTCGACGAGTACAAGTCCATCTTCATTGTCAGTCTGAAGTCTTGAGTTTGAGATTCATACTGACGCAGAACACAGGTCAGCGTCGACAATGTCTCATCCCAGCAGATGCACGAAATCCGTCAGTCCCTCCGAGGCGAAGCTGTGGTTTTGATGGGCAAGAACACCATGGTGCGACGTGCGCTCAAGGGATTCATCACCGAGAACCCTGAGTACGAACGTCTTTTGCCACATGTCAAAGGTCAGTCGAGGACAGTAACACATCGCGAAGGTTGCTGACTGTGTTAGGAAACGTTGGATTCATTTTCACCAACGGTGACTTGAAGGCCACTCGTGACAAGATCCTTTCCAACCGTGTTGCCGCCCCTGCCCGTGCAGGTGCCGTAGCTCCTGGCGACGTCTACGTCCCTGCTGGAAACACTGGTATGGAGCCTGGCAAGACCTCTTTCTTCCAGGCCCTCGGTGTCCCTACCAAGATTGCTCGTGGTACCATTGAAATCACCACCGATCTCAAGTTGGTCGAAGCTGGCGCAAAAGTTGGTGCTTCAGAAGCCACGCTTCTCAACATGTTGAACATCTCTCCTTTCACATACGGCATGAAGGTGCAACAGGTGTACGAGGAGGGACAGACTTTCTCCCCAGAGGTCTTGGACATCGAGGAAGCTCAGTTGCTCAAGGTGCTATCCTCCGCAATCGCAACCATCACCACCATTTCTCTTGCTGCCAACTACCCGACTCTTCCATCTGTCGTTCACAGCTTGGTCAATGGCTACAAGAACCTCATCTCGGTTGCTCTTGAGGTGGACTACAGCTGGGAGTCTATCGAAGAGCTCAAGGACCGCATTGCCAACCCTGACAAGTACGCTTCCGCTGCACCAGCAGCAGCAGCGGCTTCGTCTGACGCTGCCGCTCCTGCTGCTGCCAAGGAAGAAGAGAAGGAAGAGGAGAAGGAAGAAAGTGAAGATGAAGGTGAGTCAAACTCGGTTGATATATGTACTCTACCGATTGCTAACCTCTACCAGGCTTCGGCGGTCTCTTCGATTAGATGGCTCCACAAAAGCATTTTTTCCAATAGCACACGGCAATTCATGGCGTGGACAAATCGAATGGTAGACATGCGACATAGATCCAATGACATGAAATGCAGACTCCTACCTTTTGTTGCCCCAGATATCAAACGTAATCTGCGGTTATGGCAATGTGTTGTCTTTAATCAGGTAAGCATGATTGATCTCCTTTACTGTACTCGACGGTGTGATGATCCATTTTTAACCCCGAGAACCTGTTCACTGAAGAACAAAACTACGCAACAACACTCTAATTTTTTACTGACCCCAACCACCTCACTCCTTTACGTTGACTCATGTATGAAATACGTGCTGATTGATTCAAAAGCAGTTGATCTTGTAACTTGCAGGATTGCACCTGTCCTATCTAGTTCATTGCTCCGGGATACGTGTCGTGCGCTGTTCTCGAAACCCTTCATCCTCCACGTTGCGAAAGGTAAATGCCGTCCAATGCTGTCTGTGACTTGATAACCTCGCATATGTAGTAAAATTAAGAACATGTCTCCTCGACTGATGTTGAAACTTAGGAAACATAGTCTCGAACTTGACTGTCCTCGCTCGCTTCCAACTTCTCTTTCTCGTCCAAGTTGATTAGTTCTATTTGTGAATCCATGCTGGGCTCTCGTGACATGTGAGGTGCCGCATCCTCGTCAACGGTGTTCCAGGTCTTCTTGTACGTCTTCCACAAGCTATCAACTGACTGTCCAAAGAGGTTGAGCCAGAACTTCTTCTCGTCGTATTTCTCGGTGCCCATCGTTTCGTTCATTCTGCTCACGGTACCCTGTCCATATTCCACCTCCAACCATTCCAAGAACCACGCGGTCTTCTGGTACCCTTCGTCCCACTTCTCTCCTCGGTTTTCGGGTGATCTATTCCAATGTGGCGGCGCAAGACCAGCCTTTAATCTCACAAAGTCCGCGACACCCTCGATTAAACCTCCGGGAGCTGTGCCACGGCTGTTGTTCTGAAAGCCTACTTATCGTCAGGAAATTGAAATCGTGAACCGTGGATTATATATCAAGCAAGGATCTGATAGGATGATGCCCACGACGGGAAAGCTCTTACAATGCACCATTTCGTGTGTAATGACACCGGCAATCTCATGCCGCACCCCGGCGGAATTCCTGGCAAGAACTCCGAGCACGTAGTCAAGGGACAGATGAATTTCCTTGTGCAGGTCGTCCAGCTGAAGCCCAGTGGTGTATGCAACTCCACCTATCCCTCGAAGAACTACTGTGACGGACCTAACCTTGGGGATCTGGCTCGACCCATGGGCACAATACAAGTGTTCGAGGACATGCTCAATGGCGCGTGTGAGATAAAGTCCGCTGTCGAGAGCGGAAGCCGCGACTTGGCTGGCTGGATGGCTGACATCGTTCAAATGGAGTCGAAGGAGTGGTTTGGGATGCAGATGGGGAAGCGGCGCTGGCATCTCGCTGGTTGTCTGTAAACACACTCACAACTGAGATAAGAGTAGCAAGGTGTGCCTGAAAGCAGAGTCTATCCGCATTGAAAGACGAGGGGTGGACATAATGTGGTCAGAGCCTCGTCGTACTCAATATTGGCCGCCTTGCAGCCTTACGTAACTAAGTAGGCCAGGTACTTGTCCAAGCCCAGAGCACGTGAGCCGATGTTGTTGCCCACCGCAAACATCATTCGTACATGATTGGGCGCCAAAGAACGTCACTGCCAAGAAAGTGGCCGGTGCTCAAAACAAACAGCCTTCTCGCCTACCAGAGTCCCGTATCTTCCTTTACACGCCCAGACTCATCGCCTCAATGTACACGCGCATCCTTGCAGAGGGGCCAAAGTATCGTCGCGAAGTCGGAGTAGTCGAAAACAGTTGACCTGATCAGGTACGTTCTCCAATCTGCATATATGTGGCCTCTCCCAACTTCTACACCTTTCGTCCCCGCCTCCGTCCATTTTACACCACGTGCCTTTGTGTTGTTGTTCGAACACCGCACTCACGACTCTTACATCTGCACTGCAAATTACCGTTGGTGAATAGCTATCCTTCGTCCATTTCCTCAGTCTTCGACGATTACCAATCCTAACCGCGTCGTCGGTTGAGCGATATTCCGTTGACTCTCGCTTGACATGGAGTCTCTCAGGAGAATGAGCATTCTACTTAGAGACCAGTCGGCATAGATTGCTGACAATACTCGTGGTTCAGCTCAGAAACTTGACAAGTCGATCGCGAACACTGGAAAGACTCTCTACTTCTCCTTCGTCGCTGCCAGAGCCAAGATGCTCGGCAAAACTTATGTCGATGTGCTCAACCTTTTGCAGTACGAATTCACTCTTCCTGAGACGGAAGAAACTTGGAAAAGGCGTCAAGACCTTCTCTCTCAATTGTGCGACATCTTCGAGAAACGGAAGGAAAACGTGCCTCTCCCCAAAGACTTCACTGAAAGAGTCAAGACCATATTACCGGCGATTGTTGAAGCAGTTTCCTCCGAACGTACCACTTTGTCCTCTCAGGCTTGTCGTACCGTATCTCAAATTGCACGCAACCTTGAGCATCAGCTTCAGCCTCAACTGGACATCCTCCTTCCAGCGCTCATCGCTCACTGCGGCTCGACCAAGAGTGTGAATCAGAAAAATGCCAATGACGCAATTTCCACTCTTTGCCAGCATGCTGGATACAGCCCACGGCTCTTCTACCATATCACTGCCGCCTTCAGAGACAAACGAATTCCTCCCCGAACCTTTGCACCAGAATGGCTGCGAATCCTTCTAAGCAATTATCGGGCACAAATGGACGCAGACAAGGATGGCCATGCTGCTCAAAAGGCTATTTTCCAAGGGCTCACTGATGGACAGGTCAAAGTTAGAGAGAATTCTCGTGCGGCGTACTGGGAGTTCGCCAAGTACGATGCCCAGGGAGCTCGCATGATCATGGGCGGATTGAACTCTCATGCTCAAGCTGCACTCCGTGACGATCCTCACAACCCAGACAAACCCGCCAAAGCCGTTAGAGTCCCCAGACCAGACTCAGCTCTTGCCCAGATTAAGGCGCAGTCGAAACAACGCCTGCACCAACATCGTGGCTATACACCGGCGTCGGTCAAGCAAGACGATTTGGCCTTTGGCTCTATGGAGGGGATAAATCTTCCTGACGAAAAACAGCCCACTCCCAAGGCTGCTCATGAGCATACCAAAGACAAACACAGCCAGGAAATTGCTCACCAAGACACGGTCGGAAGCTCCCGACACGCTTCTCGTCAAAACTCTCAAAAGTCATCTAAGGATGTCAAATCCGATCCAGCAAAAGATATGAAGCCTACCAGTCCTCAAAATGCACAGGGTGATGCGCGACCGCTATTGTCTGCGCCCGTCAGAAGAGGTCGTATTGTTGCTACACCCATTGCACCTGTGTCGAACAGCTCTCAACGGCCTGCTTCTCGTGGCGAGCCCAGCAAGAAAGCTCTTGACCACCGAGACAAAACTACAACCGAGAAATCCTCTGGCAGGCAGACTCCCATCTCACACTCTAACAAGGATTCCGTCTCTTCGACTGCCAGTCATCATCGTAAGACCACCAGTCGGCACGACACCATTCGAGCTGAAGCAAAAGAGCTTTCCACATCCGCGCATGGAGGAAGTGGGAAACGAAACGGCCGGCAGACTCCAGTTATTGCCGAAGATAAGGAGTCCAATCCTCCCCCTGGCCTCGACAATATAATACGAGATGAACGTTCAGCCCCATTGGCGGTCGAGGAGAAATACATGTCAGCCCCTGCTGCTTACAAGGACATCCTCAAGGAAAATGTGCTTACCGAACAAGTTTCTGTTGCCTCGACCCTGCCTCTGCGTCCCGTCCCAGTTTTCACTCCCGAAATGCAGATGCAGCCAGAACATACACTTGACAGGACCAACCCCGTCGGATACATCCCTGACGGAAAGGAGAACACTAACATCATATCAAAACAACCCGACAAATCTCCAAGCCGATCGTCACACAAATCATCGAGTCAATCCCCAAAACGCTCTCCCATTCGACGCAATAGTATCGCATCGGCTAAAAAGTCGCTAGCCACTGCTATGGACTTCCTTCGCCATGGAAGCCTTGATGCATTGGGCTATCGCAGACTTAGAAAGCTGATTGAATGCCACCCAAGTGTCCTGATCACTCGCCAATCACAGTTCAATGAGTTGTTTGAACTGCTAATTTCCAACCTGACTTCCATAGATGAAATCGCAGAACCCCGAGAAAAGCGTATTGGAAACCTCAATCATCCAGCCTACAACAGACATACCATGGTCATCATACTTGTAGATCTCTTCAACCAATACCCCCAATATCCGGAGCCACATCCAGGAATGACCTTGTGCGCGCTTATTGTGGCGAGAAGTAATCATGGTTCAGGTTGGGCGTCCGCATTAGCAGCTATTGACATGACTGCTCTCAACCTTTGCAACAGCACTCCGCATCCTTTACCCGCAATCGATGCCGTGCTAGATACACTGCAATCGGTCGAAGCTATCATCAACAAAAGTGATCTAATCAGTACTCCTGATTCCAACGTTACACAGCTCCTGAACAGCCTGAGGAGTGTTGCAAGTGATTTTGGTCCTGACAAACCTCAATTCTCATCCCGCTTACCGCTTATCTTGGCCTTTGGACTCAACATTCTTGTCTTCCTCTTGTCTAAAGTCACTGCACTTGGTCAGACACTCTATACCGTTCAGGAGGACCGTTTGGCATCCTACGCAGAGCGTTTGCTTTCGACATATGCATCTCTGATGAGACGCAACATCATCGACTTCTGCAGGGCTTTGCACCACATCATCAAACCAGAGAGAAGATTCTATAACTATTTCAGCAAGGAATCCGACAAGAATCTTATCCACTATTACGTTGCCGGTGCTTCGGGAACGCTCAGTGGAAGCTTGAGTAGCACGGGACGAGCATTCATGCCAGAAGACGACTACGAGTACATGGAACAGGAGCCCTCGACTTATGATCCAAGCTTACAGATGTCAGCTGACTGGAAATCACTTGGAACCACATTAAGGCATGGAGTGCATGGACAACAAATCAGTACAGCAAAATTCAATATGGGCGCTGCCGCTTCAATTGGAGCTTCTGGCGAGCCATCCGACAACTGGGAAGTCTTGGGGACCACTGTCGAGGAATGAAAAAGCCTCTGTATTATTATGATTATGATTATGAAGGGGATCCAGTATCATTAGTATCAGTCGTACGAAGGAAAATTATTCTTGTCGGGGTTGGATAGTTGGTTTGATTATTGATCAGAGGGTGGATTCGGACTCGAAGTGATAGAGCCACATTAGAAGAAAGGAGTCCAGGCTCCAAAACAGAGTTGCAAAGCTCAATCGATTCATGCAAAACTAAAAGTGATTCCTCCGTGTGCCTTGCCGTCAATAAAGGCCATGTCACTCGTTGGCACGGCCCGTCATATGTACGGAGTACAGCTCGGAGCTCCTCTGTTTCAGGTGTGTCTGCGGAGGACCAACATGGGTGATATCGGAGAAAGGGCGACGGAGTCTGATGTTGGTATTAATTGGGTTCGTCTTAATTTTGTGCAGCCGTGCTTAAAAGTGTTCTGATCGACGGGCCAAATGAAACGGTAGCCCCTGCAAGTGGCCTTAGTTAATCTGCCTCATCTTAAGCAGGCTCGCACAGCCACGTGGAGGTCGGTTGGAAATGTAACCAACAGCGAGAAAGACGTCGGGTGACACGGACACGACAAGCTGTCAAGTGGCATTGATGCTCTCTGCAATATAATCTCTTCCTCGCATTCGGGAAGATCGAGGCTGGCGTGTACGTTGTGACAGGCAAGTGAAGTCGCGGGCCACGAGACAAGGCCTGTCACGTAACGGGACACGAAAACGGAGCCGGGCCAGATGGCGCACTCTGGAGAATGGAGGTGCTGCACGCAATAAGGAGTCGAAACAGGAGCAACTGGCGAGCCTCCGTCAACGCTATCGCCAGCTTGGGTTGCTTTTTGAGATGAGATGCTACTATCGGCATGTTATCGAGAAGGATGAGAGCAGCAAGGTTGACCAAAAGAGCCACATCACGAAATAAGGGGGAAGGGGGACACTGATCAGTGGTTGAAGTAGGCAACATGTGTGGGTGCTAATAAGTAACCTAAGGCACTAGGCTGAGGCTACCCTTGGCCACCTGGTTAGGCACCTGGGTAGGCAACTATTATAGAGGCTAGAGCCCGTCCTTTCTTGCCAACCAGCAACGTTATATGTTTAGTTGAGGTTAGTTGAGGTTGGTGGGTTGCGCGCACTGCGACTGAGTGGCTGCCCAGCAGAGCCAGCACCCGTACTCCCAGGCTCTAGCCCACGAGTAGGCTCAGTAGCCTCCCTTAGCCAGGGCACAGGGCGTGCCAAAGGGTAAGCCTGGTGCGCCAGGCGGTCTCTTAGCCCGCTAGCCCCCGGTGGCCCCCCATTGCACACCAAGGGCGGCAGAGGTAATGGTACCTTCAGGTACTCCGTACGAGTACTCCGTATCCCTTCAGGCTGATGAGAGACGCCCACTAGGCTTGTCCAATGGAACGTCTACGGCTCACCACTGAATGGACCCTGGATTTTCGCGCTTGGACGGCCCTTTTGATGGACACGTCCTCCAAATCGTCAGTGACCTGCAGAAACTATACCGTCCTCATGTTAGTGGCGGCTCTCCTTATGTGAGGAGGACGACGGCGAGATTCTCTGCGCATCGAAGCACCATCATCAAATCTCCCTAGTGAGCACCACCACCAACAACTTCCTTTCCATTGTATGCGCGTTCACTTCCTTCTCAGAGACAAAGTTGGAACAGCCGGCCTACTAAGTCGCAGTTTACGAATTCTCGCCTGGCGGCTGTCGTCCCCTGCACAACCTGACCTGGCGCGGTTGCTCAGCCATCAACTGTCTGGACGAACTTTATTTCCTGCCTTAGAAACCCTTCCCTATATCCCATACGGGCACCTGAACTGATATCCTGCGACCTTTATTTAACAAGGCCATAATCACTTGCTTCACGATCGCATCTTGCCATCGACGTCCTTTAGCGACCCATTCCAGCGACCCATCCTTGCTACCAACTTCTATTTGGGGCCATTCGGGCTTCCGACGACCGCCTCTCCACCACATTCTCCCATCTTGAGTCTCGGCTGCCGGACAGCACAGAGACTGAGTCTTCGAAGAGAGTTATCATACCGCTTAGTCGCTGCTTAGTCGTCAACTGTACAGGATTTAGACCCCGGTGCATTTCTGCCGCGCCCAAGAAACGATTGTCAATACACAACATTGTCTTGTCTCACACGAGGGTTGTTTGGGTTTGAGACATAGTCAACCACATGTTCTCAACAGTGCTGGTACACCGTGCAGTACAGATTGTGGAAAGAGGACGAAATGGCCACAGCAGTGGAATCTCCAATGCCGTATCCAGAGTCACCTCTGGATTCAGATGACATTCCGTTTCCATGTAAAGGCTGTGGATTGGTAAGACTCCACGCCCACCGAAAATGAGAGAAGACTGACTCTCCTGGACAGATCCTTGAAGAAGGCAAAGCATTCGAGCTAGGCATGATTATCCGTCTCCCAGTATGTATACCATTGCGCTGACAGATAAATAGCTGGCAACAGATGGCACATCGATTGCTTTCGCTGCAACACCTGCAACACCGCGCTCGACTCCGACGCAAACCTCTTGCTCCTCGGGGATGGATCTTTGATTTGCAACAATTGTACCTATAGCTGCAGCAGTTGCGGCAACAAGATTGAGGATTTGGCCATCTTGACAGGGGATCAAGCCTTTTGTGCCAACTGCTTCAAATGTCGAAATTGCAAGAGAAAGATTGAAAACTTGAGATACGCGCGTACATCACAAGGAATCTTTTGCATGGATTGCCATGAGGCCTTGATGGCAAGGAGACGCAAGAAATCAGCAAAGGGCGCAGCACAGCGATCCAAACCCTCAAACAATGCTCACTTGGATAAGTCGCTCCCCGCGATCCCTCCTCCAGAAGCTAGAAAAACGGCGTACGTGCCGGAGGAATCGTCCCCGTACCTTGAAGGATATGTTGAAGCGCCTGGAGATATTCCGTCAGTCGCAAAAACGATGAGGGAACTCCAGAGAGACGTTGACTCGCGACCTTCCACGGGTGACCAGACTCCCCCACGAGGTATGTGGCGCATTGGATTCGGTAATTCTGGTGAATGGCTTGACTGATCACTTTGCTAGATATGCTCACTCTTCCCTCTACTACCTTCCGCAACAACAGGCAGTCTATGATGTCGCAGCGGTCTGATCTCTCAGGAGGAGGCGGCGGCGGCGGCGGCGGCAGCGGAGAGGAGTTCTTGATTCCTCTCGCCTTCGATCCCACGCCACCAGCCTCGAACAAGTCCCCTGCGCCGTCGACTCAGATCACGCCCCGTGTCGTCGAGGAAAGGCCTAAAGACTACTTTTCAAGTCGATCGGCGCCCACAGCTCAACCCACTGTTGCTAAATCGAACACATCCAGCCCTCATATCGCCTACCAAGAGAAAGGACGACGGCTTTCACGTGAGCCGTCTGAGAAGAGTCGTTCAGGCGGGGATGTAAGTAGGTCAGGCTCGCAGCGTCCTTCATCCTACGTTCTGGCGGAGACGCCTCGACGCTCGCAAGAGTCTCCTCGCCTCTCGCAGCAGACTGCTCGTACCAACGAATCTGCATCCACCGAGAGATTTAGACTTCAGGATGCACCGATAAGAAGAAAGGCGCCCGGCTCGACTACTACCTCACGGTCGGGGGCGTCCACGCCTCGTGCAGACCTACCTACGGATCCTATCGAGCAATTCACCTCGTCTAGACCTCCTGCTCCCGCAGATGTGAACTCACCCTCCGACCCGGGTCTCGCGACTCCGAACGTCTCCGATGACTCGAGTCCAGCGATGACAGACGAGTCGCCCAAGCATGCACAATTGCCTTCGACTTCACTTCTGCAAAATTTGCCCAAGCGCGGCGATTCTTTGGACAGCGCGAAGCGTACCCAGACGATACCGAGAAAAGAGCTGAACTCTGCCGCGAACAAACCTTCGAGTCTTAGCGCCACAGTCAATGGGGCATCACCTGTCCCGAGATCTTCAATGCCGCCTGCTGAGCTCGCCAGGGCTAATGGGGGAAAGGTCATTTCTGGCCCAATTGGGTCTCCTAGTTCCAAGAGCATCTTTGACACCGCGGACGATTCCATTAGCCAGACAGATCTTCCAAGTGCTGGTCGGGCAGGCAATGAGTCCTTCGTTGATCCTCGAGCCCCTCCTCTGCCACCTTCAGATCATTCACGATCGCGGAACGAGTCTTTCAGCACGTTATACTCTGAGCACCCACGAACTTTGGAAGGACAGAAATCACCTGGTCTCCCAAGATATTCTACCGGTGTTGAATTCTCTATGGACGAAGACATGGCTCGGATCATGGGCAATGACGAACCCAACGCACATGAGTCCTTCCTAAAGAGAGTATCGAATTCTGTCCGCCACGGTCGCAGTTACAGCGACAAGACTGGACGTCTGTCTCGCGACCGATGGCCCAGGTCCCCTGCGGTTGGTCCTCCTGGCATTGGCCAAGAGATCAGTAGTCCTACCTCTGCGTCACCTGAGAATCGGGATGAGCTCGCTTGGTTCAAGAACGAGCTCCGCCGCGAGAGACAAAAGAAGATTGAGCGGGAGAAGCGCATAGCTGAACTCGAGGCTCAACTTGACTCAACGGCGAATATCAGACAAGTAAATTCCGAATTGAAGGAAAAGAGGTCGACGATTGTCGTCCTTGACACGCAAAAGGAGATTGTGGTTCGCGAACTTGAAGTCTTAACCGAACATCTTGCCGTCGCAAAACGCAGTGGCGAACCATTCGATCTGTCCAAATTGAGCAACGCAGTTCTTCGTGACTTTGCGGAAGCTCTAGAGAAGCTGAAAGATTCTTTCGCCCCTCAGATTGAAGAGTCAATACAGAAGCGCAATGATCTGGTGGACGAAATCGCCAATCTAACGCAGATGAAGGATAAGAGTTTCATGGAGTTCGAACAATTATCGTCAAAAAATGCACAGTTGGCAGAACTCAACAACCAACTGGTTCATCAAATCCAAGGTCTCTATAAAGCGAACTCGGGCGCTCAAGCCGCACAAGCCGAAGCGACTAAGCCTGCCATGAATGGCCTCGGTATTTATTCACACCACAAGGAGAAGTCGAACCTGTCTTTTGACTCTCGAGAGACACCGCGCAATGCGTCAACCGACTTGACCACTATTGAATCAGCCACCACTTTGCAAGCCGGTGAAGCAGAGCCGGTGACCGTTCTTCAAGGTCCACAGATGGTGAACATCCGGAAAGGACAACCCAAAAAGTTCGACTGGAGGAAAGGACAAAAAGTTGCCAAGGGAGTGACTAAAGGCTTGAAGGGCGCTTTCTCGTCGACACAACAGAGTTACAGCCGAGATTTGCAGTTTGCCGAGACTGGAGCTTACGGTGCGCAGCCTCTTGGTCAAGAATACTCAAGCCTGCCAAAATCGAACCCGGAGCCCGTAAAGCAAAGTGGCTTTGGCTTCTTTGGCAATCAGAAGACCGCAACCAAGCCCAACGGCCTCTATGCTTCACAGGTCAACACGAGCACGCCTTCATTGCTTGTTGACGCTGCTACACGTATGTCGATGTTGCTAAGTCTCAAGGTTCACCAACCAATGCTAACACTGTACAGAACTATTCGGCTCTGACCTCGAGCAGCGGGCCGAGTTTGAAAAAACCGATATTCCCTCAATTGTGAGGAGGTGTATTGAAGAAGTAGAGTCGAGAGGTACGTCATCTCAGCAAGCCACGCTAATCCTGACTGACGGGAACAGGCATGGATGTTGAAGGTATCTATCGCAAGTCAGGTGGAAACTCTCAAGTGCAACAAGTCAAGGAATGGTTTGAGAACCCTTCGAAAGACTTCGACCTGTCTGACCCGGACCTCGATATTCATGCCGTGACTTCGGGCCTGAAGCAATACTTCAGACGGCTACCAACACCTTTGATTACTTATGACGTCTATGACAAGCTGCTTGATACGATCAGCATTGCAGAAAAGGATGCCAGACTCGAAGGAATGCAACGCGCACTAGAAGATCTTCCTCGAGTGCATTACGATGTGTTGGAATACCTCATTCAACACCTTGCCAGAGTGGTATTGCAAGAGAAAGAAAATCTCATGACCCCGATGAACGTTGCTGTCGTCTTTGCACCTACCATCATGCGGCCGGAAAGTCTCAATCGGGAGTTGAGTGACACTAAGATGAAGAACGAGGCGGTCATGTGGATGGTTGAGAACTCCGACCGGCTTTTTGCAAATTGAAACCAAACCCGTCTCTTGGGCGATGCTTGAAGATTTTGGGCTGGGACCGAGGGAGTAACAAAGGATTTCTCCTTCATGATCAATGATTGTGTTTGCGTCGAATTCATTGAGCCAGGCGTCCTGGGATGTTTACCCATGGGGAGGGATGGTCTTTTGGCAGGGGCGTTTGCGACGTATCATGTTCTGAGGCGTCGTTACCTACAGGAAGAGCTGAGCTCCAATATGCAGGGATTGGTTCAGCAGACTGTGCCAGTTGTAGGGAACTTGGGTAGAGAGAGTAATATCGAGAGGATGGTGCAAAAATTCCGACCGAGCCAATTTCTCAAGTCCAGTAGGTCTTGTTAGTTACCTACCGTACTCGGCGCTTTAGGTGCATCTCCCTTATAAGTGCTACCCACCAAACGAGCTCACCCGGGGCCGCATAGACCTCGAGAGGCGCGGCTCACTAGGCTAAGAGCTGGAGTTAAGTACCTGGATCAGGGCCTGTTTATTAGCGCTTCCGGGCGTGAGCCCTGCGCATCTAGGCGGCAGTCTCTGAAACGGCTTCGTACTGTTGCAGGGGTACTCCGTACCATGTCTGTCCAATCATCCGTCACGTCGATGATCCTCCCAGCCGTAACTGTGAACCCCGTACACTTCGCACGCATCGACCTGGCGGATTTCCCTAGCGAACACAATTGTTGGCGCATCTAACTCATATTCCTCCTGGACGAGATCGAGAGGAACGGCAGTCTGGGCTTGCTCGTACCCTTTTAACGACGGTTCCCTTCGACCCCGAGATGCTACGATATTCCTTTCCGGGCACACTCTAGTCATCAGAAGATGATGCCCTCGGCCCTGACCACCCGCCATGAATCAGCTACAATATCAGTCAGGGCAGCGGCAGCAACAGCAGCCTCCGCCGCCACTCTCCAATGGCAACAGAAACGGCTCTCTCGGAAGTACGTCTGGCGTAAAGCAACCTGAACCTCTCGAAACCAATCAATCCCGCGCGGCGCGTTTTGAGGACGAGAAGAGACGGATCGTTGAAAGCTGCTTCAACAAGAGGGATCAGGATGGCATGCAGGTGGAGTCATACATCACCCACGTTAGAATCCTAGAGGATGCATCCTATCCTTCTTCTCCGCCGCCGCCCGAATCTCCTGCCAGCAACAAGAAGAACAGAGTGATTCTCGTCGCGGTGCGAAGGTCGGGCAAAGTCAGGGTCCACAAGGCTCGAGAGAATCCTAATGGCACCTTTTCTATCGGAAAAACATGGAATCTGGATGAGCTGAACACCATCATATCATACTCCTCGATGGTGCCGGCCACAACACAGCAACAAATGGAGAAACAATGGGCGTCCAATACAGGCTTCACAATCACGCTAGGGAAGCCGTATTTCTGGTCGGCACCAACGCCAAAAGAGAAGGACTTTTTCATTGCCAGCCTGATCAAGATATACAAAAAATATACGGGAGGGAAAGTACCAGATCTCATCGGATTCTCGCCACAGGACGTGGCTCACCTGACGGGCAATCCGGCTCCTCAAAGTGCTCCTCCATCCAGGGCCGCAGGGACTTTCTCTCCCTCTGCTCCTTCCGATCGATCGACGCCTCCTGCTCAACCGCCCTCCGTGCCTGCGCTTAGTTCAAACCGGCCGCAGTCGCCGTATACTGCTCACCAACCTCTTCCACTAAGCAGAGACGGAAACAGAATAGTGTCGCAAGAGAATGAGCGAGTTTACTCGAGGCAGGATCATCCCCAGATGGCAAGAGATGGACTCGTACCACCTCCCCAGTTGGAGAATCGCGCCCCATCGAGGCAGGAGCGAAGCACGCCGCTGCAGGAGCCTCCCAGAAATCAGCCATATGGTACTCAATACCGACGGGACGATGGACGTGCACCATCGATAACAAGCAATATGCAGTCGACGCCGCCGCGCCCCTCCATTAGTCCGAAACCTTCAAAGACGTCATTGTCGAGAAATGAGACTGCTCTCGAGCCACAGCCTTTGAGACCAAATGGCATAGGAGCAACCATGCCAGCAGGCTTGGACTTAGGTAAGAGATTGGGACCTCAACCCAGTCAAGATTCTTTCCGCAACGCCTCAGGAAACGGAGCCATTGGTAGCTCAAGGCCGAGCATCACATCTGCAGACCGGAGGGCTCCAACAGAGTCAAGACCTGAAGTGCCCACATTCATTGAACCGTTGCCTGAAAGGAAGAGACCTGTGGCAGCTCCTCTCGAGCCTGTCACGGATCACTTGGGTCCTCCAAGTCAGGATGGCGACACTTTCGTAACCCCTATGGGGACGCCAACGGATTTGAAAGAGGAGTCGCAAAAGCGTGCTCCAGACTACTTTGCTGCCAAACAATCTCAGAAAGAAACCCAGCCAGAAGAGGCTACACCCGCACTCCTTAGCACCGCCTCGCATGAGCCTAACGGTCGAGATACTCCTCCAAGCCAGATCACAAACGATGCGGCAACGAATGAACACCCTGAGACCACGTCACCGCCTCCAAAAGTTGAAGAGGAGCATCGCCCTGGACTAGGGCCTATGTTCAAGAAGAAATCCGGTAAAGATATCGCCAATCAATTTCGACGAGCTGCCCTTGCAGCCCAAGCGTTTCAGCCTCGTCAAGGTGGTGCCGGTGCCCGACTGAAGGCCCTCCAAGACAAGGAAAAGCAGTCAAATGAGCCTGACGGAATCACTTCTGTTGTTCCAGCGCCTTTACAACGAGGCATGAGTGGCGATAGCGCCAGAACAGGCACCCCAGACTTGGTCACTTCCACCATTGAGAAGGAACAGCCCGTAGCTAAGGCCAACGATGTTATCCCGAAGGTTCAGATTGAGCGGACAGCGACCTCGGATAGTGTTGCAAGGCCTCAAACGCCGGTCCAGAAGCCTATTGCCCTTACCGAGACCCCCGAAAAACAAGCACGAGCAGAGTCTCCAGACAAAGCACGATCACGTTCGCCACAAAGAAGACGTAGACTGAAGTTGGAAGCCGAGGTGGAAAAATACTGCTCAACCTTGGGCGTAGACCCACGTATCATGGATGGTCGGGGTGCAGACTTTAACGAACTTCTGACAGAGTTTGGTTGGGAGGGCAAGCTGGCTGATGAACAGAAAGTGGAAGATTTCGAATCAAACATTCGAAGAGAGATCGGCCGTGCTCAAGCAAGTGGCTGGCTTGGTCATTTTGAACAACAGGAAAGTAAAGTACAAGAACTGGCAAAAGCATTCGAAAAGGCAATTGCCGAATGTGAAGAGTTGGACGGCCTGCTCACGCTCTATGCCCATGAACTCGACACTCTACATGATGATATTGAGTATATCGAGGCCCAGGGCCAAGGTTTACAGGTACAGACAGCCAATCAGAAGCTGCTACAGTCTGAGTTGGAGAGCCTCCTGAAGAACCTAACTATATCATCTGAGGATCTGAGAGCACTGAGAGCCGCGCCAATCGACAGTTACGACGGCTTGCAGTCCATCGAAAGCTCTCTGGCATTACTCTACCGAGCAATGTTGACAATCGACCCAGAAATCCGGCAGAATAAACTCCGCCAAGCTGATGCCTCGGCAGGTCGTGCTGGCGTGGGCCAGTTTGCAGATGCCGAGATCGGGCAGATGCGCGCTGTCCAGCAGAAGAAGGATCAATACAAGGAGGAGAGCACACTTTTCTTGAACCGACTCAACCAACATATGAAGGTAATGTTCCAAATGGCCGAGCAACGAACAAGCGAAGAGAATGCAACAGCAAGTATATCCTCAGGCACATCCACATCTCTCAATATCCGAGCCTACAGCGCCTCGAGACAGGACCTGTGGATGTACAACACTATGATGCTTTTTGTACGAGAGGTCAACCAATACGAATGGCAGACGTTGATCAGCAGCTATGAGATAAATGTGAAGAGCATATATCAGGCCCAATTTCGGGATTACTCAATGAGTCTCAAAAAGACTGCACGAAAGCCGACTGGGGAAGAACAAGAAATCCTGTTCACCCATCAGGAGAAAGAGAAGGCTGAGGAGTCGCTCACATCCACCGCTGCTCGAAAGCTCACAGTCAAGCGTGGCAGGACCGTCAAAACCAGTGCCCTGCGCCAGTCGATAGGCGGTGAGAGGCGAGACGGCAGACCGGAGGCGTGGACAATATTCGATGCTGTGCTTGAGCAGCAGGCCACAGCCATCTCCGAAGAACAAAACTTTATTGTCCACTTCTTCCACCTAGATTCCCAATCGAACACTGACTTCGCTGAGATTGTCCAGTCTCGCCCTCCTGACCAGCGCAAGGTCCCGAATCTTCAGGCGAAGCAGTCTTATGACCCAGACCGGAACATGGCCAAGATTGTCCAGAACACTGTTGGTGGCATCTACTCTTTCTGGGAAATGGACCTGCAAAACCTGATCACCTGGGTTTTGAAGATGGACGAGATCCAAGGCGTCGGGGTGCTCGTCTCCCTCGAACAGTGCTTGGCCAAATACGAAGAAACAAACCAAGAATTCATCACTCGAACTGTCAGGATCCTCCATGAGCGACTCACAAGCAAATTCCATGCCTTCGTGGAGCAGCAGGTCAAAGCCATTGAAGAGACCAAGGTTAAGGTCAAAAAACGAAAGGGTCTCATTTCATTCATGCGTGTCTTCCCCGAGTTTACAGCGGCTGTGGAAGATATGATACCTCAGGAATCCGCACTTGACTCCCTAGATGTACGATTCACTGTGAACGATGCCTACACTCGTCTTCTTAAAGCCATGTGGGAATCTCTCAATTTCATCGCGAAAGACAATCCGGCTGCTGCAAGCGGGACTACGAGTGCAAATGCCCCAATCAGCGGAGACCCCGAGGATAAAGAGGCGCTGAACTATCATATTTTGTTGATCGAGAACATGAATTACTTTGTCGAGGAGGTCAAGACACATAACAACGGTGTGCTCGAGGAATGGGTAGAGCGCGCAGGCCAAGACCAGGTCAGCCATCTTGGTCAATACACCGACGCGGTAATACGACGACCACTGGGCAAGTGGCTCGACTTCCTAGAGAGCACAGAGGCGATGATGAAAGGCATCTCAAGTGGCGAATATACCAGTATTGCTAGCAAGCCCAGCCATTCACGCAGCAGTGCAAAGAAGATTCTTGGTGCGTATGATACAAGGGAGGTGCGTAAGGGAGTGGAGACATTGAAAAAGCGGATCGAGAAGCATTTCAGTGATGGGGATGATGGCGGATTGGGAGCCAGCACGAGCAGTCTCAGTCGTGGCTTGATTGGACGTGTGTTTGAGGAGTGTGCCACTCGATATAGCCATGCTTGGGATAGGATGAGAGTTGTGGTTGATCGTGTCTACGAAGGTGGATTGGAGATTGAGTGGAGGAAGGAGGATGTTCAGACGATGTTTCGGCGTTGAGATGAGGTCGTGATCTGCATTTTGATGAGCCAAGGCTATGTATATCATTTTTGAATCAGAAAGCACATTTCCATGGATTTAGACATACTATGAACTACTACTACTGTGTCTGTTCGTCCGCCATGCGGACTATCCCACGATATTTCACTACGGTATGATAATACGGGCGCACGCATTGTGGACTAAGCGTTAGTTACAGAAGCGAGAGCTGGGAACGACTTTTTTCCCCTTTCCCTTTTTTCTTTGCCAGAAGAACACACAAACAAAAACTTGGCCCTCGGCTCTTACAGCAGCGTAAAAGACATATGATGTACTACATTAGAATCTCTCTCTCTCTCTCACTCTCACTCTCACTCACACACACACACACACACACACACACACACCTCCCGGAGGGCTGACGCCTCAACATTGACATACATAGTTCTCGGGCATTGGTCTCTGGCCCAAGCCGTAGCCGCCTCCGTAGACGTTCTCCGCGACCATGCGGAGCATCATCGGCATCATGGGATCGCTGTAGTGGTCCTGGATGTCGGACTTCTCGACCGAGTACGCGATGTTGAAGTGGTCGTCCGTGGTGGCCACGCGCTCGCAGGCCGTCTGCTTCTCTTGGTTCCACCACGCTGGCAACATGCCCGCGGCCCTCGCGCGGGCCAGGAAGTCGCGGAACACCGGCAGCGGGGGGTCACCGCCGTAGATGCCGTGGTTGTGCTGGCCCCACGTGTAGTCGTCTTCGCAGCGCAGACGGAACGTGTCGATGAGCATCTGGTAGGTCTTGGTCTCGGAGTCGAGCGAGCGGAAGTAGTCGACGAGACGAGGGTGAGGAGCGTTGCCGTTTCCGCCGTTGGATCCTGCCGCCGCTGCTGCTGCCGCCGTCGGGCCTCGTCGAGGGCATTCGTTCTTGTGTTGCGGCCAGTGCGATGTCTGACATTCTGTATGCGACAGCCACGACCACAGACTGGGTCAGTACTACCAGGCAATGTATGGAGGGGGATCGTGAGCGGGTCGTCTAGAGAGAGACCGGGGCGAGACGGATGAAGGGGTCGACTGATCGACGGACTCACTCACTCACTCACTCACCTTTAGAACAGTAGGTTGCTTTCTGGCATCGGCCGCATCGTTTCAACGTAGATCCGGACGGCAGTTGATGCTCGGCCTTGGTGCACGCGGCACAGACTCGCGCTCCAGCCCCTTGGTGGAGTACCCGTACTCGTAGGTGCATTCACGTTTGCAGATTCTGTCATGTTCAAAAGTCTTCCCTTGATTTTGTTCCCCTCTGTTACAGACTCGTTTGATGTAGGCACCCTTGAAGGAGAATAGGGGATAGCCGTGAATTGGCAGACGTGTGGCCTCAAGCGGTCGATCGATATCTGGTCTTAAAAGTCCACAAGATAAGCTGTGTCTGCTCTGGAATCAGGGGGTTTTAGCTTGCCGTGAAAAGAAGTTGGCCTTCAGATACGACCGGCCGGTACCTCGCAAGGTTGTGATCGGTGATCAGGTCTGAGAACTCTATTCCCTTCGAACAGGAAGGACGAAGTCTACTATAAACACCTGTGCGTCCCAAGATGTTTGCTTTTCACAAAGGGAAACAACTGAGTTTGGCAAACACGGCAAACATCCAAAAGGCGGGGTAAAAGGAGAGTACAGGTACTCGTAGATAATTGGACAATCTTATCTTTACAGAAAGGAGGAGAGGTCATAAGGTATGACAAGATAACCGAACTCACGAGATTGTCTGGGCCTCACATGGGTGTTTTGTAGATGGCCCTCTTGAAGGTCGAGAGGAACCCTGGAGCGGGAGTCTCAACAACAGCTAGCGGCAGGTCCTGAGATGGCTACGAGAGCAACAGCAGATTACGTAGAAGACCTTTGTCCGGATGTCTTGTAAACAGAGCCTTGGAGGGATGGGAGGATGGTAATTGTCTTCGCCCATCCCTATTTCAGCTTGAGGTAGCCTTTGCGTGTCTGACGTTCGTTCAACGCTTGGAAGCTGACCGCGGCGACGCAAACCCCGAGGGCCTCACAGAGTCAAGAACCGTAGCCTAGTCAGATCCCCCAACCCTAGGTGTTTCCTGCCTGCGGACGAGTAAATGCCGCGGCGGCATCGGCGTTTTGTTGAGATAGAAAACCGGCAGATGATGGCACCAAAGGTCGAGCGAGAGGTGCATAAAAGCGGTCCTCGCCTGACTTTCTGTAAGAGGAATTGAAGTTGTTAGCACGGATGCCGCTTTTGCGGACTTGGCATAAATCTCCCTTGGGGTTTCTCCATAACATGCAACGCTTGTTGATTTTCTCTTTTTCTTCCCTTCTCAACAACAAGTTCTGTGTCGCAACGATCCCGTCCTCCCATCGTTCCTTCGGGGGCATGGGATGTGTTCGGTCGATTGTTGCGAACGTCTCGACTATTCCTGTGGAGATATTATCGCACTTCCATTAATGTCCAACCCAGTCGACAGAACTGAAATCGACCCGAGACCCTTTCGCGCCCTCCGGGCAAGGTCGGCCTTGAGCTCGCCTCCCTGAGGTTGAACTCGGCCGGCTGAAAGCGGTGTGTAGGGAGACGTCTTATTCCCAAGCTTGGTGTTGATCCTCGTCGAGGAATGATCACCGGGCAAAACCAAGGCTATTGTCTACATACCATCCCTCGTCCCTCAAAACCTTTCAACGAATTCCAGGAGGATAAATCGAAAGATGTTGAAGGCGTTCCGGAGGGTCTTTGTCCCCTGCAGATCTATGGTGTGCATTTGGTCGTCTAGTCCTGATAGCAAACTCCGTACTTCCCCGCCTGACATGACTTAATGGACATTACACCATGCTTGCAAAATCTATCACGCTTTTCTAAGCAGACACAATGCAGGTACCTTGGGGCTCTTCACCAGCTCGTCAGACCCCTCTCTCGATCAAAACCACCTCGTAACTGACTCTTCGGCTTGACCACCTTCCCTTGAAGGACGGTGTACTTTACGATATTCTCACAATCCTCAGGCCGCACCCTAGCCAGCCAGATCAGCTGTACCGCTTCTCTCGCCAGTGGAGCGCCGTCGATCTCCTCGTCCGTCCCATCCTTCCTCCGTCCTTCTCTTCGATAGACCATTACGTTGGCACTGTACTTGTGGCCACCCACATGGTTGATAAAATATATCCCTACACCACCAGGTCTTTCGTCATGGATATCTCGATATAAACCCATAGGTCTCAATATGCGTTCGAATTCTTTTCGCAGAAGAGGCGCCGATTGCCCACACCTGGCGTCTCGGGTCTTGTGACTGCACATTAGAATAAGATAATCGTGTGGAATATGTTTGATGGTGAATGATGAGGATATCGAGGCAGGTACGGGTGCAGGGTCGAGTCTGTTGTTCGATTCATCTGCGTTCTCTGACGTTTGACCTTCTCCATTGACGGCCGGCGTTTGTGCATGCCCGTTCTGCTCTTGTGCTATCTGCGTAAGAGGTGTTTCGTTCGTGACACTCTGCTCTACCACCTCAGTCAACAACTTGTCGACTTGACTCGGCGCAACCTTCTCGATCATGACCCAACTGGGCAGTAACATACAGTCGCTTGTGCCTTGTTCAACAGTATCATCGTGGTCGTCCGCGCCACTAGGCATGTTACTTGCGCTGAGCATGATCTTCCCGTTCTCTCTCTCTACTCCAGCTTTGCCTACGGCGTGCATGACAGTGTGTTTGATGTCTGTGACATCGCGAACCCAGTCGGACTGCCCCGTGCCCACGATGAGATGGGTGTTCCATCCCTTGACGTGGCCATACAGCTTGTCGCTCTCGTCAATAGAGAACTTCTTGGGGTAGTGCGTTGTGCAAGAATCGCAGTCTCTCAGGCATTCTTCGCCGTCGATCTCCGGCCGCGTCACAGGAAATAGGTCTGTCTCTGTTCGCGCAGTGGTGAAGCCTGTAGAGTGCTGCGACGACGAACCCGAGCCCAAGATCGTCTTGAATCCCCGCAACAGAGACATTCTGGAGATTCGAGAGGACGAGGAGTGCGTGGGAGCGTTGTGAGAACGAGTGCTTTGGATACTAGGCATGGTGGAATCGCGTGCGCCGGCGGGGGATCAGATATACCTAGGAACTTTTTTCGAACAGGCCCCAAAGTTGGAGAATCTTGGGCTTGGGCGGCTCCCGAGTGGACGGTCGATAGGCATGCGATTGTGAATGATTGGGCGCTGCGTAGCTTAGCGGCGCCCACCAGTCGGGGCGACTCAAGATTATCTGATTGATAATTTGGGGCCGGTGCCGGAGATACTGTAGGACCGCGATGGTCTTCTGTACGGAGACGCCCTTCCTCGTTCCTTGTAATGTGTGGACACGAAGATACCGTCGGACCAGATCAGATATCAGTAACACTCAGAGATGGCTTTCCAGGAGGAAGAGCTTTCGATTAATCACCAGAACCTGGTTGAATGGCAAGAGGGCGGGCAGGACAAGTACTTTGTATTTATCTCTCGATGGTCAGGCAGCATCCATTTCGGGCTTTATGCAGCCTTCATCTCGACCGAGAAGTGCTCGCTACACCGAGCCCAATCGATCCCGGACTTGCAGCCAATCTCAGGCTCCACGATGTCCTCAATAGAGAGAATGTAAAGAAATCTGCCTGTGGTCACTCTGCAATGGCGACCGGCGATTACGTCGTTCGCCGGACTTATGAGTATGGGCATGTTTTGTGTTCAGAGCCTCAAAGCCCCCTGCAGCGGCCATATGAGCGAACGCTACAACTGCTATCCAGCTGCAAAACTTTAATATTTCAAGCTGAGTATGGCAGTCGAAGCTGCTCCCACTCTTGGCCGACCCTTATGTGGCAGATCAGCATTCGCAAAACACAACATGAATGGTTGCTTGGTGTGCTCCACCATCATTCACAGTCATTCCACCTGGATGACAATGCAGATTGCCCCTCCATGGAAAAACATTCAAAAGAGGATCGCTGAGCTCCTTGGAGCTTTCTGCCCTCTTCTTTTCCCTGCCCTTCTTGCACTACTTGCTTCCCTTCCTCCTACCACGAAAACTCATACTACCTGGTACGACGGTACTCTGGGAGTCATGGAGCCTTTCGCCATGGACCATGTCCAGTTGTCAAGGTCAAGGTAAATATGCGAAGATTGCATGCCGGGTGTTCGACTTTGCCCCTCATTGCTGTGTCCTTGCTCTGTCAACTCTTCATCCTCTGCTGTGAAGGAGAAGTGGACGGGCAAGAATGATTCAGCTCTGAGGGCGTGAAGCTTGATCTGAGAAATACCGGAGAACTTGATCTGGATAATACCAGCGAAAGGACATGCCTTCTTTGACATCGACATCCACACCAGTGGAGGGGGGTTAGCTGACTCTGGCAGATTTTTGACCTTGAACACTTGTCAAGATGTCGACTGACAAGATTGTCTTCTTGACCAACTGGTACTTACAATTGCTACCTGAATAAAGACAGGATGTACTCACACTTAACTATCCAGGCACGCTACGCCATACCACGCCCCTCTTTACCTTGCCCAAGCCAGAGGTTACTTCAAAGACGAAGGCATCAAAGTTGCTCTCCTTGAACCCAACGACCCCAGCGTATGGCGTTCCTTTCGTCCTCAAATGATTTCCACAACAGGCTGACCCTACCCAGGATGTCACTGAGATCATTGGCACTGGAAAAGCTGATCTCGGCTTTAAAGCCATGATCCACACTCTTGCTGTATGCTCTCTCTTCTTTGTGTGCCTATCGGATACATCCATTTAATACAGCCTAGGCCAAAGCTCGAGGGTTTCCCGTTCAATCAATCGGCAGCTTGCTGGACGAACCTTTCACAGGGGTTGTCTATCTAAAATCAAGCGGCATCACACCAGACTTCCGCACCCTCAAGGGCAAACGCATCGGCTACGTCGGCGAGTTCGGCAAGATCCAAATCGACGAACTGACCTCCCACTACGGCATGTCTCCGTCCGACTACACTGCCGTGCGATGTGGCATGAACGTCTCCAAGGCCATCATCGAAGGTACCATCGACGCCGGCATTGGCCTTGAGAACGTCCAGATGGTCGAGCTTGAACATTGGCTCGAGTCTCAGGGCCGGCCCAAATCCGACGTTCAAATGCTCCGCATCGACGAGCTTGCCGAGCTCGGATGCTGTTGTTTCTGTACCATCTTGTACATTGGCAACGAGGCATTTTTGGCCGAGCATCCCGACAAAGTCCGCTCTTTCATGCGTGCCGTCAAGCGCGCCACCGACTTTGTCCTCCGAGACCCCGAGGCCGCGTGGAAGGAGTACATTGACTTCAAGCCCGTCATGAACACGGCCTTGAATCGCAAAATGTACGAGCGCAGCTTCCCTTACTTCAGCATGGATCTGAAGAATGTCCGTCGTGACTGGGACAAGGTCACTGCTTATGGCAAGCGTCTCGGCGTGTTGGAGAAGGGTTTCGCCCCCAACTATACCAACGACTTTCTGGGCTGGAAATTGCAGGGCGAGAGTCCCGACCCAACAGGTGATCAAAAACGAATGGCAGACTTGCAGTGTTCCATTAGAGCGACTGGCGGACTGAGACGTCTTGAAGCTGCCGCGGCATAATCAACCGCACGGCCAGATTTGTCAACTAATTAGTTGCGCACTCAGTGAGAACGTGTGCCGCCTGGTTTTCCAGCCGATGATCAAGGGGGCCTGTCACTCGTTAATTATCCGGTCCTAGCCTTATATAGCTCAACAGAAGTGAAGTCAAAGCATTGTCCCTGGTTGTTGTTCATTTTAAGCTGTAAGTCTCCTGTGTGATGTGCTTGGATCGTTTACTATATTTATCAAGATTATATGCGACGCGACTGGGAAAGTCTTTATATATTTTAGAGAAGTTTTGAGTGTACGGAGCATGGGTTTCCTCGCGGTAGTACCGGGCACTAAAACCCTCCGAAGTCTAGGGTGAATCATAAGTTACGGTTCATGTCAAACAGACGTCCCGTAACAATTTTGCCCGCGCCTTCAACTCCCACCTTTCTCAATTTGCAGAACAATTTTGCAGAGCTTTCGCATCTTCGTTGCGGGCCGACTATCATCATGGCAGCCGCGGACATCGAGCAGATGAACAAGCTCAGGAAGAGCCTGGGCTTACCATTACTCAGTGTAAGTGGACAGCCTCCGCCATCGTCTGAAGGACCATCATTCAAAGAACATTCTCCAAGCGACGGCGGTGACGACAGCGACCAAGAGCCTGCATCTACCCTCGAAACTCGAGAAGCCGCTGGGTTTGGGAACTACAACAAAGTCCGCGAAGAAGAACAGAAACGCCTTGAGCGAGAAAAGCGGAAACGAGAGATCCAGAAGAGACGCGATGCCGAGGCCAGAGCCAAAAAGCTCGAGGGGCGGGGTCTTGGGGAAGTTGATGACGACATCGACGACACGAAGGCATGGTTGAAAGGACAGAAGAAGCGTCAAGCAAAGATCGAGCGGGAAAGAGCAGAGCGTTTGGCCCGAGAACTGGCGGAACGAGAAAGAGAGGCAGCGATTGAATACTCTGCCAAGGATCTTGCTGGTGTCCAGGTCGCACACGAGATTGGCGATTTTGATGAAGGCCTAGGTGAACAAATCCTGACTCTCAAAGACACCGAGATTGGCAAGGATGAGGGGAGCGAAGAGGAAGATGTCCTTGAAAACGCCGAAATCATCGCTCGCGACAAGGTCAAAGAGAAGCTCGAGCTGAAGAAAAAGAAGGCATATGATGTCAACGACGATTCAGAGAAGGGTCTTTTATCGCAATATGACGAGAAAAAACGAAAGGCTTTCAAGCTGGATGCTCAAGGTGCCTTGGATGACCGTGAGGCTAAACGCCAGCAGATTGGGGATGTATTGAAACACACAGTCAGCCTTGATATCTTGAAGCCTGAACCCGTTTCAGACTACATGGAGATCAAGATCAAGAAGCCCAAAAAGAGTAAAAAGTCCTCGAAGCGGCAGAAAGTGGTAGATGAAGAAGACGACATATTCCCTGTGCAGACCATCACAAATGGTGATGACATGGAAGTCGACTCTGCTCAAGCGACTGTCCGAACTCGGAAAGTCAACGACGACTTTAATGACGACGACGACGACCTTGCGAAAGCCCTCGCCAGAAGACGAGCGGCAGTGCTGAAGAAGCAAAAACGGAAACCTGAAGATATTATAAAACAACTGCAGGAAGAAGAGCAGAACGAAGCCGAAGCCGAAGCGTCAGGGGAAACTGACGGGGGCCTTGTACTAGATGATACGACTGTATTTCTGGATAATTTGTCATCTCGTCCAAAGGACGAACAGCTCGATTCAAAACCTATAAGATCAATCGAGAAGGAAGAGTCGCCGGAGCCGTCAACTGCAAAACAGGAAGACGAAGATCAACCTATGGGCGAAGCATATTCTGGTGTGGAGAATGAAGAAGAACTTCTTGAGAGGCTACGACGGGAACAAGCTACCCACACTCCTGATATTTCTCACTCCGGTCTTGACGAAGAGAAGACACTCGATCAGGGTATTGGAGCTGCTCTCAGTCTCCTCCGACAGCGAGGACTGGTCAAGGAGAGCGATGCACGTGATAAGAATTCTTTGTACAAAGATCGGCAAAAGTTCATTATTGAAGCACGTCTCCGTGAGCACGAGAATGAACAGAAGGCGCGTATGCAGCGTGAGCGCGACCGACAGTCTGGCAAATTGACTGGCATGTCGGTCAAAGAAAGGGAGGAGCATGCGCGTTGGCAAAACACGCAACGAGAACACCAGAGCTCCATCCAAGCTGCTGCCGCCTTCAATCGCGAGTACAAGCCAGATGTGCAGATCAAATATGTGGACGACGATGGTCGGCTGATGAATCAGAAAGAGGCGTTCAAGCATCTCAGCCATCAATTCCACGGCAAGGGCAGCGGTAAGCTGAAGACCGAGAAGCACATGAAGAAGGTAGCAGAGGAGAAGAAGCGCGAGGCTGCAAGTATTTTGGACAGCAGCCAGGCGACAGGAATGAATAATGCTCAAGGGGCCATGGGAAAGAAGAACAAGCAGGCTGGAGTTCGATTAGCTTGAGCATTTGTTGTCTGTGTACCTACGGTACCTAGTGAGAGACCGATAAGTCTTCAGGAGAGATCGGGCAAGTGGACATGGTGACAAGCGCTGGCCCGGTGTGAGACTGGTACAGTACACGGTACCTGGTGGTACCACCGACATTTAAGGACTAGCTAGGTAAATTGCTGTACAAAAGCCGTTACCTCAGGGATGGAGCATTGTATTATGTACCCGTGCGTACCATACCGGACCACAGGAAGAATGCCCGACTCGGTGCGAGAGAGAGAGGTAGCGAGCGCCTAACGCAACGCCTATAGACGGGGAATGGATTGTGCCCCGACGGGCATCCCGCCCGCATAAAGGTGCCTACCTGGGTGTTACTGGACTAAAACTAGTAAGCCTGGAGTCGGAGCAACCCCGACCAGGCCCGTTGTTTTCCAGCGCCAACTTTTTTTGTCCGTTGGAGAAAAGGCTAGTGAGGCGCCCTTTGCGCTCCGGTATCGACGACTCGCTGCGGGTAATAGTGACCTGACTCAATTAACCTCAAACTGCGCTCTGGGAGTCACCAAGAGAGCTTCACCTTTCCCGTCCCCTTTACCTGGGTAGTTCTTCGACCAAGCTTCGTTGCCCTTGTCATTTCCATCTTCTCCCTTGGTCTTCGATCTCATTGACATCTTTGTACTTGTAGACCTCTCTGTACCACCAACATGCTCTCCACCCTCAGACCGGCCGCTCGCATGGCGCTGCGACGACAACAGACGACTGTCACTGCGACAACCCAGGCAGTTCGCGCCGTCAACGCATCGACATGGGCCAACGTCAAAGAAGGACCTCCTGATGCCATCCTCGGTATCACGGAGGCTTTCAAGAAGGACTCGTTTCCCGAGAAGATCAACCTTGGTGTCGGTGCCTACCGTACGTATCTTGAGTGTTCTCATTGTCTTTGTACTCTGCACCATTTTTATACGTGACGCATAAATTCCCCCATCCAGGTGGCTGACGTTTACATTGTTTTTGAATACTTGCAGGCGACGACAAGGGTAAGCCCTACGTCCTTCCATCCGTCCGCGCAGCCGAACAAAAAATCGTCTCAGCGGCTCTCGACAAGGAATATGCTGGCATCACCGGCGTCCCATCTTTCACCAAGGCGGCAGCGCTGCTCGCGTATGGCGCCGACTCGCAGCCCATCAAGGAGGACCGCATCGCCATCACACAGTCCATCTCCGGCACGGGGGCCCTCCGGATAGGCGGTGCGTTCCTGCAACGATTCTATCCGGGCGCGAAGACAATCTACATCCCGACGCCATCGTGGGCGAACCACAAGGCCGTCTTCACCGACGCGGGCCTCGAGGTCAAGAACTACACCTACTACAACAAGGACACGATAGGCCTGGACTTTGACGGCATGGTCAAGGACCTCAAGGCGGCGCCCGAGGGGAGCTTGGTCCTTCTGCACGCCTGCGCCCACAACCCGACCGGCATTGACCCGACCCCAGAGCAGTGGCGTCAGATCAGCGCGGTCGTCAAGGAAAAGTCACACTACCCCTTCTTCGACATGGCGTACCAGGGGTTCGCGAGCGGCGACACCGACAAGGACGCCTACCCGATCCGTCTGTTCGTCGAGGAAGGCCATGGCTTCGTCCTGGCGCAGTCCTTCGCCAAGAACATGGGCCTGTACGGCGAACGTGTCGGCGCTTTCAGCGTCGTCTGCGACTCGGCCGAGGAGAAGAAGCGTGTCGACTCCCAGATCAAGATCCTCGTGCGGCCCTTGTACTCGAACCCACCTGTTCACGGCGCCAGAATTGCCAGCGAGATCCTGAACGACCCCAAGCTCAACGAGCAGTGGCTCGGTGAGGTCAAGGGCATGGCTGACCGCATCATCGAGATGAGAGCTTTGCTCAAGGAGAACCTTGAAGCTTTGGGAAGCAAGCATAACTGGGACCACATCACAAACCAGGTACGATTTATTCTTATGATATCAGTGGATATTGGCCACGCGTTGGTGCATGTAGGAGTTGTTCCCAGGGAAAGTTTATACTGACTTTGTGATTCTTTTTTTAGATCGGCATGTTCGCCTACACCGGCCTGAAGCCTGAACAAATGGAAGCTTTGGCCAAGGAACACTCTGTCTACGCTACCAAGGACGGCCGTATCTCCGTGGCGGGTATCACGTCGGGCAATGTCAAGAGACTCGCCGAGTCCATTTTCAAGGTGACTGGTTAGAGCATTGTGAAATATGCGTTTCCTTGCATGAAAGAGACATGCAGACCATACCTAGACATTAAAAAAAAGATAGACAGGTGGCGATGTGAGACAGATTGGCACAGGGAGTCGAGGAAAACTTCCACATGGCTTGGGAAAGAGGAAGAAGAAGAGCCCAAACAATGGTAGTATGCTGAATAGGTGATTAATTGCGATCGCGCAAGCTTCAGTTCAAGAACCAAGTTTATGAATCCCCTGGTGACTTTTTTGAATTACTTTTGGTGGCAGTCGGCAGTCGGCAGTCGAGAGAAGTCTCCGTTCCAAGGTGTATTTTTTATATTCTGACCGGATTCTCAGTGGCAGTAGGAAGTAAGTCGTATTTTGCTCGTGCGAGAGTGTTCGAGGTAGTACCTACCGGGTATTTGCAGTGAGTGTGGCCCGTTCGGTGAACGAAGGCAATCGTAGTCTAGGTCGGATTCATTCTCCCTGTGCTGGGCTCGGTTGGGCCATCTGCAGACTACCTTTAGAGTATATGTGTACCGAGAGACGTATCTACATAGAGGTATTATATAGAGGTACAGTACATATAAACCCCGAACTGTCGTCCCACCAGGGGGTCATTCTGCCGACTAAATCCCCGCCAACCAACTGAGGTACATACTGTAGTTGGTCGGATCGCTCCACCTCCGCTCCCCCTTTGTACATATGTACTCACTCCCTCTCTTTCACGTTCGTGTTTCGTCGGTCTCCTAATACTCTCCTCTCCGGTAACTTCGCTGCGCGGCTAGTCAAAGATTTCGGATACAAATACTGTGTGGAATTTCCTTGTCCGGCGGCCATCCATTTCGCCCTTCCTCGGTCGGAGAATTCATCGGGCAGATTTCCCAGGCCATTCTCTTCCTCCCCTCCGGCAGACAAGATGGCCCGCTGGAATGGCTCGTGACACCGTGTTTGGTGTATTAATACGTACATCGTACGGGGACTCCATATGATTATGGTGCGCTCTACTGCTCAACATTCGTTGCCAACTCTCACTTCTTTTCTCGACCATAGCGAGGCTGCACAAGACCGATATCATATAGACTTCGACAGCGTTGACAATGTCTCATCCAGACGAGTCATTCTCTGAATTTGGCCTGTTTCTCGCTCTTTCTGGGACCTCTCGATGGGAACTCTGTTTCTCTCGTCTCTACCGAAATTTGGCGAGGCAGGGGAAGGATGAAACTCGTTCTCGAAGATGATACAGCCTGCGGCTTGTGCGAGGGTTCTCGTCGCGACCTAGGTCGCTTTGCGGTGGTTGCTGTCCTTATGCTGAGAGTGACAGGCGGAGGAGTGCCAAGTTGCGGTGTTTGATGGCTGCTAACAGATCCTGGAAGTGTTGCATACCTGTAATTAGCCCTGGGTGGTTCGGAACCAACTTGGTGCCGAACTTGGTGTCGCGAACCGTCCCGTCGTTTTCCACGCTGCACAAGGTCCTCGACCTCGGAGTTGGTCCCACAACTGGGGCACACCTCAATTGTCCGAGATGGCGGGAAAGAGCCGACGGACCTCTCTTCAGATGGATCAATCGTGGTCAGGAAGTGCATGTGTTTGCTGGCACCGTCGGTGATCCGTCCCAGAGAAGCAAATATTGCTTCTTCCTCCTCATCTTCGCCCGACAACTGCAGAGCCTGCCGCACCGCGTACTCGGCCTTGTCCATCATCAGCTCCCAGAGATCTCTTTCCTGGGCTGCGTGGACCTTGAAGTACTGGATCATCATCAGCGTGTCCGCCAGCGTCCTCCGTTTCCGGTTGGAAAGTGGTGGTACGGTCGAGATCTGCGCCAGGGTGGCCACGAGGGATGTTGACGTGCCGGGGCAGAAATGCCTTTGCAGCGTCTCCCGTAAGGATCTAGGCAGATGGAATATGCCATCACGGTCTTGGACGTCCACGGCATCCATCAGCGTGATTGAATCGTCCGAAACATCGCGGCTGGCCTCTGGTTCCTCAAGATTATCCTCACTAGAATAACGGCAAGGTTCATAAGCACCGATCTCAGCACCAGCCTCACACCCTTCTTCACAGTCACCCCCCTTTTGAGAACCACCCCCTTCTTGATAATCAATCCCCCCTTCATAACCACCCTCCTCTTCATAATCACTCTCCGCTTCATAGTCATCGTACATCTCGTTGTCTCCCGTTTTACTACGGCGCCGTTGGAAGAGCTTGGCTGGTTTCAACGTCCTCTTGAAGACGTCTTTGACACCTCTCCACGAATTAACATTCTTGGCAAAATTGACAGTGGTCCCTCTCTTTGGAGGTGATGTTCTAAAACTACCATCTGTCGAAAGACCGTCCCTGTGGAGTACGGGAAAAGAAGAGGAGCCGATCGATCGATCCGCTCGAGGCTTCCTGCCGTCCGCTGTGTTGGGCAGTATGTGAATAGGAGGTTTCGCTCTGGATCGAGGAGGTGCCCCTGGGCCGAATGCATATTCACAGCTTGAATCTTCGTCGCTCGATCCTATCATCGCCAAATCAGATCCCATGTCTTCGCTATTAGATTCCAGATCTTCGATGTCAATATCGATCATCTCAGCCTTCGACATGTCTATTTCGTGGAAGTCCTTGTTCTCCTGGTCTACTGCGACGAAGCTTGTCCATTTGCTGACAATGGAATATGTCGCGCCCAGTTTTTCGGCATTGGAGCCTCCGATATAACTCTGGGACTCCTCAGGAGCCTCTCGGTTGATTTCCGCTTCGAGCTCCACCAGCGCCGCCTTGACCGCGAGATGATGAATTGTGGACTTGTTTGTCCACGTTTGTTCTACTGTAATGAAGTGTTCCGCCTCCGGTTTGGTGCCTGCGTTTGTAGGTCTGAGTATCACCTCCGCGGGAGGTGGTTGCATGCCGATATCAAGCAGAAAAAATATGGAATGATATGTGAAAGGATGGAGAGAAGGACTTGGATAGGGCGCCTGGATGTACGGAACCAGCAGCTTCTCCTGAGGGCGCTCTCCTAACTGGTAATTCACCAAGCTTCTTCTTTGAAAGCCAGCACCAAGACTGATTTCCAACGTCCAGCTGTCGGGCGTAAGTCCGGCCTTCAGCATGCGACTGAGACTGACGTCCCATCTGCGGTTCGCCCGGAGGTTGATGACCTCGCCGTATCCGCCGCCAAACTCTCCGATGCTCTCAATTAGTCGGTGCGAGACTTGGTCGCCTATCCCTAGGGCAAAGAAGCGTATCTTGCTTTGCAACTCCCGGCGGGTTTTGCGCACATAATCGATGACCTTTTCTGGATCCAGCTCACCGTCCGTGATGATAATAATTTGTGTAGTACATCTGTCTGTTGATCGTGATTCGACAGCCTGCTGAATTGCAAACATCATTTCGGTGCCGCCCATGTCCGCCTTGACCGTCCGCACATATTTCATTGCATAGTCCCGGTTGGCCTCAGAGTACGGCTTGGACTTGTCCCACAAGAACTGGGAGTGGGTTCCAAATGACACAATGTTGAATGCACATTTGACTGGCAGGCTGACCAAGGAGAGTGGCATGGCTTGACGGAGGGTGCCGATTTTTGTCGTGTCACTCTGATAACCGCCTGTCTTGTTAGTGGACCAGCCCATGGACTCAGACCGATCCAGAACGAAGATAACCTCGCCGTCGAAGTTTTGTGCTTGGAAATCGCCATTGAAGACTTCATTGGGCTTGACATTGACCATCAACGCAGCATGACCCGCCTGATTGGATGGAGACAGTACGGCACGGGACCGAAGTGGATGTGAAGGCGGCATTTCGATGGCTAGGACGAAGTCCTCGTCCATTATTGAACTGTGCGACTCAAAAGTTGCCACCATCTGGGTCGTGGTGCTTTTTGTGCCCAGTTGATCGAAACTCTGAACTTCAGTTGATTTGGGCACAACGTTCTTCCGAACTTTGACCCTCCCCCTGTGGGTTGGGGACTTTATGTCCTGAATGGTACCGCTGTCCTTCACTTTGATGACAATATCGAGTCCATCATCTTCAAAATTATGATGTGTGCTGTATGTTCCCGCCGCGGTACCATATCGTGGCGCAATGGACATTGGAATGACCACATCAAGCCCCTCCTTCGTGTCATCTCGAAGGGCGACTCTCAGTTCACTCACGTACGCGATTTCGACTTTGACTATAGCACTGGGCGGGACGTTGCCGACAGTGGTCTCAAAGATCTCAGGCGTATGTTCTTCGAGGAGGGCCGCAGCATGCTTCATCTTGACAGCCTTCTCGAACTCTCCTCTGGCTTGTTCCTTTGGTTTAACCTCGCCCACGAGTATTCGACCTTCAATGCTGCAGCGGAACGATGTTACCACAGCGCCGTCATAGAGCGGAAACGTATATTGAACCTTTGGTATGCTCTCGTTTGACGCGTTATTGAAGCTCTGAGTCAAGATCGTATGTGCAATGGTACCGTCTACCAAAACCTCGACGGACACCTGCAGAAGAGGCAGGCATAGAGTTGGCGGTTCGTCCAGCTTGGACCATGCCGGCGCTGGCGATTTCGAGCTAGTCACCTTGTGTGCCGCGAAATTCGCGAAAGGGAACTTTGGAAAGGGAAAACCGTCGTATTCACTAGGGACTTGAGAGTCTCTTGGTGGGATCTCTCTTTTCTTGCCGAGCTCTGGCTGGTAAATCAGCTTTCGGGGAGGCCCTGGGAAATGCATACCGGACGGTAAGCGCTCAATGCGAAAGTGGTGGCTCATGTTGAACAAAGGAGTCGACCCGGACTTGGAGCCAACTCAGAGATGGCTCCTGCGAATACAAGAAGCTCTGCCTAAGGGTGAGAACTGAAGTGTGCGGTGGTACGGATGGCGGACGAAGAAGACTGGGCAGCAGAATCAGGCTGTTGGTCTTTCGCTGTTCGCTGTAGCTGCCAGGTTCATGTTGTATCTTGAATCAGCCTAACGCAACTCGAACAGGGGGGAGGGGGCGTGTCCGATGCCATTGGAAGAGCAGGGATTATCAATGCAGGTGGTGTTCAGCTGATATCCTGCAGCCGCCTACTCGACGGTGGAAGTCGAAGTGATAGACCCTGCGGCGTGCTCCCCCGTCCCCTCGTCCCCTCGTCCACTTTTCTTCAGCCTCGAGAGCAAAAGTGACCGGTCGAAACGAAGACCTGTCCAAGAGTGTGAAGCCGAACGGAGTCGCGTCATGTCGTTGCTGTTCTCCGGGTTTTTGCCAGATCCAGCGAGCCTCGCGAGAATTTCAGACAGTATCCTTGCCAGACTTGAGAAATCTGCGGTCAAGGAGACCCAAACGTCCCAGTGGCTTCTCTCTTCACTCAGCCAGAGGCTCCGGTGCATCAATCAAGCACTCTCTAGACGTTCTAGGAATGAGAGCGCTGACAGTGACTATCTTCGGTTCCTCGAGGAGACGCTGAAGCTATGTGAACAATCACTAGCGGAGTTGAATAACTTGACAAAGTCATCGGTCCCCGTGGATGGCGCTGCTGGCGAACCTGTCAGAAATGCGAAACCCGATGCGGGGGCGGGTGAGGCGAATGCGATGGAAGTTGGTACACAGCGGATGAGGAACATAACGCAGAAGCTACTTGACTATACCAACACCCTGACACTGGCTTTACACTGGTTCGCTATAGAGTGGTATGTACATTCCTTGAATTCCCTTCTTTTCTTCCAGATCGTTAATTTAAAGCTGACAATGAAACTTCAGTGACGTATCCCCGACGATCATCAGACAACTTCAATCTCGACTCGATGCATCTTGCAAATGGCTTTACGATCGAGAAATATTGAAGCCAATCAGACCGGTCTCTTCAAGTGCAAACCACGGAGTCACATTTAGGCTTGAGGAGGCAGAATGGATGACCAGAACCTCATTGCCTCCTCGGAGGACCTTTCAACTTGTGTGTCCACGAGCAAGTCTGCCCAAGGCAGATAGCGCAGAAGGAAACCTCCAGTTTGTCTGCAGTTGCAACGCAGATCATAGCAGCTCATTGCTCTACAAGGGTTCGATCAGTTGCCACAACTATATGACTTTGCGCTCACATGTGGCAGTCTTCAAAGAAAGACTGATCCCCGTTGAGGAAACAGGATCGGATTCAGACCCAACTTGGGAGATGCTCCTCCTAAAGCCAAATGCTCTCGTCACAGTGCGCTTGTCAAACCTGCAGCCTACACGTAAGGAGGATACCTCCGAAGGACTTCAATATCACCGTGCGCTGATCCAGGAACGCAGATTTTGCTCAGCTTGAATCCCTGTCCAGTCGGTGGGCGGCACTGTTACTTAGATCCGCTGAGATCGACCGCAGCAGTGAGGTTTTAAAGGTGTCTGAAGACACGGTATCAGTGCTGCGTGTGAAGGCGTATAACTCCACGATCTCTCTTAATGTGAAGTAAGTCAGGCTGATCGCTGACCATCAAATACCCGATACAGGACAGCTGCTGTGCCAAAGCTAAGAACTCAGTCTGTCAAGTTCGTCTCTGGCGGAACTCCTCGCACGTACTTCAATGTTCCTTGGAAGCTGGGTTATTTACAGATCTTCCAATATGCCTCAGTCTCAAAAGAGTTGTTGGAAGCCTCGGAAGACTCGCCGTGTACTTCGATATTTTTCGATGAACCGCATTTCTTCATCTTTTTCAGCGAGCGGCATCCAATGTCTAAGACGGCAAAAACACAGCCTCTTGACAGGTTCATGGTCCAGGGTATGGTCGCAGTTATTTAAGACTATCAAAATCTCCAAGGCCGTCGTTAACAGTCACCCAGTATCCCGCGAAACTGTCATTAAGGATCCAGGCAAATCGCTGAACGTTGTCATTACCGACGTTGACTGCATCCATGAAGGTCGTGCAACGACTCTCCAACGTTGTTCCGAAATCCACTTCGAGTTCTGCGATAATAAAGGTACGGCGAATCTCATAATGTATGATTTTTGATCTTGATCCGCGAAATTGCTGACCGGTAACCATTTAGAAGCCACAGTGTTTCTCCGCAATATCCAAAACATGCAGAACAGATTATTGGAAAAATCGCTCCAGAAGCCTCTTTGGGGAGAAACAGTTGTATACCAACAGTAAGAAAGCCCCAGCCCCCGTATAGAGCGTGCTTACAACGACATAGTGCATCTGATATCTTGCCATCTGGCACCGCCAGGCTGCTAGGGGCACATGCCAGCTTGGTGTACAATCCGTCGGCGCCTAGGGCGAAGTACCGCCTCATAGGGATCCAGAATGCAGAAACTGTCTCCATATGCTCTGACTGGAAGTTGGCTTCACGCTTTCCCACCACGTCGAATGCGTATGGTAAGAAATTGTTGCTAACACCTCCATAGTGGAGTCGGTTCCCTGCCTAGATGGCCAGGCCGAGTGGCCGGCGAGGATTGATCCCTCTCACTTCGTCTGGACAATCTACCGCGCCGATTCTGGACGAATGGTGGTAAATAGGCAGACATGGGAGGAACTTGAAGATAGCCCCAGGCCGCCAACATCTCCGAGGCCAGTCCATGGACCAGGGCCAGCGATTTCCAGGTGGGTGACCTGTTGACTCCCTGTGGAGTCATTCTATCCCGACATCCTCGCGTCGGATTCATCTGAAAAGAAAGGAAATCAGGCTGATATCTATATCATTGAGACCAGAATAAATGAAATGTCGTCAGTGAATTGGTTCGACGAGCTTGAAAAGGTAACTTTGGTGCTGAAAGCACCCAAAAATCTGGCCGAAAAAGACACCCAGTATAACCCGGTCAAGATCGCCGTGATAGACACCGGATTCGACTCCAACCCTTCACACAAAGCGAGACGCCAGATCATTAAGTACAAGGACTTTGTGATTGCGCCCAGGTCACCAGATGGAAAGGGAATCAAAGACAAGGCCAATATGGGGAACCCAGATGAGCCTCTCGATCCCATGAAGGATCTCACCGGTCATGGGACGACTTCCGTCGAGCTCATTCTCAAAGTCTACCGAGACGCAGCGTTGTATGTCGCCCGAATCTTCAAATCAAACCAAGCAGACGAAGAGATCGAGCCGTACCTGATGGCTGATGTAAGTTCCTCTCTCTCACACAGCCTCTCTCCCTTCTCACAATCCGACCGCACAAAGCTATTTTCTGGAAAAACGAGACCTTTTTGCTAACGGCAACGTGGGAGAGGGAAGGCAATTGCTTGGGCTTCCAAGCACCATGTCGACATCATCAGCATTTCCGCCGGCTTCAAAAACGCACCGAAAGAGCTCTACGACGCGGTCGTCCGGGCCGCTACCAACAACGTTCTCATCTTCGCGTCTGCGGCCAACTGGAGCTTTTCCAGCCCGGCGGCGTGGCCGGCGCGGATACCCCAGGTCTTCGCCATCTTCTCGACGGACGCGGGCTTCAAGAATTCGCGGACGTACAACCCGCCGAGCATCGCGAACGCGCACAACTTCGCCTTCCTAGGCGAGGACATCCGCTCATCTCCCGAGAAAGAGCCCGTCAACGGCACCTCGGCGTCAACTGCGATTGCGGCCGGCTTTGCCGCGCGTATCGTCGATTTCGCCCGGCAGCCGGGGTGCCGTGGGGCATTTGAGGACGTCGTCCAGCCGCGGTCGCACATGGGCATGACGGCCATCTTCAAGGCGCTGGCGAACATGGATAGTGAGTACGAGTGCATCCGTCCACTGAGGCTTCTTGATCAAGCGAGAAAGAGAAACGATCCGGACGATAGGGCCCAGAACAGGGCCCGGGTACTTGAATATCTTGTCGGCATCATGGAAGGGGCTCTGGGAGCGGGATGAGTAAATTGAATCAATGGATGGTGGATGATAAATTGATGAAACGGTAGGACTGCTCATCTTCACGATTTGGAAGTTTGACGCAAAGTCAGGTTCATTCAGTCCTTGGGAGTATTGCTCTCGTCTTCATTTTTGCCCGACCGCTTCCTTAAATCTACCCGCAGCTTAACCAATTTGCTCCTGGGACCTGTTCAAACCTCCTTGAGGCTACTCAGTCTCCCTTTCCTCTTCTGGCGGAAGCGGCTCATCGTCCAGCACGAAGGCTTCATCCAACTCGGCGTCCTCGATGACTCGGAAACTCCCTAAACCCTCAGCAGCTACGGTGCCGACGAGATCGACCTGTTCCTCGTCGCCCGTGTCCATCGTCGCTCGCTTAGTATACGGCGCCAGTGACCAATCCTTCATCAGTATGCCCTTGGAGATTTTGGCAAGGCGTACTGCCCAGATGAAGTCCGAAATCACCGAGCCTCCAAACTGCTCCGACTTTCCACGGGCTACCGTGATATTACCCTTGGCCGAGGCAACTGTCGGGACATCTCTGCAGTGAGTTTGGTCACAAAGGTCAGCTTGAGTCCTTTGAGCCACAATATCACTGAAGAATATTCAAATTTCTTGATGGGTTCGGGCAGCGAATAGAAAATCAGGCACAGTATACAAGCACTTACCCTTCAAGCTCACCACTTGCCTCAGAATGCCTCGACTTGGATGTAGTCATTTTGCCCTTGCGGGCCACTTTGACACCGGTGACCATGAACATGGACCATGATTTTTTGTCCTTGATATAGTTTGCCAGCTTATTACCTTCGAGGCACTCAGACACATAGATCCTGTCAGGTTGGACGATATAGGTGTCGAGCTGGTCGTACTCCTCCCAGTGCTCGACCTCGTGACGGAAAAGAGCCTGGGCGCTCGCTTTTATCACCAACCCCATTGCCGCAGCAATTGGCGCTCCAGCTCCTAAACCACCGCCTGTCTGGGCTTCCTGTGAATCCTTCCACTGGAAATGGAGGGTGCTGGACTGATAGACCTTCATGTTGACTGGGAACTCCTCAATCTCGCCCCTGTTAAGGGGAAAGTCCAAGTTCTTGAGGTCTGAGATGAAGTGCCCCAGGCAAAGGGGGCTCGTCTCTTTGCTGGTTCCCATGCTGTCATCGTCTTCCGGCCGATAGTCCGGCTGACGGAGCTTGAACCAGACTTTTTCCATGAGGAGATGGTTGAATTGGCGAAACGTTGGTGTCGAGCAGGTAGTGCCTTGCTGATCTCTCTTCCTCTCCCTCTGGATGCTAGATTAAATGAGAACGAAAATGAAAGGACAAATAAAAGAATGACAGCAATGCAAGGCCATTACACGATCCCGGCTAGCTGAAGAGCCAGCACTCATGCAGTGCTAGTCAAGCAGCCGTCAGCCGCGTTCGCCCAACCCGTACGGAGTATTTCATCCTCCGCATTTGTTAGGGCCGCCTAACCGCCCTCACTGTGGCTGAGGCGTCAACTTAAATGGATGGGATGCGCAACCATGGCACATCGAGACAATGTTCTGAACTGCGCAGGAAACGTCCTGAGGGAACCAAGAAAGGCGATCAGCCAAATACTCTTCGACGGAGCCCGCGTCTTGCGAGCTCGATCGAGGTGATGGATGGCGTTTCAGGTGACTGTCCCACTCAGTAAAAGTAGGAGGTCATGTACAGCAGTAGCGAGAACGTCAGTCGCTGCCGACGTCAACGTGCCGGGTACAATCTCAGAGCGCGGCTGCACAGTTACCAATGCCGCAAAGTGCCCGTTCCTCTTGGGTGCGGTTCCCCAGCCATAGTGCCTGGGTACTCATACCTACAGGCAACCTCGAATACTCGAGAGTGAAAAACATACTTGCCATAGATGGTTTGATCCTAGAGTGTGAGCGAAGACTGCGTCAACCTGAGCTTTAGCTGAGCCTCATTGAGGAGCCTTTGAGCGGGATGCTGAGCCGAGGGTTTTGTTTCTGGCCCCCAGTTTCACGCACTTCGACCTCTATCTATGTACAGTACAATGCAAGTAGTCGCGTCAACCTAATCGGGGCTAGTTCCTATTCTCGTCACTGCCTGCGCTCGCGCTCCAGGACTCAATGGTAACAGCCCTCTGCAACTAACTAGTCTCTAGTCCTTTTGACTAGTTATTTCCATCGACAGAGACCTGAAGGATGGAATCCTGATACCCGGCTATCGGCTTCACTTGCCTACCAGGTAGGCCCGTGACTTCTGAGATATACTCACTGCACAGCTTAATTCCCTGCTGCGGCGCCGCTGCCTAATCGCCTGGCGCATGGCACTCTTCTCCCCAATCCTGCCACAAACGACGCAAGCATTTAACCTCTTCGGACGGTTCTGCGGTGTTATTCTTCCAGCATGCTCCCAGCGCCCCGGAATTTTCAGACGCGTTACGGGAGGGACGAGATGATGATCCCAGTGGTAGGCTTGAAGGGTGTCTCTGAGACACAAATCTGCGAGGCGGTGCTCTCGCCCTAGCACATGGGCAGCCCAGATTCATCCCATTTGAAGGCGCTGGAAACCACGCACTTTGGGCTGCGAAGCACGTGCAAAAGGCCAATATAGTGGATGTTCTGCCTGTTCAGCCTGTTCGGTCTATCCTGTTACGGCGCTTAGAACAGGTATATCACTCATTCATTTCCAACTTACCAAGACTTTCACTTCCCACAGTCTGCGTTAAACTAATCAAACAGCAGAACTGGGTGTATCAATTGTGAGACCAAACCAGGACAGCGATGCCGTCGGAACGGTACGTTTTCTCCAATGCCGTGTAGCTGTCTTCATTCTAATTTGTGCCGTTCAAGGGCCTCATTTGTGCCGAGGGAACGAAGGAGACCAATGGTCCCGGAACCTTTCCCGAGCATATCGGTTTCGAGACAGTCAGTCAGCTTTCTCTTGGAGCCGATGGCACGGAGATGGTGTAAATTTTGCCCGATCCTTGACATTCCGCTGTACAGAGATCAACTGAACGAGGCAAAACAACAAGAGCTGGACAAGAGTGCAAGCGCCTTGTCTCTGCGAGCAATTGGAAATACTCTATACAAAGCATCTGAATTCTGCTGGGAAGTAGATGCCTGGCGGTTTGTATTCAATTCTATTTCGGATGATAAGAGGCTTCGAATGTCAGTCTCCTTCTATAACTCCACCATAATCTTCTAAACAGACGCTGACTTGATAAAAGTGATAAGAGACCTTATGAATTTATCGTTAAGGATGAGCATGATAACGTGTCTGTCGAACAGCGAATACCAGACGCAACGATGGGGCTCAGATCATACGATGATTTTGACATTACCCACGGCTTCAACTGCCACGTCACCGATTGTACTGAAGACCACAGTGGCATGCAGCCAGACCGCACACTCTTACAGGATCGTCTCGTTGCGCAAATGATTAATCATGAAGGCGGGCTGATAGTCGACGGCGTGTGGGGGAAGACTGATATTCTCTTCCCTTTTGCTGTTTACGAGGCCAAGAAGGGAGCGACAATTGAGCAAGCTAGAGACCAAATTTACCACGCTTGTCGGGTGTATCTGGCGATGCTGGACGACTTGGCTCGCAATCCTGCCAATGTAAGTGAATACCAATCGAGAGAGAGCAAAAAATATCAACTCTTCGCGTTTCTCTCGTGTGGCGCTTACTGGGAAGTATTTGTCGCCTGGCACTTCCTCAATGAATGTGTACGTATCCCTCCAAATCCTCGCACCGTCGAAATCTGACGCAACCCAATCGCAACAGTTCGTGGAAACAATTTGGACTGGAAACATCAAGGAGTTCAGTCGTGCCTACGATCTGATATGTATTGTCAATCAAATTCACGCTTACGCCATCAGTGAACATCGCAGCTTTGTCATTAAACATTTGGAACCTTGGTTGAGTCGTGCGGAGTCCTTCCGTGGCGCCCAAATGGATCTGTCGCCTCTTCCCTCCGGCGAAGACTCTGTGGAGTCTCTAGAGAGCAGCCCCAAATGGTTTGTGATCAAAGGCGCGTCGAGGAGGGCTTTGAGTGCCAAAAGGGCCGCGACCCGCATGCGCAAGAGGAGGAGAGAAGAGCTTGAGACTGATGCTTCGGACGAACAGACATCGCGTAGACAGACGCCCTGAGGGAGAAAACATCTCGCTCCTGTCCGCATGCTGCTGTTGGAATTCAAAGAGAAGAGAATGACCAAGTGATCATGGCAAGCAAGAGATAGTGTGCAACACAGCTCAAAACTGAGGCCCTGGGCGGCGGCCCATCTAGACAAGATATCACCTCCGCCTTTCAATATGTCGAAGTGTACATATTCCAGTAAGGAATCGAAGGATTTTCGGACGTGGAGTCAGTTTTGTTGAACATACTCCAATAAACGAACAGACTCTCGGCCACAAGCCAAAGTTACGCCAAAGAAAGGGTACTAATTACCCTCAATAGCCAAAGAAGTCGGCGGCCTGGACACGGGCACTTTACCCGAAAGCGAACATCGCATATTGTGTAATACTGTAGAACTGGGGAACCAGGGGTCCAGTTTACAATCTGAGTTCCTGCAAAGGTTCACAGCTGCGCTCACGCGCCGCAGGTAATCTACATGTATGTACAATGTATGTATCTATGCCTAGTGGCCTCAGGGACCTGCCATGCGCGCATCCGGCGACGGTGCAGCTACGGCTAACATCCGAAGTGGTCCCTAAGCAAGTTCTCGAGGTGGGAGCGTTTACTCGACCCAGTCGCTGAGCACTACCTGGTTACCTACCGAGGAAAGTGTTTTCTCAGACCCCGGTACGAGGACTAACTAAGGCAGCTAGGAGTCTCCGATACAAGCAACGGCAGGGACTTTGCGTCAGTTGGTGAGCCTCAACATTGGCATACTTGTGCCTACAATACCTACCCTACTCTACCTGACCAGTAGGTCTTATTTTCGCTTTGTGGGCCATTATGGCTGGCAGCATTGACCAGGCATTTACAATACTCGCACAAGTAATAACTCACCAGGGGTGATAGGTGGCTACGAGTAGTATCGTTACATTTCCTTTTTCTTTCCATTCCACTCCCAGGGTCAGGGATCCCAGGGTCGATGCGGCCCGTCAAAGTCACGCGAGCTAGAGCCAGCAGTCGTGTCTCTGTGCGCGACGAGGCATCCATCCGTAGTGGCGTCCACTGACCGGGCTTCCATCAACCCCTCAATTGTTATGATTTTAATGATGGGATGACCTTTTGCTCGTATAACCACGCAGTTTACCTGATTGGTACGTCCAGCAGGTCCCTGGTACTCGTACCAGGGTTTGTACCGAGTAATGGGGTGCAAGGGGTGAGAGGGCGGGGGCGGTGTACAGCAAAAGTTGCCTAACTAGAGACCTGGAAGGTTATCTCGCAGTCTGGCAATCTATTATCTGAGGTATCTGCTGGTCTCACAAGCCCCCAACTCAACACTCCCGGGTGTGATGACGCTAGGCTCGAGGTAGCTACAAGTACGAGTAAAACACGGCAGCCGAATGGTGATTTGTGCCACTTATCGTGCGGAATGGACGCCACCTGCGCGTTGACATCACCCTCCTCCTGGCCCTAGCTCGTGGGCGTTTTCCTTTCTTTGCAGTTGCCGGCGCCCGGTGGAGGACGAGTCTTGAGGGTCAACAATAGGAATGCCAGAAGTGTGCTTCGACCATCTCATGTAAGTAGACTTCGACGTTGTTGACGGCAGTCTGACTGTGTCTCTACCATCTTCACGAGTCTGCTCTTCTCCCCCTTAAGACATTATGGCATTAGACTCTCACACTCCGGTTCGGAAATCTCGCGTGCGACCCTGTGCTGCTCAAAGACGTCATCCCGCAGGCCAGGGTCAGGTAGAAAGTTAGACGCCGTACTGACAGGCGGGAATAGGTACCTCGTCCCTCATGGCAGAGAGTTGGATGACTTATAATCAGTGATCACTGATCAGTCCCTACGGAGCAGCAGCGAGGGGCGGCCACCTTTTCTTTCGGGAGTCAAAGCCCCCTCCCACTCTGCTTTTCCGTTCGCTGTTTGATTCAAAAACCACACATGGAATGGACTGAGCATGGCCGCAGAATCATGGCTGTTCTTGTAGCACCAGCATGCCGTCAGCTTGCCATGTTCCACTTCAGTGATCGCAGCGGCGCCTGCTATATTGATAGCTTGATTGCGAGTTTGTCTGACGCGATGCAGTTGGGTAGTGTTACTACGCAGGAGGAGAAGGGTGTAGAGTGAGGGTCGTTAAGGTGGCGGGAAGGAGGCGCTCCTTGCGCGCGCATCTCCCTATGGCCATCGGTTCGTCCTGAGTTTGGGTCTTATGATAGTCTATTGGCAGCTATGTCATCAATCCTCGGAAGCGTCGACAGCTCGTCTGGTCCCTTACAGGATTATCGTGGACATTGTTGTGAATTCAGAAGACACAGCTGACGCCAGTTGTAAGCTTCATTGTATCGACACAGTTGGCGGTAAAGCCAGACCGGGGATCTTGATGGACAGTGAGCCCATCCTCGAAGGAGCCCGCATGAGCGCTGCGTGGGAGGCTTTCTACGTTAGTGAGGTTCACGCTGCAAGTTCGACAGCGCCAACCAGGGCCCTCGCCGGCCTTAGGAAGACGCAGCCGTCCCGCGCCCGAGGAGGCTCCATATTATACTGCTTCCGTGATTGAGGACTCGCCGCAGAATTTTTTTGCAGCCCTTCTTCCGCTTTGGATTTGTATTTGTCGCCGTGGTGTCGACGTTATTACCCCTCAGCCTTGAGAACGATATCTTGTCTTCCTCCTTGCCTGGCTCTTAAAACTTTTCATAAAGTTGTCTTCACAACAGGACCGAGACTCTCTTTTCCCTGTCAATCGAGTGTTCTCCTCCGATCGCCCGCTGGGTTCCTGATCACTGCTGTTGACCTTTTGGCATCGCTGTGGCCCCGCTTGTGTCTCATTCCACTGATTGTGACTGATCTGCATCTACCGGTGCGAGATCTTACGCGAGTTGTCCGCAAAACCGCCAACAGCTCCCCAACCTCGAGCAGCCGATTCTGCCGAGTTCTGAGGGGATCGTTTCACGTAGGCCGCGGAAGGCAGAGATTGGATAGCTTGGAGGTGTGTATTCGAGTCCGCGTAATACGAGTATGTGAATTACCACACCTTAGAAGCGCACATCAGTGGGAGAACTTGAGAAACCCAACCAGTGATGGGGTTTGCCCCTCCTTCCGAACCCTGTACTGACTGGGTTCTCGGTAGCAATTCAGCCTCAAAACAATCCAACGATCGCGTCGAAGGTGTGTCTCTGAATTCCCCATACCTCTGGTCTTCCTCAACTTTTGCGACACGCACACGGACACCCTCGACACCAGCAGTTGTATGATTCGCGTCGTCGCCTGATCCAGGGACTTGTGAGAGACGTGGGTTGTACTAGCTTTGAGATCAGCGCTCTACGTCCAGGTCCGTTGTACGTCACTTTCCTTTCCCGGAGATCCAACCTCACACCTTCTTGAGCCCATTACGATCCAAAATCCCATCATCCATTTTCGTTTGGAAAATCATCGAGCCTCTCCTTTCACTGCATCCATCCTCGTTCGATCTTCAGCTTGCCCGCCAATCCCAGCCTTGTTGTCCAGCCTTACCTGGTCAACCGCTGTATGTCCTTGTCTTTCTTATTGGGCTTTTGCCCGTACACCTCTTAAAATCTGTCTCCTCCTCAACTTTTGCCTCACGGTCTCCGACTCTTCTGTGGTGTTGTTGTTCTCGCCGTCAAATGCTCAAAGAACCAAGCATAGATCAAAAATGCTGACAGGATGCACTACAGGCCGACTGTAGCACCAACCGCCATTTCACCTTCCAATTGCGATACCGACTAGGAGCAACAAAAAGCTAGTCGTGAGCAAAGTCCGATACGTCTGAAGTTCGATTAAAATTCGGCAGTTCCAACCCTGTTACTACACAATCACCGTCAGAGTTTACAATCAAGATGTCTGAAGAGGTGAGCTTACCCGTGATAATTCCAGGTAGATGAACACTCCGAGAGAACGCAATGTCGAACATCACCCGCCCTCATTTTCCTCGCTTTTGTCGCTGATCTGCTCTGCTCTGCCTGTATAGGGAGATTTCGATTTCGGCGATGCCGTTGACAAGGCCACCTTCGAGCAGATTCTCGATATGGACGAAGAAGATGAACGTGATTTCAGCAGGTCAATAGTCTTTGGGTTTTTGGAACAAGCGGACACGACATTTAAGAAAATGGACGATGCGATGTGAGTTGGCTCAAACACATTCTACTTTGATCCGTGTGGGCGTGTTATGGCATGCTAATCAAATCATGTCATCTATTTGCAGGGAGGAGAAGAACCTACCAGAACTCTCTAGCCTCGGCCATTTCCTCAAAGGATCATCTGCTACACTAGGCTTCACCAAAGTCAAAGACGAATGCGAGAAGATTCAACATTATGGTCACAAGAAGAATGAGACTGGTGAGGTTGACGAACCTGACGAGGCCAAGTGTTTGAGAATGATCGGTGAAAGTCTTGAAGAGGCCAAGAAAGCGTACAAGGTGGTGGAAGGGCTCATGAAACGATTCTACGCAGAGTCTTGAAGCCTGTTGACGACTTTCCTACGACTACGCCTGCAGCTCATAATGGTGGCTGTTTTGGTATCAATCAACGACGTTGGGCTTGTTACAGAATGTGAATTTCGAAGAAATTTGCGATGCATGGACTGGCGTGGACTACCTCCCTCTTGCCAGAGGACGAAAGATTCTTTCCTTTCAGATTAGATCATTGATACCGAAACTTTGATATCCTGTGTTGAGGGGCCACCTTGCACAGAACAAGTTTCAAGCAAGGAACAGACTGGAAAAATTGCGCTTCATGTCGTGACTGGTTTTGTGGACGTGGAGTGGTCGCCATTGCAAGCTAAGTTTCCTTCCTTTCCCTCTCTGATCTTGCGACCATTGTTACATCGAATAGGCTTTTCTCGTTCTTTGATTGACCTTGCGACTTTGCTTTTATTGCGAATGTTACTTCGAGCTCATCCACCGCGGATCCTTCGTCAACATTCCAAGTCCAGCAACAACATGGCGCTCGCACCAACGCAGTACCATCGTTTTCAACTGTCATTTCGTCCTTCTTCCGATCAAACCCTTCACGTCGAATGTCGTGCGAACGTGGGGTTATGAGCCCGGCCATGAACGAATACTAAGACATGCATTGCGGCAAATCAACCATTAAGATCAAATATAAATTGTGAATACCACGCTTGCTCTCGATTGCCAGTGCCTGCGCCAGCGCCAGCGCCCCGCCGTGACACGATTTGTTAAGGGGTGCTCGACAATACTCGGGTGCAGCCAAAGTTGATAGTCAACATCCTCGATACAGCAATACTGAACTTGTTATTTGTTGTACAAGTTAGCAGACACAGTACGCCAGCATCCTCGCGATTTAGGCATATTTGGGAGTGATGCGATACTCAGAGAGAGTACCGCCAGTATTGGTCCAAGATGCGAATGGGAAGAGCTCAAGGTCAAGGAGCAGGAGCGCTTTGTTCGATGGTGCACGGAAAGAAAGCATTAGATGTTGTGTCTAACGCGGTGTGAAGCTGGAGGTTGATGTGGGTATGTGCATGATACTTTGATAGAGGGAGAGAGGCCGCAACAATATTTCCACCAGAAGACAGAACTCACCCAGGCTGAACAGGGCTGTTGTTTTGTGTCTAGTAAGAATGACGAGAGGGGACTCAAGATTATGGCTTCTAGATTTTCTATTGTCAGCACCGTTGTCGTTCACTGAGACCCTGTTCAGCTGGTTGAACGATCGACGTCGAGACCAAGTATGTGAGACATTCTTCCAAGTGATGGTACATTGACTAGTAAGGTATGTATCTAGGTAAGTCATCATACAAGTACCTGGCCTTCGAGACGTGACTGGAGTTTACGCCCCAGTAGAGACTTGGTCAAGCATATCTGGCCAAATCTCCGTCCTCGAAACCGTGCTTCTGACGTCCTCAAGAAAACAATCAGGTGGCCCGTCGAGTGTATTGCTGCTGCTGGGGCTAAGTTGAACGAGCGGCCTAACCCTCCCTCCCTCACGTCGCCCATCCTCCTGAGTGGTTCCTCTTCAATCCAAATCTCGACCGCTGTGTCAGTGCCGCAGGGGCTATCTGGCCATGTCAGTGCTATAGGTCCGCCTATTGTACCCGACGGAGTACTGGGATATCTGATTCAAGACTCTCTCTTTTGCCTTTCCCTTTTCTTGTCTTGACCAACCAGCAATGTCAAAAACTTGTCACGTATTCAAGTGACGGTAGATGGTGTCATTCAAATAGCCAAAAAAAATAGAGTAGAAAAACCACCTGGGTAGCAGTTCGGAATGGCCATGAAAGAAAGAAGCAGGGGAGCCAAAAATGGAGACTAGATGGGAACGCTCTCAAGGGTACTTGTCCTCGTACTTAAACGCATGCTCGTGTATGTACATGTTCACGCTCATGCTCACACTGCGCGCGTGTCGCTCACTCGGGCTTGAGCGTGATTGTACGAAATACGTTCCCCGACGGCGATTCCCAGAGGGATCTGGGCATCATATGTGGTCGTAAGACGCCGGTCTTTGAGGTTGAGGGTGTTACACGTTCAAGCCTGCCCTCCCCCAGGGTTGGTCACCGGTAGTACGAGTTCGCGGAGGCGTGGCACGTGGCTACTAGTTACTGAGGCTGAGGTTCAGCCTTGCTGCACCATTCAGCCTGATCACTTTAAGTGATGATGATGATGATGAGCCCTACGGAGGACTAACAAACTAACTAGTCAGTAGTACAGCCTTACAGGGATTATTTGACCTAAAGGTACCGACTGTTATTTATGGTTTGGGAACCGCGCAGACGCACGCACCACGTACGCACGCGGCACAAACGGCGCCCCCATGCAACCTCGGAGTACGGGAGTACACAAAGCACGCGAGAGCAATAAAATCTCCCGCGAGGCTGAGTTACGTTGAACACCAACAAGATAACGGGGAGGGAAAGAAAAGCCGAATTTTGTTAGCTTCGACGTCTAAAGGTTGTACATACCACAAAGGGGGAGTTACTTTTGTATTTATGGATACCGAGTACGTTACAGATGAACTCACCCTTCGTTTTCTTATTTTTTTTTTCCTTTTGCAGGTACTGTAACTCAAGACGCCACCACCACCACCACCACCACCACCCACGGTCCACGGTCCACCAGACTCCGGATGACGAACTGCGCCTAGTTCTTGGTTTCGTAGTACGGAAGGTAACAGAGGTAACTTACCGTAGTTAGTTTGGTGGTAGCTACCTAGGTTAGTAGGTATCTAGGTACAGTACTCTCCAGTAGGTAACCTGGTAGGTACAGTACTACTACAGTACCTACTGTAACTACGGGTGTAACTCTCACCTGGACCTGACTACGTCAGTCGGTTAGACTGATGAGGACACGCACACACAGAGCACAAAAACAGAAATAGAAACGGCTCCCCATGTGAGGTGGCCATAGATTTTTTTTCCCTTTTTGTTCACACCGCCCAGGGTCCACGGTACACGGTCCACGCAACCCGGGGTAAGGGGGGAAACTCTTTCGTGCATGATGCATACACGAATGCATGTAATATGCACATCATCCGAAACCAAGACTAGTTAACGTACGGGCGGTACTAAGTACCACGAGCGATCAACAGATCAGCAGACCGGGATCAACGAGATCAACAACCACTCGACTCTTACCAAACTTACCTCGCACCCGGGCCGGGAGGGGGGGTTTGATTAAATGGAACGACCTACCTCCGGCGAACTACTCGTACAATTCCGCTTTACCGGGCCCTGATGGCTGGGCTGTGAGAATGTGTGAGAGAGAGAGAGAGAGAATTCGGGGAGAACTGGAGGAGTTTCTGTAAAAATGACTACTCCGTACCCACCACCCACTTGACAATTCCCCTGGGTCTTGGGTCAGGTCTTGAGGCGGTAAGGTAGGAGAGGCGAACTACGGAGTACACGTACATGTGCACGAACCGAAGAAGCGACAAAAGAGGAAGGAAAAAGGAGGACTCGTAGAGAATTTTACCTACACGACCCTACCGACCTATGGTACCTAGATATGCGGCAACGCACGTCGTGTGATCCGAATGAAAGACAGACAATACCCCGACGAGGGGCGCCGACGCCGAAGGACGAAGACACGGCGTGGCAGCATCAGTCCGTCTAACTGCACACAAGATCGCCCCAGCGACTGGGTGCTGATCACGTCACCGTCGCCGTCGCTCGCGTTTCCGTGTACAGTAACACCTCGATTTGGCAGAGTATCCAGACAGAAGGCGGGGGAGAGACGAGCAAGAAAGGGAGAAAAAGGAAAAAGGAAACTCGCTTCGAGAGAGAGAAAAGAGAGGGACGGCGTCTGGAGGGCCCGGCCGGTCTGGACTTCTCGACCCAGGATTCTGGACTCTGGACTCTCTTCACAGTTACGAGTTACTACAATGAAACAGTACTCCTGGCTCCAGCACCGCCCGGTCGTTCCAGCGCCACGAGAGGACCACAACAGGACCGACGACGCATCGGCCTGACCTAGAGGCTGGGTATGGGGGTGGGCGTTCGCCACTGTGAAGTTGGTGGTGGTGGTGGTGGTGGTGGTGGTACATACGTACATGGCATGGTGACTTGCCGTTGTGTGGCGTCAGTCATCCCATTCACCACGGTCCACCGTCACTGCCGCCGCCGCCGCCGCCGTCATCATGATCAACGTGCCATTTTGTGAGATAAAAACGCCCTAGAGAAGATAATGGGAAAGAAGACTCGCAATCAATCAAAAGATTAAGCCTTCAGCGTGATAGATAGGCAAAAAGTGTGTATTGTACCCGCCCACACTCGGTCGTGGTGGGTGTACAGTAGATGCGAGTTGCTGCTCTGACAGACCGCGATCGGAAAGTCACTCACTCCCTGCCCAATATAGACAGTGTCAGCTGAGCATCGAACCAATGAATGAGGCGATAGTAGGCTAATAGTTTGAGAGTGGGAACGCTCTTTTCAACAAAGAATGAATCAATCAAGAATCGATGGAAGTGGTCCAATCACGCATGCCGAGTGAGACCACAGGCCTCATCCATACGAGTGAGTACCCTACATCAGAGAAACCCGTTCATTACTCGTATCGTCGTTCCCAGTCTTCCACGCCTTGACCACCATCATGCCTGTGCGCCTCTCCCTCTCGACGCTAGTCAAAAAATTCCCAGCCAACTGATGCTTCTTAACATGGTAGAAACTCGTAGACATTGCCGTTCGTAAAAGATCCACACCACCCAAAATCCCCATTTGCGCCTCGAATAGGCTAAAGGTGCCTGATGCAAAGAAAATCATATGTACAATCCCTCCCATGGCGTATGCCGGCGTTTGGCGCCACAGCTGAGACCCCTCCTTTGGTTCCTGGTATCCCCATTTCCCTGACCTCGCTGTTTAATTGAGTCGTTGAATAATATCATACATCAGAAACGAACTTGTTCAAAAGCAAAAAATAAGTAAAGCCTGATTACACAGGTATGAAGGATGGGTATCGTGGTTCGAGCACCGCGCATTGGCCTCTGCTCAGACTCCTTCCGATCCGTTCGGAAGGGCCGGGCAATCGAACAAGTCCAAGGTCGACACATGACTGACAAAGGTGAAGCCAAGATTTTTCCAATATTGCTCAATAGTGGATTGCAGCTGCGGGTCGAGTCGAGTGGTTTACATCACATAACGTTCTTGTCGGCTATCTTGGACAGCCATTGGCATGGTACCCCAATCCGGGCCAACAGGCATGTGATGCCCCATGTGTTGGCGAGGTCTAATGCCGTACTCTTCGGGTTCCGTGGACTGAGGCCTTCGAATGCTGCTTCCAGGATAGTAAAGCGGATGCCCGCCGTATCCGGGATCAGGATAAGCATAGTTGTCCATCGCAGCTGAAGTGGGTAGGGTGCCGGGGTTTTGCGCGTTCCAGCCTAGGTTGCCCATGTGAGGAGAAGCATTGCCGCTGCCTGTGCCACCGCCTGTGCCGCTAGCCGGCGGTTCCATAGGCTGAGGAGGACCAAACGTTTGCGGCCGTGCTGTGGTTGGTCGCTGTTGGGGGGCGCTCGTAAAGGTGTGAATGGGTTGGACGTTCATGGTGGGCGCCGAACGGGTCGGGTTCTGCTGGAAGTCCGGCCGCAGATGCGGAGGAATCGAGTGATTTTGCCCTAGGTATCCATAATCTGACCTTTGTCGCTGTAGGCCATTGGTCGCAGGAGGGAGTTCAGCATTGGGAGAAACCGATAGCGTTCTATCCGCAGGCGACGCAGTGGAATGCCTCGACGAACCTGAAGCGGACCCATACATTGACTGGCTTTGACCCTGAGTGGTTGACAACTTGGCATTAGTCTCTGCTGCCGCTTGCTCAATTGTGCCTGTGTGATGATTCTGATGGCGTGTGAGAGTTGTTCGTCGAGTAAAAGTCTTCTGGCAGTTTGCATAGGGGCACTTATAAGGTCGCTTTCCAGAGTGAATTCGGCGGTGTCTTGCCAAAGAACTTGAGTCGGAAAATGGCTGCACGCAGGTTAGACAGTCTGTTTTCCCGCGCATGGAGCGAAACTAGGCATACCTTGCCACATCGCTCGCACATATGAGGCTTCTCGCCGGTGTGCACTCGCATGTGGACAGTCAAAGCAGATCTCTGGATGAATTGCTTCCCGCAACCTGGGAAATCACAAGCATGTGGTCTGATGCCGCTGTGAATTCGCTCTGTAAGAAAGTCAGCGAGGCGCTTTTGCAGCCAAGGGTTGGTCATACCATGTCGCGCGAGATCACTGCGACGCGCGAAGCCCTTCTGGCAAGTGCTACACGCAAATGCCTTTGGCGCTGACTCGTTCTTCTGTCTGATAGCGCCAAAATTGTCGTCAACCATGGTTTGAGCATCGTGTCGGGGAATGTAGCTTTGCGCGTAGAGTTGGTGACTGTGTTGAGGCTGACCTAGGTATGGCATCCCAGGTGCTTGCATATGGTGTGGTTGGTGGTGAGCCATGTTTGGCGCCTGGCTCATGGCATAGGCGACGCCGCCTTCCATTTGCATTGATTGTTGTATCTGACGTCTGAGTTCAGCGTCTGCCGCTGCAGCATTCCTTGCGTTCAACAGGCCACCGATTTCCATTCCTCCCTTGGCAGGATATGGAAGGCGTTGTCTCAGGGCTTGCTGGTAGGCAGCTTCGCTCTGAGGCTTCTGGAATGAAGGAAAGCTAAAGCGCTGGTTCGAGTTCTGCATCATGTTCAGGTCAGCGGCCGTGTACAGCAAAGACGTTGAAGGTAGAAGGAAGTAACAAATGATGAAGAGTACTTTGATCCTCAAGGGATCAGTGCCGTATTTAGTGGAGGAGGGTCAGGGCGCTCTTCCGCTGGAATCGCCCTAGATCCGTCTGGTCCACCCACTCAGAAGTACTAGAATGGGACAGGGCACTGTCCTATTGACCTCATCTGCGAAATATTGCGGGCAAGTGTCATACGTAATTATAGGCACTCACCTGAGACGTTTTGGGCGTGTGGTGAAAGTGTCGTTAGAAAGAGACAAAAGAAGAAAAGCCCAATATTTGCCTAATGAGACTGTAGCATCCAGCAGGAATGCTGAAAAGGGCGACTCGTGGTTGGTATGTGCCTTGGCAATGACCGATGGTCACGTTCCCTTGGAGTCACAAATCAGACCGCGGGAGCTTGGGTATGAGTCGTTTTGGGTTGAATGATGAAAATAGGTGTTCTAGGTCCCAGTCGGTTCAGAATCCGGTCCAGTAAGCCGAAACCGTTACGCTCTGGTGTAGCGAGCTCGGGGCACCTGGAGCGTCCTATTTTGGCTATGCTATGCCCAATGCGCCGTATGCCCTTCGATAGACTTCCCCAAATCGATATTGCTTGTAGTTCGAGGATGTATTGATGTATAATGTTGTTGTAGTTCAATGCAACGGCCCTTCCGGCGCAAAATCTTGAGACAATTCTTTCCCCGGCAGTGTACCTGCTGATGGATCTCTCTCCGACGTCCTGTGCGTAAGGTTGCCTCTTGCCTCCGAGCGTGTAGTGTGGACTTTAGAAGTGAAGGATGGGAACGACAGATGGAACACGGGCTTCAGATGGTCTTTGTACTGAGTATCTGAGCGGGCGGTCCGTGGCGGCGAGCAAGAGACGGTAGGGGATCAATGTTTTGCAATTTAGCAGCGAAAGACGTCTCGAAGGGTATGACCGCGGTGATGGACAGTGACGGCAGCCTTGACGTTTGGGCACAGTCCGTCAGTTGTGCCGGGCGTCGGCAATCTCTGAGCAACGTGGATGAAGTACAATCTCGTCGTCGGGCCAAAAACCGCTGTGATGGTGGTCGGTGCAGTCATGGAGCGAGGCAACGCGATCCGTGAGGTGAGGCCGTGCCCATTGATCTTGACATATGATCATTGCATAACTTTAGTATTCTGTCTTTCGCCTTCAGGTAAGCCACACATCGTCAACTGCTTTGGAGAGATGGGAGTGAGGATCCTCCACTTCAATTGCCAGGTGCCAGAACAATGGTCAGAGGACGCACGGGACGACATGGGAGGGGGGGGGTCGAATGTGTGAGGGACCAAGACAGCTCGAGAACGTGGAGGGGAAGAGAGACCTGCCTTAGCGGCTGCGCAGGGAACCTTCCCTAAAGATCCCTAGCGGGCTAGCGAGGCTGCTGAGGCATTAACACCCAGTAGGCTTAGTCGGTCCCTATCGTAGGTAGCTTATTACCTACTTGAAAGTAATACACGACACGACACTTCCAGCATCAGGGCGTCACTAATCGAAGCCCACGCAAGTAGTGGCTCACTACGCGCACTAGGCGCACTAGGCTTCGCTGCAACACCTCGTTCCCCATCACCCAAACGTCTACCACGTCTCCCTCCGAGTCTGCCACGGTAAGCTTGCATCTCACTTACGTCTCGACATCTTTCAACCCGCTCCTCTTCACAGCACCGTCTGCTGGAAAGCCATGCTGACAGCTGAGAGCCATCCCCTTAGGCGGGGTGGAGCAAGATTTCATCTCCAGACCTCGCAGGGAGTTTTCCTTACACCACCCTCACCACCACCTCCGACAGCGACTCTCACTGTAAACACCTCCTTCTCTCGCTTGTCTAGCTGAAACCCATGAGCCGATGCGGTTCTCCTGTTCCAGTCATTGACTTCTACACTATTGGCAGCGACGAGATAACCTGTCGGTTTCCATTCATGGGTTCGATGTTAATGTCGCCCAGCGAAGCTCGACCACCCCTGAAGCTGTCAGAAACTCTCGACAGGCAGACACAAGACATCTTTGTCAACCCACAAAGGGAAACCCAGATTCGGCCGCCCATGATTCCTCTCTTGCGGCTCGCTTTTTGGCACTGTCATTGCTATCATTACTCCTGGTTCCTGACAGTACGCGTACCCAGTCGGGTTAATCACCTTTAGACGAGGGAGCCGCGGGCTATACCAAACTCATCGCGGCTGTGGCCAAAAGGGACAAATCAGACAGCGACATGCCATCAAACTCGCGTCTCCAGCTTCCAATGTGACAGAAGGTTAAGTTTCTTTTTCGTCAGTACGCGCGCAATAACGAGCCCCAAATTCTGCTGATACACATTCAACGCCCCAAGGGCGAGTTCGTTCTTCAATTCTTACTCGGGTCACAGATCGATCCCTGAGTGCTGCTTAGGTGCTTCTTTTCCTTGCCTGTCGTGCCCATTCAAGCGATCGCGATTCATGCGATTCATGCGATGGGTCCCGTTGAATGCTATCCAAAAGTGCTCAGCAAACTGCACACTTGAACATCAGAAACTCATAATTTGCACAGACGCTGTCAGAACCACAATATATTCCGGTAGACATTCTTCAACACCATCTGTGCTTTCGGTTTGACGAGACAGCATCCATCTATTGACGCTTTGGCCGCGTCCACGCAATAGCCTTTAAAGTTGCCACTGATCTTCCACCTGTTGTCTGGGAGAGTGAGCAATCTAAAAGGACTCTATTGCCCTTTCAGACCCGCGGATCGAAATGCTGCTGCCACGAAATTGCCGTCCACCGGCGACAATGTCGCGACACCCAATCCGCTAACGACGATAGACCGCCGGTGACGAGGTCCAGTTTTTGTGTATTGCCACAATACCTCGCTGGCTCAACTTATGTTTGTTGTGCCTCCAAATTGAGTTGGATATTATTGTTTTATTGATCTCCCTTATCGGTAGTCTGTTGTCGCAAAAGCATCGACTGCCCGCGCTTTGTTGTTGGTCTTATCAGGCCAGCCAGTGGCATGATCTGCTCTTTTCCTTTGGTGGCGCTTCCGATCTACCACGGTCCATGGCGCCGCTCCCTCTTCGTCAACCTCGTTGACGATTATCCCAATCCGAAATCCTACTCTACGACGCACCAGTCCACAAGGGCAAATCGAAGCGATGCCATACGAGCTGTCTTTTGCTGCGAAAGAAAGATATTCCTCGGACGGTAGCAGGGTTTGATGGCTCTCTCACGTTCGCCACAAGCCCGCGGGTCTCTCCTTAAGGTGCAAGCCCAAGCGCCGCCTAGCGTTTTCACCGCACGTCGCCGAGCGAAAGAACCGATTATGCTGAGAGAAAGGCCGTGACTTGCAGGATAGTTGTCAACACCTTGGTTGTTGCACTAGTAAACCAGGTTCTGTGAGAAAAAATGTGGGTTATACTTCTGCTTCACACAAATACTATGTCTCTCGGTCTTTGTTATAAGGTAGGTGAATGCTTCATGGCGAGTACAATTGCGTCCCTTCTATCGTCTCAACAGGTGAGTTTGTATTATACCTGGCGCTTTCTGGTGCCCCTGTCAGTCTGCGCGCTAGTCAGAACCGCGCATGCCGAGCAGTTTCAGTCAGGTCGCGCCAGGTCGAATTCTCAAAAACAAAAACGTGGCCATCATCACAAATAACGTATCAACGGCCACACCGGGTCGAATGAAAAGAACGAACGCCATCACCACCACGATGTACTGACGGCCGCAGCAGATTACTAACGTCTTCCAACCAAATTGGAACAATGTCGGTCCGCTCTAAAGCTGCAATCTGGAAACAAGCGGCGCAAAGCAAGAAGGCTGCGACTGTAATAATAACAACGTCGTCGGAATTTTGGTCACCCTTTTCTCTACGAATGCCGCTCAATTCACAAGCAAGTGCTACAACGTCGCTCCGCTAATAACCGAAGTGCATCTGATCCTATACTCGAGGGGTACTCTCATTCAGCCTCTGATACCAGAACGACACCAGAGTTGCCATTAGAATCGCGTCTGGTCACCCATAGCTTCACGTTCTGTATTCAACTCGATTTCCAAACCCAAGGAACCCAAGCTTTGGGTCGTCCCCGACAAGATCAAAGTTCACTCATACACCTGCCCAAAAAAGACCAATCAATGTCGCCGTAACTTCTCCCAAAATTCGCTTTTGGTCAGGGACCTGCATTTCGAGCCTCCATCCAGGTACATACCACAGGGTGAACTAAACATCTTCCTCCTCACCATCTGCATCGTGCTCCCCGTAAGCCTGCCGCCCATTGATCGGCCCTCCTGGACCCGCTCGGCTCGCAGCTCTCGCCTCGTGGATCCTAGCAATGGCCCTGTAAGTCTTTGCCAATCTCTTATAGTCACCATTGCGCTCATATTCTTCTGCCAATTGCTTATAACATTCCAGCGCATGGACACCGTACTCCTTGTCGCGCCCTTGCGCCGGGCTCGTGGGTGTCAACCCGTCAATGCTCCTCCTCGCCCTCGCCAACTCCTTGGCCTCGCTGTTCTGCGAATCGCCACTTTGCCCTCTGGCATGTCCATTACTCATGTCCCTGGGGTGGTCGTCGACTTCCTCATCCGCCTCGGTGGTTGTGAGTAGGTCAATCAACTCATCGATCGTGGCAACAAGATCTTCGATTGCCGTCCACAGCGCGTCGTCTGGCTGGTTGGCAATCGTACTGAACAAGTCCAGTAACTCGGCGATGAAAATCTTGCGGCTCATGGCCTCATTGGCACTCACAGGTTTTGCCTTGATGATACTGTTCAATGCTCCGATCACCTCTGTCTCGATCAGCTCCAGACTCTCTCCGTCGCTCAACGCCCACTCGTTGACGATCATGGTCTGGAGAATCTCAACTGCGACCCTACGCAGACCCTCGTGCATACTGAGACATAGTGTTATTGTGGGCGCAACCAAACTAGGCACATATTGAACCTGGTACCCACCCAGCTTCCGGATATTGTACCGTCTTTGATCGTCAGCCGATGCTTCCCATCCAAGGCTTTCCCAACAGTTTCGCAAAAGGTCAGCGCCGGATTGACGGACGTCACCAGATATCTTCCAAACCGCACGGCGTTTCTGCTCAGGGAAAAGTTCAAGGGCAAGGGCTGGGGATGAGACCAACATGAGCAGAGTGTCGAGGAAAGATTTCCACAAGCTCATCTTCAGGTTGAAACTGTCAGCCTGGTCTGGATTTTCGGCTTCCTCGGGACTGGGAAGATATTGTGAGATGAGCAGGTTAGAGAGGTAGTTCAGAATCGTCAAGGCAGAAGAGTGATGGTAAATGTGTAAACTGAGCCAGGTCGATGGGCATGCATTGTGCTGAAGGAGCGAACGTAGCATGCTAAGTGTCGAAAGTACGTAATTCGAAAGCTCTTGGCCGTGCATTTTGGGAGACAAAGGCGCTTTCAGCTTTGCGATGGTGGCCACTGTCGCCGAGAGCTCAAGTAAAGTCTCATCGAAGGAGTCTTCACAGTCTGTTGCTTTGCTTACGAACGGGTATGAATCAGGGAAGAGGAACGATAGCGAGCGCCGTCGAGTTGAAGGCTGTCGTGCAATGGCTTCATAGGCAGAGATAAGTTTTGGCACAAACTCGTGCAAGTAGTGAGTCGGGAATCGTGTAAGTTCAGCTACAATCGAACAACTTAGTCGGACTTGTTCGTGCCAATCGTCTGATAAGTCATTTTGGGTCCAGTAAGGGGAAAGCCATCTGACACAGTTTTTCACGAGCATCTTTTTGTCCCTGTCCTCGGTCCATATCCGATCCAGCTTGGTATAGTTGAGAATGAGGATGAGCCGGTACAGGACCAATTTCCCCGTTGCATCCTCACAAGAATCAATGAAGTCGATAGATGTCCTGATGACCTCCTCCTTGCTGAAAGCTGGAAGCAATTCGGGCAGCCAGGTGTGGAACTCTCGCACGAGCAAGGTTTTGCTGCCTACCAGGGCCGCCGTTTCACTGCGCATCATCATCTGCAGTCCAAATAAAATAGCCTGCATGTCTTGTTTGAAATTGGAATGCTTTTCGTCTCCCTTTTCATTCGTTTGCGACCCAAATCGCCGTTGCTGATAAGACGTGATAACAATCTTCATGAACGTCCTGCCGACCTTGAACAGAGCTCTCATGTCTCGAGCACTCTGAGGGTCTGACACACTTTGGAGAAGCCTGGTGAAACTTCGTATGAGGCAGGATGCGGCGTAAGGGGAGCGAAAGTGACTTTCAGTATACTGCTCGACAAGAGGTCCCAGATTGTACCGTCTGTCGTGTACAATGCCCAATACCCACACGATATCGTTGAAAATGAGATCCTCAAATTTGGACTCGCCAGACTTGTGCACAAGCACTCCAAACAGTGCATCAAGAACATCTTGCAGTTGCTTCACGATTTCTATCTCTTGCACAAATGTAAGCTTCTGGAGGATGTCTAGCAACTGCACTGAAGTCTGATGTTTCCACTTGATGAGGCTGACCAAAGTGCGGTCTTGTGAGTATTCTGTACTGCATAGAAGGGTGCTGACCTCCAACGATGCGATATTGGCATAGCTTCCCTCGTGAACAGTTTTGTAAGTTGCATGATTCCAGTGTAAAGACAGATATGCCCCACGACCTTGGACGACACTGGAAGTTATCTTATCGTAAGCATGCAGGATGAGAGAGTGCTTTCCATCACTAACGAAAGCATGCTTGTCCCATAGTGGCATCCAAGCCAGTGCAAATGGGAACTCAGGGGCATCCGCAATGCTGATGATCAGGTGACTGTCTGGAACTTTATCTGTTGGTATTCGAAGACATAGTGTCTGGTCCCACGCAGAATCGAGTTCAACAGCGTTCGTGCGTAATGCAGTTACAGCTGCCCCGTTCGAAGAGGGATAAATGCAATGTTCGATGCGCCGGCCAGAAGAATCCCGAACCTCCATTGTTAATTGTAGGTTCTGCATAGAATGGGCTTTGATCGGGGTCACATTCAATTCTGGATGCGAGAGGTGCGCTCCTTGAGTTATAATGGCTTTGTTCAGCCTGAGATATATGTCTGATCGAGGCCTAGAAGGTGCCTCTGAAAAGCCAATCTTTTGGGTTTTGGTGACGAGATGCATTGAGGTCGGATTGTTCCTGACCATTGTATCTGCATCCGGAGCAGTGTAAGGAGTAAGTCTGAGAGCCACACTTGAGATGTAAGGGGAAACCACAAGAGATCTCCCGTGAGAGTTCAACAATTGCACTATTTTAGGATCCGCTTCTCTGCGCTTTTCGTCGTCTCGCGGTGAAACCGACCACATCGTGATCGTCTCTTCATGAGGTTTACCTTCGCGCATGAGGGTGCTCACATCGAGAACCCCGACCGCGACTGTTCGAGGCACCGGAGGGCCTTGGGCCGGTGCTGAACCGTCCTCTTCTTCGGCAATCGAGGGTGTCTGAGCCCTGGCGTTGGTCTGGGGCGTCGCTCGGCCGTTGATCCCCGGCTGCGGTTTTTCGGCGTATTTCTTTTTGCCAAACATCATACTTGACCTCCGTCGGTTAAGAGAAAGTTGCCGTTGGCCCAACAAGGTTCCATTTCTGGACGGAGGCCGCTCAGGAGCTCGTCGCTTCGCTTTTCGCGGAGGCTCTGAAATGGTGACCTTCACGGTTAGAAAGATTTCTCCGCCATCACCTATGTCTCTTTTACTGAGATCTGAAAACAGCGTCTTCATCTTTGCCGAAGCAATAGAACTGTAAGTTTCGGAAAATGACTCGAGATTGCCATCTGAATCTTTGCGATACAGGGCTAGGTTTAAGCTTGCAGACTCTAAATCGGAGCCGACAACTGAAATAACATCAAGGAGGCAATGGTGTAGAGAAGTTGCCCTGGATTTCTCGGATGGTGGCGACTCCAAAACGCTCATGATCGCTTGCAACTTGGTCATTTCAATGGCAGAATCGTCGGACGTCAACAATCGGCCGTGTTGCGTGGCATCTCGTACGATAACCTCGCCACTGAGCATTTTGTTGCCCCTGACTAGGTCCCAGACTGCATCACTTCGCACCTGCAATCGTTCCTGCGCAGTAAGAACGTCGTTCAGGAGCTCTCTCCGAGCATAATCAAGTCGACTCGTAATCTCTGACATCTGATCAAGAACCCGATACTCGCGCCGGAGGACTAGGTCCGGGAGGTGAAGGATATACCACTCTCGCAGGCATGATGATATCTCATCCACAAGAGGTTCTGTCGAAGATGTCGGTGAATCATCTCCAATTTTCAACATCGGCACGGGGGCTTGTGGCTTTGGCTCGCCGGGTTGGGCAACCGCAGAGATTCCAGAACCAAGCTGTTCCCGAATTTCAATGCAGCATTTCGGAAAAATACCAGAGAAGACGCGCGCGTCAGCGGCGGTCCTTCCAGCGGGAGTTAAGGCCGATAACAGAGTCGGTGGAGCAACCAGATAACCACGACACCAGGCGCCATCTTTACCGCCCTGTTCGATGACATACAATTGATCGCCAATCTGCAGTGGAAGCTCGGTGGGAGAAGCCGAAGGTTGAAAAGGGTACCTGGCTACTGCATAAGCAAGAGGCAGCGGCTTCCAGGGCATGTTCTGAAACGGAGCGGTGGCCTGGTTGCGATCACCGAGCCAGTATATTCAGACTTGATGAGAATGTGGTCAGAACTGGCGAACAGCGACCTTGGTGCAGCGATGATCTTTGTGGAGTGTGTCCGGTTTGTCGTCTCCAGGATCCAGGGGCCAGTGCGCTGGGTCTCCGCATTGACAATTCCCGAGAGGACGAAATGACAGTACTGCAACCGGCAAGGGTTGCGATGAGAGTCTGAAGAAGGTTCGGATGGTCCTAGTCAAAAGTTCTAGGACGATGGGCCGATATCATTTTCGCAATAACGACGCGTTCCCCACGAGTCCAGAGAAAGAAAGGGTGTTGCTCGCCCAGTCGGGCACCAGGAGGAGGAAGTCCCCGTTCTTTTTCTTCTAGCGGCAGGGACCTCGCCCAAAGCGGTTAGCGCGTTGTGAGTACTGCTCAATTTCGATGCGCGGTGAGTTACATGTGCCACCACCCTTGGAGCCAGCAGTACCAGTGAGGTCGCAGAGAAGATCACCCTACCTGGGTTTCGACCAAGGTTCCGCCTCGGTATCACTGCAACTCGAAACGATAATATCTCGCTCCTGCCCCTCGGTGCTGCACGACCACCGGTCCTGCTCATTTTCTCACTTCACCGGCGTCGAAAAAAACCAAATCCTTGTACCAGTCTCTTCCCCGACACTTAACAAGCGCTTCCAGCATGCAGCCCGTGGTCAATGTCCTTTTGGACACATTTCCGGGCCTGGCACTGCCACCTACGCTATGTATACCTCTGCCAGCCTCGTCTTCTACTGGGGAGTTGCTCGCGACAATCGTCAACTTATTGCCATCGAGACTACCCCCGACCCGCCTCCTTCTCACGTCTACCACGAGCCGTCCGATCTATGCATCTGATACTACAACATTGGCAGATATCGCTCAGCATCAAACATGTCGCCGCGACGTGGATTCTACGATACTGCCCCTCAGGCTATCCGCCCCATTGGTGGGAGGGAAGGGTGGCTTTGGTTCTCAGCTTAGGGCCGCAGGTGGACGCATGTCCTCTCGCAAAAAGCGTCAAAATGCAGAACTTGCCACTGGTAGCGCCCGAAATCTGGATGGACGGAGGCTACGGACAATCACAGAGGCCAAGAATCTAGCAACTTACCTTGCCACCAAACCAGACATGGACAAGAAAGAAAAGGAGGAGAGGCGGAAGAAATGGGAGCAGGTCATCGAACTCGCCGAGCAGCGAGAGGCAGATATGCGTGCCGGTAAGGGCCCTGATGGTCGGCGTAAAGGCTTGAGTGATGAGTGGGTTGAGGAAAAGGAGGAAATTGGTGAAAATGTGAGGAATGCGGTCAAGATGGCTATGTTGGCGGCCCAGGAAAAGAGCACGAGTGCTACATCTTCTGAAGAAGCTGACGAGAGCAGCGGAAGTGGAGGATCTGCCTCAGGGAGCGAGGCAGACAGCGACGTAGACGATGTGATGGAACTTGATCAAGATGAGATGGCAAGACTCAGAGTAGAAGCCGAGGGAGGCGATGCAGATGCTTTGTGGGTTCTTCAACATCGGCTGAAGATACCATCACGCCTCCTACCCAAGGCCAGACAACCTGTAAGGCGATTCGCTGGATTCGACGACGAGGACGACATATCAGGCAGTGATGAGGAAGAAAGTCCCGACGAGGAGGTGGCCGGCAAGGGCAAACAAAGGAGGCCTGCTTAATTCATGGTAGTTTTGCAGACGGCCATTGAGCCACTCGGAATGCAATTTGGGATGCACCGTGCTCTACTCGGCTTCTTTGACAAGAGAGTCGACATAGCCTATCGGTACATGAGTCCGAAGTCTTTGTTCACACCTCATCTAAGCGTGGATCATTGACCTAGACGGAGAATCGCACTCCACATAAACTTCGCTTCCCCCCGCGGACTTTAGCGACAGCATCCACCTCGGGATCGACACAAGGGGAAAGACCAAACGACACAGGCATCTCGCACAACCTATCATCGTCTTTGACAGACGATAGAGGAGCTCGACAGATAGTGTGTTGAGTGCCTGGCCATGGTTGCTGCACACCACCAGCTCGCGGTTAAAGGGCGACTTCTCTTCGTCGTCTTCGGGGACTCGCTTCGACGATTTTGTCTAAGACTGTTTAATCTTCCGAGAGGTCACGATAAATTGCAGCTCATTCTTCCCAACCACTCTCCCCAATTGCATCACAGCACCGAACGTGCTTCGCCAGCTTGTCGCCATGACGGTCTCAGTGATTCCCACCGCGGCACTAGCATGTCTTCTTCTGCTGGCCATCTACAAGTTCGTTCTTCATCCCTTGTTCTACCACCCTCTCCGCCACATCCCACCAGCCCACTGGTCGGTTCCATTCTTCGGAGATCTCTGGATAACATACCAGCGCTACCGGGAACGTAACAATGCTGTCACCTACGCCGCACATCTCAAGCGTGGGCCCGTTGTTCGGATGGGGTTGAATGAGCTCAGTGTCAATTGCGTGGAAAATGGCATCCGAACTATTTACGCCGGAGGGTGGGAGAAACACGCTTGGTATCCCCAGCGCTTTGGCAGCTACGGGTGAGTGACTCACGCCGACCGAATGCTTCCAGCTGTGATTTTGATTCATTTGTAGCGTCATGAACATGTTTTCTACAATCAAGCATGGTCCCCATAGCCAGAAGAAGCGCACTATGGCCAATATCTACAGCAAGTCGTACATTGCCTCATCACCGCAAGTATCTGCGACCTCCCATACACTTTTCTCAACACGCTTCTTGCCGCTCCTTCAGCACCTGTCCGATACCGCGGAGCCTACTGATGTCCATGAGATGAACAATGCCATGACTATGGACTTCATGTCAGCCTACCAGTATGGTCTCCAGGCCAGCACAAACCTGACTCAGGACGTGGCTACCAGGAAGAAGATCATGCACGAGTACCACTGCCGGCGAGATTATGAGTTCTTTTCCGCCGAAATGCCCTGGATCAAAAATCTCACGAGAAGGCTCGGATTTCCCGTCGTTCCGGGCTTCGTGGATGAGGCAAATCAATATCTTGAGGACTGGAATGCAAACATGTGCCGAGCGGCTGAAAGATACCTCTCTGAGTCGGCAAGTGGGACCGCTGCATGGCCAGGCGATGAACCGATAGTGTACAAGCAGTTTAAAACTGGACTTGCAGCGTTGCGTGAGAAGGATCCGATGGCAGGAAAGTCTACATCGGATGTGCTGCTTCCCACAATTCGACACGAAGGTCTCCAGAAAGATGAAAATGACACTACTACCGCCGAGATCTATAGTGAAATGCTTGACCAGCTGGGTGCTGGGCACGAGACCTCGGCCATTGCTCTCACCTACCTCTACTGGGAAATGTGCAAGCATCCAGAGCTCCAAAAACAACTCCATGAGGAGCTAATGACGTTGAACCCTCCCGTCAAATGGCCGTTGCCCGTGGGCTTGGATCTGAAGGACTTCCAGCTACCTGATCCCAAGCAGATCGACGCATTACCGTTGTTGCACGCCATCGTTATGGAGGTACTCAGGCTGCACACACCGATTCCAGGCATTGAGCCAAGGATCTCTCCTCATGTCCCTGGTGGTAGCACACTCGGGTCTTATTCTGGTATTCCGGGAGGCGTGCGTGTGTCAGCTATGCCATATAGCCTGCATCGCAACGAAGCCGTTTTTCCAGCCGCCGCAACGTTCAAGCCGTCACGTTGGTTTCCTTCGCAGACTACCGAAGAGCACCTCAAAGAGATGCACCGCTGGTTCTGGGCTTTTGGCTCCGGTGGGCGGATGTGTATCGGTAGTCACTTGGCGACGCAGGAGATTAAATTGCTCGTTGCCGCAATCTATTCCAATTGGACAACAGAGATCGTTGACGATGAAGGAATTGAAGAGGTTGATGCCTACACGACGAAGCCGAAGAGCAACCGTCTCATTCTGCGCTTCAGGCACCTATAACGCATCTCTGGGTTGATGGTGCCCGGGATCGCTTATCAGGAGCCTTTCATTGGTAGATACAACATGACAGCCGATCGTTCCAGATCCGATGTCTGCAAAAGGAATAGAGGCTGTGCGTCTCAAAATGGGGCTATGTCTGACACCGGGAATACAGAGGATAGAAGGCGAAGTTACAGACTTTCCCTCCAAACCAGGCAGATAGTATGACTATAGCGTGGACAGTCAGATTCTAATATGATCTCTTCATAAGGCAACGGCACCTGGGCACTTATTGTGGTGGCGATGCGGTAGATTGGCTTCGAGTCACTCTGCTCGGGCGCACTTACCACTATGCTTTGTCAGACAGAACGAGATCTGGAGGAGTGAGACTGAGGTGTCCACCGATAACAATCTCGGAACGAATCGACATGGAGTCGGCCTTGGATCTTACGTAGGAGATGTCGACATGGGCAGACCGATCAACGCCCTGAGTAGACAAGGGATAAGAGAAGCTACTTATCACCTGCAATCGGCCTGATTGTTGGCTGAGACCTGTCATTATTTTTATGTACGTGTGTGCGAGTACATTATTGTTGATCTGTCAGACGCCGGCGGACGATCTTTCTATTTGTATGGGGAAATCGAGAGAAGCTGAAGGAACGCCTCAGAAGCTTGGCGCATCCCCGTTTAAACTGGCTGCGAAGACGCCGCTGCGAATTTTTGAAGGCGCTGATGAATATCTCGAAATTAGTCGCCTGCACACTGTCGACTTAAAAACGCTCGACTTTCCTCTCACTCCCTATTTACTGTACCTACCATTCACTGATTGAACGTCGTGCCGCCCTTCGAGATCGAAGTGCTGTGCTCTTATCATCCAGCAGTAGCGACTCCGAGCCTTTTGCTATCGCCGCGCGACTACTACTTCTCTCCTTCGATCGAGCCTTGTCTCTCCTTCGGATCTATTAATTGCTCGGCAACATGGTTAAGGATACGAAGTACTATGAGATCCTGGGGGTACGCTAAAATCACATATTCTGTCGCCCTTGACAAACAATTGATCTAATACACTCCTTAGGTTGACCCCTCAGCCTCAGAGGCCCAACTAAAGTCAGCTTACAAAAAGGGTGCTTTAAAGCACCACCCTGGTAAGTTGTTCCTGGAGAGGCATAATTCCTACACTCAGAAACTAATAATTACAAGATAAGAACGCCCATAACCCTGATGCTGCGGAGAAATTTAAAGATCTTTCAAAAGCCTACGAAGTCCTGTCCGATCCTCAAAAAAGACAACTCTATGACCAATATGGCGAAGAAGGCCTCGAACAAGGCGGTATGGGAGGAGGCATGGCGGCTGAAGATCTCTTCGCCCAGTTCTTTGGCGGTGGCACAGCGTTTGGCGGCATGTTCGGCGGTGGCATGCGTGACACGGGCCCAAAGAAAGCCAGAACCATTCACCACGTCCACAAGGTCTCCTTGGAGGACATCTACCGCGGCAAAGTATCAAAGTTGGCCCTCCAGAAATCTGTTATCTGCCCGGCATGTGAGGGACGAGGTGGTAAGGAGGGTGCTGTTAGAACCTGCACTGGCTGTAATGGTGCTGGTATGAAGACCATGATGCGTCAGATGGGTCCCATGATACAGCGCTTCCAGACCGTCTGCCCTGATTGTCAGGGTGAGGGAGAGACGATTCGTGATCGTGATCGATGCAAGCGCTGCATGGGTAAAAAGACCGTGGTCGAGCGAAAGGTGCTGCACGTCCATGTCGACCGCGGTGTCAAGAGCGGGCACAAGATCGAATTCCGTGGTGAGGGTGATCAGATGCCTGGCGTGCTTGCTGGCGACGTCATCTTCGAAATTGAACAGAAGCCTCACCCACGGTTTCAGCGCAAGGACGACGACCTTTTCTACCACGCCGAGATTGATCTATTGACTGCCCTGGCTGGTGGACAAATTTACATCGAGCATCTCGACGACCGGTGGCTCACTGTCAACATCTTCCCTGGCGATCCTATCACTCCTGGAGCCATTAAAGTCATCAAGGGGCAAGGCATGCCGTCATTCCGTCATCACGATTTTGGCAACCTATACATCCAATTCGATGTCAAATTCCCCGACAAGTCAGAGATCCAGAACGTCGAGATGCTGGAACAAATCTTGCCGCCTCGTATGCAACAGAAACTCCCGCCTGCTGACGGTATGGTGGAAGATTTCGACCTTGAAGAAGTTGATCCTCGCCATCAAGCCAGAGCACAAGGAGCAGCAGGGGATGACGAGGATGAAGACGGTATTCCTGCCGGCGCAGAGAGGATGCAATGTGCGTCGCAGTGATCGCCAGGTCAACCACAAGGTGACGAAGGACACGACGAAAACACAAACGAACAATGCAAGTTGACGATCAAGAGTTCCAAAGTGCCAGCTGCAAATGACTACAGTCTATTAGCGAGTAGTCCATTCGATGCATACAGCCACTCGGGGATCTGCATGTATCGGCGTTGGATTGGAAAGATCATATGGGATCAATCGTGGCGTTTGGCGTTTTCAACTAGGGGCAATGTTGCACAAGAATAGGCTGTACTGGTTTCGAGAGCCGTACATCTAGTGGGATTCAGCTTTGAGCAGGCGCCGCAGACATTAGATAGCTTTGTCATGCATGCTTGATAGAATGGACGCGAGACACTGATAGCTCATCTCCGTCAGAGTGATGTGAACAATGTATGATTTGAGAACGATTTTTTCATGCAAAAGGGGACGATCCATTCAGTGTTATTTCTCTACGAGCTGCGAGATGAGACGGGTGGTTCGAAAGTGATGAAAGACGACTAGAACGATATAATGTCGGTGAAGGAGCGAGAAGATTGATATGAGATTACGAATAGCTACTAAAGAGACGATAAGGTGTCATGTTGCAAGCTACGGGAGAGGACCTAATGCGATGTAAATATTGTATTGTTCGTGGTCTCTCCTCGAAGGATGAGGTGGTAGATCGAGTTTAGTTATTCGGGTTTTCGCATCTCGAGATGCTGAAAGGAGCTGTCACCAGTTCGCCGAGCCTACTGAGTACAGGGACATAGATCTACTGGTAACAAGGCGTTCACGACATCAGGTGCGACCAGTCCTCGCGTGTGCCGAGACTCGCAGTGTTTCCCCCAGCCAGCACATCCTATCGCTTCTAGTTGCTACACAAACAAGCACAACATGAGGACACATGGCCAAGATGGCTGTCAGGCGACGGCCATCGGGATGAAGCGTGTGCCGATGCAGCAATTGACCTACCGCACGCAGCATTTGCAACAAAAGCCAGAAGAGACGTAGTGAACTAGTGAAAAGCGGTCACTGGTCAGCAGTCAACCGCAAGTAGACGCCAACTGAGTTGGCTTCAAGCGACTCTGAAATTGCGAGTCTGCAAGGTACCCTGTTGATCGTCCCTGCATGCGAACTTGCTTTTTTTTTGCGAAACGAAATCCATTGATGGATTCCTCCGCATCTAGCCTGCTACCAGTTTCCTGGGGTGATTTGTGAAGACAGGTCTAGGCCTTGTCTAGACCACTATTCGATAACAAACGAGAAATATGTACTCCGACGCCGATAATGTAGCGCCCATTTCTCACACATCTCGACCGGTCAGTCGCGTAATATCACGATGGTATCATTTATGGCGGAAATGGCGTCAGCATTTAGGTCCGAGACCAATGAAGCCACCCACGGAGACGATTGGACAGGAACTGGGTCCTTGCCGAGAAGTGCTGGGGAGAGGCGCCTCTCGCGTCTCTCGGGAGCCTCGGGAGACACGCCAGGGCGGAAACAGAGTCCAAACCTTGTCCAGATCGACGAAGGAGATTCCGAAATGCTCGAGCACGCCATTTTTCCCCTGTAGGGACCGAAACTGTCCGTCCCTTCTTCACAGCCGAGGGAGAAATCACCACTACGGATTACGGAGCAGCCAGAACCAATGCTGATGTCAAGGGCATGGATCTGGAGCTCAAACGGTGGACAGCCGCGACCAAGATCGAGGATTCCCTGCAGCTAGTCAGCAAAGGGGGTTCCTCTATTGCATCGACTTCAGTCCCTTGATCGGCGTCAGATCGTACCAGTGTGAGCAGGATGACCACTTTTACTTGGACTCGTGGGAAATTTTCAGCCACAGGAGACGTTCAGCGTGCACAGACAGTTGACGGACAGTGATAGAGAACCTAGTCGACGAACCATGGAGCTGGGAGACACGTACTCGTACTGTATAAGTTCAATGGGCTCGCGGCGTGGGGTGCTAGAAAGGAAATGGGCTATGCCACCATCGACTGGTGCAGCCGACTGCCCAGGTGGTGTTGCGAGGTGGTACAGTAATAGGAACTCGGAGCTGGAGGAGCTCGCGATAAAAAAGAATGGAGCCCAGCGAGCCCATGTCGACGCATGGGACGTCGCTTGCGTCCATCACGCCTTCGATGGCGACATCGTCCCATTTCATCATTGCCCACGAAATAATGTGCGAAAATTCTCTGCTCGCACGCCATCCCTCCAACACGTTCGTTTCTGGTTCCAGATCGCCCCCTCCTAGATCTCGACTTTGCCATTGATTGCCCCGTTGACTTCACACTTTGGAATCTTAGCAAGTCTTAGCTGCAGTCGGCAAAAAAGCACATGGTCTGTCGCTGGTGGGGGCGTCCTAGCAATATATATCGACCTTTACATCTCTGCCAGAAACCCCAGAGCGTCGACCTTCCACCGCCCTCTTCCCCCCCCGGAGAAATACACAGCTTAGAAGTCAGCGATTCACCGTTTGACTAGGTTTACGACATCTCCGTCACGAGCGCTGTCTGTACAGCCCACCATAGGCGTACGTGAGTATACCTTGATTGGTATATATAATATCCTCCGCCCACCTCATCCTAACCGAGCGACTCGAGAGCTTGTCCCGCTGCATGAATAGCTTGAGCACGATCACCAAGACATCTTAATCTCTTGTCTAATCCAGTCACCTCTTCGAGATACACTTGGCAAGAATAGGCTTCAGCAAGGATTCCTCTAACAAGCCTGTCCGCCACGTCTTATCTTGAGCATCCCGCTTGGCGCCTCCCTCTTCCGACCGACTCGAGAAGTCTCTGCGAACAGTCTTTGCACGAGCTCTAGAAGGTCGTCTACCGCTTCGTCTCACTCCCCGGCACGGAGATCTTGCTCTCACATTTAGCAAGCCTGTGGCAAGCCCTATCGAGTCTTTCTCTTGGTCGAAAGACGGACAGACGTCGCCATGCCTTCTACCTCCTCCAAAGTTGTCGAAGGCTTCGCCACCAAAGTCCTCCGCATCGACCTCAGTGAGCGCCAGGCTACCAAGGACTCTGTCACACGCGGCGAGTCTACATACTCAGTCAGCACTGCGGACACATATGTGGAGGAAGAACCGACAACCATAGGCTGGGTCAGAGAACTAGTGCCTAGCAAGCAAGACGTGGGCACTTATGTGCGGAACCTCTTCCCTTTCACCCGGTGGATTGGCCGATACAACGTCCAGTGGCTCATAGGAGATCTCGTCGCCGGCATCACTGTCGGTGCCGTAGTGGTGCCCCAGGGTATGGCTTATGCAAAACTCGCTGAGCTTCCTCCCCAGTATGGTCTCTACTCGTCCTTTATGGGCGTTCTGATTTACTGGTTCTTCGCCACTTCCAAGGATATCACCATCGGTCCGGTCGCCGTCATGTCGACAATCGTCGGTAACATTGTCAACAAGGTTGCAGATGAGCATCCAGAAGTCCCTGGTCATGTTGTTGCCTCGGCTCTTGCTATCATTTGCGGTGCCATTGTCTGTTTCATAGGCCTGGTGCGATGTGGTTGGATAGTTGACTTCATTCCGTTGACTGCAATCTCTGCCTTCATGACTGGCTCCGCGATCAACATCGCTTGCGGCCAGGTGCCTACCATGATGGGAATCAAGGTTAAAGGATTCAACACGAGAGCCTCTACCTACCGAGTCATCATCAACACCTTCAGATACCTTGGACATACCAAGATCGATGCTGCCATGGGCCTCACTGCACTCTTCTTGCTCTACTCCATCCGATTCACTTGCAACCAAATGGCGAAGCGCTTTCCCAATCGATCCAAGACGTTTTTCTTTATCTCGACCCTTCGCACAGCTTTTGTCATTCTCCTGTACACCATGATCAGCTGGCTGGTCAATCGCCATCACCGCGATGATCATGTCTTTGCAATCTTAGGGAAGGTGCCTCGTGGTTTCAAGGACGCGAAAGTCCCAACAATCAACACAGACATCATCAGTTATTTCGCGGACAAACTCCCCGCGTCGGTCATTGTCCTTCTGATTGAACACATTGCCATCTCCAAGTCATTCGGCCGCGTCAACAACTATACCATTGACCCGTCTCAGGAGCTCGTAGCCATTGGTGTCACCAACCTGCTGGGACCCTTCTTGGGAGCATATCCTGCGACGGGGTCTTTTTCACGAACGGCCATCAAATCGAAAGCGGGTGTCCGAACTCCTTTTGCCGGTGTCATCACCGCCATCGTTGTTCTCCTAGCCATCTACGCTCTCCCCGCAGTCTTCTACTACATTCCCAGCGCTTCGCTCTCTGCAGTCATCATCCACGCCGTGGGTGACTTGATCACTCCTCCCAACACCGTGTACCAATTCTGGCGCGTCTCGCCCCTCGAAGTCATCATTTTCTTCGCCGGTGTCTTCGTCACCATCTTCTCGTCGATCGAGAACGGGATTTACACGACCATCTCCGTGAGCGCTGGCGTCCTCTTATTCCGTGTAGTCAAAGCCAATGGCCACTTTGTCGGCAAAGTCAAAATCCACTCGGTGATTGGCGACCACTTGATTGAAGACAAGTTTCACGACAACAAGCACGTGTCTGACGACGACCGGGCGGTGCGGGAGATCTTCCTCCCCCTAGACCACAACGACGGCTCGAACCCTTCAGTGCACGTCGAGGCGCCTTACCCAGGTGTGTTTGTGTACCGCTTCTCCGAAGGCTTCAACTACCCCAACGCCAACCACTACCTGGACTACCTGGTCAAATACATCTTCGAGCACACGCGGCGCACGAACCCTGATTCGTGGCCGAGGCCCGGCGATCGACCGTGGAACAACCCGGGCCCACGACGCGGCAAGTTCGAAGAGGACAGGTCGTACCTCCCGACGCTCAAGGCTATCGTTCTCGACATGTCGTCTGTCAACAACGTCGACGTGACCAGTGTGCAGAACCTCATCGATGTCCGCAACCAGCTCGACCGCTACACATCGCCCGAGACGGTTCAGTGGCACTTTGCCAACATCACCAACCGCTGGACGAAACGCGCCCTGGCGTCGGCCGGGTTTGGGTACCCCTCGGCGCCCACGGGTGAGGAATACCACCGCTGGAAACCCATCTTCAGCGTCGCCGAAATCGGCGGGACCTCCAGCGCCGCCGCCGCCGCAGAGGCAGAGCAAAACCGGCGCCTGTCCCGCATCCCTTCCGACGAGGAACACGGCCGCGGACGCACGAAGAGCGGCGGCGCCATCAAGTCCGACGCCACTGAAGACGACCACTCCGGGTCGAGCTCGCCGCCCGAACTGTCTCGAGAGATCACAAACAGCAAAGCCTATTCACGCGCGACTCAGAAACGCGTCGCGGTCGTGCAGGGCTTGAACAGACCATTTTTCCACATCGACCTGACCAGCGCGCTACAAACCGCCGTCGCCACCATTGAGCATCAGGATCAACTACGACAAGCCGAGAACAAGAGTACTGGTATATCGAACGATGTTGATATCAAGCAGACTTGAGAGAGAGAGAGAGAGAGGATAGGAAGAGAGAAAGAAGAAGACTAGGAGAGTGGGTAGGTGTCTTGATGAAAAAGAAGAAGAAGAAGAAGAAGAAGAAGAAGAAGAAGAAGAAGAAGAACAAGAAGAAGCACAATTACAGGGAGAGAATATTTGCTTGGAAGAAATGGAGTTGCGTACCTACACTATAATTTTAAATACTTAGTTATCTCTCACCAATCACTGGATACCCTGTCTGTCCCTCACTGCGGTCGCGGACAGAGACACGCGAATGAATTTATATTTATATTTTCTGTCATTCTGTTTTGACCTCGATGAGAGATCTGATTTCGAGAGACATGGACTCGGAATTCTGGGATCGCAGCTGTAACTAGTTGGTGTCGTGGCGAGGTGGGGTGCGGGCAGGAGGAATTATATATCTCTTGCTGTGTCTTTTCGGTGCGGGACGAAATGCAGCGTGGCGGGAGAGTTCTACGTCAGTTACGAACGGCGCGATATGATGTACATGCAATACATACCTTGCCAGTTAGGTATCTATGAGTACAAGAACTACACGGGTGTGATACGGTTGATAATGTCCTCGTTTCAGTTCCGAATGCAATACACAACACACACGACGTGTACGTTTGTCATCCACAAGGAAAGGAAGAGACAGGGGAAACGGAGGCTTTGCTACCTATGTACCTAACCCTGGCTGGTTTCGCTCAATAATAATAATAATAATATTCGAACTCCTGTAGCGTCCGTCGAAGGCGACGGTGATGGCGAATGGCAATGCTAGATGCTCCATGCCGCTCCATGTACTCACTCGGTCGTGCCGAAGATCGCTTTGGACTTTTCATAGTACACTCAACGGGTGCGTGATTCAACACACGTGTGTGTATGTGTGACTTTGGTGGTGGATTCTGGCCGGCGTACTCTGAGCCCCATCCACGTCCCTAACGCCGCGAGCATCTTCCATGCTTTATGGCCCGGGGGATCATCGCTGTCCTTGAGCCTGGCTGATGGGTTGGTCTTCATGAATGATGATGATCCGGCGAATCGCATTCCTCATACTGGCGATTGACTGGGCGGTCAACCCCCACAAATCTCGGCCAATACTGAATTCACACGGTGACTGACAGACTGACCCCGACTGACTTTCTGAGATTGATCACTCGGGTTCCCACTCAGGTTTATTGAGAGGTTGTTGAGGTGTTGGATCTTCTCTGGACACCACGTCCAAAGTACGATGGTAGCACAGATGACCGAGTCAAGCGTGTCTCGAATCGACGACGTGGTTTTCGTTGGTCAGGCAGGAAGACTGTACGGCTCGACTGTCGTTCGTTAACCTCGCAGGTTGAACAAGGCCAGATAAGTGGAAATTGCCGGCAGTCTATTGCTTCCAATCAAACACGGTCCGGGCGATCCTTTCGATTCGAATTCAATTTTTAGTGGTGTCATCACTTGGTCGAAACGCGCCCGTTGCTGATACCGACATGTATTATCGCATATTGGAATAGTCTTCCTAGCCGGAGTGTTTCCTCGGAGATTATGAATGGCGCTGATGATCATGATGGTGATGATTTGATGGCAACGGCAGTGGTGACGACGACGACGACGACGTTGGTTAAAAAAAAGTTAGCCATCCGGGCAACCCACCGTCGAGCGGGTTCAAAGGACGGTCCAAAACGCGTCCCAGAGTCGACGCAATTCTAGAATGTGCTTCGAAAAGTGTAGTGCCTCTTTCGAGCAAAGGCGACAAATGAGCAAAAGCCGGAGAAGGACATGGAGATAGAAAGAGCCCATACTTCGAGCCAGCGGCGACAACTGGGCGATTGCTCCATTGTGGGCGATAAGCGAATACATGGTGACCAGCGGTCGGTCGGCAGTGGTGCAGTTGGTGGTGTGTTGTACGTGGTGTATTGAGGAAGATGGTTGGGCGTTGGGTCCTTGTGAATGACTTTTGTGTTCTTTTTTTTTTCAACCGAAGTGAAGTCGTGAATGTTTATGAATGCCAGTAAACATTTATCGCGTCCATGAGACAGGATGGTTTTGGCGCACTGACCATCATTGACTGTTGGTGGTTTGGCATTTGGCAGCTGGATTTAATTTCCGGCATCACGGTTGCGCTGCCAGGAGTAGCTCATTGGTAGGTTGACCATGGTTCAGAAACTATACACGTTCATCTCATGAGTACAACATGTCTGATGGGGACGATGGACCCTGAAATGTGGTGATATGGAAAGATGGTCGTGGTGGATGTGGGAGGGCTTCGGGTTGTGTTGGAAAGACTCTACCTTACACTACGTCGACGCTGTACGAGGAACTCGGTCAGCTTAGCGGGCGCGCAAAGCACTTCCGACAGGAGTTAAAAGTCTGATGCTCCGATGGCAGAAGCCTGGATGCGCGTCTGTCAGCCACGGATTGTCTTTCATCCTTGAGCGAGAATACTTCGAGGTAGTCGATAGATGACCCAAGGCTCTTGTTAGCACTCTCCTTGGTATCAATAGGTACTGTAGTCGGCGAGGTTCGGATACTTGTTTCCGACTGCCTCAGCCGTTCATCACAATGGCGGACCGTCTAGCCTGATCCGTCCTAGTTAAGTCCTATCAGAGATTTTGGCCAGTAGGCGGCCGATTCTCGGCTTTCGAGGTTCCACTCGCATTTCTCGCTTGTCTCGCTTCCTTCAAGATACAATAGAACGTCACTCGGTTTTTCCCAACACTCGCTCTGTACTCTTCGTTCACCTCCGGAACCATGGAAACTGATAGATGTAGTCGTCACCGCTTGGTCAGAATTCTGCGTTGCTCGTGCATCGATCTCTATCGAAGAAATCGTGGTGGAGTCATTCTCGAGTGTTCATTCCATCCAACCCCCTGCATCCGGAGACAACTTACAAATGCCGGCGATGGATTTCCGGGCACATTGACCTTTTCAGGGTCGATATGATGTCAATATGCTGGATCCATGGCCGGTGGAAGCATCGTCGCTTTGTCATTCAATCAAAATTTATTCATTCCTGCTTCAACATCTGCCGTGAGGAAGGACCGGGTACTAGTATAAAGAGGTAGGACGTATCTGCCTCAGACCAGAATCCTGCATCAACAGCGACCAAACACCATCAATCAATCTCGACAGTCTGTGTTCGGAACACACTGTCCGCAGAGGATCTAGGAGAATCGACTTAGCAGACTCGTTACTCCAAGTCAACAGCGACAAGTTTAACATCTTCGACGTCAGCATGGTTACCTTCACCGTTTTCAAGGGAGACAAGCAGGGGCGCATTTTTGAGGACACTACGACACGTACCATCGGAGAGCACGAAGTTCTCGTCCGCATTACACACAGTGGCCTGTGTGGCACTGACATTCACTTCAAGACCAGCAACATTGGCCTCGGCCATGAAGGTGTCGGTGTTGTAGAGGAGATTGGAGAGCGTGTGACTCTGTTCAAGAAAGGCGAGCGTGCAGGTTGGGGTTATGAGCACAACTCCTGCGGCCACTGCAAGCAATGCCTTACTGGATGGGAAACACTCTGTGCAGAACGACGTATGTTCGGCGAAGTTAGCCTCGACCAAGGTTCCCTCGGTTCGCATTTTGTTATGGACGAAAACTTCTTGTTCAAGATTCCAGAGAGCATGTCTTCTGCTGAAGCTGCGCCCTTGATGTGCGGAGGTGCCACTGTCTTCAACCCATTCAAGGTGTACAACATCAAAAGCACCGATCGTGTAGGAGTGCTCGGCATCGGAGGTCTGGGCCATCTTGCTATCCAGTTTGCTGCACGTTGGGGTTGTGAAGTGGTCGTCTTCTCGGGCACGGACAGCAAGAAGGAGGAAGCCATGAGACTCGGCGCAACAGAGTTCTACGCTGTCAAAGGCCTCAAGGAACTCAAGATCAAGGCCCCTCTTGACCACCTGCTCGTCACCACCGCCTCTCAACCCGACTGGCAGATGTATCTTCCCCTCATGGCACCATCAGGGACCATTTTCCCCTTGACTGTCAGTGGAGGCGACTTGAAAATCCCCTACATGCCTTTCCTGCAGAAGGCTTTGACAGTGCAGGGAAGTCTGGTTGCCGCGCGACAAGTCCATCGGGAGATGTTGGATTTTGCAGCCCATCATAACATCAGGCCCATTATCCAGACATTCCCGATGAGCTTGGAGGGTGTCAACAAAGCCTTCGACACACTCGCGGCCGGCGATATGAGATACCGCGGTGTTTTGGTTGTTGAATAGACTGTGGGCGTTTTGTTTGGCGGTCGAGCACAGGTGGTACTAGCGTTGCAATGGACGGACTAGCTGAGATCGATTTGTTAACGTATAGAATCTAACATAAGCGTTCTTCCTATTTCTTCCCTTGATAGCCATCTCTGTTTTATTCTGCTGTCATAGTAAACCGTGTCGTAATTGCGTAGACTCCAGTTGAGCAGGCTGTTTGATCTTGACCGCTGAATGATGTTGGAAATGATCTTCTCTCCCGAGTGGCATTGTACCGGCGGAGACAATGCATTAGCTGACGAAGAAACACGACGCGTCAACAATGCTGGTGGTGTTTCGCTCCTGTGGGGGTGGAATAGTGGCTTAGACTGCAGACGAGATTGTCAATTGAGCCTGAGTAACGGTACTCGTACTCCGTACTCCGTACTCCGTATGTCTGCCTCCAAAAATTCCCTCCCATCGTGGGCAGATAGACCCTGTCGCAAAAGCGTAGAAATAACAGTGGCCGAGCGTTGCAAATGCCACGCCAGAGGCGAATCTATGCCAGATCGACAGGGAGAAAAGATTCGAAGCACACACCCGCAGACATCGCCATTTGGCCCCTCGACTTTGCCATCGGCTGCGGGCCAGCATTTCGCCGATGATTATCCACTTCGTTCCGTCTCCCAAGGCCGCAGCCAGGCCTTTTGCTTCTTGTTCGCCTCGCTCCTTCACTACATTGCGCCCGTTGGTCGTGTGTGCCATTCCCTACCAACGGCTACCTGGCTGGAGCCGGATGCACATTCAGCGACCATGTTGCTGAAGCCCAAGGACGATGTGGGCGACAGTCACACCAACGCTGATGTGCGCGGCCTTCGAAAGATCCGAGCTCAGAGTCCTTGGACATGGCGACCCTTAACGCTCATCACCACAGCCGTCGCCCTCTTTGTGCTCTCTGTCATCGTCCGGTCCTCTCTCAAGCTTCAGGTCGACCCTCAAGGATCTGTCATGTCGATGATGAGCCCGACCTACATCAAGCTGTCGGGCTTTGATACGGAACATTCGCGATTTGCGACAAAATACGCGCTTTATCTTTATCGCGAAGAGGGGGTAGATGAATACACACAGGATAACATTGGGTTAAGAGGCGCCCCGGTACTGTTTATTCCAGGGAATGCTGGAAGCTACAAGCAAGTCCGCTCGTTATCGTCCGAGGCCTCCCGCTACTATGCCAACGTTTTACGCTACGATGCTAGTGCTCTTAAAGAAGGCATCAGGGCATTCGACTTTTTCACCATTGATTTCAATGAGGATCTGTCTGCTTTTCATGGCCAAACGCTGCTAGATCAAGCCGAGTATGTCAATGAAGCCGTGGCATATATTCTTTCTTTGTACCACGATGCAAATCGACTCCGCCGCGATCCATCGTTACCCGACCCTAGCTCGGTCATACTCATTGGACACTCGATGGGCGGAATAGTTGCACGTACTGTGCTTGTCACACCCAAGTACCAGGCAAATTCTGTCAACACAATCATTACCATGTCGACTCCTCATGCTCGCCCGCCTGTCACATTCGATGCTGATATTGTCTCTTTGTATCAGCAAGTCAACGAGTATTGGCGAGAGTCTTATCTGCAGAGATGGGCGAGCAACAATCCGCTATGGCATACTACTCTAATATCCATTGCTGGCGGTGGGCTGGATACCACTGTTCCGTCTGACTACACCAACATTGCGTCCTTGGTTCCAGAGAGCCATGGATTTACCGTCTTCACGTCGGGCATTCCAAATGTCTGGACTGTCATGGATCATCTGTCAATCACATGGGCTGACCAAATGCGCAAAGTCATTGTCAGAGCATTATATGATGTTGTGGATGTTCGTCGTGCTGGGCAAACGAAGCCACGTGCCGAACGAATGAAGGTTTTCAGGAAGTGGTTTCTCACTGGCTTGGAAGAGAATACGCCCAGACGCCTCCGAGACACCACACACGAGGTTCTCTTGACATTGGGTTCCGGTTCAAGATCATCCGTAGCCAGAAGCGAGAATGTCACTATTCGCCAAATCGGAGCGCAGGACGCGATGTCCGCAATACTTTTGCCAATTCCGACCGTTGATAACGCTACTGCAAAACGGTTCTCTTTCATGACCGACCAACAAACGGACCCGCAGGGCACTTTGGAGAAGCTGGAAGTTATGTTCTGTAGTGCGTTTCCTCTTGCTGGAGGGCTGACTTCCATGCCACTGCCTGTGCAGTTCGATCTATCTCCTGGCGATGCCAGTGCTACGCGGCTGGCATGCAAAAAACCTACCGGGGATGGCATTCTGCTCCCCGCTTCCACGAGATCGTCTCAGTATGCCTTTGATCAGCCTTCCAAACCCTTCACGTTCTTGAACTACGACCTCAGGGATCTGCAAGACCATCAGTTTGTAGCCCTTGTTGACAAATCCACCGAAATCAGTAATCATTGGGCCTATGCTGAGATTGTGTCGGAATCAGACTCTATCATCAATTCAGATGTTGGCCTTCCACGGCTCCTCCTCAGGGGCCTCAATGTTGAGCTGCCACCGAGTCGACCAATTGTTACAGAGATTCGGGTCCCCTCAATCCAGTCAAGCCTGTTGACGTACTCGCTTCAGGTTCGCCAGCACGGATGTGGAGCAGATACCGAGCTATTCACGCCACTGGTACGTCAACATATTGATAGTCCGCACGAGTCGAAATATTTCGTCAATTTCAAACAAGGCGATGTTAATCTACACGGGGTTGCTCCCTTCATGCCGCCCACTCTAGATGGCCGCGAATCCAAGGCCGGTGTCGCATTTCAGATCTGGTCGGATCCTACCTGCAACTCTTCCTTGGAAGTCCGCTTGCGAGCCGACCCCATCGGCAGTCTGGGCAAACTCGTGGTCAGATACAGAACTGTATTTGCAGCATTTCCTCTGCTGGTTGTGGCCATGGTGTTGCGCAAGCAGTTCAGGGTTTACGACAACTCAGGGGTCTTCATCTCGTTCTCGGAAAGTCTCGATCAGAGTTTGAGGCTTCCTCTGCCGGTGCTGTTACTCTCGATGACTTTTTTCGCGACCGCTTTCACCTCAGCAGGTTCTCACGGAACTCCATCGGGCGGCCACCAACAGAAGAATGGTACTGCTGTCAATTTTGCTGAGAATGATCTCCTGCTTGGATCCCAGGACACTTTTTTCTGGTTTCTCGTTCCTCTAGCAGGCCTTATCAGCATCGGAGCTTGTGTCATCTTGAACTACGCCATCTTGGCCTTGCTGGATGTTTTCGTCACTGCTTCTGGTTTGATCTCTCGAGGCTATGTCAAGATCGATGACGGTGAAAAAGGCATTGCCTCTGCGTTCGTTGCGAGCACACCCCGACGGCGAGCCATCAACACCGGAGTTCTTTTATTTCTCGTTGCAACAATTATACCCTATCCGTTCGCGTATGTTGTGGCTTGCATTGTACAGCTCATGACTTGCACGCGGGCGTTGCGCTATGCCAAAGAAACTAGATCGGGACCGGCGCATAATTTCTTCAACTACAGCTACTCGATACTCATTTTAATGCTCTGGGTTTTGCCTATCAATCTGCCGGTGTTGGTTGTCTGGATACATAATTTGGCGGTTCACTGGTTGACACCGTTTTCATCCCACCATAATGTGCTGTCGATAGCACCGTTTATCATCCTGGTCGAGACACTCTCGAGCGGGATGATGGTGCCATCCGTCAGATCCCTCCGGTGGGCGACGAACTTGTTGTTTTTTGTGTTGGCGGTTTATGCGGCGTTGTATGGCATGACTTATGCATACAGACTACACTACATTGCCAACATTATTGCTCTGTGGCTGGTTCTGTTGCATTTTTCCAACTACCAACGGCACATTACCACTTAGAAGGAGAAGTGGTGTTCTCAGTCACTTATGAAGATGATGAATGGTTCCTTGGGTTAACATTTTCCCTGACAATTTCTGCATGTTTCGACACCGGGGGAATGAGTTTGTGTCGTGGTTACCGAGTACAACTCACAGAGACAGAGACTCTTTTGAGAGGGGAAGGACTCGGAAGACTGGCAATCCCCCAGTAACAAAAAGGAGAGAGCATAGATATACATAATGCTGAGTTTGAGGAATTGGGAGTGAACAGATCTTTTCCTCATGCCAGAAAGTTTGTTCTATCCCAATCTGACAACTATTTAACATGAACATGATGAATCGATCTGGTGTGGAATAGATTATCGTCGGTACGCAGCAAAGCTCTTGCTTCATATTTTTCCGCATTCACCACTGCCGGTACCAGTGACATTAAGTGTGCACAGAGTGCTCCGCATGGCTGAACGGTGAAAGGTAAGGATGGTTCATGTAGTGTATTCTCTCGAGGCAGAGGCAGATTGCTCGTTCTATTTCATCAAACGGGGTCGTCTTTCTTTCTGCCACTTTTCTCTTGCTTGCTTGCCTGTCCATTGTTCGCCATCCTCTCCTATGAGTGTGCGTCTACATTAGAGCACACGTCTTGGGCGTCTTTGGGCAGTCTATCCTAGTTCTTTACAAGACAACAAGAAACAGACCCACCAGATCAATGAACTGTGATTCTCACGATGACCCATACATCAACAACACGATCACCGGCACCGGCGATACCTTTTCCACCACAACCCAACAACGTCACGCAGCTCCAGGTATTACAGGGACAGGTACCATCACTTGCTGCGCAGGTTGATCAGAGACAATGGCCTCCTGGAAAAGGGTTCTGGATAGGAATCGCATTTTTGATCTTCTTCACAATCATCGTGGTATCAATATACTCGTACCTCGCTTCTCCGTTCTGGTTTGGTTGGATGAAAGAGCTTTGCGGGTTCCCACCGAGTAAACACACGCCGATCTCACGACGTCCTATACCGAACGCGGATTTGGAGAGTGGTGACGGTGGTGCTGGCGGTATTGAGATCACTCGACCTGAAGCTGCTCATTTATCATCCTCACCGTCAAAAGACCCGCTGCCGCAGTACTGGCCTGGTAGCAACTTTAGCCACGACGTGTTGTCGGGCCTGTTGGATTTGAATATGGATGCTGCTCATTGCGGGTCAAGACCACCTTCATACCGGTCTAGATTGACGCTCGACGTGGAATTGATGTCAAGGTCCTAGGGGTTCTGGAAAAGGCAGGACGGGGATGGATGTGGTCGAAAAAGGGGCAGGCCATGAGTTAGTGAGTGAGTAACAGGATATATGTGTATACGAGTACGAGGACCTAGAAACCGTGCAAACTTCCAAGTGATCAGTGATCACTCGATGTTCGCCCGTCCCCGGATTTTCATTCTCTGGGCGCGGGGCCTCAGTGCTTGGCACCAGTCTTTGGGCGTTCGAGGGATCCGTTGATGCACAAAATGATTACTGATAATAGTCCTGACTCGTTCTAGGCCGCACCGGCCTTTTGGACGGATCAAAAAGCTTGTGGTTATTGGTATTTACTATTACGGCGCACATCTCCAGTAAATCAAACCAATTGTTGGCATCCGAAAGGTCCGGAAGAGCGCGGGCGTCCCCGTGCATCTTGTGCTTGTCCATGCCTTCGAGGCTTCTAGACCTGAGGAAGAGCAGAGCCAACACTGTGTGTCCTCTCGCATTGGACTCGTACAACCCCAGACTTGGCGAATGGCGACACACACCGGAGAAAAAACGTCAGGTGTTTGTGGTGTCGATCTGCCCATATACCGAGCATACACCCATGTGCTCCGTACTTCTGCCCTTCTGTGACTTTTCTCCAAATCGCGAACTTCCCTTCGCGCAGCAACTCAGTGAGTGGGCGGTCTCGTGCTACCCACGCTCGCCTTACGCACTACTACTACCTTGGTCTGCCTGAGGGCGAACACTGTCGCTTCTCTTCGGTCAAAGTCCCGCTTCAGACATTCTAATCATTTTCAGCCGTTCGGTCCTGCCCAATATCTCCGCCTTTGAGACTGCGCCTATTGCAAACATGACTTTGATGCAGTGATCATTGCCTGAAAGACTTGCCCGTTCAAAGCACACAAACGCAGAACACCGAGGTTCTCCACAGCGCTTCTTAATTTCCTTATCCATGCTACGACAACAAACACAATCATAATGCATCCTCTAGAAACTCCCGAAACGTCACCGACTCCCTCGTCACCGCGGCCGTCGACCGACCTCGGCAATCCGCCTCACGCAGCCTTCCTACACAATTTGACCCAGCGACTGCGCAAAGGTTCCAATGCAAGCTCGCAGAGTGGCGGTGCCGGTAGTGGCCACGAGGCTCCGGCACAACCGGCACCGTTACCCGACCCTGTAAAGAAGACGGAAAAGACAAGGGAAGTGAAAAAGTTGCTTGCGGCCATGATCCGGGACGACTGGGAATACCCCAGTACTGCCGTGAAGGAGAACAACGGAATACTGCCGTATCGGGAACCGACGGGTTACAGGATGCGCGAAGAGTGGGCGAGCGATATCGAAGCGGAGGAGAGGAAAGCGGCGTATGCCAATGCGCATGGACAAGGACAAGGACACGGCAGCGCAAACGGAAAAGGGCAACAAAACAAGAACACCAGCAACAACAGCCCCTATAGATTCGAAACTCCAGATGCAGTGGGCGACATGATTCTCGAGAGGAAGCGGAAACGGCGAAAACTCATAGAGGAAGAATTGAGGGTGAATGAGGGTTTGAGAGTCTGGACGAACAGACGGGACGCATGGACCGGGGCGGTCAAGCAGCGCCCTCGGGAGGCGGTCGCGAAGAGGAAGGAGAGTGGCCTCGACAGGCAGAGACCAGGTCACATCTTTAGAAGGTCCAGTAGTATGCTCTCGCATTGTCAGAGCTACGATCACGGACGCAACGGAACGTCGACATCTACGTCTTCGAGTTCGCCATTGAACCCTGGATCATCACCTACAAAGTCGAGTACGGTGAATGGAGACGGTGCCGATGCAAATACAAGTATCAATGCAGGCGCAGGTAAAAGCACTGCAGTGATCGAAGCATCGTCAACGGACAGCGAGAATGTCGTCGTTGTCGATACCACCGCCCTAACAAGCACTAATAACGGACCTCCTCTCCTCCACCACCGACAACAACGGTCAACACCGTCAGCAACAACATCGGCATCCTCAGAGACCACCACCAACGACACCTCGACGCTTGACGGCCCTTGGCTGCCGATCTTCCCCCCGCTTCTCCCATCTGACCACGACATATTGCGCGACCGCATCGCTCCGAAGGCCTATGCTACAATCTACTCCAAGATCGTGGTGCAAGGGCTTGCGCCCAACGTGCCGATCCCGCTGGTGCACATGATCCCCGCGCTCGTCGAGGGCTGGAAGGCCGAAGGCAACTGGCCTCCGCAGCCGGCGACCGTCTTGGCCGTGGACGTCAAAAAGGGGCGCAGGTCGAGCGCGTTCGCCAAATGGCGCAGGGACCACGCGGCCGCTCTCGACACGCGCGCCGCTGACGGCCAGATGGCCCAGCACGAGCGCGACGACGGGAAGAGCAGAGTGAGGCGGAGCATCAGTATGATGAAGCGCGTGCTCGGGGGGAGCGATGCGCGCGGCGGCGCCGGTCTCGACGAGCTGGGCATCGAGTTTCGCGAACACCAGGACGACCATGACGATCAGGAGGAGATGGAGCAGAATATCACGCTTAACAAGGCTCTTGTTGGATGAAAAAGACCAAATTATTTGATCACTCGGTACTTGTACTGTCCTGCTAATTTGCAAATGAGATATGATATGACGTGAGAAAGGACCTGCGGGCTCTCTTGGTGGCTGATGGCTGATGGCTGATGGCTGATGGCTGATATCTGATAGCCAATGCTGCTGGCTGATGGCTGATATTCTGATAGTTCACGGCGAATAGCTGGTAGCTGATGGCTGACGCCTCATAGCTCTTATGGATGATGCCTCTCTCGATCCCAGGAGTAGAGTTAACGATCGTGGGTGAATGAAATGAGTGTAATCAACGTCAAGGGGAGGGTGTGTGTGTGTCGGTGTGGAAAGGGATACTTGATGACAATTACGATGAGCATGACTACCTGAGGTAGCTATAAGCATGTCCACCACTATACCCATGAGCGTGACCATAGCTACGACTACGATAGAACAAAATCTTCTATCACTGCCATTGTGTTCTATCGGTCGATTCGATTTCACTGTGACTCGACTCCTCATCGTCTCAGGCATGATCGATCAGACCTTTAGGACTAGAGCACCCCGGTTAGGGGGGAATGCAGCAGTAACACGAACTTCACGTCATTTTGACTAGAATTTTCATTTTTCGTTTTTCATTATCACCATCAGGATCATGAAATCTACCGTCTCAGGTCATGTCGATCACTCTATGAAGTTCTTTCTCGTAGTTCACATGCACCTTTTGATCGTCCATGACGTCCGCCGTGAAACACTGGACGCTGCCCCCCTTTTCACGGCGTCCGCCCTCAAAACACTACCTGCACACGACACTCAACACGTATGTCAAACTTCCCACTCAGGGACGACTCCAGACATACGTGATGTGTGTGCCACTGAGGCCCGATCTTGGCTTGACGGGGACGTGGGTGACCGAAGTTCTCATCCAGCGGGACCCGCTCAGCTGACACTTATATCCTTCGATGATGGGGATGGAACAATCAGGCATGTTGCCCACCAAGGTGATTTGCTTGAGGCTTGAGGTGGCGATGAGAGGCGGATAACGGGGGGTGGCCCTTCTCGACTTCTGGACGAAATTGTCGAAATTGGGCCGTGACGATAGCATCTCGATGAGCGTGACGCCTCGCAGCAAGCCGCGCCACAGCCCCCGGGGGATGACCTCTTGAGCCGAAGCGTCGGCCGTCATGACAGAGATGGACAGGGATAAAGTTGGCGGGGCGGTCTGGTCCTGGCTCTCGTCGTCGTCGTTCTGGCTCTGATTCGGGAGGAGGAGGAGGAGGAGGTGGTGGTGGTGGTGGTGGCGGCGGTCCAAGAGGCATACGTGTTCTTCCAACGTGCATGCTCTGCTCAATTCGACGGCGGCACCCAGGAGAAAGCCAGATCGTTCGAACTTGAACGTCGCCTGTTCGAGTTTTGGCGCGTGGTACGAGAGATGGTCGACGCTCGAAGCAAAATAGTACACGGGACCCAGACCGACGCTTTCGATTGTCAGTTTTTTGAGGAATTTGTGCACCCCGTTGCTTGGCTGAGGGATGCTCGCGTCTGGAAGACCCATTGCCGGCCTACGCGCGTACGACCTCCTGGAAGCTACCGCGAAGGACACGGGCACGATGTCATAATGCAACATCGTAAAGGTGTTGTGGAGGTAGAAGGTTTCGCTGTTGAGGAGCGCAATCGTTTCGTCCCGCACCTGTCTGTTGACCCGGAGAAGCCCTGGAGGTTTGTAGCCTCGGGTCTTCCGCCTGGTGAGATGGCCATCAACAAACTTTAGTGCGATAGGACGGTGATGATAGACCACGTGTTCGTACACCTTGAGCCGTAGCTCAGGGAGAAGACGAGTCAAGAAAAGGGGGGACGAGGTATCTGGGGCCATGATTCTCTCAGACGGTTCACGAGGCTGTGCTGTGCTGGGTGGGTTTGGTGCGCTGCTTTAAACAACAAGGAGGAAGGAGAATAAGGGGGTTTAAAGTGGCGTGGGAGGTGCTTTTGTATGTCTTGCCTTTTCACAGTGAATGGAATCATGAATGCGGTGAATTCATGTTATTAGTATCAAGGTACTTCACCTCCATGACCTAGCGGGTGACGCTCTGGCTATCGTCGAAAAAAAAGCTGGGATCGTTCACGTCTGCATTGTGCGAGACACGCAACAACAACAACAGAATGGAGAGGTTCATAATAACTCAAGCTACCTTTGAGGGTGCTGAATTGTTGAGAAAGCAATCTATGGATTATCAAGAATGAAGAAAGTCCAAAAGAAATGAATGCGAGTCATGTACTTTAAAGATTGGAGTTCCTCATGACTTGGGTCGACGCGTTAGTTAGATCGTGGAGGCGATCTGCAGGGACCGATCCCGATCTCCAAGGACCAAGATGCGATGTAAGCATCGATCAACCTCTGATCTCGAACTCGTACGACGGGAGAGCTTCAAACCCGAAATCGGTAGTATCTTTATACCTAGCGGACGAGCGACGAGTCTATAGAGATGAGGCCCTTGAAATAACGGACTCAGCGCTGCAGTCTCTGGAACTTCTCATCCCACCTGAGAAAAAGATAGCTCCCCCTATCATTCCATCCAGCCTTCGTCGCTGCATTCAGTCAACCGTTCACTCATAGTTGATGACATCACTATCTTGTCCTGCCAGGCTATCCGTGCCCAAAAGTTCGTCTGCTGTTTGAGACCATACGTTCCTGTCGACCACCGGTTACGATTCCAGATGTCCAGGTCCACGCGTGCTGCGACGGCCGCAGCGCGAAGAGTGACCCTGAATGGCGCGGTGTCGCCCCGTCTGCCCAACAAGGAAGAGGAGGATTTCGAAATACCCATCAAAGAGGAGCAAGAGTCTCCACAGCGCGCCTCGAGGAAGCGAAATGCCGTTGCACCCAGCGAGACCAAGAGCAGGAAGAAGGTCAAGACAGAAGACGGATCCGGCTTAATCAGCCCTCCGCCGACCGACGATACCAAAAAGACGATGACGACGCCGTCGTCGAAGAAGAGTCCCGCCAAAGACCTGCAAGCGAAGAAACTCAAGTCGTACGCGCAGTTTGCGAATAAATCTCCCTTTCCAGACTTCCACCACCCCACGCCCGAGGAGTGTAAAGTAGCGCACCGCATCCTGGCGTCGTTGCACGGCGAACGAGTCCGACCAAAGGAAGTGGTGGCCTCCACGACACGGGCCGGATGCGGCGATTCGCCGTCCGTGTTGGACGCACTCGTGCGGACCATCCTGTCGCAGAACACGAGCGACAAGAACTCGACGAGGGCGAAACTGAGCATGGACAAGGTCTACGGCGGCTCTGACAAGTGGGATGCCATTGTCGCGGGCGGACAAGCAAAGTTACAGGAAGCCATCAAGTGCGGCGGGTTGAGCGCGGTCAAGAGCAAGGTCATCATCGGCATTCTACAACAAGCGTATGAAAAGTACGGGGAGTACTCTCTGGACCATCTGCACCAGGCGTCGAGCGACGACGCCATGCGGGAGATGCTGTCATTTCAAGGCGTCGGCCCCAAGACGGCCAGCTGCGTGTCGCTGTTCTGTCTCCAGAGGGAGAGCTTCGCCGTCGACACACACGTCTGGCGCATCACGGGCCTTCTCGGCTGGCGGCCGAAGAGCGCGAGTCGCGATGAGACGTATGCACATTTGGACGTCATGATTCCTGATGAGGACAAGTACGGATTACATATATTGCTGGTGACACACGGTAAGAAATGCGACGAGTGTAGAGCCGGGGGAAAGAACCTGGGGAAGTGTGAACTGAGAAAGGCTTTTAGAAATGCCAAAGTCAAGGGCGAAGCTGGCGAGGACGCCAAGCAGGAGGAGGTGGACGCGATAAAATGGGAGAAAGAAGAGGATGAAGAAAACAAGGAGCCAGCAAAGAAGAGGCAGAAGAAGTGAGGCGTTGACCATTGTAACGGTCATGTATCTGAGAACTCGACAAGTGTATAACACCCAATGTATACGACGCGCTTTCACGACGATAGTATGATACCTGGCATAGATAGGTTGTATTCACTACATTTGCTACTTGGCTTGTTCTAGGTCCGCACTCATTTCCACCTCCCGATATAAGGGTGCCCGCCTAGACATATCCCTCTTACTCCTTTTGGCATCTCCTGTGTATCTCTGCCTAAGCCATATCAAGGCCCATACTACGAAGAAGATAACGATGATCCCTGCAGCTATGCCGAAGCAATATCCCGCCACCTTGCCCGAGCCAGTGGACGGGTCAAGAAAGCTGTACACGTAAAAGTGCTGGGTAGCATGTGTAAGGTATGCGAGGGCGAGGTACAAGAGGAGAAGAATGATCAGTCCGACGAGGTGAAGGAGAGGCGGAGTGTGAGTTGCAGGCAGAACGAGTTCGCAGAGAGCGAAAAGCGAGTTGAGGGCATGCCGCGAGATCTGGTTTCGATTAATAACATTATCCCGTCGTCAGCATCTGATATGTATCGATGAATGGAGTGAATGGATGAGGACGAGGACGATGAGGATTGAGGACAGGGAAAAGAGCCACGGGGGACGGGGAAAATGCGAAGAAGCAAGATTGACAGGTACATACTAGGTAGGTACTTACATTTGTCCAACCGTCAAACACAACGGGGAACCATGGCCCATCGTACAACACCGCCCAATAGACGATGGTCACGAGGAACGGCAGCGTTACGACGGTGGTGTAAAAGAACGAATGCAGCGCCTGGAGAGCGCGCGGCCAGGACTCGAGCCACGATCGGCCTCGGAGCGCATATACGAGGGTGTGTACGCCTGCGACGAGGCTGTAGAAGAGAATCCCCCAGTACGTCAGGACGGTGAAGTAGCTGAATTCCTGGCCGATGAGGTACGAGGCTGAGTGGACGCCGTCGTATATCCAGTTTGTCAGGACTGTGGCGAGGCAGTATGTGAAGAGCAAGAGACGCACGAGGGCGAGGGCGAAGGGCGGGAGGAGCCAGGAGGTCGTGAAGGGATAGATGGACGCCGGGACGAGGCTTTGGGGTCTGAGGTCAGGCTTGTGCATCTTTTGGTGAGGTCTGAAGAAGGCGTTGGAGAGGTTCTCGGTGTCCGGGGAGTCTATGCCGTTAGCCAGCCTGCGGCCATGGTTGTAACTTGTGAAGTTGTGAGACTGATCGAACTGGTGGCTACTGAGAAGAAAGGCGGACAGCGGGTAGGTGTCATCGTACTCCGCGTTAGGATGTTGTTTCCAGGATGTGTGCTGAATGCGGGCTCACTAGTGCTAATAACTTGCAGGGACTCAGGGAGGCTTGGAACGAAGGGATTTGCGGGGAAGGGCTTGTGATCAGCATTGCCTGAGAGAGCCTTGCATCGACGCTCACGGAAGGCTGTTTCTAAAGTTGAGATGGCGGGAGATGGTCGATGGTCATCGATTCAGATGTCAGTACTCGTACTTGTCTTGCGGACAGGTGAAATCATCCCTTCAGCAACATACCTTTACCTTCAAGCATTGTCAATGTTCGAGCGCAGTGTGGAGGTCCAAGGCAGCTTGCAAATCAGTCCCTCTTTAGGTCGATTCCACCCGGAACGAAGAGATCGGAAGTCTCGTATTTCTTTACGAACCACTATTGTCCTTTGGAAATTTGATCAGCTTTTCATCCTCCACATTGGCTATCGACCTAATGCAGCCTTACCCATTCGCGACTTATTCCCGGGATGCGGAGTACGTCTTCGCAAATTTATTGCATCGGGGTCACTCATGCCAGGAGACAAGGGTATGGAAGATCACTCATTATTTCCGGTGCAGGAACGATATCATAGGCCATGACAGAAGGACGGAAATCTGGCTGGAAACGATTCAATATTGGCAGAGGCTTGCAACGCAGCAATAACTTTACAGTATGAGCCAAAGGTGCAAGACGGCGCCTGGCAATCCAATTTCGCGAACTAACTTTTCCATGGCCGGCGTCGCTGCTAATGGACTATGGGTCATGGCACTTACTGTTTTGAGTCTGGGAAAACAACCCAACAGATGGATAGCTTTTTGTCCCTGGGATACAGGCGATTTCCTAAACAGGGTACACGAGAGCCACAAGAACACGTACTGTAAGTCTTGAGCAGCAGCTACAACAAGAACCCCCTTCTCGTCCCCTAGGTATTGAGTACGAGCATACTCTATATCTGCACTCTAGAGTATACGAATACTCTCGATCCAGAGCTTTTTGTACGGTCATGTCTTGTGTGTCATCGGTCGTCCTTCTCCTCATACTCCGAATTATTTTATGTCATGAATACGGGGATGTTAATCTTTCAGTGGAGAACATTTGCTGCTGGATCGTCCGTCCAGAGAATTGGGATCGAATACAGATATCTAAGAAGGACTCGTCGGTAGACTGTCCGTACCCCGGTGGAAGTAGGTATGCACAATGGCAGACGATGATTCGCTTATCGATTTTGTCTTGGGTGTGTCTGAGATCAACAAGGCAAGTCCTTGTATGTTCCACTGCGTCACACTCGGGGGATGTTTTGGTGTCACAGCTTGGGAGGGTGAGACACAGTGGTGGGAAGCAGAAAGATTTTTAGATCAGTAGGTTACACCGTCATCGCATGCATGCGCCACACTTCTGGCTCGACTTTGCTTAGCAATGCTTGAAGCTGCTGTGAACTCTTGGGTTTTGGATCAGAGCCAAGTCATTGAACTGCACGGCAGCGGGCTTGAAGGTTTGCGCTCGGACTCGAAGACTAAACTGCCATGTGCTATGGAGGACTCGTTGTTGGACTCTGGAGTGATGGTCTGTGCGGCTCCGTACGAGGATTCGATATGGTGTCGGGTTGGAGTGGTCCAAGAAGAGGTCAAGTACAGGACTCTGGCAGCAGTCAATCTCAATCGCATGGCCGTGCGCTGACCGTTGTCCAGTCGAAGGCGGCTACTCGGGACGGATAACAGTGCGCACTGACTGGCGACTCGAGGGTGTTCTCAAGGGTGCACTGGTGGTCTGTGGGAGACGCTGGATAAAGCCCCCTGATTTTCGGCGCATCCAGCCAAAAGAGCCAAAGCCTGGAGCAGTATGAGGTGGGTGGGCAGTTTGGCTTGCTGGAGTGCAGCTGGTGGCGCTGACGGGCGCCGGCGACTGGCGGGCTCCATGCCACCGTCGGCCAGACAGGGGCCCCCATGCAAGCTCCCAGCACTTGAACCGTTGATGGGTACCCAGCCTACAGGGGGGAGGGGGCAAGAGTTCGTCCTCATGGTCGCAATGCCCTGCCCGCTGATACAACCTCTGTATGATTTTCTCGGTACGCGAATTCCTTCGCTCGCCGTGCTTCTTCCCATCCTCAATCGGCACATCATACACACTTTCGTTTGCTGATCACTCACTGCACAGGGCACGAGTAGTGTAGCTTCCCTACCTCGATCATTTGGTGTTTTTAATGTCGACCCCCGCCATCGATCGGCCCTCGATTCTTCCTCGTCACCTGCGACTCCTTCCATCCAAACCACTCGCTAACGTCGCTCAATAACCGAAAACCCTCTCCTATACCCTTTCATACGACCGATTCCGATCCTCACCATAGTGACAAATCCGCAGCGACTCTGTCACCAGGGTCTACCTTTTTCTCAAAGCTGAACCGAACGACTGCGACCCTCCGCTCGACCGTTTCTGGCCCATTGCCCATCATTTCCGCCCAGTCACGGCTGGACGATCTGCTCAGCCACCGGCCCCCTCCCCAACCGTATTAATCGTCTCATTGAGCGGCAAACATCTTTTCCATGCTCACTGGCCTCTGCAAACTTGGGACAATCAACACACTACAGAGATTCGCATATTGCAAATCACGTCGCTTTGTTGAGCCAGTCCGAGATACAGAATGACCACATCGAAGAGGCCCAGTTTCATTGAGCTCCCTAAAGAGACTACTCGCACATCTAGTGCCCTGTCAAAGAATGGTCTCGTCTCACCACGAATCCAGCATTTCGATGGCGAAGTCCCTCCCGCACTCTCGCCTCTCGATGCCTTCGCCGCCAGGAGTCGGAGACTGGCTAAAGAGTTGGAGGAAACGAGGAAGGCTGGAGAGAGACGGTTAAGCAGACTACCACCACAGATCGTCACAGAATCATTGATTGAACATCAAAACAATCGGCCACCCATATTTCGTGCCCTGTCCGATGGGCTGGATACTGTTCCTCCTCTACCCACTATGGATAAGGATCGCGCAGGAAGTTTCCCGCGCGTAGCGAACCCCTTGGACCGGCCTTCGTCGCAGCACGTTCGGATGAGCACTATGGTGTCGCCGACGGAGCAACGACGGAGCAAGGCAAATGCACAAGACTATTTCGGGGCACCTCGAGTCGAGTCTCCGCCTCCTATAGACACAAGAGAGCCGTCAAGCTCATCCAGCCCTGTGCTGAAGTCCCACGCAAGTTTTCCATACCAACCCTCGAATCATTCTCAGTCCGATCTGGGCCTCGCGCCTCCATCAAACAGGCTACGACCATATCACGATGCTTCGGACGACGATTATACCAGTTCCAACGCTGGTTCCACATTTTCGCAGTCGAGGCAGCTTTCCGCTAGTAGTGGAGTGTCTGCACCTCACTCTCCGATATCTCCTTATGCCGTTTCCCATGGCAGGACTGATTCCCGCGGTTCGCTGGGCTCACCCACTCTCTTCCCAACCAGGAACTTCTCGCGCCCAATGAGCTCTGCGAGTTTGACCAATCTCAATGCTGACAATAGTCCCTCACGGGGGCCGATGGCCATGCAAATGAGCCATTTACGAAATGCTAGTTCTTTCGACGGATCTAGATCCTTGCCAGGATACCTGGCTGGGGAGGCTTCCTCCTACACGCATGCTACGTATAGCCTGCCCCGGGGGCGGAGGGTATCCAATAGAGCCTCTCGCATCTTTCAAGGCCTCTCAACACCGCATTTCGAGTGGCAGGAGCCTATGTTTCCTGGCACTCCACCCCTAGAAGGTAGTAACAGCAGCGAACTTCCCGTCCCTTCCCCTATGGCATCTGCAAGACCCAGCCGAGAGGAGACGAGTCAACAAAGGTCAGGATTCTCTTTTGAATTCGACTCAGAACAAGCTCTTGCGTCTAGAGAAACAACCCACCCACAATCGGCATCATATACGCCCACCGGGTCTGTGAAATCAACTGACTCGAACCCGAGACCGTCATTAGGGGAGCTTCCCTTGACAAATGTGTTCATGCCACCACCGCCACCCCCTTTGTCTCCAGTGGTGGAGGCTTCCCAGTCGTCAAGGTCTAATAGCACAATTCGGCCATCTACTGCTCGTACTATCAGCAACTATCAGGGACTATCAGCTGAAGACCATGTCAACAAGGCTATCGAGCTTCATGAGCACGGCGATTTGAAAGAGTCGACGTACCACCTCAGAATCGCAGCCCACAAAGGTCACGCGACTGGGATGCTACTCTATGCCCTAGCCTGCCGTCATGGTTGGGGGATCAGAGCGAACCAGAAGGAGGGTGTGCAGTGGCTCCGCAAAGCCGTGGATTGTGCCATGTCAGAGGTAGCTGAAGACGAGAATCCAGCTACCCGAAAACCGGGAACCGACTTCCACGACATGAAGACACATCGAGCACAGTTTGCCCTTAGCATCTACGAGCTCGGCGTGTCGCATCTCAATGGATGGGGCATCGAGCAAGACAAGGCTTTGGCGCTGCGCTGTTTTGAAATTGCAGGCAATTGGGGCGATACTGATGCGCTGACGGAAGCCGGATTCTGTTACGCCGAGGGGATCGGTTGCAAAAAGGACATGAGGAAAGCTGCCAAGTTCTACCGCATGGCAGAAGCAAAGGGGGTCAGCATGGTTGGAAATAGCTGGTGAGTTTGATCAGGTGTGCATGTGTTGTTTCTCTCGACATGGCTAATGGAGTTCTTTCACAACATAGGATTCACAAAGAAAAGTATAATGACATTGATGATGAGAGAGAAGGTCGATCAACATCCACAGCCAAGTCGTCTTTGGAGAAGCCACGCAGCAAGTCAAAATCGCGTGGTATATTCGGTCGAAAGAAGTCAACCAATGCTTGAAAGAAACGAAGATGTCGTTTTGATAGTAGAGGTGGTTGCGGTATACATACTTGTACGTCTGTGGGGGTAATATTAATGCCAATCTCGCTCTGTGAGCGAGCTGTTAACTCGGTATGACTTGTATTCTCTTGTTTTTGGCATTCTATCAACAAAGGAGGGTTTCTTGAAGAAACGACAACGAGGTACGCCGCAAGTTGTACGTATTTATGATGGCTTTTGCAGATGGCTGCCGTATAAACCTACGCCTACATCCGTAAGATACTTTGTTACTCTTTGGTAGAAGTAGCTTTTGCTGTTTGGGTACATGAACCGTCTTGGTGACGAACGTGTACACACAAATGAAGGGTGTTGGAAATGATATAACATAAAGTTGGCCTTTGGCACCCGGTACATATGATAACGCATGAGCTTGAGTATCCTGTGCTTTGAGCGACATAGACTTTGTCGTATGGGGTTCTGTACGTAATCTATAAAGAGTAGACCATATGGCCTTGTGCTGTATAGAAACGGAGTTACTCTTGCGACTCATCCTAGATACATACCTCAGGTAATAGAGTCACTGGGTACAATTGAAACCCTCTCAGGGGAGTGTCAGTAGCTAGCTGTGGTTGGACAAGGTAGAGTTATGTCCCGATTGTCACTCACTACCCATCTACAGAGGCGGAGATGTCTTCTGGCCACTGCAATCCCAACGTGCAGAGATAGATATGCCTTATTTATTACTGTCTATTACCCGGGTAGGTGGGCACGCAGGTGCCCCTTCAGGGGCAGGTATAATCATCAACGGACACAATACGTGGCCAAGGCGACAATGACATAGACCTTCACCAGCAGGGCGCCCGTGAGCCAATTCGACTTCCCTTCCTGCACGACGTAGGCCACGACGATGACAAAAGCAAAGGAGACGACGACCGGAAACCCGTCAAAGTCCAGCGTCATTTCCTCGTTGGCCATGGCCCAGGCGATCATGACCAGCAGGGGCACGATGAGCAGCGCGACCTGCATGCACTTGTCGAGGGTGAGCGAGATGCTGAGGTAGAGCTTGTTCCTGGCGGCGAGGAAGATGGATTCCGGATCGTTGGAAAGGAGGGGGAAGATGACGAAGCCGACAAACGTCTGGGAGACGCCGGCCTGCCGCACCATCTTCTGGACGCTGCCTATGGCGAAGTCGGCGTTGAAGGCGACCAGGACAGTCGAGACGATCAGGGTCACAAAAGCGGCGAGAAAGGACAATACGGGGGTCTCTTCCTCCTCCGCTTCCACGTCGTCGTCGTCGTCGTCGTCGTCGTTGCCGCCGCCGTCTTCTTCTTCACGGTACTCATCCTCCGGGGAGTCCTCGATCTGTTCGCGGCGGGCAGCGGCGACCGGTGGCGATGGGCGCAACTTGTCGGGCACGACCACGCGCGTCGACTTTTTAATGGCTACTTTGCGCGGCCTCTCGCTGGGCTTGTCGAACAGGCGCCTGTGCATCTTCAGTTGGAAAAGAAGGTACAGCGCGTACGAAACCAGGATCATGATCGACGTGCCCCGAGACTGGACGACGATGTCGTGGTCTGTGATGCCAGCTACCATGAGGCGTGACGCCGTGGGCACGACCAGACTGATGACTGCGAGCAGGAGCATCATGCTGACAGTCTGCGCGACGGTGACGTTGAAGGTCTGCTCGATGCGGTTGATGCCTCCAAAGAAAAAGCACAGGCCGGTCATGAACAGCAAGTTCGAGATGATGCTTCCGAGGAGCGACGTCTTGAGGATCGTCATCTGCTTGTGCTTCAGGAGGAGTACCGAGGAGATCAGCTGCGTAGCGTTGCTATTACCTTATCGTCAGCATTCTGCTCCTTGGGATCACACACGGTTGTTGTTTCGTGTTCCCTGGCCAGGTAGGTGATTGCAAGGTAGCGATGAGGGACGTAAAGGTAATTACCAACCTGAATGTTATACTGAGCAATGCTCCTTGTAGCTCTCCCAAGCGGAAAGTGATCTGGTCGACCGCGAAAGATATCATCAGCGTGGACGGGATGATGGCGACAAAGTTGATGGCGAAGACAGCTGCCGCATCCACGTTGGCATAATTGAGCGCGAAGCCGACCGGGACCAACAAGAACAGCACGTTGATCCAAGAACCGAACACGGTCGCGCGGATCTGTGACCAAGTGGAAAATACTTGGACAGCCTCTTCACGTCCGTTATGGTGGTCGCTTTCTTTTTCTTTGTCGGCCTCTTTTTGGAGCTGCGAGTCCGGATTGAGTTTTTGAGCGGCCCTGCGAGGGTGCAGAATGTCCGTTGAAGGTTCACCACCGCCCTCCTCATCCTGATTCTCTACCTTTGACGAAGGGGAAGGAGACTCTCGGACCCCTGGCTTCTCGGGGTCAATCTCTTGGACTGCGGGAGTTTCAGGGTTTGCTGGATTGTCAGTGCGCTCTTCGTGCTCGGAAAAGTAGTGTTCGGGACTTGATGTCCTCTGAATTTCAGCCTCGGTGTGAGAGGCCTCTAGAGTGGAGGGTGCAATGCCGTGCGACGGCCTTTCACTTGCGGGCAAGATCGCATGCGACTGTCCGCTGGAACGTCGATAGTGGTTCGAGTGGTCTGTCTGTACGATTCTGAGAGGTGCAGCACTGCCCGGGGACACACTTTGCAGAGTATTTGCCCTGTCAGGGGGCCTCCATCTACCAAAAGGGTTCCTGCGAGGGCCATCATCGGAGTACCAAGCCGCATGTTTAGCCTCACGTCGGAACTTGTCTGAATCAAAATCAGTAACAGCATCAAATGCTCTAGTTTGCTGGAGACGTACGCATAACGGGATATTGAGAGGTTGTTTGGACTGTTCCTTATGTTTATGGGCATCCGTAATGAGAGATAAGTTATCGAAGAGGAGGGAGAAGGTGACAGCTCTTCAGGTCCTCCGTACTCAAGGACCGAATCCAGCCTCATTGTGATGGCGTTATAGGGCGGCTGTGTGCATGCTATCCCTGGTCGTAAAGGGACCCTAAGGGACCCTGCTCGACCCTGCTCGACCAGCCTTGTTTACTTGGAGGCGCATTCTGGGAGCGTGTGGCAGAACCAAGCAGACGTCTGCGTCTGCAGTTACGAGCCTAGTCTCTTCCACCCGGGGGTAAGGACGAGCGATTGGGGGCCTAGTTGAGGGTGAGGGATTGAGAATTAATTCACGGCTGGTGAGGCTGGACAAAAGTGCTTCTGCTGAAACACATGTTCACAGCGCGGATCAAGGACAAAACAGCTTATATAAGGTTTGCGACCGAACAAAACTACGTGCCCCGTATCACGTACCCGTACACACACGATGCTACCATGGGCTGTACGCCTTGTGACTCAGAAACTTCATCCAGGACCAAGGTGACCTATGCCGTAAAATTTTCTGAAGGGTATCAGATACATTGTACTCTTCTTCGTCTTGATATTCACCTCCCCCATTTCAACCTTGGTCTCGTACGGTCCCAAAAGTTCTATTTTCAGAGGAAAGCCACGTACGATATCTGCCAATAGTTTCTCGAGATCCACCAATACGAGTCCATGGAGGATATCACGAGTCACGACCAGAACCAGGACGTCAAAAGCGGCCCCGTCACCTCGTCGCAGATCCCGGCCCTACAGAAGAAGTTGGAATCTTTGCTACCGTACTCGATCCCTCTGGTGGAGAGGATCAAGTTCCATCTTGCACATCCCGTCTCCGAAACATCCAGGATATTCGTCGCCGTCTACAACCCGGCGGCCAAAGACACAGCTGCACCATCACCAGGAGGCCCCAGACCCAGCACACACCGTCATACCGTTGGTGTGAGCGACACGTGGCTACAAGATACCACGACCTCGGCCGCTGCACCACCACCATGGTTAGCCGCGCACATAGATCTAGTACACTACGGCCAAACCCAAGTCTGGGTGTTTGCGAGCTGGGAACATCCATCACAGCAGCGGCAGCAGCAGCACACTTACACGCCCGCGCCCACACAGGCGCAAACGGACGCGCACACGCATGTTGAGAGGGAGAACACCACCACCACCACCGGCGGTGGCGGCGAATATGACCCTATCCATGAAGCCCTGGTGACCTCGCTCTTCAAATACATATACACGAGCTTGATCCCGACCATGCCCACGACGCCATCGGGCGAATGGCTCACGCTCCTGCGGACGGGGAAGACGCTGACGACGCCATACTCGCGCACCAAGATCCTCTTCGGCACCGTCAGCGATAAACTATGGCGGTATCTCCCCGACCACGTCCGAGCGAGGATGGACCCAGGGTACCTCAAGTACGTCTTTACGCCCGATAATCCTATTACGGCCACTGAGTCTGCTGCTACTGCTGCCACACCGTTCCGTCTCCCTCAAGGCTATACCTTCACCACCCTCCTCCCGACGCATCTGCAGACGGTGCTGGACAGGTCGTCCATCCCTCGCACGCTGTCCACACTGTCACAGTACGTCAACGTAGGCGTCCTGCACATGTCCAGCGGCCCCGACCCTGTCGCGTGGGGCTTCTTGGGCAAAGACGCGAGCGTATCCAGTCTGCACACCGAACCCGACCACCGTGGTTTGGGTCTAGCTGCGTGTGTGACTCGAGAGTTGATTCGGCGTCAACACCAAAGACAGGCATCGGATCTCAACCACGAGGACGAGGAAGACACAACAGGCCGAAGATGGGCCCATGCCGACGTTTCACAATCTAACTTGTCGAGTCGACGAGTCATGGAGAAGCTTGGTGCTAAGCCCATGTGGAGGGTGATGTGGACGGAATTGGATCTGGAGAAGTTCTTTTATCCGTCCCCGTCCTGACCACTCACCATTGTTCCCAAAGGTTAATTTCGATATTATCACGTTCCAATTAGCGGATCCTAAGGCAATGAAGAAATGACTCTAGACGTTGAGTGACGTGACCCAGGTCAACACAGCCATCTGCTGGTCTCTGTTGTGAACTCAAGTGTACAAATCTAAGTGTCAGATTGACCCATCACACCGGGCTCATGACATCCACTGGCTCCCATACTCGTCTAAATTCGTTCACATACCTTCACCACAATCTTGCTGCACATAGGTTGCCCCTTACTCAACAATCTCGACATATGCATGAAACTCATCGTACAGCCATTGGTCGATGCCTTCCCATTTCTTTTTCTCCTCCTCCTCATACACGCTACTCTGTGTTTGCTCCAGTATTTGATCGCGAAGGTAGCTAGCTTCCTCGTCCGACATGTCCCTCGAAGTTTGATCCAAGTTTTCCAGTGGAGGAGCTACGCTCAATCCACCAGACTCCGGCAATGGTGATCTTTCCCTTCCTGTCCGGGGACTTGTTGTTTCTTGGAACGGCGCAAATAGCTCATCATCTGGTGCCACACTAACGTCGCTGCATGCCAATCGTTCGACGGGACTGCCACTGAAACCGGTGATGAAGACGGCTCCACTAGGACCATAAGCATCACTTGTAGCAGCATTCCGGAGTGAGGGCTCAAAACCACAAAAGCCGACCTCGGAGTCTAGGATGCCTGGAAGATCATCCTGACCACAGCTCGGGGGTTTTATCTCTGGGACTGTATTAGTGATGTTCCGATCATGAGGACCTGTTCCCTTGACAGCGCTCTCAATCGGGAAAATATCAGGGAGGCCGTCTGAGAATATTAAATCATCGTCGAGGTCATCAAGCCCTTGTTGCAGACCATTCGATGTCTCTATTGCGTGAAAATGGCCACTGTTAGGCTGGCTTCGGATCCTGTCAATTTCTCTCAGGGGTCGATCACCCTGATCTTGTGCCGACAGTTTCAATTTCTTGTTGATATGTTCATTGACCTGTATTGAGCTGTTGCCTCCGATGTTGGGATTGGCCTTTGTCTTGGGATCGCAAATCTGCTCGAGAGGACTTCCACGAGTCCTGTCAGGTTCAGATTCTCGTTTGATATGCTGCAAACCCGTAATCTTCATCTGCCTTTTTTCTGAAGCCTTTGGGCGACGCTTAGGTTTTTCCACTCCTTCTTTGCAGCACTTATGTTTGCAGTCCCTGTGATGCTGGTTACAGTCATGCTGACATGTCCACCGTCCGTTAGGAAGCTGGACTGGCTTTCTGTAGGATGACGTGTTGCCACGATTCTCATCTTCATAGCTCAATCTGTGCGCAAATTCCAAAGGGCCTTGTGCCCCATTGGACCTGCTGCTGTTGTCGACTTCTTCTCGGAGTATTTCGTCAATGTCCTTCACACCTGCAATCTCATGCTCCTTCGTTTCTATAGCAAGAAGATCGTGATCATCGATGCCACCGTCGTCAAACTCTTCGTTCTGTCTCTCCTTGGTTTGTTCCATGGCATTGTTGGCGATTCCAGACAAAGATCTTTGTTGCCAGGGAAAAATCGAATTAGGTATGCCCATCAGTCGCAATTCAGCGTACTTGACCGTTCCTGCAATTTCATCGCACATCACATAGCAATTGATACTGCTCGTAGGCCTGGTCAGCACTGCTGATAAGAACACCTCCTGTCCTTCACGCAAATTCTTTGCGCCGAATCTTCGGAAATCTATCAGTGTGCCATCCGAGGTCTCCACTAGTAAACAGATATGGACATCTTTTTTTTTGTACACCAGTGGTGGAGTGTCATTGAGAAAGCCTATCTCGGCAACAAATTTGATTGTTCCACCAGAGCCACGCTTCAAATCTCTACCTGTCTCCTTAATGCACACTCGTAAGTTCGGGAAGCTTTCGAGCTTCTTGAGAAGGTCGCGACCGAACGGAGGATTCTTCCCTAGAACGAGCTCAATACGAGAGGGCTCCGTATTGAGTAGAGTGTCGACGCTGTTGATGGAAGCCGAAGCAAGTTTGCGCACGGAAACTTCCCCAAGGCCTTCCAGTTGTCTCAATTGGCTCGCGGTGTTGTCCCAAACGTGGGCGGCAAGGCTCCGGCCCAGTTCAAGAGCATTTCTCGTGGATACCGAGTCTTTCAAATGAATCTGACAATCAATGATGCATCGGGTGAGGCGATTCGCATGGCTGAAAACTATCGATTTGTCAATCCGGTGCTGCTGATGGTGCTTTCTGAAATTGTCGTTGTCCGGAATCAAGACGTTGCCCAGTTCTGCCTGAATCAACAGTGACACCTTATGAGCCTGGAGTGCCACATCCACCTTGACAGGGAACTTGATCTCGGGTGCTTTGTTGATCTCTTTATAAAACGACTTTTCTCCTGCCATCATGCGAACCTCACGAAATTCCCGGGCTTGAGCTAAGGTCGACAACTGCAAGAGGGTCAGCCAGCCTTAAAACACATCACAGTTCATCTCACATACAATTTCAGACATCTTAGCCTTGGGAGGCAGGGCAATGAACGACTTCATTGTGTCAAAATTTATATAGTATCGTGCCATGGTCTGTCCGTATTCAGTTGATATAAGTTGAGCCTGTTCGTTAACGAGGCCGGCATTCTTGAGTAATGCAATATCTTTGCCGCACAACTGTTCCAGCTGTCCCAACAGATCATCCTCGAGATCTGTGTCGACTCCCTCTTTGAAACGATAATGGGAAGGGTTTTTCTTCATGCGGACGTACAAAAATGTGCTCGCAAGCCACGCCTTTGCTGTGGACAAGTCATACACAGTCCCGAGCCCAATCTCGGCGTTGAGATGTTCGATCAGGTTCTGGTGCAGACAACTCTCAAGAATGCCTTCTCCTGACACCATTTTCTCATATTTTTGAACTTTTCCCTTTCTTGTCAATATGACTGCACAAGCAGAAGTTCCGAATTGCGGTCGGCCGGCTCTTCCAAGCATTTGCATCACTTCTAGATCAGCATATTCTTGGACACCATTGTCAGTCCAGGTTGTTGTTCCCTTGAGGATGACTAGATAGCAGGGAAGATTAACACCGACGGCGAGTGTGGAGGTGCTGCAGATGACGCTAATCTGACCGTCTAGGAAAGCTTGCTCGACAGCTCGGCGGTCAGCCTGCGCCAGGCCTCCATGGTGAAATGCTACACCTGCAGCAGATGTGACTGCGGAGTGTTACTGTCTGTCGGGAATCCGGAAACAATGTAGGGTACATGCCTTTGAGATCCTGAGACGTGAATGTTAGCGCCCTTGTTGGGCCTTTCCACAATCGTTGAGACGTGGTTGAGGTTGTCCAGATATTAGCCAGCTTCTTAGCAGTCATCGTAGATGCATTCCGGGTTGGGCAAAAAATCATCACCGGTTTCCCAAGTCCGTGGCGCGCAATTATGTTTGGTAGTCTGTCCAACATCAGCGCCTCGAACAGCACACAACGTCATCGCTGCTAGGTGGCAAAAGGGCGATGCCCTCTTTTCACTTACTGCTGTGTGAGCATTGACTCAAATGCGAAGTCATTCCCTCTCGCTTCGAACCCATAGACATATTTCTTCAACTGGACCGGCCGGAAGCTTTCACCGAAAACCTCCCTCAGCGCTGGGATGTGTTGTAAAGTTGAATTTCGCCCAAGCCATGTGGCGATGTCTTCGGAGTTCGGAACTGTAGCAGAGAGCGCCACGAATCTGATTTTGGCACCGATCGACTTCATTCGAGACACGACCGCCTCTAGGGTGGCGCCACGGTTTTCTTTGAGAATGTGTACTTCATCCACGAGGAACAGTTTCACTAATTGGATCAGTCTGGCGTGGTCTTTCCATTTGCGGGTCACACTGTCCCATTTTTCGGGAGTGGTGATGATGATGTTTGCACTCTGCACGTTGTTCAAATGCTTAGAATCGGTGTCACCCGTCAATTCAGTACAGTGCAAGTTGAGATGGCCAAATTTGGACTGCCAGTCGCGATATCTTTCAGAGCAAAGGGCTTTTGTTGGAGCTTGGTAGACAACCTTGAAATCGCTCCCGGCAGACGCTGCAATTAGCCTGCATATCGCAAGCTCCATGAGGACAGTCTTCCCACTGCCGGTAGGAGAGGATACCACTAGGTTATCATCAGTACCGAAAGCACTTGCGAAACATTTTGATTGAACTGCATTGAACCACTCAAACTTGAAGACCGAGCGTAGTCGATCAGGCAGAGTTGTCGTAGCAATCAGCTGTATCCCCTGAATGATAGGTGTCGACGAGAACTGATCAGAAGAGGTCACCTTGTGAATTAGATCATCGCCAGCAAAGGACTGCTCTAACAAATAATTCGTGCTCTCCGCCTTCGCGAACTTTATGTGTTGACGATGTTGCAACATGCGCATTGTTGGACTGGTCAGAACAGGAACGGTTGGAGAGCTCAAAGGGTGAAGCGCAGGAGCGCGGTCGTGTCGGTTATGTATGTTCACGGGGCACCGTTTGACCTCAGAAGACATGCTGGCTGGTCCAGCACTGCCTGTGTTCATTTTTGGGGTATGCAACGGCCATGATATGTGAGCGCCTGAGAAATCCGAGCTGCGATGATTCGGCGGAACATCACTGATTCCTTCTAAAAGGTGCAAATCTGTCAAAGGTAAGTCTGGTTCTACACAGCATATCTTGTCCTCACCAAAGTCGTCGAGGTCGTCATGAGAAGCCAAGACAGGACCAGTGCTCCTCGTAAGTGCCTGAAGCAGTGAGTCTGGAGCAGGATTGCGGCCACTGGCACCAGAGGAAGGGGGTTGACAAGTGGCCTGTGTATGCCTCGTAGAATTCATGAGCCCAGGTTTTCCGTTCCTTGCTAGACTCTGTGCGGTGGCCAAGGCATATATCGCAGCAGACAGAGGACAGAAAATGGCATCTTAGCAATTCGAGCAGGTCAGATAGATATGTACCTATGGACAGGGAAGGTGCAGGTCAATTGTTCAGCGCAGGTACAAAGTGCCATAAGGACCGCACGTGACCATATTGATACCTCGAGACTGCCATTGTGGTTTGATTTTGTGAGGATTCTGAGTCTGTCATGCTTGGTATAAAGTTGTAGTATTAATACAGCCTCCTCAAGTACCATTCAGCATCCATGTTGGTCATCTGTGGGTATCCTGGAAATCCTCCGCCTCACTCGTCAAGTCATTGTCATCGGAGACATTGTTTCAATCATCGTACTTTGGGAAATAACTAGCAGACTCATTCTTACGCTTCTTCCGATTAGGAGAACCCGGACGTGATGTCGCCATCGCAGTCTCCTCCTGGCTGAGGGGTGTTTTTGGTATCTGGATGGACATATCATTCATGTCCAGCGTATCACCCTGTTCTGACTTCTCATCGCTGTATATCTTGATTGACGGCGGCGGAGAGGAGTGGAGGCGAGCTTCCTCCGTATTATATAAGATGGTAGAGACGAGGACGATGGATGCCCCTAATAGAAACTGAATACTTGTCAGCAGAAGAAAACTGATCGAGGTCGCTGCTACATACGTGGCTTGTCAAGGAGTTATCAAAGAAGACAAAACTCGCTAAACTACTGAGAACCATGCTAATGCTCAAAGCGAAATTTTTGGCAATGTTGTCGGCGTAAAAGATCGCAAAAGCCGCCAGGACGGCGCCGATTGTTTGTATGAGGATAGACGCTACAACAACCGAATTGTAGCCGACGAAGAATCCATATTTGGCGACAGTTTCGCCATCCAGGAAAATGATGCCGATGAAGAAAGCGGGGAAAAGAGAGTAGACAGACAGCTGGACATTACGAATCCAGATGGAGGTGGCCTTGGGAGACTCCTTCATGACCTTTTCAAAATAAACGCCAGCAAGGCCCGAAGTAATGCATACGCCGAGGACAGCAAGTAATCCTGCGGAGGCGTCCATGCCTGGCGAATCAAGAGCAAGCTCGTCTTCTTCAATTCCCTCGTATGTAGCGGATCTCTTATTGAGGTGGGAACCGTGTCCTGCAACCTTGAAATGTTCTCGTAAAGGGTTCGAAGACCTCGGCACATAGACTCGAGCATGATGATTCGAGGCCAGTGAAGTGGTGGATTCTTGTGGCCATGACACTATTCCCACTCCAATCATCAAGAGGACGAGTGATACCCATTGCCTTGCCGAGAGAGATTTTCGCAGGATCATGACACTGAAGACCGCTGTAACAAAGATTTTGAATTGATATGTGACGTGGAATGTGGCCGCATCGAGGTTGGAAATCCCAACGTATTGTAGACTGTTTGCCAGCGTGTACAGGCTTGCCGGAATTGCAAGCTTCCAAGAATCGCCTCCAAATATGGCGTTGGCAAGTGTTCGCAAGAGTGAAGTTGCTGTCGTGGTTTGAGGGACCGACAGGGAGATCTCGTAAAGGGACACGGTAAGACAAAAGACAAGTTTCAGAACTTCGACGAGGAAGACAGCCGTGGAGGGAAGATAACGGTGCCCGTCTGGCGTCGGCATGACTCGAGAATAGTGAAGAAGCTGCGTTTCAATCCTGTTAGCTGGGCTCGTCGTTGCGAGGATCGCGATCCTGCGATGGCTGCATACCAGGATAAAGACAGAAAATTGTATCGTCAACTGCCATGCGGTGTTAGCATCCTCTAGTCGCAACATTGTCAGTTCTCCTACGGTGCTAAGACATAACCTCCGTAATGATGCTCCCATAAACCTGGGTTGGCTGCCCATGCGGTCTGTACCCATACTGCGATATTAATACGGTGGTGCTTCTTTGGTCTCCGGAATGGGTGTAGAGATGCTCTGACTGCCCGTCGCCTCGACCTATTCGTCCTGCACCAGGCAGGGAACACGGTCTCTTTCGAAAAAAGGAAACAATGACCAAAAGGAGTGGACGGGTCTTTGGTCGGATTGAGGCTCTTCGCGTGCGTTGAACCGCTGAGGAGGAGGACGATGAAAGCGTGGAATCCCAAGGTCACCCGACACCGCAACAATGAAGAAAAGTCAGCATGACCTGGAAGACGTGAAGTCACGAAGCAATAGTGGTAACGATTGGCGAATGAGTGGAATGGTACCAGGCGCGTCGATTGGGTTGTTTTTCAAGATGCAGTCTTGAACTCGTACTCGTACTTCTCCCGTCCTCCTCACCGCGGATGGGCTTTCCTGCGGATTCGCTAATTGGGGCGCACCAGGCTTGCCGGATGCAGCCTGCGTCATGGATCCTTGTGGCCCCCTGTTTGAGAGGCTGTCAACGCCCAAAGAATCTGTGCCTGACACCTGTGCCCCCATCAGACTGCTGGACACTCCCAAAACAGGTCCACTACCAAGATACTTCTTCAGTCGCTAGATCCGACATGCTTTTAGATTGACGGGAAACCAGGAAATTCGGTGTGCATTTCATTACGCGACTACGGAGATCCAAGAGAAACTCGATCTGCATCGACGATTCCGCCGTCCCCGACAACGCCCAGGCCAGTTCACAGCACCAGGGCCAGCCTTGTACTCATGTCACCGCACATCGTGAACTCGTCGGGTGACTTTGTCCCAGCATAATACTCGTACAGTATACAAAGAAAATCCTCCACTTCGTGATCATCATCAAAACAGAGAGAATGTACAAGTCCAATTGTGATGTCAACATATCAAAAATTCTTTCCTCCATAAACCAGAGCTTCTAGGATGGGGAATAATGTAACTCCTCTTCCTAATGCGCCGTCGCTAGGGTTGACGACCTAGCTTCCCAGCCGTGATAAGGCCAGTCGATGAATTCTTGTGAGGGTATATCGTCTCGCGATGGAATAGACGACAGTTTCTTGAGGGCGGCTTTGTGATTGTGCTCTCGCCGAAAACTTGCTGTATCTTGCGAGTCATTGGTCGATGTGGAGAAGAAAGAGGCACGATTGGGATGCTTCGCGCCGTTCACAACGGGGGCGAAATTCGGCGAGGGGAGGAAGGACATCTCGCTATCATGTCCCAAGGATGTTTCCGTTTGAAAGCTCGCCATGGAAAATCTGATGCTAGGGTCAGCCGACCTGCCTGTTTGAAAAGTGGTACAAGACGCCTGGTCAGAGTTCCCATCAGAGTGGTTGAGGGCTTCTTGGCCAGATGCATTGATTCGGGATATTTCATGGCTGATCAAGCCGGCTGGTACCTGTTGGTGTCGAGATATCTTCTCGAGATCTCGGAGTAGCCGAAGTCGCGGATCCGTGCTTCTTTTGGCGTGTTGTGAGATAGTCGACCGTAGTCTGATCGCGGCAAGTAGGGACTCTTCCTGTTTGGTTACGCTGACCATCCTTCGACTTTCTATGCTTGCATTGTCAGACAGACATGACCCTTGGAAAGATGTTCGTCGCGAGTCGGTAGGAGTGGCTGGGAAGGAAGTAAGCAAATCTTGTTCCTCCACCGGGCGCTGAAAAGAACCAGTATTGGAATATGACTGTCGTATGTTGAGCGGTCGGCTGGAAGCTTTGGTCGAAGTTCTCGCATTGCGTTTTGAGGCATTGCGAGCAAGCCGCCTTAAGCTGGGCGTGGCTTGTATAGATGCGTTCTGGTTTGTCTCAATTGCTTTTGCAGTTTCAACGACGATGTCCGATTCCATCAACGATTCGAGTGCTATACTGTCACGTAGTTGTGGCAAACGCCCATGTCCAAGTTCCACGCGACCTTCTTCGTCATCCGACGAAGAGAGATCGAGTATACTGGTAGTGTGTAGATCGCTTGATGCCAAAGTTTTCGATATTGACTTTGTTCCAGATACATGTTGACTGTGGCGAGAGCGGGATAGTTCCTGACATAGTGTTGATTTTGAGGATTTCGCATTAAGGGTCGAAGTCCGTGGGGGAATGGCGGAGTCGGGAAGCATATAGCGAGAAGAGGAAGAAGTTGAAGGGTCAGACTCCAAGATTGCACGACCATCGGACGCATTTGAGATGAAGGTGGACGTTTTCGCGGGATCCTTCGAAACAAGACCAATCCTGCCGTCCTCGAATGCGCTCTCCATACCATCCACGAAACTTGGCTGGAATTCTGGTTCGTGAACACTTTCATCCTCACTGCTATCACCTTCCAACCCATCGAACCAATGCTTTGCGCCGACTTTGGGTCTCCTGATATTTATTTTGACCTGGGATATTTCCACAGCTGCATCGGAGTGGGTTAAGTATGGCTTTGGACGTTTCGCATTGATCATGGAAAAGTTTGGCGTGTGGCGAGGGCCAAGCTCGTGGGGATAGTAGCTTCCCCTGTGCGAAACAGAGCCTTTCGATGATTGTGTCGATATCGGTTCTCTTGGATGGCCTGCTGATGCGACCGATCTTTGGCTGCTCAGAAGTGATCGAGGAGGAGAAACAGGCGACTCTGATTTCAGCTTGGTGAACTTTTTACTTCCACTCTTGTCTTGATGTTTCGTCGATCGGAATAAGCGCAATTGTCGCGACGGTTCTTTCTCCGGTGTGTTTGACTTCATTACAATCGGCGATCCTTTACGTAGAGCACCGTCTCTTCTCGACGACTCAGAGGTCTGTTGTGATATAGCAAGCGGCATTTTCTGTGCCTCATAATGAGAGTTCAAGGTGGAAGAAGAGGGATGCGGTTTGGGTCGTTTCGAGTGTACGGAAGCTGCTTTTCCGGAGCTGATACAGAAATCTTCATGCAACAATACGGAGGATGCCTTCAACTTCAGTTCGGGAGTGCCATCAGGCTTCTCAGTAGCCGCGGTCGAGGAGCCGAATTCAGTAGCGGCATCCGAAAATGACAAAGTTGGTACCTTGACCGTGTTAGAAGAACTGACACTTTCGTTCCGAGCGGTATTCAAGGCGGCTTCCGAGATACCAAGTATGTTTTGAGCCTTATATTCTCGTTTACCGGTCTTTTTCTTCCAAACTTGATCAGTTGCGGTGGACTTTGTCCTCTTTAGCGATGCTGGGAGGTGAAATCTTGAGCCAGACCCCATGTCCGTCTTCTCCAGTCGTGGACAGGCCGAGTGCTTCGTTTGAGCAGTGCCAGCCGACAGGTCGGCCGGTCAACGGTTCGGGAAAAGCGGCGAGACTCAAAGGAACATATTGTGTCGCTATAAAGCTACCATTCACCTCGTGGACGATTTCGTCGCGGGCAGAACTTGCGAGGATAGAAGGTAGACGGAAGGTCACACAAGTTGGTGTATCAGCCCGAGCGAGTGCAGGCCGGGCGAGTGCGATAAGATGGTTTGAGGCTTCCCGGCAGACAGTTCGAGGAAGGGAGCAGTCGTGATGTCGTCGGAAACCTCGACAGCAGCAGCATGTAGAGGCTGTTGTAGAGATTGCCAGTCCCTCTGGGTCAGATGGAGAGCCAGCCGATCGCCCCGTCTGTACAACAGTCATCCGTTGATGAACATGAAGCCTTCCATGACAGGACTGGAGCAGGAGGCAGCGGTGGGACCACGGGATCTTTTGGGTCCCTGAGGCGCAAATGACGAACGCAGACAACGAGAGGGTTAGTTGGGATTGCTCAACAGCTGCTGATCGCAATGGCGGTCAGCATAGGAGCGAAGGCTGGTGCCGCCTCTGTTAGCACCGACTAGAGTCGCATGGTGGAAGTTGCAAATAACCTTAGCAGAAATGGCATGACCTGCTGGCTGCTGCTGCTACGTCGGAACGTGTAGCAGCGTTGACGTGGTTCAAGGTTGTTCCCGCTGCCCTTGCAATCCTCGTGCAAATGCACGTCCGTTTATCGTGCTTGACACCCTTCTCGAAGATTAGGCGTCGAGATGCATGCATTGGGCCGGCGCCGGCACTGAGCTACTGGGGTGTGCCTGAGCCTTCAGTGGCCAGGAAATGGCTCCAAGGAAGATAGAGCTCCATCATGTTGCAAGCTTGCATCAGCGCCATGGGTCCAGCTACCCGGACGGAAATTCCAACTCTAACTCCCACTGCAAGCCCTCCTGGGCATACTGTAGCAGACCAACAACACTCCACCCCTGGCTGCGAAAAGAGGCATCTTTTAGCGCACACAATGGATGCCATAGCACAGCAGAGTTCAAGTTCAACACAGTTCGACGTGGTGATCTTCAGGGGGTCTCAAAGGGTCTCAAGCAGCGATCATGGCCGCGTACCAGGAACATGCCTTAGGTGCCAACGGCGCCATTGCCCACGGAGTACTCCAGAAACTCTTGCTTTGTGAGACTGAGCAGATACTCCGTATTATTACGCACGATTGACGCCCCCTAATTAGCCGTCTTAGACACGTCACAGGACCAACGCAGACGTAGAGAGAGAGTGTGTGTCAATAGTCCCGAGAGCTGATATACCGAGAAAAGGAAACTGAGATTCTTCCACAAGGAGCACCACATCACACCGAGAGAGGGAGATTACCAGTTCTTCTACCGAGGACAAGTCAAAGAACAGACGCTCGTGCGCATTCCGGGTGGCTTACAGTGTGCACCGTGATGTTCCTGATATGATGTCAATCCCCGGGATGTTGTATCTTGACCACCACCTGAACAATCGACCTTCTCGGGTCACGTTCACTGAAGTCCATCTCGGATCAAGCCTAACTCCTCTTTGGCGTAGTTACCTTGATCGATGAGAACGCGCGGTATCAGCTATCGGTCTCCAAACGCAAACCTCCGACAATTGCTGTTCCGCACTACGAAGGCCTCCTCAGTCGGCCTGCCAGACTGAGACCGATCGTTATCGTCAAGCCACGAGGATCGTGCCATGGTCTTTTTGAGAAGGACGGGTGCAGGCCCTGGTCAGTCCACCCCCTACCTCGGTGCAATAGTCGGCAAATACGTGCTCTCCCCTGGCAATACCTGTCTCACTCCATACGTCCCAAGCATAACATGAGCCGTTATTGGCCATAATATCCCGGGTACCATGCTTGAGAGACGATTTCAGTCATCCGTGGCCGTCGAAGTTGTATCAGTGTCGCTACTATAGTCGATACCTCCGCTCGACTGGAGGGGTTGTTCGACACTTTCGCTCTCGACAGATGATGAGCGGTCAATATTGATGAGGATTCGTGAGATGCTGATCTTCCGGCGAAGTGAGTGAGTTGTTCCAAGAGATTCTGAGTTCGAGCAGGCATTTAGGACTCCATGGCCATCTGTTGTTTCTTGTTGCAAGCCTCTGTCATGATCCATTTCGGGTGATAAACCCGTCTTATCTGTATCTTTTTTCGAGACACTTTGCTCTAAGGAATCTGTTACTTCGATATGCTTCTGTGGCAAAGGCCCTTGTCGAGCCCCTCGTTCCTGGCGTCGAGGCGTATCATGCAATTTCATTCTCTTGACTGGGTGAGTCACTTCGATATTGCGTTTGCGCCTAGGTCTGGACTCTTGCAAGGTAGAGACAAAAGCCGTGGTGTGTTGTGAGGACGTCTTCTGCATAGCTTGCAAATGCTTGCTTATTGCGATGTCTTGTGGGTCAATGGAGGCAGACGGCTCGTGGGCGCCGAAAGGGTGAACGCTCACAGCAATGTGTTGATGACCAATTTGCAATTCACTGACTAGATCCCCGGGACTCTTCCACAACATGTCACAGAGTTTTCCGCCGGCCTTGCCTGAGAATTCTGCTTGGTCGACGAAACCTGGAGGGTGATAGGCGTGAGGACAACTGTCGTTGTAAGTAAGACTCATTCCTAATCGTCGATGTGCTACTATAGTCAATGAGTGTTCCCTCAGACGATATGTCTTCCGCTTACCTGGGAGACGTGGGAGGAATTTTAGGATGCGCAGCAGACTGCGGATGAACGCTTTGAAACTGTGCTGAAAGTCCTCTAGTACCACTGCAGGACTCATTGACGACATATGAACACTGCGTATGCGATCTTGGGTATACTCAAAGGCGAAAGAGTACGTTTCAAGAACATTGTGAGAGTCATTAGCATCGGTCACGAACACCTGAAAAGCGTCAAGATATCTGTGTTGCAGGGCCTCGAAGATACCGTCCTCCTGAAACAGATGTAAGTATACTGTGCCTCTGGGAGGGTTCATCCCCTGAAATAATACATACCAACAACTCAAGCAGCTGGTCGGCTCTTTTATGAGCTCCCCGGACGAGGATTCTGATTTCCTGCCCACCACTAGTGGCGTTGCTGTCAAGAGCCTTGAAAGCCGAATACGAGTTGCGGGCATCAGCAGCGACCACTGTGTTAATCTGCTCGATGTAGCGAGCTCGAAAGCAGGGTGATGTCCATGGAATGAGTTCACGGGTATGTGCAATGCATGCCAGGGAGGTATTGATGAAGATCTGGACAAGAGCAAGGCTGTGCTCTTGGGTAAGAGTTGGTCCAAGCTGCGATAATAACAGATGTTGTTCAGTCATTCTCGTTAGCAGAACGAGGTCAATGGTACAGATTGAGGAATCTGTAGAATATTTTCCACGAATATTTGGTGGGCAAGAGCAAAAACGACGGCAGCTGCAAATGTCTGTGAAGATATCTCAAACACCGTACTAGCATGACTCTGATTGCCGTGCACCACTCCATATGATAATAGATGCAGACTGCAGCCATCGACGACGTGTTTTGAAAAGGTCAAGTTACTAGTATAGTATTATTGTAACTGTACATGAGGAACCCTCACGAAGACCTTGATATGCCTTCATCATATTGCCTAGTCACCAAGTGTCTTAGTAGACGCAGATCCCTTAGATACGGATTCTGTAGCGATACCGAGTAGCGCCACAGTCGAGGTGTCTAAGTCGAGCTGTTTGCAATACCCCGCGATTCGTGACTACTCTGTGCCTATGCGGCCACAGGTATACGATCAGACAACATCTTACGGCGAAGAGGCAAATGACATTCCCAGTGCTTTGAAATGAACACGAAGGAGGTGGACGCCTGTGCTGGCGGTGGCGCCTTGAGCCCGCCAAGGCTCTAACTAATTCAGTTTACATACGTCCCTCGGGGCGAGACCGCCCTGCGGACATATCACGGTTCTTCCGTTCGTCTTCAATCTCCTTCGTTGGTACCTTTCGCCATTTACACAGGATTTTCGTGAATAACTGCTTGATGAATTGATGACACTCCTTCTCGAAACAATCTCGGCCCCATTTTGCAAGTCGCCAACCACCGACCCAGCGCCTCGGCTAACAGCTACGAACTGGTGTCGATATCCGCCTTGGGTGAACAGCCGGTTCTGGCCTCTTGCTGAGATCCTTCCTACATCATTGAGTGCAACATCTGAGTATTGCAATCGCCCTTTCAGACTACGATTGCACGACGCGTCTCGACACCCTCGACACCCTTCTTCGGCCCAAATGCCCTTGTTGATCTCACCACAACTATGATGCATGTTTCGGATGAGGAGGAAGTGATGGACCCTGGGGTTCAAGAGGCCCGACGCGCAAGGCACCAGAGTATGTTGCATGATCAGAGGCCTCATAGCAGAGGAGCTGCGGGGTTTACCAAAGACGTCGAGAGCAATGCATTGCTTGGACAGTTCTCTTATGCACCGGCCACGCAAACGACTGTTGTCACCACGACCACAACCACGACCACCAAATTTCCACCCATCTTGATGCGTCCTCCTCGCCGAATGCAGGATCTTGATCTGAAGCAATATCCACTAGCAGCAAGCCCCACGCCTGCTAGCCTCAAGAAGATACATTTTGAGATAGGGGGAAGACATACAATATTCTGCGAGGCACATGACACATCGCTTGCATTAGAACAGGTATGGGATATACAACAGCCTTTAACCCGGAAACTAATCAGTAGAACAGTTGGAGGAAGAGCAAAGAACGCTCGGGGGCGCTAACGGCAGGATTCAGACAATTAGGACATTTCAGCCTTGGTCAGACGCACCCGACGAAGAAGAATGCCTGACCTCTTTTCAGAGACGGACAGAGAAGCGACCGGCTTCACCGGAGTCCATCAGTGGCGACGAAGAACATCCAACACTACAGGGCGCAACGTTTGTGTCAAGCCACCGTGGTGCTTCCGTACAACCCAGTAACAAACGCGAACCACTCAGCATGCGGCTATTGTCAAGATCTCACGATCTACGCACGTTGAACCCAGTAACTCCAGAAAGCATGCCAAAACCATCCCGGCACAGACGACTCAGCCGTGACCGAACCAGCGTGACGCGAACAACTACCTCTACGCTGCTTCCTTCGCCGAGCGTGGACCAACAACATGCATTTCAGAGCATTCAATCTTTTACCCCGAGAGCAAGTCAACATGCTTCCATACCCTTGGATGACAGCGCGGGTATAGATCTCGAACAGACAATGCTTGGGCGAGACATGAGACGAGGTTCTTCGCAAGACACCGCGGTCCCAACACCTCCAATTGATGAAGATGGTCAAATCCCCGGCCCCCAATCAGCCGGTCGCATAGCATTGTCTTCGGTGCCTGCGCGACTCCACGTTGCAGAAAGTCCATCTGGGCAAGATGGCTCTCTACCTAGTCCGTCCTTGTCTCCAGTGACGGCCGCTGCCACGCTACAGCATTCAGGTTACTTTGCAGACCTTGACTCAAACTCCGAGGTAGCGTCTCAGCATGGTATCATGGCAGGCAAGGCCCCCAGGGAGTCATCGGTGACACCTTTTCCGCCTTCCAATTCCACGGCAGAACATATGCGACAATATGGACAAAGCCCGAAAAACCGCTTCCGAGGCAGTTCCATTTCGGATATACCGGCCATGCTCGACTATTTTGAAGCCATACCCGATGAGCTGAAGAGCTATGTCATGCACCAGCTTCTGCGAAGGTGTCCCAAACCCACTCTTCAAGTTGTTGCAGATGCGGTAAACCCCGCGTTGAAGTGTGATTTCCTCACCATACTACCACCTGAACTAGGGCTCAATATTCTAAAATATCTTGATCTGAAAAGCCTTTGCAGAGCAGCACAAGTATCGAAAAAATGGCGACAACTAGTCAACAGTGACGAGAGGGCATGGAAAGAACTTTTCGATGCCGATGGCTATACCCTACCTGAAGGCGAACTACAAAGGGCCATCACAGAGGGCTGGGGTTGGCAGGACCCTATTGGGCCTGCAGGTTATGAACAAAATCTCGGCTACGCAACCAGTTCAAAGTCCGGAATCGAGGCTATTGCATCCGCTCCATCCTCGCCCCAAGGGCAAAACAGATTCGACGGTGTGCTTCGACGTTCGAAACGGAAAGCCACGACAATGCTGTCCAACCGCAGTAAACAGATCAAACACAAGGAATCATCACGTGAAGCCTCAATTGACGTCAGCCTCGACTGGATGAGCCAGGCCTCAAATGCCGATGGCCCATATCATGCTGCAAGTGCTGCTCTTGTGGCTGTTCCACAACCAGACATTGGTCTGCCGAGTCTGCGGGGTCTTCATCTTTACAAGTCGCTTTACCGGAGGCACCACCTAATTCGAAAGAACTGGATGTTCGAGGAAACAAAGCCGCAGCATATCGCCTTTCGTGCGCACGACACCCATGTTGTTACTTGTCTGCAATTCGACACGGACAAGATACTGACAGGAAGTGATGACCAGAATATTAATGTCTATGAAACGAGAACGGGCGTCTTGAAGGCCATCTTGACTGGGCATGAGGGCGGGGTGTGGGCGTTACAGTATGAGGGAAATACACTCGTTTCTGGCTCAACCGACCGCTCGGTAAGAGTATGGAACATCGCCGAAGCACGGCAGACTCAGGTTTTCAGAGGCCATACATCGACTGTAAGGTGCTTGCAGATCGTTATGCCCGTCAAGGTTGGAGAAAATGCCGAAGGCAAGCCGATCATGATGCCAAAGCAGCCACTTATCATTACTGGTTCAAGGGACTCCACACTGCGTGTTTGGAAGTTGCCTAGACCAGACGACCCTGTTTTCATTCAGCCCGAGAACGAGACAGATGCTGATGACTGCCCTTATTTCGTACGAACGCTGACTGGACACCAGCATTCGGTCAGAGCAATAGCCGCTCATGCCGATACTTTGGTGAGCGGTAGCTACGATTGTACCGTGCGCGTATGGAAGATCTCCACTGGTGAGACCGTTCATCGGCTTCAGGGTCACACTCAGAAGGTGTACAGTGTGGTCTTGGACCATGCCCGAAATCGCTGCATTAGCGGGTCCATGGACAATATGGTTCGCATCTGGGACCTGCACACAGGGTCTCTTAAATACACCTTAGAAGGCCACACCTCTCTGGTTGGGCTCCTCGACTTAAGCTGTGATAAACTCGTTTCAGCGGCCGCCGACTCGACCTTGAGGATATGGGACCCGGAAAATGGGCAGTGTAAAGCAACACTGAGCGCCCACACCGGAGCAATCACTTGCTTCAAACACGACGGGCAGAAAGTAATTAGTGGTTCGGATCGCACATTGAAGCTCTGGAACATCAAAACTGGGGATTGCATAAAGGACCTACTCTCGGATCTCAGTGGTGTCTGGCAAGTCAAGTTCAACGAACGGCGTTGTGTGGCAGCAGTGCAGCGTGATGGATTTACCTATATTGAGGTAAGCTTGTTCGTCGAATTCTCTTCTAAGCTAACGATCTTCGACAGGTTCTAGATTATGGAGCAGCTCGCGACGGTATTCCTCCGCATAACCTCGGCCGACGTATTGTTGTCGACCAGGCGGGTTTCGAGACACGAATTGACGACGACTACCTGGACGATGAGGCTGCAGATGTGTGAACCTAGATGTCCTCCGGGACCAAGGGAGCATCTCCGACCCACGACTGAAGGAACTACTATCATGCAGCTCTGGTGCTGAGTCCTTAGGCCGAGGCGGCGCCAAGTGGATGTCTATTTTCCTCGAACAACGATGATTTTTTTTCATTCTTGCAGAACGACCGAAATGCGTTTGGCTTACGACCTCTGACGATATCGAATTGGCTTCCTGTGGCTTAACGATCTACCAAATCGTGATGTACAGCTGCCGACATGCACATACACGTACCTATGACGAATGAACGCATTCTGACGCGAGCCAGTGTTTTCTTCTTGATACCTGACTCGCTTCATAATTGAAGGTGAGCAGACTTATGAGCGAGCATACGCAGGCCTGCTAGTGGAGGAAATTTTTAGTCTGATGATGTGGTTGGGCTCTCTGCACATTCTGAGTGGCATAGACTGCCAACGAGATCAAATCGGCCTGGGAACTATTTGTTACACAGTGCTTGTATTTTGCTTAGCCTCCTAAAACGGCACCAAATGTATATAGTCTGTGTTTTCTCTCTATCGCTAGCCAGATACCAGCTTTTGCTTCGACGTGAGAGTGATTCGTTGGAGAACGAATCTGAGATACAGTTGCATCTCGTTACTCTACTGTTCATACTTTCATAGCATCTTGTGTGCTTCTGAATAGCATGGAAGCTAGATGCTTCTCCTTCGTATCTATCCATCTGAGACACATGGTATACAGTAAGTGGTGAAAAGTGGTGAATCCGTCCACTCTCGGCTCGAATGGGCGAGCTCGGAGTGGATGGACAGTATAGTACAAGGATCACTTCTTCAGGAAGGACTTTGTTTGTTTTCAGGAAGAGGAAAAGAAGATGCTCTAATTCGACGGCCGTCGCTTTTTAGCAGGCGACTTCTTCTTGGGGGGTTCGGCGAACATCTCCTCGAACGCATCCATGCCGCGAAGTACCCCTTTACCGCTCAGCGCTGGCCGGGAAGACTGTGTCCTCGATGGTGGCTGGACAGGCATATCATTTCTGGTGTTGCCCTTCTTCCTTTGCTTGCCTCGCGTCCTACTCGTGGACGTTGAGGGCTCGGACGATGCCATCATCGCTTCGAATGCATCCGCGCCCCTGAGGATGGATTTTTTCTCGTTGCTGGTCGTCGTGGGGTGTGACCGCGTAGGTTGAGCTGCTGTAGAGCTTGGAGAGGGTCTGGTCGGCGCAGCCCTCTCTGGGAGCCGCAACGAAATACGGTGTGCTGGCTGTCGAAGAGGAATCTGCCGTTGTACCCTGGATTGTTCTCTGGTCCGGTAACTCTGCATAAGACGCTCCCACGCAGGCAATGCGTCGGTGTCTGTAGATGGTTTCGTGGACGTGGGTGGCGTTGGGGACGGTGCTGCTTGTGCGCCCATGATCTCGCGCATGAATTCTTCGATGGAGAGGTCGGGCAAATCGGAGGAGGATGACTTGGCTGTAGCTGTCGTCTCTTCTACCACGGGCTTCTCCTCTTCCTTGATAGAGTCGGTCGTCTTCTGAGGTAGATCGACTCCGGAAACAAAGTCCATTTTCAAGCTGGGCTGTTCGTCCTGAGCAATGTTCTTGAGGACACCATGACTTCGCGCCTTCTCCGTCGCATAGCTATCCAACCCCACGGCCCTAAGTACTGCCCATTGCAGATTCTGCACGCCAAATGGTATGTCTTTCGTCTTCGGTGGTGGCTTGCCTTTGAGGACACTCGCATGTAGATTACCCATACAGATGATCTCGCCCAAGGCTAGCTTTTGTTCCTCCGTGGTGTCGAACTGCGCCTGGGTGCGGAGAGTCGTCAGTGCCTGTCGCACTTGGCTTTGGTAGCCTTTCATCTCGAGAAGGCGGTCACATTTAGTGGCGACGATCTGGTAGGGTATGGCGAGGCCGCGAAGAATCTCGACGAGGTGTCGGTCCCCTTCTTGCATGCCATGCACGGCATCAAGCAAGATGAACGCCCTGCGAATGTGCTTTCTCTCAATCAGATAAGTCATTATAGATGAGCCCCACAGAGCCTTGGAGCCAAACCCGTAACCTGGCATATCAACCAGGGACAGTCGCGAAGAAACATCACCGTCCCATCCTGAAATCGCACCACCGCTGGGCGTTTTCGCTGCGAACGCCCATGCTGCCATGGCTTTCGTCGCTCCAGGAACTGCACTGACTCGGTTAAGATCTTCGCCGGCGAGAGCATTGATAGTAGACGATTTGCCAACGTTGGAACGACCCAGGAAGATAACTTCAGGAATCTGCAATGCCCCCGGTTTCGCGCCGTCTTGCCGCCAGGTATCGCCGGCCCATTGGCGGAACGGTCTGTTGATTCTGAAGAAGTATTCTGCAGCCGCCAACTCTTGGAGCGTAGGCGGCTTTGTCTCCCAATACCACGACTCAACAGTCCGGTCGTGGCGGTCGCTCTTCAGATGCGAGGAGCTGTGGAGGCTGCGACGGCCATCTTGAAGATGGATTAGACGCTGTCGGAGGCGAGATCTGAAGACCTGCCGGCAGGCTAAACATGCGATTTCGGGCATCAGCAAGTCGTGAGAAAGACTGGACGGAGGGTTGTGTAATCGACATCCTAAAAAAGATTTCGAGATTTCGAAATTGGTTGGCACCGCTCGAGCGCAGGCGGATGCGAGCCAGGCTCTGTCTGCCAGGCCAATGCCGTCGAGAGCCTCGTGCAGCCTTGTGCAGCCTTACCAGCGAACTTCATGAGAGTCCACCATCTGTCCTCTGGTGGGGATATTTCACTGCTGCTTCGGGCCTCAGCTTCGACCAAGAGCGCAGCCAGATAGCGTCCTATCCTCAACGACATCCCACGCTTCACCGTCCAGTGCGATGATCAACGCAGTACTGGTATTCAACAATAACGGTCAACCTCGGTTGACCAAATTCTACTCTCAGCTGGTACGTATGGACATGATGCGCCTTGTTCATCGTTGCTGATCAACCCTCGCAGGACACAGCAACTCAGCAGTCCTTACTCAATCAGATATTCACACTTGTATCTGCTCGTCCAGCATCGGCGTGCAATTTCTTGCCACTTCCTCCGTTGTTGGCTCCTTCTGGCAGCAACGCCTCTCCCGATGCTCCCACACAAATTACTTACAGACACTATGCGACGCTCTATTTCATTTTAATCTCTACCTCGACCGAGTCTCCCCTGGCTCTTCTCGACTTCATTCAGGTCTTTGTCGAAGCTCTTGATAGATTGTTCGAAAACGTTTGCGAGCTGGATCTGATCTTTGGTTTTGAAACACTTCATGCCGTATTGAGCGAAATGGTGGTTGGTGGCGTGGTAGTAGAAACGAGCCTCGAGAAGATTGTCGATGGTGTCAAGACCAACGAGGGCACAAAAGGGAAGCGACGGGCTGTCAATTCACGAGACTCAGGAAGTTCCCTAGGCAGAGGAAGTGGCTTTGCCGGCCTGGGTTGGCCAACGACAGGCCATGGAAGCTGGAGGTGAAGCGCGGAAAACATGAGGACCATGCGACAGCTGTTCTCATCAGTGCGTTATCCGGTGTGCTTCCATACACCAGTGAAGCAGCATGTCATGATCTGTGCCAGAACAAGTCGACCCTGTTCGCTCTCCGACGCGCAAGGACGAGCGTTTTGCGTGGTCCCTACAAACACAACCACAGCCGCTACCGCCGAAGGCTGTCACTATCAAGGTATTCAGGGCACTCTTGTTGCCACCACGATGTCAACATATCACCACGAAATGCAAAGAGCCAAAAGGGGATTCGAACTTGACAATATCAGAGTCGTCTCGGAATTCAGCAAGCAGTTCCACTTACGCTCTGAGTCAAACCTAGTGAAACAAGACACGCCAATGGCTCGGTGATGCAAGAAAGGTGTGAGTAATGTTCGATGTCAACTTTTGTCCTGGTGGAAGCGCCATCTGGATCAATCAACGGACAGTGACCGGGCCTAGATCCCAACTATCACGTTCGCTTTCACTCCAAGAACAAGTCCCCAGGTGTGACACCCATTTCGGCACGAGTCGAAAGATGCCACGGCCCGTGCAGGTAGTGATTGATGGTCTCCGTGGCCCTGAGATGAGGTTTGCCTTCCCAGGGGAAGCGTGATATATCTCTCGTCATGTCTTCTTATTGGATCAAAATTGCAAGGGAAAATCTAGGAACAGACTAATTCGTATTGCGTGGAAGTTCACCTCATCGGATTGGACAAGCAACGAAACAGGGCTCCTCGATGTACAGCGGACCGGGCATCGTCACTGTCATGCGTTACTCGAAAAGAAGGGGTTGGCAGAAGCAGCGAAGCCTCGATGTATTTTGGGCGCTTAAAGATAAGCCCTGAATGGGTGTTACGGGCTCCAGCTTGGCCTTATCTAGTTAAGCTGACCAACTAAAGGATTACGGGGCCGTAGGCAATGCATACTCGAGGCTCCACCGTCTACTGAATCCCCGCTCGCATACTTGATTCGTTCCCCAATGTGCTTCATGCAGTCACTCTGCTCGTTCTTCACCTTGTAGCCTCTGCCAATCAATCCCATCAGCGCTTCCGCCACGGTCCTCCAGCAATCATGGCGAGATACATCTACCGCCCGGATCGCTCCCTGTGGGCGACAAGCTGCTTCATATCCTTTTCGGCCAGGGGGTCACCAGTTTCAGGAGCGGAAAATTGGAGAATGCTCACGAGCTGATCTTGCTACAAAGATGAGGTGTCTGGCCTTGAATTCAGTTGCCCTCATTGTCTTTACTGCTTTGCTCACAGTTCCAACGACAGCCAGGCCAGGGAGCGTGTGGAGTGTTCATATTGACAACGAGCCGGCCCCGCCGCCAGACGAAGGACCTCCCATCTCAGCAGGAGCTCTCAGGGACAAGTCCAAGCTCAAATTCGAGATCGCTGGTATTTTGGGGGCTTACGTCTGTTGGCTTTTGATCAGTTTTGTTCTCTACATCTTTGTTGGAAAAAGACTTCGACGGAAATACCAGACTTCTAACCGTACGTTGAGTATGGAGATCATCAAACCAGCACCACTGGCCAACAATCCCACCATGAACGTTGAAGCACCCTTGAGGAGTCCTGGAAAGATGGCCAGCCTCAAGTCATGGGCCAACGGGGGACGCACCCATTCTCGCAAAGAATCAAATGTGACGGTCTCGACGATCGACGAGAGAATCCTCGAAGCAGACAAAGCCAAGAATATGGATGAAATGACCAAGTTGTACGCTGCTGTCATGTTGCACGATGAGGAGAAGTCGCAAAAAACGCAGAGCAGTGCTCAGGCGACTCCCAGGAGTCCCTATTTCCCCCAACACGAGGCTCTCCCTCCCACACCTCGCTCCGCTTACAACAACCCTTCATCACCTCGTTCGCCAAACTACCAGCAGGCGAGTGGCGCAGGCCCCCTGTCTCCTCGGTTTCCTCCTGAATTCCAACATCTTTACAAGCTTCAGACGGACGAAAATTCTCCTCCTGCATTGGTCCATCCGCTGGCTCCAACCCCGGACGAAGACCCTTCGGCGCGGGCAGCGTCGCAGAACAGCCGCAAATCGAAACTGATTCCTTTATCACTCATCTCCGGTCGAAGAGAGTCCGACGCTCAGAACAAAAGACGACCTAGCCGAATCTCCGTCCGTGGTCAGCCCATTTCAGAGCCCCTCGGCTCGGCTACCCTTACCGAGTCATCTGTATATTCCGAAAAGAGTAGCCTGTCGCCTCGACTATACAACCCCGGGCCACCACCGCCGACTCCAGGACAGAAATCTGCCGTAGCGTTGACCGCCGAGGTCGGGATCGAAAAGAAAGGCCCGCCCGCTCCACTATCTCTCCGAAGTACGACAGCCTCAAACAGCTCGAGCACTTTGCCTTTTCGACAAATGTACGATGGCTCGTTGAAGAGCGCTCCACCAACAAAGACGACCTTCGTGGACCGCCGCGAGAGCATCCTCGGAGTGCATCCGAAGACCGGAGTGCCTCAGACACCATACAGCCCATACATGCCAATGACCCCAATGACTCCCGTCACTCCCCGGATGCTGGTAACCAAGAAAGATAGAAAGAGGATGAAGAAGGAAGGGTTGAAGGTCCTCAGCGAGGATGACATGGTCATGAGCGACGAAGACATGTGGGGCGAGATGAAGTGATGCCTCAGATGAATTTGTCATTGTCTCTGTGTTTCTTATGTTCTTTTCTGACTTTCTCACTTTCTCACCAGGCCATTGTTTGTGGCTCCATCACCCCACGGCCTGCAATGTACAGTACCCCCATCAGGGCGCGCATAGAGATTACCGGAATCGAAAGTCATATCTGAAGAAATGATTACCTGTGAATATTTGATAAGGTCCTTCTTTCTCGCAACGCGGCGCCATTTATATCTGAGACTGTCCCGCAAAAGCGAGGGCATGATTGGTGGGATGGTGTGTGTCTGGACACGAATTCTCCGTAGAGTGGCCCAAGAGATCCAAGAGACCGAAGAGCGATGCTTACGAGATTGCTTGGTGGTGACCTCCAAGGTGCCATTAGGGATGCTCGGAATGAAGCTTATTGGTGTACGAGGGTAAGCGTGCTTGTCGTTCGCTTGGCCTAGTGAGCCGTTTAACTCCCTAGAGTTAAGTGGTTTGTGGCCCTTCGGCCGCTGTATCGCCCTTCACATGTGCCCAGGACGCATCCAAGAGGCGATGCCGACGCGTGGTCTGCGACTCGAAGACTCATTTGAGGTACAAAGTCCTCTTGCCACTCAATGGTGAATACCTAACTAATACCCTCTCTTCCGCTTTGTTATCCAGATTCATCGAGAGAACTCTCACTTCATCGCTCGCCACAGGAAGCAGCGTCCCGAGTAGAGCCGGTGGTCTGTGGTGTCCTCCGAGTCGCACCGTTCGATAAACGTTATTTGCTTCCGTATCCTCTCGGAGTATAGCAACCACCAGTGGTTGAGGGACCGTAGTGTTGTCACAACATCAGGGGACAGAAGGCTGTTTGGGCCGCATAGTCTCCTAGTCTACCAACAAGATGCCTCTCACCGTCCTCACGGAGGCAGACATTCGGACACTCCTCCTTTCGCTGGCGAAAGAAGATGCTGCAACATTACAGCGAAACCTTGCGGAAGCCTTGCATTCATACTCGACAGGCGACACAAACTCGCCTTGTTCAGCATCGTCTCAACCCCATAGGACCATTATTAAGAAGAATGGAATGACGACACTCTTCATGCCAGCCTCTACCGGAACAGCCGTTGGCATGAAGATTGTTTCTCTTGAACAGCAACACGACACTAGCCATGGAAAAAAGTCGTCGATGTCGTCGTTAGCATCTCAAAGCACCACCGGGTCGGCAGCTGTGAAGTCCCCAACGGGCGAATTTGCGACTCTATCCTTGACGCCTGCGTCAACAATGTCATCTGGAAGCAGAGATTCCATCGACGGAGCTTCGTTCCGACCGCCGGCTTCGATTTCAAGTGCGCAAAGCTCTACCCCCAGAGGATCAGTGACCGTCCTCGATCCGCGGGGGAACCCAGTGGGTATCGTTAATGCCGAAGAGCTTACTGCTTTCAGGACGGCCCTCGCCTCGACCATGCTGTTTCAGAAGCGACAAAATGTGCACACAATGACGGTTTTTGGGGCAGGTAAGCAGGCTTACTGGCACATTAGATTAGCTTTGCTATTCAAAGGCGACGAGGTTCGACATGTCAACATCATCAATCGGTCGTTTGAACGCTCGATCAAGTTGATGAAGACACTTCAGATGGAACAAAACAGTCATGGTTTCTGGCGGAAAGATATCAAATATTCTTGCATGAGTCCGGAGTTTGGCGAATACGGTCGCCTGTTGAAAGAAGAGGTTCGAAAAGCAGATGTGATCTTCTGTTGCACGCCATCATTGGATCCTCTTTTCCCAGCCGAGTTTCTCACTTCCCGCGAAGGACAGAAAAAGGGGCGGTATATCTCCTGCATAGGGAGTTATGCGCCGCACATGGTCGAGCTACATCCAGATGTCTTCAGGCTCGCTGTGCAGCCTGACCATGGACACCATCACCACAAGCATGCTCGACAAGGAGGCGTCATTGTAGTTGACAACCTAGAATCGTGCTTGAAGGATAGCGGCGAGATTATCAAAGCAAAATTGGGACCCGAGCATTTGGTCGAGATTGGAGAGTGTAAGTTTCTCATCACTTGCTTCTCTTTGTTGCTTTGAGCACTCTAACGAATACAAATAGTGATGATGATCAAAAAATCAGCAGACAGAGAGATCGAGCTCGGCGGAAGCGGTGAACCTGGACTACTTGAATGGTTGACAAGAGGAAATGTCATCTACAAGAGCGTCGGCATGGGTTTGATGGATTTGATTATTGCAGAAGACATGATTCGACTCGCCCGAGAGCGAGATGTTGGTGTCACAATCGAGGACTTCTAATCTTGGAGCATCGATCAGTAGCTTGGAGGTCTTTCATGTTGGCTTTCTGTTGGGACGGGGAGATTCATCCAGGGATGAGAAGAACAAGGCCGGGAATTTCAGCGAGGGTGGATCAGCTGTCGATTGACTACAAGCTCCCAGGAGACCTGGCCCGTACATCATAGAATACAATGAGGCCATTAATACGATTCTGAGTATTTTTAATCGATCATACTTTCCTTTTGCAAAGGTGTCACTACCTTACTGACGCGGTTCTGCCGACAATCTTGTGAAGTCGCTTCCAAGTAAGGTAATTCGCCATAAGGACGCCTCATCCCAAAAAATCCAGCGTAGGAGCACTAGTCCTCGTGTTTACGAACATTTAACAAGCATCGAACCTCTCCGGCGTGCGCCTGTAGCCGACCAATGGATGGCGAATTACATCGATGAGGTTCTCACGTCGTAAGCGGCGGTGGCAGCAAAATGCCCCTCGCTTATCGGCTTCGACAGGCCATCGGGGCGGGGCAGGGAAGGGCCTACTTAGGTAATTGTACGGAGGTCACAACTTGGGGTGTACATTGCCCTGCGGTACCTGATCCACCTCGTCCTCAATTGTGACGTTGGGTCCGTCGACGATAGACGGGCCTGTGTTGCGCGTCTCAGTACGTGTCTCATGCCCAATTGTAGCATTTATCATTTTTAATATCTTCGAACCACCCGAGGGCAGAAACACTGGCTGCAGACTCAACGAAAAGGCTGGCGGGGAACAGCCGCGGTGGGCGCATCTCTTGTCTTGCGCCAACGATCTGTACAACCGCGCTGGTTGTAGTCACCCCCACAAGCAGGCCAACTTTATTCTCGAGGACAATTATCCATGCTTCATCGGAAAAGTTAAATACACATCAACTATAGGTACACCCTATCCTTCCCTCGAGGGTGCAACCCTTGGGCATTGTTGGCTTTGATAGTCTGAATCGCACGAAAAGCATGGTACAACAAGTATTCCTGCCCAGTGAGTCTACCACACCTCGCACAATCGATCCAGCATGCTGACGAACTCTCAGATGGGCAGATCTATACCGTGACGCCAGTTTTTGGAGGTTTTACCTTCAAATCAACCCACCTCGACCTCCATCATTCCCCGATACCCCCAGGATGGACTGTAATGGTACAAACGGAAGATGTGGTGGACGACGACGATGCGAGGAAGAGCAGGTCATCAGTGAACCCAGAGAGGAACGTGTCCAATAACACACATGAAAAGCAAGTTGTGGTCCACAGATTCATGCAACCTACCGCCCAGCGGGATTCGCTTTTTATCTCCTCTATCTCAATGCCCTCGAGTTCAGACTTCAGAAATACAGCATCTCCGACAAGGCACATCGCCATGATTCTATGGGCCACTCTCTGCTGGTATTTCCATAAAGAGCCTCCCAATCTGCACACGACAACAGAAGCAAGTGCTCTTACTCCAGAGAGCGGGAGACCAAAGCTTGACTGGCGTATCAAAATCAGGAAAGAAGGCATATTCAAGGGCAAAAACACTCTCCAGAAACTTGAGCGGATGGGGCTTATCGCGAGTGAAGAATCCTGTGTAGGCTCGGAAATGGATTTTCGACAGGCGGACGGCTGGGCCGACACTTTCGTGAGCCGAAAGTCCTTCTGGCAGATTGATGCGAGGATATTTCTATATACCATGGCACCCCAGCAGCACTCACCATTTCCGGGGACATCTCCTCACTCGTCCCGTCCGGCCTCGCCGGACCGGACAGCTCTTCCTGACCGTGGGTCTCCGCGAACGACAGATTACATGCTGCCTCCTCCGCAGCCGGGCTTGGTGGATGGTATATCTGCAGGGATTGCTTCGCCGGGTGGTCCGTTCAACTCAGGCAGTCATCTACCAACGTTTTATCCTCCTCCGCCACTACAATTCACCTTCACGAACCACATCCGGCATCCTATACGCCCCAAACCCCCTCGGCAAGGGGAAACGTTCTATAGCCGCTACATTCCAAGCCTGGGACAATGGCTGTCCTTCCGAGTACCTACCCTGTCGTCCAAACCGTGTCCTCATCCTCATTTCTCGCCGCTCGGTCCGTCTTTACCCTCCGTCATGAGTAGTCATGGAGGAAGTATCTCCCTGCCAACATTGCCTACTCTGGCCAACTTTGGAGACCGGTCATGCGACCTGGATCTGCTGCATAAATGGATGAACGAGCCGAGAGTGAATGCAGCTTGGTCATGTGCCGGACCAAAAGAAAGCCAGAAGAAATTTTTGATCGAAGGGCTAGAAAGCCGTCACTCCTTTCCCGTTTTTGGCTGCTGGGATGGTAAACCATTTGGATATTTTGAAATTTATTGGGTCAAAGAAGATAAACTAGGCCGTCTGCTTGGTGGTGACGTTGGCAATTATACTCGAGGATTACACGTCTTAGTCGGCGAACAAGAGTTCAGAGGTCCTCATCGAGTCAAGGTCTGGTTGTCAGCGTTGGTACACTACTGCTGGCTTGCAGACCAGAGGACCGAGACCGTCATGTTGGAGCCGAGGGTCGACAATGCCAAGTAAGTTGGATATGTGTTAGCAAGATGGGAAATACTAACAGAGGCGCAGATTTATCAACTACTTAAAGGAAGCGGGTTTTTACAAGCAAGGAGAAGTTTCATTTCCACACAAACAATCTGCTGTCATGAAAATCGACCGAGAGTCTTGGGAGGCACCAGATTTATGATTGAAGAATGAATGATGAAACCGAAGAATGTCTACAATGTTGTCCGGCCATATCCGAGCCCATCCGCCGAACCTCGCCCACATCGCGTACCTTTTGGGTACTAGGTACAGAGCAAAGCTTATCAAGTTGTTTCAGAGATACCTATACATGTAGCCTCGACGAATAATACCGATTTATCAGCTTTGCCTTCTCCCTGTCCAGAAGGTTCGAGTCCAAGCGAACCAGTGTGTCTTTGCCCGCTATCGTGAACCGATTCAAATGACGGGAAGACAGACCCGAATTGTGACATAGCCTTATTTTAAAAGCGTGAAGAATCAACTTCAATGAACAAAACTCGCGGTCTGACGATGATTAGAAGGACGAGGCCACAGAGGCACTACGGTCGATCATGCGCATGATTGCTGCCAGCCATCGGAGTCATTTTGCAACTCCGCAACTTCGGTGGGGATTTTGAATATTTGACAAACTTCCTAGAGACTCGAGTGTTGCGCAGACATACGCCAAAGATACAAAGGCCGGGCGGCTTGACTCAAGTTCCTTAATATCGCCATCATGGCGACCCAAATCCCCGTCGATCCGACCTTGAACTCGGCCAACACTCTCAAACTCGAAAATGTAAGTTGTCGCACAACACCTGACTCTGGACAATAGACATTGACCGTGACAGACGCACAATCGAGATGTCCTCATTGCGATCGAGAAGAAATATCAGCAAGAGTGGCAGAACAACAAAGTGTTCGAGTCGGATGCCCCCACTACGGACGAAATACCCTTCAGCTCAGTCCCAGCCTCAGAGATCCGGGAGAAGCACCCAAAATACTTTGGCACCTTCGCCTACCCCTACATGAATGGCTCGTTACATGCAGGACACAGCTTTACAGTCAGCAAGGTCGAATTTACAGCCGGCTTCTCGCGCTTGACTGGCAAGCGAACTCTTTTCCCTCTTGGTTTCCACTGCACAGGCATGCCGATCAAGGCCTGTGCTGACAAACTGGTCGATGATGTGAAGAAATTTGGCAAGAACTTCGAGAACTACCACGAAGACGACGAGGAGGGCGAGGGAGGCGAGTCCAACGGCGTCGCTATTGCGCCTACACAAGGTGTCAATGTCAAGGACGACATCACCAAGTTCAAAAGCAAGAAAGGCAAACAGGCTGCGAAGACCGTCAAAGCCAATTACCAATTTCAGACAATGTTGGCCATGGGAATTCCAAAGGAGGAGATCCACAAGTTCGCCGACGCAAACTACTGGCTAGAGTACTTTCCCCCTCTGTGCGAACAAGATTTGATCGACTTTGGAGCAAGAATAGACTGGAGGAGAAAATTCGTTACGACCGACGCGAACCCATACTACGACGCTTTCGTACGATGGCAGATGAACCGCCTGCACGAACTCAACAAGGTCTTGTACGGGAAGAGATATACAATTTACAGTCCCAAAGACGGCCAGCCTTGTATGGACCACGACAGGACGAAAGGTGAAGGCGTAGGGCCCACAGAATACACTGCCCTGAAACTCAAAGTCAAGGAGTGGTCTCCCGAGGCTTCAAAAGAGGTGGAGAACAAGATACCGAAGGATGCAAACGTGTACTTTGTGCCTGCCACATTGAGACCGGAAACAATGTACGGGCAGACGTGTTGTTTCGTTGGTTCTAAGATCAAGTACGGAATCTTCGAAGTCTCGGAGAAAGAGTACTATGTCGTCACAAAGAGAGCTGCGTGGAACATGGCGTTCCAAGGTACGTTCTTTGATGAAGCTCATTTCCCTCGGGATCAGAGCGAACTGCAACCAGTGCTGGAATTACCGGGCTCCGCTTTTGTCGGCACTCTTGTCAAGGCTCCTTTGTCGGTACACGCGGACGGAGTGCGGATTCTTCCTATGGAAACAGTCTCGGCCACCAAGGGCACAGGTGTTGTTACGTCGGTTCCGTCAGACAGTCCTGATGATTTTGCAACGGTTAGAGATCTGGCTAAGAAGGCTGAATTTTACGGTATCAAGCAGGAGTGGGCTGAGCTGGAGATCATTCCCATCATCGACACCCCGGCCTACGGCAACCTCGCCGCAAAGTACCTGGTAGAGACGAAAAAGATTCAGTCACCTAAAGATGCCACCTTGCTGGCGGAAGCCAAGGACATGGCTTACAAGGAGGGTTTTTACAACGGAACGATGCTGGTGGGCGAGTTCAAAGGCGAAAAAGTAACAGAAGCGAAAGACAAGGTTCGCAACGCCTTGATCAAGTCTGGAGATGCTTTCCCATTCGCCGACCCGTCTGCGGAAGTCATAAGCCGGAGTGCCGACGAATGTGTGGTGGCCTACGTTCCGCAATGGTTTCTGAATTACGGGGAGAACGACAAAGAATGGCAGCAGACAGTGCTCAACTATGTCAAGAATGGCCTGGAGACATATATCCCCGATACGCGGAATCAGTTCGTCGCGAACCTGGAATGGTTGAATCAATGGGCATGCGCAAGAACTTATGGCTTGGGCTCCAAGCTTCCCTGGGATCCCACATTCTTGGTGGAAAGTCTCAGTGACAGTACGATTTACATGTCGTATTATACGATCGCTCACTATTTACATGGCGACAAGTTCGGAAAGACTCCAGGGTTGCTCAACATTAAATCCGAACAGATGACTGATGATGTGTGGGATTACATCTTCACTCGGACCAGCGACGTCGAGAGTGTCTCTAAGTCGTCCAAGATCTCGGTTGAATATCTCCATACCCTCAGACGATCCTTTGAATACTGGTATCCTCTCGATATGCGAAGTTCTGGCAAAGATCTCATCCCCAACCATCTCACATTCTTCCTCTATATCCATATTGCCCTCTTCCCTCCAGAATATTGGCCCAAGTCCGTGCGGTCGAACGGTCACCTTTTGCTCAACGGCGAAAAGATGAGCAAATCCACCGGAAACTTCTTGACGCTCAGTCAGGCGGTCAAGAAATTCGGTGCCGACGCGACACGGATCGCCCTCGCCGATGCTGGTGATGGTATGGAAGACGCAAACTTCGAAGAGAAGGGAGCCAACGCTGCCATCATGCGTATGTATACGCTCAAGGAATGGATCGAAGAGACTTTGAAGGACCAAAACCTTCGCGAGACACAAGGCGAAGTCATCTGGGACAAACTGTTCGAAGATGAAATGAACCTCCTCGTTCACGAGGCATACAAACATTACTCTGAGTAAGTTTCTACCCTTTTCATACGGCCTTACATTTGTGTGGCGGTTGAGAAACTCCTTTTGCTGACATAGGCCGTGATGGCGTATAGCACAAACTACAAACTCGCTCTAAAGTCATCCTTGTACGACTTCCAGTCGGCGCGGGACTTTTACCGTGAAGCATGCCTCTCAGGTGGCACGCCCATGTCCCGGCCGCTCGTCCTCCGCTACGTCGAGCTGCAATCTCTTCTCATTGCGACCATCGCGCCCCACTGGGCCGAGTACATGTGGCTCGAAGTGTTGCACAAAGACAGCACGATCCAGAAGGCGCTGTGGCCCGAAGTGCCGGCGGCCGATCTCTCGCTGACGGCGATGCGGGAATACGTCAAGGGCACGAGCAGCAACATCACCAGCGCCGAGGCGCAGGCGGCCAAAAAGATGGCCAAGGGCAAGAGCTCGGCGTTCGACCCCAGGAAACCGAAGAAGATCACCATCTTCGTGGCCAAGCACTTCCCCGCCTGGCAGGACAAGTACGTCGACCTCGTCCGCGACATGCTCAGCAAGAGCCGCCTCGACGACGACAGGGCGCTGAACGGCCAGGTCGCCAAGATGGGCAAGGGCCCCGAGCTGAAGAAGGCCATGCCGTTCGTCCAGGCCCTGAAGAGGCGGATCGTCGTGAACAAGGAGACGCCCGAGGCCGTCTTTGATCGGAAACTGCCCTTCGACGAGGTCGCCATCCTGACCGAGATGAAGAAGGGCCTGATGAAGACCACCGGCTGCAAGGACGTCATCGTCACCGTGGTCCGGGACGACAACAAACAGGACCTGCCGCCCATGGCGGAGCACGCCATCCCAGGCAGCCCGGCTTTCTCGTTCGAGAACATCGAGTAAAGAAAACAATGAACGAACCCATCTTGCTCTGGACACTCTGTCTGCCGAGAAAGGTGCGAGTGGGTAGGTAGGGAAAGGGGGGGGTTGCGAGTGTGCGAGTGTGCGCAAAATCTGGCCTCTTTAAGAGTCCAAGCGGTTTGCGAAGGACCAGAGATAAAAGATCGTCCGTGTCAAAATGACCTTGCCGTTGGGGTAGCTTAGATTCTGCATCTGCAACAACAACAACAACAACAAGAAGGAGAAGAAGAAGAAGAGAAACACGGGAAACGTGGGCAACGGGTATTCGGACCGGATATAGATCAGATCTTGCACGAGTTTGTGGTCGGCTCGACATGCCTTGCAAGACCTTAGACAGAGATGCAGATGACACGCATTGAAATGATATCAAAGAGTGAATCATGAGCACAACACAACAATATACTGATGACTGTGCCGTCGAGTCTAACTATCAGGTAGAGAATTCATTCGGGTTTGCCCGCCAACCATTCAGCCGTCTCTAACCCTTTTTTTACAGGGTATACCAATGAAAAGTATTCCGTACATGTGCCTATGTACCCAGGCATAGAACGACGCCTCCCTTTTTCCTGTTTCAGAAGTGAACGAGACCACGATCTAAGAATAAAAACAAGACCCATTCTTCGACCTAGGGACCTCCATCAACCTAATCTCAGTGCGAATCCAGCACCACGTTCTTCATCGGCGCGGCCTGCAAAGATGCCTTCGAATTCACGCTCGTCGAGTTTCGGGGCGTCGCCGCGCACAGGAGCCTGCGGAGTGGCTCTGCGCCGGCGCTTTTCCTGACCCGCTTTACTGGGGAAGGTGGGAAACATTTCCTTCGCCTTCGGTCGCGGATCTTCCTTGAAGTAAGGGTGCGAGAGGATCTCGGTGGCCGACGGGCGGCCGCTGGGGTCCATGGACAACATTGACGCAAGGAGACGGAGGCCAGAGTTTGTGAGGTACGGGAACTTGGACACGGAAAGTGACGACGATGAGGAGGAGGACGAGGATTTGGACAGTATGGGATGCAGGGCTTTCGCGTTCGGCAGGCTTCTGAAGCCCGGCCAGGTCTCGTTGGTCGGGGTGCCCAGCAGCGCGAAGATCCGCGACAGCTGGTCGACTTCGGTGTTGCCCTGGAACAAGGGTTCCCTGGTAAGGAATTCGGCAAAGATGCAGCCGACGCTCCAGATGTCGATTTCAAAGTCGTACTCCTCGGCGCCCAGCAGGAGCTCCGGGGCGCGGTACCACAGCGTCACGACGAGCTGGGTGAGCCTCTGCGGCCGGGGGTGGCCCGCGTACCGCGCCATACCGAAATCCGCGAGCTTGATTTCGCCGCGGTTGTTGAGCAGGAGGTTGGACGTTTTGAGGTCGCGGTGCATGATCCAGTTCGAGTGCAAGTACTCGGTGGCAGAGACAAGTTGGAGCATGAGCTGTTTCGTCTCCGACGGGAGGAACGGCTCGGCCATGTCCTCCAGAAGCGTCTTGAGGTCGTGTTCGAGGAACTCCATTACGAGATAGACACTGTTGAGACGCAAAAAAAAGATTAAAAGAAGAGAAATGGTTAACAACGTCTGGTACCGGCGCTTTTCAGGGCAGGGAGATCCCCCTCCTGGGAAGCGCGCAGAATGCTCCCAAGGGGGGATGGAGGGAGGGACTTGGAATAGACTTACTCTCTCAAACTGTCGCCCATGACGACCTCGAGAAGTTTGACGACGTGGTCGTGCCGGCACGACTGGAGCGTCTGTATCTCTCGTAGGCCCGTGACGGGGAATCCTTCGGTTGCCTCGTTGTGCATTTTCAGACGTTTGAGCGCCACGATGGCGCCGCTGCTTTTCTTGCGCGCCCGCGACACGAATCCGTACGAGCCCTCTTCGATACTGTTGAGTGTCTCGTACTGCGAGACATGTCTGCAGGGTTGGATGGCGCGGGAGGGAAAGTGTAATAGGTGTGCGCCTTCTTCATCCTTGTCTTTTCCTTCGCCCGTACCATTGTTCTGGGACTCCGAGGTTCGTTGCCGCTTCGGAGGTCGTTGATCATCGCCAGAGGGAGTGTGTGAGGCAGACTCGTCTGCATGTGTCGTTGTTGCCTCGGCGGCCTTCCGGGCTTTCTCTTCCTTGAGACGTTTGCGCTCCTCCTTCTCTTTTTTCCGCAATGCTAGGGCTGCAGCGGCCTCTTCATCGTCGTCATTGGCCCATTTTGAGGTCTTTGAGGCCATGGCGACGCGACTCTGGCACAGAAATTCTCAAAGCGCGTCGGACGGGTCCAATTCAGCCAGCAAACGTGGTCAGCTGCGCGACAGAGGGAATCCTGAATACAAGTAGATTTGTGGCTTTCGGCTTTGGTTGCTGCTATTGAGCGCCTGATCACATGATCATCTGTGCCTCAGCCTCGTTGTTGGACACTACGATCGAGGCGGCGGCTTCAAGCTGAACAGATCGAGTGATTAGTGAGGAACGCGGGATAAGCAAGGCCTTTGCTAATTTTTGATTTGCTCGATTGCAGCTAATATGATCGCGTCTATTTGACCCCAGCGCCTTCTTAGAATATCTCTTTGAACATGGACACCGGCAGTCAGCTTCGAGATCTGCTCAAGTCGGCCCCTCACAATACTCCTATAGTTCCCAAATACTTTTAGAAGGAGCCCATTGACAATGCGCTTATACCTATCGTCGTCATCAAACCCCTTTGCTAAGCCACGCCGCCACTGCCGTAGAGGCATGCAGAGCAGTCTCACTGCCACTTTTGTCCGGTAGCATGCTCCATCCCGATCAAGGTGGTAATTTAGCCAGTACCCTTCATCCTGAAGGATCTTTTTCCGATCTTCACTCAGTAAAGGAATGACAACATCATCGAGGGTGGTCTCATCCCAGCGATTCCCGTCAAAAATGAACCCGTACTCGACAAGCAAGAGATCGTTCGAGTGGCTGCCGTATGAGATCAACACCTCTTCCCCTCTATCGTACCGTCGATCTGCTGTGATCTCATAAGATGATGCTGAGTATGACACTTTACAGCCAATGTCAGCATGGTTGAAGTAATCTCCATATGGCACCACGGCTAGGCATTCGTCCGAATTTACTGGGGGCAACTTCATTTTGGGAGGAGTGTGATAGAACGTCCTTGTGTTGATCAAGAGCCAAAAGTAACGAAACTCCTCGAAAGATATGTTGATGTGCCCGGCTGACACTGCATCCCAGTCTTTTTGTATTTTGGCTGCTTGCTTGGACAGAACACCTCTTGCTTTGGACGGCAGAAACTTAGCAACGCCTTCTTCCCACGTGACTGGCAGGGTCTGAAAGTCCTCCATGCTGGGAAGACTCTGTCGCCAAATAGCATATTCGCTGGATTCGTCCTGGGCCAACTCAACCGCGAGAAGTCCGTTGTTGCTGCACGAATGCAGTGATTCAATAATCTTCTTGGGCAACGTCTCAGCGGTACGTACAGCACTCATAGGTATGGTCATCAGGACTTCTCCGGGCTGTTCGGCATCAGACGTGTTCGCAGAGCCCACGATGAGATAACGTCAAGCAAAAAATCTCCGCTTCAGAAGGTCACCTACCTCAATATTCCTCTCGGCCAGGACACCTAAACCCCTGCCAGCGAAGGCATGGGCTTTGATACCATTGAGCTTGTAGCCACGACTCAAAGCCCATTCTGTGAGATTCTCGTGGTTGCTCATAATACATCGTAACGAGAAAAGCTTTTGGAACGTGTCGAGGTTGTCGAGAGCGATCGGAAGGAAGCGATGTTGATGCTGGCCTAAAAGCAGCGTCTGAATTTCCATCGGAATCCAACATCTTCCGGGTGCGGGGATATTTTTGGGCCGTCACTGTTAATTACCAAGCATATCTCTTTTTAAGGTACATTCTGTATCTATACTTCAAGTCGTGCAGTGGTGACTCTTAACGAAGTCTTTACTGGTGTTCCTCAGACCATCCATCGTTAGTTTCCCTTTTTCTGCCTACTAGAGATAAACAGACCAAGATGGGAAGCGTAGGGATTGAGCCATTTCAGGTGAGTCAGGCCTGGTATACTGGAGTAGCCAATACTCACTATACCGCGAGACCACGTTCGCTGTGCCACTCCACTGTGAGTCTTGCGTTAAAGATGTCACTGGGGCTTTGAACCAACTAGAAGGTATGTCCATGCTGTTTCAGAGTTGACGGGCTTCAGCAGTGACACTTTCCTGCCAGGCATCCGCAAGATCGAGTGCAATCTCGCCGACCAACTCTTTTTTATTGAAGGGACAGCACCCCCGTCATCTATTGTATCAGCCATCGAGTCTACCGGACGAGATGCGATCTTGCGAGGGAGTGGGAAGGCGGACTCTGCTGGGGTGTGCATCTTGGAGACGCACGCGAAGGGAGTGTCAGATCCTGTAAGAGGGCTGGCAAGGATGGTCCAGGTGTCAGAAAATCGAACCCTGGTGGACCTGACTTTACGTGGGGTATCGCCGGGAACTTATCACGCGACGGTGCGGGAGACGGGAGATATCTCACGTGGTGCAGGATCAACCGGTGGCATCTGGCAAGCGGTCAAGGCTCTGGGAGGCTTCGATCAGCCTCGCGGCATGTTTGGCACCGTCGAAGTTGGCAAAGATGGCCGCGGCAGTGCCTTTTTGGACCGGCCTGTGTCAATTTGGGAAATTATCGGTCGCAGCATTGTCGTGTCGAAACAGCGAGAGGGACCGTTTCAGACCGAGGACGCAAACACCCTGGTCGGGGTGATCGCTCGCAGTGCCGGCGTCTGGGACAATGACAAGACAGTATGCAGCTGTTCAGGGAAGACGGTCTGGCAGGAACGTCAGGAGCAGGTCGGAAGAGGAATGATATGACCTGATGTACGCTGAGGACTATAGTTGTTGTCTGTAGAAAATGTCTGATGTATGTTAGCAACAAGCTGCGATTATTCGGCAGCAGGCTGCATTGGCCGCCGAATGATTGCGGGTTGGACCGGTCTTCTGCACAACGATGCATCCCCCTGCATTGTACTGCCAAAAGCCGAGATTCCGACAGTACGGATAGGCAGGGCGTGTCGAGCCAGTGTCCTTGCTTGAGAGTTTGAGGAGCATCCGAGGGAGTCGGTTGGTCGTCAAAGATTGATTCTGAAACGAGGCTTAGCCACATATCATCGTCGGAGAGCAAGGTCCACCGCAGATGACGGAGACGTGAAACTGGGTCACAATGCGTTAGACCCGGTTGTGATAGATGACGAAGGATACGAAAACGTGAGCAGAGGACGGGATGGGAGACGTGTACCGATGCTGTGGCGTGGACTGCTCAGGTGATGAGCTCAAGTCACTCAGGCCACTTGAGGGTGTCGATATCGCTCAGAGGAGGAAGCGATCTTTGATCACGTCGCCTGGAGGAGGAGTCGACTGACTGGTGGACCGTGGACCGTGGTCACGGTACCTCCGGTACATGCCTACAGTAGTTAGTGAAAGGTGCTCAAAAGGGCACGGATCTTGTACTTATCGTAGGCACTCCGTCCCTGAAGTTCGGATACCTCACCTGCTGCCAGCCTAGATGCCTTAGTGTGCTGAACTATCTATCACACCTACGTACCTTGCCTACCTCACGGTCTCCTTACTTAGTGCCTAAATGACCCTTGATGCCGGGTTCGAAGTTCTAACTTGAGAATAGCGTCCGTAGATCGCATTGCGGCCTCTGCGCGGATTCCCAGCCCCAGACGGCCCTGCCCGCCCCCTAAAAACAGTCTTTGCACAGACAACAGGGACGACGTCGGGGGAACTGTAAATGCCAGCCTCTTGGGGGCCCTGAACAGCGGCAGCCGCAACCTTGACAGAAACCACGGAGTAAGTGGCTGTCGTGAAGCGAGGGAGCCTGCAAAGATATCCACCCAGACACCGGCCCTGGCGAGTGATAGAGCCTCGAGAGGGAACCTGGTTCTGTTGGTGCTTCAGGAAAAAAATTACTGTGACAGAATCTGCCCCCGGGCCAGTCACCACGACCTCCTTTCCTCACACTATCAAACACCATCATCAGTCCTGCTTCTCCCCTTTCCTTCTCCTGGTGCATACAGAACGCTCTTTTCTATACCAAAGGCCACACGCTCCTTCACTTCTCATAGACGCTATTTTCCCATTATCTGCACGCTGGTCGTCACTAATAAATTTTGATCAACTCGACTGCACCGCCAATTCGTTGACGTATTGGCGCCGAGAACGCCTGCCACCTGTTTGGGCGCTTAATCCTTGGATATCGAGATTCTGCCACCGACGCCGACTCCCGAGCCTTCCAGCATCGCGCAGCGGTCCACTCGTCTAACCTCGATCGAGTCCCGTCACCACGGATCCCTCGCTTCCAATATCGTCCCAGTCACGACCTCTCCGGTCGCAGTCCGGCCCTCTACCTCCTGTACTTAATATAGCCTGCATAAGCTGCACGCTTTCACCTTGGAGAGGATTTCATCTTCAACTACTCTGGGCGCGGCGCCATGTCGCTCAAACAGGTGTGTTATGCGGTTCCTGGAGAGACCTTCTTCCCTAACTCGTCGCAGGAAATCGAGACTTGGGTTGAGGCCCTCACCCACTACGACAATCAGGAATTCGAGGAAGCCTTGACCATCTTTGATGCTATTGCGGACACGTCTAAGATCTTGTTCAACTGCGGTGTCATTCATGCGACAATTGGCGAGCATGACAGGGCGGTATGTTGAGCCTTCCGAGTGGGGAGGTGGAACAAAACACTGATGGGTGAATAGGTGGAATGCTACCAGAGAGCAATCAAGCTCGACCAATATCTGGCGGTCGCATACTTTCAGCAGGGTGTGTCCAACTTTCTCGTCGGTGACTTCGAGGAGGCTCTGGCCAACTTCAATGACACACTGTTATATCTTCGAGGCAACACATATATCGACTACGAACAGCTCGGACTGAAGTTTAAACTCTACTCATGCGAAGTCTTGTTCAACAGGGGTTTGTGCTATATATACCTGCAGCAGGAGGAGGCTGGCATCCAGGACTTTACCTTTGCGCAGAAGGAGAAAATGACCCCAGACCATGATGTGATCGACGATGCTATCAAGGAGAGAGCCCAGGTATGTATTCAGTACAAATATTGCTTGAACCAGCACTAAGGGGAACAGGGATATGTCGTTTTCAGCATGTGAGTATTGGGCTACGTATTGCTCTGCTTCTAGGGCAAGGGGTTGAAGTTTTGCAGTGGTGGCGGCTGACGATATTTTTATAGACCCGTCGGATGTGTCTACCGACCAAACGAGGCGAAGGTGAAGAACCTCAAAGCCAAAGATTACTTGGGGAAGGCTCGGTTAATTGCTACCTCCAACAGTGCCAACACTGGCACTGGTTTCGAAGGCGCCGAACGCAGGCAAGCTATAGCCACTGAACTGGGGGCAAAAGATGACAGGCCTCCCGAAAACATCAGCTTCGCCGCAACCAACCTCGTCCAGCGGAATCTGTCGAGCAGGGTTCCTCGAGATCAAAGTGCTCCTCCAGTAATGAGCAGGAACGTGTTCCCACCAACTCCGCCCCCGGAGACAGAGAAGCCCAGGACCAACAGCACTGGCAACGCAAACCTTCCCATCCGATCAGCTTCTTTGCGCAATCCACGGCCACTCTACCCCACAAAACAAGACATGGAGCCACCTCGGCCTGGTATGTTGTCGCGTGCAGCAACTTTTGATCAACAACCACCCCTGGGTCGGAGTAGGATGCAGCAACCATCCATGAACGAGGGATCATGGCAAGACGGGGCCTCAATGCTAAGTCAGCAACCTCCGATGGAGAGAGCTCGCTACGGTACTCAACGAACAGCGTCTGAACCACGCAGAGCACCTTCACGGCGACAAGGCCCAGATAGATCAATGTCGCAGAGGGTGCCAGCTCCGGCGCCTCTGTTCCGCGAACAGCCAAGATATGAGGACCCGACAGACGCTGTGGACGATGTCTACAGTATGTACGCGAGTCCACGACCCATGCAGCGACGACCCACGCAAAGACGCCAGGAGGAAGAGTTCTTCAACGAGGAAGATGAATACCTCGATGAAGAAATCGCCGATGACGACGACATGGACGGTTTTGAGCCGATCCGCGCACCATCACGTTCTGCGTCGCGGTCCGGACGCGGCAGCAAACGGCCCGAAATGCGCAAGGTCCGAGTCAAATGCCATTTCAATGAAGATACAAGATACCTCATGATCGGCGCAGTGATAGATTTTGGAGACTTTGAGAGCAAGATTCGAGAGAAATTCAGCATCAAAGATCGATTGAAGATCAAAATGCAAGACGATGGCGACATGATCACTATGGGCGACCAAGATGATTTGGAGATGCTGTTAGGCAGCGTCCGAAGTCAAGCTAAGAAGGAGAGAAGCGAGATGGGTAAGATGGAGGTATGGATATCAACATGATGATGTCCTTCCTAGCTCTTTCTTTGGCAGTGCAATGTTTCGTGGGACGCTTGTATGTCACTTCGCCCACGCATACTTTGGACTTTCTCGATTCGCCATCACCATGATTTACAGGTGATGCATCCGATGCTATACGAAACGCAGCGTTATGACGAGCACTAGCAACAAGTTTGGAATATTCTCTACTTTTGAGAAGAACGAACAACAACAATTAGGTCGAATTTAAGCGAGGAGTTGGACAAGAAGAGATCATCATCCCTTTCTTTTTTGGGGGCCGCTATTGAGAATACCTAGCTACCTAAGGTACCTACTTGGACTCTGAGCACGTACTGGTTGCTATGCGGAGTGCAGTGTGCTGGACTGTTTGCTATACTGACTGAAATGTACTGGATGGCCATGGTCGTTTGATTTACCTGAGTTACCTGGGTTGGGTGCCTATAGTCTTCACAAGACTATCACTCTTTCGCTTCCACTTGGTTGCTCCTATTTGGTCAAAGACTTGGAAGATCTATAGTTGCCACCTGTACGGAGTATCAATCCACCCGACTATCTACATTCTCCTACGTATACAGAATACCAAAAATCTAGATCTATGCAGTGTCAAACGTATTTCTTGGTGCTCAGCCCTTTAGAAACATGATGATCTCGCTATGGCTTGACTCGTTACCCTTTTGTATTCTTACGATTTGACTTGTCACCTTTTGTCTCCCAAGTTCCATGCTCGAACTGCAAGCTTCGTTCGGTTCTGCCATTGAATATCTAAACTACGTAGAGAATACCCGGAAAAGAAGAGAAAAAATAAAGACACGGTGGAAATGACATGATTGTTTGATCACACCACGGTTGGCGCCCCCCCCCCCCCCCCTCTCCCTTCACCTACCACCGTCCCATTAGGTATTTTTGTGGCCCTGCTAGGTGGGTGTTGGGTGGTCGTCGGTTGGCGGTCCTCCCGTTTCTGTTTTGTTCATACCCGTGCGCGCGTGAGCCTGTGGCACCGGGACATCTCACCCATTACATTCATTCATTTGTGTACAGTTCGTTTTCGCTTATCGAATTGTACACCCACCGCACCCTTTTGTCCTCTCCTTGATCCAACCTTTGGTCACTTTGACATTGGGATACTCGGTCTCAAAGAGGATGAGGATACAAGTCACGTCTTCACCGTTGTGTGCGTGTCGCCGAATGAAGACGTCGTGCTCGGGTCGCCAATTCTTGGGTTGAGATGATGATGATGATGATGATGGCATTGTGATAGTGATGTAGCCTTTTGGCCTTTTGGGTCTTTACTCTTTGCGCTCCTCCTTGCTTATATCACTCCTCCTGCTCCCTCCACCTTCTTTCTCCTTATCCGCCCTCTTCACAATGGTCCGTGGCAGGTCTGCCTGAACTCCCTAGTGGCCCAGTGGTAAGAGAAAAGGAGCCAAGAGTGGATGGCTTGGTCGTCGTTCGGTAGTCGTGCCACTTCCGGGAAGGGCGAGGAAAATAGAAAGCCGAAGAAAATTGCCAAACTGGGCTGGAGCCGTGAGGTTGGCAGTGAGAGTGAGACGCAGTACTTCCCTCGGTTCCTCGAGGAGCGGAGCGGTGCGGCGTGGTCTCTCGTTCAGAGGTCCAATGAATCAATGATCCAGGAACGTTTGTGGAATCGATTGGATTGAATTGATGCCTTGCTTTTTGGGCGTGGAACTTATGGTGGATGTGTTTCCCCTTTTTGTTCCTTCACAGGTGCAACACCTCGTCGTGATTGGATGGCAATTATTGCACGGGATGAGAGTTTGAAGATCAACCACAACGAAACCCCTTCTGCTCTGTGCGCGCTGGGGGCGGATTTCTGAGAATTGGGAAACCCTAAAAAGTGCCCGGGGAATGGATGATCGAAGGGAGAAGAGCGTACAAAAAGAAAAGGGTGCACAAGACGAGGTTTTGTACTTCACCTTTTGGTTCCATTTCTCCCCCCTTTCTTGGTTACTTCCGACGACAAGGGAACCTAGCGAGTAAAACTGGAAGCCACATTGTTTGTGATTGCAAAAAAAAAGGTCAACAAGATGTCACATATGACGAGGGGGCCTGCAAGAAGGTAATCATCTTACCCACAGGCACCTGGATGGACAAACAACGTCTCAACAACATACCGAAAGAGGCTCCGCGTGTGATGGATCATCTCGACCCTTGACCCGGAAGTGATCTTGTCTCTTCCGCGTAGAGGCATCGAAGGAAAAGGCGGTCTCAAAGAAGCCAGCCAGACACGGATCGACGTGAGCTTGGCCGTGCTGTCGTCTTGACAAATAAAGTAACAGGAGCCACGAGGCTTCGACGGCTGATATCCGGACTGGACTTGGGTAGCAGGTCAGGTATGGTATGTACATGTTGGTCAAATATGGTGCCGTCACCCGTGTCAAGAGAGTCACTTCCGAGCAAAAGGTGGTTGAAGGGGAAAGAGTGCCAGATTGATCTCTCGACTGCAGGAGGAATTCCGCCGTCGATTGATTTGTATTGCGAAGGAAAGAGGATCTGTTCATTAGCCCTAGTGCTATGTTGTCTTTTTTGGACATTCCAAATGCCAGTCGTCGGCGGAAGTTGTTGTCCTTCCCCGTTTAAAGCCCTTATGTAGCCTGCCGTTGAATTCTTCAAATCAACCCGCTGATACTCCACCATCCCATGAACTCCAGGCTGCTTTTATTTCCCGCTTCCGTTATGCTGTATACACTATCCGCCGGGTCATTATTTATCATCCGAGAGGTTCGTTATATTAAAAATTCGCAGAGTTGCGTCCGAGGATCAAGTGAACATGTCTTCAAGAGAAAAAACCAAAACCGTTGGCGAACCAGGTGAATGACATGACTGTGATGGCCGCAGTCATCAAAACGACACCAAATGCTTGTTTCTCGTGGCTAGAAAGCGCACCGCTGCAGGTGGCGCATTTGAATTCGTTGAGAGGGGTGTAGGGTTGCCTGTGATCCGGTCAGTTCAATGTCCTTGCCCTCATTTGTCCAAACAAAACCTACCCAGTGTACATGCCAAAGACATACTGATCATATGCACCTAGATACCCGGCAGATGGGATATCCGTCACATCCTTCGCCGCATCGTGGATCACCAAGGTATAACTCGCAACAGGGAAAGGCGATGTGATGGCCTCTGGGAAGTTGCCCGTGTCCCATGTGACAGCCCCGGTCTCCTCTACAGATATATTGGAGGCTATCGTATATGTTGCTTGGTTCAATGAACAGGATGCGAGAACGTCGATGGCCGACGGCGTTACAGACAGGGAGGTGTAGTTCCATTTGAATGTTACATACTCCCCGACTCTGAAGAATTGTAGCCCGTCAGTCGCGGCGGGAGTAATCAGGGAGACTCCACCGGGTGGGAGGCGAGGGTCGATGGCTGTTGTCTTGGTTGCAGTCGTCTTTGTCGGGCTCTTTGATCCAGATTTGGCAGTTCCTGAGGAGGCAGAAGTTTTAGAGCCCGACTCGGATTCCGAGGCAGAGGCAGAGGCTGAAGCAGAGGCTGAAGCAGATGCCGAAGCGGACGCCGAGGTTTTCTCTGCATCATTTTGGGTATCGGTAGATGCAGCGGGTGTTATTGTTGATTTTTCATCTTGCTCTTGTCTCGGTAGGAGCAGAGCATTTTTTTCATGGTTGGACAAGGCTGGCCATGGCCACGCCGTGGTAAAGGCTAGGAAAACCAGCAGGGTAGATAGGACAGAGTAGAGGCCGTAGCCTTTCATTTCGACTGAGGGTGCACGGGCTTCTTGAGGTCGGGGTAGCGGTCTGGACAGAGGGATGCTTGGGCGGAATGATCGGTAGGCAGATGGCACAGGATCCAACAGCAGCAAGAAAGTCTGGAAATTAGAACGATCGTAGTTAGGAAGCAGAAAATAGCGAGGGACTGCACATGAGGCAAAAGAAGATGCACAAGAATATGGACGAGCGCAGCTTGAGAAAGGAGTATGTGAGTGACTACGGATTCGGAGACTGAAATGGAAAATCATAAGTCAATTGTCTCACCCTGGACGACGGGGATCCGAGCCACAACAATCTGCCTGCCAACCGCGAGCCGACCGCGTTCCCACAGCCACGTCCAGGTCAGACCTCCAAGCCTAGCGAGCCTATCGCAGCCTATGTGAGCCTCCCTCGCCGCCCGCTAAACCGCCTGGAGTATCGCCTCGATTTATTTTGGTCCCTGGTCCTAGTCTGACTTGACTTCAGATGTCTTGACTCTTGACACACCTTCGACACCAAAATATCATACCAAGTTGTTCTCTCGATTCAAGTCCATCACCGGCTACAGTATCGAGCGTTTGATAACATCTCAGCGCCAGACTGCTTCCACGTCCAGAAAGGTGTCATGTTGCTCGTCTCGGGCCTTCCTCCCCTTCTGTGTCTCCCCACCACTGTTTTCGTTGCATTCAAATGCCCAATGTTGTGGCTGATTAGCCGGCTGCCTAGCCAGCACGATGGCAATACAGCGTCGGAGTACATCCAATTTCTCTGTCTTGGCTCGTTCGGGACCCCAGGCCCGATTGAGTAAAACGGGACTGCCGTCTGCATCGGTCATGATAGAATCGTGGTCATGTCAGGGGCACAAATCCGGATTTCTGTTTCCTGAATCTCGAGACTGTTCAGAGGCCGTCTATCCCAAGGCGATGCATTCTCCATACGTGCTGGCGGCGTCCCGAGGATCAAGTTGGAGTAGCTGTTGATGGTTACAGAGTGGTTCGCGCTCGCCTTCACAACTATCTGTCAGGTCGCCGTATCTTTCGTCCACGGAACTCCAGTGCTGGCGGCATGGCTTGACAAACGACTCCTTCAGTAAATCCACCTAGACTGAGCAGAAAGAGTCGGGTACATAACATCCACGTCAGGCGCACTCCGGATGGAGAGCGAGAAATTCAAATCTCTCATTGTCTTCGGCAGTCTTCAACTGCCTGATCAATGGAAGCTGCAGCTTGTTGTTGACCAGTATGTCGCACTTGTCACAAGGTCTGGTTTTGATGTCGTGATAAGCTGCAATCATCTCCTGCACGCGATTAGCCTGGAGAAAATAACAGAGACAAACACGTCACCTACAAGTAGTGCCATGAGATTGCTTCGAACATCGGACTTCTTGATGCTCTCAAGAATGCGATCACGCAGCGCAAAAGGTTCTGTCCCCGGTTTGTACGTCGCCTTGAAAGTTCCGGTGCTCGCATCTCGGCTCTTTTCAATACGAAATTCCACTTGACCTATGCCGATATCCAGAGGCAAAGGATTCGCTTCGTGCGCAGGGGAGATCTTCAAGTCCGGGTGTTTGACCTGAAAATCGCTAACGATTTTGGCGATTTCCGCATCGGTTTGGCCATTGAGGCTGTGGGTAAGGGTACGAGACTCAAGCGAGGTAGAATTCTTGCCCTGGTTCTGAAGGATCAGAGTGTCGTAGTCCAAAGTCCAGGCATCCCCGCCCTGGGGTACGTCGCCAGTGTTGACCACTTGCCACAGCTCGCGTACATCATCGCTGTGCCAGTCCTTTTTGAACTTTTCAACGTCCCGGATCCCTGCTTGTGCAGCATCTTGCAAATAGGCTGCTAGCTTTTCTGGTTCATACCTGTGTGGATTCTCCAGGGCGAACCTGGTCGGGTTGATCAGCTTTTCTGGCAACAAAGTCCGCAGACCACCAATCTGTCGCAAATGAGCCTGAGTCTACGAAATGGGCTAACAGGCCGCTTTCATTCTGCGGTATGCGAGGGTGGTAACTGACCTGATTGTACATGTTCTGCAGTTTCGCGAGCTTCTCCATAATCTCGCGGTCCTCCGGCTCAATTGCCTGTTGGCGGTCCATTTCGCGCATGGCAATCTGAACGGGTGGCTGTTGCAAACTGGGTTGAACAATATAGGGTGAAGACTACCAATTGAGAGCATAGACGTCTGATGCGACTATACAATGTAAGCCGTGTGCCATGCGGGTCGACAGCGTAAAACTTGTGATGGCAGTTGATCGCGACGTCCAGTTCATGCCATCCCAAACAGTGAGAACAGTGGGGAGAGACAGAGAGAGATTAGCAACGTCGGAGTCGAAGTCAAATATTGATCACGTGCCGGCAATCACAAGTACGAATACGAGGGGCTAGTGCGGAGCATCTATCTACTACTCCCTTACCTACATGTAGCTACTTCCTACTCCCACACCAATTGCCTGGGGTGGGACGACTGGACGTTTGTGGATTTGTTTGAGTGCAGGCCAACAACTCTATGAGAGCCTGCAACATGATCATAGGTGCGATAATGTCCCGTTCCATTTGAAGGGACAACAACGACATCCAGCTAAGGCTTTGTTTTTATCTACGTCTCCAAACCAAGATCTGGACCGTATGATGAGCTTTGTTTGATGCTTCACATTTTCGTCTTTGCTTGCTCCGACAGATATCTGACTCTGCCTCTCCCTCAAGTTCCCTATGCACAATATGTCTTCTTCAATCTCCAGCAATCCACAGGCATTTTTTGCCATGATGGCTCAAGCAAACCCGGATCTACCAGTTCCACCTTCGTTTCCATCTCCTAGTGAAGTCAGAAACAAGTCGATGACCTATTCCAAAGAAATCTTCACTAGCTGGACCATCATCCATGACATTTTGGCACGTCGCGAGGAGGTGATTCGGAAGCGCTGGGTTAACAAGAAAAAGGAACAGCGGAAGAAAATTCTCTTAGACGCATGGCCAGGCATGCCTGAGCGACACCGACCCGATTTCTACGAGCTTGGGAAGACCGGAGCACGTTCTGCATCGAGAAATACCGAAGCTTTCAAGTATCCCTATGTCAACCAAGAAGATCTACTTCACGGAAGAGCACTGTTATTGTTCTTGAATTCACGCGGTCGAAATCCCCCCCATACCTTCGCCCATGCCGATCTCGATGCAACCCATCTTGGACAGACTAGCAAGATGATTATTCCGGTATTCCTCAATGGGTACACAATGTATATTGCGGGTGAATCAGACTCAGACACCTACGGCCGCCTAGTTAGCTGGGACGATGACGACGACGCATTCATGCTGCAGCACAATTGTCTCCAGTTCCAACCTGGGACGGGGCTTCTCGTTTTGGAAATCCAAAGCAAGATCTATTCTTTCCTTCTCGAATGCTGCTACCAAATACTCCACGATATCCCACGAGACGAGCTCGTCAGCCTCCAACTTCCCGAGCAACCTGAGCCACCGCCGATCGTCGCTTCAGGGACCTCCTACGCACAACTCTCTTCATTGGCAGCAGAAGCGCCATATAGATTACCAGCCAAGCTTGATACACGTCGACTTGTTCTTCTGGTAGAAGCCAAGCGAGCTGCTGCTGAAGACCATGTCTGGGATCTGAGAGAAGATCCAGGCTATTTCGCATCGGTGGCTGTTGACCGAGCGCAACATCGCCAGGAAAGCCTTCTCGACATAAGGGGCCAACGTCATCCACACGACGATGACGAAGTTTTCTGGAATCGAGTGATAGGAAACATAGCTTGCGACGGTTACATGTCCTTTCTGTGTTGGGATCTTCTTCATAAGTACACTGTCAGTCTAGACGATGCACTCAAATCTGCCGGAACCCTTGTACATGACCAGCCACTGCCTAAGAAGCTCGAGACCGCACTGGTGGAGTTATGCTTCGCTGCCGAAATGGTTTCAAAGGGGTTGATTGGAGAATTGAAGTCCATCGTGCCGGCTTCATCACCAGTGCGCGAGCGCTTTGTCCGAGAACCCCAACGACCAGGAACAGCCGTCATCCAGACCAAGACGAAACAGGCTGTCGGCAAGGACCCCCTACTACAGCTGTTCAACATGTTATGGGATGCAGACAAGGTGTTTTTGGCGCAACTTCCTAACGTGGTAGATGAGTTACAGCGATGCGTTGATCACGACCCTGGTCAGAAGAGCAGAATGTCATCCTTCGTCGCTGGGTATTTCTCCGATCTGGCCCTTATTACACAAATCATCAGGCAGGTAAAAACCTTCTTTCCATGGGCTGCAGGTTTGGAGTTAGAAAGGGGCCCAGAGAAGCGACGCCAAGGGTATGATCGTGCCACGAAAGATGTAGGAACTGTCTATGAATCTTTCAATGAAGATATCGCTCCGAATCTCGCGCGCATCGTCGTCCCCCTCTCGAGACACTTGAAATATCCCATCGATAAGCTCTACAACGCGACGAATGTGAACGCTTGTCGTCAAGCTGAAGATCAATTGGACAGGTTGTGGAAGGTTGTCGATGGGCATTTTCGAAAACATACAGGCAAGACACTTCACGCGATATTCCTCAATCACCATGTGAAAGCTCGAGAGATCCGTCGCACGCCAGAATGGACACCTCCACCAATAGTGCCCCCGCCGCCGCCTAAGGGGAAAGAGAATGAAGCCCTTAGCAACTCATTTGCGAGTTTCGGTATTGAAACCGACAAGCCGGGCAAATTCAAAGAATCGGAGGTTCCTCGATCATCGAAAATTAAAACTCGCGGCCCCTCTCACCTACCCAATTCCAGCGACGCTACACCTCCTGTACCCGAAGATCCAACTGCTGTTTCAACGGGCCCCTTCCCAGTCTTCACCCTCCCGCGACGGGCATACAAAGTGTTCGCCTCTCTCTTTTCGTCACCCTCCAACCCTTCCCAGGGTGGCGAGGTGCACTGGACAGATTTCCTACACGCGATGACGAGCATTGGCTTTTCTGCGCAGAAGCTATATGGCTCCGTATGGCAATTCACGTCGCCGGATGGAAGAGATTGGGAGAACACGGAAACCCGTGGAATCCATATTCACGAACCGCACCCAGTGCCGAAGATGGGCCTTAGCACGGCGAGACGGATTGGAAGACGATTGGAACGGAGATATGGACTTAGCGCAGACAGGTTTGCTTTGGCGTGAAGGAGGCGCAATTCGGAATTTGCAAAGCGACTAAGGATCGAGAGGAGAGGACGAGGTTGAATTTCGAAGGTCCTGTTCACGAGTTTCAAAAGATTAAAGGGGCTAACGTTGCTTCTCCTTGAGCAGCGGTGGCGACCTTTGATTGTAACAGAATTAGCTGTCCAAAACATAACAGCATTCTTCAAGAGGGCAATATTATCCACCCAAACAATTCTAGCATGGAAGAGCATGGACCCATGTGTGATCCCCTGATGTCTCAAGGGAGCTCAATCGTCTGAAGCCAAACAAATCGACATGACAGATGATGGGTCGACTGGACATCCGGGGTTCGAGGAGAGAAAAGATATAGTCAGGAAGCAGTCAGGAAGCAACAGGTGAGCCAGAGGATGAGCAATGTGGCGAGTGGCTAATCACAAATGAAGTTAAAGAACAGGTTCTTCATAGCACTGCCTGACTACTATCAATTTCTAACCCGTCGCTAGCAGCTTCAAGAATTCGATCCAGAACGGTCGCCTATCACTCTCTTGGATGACAGGACTTGTCTTTCTCTTTGCATGATGGGACTTGTTCCATTCTTGCTTGGTTCTTCTCGAGGGGATTACCTTCGGCTATCGGGGTATTATGCTCACGCTCCACCAGTACGCGAATTCAGCATTTGTCCTGCCGTAAGCTCTCCAGCTTTTGACATTCACACGTCCAATTTGCTTCCCCTGCCATGTATTTTCGGACAAGTGGAGGGCCCAAAGTTCTGGTACAATTGACGATTCTGAAACGCGAGCAGTATTGACGCGGCCACAGACCTCGTCGAGCGTTCTGATCCCTTCGTCATCATTCATCACTGGGCTGCACCACGAAATCAATTTCATCTGTATGTGCGTTACGATGTATTTGTATACAAACTGCATGATGACATCAATGGCACCATCTCACGGCTTTGTTAATGGTCTGCTCTTCCCCGGGGGGCTGACTGCTGATATGAGGGTATGCAAACGATGCTGGCTTTGTCCAGAAAAGTACATCTCCACATACCAAGCATTTCTTGCGAGTTCAAAGCTATCAGTTATCGGGAGGAAGCTTATGAAACGTTTGATTTCAAGCCTTGTCATAAGCAATGGCGACAACTGTGAGCTATACGCATTATGAGTACGAAGCAACATTACAAGCGCTTCATGCATCAGCAGAACAGGCCCTTAGCCCAATTAAGCTCCAAGCGTCTGCTCTCGGTGATGATTTTGAGGGCCGCTTCTCCCACTACTTGGTTTTGGCCCGTCGATGCTTTGTTGCACACTACGAGAACATTAGGAGCTCTGGGAATCACACTAGACCTAGTCAGGCTCCTCCCCCGTACGAGCACACTTCGTTCGATAGTCAACTCTGTTACGTTGCGCTCGGTGGATTGCAATAGACAAACTTGGATTACCAGGACAGAGAAAGCTTTCAAACCGTGCAGCTGAGTCTTTAAAGGTGAGAGTTTGGGAAATGAGCGGGTCGACAGCGGCAGTATCAATCGGAATGATAATTGCCTGACGATGTCGCGTACATATTGTGCCACACTTGGAGTCGAAAAACATCGCGAAAGAACATTTGTTGCCCATCAACTCCTCCTAAGCGGTCAAGGAGATGCCAATTTTGGATACAGAGCAGAGCCCCCAGATCGTTCTGCACAGCCGGCAAATTCGACGCTAGTATTGGGGTTGCGCATGATGTTGATCATTGTCCCAGACGAGTAGTACAGCGCGCTACTTGTATGGCGACTCCCAAGCACCAAGCCTCTCAAAGAGGCCGGTGGATATTGCGATCTTGGCCTCGTATGGTCGGGGAAATGTCGAAAAGGAGACAATAATTGACAGAAAGGGACATCCTCGCGAGGCAGCGCATCATTGTTTTGTGCTGCCTGACTCTACACCTGACATCAGCAATGTTAGCTTGTTGCCTATCTGCAGCCACCACTGGGAAGATGCTACTCGTGCAGTATTGCACTCGCAAAGTCAACCTCTATGCACACCTGTACGAGGCATAGCGGGGATCATGCAACGACATCCGGCAGCTGGTTATAATGGGCCTCGATCTGTCGCCACGTGAGATCATTGTCAGCTTGTGCAAATGCAGTAATCGATGACCCCCTGCGAAGACCATCTTCTCGTGAGCCAGCTGGTCGGTGCTCGGTACCAAGGATTGGGCCACGAAACAGGAAGTGTAAAATATGGGACGGAAAAGGATATTCACGGGGCGCACGAAACCGGACTTAACTGTTGGTCCTACGGCGAAATTGTCCTCCGAGCCGGAATAGTCGAAGGGACTTTTGTTGGAAGCGTAGATGACTCCGAGAGACGGCATAATTTCACACCGATGACGCAGAAAAGCTCGTTTAGACAGGGGACACGGGTGCGCTACGCTCAGCTTGTCGATCGCACGAGGCTTACGGGGGGGTTTGTGGTTGTTTTTGATTGAGAGTCTGTCGTTCCAAATCTCGTACACATGGTTGGAACCTGGCTGGCCCACCGCAAACATTGGGGTGGTTGACATCCAAGTTGGTGCTAGAGAAATGTGCTTGTGAAATATCCCGAAGTGCGAACGCCTCCGTCCAGTTGGCAGTTGGCAGTTGGTAGCTTCGGCCGATAACGAGTACCTCGCCCTGAAACGGCCCAAGGGCAGAGCGGTGCAGTGGCTGGTTCAGCGGTTCCTCGATGCAAGCAGCAAATCGCCATCTGGTCCGGCATGCTGAGAGCTAAATTCATCATCCCGGTCTCGTCGCGAGGGCCAAGGGCGACGAATCACACCTCGCTAGGGTCCAAATTAGCCCTACTGCACGCCGTCCCAGTATTCAGTATACAAGGAGCACAATTGGGTGTTGGCGAGGGCGAGCCGGTCACAATCATACGACGCTAGCAAACGAACTCCACCTCCAGAACGGCGTCAATACCGCGTAACCGCAGGCTTCTCACCGCAGATGATCAGCATCCTGGCTGGCCCTGGCGCCGGTACGAGTACCACCGTCTGCATGTGTATCGCTCTACAATACGCCTCTCCGACCTATCCCCAGTCCCGATCCTGGCTGTTCACGCTGGCGTTTGGCTTGTGCCACGCCATCTCCACCACTTTCTCTTGCGCCCTCCAGGACTGTTATTTGTTTGGCACTACTCGCAACTAACGCCTCCGTACGGCATGCAAACGCCATGGCTCAGCAACCCTGGTATCCGCCCGAATGCATTTCGCTCGACCGCGGTCTGCGACTTGCACAGCGATCGACTGCCAGGATACTGTCAGCAAATGGGCCGGGGTAACTCGTCGCCCTACAAGGTCGAGATCCACTCTCTAACACTCTCAAACCCTCAGCAGGCACAGACGCCCTTAGGCTTTCGAGCCAGTATTCGACTCTTCTATGAATAAGCCCTTCTTCGCCCCCAACGAAGAAGCTCGTCGCTCTATGTTTATTAGAATCTTCTGACAATCGATCAGTCCCCTGATATTCCGTCTGGCTCTGAGTACATATGGGAGAACCCTCGCCCGGCCGGACAAAGGAAGTACATATGCGAACTTCGAACCCTCTCCCCGTTGTTTTCTAAATAAAACTTGACAAAACCTCCGACGTACTCTGGCACAGAACAATCATGGCCCTTGACACCAAGGAGGCAGCTATCTTCTCCATGACTCCTCCACCCAGCGAATTTGACGAATTCGATAAGAGTGGCCTGCTTACCTGCTCACCTGCTCACCCTGTCTTTACCTACCCTTCGCCGACTCCTTCAAGTAGAGACCACGCTTCATCGGTCTCTTCAGAATCACTATTCATGCTACCTGGCATGTCTTCGATGTCTGCCGAGCATCAATCCCACGACCTTCAACATCTACCCTTCGAGGACGCCACTACGTCCGATTCAGCTTCTTTTTTCTCTCTTCCGCCCGTCACTGATCCTGCCATGGCATTTCCCGGGACCTCGACTTCTGGTGCCGGTGCGACTTCGTACGATTTGTATGAGCAGAACAACTGGTACGGTTTCCCCAACTACTCTCAACCGCATCCCATCATGTCATACGACCCATCCCATTCGACTCCCTTTAACGGCTATGGTGGGCATTCGACGCAGCCGTCTTTGGCCAATATCATTCCCCCTACCCCTCAGGATATACAACCCACTCCTTTCGACTTCAATGCACCATCACTTGGGGGGGCAAATGGCCACTTGGTCGCCTCGCCATCGTTCTCTCACATCTCTCAGCCCAGCCGGAGTAGCATCTCCTCACTGTCACGGTCGTGTAGCCCCAATCCGCCCGTTTCCAAATCCATCTCGGGAGACTCCACCATGCTCCGACCTCCTGTCCGATCACACTCAACCTCTTCAAATTCTTCTCTACACCAATATGGCATTCCAGTAACAGACGCACCGTCCATGATTCATGGTGGAATGTCCCCTTCATCGGCAGGTTCGCCTGGTGGTACACAAGCCTGGCGATGTGCCTACCCTGGATGCACATCTCGCGCAACCTTCACACGAGGGTGCGACCTACGCAAGCACTACAACAGGCACAGCAAACACCTGTACTGCCGTGTTGACGGATGTCCTCAGAGCGAAGCTGCTGCGGCCGCCCGAGCTAAATCGGTCGAGCAACCTCTCGGCGGAGGCTTCTCCAGCAAAAAGGACCGGGCTCGCCACGAGGCCAAGCACAGCCCCAGCATCAAATGTGAATGGAGAGGTTCAGATGGTGAAGAGTGCCCTCGCGTCTTCTCCCGCATGGACAACATGAAAGACCACGTCAGGAGGATACACCTCAAAGAACATGGCCACCAGTCACAAAAACCTGGCCCCGTTCGAAGTTCAGGTCGAAAGTGAAGGGGCGAACGAGGATGTGAATCGTTTTCTGTATGGACAAAGCACCTCACTGTCTCTGCGAAAGGAACGCAGTTGAGACCTTTATCGAAAACACTCGTGCAACTGGGAGTCCTGAAAACAAGAAGCACGCCGTGCTACGTGACGAATGGTGCCTGCCCTCCTACAATTGGAACTGGTGAATGGCCGCCAGGACGGAGACATTATGGAGGAGGATTGGGAAATATTGTACCCCCCTTCCACTCCGAGTCCCATTTATCGTTGCTAGACAGTACCGAAAAAATAATAGCGCTCCCGCTCTCCACAGGAGATGTGGGAAGCGTCAATGGGATAGACATCTACGACGTGTGATACCCGAGAGAAGCAGTTGCTTCTGGAATACGAGCAATGCTGCCCTGCAGCAGATGTATGATGAACCAAAACCCACACACCCACCGCTTGAAGAAATGAGAATGAACAGGCAGTACGAGGAAAGAGGGCTTGAGCGTTTTTTCGGGGAGAGGAGGGGGGGGGAGGGGGGTAGCTAGCTAGCAAAAGGAGCGCCGGGGACTGACTCCTGGATTGACGTTTGACGTTGACGGAACTTGGAATGAAAACGTGTTGTATAGGACCCAAAAACCTGGAAACTTGCCTACCTACCAATCTCCCAACCTAAATTACCGATAGATAGGTTTTCATTTTTCTTTCCTGGATGCCTGTATCGGGAACTAATCGAGAGGTCCAGTTTGTGTGGATAGACTTGATACAATAGTGCCCGTCTAGCAGGCACGGAGTACGGGTGCTGTGCTCCATTTTTTTTTTTGCAACGGAGCCGCCTCTGCCGTACGAGGACAACAAGTAAACTTGTAACAGGTGTGTAAGGACAGGTACGCGTACGGGTGAGTGGGCGGTGCTTCATGTCCATGTTAGGTATAACCTGCGAACATAACGGGTATGTCCAATAATAATTTGGGGCCGTTCATCAAAACTCTCTTTTAGATTTACCCTTCTGCAGCACATACGGGAGTGCGGAGCACATATTATATAGCGTCATGGGCGTTGATGCGAAAAGGGACAATCGTCGCGATTTTACCTGTTCGAGTTGAGATTTACTTTGTCCTTTCGCCTGTGGCGGGACATTTTTCTTTATCAGCTCATTGTACGGGTATTGTAGTGCGTAGGTACCTAGATAAGCAGTAATCTGTAGATGCTTGTGCGAATAGGAAAGAATTGGCCACGCGTTGGCAGTCTAGTCAGTACGTAACTCCGTAGTTCACGCAGACTTGGACTCGGACTCGACTCGACTCGCCAAACAGGACCCAGGACCCAGGACCCAGGATATCCTGGGAGTAGGAGTATGAGTACCGAGAGGTTTCTGAAGTCAGCGGTACTGAACGGGGAGTCGGAGACTTCGAGACTTCTTTTTGTCCTTCCACACGTGGATATTCCTTACGTGTGTGGACGAACCACCAAACTTCGAAGATACTAACGTACGGAGGACGGAAGACGGGATAGTGCCCGGAGTACCTCTGGGCCAGTTCTGTAAATTCCTCAATCATTCCCACAGCAGGGGTTGGTGGCTTTGCACGTTTTTGTTTTGTAGGGGTAAGAAGGACTGTAGATATCTTTTTGCGCAGCCTAGGGATCCCAGTGTAGGCCCGACCACTCCCCCCGGGGCCATTCGAAACACCTACAGTACTGTACCTACCTGACTCAGGCAGCACAAACTAGGAGGGAGGCGACGTACTCGTGATCGTATTGTGTCCAAGGTAGCCGGACATCCACCTACCTAAAAAGGTTTACAATGTCAATTAACTTCTGATCAGATTCACAGTGCCCCATCATAGAGCGGAGTTTTTAAGGACAGAGCCTTTCCTATGCACTCCGTATCAGTATGCGTACCCTCCTTCAACGACTTGACCGACCTACAGAGCCGCTACGTGGTTAGTCGTCAGTGATCAGAGTAGTCGTACTCGTCCTCGTACTCGTCCGTCATGGCCTCGGGTCGCAAGGACCGGGGGCGCAGGACCGGACGGACCCAACGGCTTAACTCCGGCTTTGGTGCTCCGGTCGGGAGGGAGTATACGGCGCACGGAGGATAACAAGTTATGAGTCTTTTGTCAGAGAGGAGGACATTTCCGAAGCCGAGTCGGCTCTGGGAGAGAGAGAGAGAGAGATTGTGTGTTTTTTTGTCTAAATGTCAGAGCAAATCAGGGGCGTGTGCAACTCTGCAAATTGTCAGAAACAAGTCACAAAACAAAATGGGACTTTTGCACACACACACGCACAACCACTCAAAAGGTCCAAGAGATTTGGTGACGAGTGCTGCGTGCATCACCCCGTGGCAAAAACCCACAGGCCATGTGTTCAACGGTGCATGATGCATCAGCATCCTGAACGGGTATACCGAGTACACGCTGAGTTCTGAGCACACCTCTCCGGTATCATCACCATCATCAAGGTCGCAACTTGCGAGCGCAACGCTTACTTAGAAGTTATTAGTACCGTGCCGATTCGAAAGCTTACCTGACTTTCCATGGGCCAAGACTGACCGACGTCGACACAGCCTCAAACTACGTCGCTATGAATCCGAGCCAGGCAGAACTTAGTTTTTCTACTATTGTACGAAAGGCACTAAAACGAGCGCGCTCTACCGTTTTCTGATGCCCCCCTCCTTTTTTCATACTTTTGCAACACACCTCGAGTCGTGCCATGATTCGCGGTATTCGAAACTTGACGCTCGAATTGGGAATCTGGCTGACCACCTCGCGGGCACATGGATGCCAATGACTACCACAGACGTGGAAAGATTTCGCCGCCCATACTGCTGTGCTATGTGCTAGGCCCTGACCGGAAGAAAAACGTCGAGAGATGAAGATAAGCCTACTCGTATAGTACGGGTACACGAGGCGTCATTAAATCACTGGACAGACGGGGTCTGGTCTGGATTTCTTACAGTAGAGTATTGTATGTAGGTCTTGCGTCTTGCTATCTACTGTGGCGCCTACAGCGCCAGAGAGGTTTGTACAATATCAAGGAATCGATATCCGACTGGTCCACCGATTCGTCAAGTGTTGCTCTGTATCGTACACCGTATGTACTGTACACCATAACTCCTACGTGGGGGCCAGTCCAACTCTGGGTACCAGGAATCACAGAGTCACAGGGATAGCCTGCACAGCATGGGCTCGCGGAACGTGGATGCTTTCATAAGCATTGGAAACGAAACAAAAAAGAGCTCTTTTGTTGGGGTCACCATGAACCCTGTCCCCTGTTTCCGCGGGCCGCTAGCTCTGGGCTTGGGTTGTGGTGCTTGTGGAAACTTGTCAAGCGGTGACCACTTGAGTACTGCGTAGAGTATCCGTATTGACTCGTCCTAATTACCTATTGTACCTTACTAGTTCGGTTTTTAGTCCTCCACCGAACACGGCTCAAAACCCACGCGCGCGTGGTCCTGTGCATTTCATTTTCGCGGTGACGGCGTCTCATCTTTGACCGTAATTTTATGGCGGCGTGATTAGCAGTGGTACTGAGCAGTTGCATTGCAGCCTGCCAGTCTGCAGCCCGTGTCTTTGAAGATCCCCTCACGGCGACTGGGAAGTGGGAACACGAGAGGGGGGGGGATGGTCTCGCTCCCCGAGTTAGATTGCAGCCTGCAGACGTGGGTAACTTCTTTGGCTTGATGAACATCCAACAGATCTATGGATACCGAGTACGGAGTATCGCGCATACAATACGGAGCACAGGTCAAGCAGTTTCCACGTTCACCAGGTACAGGAACGAATACGCCCAGACCCCCCTAGAGCTTCCCCGACAACGCACAAAAGAAACCCCGAGAGTTGCGTGGCTCCATGGAACGTAACTTCCAAGATCGACAGAAGCAGCTGACAACCATACACCTGGAAACGAAAGAACGAACAGGCCAAGGGCGAAGCAGGTCGGACCAAGTGCTCGTCCAACTACGCTGCTGTACGATGCTGTCCGTACGGACCATGACTGAATATCGTCCTCAGTCTCCTTAAGGGGCATCGAGAGTTCAATCACCGTCGGACCGGTGTGCCTAGTACGTCCTGTACTGTAGGGACATTACTGTTACTGTCAATGCATGATGTCAACAGCACCTCGAGGATATGACCAGATGCAGCACTGTCCAATGTCCATCCCATCAAGGGTGGGAGTGTTCAAGCCCGGGGCTCCCGCCGGGTCAACCGACGAGTGTCTACTCGAGTTTCCCGCCCCTAAGGCCTCGTTTATTCTGCGACATGTCATTGGCGATTGCTCCTGTACCGCTCTGCAAAAGGACAACACCGGTTACTGGGCGAAGGGGTTACATCGGTTTTCTCCTTGTGACACCGAATGACCATGACGTGCCAGATGGGTCGCCCTCTTTGATATTGTACAATGGCTGAGGGTTGCTCGACCTTTTGCCCAGACATATAGTGTAAACCTTGCAGGAAGAGAAAGAGAGAAGAAAGCGTTGAAGGTAGTATTCGGCCGAGCAGTCGACGTCCGTCGGAGCATCCGTGTCCCGAACTGCATACGAGTACGAGGACTGCATGGTGGAGTTTGGCCTTCTCGAACGCTATGTTTCGGCCGATATCTCCATCATGTACGCGATGCTGATTTGGGCACAGGGTCCTGCAGACGTGATTTGGTCGCTGTCAGCGGAACTGGATGGAGTACAGTACAATCCAAATGACAGGGCTGCATCCACTGCTTTGCCCCAGCATCCATGATACTGTACACCAAAGGGAGAGGGAGGCATCCTTGTTTTCGGCCCCCAATGGAGGCTCGTATTGTCCATACTGGAAATGGTTAAGTCTGATTTACGAATGATACAAGTGCGGCTGTTAGCGTGATGTTAAAACTGCTCGGGGCATCACGTGCTTGGCGAAGACGTCGAAATTTCAAATTCTTGACCGTTCGCTTTGTAATGCGCCCGAATTGCTGGGATCGTCAGTGACTACCAGAGACTACAGCACACTAAACACCTCCAACTGGCAAAGTGGCATCGACTACGAGTGCACGAACCAGAACACGCTCTGCTGTTCTCAGCTCCTTCTCCGAATCGAAACGATTGTCACCACGTGAAAATGGCCTCCTGGAGTCCGAGTGCTCGTACAGGGCGAAACTGTGACGATGCCTTGGGATGTGCTGGCAATGCACCAGTTCATCACCCTTGGACAGCATTGCGGTGTCAACGAATTAGAAATACTGAGTCTAGTGAGCACCGCACAGTATGTGCGAGTAAGCAGACGCCAATTTTGTCTTCGGGCTACAAGTGATGACTGATGAGGTCGGTGTATGCATGGTCTCTTCACCTTCCATCCACGACTTGTACTAGTCCCTCATCATTCCATGTCTACTGTAAGTGTGTTGCTTTGTGCAGTTTTGTTGTCGCTCGCGGTGGACTATCGCAGTACCACTAAACGAGAAACGAGCTCCGTCGTCCGCAACATCCCTGAACCAGGGGGTTGAGGGGTGGGCATTGTCTCATCTCCCATCCTTTCTCTCGACTACAAGTACAGTATGTTTCTCGCGCAAAATTCCTACGGTGCATCTCGCCTACCGACTCGTCGAAAGAACGGACGTCGTTGGCAAATGAGCACTAGCATCTATGTGAGCCTGCAATACTATACAAAGATCCAGCAGAGGAGCAAGATTCTTGCCAGCAACAAGGGATCCAAATAGTCTCCTCATCGAAGTTGGACGGTAAACCCCACTGTCTGTACACCGAACTACTACAATAGGATGTCAATGTACTTGCCGGGGGCATGGGGTGGTATTATAGCTGATTCGTTACAAGACTCGAAGGGCAAGGCAAGTCAGCAGCTTATTCAAAGGAACGCGCCCCCCCCCCCCCCCCCGGGTTCGTGCATGGACGTTCTGGAATAACATAATATGGGACCTGGCAGGGTGGGCTTATTACATTATCAGACTCATATCCGAACTTGACCCTGACTTGCGAAGAGGCGCTACCGGAGCTGGACAACTGCATCATGCATGCATGCATTCAGCATGCCAGCTACTCCTTACGGAAGTACGAAATGCGGAGTACGGAGTATGACTGTGCAGCTGAGGGAGTCTACGCTATCCCTGTGTTCACGCCCGATTTGGGGGCTGAAAGAACAAGACCTACAGACAACAGTACAGATTACTCACTGGAGCCTGCAGAGTTTCATCTGTACACTACATATGCGAGTCTCGTCTCACACACACTTTACCACCCTCCCCATCACGCTCACCCGTTCGAAGATCGTGAACTCTCTCCATACGGTTACGAAGGCACTCAATATTACTCTGCATTGCCCTCTTGCAGACCGACTACCCGTGTTGGGCGCGGAGTATCAAGACCATCTGCAAAGTCCTACAAGAGTGCTAGCGGATTTTCTATCGGGCGCCATTCATACAGCGGGAGAGAGAGGAGTATCGTACATTAGTAGATGTGTCGCCCTACCTACCGCCTGTTTCTCGTGGTCCACCCGTGGGATACATCAAACGACTTTCAGACTTGCTTGCCGCAAGACTGGGAAAGGAAAAGTGGGCTGGTGAGATAAAACCATGCGTTTACTCCCTACAGGATTCGTTAGGTAAGATTTCCTACGGGCACATTCCAGTTCCAGTTCCAGTTCCAGTTCTCTCCGGCACGGCGCAGCGCAGACACAAACACACCACGCGGAGACGCTCCCACATCCATGTTGCCTGACTGGCTTGGTGAGGGGGCCGGAGAGACGAAAAAAACACTCTTCAGGATGGACCAACTCTGTTCCAGCGAGAAGCGTTCGTTACACACCACTCCTACTACTCTTACTCGCATGAATGAGTGATCACCCCTTTTTCCATCCATGAGACAGACGAGCAACCGGGTACGCATCCTTCGTACAATAGCAGTATGAGCATTGAGCAGCAGGAACTTCATCGAACACATTTTACCGCTCGATCTGTTCCTACGAAGAGTCACACTCAGAGAGCTTGTCCGCTTGTACACTACGCCGTCGATCTATTGGATAGATATATACACAAAGTTGATGCACAATCCAGGGTTGACTACAAACGAGACCTCCAACATCTCGAATAGTCAGTTTGGTCTTTCAGTTATTCCTTTTGTCATTGGGTGCTTGTTCAAACATAGTTGGGTTATAGCTTCGCCTTGCCATCTGACGTGGCTATCAGCTTCTCTACCAAACCATACGCCCACTCACCATAGGGAGCCATTTGCTCGGCGTAGTTCTTGGCCGTCGTGCCACTCGCCTGCCTGCGCGCGTATCTCGCGGCGATACCTTGCATGATGATGGCGCCCCTGAAGCCTCCAAAGGCAGTTCCCCACGCCAACTCCGACGCGGGATCGTACCCAGAAGCTTCTGCGTACCACTTGATGCACTCGTCCAAGGTAGGGAGACCGGGGGTCGCACCGGGCTTGAAGGCTTCGTTTGACTTCTCGGATTGACCGGAGCCGTTGACTCTCCCGACCCACGAGAAGGGAGCCGTGAGGTTGACAAAGTCCGACAACGGGTGGCCGATGGTGGCCATTTCCCAGTCCAGGATACCAATCACCCGGGGCTCGGTCTTGTGGAACACCAGGTTGTCGATCTTGTAGTCACCGTGTATCAGGGTCGACCGGTCTTTCGGCTGACTGGATTTCTGCTTGAAGAAATCCACCATGTCGGTGAAATGCGGGATATCGCCAACGGGTTTCTTCGTGTCCACATCCTCGGTCGCGGCTTGTGCTTTTGACAGAGTCCCAAACGTCTTCAGCTGGCGGTCGTAGAATCCTCCGTGACGACCGAAATCCGACAGTCCGATCGTTTTGAAATCCACACGGTGGAATTTGGCAAGTGTCCGCACGGCATCGCGCCACCTGTTTGTCATATGCACATCGTCAGCCTCTTGCTCGTCTCGTTAAATTTTTTTTTCCAGCGCGCAGTTTTCATTTTGTTTTTGAGTGTGCCTACATCTCATATCTCTCTTCTGGACTGGATCCCGGTATGTGGTTCTCGGTGATCATGCGGCCGTCCAAGAACTCCATTATGTAGAATGCCGTGCCGATCACGCTTTCATCTTCACACAAGCAGTAAGCCTTGGGGACAGGGACATCAGTCTGACCCAGCGCGTTGATGATGCGGTACTCTCGGTCGACCCGATGGGCGGTTTTGCTGAGGAGGCGTCCGGGGGGTTTCTTTCTCATCCTTTCACAATGGTCAGCAATTTTCTCGTCTCAGTGGGCAGAGCCATCAACAGCCGCGTGCGGCAAGGGGCGGAGCGCGGTGTTGAGAAAGCCGAGCCACTTACACATATTTCGTCCCCGTAGAATCGGTGATTTGATATGTAGGATTCGACTGACCGAAGCCGAACTGCATGTACTCCGTTAGCCCACTCTCGTCCTCGCCGCACAAAATCGAGACACGACGGGTCGCGCAGTGCTCACCTGCTTCAGATCGAGCGGGGTCTTGATTTCGGGGACGTTCTTGTCGACGTAGCGTTCCAACGCGGCCAGATCGATAGGCTGGCGTACCGGGCCTGCCATGTCTGCTCTACAATCTCATCAGGTGTGGTAGAGAACAGTGTGCTGTCCCAACGGACGACTTGAAGGTCAAGTGGTAAGAGTAGTATTGTCGTCCACGGCGCGGTAGAAACCCGCCCGAGGCATTGGCCGTGCCGTGGCCGGTAAAGCTTGCAACCTCGGCAAAACGAAAAGCTGGGGAAGTCCAGACAGCTTTAAGCTCAACTTGCTCCCGGGTTCTTCCTGGTGAGTCTAACCAAAAGCTGCCAACTACCGCGGGCGGTCCGAGTCCACCGTCTCGTTGGCATTATCGAGGCAATGTTCTGTACTTATATATGACACAAGAGACAACTCGGTCGCCGCAATGGCCACTTCAAACATCTACGCGTATGTATCTGGGAGTCATTCATTCTTGGCTTGCTTTGCTTGGATCACGTGCTGTTGTAGCGACACCAACATATACTGCACAGAGCGGAAGGACTCGTACAGAATCATCCGCCCCTTTTCGAAGGGTAACGATAGTGTGCTTACACTATCGTTGCCGAAAAAGCAAAAGCTCTGATAGTTCGTACAGACAATGAACGTGGAAGATTGTAGAACCAAGTTTGGGGTTTTGTCCGGGGTCCATACATCGTCATCACCTGCCTGGGAGCGAGTGTAGAGCAACGTGAGAGGAGCGTTGCGCACTTTAATGCACGAACCTATATAATCTGTCGCTTAGATGGCATTCTTGAGAGATGTAGCTCGATGACCTCAACTACGTCGACCCTCAGAAACAGTGCCGATAACTGCGCCCCCATTACACATTGCTTTTCTTCAGTGCTGCTCCCGTCGAAATGCGAAGGGACCGATTCCAGGATCAATTGAAGTCGATGCCGAAGCTTTCTTCTCCACTATAGCTCGGTGCAAAATGATCCAGGAACCAGCGAAACACTACTTGCGTTCTGAACCGTCTTCCAGTGTTGTCGCGAACAAGGCTAGGAACTTGGCCAAGGGAGCTCGCCTTGCTCGTATCGAATGATTCAGTGCTCCTAGTCACTGGGCAACGGTGATGGTACAGATCCCAAGAGCCATTAGTCATGGAGGGTCATCGACTAGTAAGCTCCCACCCGAAGAGCGTCGAATCATGGTACGTTGAGTTGCAAAGACGATCACGGTGTCGAGGACATCAAAGATCAGGATCTGGGGTCTGAATATCAACCGATCTGCGGTGCCTTAGGTAATCACATCCAATCGACTGCACACCGCGTTTTTGTCTGGGGACGCGCTCTTCCACTTTACGCGTGTTGTTTTCCCCATGTCCAAGATCGAGCCTCTTTCTCTCTCTCTCTCTTTCACAGAACACACACTTTCAACCCAACACCAAAGCATGACAAGAGCTTCGACACCTCCTCTAGAAACCAGCAACGGAGACCACACGGCACCCTCTCTACCCAATTCCCCTCTCGCAAAGCGCGTCAAGACCGACCATAACAACATGGCTTCAGAGACACCCGCCGTTCCCAAACTCTCATCAACGTCGCAACCTCCCCTCCTAATCAAGAAACTATCCGCAGACGCGACGACTCCAACGCGAGGCTCGGCATTTGCGGCGGGCTACGATTTGTACGCCTCGAAGCCAATCACGATCCCGGCGCGGGGGAAGGCTCTGGTCTCGACAGATCTGTCCATTGCCACACCTGAGGGTACCTACGGCCGAGTCGCGCCCAGATCAGGCCTGGCATCCAAGAATTTCATTGACACGGGCGCTGGAGTCATCGACGCCGACTACCGCGGTGAAATCAAGGTGCTCCTGTTCAACCACAGCGAGGTGGACTTTGAGATTAAGAAGGGAGATCGCATTGCACAGCTGGTCCTCGAGCGCATATACACTCCTGAAATTGTCGAGGTGGAAAATCTTGAGGAAAGTGTCAGAGGCGCTGGCGGATTTGGGAGCACCGGCAGCTAAAATGCCCGTTCAAATGCGCTATACGGTCCACTACACAGGTAGACGGTATTGCCAGAGACCAGGCGTCGATCAAGGATGACTAGTTTAGACAAGATTATGGATTTACGATGTGAAAATGTCTGTACCCCAGGATAGAAGCCGCTCTCGGCGATCAGACCAAAGAGTTTTTCGTAATGTTTTTCGGATTCTGGTTCAAGGCTATATGCAACGTGTGAGTTTGCTCCTATCTATCTTATGTTGCTCTAAATTTCGAGGCCAGTGGTGTATAGCTTGTTCTGACCCCGACCTTGAGTTGCCTCATACCTCCATGGCAACAGCCACATATCTGGGCTCAGGATAAACCAGGTCCTTTGCGTTCCTCACGGCTCTGACCTCTGCAGCCTTCGTCTCTGCCAGGTACCTTCTCTTGGCCTCGCCGTCGCTGTTCTCGGCGCCTAGTCCCTCCACACCGCCGACGCTGGCCCCAGGCGACTGTCCGAACTTGCTGAGCTCCTCGTCCCTCGCCTTTATCGTCTTCTCCAGCACCATGTGCATGCTGCTCAGGACCTTCTCTGTAGCCTTTGCCAACGGCAATTCCGTCGCAGGCACATCGTCGTCTGGCATCCACGCCGCGCGGTCCAGGAGGCCCATCTCCGCGCACGCCTCGCGCAGTCTCGCAACCATCAACCCGGCGAGCATATCGCCCGTGCCGCTGAAGAAGCAGTCCAGCCTAGGCACCTCGACCTTGAACAGTCTCGCGCCGCCGTCACGCGTCTTACTGCTCCCGACGACGGTCAGGATGTTTCCGGTCTGGTTGGGCCCGTCATTGGCGTCACCGACCGTGACGCTCGTCACCAGCACATGGCTGGTTCCATAAGTTTTATGTAGGGCGCGGACTGCGTTCGCCACGCCTGTCAAACTCGCAATGCTCAATCCACTCAACAGCTCGGCCTCGAACTGGTTCGGCAGGATCAAGTCCGCCTCTCGAATCAATTGCTTGTACGCCGGGACGATGTCCTCTGCAACATAGAGCCGGCCTTGGTCGCCCATGACCGGATCTAAAACCCAAAAGAAGCGTCCAGGCCTGACAGCCGCACGATATCGTAGGTCTCGTGCGATGAGTCCGACGGCCTGCACGACCTGGGCGCTGGGCGCGTACCCAGAAAGAAGCACGTCAAAATCCGTCAGGTACGAGTTCCTCAATCCGTCGTAGAGCTCTGTTATTTCGTCGGCGGGCGTGCGTCGGCCTTTGAACTGGCGATAGCCTGTATGATTGCCTACAGAACAGGGAAAGTGTGTCAGCCCAATAGAGCAACTTCGCGATCCGAAACCTAGTGACCACGCAGACTGTACAGAGACTGTGCGACATAACGCGCGAGTCGGGCTAAGTGGCTGCAACCAGACTTACTAAATTGTACAGTATTGATGGCGCCAACATCGCATCCCAAGGTTTGCATAACAAACGTGGCCATCGTGTTACCGACATATCTGCATGACCCACAATGTCCTGGTCAACAAGGGCTTTTTTTCTTCACGCAATGCCTGCTGATAACAGATAGGAACGATGTCTTGTACCTACCCATATACGACCTTTGGGCATTTCGTTAGCTACGCGATCAGTTCCTCAAGCGAGACATAACAAGCTAGACAGGGGGGTTTGGGCAAAGGTTTGTCGTACATGACTGGCGATGGCTAGCACTTTTGTCTCTGGTATCGACAACTGTTGACTGGCCATTGTGACGGCTTCGGCATGGAAGCAGATATGTAATAGGCAGATCTTCAACGCGCACGAAAAAGAATCCGTGCTTTCTGGAAATGAACACAGTTTCAAGTCTATGCTAACATTGCTGTGGTGCTGTTTTTGTGGAAAGAGTCATAGTCGTCCATACTCGTACAGTCTTGGTTGAAATTTTGATTTACGTTGCGCTCGGAGATGACGCAGAAACCTTATCTACGCCCTGCCGATAAGGCTGGTCAACCGTGACGCCCCCTTACTACGCGCCGCCCCCCAGATTTAACATTCGGCCATCATAAACACATCATATCCTGCAGATCGACTTCGCGCATCGTTCAGTAATGCTCTACGACTGGTCGGATCAAACGTGCCACATGAACCACGAATCGTTCCTTGACCCTGACTTCATCATGTCTACCAAATCAATGATCCCCTCTTGCTCTACTCGACCGTTCATTCGTCGTCGCCGATCTAGAGATTCAATAATCAGTACATGCCCCGACAAGATGGCTTTTTGATAGTCGACACAACATACCTTTGGAGCTAGGTAGAACCGAAGGAAACTGCTGCCAGACAGGGTATATTCGACCAAGAGGGGCACTTCTTGCGAAAGGCAGAGCTTGACCCTGGACGACAGGCCGCTGGCCTTGCAAAAGTTGACGAGGTATTTGAGGGAGAAGGTCAACGAGACCGGTTCGGAGAGGTGGATGGAGACGTTTTGTTCGGGCTTGTCGACGTTGCTGTGCGACCTCACGGTGACACTACCATTCCCGATGTCGCCTTGACACGCGAAACGAACGCCGTCCTTGCTGGCCTCGATGGACACTATATGTTGCCGTCAGATTTTACGTGTTTCGTGGGGGCCAAAAGGTTCACTTTCGACCCTCCCTTCAGATCGGACGTACCTGATTCTGACATGGCCAGTAGATCGCGGCAGATGCGCGCGAACTCGTTGCTGGGCATCTCGATCGTGGCGGCGTATTCGGTGTCTGGGATTCCCAAATGCTCTTGATCAATGTCCATCAATTTGATATCGTACTCGCTGAGCCGGTCCGTTTCACTGCTCTCGAACACCAGGTTGACCACGTCGGGTGCGTCTTCGGCCTTGAGGGTAAGGATGTCTTCGTTTTGTGCGGCACGGAGCACCTTCGTCAGAGAGTTGAGGTTGATGCCGAGCGCGATGTTTCGATCGCAGCGGTAGGGGGAGAACATCTCTGCCTTGAGCATCATCGACACGAGGGCGACGTGCGAGTTGTCCATGGCCTGCAACGCCACACCGGAGTCGTTGCAGTCAAAGTTGCAATCCTGGACGAGATCTTTGATGGCGTCGACGACCTGTAGTCAACCGGTAAGACATTTTTCTGGTCACCGGAGAGGCAGAGCAGTGCTCTTCTACAACATACCTTCTTCAGCATCGCCGCCTGTTCTAAACGTGCTTCCAACACTACAGACAAGTCAGGAAACCGTCGTTATCGAGCTGGTCCCGAGACACACTTACTGGTGACGGTAAAAATGAGCTTGTTCTCGTAGATTTCTGATCAACAACGGTGAGTTGGGAAAATGCTGCGGGATGGATTTGAGTGTACAGACTGTGGTGGAATCTTGGACGGAATTTTGAACATCAATGAGAACGCGGTGTCATGACTGAGCGCGAACGCGCGACGCGGTCTGGCGGGGGGTAATTGATTTCTTGGCGACCCAAGCAAGCAAATGATACATTAATTGTCTGCAACGCTTTGGGTCCCGGACGGCGCCGCTTTTGAGCCCGGGAATCTCTACTGTATTGCGCTCTCTGGGATCACCTCTTCGTATATTCAGGTACGCTACTTTATAACTTCTCCAGCCGCTCTACATACTCGAACCTTTCTGTCGGTGGTAAGCTCCATTGTCTTGCCAATTCGTGATATCGTTTCTTGTATCCAAGATGTTTCAGCCTGACTTGCGTTGCCGTCTTCAACTGATCTCGGCCGACCTGATGCTTGTGTGCAGCGTCCGGTCCGTCTGCAATGCGGACGAATCTTGCGTAGGTCCACTATATTGATCTCGATTAGCATGCAACGGGAGTTGACTCAATTTCGCAGATCGACATACAGCTTCTGGTAGGAACGTGTGCTGCGTCAGTCCCTGACCGGCAAACATTTGCATGCACTCATCAATGATCTTCGTGACACCCAAGGGCACCATGATCTTGGATTGAGCAATGGCGTGTCTCCCTGCCACATTTCCGAGAAGATCCATGGTCTCTGCGGCGTTCAGTACCACCAGTCGGAGGGCATCGATTTCCATTCTCATATCAGCCAGCCTTTCGATGTTGCTGTCGAATTCCCCTATCAATCTGCCGCGAGGTTTCTTCCTTACATCAGTCGCTCTAATCAGGGCATGTTCGTATGCGCGCTCAGCTTGTCCGAGGAGTCTCATGCTACGATTGGCTTCTTTCAGTCATATGCAACAAATGCAGCCATGCAGATACTCAAACTCACCAGTGGTGTATTCGACCAGGACCCAGTCGACCCTGGGCAATCTCAAAAGCCCTGCCTTCTCCCAGTATGATGTTCTCCACGGGGATTCTCACGTTCTCGTACAAATACTCACCGTGGCCTTCAGGGGCACAGTCGTAACCCATAATGGTCATGTGTCGTACCATCTTCAGACCTGGGGTATCTCGGGGCACAATGACGGTCGAATGCCGCCGCCACGGATCTGGATTGTCTGGATCTGAGCACCCCATGAGGATATAAAACTTGACCTCCTCGTTCGCCATCCAGTTGCCGTACAATTTCCTTCCGTTGATAACGTACTCATCACCTTCTCGCGTGATACGGCACGCGATATTTGTTGCATCAGAAGCAGCAACATCAGGCTCTGTCATCGAGTATGCCGAGGACCACTCTCCTTCTAGAAGCGGCTGCATCCATTTCTTCTTCTGCTCGTCGGTGCCGTACTTAGCCAACAGCTCAATGTTTCCAGTCTCCGGCGCATGACAATTGAGAGTCTGTCGTTTGTGACACAGTCAATGTCTTGATATGCTACTTGGTGCTTTATCAGACTTCCTTACCATAGGGGCCCAGTATACTCTCCCAAGAAGTTCGCAGCAACATGAATACTCGAGGATTGTAAGCCCAGGGCTTTCTTTGAAGTGCTTAGGTAAGAAGAGATTGAACAGGCCTGCTGCTTTGGCCTTCTTCCTCAGTTCCCGAATATAAGGCGGAGTGGCCCAGCGGTTCTTTTCCAGCTGGGCTTTTACAATGTGGTCTGCCGGAACGCATTCGTTCTCGACCCATTCGTATACTCGTGCGATGATGTCGAGTGCCTTGGGGCTCAATTTGCTCCTATACCCTGGAGGAATTCGAGCCAATGAAGGGTGGTCTGGGATCAAGTTCATAATGCCGTCTCCTCGTGACCTGGGAGAGTAATCTTCTTCTCTGCAAAGCGAAGGAGATTCGTTTGTTGAAGTAAGTTCTTAGAGCGCACTGGACCTCTTGTTAGAAATATCAGGTTACACCGAGGTCAAAAGAACACACGAATCGTGCATGGTTCAAGTAGCACGAATCAACAAGTATATTACTCGAGACCCAGACATCTGCTATGAATCATGATACCTGGTCGTATTGGATCACTCCTCCAGAGATCGAAGGTGCCGTTCTGACATGAGTAGAATGGAGACACTGAGTCAGCTACCGAGATCGACCTCGGCTCAAACATAAGCTGCATAAGGCGACCTCGATATTACAAAATTCTTATCGCTTGCCCACATATCCCATCTCATTGACTTCCTGATCGGGCGTTGATGTTGATCTCGTCACCGTATGAGGACCAAGGAGACCATTTTTCTCACCAGGTGGTAACATCTATATATCGTGGATTTGATACGATCGAAGCCTGGCAGCTGGACATGGACTTCACGTGGTCGATCGGCCAACTGAGAGCATTCTTGTCAATCTGGCTATATCAAAGCCTGTCACCAGGTTTGTCTCTGAGCGAACATCTCGTACTTCGGTAGGACACTTTTTCCAACTTGAGTTTCTTTTCGGCCTTTGACAAATGTTTCGGGCGTCAGGAGGCTCCAGGTGCTGACTTCATATTGAACACCGTATTTGGGAAGAGACCCCGGGCACAACAATGAGGCAAGCCCTCAACAGGGGCAGTTCTTTCCACGAAGGCAGTTTCCAATTTATTTTTGCCCATTCTGGATTGAGACTTGACCTCAATCTGAAATTGTGGTCGAGCAACCTTCAAACTTCAGTTATTTTACATATCTTCATTCTGGTAGAACCCCTTCTGAGGTCGACTCGTTCATTGCAACTTTCTCATGGAGTCATGGTGCGTAGTCAACCAATTCTGACACAGACTTCTGAAAAGAACGCCTGAGACTGCCACTGGCCGGTGCCCTAGACCGGATCGATGAGAAAGTGTGAGAATTCTGACTCGTAAAAAGGAGAGTCAGAGCATTTCCCCCACAGTTTGACCCTCGGACACAGGCTGTGCGAGGCTGGGGTAATCCACCTCCGCCCGGGGTCGTGGGTCCGGGGACGTGACTTGTTCGTTCATAAATATCTCTTTCACCGCGGTGAGGCCCAGTCTTATATACCGCCTTACGGACTTCAATCTCACGGTCACGTACAAGTGTTCCGTACGGAAAGATCAGCCAAGATGGGACATCATGAAGGTGTCAAAAAGCAAAAGATCAACGCTTATAACGTGTTGTTGTTGTGTTTTATTGGCCTTGGTTCCATGACCTATGGCTATACTGCCTCTATTATTGGAACGACTCTAGGTACGCATACTGTCTTGCTGATAGAGCTCCAGCGGACCAAGGCTAAGGGACAATTGCCGTATAGGACAACCGTCGTTTATCGAGTACTTCGACCTTGCGACCAGAAGTAATGGGACCGACCTTATTAGTACCATGAACGGCCTTTTCCAGACCGGCGGCGTCCTGGGAACTCTGATGCTTCCGTACGTAGCAGACCGCTGGGGCCGCAAGTGGGCAATTGCTGTGGTATGAAATCGAGCGAGCCTCCATACAGTCTACCTTCATCGGGATATGCATTACTGACACAACAATGTGATCCATCTAGCCTGCGATCATTGCTGTCATCTCGGGAGCCTTTCTGGCAGGCAGCACCAACATTGGCGAGTTCTTACTGTTTCGCTTCTTTGCAGGCGCCGCAGCCTTCATGATCCTGGCGGCCGTTCCAGTAAGACCAGACCTGCGGTTTTGGGTTTGCGAGATTTCGAGCTCCCCTTGGTTAACTCACGGAAAATAGATTTGGATGTCCGAGGTTGTACCCGTCGACTTGAGAGGAGCCTTGGTTGATGTACATGCCGTCTTCTTGCTCCTCGGGTACACCGTCCAGGGCTGGGTTGGATTTGGGTTCTATTTCTGGGACGGAGGTGCAGCCACATGGCGACCGCCCCTTGCTCTCCAATGCGCTTGGCCTCTTTTTCTCCTGTGTGGCATCTACTGGGTGCCTGAATCTGTGGGTCATTCCCTCCTAACGCCTTGCCGATCGATGCTGACAAAGGGTGAATGCGTAGCCTCGCTGGCTAGTCATGCAAGGCCGCGACGAAGAAGCAAAGCAGATTCTCTTCAGACTGCATTCCAATCCGAATGATCCGGAGAATGAGTTCGCCAATGCCGAGTACTACCAGATTGAAAAGCAGATTGCCATTGACAAGACTTTGGGTAATTCGTGGATGCACATGATCAAGAAGCCATCGTATCGGAAACGGTGCCTCCTTGCGATCGGGACAACTGGTATTATCCAGTGCTCTGGAGTATTGGTGATCAACAGTGAGTACAATTTCTGGGATAACAGGTCTTAGAGATCTACCCTGACTGACCATTCGCGAATAGATTACGGGCCGACGTTATATGCGAATCTCGGATTCAGCGCCGTCAAGCAGCTTCTATACCCGGCTGCCTGGCTTACCATGGCTCTAGGAATCAACATCCTGGCCATGGCCACAGTCGACTTGTTCGCGCGGAATCGGTACATGGCATTCGGGGTGTTGGGCTGTATGGTCACTCTCATCATCGAAGCCGCACTGGTCGCCGAGTTTGTGCCTTCCAACAACCACGCCGCGCTCCAAGCCGCTGTGGCCATGTTCTTTATCTTCCAGATTTTCTATGGTTTCTGCCTTGATGGTAAGCGCCGATTTGGTCGCCCCGTCCGGAGGGCTCTCGAGTTCTGACGTACAATGACACCACAGGTACACAATTCAGTTACCTCAACGAGCTCTTCCCAAGCCACATCAGAGCGAAAGGTGTATGTCTGGGAGTGTCGATGATTTCGCTTATGAACATCATTTGGCTTCAAGCAGCGCCGACAGCCTTCAAGTAAGCCAATATTGGAGAACGGCCCATTCCGAGTCCGGGCATTGACTGACACTTGCTTGACAGAACCGTCGGCTGGAAGTTTTACCTCGCTTTCATCATTCCCGGGACCATTGGTGGATTTATCATGCTGTTCTTCTTCCCCGACACCAAGGGCGTCCCTCTGGAGGAAATTGCCGCGATCTTTGGTGATGCTGACGAAGTGGCCATCTATCAACGTGACATCGAAATCGACCATACGACTCATAGTATCATCGCCCATGGCCACGAGGCAGAGAAAGTTGGCGTAGGTTTGACTGAAAACGTCGAAGCGTCCAAAACAACAGACAATAATGTCTAATGTTTGTGCACAATTGAGCCACTGTCAGTAGTAGCTCCTGTTGGGGATGGTACTGTTTGTTTATAGCCATGAGTCAGTCCACGACCAGAGTGTGCAGATAAGTAAAGACCCCGGCAATGTCTAATCAAAAATGGTCCAGCTTTCCCATTGAGCCTGCTTCCAATGCTAGCATACAGCACCGTCCTGCTGGCAATGAGCAGCGAGGTTTCCAAACTACGGTACTCGTTGAAATCATTGCGTATGTTGCAAATTTGGGATGAACCTTTACCCAACTTCAGAGTACTTGCTCCCGCCGTCAATTTAGTGCTTCGGGGTGTGGAGGTTGTTGACAAAGGCTGTCATTTCACATGTCTTAGGCATGAGTTCAATCTCTGCGGCGGTGCATTTACGGCCGCTTGATATAACCACTTTTGGGGTAAAGTGACTTTGTCGTGTCAACCAATACTCCGGTCAAGACATGCTATCGTCTGATCGAAGAACCGGTACTTCTGGAACTCGCACAGCCAGGAGTTCTTCCCACGGGCCCAGATGTCGCGGCACGACCTCAGCGTTTCGAGCGGAGTCTTGAGCGCGTAGCCTCCGGGCAAAACAGCGGACGAGGAGTCGACCTGCGAGCTGTTCAAGGGGTTCAAGTATTTCCATTTAGAGATACACTCCAGTTCTAGACTCTAAGCATAAAAAGATAAGTTCCTTATCCTAGTAGTTTACGTGAAAAGTGAGAAGCTCAAGAGTCCACTAAACTATATCTATCATTAAGAGAGTGTGAAACGACATCCTTAGCGTTGTGCTTAGCAAGTCAGCTTAAAATTCTTCTCCACCCATAATTATTAAATCTCAATTTTCAGCCAACTTTGGGCCCGCAATCCACCACCAACACCGGTACGTGCTTGCGGAGCCTCTCAAGCCTCTATGGCGCAGTGGTAACGCGTCGCACTTGTACCACTGGAAAAGTCAAACTTTTCTTACTACTGAAAATGCGAAGATCACAAGTTCAATTCTTGTTGGAGGCAAATTTTTGTATCCATTTCTAGAACAATTCATTAGCCTGTCGACACAAACTTCCCACGGTATGGGAGGGCTAGACGCTGGATGTGAATTTTTTGGCTTTTTTTTAGTTTAGTTGAGACTTCTAATTCGGTGCCCAGATCAGCTAGGAAGCCATCTCAAGTGGTCCGTAGACGTAGATCCAGTATTCCAAGAGCTCGTAGAGAGCAGCAGTGTCCGGGGACGGAAGATTGAGGCTGTTTCAAGCTCTCACTACCGGGGTTCTTTAGCCGCAACACCTTGCCAAGCTCGTATGAGGCTAGTCCTGAGAGTATCATCAGATTAATCCTTTTAAATCAAACCTAGTGAGCTTCACACATACCAGGTAAACGGCGAGCGAAGTCTTGTATCTCTGTCCAACAATTCGGAGTGGGCGGCAGGATTGATTCGACCGGTTCTCCGGCTTGCTCAATCAAGGCCCTCATCCATTTCCAGTCGAAAAATGAAGTCGAGTATTCTACCCATAGACAGTCAGGCTGTGGACCAGCTTCAATCCATACGTGTGATTTCTTTTGAGGTCTTCGCGCTTGGAGGGAGTTTATGTTCTGGCGGGCCTCGGATCCTCCGAATTTCTTGAAAGCTCTTTGGGTCGGAATAGCCCAACTTTCTGCGATAGAGAAGGAAGTGACGTTCGAGGCCCCTGCTCTCCCCTTGAATAGTGCAAGTGTGTATCTGGATGCGAAGATTGGGCTCCAAGATTCTGCAGCTCGCGGTTAAAGATTATCTCGAAATGATATCGCAAAGTAGTATATGTGGTATGTCCCTGACTGGCGTAGGATTCTCGAATGAGTACTTGATTGCAGTTCTGTTGGCCACATTGAAGTGGACTACCAACATGTCAATGCATCCGATGACGTTCGAGATATTCTGGCGTGAGGTAGCAACAATACTCGCAGCCCTTTTCGTGGCATTGCCAAACGCAATTTAGGTGAGCGGACAAGAAAGTACCGTCATCCAGTATCTGTGGCTGAGAAAGCTTGCACACTCGCACCCAGGCCATGGGCAATGTAGCCTACCTTTGGACCGTTGAATGGCTCCTTGTTGCGCCCGTTCTCTAGCCGGCTGGGTACTGCAGACGTCTGGTGTACCCTGTGCTCTTTGTGTGGCAGGCCGCAAAGGCTCTCTCATTGATTTGGCCAAGGAGGGTGGTGAGCAGAGTAGAGATCTGCGGACTTCGCCAGACTGCCGGAGCATTGCTCAGGAAACATGGAGTTGGGGCGATGACAGAATTTGCCGGCACCGCCATGATCGTTGCCAGTATCCTCTCAGCCATCTCTCGGTATTGCTGGGATCGAGACTGGAGGAAGAGGGTGTATTTATTTGATTTTGCTTCAGCTTCATATTTCGGAGCGGCCGGCGCGGAAAAGAGAGAGTTGCTATGGTTGATCAGAGCGTCGAAGCAGGAATTTCAACAAGAAAAATTGGGCGTTGTTCGAGCGCGGGTGAAAGATAGAGACGATAGTACGTGAGGGATTAATGGCCATAACAATTCCATGTCCCTCGGTACAAGTACAACCTTACCATGCATAGGGAATATTTGGCCTCATCATGGCTGCGTACTATGAGGTCTCGTTAGCTTGCCTATACTGTGTCCCAGGTCGGAGGAAGCCTTAGTATTCTTCGAGTTCTAGAGCGTATGAAGTGTTACAGCCACGTCAAACTCGTCATGTCTGGGTGGGACCACGCCAGTCTCTTCGCTGGTCTTTCGGGGTCTCTCGCCCGCAATGGTCGCACGAATGAGATGTGTTTCCGCCATGCAGGAGGTCCAGAGTCCTGGGACGGGTGCAAACCCCCATTGTAGGATAGGGAGGGTGTGCGACAGACGGCGCTGCTCGGGAAGCGAGGGCAGGGGATATCGTTGCCGAGCCAGCGGACGGGCGTCTTTTCCAGGGTGCGAAAGTGCCGAATAGCGAGGAGCACAAGGACAAAAGCCTGTCGCCACGTGAAGATACGCAGCCCTGCTGTGTACCTGGGTATTGTACTACTGGTTACTCCGTACTAGGCACCACCAACGCACCATCATGGGCCCAGTTCGTAGCCCCTGTCTGATCCTCAGCCTTGCGAACTTTAAAGCACGCATCCCTTCGTTCCCCCTTTCCCACGTTGCTCGCCACTCGTACCGTCGTACACCCGTCCGCCACTCGACACAAAGGTACCAAGTCCGCTTTTAGAGCTGACAAAAAGCCCATGGGATGTGTTTTTCCGCACCGGGATTCCCGAGAGCTATTGGAAATAGGATGATGACATCGCCAGGCAACATGGGCTTTGCGAAAGACTGCTATGCTAATGAATGCATGGTCTGGGGATCCCACCCTCGAGTTAGCCGCATTGTCCAAAAGGCTGTGCTCGCAACTAATCTTGCTCGCTTTCAAGGCTATAGTGCTCTCGTTCTGACAAAAACATCTCAGGCCAGCCACATGCTTACAGTTCTGATGGCGAAAGTCCCTCTTCGTGATCTGAAGGGGTTGAAAGAAGAGGTTGAGAATGTGGCTTCTTACGTGCGTAAAACATTCCTGTGGAATGATGTTAAAAAACTTCGTCTAGAATCTAAAATCTACCCATTTCTTTTCTTGGCTCGGTGAAGGGGACCTGATCGCGCCAGCGCGCAGGTTGATACAATTTAAAAGTTTCCGCAGACCACCAACAATCATATTCTCTGCCACGTCATCCTCCCCAGCGTTTTGTGGCGATTGACTAGTCAACTAGACGTCCGTAGTCGTCGAGATAACTAAGGAGGCTACATTAGTGGGGACTCTAGGAAGTACCAAAAAATTGGATGTTCACCTTTGCAAGTAAGGAGAGAGGCGGAAATCTGGCATCTGCGCTGCTCTTCGCAAGAATCGAACGGCTCTGTGGAAGTATTGTTCATTGCTGTGAGAGTAAGTGACATTGCCCAGGTGCATAAGTGATTCGGCGGCCTGTTGTAACTCAGTGTGAGAATCAAGAGCATGGAACATGCGGCACGCGTCGCAACACTGACCTCTGAAAGTAAGTTGCCAGTCAATCTCCCATCTACCTCAGCAACCTCAACAGCCCTCGCGAGGAAGTCGACTGCTGGAATCAGCATACCACGAGCTTCTACGTAATCTGCCGTATGTGCTCGAGCGTCAGCTTCGACATTGGCACGGTCTGCTTCTCGAGCCTCTTCCGAGGAAGTGTATCCGGTCCTGTCATTGGTGCTGAGTGGCCTGCCGCTGCTGCCACTCGATGAGCCGCCTTCTTGACGATGTATTCGTGAGAGGGAGGCCTGCGCCCGCGCGAGCCAATTCTGGCCGAGACCTAGTTCACAATGAGCTCAATTCGCGCAGGAGGCGCCACAGTACACTAACCTCGGAGGGCGTCTACGTCATTCGGGTTTCTCGTGAGTAGAACAAGCCATTGAGCCATACACCAGTCTGCGATGTCAGCCACTCCAGTACTGTCGGCCTCGGGATATGCTATCTTCTGCAATGCACTGATGACGAAGGTTTGTTCGTTAGCATACTCGGGCATGTAGACGAAGCCTGTTCTCTCGAAAGTCGACACCGCTGCCCTTGCAGCGACGATTTGTTGGGCCCAGGGAATAGTCTCTGGTGAGTTCTCGGTTAAATGTCGAAGATCGCGAATGGCTCTCTGGATTTGGGCCTCCTGCGCCAAGTCCAAACCATCGTGAGGAAGCCGGCCGTTGCGGGTAGACATCTTCTCGTCAGGTATGCCTGCTGATGTATCTTGGTTTTCGCTGTTGAGCTGTTTTTCTCCTGCCGGCTTTTATAGCTTGCTTTCGCACAGAATTCGCGTCAGGGGGTGCATTCTATTGTCGGTGTTGAGTAATGAGAGGAGGACGTATGACCAGAGAGAATCCGGCGGTTCCCTGTAAGATCCACAGTGTAGGTTGATATCTCTTCACGCTTCGGGATTTGACGTTGACATAAACGGCCTTGAGATATAAGGATGGTGAAACTGCAAGACCGTGCACATCCTGAACGAATCATATAGTTGTCGCAGCTTGACAGAAGCCTTCTGAGAACGACAGGAAGACGTATGATGGACCAATATCACGCCGTCTCGGACCCGCCACAAGCCTGTTCTCTTGCAGAGGCTCGTAAAAGTCTAAACTTGCAGCTGGCGTGTGGCAAACGTGTCCATTCAGGCCCTGGGAACGTCGGCGTTGTGCGAAAGTGAGATACGTGGGCGGCCACGACCACGACCCAATCCGAAGCGGATCGCCGTCTGAGTTCACAACACGAGGGAAGGGGGCACCTTACTAGACCAAAATAGACCTCCCTTGCAGTCCCCCATTGCGACATGAGCGCGTGCGCCTGGAGATGGTGGCGAAATAGCAGAACCCTGAGGCCAAAGAGCTTGGGTGTCCTCAAACGCCTGGGGAGGACAGGCTACTTCCTGAACAATCTAGGCTCGAATCATCGTGCTTGAATGCTGGTGAATCGCAGCCCGCGGTAGGAGAGAGATCCATGAGCCTCGTCCAGCAGACGTTTCCTTTATCAGGAAAGGGACGCACTGCGACCGTGAAACTTGGTCTGAATATCCATCACAGGTAAAGCGGTCATGGGTGGTGGGATCTTCTCTCCCCTTGGCGGGATTGTATGGCGCAGCAATAGACAAGAATGCTAGCCTGTACGAACGAGCGGATTTCCAGATTACATTCATGCCATCTGCCGGGATGATACGGAAAGCACGTTGAGTTCTTTCTTGAGAGATTAGAACAAACAGGAGGAGCTGCTGGAAAGACAGATGTCATAGCCACGATGAGCACGCATGTTCCATGTTCCCATGTTGATGACGCCGGACGAAGAACAAACCGATTCATCCGTTGAGCCGGGAAAGCGGGAAGAGGATTTCATAAGGATTTCATAAGCTTTGCTTGTCAAAGGCCTAGAAAGATCCATGACGATGGCCGGCACGGAAATACTAAATGTCCGATCTTCTGATCTAGTAATCCTTTACTCCGGACTCCGTGAATCCAGCCAGGTCTAGAGGGATAGTCTATATGTATTCTTTAGGTACCTAGGGAGCTCCGTGACTTTAGGTAGATAGTCAGGGTACCCACGAAGTACGGATACCATACTCAACACCGCCTCTACAATACGGCGCACACGTCCCCGGACGCGGAATCCCGCTGTCGCAGAAGCCAGCCTCCGGAAAATCGCTCGTCAACTCAAGCCAGGGCTATATCTTATGCTAGCCTTGGCTACCTTTCATTTTTGACATCTGTTGCCCGTCATTCCTGGCGATCAAGTATCTAGAACCCGAATTATGCACGGACTTCTCTCGCCTTTGAGACTGTGGCACAGCGACCGGCTCGCATCCTAGTTTACAACCCCAGTGGCGCCAAGTCCTCGAGTTCTTCGCCAGCTTCATCAAATGTGGACCGCCACTACGATCTCGAGGACGTTACACAGCAGGCAAAAGCAACTCATCATCGATGATTGACCGGTTCCGCCTCAGGCTGAAGAGGGCCAATGGACAACCAAAGCGCTCCAATGCTCATGTTGCTCTCAAGAAACAGACGCATCATCAAGCAGACCATCAAAGTTTTGCCAGACCAGTGTGCTTTTAGACTCCTCCCTTCCGTATTAGTGCTAAAATCGATTGTGTGAAAGATTCAAATGACTCCGGTCTATGAGATTCGTGAATGTTTGTTGGCGCCTATGCCCAAGGTGTCGTTGGGTGGGAGGCTAAAATGGAGTAAGGTTACACCTTGGGAGATGGTAGACCAACTTCCAAGTGCTCCTGTGGGGGCATCATATCGATGTTACTCGTGTTTCTGGTCGAGCCAGGTTGGGACGGTGTTTGATGACCATCTGCAGCTCGCGAAGCATGTTGGTCGTGTTGTCTGCATGTTCTTGCATGGTCGCGCGTTTTTTGCGATCCTGCTGCAACTTGCTGAGTTTTTCTTCACGGCTCATTGGCGTCCATGACATCCTCTTTCGTGGCATAGCCACAGCCTCAAACACTTCTCCGTCCAGCCCACCATCGGAAGAGCCCCTTTCGTCGCCACTCAACAGTCGGAACGCCTCCGCAGGACCGCCATCAACGACGGTCAGTCCACCGAGGCTGCTAGGAGAAGGGGACCCAGGAGATCGAATGTCACTGGATGCTCTCGAAGACCTCCGTTCGAGATCGGCATCAATATTGAGGAACATCGTATTTCTTCCATTCTCCCATTGGTTCAATGTGCTGCGGATTTCTGCACCCAAGTTCTCATAGCTACGGGTGATAGCCATGCTGAAGGTAGAGTCGTCCTCGTTTGCCGATGACTTTTGCATTTCCTCTTTGAGTAAATGTACTTTGGCGTTGAGAGAGCGGATGGAGTTCACAACGGCGTCAAAACGACGCATCTGCGCCATAGTGTGTCGTTTCTGAGGAGTCATTATTTCCAAGTCGGTCTCGTTGGACGCGTTATCCTCTGCTGTCTTGCTCTCAGATCCGCCGCCGAATTCTTCTCGGACAAGAGCTGCACGGACTACCTGGGCGTTTCGAGAGAGTTCGGCTTCGAATTCTTGCAGGAGCCGCAGCGTGCTTCTCCACTGTCGAATGTTATACCATGTGGAGCCTGTGCGAAGTGCAAGTAGATCACAGAGGAAGACCTTTCTCGCCATTAGGTGCAGTCGGAATAAAAATCGTAACTCTTTCAAGGAATCTTGGGCTTCTTTCGAGATATTATTGGCAAATGTAACAGCGTCGGTATAATCTTGCATGGAAACCTCGTAAATGTCGTGGTAGCTCTTCAACTCAAGTTCTCGAACGAAGGGCTGCATGGAATTGTGGGCGTCGACAGACTGACTGATACTGCTAGTCAGGGCCGTTCCGAGCATAGCTCGAAGCTCTCGACAGCGAGATATTGCATTGTTGTTTTCAAGCCTGCTGATAGGCGGCATAGGGTGACTTCTAGACATGTTTGAGCAAAGAGATCAAAGAAAGGGGCTGGCGGCTAAACTCACATCTCGTAGCCTCGTGAAACCACTTCAACTTCCTGTATGAAGCGCAGTCCTGCAGTAGTCACAGTGTCGAGGTTATAGGACTCTGCAACCACTTTTCCCAGTACTGAACCCGCAGACCGCCGAATGAACTTCAGATATTGCCGGCGTGCAATGTATGCCATCACGAATAGGCCCCCTAAAATGAGGAGAAGAGAGATGCTTTCTTCAGACCACGCAACAGAATGTTTCGTGTGATAACGCCGCCTCAGGAAATGGAGAAACCATGCTATTGAAAACGAAACCACCGCCGTCATAAAAGCACCTCTTGGTGAGAAAGTGGCTGTGTGAAGTGCTTGTTCCTCATCTTGCAGATGTCTCCTGGGCTTCGGGTCATCTTGGAGTAGTTGAGAGGCAACGATCGTGTAGCGAAATCGCTCCAGAAACTTCTGGTTGGCGACGTCGGTGACGGAGCCCGCAGTTTGACGAAATGCTCGAAGGCGTTCATGCAGTTTAGGAAGGCCTTGGGGAGCGAAGGTGCGCGGAGGAGTCTGAGGCAGATCGGCGGATTCGAAAGGTACAGCATCTGCTTCCAGGTACTCGGCTATGGGCGACTCATTGTAGATTAGAGCTTCCATGTCATGGTCGATTCATCGAGTGACTGAAGAGGCGAATGACTTGCAGCAGTAGTGAAACACTGAGCGAGTAATAAGGGTATAGGTTGAGGAGGAGGCAGGGAACGATGCGCGTGCGGTGTGACAGATGTGGTATGGAATACGTGGAGAGTGGAAAAGAGCACAAGCCACAGTCGATAGCACGGGTTAAAATGAGCACCCTGCTTCGCCTGATGAGTCCCGGCTTTTTGTGTGCGGATGACGCGCCGGCGTGCTGACAGCAATCTCAAACCCTTGTACTCGGTAGAGGGCGAATAACAATGACACCTTTGTACTGACATGGGTGGTGGCTGTGACAGGGCTCACTAGGCCCAATTTTGTGCCCGGGGTTGAGAGGATCCAGCAAAACCTTACATAAACACCAAAAGCCGGGCGAGTCTCGTCGCCGTATCATTTTTCTGTGTCCAAATTTCTGGCCCTGGTTGTTCTGACGTTTCCTTTGGAGTCCTCGAAACACAATAGCCTTGCGTTGTTGTTCATTTCATCATGTTCTCTTCAGTCTTGCGATGCTGTCGAGGGCTGTTGTGTTTCTCCGTGCTTGACGACACAAAAACCTCACGGTAGCTGGCACAAAATGTGTTGCCATTTTCCCCTTGGCTGGAAGGGAGAGGGCTTTGTTCTCCAGAACAAACGGAGCTCAAGATGAATCGCGAAACTTCACAGAGTCCTCGTAACTTATACGTCCACTCACGGTGCACTTCACATTCACTTCCTGAGGGTGGCAGTATCAGTATCATGGCTCACCGGTTTCAACACACAATGTAGGTGCGAAAGAACTCTCAGGCAGTGAAGCCACTTCTCTCAGTTCCATCTCGCTGCCATCAAACACGTGTCAAATTTCCAGAGATAATCAACCAAGAATCATCATGGAGCACTCGCTATCCGGAAGAATAGAGGCCGGAGGATCCTCTGATGGCACCGTCGTCGCGACTCCTGGCGCCGCCGGCGTCGACGACAACGTCGATCAAGAGGTGCGTGACACACTTGCAGAAACACCATACGAGGAAGCCACTGCGGACGAAACGACAGACTTCCCCCCTCTCCCTGACTTGGGTAATATCGAAGCGCGTCACCTTCGCAGAACCTCTAATCATGAAGCGAGGACACTGGAGCGTCAAGGGCTTCTGTACACAGACCTGTATCGCCAATTGCAGCTTCGGCCCGAAAGATATCTTGAATTCTACACCGGTGTTCTGTGGCCCCTTCGCTACAACCACCTGGAGGAGGTCCAAAGAGGCACGCCAGCAGGCCACAGAGCATTAACGAACCGTCTCTTGAGAAGATATGGCGACACCATATGGCCCGCGACGTCCACGACTGGATCTGGATGGCTCATTGACGACGCCGAACTCAACGAAGGTGAAGTTCGCTTGAAATATGTGAAGCCTCCCAGCAGGGCCGGCGCAAGCACAGTTCCTGAGAATGGGCCGTAAGTACCTGCACCTCATTCACCTCGTTTTCCTCTGCGCGCCACCTGGATATAAATTTCTACCTCTCCTATCCTTTTTCATCATTTGCTGATACCACCGCGCACCAGATTCTTCACCATCTTCGACGCTTTCTGGGCGCGCATGCGCAACGCCATCTTCACCATACGCACTCAGTCAGGTGGACGTCCCAGAACCAGCAGCAACAGGAACGACGATCCTGCCGCCGCCGCCGCCGCCCTCGACCAAACAATAATGTTCCTGACCCGCGAAGAAACCAGAGCGTCCCTGGACCACATCCAGGCCCGGTTGCTTGAGGTCTTGCAGGAAAGCGACCCTCAAATCTTCGCAGAGGAGTGGGTTGAAATGTTCGGGCGCCTCCAGGTGATCGAGAGTGATCTCCCCATGGCTCCAGCCGTGGTCGCAATGGTCAACGGGACCACCGATGAAGGCCCTCCTCCTGCCATGTCCAACGAGCCGTTCATCAGCCAAGGCAACCCGGTTCGAGATCCCCAGTCGACCGTCCCCCCGACCATCATCCCCAGCGTCATGTCTGTGTGGATCACCACGGTCTACGTCCCGCCCGACATGACCGCCGGAGCCATCGACGGAGCCATCGACGGAGCCGCCGCCGCCGCCGCCCGATCCTCCCGCCCGATCGTCTGGCTTGACGCACCAGTCCGGGAGCGCGACATGCGTCACTTCGTTGGAGGCGTCAACGCGCGCGTCGTTGCCCCGCCGTCCAAGATCAAGGGTTACATGTTGAGCTACGGCTGGAGTGTAAGTTGTCTCTCTCTCTCTCTCTCTCTCTCTCTCTCTCTCTCTCTCTCTCTCTCTCTCTCTCTCTCTCTCTCTCTCTCTCACACACGCTTGTACCCACGACGCGCCCAACAGAGTATTGTAGTGTGCTATGCTAATCCTTTGTGTTCCGTGTCCAGGATGTCTGCCGCATTATTTGGACCGGTCCGTTCAGCAGCGCCGAGAGAGATGACCAGGGAGAAGAGACGAAGATGGAGACGGAGACGGAGACGGCACTTCTCGAGCAAGGCTGGACCCAGCTCCGCAGCGACCTCGAGACCGCTTCTCGCGATCGTGTCAATATCTGGAGAATGAAGGTGGTCGTCATCGCTCTGCCTTGAATCGCGAGAGCCTTCTTCCTGTCTACACCTCCGGGTGACATTGCGACAGACATACTTGGGGGTTAAAGTCCTCATCGATTCCGTGTGGATTGCGGAACTTCAGTTATCGTGCGTGTCCTCGTTTTTTTTCTCGGTCCTTTTCTTGAATGCGAACCATCAAAAATTCGAGATCGAAGAAATCAAAATTCGACATGGCAGCACTCAGAGTCAAAAGAATCAGAATCAGAATCAGAAATTCCACAAAACTTACAAAATTTCACTTTACCTCCCCCTTGTTACTCTCCAGTGCTAAACCACTTGATAATATACAGGGTAATCGGACTCGAGATTATCACCTTTACAAGGAGAGCCCATCGTCACCGTTACAATCTCTCTCCACTCGCCTTACGGTGTGTCCCTTACGGGCCGGGACTCGCCATCATTTTCAACATAAGGTATTCCAAATTGAGTTCTATCATACCGTGTCCTACATACCCTACATGCCTCATACGACACCAAATAATTGATATCACCCTTGTTCCGAAACTTCATACACCTGACTCATACTTCATCAAAGTATCGGCATGAGACCCCCTCAGAACAACACAAGAGTCAACGACAAAGTGCCAGGAAAACAAGAGACTCCAATTTCGCTATGCTTGCAAAACAAAAGGTCTTTCCTCAGGAGCGGGCTGGTGACCGCAATCATTACAGGCTGGTGAAAAAAACAGGGAGTTCGCAACCAAGTAGGCAGTGTTTCAGTGGCCGTGTTTCCTCCCTAGGCGAAGAAGAGATTGCCCAAGCCTTTCAACACCTCCGTCCGATTCATCGTTCACCACACAGAGCCATAACATCGATCAGGGCCACCATCCCATCCTCTCGTAACTGGTTATCATCTCTCTGATTCGTTCGGCCGTCAACTTTTCGCACTCGTACTTGAACCCGACGACCCTTTCGAACAGGCTCCCGTCGAGACTGAGGTCAGCGTCCTTGAGCAATTCCTTTTCCAAGAACGGAGTCAGCGGGCCAGGTTTGGTGATGGCCTTTTGCTCCAGCATATCAGCCCATGGCTGGAGCAGATCCTCATTGAGGTCATCGACCACATTCTCGAGGTTCATCCTCGCAAACTGAGAAATCAAAGATCCTTGGAAGCCGGTCTTGATACCAAATACTTCGGAGAAGATCTGCGCGATGTCGCCCTGACTCGTCTGACCGTGATCGACAATGTTGAAGACTGGAACATCGCCAGGCCCCTCCTCGCCTTTCGACCCGAGCGTCGGCCTTCTGCTGGTGGTTGGCGAGCCCGCAGGTATGGCCGAGTTGGTGGACCTCCACTTTGCAGCTTCCCACAGCGCTCGAGCCATGTCCTCGACGTGGACGGTATTGATTTTTAGGTCTTCGGTCCATAGCCACTTCATTTCCTTGTCCTCTTCCTGGTAAACTCGTGCCATACACAAAGCCTTTGCGATGAATTTGGAATCGTACTCTCCATAGACATGTGCAGGACGCAGAATGACCAGATTCAATCCCGGGATGCGAGACAGTTCTTGTTCAGCCTCCAACTTGACCTTCGCGATTTTCAGCCACGGTTTCAGTTTGTCCTGCTCCGTGCGCGGAACGCGGTTCGGGGCGTAGACCATGCCCGTGCTCACTTCAACAAAAGCCTTCACCCCTCGCTTGGCCGCCTCTCTGGCCAATGTGACGCTGACTAGGAAGGACCGCAATCTGTATACTTCAGGAGTCTGTGACCAGGCCGTCTCGCCTGCGAGGTTGAAGACGTAGTCCCAAGTGACATCGGGTCCCTCTGGATGGTCGAAAATGCGCGACATTGAAGTCTCACGTGCAGCATCAGCCTGGATGAAGGAGTTTGGCGAACATGGCTCGCTGAACTCTGGCGCAAGGTGGGCTAGCTGCGGAAGCACCTTATCGACAATACGCACAGAGGAAGCAAGGTTTTGAGAATGTATGTACTTTGCCAGAAAGCGACCAATGTAGCCGAGTCCACCCACAATCAGAACAGAGGGTTTGGAAGTAGCACTGTTGGGGGATGTGCCTGTCGGATCTGTCATGATGTGTAGCTGCAGGGGTGCTCCGGTGTATTACGAAGAATCGAATAGAGAAAATGGCGCAGGAGGATGCAAATCCTCCAACACCGGCACGGACGCTGAGAGGGATGGTAAAGGTCGGAAGAGGTCGCTGGGAGCCTGGAGGAACTCGTGTCTACTAGGTAGCACCGAGAGAAAGTCAGTGGTGGTGCGAGGCGGGGCAGCAATAATGGGAATCAGCTCACAATGCGCAAGGGGGGGAAACGACAAGCACCATCCGACCGGTCAACTCCAGTAGAAACAGGGATCCGGATCTTTAACTTTTTAAGAGGCCAAATGACCTGGCAAGCTGGCACGGCCCGAATGGCAGCAGGCACTCTCCAGACGGCGGGCTCGTCCGCACACCCACAGGAGGAGAAGTGCCAGAGCGTGGCGCAATTGACGGTGACGGTGTCGAATATGTCGTCGAGTGCTGCGCAAAGAGGTCGAGATGTATCATGTAGAGTCGAAGTCGAGGTCGTCGATATTGCGCTCGCTCGCTGAAAATAAGAAACTGAGAGCGCTGAATTGGGTGATTGCTTGCTTCCCGTTCTGCATATGGCCATGCATGAGCCGTACATAGGGACCCTGCGCTCTGGTTCAGGGGCTCGTGGCAATCGTGCTGGACAACGATCTTATGCAGGTCCCAAAGCTAGCACTCAGGGGTGCATGCATCTTCTGTTTGTTGATGAGGCGGTAAACTGCATGCAGTGTCTGCAGGTTACACTACGGCGGCAGACCATGGTCGATGGAGATTGGGGGCTCAAGCGCACCAGCAACAGGAGGTGGTATGAGCGGGACTAACTGGAGACACGACATACCCCCTCCAACTTCCCTACGCACCTTTTCTGTACAGTAGATTTAGCGAGGACGTTCCAAACTTAGGGTTTCTCCTAGCGGTGACGAAACGGGGGCATATTGAGACAATCGTGGCGTAGGCGACCACGGGCAGATGTCATCATTAACTTAAAAGTCGGTAGAATTGGGCTTCTAGGTGTTCGTGGCATGGCACTTGTACAACGCAACTAGTCATTAAAGGAGCAGGCAACCCAGCGCATCACAGCCCCTGGTCTCTCTTGAGCTGCTTTATAAGGCATCCGGGTGTAAAACACGGCCCACGGTCAAGTAGCACAGCAGCGTGGTTGAGACCGCGTTTCTGACAGCATGAATGTGACATCCCAGGAAGAATAGAAGACAGCCTCCGTGCACAACACCTGTTGATACACAATCTACAATATTATATTATCAATCACTGGCCTAGCAGTTCTAGCCGAGTGCTGCCCGAACGGGGTGCTTTGGTCCTTCGCATACGATTATTGTACAGGCTACCACTACTAGGCTCTCTCTCGAAACCCTATTTCTCCGAGCCTCAGGAACAAAAGAGTTAGCACCAACGTTTCATCGACGATCAGCCGCCCTGCATGTGGTGTCTTGCTGCCCCTGGTCACCAGAAGGTCCTGCTTCAGCCAGGCCTTTCCCTCTCTACTGGTGCCCAACCGAGCCATCATTCGGACAAAAGGACGTGGTGCTCTATCAGCCCCAGTCTCGACTCTTCTGGTGAGTAAGAGGTCCAGCCCAACACCGATGAATGCAATGTAGCAAAACTCCATCCCATGGGCAGGGGATCCCTCACCATCACCAGATGCACCATGCACCATGTCTCAGCCAGGCAATACTCTGCACAATGCTTTCACAATGTCGTGTCTGGAACCGCTCAAATTCGCTCACGAACAACCTCTCGAGAACGCTTGCAAATTGGTATCATAGTCGATGATGTCCAGCTCATCGGCGAACGTCAGAATGCGTAAAATAACCCGCTCATCTTCTACTCATTCGGAGCCGGGCCCGACTGCGCCCGTAATGCTCATTTGGCTGGTGCTGGTCGAGGCTGTGATTTCACATTCGTTGACAGCCAGCTCTGCATGTGTATGTCAGTGTCTTGCATGCGCCTCAGTTGGCAGGGAATTCCTTACGAGGCCTTCAAGCAATCCTTCACCAGTAGTCGCGCAGCTAGGCACAACGTACCATACTCGTTCTTTCAACTGGCCGAGTCTCAGTTTTTCGGTGACTTCAGTCGGCGTCATAGAGCCTGGAATATCTTGTTTATTGGCAAACACCAGGAGGAGTGCCTCTTTCATCTCTCGATCCAATATGATCCTGTGCAGTTCTTGTCGGGCTTCGTCTATGCGTGCTCGGTCGTTGGAGTCGACCACGAAGATGAGACCTTGCGTCCCGGAGAAATAGTGTCGCCAGAGCGGTCGGATCTTGTCCTGGCCCCCTACATCCCAAACGTTGAATTTGACGTTCTTGTACGTGACTGTTTCGACGTTGAAGCCCACGGTAGGAATTGTAGTGACATCCTGGTTGAGCTTCAATTTGTAAAGAATGGCTAAAGAGGTGTCAGACTACTGCTACAGCATCCACTGCTTCTTCTTTCAACCCGTTGCGCACTTACTGGTCTTGCCTGCGGCGTCCAATCCAAGCATCAACAGGCGCATCTCCCTCGATCCGAAGATCTTTCCCATCATCTTTGATATTTGATTGCCCATTTCGAAATGGCGCCTCTCAATGGCAAAAGCTGGGGGAGAAGTTTTGGGGACTGTTCAGATGTCGGGCGCGCGCGTTTGCGAATTGGGCACGACGGGTTGACGGGCGGCCGTGTGAAGATCAAGATGCGCGAATTGAGGTGGAAAGAGTGGATAGGTGTCGAAGAAGAATGCCCAGACTGCGGACAGCACCAAGACTGTCGTCAGCGTCAGAAGTATCGAATCTGATAAAGTGTAGATTTGCTAGGCAGTTGACAATCGCTCGTAGAGCGCCCAAGAGCTGGAAAATATCCTTTCGTGGATGTCTCCGGCGCGCTTTCATACAGCGCCAGACGCGGCTCGTACCTGGGAAAGGGGCTCACTAGGCTTATGGGGAAAGAGGAGAATTGACCAGATTGAGCCTTAGCTCCTCGGCTTATCTCGCAAACACCCTTATCGGCTTCGTTGGGCTCTAGCCTGCACAGTATACTCCAATATGTGTACAGTAGAGTCGTTTGCCGGGAAATCCGCATGCGGTTTAGGTGGTCGAGCCCCTCTAGGTATGGTGGTGAGATGGGTGCGCCGCCGCTGTTGACGACTATAAGGGCCTCGTGTGCCGACACCATTTCTCACTGCTTTCACCCTCGTGCGCCCTGGCGAAGATTGTCGTGCTTCGCTTGGACTAATATCGCGTGATCATATCATGTAGCGTGTGTTACCAAATTCAAAATAGCCGACTCCAACATTCTTGAAAACGAGACCGTAGCCATGACTCAAACCGCAAAGACATAGGAAGTCGATCATCTTCATCTGGCACGACACTTGCAATCTTCAATAGCAGTTGCGTAAGTTAGAGACTCACTTGATCTGTGCGAACATTAATACAATGGCGAAAGACCAGCCCCGATGACTAGAACACGTCTACTAGCTCAACAAGACGCAAGTTTCAACAAGCTGTGAGAGTGTGATTACTGCAGGGGGATGGAACGAAGGCCAGCGCATCTCCTTATTCTGAGCGCTGCCATTTCAATTATATTCCGTCCTTGACATGACCTCCCGCATCAACTTCATCAGGTGCTGTGAGCATTCCATTGACAAAACTCCATCCTTGTCGTCGCATGTTACCCCATTTCTCGGCCACTTTCATCGTGACCAGGTCTCCTGTCGCAACAGCATCTTCTTTGGAGTCATGACCCGCTTCTCCTGCTGCCTGAATGGACCTCGACAGATACTTCTGGCTCAACATCCTGAGTCCATATCTGATAGGTAGGCCACGAGGATGAGGGTACAACAGAACCGTGTCTATCACAAAGGGGTGGATGATTCGGCACACGTTCAGATCATTCTCGATGGAGTGGCCAATCAAAGGTGTCTCGTCGCTCAGATATTCGAACAACAGTTCTCTCGCTGCTGCTGGTGAGTCCACTTTGCGGAGAACATGTCCTTTTCCATCGGTTGAGGCTAAATCGCCGTCCACCATAGCGGTGTTATACGACGGAGCATTGGCAAAGTCCTGCGGTGTAACCCCTGAGAACCTGGTGTTCAGGTCCAGGATTTCACCGTACGGACGAACGAGAATGTCAAGTAGGAGTTCGTTTGTAGGCCAAGCAACCGCTGTTAGCCGAATTACTTCCATCCCAAGAGTAGTATAGCCCATTTCACAATCGAAAGACACAGGACGTCTCCGCTGAACATCGGTTTTGTTGGGGGTATGCTCGAATTGCAAGATGCTGGCAAGTCTCTTTGGATCCTTCACAGTAAACACGTGAGTAGGAGCTTCTGAGCAGCCCTCACTACCTTGAGACTTGTTGCAGCAAGGATAGACCGCTTCCGATTGACCGACTACTCGGGTAGCCTTTGAAACCCCTGCACGGGACGGTTTAGCCCAGTGATATCGACACTTGCCGTTGCTAGTAAGCCGTCCGTGTTCATCTCGTCCAAGGAAAACTTGGAATCGAGTGCTGCATCTGTCGCAAGTCTCAAATCCCCCAGTAGCCGCAACCGCTGCCTTTGTCATGGCGATCTCTTTTTCTGTGGGTTTAGTCGTCACATATCCGAATTGTTCCAGGCCTTCGAGGGGTGTACGTAAATGCTTCAGAATTGCAATTTGCTCGTCGAAAGTAGCCAGGCCAGTTGAAATAGTTGTCTCGTGGACCTGTTTCTCGTTGGCTTGAGATACTTCTGGTGAGGCTGCTCCAGTCCACTCCTCCACTGTCTTGACCCATTCGTCCGTGGACATCTTTTTGATACGGAGCACCTTTTGAGCCAATGCATTCTTGTAGATGTTCTCCCCTAATTTAGTAGCCGCCTCCTCCTCGTCGAGCGAGAAGGTGACCAGTTCCTGATCGCTCAAAGTAAGAACCGCTCGCCGATCTTTCAGGGCAGCAAGCCTGGAATTCTGTATCTTCATCTGCTCGTGTAACTTTTGGAGCAACGCAAACCTCGTCTTCAGCACGGCCGGTGCTTTCGGTACATTTCGAGGTGTCAACGACTCATTCTTGCTAGGACGTTTCTTTTCCACTTTCTGGATCGTAGTTTTATCATCCTTCATCGGCGGGGGTGAGACAGTCCTCGTAACTGAAGCCGGCGTCTGTCTAGTCGTAGAGGTAGGACGAGCCTGTAAGGGCTCAAACCTTGCTTTGATGCTCCCCTGGGCGCATGACTTGCCATCTGGTACAGTTGAGTGATTTCTATCACTGGAGGTTCTGGGTCGGTCCACCTCGTTTCTGGTGGCTGCCGCACTCACTAGAAGCTCGACATCTTGACGGAGTGCGGGAGAGTCCAGTCGACGTCTTTTGGCCGGTGGAGAGTGGACTTCGCCGGCACTGAACGGGTCATATTCTTGCGGCGGTGTGATAGAAAGGTTGGCTTCCGACGCTTCCCTTGCGACAGCGTGCAAGAAAATACAGCGGGGGAGGCTGCACTCATACCGCCGAGGACATTCAACATTTTTGAAGAGACCTAGAGCAGAGAACATGTCGAAAAGTATAATCGTTGTCGGAATCTCAACAAAGCTGGTCCATCCGCAGAGCTTCGGCCTAGAAGTCAGGGGTAAAGCCTGATTCACCGACGACAACAAGCAGGGGAGCGTCCGGCGTCAGATTGGCGTACACTGTCGACCAAGCGTCCCCGATGAGGATCAACCCGCGCTGGCATCAAGAGTTTAAGAGGTTACCCACACTAACCCAGCAGGTGCGACACCTTTCAATCCTTATCGCAAAGATACGAATGGACTAGATAACGCGCCGTTGGAACGGAAGCTAGTAAAGGCCCAGAACAAGATGGTTGGTTGTGATCGGTGATTGTCGAGGTGGGATCAAAGATCCGAATGGCGTTCCAGCAATCGAGGCGCGGTGAAATACTATATGAACCTGCAGCGCCCAGCGTCGGCGTGACAAAGTGAAGCTGCTGTGAACTCGCCTCCTGCACAGCTTCTCTATTGCCATAAACACCGACTCACCGCTCCCAACAACGCAAAGAATATTCTAGTCGTGCTGAGTTTTCACCTGCTTCTCTGGGTCATCTGACAAATCCCTGGTCTATCGGATCAACGTCGACAATATCAAGCTCATAGGTGTGGAAATTGGTGATTCTCCAAGTCCACCGAGAAAGGCCGAGGAGTGAGACGGGCGTGAGTGCAGAGACGCAAGGCTGCTGCTTGCTGCTTTCTCCCACGAGGCGTGGGAGTAAGGGCTCGCTAGGCTCAGTTGGTGCGTTGGGGCCGGCCAGTACTGCTGTTGGAGGCTTCCGCAGGCGTGCTCCAGGCACCTACAGATCCGGTCACCGTGTCACGTATCGGCTGTTGCTTTGATCCGTTCCGAACCAAGGCAACCACGCTCAGCCACCAATCGTCACTACACCGTCATCGGCCCTTGCAAGCGCCAAACAATTGATCAGGGGATCAATAGTTGCATCCATCGTTTGGGAAATGCCCTCCCTTCCCTTTGACTTGCGCAGTATCGACAGGACCGCTCTTTTCTACAACTCGGACATGGCAGTAGGTGCTTTGAAGTCCGGGCAGTCAACGCCGAGAAAGGCTCAGCATCTTTGTGTTTTGGTACATGGGTGCGTTCTTCTCATCTCCAACCTTGTTTGACTCCACGCCATGACTAATTGCATTCTAATGCAGGCTTTGGGGAAACGCTGTACGGATATGCGCCTAAGATGCCACTTGCTGGACACCGCTAACGAATTCCTTAGACTCATCTCAACTACCTCGCGCAGGCTTTACGAGAGAAACATAACGACGAACAGCTCATAATACTAGCCTGCCGATCTAATCCAGGCTCCTTGACCTACGATGGCGTTGAAGTCGGTGCTGAACGAGTGGCTAAAGAGATCGAAGACATGCTAGAGGAGCTAGAGAGAGATGGCTACAAGATCACGCGTTTCTCCATCGTCGGGTACTCACTGGGAGGCCTGGTGGCACGCTATGCTATTGGATTGCTGTACCATAAGGGGTATTTCGACAAGATGGCTCCTATCAATTTTACCACATTTGTCACTCCGCATTTGGGGGTCCGCACACCTTTGAGAGGGTATCAGAATCACCTTTGGAACGTTCTAGGAGCAAGGGCCTTATCCAAGAGTGGCAGACAGCTGTTCATGATCGATAACTTTCGCGGTACCGACAGACCCCTCCTCAGTGTTCTCGCCGATCCAGATAGCATATTCATTGCAGCCCTGCGCCAATTTCAGCGACGTTCCCTTTACACCAACATCGTCAATGATAGGTATGTCGACTACGATCAACACCAGGACATTTGCTGATAGGCGATTAGGTCGGCTGTCTACTATACGACAGGCATATCGAAAACCGATCCTTACACTGACCTTCAGAAACTCAACCTTCATTACCTGAAAGACTATGAGCCTGTCATACTGAACCCTGATCGGCCTGTGGAAACTGTGCCCGAGGATCAGTTACCTACATTCTATCAACGCATCCGCACCAGCGGCCGAACAGTCTTGCGCCGTACGCCGATATTTTTGGCTCTGGTTGTGCTGATTCCCATAGCCACTGTGGCCTTCCTCGTGAATTCATGTGTTCAGACCTTTCGCAGCCGCCGCCGTATTCGATTGCACGAGACAGATGAGCAAGGAGCAGGATTCGGCAAATACAACATCCCCTGGATGGTGCGGGAGATGCGTGTGGGTCTTGAGGATGCATTCGAAAATGTTAATGCTGCACAACAGCAGGACTATCTTCCCCAAGGATCAGAGGAGATTGCCACAATGCCAGCTTCGCCGTCCATGTCCACTTTCACAAACACGTCGGCCGAATCGTTGGGGAATGAAAAAGCGGACAAGACTATGCTACAAAATAAGTCTTCATCGACCGATAGAGCCCCAGATTTCCCCACTTTAGCTCTGACTCCAGCTCAGTTTGCTGCAATCAACGCTCTTAATGATGTAGGATTTCGAAAGTACCCCGTGTACATCCACAAAAGCAGCCATAGCCACGCAGCCATCATTGTGCGGACACCCAGAACTGCGTTTGAGGAAGGTAAAGTGGTTGTCAAACATTGGTTGGAGAACGAGTTCCAAATTTGAAACCGTCAAACACCTGTCCACACATGTTGTACCTGTCGCGAATCTGTGGGACGCCTTATTCATGACTTTTCGACATGTGATCGATTGACTGGCTGAGGTGGTCCTTGAAGGTGGACGATCTCCTAATGGACTTAGGGTAGTTGGAGTGTTTTGGGTGTCTGGCATTTATGCTAACCTATGTGGCCCGGCTGGGCATGGTGCAGCTACCTTTGGCGGTCTCTTTGCGACAACATATCCAAAAACAGCGTGCATTTTGTCATTTTCAGCGATGGAGTTGAATAGATGAGGTGCCTTAGCTAGAAATGTCCAATGGCTTGCATTTACCGATACGTGTCGATAACGACATGTGTGGCGCGACATTGCTCATTCGCCAGAACGAACGATATCAGGTTCTGTTGTAAGCCTATCGGCGTCATTTTGCTATACCAGCCGGCGAAGCTAAGTCCCTGGCCGGATATGGCCGATAGTGCTGACGGGTTTGGCTTCTGCGAGGCTGCCCAGTTCTATGCAGTGTCTTGCCCGCAAGAACAGAGACTCATACGCGAGTTGTGCTCCGAAGGAGGCTCCCACCCTGCTTACGGAGGGACTTAACTCGGTTGTCCACGACCCGTATGTACGAGTACAGGATGAGTACAAGATTAGAGAATGTTGATGGGCGATCGGCGAGACGAGGTTCCTGACTAGGTGTCTAGTATCCCGTACATACCGAGCCGCCGAAAGTGATGGGTCGCAATGAGATCAGTGGCGTGCGGACGGTCAAATGGAATTTTGTGATGGACGGCAAAATGGAGTCCCTGGATTCTCTGTGCGTTTCAGCCTCGGTCTGACAGAAACGTTCAAGGCCCGTGCTACGCATTGAGCGCGGCGGCGAACTGTGTCGATCCATGTATCCGTGTCCGTGTCTGACGGTGAAAAATCTCTTCACAGCCTTCTTGGGACCAAAGGGATCGAGGGGACCCAGAGCTCGTTCCGTCCTCGCTGGAGCCATGGCCCATCATCGTCAAACTTGCGCCAGCCCGCAAACCACATGTCGACAGCGTCCTCAGTCCTGACCGTATCGCCCCCATCTCCACTACGTCTCAACGCTGCGTCGTTATTGCTCGCAATCTCACTGATAAATTTTCTACGAGCAATCACTGGAGTCCCCTTTTTCGACGGCCCTCAGCCCTCGGCCGGCGTCATTCGTCGCGCTGGGGTGTTTGAAGGACGAGGTCTCCGTAATTTCCACGTCATTATGCAGTGCTATCAGTACCTTTGATGGGTGTATTTCCCGAATCTTCTAACGACCGACTCGGGTTTCGTTCTCGCGATACCCACTGTTTTGGTTACAGTTGTCTGGTATCTTTCCACTTTTCTCGTAGTGTGTCCATTGCGGCCTCTTGCTGCTACCCACCAGGGGTGCACGGCTTTGGAGGGCGAGTATACGTATAATAAGCCTGGGTAGCCCGCCATCAATGTCTACCCAAAGGAAAGCACTTATGGTTCATTAGCGCCCTCCTTGTTCTTTGCTGATAAGAAACCCTTCCCGTCCTAAGTACATATAACAAATCGCGCCTGTAGTCATAGTCAACATGTCAGGCGACGGCGTTCCTTCTGATATGGACAACAACCTGTTGTCCCCAATCACTACGAAGAGACGAGACACACGCAGATTATCAAACCAGAGTGCCACTCGGTCAGATCTGTTCGGAGGTCCTGCTGTTGTTGGACCACCTGACAGCGTTGAGGGCGGTTACAGCAATGCCCACCAAACGGCCAAGGCCATGGAATTGGCCAAACATCATTTGGCCGAGGGAGATGACCTGTCCTCCCCCGAAGACTCTCAGCCTGTTACCCCTGATTCGTCTGGCTTGACGACGACCGACAAATACGCCTTTGCATTTGATATTGATGGCGTACTCATCAAAGGAGGCGACGTCATTCCAGAAGCCATTGAAGCCATGAAGGTTTTGAACGGAGAAAATGAATATGGTATTAAAGTGTACGTTGTGACAGCCACAGTGTCCGGACTCTTGAAATTACTGACACTTCCTCCAGGCCGTATATCTTTGTGACGAATGGTGGAGGCAAGACCGAAGAGGAGCGATGCATCCAACTCTCGAACCAGCTCCAGCTGGAAGTGTCTCCGGGCCAGTTCATCTGCGGCCACACTCCCATGCGGGAGATGGCGGAGAAGTATCACACCGTCCTCGTAGTGGGTGGCGAGGGCGAGAAATGCCGCACTGTTGCAGAAGGATATGGCTTCAAGGACGTCATCACCCCGGGTGACATCATCAAAGATAACAAAGACACCACCCCATTCCGTAAACTGACCGAGGAGGAGATGAAAAACTCGAAAAAGAGGAATTATGGCGAGGTCGAAATCGAAGCGGTGTTTGTCTTCGCAGACAGCCGAGACTGGGCAGGCGATTCCCAGATCATCCTGGATCTCTGCATGAGCAAGAATGGCCGGCTCGGTACCCGTTCAGAAACGTTCGATGAAGGGCCTCCCGTCTACTTTTCCCACAACGACATTGTCTGGGCCACGTCGCACGCATACTCGCGCATCGGCATGGGTGCCCTACGCGCGTCCCTCGAAGCCATGTTCAAGGCCATCACAGGCAAAGAGCTGAAGACCATTGCCTTTGGCAAGCCCCAGCTTGGCACATTCGACTTTGCAACCAGACTGCTGCAGCAATGGCGCAAAGATACTCATGGCATCAACAAACCCCCGGAGACGGTCTACTTTGTTGGTGACACTCCGGAGTCGGACATCCGAGGTACCAACGAGTTCAACGAGCACGGCGATCCAAATGTCGAGTGGTATTCGATCTTGGTTCGAACTGGCGTCTACCAGGAAGGTACTAAGCCTGCATTCATCCCAAAGATGACGGTCGACAATGTCCTCGAAGCTGTCAAATATGGAATGCGGCGCGAATTCGACAAGGCCTTGAAGAACCTGACTATTGGCGGCGGAGCACCACAGCTGGCGGATGCCATCGCCGAGGATGACGACGACGAGTAAACCAATATGTTTCCACCCCCCAGAACCTTCGTTTTTGTCAATTATTTTCTCCTCCGATCTATGGACAGTTTGTGTTTTATTCTGGTACCATGGTGTCCTCAAGCCCGCAGGCCTGATGTCAAAAGTCAGGCAAACGAATTTTATTTTTCGAAATCCCGCCACCTACGACTTTACGAATGCATTTTTGGATGGAGTTGCCGGGGGCGCAAACATAAGCCGCACCACCATTATCGAATCTTGGGAGGTGGCATTGGCATGGCGTAGATGAAAATGGGAGACCTCGTGTTGGATGAATTCAACTCCACATAAGGCCGGTTGAGGACGCTTACACACATTGAGCACTTTGAACGTGGCTGAGATGGGGGCCGCTTGGGGGATGATTCTTCCTGAGTATTTCCGTAGTTGAAGCATGTAATCGTATTACGGATGTGAATACGAAATGACCTTCACAAATCAAGAGGGAAAGATCTTCTCAAGGGATTCCCTGTTTGTGCTCCGACAAGACTCGGCCCAAATGGAGAATTGCTTCTTATTGTGTTTGCAGAGTTTCCGTGTTGCTAGGCTCTTGTGTATATGCCGACCCCATGTAATGCAAAGACACGCATTACTGGTGTTAGTCGTTTGCTGTACTGATTGGCATATCCATCCTCCATCCTCCGTTCTTCTTACCTACCTCACATCATCTGTATGATCGTGGCGGGGGTTAGACATGGTGACCCATGGAAGTCTCACCAGGCTCAGCAAGGTCATCAACATCTCAAGTGGAACTAGCTATCAGCCTCAACCACCCTTCGCACGTTGGCAGCGTTTGGGCGATGTTTAAATATAGGAACATGGCCTTTTTGGTCTGTTCAAGGGACCAGAAGTCTGAAAGCAGCAGACACAGTCGCTGTGGACACGTATGAGACATGGACTGCAGTGTCTGTTTGGTAACTGCGGGTTAGAGGGCGACCGCGCGAGAGAGTCGCTCGTCCCAGCACAGCATTCGTCCGCCAGACCACGGGTTGCTTGATGCACCGGTGGTTTAGGTAGAAACAAGGTCTAAATATGCTTTTGGCGAGGGCGTGAAGCGTGTAAAGGCCAGGCTGGGCCAGGATTTGTCCCTTGCTGACTTGTAAGTTGTAGCATGACGGAAAGGCTTAATGCCCTCACACCCATACAGTCACAACCCTCCTAACTCGCTGCACGACCCCCTGACCACCGCCCAAAGTCACAGCTTCCGCTAATTTCTGTCGAATCCAAGTCAAGGCTCACCAGACTTTCGTTGGAGTCCTTCTTCCAAGATTTCCTTGACTACGTAAGGATTTAGTGGAAGTCAGAGTCCGTTTCTGCGCCTGCTGCCTGCAATACCTGGGAACTGATCGACGTCGGACGCCCTGCTGCGCGCGCTCCTTGGCCAGCGTCTTCCTCACTGCCCTCCAGTTGATCCTCCTTGCACATCAACTTCAAGGCCGTCGCTGTTTTCCCAACTCGTTCCTTTCGATCGTGCAGTTCTCCCATCCCATCGCATCTTGTGCGTTCGAGCGTTTGCTTCCTCATTCGTTCCAAGTGGTCTTTTTGGCGCACGGCCACGACATCATCACTCGCGCTTGATTTGTTTGAACAAACAAGGGCTATAAGAGTCGGAGAAGGCATCACGCACAACAATCACAATAACGACGTCGCTCCCTCCACGTCGCGGGGCCCTCCTCGCCTGGAACCCGCCTAGGAGCCCACTGCCTTTGAAGCCGACATGGCGACAAATGGCGCAGGCTCGACAAGTCCTCCACACGCTATCGACAGGGCAGCACAACGTGGTGCGCCTGTACCTTCTCCTATAGCTACCGCTTCCCCTCCTTCCAGACGAGAGTTGGCATCGTGGTGGAAAAAGTTCCGAAAAACAACGGAAAAACCAGACGAGAAGGGTGAGGCAATTGCACTTCAGCCTTCCGCCCGCAAGACGACTGTGCTGTTTTCTCTTGAGCCACACTGCTAACCCTTTGTTAGTTGAAAATGGTCCTGGAATCTTCGGTGTCCCGTTGGCCGACAGCATTAGATACGCGAATGTCGCAATTTCGTTACAGAATGAGAATGGCGAAAGCTTCATTTACGGCTACGTGCCCATTGTGGTAGCAAAATGTGGTGTGTTTCTGAAAGAGAAAGGTATGCTGTGCAGGTGCCCAGGCTCTTTGTTCTATACCAATTCTAACGATGACTGTAGCTACGGATGTCGAGGGAATCTTCAGGCTGAGTGGCTCAGCGAAGAGAATCAAAGATCTACAGACAGCATTCAATTCTCCTGACAGATACGGAAAAGGGTTGGACTGGACTGGCTACACGGTTCACGACGCTGCTAATATCCTGCGCCGTTATCTCAATCAGTTGCCCGAACCCATTGTTCCTCTAGACTTCTACGAACGATTCCGAGAACCCCTCCGAAAGACCCAGATCCAAGGCCCAGATGGCGAATTGCACCCCAGAGACCTCAGTGTCAGCGAGCACAGCGAAGCCGTGTCCTCTTACCAGAAGCTCATCACGGAACTGCCGCCTCTGAACCGACAACTCCTCCTCTACATCCTTGACTTGTTGGCAGTTTTTGCCTCCAAATCAGATCTCAACCGCATGACTGCCGCGAATTTAGCGGCCATCTTCCAACCTGGCATCATCTCACACCCTTCACACGACATGGCTCCTCATGAATATAGACTCAGCCAAGATGTGTTGATATTCCTGATCGAGAATCAAGACAACTTCCTCATTGGGATGTCAGGAACGGCAGTTGATGAGAAGACCCAGAAAGATGTTGAAAGTGGCCCACCATCAGTACGCTCTCCCAAGCCTGTTGGCAGATCTACATCCAACGCCAGTGCAGGCGCAGACAGTCTAAGAAAGTTCGGCGTACGCCGAAACGTATCGGTGTCCTCTCGTGGTTCTAGAGAACGGAGCAGCCCTGGTGTCTCGAGCCCAGGCACGCCTTCTGGAGTGACCTCCTTTGGAGGAGGCTCGGGTATTTCTCGCAGTAATACTGTCCCATCCAAGAGGTCCCCAGCTATCGCGTCTGGCAGATTTCAGCGCATAACAGATGGCCCAGACTCGAGTGTTCCTGCGGCCAGCTCCCCAATTGCTGGGCCAGGAACGCCTCAAGCGAACCACGAGACCAGCGGGTCGAAGCCATCAAGTTCGAGATCAATTCAACCAGATGAGACCGAGGACAGAATTATGCCGGCGCCTACCGACGATCCAACCCACCAAGCAGACGATTCGCAAAATAGGACAAATTCTCTTCCCCTTGCAGTCCCCAACCAAATTCAACCTCTGCCCTCACCGTTGGCAACTCAGCAAGTCCTCTCCAACACAGCTGCAAGTGCGAATAAGGATCGCAAGGTGCCGAACATATTCTCCAAATCACCCATCTTCGGCCCTTCAGATCCATCTGGTAGACAGCCTAGAAAGCTTCAAAAGAGACAGAAGATTCCTGGAGCCGCCAATGAAAGCGCTCAGAGTTCATCAAACTCTCTACAGGGAGACGATTCGGGCACATTCCATACACCCCTCATCTCTCCTGATCTCAACAATGCGGGCAGAGCCGATCCATTAGTACCACCACAAGGCCCCGCATTTACCAGCACAGCAGCTACCCCTGTCAATGAGACACCAGGGCAAAAGCTCTTTGGCGCGAACGATGAGCAGAACCAAGGAACCGGTCTGAGACCCCCTCAAAAGTCTCCACCTGGTTCAACCCGTTCTCGCTCCTCTTTTACAGATCACTCTGAACCCGATGCTGGAGAATACACGTCGAGTCGGCCAGAAAAGGAGAAGCGTCGTAGCAGATGGAGATTTTCATCGTCTGCGAAAAAGGGTGAAAACTCTCCACTAGCGCCTCCACCGCCTATTGGGCAAAACCAAGGTGCCAGGGGCAGCAATAGTTCTCTCGGCAGCGCAAGTCGACCACGGAAGAGCTTTACTGGAGACTCTCAGCAGACGCAATCGGCCTCCCAATATGGTGACGCTCCATATGGAAGTGGACAGCAGTCGCTGATGTATTCAAGTCAAGAGTCGAATGAAGGACACAACGTTGAAGGCGAGAAGAAAGGCTTATTTGGCAAGTGGAAGGCCAAGATCTCTCAGACAAGAGAAGAGAGACAAGCTGAAAAAGAAAGAGCCAAGAGCCCCCCAAGGAATGAATATGGTGCCTCGCGAAGCAGTCTTAGTGCGATTGCGCAGGAACACTTTGCGCAGAGAGGCCGGTCCTTTGACAGACCTCGTGAGGAGCCTTTGCCTGGCGTGGTTGAAAAGCCAGTTGCCGAGAGCCAAGCTCTAGATCCCAAGCAGGCGGCTGAGCAGGGAGACAAGTGAAGATTGAAACCATGGACGTAATTGACGACGTGATGACCATTGTGATTATCTGTTGGATTATTTTGGCCGTGTTGGGAGCACGGCGCTCTGGAATTCTTTGCCCCGGAACTGAACAGAGTACGGAAATTGGAGGAAGGACTAGGGAAGTTTTAATGCTAAGGAAGAGGATGTGTCCCGCAGGTCTGGAAATGGCACATTGGGTTTGACGAGGCAAATCAGGCAAATAAAATTGGGAGCAAGACTGAACCAGTATCCGGACCAGGAACAAAGTTGAAGCTATGGATAGAGGAAAGCAGTTTGAGACGGGACACCAGACTAAATTGATGAAACAGTCACTGAGGCAATGGCATATGCTGAAATAAAATGAGGAGGAGTATGACCTGTTCAACACTTCGTCCCGTCACTTGAGAATCGATGCAAGGTTCCAGTATGAGGTGTTGTGGCTGTATCCGTACTGCACACTCCCGGGCCGTATCTGATATCTGATGTCTCTTCATTAGGTGGCTATCACGTGACCCGAGTCTCTTTTGCTTCAAATGTGGCTAGCGTGGTTTGACCGTGAGAAGGGATCCACCCAAATTTGCAGAAAGCTGCGAAAAGTGCGGAGAGACAGAGAGAGACAATTTTTACTTGTGAGTCTGGTTTTGCGAGTCACCGCACGACACGACACGAGTTTGGTTTTTATTCTCATCGAAGAGAGAAGCCCGAGGATCGGCGTCCTCGTTACTTCCACGCACAAACACGCGACCAGCAACTGCAGAGCCGACCTCTCCCCGTCGCGCCTCCGACTCTTTAACATTCGCTCAGTTCTCCCCCCGAAAGTGCAGGCCGTTTGATTGAACGACGGAGCCGGAGCCAGAAAAACAAAGGAGATAGGAAGAAGAAGAAGAAGCGACCAAAAAAGATTGAAAAGGCAAAAAGCCAGAAGAGAGGAGAAGATAAAAATCCAAAATGGCAAAGGAAAAGTCGACGGAAAAGCTGTCGTCCAAGGAGGAGCGCAAGGCGGCTCGCAAGGCGGAAAAGAAGGCGTCCAGATCCAGCGGCGCAGAACCCACGGGGGTGACAAAGGTCAAGAGCGACAAGAAGGACAAGAAGGACAAGCGAAAGGCTCTGGCGGAAAAGGTGTTGAACTCGATCGACGACAACAGCAACAATGGCTCCAAAAAGAAGGGCGGCGACGACGACAGCGAGAGTGAGGACGTAGAAATGGACGGCGACACCACCGGCGGGGTGGAGGTTTCGGCGCAGGGAGACGTCAAGAAGAACGAGAGGTCGCTCGCGACGAAACCTGCCGGGCCGTTGGTGCCGTTTGCGAATCCGTTGGCGGATGAAAAGGTCGCGAAGAAGGTGTTCAAGGGTGTCAAGAAGGGTATGTCGAGTGTTCTTTCTGTTTGTTTGTCTTTTGATGATGATGATGATTTTTTTGTTTGTTTTGGTTGTTTCTTCTCCCACGCCCTCTCTCTCTCTCCTTCTTTCCTCTTGTCTTTGTTGTTACACACCGGGACAAGACAAAATGGCTAATGACTCGTTGGAAATTTCCCGCAGCCGCCGCGCAACGTACCCTCAGAAGAGGCGTCAAGGAGGTCGTCAAGGCCCTGCGCAAATCCCCCGTGTCCAACGCCTCGGACCCGGTCCCCATCGGCGTCGTCGTCCTGGCCGCGGACATCTCGCCCATGGACGTCATCTCCCACATCCCCGTGCTCGCCGAGGACCACAACATCCCTTACATCTACGTGACCAGCCGCGCGGAGCTGGGCCTCGCCGGCCAGACGAAGCGCCCCACCAGCGTCGTCATGATCAGTCGCGACGCCGGCAAGAAGGGTGCCGCGGGCGCCGCCGCCGACGCCGACGACGGCGAATCCTGGGAAGAGACGTACAAGAGTCTCGTCAAGGTCGTCGAGAGGGAGGGGAAGCACGTCAAGATCTAGAAAACTCTACGAGAAAAAAAAAAGCAGTTCTAGACCCTGTGGTTGCGCCGTTCCACACCTCGTACTCCAAACCTCGGTCATCGTACCTCCCTGCTTCTCTGTCTACTTGCCCGCCGACCTTCCTACCTGGGCCAGTCGGTCGGTACCTTGATCGGTTTTTACTTTTTGAACTGGGCGAAGGAGGGATCTGGGACCGTCGGTTGGTGTGTCACGTACGATGGGTGGATGCTGGTGATGGTACTCTTGTGTGATGCGTTGCTGGTGGCGGTGGTGCGATCGGCATCCTCGTGGTCCTGTTTGTGATGCTGTGAACCGAACACTACTGAGGGAAACGAACCCAAGCGGAAGTGTCAGAACAGAAACGAGATGGACATCACACATCCCCATGATGCGTGGGACGTGGTGCGTGGTGCGATGTGGGAATACAGAGTAGTCCTTTCTTGTCCTATTTGAAACCGGCGTTTTTTGATGATGGGACGGCCACTTTGATAGGCTTGGGCAAAACCTCACTGCCAAGGACGGACTGAAAAGCAATTATACTAGTCACTGGCACTGTCGCCGGGATGTGTGTGCGTGCGATTGTGTGTGAACACTTACCCGACGTATTTCATGGATTAGATCAATTCCTGGCTCGACTCGTGTTAAGATGGCGGTTGATGGTCATCACATTTCTCCCGTTGAATGCCTTCTCTTGACAACTGAATTCGACCCTTTGTATCGTCCTAGGATTGGATTTTGTTCTTCGTTGAGTCAATTTATGTGAAAAGCGATGTATGTACGTACATAAGGTATTGTGTACCAGGCAAGGTGCAACAACCATGGTTCGTACAGAGCATCCTCCCCGTTACCATATTCCATAAGCACCTCGATCAGCCACCTACGCCGCCCAACCCTCTTTTCATTAGGAACCTTTCATACTTCGTTCAATTCATTTCATCATATACTCATTCTTCATCAAGGACATTCACATAAATGACAGTCGAATGGTGCATTTGCGCTCTCGCGAGCTTCGCAAAACCGATGTTTGTATGAACTCCTCCTTCAATGCCAGAACTTACTAAGGCCACCAAGATTGCCCTTTGCCATGGCAATACAGTCGATATTATTCGTCCTCTCAAACAGACTCTTCGGACGGTTTGCTTCCTTCGTCCGACGACCTGGGTAGTGCCGATAAACGCTCACTCAGCCTTCGCAATAATGAACGTCCATCCGGGCCGCCAGGGCTGAAACTCCGTGTCCTGACTGTGGCAGGATAGGTTGGAGAGCCCGCGAGTGGAGGACGCCTCTCACTCAAATTCTGCCGAGACGGACTCAGCCCCGGCGACTCTTCGCCAAAGTGTCTTGACTCGACGGCGGGAGACAGGAACATTGTGCCTGGAGAACCACCCGTGGCCTGTCTTGACCCTCTCAGCCCCTCTCTTTCATACTGGCTCTTCCCCTCCGACTCCGTGACGGTTACGTTTGTTGGCATGTACTGAGGCTCTTCGAACTTGATGGTGCTCGATCTTTGTCGGTGTCTCAAGGGCGTCTGGCCAACATCGTCAGGCCAGATATCCAAGGCGTTGCTGTGGTCCGTTGCGGGAGACTGCAGTGTATGTCTCGCACCCCCAGGAAGATAGTTTAAGACGCCCCGGGACATGCGTCGTGTGTTGGCTAGGAGAAACCCTTGTGAGCCCCGAACCGACGTCTCCGAGCTCAAATCATGAGACAACCTCGCCTCAAGACTAGCATGAACTGGCGGTCCCTGAACGGATGTCTGCTTTTCGTCGGCAGAAGTTGTTCTTTTTGCAAGGATCTTCTTTTTCAGGTTTTCAGACCTCCTTGGAGCGGCAAAGGAGACGAGTTTGATCAGGGCCAGACCGATGTTTGCGAACAATCTTCTGCTATTGTCTGGATTGTTGACTATCAGAATCAGTAGGTATGTAGGAATACAAATCCCCACCACGGTCACGGCGAAAGGGAGGAAATTATCATCCACAGGCATGTTTGTCATTCCTATTCCAGTTTGTCAGCGTTTTCTTCCAAGAAAGGACCGATATGCCTACCGAAAATGGAGGTGACAAAAGTCAAAGGGAGGTAGAAGAGTGTCACCAATGTCAACAGTCGGATATTGTAGCCCTGTTCGACAGTGATTTTGGCCATGTTGACAGCTTCTCTGCTTTCCAGAACTGAGGTACCACTAAACAGCCACTCCCTTAGGTTGCGAATTTCTTTTTGTTGCTGTTGGAACATGTGTAGCACCTCCTCTAAGCGGACAATCTCCTTTTCGAATTGTCTTCGAGTATGTATGAGCTTCTTTCTCCAGTTGTGATACTTGGGAGACTGCTCCTTTGTCCCTGGAAATAATGTTTTATGCTCACCCGACCAAAACTCGTCGGTGAATGTCTCTCTGTAGGCCGTGATCATCGCCTTAATTTCATTACTCAATAACCCAAGCGTCTGCGAGGCCCAGAAATATCTTCGCGAGTATGTGTATTTGTCATTTTCAAACAGAAGCTCATCCCTCAAGCCTCTGTCAAATATGGATCTGTTGGGCGGCGTCGCTAGTCGTTGTATACTCGAGAACACCTCTCTGAACCGCTTGACGGCATCTCGGTATTCCACCATTAGAGAAGAAAGGAACGCATCAGGCCCATTAACATAATGATGGTTTGTTTCGTGGACGTCGACACTAGATCTCCAATCAGGAAAACACTGTATCGACAAAACATGCCAGGGGGCAAAGGGATCGTAGATATGACCAACAATAGATTTCCTTTTTCGAGAGTTGCGTCTTAGAGTGTGACTCGACTTGCCAGCTAATGATAGTGCCACCACGGACGAACAAGTAGACAAAGGAATGTGGTCATCGGAATGTTCTTGAACACTATCGTCATAGTTTTGCCATGGAAGAGGTGATCTACCATCGCCAATGATGGTGTGATATTTGAAAACGAAGACGACTGAACGCTGCCGGCGGTGGTCTTTCTCAAGATACCCTTTGGTAAAGGCTTTCGTTGGCGTTGTATCGTCAATCAACATGCGGTATATGCTGTCCATGTCGAAATAGTCTCGCATTGTCAGGTGTAGTGCGGCAAACAGGCTGGAAGGAGGCTCCCGGACAATAATGATCCTACCCACTGCCTGATGCCTTTTTGCGTCAGAGTTTGTGCTTCGAAGAGCCTCCCACACAGCGAGAGGGCCTTCTTCTGAATCACCTCTGCTATACCGCAAAGGAGCTCCATCTGTAGATACATGATAGATGTCCGCATGTTGATGATTTGCGTCGATTTGGTGATGCCGATCCTTCAAGAATATCCCATTCTCCAAAAGGCTCAGGTTTCGGAGGAGATCCTGAAGAATATATTTGCTGTAAATATCCCAGTCATGACTTTTTAGATGATCGATCAAGTCCACCTCGGAATGTTCTACGGATGGTAGGAGCTCCTGTGCAAAAAGCGATTCGTCATCTTCGCTGTCCGAAGTCAGATCTCCCGTGAAAATGGAGTCTTTGGTCTGATGGGCTTGGCTATGTTCCAAGATGTAGGTGGAAGCCCGACGAGCTTTTGTAAGGGCTTGCGGCACGGTTGGTTGCTCTATGTCTCGCCCAGTGCTTGAAAGAGGTAGTATCTTAGGAGACGCCACTATAGGCCTTGGGCCGGAATTCAATAGCGCCAATTCGGACAGCGTATCCTCTCTGGCAGATCGGCCATTGAGTGCTTGTTCCAGAGTCTCATGAACTTTCTCGAAGGTCGATAGGTACGCTCTTCTGTCAGCCTCGAGCTGTTGAATGAGATCTCGAATTGCGTCATACTCTAGAACCATGGTTGGTACGGCGTGCTGAGAAGAGTTGTCAGGACCGCAGTCATGCGCGAGAGGATTTGAATCCGCCGGAGAGTCCATTGAGGCCGACTTATAGTGGAGTGAAGCGTGGTTTTTGGGAACGACACCGCATGATGCAGGCGCAGCCACTAATGGAGACCTCTTAGTTACCAGCCCCGCGTACCATTGTAGACCGTGATAGTCTTAGAGCCTCATTTGATTGTGGCATAGGGCGAGTTTAGAGGTCGGTTCCAGGTCTGCATTCAGCACTCTGTCGATCGTGGAGGGACCTCCTCCTCCAAGTTGTAACACGCTCACCGAATGAGAAGGTCAACCAAGGGTGATTCGCCGAGCCAGAAGCTAGTACAAAGTAAGCAGCGAAAGTAGGATACTCAGGATTGAGAATTTCAACAACGATGTTGATCTTGTCAACTTCGACGAACTCACCGCTGGGCAGAAGCAGGAGAACGGCATAAGATGACCTCACCAGTCCCTGGGCGAAAGGAGGCACAATGACAAGGAAGGACAAAGCGATATCCGGACAGGCTCACAGGGTTCAGGAAGCAATACGGATACCTGGTTATTGAAAGGGGACTCGCGGACTAACTAGTCTTCGCCAGCCGTGTCATTGCTTTCGGTGCCTGGAAAGCACAAAGGGAGGGGGTTGGCTCTGGCATAGCCATACCCCTGTTGAACAAGTGTCGAGGGAGGCAAAAATCGATCCTTCTGCAGGGGCGACCCAGGCGAGCTGTTAGTGACACTCCATACTCGGAGAGTCTTAACAGCCTAGTGAGCCTGTCCTGGGCCAGTGGTGAGCCATTAGGCTCTCGACATCGCCAAATAGCTGGCTAAAGAGATTCGTCCGGTGTACGAGCTAAGAGATGCCCATGTTAATTGGTAAACCGAGCCAGTTAAGATAGACTTTTAGCAGGCATCTTGCAGGTATTCCAGCAGGCTTACCACTTCTAAAGACGCTTGGTTCTCTTGGCGGTCCGCTGAGCCCCGAGGCCGCAAACTAAGGGACTGTACGGAGTAGGTACAGGTACACACAGTACGACACAACACAAGTACCCAGCCTCACTAGCCTGGTTCACCCTAGCGCCTTCCGTTAACCTGGACAAAAGTCCTCATGGCAAGATAAGGTAAGCAAAACTGCTGCTCGACTTCGGGACCTGGCGACACTTGTTGTACGACACAGTATTCTCAAAGCCCTGCTCGGGTCTTCCATGGGGAAGGCTGGAGATCATTCCTGAGGTTGTTTACGGAGTAAGGTCGAATGCTTACACCTCCGGAACACTCAGGGTATGGAGATCGTTGGAGCACTGTTGTCTTCAATGTCTCTGTAAGCTCTGACTGGAGGTATGATCTGTGTTGAGGGGACTCAAATGACAATCATGAAGGCTTCGTGAATGAACTGATACACGAGATACCTTCCTGACCATAATTCACTGCCTAATATGTTGCTGATGCCGGTCCTAACACGTCTCGTCTTGCACACCGACGTCTCAGTCAATTACTCGGCAAAATAAATTGCGGGCGAATGAATGACCGACGGTTCTGCCGTGGAAGTAGATGGGTTCAAAGGAACATCTATACCCCTGTCTATTCGATAAATCTATACACAGATGGTCTCATTGTATGCTTCCCAATCCCGCAAGTTGGACGCTTCAATCATCTACTCCTTTTTGCGTGTGGAGGCTGATGGTATCTACAATATCTTCATCGTCTCCGTCACCCCGGCCAAATACATCCTCATCATCGGTAGGTTCATCATGATACTCTGTTTGCGGATTAGGGGAAGATTCGTCAAAGTAGTCCATGACATCGTCGTCTCGTTCCAAAGCGTTCGCAGCCACCTGGGCTTCCGGGTCGTCAGCGTATTCCGGGGGTAAGTGTCCAGTTCTTCGGACAGCATCTCGGATGTTGTTGGCTTCCTCAGCCTCCAGCTCTTTAGCCCGAGCCATCGTCTGCCGATAAATGTACACTCCTGTCAAGATGCCGACAGTCGCGCCAATTGCAATCCCGGAATAATTGACTAGTCTGTCGCCCATGGTCATCTTCTCCCTTGTTCTTGCAATTACGGCTAAACGGCTTCCAATAAAGACGTGTATCAGCAGTTTCGGAGATACGATGGCCGTGGCCAACGCATACATGGCTGGGTGGACGGTCGGAAATGTCGACATCGCTCCATTTGACAAAGAGTAAGGCAAAGGGCATAAGCGAATCATACACAAGAGCTTCAGGCCGTCGTGTTTGAGGATGAGCGTGAAGGCGGCAAAGCGCTTGTCGTTTGCAACCATTCTCTCCACCCACTTTCGCAGTACCGTTCTCGAGAGGAGGAATGAGCAAAATGATCCTGCTACCGTAGCAGACGCCAAAATCAACCACCCTTCCCATACCCCGTACACAAATCCAGCAGTCGTTCCACAGGTCGAATAGCCAATGACTGGCGGAAAAGCTGTCAAGAATGTTATGGCCCATAGTATTGTCCAACCACCTGTTGTATGTTTCCATCGTTCAGCAAGGGGCTCGAGCAGGCCAAAGATGCGTTCATTGAATATCAGGAAAAGGATGGCGAGGACGTTGAGAATCACAAGCCCAATGACGGATAGCACCCGCTGCAGCACACTCATCTTGCTCCATACTTTGACAATTCGTCTTTGTATTCGTTCAGCATTCCTGATGGCCTCATCTCGCCAGGCGGCCGATCGACTTCGAACGAAGGGAGAGCTTCTGCCAGTAGAGAGTGACCTTCGCGGCGGTTGCCAGGGACTGAGGAGGCCGGCCCGCGGCGAATCATCATCAGCGTCTGGGAGCGCGATATGGTTTACGGTCATTGTGACGGAGGTAAGAGGGCGTTAGAGGGTTAAGGCCGGTTTGAGAACTGGAGGGAGTTGGGATAGCGGATGGCTCGGTACAGAGAGAAAAGTAGACGAGGTGACTTAGGACATGCTGAGCCCATACAATAGTTTACAAGTATGCAAGACAGACGGGAAGACGTCAAAGGAGAGATGTGCCGACAACAAAACCGGGATTGTAGGTGAGAAACGGAGAGAGAAAGGTAGTTAGAGTCGTAGGCAGAAGGGTTAGGTAGGATTGATGAAACATGCACAGACTGCGATTTCTTGGAGACTCGGGCCGTTGTCAACTTGTCAGCATCGCTGCATGGATGATCCGAGGCGGCCTAGTGGCCTGTTTGGCGCTACGTCATCTGTTTTGGCCCGCATCCATAGTCCCTTTTCGGCCTGGTCTACGCCCATGTGAGGAAGCGCACTAGGCCTATTCGCACTCCTGGACAATAGACCTCACTAACCACAGTGGCTGGGGATGGTCAGAGTTTAGTTAAAGCTCCAGGCATGAGCCGCCCGCCTAGTGACCCTGTGCTAGTGGGCACGTTTCCAGGCGCTCATTGTCGCCTAGACAAGCCAACTTACACTCCTCGTTTAAGCCACTTACAGTACCTTCTCGATCCCCAGACACATCGTCGCTCCATCCCTCGTTACTCCGTATTTGGCTCTTCTCCTGCGTCTACCCAGTGCAGTCACCACGTATCCCCGCTCGCCTCGTGCTCGACTTCAGAGACTCTCTATCCAAGCGACACTTCACTAGCACGTTGGTGTTTCCACTGCTCTCCCCCAGTGTATCCGACTCTTCACTACCCTCTCTGTCGACCTCTTCGTTCTCTCCTCGCAGCTTACCCCGCTGTCTCTTCCGTTCATTCCACCATCTCATGAGTGACCCGGTATCGACACGATCGCATGCGGTCTCAGCTTCTTGACGCTAGCTCCTTGATCCCTTGTTCATACCAGCATCACTTCGCCATCGCTCCTTAACGGCACGCCCAAAGCGAGTTCGAGACGCGCTCACTTTACCCGTCGTTCATGTCGAGCCTACATAACAGCCCCCGCTGTTCTTCGTTGTTTCCCTGCTGACTCGATTCCTCGTAACGACCGAAATGATATCTGACGAACATTATGACCTCTGTCGTCCTATTCTGGACGACAGTACAATAGATGAGGAGGAGAAGACCGAGCGCCTTGAGGAACTTCTTAGTAAAGAAGCTGGATTAAGTGGTACTCCCCTGGAGAATGCCATTCTGAACGCCTTGTGGAAACATCGGAATGCGCAACGAGGAGAGAACTCGGATACTCCTTTGCGACATCAAGTTATCCGCAAGTCATCGCCAGCGCCATGGCAGGCGAGAGCTCCTACACCATTAGGTTCACCTCCGCCTCTTTCCTCTAGCCCGGCTCTTTCAACTGGCTTTCCAGTCTCGCGCCCAAGCTTTTCTCGCCAGAAATCCAGTGCGCCATCTCCATTCGCTTCTCCTCGACCCTCCCCGAGACTCGCTTTGGCGCAACCTATACCCCATAGTCCGAGCCTGAATGCTTATGAGTTTTCCGACGCCAGTCCTGCTCCCGATATCTACGGCGACTACGGTCATGAGAATGTGGACTGGCTTCTAGCTGACGAGAGTGCAAGCAACGCCTCTTTCGGCAATCTTAATGCAGTGGCACAGGAATGGCTTCCACAACCTGATATGAGCCCCTATGATATATTACGATCTGTATTAGGTGACCGCAAAACCGATGAGGAAATAGAGGACGCCCTAAACAAGAATTCGTACGACCTCGGTGCCACTATTGCTTCGCTGCTTGGAACCGATGGCGGCGATGCTCAGTATACCGGCGTTCCCACCAGCGATGCCAATGTGTTGGTAGGGAAATCTATAGCGGTCAATCCAGTCCGACCCACTACGCCTGGATCATCCAAAAGCCCCATTGTTTGTAAATACTGGTTGGCATCTGGATCGTGTCTGCGTGCTGATTGTCGCTTTGCGCACGATACAAGTGGCTACCTTTGCAAGTAAGTGTCAAGCCCGCACAGTGGGCGCACATGCTGACGTATTGAAGGTATTGGATGAGCGGCAACTGCTTAGCAGGTGATTCTTGTCAATTTTCGCACGATCCGGCCCTTCTTATCAATCAGCTTAACGTGAACGAAAATGGGTCAGCCACCACGTTCCAACTCCAGGATCAGTACGACCAATTTCCAACCCTTTCAGCGCAAAATGTAAGAAGCACGCTTCAAGCTGGACTGGCCGCAGGCAATACTTTCGTTCCTAGCAGTCAAAAATCTCGAAGTGCACTGGGCACTTTTGGCACTACATCACGACCACATTCGCGGCCCAACTCTCGGCATCAGAATCGTCCCGAAACACCTTCATCTCTGGCTATGGATGACACAGATGCGTTTCCTGCTTTAGGATCTTTGAGTGCCAAAAGGGCGAAACACCATGGTCATCGGTCAAGGCACGGCCATAGCATTGAAAAGGAACAGCCGTCTTCACTTGCTGATGTCGTCCGCATGTCGCCCTCACCGGTGCCGAGTCAGGCTCGCAAAGGTGACGCAACCCGCAAAATCCGTACCTACGGGGGCTCGGAAAGTGCTGCTGCGAAGAGAATACCGGAGCCACAGCATATCCCATGGCTGGAAACAGGCTCGCGTGCTAACCAGCAGTATTTAAAGTATAGACAGGAGGCTATCAAGCATGGCAGCGTCCGCAACAAGTTTCTACAAAGGTAAGGCGAATTTCGGATTGACGAGGCGTTTGCTGACTTGGACAGTGCTGCACAAGCATGGAATCGCAACGATGCACGGGCAGCTAAGGCATTGTCCCTGCGGGGACAGGCCGAGAATGATGCGATGAGAAAGGCCCATCGAGAAGCGGCGAAAGCGTTGTATGATGAACGGAATGCACACCTCTCATCGACAGATGACAGTGACGAGCTCTATGTCGATCTTCATGGCCTCCACCCTGAAGAAGCCATCGAGTATCTCGAGAACATCCTCCTTACCCAGTCCAAGAGGGGTAGGAGAATCGTGTACGCCATCACTGGAACCGGACACCACAGCAAAAACGGCAAAGACAAAGTAGGCAAAGGAGTGCGTAACTGGCTTAATGAATGGGGTTATACATTCCGAGAGTTCAGTGTGCCAGGGGAGAGAGGCGGCTATATTGGAGGTGTGCTAGGGATCGATATCACGAGCCACAGACGGCAGCCTATTTCACTGGAAAGCGACTCGAGAGAAGGAGAGACATCTCCTGCGGCGGTAGTGGCTACTATTGGTGCCAAAATACAGGTCTTGAAGCGTGACGAAGTGTCTGCTTGAGGCGTCGCTCGGTATACGTGGTACCTCCCACCTCATCAGGCTCGTCTGGAGCCATCTTGACCTAAATTGAGTTGATGTGGTCCTGAAATGATCTTGGAAGAATACAGATAGCAGGACTGTTGGCTGGACGTGCAGCGAGATAATGACCGGCAGGGATGACATGCGCTCATCCATAGAAGAGATTCAACCTATCACCTTTTCCAGGGAAGCGCGATATCTAGATGCCTTTTAGGCTCGCTTGTGATCCTATCGGAAAGCTCTCCTTTGATTCATAGTCGCCTCAGATCGTGGACCGTCTGTCATTGTGATGTTTTTTTTGGCGTGCAAACCGACTATTCGTTCGTGTTGATTCGATACTGAGATGTGCTCGCGCAAGGGGTCCGATTCTGAACGGCCCCTACCGCCATTGTACACCAAACATCTTGCCGACTTTGCTCTTGACGTTCCTCTCGGCCTCTTTGTTTTCCAAGTACACCGTCTCATGGCCCTTGACGGTCAAACTGAGCAGTTGGTACTCCAACCTGTCCCCGCCGCGCGGCTTGGTCATGTGCACGGTCACGACACCCTCGCCCTCGGGCCCGGCGACGTTGAAGTGCATGCGGAAATGTGTCGTCCCGTAGCGGTCCGTCTCGGTCGAGTGCGCGAGGGGCCGGGCGCGCGCCCACTTGTTGGCCGTGGGCTCCCCGAACGCAGTGATCTCCCTGGACGGGCCGAGCAGGGCGCGGCACTCGGGCGACGACTTTATGCGCGAGACGGCCGCGTTGAATTGGATCGCCGACGAGTCGGGCGAGAGAAGTTCTTGGTACAGGAGGTAGGATATCGTGACCTGTCTCACAAAATCGGGTGTGTGTCAGTAAGTAGGTACTGGGCAAGTGTGTCTCACAAACGTAGTACTCCTCCTGCTACTACTACTGCTGCATGGGGTATCCCCAAGAGGCGTTGTAGGTGTGGTGGGGAAAAAGGGTTGGAGTAGGAATGACAGAGAGCACAAAAGTCATGTGTCATGTCATTTCACGTACGGTGCCAACGAGTCCTGCGGCGACGAGTAAAAAGTTGAACGTCTGTTGTGTCCCCCTTGCCGCTTTTTCGGATGTGCTGAGATCCGACCAGTTGTACCGTCCGTCGTCGCTGGTTACGGTGATGGATCGTCGGGGAGTGGTGGAGGAAGAGGAGGAGGAGCTGGCACTGCTGCTTGCGCGCCTTGTGTGCCGCCGAGCTTGGCCGGGGAGGGAGAGTGATAGGGCCAGGGGAGGACTTCGTGTCTGCGGCCTCGATCTCGTTCTCGTATGTTGAGATGTGTAAGGGCGGCTGGTGGTCAGGATCGAGGTGGTGGCATTGGTATTTGCATTGGCTTGTGGATTTTCAAGCCGCATCATGCTCGTGGCCGGTTGAGAACGAAGTCGACATGCTTGCTGGAATGCGCGAGCTTGAAAGGCCATGGCGAGACCAGACGATACCTACGAGGTACCTGTGTAGGTAGGTATCTGTGGCGAAGGGTGTAACTTTAGCAAAGAACGAGTACCCGTAGATTGTTTTGGTATCTTGGATGATCAAGCTGCGAAACAGCACGTTTCAAGGAAAAGAGAGACGTTTTCCATCAGCGAATGATCAACTAAAGAATAGATTATGCAATGCCTTACCTAAGTAAACCCCGCAAACTGCGCGGGAAGGCTTGCCGAGGTAGAATCCATTTTACCTGAAATGGCCTAAATAGTCGACTTCGAATGGACGGTAGACCTTTGTCGAACACTATGCCATCTTACCCTCCCCGTATTCGAATCTCTTGCCTTGAAAACCGACACCCATGTACTCAACACTCGCAACCCAACCCTGCAAAGGTGTTTCGTCTCGCCCAGATCTCTCGGTAGGGGGAGGCAGTGCATTCTCATCGAGCCCTCCATAGTTGTCCAAGGAACGATGAACGCTGTGATTGGTTGGTTACCATTCCTCATAACGTGTGCAGATCGGGGGTTTACTCACTCAAAGATTACGAAGGGATACCTGAGCCCCTTCTGTCCCTAGACGGCTCAACAACCACCGTCCACAATGTCAAATCCCTGGGTTCCTCACATCTTACGACCCGACTATACTTGGCCTCGGCCGATAGCTGCCATCATCACCGACAGAACTCCACCAACTCCAAGTGTTTCAAGCCCGCCAGTGCGCCGATTTTGGGGGGTGATTCATAGTCTTCTTGCACGCTTTTCGGAACTATACTGTTCGTGGACCGGTGTTCCGTTCTCTAGACAGATTATGCAACTTCCCTTTGGCCTCGTGTTGAAATGGACAGAGCGTGTACGCATCGAGGAGGTTATTGCCATGCAAATGGCTCGCGCGGCTGGCATGCCCGTCCCAAAGGTCCTGTGCTATGGGGAGCACCCAGGTTCCTGGCGACCGATCTCAATCCTCATGACGCGGCTACCGGGCATCGACCTTTATAATTCCTTTGATCTACAGGCTTGGAAGAAGATCCCTGGGTTGAAGAACTTCGGCAATGTTTGGACGCGATGCGTGCATGGAAGAGCCCCTTTGGCAAGTCTATTTGTTCAGTGCTAGGCACTTCGATATCAAGCCAACGTGTTCCGAATCATAGTATGGGTCCCGTGGAGAGTGAAGAAGATCTTCAAGAGTACCTTCGAAGTCCGGCTTCACCCCACGGCTTCAACTCGACAGAAGACTACGACAAAGCCCTAGCCAAGGCAAAAAGTATCTTGGAAGTACCTCATCGAGTGGTCTTTACCCATGGAGATTTCAAAGCTCACAATATCTTGATTGATTATGAGGGCCATCTTTCGGGCTTTCTTGACTGGGAATCCGCAGGCTGGTGTCCTGAATACTGGGAGTTCACCACTGCAATGAGGTTTGGGAGGGGCAGTTGGTGGTATCAAGTGGCTTCATCTTTGGGCGGGATTCAGTACCTTACGGAGCTGGAATGTGACGTTGCATTGAATTCGTTAACTGTTGATTCCTACATTGGAATGTGACTGGTCTAAATGAAGGTCATATGCAGCTTACCAGATTGATAACATCCTAGGAGATCAGAAATTTGATTGTCTCGATTAACATTATTATCCTTGGTGAGCGACTCAGTCGACTGTAAGTGAAAGTCTTCGGTCAGAATGGTATCGCGGCAAAACGAGGTATAGTTTGTCAGATCCACTCCCATTCTTAGGCGGTCTCATCTTGTTTCACCGAAGAAAGGCGCCTGGCTATCCGGTTACCTCTCACCGCCCGCCGTTGCACAGGGGCCGGTAAAGGTGTCGCCCACAGATCGTTTGCTAGGTAGTAGGAGCAGCAGGATGCAGCTATGATTGAGGAGCTGAAGTAACACCGGTGAGGACTTCACTCGAGTAACGCCGAAATCAGCAGCAACTCGGTGACAATCCGGGTCTAAAGTAAAGATCGCAAGAGCCTGGAGTTAGCTGCACCGAGAATGCACTTGTGCTGGACGTGTTTGGAAACAGGTAAGACCATCCGATGCGAATACGCTGGTGCCTTTCTTCCAGGAGGAGCGGCTACCTGTCAGGGAGGGCTGGAGAAAGAGATGCTTATGGACCCTGGGGCTCTGGGAGTTGGCCAGTATTGCAAGCCAAGTCAAGGAAGGCCATGATGGACCTTCGCTTTTGAAGATGATAGCAGGGCTTAGCAGGCAGACAGCAGAAACATGGAGAGATTGCAGATCTGAGGGGGATTTTCAGCCAATAGGCAGGCGTTGAAGGCGATGAAGCACGACGAAAGCAGCCAAAGGCTTCTGGCAAGAGAACTATCCGAGTATACATAGAGCCTAGTAAACACAGAAGGGGGAAGATCGTAGTGGTCATGAGCCTGTATCAGTTATTAAAGTCAAGAACAGAGCAGAGACATGCCGAGATACATACCCTGCTACGAGATTGCGACTTCTGTGCTACAACGCGCGGTGTCTAGTTCTTGACCTGGACACCGACAAGCACCTGGCTAACGACTCCCGGTTACGACGCCCCGAGCTTCAGCTTTACGCTTTGGGCACATGCATTTGGGGATTCACCACTCCGTGCCTTTAGGGTTTAGGGCAGAGTTTCAAGGCTTTCCCTGTCTTGTCGCTCTCGGCCGTGGGAATTTCCGAGTCTGTGATAGCTTTATGGTGACATCAGTCTAATTCTGCCTGGCGGCCTGATGTTGTGAATATACATCTAAGTAGGTACCGACAGACGAGCACTACCTAGGTACCAGGTACTTTTTCTCGTCCTGTTCTCGGTCGATCTCAAAGTACCGGGCAACGACGCGCGAATACCCAAGACTGCCAATCTCCGTTGGGACAGAACTCGTCATCAACCATTCAGAGTCCTTGCCCAACTGATCGTCTCCAACAGTCTTGATTCGACATCTTGACTACGTGTACCTAAAGTTGCCCCAAGGCGTACTTGAGATGCTGGACGAATACGACATCCAGCCGAAATTCGGCCCGGCGATTCGAATCTTCCTACACTCTCAATTCTTCGGTACGCCGCCGTACCCGGAGCATTCTTTTGCGGGACAGACAATAATTGTCACTGGGTCTAACGTTGGTCTCGTAAGTAGTTCTTCCTTTCACGCCATGGACCGGATTTGTTGGGGAGCGAAATTCTCTGCTTTCAAACGCCCTATACATATGCTCAGCCGCGCTATCCATTCATTGACGCTTGACACACGTTTCAGGGGTTCGAGGCAGCGCGGCACTTTTATCGTCTCAACTGCGCCAAGCTAATTTTGGCGGTACGGACTGTGTCCAAGGGGCAAACGGCCAAAGAGGATATCGTCCGCAGTGTTCGACATCGGACTGATGCAGATGCTATCGAAGTGTGGGCTCTGGATCTGACGAGCACAGCTTCGACCTTAGCATTTGCACAGAAGGCAAAAGCCGAGCTGCCTCGACTTGACGCTGTGGTGGAAAACGCCGGAATAAGCAATCCCACATGGAATGCCAATGAGGGCTTTGAGACAGTCATCCAGGTCAACGTCATCAATACTCTACTGCTCGCGTTGAGTCTCTTGCCCAAGCTCACCGAGACAAAGGAGAAATACCCAGATTCCACTCCACATCTGGAGATTGTCAGTTCAGAGGTCCATAGATACACGAAGTTCCCAGAAGCGAACGCCCCAGACATTTACAAGACGCTGAATGACGAGGCGTCATATAATGCTCTTGACAGGTGAGTCGATTCTGTTTGTTCTTGCTTGGGGGCTTTGTCACTGCGTTACACGGATCCCTTCTGAATACGCGGACTCTTTCATCTGATGCATCGAGCAGGTACAATGTCAGCAAGCTGCTGGAAGTTCTGTTCGTTCGGGAATTCGTCTCGCGGCTGGGCAAGTCGCAGCCGTCTCCACCCCCTGTCGTCGTAACTCTTGTCAATCCGGGGCTATGCCGGAGTTCGCTGGACAGAGACCAAAATATTGTCGTGAGAGCGGTGGCTGGCCTCTTGAGGTATATCGTTGGACGATCAACAGAGGCGGGGTCACGGACATTGGTCTATGGTGCTTGTGCAGGCCCAGAGTCGCATGGCATGTTCATGTCAGACGGGAGAAACCAGGATGTAGAATCCTGGATATATACTGATCAAGGCAAGAAACTGCAGAAGAAGGTGTTTGAGCAAACCATGAAAATCCTGGACGAAAGACGCTTCAAGGGAACCAAGCCTGATTGGGGCTTTGATCTGGGAGAGTACTAATGGCTCGGATATCAGCAATGTATTTGGGGTTCCGTCTGAGGATTCTCTGTTGGCGTACTATCTTGACAGCATGATAGAGCAGAGAGCCACCAAACCTATGCAGAGTTCATTCGTTGCGAGGGAAACGAACATGATGTACTGCTTTGGGCTTCGTTCGGAGTAAAGGAATGACACAATCAGCATCAATGACATTTCCAGAATCAAGACTACTCAGTATCAAGCTCGAGAACTCTCGTATCATAGATGGAGGCCTGGAGTTAGTCAGTCGTGGTCAATTGAACACGAGGCCGAGGGAGTGGACGGGCAGACACCTGGAGCAGCAAACGCGATCTATATCCGGTTAGCGTCGGCTCGTTCGAATGTCGGTCTTGGCAATTGGTGGAGTTTGGAATTCCATCTGCGCCATCTTCTGCGGCCTTCGACCATTCTTCATACCTCAAATAACTGACTTCACCAGTTGTACATCTCTGTCAACTTTGCTACAAATACCTCACAACCTTACCTTTTCTTCTTCTCTTGCCGTCTCCCTCAGAACCACTCCATTCTCCCAAGATGCCTCGTTCTCGCGGTGGTGCAGGACCTTCCCGATCGGCCCCGTCAAGGCCAACCGCTTCAGCACCTCGGCCTGCGGCGCCACAGCAGCAACAGCACCGACCCATGTCGACCGCTCCCACTGCGCCTGCCCAACAAGCCCATGCTCCTCCTGCCCAGACATCACAAGGTCCAGGTCTGTTCGGCCAGATGGCAAGCACCGCAGCGTAAGTATTCCCGGCGGTTCGAGGACCGTGACCATGACTTCATGACCGAAGCCCAGTCTTTTTACGCTTTTCTGTGCTGACAATTTACGGCACACACAGTGGTGTTGCCGTCGGTTCCTCAATTGGCCACGCCATCGGCGGATTCTTCAGCGGCGGCAGCTCCTCTTCTGCCCCCGTCGAGCAACAACAACAGCAGCAACAGCTACCCACCGACGCCTACGCAAACACCGGAAACGCCATGGACAACAGACTGTACAGCCAGAGCTCGTCGACCGAGGCCACCGGCCCCTGCGCCTCGGACATCAAGAGCTTCACCGACTGCATGAACCAGAACCAGGGCAACATGACAATCTGTGGCTGGTACCTCGAACAACTCAAGGCCTGCCAACAGGCCGCTCGACAATACTAGACGAGCCGAGCCCTTGCATGCTTGAACCTCACGATCGTCATCATGATCATTATCATCCCGACCCCGGGGCGGAAGGTCTGGTGGCAATCACAGTCACCATTGTTTGTACATAGCCAATCATAGCATTCTGGTGTTCAGGATTGGCGGGAGTATTCGCCACACCCCCCAAAAAAACACTCTGCTGCATTTGCAATTCCGCAAAAAAAGAATATGTATCAATAGGTAGCACGATCAGTCAGGGGGACATACAGATCACCAATACAAGCTTGTTACTCCTCTCAAAATGAATTTGGGCAACTTGTCAGTTTGATCCTGGGTTTTTTAGTGGAAGGGGGGTAAAGTGACCTTGGTACATGATACAAAGTGACCATTCTCCAGGTTTTTTTTTTCCAACGAAGTGAATGCTTCTTTCTTTCCGTCACAGCATCGTCGGCGGTTCAACTAACCAGGGGGTAAGAACTGGTCATGTTGGTAGGAATGGACGAGTATATGTACATCCCTAGTACCTAGGAGGTACCTACCTACCTGCCTCACCTACTCAGCACCCAAGGTATGACGGTCACGACAAAGGACCAGAACCAACGGTTAGGTCTTGGCAGGCATTCATTGCCAAAGCCTACGAAAAGTCTCCCCGGTGCGTTGCAACTCCTACCTTACTTTACCTAGGTACCAAGGTAGCGGTCGTGTATGGTTTGCTCTGATTTGGTCTTGTTCTGGGTCCGATGCAACCAGAGCCTACTCCTTGCGGATGACTGTGAATTCCAACACCAAGAACACGACGTATGCCAGCACCATGCAACCGCCTATCCATCGGCTCCAACGCGCTCCGCACCATACCGTAAATGTCAAGACCGCCGTAGAGCCCAACATGACCCCCAGCTCCGCGGCGTTGACGGAACCCCGATCAAACGAGCCTCCGGTGCTGACCCACAGTATACCCATGCACAAGCTCAGGAGGAAGATGTTGCTGCCGACCGTGTTGGCGACCAGGATGCCGGGCTGGCCCCGGTATCCGCTGAGGACGGCGACGAACTTCTCGGGCAGCGTAGTCGCCACGGAGAGGACGACGACGCCAAAGAGGACGTCAGAGATGCCCATTTCGTCGACGAGGTTGGATGCCGCGCGGGAAAGGACATAGCTGCTCAGGAGGATGGCGAGGAACCCGAGGACCAGGACTACAACGTGGTAGGCGACGCTGTGCTTGTAGGTACCGTCGAGTGCGGCGCGATAAGATGTTGCCGCCGCCCGCGCCCCCAGGGCCTCTTCCAGGTCCAACGACGCTGCGGAGTCCGATTGGTCCTCTGTATCGACGGCAGGGGGTGTCAATAATGGAACAAGGCTATTGTTAGGAGCAGCATCATCAGGTGCATTTGCTCTTTGCGTGAACTTGGTGTTTGTTGGTGCTGTTGCAGGCGTTGGGCTCGCCGATTCCTGGAAAGAACCATATGCGTAGTGGGTGGAACTGTGGTTTTCTTCTGGTCCGTCGAAACTGCCCTCATCGTTTCCGACCTCACTTTCGCTGTCGCTGTCACTGTCTGACAGCTCTGGCGCAACCATGCGGCCCCTGGTGATGAACCAGGCGATGGAAGCAATGTAAACAACAAAAACGCCTATCGCGATGCCGCCGGCTGTTGTCCACATTCCGCGGTGACCGAACTTGGACAATCCGGCAATCGGAATGGCGAGGAGGAGTAATAGCAGAGCGTATACCTTGGAGCTCCTGTCGAAAATGATGGGAGCTTCATCCTTGCGGAATATGAGACCAAGGGAAAAGGCTCCTAGAATGTTAGAGATGCAGGATCCGACGATGTTTCCAACTGCAAGCGAGGAGCGTTGACGAGCTATGGAGAGCACGACAACGGCGAGCTTCGCGTTTTTGAGAAAGAGAATCAGACTTGGAACTTCGTCCATAAAGGTGAAGGCCGGCGCTCTGCTCGGTCAGTGCTCACCTCTTCCCATTCGGCGCCAGCTGTTAACAGGCCGATGATACCTTGGGGGATCCCCGTTCGCTCTGCGACAATAGCCGTGTGGTCGATGAACTTGTCGGCCCCAAATTCAAGCACATATAGAGCGCAAACGAAGGAGGAAACGCTGTACGCGATGGCTTCGCCGTTGACCATCTTGTGTGTGCCGGCACTCAGCGGCTCCGAAGCCTGGCTCGCCTGCCTTGCCTCAAGGCCGGAAATGTCAATGAAAGGTCAAACTTACAGAACTAGGGCAAGATTTGAGAGCGGCCCTGGTCGATTTGATTGGGAAGAGTGTTGAGCAGGGATCATGCATTGCCAGTCGTGTTATTCGAGGAGGAGGGAAGTGAGCAGTTGCCAAGCTTGTCCGCCCGCGTGTCTGCACGTCACAATAAATATTCCATCACTGCGAGGCTCTCGCAGGACCCCGTTACCCTCACTCTGTATAAGGAATATGAGCGTAAATGCGCCCGGGGATCATTCGTAGGTAGTTAGATTGCCTCGACTGTTATGGATTTGATGGCAAAGCCTATCTACTTACATCCTCGGCTTGTGATGGGAGAAGCTGCTACGCTTCTTCCAGAAGGGGGAATGGTGGTTTCGGGAAACACCGTACAGTATACAAGGGGAGAAACCGGGTTAGCATTGCTACTGTGTCCCAAGCAAAGTGACCAATCCTTTGGGGAAGATACTTTGATATCTCAAATGAGAGGTGCGGAAGACCAGTCCGCAGCGCGGCGCTGACTTCCCATGGAAGTTCTGATTTGGGCCAACGGTCCCGCGGAAAGACATTCCATGCATCCTGGACAAAAGTACATGCTCAAAGACAAATTCAACACGACAAGTCCAGACTCTGACAATTCTTGCTGATGATCAGCAACGCATGTGTGCCGGGGGAGCAGGAAGCCATCCTCCCCACAGGTACTTATCTAGCAAGTATGCAAACTAACTGGTTGTCACTTGGTTTCCCGGTCCAGCAACCGGGACCGTGACCTCAGGAGCGATCAGTCATATTAACGGTCAGATTGAAGAATGATGGTGTCTGATCATGCCGGGAAACGGAAATGCAACCTCAGGAAGGCATCCCACTGGCTACATCGAACACGAGTGAGGCTCACCGATACCCATGTCGCTTTGGGGGGGAATGTGGGCGGCTCTGCGAATGAAAGGTACGCCTCTCTGTATTGACCGTGGTACCCAATGCAGACCTACTGCCGTGATTGGACTCTCTTGCTGACCAAAGGAAGGATTCGAAACCTTGCATCACGAGTATGGTGAGCAATTCCAATGGTCTGGAACTCGGGTATGTCTGCAGCTGTTGAACGAACACGAAGATGACCTTAACCATTCCCACACCCCCACAAAACCCTTCTGTACGTGGTGTACTGGATTCGACAGAGGCGGTCAGCAAGGAGAGCTCTCAATCATAGGTAGAGCCCTTGGCCATCCTCGGATGTAAGCAAGATAACGCGAACAGATGGCAATCTCCTACTGGGTCCAGGTGTCTGATTGCAAGGGGAATCAAGGATCACGCTTCCAATTCAACACCACCTCAGAAAATGATTCCGAGATTGTCAAGCAATACGGGGTGATGCTCCACTCAGACACAACCCCCTGTACAGGATGTCAAATACAATAGCAGTGTTGCTCGGCGACTTTGACCGTGGGCCCGTCAGCATGGCGCTTGTTGGTGTTGCTGATTTGTACAGTACAATAATTGTCAGAACGCAATAAAGCAGCGACCCCCTTGGGGCCGGATAATGTGATCAAGACAAATTACCATCATGTAAGCAGAGGAGCAGATTGTTCAGGAGAAGCTGATGCTCCTAATCACATGTGTTTCGTCCGGTGTTCGGTCGACCCCCCTGGGGGGGGGGGGGGGGCGACAACAACAATAATCCAACCTCGGACTGTCCCCCTGGTTGACAAATCAAATGTCGAACGCATCGCACCACAACCCAAGCTCACCTCCGCGTTTACAATCCTGGCATTCTTTGCTGGGCTGCACATGGAACCGAGTCTGCAACTCTGGCCTCGTTCCTCTCGTACGTGTCAATGCCATGGTTGGTGTAATCTGGTCCCCTCTGGACATTTAATTCCACTCGAGTCGACCAGACAACGCAGGCATCCGCCAAGTGCTCGCAGGAGGACCAGTACGAGTCCAGCTCACACCCAAGCCCCTGGCCTCTGGAGTGCGAGTACGCAGCAATCATGACGGACCTTAGTCTACGGAGGATCACAACAAACCGTTGATCAATCTAAAGAGTTTGCCTTGGCGATCAAATACCATGGTCCATGGCCGCATACGTACACATGCCGCGCTTCACAGCCACTGTCAAATCTGGGGGAGTCCTAGTCCAATACGAGTACGGGTATGAATGCGAAGGTGGACTTTCGCGGATACGCAGAACTCGGTTTGGCACATGGCGGATCTAAGAAAAGCACAGCCCGTCTGCAACCAACGCAGGCGAGAGTCTGACTCGAAAGGGTCCGGAGACGAAAGTACAATGCAACCGGGCGGTGGGAAACCAACAGGGCGTTCAATCAGATTCACGGATCACCAGTGACCACACCCTCACTTCCAGCCTCCTCCACTTTCCTTTGTTTGGCGACTTCGAGAACGCTACCGCATTGAGTAAGCGTACGCGCACGGCACGAGCAGCGGGGACTGCCGCCTTACGTTAGTGCTGCGACCGGATCTCCCAAGCCACCACCAGCCCGCAATTCTGACTCAGGTATCAGGCATCAGGCATTATTATGGTCGTGTGTGGACAATCTTGCCTGATCGAGCTCATTATGCGAGTAACCAAAAAACACAAACAAAGCCACAGTTTAGTGCTTCGTGTCGAGTTTCGGAGAGGGCGCAGAAGGACAATGCACTGTAGCCTGTATCCAGAACAATTTGACCCTGTGGGGTCGAAATCATCTCGCTCCCTCTCTTTTCGTAATCTGCATGGGTCGAGCCACGAAGACTTTTTTTTTCCGACGGTCAACCGTGGGCCAACAATGAACACGCCAATAAATGAAAGAAATTGGTGCTGGTTTCTCGTTTGGGTGATGATTGGAGTACGGCCTACCCCACTGTCCCTGGAAGGAGTACACGTGAAAATGTACTTGCTACTGTAGGTATAGATGACTGTGCACAAAAAGTGGCATTGTTGTCTACATTGCATACCATCGCATGACTCCTGGAAAAGCAGAGCACGAGGACAACAGAATATGGCTCTTTGCGGAGGCGATTGCAGATCCGTATGTCGCCTCGTTTGTCTCTTCGAGAGAGTGCTCCGGGAGTCATGTGTGCACAGGATTGAGACATAATGAACACGGGGATGGATGCATAACCAGCGGACGAACTCGGTCCGTCGAGCCACCACTCACGGCCGCCATGGACTCGTGGGACGGGCATGAACGAATTCCTAAAGCCCGAGCGCAGGGAAATAGAGTTATGCACCAACTTCTGGAGCTAGACTGGACTGGGCGATGCATAACTCGCTCGCGACAAACTCGAGTCCGTTCGGCCGTTAGAGAGTCGGATGGAAGTTGTGCGCAGCTCCGACTCGGCCTGATCAAACGCCTGCCCATGGGCGAATACGGGAATACGGGCATAACGTTAGCCCCCTGTGGTCCAGTGACCTGTGCAATCTGGCTGGACGCTCGGCATGGAGCCAGTTTCAGGCCGTAGTTACGGGGTGCGAACATCTTCTCCATGCTGCGTGCTCGTGTTGCCCGTCGTGAATCGTGATGGAATACGAATGCGATAAACGAGAGGCACAACGCACCCACGGGGCGGTGACCTGATGATCTCGCAATGCCATACCTACCTAGGTATGAACCCCATAACTGACAGATTATCAGATGTTTGTACCCCAGGCAGACGTGATTCATTTGATTCGCATGCAGGCTCAGCCATCGTCCGGCCGCGAATCTCTCCAAGACTCACTAGACCACACGAAGTCAGTGATGAGACGGATGAAGATGGGACGGCCGTGCGAGGTGTTTGCGAAACAGACTGGCTATGGATGATACCAAAAGGCTTGAGGCCTGAAACGCCCGAGGATGAATCTGCTGCAGGCGCTGTTGGTACTGTAGTCCCAGGCCAGTCTGCCCGGGGTTTAGGCGGTACGAGTCTGACACCTGGAGTTTAGGGACCTACGGCTCGTTAGCAGTCAGTCGGCGGGCCCGACAAAGCGAGATCTCGGGCGGCTGAACAGGCGGGGGACAATGGCTGATTTAGGCTTTGAGCACCAGCCCAACTACCTGTATTGTACTGTAATGGCGAGCCTGGCACGGTTGCTTGGGCGGGCGTTCTAGGCACCAATATATTGCTTTCGTACTCTCGTCCACTATTTGCATTCAGCACTTCTCGCGCCCGTAATTCCTCGCGCATTGTCCACGTTGCGGTCGATGTGGCTTGCATGATTCCAAAAGCTGGATTTTAGGCTAGATTCACATTTCCGGAATGCGTCTCTGGCTGCGAACAGAAACGTGAGCCGCTTGACTTTAGGCAGCTGGAAACATTTCTTGTTAGTGTCTGGGGACATTCAGAAAGCATCTTGTGCTATCGAACTGCAACGTCGTATGGTTGGTGGACCAGGATCAGGGTGAGGTAGGAAGAAGAAGTCTCAACAACTGATTCCGTACCATGCCATTGCAGGAATGTGCTACACAAGAACAGTGAGACTGACTGGGCTTGAACTGGATTACGAGAGCAAGGGATGGAACAGTAAAAAACCCAAAAGTCTGGCGCAGAGTCGATCGTGGATGGATTACCAAGATGGATTTCCAAGGAAGGGAAAAGAGTCACTATTTCGCATTACATAGCGCCCAGCCAGAAATTTGAATTTCTCAGCATTGTAAATTCAGGCCTGCGAGTAGAGTGCATGGATGCGTACTCGTATTTGATCGCACTCTGCCTGGTGGTGGAGAGCGAACAGAGTTTCTACTGTATTCTATTCCATAGACTGATTTGTCCATTGACAAAATCCAATAGCACATGCTTGCCTGTCATTGATGGGAGCTGCTGTCGAAGGATGTCATGGCAGCTGCTATTCCTGTACCTACTGTAAGAAATGTAATTTACGTGCAGAAGAGTAGGGGCTATGATGGACAAACCATAACGCCGTGGAAATAACGAGAGCAAAAATCAAACTCCAGGCGGTTAAAATCCAAAGCAACCAATGGTTAGATCAAACAGCCAGGATGCCGTAAGAGTGAGATCAGCTTCACGGGTGGAATTCGTATTGTGGACGAAGTGCACTGAGAGGCTTGCCCTTTCGCGGATGTAAACGCGAGCCGTGGCCGGGCGGTGTATGCAGATTGTATGCAGAGCATGCATCATGGATAGACGTGGAACGAAAACCCTCCGAAGAGGGCGAGGAGTGCGAGGAGTGGGCGTCGGCGGGCAAGGGAAAAACAAGGACGCGAAGGAGTCACAGCAACGGACCACGAAACGGCCGAGCTGGGCAGGCGTACCGCCCAGGGGATTAGGGGATTAGTCTTCGGTGGGCGTCATGCGCTGTACGGAGCAGGCAGGATTTCTCAGCCCTTGGGCCTTTGCTGAGCAACAACGCCCTAACGCGAGAGACGGACAGATGGTAACACCGCCGCCCACCCAGTACGACCGTGGCGGGCTCGGGTTTACGAGGACAATCCACATTCCGAGCAGGGGGGGTCAGTGCATGACAGGGTTGTGAGTGAGAGTGGAGACTCGGGCTTTACGCTTCTTACTCAGGCACCGTTCAATCCACCCCATGTACACCCATCTTACCTCCAGCCCAGCGTTTACAAAAGAACTCGTGCACCCTCGATTGGGACAGCTTTCTCTCCTCCACCATTCAACACACACTACACCAAGAAGAATAGTTACACGACCAAGGACAAAGTTCTTCTACACACACAACAGCAAATGTGCTGATAGCATCGAAACACCAGCAACAAAACAGTACTCGCCAGTACCCACCTAACCACCAGGCAAACCAGAAGAAGCGGTGACTCAGAAATCCAAAATGCCTTCCCTCACATTTTCTTCCGACGCTGCCTCAGCGAAGCAAAACTCCATCTACACACGACCACAGAAGAAGCAAAAGATGAGCATCACCCAGACCTACTTCCTCGCCCACAGTGCCCGCGGCAAGCTCTCTCGCGAGGCTGCCCGGCCTGACCACGACCTCCGGCTCTTGGTCGGACACGCGAACATGCTCGACTCGCTGATGCTCGACCTCGCCAACGCCGAGCAGGAGCAGGAGCGGTGGTTCAACAACATTGTCAACGGTTCATCTGAGGAGGAGGAAGAGAAGGCCAAGAAGGTCGAGACCATCACCGAAGAGGATGAGCAATCAGAATCAGAATCGGAGGACGAGGCTGAGATCACAGCCGTGGAAGTCGACTCGGACATGGAAGACGACGAAGAACTCCTCACACTCACCCGCACCGCGTCTCGACACTCCCCTCCCGAACTGAGCCTCGACACCGACTCTTCATCGGACTCGGACGAGGATGAAAACATGGTGCCACTCTCACCGCCTTCCCCTATGGCTGTCGAGACTCTCAGCGAAAAGCAACGACAGGCCATCGCCACGACATCATACTACGACGCCAAGGAAGCGTCTTCGTTATCACCCACAGAGTCGGAGGCCTTTGAACAAGAAGGCTTCTATCTACCATCAAGGCAACAGCCGACGATAATCGCTGCCTACTAGAGCAGGTTCGCCTGACCGCGCCCCCTTGACTGGAGAAAGATTCCCCGACTTTTAGCGAAGTGTGATACCCAAGCGTTTTTCAACAACCTTTTGGCGATTCTTGTTATGATTGAGCATGGTGTTTTTAGTGGATCTGGTTATTCAAACAAACAAAAATGGTTTCGTGAGGTGTTGGGATCCCTCAACAAGGAATCGAGCAGGACCAAAAGGAAAAGAGGAATGAGTCTCGAGAGACATTCACTCATTATGATCGCCATCGAATGGACATTTGATGCTCAAGTTGCTCCCGCCTCAGTAGTCGTGGATGAAATATACCAGCCTGAGAGCAAGCAGTTTTGAGCGGAGAATGACTTTGATGGTTGGTGATTGACTTTTGAATTGGCTCCTGGACTACGATTCTCTATGACTCTACTCTATGTATGCATGTAACCTATCTAGCCTTCTCCCTCTTGGAAAAAAGAAGAGGTTGAGATGAGAACAAAATCTATATGATTGATCCCAAAAACGCAGTCTTTCTCTTTGCATTTTCTTTCCACATTTTCTTTTCAGCCATTCGTTTACAAATCTACCCGTACCAAATTTCCAAAGGCTTACCTAGTGTGTTGGGCTCGACAACAAAGTGGTCCCGATCCAAAGGACCCTCCTGCCGCCGGTCCCATACTGTCGCTGTCCCTCAACAGAGCCCTGCCTCACCGAGTACCTAGGGAATTTCGGCACCGGGCTCTCGCCCCTCAATCTTCTACGCGATTTACGAAGTTGCCGTGCGCGACAAAAAGCTACAAAGTCACAATTTACCTCGGTAGGTCCAGGGCGCCAGCAGATCTTGTTATGGGCGAAATGTCGATGTGTATGGAGCCTGGTGAGCCTTGTGATCAAAGTGCCCGCCCTCTCACGGCTAGCGCGGCTTCGACGGATACGGCTGACCCAAGGCTTAACGAGGCGTTCCAGGCTAACCGGGCCAGCCGGACGAAAATCAATCCTCTTTATCCGTGTTCAGGCTAGTCCGCATCCGTCCTAGACGCCTGGCATTAATTCATAATAGGCAGTGCACAAATGAATAATCAACTGCACTAGCACGGAAAAAGTCCCTCGGTCTTTGGTCCTCGTTCTCTTCTTGTGCGAAAAGTAATCAGCGATCGGCGACGGAAAGCTTAGCTCATCATAATAATCGACTCGGACACCTATGACTTGGTGGCACCGTCGCCAGGGACGCCACCCCCCCCCTCTCTGTCCCCCTCCCCCTTCGCTCTCACGGGTTGGTCCTTCTCTCGCGTCTTCGGGCCCGGAGGGTGAAATTTCTCTCCGAGAGCAAAAATCTAGATCACGAACTATTTTACTTATGATCAATAAAATATGCCAGCCTCGAAAACACCCGGCACGGACACTCCATGGACCTCGTGGACTCGGGTACCCTTGGTCATTTTGTACTCCGTGCATCGTGGCCGCCTTTTTTTCTAGACCCCACGATGAAGGGAGTCATACGAGGATTTTTTTTCTCTGCAGTACGGATCCAGAGGCGGAAATTCAAAGGTAGGTACGGAGTTAAGTCACTTGGACAACACCGGACTGTACTACTGTGATCGATCCACCATACCATCACTACTCACACCGAGATGAGCCTTTTTTTCTCTGATTTATTTATTAATTTTGCCCTTGTGCTGGAGTCCAGTACAAGAGGAGACAAGGGGACTGAAGTCGGTGAAGGAAAGCCACATGGATGGATACTTTTGTACATACATTAACATGCATGCCTTCTTTCATCTTCGGCGTCAACATGTATTCCCCGAATGTCAAATTTCCACTCATGTTACGGATTCGGGTTCGAGGTACTCTCTTTTCTAACTGTACGGAGTACTGTGATTGTGGTTTCTGGATTCGAGGGTTTGCCTTGCAGACCGCAGATTGCAGTACGTAGTACGTACTGTACTGTTGGTAAAAGTGGGAAATGTGCAAAATTGAAGGGTGCCTCCCTACACTTACCATCTCCTCTCTCCCGTATGCTCTTCACAGTACTGGAGACTGATGGATGATCCTATTGGATTCTCATCCTCTCACCCGTTCCACGACAGACAGCTCGCCACATACATACATGCTCACCATCGTTCACACGCAGAGTACTTTGGGTTTTCTCTACACAAGACGAGGTTGACTGGGATTGTCCCCACGCTATACTCTTACCCCTAGTTGTCAAGGCGGTCAGCGAAGTAGCAACCCGGCTTTCGTATTGGCTGTGAGGCACCTCAGGGAAAGGCAGTTAGCTGCCTTGCCCTTCCTCCGCCTCGCCTTTATGAACATGATTGATGGATGATACGTGGAGTACGTGACCACTGACCTTTTGATGTTTGATCGGTGGTCATCTATCATCAAACCATTCAACGCCCCTCATGGAGTCGTGGCAGATAATCAGGCGTGCCCCCCTTTCGCGTTTGCATCAGAAATGAGCAATGAGATTAAGAACCATTGGGCCTGGGAGAGAGAGAGACACACACACTCTCTCTCTCTCGGTGTGTGTGTTGGCTCTCTCGGTCTCGGCCCATACAACACAACATGGGGTCCAAAATCATCCTTCGTTCGTTTACTCAGACCGCCCCTGGGCCCCCCCGTTTCACGTTTGTAGTACGAGGGATCTCAATAATCTGATCATCTCTTGGGCATTCGTGCTTCCACACCTCCATTTCAATGTCTGGAACAGTAGATCCTTGGCGGGCTGAACCATCTCACCTAGCCCCCTTGGTGTAGTACAAAACATAACGACATCCGTATCACCAAGGGAATTAGCGCTTGCCCTTAATACCATATCAATTCCAAGATCTACCCTGCATACATACCATAAATGCGCCATTAGTTCGAGCTCTTGACCGTAAGGCGGCAGGCTTGGTAGACTTCACCCCTCGTGATGTGGTACATCCCCAACGCTTTGTCGTGTCTCGTTCATCGTTCATCGTTCATCGTTCATCGTTCGAGTCATCCTGACCACACCCCCGGCACGAGTTCCAAGTACGACAGTCAATCACAAAGAGCGTCGCTGATCACTTTTGGCCTGAACCGAACCCTACCATCTGGCACCAGTTACCTATTGTAGTATATGTAGGTTTGGATTATGTCCGCGAGTCGCCCTTCGGACAGATTCCTTCGTACTCGTACTTGCTACTGCCACGGCAAGGACGCCTGCCTCTGTCCAGACTCGGTTTCTTCCGGCAAGTCCCGAAGTTCATCGGGAAACGTAAATGTGCGCCGGTGCTCTCTTTCGCATTGGGCCAAGATAACTCGTCCGGTACGCGTTTCATGCGCCCGTCCAGCCCCAAATGACCCGAACGCTACTGCTTCAGAGTTATGTTCACCGATCAGTTTACACAGACGAGACCGCCCGATTGGAAATGTCAAATCGAACCAAAAGACAGAGAGACACGTTGCTTGAGTTGTGCTACTCACACACTCTCTCTGATTCACCGCAGCAACCAAAAGTATTCTTCGTCCCTTGACATAAACAGTATGGTAGGTACCCACGATATCTAGACATTCGTGCTTGGTCGCAAGCTAAATCACGTCTGTCTAGCCTCTCGCTTGAGTCGCTCCCAGATTCCTTTGGGTTTACCGAGCCTTTCGTCGGCACATGGGTGCCATTCGCATGTCGTCCCTGCAGATCAAATGAAGTTGAATCCCTCTGTCATGATGCGTATGACGTCGTCATGAGACCATGTTCGTGCATCGAAGAGGTCTGGGATGTGCCACTGCACACACAAATCAATCATAAACTTCATACTCCATTCAAGGTGGGATCATCCAGGCGCATGCGTTTCTGAATAATGCAGGGTCTGGTAAGCTATTTGACAACCATTCTGAAATGCGGCTGGAATTTCAACACCTTCGACTGAAACTATTTCATGCAATGATCGGCAGGGTCTAAGAGTCCACCGTCCTTGTCTTTTTGAAATTTTCTTTTGCAGAGAGAGGTGCAGAACAAGAAGCTGCACACCGCTTACTGACCAAGCCGTTATCTACTCCTGGCAAGGCATGGTGCGAAAGGGGAAATATAGGCGAATTCTGCGCAGACAAGGGTCTGATGGCCCCATGCATGATTTCCTTTCCACAATTGGCCGACGAGATCCTGTTGATATGTCGACTAAGCAGAGTGCGTTTTCCAAATTCATCCTGTGTGAAGGGGTTCGCGTCGCTTGGTGAGTGCGTCTGCAGCATCGATCTCAGGCATTATCCCTGATCTGCAACATAACTTGCCTTGACGCTATCAATGCAACAAGAGATGGCAACTTCAGTCCCGCAGCGCGGTGCCCAAATGCCACGTCGCATCAACCATTATCTCTGGTGAGTGACACTCACGAAGCCCTTTGCAGAATTCGGACAATGGCCCTTGCAGGGGTTGAAAGGTGGAACTCACGAGCCATACCTTTGCTTTGCGGGCTTCGATGTTCGCCTATCGATTCGATACCTTATTCGGTTGAGATTTCCGGGCTGTCCCTGAGGCGAGGGTGTTATAGCTGTCTTGGTAAATTGCGGTACAACGTAATCAAACGTGGCGGTCTGTGACGAACATCTAGCATCACATCAAGGCGAAATTGTACATCACTCCCACGAAATCCTGGTGGCATTCGTGTAACTCCTGCAACCTGGCCGCGGTCATTATGGGGGTGACTGAATACCTTGTGGTCCCCGACATTAAACCCAGAAACGGGCTAGAAACGGGCTAGAAACGGGCTAGAAACAGGCTGAACACAGTAAGATTCAGCCGATTTTCTTTCAAACTTCGATTATGCAGGGAAAGGATCCATCGAAGCTGTAGAGCGGTGAACAACGACTGCACACTCTGCATCAATTTTGGACATGAAGTTGAAGTATACCAACGGTCTAGTTGTTACTGTCACACTTTTTCCAAGTACCCTCCGCCTGTGGTTCGATTTCCTTTCACAACCCGAGTTTTGATATTGCTCCTTGACACTTAGCCGGGTACCGGACAGATTCCATACCTTTTGATTCAACCTTGGAACGTTTCTCGAGATTATCTTAGTAGGCACGGCTAGGTCGACTGCTTCTCTCTATGTCCCGCTATAGCGCGCTTTACTTCTCAAGCTTCTTTCTGTCGTCCTCCATTCCTTGCACAATCCATTTACTTCCCTTCTTCGCATACTCTTCAAGCGCCTTCTTGTCCTTCATCCTCTCCTTGATGCTGAAAGGCTTGGGAACTTCACAGCCTTTCTTGACGCCCGGCCTCTCGCTCATCATCTCCTCCCACTTCTTGAGCGTTGGGAACTCGTCGATGTCTAAACCACCCCAACCAGCCGACATGACCCATCCGATGGTAGTGATGTCCGCGATCGAGATATGGTCGCCGACGATGAACCCGGATTTTGAGGACTCCAGATGCTTATCCAGCACGCCGTACAGTCGTCTGGTCTCGTTGACGTATCTGTTGACGGCGTATTCGATCTTCTGCGGAGCATAGCGGACAAAGTGGTGCGCTTGGCCTTGCATTGGTCCCAGGCCGGCATTCTGCCAGAACAACCAGTTGTTCATCTCATACTGCTCGCGGCTACCTTTGGGAAAGCTGATTTTATGGTCCGTGTCGTATTGCTCGGCCAGGTAGGTGAGGATGCTCCCTGCTTCGAATAGGCGGATCTTCTGGCCATCAGTAAACGTATCTGTCAGCGCGGGGATACGGCCGTTTGGGTTGATTTCGAGGAACCAGGGCTCCTTTTGTCGGTTGGTCGAGATATTAACGTGTTCGGTCTTGTAGGGAATGCCGAGCTCCTCGAGCGCAATTGAGATTTTAATTCCGTTGGGCGTTGAGTCGGTGTAGAGTGTTATATCTGGGCGCGACATTTTGGTACCGTTGCCTACGTTCCCGGGTGATTCGGGACTAAGATGTCTAGTGTGTTGTTGCAGGCGAATATTGGAAGAGGTACCACTTGTTCCCGGGACGGCTTTGGTCATAGAGCTACTATGTGGTCAGTAATGGTAATGCGTTTCGGTTTTATATCGTTGTACTCGTGAAATGCGGGAGTTTGTGAAGCACCGAAGCCCCCGTGCATTCCCATGATGAGTAATAATATCAGAGTGATGTATCGGGTAATCCGCGATAAGTGCTCGTACTCGGTACAGCGTACTCGTTCTCGTACTTACGTGGAGGGGACGACTACAGTGAGGAGTGGGGAATTAATTGCCCATGTACCTTCTCGTACAGTACACCTAGGACAACTCACCGAGCCGAGCCCGCGATAGTTGTACGAGTATTGTTCTCTGCGTTCATTGAGTTAGACCTACAAACACGTAGACATGTTAACGTTGACTTTTTGCTACCGGCCTTGCGGGCCGAGATAGACACCTTAGGAACTCATCCTCAGGCTTCCGCATTAACCGTTTCTCCGGGTTCCGATACCAATAAGGCTCGGCTGCCTTTTCCCCGCATTTAAAAGTCTAATTCGCCGCCTTTCTACCTGCCGTACATGAATTCTACTAGAGTCAACGACGTCAGAATCAAAGTCAATCGCAGTCTTCTATTCCCGCGGTGGCGTCCTTAGATGCTCAACATCACTCCAGATATGTTATAGGGATACACGGGAAAGCCCTTTTTAACGAAATGACCCTCGTCGTGTCCCTTCATGATCTGCTCTTTTCCAAGTTATGACGGTGGCTTTTTGCCTTGTGGCTGCCTCATGATACCGCGAGGTTAAGCCAGTGCCCAAAGCTAAACTCCAATCATGACTACACAAACAGAAGTTATCACTCGCACGCAGGCCGGGACTACATCTTCAGGGCTCCGTAGGTCCTCCACACATTCGGCCCATTCGAAACCATGGGAGCGTACTGGCCACCGTGTGTCGCTCCATTCGAATCACTCTTCCCGGCCAGATCCAGAAGAAGTGCACCGCCTTTCCGAACATGTCTCGCGCCAGACGACGAGGTCGTCACATCGCCGAACGCCGAAATGGTACAAGATACGCTGGTTCAGAGGTATGATTAGCGATGTCAAGAGAAGGGCACCATACTATTGGAGTGATTGGAAAGATGCTTGGGACTATAGAGTCGTGCCGGCGACTGTGTACATGTATTTCGCGAAGTGAGTTGTATATACACATGCCACAATGGAAGAGCCTTTCATGCAAGGTGTTTCTCCAGACAGAGTGTGTACGCTTTTGGGGGGTCAGTGTGAGCTAACCTCCTTGCCGCAGCATCCTTCCGGCATTGGCCTTTTCCCTGGACATGTTCACCAAAACTCACAATTCCTATGGTGTCAACGAAGTCCTCCTCTCCTCGGTTATGGCATGCGTTATCTTTTCTCTGTTCGCTGCACAGCCGCTCGTCATCGTCGGAGTTACAGGTCCAATCACAGTGTTTTCGTACACAGTCTACGACATTGTCGTTCCCAATGGCACGAATTACTTTGCATTCATGGCCTGGATCGGCATATGGTCACTACTCATGCATTGGCTGCTCGCTGTTACCAACAGCTGCAATGCACTGACATACGTCACCCGGTTCAGCTGCGACACCTTTGGCTTTTATGTTGCTTTCATCTATCTCCAGAAGGGAATCCAGGTTCTCACGAGACAATGGGGCCTTGCTGGTGGAGAAAGTGCGTATCTCTCTGTCATGGTCAGTCTGCTCGTCTTGGGCTTCGCCTATGGATGTGGGGTGCTCGGCAACAGCAATCTCCTGCATCATATCCCTAGAAAATTCATTGAGGATTACGGGACGCCTTTGACCATTATCTTCTTCACTGGATTTGTCCATACAGGACATATGAAAGAAGTCCGTCTGGAAACACTACCTACCAGCAAGTCGTTCTTCCCCACGGCGGATCGTGGCTGGTTTGTACATTTCTGGGATATCAGCGTTGGAGAAGTGTTTCTGGCCATCCCTTTTGCAATCCTGCTGACAATCTTGTTCTGGTTCGATCATAACGGTAAGGACACTGCTTCTTCAAGTTCTACTTTCTCGCTGATCACCCGCCTTAGTGTCCTCACTCATTGCTCAAGGCAGCGAGTTTCCCCTGCGCAAACCCCCTGGATTTCACTGGGATATCTTCCTCTTGGGTCTCACTACTGGCATTGCTGGCCTACTCGGTATTCCCTTCCCCAATGGCCTCATCCCACAAGCTCCTTTCCACACCACTGCGCTCTGTGCCACACGACAAGTCGCCGACGAAAAGGCTCGAGGCCACACTGTCCGTGTTGTCGACCACGTCGTTGAACAACGTGTCAGCAATCTTGCCCAAGGGCTCCTGTTTCTGATCACCATGTCCGGTCCGCTTTTGATAGTTCTTCACCTTATCCCTCAAGGTGTACTGGCGGGTTTGTTCTTCGTCATGGGTGTTCAGGCACTTGAAGGTAATGGAATCACACAAAAATTGCTTTACCTTGCTCGTGATAAGAATTTGACGGACGCTACCGATCCACTGGCACGAATCGATCGACAACGGGCAATTTGGATTTTCGTGGCGATAGAGTTGCTCGGGTTCGGCGCAACATTTGCTATTTCTCAGACCATTGCAGCTATCGGCTTTCCGGTTTTCCTGATTTTGTTGATTGTTGCACGCTCCTGGTTGATGCCGAAGTGGTTCAGGGACGATGAGCTTCGTGCTCTTGATGCTCCAACAGCAGGTTCTTTCGTCATGGAAAGTGTGGGGGGAGCGTATGGTGAGATTGAAGAAGCTACCCCTGACCCTCGCACTCCAGAAAACGAGGTCGCTGTCGTCGACGATACCTTGGAGAGAGGAGAAAGCTACGAATTGGAGACATCCATAGCAAATCGAAAGGCTGCTGATGATGGGTCTGTCCTGCGAGGTGGAGGCTCTGCGAGACGAAGGCCGAGTCACAGTGAAATGCAGAGACCCCCAGCCGGAATGAAAAGGAGAAGCCGAAGTTCATTAAACACTTGAGGTGGATAGATGTTTGGGTGTCTGGATGAACTACAAATACAAGCTCTACAGAAACGAATGTTGGAGGAGCGCTACACTTAGAAGATACTTCGAAGATCTTTGGCGAAAGAGAAGAGCACAAAAACGAGACCATATAATAGTGACGATAAATGGCTGGACATGGTAGTCATAACCAACGAGAGCCCGGATACCGGACCTCACTTGCTGAGGGTGACGTATTTTACGGAAGGATTATGTTTCTTTTTCATGTTTGTGCCTCGGTTGATCTTCCGTTCAGAACTACTGCTTCTTTCAAACGAAAAATAATAGATTTGGATGGTAAAGTGAAGACCGTAGTGTTCTGATGCCTCTACTGTGGCTTTACGTGCGTTCCACCATTACAAACGGTACATCTATCACCCAAATTGCAGACATCACTGTTGGCATTTATCGAGGGTATAAGAAGCGCGTTATTGCTTTCTCAAGTCGCTTTACGACATGTAAGCAAGGAGACCTCGTACGTCTTGCAAACCAACGCGGATGGTACTTAGACATCTGTGGCCAAAGTCTTTGCAAGTGAGTGACTGCAGCTAGAACCTGTGTCGTCCGACACCTGTTTAACTAGGACGAGAAGGAGATTTGAAGTTGACCTTTCACCCTCTGAACATGGGAAGACGTCCAGTGAGGCCAGCTATCGACAAAGAGCTGGTTGGTATCTGGCAGGCGATCCTTTCCGACGCGGCAAATGTGTTAAGGTATAAAGACGGAGCTTTTGAAGATCTCATCCAAAGAGATACCCCAGCGCGTCAAGCGGTCGATACGTACCTTGATTCTGCCCTCCTTACCAGGCGCGAGAGGGCAATCTTCGAGAGGATTCGTTCGCTGGTCGGCGACGTGACGGACCGCGAATCCGAGTACACTCACAAGACACTGAGGAAGGAGTTTGGCAGAATGGTGTCGGAAGACATGAGCTTGCGAGTATCGAATCGGTTCTCGAAGGAGCGTGAAGAAGCTGTCAACAGACTGCACTGGAGCTTTGTTGACGGGAAGTTGGACGTTGTAGCAAGCCAGCCTTGAGGCCAAGACTTGCTCAGCCTTGTGCTTATGTCTCTCTATACTCCGCCGTACTATTGCTCTGGACCCTGGATTTCGGTTAGAGTGTTCAGACCACTTCCGTAGTCTTGGCTCAAACGCAGTTCCCAATCCTGGTCCGGCGTTTACGAGAGCATGAGAGGCGAAAATCTCCCCCGCCCGCCACTGCCACTGCGTCAAGGAATTTTTGAAGTTTTTAGGCCTGGGATCTGCCTGTTGAATTTCTCAACTTCCGAGTTCCTTTTGTGTACCTCACTTCGTCTTTGTCTGGCATTTTAACTCGGCCAGCTCTTTATTCGTTCTTGAGTCACTTCTTCTCGCCGTTCGTTTGCGAGAATCCTTTGACTTGCAAGGTCTTTTTCCCCAAAGGGTTGCGATAAACGATAAGCCTAACCCCTCCACCGACTTGCCTCTTGAATTCCTCACATCATCTTCAACGCTCCCCCAACAGTCCACCATGCCTGTCTCCGCTTCCAAGGCGGCCCGTATGGCCAAAAAGGCTGAAAAGGATGGCAAGAAGACCGCAGCCTCCAAACTTTCCTCCAAAGCGGGCTCTAAGAATGCCTCTGCCGCCGGATCCAAAGCCTCTTCGGTCAATGGCGATGATGGTTCCCCCATGCTCGACGAGGATGAACTCGACGCCCCCGCCACCAGCGCCCAGCAGATGGACAAAGTCAAGCAATTGACGGAACAGATGGACAAGCACGGTATCTCGGACAGAGTCACAACGGGTGTGTTGGCTTCTCTGGAATCGAGTCGAGACGTTAAAATCACCTCTGCCTCGTTGGTCTTCCACGGTAAGGTCCTGATCCAGGATTCGACTCTCGAAGTCAACTTCGGTCGGAGATACGGCTTGTTGGGTGAAAACGGTTGCGGCAAGTCGACGCTACTCAAGGCGATCGATAAGCGAGAATTCCCTTTCCCTGAACATGTCGACATTTACCTCCTGAATGAAGGTGCCCCCGCTACCGACATGGGTGCTTTGGAATGGGTGGTCAAAGAGGCAGAGAAAGAAGTCAAGAGATTGGACGACTTGGCCGAAGAGATTCTCGAGAAAGAGGGTCCTGAGAGTCCCACGTTGATGGAGATCTACGAGCGGTCTGAATCGATGGACCCCAACACCTTCGAAACCCGGGCATCCCTCATTCTTACCGGTCTGGGCTTCAACAAAAAGACCATCCACAAGAAGACCAAGGACATGTCTGGTGGTTGGCGGATGCGTGTCGCCCTGGGACGAGCACTGTTCGTCAAGCCTTCATTGCTTCTTCTCGACGACCCTACTGCCCATCTTGATCTCGAGGCGTGCGTGTGGTTGGAAGAGTACTTGAAGAAGTGGGAAAAGACTTTGATCTTGGTGTCTCACTCGATGGATTTCTTGAACGGTGTTTGCACAAATATGATCGACATGAGACAGAAAACCCTCATGTACTATGGTGGTAACTACGATTCCTACATCAAGACACGATCCGAAAACGAGACCAATCAACAAAAGGCGTACCTCAAGCAACAGGAAGAAATTGCACACATCAAGAAATTCATTGCCTCCGCCGGTACATATGCCAACTTGGTCCGACAAGCCAAGTCGAGACAGAAGATTTTGGACAAGATGGAGGCCGATGGTTTCATCCAACCTGTCGCCCAAGATCGTGTCTTCAGTTTCAGATTCGCCGATGTCGAGAAGCTCCCTCCTCCGGTTTTGTCCTTTGACGATGTCACGTTCAGCTACTCCGGCAAGCCTGAAGACAACCTCTACGAGCATCTCGATTTGGGTGTTGACATGGACAGCCGAACGGCGCTTGTCGGCCCCAACGGTGTTGGTAAATCCACTTTGCTGAGAATCATGACCGGCAAGCTTTCTCCCACAGGTGGTTCGGTCAGCAGACACACCCACTTGAAACTTGGTCTGTACTCTCAGCACTCTGCTGATCAGCTTGATCTGACAAAGTCTGCGCTCGACTTTGTTCGCGACAAGTACTCAAGTGTGTCGCAAGATTACCAATATTGGCGACAGCAGCTGGGCCGATATGGTCTGTCAGGTGAAGCTCAGACTGCTTTGATGGGCACATTGTCTGAAGGTCAACGGTCCCGAGTTGTCTTTGCTCTTTTGGCCATTGAAGGACCCAACATGTTGCTTTTGGACGAACCTACGAACGGTCTCGATATCCCCACTATCGACTCTCTGGCTGATGCTATCAACGCATTCTCTGGTGGTGTCGTTGTTGTTTCTCACGATTTCAGGTAAGCTCTTCTCTTGACAGAACTGGTAAGATGATCATATGTGCTAACAAATACCCTCAGACTGCTTGACAAGATTGCCAAAGATATCATGGTGTGCGAAAACAAGACTGTTCGACGATGGGACGGCAGTATCGGTGAATACAAGAACTACCTACGGAAGAAGATGGTCTCCATGGGTCAAGTTTAAGTCTGACTCGTGGATTTCTTTGGTTTGGATCATTGCTGTTGTGCACGCGCAAGCGCACCGAATGCTAAAACAGTCTTGCATGGCGATGATTCTAGACTACGCATCTGGCTTGGAAGTCTTGATGTACTGGTTGATTTTACTTCCTGACGAAACGAAATTGATGACGCTGCATATCGAACAAAAGATAAACCATTGCGGCACTTGCAGGCGTTGGGCTTAGATTAGACAGTCGAAATACCTCTAGGAAGGGGAATGATTTGAAGAAAGCATGCCGGATATGTTTTGCTACCTGCATGGGTCTCCTCAACAGATGATAACTGACCTCTGTCCAGTCTCGATGGGATGGAAGGCCAAACGGTTACGAAGACCTGCCTACCAAGGTTGTTATTTGACACTTCAACACCGGGGATCCTAAGTGGGTTTTAGACCTTTGAAGCAGTCGTCTTCAGTAATACCAGCCTTGATGGTTGTGGAAGAGATCCTGGGCCTTTGTAGGAGTGAGAGGAGTTGATTCCCCGACTCTCTGCGTTGGGTAGTGACTGAGTAGGTGACATACCATGTGCTGCTGACAGGATGCTATTATTTTGTTCGAGTTTCGGATCAGGGGGTTTACGAGAGGAGAGAAGTAGTGATGCTTGTGCCTTTTTCGTATCTGTAATCAAAATCAATTGACACAAAAATGGAATCTTGGATTTGTATCAGCTGAGATGAGTATGAATTAATGATGTCGAGAAGGGTGTCGGTGCACGCGTAGCACTCTCTAGAATATCGATCAAAGGAAAAAAGGAGAGGAGAAAGAGAGTCGTAGTGAGTGGACATTTATACACCTCGGTACGGAGTACATAGGTGAGTACTTTCGACATACGATATAGAGTTGTGGACCGGGACAATCCGCCTTCGGGGATTTAGACTAATGAGGCTGCCCTGCCGTTTCGGGACATGGTAGCGGGCTTGGCCGGGGCAGAACCACTTTTGACGTCTTGTACTGTGTCTACATGTACTATAAAAACCCTTGTCCTCTTCCCAAGTCTCTATCTACAGGGTATCGTATCAACCGGTTGAATTCCACACCTCTGTTGCCCTGATGCATGCATTCGTCGTGCGTCACGCACACTACAGCGTACGTTAGAAAGCGTACCTTGGTACGCGCCGAGAACTCTGCATCAGGGCGGTAGAGAGGCACCTAGTTTTTCGCTTACCTGGCACCGCCTGCTTAGGACCGCTTCCTCTACCTCGGCCTGCGGGATCTGACACTTTTGCGCAATGAACGCCCAATACTGTCATTTCACTATCCCTGATCCAAAGGCCCTAACCGTGTCTCGCACTGGTCGAGGGCGCCAAAAGGTCCAAGACACCTCCGCGCCACCCCTACAACAAGGTAAGGCCTCCCGAGGAGCTCGAACCGCCCCCAAGCTCTAGTCTAAAACCACATCACAAGGCGAGGTGTTTCTCAGCCTCATAAGAAAGCAGGCATCCTGGCGACATGGATCACACCATGTCCTACCCCATCCGGTACTCCCAACTTTTGTTATATCGTTCGTAGTAACCAAGCTCCCTCGCAAGTCATTTCCTTGAGACAATATACAATAAATACTTCCTTGAAGCACCTTTGGCAAACTATGTTCACTCTGCAATGCCATACAAATATCAGCCACTTGATGTCAACGACATTCGACTGCTGACACTTCATCCTATCGCGAACGACGCCGACAGCTCGTCAACCATAATTTGCACACTTGAGCATGTCGACTTGACTCAGGGCGCCGATGTTAACCGCGAGACGCAAGCTTGCAAAGGAAGTACTTATGTCTGGCCCGAAGTTCTTATGCCCTATGACTTTCGACCCCTGTTCAAGCCCTTGCATTCAAGAAGAAGATGCCTCCCGTTGCAATTGCCCACATCATTGGGAAGTTCCGCAGAACCAGCTGGAAACGAGAATGAGCTCCCCTGGCGTCGTACATGGGGCGACTACGTTGTACTGTCGTACTACTGGGGTCCAGAAATGCCAAAGTCATCCATCATTCTCAATGGCGAACCGTTTCAAATCAGACAGAATCTCCATGATGCACTGGACCTCCTTCGCTCATGTGCACGGATTCGCCAGGGATTCAAGCTCTGGGTCGACTCTATATGCATCAATCAGGATGACACGGCCGAACGCAACCAGCAAGTGTCGCGGATGAGAGACATTTACGCATCAGCTTGGCAGGTCGTGACCTGGCTTGGACCAGCCCGGGGTGACAGTGACTTTGCAGTGGCGGCTTTACAGTGGATCGCCGCTCGTAAACGGCCATTTGGTCACACGAACAGTTTCTATTATGACAATTTTGGACTGGGCGTGCTCGAGATTTTTGGGATGCAATTGCGGCGGAGCCCGCCATTGCGTGATCGTGTGTACAAGGCACTTGCCATGTTTTTCCTGAGACAATATTGGCAACGCCTGTGGATTCTACAGGAAGTGGCAATCGCACGAGTAGATGCGCCTATCGCTTGTGGAAACTGTTGGTTGACATGGGACGTCCTACGGACGGCCTGTACCTTCATCGCTCAAAACGAGAAGAGATTTGGGCGCGAAATTATTTCATGTCTTCGTCCATACCATGAGATGCCGGGGAAGTTCGAGGCTGGGCGGGATAGGGTGCCATGGGAGAGACACTGGGCTTCTGAACGCATGTGGGGACTTGTGCTTGAGATAACCAAGCTGCAACAAGACCAGAGGGTCGTTTCGAACAACACCGGTGCTACTGACGTAACCCGGCCACTATTGCTCGGATTAGAGGCGCAATCGGAGCTTGCACAGGATCGAATATACGGGCTCCTCGGCTTGAAAGCTATTGCGGACAGGACCGCCATAACGCCAGTCTACGGGAGTTCTCTGCAGGAGACTTACAAGAATTTTAGTTTGCAGCTCCTCCTTAAAGGAGATCTAAATACGCTACAGTTGGTTTCACGGCACTGTGTGGAGATCTACCGACACCAGAGAGCAACACTCAGGTCCGAGGAGAAGTTGCTTTGTGGTTTCTCGGTGCGTGCTTTGTGGGATATATCGGTTTACGTCAACAGCGATCATCTAAGAAGAGGACGCCATACTGTTGGAACTACCTGTGTACACAGCCTACCAAGCTGGGCAATATGCATGATATGTCGACCAATTCCAACCGCGCGACTTAGAGGTCCGTATCGAGCAGGGGGTTCCAGGCCTTCCCGTGTGGTCGCGAAAGCTGTGTCAAATAATGGTCTCCTAGTTCAGGGCATGTTATTGGATGTGATAACTTCATTGGGAGCCTGCCATGAGTATGAGATGGACGAATCCTACCCAACAACTTCTCCCACTGGTCCTCAGCTGAATGCATACGGAGACCTGGAAGGTGCGAGAACAGCACTGTCGAGAACAATCATAGCCGATACAACCGCACGAGGGATTGTCGCTACCGCAACTAACATGGAGACCCTTCTGAACGGCTACCTGTGGCGCTTCGGCATGACCATGACATGGACTTATGGATTTTCTGTTCGAAATATTCTGTTGCGAAATCGTGAGTTGGTTCTCTCTGGATACACTCTTGATCGGTTGATTCCGCCCTCTCCACGTGATATGACCTTCAATGAGTGGATAGATGAGTGCAGAGACCATTTGGAAAATGACCGGGCTAGGGAGGAGGCGCTGTCCTGGGCGGTAGACGTGCTTGCCTGGAGACGATTGCTGTCCACGAAGACAGGAAGAATGGGCTTGGCTCCGGCAGGGGCAAGACTGGGAGATTCAATCGCGATTCTACTCGGCTGTGACATGCCTCTGGTCCTGAGGCGGCGGGACAACGGCGGCTGGATTGTCGTTGGAGAATGTTACGTGCACGGTGTCATGTACGGGGAGGGGACAGTACTTGGCCACGATAAGTTCGAGGAGATTACGCTTTATTAGCGACTTGGGCGCAGTCGATGTTCCATGGCAATGAAGTCATCTGCTCGCACACCGCGCATCATAATCATGACAGCACTACCCCTGAGAGCGGGCGGTTCGAGAGCGGTGCCGGCCCGTCGTCGATGGGGACCGACCTCCTCTTGAGCCGCCGAGATCTCTCTCACGGAACTAACGGTTCAATTCTCGAACCGACCCTCGCGGGCCGATGGTGAGCGGGCGCGCGCTTTTGTCGTATACGAATCATCCTTGTTTGTTGCTCAAGGCTGTAGTTACACACACCGGTACGGGGAGCACGGACTTGATAATAATACCTTCCATCAGGTAGGTAGGTAGGTATGTCAGGTGTCCACTCCGTCAAGTACTCCGTACTTTGGGCGGGAATTGCCTACCTAGGGAAGGATTGTGCGGCCACGCACGGCACGTCTGATTACTACCTACCTACTAGAGGGAGGTTGTCCCGGTCCTACCTTTGGCATGAGGGTCCTATCTATCTGTATCTTGACAACAAAAGACCTTCTCTTTTCCTTGGATTGTACTCCTCTACTTTGGACCCCGTCCGGTACCCAGAGTTTCGGTTAGAGTACTGTCCCGGCTCCTTGGTACAAGTCGACGAAGATGACATTTACCCCTTCTTGCCGATGACTGCTAACCGTCTACTTTATCTTCATCTCCGTCCTCGTCGTCTTCATCTTCACCATCGTCCTCGTCCTCGTCCTCGTCATCTTCGTCCTCCTCTCCATGTTCCTCGTCCTCGTCATCTTCGTCATCTCCTCCCTCACCACCGTCCCATGCATCTTCACTAACCTGTACCTCGCCTTTGATGTCCCACCTGTCCCCCTTGGCGGCTTGACTCACATACTTTACAAACCTCAAAGTCCCCTTGTCCCTGAAAACGACACTGAACCTATTCCAAGCCGGGGGACTCGTGAACAAAATCCCATCGTCCTCGTCGTTCTCGCCCATCGACGACTTGTAAACGGCCGGATCGGCTTTCTTTCCCACACTAGGCAGCGACTTGGAATGCGTCGAGGCGTTGTCAGCATCATCCTCTTCGTCGTCGTCGCCCGCCATGTAAACTTCCTCACCGCCGTACTCGATCTCCGCAGACGTCGACACTTGGACCTTCTCAGGCTCGACGGTGGCCTCTTCTTTACCCTTGCCCTCCTTCGCATCGTCTGGGATTTCCGGCACCACGGCCGTGAAACCATTATGCAGCATCTTCTCGGCCATCTCGAACCCCTTCTTCGCCTTCTCGGTATCTCCTTTCTTCGCACCGACCGTTTCTCCTTTCTTCTCAGCGTCGTCGGCTTCTCCTTCCTCTTCCGCTTCTTCGGCCTTTTCCCACCCGTCACTCGGCGTGATCGAGATCGTGAATTCAAGCTGCGGTTGCTCTCCATTGAACGGGTTTGCCAGTGCGTAGTCCTTCCCGCGTCTGAACCTCCTCGCCATCACGTTCTGTCGGACGAGACTTTTCGTCTTCAGCCCCGTGACCAGCGCCAGCCACTTCTTGAAAGCGTGCGAATGGAGCAGGTCCGTCAGGACGCGAGAGATGGGCGTCTTGTCTCTGTGCAGCGCCTCGACACCCTGTAGATAAGCGAACCGGTGCTTTTGAGGCGGGCGAGCGACACTCCAGTGCGCCGGGTCAGATTTGGAGGAATGACGATCATGACGATGCGAGCCCTGCGCATCATCCGAGGACGACGACGCACCCTGTTCAACGCCGCTTATGTACTCCTTCAGCTCTTCTGCGAAGATTGGGTTGAAAAAGTGCTCCAGCTGGAGCGCCGACACATCGCCAAACGAAGAACTGAAATCGTCGATCATGTCCGGTGTCAAGTAATGCGGCGTGATGTAGTGCAGTAGGAACGTCAGGTCCTGCTCGGTGAGCACCTCGTCGTCCGTGTCTTCTCTGTCGCCGGGGTCAACCTCCTTCCCCGAAGCGTGGCTATCCATGACCTGCCGCGGCTCGTCGAAGTGGCGGAACACCAGTTGCGGCTCGTCAAACTCGTTAGCCGCGCTTTTCAGCTGCGCAAGACTCGACCTCTGCGCTTGCGTCTGCTCGATCCCTTGTTCGAACCCGTCCTCCCCTTCCTGTGGGATGTGGAACCACCCGCTGATCGCCATGCGTATCCGGCCTCCGTCCGCCTCGGGGTCGGGTCCGTGGTACACCTCCTCGACGTCATGGTAGCTCTCTCCCGGCCGGACGGCGAAGAAACTCAACTGTCCGAACGACGGGGGGATGTTGAGGCTGTGTTCGGCCAGGGGGACCTGAATGTCTTCGCCGGCCTTGTTCTTTTTGGTTTCGGTGGGAAACAGTCTCAGTCCGCCGCCCCATTCCGGCTGCCACGGACGATCGGGATCCGTCAGGTATAGAATGTAGCTCACTCTTCTGCTGCCTATCACGTCGTCGTGGCAGAGCAGGTAACTGCCCGGCGTGTAGACGTTGACCGCCATGTCTGTCTTCTTCCCCGAAACCTTGCCTGCGCCCGTGACCGTCGACACCCATTCTCGAAAGTCGGAGCTGTACAAGGCGTCACGGAGACGCACCAGGCTGGGTAGGTGTTTCAGGGATTCGGCGTCGAGGTTGGAAAGGTTGGCAAGGTCACCCGACTGGTGGATGCGGTAGATGTCCGTCTCCTTGAGCGTGAAGTGGATGTGTGAGATGATTTCGCTTCTGACAGCGCGGAGGAGCTCGTCTTGAATCAATGAAGGCACAACGGCATGAGGATATGGCCCCGAACTTGCGTAGTTCTGGCGGAAGGATTGAACCGTCCTCTCGTTGAAGAGGTCGGACCGGAATGCTGACTGGAGTCCCTGGCGTTCATCGCCAGCGGTGTTTCGCTTCTTGGAGGGAGGCGATTCGTTTTCTGATCCTTTGCGCTTCATTGTGAAATGGTTTACACTCGACTTCTTCTGCGTCGTGCGCTCTTAGCATCAGGTTAGGAAATTTATACAGCGTCCTGCAAAGGTGATGCGGAGAAAATTTATATGCTGCGGAGATCAGGCCCGGCAGCGCAAACAGCTCACACCATTGATATTGTATCAGGCCACTGTAGACAAGCCACAGAAATCATAGCATTGATTATTGACCTAAGTATATAAATGGTATCTCTGCCTGTGGGGGTATTTTACTTTTATCAGGGGATAGTATCGCACACTCAAAACATATGTTGAAAAAGCTCCTCCATAGCGCCTTGCTAAAGTTATGAATGCTCGACCAACTCTGTCATGATCGCATTTCCATAGTATAGAATACCTTTTCGAGAGACTGAAACGGGAAATTCTTCTCGAAATAAATATCCGAGCTATTTTGTGCGTCGTTCTTTTTCTTTGCTGAAGAGGCCGAAGGAACTGGACAGTTTGGTCCGTGAACTTGATGTGCCATGGGAAGTATCCTCAGAGGCATGCCTAGAGCTTCGGATGGGCAGTTTTCCTTTGTCTTGTGAGTGTGACTGGAGAGGTTGCGAGCTCGAAGACGACGGCTTCGGTGCAGCTCTATTGCTGGCTTTCCCATTCTTGAGAGATGGCTCGCTTGTCAATGGTTGCAGGTCGTCGTCCGTCTTGATTGGTAAAACGAACTCTTGTGCTTCGCCGGCTAGGAAGCCTGGACCAACAGAGTTGCGGTTACTGTTTGAAGAAGCAGGTGGGCATAGAGCTCCAGGCCCAGAGGATGGTAGTTGCACTTCGCCTGGATCGTCGCAGTCATCCTCCGGGTACGACTGGAGCATCTGGTGCAATGAAAGAGGCGCGGTCGAGGAGGCATGTGGAGGAACAACTTGGGACAGCGAATGCGGGCCACCATCTTCAGAACGCACGCTCGCCGAACTCGACTCGAAAGGCAAAGTTGTAGGACGATGAGAAGATTCAGATCGTTGTTGGGGCGCCAGATCACCAGACGAATTGACAGATGGTGCGTAGTAGCGAGCTCGTATTGAGTTGGTATGGGAACTGCCTGATCCACGGCCAAATGAACTTGTAGTGGAGCTGGAGTTTCGACTGTCACGCCGCCTTCGATCTCTGTCTTTACCTTCTCTGCTGTAATAGCCAGAATCAGGGAACGAAAACGAGTCGGAGACAGGGGATTTGGTTTGATCCTTCTCCCTCGCCTTTCTTTCCTTCTCCCTTTTCTTGACCCCTTCGGGTATTCCATCCCATCGCGAGTTGACCTTGGGTACATGCTTGGGCATCTGCTCAAGCCTCACATTGGGGACTTTTGTGGCGCTTGTCGACCCATGCTGCGCCTTCAGTTGTGCCTTGACTTGATCCAGTGCTACCTGTGACGGTTCCTTCTGAAAGAGCCCACCAAAAACCGAAGGCTTTTTCTTGTGCTGTTGGTGATGCACTGGCTGAGCTAAGCCTGAAGGTTGGCCATCTTTCTCCTGCTGTACTTGCTTCGCATGTTGCTCCAGAATTTTATTCTGGGCCTGTTCGCGAAGTTCGCGGATAGTCAGCCGTGGCTGGGCCTGTTGGCGTTGTCCGGAGCTTCTATCTACATTTGGCTCTGCCTTTGGATCCTCGGGCACGTCCTGGGTAGGCAGACCGCAACTTTCTCTCTCTGAAATGCTTGGTAAACGGCTATGGTCCTGTGGTAAGCTTGCATTGGCGTAGGACAATTTTGAAAGAGGCTGCGGCTGTCCGGATGTTTTGCGACCTGTCGTGGTGGTGGTCATCGCGCGATGGAGGAGCGCCTGAAGAGATGAAAGGCAGCAGACATTTGCTGGTGCGGCACGGGAAGAAAGGGTTTCAAGGGTTTCAAGATTGTGGCCGATACAATGGGCGTGCCACCCACTGATAAGAAGAAATTAGGAATCCTCCCTTTATATTGCCTTGAGAGGTGTCAAAAGGGAGTGGCGAGAGCGTTGAAACTTGAGTGGACAGTGTCAACGAAGAGGGGTTCTTTTGGAGGGAAGGCGCCGACTTTGAGGACCCCTCCAGATAAAGTGTAATGGTACGAGGACGAAGCAAAGGTCGGCTCCAGGAATCTAGAGAAGCGAGAACTAGGTATGCTTGATTATCTCAATGTATGAGATGGGTAGACAAGGAGATCGACACGCAGGATCTTGTTGTTGTGGGCAAAAGGCTGGAAGGATCGTCGATCGAAAAACGTGTCGCAAGGGATGTGACAGGTACAACCCGTGCCCATGGAAGTACTTAAGTAGGGACGCCGTACGGCTCTCCCGGGGTTCAAATCCTAATGATGCGTACAATCATTTCAATCTCGGTGGCGGCGCAGGCAAACTCATGATACGAGGTAAGTCTGGGAGGAGCAGAGAAACCTTGCGGGCCTCTAATTAACAGTTCCACTAACCGTGAGCCGCAGGCCAGGTCCACGGTGGGAGGAAACATCCTGTGTACGTACTGTGTACGACAGTACAGCAGCCGACATCGTTTATTGAAGCCCCGTGCTCCACAGTAGCAGTCTGTGGCCTGTAGGGATGTCCATCAACCATGTAGGTTGACACTCTCGCACTCGTCCCACGATCCTAGATCTCGATACTAACTTTAGTCCTGTCGTCTGCACCGTCGCCAGAGGCGAAAAAAACGCGAGTCGCGCGGGTAGAAGGTCCCTTGGCTGCTGCTGAGATTGGCTGATGATGCCTGCATCCCCTGCATCCATGCTCCGCGTACACGTAAAAGAAACTTAGTAGCATAGGAAGGTCGATCCCAACGTGGTTCATCCTGGTTTATCCTTGTTCTGCCCAGGGCCTTTTCGGCTCGTGTCACTTGTCACACTGCGACGGGCAAAACCTTCCGTCTGGAGGTGTACAATCTCCTATAGCAGGTCAGTCACACCTTTCAGAATGGACTGAGTGACGCTTCCACATGGAAATCAAAGGCGCCTCGGCTTCCAGGCCCGTCCTTAACGGTTAGGCTGGGCTTATTGATACCTTTGTGACAGTGTTCGTTGAAGAGCCAGGGGATCCAAGGATGAACCTCCCGCCAAGGTACTCGTGGCTTTTGGCCCTTCTGCATGATGTTCAGGGTTGCAGCGAAGTGGAGGGTTTTGGTTGTGCTCGTAGGGAGAAGTAGTAATCGACCTTAACATGATCTATGGAAATGCAAATGTAAATGTATAAAACTATGTGGAGGTAGTAGTCAAGCTTGGACGGAGCGTGGGAGAACCGAGACACACTGGTGACCAGTGCCTCTGGGGTACCAAATAGGACGTGCCTATGAACAACTACCTAAATTACAGGTAAGTGGCATGTACAACATCCTGTAGGCGCCTAGAAACACTACTATCTTCCACATTCCGGGTGCCCCCGAGCCCGCTCTGACTACCTAAAAGCAACCCCTAAGTTTTCTAAACAAAGGACCTGATTTATTACCTCCAGTGCTCTGCCTTTAGTGTCTTAGTCATCCGGGCCATGCCGCCTTCTGTGACGTTCACGCTGTGGTACTGCCTGTTTGGCCTCTCCGTATTTGCCACTCATCTCTTTTTTCTCGCGACTGCCATCAAGCATACCTGATCGTACGGACATTGTTCGTGCCAATTCAATCACCTCAATCCATTTGTCCAGTGTCGTATCTAATCACGTTTCGCTTGTGTCCATCCTCCCTGTGGCAATAAGGTCTGGCAGTGTAACTGGGGCTCAAGGACAAACATATTGTCCATCAACGCGTTGCGCAATCTCTAAGAATTCCGACATTCGAGGCTTGTTCATCCCACCCGTAAGAGATCTGCTGTGCTAGTGCTGCTTCATTATCTTGGACGGGAACTCGAATCTCTCTTTGGATGCCCCAGAGGACTCCTGGCAACCCGCATGCTAGCGTTCAGCCACCTTCTGTACGGCTAAAACTGGTCATGCCTGACGTTGAGCGACAGCAAGACCAACACCAACACCACTCACGGCAGCAGGGACACCACGGAACCATCAGTCAATCTATCGAACATGATTCCAGCCACAGTCCCGAACGACCATCATATTCTCCAGTAACTCCGACTTTGTCGCATAGCGACCTTCCCAATCCAGATGACACCCCGGAAACCTTGCCACAATGGCTGGATGATGAGCCAGAGTCGCTGCCGGTAAGCCTAGACGACAATCCTGATGCCATTGCACTGAGATCAGCATTATCCGTGTTACAAATACAGCGGCAACGTGCGCTACAAGATATGCGCGACCTAGAGAAATTGAAGAATGCAGCCTTGGAGGATCCTGAGCAGTTTATCAAAGACCTGGTCGAACACAAGCTGGTACCCTCGACTCAAGACGAAATCGGCATGGTCGGCGATGACGATTTAACAGAAGGGACCGCGAAAGACACCTCAAAATTTGGGAAGCTACCCAGTGCACAACAGGTGTTTCGGACTCCTCCTATTGAATGGGCAAAGTATCACATTGTCGGTGAGCCGTTAGATCGTATGCATGAGGTACAGCAGCATTATCCAGGCTACACCGAAGAGACGCATGATGGTGGAAACCGACCAGTACCTCAAACTATTGCGGCACCTTACCGGCCATTCGTGGACAAGCCGGAACGAGCGCAAAGTACGAAGAAGTCATGAAATGAATTCAACAAGTCAATATTGACCCATACTTCTTGCATAGGATGAATGATGCTGTTGGCATTTCATGTCTCCATTGGGTTCCATCCTGGAGCAACGACATAAAGTTGTGATGCTCCGTCTCGACTGCTTCCAAGGGTCTTGTGTATGATCAGTCCAAAATTTCAGACTTGGACCCAGGCCTTAGCATTGATGTTCGTGCGTTGCTTTCTGATTGTTCCTCCCTAGGCTGTCTCTTTCATGGTGATGCCCTTTGCTAGGCGCTTGAATTGAGCAAACTCGGCGCGGTGGTTCGCTAGTTGCAGTTGATCGGCACGGACGCACAGAGGGCATCGCGGACCGCGGATCCTTGCACGCTTGGTTGCTCCGGCATTCTCGACACTTGGGTCTGCCCGGTCTCCTCCCCATGTTCCTTGATTGTCTGGATGAGTGGTGTCGATCAACTGGTTGCAATTGTAGCAGAGCCGCCATTTTCCTTCTGGATTCATGAATCCCTTGTTGACGCGGACAAGCACTTGCAAACGATGGATATCAGTAACTCGCTGCGGGCGTGGCAGGTAGTACTCTCTTTTCTTGACGCCGTCCACAGTCACTGTCCACTTTTTTTCCTTGAGCAACTCGTACGTGTCGGCGTGTCTTTTGCAGGTCAAGGCCAGCGCGGCTCGGTCGGCGTCCAGGGGCAGAGACTGGAAGATGCGATACATCGCATCATTATCCAGCTTGGAAAGAGGGTCATTGGGCTGGTCCGACGCCTCGTTGAGGTAGATCTGAAACCACAGTGAGTTAAAAAATTCGCTCTCTACAGCCTGCAAGGCAACTGACCTCTGAAGGGATCTTTGTGATCTTGTACTTGAAGTGATGATGTCCGTTCATGCGGTCGACGATCTTCTTCTCTTTTGTGATCACAGCCATGGCGTTTGTGATACTTTCAAGGTGTCGCTGGAGTTCTTGTTCTGCCTCGAGGCGCCTGATAGGAGCAGTTAGTTTCATTTGAGATGGAAGCCACGGGGTAAAGGGAGTCCTGTGACTGACGCAGCTGGAGTGATCGGAGCAGCTGAATTTGGGCCCGACATTGCGAACCAATCTCGACAAGCAATGCCGAGGATATCCGTCGGATGCCTTTGTTGTGATCTGTCTGGCCTTCCTTCCTTGAGACGCTGATGACGATGAAGGTTGTTGATTTGAAAGTGAGAATTGAAAACTCATGAAGACATTCACCTACCCTGAATAAATGCCTCTTGCCCAAGCGCCGAGACAGCGCTTGATAGCCAAGCATCCGCTTATGTCGTCGAGGACAAGTGAAGTCGTTGAAAAGGTTGGATGAAGAAGTTGTCAGCCTGGTCTTTTCAAAGAGTGGTGCGACGCGAGGGGGACGATATCATCGCTTTGGTCGTCGTTCTCAAAGAAATTCCAGAGCAAACAACGAGAGAATAGACTCAGGCATAGGACCCAAGCAAACTGATATATATATACCAGCTTTGTTTCATCCTTATGGGCTATGCCCATGGCCGGTGGCCTGTGGCCAGTGGCTGGTGGTGGTGATGAGAACACTACAAAACAACTACAGAGGTGTCGCGATTGATATACACGACCTAGGGACTCGGATTCACGTGCTGCCGCTTTCTCGCCGTGCCTTGTGAAGGTGGTGTCCATGTCGTGTCCATGTCACGTGGTTCGGAAATCTATACAAAAGACCGTGTTCGTGTCTAGCGTGTGTTGATCATGGTGTCAGTGACGTCACAGACATCACGCCCAGGCGACAACAGGAACGAGAGAATGGCACAGTGGGTGCAATGACAGCATTGATCATGCCAGGCCAAAAAGTGTATTGTGTGTCTGTGACGAAGGGGGCGGGCTATTATCTACCTCCCTGAGATAATAAATTAAATTGTCTTCTTGGATCTGCCGCTGTTTGATTTTTATACGTTCCCAGTGCTTTATTCTTGTCTCATTCTCATCACTGTAGTGTCAGCCCATCTCAGGCATTCTGACAAAAGTATAATCTTTCTGCACCGACAGAAACGGAGACCTGGTCACAGCTGTCTCAGAAGACAGTGGAAGGAAAGAAACAAGGTCGGTGACCAAGCTCTAGAAGAGGGTCGCAGGGTCCGTCACATTTCTGTCCCCTATATACCTCCAACTGACTCCCAACAAAGGATAGAGAGAGAAAAAGCGAGAGCGTGCGTGTCTCTCAGTACTTGGATTTTCTCTTCCCCCTATTCATTCATCCGCCCTCAACAAAATGTCCGGCCTCGACCCCAGCGCACCCTCGCAGCCGACGCAGCAAGCGGGCCTCAACCAGGCTCGCAACCCGGCGTCCAAGACGTCCGCGGAGCAAGAAACCTCTCGCGACACGTCGAGCAAGGACGCCCCGATCGTCGACCACCGCGAAAGCCACGATGTACCTTCGCAGCACGGCGGTGCCGCGCACCCCGGCGCCCGCGGGTCCGGCGCCCGCGGGCCCCTGACCGAGACCCTCATCCCGGAATCCGACGCGCAAAACTATTCGCAGAACAGCGAGCTGGAGGGCGAGCAGATGCGCATGGCGGGCGAGGGGGACGTCGCGAGGGCGGTGCGCCGGGGCGGCGGCGGCGGACACCTGGGCCAAGAGAGCCTCACGGCCGACGTGGGCCGGAAAGAGGCCGAGCACGAGGCCGAGCTGCACAGGCGAGGGGAGCGGACGGGGAAGGAGATCGAAGAGGAGGAGAAGGAGGACTGGACCGGCAGGAAGGCGGACGTGGCGAGCGCGTTGGAAGGAGGGAGGGAACGCATCGACGAGGGGGAGAGGCCGAAGGTGGTCCTTGCTCCGGAGGAGTAAGAGGGTTGTCAAGTCAAAGATCTCGACCGTGGCAGAGTAGAACAGGAACGCGGGACTCAAGGGTTCGCATGGAAGCAAGTCAGAGGAAGCTGGGGGAGAGTCGAACGGTCGCGACCGGAGGGAAGGGGTATGGGTTTGTGAGCATATTTCACCCCTTGGCTTAGACACTTAGGTATGGTCTGCCCCAGTCTGTCTCTTGGCTAGGTATGGCGACGAACGTGGCGAGGGTATCCGCGCGATCAGGCTCCGTTGTTCGTGGTATTCGGGAAATTCCCTACCTTCCAAGCTCTGAATCGACGGTCGATCTCGACGATAAGAGAGCTTCTGGTATTATCCAATAACCCATGGGGGCCCTGAAAAGGATCAACTTATGAAGAACGGCAAGATGGAATTGTAGAAGCTTAAACACCCATGGAGAAGCAGAGATTCTGTAGTCCTGGCATAGTCGAATCATGTTTTTCTTGATTTATACTTCACGCACCTCAATCACCTGCCATATCAATGCTTGAAGGCCATGCTCGCGAACCACCCATTGAAAAAACCCCAGCGTGCTTCGCATGATACCATCAAACAAAGACATTGTTGTACCAACTGCCTTTGTATACCCGATCTCGTGCTCTAGGTGTAGCAACAAAGGGTTGCTATTCTCGGATGATCGTGCTTTGAGAACAAAGAATCGTTGTGTGTCACCCAGCAATCCGTTAGCAACTGCAGTTAACAACGCTTAGTCGATGATGCTGAACCCGTTTGTTCCTTTTTAAGATTCGAAATTCTGTTATTTTATGTTGCTGCAACACTCGATCACCACCAAGAGCCTGCTAGATACAGCACATGCTTCGACCGATCAATCATCATGTGTTATTACAAGACTTACATCTTTCTCGGCTGTGGCCATGCTGTTATCTCAAGCAAGCCGATTGCAAACTCACGATGTCCGAACAGCAAACACCCCACGATGCAAGAAGCAGCAACACCGTCTCCGGAACTCTGTACAGAAAAGCTCAGTCACCCGCTTCGGACAATAGCCATCCAGAGCCTCTGCGAAGTTTGCCGGTGCGAGGGAGACGCCCGTGTCGAATATTTTCAAGGGCATATGGGCGAAGACAGCGAAAGACGGATCATAACGAGATCTGCTGAGCGTAACGACCGGGGGTCGGAGAGAGGACGTAAACTCTTTCGATCCACCACGGATCTAGCCATGATGCTGGAGTCAGGCAGATATCCATCCGCTGCTGGGAAGTGCAACAATGGCACGGCCCCCGCGATATCGGGTCGGGCACAACAAGCAGTAGAGAAAACTTCAGATCTGTTCAGAGGTGTGTTAGAGTGGAAGGATGGAGGTTCTTATAGCAGCGCTCCGAGTGAGCCTTCAATGTCGAGTATTGAGTCGCAAAGTTCTTCGCCACCAGCGAGATTATCTTTTGCGGGTCTTGCAAATAGCTTTGAGAATTAGTGTTTCACCTGACAACAGCTCGACGGAGGTACAGAATTCAGCATGGCTAGCTTTTGCTCAGGAAATGAGTTGTGGCGACTTTGTTGTTTGCGAACAGCGGTAGGGTTAAGTAGTGAGGCTTGTGAAATTTTTATTATAGCGCAAGATGAGAAGATGGCAAGATCGGACAAAAGAAAAAGCTAGATAGTTCAAAGTTCACAAATGCCTCATCGATTGTTTCTGTTGTCCAGTATTTGATCTAATCGCATCGATGGTTGATGATGGTCTTGCGATCTGAGAAGGGACGAGTGTGCAGTGTGGTGAGGGGCTAGTCCTAAATAGGAATTAGTGCAAAGCTCCGGAGCGCATCAATGAGAGAGCTTCAATATATGCTGAGCACACAGCACGACGACAGAGACATTCAACTCTTCGATTCATACCCTCAAGTTGAACTTCTTCCCGTTGTGAATTTGCTAGAGAATCATCTCGGGCGATCGAACCCCTGGAGGAACACCTGCGCCTGGGTGTTCTTTCGTAAGCAGTTGTCGAACTCACCTTTCTTCCTCGACTACCACGATCCTCACGTCCTTAAATCCAACCACGATGTCTACTCCCGAGTCACCAGCGTTTCTAGCGAAGAAACCCACAGTCGCTCCCACCTTCGACGGTGTAGATTTCGCAGACAATCAAGCCGTTGCAAACGCACGAGATGCCATCGTACGAGAACAATGGGTCGGGTTGATGATGCAGAGATTAGTTGGCGAAGAGATGGGTATGCCTTCATCGCCCCAGTCCTGGTTGCATTACAGAGAATACGAGCACGATGTTGTTAGCACTGACTATCATCGTTCTCCGAGTACTGGGGAGGATGTGTAGTGGAGACTTCTTCGCAAGCAAGATTTCGAGAACCGTATGCTGACACGCTGATGATGCAGGGAAATGCTACTTACGTGAGGGCGTCAACCATTTGGAAAAGTGCGGCAAATACAGAGGTACGAGATGAATGGATTGCTTCCGGCCATGCTAGGCAGAGTTCTAACCGAACGATCTATCTAGACCGATACATTCAACTCTTAAAATCAAACAACAACAAAGGTTTCCGTGGGCAACAGCAGAACTACATCCCCGGCGTCGATGGTCCTTTGGGCGGAGCAGAGATTCCTACAGACTATCCTACTGTCCAACAAGCCAAGGGGTCAAAGGGTTCCGATTACAGACCTGGAAACACGAGTGGACAAGGTGGAAATACGCTGTACTAGAGCCAGGTTTCTTGGTAGGCGTCTCTGGAGAAAGAGAGGAATGTACATATCAATTGAGGGCCAATGAAAAAATGTGTAACAAAACAAAACGAAGCGGACTTCATTTGTTGTGAAACACAGCAACACAGCAATAACTGTTTTGATGACTTCTGGGTCTGATGCCCTTCACAAGGGCTGGATCGATTCAGATATGGATCTTGCTGACTTTTCACAGGGTTCAGATCGCTTACGACGGCAGGTTGTCCCTGGAAACACTTTTCATCCTAGTTTATGAATGTTTGGCAACCAGATGGACACGATTTGCAGAGTCAAACAACTCAATTATCCGCGGCTAAAGAACTGAAAGTGATGCCAGGAGCGAAACTTCTGTCTTGTCCAGTCTGGACCATGATCCCCTGTTTACAATTTTCCGAGCTTCCCGCTTTTCTTGGCCGCGAATGTGGCAAGAGCATCCATGAGAGGTGGTGAGAGCGCATCGTATGGCTCGAGCCCGACTGACTTCAGTTTGGCCCGCACCTCATCCATCTTCTCTGGCGGGTAGCCTTGTTCGATCAAGCTGCTCACGAACTGCAAAGTATGTCAGAATCTCTGCTCAGGCTAGCAAGGTGAAACAAGGGGAGAGGGTATGGAGTTGCTTACCGCAGCGAATTGGGGTTCTTGCCAGCCCTTTTCATCGGACAGTTCGGTGTGCACGAATGACAGGCCCTTGAAGGCATGGTCCTTCTTGATGGGCCCGTACAAATGCGCCCCACAGTCCTTGCAAGCGTAGCGGAGGATGGTGGCATTCTCGTCGACGATGGCCAGCTTGTTGCCGTTCTTGGTCACTTCGACTTGGTCGTCAGGGATAACAGCGACAATGGAGAAAAGAGCGCCAGCTGGCTTCCAGCATTGGGAGCAACCACAAGCATGTTGGTGCAAGACGTTGCCCTTCAATTTGACTTCGACGGGATCAGTCTTGCAAAGGCATTTAAGAGTGCCGCCTGAGAAGTCCGGGTTGCCTTTGGTAAGGCCGTTGTCAATCAACGGGTGCAGAGAGCGGGACATGTTGTTTTCGGTTGCTGATTGTCGGTGCTTCCTTATGAAGGATGTATATCGAGTTCTGGGACGAGTAGTGACAGGGAGGAGTGGGAACGAAGAGACGGGAAGGGAACAGTATGCTCTTGTACTCGAGATGACGAAGGACAAGGGGCGGGGAATCTCGGGCCTATTTTGAGCAAAAATTCCAAAACAATCGTTGATCCTTGGACAGTCGGTGAGAAAGTTACCTCTGTTGCTTATTGCCCATACCCGTTGCGAGGACGGCTGAGCTTGAGCACGAGCTTGAGCGCCGCACTTGGGAGAGCATAACGTGTGGGGTAACCCCTGAGGGAGTACAATATCACGACAGGTTCCGCGTCCCAAGGGACCTAGAAGAAGAGTAGTCAAGAGAGGAGAAACAAAGTAGACGAGTTGATTGGCTTGACAACAGCAGGCGCCTCCCTGCCACCCAGTTCTAAATTGGGACGTGTGAGTAGACGGCACTGTTGCTTGTCAAGGAGAGCAGCTGCTGGATGCTACGAGTACGAGGACGAGTATCCGTACTGCAGTAACTATCAGGAAAGGTGAGGGCGGCCTGAGACCACCACCCGATATGACCCCGTCTCCGTCGGCAGTTGAAAAATGCCCGACCTCAATGCCTGATACCTAGGTACCTAGGCATTGACGGGGCGTGTGTTTACACAGAGTCGTAAGTGTAGTGGGTGAAACTGCCCTGGATGTGGTGGTGGTGGGAGAAAAAGCAGTAGCGAGGTGGAGGTGTAGCAAATCAGGTTATGGCTCGGTCTTTTTCTTTTCAGAACTTGTTTGTGCCTCAGCAGCGCAAAAAGGCGCCTAGACCATCTACAATTTCCATTCTACGAGATACCTGATTGTATCCGATCATCCCTTCTGGTCGGGCTCGGATGGGGCCTGCTCGCACCGCACCCCGAGAGCCACTACGGCACGAGATATTGTACAGTGACCAGTAATGCTGAGCCAAAGTGACGCCTTCTTCGCTCCGGAATCTACTCGTTGCCGAGTTCTTCGACAGGTCCACGCTGCAAGAGTAGGATATTCCAAGCACTCACTCGTCGGGACTCGTAGAACTATTATCCGGGTTGCGCAGTGTACCGAGCTTCATTGGACAGGGGGGTCGGATGTCCCGACAACTTACGAGTACCAGAAAGCACACGGCGATGTGAAGAACATAGCTCCAAACTCCGTCCGAGCATTGAGAGAGTGTGTGTGCCGACTGACGTAAGGTACGGTGCGTAGCTAGCTAGGCAAGGCAGCTAGCTACCTAGGTAGCTGGTGATCGGGTGTGTGGAGTGGGGAGGAAATCATAACAGATACATACGACAGCCTTCTAGTTAGCCTAGGGGGAAACAAAGTCGGATTGGGGAAATATCCATCGATTCGAAGGACTTCAAAGTATAATGTTAGCTCACCCTTCCCTATGATTGCGCCATCGCGCTCTCGGGCGGGACAAGGGCCATTCTCGGTATATGGTTAATAGTACTACCGGCCATGGCGTTTCCTCGTATCTCATTTTCACAGCGACGTTCTCAACGGTAAATGACGACTCAGTTAAGGCTCTCCAATAGGGAAATGACAGGTACAACTTAGGCACTGATCGTTTTTCGTTTTTCGATTTTCTCCTACAAAGAACAAAACAAGAGGAAAACCGAAATGGAAACCCCCACAAGATCAGCCTGCCCGAGTTGCTTTGGGCATTCTCAACTTCGCCTCGACGTAGCGAGAAAAGTTAACCACTCTCTGGTCAACATGGCACCAGAACAGATGGCCACATATCAGAACAAAAGGTAAACAGACCAGCCATCCCAGGATCACAATCTTGAAGATCTGCCAGTTCGACAATCCGCCGCCTTCTTCCCACATCTCTGGCTGTGGTAACCTGTCCACCCCCGCGCAAACCCGGTAAAGAAACGGCATCAAACTCAGCCCCAGGATTCGAATCACGTCTAAGTGCGTCAGGTAGATTCCGAAAGAGATCCTGCCAAGCCACTGGGCCAGGGGGCTGGCGAAGACCGAGCCGATAACGGTGTCGGTGGTGTTTGCGACTGTCCAGGTGACAAGGATGGCTCCGAGGCACCTGGTGGCCTCGACTGGATCGCTGTTGCCGCATAAAGAGGCCACGATCCTGCTGACGACAACCGAGTAGCCTGCTGAGGGTTCGGCGTCAGGCTTCATCGACGCAATATTGAGGTAGATCCCGAAAATGAAGGTCGTCAGCCAGGCAGTCGTCGTGGCCGCTTTCGAGCGTGGAACCGGGAGACTGGAAGTCCATCGCATGTATTCCTTCTCAAGATCGACGTCCTCGCCACCCGCAGACTCCAGGTCCATCGGTCCAAGGAGGTGGCTGGTCGATGGCGAAACCTCCGTGTCCGACGCTTTCCCGACAATGTCAATCTCTGCGAGCACCATGCCAGCAAAGAAGCAGAACAGCGCAGGACGGTTGTTCGTGAAGGTGTATAGGCATGCCAGGCAGTGGATAGCCAGCCGGTATCCGGTGCGTATATGTGTGGTGCTGAGCAGGAGGGTGAACAACAACATGCTGCACTTGAATTCGACCGGAATGGTCCAGTGGACGTCGTCGTATTTTCGGACGTCAATCTCTCGCTCGTTCCATGGTACAATCGAGCTATCCACATATCCCCAGCACGTAAGCAAGGCAGTACGAATTTCCTGCCAGAACGAATCTTCCGGTCTTTTCGGCCCCATCCAGATGTCCAGGTAAGACCTGTTGTTCTTGGTGCTCAGAAACGTGTATATCGACGGCAAGACTATCGGAGTTCTTAACAGGAGTGCAGTGATGACGGTGTCGACCATGGTAGGAAGAAACAGTCGAATGCCACGTCGGAATGCCGACGAGGCGAGTGTCGAGTAACATGCCGTGGCCACGGTGCCGCGATTCTGGTGTATCTGAGTCAAAGGCTTGTACGAAAGGACATAACCTGAAATGACAAAGAAGACGTAGACCATCGACTTCCCAGCATACGTCCACGTTACCCACGGCAATTCCCACCATAGGTTGACCGTCGATGCCATCCCGTATGTGCGGTAGCCATAGCCATTGTCGTACGCCCAGTGAAAATTGAACACGAGCAAGCAAGCAATACCGCGCAGTCCGTCCAGGGACGAGATGTGACTCTTCATTTTCGTTGAACGTTATATTCTGTTCAGCACGCATGCAACAGAGAGAGTACTTCCGATAAGTTTCAGCGCAGAGAGACCTCCCTTATGACCTACACAGGTTAGGGGTGCGGGCACGCGTGCTCTTTTCTCAGCTGACAGCTGTCAGAGCGATCCAGGGGTAGAAGCAGACATTCTTGTATACGAGTGGTGTGAGTGACTGGTGTCAGAAAACCACTCTCGCCGCACCGCAGAGACATGAGGCTCTTCACGGCAACTTACAGACCAGCTTCGCTCATTTCATTTGTTGGTACTTTGTAGTGCTACGACCTCAAGGGGAGATAACTTCTTGGTCTGATACAGGTGGGACGTTCGTGTTCAGTCAAAGATACTCATCCCAGCCTCTCATGTTATGTCTATACCAGGTAAACCACAGACGGGACGAACAGACAAGATTTTCAGATCTGTAGGACGACGATGGTAGGATGCTCATTTAAGAAGTTCTGCTCCTCTGAGCAGGCGAAGCAAAAGCCAAAAGCAGCAACTGGTTGCCAAAGACGTCTCAGGTAAAATGACCACGCTGCCTTAAATAATGCACCTGGATGTTGACAGCTTGACGTCTCCTTCAAATCTCCGAAACGAAACAGGAGAGTTGAACCGCGTTAGTGAGATGTCGCCAAGTACGTTCAAGCAACTCTATTCACATACCATCAGATGATCAGATCCAAAGTCGCCTTTACTCCAACTGGCTCCCATTACTCTGCAAACGCAATGTATCTGAGAAGTCCATTGAAAGTGACTTCGTATTGGTGCTCGAGGCTCATGCGCCCAAGCCGCTTATCACAAAATGTATCCTTGCTATTGATCTCTCAGAATTGAGCGAGCGATGAGGATCACCCACTTACCCAGATTGCATCTATCGCAAATGCGCAGTAAGTGCACCTCTGTTATGTTTGCTGCCAGGAATCGAGAAGGCAAAGACTGCTTAATGAACAACCGGGTTGGGCGCTGGCCTGCTGAGAGACAATATCATGTTATGGACGATGGCCAAACACCTATCTTTCAAGATCCCAGCAAAAGCCTTCTGGAACCTAAACAGCATTCGAGAGTTGCCGAGCTACCATGGTCCTCTGGCAGCCCGCGACAATCTTCCAGCTATCTTCGTGATGTCTCGAGGTACATGATGAAAGTGGTGAAATCCACGGGCCCATTGCCGTTAGTCATGGCGCTGCCAGCCTGTAGACGACTGAGAGTCTAGTACCCATGCACCTTCATGTGCCCAGTTCTTTCCACGTCGTTAGACGTAGAGAGCCATCTATATCTATCCAAGTTTACAGCGTGGTGGTGTTCCCAGAGGAACTTCCAGCCGAGGAAACGGAGAGACTTGTCCGTCAGTGGGAAGCAAAGAACGGCCTCGATAGTCATTTCTATTTCCAGGCGATGTCAGGCGTGCACAGCGACCAGCAATGTAGATGGAAAAAGAGAGATGGAGGCGACCCAACCCAGGGCCGAGAGTGCAGCACCTGAGAGGGGAGAGCACATCAAGTAGAGTAGGGATGAATATCAGTTGACTGAACTAGATCCATGTCCAACGTTCTTAAAGTTGTGGGTGTAGTTATCAATCAGCCTTGTGTCCCTTAAGGGGGCGCGGGGAGGAAGCGCCCAGCCAAACCAGCCAAGGTCAGTGCGTCATCCCCGCCCTGTTCCATTTCGTCTTGTTATCTCAGCCTCATCCTCGTCCTCAGTGGCTCCTACATTCCTTGAGTACTCGATACATCTCTGACATCGGGAGTCGTCGAATCTGCAATTGAGATCAAGCCTCTGCCGGGACCTCCAACAATGCCTTTTCCTTTCGTTCTCTCCACCACATCCAATATTTCTTTTCAATCGAGCTTGACGTCTTCTAGTCATCCCTCTCTGCCCTCTGCGGCCACATCTCAGCGAGCTCTCCTTCGTGCCGCGCTGAAGTCGCACAAACGACTGTCTCCCACAGACCAGGCCAGTGACATTCCGTCTCTTGCCTCCATCATTCACAATTACCTCCGCTACCTGCTAACCTTAGATCTCGCATTATCCGGTAAGCCTGTCGCCGGGGAGGAGATCCACATTGCATTGGCCAAAGAACCCGAGATCGAGTGGCGTCCTACTCTCAGCTCTGCATCCATTCCGGGGCGTGAGAGGGATCGCGTCAAAGGTAGAGGTCTTGATTATGACATCTTCTTTGTCCACCACACCCTCGCTCTGGTCCACCAGCTTGCTGCCAGACAATCTCTGTTAGGGCTGTATGCCTCTGCAAACCCCAGCCCTGAGCAGCGTGCAGCACTGGTCCAGAATGCTTCCAAGTCGTTGAAGACTGCCCACTCGATACACTCCTACCTGCTACTCAGAACAAATTCCTCCAACGACGGTCCGCCAAATTTCCCTCCAGGTGCGGTCGACATCTCGGCAGCCGTTCAGTCTGCTTTGCGACATCTGACACATGCGGAATTCGACCTACTCTGCGTTCTGAAGGATGATCCATATCCTGCTCTACTTGTCCAATCCCGAAATAAGGATGACAGAGAATGGATGATCAGAGCTCCGCAGATACCGAAGGTGCGAGCTCAAGTTTTGACCAGACTATGCATCGGAGCAGCAGAGCATGCTTCTGCAGCCGCCGTCGCCCTCAAGGTCGAAGCATCAAAAGTCTCCAAGGATTTGCTGGATTATTGCGACGGAGTTCGAAGGACGTCGAGGGCCAAGGCCTGCCGGTTCCAAGCTCTAGATGAAGACACGGCTGGCTCGACTGGTAGAGGCATCGCATGGCTCAAGGCCGCGTTGAGTGAGATTGGAATCGAACCGCCCAAGGAAAGCTCGAAATCAGCCGGTCTCGGGCGATTGAAAGCCTCTTGGAATGAACGACGAGAGGACAAGCGGATCGAAAAGGGAAGCCCGAATTGGGGCCTAGATGGCGGTAAGCTGGAAGAAGGACGCATCGTGGAGTATCTGTATGAGAAGATGTCCAAGGAGAATGACACTATCAACATTCAATTGATCCCTGACTGGAAGCCTCTGCTCTCCTTGTTACCAAGCGGAATGAATATGCCCATGGACGACAAACGAAAACCGGACTTCTTGGAAGAAGCTGAACTTGCCGCTATGAGAGCGCCGCCAGAAGATGATGACTTCAAGGACACGGCCAGCTCCGATGAAGAGGAAGGTGGTGATAGGCAGCCGGTTGGCGCATTCCCAGGGACACATCAGGAGTATGGGGGAAGCGGGACAGCATATTACTGAGAACGAAATGACGTTAATGCGACCATGATAACAGCCTGCCATGAAACAAGCACAGCTGCGGTTGCTATCGTTCGATCATTCTGCCCTCAGAGATGATATCGAAAAGGCCGACGACAGGGAGTCCTTCACTTTCACTTTCACATCACACTTTGCTGGGATGCTGTACTCTTTCACCAATGCCACGATTCCTGGCGCACAGGGCATAGAAACCGAAACAGCAAAAAAACTAACCACTCTTGGTCAGGAAACCTCCTCTGATCCCCAGGGTATAATCCAGACCTTTTATCCTCGCCTAAGCGTTGATCTGGGCCCTGGCTCCGCACCCACCTTAGTGGTGAGTGGGAATCGACCTCCAGATATTTTTTTGGTATCTCAGACTGCTTTCGAAGCAAAGGCGAACACCCTCAAGCCGACGCCATACCACTACGACATGGCGACGGCGAGTGCGAGCCCCTTTGCTCCGAGAAGGCTGCTGTTGAATACAGATTTCTTGAATACAAAAGATATAGTGACGGTTTTCTGAACTCTCAGCCTTGTCACGTGCTCGCACAGCCTTGCGACGGCACCCACCTGAAAACGGCCGCGCCCCCTTTGGCGAAGTGTTTCACGGCCCGTTTCATGCATCCATCCTCGACCTCTACGCTCCAATCACCGTACCCAACACCAGGGTCACACACGACGATTATAGGAAGCCCTTGTGTGACGACTTGTCTCAAGTCGACGGCAATCCACCGTCGCTCCAGCATTCAAAGGCCGTCCGCCACACCGACCGTGTGCCTGAACTGATCGTCGGACTGAATGTGTAACTACCGAGGTGTAACCCGCACGGCAGACTTGTCCGCACCATCTCCCGTGGTTGGAGGGAACGTGACGAGTTTCCCTCGATATCGAAGAGAGCTAAGCTGACAGGCATGTCGAAGCGTGGGGAGTGTGGGAGCGAGGACAAGCCGTGACCTGTCTGTGACCGTCGAACTACCACAGCTGGGATCATGATCTTCGGATGGAGTCGTCCTCCAAAACGATTAATCCCACTTGTCGGATAGCACGGGCATCGAATGCGCAACTCTTACCGTGCCCAATCTTGGCGGCTGGCAAGCTCTGTCAGAAGTCGAGGTATATTAAGGTGAAATGGCGCACTCTCGGCCCTTCTTCAGAGGCAAGTAGAGGTTTTGAAAGAAACAGCCGACTGGTGATTCCCAGTCGATATCAGATATCACGCATCAACGATCCATACTTTTGCAGTATATTGTCAAGACTGTCCAGCGACTTTCAGCAACGCAACACGACCGCGGAACATTATGCTGCTGTTTCGACCACTGTGCGCTGTCCTGTTGTGCCTCTTCGCGTCTGTCCCTTGTGGCTCTGCGGTTCCACTCTCTTCAACGACACATATTCTCCCTGACATCACGATACGGAATGTCATTGTGCAACCAGCATTGACGTCGTCGACAAGGCTTCCAACCGCCGCGGTAGCTCAGTTTGTACAGTTTACGCCAGCGCCGAGCGAGGTCGCGACGACGAGAAATGCTCGAGATGGCGGCCACGGCAAACGGAAAAGTTGAATTGTCCCTCTTCTCCCAACTCGACATTGAACTACATGTGGCATGCGTGTGGATCATCTCTGAGTTGATCGACGTCTGACCTATACCGGTATAAGTCACCAAGACGGGGGAGAGAGGTGTACCGACCCTTCCTATACGATGGACTTTCGTTCGTCTTTCTGCTACGCTCGTTACAATCATGTCAGAGGAGGGGAGGAGGTCTCAGGAACATTCGGTCTACGAAACGAGAACAGCATCTAGTCATCTATGACCATCCCACCACTTTGATCATCTCCGACCGGAATCTGAAATTCTATCGGACGGCGTAGATTGATGGTACTGTCTGTACATGCCGTCGGACCTCTCGTTTCATCAACCGTTCACAAACGTGCCGTCCCATGCACTCTTTTCTGTCCCATTACAGCACAGAAACAGTCCCTCCACTTCAGTGCAGCACAGTCCAGTTCGGTTCAATACAGCTCAGCCCGGCACGGCACACTACAGGCCAAGGTCCAGTCTCTTCCCATCGCGACTTTGACTCCTATCAACCCTCACCACTGCTGCTGCTGTAGCTGCTACCGCTCCTCAGCGCGTACAGTATTCGTCCGCCCAACTTTCGGAAATCAAGTGACTCGGAATACCGACCGGGTTTGACGTGGTCACGGGTCTCAAGAGACGTACATATATATCTAGGGACATACACTGCAAGCGGGACGCGAGGTATTTGAACGTACCGTATCGAACGAGACGGAATGTGCACTCAGACGGTCCACATCGTATGTACTAGTTAGGTATCCAGTAGACGTTATCTCCTTCTATATTCCACGAAACCATCAACGTCTCGCCTGACGACGTCCGCGACGTTCGTTATACCTTGTTTGTGGTTTGATTTTTTTATTTCATTCTTGCTTTCATGACATATGCAACACAATTTACAGACACCCCCCCAACTAGTTAGTTAGCCTTGCCCAGCCCAGCCCAGTCAGTCCCTCACTGAAAAGCTAAAGCTACGACCTGCTACTACCTTTCTGTCCATACATACATACATGTACAAGTAGACTTGCAGAGACCAGCGCCAGTGGGACGCCGGGGATATTGAGACACAACCGAAGAAAAAGATATGATGAGACGCCATAGAGTACATCCATGGGGTCAACTGAACAAAGACCAAAGATCTTCAAAGTCATGTCTTTTGTTTCCTGCTTTCTTTAGGTACGGAGTATTCTCTTTCTCCTCTTTCTGCTCTTCGAATGATGAGTTAGAAGTCTAGTCGAGTAGAGACCGAGCATCAACAACGACAATCAACAAAGTCGAGATTCTTTGCGAACAGTGCACAACAACAACAACAACCACGACCTTTCACACCTCCACCTTCACCTCCATCTCGTGTCTGCCGCGCGCCGTCGATTGTCGACTATAGGACCTCACCCACAATCTTGGCTGCCTCTTTATACGTAGCCAACAACTTCTCGCACTTCTCTCTTTCTTTCTTGATGCCATCATCCTCATATAATAGCTCCCCAAACAGTTCTTCCTTGTACAGCTCGCTCACCAGGCGATTCTGAACTTCGTCCCTGCTATGGTTGACGAGCAGATGCATGATGGCCTTGGGAACCTGGTCTGCAATCGTCTCACGGACGATGTTGAAGTAAGAGCTAATGAGGCGGCGGATGAGTTCGGTTTCCAATGCTTCTCGATCAGTCAGGACCGGTTCTGCCGACTGTTCGGGCTGTAGCTCAAGTTAGTGACAATCTAAAAAGAAAGTTAGGTAACGGCAGAGACTTACGAATAGTGACGTCGATTCGCCATACTCTGATTGTGCATATTCATCATTCATGGGAGGGGGGAAAGCAGGTGATCGATCGGTGAAGCTGCCCCTATCAGATCGTCGGATACTCTGACTGAAGCTCGGTTCCACATTGTGGCTGACATGTCTCGAAGTAGCAGATGAGTTCGTTGGTGGCATTGAGGGTAGGCCCGATTGCAGACCATTTTCTTTACCGAAAAAGTAGTTTAGGAAAGAGTCTCGAGCGCCACCAGTGCCTCCTGCGGCAGCAGATATGCTGCCAAAGCCATTTTCTCGTTCTCGTGCCACGGCTGGAGACATACTTCGGCTCATGGCAGGATGCTTGCGAACAGGCAGAGCGGTTGCTTTGTCGTCTTGCTCGGCCTCCTCATCGTCCGGGGTGGCTGTGCCATTGACGCCGCCAAGCTGCTTCATTCGCTGCTTGTCACGTTTTCGTCGTTCCTCTGCTTGGGCCGCTCTCTTATCCTTTTCATTCTTATTCTGTATGACAGAGGACATGGCTGCTGCAGCTCCAAGGAAATTAGGATGATTGGTGTTGATATATGCTCGCTGAATTGCAATCAGAGATTCGACGTAGCTCGAGGCAGGGCCAAGACGTTCTCGGAGAAGATCCGAGACAACCTCGATAAGCTTGCCTTGTAGTTTTGGAAATCTTGAAAGTTCCGTTGATCCACAAGTATGGCAAATCTTGATCAACTCTTCGTAAACCAACTCGACGCATCGTTGACTAGGAATCTCCAAGAGTTTGATCTGAGGCTTCACCAAAAGGTCAAATGCCAGTTCAGGAACAAACAAACTTGGTCGGGGACCGGTAGAGTTTCGGATTGCCGTCCGAATGTCTAAGACGGAGAGATTATGGGTAGGATCAATAGTTTCCAGCGAATTTCCAAAAACCGAGTTGAAGATGTAATATATCCGAGCACCACCACAAAGCTCTTTTGTCGAAATTTCTGATGACGTGCCGTCAATGGACGAGATGAAGGCATTGGCGAAGCGAGTCATCAGCTGCAGAATCAATGAACCGCGATGTTCTTTTCCTGCAAATTGCTTGCTGCCGTAGCTTGCAAGCTCTTGTTGCGTCTGGCCCATCAGTGTATTTAGTCTTGCCTTGATGTCAGGAAGTCTGTCTCGAATGTGGGCCATCAGGGTGGTGTTTAGCGTCTTTGCAAGGTACTGTGTTCCACACCGCGTCGCCATGTTTCGGTATGCAGGGTGATGCCTGAAGAATTCCGCTTCGGACCTCAGGGCTTCGGACATTGGTTTGTTGGTTTGAATATCTTGTTGTGATCGATTCACAACACCAATGAAGCCCAATTTTAGCGGATACACGCGACCAGACAGAATATCCAAGGCGTTTGTACCATGATCCATAAGATCCAATTTTGTCAGGACACCAATTGTCCTTCTTCCCATTGGGTCAACATGTCGCGCGAGCTTAAGGGCTTCGGAATTCACGATGTCGACGTTCGCAGGGGAGACAGCAAGAATGATGCTGTTTGGTTTGGCGATGTATTCGGAGATCAGGGTTCTCGTCTGCTTTTCGATGTCTGTAGGCTGATCACCGATAGGAACTTTGGTCAAACCGGGCAGATCGACCAGTGTCAAATTGAGGACATGTGGAGAGAAGATCTTGAGGTTGATGGGCTGTCTGTTGATGCCCTTGTTGTTGCCAGCTATTCTAGCTGTCTCGTTCTCGATCTCAGCACGGACTTGATTGAAGTTCGAGAACTTGCGACCTGGTATATGGTGAAATTCTGCCCATTCTCCGTGCTCGGCCACGCTGGCAGCAGAGTGCGGAACATGGACCTCGTCGTTGTTAGCGTCGCTGTCTTCATCAGGAGGAATATTAATGAGCTGTAGAATCAAAGGGCGACGTGTGACAATGCCACTTCCCCGAGGGAGAAAGTCCCGTCCAACGATATTTTCGAGAACAGAAGATTTACCCGAGGACTGGGAGCCGACGACGACTATCTGCGGAAGATCGAGAGAGTCATTGCCAATGGTATTGAAGACCAGGTCTTGGAGCTTGTTGACGGTTCGGAGAAGGTCATCGCCGAGGGTGGTCATTGTCGACGACCGTGTCCGATCGGACTCGTTTCACAAGACGAAAGCTGGCGACGCGACGGCGAATTGGAGTTGGAAGGTTGGTGGAAAATCAGTAGTGGGCGTTACAAAGAATGTCTCGCCAGGAAACAAGCTGAAGAAGAGAAGAAAGGAAAGAGGAGGTCCTGGTGAGTTGGTTGATTAGATGGCTAGGCACATGTTTACTTGAATTCGGTACCTGGGACTTTGGGGGTGTAGAAGAAAACGCGCAGGAGGCGCAGAAAGGCTGCGATCGGGAGAGATTGGGGTGGCTTGAGAAATTGCTCCGTCTGACAGTTGCTATGTCTTCGCGATTTTGACGTGGATTGCGGAACGATACCTTGCCAAGTAATTCGGTCAGACACCTGGGTTGCAGCCACCCGCGGCCTGACGTAGTTGCATCACAAGAGCAAGTTCTCGCTTCTCTACAACAGTGTGTCCGCAGTTCGTCCTTCCATCTCCAGGCCCAACGAGGCTTGTCCTTTCTGCGGGGATCGCAGGGCACATTACGACATGGTCACGGCATTGCTACTTGTTCTCACAAACCTCACATCTTTCAAGCCTCATTGGTAAGACCGTAGACATTGAACGCTGACCACTACTTGTCCATCCAACCCTTGAAGATACGTGCTCTCACCTGGCAGATAATGCTGGCGACAGGTCTAGCATATGGTTGCCTCCTTCTGGCCACCGCAATAACATCAACAGCCTCACCCGTTCACCGAGATCAACAGATTTTGGACTTCCCAGACGCAACCATCATAGAGCCCGACTTCTCCCAGACTTCCAGCATCCGAGACACACTTATCGCAAACGAGGTCATTGGGGATGTCCTCGACGATTTCGAACCTTCATACTACATCGAAGTGAACTATCCTTCCACCCACGACAAAGTCGTCCTCGGCAATGATATTCCCGTGGATGCTGTCTCTAAGCGGCCAGTCTTCAACTTCTTCTCCCTTAAGCCTCATTCCGTCGAAGCGAAGAGCTCAACCTTCACCCTCGTTCTGACCGATCCAGATGCAAAGTCCCGCGATAAGCCTAAATGGAGCGAAATGTGCCACTGGATCCTGACCAATTTGACCACACCGACCCCTGGACCGCCCCCGGAAACCCACAACGCCAAACCAGGAGAAATCATGGAGTACTTGCCTCCGAGTCCGCCGCCAAAGACCGGAGCTCATCGTTATGTATTCGTCCTTTTGGTAGGAGAGTCGTCAGATCTGAAGGCACCAAAGGACCGTAAGCACTGGGGGTACGGTAAGGTTCGACACGGGGTGCGAGATTGGGCCGAAGAAAATGATTTGAGGGTTGTGGGCGCCAACTTCTTTTTTGCTCAGAATGAAATGCAGTAAAGCCGGGTACTCGATCAACTTGTCCTCATGTACTGTACTTATAGCACAAAAGTGTCATCGAGCTTGACTTCTTCAGGTTGCCTCCCTCAGGAGGCTTAATTCAGCAAGACTTTGCGATACAGAGTGCATTGCCTCCCTTCCCTGACCCAACTGAGTCTCCCGATGACTTGACAACGTGACATCGGCTGCTTCCGCTGCGAAAAGCCACGGTTTCATACGCCGTGTCACTTCGTCGCCATCACGCTCTTCTCGAGCCTCAGATTTGGGCCCAATGATGGAAGCAGCATGCTCGAACCTTCCCGACCGAGCAAGAATAGGAAATGCCTGCAAAAGTTGGCTCTCGTCACTAAGTTTGTCCAGCATATTCGTCGTCGCTCGTAGTTCGCTGTCGAGCTGTTCTCGTGTCAATGTGAGATATGCCTTCACAACAGAGTGCTGTTGTAAACTTGGGAGCAGATTCTTCTCAATATTGTTGAGCATAGCGACGCCACTGGACGCCTTTGGGCCCATGGTACTGTCGTCGTCCCCCTTGTGTGTTTGCCGCTCACTGTCATCCGCTTCATTCGGAGGTAGAGGAGCCCTGAGCTTGTCGACAGCCTCAATAACTCGCTTTCGTGCAGTTAGATACCGTTCATATTGTTCGTCAATCATTTCATCCGTGACGGCAACTCCGTTCTGGTCGTCAGGCTCCTGAACAGCCTTGTTGCTGTCGCCATGCGGACCGACATCGTTTTGACACTTCTCCAAGCTCTCCTCGAGCCATGTCGTCAGATACCGTCGTGTGGTCAACATCGCCCGAACCCGCTGCTCAGGAACAACGCCATATTCACCCGACTGCGCCCTCTCTCTGGCTTCGTCCAGCTTTGCCCTCTCAGCTTTTGCTTCAAAATGAGCATGGACAACAGCCATTTCGAGAGCCTTGACATGCCTCTTTAGCGTTTCCTCAAGCACGCCGATGTCGTGTCCAACATCGGACGTCACAGCGAGGTGTTCTTGAGTAGCAGGTGGTCGGACTTCCCATGTGACCAAGTGACGCGAACTTTTAATCTTTTCCAGCTCGTCCTTCAGCACAACGAGGGAAGTGTTCTTCTTCTGCAGACTCCGTAACTCGATGTGTCTATTGAGCAACGTCCTGGCATCATTATCTGAATCTTGGACGTCTCTATCGCTAGGTTGACTACGTCTCCGTCGTTCGGCGACCGCGTCTTTGTACTTGCGTTGAGCTGCCTGGTTTTCTTCAAAGGCTGTCGCATATTCAGCCTTGAGTTTCTCCAATCCACCTTCAACTGGAGGGCTCTGGGCTGGATCCTTCGTAGCGTTTGATTGCATGGTTGCTTATCGAACAGACTTACATCGATTCGGCACGGATGTGAGACCCAGCCTCGACTCTTGTGGCGAACAACCTGTCTCTCAGAAATGTCTTCCGAACTTTGCAGCACTGATAACTCAACCCAAGCCCACAGCTCTAGAGTATCTACCCGTTAACGCTATGTGTTGTCCTGGTTTGAAGATTTTTCACAAGACGCGTTTGCTTGCCGCTCCCCGCAAGCCCACCTTCACCGCCCCTTTCCAAGCCGCTGTCAACATAGCCGAGTACTGTTTCGAGTCTCTACCTGACACGATAAAGTAGAGGAAAGGTCTTGTTCATTGATGGGATACTGTAGACATCCACGAGTTAGTGGTAGTTAGGATCGGGGTTGGGGTTTGTGCTAATTTGGCTTAGAGCGATGCCGAGGTCTCAAAATCCGAGACGCGCGCAAAGGTACCTGTAGTCACCCTTGTGCTGTTGCTAAAGTATCTCAAGTGTGATTGATACGTAATGTCACAGACTACGCATAGTTCTACGCCATCTCTGATATGATCAACGTTTTCCTAGGATTATCTTCGGAACCTTCGTAGGCCAGAACTACCTTTCCATCTACCAACCTTTCTTTACCGGTTCGCTGTTGTTCGAAGCCAGCCTTGCCTTCAAGCATACTGAAAATATTGCTTTTTCAGCTTATTGCATGAAGACAAAACAGCTGTTTGTGGATAGGAAGATGCGGTCGGATCCATCATGAGATGGTTGCTGATTCTGGATAGTTGCCGGCCACTCTGAAGCTGGCAACGAGGACAAGTACTGGAGCCACTGGATTGCGTTTGAAGTCGATTCAATTCTCGTCGGTATATGCTTCTCAATCTCGAACATACGCGAGTTCGGGCTGCCAAAAACATCCCAGGTATGCTACTTGAGTCTGCCAGTGATACTTGGGAGAAGGCCCGCAAATATCCCTTGCTGTTGGCAAGTGGAGAGAATGCAAAGCTGATGGAACCTGTCAACGCCATCAATGACTGTTCAAGGTAGGGCACAGGAGCAGAACGTTGGTGTAATGGGTGCAGTTTGACATCCATCGACCGTCAAAAGGCTGAGATATCTTCAAGAGCTCAACCCGAAAGCCGCTTTCAGGCGGCGAAAGCGGGCTCATAATTGCTGATGTGTTCTCTTCGGGTTAACAACAGATAGCTGTGACAGTGGCGACTAGTCTATCGCGCTGCTGCGATGCTGCTGCGATGAGATACTCACCCCCGAGTCAGCAGGACGCAATGTTCGTGCCATCATCCGTCACTCCAGTTTGGTGCTCGCCTGCAAGCGGTCCCTTTTGGAAGAATGGAGGTGGTGCGTCGACTTTGTTGGCTTGGTGATTTATGGCAGAGAAGAGGAACTCACCTCAGCGGCTGAGATCGAAACTACTTCCAAGGGGGGTCGAAAGGAGAGAGCAATGTAGGCTGTAGCACGACTTGGTTTCTTCGCTCTGACACAGCCTTTGAACTGGGATAACCTTGCACAGGTTTGCTTGCAGGGAACTTCTTACCTGGAACGACAAAGGACTCTTCCATCAGAGGCAGAGGGTCAGTAAGTAAATGTGCTGCAGGGAAGGAGCTTCACTGTGCCTTCTGCCCCTCCTCCATTCACCTTCTTTCACAACCAACCCTCTTTCTTCGCAGTTGCTTTCATCATCCTGCTTTTTCCTGATCATCTCTCTTGAATCTTCCACTCAAACCGATCGGCCTACTCAACTTTCCATCTCTTCACCACCATCTCTCCGCCGCAGCCATTCGAGAAAAGTTTGCTCAACCACTCGTCGGAATCATGGGTCGTTGGGGCCATCGTAAGCCCTCACGCTCAATGCCGATATCAGCCTCCACTGACTCCTTTACAGGGATGTTCGAGGGAGACTATGATTTGGATCTGAAGGGAGATGTCGTCCACGCCATCGAAAACAAACTCAAGGCCAAATCTATCGCTTTCGAGGAAGGACATCTAGAAGAACTCATGGAAAGAATGTGCAGGATGAACAAACAACTGAGTGAACCTTCCCAAAAGCTTCGTGATCATGTCAACACCATCAGCGATGAGTTGTTTGAAGATTCTCGTCAGAATAGACACCCCTTGTTGGCTGGAGACGAATATCCTACTGTCATACTTGGGGCCGTGATGATGGAGGCAGGTCTGAGAATTTCTCCGGAGAACATGACATACCTTCGTCAGGCGGTAGACAAGGTCTCAAGTGCTAATGGGTACCGTCTGCCAATCTGTGACCTTGGATTTCGTGACCCAGGCAAAGCACAGTTTCTTGCTGCCCTCGGTCACTACCGAGATGGCGAGCCACGAGACTTCTATGGACCTAGGCATGTTATCGCCTCCCTCCTGATGTCGGATAAGAGCTAACCTTGTTGACGCTAGCTGCTTTTACTGCGGCCATATCAATCAGGACCTCAAGCCGCAAGTTCTCATGAAATGCGGTCGTTGCAAGGAAGTTTGGTACTGCAGCAAAGGATGCCAGCAGGCGAACTGGAAAGACCACAAACTCATCTGCCATAAGGACGGGGTACCTGAACTCGGCTATGGAATCATGAACGTCTGAACACCGTGAGGTCGGAATGCTTGAAACCGAAAGTCAGTTCCACGGCATAGGAGAAGAGGTAGAGAAGTACATTTCTGGTCCCTCTGTGTATGAGTTGAAGCTACAGCACGATGGAAGAAAAGTTGAATGAACATGGTGAGAGAGAAGCTGGACAAGAGAGTGCTGAAATACCCCTGGCTTTACGTACCCAACGGGTCCAGGTGTGGTTAAGGGCGGAAGTATTATTCGACTACGGATTACAGTGCCTTTCAAGGTGTGCTGTGGGTGTTGTAGTCTCTCAGCTCCCTAATGCTCTTGCTTCGGCGAAATCAAAGAATAAACTTTGCTTACGAGCAACAAAACCTTGCGCAAACCTTTGAACTAACGTGCCAACTAGTGTGTCCATGAACGCCTTATTTGTTCCACGCTGTAATATACAATAGTCGAATGCCTTCCTCAATCATATCACACAAAGACCATACTCTCCATGACCAGTAACCGAGCCGCCGGGGTTCCTTTGGTAGCTCTTATTTATTTTGAATGTAAAGGAGATCTTGCCCAGCTTCGAGCATAACCGTTTGAAGTTCTGACGAGAGAGGAATGGTGGAAGACGAACCATGGGATCTCTGTGATTGAAGACTGAGAACTCCTCGAGCATAATGTGCGTTGCCCAGCTACTATTATCCTCCGTATCCTCGATCAATGCTGACGTGACACATCTAGTATTACTCTTACTACTCTAAAGTAGAGGCCCATCCAACAAGCTGTCATCGCAGACGGGTGAGGATTTTCACCCTTGACAGACTACCCAGGTAGACAAGCCGCAGCAATCCTTCAACTCCACGTAGTTGCGCAGATAGACTCAGCTCAGAGGTCTTCATTCCGAATCCCCTGACCAGCCAATTCTCGAGGGCCGTCATGTAGAAGCACGCTCCCGGGTCTTGTGCCTAGTATGCTCAACATTGCTCCTTCCGTAGCCGTTATCAGGAGACCCCGAAAAGAGCCCTGAGGTAAGACGTCTCCTGCCACCCTGAACTCCGCACGGATCACGAAAAGCGTGGCTCGAGGTGGGCTATGTTCTTGAGAGGAGGACGGAGTGGTTCTACTGGAACGGAGACCTCGATTGATAGGTGGGTAGCCAGTTGATGTATGCATCGTCGCCTTTCAATATGTGTCCTGGGAGGCTCGGTCTTGTGCTTGGAGACAGTGGTGTAGAACAGCGGTCCAGATGCAATGCTGCGTTCCTAGGCCTTAATGCATGAGGGCCTGGCATTACTTCCGAGGAACGGAGAGACTCGTACAATGAACCCTGCTGTTTGGAGGGGGTGTGCTTGTTGCGGTCACAGTCACGAACGGGGTTATAGGCAGGTGTGCGCGGGTGATGTTGCAAGCCGGAATTCCCCCCTTCAATCCTTCTTCGGAAGATGACTCTTTGCGTCTGCCAGTTGTCTTGTAAGTTCTCTCCCATCGTCTCCATCGGTGCCTTCGATCTCGATGCCTCGCTCCAGCCACTCGACCGCGTCACTCCACCGTCCCATCTCCATGAGGCACCTGCCACCGACGATATAGGCTTTCGGGTTACCGGGGATTCTTTCGCCGTTGGGACCCTGGCTGGGACCTCTTTTGCATTCGAGGCTGCATTCCGCATCCTTGAGGCCTTCTGGAAACTTTTGAACGCCGGCATTCGCAGCGGCGCGAGAGAGATACATCAAGGCCAGCTCTTCTCTGGCAAGACCCATGGGCTCCCAGCCGGGCCTGGCAGCTGCCATGTCAATGGCTACACCGAGGAGTCGGATGGCGTCCTCGTGGTTTCCCTTTCGGGATGACTGTGCAGCGGTGTCTCGCAGTTTTTGAATGTTGGCTGACCGTTTGGGATGGACGGGAAGCGGGGGCGGAGGAACATTGTTGGGGGTTTCGAGGGCCTTCATTGCGGAATGGAGGCTGTTGACCTGCGCCACAGCGTCCTGTAGCGTCTGGTCCGTCGAAAGGATAGAGATTTGTTTCGTTTGTGGGTCGATCTGGAGTGGAAGGTGAGTGTAGGTTTCGAGGGCATCTTCTGTCGAAGCCATGGTTGTTGTTGTTGCGCGAGATGAGTCGACACTTCTGTAGAAGGGTAAGGATACAGGAGTCAGAATCTGGAGCTAGGGCAGAATATTGTCGAAGAAGGATTTCCTGGTTGCCAGAGAGGAAGGCGTTGAAGGGGACGATCACGAGTAGCCCGCTCCGAAACGTGTTCACACTGATGAATTTACTCCGCAAGTTGGTTGGAGACCTCAAAACAAGCCTTGCTTACCTAATTCACACTCGTGGCCTGACTATCTGGCTGGACTACCAGGTGGGTGAAGCCTCCTCTGCGTGGACCTTGAAAAGAAACTCCGAGAATGTTACAAGCTAGCTAGAAGACAGACAGATCCTGGTCACAAGGGAAATTGTACATGCTATCCAGTGCCAAGGTATATACGGGCGCCGTTCTATAAATCATCCCAAACTATCAACTATCCAGTCTGGCTCGGCATCTTCTTCATCTGGATCATGAGAGAGAAGCGACGTTTGTGAGAGTGGACTATTATTGGAGTCAGTCTCGATTCGCTTCGTACCCACCTCGGGGTCAAGTATCTCGGGGTTAGGCAGTGCTTTAGGCTCCGTCTCTGCTTCTGGCTTTTCCCTCAAAGGTTCTGCTGTGGTATTGTTCATACTTGGATCTGCCGCGTCTGCGGTTGCTGTGCCAGAGGGAGATACAGGTGACTCTTGTTGAGATCCGGTAGTATCTTGTTGAAATTCGGTTTTACGATGGATTTCTTGTCGTGAGTCCATAGAGACAACATGATAAGGCAATGTTGGATCCGTGTCTTTCTCGTCTCCGTGGAGGAAACCGCCTCCGTTTTCGCTGGCGTTTGCATCAGGAGTAGGGCGACGCTTGTGTAGCTGAGGCTGGCCTAACGTCATTTGTGGGTTTGTATTTGTCCCTTCATTTAGTTCACCTTCGTCTTCCAGGATGAATCCCCCACCAGAATTAGCATCATCGTCTTCGAAAAGAGATTCTGTGCCATTCGCACCGTCCTCGTCTTCGACGATGAAACCACCGCCTTGACCTTCGTCTCCATCGTCACCCTCATATTCACCTCTGGAAAGAGATATCGCATTAGATCTAGACTGATTCCCACGTTCTTCACTCCAGGGAGATGCCATTTTATGAGGCGACCTGACAATGACAATGTCCTGATGTATCACTTCGGGAGGCAAGAGCTGATCGATAGGCTTCAACCTTGCCAAAACTGCTTCAGTGTCTGCGCCGGGAAACTTGGCACTCGGCTGGCCCTGCTCTGCAGCCTCAGGGACGAAGCCGCCACCATCATCTTCTGTTTTTTCTTCATAATCTTCGTCGTCATATTCGTCGGCTTTGTCTCCAGATTCTTCATCACTGTTCCCATAGTCTCGATGGACTCGCTCTCGCACGCGTAAAGCCTGAAGCCACCTCTTCCACAGACCAAGGACTACCCGGCTTCGCTCAGCTTCCGCTTCGTCACTGGCTTGAGATTCTAGCCCTTCAATCACACTGATCACGGCGCTTGTCATGTCTAGACTGACAACCACGCCATCAATCACCGCTGTTCCTTGTCGGCCTTTGAACTCAAACCCGGTCACTGCATCAGCGTAGTCAATTCCAAGAACCCGAGCAGATTGAGCAGCGAGAGGGTGGCGTATATGAACAGCACCGGCTGGAATCATCGTGGGAACGTACACATCCAAATTACCATATCCGTTCTTTGGGACCTTGCCGTCGACCACTGGAGGTGGTTGATAGAAGCTGGTCTGGTAGTCTGCGTACAAGGGGGCGCCTTCTTGTCGTCCATCTGCATCCGCACCATCATCCAAATCTTCGCCAGGCTCTGCCAACGGGTGATTGTGCCTCTTCTTGGACAAGACACGTTTTAAAGGCTGTTCTCCTTCGTTGACATCTTTTCCTCGTCGGTACCAAGCATCGGCGGTACGACACAGATGTACATCACGTCTGCGATAGACACTTTCCAGCTTTGCGTTCTTGCTAGGTCCAGCACTGACTTTGCCCACCTCGTGCTTAGGGTGTATGACTTCGTTCATGCGCAGATGTCGCTCAAGGACATAGACGGGGTGACCTTTGAAATCTTGCACGTTGCGCGGCATGGGCTCGTTTTGCGTCCGTTTGTTCAGAAAGACATCCTCAATCACGTCTCGGTCTTCTTCAAACGGCTTCCGGAATGTCCGCATTGTCCTGTCCCACCACTCTTCTCCGCCCTTCGTGCTCTCTACTCTCTGCTTGCGTGTCTTGGCATGGTACCATTCTGTATACCGCCTCGTCACGTCTTTGGCGGAGCCATCATCCTCGAACGCAATCACGTAGGTCATATTGTTCAACTGGTCGGACGCTGGTGGCTCGAAGCCTCTCTTTGGTTTGTTGATGGTGCCGCGGACGAGGGGGTCAAGAGGGATCCATGTTGCTATCGATGGAGAGTATGCTTCGACCCAAAATATGGGATATGGAGAATCGACAATCTTTTTCTTCTTCTTAGGCGAAATGCTTCTTTCAGACTGCATGATTGTGGTAGTGCCTCCCATTGAAGTATAATCTTGAGCTGGAGCATGATAGTATTGCGGTTTGGGTTTCATGGTACTCTGACCTTTGGCGACACCGGAGAAGGGCAGAACCTGAAGTGAGCATACCAATCTAGCGTCGACAGCGATTGAGCGAAGTAATGCGCAACAGAGCTGAGCTCCCAAGTCACGCGAGCCAGAGCGTGAGTGTGCTGCGGCTCTGAAATCGTCAAAGTCTATCAGGTCTTCAGCATCATCGCTCTCCTTTAGAACGTCCACATCGTCCTTCCAATGTGCTCGACGCATGCCCCTGACTGTAACTTCCCATTGTAATTTCCATAACGCACATACTTCTTCGATTCCTTTCATGAACGAATGGTTTCGTTGATATTGGGGTTTGGAATCGTCTACATGAAGTAGAGAGGTCACCTTTTTGGGGACGAGTGGCTTCAGAATAGACTGGACCGATGGACTCTCACACCACCTGTTACGGCAGCTCAAATGACCCAGTAGACAAAGTAGATGCGCTTTGTGAACCTCTAGACGGAGCTTTCGTTCTGCAGGGCTCACGGGCTTTCGGCGTGGCGTGGTACGACGTGGTGCATCGAGATTTGTTTTTGATAGATCGAGCTCAAAGCGGCTCTGGCGTGAATGCGCACCTACGTCTGGTTCTTCCGGTGGTGCATCTAGGTCAACGTCCTCAAACTCAACGTCTGATTCTTCCGAGCCCTCGAACTCATCATACACAGTCTGCTGCAAATTTTCGGGAACATTGTTGGCTGCCACATTAGCATCAGCTACGTTGTCATCAGGACCGAACAGATTAAAATCGAGGCCGATTCCTGATGATGGCTCTTCACTCAGCTTCCTCCTCTTCGAGGGCCTCGAACTTAAAGATCTTGTCTGCTCCTCGCGTGCAGCTTCAGCGAGCATCTCACCGTACACTGCGGGGATGCCATCGTCTGAAGCGTCGCTGTTATGCCGCGCGGACTGACGCGTCTTTCGCGTAGTTGTCCTGCTAGCGGTCTGGCGTTTCCGAGGCGGCATACTTAAAAGAGACACATTGAACCCACGCGCTCGTCATGGCTGGGTGGATCGCTATGTTGGTGCCACCATGGCCGATGTTGTGTTGTGCTCTGGTTTTTGGACCCTACGAAAGCAAAAGTAGATGGTAGCCTATTTGACACCATGGATGACGTAATCGATCTTCCGGATATACCACATCCCGATCCCCACAACCTGCCTGGACGTGTAGGGTATGGAATGTCCCTAAAGCCTCTGCATCTAGGTAGATTCGTAGCCACCTACGAAGGCCACGAGAAAGCTGAGTAATATATACAGACCCAAATCGGACAGTGGATCTTAAGCCAAAGTTTTAGGGTAAGTTAGCACTTTTATTGAGCAGCTAAAGACTGAGTACCAGATTCAATTGCTGGACGTATGTATTCAACATGCATGAACCAAAAACAAGTGTTTATAAAGTTTTGGTGAGAGCCCATTACCGATCAATTCTCGTTCTCTCATTGATCAATCAATTATTTGACTTAAACATTAAGGAATGACTCTAGCCGCGACTATATTCCAGCAGGCTAGTGATGTAGAGTACCAAACAAACCCCCATTACCCTTCTATGCATATGCAGAAAATATTTTCATTCATCAACCATCATGTTACTCTTGGTCCAGAGCGCCCATCAGAAAGTGAGCGGCCTAGTTTCCGCCCTTGTTGTAGTTTCCACCGTGCCAGTCACCCCAGCCTGCAGACGCAGTGGTGCTTGTGGTCCAGCTGCTTGTGGTTGTGGTTGTAGTTGTGGTAGTTGGAGTTACCGTGACAGTAATGTAAACGGTGCTTGGGACACAGGCTGGGGTAGTGGTGGTCGTTGGCTTCCAATCGTTCCAGCCCGAGCTAGCCGGTGCAACTGTCGTCGGCTTAGGAGCAGGCACGGAACTGCTTGGCTTCCAGTCATTCCACTGCGAGGAGGACTGTACAGGGGCCGGGGCAGAGCTGCTAGGCTTCCAGTCTCCCCATTGGGAAGAAGCGGCCGGCTTAGTGGTGGTGGTCCAGTCACCCCATTGCGAAGCAGGGGTTGTGGTGGTTGGCTTGACTGGTGTGGTGGTTGTGGTCCAGTCACCCCATTGCGAAGCAGGGGTTGTGGTGATTGGCTTGACCGGTGTGGTGGTGGTGGTCCAGTCACCCCATGCAGGAGTGGTGGTAGTGGTGATTGGCTTGACCGGTGTGGTGGTGGTGGTCCAGTCACCCCATGCAGGAGTGGTGGTAGTGGTGATTGGCT